AAAAATGTGATTTTTTTCCCATAGGAATGCATGGGTTAGGGTTATGGTTAGGGTTAGGGTTGGAGCTAGGGTTAGGGTTAGGGTTAGGGTTGGAGTTAGGGTTAGTGTTGGAGCTAGGGTTAGGGTTAGGCTTGGAGCTAGGACTTTTCTGAGTGCAATGAACCAACTCCCGAGTCTCTAGGACGTTCCCTAAAAAAATTTGATTTTTTCCCATAGGAATGCATGGGTTAGGGTTAGGGTTAGGGTTGGAGCTAGGGTTAGGGTTAGGGTTAGGGTTGGAGTTAGGGTTAGTGTTGGAGCTAGGGTTAGGGTTGGGCTTGGAGCTAGGATTTTTCTGAGTGCACTGAACCAACTGCCGAGTCTCTAGGACATTCCTAAAAAAATTTGATTTTTTCCCATAGGAATGCATGGGTTAGGGTTAGGGTTAGGGTTGGAGCTAGGGTTAGGGTTAGGGTTAGGGTTGGAGTTAGGGTTAGTGTTGGAGCTAGGGTTAGGGTTGGGCTTGGAGCTAGGATTTTTCTGAGTGCACTGAACCAACTCCCGAGTCTCTTGGACATTCCTAAAAAAATTTGATTTTTTCCCATAGGAATGCATGGGTTAGGGTTAGGGTTAGGGTTGGAGCTAGGGTTAGGGTTAGGGTTAGGGTTGGAGTTAGGGTTAGTGTTGGAGCTAGGGTTAGGGTTGGGCTTGGAGCTAGGATTTTTCTGAGTGCACTGAACCAACTCCCGAGTCTCTAGGACATTCCTAAAAAAATGTGATTTTTTTCCCATAGGAATGCATTGGTTAGGGTTATGGTTAGGGTTAGGGTTGGAGCTAGGGTTAGGGTTAGGGTTAGGGTTGGAGTTAGGGTTAGTGTTGGAGCTAGGGTTAGGGTTGGGCTTGGAGCTAGGACTTTTCTGAGTGCAATGAACCAACTCCCGAGTCTCTAGGACGTTCCCTAAAAAAATTTGATTTTTTCCCATAGGAATGCATTGGTTAGGGTTAGGGTTAGGGTTGGAGCTAGGGTTAGGGTTAGGGTTAGGGTTGGAGTTAGGGTTAGTGTTGGAGCTAGGGTTAGGGTTGGGCTTGGAGCTAGGATTTTTCTGAGTGCACTGAACCAACTCCCGAGTCTCTAGGACATTCCTAAAAAAATTTGATTTTTTCCCATAGGAATGCATGGGTTAGGGTTAGGGTTAGGGTTGGAGCTAGGGTTAGGGTTAGGGTTAGGGTTGGAGGTAGGGTTAGTGTTGGAGCTAGGGTTAGGGTTGGGCTTGGAGCTAGGATTTTTCTAAGTGCAATGAACCAACTCCAGAGTCTCTAGGACGTTCCTAAAAAAATTTGATTTTTTTCCCATAGGAATGCATGGGTTAGGGTTATGGTTAGGGTTAGGGTTGGAGCTAGGGTTAGGGTTAGGGTTAGGGTTGGAGTTAGGGTTAGTGTTGGAGCTAGGGTTAGGGTTGGGCTTGGAGCTAGGATTTTTCTGAGTGCACTGAACCAACTGCCGAGTCTCTAGGACATTCCTAAAAAAATTTGATTTTTTCCCATAGGAATGCATGGGTTAGGCTTAGGGTTAGGGTTGGAGCTAGGGTTAGGGTTAGGGTTAGGGTTGGAGTTAGGGTTAGTGTTGGAGCTAGGGTTAGGGTTGGGCTTGGAGCTAGGATTTTTCTGAGTGCACTGAACCAACTCCCGAGTCTCTAGGACATTCCTAAAAAAAATTGATTTTTTCCCATAGGAATGCATGGGTTAGGGTTAGGGTTAGGGTTGGAGCTAGGGTTAGGGTTAGGGTTAGGGTTGGAGTTAGGGTTAGTGTTGGAGCTAGGGTTAGGGTTGGGCTTGGAGCTAGGATTTTTCTGAGTGCACTGAACCAACTCCCGAGTCTCTAGGACATTCCTAAAAAAAATTGATTTTTTCCCATAGGAATGCATTGGTTTGGGTTATGGTTAGGGTTAGGGTTGGAGCTAGGGTTAGGGTTAGGGTTAGGGTTGGAGTTAGGGTTAGTGTTGGAGCTAGGGTTAGGGTTGGGCTTGGAGCTAGGATTTTTCTGAGTGCAATGAACCAACTCCCGAGTCTCTAGGACGTTCCTAAAAAAATTTGATTTTTTCCCATAGGAATGCATGGGTTAGGGTTAGGGTTAGGGTTGGAGCTAGGGTTAGGGTTAGGGTTAGGGTTGGAGTTAGGGATAGTGTTGGAGCTAGGGTTAGGGTTGGGCTTGGAGCTAGGATTTTTCTGAGTGCAATGAACCAACTCCCGAGTCTCTAGGACGTTCCTAAAAAAATTTGATTTTTTCCCATAGGAATGCATGGGTTAGGGTTAGGGTTAGGGTTGGAGCTAGGGTTTGGGTTAGGGTTAGGGTTAGGGTTGGAGTTAGGGTTAGTGTTGGAGCTAGGGTTTGGGTTGGGCTTGGAGCTAGGATTTTTCTGAGTGCACTGAACCAACTCCCGAGTCTCTAGGACATTCCCAAAATAATTTGATTTTTTCCCATAGGAATGCATGGGTTAGGGTTAGGGTTAGGGTTGGAGCTAGGGTTAGGGTTAGGGTTAGGGTTGGAGTTAGGGTTAGTGTTGGAGCTAGGGTTAGGGTTGGGCTTGGAGCTAGGATTTTTCTGAGTGCACTGAACCAACTCCCGAGTCTCTAGGACATTCCTAAAAAAATTTGATTTTTTCCCATAGGAATGCATGGGTTAGGGTTATGGTTAGGGTTAGGGTTGGAGCTAGGGTTAGGGTTAGGGTTAGGGTTGGAGTTAGGGTTAGTGTTGGAGCTAGGGTTAGGGTTGGGCTTGGAGCTAGGATTTTTCTGAGTGCACTGAACCAACTCCCGAGTCTCTAGGACGTTCCTAAAAAAATTTGATTTTTTCCCATAGGAATGCATGGGTTAGGGTTAGGGTTAGGGTTGGAGCTAGGGTTAGGGTTAGGGTTAGGGTTGGAGTTTGGGTTAGTGTTGGAGCTAGGGTTAGGGTTGGGCTTGGAGCTAGGATTTTTCTGAGTGCACTGAACCAACTCCCGAGTCTCTAGGACATTCCTAAAAAAATTTGATTTTTTCCCATAGGAATGCATGGGTTAGGGTTATGGTTAGGGTTAGGGTTGGAGCTAGGGTTAGGGTTAGTGTTAGGGTTGGAGTTAGGGTTAGTGTTGGAGCTAGGGTTAGGGTTGGGCTTGGAGCTAGGACTTTTCTGAGTGCAATGAACCAACTCCCGAGTCTCTAGGACGTTCCTAAAAAAATTTGATTTTTTCCCATAGGAATGCATGGGTTAGGGTTAGGGTTAGGGTTGGAGCTAGGGTTAGGGTTAGGGTTAGGGTTGGAGTTAGGGTTAGGGTTAGGGTTAGGGTTAGGGTTGGGCTTGGAGCTAGGATTTTTCTGAGTGCACTGAACCAACTCCCGAGTCTCTAGGACATTCCTAAAAAAATTTGATTTTTTCCCATAGGAATGCATGGGTTAGGGTTATGGTTAGGGTTAGGGTTGGAGCTAGGGTTAGGGTTAGGGTTAGGGTTGGAGTTAGGGTTAGTGTTGGAGCTAGGGTTAGGGTTGGGCTTGGAGCTAGGATTTTTCTGAGTGCACTGAACCAACTCCCGAGTCTCTTGGACATTCCTAAAAAAATTTGATTTTTTCCCATAGGAATGCATGGGTTAGGGTTAGGGTTAGGGTTGGAGCTAGGGTTAGGGTTAGGGTTAGGGTTGGAGTTAGGGTTAGTGTTGGAGCTAGGGTTAGGGTTGGGCTTGGAGCTAGGATTTTTCTGAGTGCACTGAACCAACTCCCGAGTCTCTAGGACATTCCTAAAAAAATGTGATTTTTTTCCCATAGGAATGCATGGGTTAGGGTTATGGTTAGGGTTAGGGTTGGAGCTAGGGTTAGGGTTAGGGTTAGGGTTGGAGTTAGGGTTAGTGTTGGAGCTAGGGTTAGGGTTGGGCTTGGAGCTAGGATTTTTCTGAGTGCACTGAACCAACTCCCGAGTCTCTAGGACGTTCCTAAAAAAATTTGATTTTTTCCCATAGGAATGCATGGGTTAGGGTTATGGTTAGGGTTAGGGTTGGAGCTAGGGTTAGGGTTAGGGTTAGGGTTGGAGTTAGGGTTAGTGTTGGAGCTAGGGTTAGGGTTGGGCTTGGAGCTAGGATTTTTCTGAGTGCAATGAACCAACTCCCAAGTCTCTAGGACGTTCCTAAAAAAATTTGATTTTTTCCCATAGGAATGCATGGGTTAGGGTTAGGGTTAGGGTTGGAGCTAGGGTTAGGGTTAGGGTTAGGGTTGGAGTTAGGGTTAGTGTTGGAGCTAGGGTTAGGGTTGGGCTTGGAGCTAGGATTTTTCTGAGTGCAATGAACCAACTCCCGAGTCTCTAGGACGTTCCTAAAAAAATTTGATTTTTTCCCATAGGAATGCATGGGTTAGGGTTATGGTTAGGGTTAGGGTTGGAGCTAGGGTTAGGGTTAGGGTTAGGGTTGGAGTTAGGGTTAGTGTTGGCGCTAGGGTTAGGGTTGGGCTTGGAGCTAGGATTTTTCTGAGTGCAATGAACCAACTCCCGAGTCTCTAGGACGTTCCTAAAAAAATTTGATTTTTTCCCATAGGAATGCATGGGTTAGGGTTAGGGTTAGGGTTGGAGCTAGGGTTAGGGTTAGGGTTAGGATTAGGGTGGAGCTAGGGTTAGGGTTAGGGTTAGAGCTAGGGTTAGGGTTGGGGCTAGTGTTAGGGTTAGGGTTGGAGTTAGGGTTAGTGTTGGAGCTAGGGTTAGGGTTGGGCTTGGAGCTAGGATTTTTCTGAGTGCAATGAACCAACTCCCGTGTCTCTAGGACGTTCCTTAAAAAAATTTGAGGGTTAGGGTTAGGGTTGGAGTTAGGGTTAGTGTTGGAGCTAGGGTTAGGGTTAGGGCTTGGAGCTAGGATTTTTCTGAGTGCAATGAACCAACTCCCGAGTTTCTAGGACGTTCCTAAAAAAATTTGATTTTTTTTCCATAGGAATGCATCGGGAAAAAAAATTTCTAAGTGCCAACCTAATTCTGGGGGAAGTTTTTTGAAAAGTTTACTTAGGGTTTGGGTTAGGGTTAGGGTTGGAGCTAGGGTTAGGGTTAGGGTTAAGGTTGGAGCTAGGGTTAGGGTTAGGGTTAGGATTAGGGTGGAGCTAGGGTTAGGGTTAGGGTTAGAGCTAGGGTTAGGGTTGGGGCTAGGGTTAGGGTTAGGGTTAGGGTTAAGGTTGGAGCTAGGGTTAGGGTTAGGTTCTATAGACTCCCCGTGCCCTGAAACGTGCTCCTAACACAATTCTGGAAGGTGAAAAATTGGGTTGGCACTTAAAAAATTTTTCAATTTTTTTTTTCCATGCATTCCTATGGAAAAAAATAATTTTTTTTAGGAACGTCCTAGAGACTCGGGAGTTGGTTCATTGCACTCAGAAAAATCCTAGCTCCAAGCCCAACCCTAACCCTAGCTCCAACACTAACCCTAACTCCAGCCCTAACCCTAACCCTAACCCTAGCTCCAACCCTAACCCTAACCCTAACCCATGCATTCCTATGGGAAAAAATCAAATTTTTTTAGGAACGTCCTAGAGACTCGGGAGTTGGTTCATTGCACTCAGAAAAATCCTAGCTCCAAGCCCAACCCTAACCCTAGCTCCAACACTAACCCTAACTCCAGCCCTAACCCTAACCCTAGCTCCAACCCTAACCCTAACCCTAACCCATGCATTCCTATGGGAAAAAATCAAATTTTTTTAGGAACGTCCTAGAGACTCGGGAGTTGGTTCATTGCACTCAGAAAAATCCTAGCTCCAAGCCCAACCCTAACCCTAGCTCCAACACTAACCCTAACTCCGACCCTAACCCTAACCCTAACTCTAGCTCCAACCCTAACCCTAACCCTAACCCATGCATTCCTATGGAAAAAAATCAATTTTTTTTAGGAATGTCCTAGAGACTCGGGAGTTGGTTCATTGCACTCAGAAAAATCCTAGCTCCAAGCCCAACCCTAACCCTAGCTCCAACACTAACCCTAACTCCAACCCTAACCCTAACCCTAACCCTAGCTCCAACCCTAACCCTAACCCTAACCCATGCATTCCTATGGGAAAAAATCAAATTTTTTTAGGAACGTCCTAGAGACTCGGGAGTTGGTTCATTGCACTCAGAAAAATCCTAGCTCCAAGCCCAACCCTAACCCTAGCTCCAACACTAACCCTAACTCCAACCCTAACCCTAACCCTAACCCTAGCTCCAACCCTAACCCTAACCCTAACCCATGCATTCCTATGGGAAAAAATCAATTTTTTTAGGAACGTCCTAGAGACTCGGGAGTTGGTTCATTGCACTCAGAAAAATCCTAGATCCAAGCCCAACCCTAACCCTAGCTCCAACACTAACCCTAACTCCAACCCTAACCCTAACCCTAACCCTAGCTCCAACCCTAACCCTAACCCTAACATTAGCCCCAACCCTAACCCTAGCTCTAACCCTAACCCTAACCCTAGCTCCACCCTAATCCTAACCCTAACCCTAACCCTAGCTCCAACCTTAGCCCTAACCCTAACCCTAGCTCCAACCCTAACCCTAACCCTAACCCATGCATTCCTATGGGAAAAAAGGGTTAACCCTAGGGTTAGGGTTAGGGTTAGGGTTGGAGTTAGGGTTAGGGTTAGGGTTAGGGTTGGAGCTAGGGTTAGGGTTAGGGTTAGGGTTTGAGGTAGGGTTAATTTTGGAGCTAGGGTTAGGGTTGGGCTTGGAGCTAGGATTTTTCTGAGTGCAATGAACCAACTCCTGAGTCTCTAGGACGTTCCTAAAAAAATTTGATTTTTTCCCATAGGAATGCATGGGTTAGGGTTAGGGTTAGGGTTGGAGCTAGGGTTAGGGTTAGGGTTAGGGTTGGAGTTAGGGTTAGTGTTGGAGCTAGGGTTAGGGTTGGGCTTGGAGCTAGGATTTTTCTGAGTGCAATGAACCAACTCCCGAGTCTCTAGGACGTTCCTAAAAAAATTTTGATTTTTTCCCATAGGAATGCATGGGTTAGGGTTAGGGTTAGGGTTGGAGCTAGGGTTAGGGTTAGGGTTAGGGTTGGAGCTAGGGTTAGGTTTAGGGTTAGGGTTAGGGTTGGGCTTGGAGCTAGGATTTTTCTGAGTGCAATGAACCAACTCCCGAGTCTCTAGGACGTTCCTAAAAAAATTTGATTTTTTTCCATAGGAATGCATGTGAAGTGCCAACCCAATTTTTCAGCTAGGGTTAGGGTTAGGGTTAGGGTTAGGGTTAGGGTTGGAGCTAGGGTTAGGGTTAGGGTTAGAGCTAGGGTTAGGGTTAGGGTTGGAGCTAGGGTTAGGGTTAGGGTTAAGGTTGGAGCTAGGTTTAGGGTTAGGGTTAGGGTTGGGCTTGGAGCTAGGATTTTTCTGAGTGCAATGAACCAACTCCCGAGTCTCTAGGACGTTCCTAAAAAAATTTGATTTTTTTCCATAGGAATGCATGTGAAGTGCCAACCCAATTTTTCAGCTAGGGTTAGGGTTAGGGTTAGGGTTAGGGTTAGGGTTGGAGCTAGGGTTAGGGTTAAGGTTGGAGCTAGGGTTAGGGTTAGGGTTGGAGCTAGGGTTAGGGTTAGGGTTAAGGTTGGGGTTGGAGCTAGGTTAGGGTTAGGGTTAGGGTTGGAGCTAGGGTTAGGGTTAGAAACCTTTTGTTAGAATATTTTAGGGGTAAGTCATATTTGCACTTGACTATAATATATCGATTGAAACAACTGAGAAAATGTTGCACACAGAACATTTACAAATACATACAGGCTGACAGGTTGATTGGCAGGTACATCATCCAATTATTTCACTCCATCCTTGACAACCTTTTGGGCAAACTTATCACCACCCTGCAGCCACCACAGACGTCTAAGTTTTTTTTTTCTTTTTATTAATAGAGCATTATTATTGAGACTTGCAACCAGAATGTAATAAACTTGTCAGCAGCTACGACCAAAACAGCAACAACAGATAACCTCCCATGGGATGCTTACTCACTAACAGGCTATTTACTTCATTTCAGTAGCATGTAATTTTCAGGTGGGGTTGTATGATTCACATGAACTTGTTTATATAGTTTTAACCCATTTATATCTGAGGAATGTTATCCTGTTAAAGAAATTGAAAGTTTGTTATGACAAACAAATTTATAGATATAACTCGCATCCTCCTGATGGCTACAGGTAAATCCTGTGGTTTCTATTTATCTTTACAGAAGGGTATTTCCTTGCATTGGATACTGGAGGTATCCAGCCATTTATTTATAGATTTATAAACAACAGTCACATATGTAAAAAAAATTGAGGCATTAGCTTACAGATTCAGTCAGGGTCTTCTGCCTGTACTCTGTGTTCTCTCTATTTTTCTGCATGACCTAGAAGATTATGGATACAGATCCATGTTTTAGTGCCACTGGAAGTCATTGGGGCAGTGTCAAGCAGTGTGGCAAGCAGTTAGACACAAAACACAACAAACAATGATGTTTATATTGTTTCATATGCATGTGTTTGTTCATACACCAAGGCAGCATAAATAAGCCTTCACAAGAGCAACATCAACCTGAAATCAGTCATAATAGGACGGCAATAGACATATCTACCAGAGCAAATAAAGAAACATCCACTTATTAAATCACAATGTCCTCATGCTACCAAATAATGTAGAAGTAGCAATCCAAAGTGATGTTAGTTAAATGGCTAATGATGTGTTGAAAAGTTTGCCTTAAAATGAGTTTTTTGCTCTTGCTTATTGTGATACTGATGAATCCTACTCTTTATAATCCATGTGTTTTTGCATTCGTCAGTGTTTCTGCACACTGCCCTCACTGTAAACTGCGTCTCTTAATGAATGGAGCATCTTACAGTTTTTCTCAGTCGCTTTGGTACATTTCTCAGATCAGAATTGAAATTCTCAAAACTACGTGTTCAATTTTCACATCATTGTGCCACTTGTGCACATCAAAAAAGCAGTTTCTCATTTCTTTGAACAACTTGCAAATGCTTTGGTACATCCATGCAAATGATTATGTACAATTTTCTGCTGTTTTCTACATTATCAATTGCTTATGTCATGTTGATCAAAATGTATTATAATGGGTCTCTGTTGAATAGTCTCACCTCCCTCAACATTTAGGCATTAGTTCATTGCATAAGTCTTTACATGCAAAATGGTTGAACAAGCTGTCATAATATGTCAAGCATATTTCTATACATTTCCATCAGACGTTTCTGAATCTGTCCTGAATTGGTAAATTGCTCCCAGGTGAATCTTGACTTTCTCTAACGGTGGGAAATGTGTGAAGCATTAGATCAACCAATGATCAACCACTTTTCTGAAATAGCTCAAAGGTGCATCTCATGAACCATCAACTGGCAAGTGTATATATTGCCGGAGCACAACACAATGTTACAATGTCTGACAATGGAAGGACAAGGAATTGGACGGGGTCAACAGCCAGAGAGAAGAAGAGGAAGAGGAGTGAGGCTGCGTGGCGGAGGAGTTGGGAGGCAAAACAGAGGAAGAGGCAGAATAGGCAGAGGACATATGCGCGTTCCTGATGAGATAAGAGCTACACTTGTAGACCACATTCTCAATCATGGGCTTACAATGGCTGAGGCTGGCCGAAGGGTGCAGCCAAATGTTGGGAGAACAACTGTGTCCTCAATCATTCAGACTTTTCGTTGACAGAACAGGTATGTAATCTAACAATAGGCACTGTAATGTAATACTGTATACTTTCTGTGATGCTTCATACAATATTGCAGTATTCGACTTTCATTTTACAATATACAGTAAGTATACTATATACAGTGACATTGTAGGTGTAGGAAGACTGTACTGTAATTCCTACAGCACTGCATTTCCAGTTTTCCCTAAGGAAATTGTCGTATGTTCACATTTCTACTTTTTTTATTTTTTATTGTGCTCTGCAGTGCTGTCTTTTTCTTTTCTGTATCGCAATGACATGGTCTGTCATCAAATTACAGTCTCTTGCAATCAATCTCCCACATACACTGAGGTGTAACTTCCAATTTACAATGATTGTCATCAAAACTTTAGCCATAGTTTACATCAGAACATCCCTCCAGAGTACACTGTTATACTGACAACATGACTAAGCAATTTGACTGTCTTATCCGTGCACAATGACACAAGGACTTGTCATTCTGATGGCACTGACATGTTCATTGACACAGATATTTACTTTTGAGAGATGTACTAAGGATTTTGAGCAAGAGACTGGCTTTTGCAGCTAATCCATGGTGTTTTGCTAGTTGTACAAATTGTTTTGAGAAAAGGACTTACTGTTTTGCAAATGTCGAGGATGATTCGAGAAATGTACCAAAGCGACTGAGAAAAACTGTAATAGGTCCACGTGTATCTGATGGATGAGTCAGGATGTTTTTCTTCTCTGATGTTGTGCCAAACAACTAAAATTGCTCTGCAATGCAATGCATGAATATGCCTTAAGCCAGTCTGTCTTTTCCTTAACAGGCTTGATGACTTCACAGTCCTCTGCAGTAGATATTAAGGCACTGTTGCCATAAATGAGCTATCTAAATAAAAGCAGCCAGCACCATTAATTGATTGACTGATCACAGACCAAGATGTGTTGCAAGGAGCCATCTCAGTTCCATTCAAAGGCAGGAATTTAAAGCGATGAAAGTGTTTTTGCTGTAACTTAATTACTGCTCAGAGAGACCTCAACCAGCCTGTCAGTTGGTTCTTCTGCCAGCTAAAGCAGCTTGGTTGATGAGTTTAACCCTTACCTGTTCAGGGAGCAGACACAAAGGCAAGACATGAAATAAGACAATCTACTGTCTTTGACTTATCCACCCAGAAGAGAGAGCGTGTTTTCACAGGGGTAATACTCTGAAGCTGTGACCAGGGTGTAATGAAGGATTCCATGTAATGGCCCCTCTAGCTGTTCCACATCGCTTCCTCCTCATCCCTTCCTCGCTCTATAACCACTTCCTCCGTGATTTCATGGGAATTAAGGGGAGAAAGGTGTGTTTCATATGTAAAGCAGGTAGCTTGTGCTAAGATGTGAGCTGGTTTGTGTGCCCCCCCACCCCCTGGTTTTTGTCTCTTGGGTCGTGGATGGAATGGGTGTTGGGAGGTTGGTCGACGTAGGCTTTGATCACTGGCAGAGGGTCGCTATGGTTCAATTTCTATGGTGCTCCTCTGAGAGGTGAGCTCTGCAATTACAAACCATGTGAGAGACGACGAAGGGATGTTAATTTCTCAGCTGCTAGCCCATGTGTCAGTTAGCCAACAGAGGACATGAATCACATTTACGGTATGAGGCAGAAAGGCCCTTGGCAGCACCGTAACCAGGACATGAGATGTAAAATCCATTGAATAATCTCCTCACTATGTAAGCTGTGTGGTTGTAAGAAACTCAGTGAAGCACCACAAAAGCATGAGACCTTGACCTCATGCTGTCTCACAGTTTAAAGCCTCATTTACTTACTTTCGTTTATTAATTTTGACCAATGGTATCTGAATTTTGGCCATTTCAAGGCAAAATTATGTGTATTTAAATTTTTTTGAAGGCTAGTAACAGAGTAAGTTGGGTATCCATGCATAAATCATGTTTTCAGGTCAGAGACAAGCTCTTTTGTCTTTTAACCCTTCTCCAGTGTTAGCTTGTACTATGCACTCACTATGTTAAGGGTCGGTTTCAACCCGTGTCTTAAATCAGCTTTAAATTACACTAAAAACATTTCTCTATCATCCAATTTGGTTCTCATCTCTAGGTTACCTTGTTAGGCTTCATTATCCATGAAAATATTGCTTATGATTTTAGTTTTTGCTCTAATTTTTAGATATTAATCTAAACCGGGTCAACAGTGACCCAAACATGACAAGTGTCATAATTTTAACAAGAGCATTTTATAATTTCGTCAGTTTAATTTTTTTATTTGTTATTTTGTTGAAATAGAGGTTCCTGACAAAGTCAAAAAGTCTTGATGCAAATTAACTAATCTAAGTGGTTCTTTTAAGCATTTAAAAACAAAAACGGGTTGGTGCAGACCCTAACATAGGACGGGGGTTAACAGTCAAACTTTTTATGTAAGTTAAATCTTTTCTGTGAAAAAACACTGCTTTAGCAGTGTGCAGTAGATGATTTTGTATGCTCAATAGCAGAGCTGTCAGGCAGTGGTAATATGTGCAAAGATCTCAAAGAAACACTAAGGCAATGTGGAGCTGAGAGCAGAAGCTTTGTTTGTAGTTATAAGTTTGCTGGCCAGGAAAGGCGACCCCCTGCTACATGGTTTTGAAGTAATGTTGTATGACAATAATTTTCTGGCAAAATAAAGCTGTCAGTTTAAACACATTAAATAAATAATGCTAGTTTATATTATCCTTTCATCCGACCAAAACAGCATCAACAATATAAACAGACAATGATCTGATGTCTGATCTGAGGGTGGACTCATTAGAAGGTGAGCTTGTCATGGTGATGACCCAGTCAGAGGTTCACAGCCTGGTCAGTATGCTGACATAACTCACCTTGAGAAAATATAGAGAAAAACCAATTTTAGTCCTCCAAGAGTTTCTCCTGTGCTTGTTTTTGTGTGATCAAAGAAACACATAAACCTGAACGATCTTCTGTCACTTCATTTCTACCACCTTCTCAATCATTTCTTGTTCAAAAAATGTAACTAGCTGCACACTCAAGGGCAACATGTAGAGCTTTTTACTGTCAGACTAAAGCTATGAGCTGGTGGTGATCAAAGAGCTGAAAAGCTTTTCTACAGTTACATCTAACAAGCCAGAGTATTACAAACAGAGAGGGAAATTCCAGATCAGATGATCATGTCTTTACCCAGACCAGATACTTTAGCCATAAAAAAAAAATCACACAAACAGCATAGAGGCAAAGGATGTTATTTGTTCTGTATGATCAAAGTAACACAGGTTTACAGACTTCAGGCTTACACCCATGACCCACAAAGACTCTCTAACACACCTGTCAAGAGCAATGAAAGAAAAATAACCTTCAGACTGCACAGTTTAAAGCCTTTATTCTTGTATGAAAACCCTGATACGGCTCTAAATACATATAAAAACTTTCAGCATAAACTCAGATGATTTATGGAGAGTTTGAAAATGTCTGACTTTCAGCTGTGGTACAGAAAAATTCTCAGATGCAGGTAACGTATTCTGCGGGAACAGATTTGACTTGGGCACGCTGAGGAGCTAAAAGCATATATTCACACGGTCATTGGTCAAAAACTGGTCATTAATTAGCTACATCAGTGATATTGAATAGCAACAAATTGTTGCTTTAAAAACCAATTTTTCTGACATTTTTAAAAGAAAGAAACTGATAGAAACAGAAAAAGTCCTGACTTTAAATTTTAATGTAGGTTATATCTGGATCACAGTGAGAGGCCTGGATAAAAGTCTGTTTTCCTTTAATCAGTGCCTTTGACCAACCCCAATGAATCTATAAAGAGTAAATAAAAGCATCAGATTTAATTATTGAATTATTCCCTCTTGGGATCCAAAACATGGGAACTCTTTGGAACCACAACAGAAATTTTACTTTCTGCTGAAATAAATGGGTGAATTATTCCTGCTGCTCTGCCCCGAGGAGGAAATATTAAACAAATTCAAATGTTGTCCTTTGACATTGTTTCATTCACTGTTTAGTAGAAAAATGTGACATGTGAAAGCTACGTAAATGTACATCATTGCATGGCATATAAATGAATCTTATTTGTGTTCACAGAAGGGAAAAAAACAGTGGGTTGATTCATCTTGATAAACTGCTTCTTTAAAGGAATGATTAATTATTCTTCTTGTGTTCAGAATAACTGATTTCAAAGACGCTCTTTGTTGAACTGTATCTTACTGGTTCATTTACACCTCCTCATGAAATCTGTTATCACACAGCACAAGCGACCAAAATGGAACGTGCCCTTCAGCTTTGCAAATCATGAAATTACTGCAGTGGGAATTTTACCTTCACACTGCAGTCTGCCTCGTACAGCACACAACCATGTTCCTGTGAAAAAAAAGAAAACACTCCAAAGGAACGCACACATAATATTTCAAAAGACGTGTTAGGGTGTAGTTCTATCCTGTGAAGCAAGGATGCCCTGGAACTGTTTAAAGAGGCCTGTGTCTGCGTCTGAAACTAGAAGCCTTTCCAGCGCTGCAGCACATCAAACTGTGAGGCTGGTTAGGCTGAGCAGAGCTGCTGCTCGTCTTTGTTTAAAACTGCATGAGATGAGGAAGGCTAATTGGACTAATTAGCCACAAAACAAGGCTTGACTGAGCAGTCTTTCTGTACCACAGATGTTTTGCCTCTCTTTAGTTAAAAAAAAAGATGGCAGGAAGAACAGCCTGATAATCAAAGCTTACCCACAGTGGCATTATTAGGCCCAGTGCTGTCACAAAGCAGACAGGCAGACGTGTTTATGATGAATTGGAGCTTTAACTGACCTTTGCCACAATATCTGGACGCCAACCTTGCTTCTTGACAGTCAGTGGTTTAGGCGACGGCCCCATGGTATGAAAGCCAAACTAACTTTTCTCTTTTCTTTTGAACTGTTTACGTTTCGGATGAAGTATAACACTAAAAATGTTAAACTTAGCTAACTTTATTCCCAATCCCTGAGGCTTCATGGGAAGTTTGGAAATTGTAAAAAACCTTTCTTGATTCAGAAGCATATGACCCGCGATACCTCAAATCTTTTTAACATTAAGCCATTTCTATTTACAGTTTGAATGTGATGGTTACTCTGTATTACATAACACTGCATATTTTAGTTGGAGAATTTGAGGATCATCTGGAGATTTAAATCATTAGTTAATTCACTTTTTCTTAGCTGGAAATAATGCCTTACCCCAACGAAAAAAGCAAAGTTTCCCTGAGGGTTTTTGGTAAGTTTCAATATTTTGTAATTTTACATGCATGCTGTAGGCTGAGTGCAGGACAAAAAGAGACGAATTTTCCTTGAGACTGGTCGATAATAAAAAAAAAGACTGCTGTGGGTGCAATCTTAGCTCTGTTGGTAGTACAGGCACCCCATGTATAGAGGCTACAGTCCTTGCTGCACTGGTTGAAGGATTGGTTCGAGGCTGCTATGCCCTATCCCCCCAGATTCAAAGTATTCATGCACAATTGTATGACTTTCATTGAATGACTTTAAACAGAAAACATTAGGAAGTGAAAATAACTGCACATAAAGCAAAAAGGTTCTTGTGGGGGGAGTGTTCGGGTCAACAAATGCAGGACTCTTACTGGCTTTAATGATTTTGATCAATTTTTGTTAAACTTCACCTTTAACTTTTTAAAGTTCAGTAGTTTACCTTATTTAAGTTGATCTATTTCAAATAAGTAATAGAAGAAGTTTTGGTGCTTGGGCTTGATGTTTGGGCGGTGATACAGAAAATTATGGCGAGAGCTTACATGTGAAAAATGAGAGCAGTTTGCCTTGTAACAAAATATGATCTTAGTTGATAACATACTTTTCTTGAGAAATGAAGCAGGCATCAAGTGAGAGGTTGGCTGTATCAGTCTGAGATTTTACTGTGAATACTCAGATGCTTTTCTATAAGAAATCCATTATCTGTTAATATTTGCTGAATGTATTTCTGTGCATTTACATCCCTATCCTCTGGGATGTGCAGGCGTATTGTACACTCTTTCATAAGCATCTTAAATCTCCCAATAAGACAGAAGCGTTATCACCCAGTGATAAGAATTTAGAGGCATTTCAAATCATGTGAAAAAGGCCCAAATCTCTTTAAACCCACGAGACAGAAAGTCAATAGGCAGAGGGACCAAAGACGAGTAATGTGATTTTTGGATTTAACAATTTTTTTTTTGTAATATGTGTGGAGTCACCTGTCAGGAGGATAAAAAGCAAGTTAACCAAAGCTAGAACAAACAGGAGGTGAATTTTGTTTCCAAACAAACAAACAAACAAGGAGGGACATTTTTATTTAATTTGAGCCGAGCTGACAGGAAGAGAAGTGACAAAATCACAGCATAAATTAACACTTCATACTGCACATCTTCAAAGGTGACTCTACCTTCATTTCCATGTTGAGTTTCTTCTTGTCAAAGTTACTCTGCATAACAATGATGTTAATTTTAGAAGCCTGACCATGAGTGTCGATTTGGTCCAAATTGAAATTGAAATTTCATAAAGCAGGTTTTTATCTTTATAATAACCAGGAAATATTCAGCAAAAATCATCAGAAACCATATTAGGGAGAGTTCAGAAACTACTTTAACTCAGACGTGAGAGTGTGTGCACCAGCAGGTACGTACTTGCCTCCCTATTTAACTGTAGATGTAGGATAACATGCTCATTATAAAAGGGCTAAAAAGGCAACAGATGTTTTTTTTCATATGAATGTGTGCATGTTAATTTTATTTATTTATTTATTATTGGGATATGTCATATTTTGCCTCCATGGATGGAAATGTATGATGCCCTATGTATGAATTTTTTAATGGGGAAGAGCTTGGTATAATTTTTTTTAATGAAAGTTTTTGTGGCCCGATTTATAATCATTATTCATTTTGTACTTTGTCATCTCCACCTCACTGTATTTTTCTGTTTGCCAATCAGTGTTGTAAACCTGTTTGTCTTTCGTGATTATTTTATGTAAATCATAACATGTAAAATATGTGTGCGATTTAAGATAAGCAAACTTTTAGTGGCTGTTACTGTGTTGTAGTTATCAGACACTGCACAAGCTGTAATTTGTTCAGAACATGACATAAACAGTTCCTCTGACTTTGGACTCTCTTAGACTGCCTGCCCCTGTGCTGTAGCTACATCCTCTTGAGAGTTATCGTCTTGTTGAAGCAAGATTACAGCCAAATCAGATAAAACAAAGCCTGTGCCACGAGCATATCTGTGTGTTTCTATGTGTGTGTATCCGTGTGTGAAAAGGGAAAAGTTCCAGAGCAGGATAGAGTTCACCCCTCACTGCTCCCTCTCTGCTCCCTGCTGGGTCTCTTCTGTACTCCTCAGTAACGACTCATGTTTGAGGCCGAGTGTCAATGACAGCCCACCTCCGGCACTCAGCCTCTGTACAGCTGCAGGATAACACAGCCCAACCTTGCCTCCAGCTGGCTGCATTGTAATAATGAAAAATAGATGCTGCACCGTATTATGCACACCTGGCTGCTCGTCTGAGTGTGCACGTATGCATGCGCGTTTGTGTACAAGTGTTACCTCCTTTATTAGTTTGCAGGAACACCAGAGTGTGCCGTTAGATGTGTTCACCCTGTGGCTTCATTCACCGTGCTTCATCCATGTTAATGAGGATATAAGGGCTCCCCATCCCTCCAAGGTCATATGCACTGTAGAAGTACTGTAGGGATTAGCCACCCCATGCACCCTTATTCCATATGTTCTGAATACCAACATAGACACTCATAGATTAGATTGACCTCCCCACATATGTGGGTTACATGTCTAAGGTATACATGTAGTAACCCACATGTGTGCTCAAGGTTCCTGAACCCTGCAACTATGACCATCAGCAGCGCTAGAGGAAAAACACAGCTGATCTTAAGGTGGTATGGATTATTTTGGTTCCATGAATGGTATATAAAAACAGGGAATAAGCTCAGATTGGACCAAACATAATAGTACAAACTTCAGATATAAGTCCTGTTAAGATGGGACTGTATAAAAATGGATGTCATGACAACTCATAAAAAGTGAGGACAAATTTTGAAGAGCTTCCCCGATAACTGGCTGTGGTACAGATCATGAAGTCTGCCTCCTCCTGTTTAACAGATGGGTAGTGGGTCGGGCTAGAAAATCATAGTACACCTAAAAAAACATTCAAGCAAACTTTCTACGGTGACATTAGTTTTCATCATAGTGATTTACATAAAGGAATTTATTTTTTAACTTTACCGGGTCACTGTTTCAACCTTAGACCGTATGAATGAAAGAATGGACGTCATCTACCTGCAAGAACAGCACCCTCTGGTGACGGGCTGCAGTATAGGTCATAAATCCCTCCTCCTCCAGCAAACTTAATGGAGCTGTGGACAACTTTAGAAATTAACTACACAGGATGTACACAGAAAATATATTTTCTCCTCCCTGGTTATGATGTTGACATGAAGTTATTGTAAGACTGGTTTGTGCTCAAGTCCTCTTTTTTTCTGTGCGGCTCAATTTATAAAAGTTATTAGGGGGTTCATGATTTCTATGATTGACACTTGATACAGCCTATGTGCGTACAAAAGCTTTTTAACAGCTTTTATTATGCTCGTACTCTTCATCTAAAGAAGACCAATAGGTCAAAATATTGTGATCCAATAATTATGACACAAATACTGTCATGTGTGATGATAAAACAATGGTGAGGACCCAAGTGTTGACCAAGAGTTTAAACGACAAAAACTATACTGTGAAACGAATGTCCAACTCAAAATCCAACAAAACCAGAGGAGACCAACAAGTCATGGGGAGGGTGAATTGAAGATCAAGATTTAAACACAGAAACACAGAGGAAAAGACACAGTGAGCGGACTCAGGAGGAATGAAACACAGAGTGAATACTGACGGGGTCAAACAGACACAGGGATGACATAAGACCCCCCATTTGTTCAGGTCAGGAGAGGTCACACAATCATGATGGAGGGAAATCACACAAAGGCAGGAAGTAAAACTTGAAAAGTTTAGATGGAGACAACACTTAAAAAAGAAAACCTGAAACACCAAGGGAACCGAGAAACAGGAAGCAACACAACCAAATATAAACAAAATACTTCCCTGTGTTTTAGTCCTCTAAAATGATGTCTCCTTAATCCTTGGTGCTCAACTAAACCAGAAGTACAGACCAGCATCGTAAGGTAGTGTCCCATGGCTAGTAGTGTTGTGGATTGGAAGAGAGGATTGAGTAGAGAAGAAGGAAATCAGAGAAACAACAGACAGTCAGTAATTTGCTAGAATAAAAGTGTTTGACCTGTGTATGGAAAACTAAATTTTGATTGTCACTCTTATAGAATCAATAAAACAGAGTATCTCTTCAAAGTATTATATCTTATTTGTTTTCTGATTTGAAATCACAAGGATGACAGTATTATTTTCTTTGCATCATCAGCCATTTCTCTAACATCTGACAACACTAATTAGTTTACGTTTACTGTCATGTCAGTTTTATACCATGCACAAGGCTGTCATTGAAACTACTTCATGACTCACTTTTGACCAACTTATCACAGACGGGAGGTATAACAAGACATAAAACCCGAGGCAGAACTACAAAATAAAATAGGAAACTCGTGATATTTTACCCTGTAGAAATGTCAGGTTGAATTTTTTAAAGTCTGGCTTTCCAGCTGGAGGCAAAGATGAGCTTTTCAGGATTAGGGCGCCAGTAGGTGAGATGTTGGTGAGACCCACATTTGCCAACTCTTTTGCTTCATATCTGTCTTCGTCTCTCAGTCTTATTGAAACTCTGGAGTTCAAATTGTTGTGTGAGCTGAAATGAATCACAGGCTGGAAACCTGTCCCAGCTTTGGAAATGTTTTTACATTAAGCTCTTTTGGTGTGTTTTATTCAAGACTAACAGAGCCAGGCTGTCCCCCCACATGCTTACTGCTGGTGCTGGTGGCTTCAAACCATCACTGGTGATACACTGGGAGGGAATTTTTCATTAAACTCCTAAAAGTAGGTGTACTTCCCTGCATATTAAAGTAGTTCTTGAAGCAACAGACTCCCACAGTCGTGTGACGGTATTGCTATGCAGCATTTAATTGTCAATTCTCTGTCTGTGTTAAAAAAAAAACATGGCACAGCTCTGTCCTCTCCCACGGCGGTGTTGCAGCTCTGTGGCTGCCTCTTTCAGCCCTCCAGAAAGCATCCAAAGAGAGATTTCCATGCTTGAGCTAATCTCAGAACCCAGAACCAAATCTTGCTCTGTTGAAAGCTACTGGTTGCCTGTCAGGAGAGATTCTGCTCTCTCTACCTTAACAAACCAAGCCAACCAAGCATGACCCCCTTTCCTTCACTGCAAGACCCATATATGCCAACTCTCCTGCCTCATGTCTGTCTTTGTCATTCGGTCTCCTTCAAAGTGTCTGGAGTCCAAATTGATAGGAGGGATGGGAGATGCAACATGAGCCATAAGCTCAAATCCTATTTCAGCATTTGTTTTTCCACAAAGCTCTCTTGGTTTCTTACAGGTGTAGAGTCGGCTAAACAAGTGCGGAGCTGCTGTCAAAGCTGTTTGATGTCCAGCTAAAACTGAAGGTCCTACGAGTCCACTTCCTGACTGGTTTCTACTACAGGGTGTTTGTTAGATCTGGTTTGTTTGGGAGCACTGTCGAGATGCTTTTTAAGTTCAATCATATAACCCAGGGACACTTCAGCTGCACACGCTCTGTGCGTTAGCTTGAGTGTCATATTAGGAGGAACTAGATATCTTTGCACAGAAGCTGGTCCACCTTTATTTATATTGTTAAGATAAGGTGAGCACAGGGCAGAGGTCTGAAAAGAAGTTGCCTGTCTGGGGCGAAAAAGCAGGATTTGTGGGCATTGAACCTACAAATTAAAATAACATCGAACAATAACTACCTTAAACCACTTTAAATGTGTATATGACACCTGCTCACATCATTCTAATATGTTTACCTATGAGTAACAACATTTCAACACTGCAGATTATTACTGTCATCTTGAGTTAGTTTAACAGCTAACTTCTATTACTGCCTGACAGAAAGCCTACCTGACGGCACAAAGCACAACTGCAGTAAAATAAGCTAGACTCGCTATGCAACAGTTCGTGTTGCCATGTATGGACAAAAAAGTGATGATCTTTGACTCGTGGTGCATCGAGGAGGATATTTTTTTTTAAACGGCAAAAGCCTCAGCAACAACCTGGAATTAAAATACATACAGTCAAACAGAGTGTTGCAGAGATGGTGCTTTGTTTTGGTATTTCTGGTTAAAAAGCTAGGTCTTCTTAGACATATAGATATATGTTGGGACTGAGGACACAGAGCCTGAAAATGGGATTGTCCTGATCAAATCAGGATGTACAGTCACCCTACGTGAGCAGGATCTAGGATTGCGAATCGTTGGACTTGCTCTCTCACAGTTCGAGCTTGTTTCCGGGCTCAGGAAACATGTTGCATGTAAATGGGACCAGAAATGAGGTTCATAAATGGTCCCACTGTGCTCATATGACTGAGAATATGGAGTTACGGATGCAGACATTCACTTTAAAGCCTCCAGATGAATTCATTCATATATCCAGTAAAAGGGGTGCAGGAGAGTGAGGACTGCATGCAGAGAAGTTATAGGACCACCATCATTTCTCAGTGCTGGAGCCTATTTCATATAAATGGACCTCCGGTAGGGAGTAACAGGCCCTGCAAAAATGCACGTTATGTGAATCAAAAACTCGAGACTTTCTTCATACTCACAATATTCACACACTGCTGATGCCCTTCGATACCACAGCATTTATTTCTCCATCCGTCTCATACGACTCGAGCACGGCTCACTTTTCCTCACCTCCCTCCATTCGCCCTATCATCAGTGTAAAATACCTCACCCCTGCAGACAGAGACAGATGGAGGGAGCAGCACCAGCCCCCTGCTCGGCTCCAATGATTTATGCCACGGTAGCACAGATCCCCCCCACACACACTTGCATTCACACATATAGCATGCATGTGATCATACATCAGCCGATGAGATCCATGCATAAATACGCAAGGACTCGCTTGTGACACAGAGCTGAATGCATGACGGCACCTGTCTTGTGTTAATGTTAAATGCCAGAGCTCGAGGGCTTTTTAAAAGGACATGTGCATCTTTGAAGCTGTAGCAACAGGGTCTGACATCATTTGTCCCTTTCCATGACAGGTAAAGAGGAACAGGCGCAGGGGGAAATTCTTCCTCCCTGTTCCAGCTGACTGAGGTGTCAGGCGTAAGAAACGCTGCATTATACTCAGCTGCAATACTACGCCACAAGACTGAATTATGGGATGCATACTATAGCACATGCCTACCATGCAAACGGAGAGTTTTTTAGAGGGGAGATGATGAGCGTACAAAACTGCTCCTGAAAAAGAGAGCAAAAAGAAGCAGTTGGAAGCCATGTGTATGTGGGTGTTAAGAGAGTGTGTGTGTTTGTTTCTTGGGCTCTGGTGCAACAAGGACATGCTTGCTGTACACGAGGCAACGGTTTGTGAGTAAGGTCATTGTACACACTATCCTCCTCTCGTCACCCTCCCCCCTCTAACCAAACCCACCAACACACATTTTAATATTCAGTCTGTAGTGTAAATGGGTTTGAGGCAGCGAATGTAGGATGTGTAGAAACAAACAGCTATTAAAGAAGAGAGGACAGCTGAGTGAGGGGTGGAGAGAGGGATGAAGGTAGAAAAGAATAGAAAACAAGGGAGGTAGGCCATGGTGGAGGGGAAATCGTTTATCCTGCAGCCCAGGTAAGGGTGACCTGTTTGTCTCTGTCGGCCTCTGTTACTCCCCTGACGTCTCTATAATAGGCCTGTGAGGCAGGTAGACACGACAGCACACAGCAGCGGCCCACGGTAACAGAGGCTCACAGGCGCTTAAGCTTCATTCCACCCCAGTAACTTTAGGGAATTCACAGAAATTTCACTTAATGAATTAAATAGCACCATCCGTTATTTACAATGACTTGTTTTTAACAAATGTGGCTTAAAGGGAAAAAAGACAGAAGAAAACAAGCTCCTCTGGACAGCTTTTGTAGATGCAGACGGCATTTCTGAGTCACTTTTGTTGTTCAGTGAAGCTTTTTATCCATACCACCGTCGTGGCATCGATGTCAGTGATGATAAGTTTGTTTGAATGGTTGGTTGGTGGATTATTTATGCCAAGAAAGAAATATCTATCACATGTATTGTTTAGAAACAGTATTAATTTTGGCAGCTGTTTTAGAGTGTGTCCTGGGGTAATTTTATCACATTTTGTTTTATTTTTACTGTCTATAGTTTTACATTTAAGTCATTGCTTTTAGTCAAAATGTTTGTACTTGCTGTGGTGGAAGCCCATCAGCTCTGCCCTTTTTACAAAAAACTCCAAGGAGAACAGGCACGCAAGCTAGGCTATAGTTTTCTGCAGATGAGCCCAAATCTACCACATGATTCAATGAAATTTAAGAGGCTCCTCTTGGTTTAAGTGTGCCCCCTACTGAGGAATATTTCAGCACTCTGCCATCAGAAAAGCTGTGAGGTTTCACTGTGTTTACAGCCACAATACATGTAAGTATTCTTTTGCCTGCAGCACTAAAATGTTAGTCTTGTGTTTTCTGGTTATTAAAACCTGTTGTCAGAGTTTTTATCAACAGTATTAGACTTTTAGCTTAACAATGTCCTTTTTTTGTCACAAAAAAATTTGTAATCAATAAAATATCTTGTAAAGGTTTATTTTTCTCAGAGGATTGGCAGAATTTGGCTTTAATCGTGACACGTGTGAAGTTTTACTTCTGATTTTGAGTAAAATGTCTAAATAATTATTGAAGAGACAATCATTAATGTTGCATCAGCCTCAGGAGGAGGAAGTTTGAAACCTGTTTCCTGGTGCCATTTCAAAATAAAAATTTGTAATCTTCCTTTATCAAACCTTTTTGTGTCAAACACTATTTGACATACAATCTCAAGTGTACTAACTGTATATTAGCAAATGTTAGCATGCAAACATGCCGACAGGAGAAGATGCAAATTAATATGTCTTGCTTAACATCACTCTGTTGTGACTGTGAGTATTTTAGCATGCAAACTAAAGCATTTACTGTAAAGCAAAGTGGTGCAAAGCCTAAGCTTTAAAGAATGTGTCTTGAATTTTTATGTAGTTCAACAGGAAAACCCTTTGCTGGTTGAATGTTGCCATGGCACCTCCGAAAGTAAGAATAAGAGCTAGCACGATGTGTGATTCTGCACCACTGTTCATCACACGGGGAAAATCCATTGTAGAGTAAAAGTGTCAACAGTACATGACGAACGAACCCCGACAACCCACCACGCACCACAGACGGATGACTTATAACACTGTAAGAGTATTCAACAGTGGATTTTACCCAGGGCAGTAACTATAGATCTGACGAGAACTTCAAATAAAACTAAGCCAAGCAGCCGGATCTCTTTGATTTGTGTCTCTGCTCACTTACTTCTCCTGTTTTTATTTCATTCACTGTCCTCTGCATGATGCCATAACGGCAGCTCCTTCATCCTCTTGCTACAGAATCACCTTAGTGAGGATCCGTTTCATTACTTTTATTTGGAAATAAAACAGTGCAGAGCAAAGTTAGAAATGAGCACAGATGAGGGGGAGAGACAGAGGGTGAAAAAAGAGAAGAGACGAGAGACAATCTTGGCCTGGAGCTATGGAAAGTTGTAATAGATGTTATGTGAGCAGCAGGAGAATAAAAAGCATGTGGGCGTTTATTATGAAATTAATACTTTTGGTAGCTTTTACCATATTGTCTTAGACCTCTCACTTTCCCACAGTGATGCGTTGGTTTTTCTCAAATCACATCCTTATATAATACACAGAATAACAATTACAAGAGTTTAAACGGTGACTTATGAAGCACGAAATACAGAAGCATGGAAGCAACAGTACTCTTGTTTTGGATACAGTAAACCATGACAGTAAATGAGCATTATTTTAGGGAATATGTGCTCTACTTTCATGCTAGTTTAATGAATAAGTTGTTTAGACTTCATAGATATATGCGGTACATTGCCCAGGAGAAACAAGAAAACGCACACCAGCACACCAAAATGCCTGTTCACTACAAAATTGTGTTCATTGTTCGGATTCATAAAGCAAATGACAAACATATTATTGAATGAGTAATGAACAGTCTCAGAGCAAAGAGTCTGGATAGCCTTTTAGAATACCAAGCCATAGAAGTCAGCAGAGAAATAGGTCGAAGTGAATAGAGACGACAGTGCGCCTCACAGCTTCCAAATAAAAGAACCAAACTCTTTGTTTACAAGCCCAGAAAATACAAAGACAAGGAGCTACAAAGTGTAAATTACAGAAGGAACTAAAGTGACAGGTGAGGCAGGAGGAATGAAAGGATCCTTCTGCTCCAGTGTGCAGGTCCACTGACATCTCACTGTCATCCTTGAACTGTCACTGAGCAACAATCATCTGTTGAGATGTATTTGTCTGTTTCCCTCCGTACAGTCAGCCATGAGCATGACCTGCAAGTCACACACTAGACTCTGCATAAAAAGTAAGATATTGCACATTTCTGTCTATTTCCAGTACAACAGGAACCTACCTGGCCAGGCATTTGATTTTCACGGGTGATCAAAGCCACCATTTAAAATCTTCTAAAATCCAACAACAGATTCACTTTAAATTAATCAATATGTATCACCGATAAAAAAAAGAAAAGATTTATTTTCAGTCCTCAAACATAATTTTCTCTTAAGAAGCAGACAAGAACCCATTACATTCACTGTACAACATACAGCCCTGTGATCCAGCGGCAAAGAATACGCAGGCTAAATGAAGACTGGCAGTCTACCTTTCTTTGACATTGGTTATCATTGGATCCTGACCGGTATTGCCAGTGTGTTCTGAATTTTAAAGAACTGATGTCACTTCATAGCAGTGCCTTCTACATAATTGTACATGTCTGTTAAGTCTCTCTTCATGTGTGCCAATGAGACTGTGTCAGGGGGGCATAACATCAATCCATGCATGCACCACCTTCACCATGTCTGTGCAGCCAGTCTTAAATGGGCTCTTAAGGAACTGCAGTATTCAGCACTTCTGCAATGGCTTTATTTTAAGACTGGTTGGTTGCCACAGTGTGACAGTTGCATCAGCACCATGGACAGCAACTGCAAGTTGAAGTGATGGTGGTAGTTGCACTTAGACTGATTTGGCTACTGCCAGTTTACAAAGTACTTGGGGCAGAGAGGTTAAGAGTTCCAAGATGTGTCGGCATTGTGTTGCATTGTGTTGGTGGGGTTTAGTCCTGCTACGGATAATTTGAAGTTCAAGTCTGCAAAGGTTAGGAGAGGAAATAGAAAACATGAGGTAAAGGCATCTCTTGGACACATAAAGATTATAGGGAACATGCAATGGGACATGGTAGCTTAGGGCTGAGTTCAAGGAGGCCATTGTTGAGGAAAGAGGGACTTAAAGAGAGAAGGAAGGTGGAAGTGGAGTAGGTATGCCGGGTAAATCATCAGGCCAAGAAGGGAGATGGCTTACATGAGTTAGATGAAGTGGAAAACTATTGACAAGAGGAAGCTTGGCTGAATTAACTTGTTTGAAGGCAAGTCATTAGATTACTGTTAGGGGCTAGATACAATATGCTTCCACCACCCCAGAACCTGAAACACTGGATGGGTCATTACCATTGTGTGCAAAGATAGAGAGAGATGCAAGGTTAGCCTGTTACAGGGTCACCATAGAGGGTCTATAGGGTATAATAAAGAGGGCATATGGGGTATAGAGTAGGGTACAGAATATAGGGTATATAGGGTCGGAATATTCAACACCTGGCATAACCAGGTGTTAAAATGCTTAGTGGTAGCAGTGCAAAGAAAATATGTTTTTAAACAAGCGAGTAAGGCCACTTCAGGGGTGGATTTATGATAAAAACTTGTTGCTCCCCGGGACATAGTCTGCACAAACTCAAGGTCCAACATAGTACCATGGTCAATCAGTCAAAGGAAAGTGAATTTCATTGACCTAACTCAGTGCAGGGGGCATATGAAAGGAAAAAGCTTAGATATGCAGAGTTGGCAGCAGAAGCCAAACAGTAAAGATGGAAACTTAGGGTTTGTTCAGTTGAGGTACGATATAAAGGGCTGGTAGCATAAACAACTCTCAAATTACTAGGAGAAATGGGAGCAGATAGACAGAGTTTGTAAGAGACCACAAACGAGATATCAGTGGATTTGGGTGAGGAGAAGTAATGTCAGCCGGGAGCCAAAACAAAGGTTGTGGAAAACTGGGAGGGGTGGGGGCTAACCTGGCAGCGGTGAACTCCAGCCCAGACAGACTTCTTGCTCTAGCTCTTTTCTGTGTTTTGGGTTGTGGGGGGGCCAATAGGGTGTTGTCATGACCTGGACTTGCATGGATGAGCACAGGTCTGTTGAATGTGGCCATGCTGTTTGGGTTGTGTTGTTACATAAAGAGGTTCTGCTTGTGAATATGATGGATGGAGGGAGCTGTTATGGAGGGAGATGGCTTTCGCATGCCAGAGCTACTGCTAAGCCTCCCTGAGGTGGTGTGGGCCTAATTTAGCGAAACACTGATGGAGGTAGGTGATCACTTGATAACCCCAGTGATGTACCGGCTCTCACCCCCCGTCTAACCCATCTATCTCATTTAGAAATATGTGCTGGGCTATACAACTTATCAACAGAGAATACTGGCATGATAGGATGGGTATCCTCACTTAGTACTAATGCTATTGCATATAAGATTTTCATCCATTTGAATTACTTGGATTTTATATAAATAGGCCAATAAACTTTATGTGCTGCATATTTGTCTGTCAAATATAAATGAAACAATTCAGAATTAGATTTATGTATTAATGAAACCAATGTGTTTTGAGCAAACAATGACAGATTTATGTATTCATCATTGATAAATCCAATTTGTCTCTGTCTCATAAATTTGAACTAAATGAATCTTGGTTGATCGAATCTTAGTTGATCGACAGCTTGTCATATTTTAACTATATTTATATGTTTTAACTGATTAAATTTAATTGTTTTCACAATTAACAGATTCATGCAGATTTTAAGATATTTGACTAAGTAAATTCTAAAAAATATTATAATTTAAATACAATCAAATAGATGTAAATACCTTAAAATAAACTATGCCATGATTTATTTTTCTGAGTGTATTAGGTACAAGTACAATCCTCTATGCATGTATTTCCCAGTAGATAAACAGTATGGTGTGGTGCCCCTATGCAGCCTCTGGAGTATCTTTTGTTTCACAGACGTATGGCACTCAGTGATTACAGCTAAAGTATCTCTTGTTTTAGAGTAATCTTGTTACCTACACATTAGCAGCAACACTGTCCCTCCAGCCTCCCAGCGTATCCAAGCATTTATTCATTGTTGTTCTATGGAGCTCATAATAAAATAGCTGTTGTTTGGGTGTGCATCCTGGAGGGGAAATGTACCGCCACTTTTGTAGATCAATAAAAACATTTGTATTTTAATGTATTCCACTCACTGTTCTTGTTCATCCTCCTCCATTCGCAAACATATGGGCAAGACTACCTGCATTAGCTGTAATTAATAGCACTCACATGGCAATTAAAATCAGGAGGCTTCACCGTGTAACTGATGAAAATATTTAAAGCATGAGGTGCCAGAGGCTTTAATTTTGCTGCAACTTTCTGCAGATATTCTTTTTGGTTCCTTTCACTTTTTATCCCCTTAAGTGAAGAATGAGGTCTGCCTTTGTGTTTGTGTCTGTATATATGTGAGTACAAGCTAAAGAACGGTTTTTACAATTATCCTTGACTTTACCAGCACGTAATTAATTGCTGCCCAGAATATCCCAGAATAGCAGCCCTGGGATCAGCTGCTAAGGAAATGAAAACACATCAGTGTGGATGCAAAGCCAGCTGACTCTGGCTGTGTTGCTGCTCGGCACTCTGAGACCCTGCACCGCCATCCATTTGCAATGACAATCATTACGGCGTGAAAGCACTGGTCTCCAACTCTATTCCACAGGGGGATGTGTGTGTTCACGGTCCCTCAGTAATCCATATTCACTTCTTTAATTGGTTCAATTAGTTTTCTCAGATACTGTATGAATTTTACACTCTGTCTGTCCCCAGATAAAGTCCAGTTAACGTATTAATAGGGAGAGGTTACAAATTGGGATCCCAGCGGTGAGGCTTAATTCACACAGGATTTGAAGTCATTTATGTGGTTGAGTGGGCTAAAATCTGTATTGCTGACATTATAATGAGGGGACACAAGCATGTTGGCCTCACCGTTTAGTCTAATGCAAGACTTACACTTGTGGGAATTCAATCACAGGCACAGACAGACAGACAGACAGACAGACAGACACACACACACACACACACACACACACACACACACACACACACACACACACACACACACACACACACACACACACCATATTGGAACCAGATAACCACACAATGGGTCATACGTATGCATTCAATATTCTATAATCAGGTTAATGGCACTGAGAGGACCTTTAATTTTCTCAAAACTGTTTCTATAAGGACACAAACACTTTTAATCCTAGTTATATCACAAACTGGACTATTATGCCATAGGCAGATATATTTTATGTAAGCAATTGCTTTTAAAAGCGCTGTAAATTCCCTGCATGACCCACATTATTTATTCAATGCTAATTTAAATAAAGCAGTTTCCCATGTCAGTGTGCTTTTTTGCAGCTGATGGCAAAGAAAGGTATGACACATTTACACTAAAACAACCAAATCTAGTTGTGACTTAACTCCATTTTGGTGTCACTAAAAATGAAAAATTGATCAACAGCTTCCTGATAGATTTAACGTGGAACTCGAAGCCCACTTCTTCAACAACAAGGATCATACAAAGATCAAATATATCTATGACATGGGACAACATTGCAAAACACACTGACCTTTGCACTTGTTCACCTCCACTTGATCAAAACGTGTGCTTCCAGGGTCATTCAAGGACACAACGCATCACATCTGGGACTCCATGTTGTACATTTGGGTTGAACCCTCTGCAGGTCAGATTGTGTGTGCAGGGACATCCTTAATACTGGTCAGCTCTTTCCTAAACAAAGATAACACCCGTCAAATGTATATATTATAATAGCTTATTCTTATAAAACAACTATGTTACACAATCAAGGTAAGGAGCTCTGTATGCTTTTTACAGCATATAAAAGACAATGAAATAACAGATGTGAGGTGTCAAACAAAAAATTATCTGGACAACAGAATTTCAGTCGTTAGTTTTCATTAATTGCCATTTCAATGATGATGTGAAACAATCAGTTTGATTGTTTTGATTTATTCCTATGACCTTTTCATGCCAAAGACCTTCAGTGTTACTGTTCATTAAACTTCATTTTACAAAGTAGATTTCTTCCAATAAATCAATTTCCTGTCTTTGTGGGGACTGAAGGTTTTCAGTAAAATGGTTTTGAGGTCCAACTCCAGAGAGTGACTCTACATTTGAGTTAAAATGGAGGTACTTTTCAACACTGTATTCTGAGCTGTGCTTTTGAGCTTCCTCAGTCAAAAGGCAGATTAAAAGACTAAAGAAAGCTGTGGTGAAGACTGCTGCCTCTTGATGAATAGATTCTAGATTCAGATCCTACATCAGATCCTTCACATATAGTCTGTGCTGTGATCTTGAACTTCCATGGTTAAATGGTGGGATCATAGACTGTATATAGAATGAACGCCGTCTGCCTCCTCGCTGGGTGAGGGGTCAGAACCGCACAGGAAAACAGTATCAAACAGTTAAAGATGGCCACAGGAGTTTCGAAAGAAGGTTGTTCTTTAAAGTACCAGAAACTGACTAGTAAATGTAGCCTCGATTTTTTTAAGCTACATTTAAGCAGCAGTCTTTACAATGTTGGTGGTCTTTGCAGTTATCATAGCTATGGTACTCTCCCTACAGTATTTCCTTGTTCATTAATGACACAATTATGTGTTGAGTTATTTCTCTTTTAATAAGGAATATTCACAATCCCCATACAGTACTCCTATTTTCAAGCATCCCTGCACTTGTATCACAGGTTCCCTCTCAGAGTTTACACTGAATGATGGCAGTCATTTAGTTTCAACACATTGAGAATTGACTTGTTTAACATGCTGATAGAGTAATGCGAAAACTTGTTTCATAACCTCTCAAGTAATCGGCATCAATACACTTTCACTGGCCAGATAATGAAAATTTATGTCACAGCAGCAGAAAGTCAGATTAAAACTTTTCTCATTATGTCAGGCTTTGTTTTCAACCTCAGTCAGAATAAGCTCTGCAGCTTTCTTTAAAAGAGGCATTTTTACACTTTAATGAAATGTTTATGAAGAGGATTAAAAGGTTATGACTTTACTGTGGCTCAGTGGAAAAGTTGGTCATCTCTCAGTCAAAAGGTCAGGGGGTTTGGTTCCAGGTCCCTCTGTCGGGTGGAGCGCACTTGGGCAAGACATTTAACAGCCTCTTCCATCAGTGAATGAATGTGGTGTGAATGGGTGAGTGTAATTCAAAAGTGCTTCGGGTGGTCATACGATTAGAGAAAGCGATGTAAAGACTGTGGTCCTTTTTTTGCCTGGGTATTTCATACACGTGTTTGTTGTTCCACGCTTTAGTGGAGAGAATATTGTCCTTTTGTAGCACCCAACAGTTTTTGTAACAGAATAAAGAGACTTTCAAAGTTTCAAATATTCTCAGTTTCTTTTTCTCAGAGCAAATAATTGTTATGTGTTTTCCAGTATGTGCAGCTGCATTATCTTTTGTAAAAAATGCGTAAGTTTGTCAGTCTCTATTATCTGTTGCTTTATTGCCAGTTAGTAGTACAGATAGACAGATTAGTTGGCTGGCTGATTAATCGGGCTGGTTATTGGCTTTTTTTTATACTAGGCATCATATCAGTATCAGCCCTCACAAGGCCAATATCACTATTATATTCTCTAAATTCATTACTAATCTATCTTGAATATGTTAATGGCTAAGAAAACTTTGAATGCTTGATCTTACATTTTTTAAAATAATGTAGTTTTATGAGTCCTGTTTTTTAATTTTAATCGCATTATTTATCTTAAATTTTAATGTTTTTTAAAATGTTTCAGGATGGCTGGACAGACATTCAGAACTCCTTCGTATCAATCACATATAGGAACTCTTTGGATATTTCAGATTTGAAGAAGCAGTCGCATGAGTTGAATAACTAAAGATAAATAGATAAGTAAAAAATGCAACTGTCCTTCAAAAACACTCTGAGGTATAGTGTGGTACTAGTGTAGGGTTAAAATGCCTTAATCTGTTTAAACTAAAACATCTTACAAACAGCTGGGACCCTGCTTAGAGATTCACCATCATGAGTGGAACGGGAGGATTGTTGTCCTTGAATGTGCAGACCCTAACCCTTATTGTTTTTGTAATTTTTTAATCAAAAGGGATAATATATCATGAAAGGGTTGAATTAAATACTCTTGTACACATTAAAATCAATTCAGGCAAACAAACTAAGAATGACAGTAAATTTCACTCTAGCTGGTAAAAGATTTTCTGAACTTTGATTGAAATACAGACATAGATTCTCTCAAATGTATTTGTTCAAACGTCTTTTACAAAGTAACAAAATAAAATATATGATCCACCAGAGCAGTTGGCCTTTACTGCATCATCTGGGCTCAAAAATAAGTCTGACTGTTAACTGTTAAGGATTGGTGTCTACCAGAGTATACAAAATATTTTACAATCCTCACCACACAGGAGTCCAATTGTTTGCTGAGCTGATGAAAATGTTTGGAAACACAGCGACCTGCATAATGTGCAGCAAACACTGAGTAATCAGGGCTCTAATTATGTCTGGGAAGCTCTGAGTTTAACACACAAATTTGTGCTCCTAAGCAGACTTAATTCACTGCATGTTGTTTCAAAATCAGTGCAGCTACACATGTTCGTTCATAACACACCAGCAGTGATATTTTTAGATGAGTTAGATCACAAACATAATAACGATCTCAGCGTGACTGCAGAAATTTCAATATCAGTCAGAGTTACAGGATATCTAGAATATTTTTATGGTTCCAGCTCCTCATGTGAACAAAAATATTATGTTGAGAAATATAAGTTAACAGCATACAGGATATTTTAGGTTTATTGTTTATGGCTGACCAGTTAAAGATGGAAAAACAGCACAAAAGGAGCTAAAATAAGAGAAATATTGGCCAAACTGAAGAACAGACACAAGCAACCACAAAAACACGAAACAGTATTGGCTTTAGCAGTGTCACAGGAGGGGCTGAGAGCAAAGTTAGGGAGAAGAGGACCATATATAGGTGCTGCTGTTATTTTCTGGATCTATTAACCCTTACATACTGTTTGGGTTAAATTTGACCCGTTTTGACTTTTAACAGCAGTAAAAATACCCTAAACGTCATTCTTACAGCCTGAAACTTGATGACTTTTCCTGAAGTTGCCCAAAATACATGAAATTAATTTTAAAATATTCATGTGTATTTTTGTTTATGTGCTACAAATTTTTCCCCTCTAAGGCTGTTACGGGTCAAATTTGACCCGTAGCCTATCTATTTAGATGGATTTTAGATCTAACAGTGTGGGACAAGTGACAAGCAGTAACAGCAGTGTTCAATATAAGGTTTGTTGTTCAAAAAGATGTACTCAAATCATTATGAAACTATCACCACCTTGACAGAAACACACACACACACACACACACACACACACACACACACGCACGCACGCACGCACGCACGCACGCACGCACACACACAGACATACAGTCACACAGACACACCTAGACAGAGGTCAAGATGACCTAACCAGTTACAAGAACTTTCTGTGAGAGAAAGCTGCTCTTTGAACTCTTTGAAGGGGCAGGGGGACTTAAAACATAGAAATAGTAAACAAACAACACATGAGTGATCAAAGATGGAGTACAAAGGGATCAGAAGTCATCCGGAGGTCAGAGTGTGCTTTGACACAGATGTAACATGTGCACCTGCTCCTGCAATATAATGTACAAAGTAACTAATTGGAATCTGTTTTGATTAGGAGGAAGGCGGTGGGAGTCGTAACATTGAGAGTAGAGAGAGCGTCCATTTCAGCGTCAAACACATGTGCAAGATCCACTCATGTGAAGTGTCCTACCTTTGCTTTGAATGCAGAGACTAGCAGTGAGGACAGTGACAAACAGTGAGAACAGTGTTCAATATGAAGTTTGTTGTTCAAAAAATATATTCAAACATTATGACTTTTATATTTTTATGTCTTACATAATATTAGATGATATCATGTTTACGACGTTGACGTTTATACTGATGACGTTTATACTGATTTTATACTTTTTTCTCCTTTTTCTCTATTCTATTTTAATTTTTGCTCAGCTGCTGTTTTTCAATGACCCCTAGGGGATGAATAAAGCTTAACTGAATTGAATTGAATTATCCTATGTAATAGATGTTCTTCTCCAAAATATATATTTAACCAAAAAACGAGTGGTGTTAAAACTGAAAAAATACACTTTCCCTGCTCTTTAAAACATTTAGGAAGGACTAATCAATAATTTTTTTGAAGTAGCATAGGTCATTTAAACGTTATGAACAGGTTTGGGGTTAGAACTTTGGTGAAAATACTTGCTACATGGGCAATTCTTGGTCCGGGTCAATTTTGACCCGGAACATACTGTGAGGGTACAGGATTTGAACAGTATGTGAGGGTTAAAATACCACTAGAAAAACCATGAGTGAAGGAACTTAAAGATGCACTCACCAGTTCTGCTGCTTGAACTGCAGGACAGGATCTTTCTGCAGTTTTCCCAGTCAGTGATGTACCCAGAAGCTTCTCAGGCTGCTCTCACATCTCTGCCCGCAAACTGTCATTATTTCCTCACCAGGGCGCCAGATGGGGACAGAGTGAGGACTGTTCTTAGGACCCACGACTGTCAGAGGCTCAAACATTTGTACATTTGTGGCACTGAAGTGGTGAGGCCTACAGTTTAAATAGTTTAAATATTTTCATTTGTTTTTATTTCTTTTTAATTATGGCTTTTGTTTGAGTTTTTCATCTCGTTGAATACTTGGCCCTATAACATCATCTTATTCAGCAATTTTCCTTGTTAGAGACAAAACTTGTTAAACGTGTTAAAATTAGCTATATGGTAGTGCTGCAACCAACTGTTATTTTTTTGTCGACTAATCTATCGACTAGTCGTCCGATTAATCACGATTAATCACTATCTTCTTTATTTATAAACACCTATTTCCGGGGTGTCGGCGTTTCAGGTGCTCATGCATCGCCGTGGTGCTGCCATGGTAGGAAAGCTGAGCTTTGATCAACGTGTTTTTTTGGTTTGTTCTCCGTAAAATGTTCCCAAACTTTTGAAGTTTTGGGTCGGAGTTTTGGAGCGTCTTTTTCAGTTTGTTCTGCCATAATGTGTGTACTCTTCTTCTGTGTTTGCTCGCGGGATGTAAACAGCGATCGCTACTGCCCCCCAGGACATCCTGTAGTGCACTGCAGTTATAGATGAGCATGAGGCGCCGGCATGTGATTCTTAACAACAGTAACACGACGCTTCGTTTTCGTGTCGATGAATTTGTCTTGTCGACGTAATCGATTACGTCGACTAATCGTTGCAGCACTACTATATGGCCTCTGTTACAACACAGATACTAAGTGCATTGTATCTGTAAGTGTTATCCTTTTCTTCATCTGAGGAACTCGCACTGGTAAAATGTATTTATTTGGATTTATTCGAATTTAAGGAAAATGTTCAAATAAAAAGTGCATTTCTGTGTGTAGGCTATGTGTGTGTAGGTTATGATTTTCAATAGATCTTAAATATGTTTCGTCTCAAGCGTCCAGTGCTAATTAGGTATCCTATATATGCACAGACAAACACACACATACACACACGCTCACAAACACACTATTTGAAACCTCATAAGCACTGTTGGCATGTGGAGTAAGCCATTAAATTAGTGATACGCTTAACTGTGTGACTTATTGGTCACTAGACTTTAACAGCTGATTTAAAGATATGGCAGAGTGAAGTGAAAGTCACTGACACACACACTCACTCACTCACTCACACACACACACCGTCAAACAAATGAGGCAGTTGCATTACTGTCTGTCTGGTGAATGGAGAGCATGTATTGATCTGGAGGAGAGGCTTGTACATCAGTGTGGTTAGGCAAAATGCCATTAAGGTGGAGGCAAGATGATGTGGAGAGACACACACAAACACACAGAGAGACACTTTCGCTCCCTGCTTTAGAAGAACAAACTGAATGAGGCTCAACTTCCTGCCTTTTAAGCCGTCTAACACTCGAAATTAGATTCCTAATAGTCTGTTATGTTTTTTTTATTTAATCTTGTCCTTTGCTATTTTATCCCCCCCCCTTTCTCTCTCCAGTGTTCTTTCTCTCCTTCTCTTGTGCGCCCATAGGTGGTTCGCTCAAGGTTTTACATGGCAGCATCTGCACAGCAGAGCACAGGGCAGGGGACAGCGCTGCAGCTCTGGAGAGTGTCCCGTCTATTTGTGGGGTCTGACGGGCGATCTGGGAATAGCCAGATGATTCAGCACTATAGGGTCAGGATCTATGATAATGCACCGTAGGGAACATTTCCATATAATGAACACAGTACATCTTCTTTAGAGGCCCTCTTGAGGAACAAAGATGAGGACATGCAGAAGAGAAGGTGGGAAAGAGGGAGATCGAGGGATATTTCGAGAATGAGAGAGAAAGAACAAAGGAAGAAATGCGAGTGGAAGGGAAAGGAGCAGTGATGGCAATAACTAGAGTGAAAATTTAATGGGAGAGACAAAGAAGTAAAAAGGAAGGAGGTAATGTTAATGCAGTGCAGCCAGCAGTTTGTACTCCCTCTGCAGTACTTGTGAGCACTCCTGGCTGTGTTGAGAGCTTGCTCTTTTATATCAACCTCCTGCTGCTACTGTAAGGAGGGGCATTGAGATAAAGAGTTTTGTGTGCATGTATTCGTACATTTATGTGTGTGTGGATGTACGTCTGCAAGCCGTATGTTGGGGAACTAATAAAGAGGTTCTCGCTGGCTCTTGATTTGTAGAGATAAAAGAAGCCATAATGAGCCCCACGATGTGAGCTTTTAGTGCTGCATTTGAAGCCAGCTGCCGTGTCTGTCAGTCAAAGGAACCTGCATGTCTCTCCATGAAAAGTCTGGACTTTTGCCCTCAAACCCTGAACAATAAAGCCTGACAGGGTTGACAGATGTGCACGCATGCCTGGCTCACAAACTTGCATCTGTTAAACATTCATTATTTCATTCATTCAAATGCCTTTGTGTTGCAGAGAAAAAAGAAACGCCGAGAATAATATGTGGACCAAGTGTCTGCCACTCTTCATGTGCTCTGCTGCTGCTGAAGCCAGTTCCACAAGGCACACAAGTGTAAAATTGGTGAGCAGATTACATGTGAGCGCTGTGATGTGCCAGCAGCTGGTTCATCTTTGCAGGTCAATACTGATCAAACATGGCTGATAATATGTGCACAGAGTCCATTTTTTCACTTATCCAGGGAGATATCGAGGCATCCACTCACTTGAATGAAATTGTATTTATTCGTATAAATCAATTACAAAACACTTTTCAGTGTGATTTGATCATACATTCTCAACTTGATTATTTTATACTTCATTAACACAAAAGGGTTTTTATAAATAAGCCAACAGGAAACTTCAAATTTCACTGTTGCTTTTGTTAATCCCTGATGAGAACCCATTCTCCACTAAATATCTATACAAATTTAAGATAATAGTCTTATAAATGCTCACATTATCGACTTATAATTGAAGTTCATCCCTTTCTTCACCCATATGCAGCTCTCAGCTAAGCGATCAAGGAACCAATACAATGCCTCACTGCCCATCTGTCAATAGAGCAGGCCTGACCTATTGGCTGAGGTGGAGATGGGAGCCAATCTATAGCATTGACAGTCTCCATCGTTCTCCTCTGCTTTCTCATTAGATCCACTCTATTAAACTCCTTATGCATCTGTCTGTAGGCTGCTGGCTGGGGGCTGAGAAACAATCGAGAGCCCTGCTGGTGGTCGGCGAGCTCCTCTGTGGCCGGGGAGTTGAGAGAGAAGAGAGCGCTGAAATGCTCCGAGTGTAGAGGCTTTTGAGGACACTGGAAGGATTTTTAAAGGGCAAATGTAGAAATTGTTTTGAGCAGGTACTTTGCGTGTGAGTATTTGTGTGACTTTAACATGCTGTACAAAAACTTCATGTGCGTAGAAGACATAAATAATTCTGCAGTACTTTTAGAGAATTTGGGCGAATTTAACTTAGATGATGGATTATAGGTCAATATTGCTTTAATACAAGTATGGTAAATGTGGAATTAGTGGGCCTATCTTAGCACAACTTAAAAAGAAATGTATTCATCTATTTATAAAGAGTGGAAACAGGTGAAAAAGCAAGCCTGGCTCTGTCAAATGCTTCTAAAATCCACCTGAAAGTATACCTAAAGATCAAATATTTATATAGCATATCTCAAAGCCTATTAACATCCAACCAGTTTCAACATAAAAGTAGAAAATCCCTCCAACAAAAAATATATTCTTGTCCAGAAATTAATTAAAGGCCCTTCAAAGTGAACTCCAGAATCTTAGCAGAAAGACTTTTTTCCTTTGCACAAAACTAACCGAGCTGTTTCTCTGTTTGCAGTCGTTATGAAAGTTTCAGCCAACTTGCCAACAGCTGTGGCCTTATAGAGGGTATGCACTGTTGTCTCTGTCCCTGTAGGAAATCTGCCCTTAGTTGAACTGAGTAGCAAAACATCCCTAGCTGTGGCAGGGGAAACAATGAAAGCCAAAGTGAAACAGGCAAATAACTGCTTACATTAAGGCCAAATGGGCTCAGCAGAGAAATCCTCCTTTAACAAAGGGACAGTAATCTGTGAACGTAGACATGTGGACATAAACAGCTACTCTGACATTTATATGGACCTGATTTATACGGTGGTAAAGTACATAAAGCAGTGCCTGCAGACAGCTTAGTGTTATTTCAAAAATTAATATTAGCTTCAACTGTTATTGCCGCCCATTTATTTGACAACTACATACAACTCATAACCCTTAATGACTTTACACATGATTACAGCGGTCTGTAATCAAGTCGTATACTTTAAAGGAAAGAAGAATACGCAGACATGCCAGTAATATTTGGTCATGAGGTCATGTTAAATTAATGATTTGATGTTAACTGTGATAAATACTGACAGACTTATATCTGAATTGAACAGGTAAAAACGAAAGATGGAGACTGGAGCTTATATTGTATCCATAATGATAAATAAAGTATGTGCTAATGTAACTGCGTGGCTTCATTCTGTCACTCGACTGGCTTGTCCTGACGGTATTAAATGTTTCTATATAATTACAATTAGGGGTGTTCCAATCTGATATTGATATAGTATATCAGTCCGATATCAGCAAAAAAAAACAAATATCAGATTATGTCGGCCTGCATCTAAAATCTCTGATATCAGCTCTCTGATAAAACAAGCAGACCATTCCAGACCTCTATCTAACAGCGCCCAGATCCAGCATGCAGAGCCCATGTAATCACAACAACAGTGTGTACTGAGGTACAAACAAAGACGCAAGGGGTGGGTGTGATGTTGGCCATGAGGCAATATTTTTCGCTTAAGTCCGAAAAAGATGTTGCACCTGAGTGCAAAACTTATCATGCACAATTTAGTGCCAATATTGCATCAATATCAGTATCGTATCAGTATTAAAAAAGTTGTTTCAGAACACCCCTAATTACAAGTGTAGCCTACAATGCCTCGATGAACATCATCATGTCAGCGCTTTTAAAACTCCATAACATTACCAGGTCTTGACCGGGTTCACTTTAATAAGTATGTTAGTATGATGATTTAACAAGGTTTAAGGAGAGCCAGTCTTGAGACACAGATAGCTCTGACTTACAAACTATCTTTACCTTCAATCTTGCTTTGTAGGAAACCCTTCAGCCTTTGAACAAAGTCTTTTTGTGTATTAGCAGCATTCGGACTTGAAGCTAACACTGCTCCTCACTGCTAACAGTGCTTACAGTGAATTAGGTCACTTTGTGAATTGCCGTAACTCCACCTACTGCGACGTCATGTACATGCCCTCTATATTTAAGGGATACGCCGGCATAAGTTTAAGTCATGGTCAAACACACCGTAACACCAAGTTAACCCACGCACTCTCCTCTAGCAGCAGCTTGTTTGTGGGGGAGGCCTGACGAGCCGATCACAGAGTGCAGCGGATATCTGCAGCACAAAGAAGAAAATGTATGATTATTTCTTTATGGAAATGCAATCAGACCGAGACGCTAAGGCAGAAGACCTATCACATCTGCAGTGCAAAATGAATAATATGATGATTATTACTTCATGGAAATTATTGCATTTCCATGAAGTAATATTTATAAATTTTGTTTCTTGAACTGCAGAACTCCGCTGCACTCGGTGATCGACTCGTCAGGGCTCCCCCACAAACTGATGTTCGATGGCTAGTTCTACGTGCTAGGACTGTTGATGGAGTGAGGTGCTGTTCTGAGCATTATTTGTGGCTACAGGTGGCTTATTGGTTGCGGTTTGCACATGTAGACATAGACCGCTGTGTATTGCTATCGTGCAGTCTTTGCTGAAGTTGGTATAACTAGAGAAGCAAAATTCCTCTCTTGAGGGGGCGTCTAACTTGGTGTTATGGTGTGTTTGACCGTGACTTAAACTTGCACCAGGATACCCCTTTAAACAGATATAAAATTAAAGTGTAATTAAGTTTTCTTCTTTCTCACCCTAAAGGGGTGTTTTCCTCCATATTGGGTGGTTTTAATATCCCTGTTTGTGTGTTTTGTTGATGTTAGAGAGAAACATCCTGTGACTCTGGTGAATTTGGACGTTGATTTGTGTGTACAGTAAACATGTCTATGTGTGGTTGAGGTTGTTTGAGGTCCTATTCAGGGGTGGAGTTGAGGCGGATAGGACTTTGTGGCCCAGAGGAGGTAGAGGGGTCAGACATGTTCGCTGTCGTCACTCCCATCTTCTTCAGGGATCGTTCATCTGTCACTGAGATGGAGCGAGAGAACACAGGACGAGGGGCAGCAGACTGGCCTAAAAAAGATGGATAGAAAGAGAGACAACACTAATGCATTTCATGTACCGTACTAGAAAGTTATGAGACTAAGAAATGAAAAAAGAAAGAGTAAAGGACGGACTACGACATGAAAGAGCCAACGAGTAAAAGATAAAAGAGGAAGAAAAAAGCCAAAGAGGCACTAAGCCGGAGAGGAACAGAGGGACTCTGTGTTTGAGTTTTCAATTAATAAGAGTATGCTTAAGATCTGTGTCGTACACTTAGATGCACATTATCTAAATCCCTTATTGGTATTCACCTCACACACACCCCACTTTTTATTAGACTCTCTGGAGTAAATGACATCCATTTACTTTTATTACAGCAGATGAATGAAATGAATGAAAACTGCGAGTAGGGCTGTGCAGAGATTAGGGCACTAGCAGCTTTTGGCCTGTAGGGGGTCATGGCAGTGCAGCGAGCTGCAGCAGGTTGAGCAATGACTGCAGATTTGTTGCAGCTTGATATCTCTCATCATCACACATGGAGGGAGGGAGGAAGAGAGAGAGAGCGAGAGAGAGAGAGTGAGCAGGCAGCTTGGCGCTACAAGCCATACTCACAATTCTACCTTTGATATCTCTCCCACCCAGCCGAGGTTCACCAGACCAGCCAGTAGGGGGCAGGGTGACCACGTACACACACACACACACATGCATACACATATACAACACACACACACAACACATATGCCCAGACACAGACCCCCACCAGGGTTGACATTTGCAGCTAAGTGCTGCAATGAATGGTTATTTATGTTGAGAGGGATGGTGATGGGGAGAGTTCAGCAGGTGGCTGCATTACACTGTTTATCAGAGCGACGCAGTGGCATTATCACCTCATGAGCAAGCCTTCAACCCTTTCCTACAACCCCCCACCCCCACATTCTACCCACCCCCCCATACTCCACCACTACCACATCTGTCTCTTTCTCGTCCTTTTTTTTTTGGGCTCACACCCTCTGCCTCTCTCTCCTTGCAGCTTCTTGTGTATTGAAATGCCTCCTAACTACTCTCCCCTTTCATCCCCCCCTCACAGATGTATGCCAGCCATCTGGGTACTTGGGGGGCACAGTTATGGTGCTAGTGGTGCAACTCTGATCAAGCCTGTTAGCATCAGCAGGGAACCCGCTCATAGTTTTCTGCACACTGTGGACAGAAGTGACACAGTGACACAGAGAGCTGAACAAACACAAAAAACAAAATACCTGCTCAGACTGATTCTTGATTATTGTACAATGAGCTGAAAGATGTAAAACAGCTTTTTTTTTAGCCTCTCTGTTCCTCTTCTGAGCATCTCTACTCCTCATTATGCTAAAATTAGAAACAAGACTAACAGCAAAAATATACATTTCAAAACCAACAATCCTTTTCATCCTCACTCTCCCTGTTTTCTCCTCTCTATACCTTCAAATCTCTCGCTTCAAGCTGTATCCGCTCCTCTACCCACCCTCACACACTCTCTCCTGCCCCCACCCCCCCCCCACCCCACCCCTTGGTATTTCAGTACAGTGCAGGTCAGGAGCTGCAAACTCACCTGTGTTGTTCTGGCTGGATTTGACTTTGCTGTTGGTCTTCTCTTGCATCGCTCGCTCGTACTCTCTCACCTCCTCCAAGCTCAAGCCTGTGGGGAGAGGAAGGTACACACACACACACACACACACACACACACACACACACACACACACACACACACACACACACACACACACACACACACACACACACACACACACACACACGCACACACACCCAGCATCAGAAAAAAAAAAGGATGAAATATGAATTCACTTTCACTGAGCGTACACTGAGGCTACAGTCTTATTAAGAGTTCAACTCAGTACAACAGTGTTGCTCTGAAGATTTCTGCAATATGTACAAACTTGCAGTGTGACTCTTGAACCCACCGTGCCATTCATCTATCCACGCTACGGCTTGTCTGTGGCCAACCAGAAGGATGTCTTGAATGTTCTGAAATTGAACCAAAAACAAACATATTGCAGAAAAAAAGGAACAAAAGGCTTCATGTTGCATTTGAAAGTACGTGTATAATAGATTCAGCATTATGTAACAGTATGTTGTCAAATTAATGGTGAAACCTTGGTCAAAATACTTTCTCTTATCTCAGTAGTGTTAAGTGAAACCCTCCTGCTAACAGTAACAATGTTAGAAAAAAGGCGTTGCCCGTTCTGCCCGGGGCGTTCTTGCATTTCTTGATAACACGTTACATTTACTGTAAACATGCCATCAAACCGTCTTTTCACATGTTTATCTTGTTCCATCTCCGTCTCCTGAAACCTGTTTTTGTGTGCTAGAAGAAAGGGTGTGTTACTGTATTGTAGCATAAAACAATGCAGTGACTCCCCTATTAATTCTAACCTAATGGTGGATCCCATAAAACCAAGTGCAGAGGTCATCTGAGGCGAACAGCCTCCTTGGCAGTAATCTTGGTAATTATACTTCTGTCTGGGAATTAATGCGCTAATGATTTATGAGCGTCAAAATTCGACTCACAGTACACTCAGTTTACCAATCATGATTGATTTAGACCATCGTTTTACTGTCAACATTACCTACAAAATTAAAGGGGAACTCACAGAAATCGCTGTTTCAAAAAGGAGGTGCACTTTATCAAATTCAATTAGCGGTAAATTCAATTTTGTACACCTTGCAGTTCTTCTCTTAGGGTTCCTGACATTAATAACAGATAATATCTTTATCCAGCCTCCCCCATATTAGGGAGAAGGCATGATGGGAAAAAAAGCTCTATCTCACTCTGTGAATGAATTCCTCCGTCCTGGTCTGGAAGCCGTACACCTCAAAGCTGCACTGCACCCTCTTATAGGAGCACATAATGGGCTTGTGGTCGTCCTTCCAGCCCCTCTCCAGAGGCCCCCGACCAGTTTTACTCGACTGCCAGCGACTCAGGTCCTGCACAGAGTGAAAATCAGGTCTATATGTTTTTTGCTGAATCTGCAGAAATTTTTGGCCCTATGAGGCTTCTTCTGGGAGAAGCTATAGATGTTTACTGTATCTCCGTGTGTGTGTGTGTGTGTGTGTGTGTGTGTGTGTGTGTGTGTGAGCAAATGTGCCAATATCTGTGTTGAGGTGCAAGCAGATTGTTGCTCAACACAGCCCATAAGAGAAAAGTGTGATAACATGCATTATTCATCTGTGACCAAAGGATGATTGGAAAGTGTTTGTGATTTTATGTTCACACTGTGGCGCTAACGCTAACAGATCGGTGTGTTTGCCATTTTTTGCTGTTGTTTGTGTGTGCACGAGTGTGTATTTGCCTCTATTTTGATGTGCACTTGTCTGCGTTTTTCTCTGTCTGGCCTATGAATCGACCTTTTTCTCTGAGGGCTTCAAGGGAGTAAGGGAATGAACACAGGCAGATTTTAAAAGGGAGGCATGTGGGTGTTTTACTGATTCATGCGCTGTTCAGCAGCAAAACACAAAGCAGGAGTGTGGGTTTTCTGCACCTGTATGTCATCATTTGTGCATTCATATGTGTTCAGTGTGAACAACTGTGTTTATATCTGGCATTTTAAAAGTAGCTCTTTGTTTTCTTATGATGAGATGATTTGTTAAACACTACAGCTGTTTGAAATGAAGCTATGGCCTGAAGGTTAAGAATAAACCAAGAAAAAAGGCTTAAAAACAGACAGCCTGACTCACTCCCAAGTTTGGAAAATTAAATCCAACATTTAAGAAACTAGCACACCATAACCTTTTTTCAAACACCTGTTTCCAAAACACTTGATAAAATAAGTGCAGATTTTAGGTGGTACAGGCTCTGCTTGTCTACAGATGGTGACCTCCTTTAAAAAACAGAGACAGTATAAACATGGTTGTTGTACGAGTGATATCATCCAGTGGTTTCTGAAGAGATGTTATGAAACCCAATGAGAGCGGTCGCCATATTGGAGATGTTTACTCCGCCTACCTCGCACACAACTGAGAACTAGACAAAGACGAAGAGCTGCTGCAGGCTTTTGGCTTACTCGTGAGCAATTACAATACACCCACCGGTCAACTCAGCCCATAATTATGAAAATATACTGTAAGCAGGGCCTTTAGCCATCCGAAAGACACACTGGGTACAAGCAAAGAAATTACGATCAGTAAACTTAGGTCAAGCTAATAGCTTAATTGGGTGATTCAAGTGGACTGCTGTTGACCCAGTGTACTTCATGTACCAAACAATCGACAAGCATGTTGGTAAGAGACTGACAGGGTGTTTGTTAAACAATGAAAACACTATTCAACTAAGCGTGAACTCTGGAGCATGTGCAGAAAACTTAGGCCAGTTTCAGTGCGATTGAAACTTGATATGTGGGAAGGAGACAATCGATCTCCGACTGCTTTATCCAGGTGTGTTAGTCCGAGTTTGAGAAGTTTGATTTAGTGTGATTTCGGTTAAGTGTTAACATGTATTTTAAGAGCATGTGATTGTACTGAGTGTATGCAAATAAAGAAATAAGACAACCACACAAACAGCTGTTTTTCTTGAACCCGGCTGTAAATATATTGGATTGTGATGTTACATCGAGCATGTAAACATGAGTGTTAATGGGTATTCCTTGGCTTTTACAGCCAGTCTCAAGTGGACATGCAAGGAACTGCAGGTACTTTTTTGCACTTCTGTGTTTTTAGCTTGGTAGAAGCACAACTCTTGAGCTGTTATCCAAGAGATTTAGAGGAACTGGCTAGTGAAGTTTAAATTTCTGAACCTGGTTCTGGTTTTTATGCTAAGCGAGGCCACCCATCTTTAAATATGAGCTTAATACTCAAAAGCAGACAAGTTTTATCATCACTGAACTCTTAACTGTAACTTCAGAACTGTAAAAGTATTCCTTAAATCTTTTCACATACATCGTCAGAGCCTTGAGCTCAAAAATCATTTGTTTTTGTTTGTTCTGATAGCACATGCACACGTTTGTTTACTTATTACAGTATAGTATGTACCTCTGACTCTCTGTAATGCTTCTCCGGGATGGGGTCACTCAGGATGTCCAGGAAACTCACATTTTTTTCAGGGGTTGGAGTGTCCCCGAACACCTGAATCCAAACAGATGGGGGAGGTCATACAGTATAATGAGCCCAGACACACAAACACGCTGAAAAATAGTCTCACGAACACACAGTCACTCACTCAGTGGAGAGAGTAGATGAGTAACTATGTAGAAAACTGAGGTCACACACCATAACACCCCTCACTATATCCCACCCTGAGGCCCTTGGAGCAAATCACACCAGAGCAAAGAGAGTAGAGTACAGACAGAGAGAGGAGAGAAGGGAGAGATGAGGAGGGAAAAAGCAAGGACGCACGGGGGATATTAAAGAGAAAAGAAGAGTTATGAGAGCAGAATACACTTTTCCTTGAGAGAGAATGGAGGGAAGTCTGAGAGAGTGCACTTTTATTTGACCTTGTTTAAAATATGCTCTAAAGCCACGCTGAAGTTGTTCATTTCACAGTTGAAGACTAACAAATAAGAAAAACGCTCCATTAGATAACAACACACCACACTCCCATGGTCTGATTTCTGGTCTGTGTCTACCCAAGGTCCAGCTTCCTCTTATGGACCGTGTTGCACCATATGTATGCAATGTGTTGCTTTTCACTTTGTGTTCAGGGCATGACGCTCTCGTGTTTTCCTCATTTTTGTCTCTCATTGTGACCTCTGTCGCAATTCAAACTGAGAAGACAAAGACAGTGTCCACAGTAGTGCAGATGGATTCATACTACGTTTGTTAAAGGAAATATATTACACTGTACAGACTTCATTAAAAGTAATACAAATCCATTGGAAGTGTCTTTTAAAAAATAGCTGGTGGTGAAATAAAAGCTGTCTGAAATTTAACAAATCCAGGCCAGTTTTAAATACAGCCTGGGGACAAACAAGGGTGGTTAAACTCTTGGTGGCTTTTCTATTACATGCAGTAAATTCAAGAATATCATTACGTTGCTTTTAGTATTAATTGTACGGGATTACCCACTTGGTCTTATTACTGTTGGGTCACTGCAGGTGTCTATGTGTTAATGTGTCAGAAAAACTGTATTTCGAGAGATTGCACACAAATCCCAGACAGCAGCAGCTAAAAATCTGAGTACTGAATGGGAAGAGTGATGACTGAATTTTGCCCCACCATTACGTCCTTGTACATAACACATTGCAAACATGGGTGATGAAGGCGTAAATATGGTCATTAATTTAGAGCCCCATAGTTTTAAAGCAAGATGTTTTATAGGTTTATATTACTCCAATTGAAGAATAAATAATGACTGTTGCTATAAAAAACTGGGGTAAAAATACTATATTTTCAGATCTGAGTTTAAGTATTCTCTACCTCTGGGCCCACAGGTGTTTATGATGAGTTACTACATCATGTATGAACGTGTGTTTGTTTGGAGTAAACTTATGTAACACGTAACCGTCCGACATGAAACAAGACTCACCAGATTTTTCTCCAACAGCCGATTTCCGTATTGTGACATGTTGATTCTTGTTGCCTCACTCTCTCTTAATAACACACATACGAAGGGGCCAAACACAGTTTCAAGCCCGTGTGAATCTCCTCATATGTGCATATGTGTGTCGCTTGCCTTGGATAAAATGCAAAACGGCAGCTGTGCTGAAGGCTGCAGCATGTGTGCTTAATAGAACTGCCAAAAATGCATTACTTGCTTTCCCTATTTTCCTTGTAATGGGAACATCAATTGGATGTGCATTTTTTGTGCTGCAGAGAAAATTGCAATTTTTCTCTTCCCCCTCTTGTCTAATCACTCCATCTCTTGCACTTCACACTCTCAACTCGCCTTACTCACATTGCTGTTACTGCCGTTGTTGTTCTCAAATCTTGTCTCAATACGGATGCTGAATTTGGGGAGGAATGATACCTGCAGGGGTACAAGGAGAAAAACGGGTTGAGGGTACAGATAGAGAGAGGAAGCAAGCTGCAAATTAGATCCACTGATTCTGATAAGAGATGAGCTCTGTTGCATTCATGTACAGGAAATAATGTGTGAGAATACTTACTGAGTACTCTGCAGCACCAAGGGTGTTCAATGTGGATAGGAAAAAAATATAACATTAGTTCCTCATACATGCATGAGCACGCAATTACTCTGGCACACACACATACGCCACAAGGGAGTGCATGCAAACATAATAATAAATATTTGATGCCACTTGGAGAAGCAGCTGGTAAAAGTAAATAAGTTTTGTATAATGCATTGAGGTGAAAGTAACCTGATGTTTAACACAAACACAAGCACTCGAATGCACACCTGTGATGGTGTAAGGGTAGAAGTTCCAGGCCTTTTCTGTCACGTAAAAGAAACGTGGGACAAAGGCTTTCGCCCAGGACGGCAGTTTACTGAAAAGCAATAAAACAAGAAGAAAGAAGAACTGCAGTCAGAGAGAGAAGAAGAAGAAGAATAGGAGGGGAGGGAGGGGGTTATGGAGGGAGACGTCGAGATCCTAAGTGGTTTTTGTGCCATTTATAGCCAGATTACCTGTAGGCTACTCTCACCACTGCGTTCATTTGTATGACTCATTCCCAATTACACCTGTGGTGATAGATTGTTACTGTAGCTTCTAGGTCACATGTCAGAGCATGATTGAAGGAGAATACATTCAGCTCTCCCTGTACTTATGTATGTGTGGTAAGTGTATGTGTGTGTGTGTGTGTTGCAGCATATCTTTACTAATGAGGACCAAATGTCCCACAAGCACAGAAAGATTAGGAAAATCCTCCACAGTGCGAACATTTCTTAACTTCTCTAAGAGTTTATTTTAGGATTAGGCCTTGGGTTTATAGTGGTGATTAGAATACGAGTTGAGGTTACATTAGGGTAATGATTGAGGTTAGCTTAGGGTTAAGAAATAAATTTAGAGCAAACGAGAATTTCCTTTTTTTTTGTTCTTTGACCGGGTTTTTGCTAAAACCACAATTCATTGATGAATAGATCGTCACCCTTTGCACAAAGAAACACACATTTTTACACAGTAGCACAAGAACTGCAGCCTCACATTTCTTTGCATTGCTGCAGTTAAACAATGATTTCAACTTTTCAGTAATCACACTTCTTTCACCCTTCTCTGATTTTTTAATGACAAAAGTTCTCTTGGTGTTTTAAAATCATTTTTAATTAAACATTTTACTGTGAAAAATAAATAAATTGGAAAACAGCCTCTTTTTATAGCCTCTATATCTTAGCGTTATAGCAGATAATCTCTAAAAACCTAGATCACAGTTCATCAGAACCTAAAATAAAGTTAAACATTAATATAAACAGGTACTATGAGGAGTTTTGAGTTGGTTAAGAAACTGACACTAAAAAAATGATACTAATAACTCTTTTTGGCCTTCAAATGCAAAATAGGCTATCAACAACCAGGCTGATCATTTCTCATGTTGTTGAAGCTTGAAACCACTGAGGGGTTAGGTGTCAGATGAGATGATTGAAGGTAGGCTTAAAAAACTTTTTTCCAGTGAGCAGTATAAGGATCCAAAACGACTGCTTTATGTAAACAGGACAAGTTAAACGAAGTATCACTTTGACCACAAGGGGCACCAAAACCAACTTAAGCCAAAAGTTCCTCATAGCAGCTTTAGAAATGTAGCAGTACAACACTCATAAAACTATTTATTGTTGTACCACAGGTGAAAAAATGTATATAATAAATGTATGTAAATTCTTATATCTACATACAAGCATATAATGAAGTTTCATAAATCAAACCCACCCTAATGTTTATATGCAACATGCGATACATGATGTCAAAGTGTAACTTGAACTGAACTCGAATACAAAAATAAGATTTTTTTGTGGAATCACTTTGTTGTCGAGTAACATCAGAGCGGTGTCACCAACAAGAGGAACATCTGAGCCTTCAATGTTCCCACCTATCCTTTACTCGCAGTGACGATGACATGTTTGTCTGAGCTGTAAGTCAACCATAACACTTGCAGGATTTACTAGAGGATGAGCTCATGGGAAGATAACAGGTCTTCTGTACAAGCTTCAACATGTTTGAGACCGTGTACCTGGACTTTGGATGCAGGCGGGCTACTTTGCACTGTGTCACTGAGCTGGAATTACTTTTTATAGCTTGTCAGTCAGATCTGCCTGTAGTATCTATAGGAGGCAAAGCTGTGCAGTGACGTCAGCGGTCAAAGATCAAGCCCCATCAGTTATCATAATAATAGAGCTGACGACGTGAGGATGTGGCTCAGGGTGCAAACAGCTCAAATTATTCCTTTAAGTACACCCTAAGTATGACTCCATTACCTGCTGAGGTAGATTCTCTTCTCGGTCAGCTGTCCTGGGCCATACTGGGGATGAGTGTCTTTCTCATTCCTCACCACCTCCACCCCTTCTCCTCCACCGCTCTGTTCACAGCTGTGCTTGCTGATCATATACAGCTGTCCGATCCTGTACTGGAGCCCGAGGAGAGGTTTAGGATCAGGGTAAGTGGTGAGAATGAGGATTGGACAAAGAAAGAGAGAGAGAGAAAAAAATCTATGTGAGGAGACACAGAGCACAAAGCAAACTAACATACCTTATTCTCAACGTGCATTTAAAAGTGACACAATTTAAATGTGTTTATTTCATGAGTAAAGAATTGGTTAATGTAAGTCATTCATACAGCTGAATTTAAATTCCACTGTTGACTCCAAATTAAATATATTGCCACAACGCAGACAGTGAGCAGATGGGACAGAAAAGTTTAGTCCCTCAAACTTGGAGTCAGAGTCAACACATTTGGGCACAAACATTGTGGAACCGAGTGGTAAGACATTATAAGTAACCTTGCTGTTATTTTGGGGGTAAGAAGTGAGAGCTGGTGATCAAGTAACCAACACTGATGTGGCTCTTCTGGTCACATGGCTTAGACATAATTACAGACAAGATACATCTTTTGTGTGTTTTACAGAGGCATGTAAATAAGTGAAAGTTTCTTCCACATTTCACATGCCAGACACAGAGGGAATGCTTCGTGAAGAATGAAAAGTCAATGGATCACTCTCTAATCTGCTGAAATGATGGAAAGCCTTCAGATTTTTCCATCAATAAAAGAAAAAGTCAAAGACAAAACATATTTGGGTAACATGATCTGTGGGTCATACATGGTTTGAAAGCAGTTGTTTTGAAGCCATCACTTTCTGACTACCTAAGGGAATGAAGTGAGCATATTTGGATGAAAAGGTGGGAACAATTGTTACACTTTGGTAGCTATTTTGCAATCACGGTGGCATCGACCTTAACATATCCTGCTCTTTTGTCTATTTTACTCTGACTTAGAATACTTGAAACTTGAGGGAAAGGCTGTAAACTTGTCAAGACTTCCTGTTGTACAAAGTCAAGTCAGCTGATTTCCTATTCACTCCCATGCCAGTGGATGTTTTTTCAACCAGCTGAGTTGCTCCTGCAGGTTTGAAGGTTTACTATGTGGGTGGTGCATTTATTTAAGCTAATGGAAGCTAATACTAACTAAAGCTTTAAACTGCAGTTGGTGAATGACTGTCTCTGAGTTCTTCTTTTACAAATTTAAGCATAAACCAGCCCATGAGCCAGTGGTTGTTGTCACCACAACAGCAAATATTCAGTAAAGGCGCCTTATCTGGATAAAACTTTTGGTGCTTATATTTAAGCCCACAAAGGATGCTGGGTACCTCCTTAGCTGCTCTTTAAGAGCTTTCTTTCTTTTTTTCTGTTAAGTAGTTAAGTAGTTTTCTTGTTATGAGTAGATGTCTGAAGACACAGTTCAGTGTATGCTGTGCATTCTTTAAAGCTTGTTGATGCAAATTTGTGATATAAGAGTGCATAAGTGAGGGGACTCACTTAACTCAAAATTTAAGAAGAGTTTTAAATTAAGAGACATCCCAAAAGATTTGGCTAAAAGGGAAGAAGGGATTTGTGGGACTTCAATAACGAAAAATCCAGTCTGGTCTTATCAATAAGCTGCACACTCCATTGAGGGAACGATTACAACCACCCACCGCAGTCGCTGAGCAGAAGTATCTGGTGAGAGTGAGGACAGAGAAATCGGCAGGCTGCATGTTCAGCATTAGTTAGTCCAAACTTCCTGTATTTGCTCAGAATAGCTGTTCGCTGTGTACAAAGATTAACCTCAAGTAACCATATCAGACGTCAGATTCTAATTTAGCCAGTGTGTGGGAATGCATGGTGTCTAAATTAGGGGGGATTTGTTTTTCTGCGGCAGCCCCACTCTGTGGTCTATGCTGATGAGGCGGGATAAAAAATTTCTAAAGAGGACGAGGCCTTTGGGCATGTGGATGAGCTCAGCCTGACAGAATCCCTTTTTTTCTTTCAAACAATGCACAAATCAGATGCTGTACACAATAAGACTGCAATATTTGCCCTGACTGCTATTCTTTGAATTTTCCTCCATAACACCATGTCCATGTACACTTGTTTTTGTTGCCTCTAATTGCAAACTGCTCGGTGAACTTAGCTTTTCACGTTATTAAGAAAAGTAATAAAATGGCATTGCAAAGAACTGAACCGCTCTGCTGTGGCCACCACAATGTAATCCATTCTGTTGGCCTACATTGTTTTAATTAAAAGCAGAAACAGAGAAAGATGGGGAGGAAGAGAGAAAGAGGAGGGCAGATTTTAATTTGCTATCGTTCACTGTACTCTGCTGACATCAATGTGACACTCCTCCTTCTTGTTCCCATTACTGTAGAATGTCAACATTCAATATTTACTTATTGGGTATTCATAGGGCTTAATTAATCAAAGCGATGGGTGCTTAACAGACTACAAACACTGAGTCACTCACTCACTCACGCACACATACACACACACACACACTCAGAGGTTGTGAATCCTCCTCACTTTCAAACAATCAATCTAACCAGGAAGAAGAAGAGACGTATCGCTCCTTTAAATCACCATTCTGTAGGCCCGCTGGTGAATGGCTGTGGTGAGTGATGTGTTTTAGGCTCGTTTTAGACATGTTTGACATGCATTTCCTCCTCCTGTTTTTAAATAGAAGGCAAGAATGAGTTTACAAGCAGTGAGTTTGTCACAAATTCCAAAGAGGTGTAAATATAACTCTTCATTGTGAGGTGGAGGCTGCAGATGGAGTCAAAATGAAGGCAGCAAAAAATGAGAGAATCAGTGATTAAAAGAAGTTCGACTCGAAGCCACCGTTGTCTTTACCAGTGATAAAATGAGAAGAACAAACATAGTAGTTACGTAACACTAGATCTGTCTACCAACAACAAAAATAAAACTGTTCTGCAAATACAGACCGAATATTTGAAATTGATTTTTGTTCTCGACTCAACAAACATGATCTTTGGCCCCACTCCTAAATTAAAACCCTCACAGATCAAGCACTTCAAGTGATGAGGCACAGCGCCAAAAAAAGTTTCAACAACCTCACACTTCAAAGCCTCACAACACTGAATCAAGTTAGATTAAATGAGTTTTATTTCTTTCCTACCAACTGACAGAGAGAGAAAGGGTCCAAAGTTTGAAGGGCAGGCTGCTGGACTTGCTTACGTCTTATTTTATAACCAGCACTGCACCAGTGGACAGCATATAGCCAAAGTAAAGGGGGATTTAAACTTGCATTTATAAATGTACAGTATATAAATATATGTATATGAGGATTTTAAATGAGGAGTTCTGTTTGTAAGTGTAAAAAGTCCTATACAGCCACGCGTTTGGCAGTTTTTAGACAATACTGCCCATTGTGTTTATGTTGCCCTTTTTGGGGGTGTAATTGGATTTTTTGTGTATAATAATAATAATAATAATAATAAAAAAAAAAAACTTTGACTTGCTTTAATGGGGTGATGAATTATAATAATGAGGGCTGTCCCAATATACAGCTACACATGAAAACTTTCTTCTTAAAAAGACCAACTATTGAGATTGTGCTAAAAACGGGCATATGGTAACATCTCGAAACTAGCCGATTCAGTGCGTTTACAAGCTGTTAAAAAAATCAATTTGTTGCTTTAGTCTGACTGAAACTGCACTTTTAAAAACATGTTCACACATTAGTCTAAAATCACACTAAATCGAACCTCTCACTATCAGACTAACATACCTGGATAATGGTGGAGGGGATTGATTTTCTCTGGTATCGAACTGAAACGGAACTAAGTGTTCTACTCATACTCCAGTGTTTGCACGCTGGGCTTTGAACTGGAAGCTAAATAGCATGGATGCGTTGCTAGGAAGCCAGGTAGTAAACAAAACCTCCACAGACATGAATAATGGTGGACATGCTTCTGCTTCTAATTTGATTTTTACCCAGTGCATGTAAACTGTGACAAGGGTAGTAGTCCAGTTCAATTGCCTTACTAACCTATAACTGTAGCTTGACTTCACTGTGCATGTAAACTTACTGACTGACAGCTGGGAGCAGTGGTAATTCTTTAAGCCATTTGACACTGACCATAAAACAGAGGGAAGATGAAGAAGCAGCAGCACCGGGAGAGGAAGAGGTCAACTTAGTGACCAGCTAGTGATATAACCTTTGCAGCAGTGCATCGTTACCACTGCAGTGTATGTAACATGGGGGAGATGACAGATGAAGTTACTCTACCCACACCCATGAATAGTTAGTCCTGAAGCCAGCCTTGGAAGGTTTTAAGAAAGCCACGATTTATGTGGACACTCTTGTTTGCAGGAAATGCAGAATATCACTGGGGTAGTACCCCCGATGTGCTGACCCATCTTTCGTATCGCTAACATCCTGCAGATTTAATCACTATAGAAAGAGTAAGCTGTTTTTAGTTTGGGAGTCTCAGGACAGGAAATGTTTCAGCAAGTTATTTGTTGTATTGTTAAAATAAAGTATCATAGTGCCAAATTGAACAGTCTGGAGTTAACCATCAACTTAAAGACAGTGTATGTTTTTATCCAAGTTTTCCATTTACAGTATTTGAGGTGGAAATGTTACAGCCCAGTAACTAAAGTAGAAACTCAGTTATCCTTCTAGTTCGCACTCACTTATTGTCAGGACCGGCATCAAATGTCTACATTTTAGTTTTGTCATTTATATCTTGGAGTCCGATCACACTGGTCACTTTGCTATAACAAAACTTTACTAGTTTACACTCAGATTGTTTTGAAACTTAATACTATTTTCCGGATTCAATATTCCTGCAGAATTTCCCCACCATTACTCTGCCTGCTTGGTCTAAATAATGAGTGATTTACAGGTTATCTTGATGTACACATTGTTAAGTTTCTATAAGATAGTTAACTCACATACTGACTAGTCTGAAAGCTCAGACTACAGAGCTTAAGCGTCAGGTATAAGACACCCTGCTCACAAAGCACAGGCCATGGAAAAAGAGCTGAAGTCTGGCAAGCAGACAACAGAACCATCCTCAGCAGCTTCCATGTAAACATGGTGGATCAGGCTCAGAGACGTAGGTAGGTTCGACGACAGAAAATGAATTCTAGAGGTGAAGTACAGCAGTTACCACCAGGTCTCTGACTACAGGGATGAAGATGTCTTGGTTATTGCAGGATTAATCCAGTCCTGGCAAGAAATCCAACTCAGAACAATGGCTCTGTCATGTTAATGTGGGATGATGGGAAAAGCTTGAAGTGCCTTTAAATATTTCCTCCAGTGTTTTGTGTGTACATATGTTTTTTTTAAAAAAACATACAGACCAGTATCTTATTCAGACAGTTCAACTGTTGCATGTTAAGGTTCAGTGATTGAAATCTCCACCAGCAACCCGCTCATACACCTGAATAACGGCCTTCACCTGCCAGCTTTTCCCACAGCAGCACACAATGAACATTCCGTTCCACAGCCAGGCTGTATTGTGTTACAGAGCTACTGCTGGATATTTTTCACTTGAAAGTCAACACTATTTACTTTTGAGAATGAAGTGAGAGTAGGGACATTGTTAATGGCTTGGGCTGAGGTAAGAGTCCTGATTTGATTTTGTCTTAAATAAGCCGCACTTAAACTTGCATTACATTCAGTGAAAGAGGATTTGCTGTGTGCTCAAGTTTCTGTCTGCTGGGTACTGATACTGTAAATCCTATTTTGGACTGCTATTTGTCACTGTCATTGTTGTGGTAACAGGTAGAAATGAAGGGAGGGGGGAGGATGGTACAGGAGGTGATGAGGACATTCCTCCTGAAGGGCACTTTGGTGCATATCTCCCTAGTCCGTCTGCCTCTTCTCTGCAGCTAGATCTCCTTTGTTTACTAGCCTGCAGGCCGCATGCCTCTGTTTGACTCTATGTCCTGCAAAGCCGTAACCAGTCTGACTAGTTATGCTAGGAGTGCTTAAACACCCGAGAAAACATGGGAGCAAACAGATGGGGGTATAATTTAAACACAGCACATGCACACATGTGCTGTGCTGTGGTGTTGCTGCTGTTGGCCAGGTGTTGCTGGTTGGCTCAGTCGGATCGGCCCTGAGCTCGTTGTTGCAGAACATTCCTCGCTGCCCAGCATGCCAGAGCTCCCACTGAGACACAGCGGGAGGTCTCTGCGCCCTGTTTGCACTTTTCTTATCAGCATGTTAACACTTTCAAGAATACAAGTCTCGAGCGTTCACATTGTAAACAAAACCTTTTCAATTTAAAGCTGTAACTGTCTGTGTATGTGTGTGTGTGTGTGGGAAAGACAAATACACTTACCTCATCCACAGTCAGTGGCATACATATGCGGTACTCTTTCATCAACATGGTGCTGTAGCACAGAGGACTGTCTTTATGAACTGAGTGTGTTTGTGTCTTTCTAGCTCAGTGGTCTTGGTTGCATTGTAGACAAGCTCAGGCAGGCTTCACTACTGCTGGACCGCAGTGACCTCTTTTTTTTCTTTTTTATCTGACGCTCCTCGTCCTTTGTTTTGCTGATGTCAGTAATCCATGGCGTTAAGTCCAGTCCTCTCTGTCAATGAGTATCTGCTGCTTTCTTACTTTCCACCCCTCGCTTTCTCCTTACAGCCTCGTCTTTCTACTTTATTTGTTTCTCTTTCTCAATCAATCCCCGGGAGCTGTTTTTTTTTAACTTCTGTCTCTTTTTCTTGTTACTTCTGCTTTCTCTTCTCCCGCCTTCTTCCCTTCCCCGCTCTGTTAGCCGTTTTCTCTGACTTAGTTTCTGTTTGCTTTTCCTTCACCACAGTGAGGAGGTAGTAATTAGCCGTGAGGTAAACGTGAAACCCAACCAACTCTACCTGTTCCCTCTCTCTCCTGCACTCGGTTTTCTTTGTTTGATACCTTACACAGACTTTTCATGTGTAACCTCCTGTCGTCTGACACTGCGTCTTCCTCTCCCCTCAGCTGCCCTCAACTGCTTTCAGTTCCTCACAAATTCCTCCGTCTGTTCCCTCCTTATCTCCTTTTTTCTCTCCCTCCCTCCTTCTCTCCCTCCCATAGTATCCACTCCCCGCCCACTGTGCTTTACTACCTCCTCACCTGTGTCACCCCGTCCTTTTCTCCCTCCCTCCCTCCCTCTGATCTTTATCTGTTCTTTCTTCTCTGTCGCCAGCACTGTTTTCAACAACAACACCTTCTATCATCTTTCTATATCTGGCAGCATTAAGTAACACGCTTTGTTAACTTGAGTCAGTGAATTTAGAGCACGTTTTCTCCCCACACTCAGGTTATGACAGCACTCAGGGGGAAATAAATGGCTGACACACAAGGGTGGTCAGAGTGGGCTGTTGGATTAAATATTACCAAAGCCATGAGAACTTCCATTAAGCACCGTGCCAGACTTGCTCATATTGCATTACCTCATGACCTTCAGCCTGGTCTAATTGAATCCATGTTTAGTCAATGAGCAGTGGGTTCGAAGCAGTCATAATTCCTCGCCCGTGTGTGCCCTTGAGTCACGGGACGACTCTCTTTTTGTTAAGTTGATGGGTGGGCTGTGCCAAGCACGTATTGTTGCCTCACCATCAAGTAAGAGAAGCAGATGTTTGGTTTTTTTGGGGGTCAGTGTGACAGGGCCAGAACCAATAACTGCCTCTGGGTTTTCTTCCTCTCTGGTGGAATTCACTTTCTTTTCTTAGACAGGGGCCAAAGTGGGTCTCTTCTCTGCGTGCCTCCACTATCATCAGCTCTGAAAACAAATTCCTGGTGGGGTTGGCTCCTATCTTATCAGATCAGTGTTTAGAGAAGTGAAGCCACTTCAGAGAGCTGAGGTGTGCTTTGCTTGTCTCTCCCTGGACTCGGCGCTCACAGAGCTCTGGCAGCGCATACATCACATCGGTTTACAGGGTGATTGACTTGGATGTGTTTTCAGCAGTTGATCGACTCATGAATTACCTTGATTGATTGTTTAATTGTTGACTGGGTAACCATGGTGAGAAATGGCAGGGCTCCTGGCTGACTGATCTGGCAAATTATGGAGCTGATCAATGGATTGGTTTCTCTCTGCTTGATTGATTATTGCAGGATGGAAATGTTTACTGTTGTTACCTCCGCCAAGGAGGTTATGTTTTCGGTAGCGTTGGTTGTCTGTTAGCAACTTTACAGAGAAAGTTACAGTCGGATTGACCTGAAATCTTCACCAGAGGTGCGTCTCAGCCCCAGGAGGATCCCATTACATTTTGGTGGTGATCCGGATCGCCTTCTGGATCCAGGAATTTTTTAAACGATTCTTTATCATTGTGAGATAGGGCAAATTTTGGAATTTTTGCATTTAACTCTATAAAAATGTCCAGAGTCTTTAGTAAAAAAATTACACAAAAGGATCTCAATGAGTTTTATGAGGTGTCAAAGGTTGATCCTGATCCAGACAAAATTCCGGATACTGTGATCCAGAACACAGAAACATAAGGGTGTCGTTGGAATTTTCAGTGCTGAAAGATAACCAATGGGCGGCACAGTGGTGTAGATGTTATGTAGGATTTACATAAGTTAGAAGTTGGATCTATTTTGATCCTAAATTAAATTACATGCTTCCTGTTTCCTCTGGTTGCTGCTCCTTTTCGTTCTGTTCTTGCTTTGCTTTTACTTTGGAATGCTCAGCTAGTCAAACCTACTCGTTACATACTGAGTACCTAAACTAATTTTGGTAAAACATGAGTAAGTAGGATAGGCATCAACAAGCTTTGAGCTTCTGCCTATTCCTTTTGATCAACTAACAGGGTGTTACAGACTGCTTTTCATGAAGCATGATTCTGTATATGTATGATTGTATTTGACACTGTGATGATGATCAAATAAACTAAACTAAACTAAACTGTTGCCTCACAGCAAGAAGGATCTGGGTTTGAATCCAGGTCAGGGCATTTCTTGTTTTAGGAACATTATGAACAGTGAACATACCAGTTTAAATACAAATAAAAGTTAATAAAAGACACGTAACAGTAAAAGTTTTGGTGTGAATCACAATATAAGGGGGGACATGAGCTGCTTGGCGGAGGTCTGCGCTCTCAGAGTGCTTTTCTAGTTTAAAATGCTTCGGTCTTTTACATTAGTCATGGATGGAGGAAATATCTATGTATTTTCACTCTAACTGGAGATGACATGAGGTAGGCAACAGGAAAGTGAGGGGAGATAGTTGGGTAAAAAATCCTTTCAGGCTCCATTTCTATCTTATATTAACATGAGATCAGTGTCAAGATACATTATCTGGATATTAACATTTCATCAAGGGGACCTGATATTAATGAGCAATCTCATAACCTTGATTTGTGACACTGTGATCAGATCTGAGAATGAAAATTAGTCAGTGATAGTAGACATTAATTAAAGGAACAGAAGAAAACCTTTTAGTAAAACAATCTTCATGCATGCTCCAGTGGGAACCTGAGAAAACAGAGAAAGAGCCTGCTAGGTTTGGTTTTGCATGACCAAGCAATTTTTGAAGGGGGGATGAACACACTCTATATACTGCAAGTAAAATACTCAAAATCCACCTCAGTGGGATGCTTGGTGGTAGTGGGTTAAAATTTTCAGTCAGACTCAAACTGAGGATTTAGCAGGATGCCACACTTTGGCACCAGAGCATCACGTACTCTACTGTTGTACTCTCACAGCTTCCCCTCTCCACAAACTAAAACTTTTCCAGGCATCAATGAAGACATTACCTACATTACTTTCTCTAAATAATCTGGATATGAAGAACTACCTACAATTCAGAGCATATACTGCAGTCAGCCAGCAGGGGGAGCTCTACATGTCTTAGCCTCAAGCTTGGACGGATACTTGAGGTGGTGGAGGAGGCTTACGGTTTACACTGCAGCCTGTCACCTGAGGAAGCTTTGAAGGTGTCTGTATGTGTTTGTGTCTGTGTTTTTTATGCACACCAGCTATCCGTTGAGAAGAGTAACATCAATACCTGTGTTCATGTTAGAGTCTCTAAACTCCAGAAAAAGTCACTAGATTTATCGCTAGGCGCTTTTTTGAAAATAACTCACTAGTGGGGGTCTGAAAAGTCGCCAAATCTAGCTACAAAGTCGCGAGGTTGGCAACACTGCCATAGTTCCACATTGTAAGAGGATAAATTGTACTTTGTTGCATCTACAGCTTGCTTTGTTCCAAACACTGCACTGTTATTAGTTAGGTTTATGCCCTGTAGCCCAAGCGCGGCAAGTCTTGAGCTGAAAATGTGCCAGAATTCAAACTCTACTCTGCATGACTTCATTTTCATACAAACAACTCTTAATTTGGTGATTTATTCAATTATTCCTCGAAAATGAAATTAAAAATTTTCTCACTTTGTAAAACCTGTAAGTTATAAAACTATGATTGATGTGTACAATAAAAAAATTCACTTCTGGAGTGTAACAGCTGAATGTATTAGTTTAGTAATGAACTACATAATTCATCTTTCGACGCTGACTAAAATTCAGCTGAGGAAGCAGAGCTGTACTCTAACCTGATTGAAACATTTTCAAACTCCGCCTGGTCAGAGCTGCCCGTCCTTATTTCGTGCTCTGCAGGAAGGAAGAAGCGGGTGGTGATAGGATTGGAGGGGACTTCATCACGGTGCTTACACCTATCACATCCCCTCACATCATTAAATGAAAAATGAATGGGTGCACTTAGAAAACTGGTGAGGCGTTCTTTGACCTCTATGTTTCCTGTCCTGACCGTTCATGGGGCTGTGAATGTTTGGTGGAAAGACACTGTGTGTGTAAGTGTGTGTGTGTGTGTGTGTGTGTGTGTGAAGGTGGCAGTCCTGCAATAGTAGAGAGCAGTATGGATCTGTATTAAGCTTGAAAAAAGGAAAAAAGATCATTAACTAGTGGGCCGGCTGCCATCCCTGCATTACCAGCTCTTCCATCTCAAGGTGTTGTCACAAGCCAAGGTTAAAGGTTCTCTGGTGTCCCCTCCAAGTGTGTGAATGATGGACCCCCACCCCCAACCAGGCTTGGATTAGCACTGGCTTGGTGGAGGGCACACATACAGCTGCAGCTTTTTCATCTCATGGAAAGGTGAAAGGTAATGCTTGGAGTAAGATTTAAGATCATGAATTCAGCAGTATGTGGGATCAGGTTTGGCTGGTTTATGGGCTCTATGTCGTACACTTCGTTTGAAGAATAGTAAGAACCTGCATCTCAGTGTAAGTGTGTCCAGATCCACTGCCTCCCTTCCTTTACACTCCACTATCACCACAAGCCCCCTGGATGCCTCTGATCTCTGTTTTGGTCCGATCATCAAAAACCTGAAGTATTTAGGTCAGACTTTAGCCGTGAAAGAGAGACACAAGAGGGGAGGAAGAATAACAGTGAGAGAAAGAGAAAAGTACACATTCCGTTATTATGCTCTTTTCCTGGAGTGTCTTAAGACTCAAATGTGCCAGAAGCGGCCCCCAAAAAAGGCTGGATGTTAATCTCAGATCTCTATGTGGTGTGCTGTGTAAATGTGTGTGTGTGTGTGTGGGGGGGGGGGGGGTCTTTTGTATGTATCCTTGTGTGGCTGGCTCCTTTGTGTTAAGATGTAAGCTTAGTGTTAATCTCCTTGTAGTTGAGTATCAGGCTTGTGCTAAGACATTGATTGGACCAGCTTCTTAATTGATACCACTGGCCCGCCAGGGGGGAGAAGTGGTTTCTATGTGTGTATGTGTGCTTTTTTGGTGTGTTAGAAGTTCGAAGTGAATCCCCCAGTGATTGGGATGAAACAGAGCGTTCACTTATCCTTATCGAATCCCAATCTCTTGTTGTCAAGCTATGTCCCACTGGGAAAAGCACGCACGCCAGCAAGGAGGATGGGGTCTTAGCTGACATTGTTAGGGGGCCTCCAGACAAGCCAAACAGAGCGGCAACACAACATGACAACTTATCCAGAGGAAAAGTGTAACTACAGTCATTAGGTCTTTTAAATGAACACACAAACACATGCACACACACACACACGGTGCACTCCACATGTGCAGTAATGCTGACACACTCACACAGGCTTCTTGCTTTGGTGTTTAAGTCCTGAGACTCCAGTTATAAAAAAGAATAATTCATTTGACACTTTTTTCATATTCATGAGCTCCGCAATATAGACCGAATTCTACTCATTGTTGAACGTATGTTCCCGGATGAATTATAGATGTTATTGGAAATTGTTCAGTGTTCGTAAATGTCATCATTAATCTGAACAAGGAACAACTACGTTGGCTCGTCTCCTAAGAGGAGAATAAAAATGTGTTTGTGTCTCTACAGAGTTTGTGCATGCAAAGAAAAAGATAAAGGATCCAGATCTGCTCTATAGCTTGTTTTATTCCTTTGTGTATTTGTGAGTCTGCAAGAGAGAGAGAGAGAGAGGAGAGAGGGAGTGGAGGGTGAGAGAAGGAGAGAGAGTCCTTATGTGCATTGGAGGGAGCCAGAAGCCAGTGTGTATCTAAAGGCGTTCAGAGCAGAGATGATCAGAGGGTGTGAGCCCAACACATTCATCAGGGCTCTCCGCCGGGACAGCAGTTGAGGCGCACCATGGAGACGAATAAAAATGCTGTGGACCAAAAAGAAATGAAATAATTTATTCCAGGAGTAGAGAGTGGTGGAGGGGATTTAGAGACAAGTATGTGTGGAAGAAGGGGAAGGGCAGAGGAATGGATTAAGGTTGCGTTCAGTGTCTGTGTGAGATAGAGGCTAGCACTGTGGCCCTGAACTTTTTCCCATTCCACACACCACTGCTGAAAGGAAATTCAATTGCCTCTTTCCTTCACTTTCTGCCCAGTGTGTGAGAGCTGGAGGAAAAAGGGAGAGAGAGATAGACTCCGAGGCTGAATGCAAAGTAAATGCACACATATGGCACAGAATGCAAGGCGAGGAATTTCAAGAAAGTTGAAAAGGCATCTCTGGTTCTTTTAAAAACTTGGCAGCACCCTATGGCCCCTCACTATTCGGCACTGAACTCCCTCCATGCTCTCTGTCTGCATATCGACTCGCCTTATGTCAAATCCTCATGTCTCTACTGCTAATACCAAAGAGTCAATTTAGGATCAGAGAGTTATCCGAATCGCCTTAAGCCCAGTTTTATTTTACAGAAAGAAATAACATTTTGTGAGTTCACAAACATTTCTTAAATGGAGCATCATGTTGAAATTTCAGTTTATTCCCCAGAGCCTTAGGGCTCTTTGTTGAACGTCATCCATGCCAGACAGAGGATCGTGTAATTGGTAGTGAAAAGATACAACAAAACCGGACATTTAAAATAAAAATGCCTGTCATTGAACTAGAAGATGGGATATATTTCAACAAGTAAAGGGGAGCAGCCGCCACACGCTGCAGCCATCAAAGCCAAATGTGTGACTTTAAACCGTCATTTGGCCTGTGGGAACATGCCAAATTCAATTTCAGGGAGAGTATACAGCTGGTCTGACACCACTCCTCTGAGACACCTGAAGCCTCCTCACAACCTCTCACTCCTCTTTCTGCTGTCTTTTTGTGTTTCACTGGGACCTGACAAAGGCACGGCGGAAAATAAAAGGGGGAGAGTTAAAAGGTTACTGAGGTTAAAGCATGATAAATATTTAAAGTAGTGAATATAAATAAACCCAGCGTGCTGTAAATATCAGTTCATACAGTAAAATTAGTATTTTTGTGGTTTTAAACGTTCACCACCTGTGACAGTGAGTGGGCTGAAAATGTTTTTGTCAGGCTCTCGTCTCTCCTGCCTCTCCCTGATTTCACTTGTCATTATTTTGTTGGAACACTGAGCCTTACCAATCCAGAATATTCACATTTCATTTCAATCAATTGTGATAAACAACTCATGTATGAACGTGTACTTTTATCACTTAATCATATTGTGAGAAGTAAAAGTCTTATTATACCTGCATAGTTAAAGAGTTGACTGTTAAAGCTTCAGGCTATCTTTTTGATTTGACTAAACTGAATATTTCAGTCGAACAAAAGGTGAAAACAAAGCTGTAAAGCAGCAAACATGCAGGTCACACATGGTGGGTTTTTAAAATAACGCATGAGAAATATCTTCAAACTTTAATCGAGTCAGCGTAGCGATACCACGCAGGAAAATATTCAACTGAAAGCGAGTATTTTTGATAATTCATAAAGAATCATTGCACAACAACAACCCTGTTTCGTCCATGACTCTCTTTTGAGGGTTGAGCTTAAAGTGATATTAACCACATGCTGTTGGCTTGTTGATCTTGACAACCTAAATAACAGGTCAGCAGTAAATGTTGCTCCTGATGAGGAGTTTTCAGCTGATAATGAAATTAACTACAATTAGTGTTGAAAGCATTTGATGAGCTACAAAAGCAAAAATAGACCAACAGCATACAGAATGATCATTTTCATAGAATTATTCATGACGAGGACATGTAATTAAAACAAAACTAAGGGCACGAATGCAAATAAAACTGGATTTTAACTCTGAATTATATATGACATCTTACTTAAGTTGGTCAATTCAAAAATCCTCCCCAGGAAAGTAGGCTTTGTGAATTGTGTGATTACGATAAAGTGCAAACAGAGTTTCATTTTCTTTTACACTATAAAAAATATGACCTGAGAAAGATAGTGTTTTATGAAGTTGTTCGCCAAAGGCCGGAAATAACATAGTGGACTGTTGAGTTCAAAGTTGCTAATTTTGTCTCAGAGGCCTAGAAAAGAAGACAAGATATCCTCCTTAGATAGTAAATGTTTATAAATCATTTTTTAAATTTAATTTATTCCTTCTCTCAAAGTTGAGACAGTCCTGTTCTGTGCTCTCACCCTGGGTTGTATAAATCAATAGTACGATGTAAGCCCACGTGGGTTGGACACATATGTATATACATATGACACATATAATAAAATGAAAACTTCTTTAATGTCTGAACAACAAGGGGTAACTAAGAGATGCTTTCCCCACTTCTGTTGCCTGGATTGCAGGACGAGATTTGGCCCTTTTTCCCTATCAGAGACGATGTCGCCCAGCTGCTCCTCAGGTTGCTCTCACATGTGCCAGAAGACTGTTAACATCCTGACTCAAGACTAGTCTGGGATAGAAACTCACATTTTGGCCACAGTGTCAACAGACAGAGGTGAAGTGAGCTTGAATGTTTTAAGCTGGTTGATTTAATGTGACATGAATAATCTGCAGGTTCTTGGCATTGATTTTTGCTGTTGTGGATTAATTGCTGATTCTGCAGGTTATTGTCTAATCAGAATCAAGTATTTAACACTGTTGGCTAAACTTTTACCTGCGGCCTGCTCTTCTCTTCTGCCTTTCACAATAGAACTACATCAGACTATGTGTTGGCTGTTTTTCAAGGTGTGTGTGAGACATTTGGTTTCGGTTTTGGTTATTTGATTGCCTTTTAATTAAACATTTTGCAAGCATAAAGACTGTAAATATGGAGCACCGAGGCGTTGTTAAATAGAGAACAGCCCTTTTGTTTTCCTACAATTTTTCTTCTGTTTATAGGTTGAAGGTTTAGTTATAGGACGAAATAAATAACTTGCACCACTGTATTTTGAGCATCAGGAGAGCTTCAGCTGGAAAAAAAAGGTTGCCATCTATTCTGTTTGCTGTAGGGAAGCTATTTTCATTTTTAAACAACACAAAGTTACAGGAAATATTTCATCTTTTGCAAACTCTCTCCCCCTATGCAGCCTTTTCACTGCTCAGCTGATGACTGTGTGTGAACTAAGGGCCCATTTATGAACCTACAACAGCTTTTAACACCCAGAAGCATTTCCTGAGTTTAGCATAAATGCACATCAAACAGAATCCTAATCCTTTAAAGTGCATAAGCTGACTAATCAAATAAAATCAGGTGAGAAGAGGTATGATTCAGGACAATCTTTTCCTTCCCCTCCTCTTTCTCAATCATTACAGTTTAGTGTTGGATCCGTAGAAACTGTAATTGACGTAAAATTACTAGATAATGTTGATATTGATTTGAGGACGTCACCTCAGCACAGTCTCTAATGCATGACTTTTACTTGAAGCAGAGAAGTTTTACTGATAGTACTCCTGCTTAAATAATGGTTATTCTGTAATTGCCTCTCTGCGGGATTATTATACATGTATAATTTAGCGAATTTGGCTGATTTACATTTACTTCTTTTCTAAAAAGAACATGCAAACAAAAATGAAAAAGAGAAAAACTGCATATAGAAATGCTGTCATATAGTCCCAAATTCCATGTGATGCCTTGTGTTTTTGTGCACCAGTGTGTTTGTGTGTGTGTGTGCGTGTGTGTGTGTGCTGGAGAGAGAACCTTATTGTTTGTCTGTTAGCTCAGAGCTAAACAGATGCGTAAATAGAGATAGGAGAGCCAAGCCACATCAGATTAGACCAAACAAGAAAAAAATCAAACTGTCTCTCTCACTCACACACTCTCTAACTCTCTCTCACACACACACATATACACACACTCACAGACAAAAAGTAACACAAGGAAAACAAACAGATATCAGCAGAGCAATGTGCCTCAATCACACGTCCAACCTTTATCCTACACAACAGGAAAACTCACTCCTGAGCTCTAACTAACATGTAAATATATTCAGCTAGTGTGTGTGTGATACAAAAGCATACCGACACGCACTGTGGAGAAAATACTGTGATGACGCATACCATCACATGCCTCATAAAGCCTAATGTTGCCATTCCAATATCTCCATAGGCCCCAGGCTAAACAGAGGTTGCCATAAAGATGGGAATATGGGGGTGGGGGTGGGGGTTGGAGGGGTGATGATGAATTGATTGATGAATCTAAATGAAGATGAATGCACATGGCAAATACAGATAACAAGAGGAGTATGAAGAGTAGAGCAGCTGCTTCACCTTTCCACATAGCAGAAAATATGAATAGCTGATGTGTATCTAGCCTATTAATACAGCAGCAGCCGCGACAGTGAACGCACCACTGAAGCAGATATGGATCCCTTATCACAAATTGTACGGCACAGAATTAGTGGCCACCGCTCTTTCTGTACCATATGGAGGCTTATCAGTGAGCCGGCACGCACTGATCAGACTAATGGCCCAACATCTTAACCTTTACTGCCATATGGGCTGTATCCTTAAACTGACCACAGATCAGTGTACACAAAGACTATCAGCACTCTGACTTCTTAATTGTTTTGAAAGCATTTCGTCACAACACATGCTGAGTCAGACCATCTTTATAACAAACTGACAGTTCACTCCATTTTATTTGAACAATCTTAACACACTCTTTTGTTTATGGCGTTTTCTTCCCAAAGTGAATATTTTGGGGTTTGGGGTGTTAGTCCTCCAAAACAAGATTGCCCCCCTTTTCTCTTTCTCTACTTTTAAACTGACCTACTTCATCTAGAAAATATACTAATGAAGTCATCAATAATGAATGTTACTCTAGATGCTGCTAAAGTTACAATGTTTGTAATTGCACTTACAAATGTCTAGTGCTGCCTGTGCCCACTAGAGGTCTTCACAGGTATACCTGCACCCAGGACCTGACACCCCACAAACACAGATTTTGGTCAACATTTCGTTGTCGTCATTCAGCTCCTTTTTGGGCTTTCATCTATAATCACAAGTCACAACGGTAGCGTAGATTAAGTATGTTCCGTTCACATAGATCCACACATCTGAGGCTAGCCAATCCACATATGCAAAGAGTCAGGTCTGTTATCCTGGTCAAAACAGTCTGGATTTTTTATTTCTCAAAATTATCAGGGTAAATCTGAACTTCTGAAGAAATTTTGAAGTCCATATGGTTTGGCTCTGTCATTTTAAACCCAATTATATCCAGAAACAGAAAAATGACATAGTTTAATGCTCTCACAATGACAGAGGATGACGTCTCAGAGTTCTTAAATAAGAGAAAACACCTCCTGAAGCCAAAACGTATCTGCATAACACTAATTTTGGGTGAATGGCCATTCAAAAAATGTTAGAAACAAAAAAAGTATTGTGGTTGACACACACAGACACACACGCAAAATCACACAAACCGTGAGTGACCTGGCGGCATATTGGGCATAATGATGACTGTGTTTGGGAGAGTGATGCAGGAGTCAGGACAGATCTTTCAAAGTCTGATAAAGGGGACGTCGCCTCGAGGCATTGATCCAAGTTAAGACACACACACACACACACACACACACACACACACACACACACACACACACACACAAACAAAATACTTGTTTATGTCCTCTGCAGCGTGTGTATGTGCCTTGAAGTCAGTCTCATATTGATGATTGTTCAATTAGATGGAACTGATGTGTGCGTCCATCATTTACCAAACCTCTGGGGGATGACACATTTCTATCAATACAGAGAGACCTTTGCCCCACTGCCTCTAAAGCTGCAGCTGCACTGAAACACTCTATCCATATATATATATATATATGTGTGTGTGTGTGTGTGTGTGTGTGTGTGTGTGTGTGTGTGCGTGTACTTGTGCTGAGAAGGTTAAACTCCAATCATAAGATCATTTAGTGTAAACCGGTTTACAGTCTGCAGATGCTCTCAGGGTAACTATGACTTCATTGATTAGAGCTGATCTCAGATCACACACAGAGAAGAAAAAAGAAATGAAAAGGGATGAGTGAAGGGAAGATTACAACGCATTTCACATTCGAAATCCTTTTACACATTCTGCATCCCCTAGAGATCCACCTTAGGATGATAAAAGAGCGTAAACAACATAAAATTCTTCTCTATTCTTCAACAGATGGTTTTTAAAAAGTTACTTCAACATAAATATTTCACTCCAGCTCTGAAACCAAACATGAGGAGTTCACCAACTCCGCCGCAGTGTTATGAAGCCTGCATGTTCCCTCAGCTCTCCACAAGCTGCTCACACATGGTCACTGACATGCTACTGTGGTATAGATTTCTCGTCCGCGCGCACTCGCATGCACACAGACGCACACACACATACACACATATATACACACGCTGCAGCTCTCTATGCATAGACGCACTGCCGGCAGGGTGACACTCACATGTGGATCCACAGACGCTGGTGTGGTGTGGTGTGGCGCCTCCGTTTTGCTTGGAGAAGCAGAAAGAGGCGATATGAGGGAGGCAGGAGGGAAAAAAAGGCAGGACGGCGAGGGAGGGAGCAAGGGATGGATGGATGGATGGATGGATGGATGGAGGGGAGGAAGAGAGGGAGGGGAAATGCGGAGGGACGCAAGGGAAAGAGGGGAAGCGGGAAGGAGGGGTGGATGGGGAGGCAATGAGAGGGCTGAGTGGGTCTAGTAAATATTTATATTGCAGCATGATACGCGGGAGTGAAAGAGAGGGGAGAGAGGGAGAGAAAGGGGGGGATATAGAGCGTCCATCCTTTTATTAATTTTATTCCGGACCACTAAGTTTAGCATTCAACACGTGTCGCCAGTGATGGAGAGAGGGAGGGAGGGAAAGAGGGAGGAGGAAACGACAGAGAGAGAGGGAGAGAGAGAGAGGTTGACGGTTGCTAGGTGACGGGGCGCATATACTGAATTTTAACAAAAGAACAGGGAAAGAGGGAGAGGGAGAGAGAGAGTGTGTGAGAGAGAGTGGAGAGGAGAGAGGGAGGGAGAGAGGTGAAGAGAGAGATCGGAGAAATTGAATACATGTAGAAGATATATATATTTTGAGATATATTTTCCCCGCGTGCGTGTCCGTGTGTGTGTGTGTGAGTGTGTGTGTGGTGGCGGCGGCAGTGGCGGCGGTGTTTGTGGTGGTTGAGGGGGGGAACACCCGCAAAACGGATACCTCAAAAAGGAAGGATGTGAAAAAGGATGGAGGGACGCAGGAAAAGAGGGGGGAAAGGCTGGTGAAAAACAGTAAGTACATTTATTTGAATGGCATTTGCAGTGCGGAGGCATTTCACCCCGCGCACACATTGACTCTGTACTGCTTAGATGAATTGCGGCTTGGGCAGTGAGCGAGTGCTCCGCGTCATTGAGACAGGCAGAAGGGGCTCGGGTGTCGGCATCTGGACGGCCGCTGGTGATGGAGAGATGGATGGCAGGGGACGGAGAGGTGGAAACGGCCGGCGCACGGGGGCTTTGACCCCTCTGTCATTGCTGCGCCTGAAAACTCACGAGCCTCTTCTTAGCTTCTTTACGCATAGGTTTCTCACGGCAACCGGCACAGATATCCAAACCAAACACACACTCATTTTACCGGCAGTCCAATTAGTCATATAGACTAAAGCTTTAGGCTGTGATTTTGTCTGCCAGGAATTTTCCATGCATTATTAATAAAGACAGAGTTTGGGTTCCGTTTAAGTCTTCAAACACCGGCGCTGGCTGCAGTTTCCTCCTCACTCTGCTGCGGATGTATTAATTGAGGTGATCATATCTGTTGATGCTCATTTTCTCAGGCTGCGTGGTCATTGTTAGTGCCCGAGTGTGCGTGTGTAGGTTATGTGTGACAGCTTATGTAGCCACAGCTAAACCCGCAAGATTGCCGATCAGTTTTTCCCCCCTCTTGATCTATTTATATCCCGATACGCTAAATATTTGGGCGTATGGCGGTACACTGCTATCCCTCTGCTGCCACCGAGGAATCTTCCCCAACGGACTGACTTGCCTGAAACACTCTCAGACAGCTGGAACAGGCGGTGTGTTTTTTTTCTTTGCAGCTGCATGGGTGAAGGAGTGTGTGAGAGACTTCACTCTGTAGGTAGATTCCGAAATTTACATTCCCTTCGGGTCCTCAGATAACTTTTGTTTTTGCCTTGCAGTAATTTGATTGAAGAGAAGTGAATGCAGGAGCAAATACACACCAGCGGCATCACCAGCAGCAAAAAACACACACACACACACACACATACACAGACAGACACACACACATACACAGACAGACACTCACACACAAACACGAAATAAGGCCTTGGACCATGAGACCACCAAGGAGGAAGATGCTGCTGTTGGCATGCTGAATGCAAAAGCACAGTGTTGCTTCTCTTGCAGATTTGCTGCAGAGTGCAGGATCAAATACACTGGCCTGCATTGTGAGGCCAGTCACCCAGATGGAAACTGGAATTAATGTGTTATTTGTTTTTTCATTTCTGTGGGTCCTCTCAGCTGAATTCTCAAGCTGATATCCATTTCAATCAGCGCTTTCACCCACAGGTGATGCTCCAAGAGCAGTTCATGATTTTCTGTGCATTTCCCACACAGGCCAATACTGCAGCAGTTTCCTGCATGCACTGCTGCCCGTAAAGCGCTGCCTTCAGTGTCAGCAGAGCTGATCCATCGTGTAGTTGCCCACAGAGATCTGTACTGTACCAGCTGTGAGTAGGGGTAAGACAGGAGGGGAGGGGGGAGGTGATGAGAAAGACAGAAGGTGTGGAGGAAAGAGAGATAAGAGAAGGTGTGAGGAGGAAGACGAGGAGAAGGAGGAGGTGGAGAGAAGGCATGAGGAGAAGGCTGGGGTGAGAGAGTGGAGAAGCAGCATAACCAAGAGGAGAGTAAAAAGAAGGCTGGAATTGAATATCAGAGGGGGGACATGGTTGGAAGGCTCAGGAGCCCAGATGAGAGGGAATAGAGTCAACATTTGTGCGCCTGTTGTCTCCAACCCCCCTGCTCTTCATCAATTTCACCTCATTGATTCATCGACGTTTGCAGAGAAAACCTTCAAGCTTAGCTCACCCCCCCACCTCTGCTTGTCTCTCTTTTCTTCTGCCAATCCCCCTGTTTCTTCCCGCCTCAATCCTTCCCGTTTCTTCTCTCACCCCTGCAACCTGTGACTTCCTCTGCACTGTTTCCTCTTCCCTCTCTTTTGCCCGCCTCCCCTTTCATCATGTGTTTGATGCAACATTAGCGGATAGTTTCCTCGATCCTGCCGCCCACCGAAAAGCCCCTTTACCACCCTGTGCACCCACTGTTCTTTTTAATACCACTAATTAAGGTAAAGCTCGTTAACACAGAAACATCAATTAGTGTTTAACAAGATCAGAGTCTGGAGTTTTGGAGCGATCACAGTGCTCCCCTCACCCAACATTACTCTCTGTCTTTGCACACACCATGTTGTATTGATGACTGTGTTGCATATTCACTTTGGCCTGCAGCACTGGCCTGCCAAGAGGTGTGCAGGCAGGCAGGCTGGTGTCATAAGAGGTTTGGGTAGTTAGCTTAATGTATGTCATGTAAAAACCTTAAAAGAGTTCCTCATAGCAAAAGAATTTAAGAATAATTTATACAAAGCTATATTTTCTCTGGTAGTGTCTCTAAAGCGTTGCTCATTAGGTAAATTGTTGTGATTTCAGAATAAAATGCCCCCCGTTTAAATCAGCAGGGGACTCAGACGATCAAATTGCCTGTTTCCAAAATTAAGCGCCATAGTCTAAATTGGGTATGTAAGTATAATTTAATTCATGGCTTGACTTTAGTTTATAAAAGCCTGATCACTCAGAAACAAATGACAGTAAACATCAATCAAGCGCAGTTCAGTTTCATCCTAAAACGTCACTTTTATCAGCGAGTGCAAGTCTTTCACACATTCAAGAAAAGAGAAAGTTTGGAATAAATATGAAATATTGTCAGATTTGAAAGTTTGTCCGTAGACTTTTATAGACTGAAAATAAATCAAACTGTGGGAATTCAGGCTGATCTGCTGAGACAGGCAGAAATGTTTGATTTCTGTTTGTCAGGTTAATCAGATCTTGTGGGCTCTAGGAGCTGATGGATTGATTAGATAGGTGACAGAAAATTGATCAGCAATGATATGATTTAAAAAAAACCTATAGATGTTGTTAAAGCGAGATCAGTGATGGATGATGAATCGTTTTCAGCGGGGTTCATGTGTTCCTGTGCGAGAAGTTTCTGCTGTTCTGTTTGACACGTTTGTAAACTGGAAATCTTTGGTCTGTTTCTCATTCAGAATAAAAACAGTGAGGAGTTTTGACTGTTTTTGACATTTCATGTACTTAACAGAATACCGAATTATCCACAGATTCATCAAAATGGACTACACGTCAATGAAAAATAAGACTTCTTCAAAAGGATTCTTGGACTTCTTTGTTCACCACATTAATTTAGTTACCAAGTAAAGGTAACAGCAATCCAAGGAAACGCTGTGAATACGTTCAGTACTGATATCTGCTCGACAACATTAGAAATAGACACTTTTTCTTCCAGACTGGTTCAGCTTTGGTTATCTTTAGCTGATGTGTTTTTATGGCTGCCAGGCTCTGAGCGATGACTCAAAGAATCTAACACACGTAAGACGCAATGGTTACATCGTGACAAGTTAGATATGAATAGAAAGAGAAAAAACATTTGTTTGAGATGGGAATCTGAGCATCATTTGAGAAGTTATGAGAGTCCTGTGTCGCTACAAACCGAGATCTTTAATTTCAGTCTGAACTACCAGAGCTAACTGCTGGGTCATGGCAGATGGCCGTCACAGATGAGTCCAGTGCTGCTGGAGTTTCTGCCTGTAATGACCAGGGGTTGGAGGAGCACTACAAGAATTATACTACATTTGTTTGAGATTTACTTTAAATACTGAGAGCTTATAAATGGGATAAGTAAGACATGACCCCCAAATAATTAAAAGCTATTTTTTAAGCTTAAGGATAACTTGAATATCCAAAGTGGAGTTAGTGAATATTTTTTTTATTGCGCCCCCTTTTCTGTGTTTGTAAAGATTCTGTCTGAAGTAGAGACTCCTGTAAACTGTCCAGGAGAGCTTATACTACAATGATCAGGTTGTAGCTCACAGCCTGTCCTGCTGTTGTTGGGAAGAGGAGTTCATTTTGTAAAAGCAATGTTCTGCTGATGACTTATTGACCTGGGAAGATCAAATCTGTTGGTATCTTTCTAAATTTATTTAAGTCTTTCTTGTTGTGATCTTAGCACAGAAATCCGTTTTTTTTTCTCACTTACACTCATGCGTCAGTTCGACTGCCAATCAAGTGGTAGACATGCGGCAAACAGCTGGCAGTCATACTGTTGATAGAAATCCTTTTCTCTTTTCAGTTTTTCTCCACGGTAATAGATGCAATGAACAATGAAGTGGAGTACAACAGTCCTCACTGAAAATACTGAAGTAGAATCACTGATTTCAAAATTTCACAATAAAGTACGAGTGAACAAAAAGCTACCTAAGTACAGAAACATGAGCACATAGTTACTGGTGGTTGCTAATGTGGATTTATGTTGGATCCCTTAATACTATTAGCTTGGTGTCGACCAGCTCGAAACTACAATGAGGTAACTATTGTGATTTAGTGCTATATAAATAAAAACTGATTGAATGAGTAACAGGTTTATGTTTTAGGTGTGATAGAGGATGTTTTTATCAACTAAGCATTATGCAGTGTTTCAAAACAAAATGTTGTGCTGTAGATATCTAAAAATCACCAAAGCATCCTCACGGTGTTTTGTAAGGTGGCAGCTGCTTTGGTGAGGCAACCCCTGAGGTGCTGCCCCAGGTCTCAACACAACCCAACTGTAGACCAGGACCAGCAAAGACCATAAAACACACAGTGCAGGTGCAAAGGCAGAAAGTAATTTAACAAACAGGTGGGGACAGAGGGACGGCTGGCAGACAGATTCACAGACAAAAACACAAACAGGCATGAACCTGCACATAACAGTAAGAGAGAATTTAGCCTGCACACCCTGCACATAGTCACTATCAAACAGGTGTACACACACACAAACACGCACACTCAAAAACCTGAGCCAAAGCCCTGCGGGTTGTTTTGGGAATACAAGTCTGGAGGCAGCTAGCAGGCACACAGCTTCACATGGCTGCATGCAATACACAGTCGCACACACTCGGAGAAAGCACATTCAGGCAAATACCCAAGGGTATGCAGACACACACACACACACACACACACACACACACACACACACACACACACACACACACACTGTGAATGGTATAGAGCACATAAACACCAGTCACAGTTTTAAGCGAGAGAGGACCTTGGAACCTAATCTATGAGAGTCACACACTTGCAGACGTTATACCGGATCTGCACAATTAGGAGTTGACAGGCACAGAGGACATAAGGAAGTAATGAAAGATCACGGCAAGGTGCGCAAGGAGGTTTTGCGCCACACAGCATTTTGCAGTGCTGCAGCCGTAATGACAGATGGGGCAGGAAGTGACAGTATAAGTGGTTATTAATATGAGGAAATGGGGACATTTATAAAACTATGTTAACCTGTGTCGGTGGCCCATGTTGCATGTCATCCAGGGCTGCTGTGTCATGCCCGTGTAAGACATGATCTGTAAGACTGAATGTAGAGGAGGCTTTGTTACAAGCTTTTATCATTTCTCTTCTCAGAGAACCCAGCAGCTGGCATTTACGGAAAGCTTTGTACTGGAGTGACTTTGCCTGATTTATGTGTGCGGGTTTGGGTGCAAAGTTGAACCTGTTTTACCTCCTTATCGCTACATGTAAAAACAGCTTTGACTGTATTTTCTTTCGAGTTTAAATGTGAAATTCCCACATAAACAGGTGCTGACTTTACAGCTGTCACTAATGCAAATATGTGCGTTTGCACCTGAATGGAATTTGCACAGTGTGTTATCTACGGTGAAGCAAGAAGGGGAAGACAAGAGAGGAAGAGGGAATGTCAGCACAGAGATGGAAGAAAGCCTCAGATGGAGATAGTTTGATGTTTCCGGGCTCTTCTTAATGTGCTTCATCTTTGCATGTAAATAGCTCCAGCTTCTTAAACAGGCCCTGTGATTCGAGGCAGTCTCACAGATCCTCTCCTGGTTTTTTGACAGTGAAAAGAACGAAATGTACAATATGCTTGGAATGCAGGTATTCTGACTCAGGGTCGGGATTAATTTGTTCTCAATTCGCCTTGTGAGGTTTCATTATTCAAATTGAACATTTTTTCACATCCAAGTCTTCTTTAGTCTATCTCCTGAAAGGTGATTAGGAATGACTGCTCTCTTTTCAATTATGTAATAGCAGTTTCAATCCTTTTTTTTTTTTTTTTTGAATGAGGCAATAAATGTCCTCAACCTTGGCTTGGTGCGATGTGCTTCATGTTATCTGAGGCGTATTCTCTGACAAAGGCTTTAGCTTTGTGGAATAAAGACACTCAAGTTTTACGCTGAGTAGTGTTGGAAGGAAGCAAGGACAACAGTCGCTGATGGAGGGTGCTCTGTGTCATCCATGCCCAGAAGTTAAGACTGCTGATTACAGCACATAATGTTCAATAAGTGGTGTCACTGTGAAAATGAATCAAACTCATCTTTTTGGTCTTGTGTGTGTACTTTCATGTATCATACTCATTTGTGCTGTCTTCCCTTTGGTGTGATTTCACAGCCTTAACAGTGTTGACTCATCGTTGAAGTGCTAGTGCACCGCTAACGAAAATCCCGGCATATTGGCCGAGTGGTAAAAACAGGAAACCTCCCATCATCCCAACTCTGAACATCACAAAGACATTTTGAGTCACTGCCAAAAATAGAATTAACACTAAAGGAGCTTATTGTGCTACAAAAATAAGCGTTTGTTTTTTACACGCTAATCATCAGTGAACTGCATTTGTTTACAAGCTATTGTTGGTCAGTGCTATCAGAGGGTTTGATTTCATTAAAACTGCTGTTTAGGGCGTGTGTCGACAGTTCAGCATTATCTACAGTCAGTGAGGTGGTGTATTCCTGTGTCATTTCTACTTTGAAAGTAACTTAGAGGCAACAGCAAATACTATCAACTGAACTTTTTATGGACCTGAAAAGATGTTTGTTCACAATCACAAGTGTTGAAGAAAAGACTATCCTGAATTTAAATGCAAAAGAGACTCGTCCACTGGCCTGCAAAACAGCTCAATTGTGGATTTCAATCATAGACTATACATACTATGGACATCTTGTTTCCACGTTCTGCCTGTATAAGGATTTGAAGCCGAAAAGCTCTCGGTAATTCTGAGATTTTTCTCCATTTCCTGAAACTACCATTGGGCAGTAGCATTGTACACATTCAGCAGAAGAGTCGCCGTGAGTCGCTGTAATGTCGGTTGGCGCGGATAGCATACTCCCCAGTTGAGCTACGCAATCTTCGTACACCCATAGGCTGTATTAAGTGTCAATCATAGAAAACATGAACCCCCTAATAACTTTTAAAAATGGAGCTGTACAGAAAAAAAAGGACTTGAGCACAAACCAGTCTTACAATAACTACATGTCAACATCACAAGCAGGGGGAGAAAAATTTATATTGTGTAATAAATTCAGTTTGTCCACAGTTCCATAAGGATGGCTGGTGGAGGCAGGATTTATGACCTAGACTGCAGCCCGTCACCAGAGGGTGCTGTTCTCAGAGTGGCTTCACCCGATGAGGAGGCAGATGTTATCCATTCTATATACAGTCTATGATTTCAACACATTGCCCACTTCTAATCAGGCAAATATCCAATCATAGTTCAGATCACTTTGGTTGCCAATCACATTTCAAGAGGGTTAAGGCTACTCCTGGCCACCCTTGGACTTGCCCCTGCTTTACAGCTGTTTTATCACCCTTCCTTCTGTTGTTGTTGAGCTGTCTAATTTCTGATATCCCATTATGTGTACATTGCTCCCTCCTGGCTCCCTGCAGTCTTTGATGAGATAGGCCTACTATTTCGTCATGTGTCAAGACATGGGGAGAAAAACCTGACTTAGATTTCTGTTCATTTATTCTTGCTGTGAAACAAACATCACTGGAGTAGTAGGTTTCTTAATTTGTCTGAGTGCAGACCACACAGCGGGGGTTTTGACATTCCTCTCACTAACCTCTCACCACCCTGTACTCTAGAGAATCCTCCTTGGCTCAATTATAAACCCCCTATACAATCCTTTCCCCTGTTGGGTCTTTGTCCACACAGGAGTGAGTTTCCTGAGCCAAACTGATCCATCAACATTCATGAGATGGGCTGACAGAAGTGTTTTTAACACCTTTGGTTATGAGCAGAGGCAGCGCCAGATGTGCTGTGAACGCAGCTCAAACCTGAACACAACGTGGTAACATTACGGCGTGGTAATTTTTTGAGCAGAGAGAACTCGGCTCCACATCAGCAACATGTGGCACCTGCTTTTTAAGGAGCTAACGTACCTTTTCTGTCTTATTCAATGTGTCGTCACGCGTGGGTGTGTGTATGTTTCAGTGTGACAGGCTCTGAACACATCCCTGCATATGTGTAATGTTTGTATATCTGCTCGTGTGCGTGTACCTACCTGTGTGCGACCTTGTGCAAAAGTGTGATAGGTATCAGTGAAGGTTTCCCACACCAGTTTAATCTGTTTATCCTCTGAATAAGATTGTGAATCATTACAATGCAGAGCTAGCTGCTTCTATCTGCCGGGAGACTTCAGCTGCTTCCCAGTTTGTTACAGAATGTTTCACCTTACGGGTCCTGGAGGGCTGCGGTGTCGGCTGCTTTTCATCTTGCTCTTTTAATTAGTGACTGATTCAGATCTGGCTAGGTGATCCCAGTGTCTGGCCAATCAATGAGGGAATTAATGGAAGCGCTGGTGCGGGCAGAGTCAAGCAGCATGGTGGCTTTGCGACTACTGGCTCAAGATGGGATGAGAAAATAATCCAGTAAATGTTACTGTGTAAAAAAAAACTAACAACGCAGTAATTGTTCTGTGCCTTAACAGGATTCTGCTAAATTCTGAATATTCCCAGACTTATTTCAACTGTCGCATCACATCTGCTGGGAATTTTCCATCCAATTTGTACCTGATTTTAATCTCAATGCCCGTTTGAAAAAAAATAACCATGAGCCGAGCGTTTCATTCATGAATATACAGTATATTATGTAAATGCACGGCATGAATGCAGGTTTGTTCTCGATGATTGCACTGCACTGATAGCGCTGTAATATTGAAGCTATTTTCCCCAAACCACAAAGACTTCACAGTTTCTGGATGCCTGTCTAAAGGTTGAGCTGTGAGAAATTATTCCTTTTAAAACAAACATAATAAGATAATCCCTCCAGTCGTGCATTATAAGGACAGCTTGACAGAGGGTTCAGGAAGGAAAAGCAACAATGGAAAACAATTTACATGTACATTAGATCCAGTAAATTACGTGGTATTATAGTCAGCCAGAGAGCAGAGGGGGCTGGCTGGGGAGCAGCGCATCAGACCTCTGCTCCTCGCTCTATTAGATGTCAGGTGGTTGAGCTGGAGAAATGAAATATTCCCTCTCCTTGGCCAACCTTAAAGAAAGCACTTCTATTATAAAAGCATTGGCAGTGGCCATACAAACTGTGTAGTCTCCTTACCAAACCATTCCTTTTCATTCAAGCTGAGTTAGTGTAGGCCAGTTAGCTTGCTGAAATAATACCCTGCACTATGTTAGCTGAATTTCTAATGCGAGATCTCCAGACACCAGCCTTTCCACGTGAAAGCATATGACCTTACTGATATTTATGTCTGAGCTCTCATGAGGGTAGTAAACTGTTTGTAGCGGATCTTTTCTGAATGGATGTGTGTTTGTGTGTGTGTGTGTGTTTACATGTGTGTGGGAAGGAGAAGATTAAATACAGTCAGTGGTGAAATATTGTTGTTTATGCACTCTCCCTATCGCTGAAAGTATCCTGTATGTGTGAGTTCGCAATGTCCAGAGGATTAAATGAATGACAGGAGGTTGAGAGATAACATATACATACTCACGCGCACATGCACACACACACATACACACACACACACACACACAAAGTGAATTATCAAAGAAGCCCAGACTGAGTTACAAAGCAAAGAGAAACAACTGACAGGCTTTTTATTCCTAACAGCTGATTTTTCTCTCAGGTTATACAAGTTCATTTTTAAGCATTACTGTAATTACTAGACATGTGTGAGATGATATAAACACATTCTCTGTTAAAGTAATTATACACCCTGAGCTAAAAGCACTGACTTAAGAGATGAGATGTAAAAACGTCAAATAATTCACTGCCGATCATCTATAAAGGATATGATTTCCCATCATTGCTTTTCATGTCTGGTGCACCAGAAACCACAGAGGGTTTACCACTGAAACATTTTCTTTTTTGTGAAAAATGAGGTCAGAGAGTTGTCAGCGCTACACTGATGCAGGGTCCAGGGTCAGCTTCATCTCATTTCTATCAATCCATAGAGGCAAGAGAAACAAGGAGTGTCCTCCCATTCAAGTAATGACATTTATCTCCTGAATGTACGGAAGTCAAGTCCAATTAATTGACAGTGTCTCTTGGCAGAAGCGTTTAATCCAAACCCATGAAGAAATATTTGAATCAAAGGCGAGATACTTTGAACCTTGGAGTGAAGCGCGCTTTGTGTGACCGCATGGAAATTAAAGGGACTTGAAATGTCAGAGTAAAAAATGCCGTTTTGCTGTGAAGAAACATCAAAGTGAGACGTCAAGGTGACTGTTTGGGTTTGCTCTTGTGAAAGGTTACAGAATACAGAGAGGACAAATGCAGACTGAAATCAGATGTCATGTAAAGTCAATAGGGGTTTCACTTTCCTCTCTCCTGTAACACGGCGCTTTAAACAAAGTAATAATCTAGATTTTTTTGCGGCCTGGAGGTGCAATGACATTTCATTTTAAAACCTTCTGGCACATTTACATGTTCAGAATAACTGAAAGAAAAGCATCTGTTTTAATCTTCTTGGATAAAGTAAACATCCCATCGGATATTTATTTGCCCCTGTGCAAATGTCTCATATTTGTAAACCATAATTTATTTTTCATACTCGCTATCAGCAAGCCCCTCAAATTTAACTGTTCCACATAAAAAACGGTGTCACTTTATGAAAGCGACCAGCTCTGATCTGGCTATCAGCCTGTGGCATGTGTAATCTATGAATACTGTGTGTTGCATTTCCCTGTGAAGTATCGGTGTCACAAGGTTTGATAGATGGCTCAGACTCTGCCACCAGAAGGGCTTATGATGACCGTGGCTATCAAGTCCAAGAGAGGCAGCAGAAGCAGCAGGCTTTACTACCGCTGTTTACAGCCATGCAGTAAAAAACACACAGTACTGTATGTCCTGCTGCTGCACGCTGCGCTGCTTGCCGATCACTCTGCACACTCTGCACAATGGGAACAAGAGCCGCTGCCTGCCTGGTGGCTCTTCTTCTCGACAGGGATCAAAGAAATAGAAAGTGAGAGATAGAGAGAGAGAGAGAGAGAGAAATGAGAGGGAGGAAGTAAGGGAGGGGAGGAAGCAGAGAATGAAAGAAGTGCAGGACAAAGACTTGTGTGAAGGGACAGAGTTGGGGAGGGCTGGGGAAGAATAGGCATGGAGTTGTGAAAGAAAAAGAGAGGATAGTTAGTGAAAGTGAGATAGTGAACAAATAAATGAATGAATGAATGAAAGGATGAATAAAACGAGTGACCGAATCAAATGAGTGGGACAGACTGAGTGAAGGAGTGTGTCTGAAAGTGTTCTCGCGTCTGTGTGTATGTGCGTGTGTAAGTCATGTGTGAGTGTGTCAGCGAGTGGATGAGTGGCTGAACAAGTACAGCAGGACAGAGTAGAAGAGAGAGAGAGGGAGAGAGAGAGAGAGAGGGAGAGACAGTGAGATTGGGAGAGAGGGAAAGAGAGGGAGAGAGGATATGTTCCGTCAGAGAGGACACACTCCAGTGGCTGTGATTGAAGTATGGGCCAATTAACACGAGGAGCATTGAGCTCCAGCTGCACTCTTCTCTTCATTCCTCCGCTCCCCCACACGGCCATATTACCCCGCACGACACACACACACACACACACACACCCCTGCACACACATAGACATTGATACATTCACATATATGCTCACAGTGGGCACCACACTGTGCTGGCACTTTATCTTATCTCTCGCTATGGTGCAGCTATGGAACCAAGGAAATTACAGAGGCTACATGAAGCAGTGTTCTCACACTGCGGTCTTAGATGTGGACAAATGCAGGGGAAAAAAGAAGAAGAACGGAAAGTCTTCTCTTTCAGAGGAATGTTTTTTTCCTCTGTACTTACAGAGACTCAAAGAAGCACAGCAATGTCTTCTATTGTTGTACAGTACACTACATATTAGCATGCATATTTCAGATGTTCTGTTTAGCGTGGAAAACTGAACTGGGCTGATTCAGTACAGCTGGTGCCACAGGCAGCAGGCAGCAGGTCCATCTCTCTGCATGACTGACTGGAATGAAGCAGCAGAGCTCGGATGTGGAGCAAAACACAACCTCTGAACACAACACGTCCACAACTTCCACACTCCAGACTCCACAGACCCTGTCCCCATTCACATCTCCCCAGCAGAGCTGATGCAGCACAAGGCCTGGCACACTGCCTCCATTAGAGTTCAGTGGGAGAGAGGGCTCAGAGGTGTGGATGCCAGCAACGGGCTCACTCCTCTTCGCAACTCGCTTTTCCAGAGTCACCGCGGGCGCTCGACGCAGCTGTAGCAAGTAAAGTCAATGGAGCAGAGGGGATCTGAAACTCTAAAACACTGGGGTTGTTTTTCTACCATCACACTGACAAAAAGAATCAATTTTTCATATTTTGTTTAGAGGCTATACAAGTTTTTTTTTTGATTGCCTCTGTGGTGTTTGCAGGCTTCACCATAATCCTCTATAGAGAAATATACCTTCAAAGTGGTTGATTTGCCTTCAGCAACGCTAAACTTCAAGCCTGTTTTAAATTTTAAAAAAGTGAAGGAGCTGTCGCAGAAGCGGTACCCCGTGTAAGCATTAATTACTACAGGTAATAATTTGGAATCACACTGAGCTCATTATGCGCCGTAAATGAAACGTTAAAGCAGCGATATGATGAGATGTTTTCTGATTGAAAAGTGCTGGCAATTTTGGACGAGAAAAAGGAGGCTGGCTCGTCTGCCTGAATGTTTTCTCTCTCATCTTTTTGATTAGCTGTCTCTGTCAGCGGGAGAATATTCCTGCTCTTAAGTGCTCAGTAAATATTCCTCAAGGTGTTTTTAGTTTGCTTCTAACAGTCACTGGCATGAACGCCAGCTTTTGTGCTGCTGTAAATGCCACTTTCTTTGCTTAAGATGACAAACTAAACAGGCTCAGCAGAAAACTAATTGTCCTGCAGATGCAGGGAGATTCTCCTCAACAATGAAGCCCACAATACAAATACTTTGGTGGAAATGTTAATTAAATTTAACGATTTAGACAGTAAATTATTGTTAAAGGTTCCTCAAGGTAAATTCAAAGCTTATAAGTTTTAAAGAACTCCAACAAAATACTCTGATTAAAATGTTAACTTTCAATCCAGTGACATAAAGAAAAGTAAAATGAATTTCAGAAAATATACATCTATGTTAACGTATTAAATATAATATATATATAAACACCTCAGCTGTCACAGGGGCTGAAACAAGCACTGACAGCTTATGGTTTTTAGCTAACACCTTTCTTCGAGTGCCCTTTGAGCTCAGAGTCAACCTAAAAACATTTGGGTCGCTCTGTTGTGAGCGCTGCAGTGATCGCTTGGAACAAGTCTTGCACAACGGCAGCTTTTGCTTGTGAAGAAATTGATGGAATAACTTCAGCACTGAAATATAATATCCCAACTCAGTCACCATTAATATATGTTTAAACCATGGGATCTCAACAGCTGAATATGATCAGAGATCCAATGGTTTCCAAACACCCGTAGCTGTAATCACTTTGGCTCACTCAGAATTACAAGAAAAAGCTTGTTTGGATCCCAAAGAGGAGTTGTGATGGAAACAAGATGATTTTTCCCTAGTTGCAGTGATAATCATGTCTGTGTAATACCATTTCAAATGCATTAGCAAGTTGGACATGTTGCCAGAAATGTACTGAGTTACTTCTGAACAATGTCAGCACGCTATTTGTCTTATCCCTTTGTCTTTGTGTATTGTTGTAATCCACTGGGGAAACATGAGATCTTGATAATAGCGGGGGATCTTTCCACTCCTCTCTCTCTCTCTCTTTTTTATTTTTGTGGTGGCGACCATGACAGCAGCTGTATGGGTGGTATGTTGTCTGGTCTGTGTGGGAACTTCGCACCTACATTATGCCCAAAGTCCTCCATCTGCTGCTCCAGAGTTTTACCATGGATTCAATTGGTGATATACAGTATACCATGATAACAACTGCACACACACACAACTGCGCACACACACACACACACACACACACACACACACACACACACACACACACACACACACACACACACACACACACACACACAAATCTCTAAGGCTATTCTTAACAATAAGGCTACTCAAACTGACAGCACAACCCAACAATAATATATGCTCCACAGCAGCACAAAGTTCTCCCAGGACACTCGCATTTAACACCCCACGGCACGCGCACACACACACACACACACACACACACACAGACATACACACCTGTTGCTGGGCTTGGCCTCTTGCGCCCGTCAATTTTTCTTTATGAAGCCTCCTTGTAGCAGGCTCAGAAACATCTTTAATTCATTGTTCTGTGGGGTGTACACACAGTCCATTTTTACAGTAACAAGCTTTTAGCTTTCCTACACACCAGAAAACTGAACTTTTCATCCTTTATGCCTGGCTAAATGGTGCTTTCTATCCTGTCATCAACCTGTTTCATTATCCGACCAGTTGGAAGGTCACTTACGTATGGGAGCAGCCGCTGAAACTGCATCCCATATCTGTGTCGTATCCTCAACCTGATGGAGACCCCAAATAGCATGTAGATGCGCTACCAACCACATTAGCTCTGCTTTAATTGTTGTTCAAGAAATGATTCCGAAGTTATAAACAACAACAACAAAAATCAACTGTTACTGTCAGCTTGTATGGCGGGGCGACACCTGGTCCTAGTTTGCAGAATATTTGGAACAGCACCACAAACTAGGGCTGTCAACAAATATTCTAAATTCAAATATATTAAAAAATACGAGATTCGAATGTGAAAATTAATATTTGAATATTAAATAAACCGCAGGAAAAAACTGAGTGGGAAAAAAATGAAAAACAAAACAAAAAAACCCCAAAACAAATTAAAACAGCAGCTGCTTTGCGAGTAAGCGCACTGTAACAACAGGTCAGGGACAGGTCACAGGAGCTGCACCTGCAGTGAGACTCGACAAAAACCGTCTGTGGCACATGCAGAGAGAGATGGTGGGATGTTCGGAGCCAAGCTTGGAGAGAGTGGTCTGGACTCCAATGAACTTTAGAAGCTCTGTTTGGAAATTTTTCAAATTTAGGGCAGCAGACATGGTAGACAGAAAACATGCTGAGTGAAATCAAGTTATATGCAAGGCAAGCTGTGTAAGCTAGATATTCAAATATGATTGAACCTATGTGTTATTATTAAAACAAATATTTGAACGTCATTTTGGAGCAATTTTGACAGCCCTACCACACACTGAGGCTGTATTTGTTGTGTTTGGATCAAAGCTTACACTTATAGTCACATCTAAATGAAAATGGAGACGTTATAACAACAACAACAAAAAAAAAACTGAACAGAAGTAAAGGATTAAGTGAATGATCCCCAGCTGGGCAGAATCAGTGCGGTGTGAATTTGTGCATCTTTACACCCCTGCAACCATGTTATACCCCATATATCTATCTCCTAAATAATTCAGTACTACGGGATGGTTAGACCCTGAACACGAGCCTAAAGCACACATTTTTAGAAACAACAACTCACACCTCCAACTGATTCCTCTAACACCAATTCTGTTATGAGAATACAACCTCTGTAGCCCATCTGACTAATTGATCTCAGTTTAAACATTCCCTGGGTTGTTGGAAGCCCCTTGACAAATATATATGCAGTATACACTGAATTGAATCAGCAGCTGGCACAAAGATGGGATCATTTGTAAAGCTAGAAGGGAGAAAAATACACTTAAATTTGAACATTTGCATTTTAACAAAAGACTCATTTATAGTAGGAAATCAAATGAAACTGTAATCTTTTCTCTGTTTCCCATCCTCCTCTCCCTTCACTGTGGGTTTGCTCACTGTAAGCCCCCTCACTGCACACTTTTCATGACTCGGTTTGCAGAATTGGACTACACAATGACTTATAAAGTATATGTAGATGAGGTTTTCATAATGATTTACTTGCATGTTGCTGTACTGCAGCATGCCTCAGCAAGATGTTGCATTTGTGTGTTGGATTACAGGCAGATTGACTCGCTGCAGGGAAAGTGGGTACTGTATACTTTAATACACTGTGTTCATAGTTCCCACAAGGCTCACTGTGATGGAAGGACACAACGTAAACACCTCATGAGAGTGAAATACAGTGACAGGCCAAACAGTAAATGGCTCAATGCTCAGCACCGTAGAAAACAGCTCCAAATGATACAATGTTTCGTATTCCTGCAGCCTCGTTTCTCTCTCATTTTCTCTCTCCCTGTCTCTGTTTCTGTGTCCTCCTCATTCCTTCCTGCCACATCTTCCTTGCCTTAAAGAAAACAAAAAAAAAACAACAAAGCTAGTTTTTTCTCTCCTCTCCCCTTCATTATTACCTTCTCTTTTCTCCTCTCTCCTACTAACAGGTCTGTCTCTCCCTATCTCTCCACACCTCCATCTCTCTTTTTTTTTTACCCGTATCTATCCGCCTCCCCTCATTCGCCCTCTCATTCGCCCTCTCATTCCACTGCTCTCTCCTTTTTTCTCTCTGACGACCACCACATCACACACACATCACACACACACACACACACACACACACACACACACATACACACACACACACACACACACACACACCTTGTCCCGTCACTCAAAACAGGAGGTTGGGCAGTGTATTTGTTTAGGCCAAACACGTATACACACCCTTGTAATCAATATTTCTTTTCCTGCTCCTCTACTCACATATTTTGCACCATCTCCCAACATCCCTACCCACTTTGTCCTCTCCTTTTCTCCTTGTCTCCTTCTTTCTTACCTCTTTACTTCAAACCATCGGCGAGTCAATCACAAGTCATATCAACTATACTTGGAGAGCCTTTTTATTTTGTTCATTTAACAGCATTCTCCTTCCTTGCTCCGTTCTCTCATCCCTCCCCTGACATTTCTCTTCTCCCCTCTCTCCTCTTTTTTCTTTCTTAACCTAAATGACTCATAAGAGGCAAAGAACTGACGAACTATGACAAAGAAAAGCAATCCTGGATGAAGATGTAAACAGAGGGACAGGAAAACAGAAGCACAGTAAGGTAGATTGACTTCAGAGGGAATATTATGTCAGCGGGCCACTGTTAATCAATACGATTGTGTTTGGTACCTGGAGCCATGAAAATTGGGAGGAGAGATGAGGAATATGAAAAGCCGGAGCCGAGAGATGGAGCGAGGAGAAAGTGAGAAGGAAATGGAGAGAGGGAGGGAGGGCAGTTGGCACCAGAAGTAAATTGAAAATGATGTGCTGTGTTTTTGTGTGTGTGTGGTTCACATATTAACCCTGCTATCTCCCAGGTAGTCATTATCTTCCTGTTGGGTTGTTTGTGCGAGTGTGTGCGTCTAAGTTTGTGCTTTCTGCATTAACCCTCAGAGCTCTCAATCATTGAGCTGCACTCTGGGTGAGGTGTTCTCAGGCATTCATCGGGAGGCATGTATGTATATTCAAACGCTTGCATGCATTTGTCTGTGCGCTGCTGCAGCTGTGTGAGGGCGAGTGTGTTTACAGTGATCTTAATTGTTGTTATCATTCATGCAGCACAATAACCACCTCCGCCCCCATCTTTGTCTCTGTCTGCTATTAACTCTCTCTCCCTCTTGCCCTCCTTTCCTCTAACGGCCGGTTTCTATTTTTCCTCATATTGTTCTTTTTCAGCCCGCAGCCTAAATAGCACCCATTTCATCTTCTCACTGTCTTGCTTTCTTTTCCTTCTCTCTATTGTTTTCTTCACACTGTTTCTCTAAACTCATCGTCCAGTATTTTCTCCAACCAAGCTAACTTTTATTACCCGATGATTGAATTCAGAAGTCATTATCATCTTGCCTGTATGCAGTTCCTGATGCGTTTCTGTCTTCTCTTTCTCGAGCTCTATCTAAAAACTCTATTTTCGCTTTCTTGCTACCTCTTCACCTCGTTCTCTTCTTAATCATTCTTGATTTGATTTGATGTCCTCTGTTCTGGACACCTAAGAAAAAAAATAAGTCTAACTAAATTTTCCTGCTTCTCTTTCACCTCCTTCTGCTATTCTTTTCTGTCTCTTTTTTTTTTTAGGCACCCTCTCTTAGTGCGATATATGTCCGCCTCCCCCCCTCGGCAGGTTGCCATGGTCGCCATACCTACTCTCTCTCTCCTATTGGTCCTGGCAGAGTGGGCAGGTCTGGTGGACGCCTCCCCCCACCTCCTGCTCCGGCCCAGCCCACGGGAGCGAGATGCGGGGGCCATGATGAACTTCAACATTGCCGTGATCCACGCCGGCGCTACGGTGCAGGCAGAGGCGGCAGTGGCGGGCCCTGGGGGAAGGGTGCTCTACCCCGGCTTTGGTCGGGTGTACGGCTCCCTGGGGGAGAGCGTGGTCACCCAGTGGGGCTCTGCTAATGTCATCTGGCTACAGGTTGGACAGTACCTCCTTAACCTCCTGTTCATTCAGCCTGACTTAGAGAACAGAATTACTATGATTGTCCATTATTCACTCTCATTTTCATCACTGGAGCTGAATGGGCAGTACTGCCGAATAAAGCGGGCGTCTAGCTCTGCCCTCTGACCACAGCTCGTATTGTTCACTGGATATGTCATACAGATACCCTCCATATGAATTATGGCGAGTCAATACTCTGCCCTCAATTCTTTTTGTCTCTCTTTTTCCTCTCTCTCTCTCTTTATTATTTCCCAGGTGAACGACAGTAGTCCTAAGACTGTTCTGTCCCAGCTGTGTGAGCTGCTGGCGGCGCGGCCCCTGCAGGGTCTGGTTTACGAAGAGGAAAGGCCCCCTCGGACGGCCTGGGGTCCTTTGGCCCCCATGCTGGAGTTTGTCTCTGCGCAAACAGGACTGCCTATAGTGGCTGTAGGAGGGGGAGCGGGGCTAGGGAGGATGCCACAGGTAGGAGTTGGGAGGTGGGGATCTGGGTGGAAGTGTGAACAGTGTGTGTAATTCTGAGTGTTTGTGTGTGACTGGTGGAGAAAAAAAAAATCAGAGGAATAGAACGTAAATGATCAAGATGTGTGACGGCTAAGGTTTTAATATCAATATAGTAAGAGGTAGGGATGGGAATTGATAAAATTTTATCGATATCGATGCCATTACCGATTCTGCTTATTGATTTGATTCCCTTTACGATCCCCTTATCAATAACTTTCTTTGATTTGAAAAAAAAAAAAAAGTAGACTATAGGTTTTCACCATTAACCCCAAATTTATTGAGTCTCTGATAACAGGAAAAGATGTATGACACCTTCAGTGAGAATCTAAAAATGATCAGACAAAAATGCTATGTGTACAGCATTTCTGGCATGCATTGTGCTCATGTTAACACAGGACATACGTTAGGGTGACCATAATCTAAATCCCCAAAAATAGGGCATTACTATGCGGGGCGGACTTGTATGCGAAACTCTGAGGGTTTTTTTGGGTCAGGTCGAGTGTTTTTTATGCACTTCTAACTCAGTTAAAGGCATATTCTGAATTCCCAAAGACAGTGCATGTATGCGTGCATCACGTCAGTGCCTTTGCTTAGAAGTGGGCAGAGCTGCAGAGAGCACTGATGCGCCGCACTGTTTTATAATGAATGAATACATGTTCCGGACATTTGAAGGATTTTACAAACTCCCCCCGGACAGCCCCCCGAAAGAGGACATGTCAGGGTGTATGGAGGATGTATGGTCACCCTAACATTCGTACCTTCCATGCTGTGCTGAGATGGAGCAAAGGCAGCTGACAACCCTCAGAAAGCATTAAATACATGTGACTCCTTATATTTGATGCCGTGCCCCTTGACAAATGTTTCAGCATGTTGCTGTTGTTTCTACCTTTGCATGTTATCACTGCTCGATCAACGTTGCACTGTTAACGTCTTTCTTAGTAAAATCAAGCCACGCTTTAGATCGTTTTTGCATACTTTTCGTACCATCCGCCATGTTTTATTCTCTGTCTCTGTTCCCGTACACTGGCACTCGCGAGAGCGTTTTTTAAAGCACCCGGAAGAAAGGAATCGTTAAGATAAAATGTAAATGATGTTGATGGATTGAACCATTTGGAACTGGTTTTCAACAAGAACCGGTTCTCGATTCCCATCCTTATTAAGAGAAACGGCGCTGATAAGTGTGTACTGTATATCAAAGCGGTGTTTTAACTGCACTTTAAGCAACGTAGAAGTAAAGTGCAAAAGGTTAGCTGCTTATACTGCCATAACAACTTACAATGTCACAATGTCATGCATTCCTTCTGTGAAGAAAAGGTTTGGGGAAGTGCCGGTGGGACGGAAGGGAAGTTGAAGGTCAGGGTCGCCGATCTGCTGAAACTCTGCAGTGTTTGATCTGTAAATGGCACCAACTGGGGCTGTCGCTCTGCCTCTGATGTTCCTTGGGGGAGGCAATGAGCAGACATGGGTGTGTGTGTGTGTGTGTGTGTGTGTGTGTGTGTGTGTATGACTGAATAAGGATGCTCTGTTTGTGTGCAAGTGTGTATGCACCAGAGAAACGAGTGTCACATGCTTTTCACCACCAAAAGAGGGAAAAACAGAAACAAAAAGCGTTGCATTTTGTGCTTACAAATAACTGTTTTCACCATTTACTCTTGAGGAATTAAATTGTAGCACTTTGATGAACTTCCTTTGAAGATGTACCCTCGCCGTCTTCATCCCCCTCCCCATCCCCAGAACAGACTTTTAGAAACACTCCCCTCTGGACGTCATAGGAGAATTTGTGCAACAATCCTAGTTGTTTTAGCCCTGCAGCTGCACAAGTGCTGCTTCTCTACAAAAACTTCAAGCCCCATGATGCCTCTTTGTTGTGCATAAAGATGCAGCAGTCTTAGAGAAAATGCTTTTTGTTACTTACTTCCTCACTGTATTGTATTTGCATTTAAGACACAACAACAACGCAGGCCGACTAAATGTGAGGTTTGACGCCCAATCTGCTGCTCTCTTTCCCTAATCAGGAATCAGGTTCCATCTTTCTCCAGTTCAGCTCCTCTACTGCCCTCCAATTAGAGGTCATCTTTGAGGTGCTGGAAGAGTACGACTGGACAGCCTTTTCTGTGGTGTCCACACGTCACCATGGCTACCAGGACTTCCTGTCCGTGGTGGAGGGCCTGACGGACGGCTCGTTCATCGGCTGGGAGAAGAAGAGTGTGGTGATCCTGAACGTGACTGACGACCCTGGGGGGGCACGCACGCGCAGGCTGCTGAAGGAGAACGAGGCGCAGGTGAGAAAGGGGGGAGGGAGGGGGGAGAGGGGGGAGGAAAGGGGAGGAAGTGCTGCAAGTCTAATTGGGGGCCCCCTTGACAAACAGGTGGCTTCCCAGCTTTTTCCTTCCTTCTTCGTCTCTCCCTCTGTCCCCCCGCATCTCTCTCCCCTCTCTCCTCTATCCCTCTGTTCTTCTCTTCCCCTCCCATCTGCCAAAGGCATAAAGAGTTCAACGGTACAACCGAAAAACCACGAGTCAACCTGTTGTGCTGGCTGGTTTTTTATGCCGCACTAAATGAAGAGCTCTGTTCAACCTGCTACAAAAGTTATCCACTTAATATATCGGTTCTCAATTTGGCATTGAAGCAGCGCGAAGGTGGAAACTTTTCAACAACCGCTTTCTCACATTTATGGATGGCAGGCTGCTGTCAAAAAGACAAACTCAGCCTTGAACAAACAATGAAACAAAAATCTATATCGATCCCTGTTTGAACTAGAAACCTGATCTTGGCTCCGGTGGTGAAAGAGAATAAAAACACCCAGTTGTATTAACCATTAAGCTATTTTTTAAACTAACAGATATCACAACAAGAATACCGAATGAGTGTTTGTTTGTAACCCTCCAGAGTCTTAAAGCTGTCTCAATCAAGTGAGCTCCCGCTGGAGGTTCACTTTTGTTTAACCTCGATTATTAGACCTTGTGAAATATTCATGGCCACATTATTCCATCAAATAATAACAACCAAATTATTTTTTAACAATTATTTGATGCATCTGTGGCCAATTTTGGCTCAGTTGGCGTAATTTGAAAACTCTGGGAGCTTCCCTGAAAACAGAAGTCTATCAGTCCAGAAACATTTTGGCTCCATGATATTTGTCGGTTATCAGCTGTCTCACAAAGATGAAGACTGAACATCAGAAACGATAACAAAGAACTCCAAGCGAACCCTCTGCCTTTATATGCATTAAAAAAAATAAGAAATAGAAATGTGCATAAGGCGAGCCTGCTTGGTTCATTCTGTTTTGGAGACTTAGCTGTGTTATTTTCAAGGCTTGACATCCAGGTCCAAATGTTCTACCAAAACAAGTTTGCCCTTTACACTTTTCTGCAAGTGTGCCATAGAGGGTTGTGATTTGTTTAAACAGATACAAACAAATAGGAGAGTTTTTCCCTTACTGCAGGGTTATGTGTTGAAGACCTGTGTCTGGCAGCTCTGAGAATTTTGAAGTATGGGTCAGGCTGTTCAGGATTAGTGATGAATGACCTGCTGGTACTGTTAGGCCTCTGCTTATTAGAAATGTGCCACTCCTTTTTCAGTCATATCCAACAACTCCCTCTTTTCTCTTTCTGCGTATCTATCTTTCCATCAAAGGATTTGTTAACATGATCTATTATTCTCAGATTATTTGTGTGGTAAAAACACAGATTTAAATCGACATTATTCTGACCAGAATGACTTGTGGTTTTAGCTTGTACCTCTAGTGTGTTTCATTCTTACATACTGTATGCTTGATCCTTCTCCTACCCCTTTAGCCTGCTTCCCCTCCTTTCCCAACGTCTCTCCAACTTCCCTACTCACTTCCATACCCACTTCCCTTGTCTCATCTTTCTCCCCTCAACACTTTCTGTATCTTTTCTTACCCAGTCATCCTCCCTTTAACCCCCTCTTTGACCTCCTGATCCTACAGCTCAATTTTTCACTCACCTCTGTATCTTTAGACTCTCATACTCCACTCCCTCCTTTCCTCCCCTCTCTGCCTCTCCCCCCCTCCTGCATTTCTTTGCCTGGAGACAAGCTCACTCTCCTCTGCTGCTTTCCTGTTAACCTCCATCTCTGTTGGCTATCTTTCATTCCTCCGCTCCATTCGTCCATTTCTCTCGCTGAATGTCTTACCGGCCACAGTCTCTGCTCTTTGCTGGCTCGGTTTAGTTTGGGTCTCAATGTCATCACTTATGTCCCAGCATGGCCACTGCAGCTCTGTGTGTGTGTGTGTGAGAGAGAGAAAGTGTGTGTTTTTGTATGTGTAAGTGTGCGCATGTGTATTGGATTCCTTAGACTCTACTCTGCTAGTGTCACTGTTAATGTAACACACTGCCTGCAGCGGGTTGCCTATTTGCAGTGCTCGCTTTCTAACCTTCTTGCTTTTCACAACAGTTCCCTTCTTTAGCATTTCTCCTCCTGCAGGGCTAATAAATGCTTCTGATTGCTTAGTGATGTAGTGTATGTTTGCATTACATGCCTTCTCTCTTTCTTTCTCTCTTGCTCTCTGCCACATACGGTAATGCTCGGGTCTCTGGGTCAATTCCTTCTCAAATCTCTCACTGCCTATCTTTTGTTCCATTCCTCCTCCAGCTTCTGCCGTGTCAGTATTTCTTCTGCTCTCTCTGTCTCCATTTCCCGTCTTTGGATATCATGTGTGTGTTTATAACTCTGATTCTCTTCTCCCCTCTTTAATTCGGTCTCCCTTTCTGTCTGTTGCCCTCGTCCTTCCCTCATTCCTCCTCCTCCTCCTCCTCCCTCTGTCACTCTCATTCCCTGGCTAATTCACTGGAGGTTTATTGGCACACAGGCAGGATTGTTTTGCCAAGCCATTACAGTTCAAAATTCAATGAATTCTCAAAATGTGCTTTCAGTCTGTTTCTTCGACTCCCTGTTCTCCTCTTCTTCCACAAACGGGTTATCTTTGTCTTGTTGTTATTCGACTCCTCTTCGCTTCTTTCTCCACCGTGTCCTTTTAATGTCTTTTCTATCATTTTTAATTCTCTCACTCACTTTCTTTGTGGGTATTTGTCAGCATTTAACTCTCTCCATCGCTCTTTCTGTTCTATCTTTTCTTGTCGATCCATTTCCACTCTAACCCTTTAAAACCCTTCAGTCCATTTCCACACTCCCTGCTCCTCTTGCAGCTAAAAAGCTCACACTGTCACCGCTCTGTATTCTTCTCTGTTTTCTTTTCTCTCTTAATTTTTTTCTTCCTTCTCCTCCTCTCCTTCTAAACTGACTCTAGTACCCAACCCCTTCCTTCTTTAAAAAATCTCTCTTCTCTTCCCAGGCCTGATTTCACCACGTCACCCTTTGCTTTCCTCTGTCACTCCTCCTCCTTTTCTATACACTCCCTTCCATTTTTCACCTCTAATTACCTCTCTACATCTGCTCATTTCACCCCTTCCCGTCTCCCGGTGTCTTCAGGTTTTTTCTCCACCCTGATTTAATAACATATGTCAGAGTTTAACCTCTCCCCCCTTGTTTTCCCTTGGGTGTTTTTTGTCTTTAAACCCCTCTCTCCATTTCCCTGCTCTGCTATTTTCTCTCATTTCCTTTCCCCTTCTCGTTTCGCTCCTGTTTTCATTATTCATAACTGTTTCTTGTAAATTGCCCGAGCTCATTAAACGGTGACCCGTATTGCCTCCCTCCACCCCTGGTTAGCACACATTACATTCAACCATACAGTGGAGTTCTCTCCCTGAACCATTTGCCCCACTCCTATGAGCCTTATCACATCAGCTTACAGCTATCTGTTCTCTTTCCTCCATGTTTCCTCTTGATACAGCCTTTTTCATCCAACCTCTCCCCCTCTCTGTTCAGGTGCACCTCTGCTCCAGCTCTATCTGTCTCCCCTTACTTCTCCCACCCTCTGTCTCTTTCCTCCACGTCTCCCCTGTCCCCTCCTTATCTCACTAGCGTGTATGTGTGTGTGTGTCTCCCCTCGTCCCTGTTCCCTCCCTGCCTTCCTACTGTACCTCCAGGTACGTTTGCTGTACTGCTCCCAGGAGGAGGCCGAGCTGGTTTTCCGAGCTGCCTGGGCTGCAGGTCAGGCCGGAGCCTCGCACATGTGGTTTGCCGTGGGGCCGGCTCTCTCAGGTTTGGGCATGGAGAGCCTGCCTCGGGCTCTTTTTGCAGTGCGGCCCCAGGGGTGGAGAGATGAGCCTCGCCGGAGGATTGCTCGGGGTGTGTCTGTGCTGACTCACGGGGCAGTGGCCATGCGAAAGGATTACGGGACCACAGGAGGGCCAAACTTTGTCACTAACTGCATGACCGACGCCAATCAGACCCAGAGACTGCGAGGCAGGATGAGGTGAGAGGGAGGAGAAAGGCTTTGGAAGAGAAGGATGAATGGAAATAAAGGGGGGGAAAAAACGAATAGAGACAGAATAAGGTGTATTCCATTAAATGAGCTGGTTCTGAGCCAGAGCGAACTGCGAGGTTTATGGGTGGAGTCGGTTGATACTGTGTCAGAGAGCAGGCACAGAGGGGATATCTGAATTTGGAGCTGGCTATCATCCATGCAAAATAGATGTTGTTGGTGCGTGTAGTTGTGAGTTGGCAAAATTACCCCAGCATCTGTAGCAAGCGGACCATGTCTCATGTATATTAATGAGCCGGCCTTAATATATTCCTTGTAGGCTGTGCAAACAGGCAGCAGCTTACTCTAACAGGTAGCACAAGTGATTCTGGTAATTATCTTGGTTTATTTTCTACACCAGTCATTCTTGACTCACATACACACCATAGACATTCGAATAAATAAAAAAGACAACACCGAGGTTAGTCGGTTTGTAAATGAGCTTAACTCAAAGAAGTCTGCTGTAGTTTTTAGTAAATGGAGCACAGCACAAACAGAGAGCATGTTTAAGGGAAATACTGAATGTGCACTTCCTTCTTTGTCGATGAACTATCTCAAGAAACAGAGGGGGAAGATGTTTTCATTTGCATTTTTTTGCACTGCTACCTGCTGTTCACTGTCTGTAACTACAAGCTGCTGTTCCATATAAGACTCCCTCCCTCCCTGTCATAGAAAAAAACATCAAGTTTTGGGTTTTGAAGCCAACAAGATGAAACAAGGAGACAATCAGAGGGTCTGTCCTGTGTGATAATCAAACTGTAGAGCTCACAGCTGATTCAAAGAGCAGCAGTTGTTCGACTTCAAAGGACCTGACATCTTTACGTGTCTGATCATTTGTCTGTAGATATGATTAACAGACAAGCCCCTCGCCGTCACCAAAGATGTGCTGTGACTTTGTTTCAAGTGGAAAATACAACAAAACAGGCTTTCTGTTGAATCAAAACAACCATATGATTTCCATTCGTTCCCCCTAGAATACACAGCTTACTGTCTGCTATAACTTGACACTTACTGTCTTTATTCTTCCTCGGTCTCCTCCATTGCCATGCAGATATTTCAGCAACATCACGCTCGGTGGCCGAGACTACTCCTTCAATGCTGATGGTTATCTGTCCAACCCCTTTCTGGACGTGATTTCCTGGACACCTGGACGCGGATGGGAAGATGTAAGGACATGAGATTAGTTCTTTATTTCTTATAGTGCACTCTTCTGATTTTTATGAATGGTTTCTGATTAGCATTACACAATTGCTTTTTTACACCTCTAATAGTGTATTCACCTACAAGCGTCATTTTGTCCTCTCTGAGCGAGAGCAAGGACAGAAGTGCCAGAAGCAATTGAACCTAGAGCGGCTTTTTATGCTGACTTGAGCAACATTATTGGGTCTTCACCTCTTCATGTGAGCTAGAGAGGCAAATTTCTGCTGCACCAGGATCTGAAACAAGCATATGAACCTGACAGTGAGGAGAGTTAGATCCCATGGCTGTCTTTTTTCATGTAAAGTTCAGTGTGGCTCTCGGTGCCTGAGGCAGAGAAAAATAGCTGACTGTTGACCGCTTGACCGTACTTTGTCTGCTCCTTCTGTACTGATCAGGTTCTGCTGTCTCTTTATATCTGTGCTTTACAGGTTATAGCACACTCACAAAATACCACAAAAGCACACAGACATCAATATCTGCGATGTCTCACAGATTTTACAAACTGTTTAAAGATTTGTATAATTCTTTTTCATTCCATTGAGTATATACAAGTTTGTGAGGACAATGTCAATCTGGCTGAATGAGTAATTGTAAGGCTTGACCAAGTGCCCAAATACACTACAATGAAGCAATAATTAAAATATATCTATATATAAAATCAAAGACTAAAGGGTCACATCTTTTCAGGTCTGTGCTACTTTGCAAGATGTGCTACATGAAAATAAAATACAGTGTAAATAAGACAAACATGAAGGAAAGACAAATGCTAAATAAGCAAAACGGTAGAAAAAATATATAAATCGCAATATATCGCATCGCAATACTCACTGTATTGCACAATGTTAAAAATCGCAATAATAATGTATCCTGATAATATTGTATCGTGGGGCCACTAGGATTCCCACCCCTAACATCTATAATGTGTTAGTTCCTGAAGGCTCCAGTTATAAAGCATTACCATCATTTGTTTGATTCCATATTTATCAATGTGACAGTAAAGTGGGGTTGCTGCACAGGTTTTAAAAGAAGATATCAGACTTTTTTAAGACTTTAATGCAGGGCTTGACAGTGCGACCGTTTCATTCGAATTTGCGACAAAAAAAATCAGCCGAGTTCTTTTCAAATAATAGTACTTAAGTTAACCAATAAGACACACCTCTTTATTTCCCTAATTTGTCCTCTAAAAATTTTTGTGTTAAATTTAAAAGCAAATTTTAAAAATTTTCTTCAATAGCGTCCATTACATGTGGGGCCACTTGGGAAATTGATTTCAAACAATAGTACTGACCAATAGGACACACATTATTTGATCAATTTTCATGTGCCCCTAAAGTTCTTTGCGTGCTCCTTACTTTTTCAACTTCGGAGCACATGTGCTCCTTGTGAAAAACGTTAGTGTCAAGCCCTGCTTTAATGAGACCCAAACAAAGACACTGTCATAGCAATGTTGCCCTTTACTTAACTGTGGCATTTTTAACTACAAATCAACATTTAAAAACTTTTTTCGCATCTTGCAAGTTGCCGATAATTCTGGTTTTGTCCAACATTTCCCTTTTTATTTCATCTTGACCCAAAATTCCCTTAAACCTGCACTTTGTGAATGCATACCAAATATGCTGCAGTCAACACTTATAAGTGTCATATGAACAATAAATTCCACGAAAATAAATTAAATGAAATCTAAATGCAAACTTGACGGTGTGCATTTGTTCTAGTTTTCAGAGATGTGTCAGCCAAAGAGCGATCTGAAGTTTAAGACCTCACTCAAGGAAAAAAAAGATAAATAAATAAAAAAAACCTCTGAGACATTTTATGAACTTGAATTTTAAAAACCTAATTTGAGGCCCTTCACAGGAACCATGAAAAGCTGGGAGCTCACAGTTCAAGTTGTTCAAATCAAAAGGCGATCCTTTCAAGCTCCTGTGAGGAGTTTTTTTGACATTTATGAAATAGACTGAAATTCATGTTGATGCCTTTTCATGATATCCAAAGGCAAATAAGTCCATCAGCAACAAGACTGATGTTTTTATTTTCTTATTATTATTAATGCCTGAAAAACTGATGCGAGGGGGTAGGTGTCAGCCAAGCAGCTCGAGAAACAACGCTAGATATTTACTCTAAATAACACAATTGACAATCCAAAGTCAGCAGGATGAGTTCTTTTTTTGTCAAAAATCACTCTTGGAAGTCTTTACAAATCAGAGTTGTTTTCTAGATTTGTTACTGCTAAAAAAAAAAAAACCGTGATCTAACCATGAAGAAAGAGAAGCATAAATAATAGTATGTGTGTCATAGAAAATCAACATAGATCTAATTCTGACAATGTTTTTCAGGTGATAATTTCATGACTAGATGACTGTGTGTTTCTTAAAAGTGGGACAGCTGTCAGGGTATTGCTACATTTCTGAATTTCTTTACATAAAGTGACAGGGAGCAAAAGGAGGACTGGATTCCAAGAGAGTGTCTTCATGATAAGGGTTTCATTTTTGAGAAAATCACTGGCTACTAATCGTTCATATCTGTGAGACTTTTTGTGCTGTTCATTCAGGGAGGAAACAAAGCGGTGTTTCATTTTTGTCAAATTAAACATTTTGTCTTTGTTGTTAAACTGTAGCATAAGGAGATAATAAAACTGGTCTCAATTATAATTCCTGAGGAACTCCATAATTCATTCTTGAGTGAGGGAAAACATGCTCTTCCACAGACATTGAAAAAAACAACTTTTGATCAGTCAAAAACGTATAATTTCAAAGTTACCTCGGATTTACCGACCCAGTGCTGCAGCCTCTCAATCTCAGTTTTATAACCAGCTGTATCAGATGCTACAATTAAATCCAGCAGCACAAAAAAACTGCAAACACCAGTGTTAGCTACACTCACATATTCTCAAAAGACCACTGGCCTCGCTCTCAGCACAGTCTCAGCTCATTTCTTTGCTAATTTGTACATGACTTTGAAGAGGTGACTGTGGCTTAATCCCCCCCATCATTGAATGATTCAAGTGATGGTCAGTGTCAGGTGAAGGGATTCTTTATGCTTCCTGTGCACATGTTGGTAAATAATAATTGTTATTTGACAGACTATAAATATGTAAATCTATCACTGAATCAGTAAGGAAAGTAATCAATTGCTGCAGCCCTGTAGTCATGTAGCTCGCAGCTCATACATTTTATTATTAGTAATTTTGCAGAAAGCGGTGTTTTGGATTTGCTCTGTTGATCAGAAGTTGCTGATTTGCTGCCTGTGTTGGGAGGCTTTTATCTGTAAAATGAAATGCAGATTTAAACAGCGCTGCAGATTTGTGGATGTTATTACCATCTGGTTGTCGACCATTGTTTTGCGCGTTTGAGTGTCTTGTCTGCATAACCATATGCACAGTCTAGCAAGCACGAGTACCCCTGGCACGTCATGCATATTCTGTAAAGCTGTGATAAATCTGTAGTATGAAGCCTTGTCACCTGTTGGAGATGTTTCTTTTTCTTTAATACGCCAGGATTGCACCCCTGTCAGGGTCAGAGGAGAAAGCGATCCTCATTTTCTCAAGCACACAGCAGTACCTCAACACCCCACAGTACATGCATCCTCGTATACACTACAACTGCACATAATCACCAACGTCGCACAAATACAAATACAGATGCACTCCCACATTAGATCACACACAAATACACACACTGGTGGTTCTCAGCCTCCTGCTGTTTTTAACAGCCCACCAGAGTCCAGTCTCAGCGTGGCGTAACATGCTGACTCCTGCCATATCCCTCAAATCCCTTTCAATTAGAAGCTCCTGTGCTGGTCCTTCGACTATGAGCAAACCAAGGGTAAAAAACCCGCCCACGTCCACGCAAACACACAAACAGCTCTAACCTCCGCAGACATCGACACGTGTGCGCACAAATTAGGACACATACTTTACGCTTGCACATAGATACATAACACTCTTCTTGCATAAACCTTATTGCAGGCACACACAACACAATGAGGATAAGACGCCTGTATCTGCCTATTATGCACATCCACGCTGTTGGCTCTCCCTGAATATTTAATGTTCTCTTTACAATGACTGCACCATTACCAAGAGCCTGGGAGCACCCAGCTTAGCTTACTGAAACACTGCAGACTTGTGCTTAAGGTTGTACAGCATGAGCACGGCTTGTTTCAGCAATAGATCCAGCCAACTGAGGTGGAAATTTCAGGATATTACTGGAAATTATTGAACATGTATTAATGGTGCCCACAGCTGATAAAGGATAACATTTGGTTTAAAGTTGTTACCAGTAATAAAACTTTTGCTCCACAGCAGAATCCTCTCTCTGCCTGGAAAATACACCAGCAATTAAAAAACTGTGACGCTGTAGTTTTTGGCTGTTCTTTTTCAGACATCTGTGTGGTTCTCGGTTAGTGTTTTTTCTCTGGCTACTGGTTGGATAGTTAGTTGGGTGTTCTTTTGTAAGCGCTATCTGTTTCCTGTCTGTATTTTCCCTGAATGTGGTGTGACTGAATGTCTGTTGCAAAGCTGCTGCGGTCGAAGCGCAGTCGAAAATCCTGTCATTGTTGCCACCTCCTCTTCTTAACTCTGCCAGCACTTGCACTACTCTGACAGGCAGGCTGCAGGAGGCTGCCAACTTTACTTTACTTTACTGACCTGCTTAAGCTGCATTTGCATTCTTGTGTGTTTATTTTGACTGTATGTTTTCATATGTTTATATATGGTTTTCTATAAGTATACAGTTTTTAAGCACATTTTCTATTGTGCGTATTGACTCTGAGACGCTTGTCAGCATACTTAGACAAGACTTTTATTGGGTGATCATGCCAAGATGTGTCGAGTTGTGCTTTTGGAGGAAAGCTGACAAAACACGACTGGCATTAAATCTCTATGGGTGTGGTTAAGCCTCATGCTGCTTTCAAATTGTCTGACAATGCCAGGCGCCAATACCCAACACATGCAGAGTGCATATTAACAACGTAGAGAGAATATGAAAACAATGATACCGCCAAAGGGATCCTTGACAGACATTTTCAGGCCAGCAGTGGACACAGAGCAACGCTGTCTCAGGGCATCATCCCAAAACAGATTTTACTGATCATACATAAAGGGCATTTGAAGCCATGGCTACTCTCTCTGAGTGTGTGCCTATCCAATCATTAAAATCCTCCAAAAATGTATTTTCATGCGAGGCTTTGAGACCCCGCAGAACTGCATCTATCGCCACAGCTCCCCCAGTCAAGCCTATTGTTTTGTGGGCCATAAATCTATAAGTTGTTTGCTTTCATCACACTCAAAGCCATATGTAAATTATTATTTTGTTCAAAGAGCGATATGACACCAGGGTAAATTAGTAGCGCAAACATATCTGGAGAACCGCAGTAACCCCATCAATCAGTCCACAAATACATCAGGTAAAGCTTCCAGCTGACATTACGATGAATATTCAGAAGATGGAGTTAAAAAAAAAAGCAAACAGAAAGTGGGAATAGTTGTCTGTATAATGCCTGTACATTATAATGCAATGTGTAACCACAGCCCTGCAGGAAATGGAACCTTTATGAAGCTTTATATCAGAAGTTCTGCTTTTATTGTGACAACCAAAAGATGTGAATTCATCTTTGTAGTTTGTTCCCCCTCAGAGAAATGAAGGGCGGACATATTTAGTAGTTTAAAAGACAGATTTCTGCTGTGCATCTTTGTTGAATAGTATTTAAAGTATATGTTCAGGGCCATTGCACTGTCAGTGTGAAGCAATAGAGAAAGCTTTTTAGGCTGCAGCTTTAAGTTTGTCTGTAACTACTTATCTGTTTAGATTTTGTACCTTATTTAGTAACTTCACATAATCCTTTTGTAAATGTTTATTTACTTCAAAGTGTTTGGTCCACATTAAGAGGTCAATGGTAAATCGGTGATAGTCAATGATGGCAATAGCTAAATTTCAAATGAAAACCCCCATTACAGTGATTATTTATGTCAACTTGGACCGTTTTAAGTATTGCTTGACTAATGCCATTTGGATTTGTGTCTATGGGCTATGCAAAACACATGACTGACAGCCTTTCTGTCACTTTTTATGTCCATGCTATGGCAGCTCTCACATTAATGTGCAACCAGTGTCAATAGTGACAGTGGTGGTGGTTCATTCTGTAGATGTCTTTGCTTATACAGAGCCAGTTAAGGAAAAGTAACTCGAGTTCAGGGGGGATGAGAGGGGATCCCCCCCTGAAATGAAAATAGTGAAAATCACCCCCTTTCTAAAACGGTCATCACAACTTTCCATTGAGCCACTTGAGCCAATTTTTGTCAATGAATGTGGAAATATTACTATTACTATAACATTAGAAATATTGCCGCCACTTTAACTTTTCGCGGGTGTGACGGAGCGGCGTCCTCAGTGCATGGAGCCACACGCACACGCACACACACACACCAAACATTTCCCTCCCCGCCAGCGTCGCTAATTCCCCACCAAACAGCGCTGCTTTTCCTTGGATAGGGTACTCTAGGGTGCACATTTAGAGCTCTCTCAGTTAACTTAAACATACATTCACATAGATAGTCATCCCTCCACTTACTTGCAGGGCGTCCATCCACGCCATCATGTCGGCTCAAGTTTCCAAATGTGGAAACAGATCGCGTGATTTCCGGGTGTGAAATAGGTGTGTATGGAGGGTCAAAGTGGTCACATGACACAAGAACTATTAATTCCGTTGTAGCTTGCCATGTTATCCCTAAAAGACTAATGCTCCATTGATTTGTGTAAAAACTTAGTAAAAATGGTTAAAACTTACAGAAAAAGGTCTAAAGTTTAAAAATTGTAAAAATGGTTTAAATGTGGGGGAAAAAAAAATCCCAAACTTATGTAATTAAAAACGCCCACTGGGAGGGGCTTAAAACAAGGCCTCCTGGGCCTTTCAAACAGACTTTTGTATTGCTGCTGTTTTTTTTTGTTTGTTTGTTTGTTTTTTTGTCTCTTGAGTGAGAATCTTGAGTTAGAATGGAACTCTTGCCCTGTTGGCATTTTCATCTTTGCCTTGTACATTTTGTAAATAGAAATTGACCTTTTTCTTTTTTTACCTTTGTTGATATTTTTGCATTGCACCTTGGAAGGCCGGCTGTAAATACTTTTTTTCCTTTTTAAAAAAAAAAATGGCAGCAAGGAGCAGCGCTAGTGATGCTGTTGCGATAAATCAGTATCATGGCCAAGAGACAAGGACCGCTCAATCTGAGGGATTATGTAATATAATAATTATCTTTGTGCTTTAGTAAAAATAAAATGGGTACACAGTTGGTTTCCCACCATGTGCACCGTCATCAGAACAAAATACCTGTCCGAAACAACAAAATCCACCATCCCCCCTGATTAATTTTCACAACTCAACTACTGGTTACTCCAATATTATTTTGACATTATCATTGTGTCTGAAGACTTTTAATGTTCACTCGGTACCAAAACTATCTTAAAGTCACTGACTCAAAGCTTAAAACAATAGCTTTTTAAGAACCTTATAGCCATCATGCCAACGGACACCTCTTCCTGATTTAACATGCTAGCAATTTGAGGCCATAGATAAACTTGCTGTGTTGCCTGGAGTTTGCGTTTGCGTATTTAGCAGCATGTGAATCTTCAATTTAAAGGAGAAAAATGTAAAGTTTTAAGTTGCACATTTACCTTTAGCTGCTACCTCGCTGCACTCCAGATAGCTTCACTGAGGACGCCGGTTGTGATCACATGGACAACAGCGGTGTTTGTCTTCACACAGCAGGTTAAACAACCAAACAAAACAAGCACAAAACCGAGTGGTTTGCTGTCATTGTCTTGTCGGTTTTGAGCCGAAAACCTCAGGAAATAATGTTGGGTTTGAGTTACAGGTGGCAGCTTGCTCTCCTGACACATCTGAGACCGACCGTAGCACTCCTAAGAGAAAAAAAATTCATGTCTTCATCCCCACCCTGGAATAGATTTTAAATTATTTTCATGAAAATATGTATTTTTCTGCTCGTCACCTGGCTAACAACTTACTTGAATTGATGTAAATGAAGTTATAAAGCAACAATGTAAGTCCCGCAGCTAAAATAGGAGTCTTATCAACATTATGGGAGCATTTTCCTTCACATCGCAGTCTTAACATTTTCCTGCCTCACTATAATAAATCACTCTTAACATTTACATTCACTGTAAAGCTTTTATACCAGCTTTTTTTTTCAAATGAAATTCTCATAAGATGCAGAAAATAACAGCAGCACCTGCATAAAGTCCTTTTCTCTGTTTCTTTTCTGTTGGCATTTTCTCTCCACTCACTCACCCAGTCCAGTACTGTCAAAGCCTATACCATGTTTCTGTTTTTGTGGTTTCTCTGTGTCTCGTTCACTCTGCTCCTTGTCTGTTCAAACATGCCTCGCCAAAACTGATGTTTTTATTTCTGATCCACCTACTTCTAATATATCTTTTGCCTGTTTCATCAGGTAGGCTGGTGGGAGAATGGTGTTCTCAGGCTTCGGTATCCAGCCTGGTCCCGCTATGGGCCGTTCCTTAAACCACCCGATGACGCCCAGCACCTGAGAGTTGTCACACTGGAGGAAAGGCCATTTGTCATTGTGGAGCTTGCAGACCCTGCATCTGGGACTTGCATCCGTGACTCAGTGCCCTGCCGACGACCCCTTAATGCCAGGTTTGAATTGTTTTGAATGTTAGATATTTTTCCAGAATTACAGTTTTAATTAGTGAAACTTGAGGATACCTTTTTGAGAAATGTAAAACAAACAAACAAAAAAAATGTTTCCATGAGGTATTAGTGGAGATCCTGCGCTCTCATGATGCCATCCTATTGAGGAGACATCAATCACCTATCAGAACTGTGGTTTCTTCATCTCTCGACCATAATCAATAACAGACTGCTCTCTAGAGGATCAGCAGAATGACTCAGGGGTCTGGAATCAGATACGACCACAGTGGAGCTTTATGGTTCATCAGCTTCTGAAGGGATGACAGCAACTATCCTACACTGGTCGATCAAAACTGTCACAGAGGGCTCGGCCACAGAGCTCCTTTCTGTGACCATTTTCTCCTCTTTAGCTAGCTGCCCCTTTCGTTTTGTTCTTTTCCTGTCCTCTCATAATTCATCCAGTTAAAAAAAAATTTAAATATCAATCAATTTTTTTAATTGTTCACCTCAGAAGTGCCAGGACCCATAAATGTCTGCAGCTTTAAATTTTATAATTTTTTTTTCATATCTTTCATCTAATTGTCTGCAGTGCCATCCATGAGGGTGTGGCTCCCATGAAGCAGTGCTGCAAGGGCTTCTGTATTGACATCCTAAAGAGATTGGCCAAGATTGTGGGCTTCACCTATGACCTTTACCTCGTGACCAACGGAAAACACGGGAAGAAAATTGACGGGGTTTGGAACGGCATGATCGGAGAGGCAAGTCATTGTTTATGTGTGTGTTGGAGTGTGGGATGGGTTATTGCTGCCTGCGGTTCCGCCTGTCTTCATTTGTGAGCAATGTGTTCCCGATATTAGTCCTGTGTCACTTTCCTATGTGTGAAATGTGTTTTTGTGTGCCGTTATTTTTTTGTGCCTCTTCATGCTTGTGTTGCATTTTCAGTCAACAAGCTGCGATGTAGCATTCCCCAGCCTGTGCTCCAGCATCCTGGGTGACCAGTTAAACACTATGTGTCACATCAATCGCTGTGAGAGTTATGGCCACTTAAGCACTGCCAGCAATCGGGCAGCTGTCATTTATTACACACATACTCAAACGTCTGAACACACACACATACACACACAAATGTACAGATACAAATGTAGATAATAAAAGAGGGAAGAAACCCAGAGTTACTCACATTTAATGGATTTTTTCATTTTGTTTGTCCATTTGTGTTCGTTAAATGCTACCCTGCTAACCTTTAAAACCAGTATGTTTATTTGTTGACACGTCCTCATTCACATAAACACTCAGAAGTACAAAGACACATTAGCACACATTGTCAGACACCCCCTGGCTGCTTGTGATTAGTCCTTGATATTTTCTTGGCAACACTCTCTGACATCTGTAATGCCATATCAAGAGAGACACAGAAATGCTGGCAGAAAGAGAATATGAACACACACAGACACACACACACACAAAATGACAAGTGTACACATGCTCACAGACATACCAAGATCGATACAAGTGCTGCTGTTTCATTGAAGCGCCCCGCTGTTTCTATCTTTGTCCCAAAGGGAACTTGCTGAATGCCAGTTGTCACAGGTTCCAAAACAGTTCCTCTGAGCTCTCCTGCTCAATCATTTATAGCTTGAGCCCAGGCCAGATCTGTCTGTCAAATCTATTTTCACATGCAAAAGGCCAAGTGAATTTTGTTTTCTCACACTAATGTGCGGTCTTTTGATCAGATGCTCCAAGCCTGCCATTCTTTGATCAGGTAATCCAGAGGCTTGGCAGGATTGAGGGGAGGGGTGCTTTGCTTTCCACTTCACTTCATTTTTCTGCTGATTTGCTCTGAAGAGTGGATGTGCCATGTCTAATGTAGATTAACATTTCACTTGTACAATCAGCAGACACAGCGGTTTTCAGGTTTGCTAGATGGTGGTAAAGAGGAGACATGCCGGAGCTCATTTTGTATGCTAAAGAGATGCACAAGAGACAAGTGTTCCATATTTGTACCAGATTCAATCCTTGGCCTCTCTCATTTAGCCACGTTAGAGAGCGTACAGAGAGGTCAGGGGCCAGAAATGTCGCCTTTTCACCTGGAAATTAATCTATGCGGACTGTAAAACTTTGCCTCTGTTCATTATAACTGCTTCAAGAATTACACATAATTATATACCTCCCTAACCACTTATTCTTATCCCCTTTAGGTGGTGTACAAGCGGGCCGACATGGCCATTGGCTCGCTGACTATCAATGAGGAGAGATCAGAGGTTGTGGATTTCTCGGTCCCTTTTGTGGAGACGGGAATCAGTGTAATGGTCTCCCGTAGCAACGGAACTGTCTCACCATCCGCTTTCTTAGGTAAGAGGCTGTGTTTATGTGAGGCTGCTAGCTGATGTACAGAATCTAATCTAATTGTAAAGTGTTGACTTTGCATAAAAAGCCCCAGTCTTTTGCTGCTGGTCCTTACATCTAGATTAGCTGTTGCCTTTTTTCTGAGCTGCTTGCGTCTTCTCAACTCAGAGTTTCACTCCGTCAGCAGACTCAAGGCTCCAGCGGGAGAACTCTGTTATTGGCCTATAGACTGCATTGAGATGATTGTAAAAAAGAGAGAGTGTTTATGGACTTCTAGAGAATATTTGTGCTCTATTGGCTTCTGTCTCCACTGTGCACAAGGGTCATCTCTGTTTACGGAGAGCACCATGTGCCAAGAAGCTTACCTGTTTTTGGATTAGAAAATTATTATACTCTTAGTGAATAATTAAAGCAGTGCACTGCTGTTTAAGATTTCCTTATGTATTGTGCCAATTCTAATCTCCTGTCTTTTTTCTGAAGAGCCCTACAGTCCAGCTGTGTGGGTGATGATGTTCGTCATGTGCCTGACCGTGGTTGCTGTGACCGTCTTCATTTTTGAGTTCTTCAGCCCTGTGGGCTACAACCGCAGCCTCCAGACTGGCAAGAGTGAGTGTTGGGTCTAAGCTGTGGGTCTTTCTCAGCCTGTGTGTACAGTCTTTAGCTGGATAAACACTTAACTCACTTCTGGATGGTATTTAAAAATATCAAAAGGACTTTTTCTCACATTCAGAATCAGTTTTGTTTCTTTCTAATTCATTTTTTCGCTGTGCTGCTGGTCAGCTGTCACACTAAAAAATGTGTTTCTGGGCATTTTTACTTATAGACACTCTGAATGTGCTGCTCTGAATCTTTAACTGTGGGTTCGGGGAAGAGGAAATGGTACCTCCAGCATGTTGAACTGCGTCCAAATATCCTGGATATTGAAGTAGCCATTTATTATTCAACAGCATAGTTTGTACCCCTGTGATATTCTGTATGCCTGATGCCTCGGTCCAATACCCACCCCGACTCGCCTCTTTTACTGCATGATTGCTGCGCTCTACATAATTTTACCTCTCTGTCATCCTCCCATATATCCCTCTCATTCACTCTCATCTCCCTCCTTCCTTTCTCCTGTACTGCTGTCCTATAAAGGCAGAAGAGTTCGAGTCCTCTGAACGGTGATTTGTACTGGGCGGTTTAATTATTTGTGAGATCACGCAGCAGCTGAATTGAGAACTGTCATCCTCTAAATGTATAGTCACTACCTTATGAGCTTTGGTGTCAAAAAGCCTGCCGGGCATTTTCATATATTGCAGAGGTATTTTACAGATCATTCTAGGAAGTTTAATTTGAATCGTCTGCTTCGTCTGCAGTCAGACACTGCTGAATACACTGTTGTGTTATGTATAGGCTGGATTGCTGTCTCTTTCTGAATCTTTTTACATTTTCCTGTTTTGTCCAGAATCTGGAGGATCTACTTTTACAATAGGGAAGTCTGTATGGCTTTTGTGGGCCATTGTCTTCAACAACTCAGTGCCAGTGGAGAACCCCAGAGGAACCACCAGCAAGATCATGGTGCTGATCTGGGCCTTCTTTGCTGTCATCTTTCTTGCCTCTTACACTGCTAACCTGGCTGCCTTCATGATCCAGGAGGAGTACATTGACACAGTGTCAGGCCTCTCGGACAAAAAGGTACCTCGCCACTTGAATACTGATTAAGTGGGAAAAGCAGGAAGAGAATTAAAGTCTTAGTCTGAGCCAAATCCTGTGCATTTGAGTGTTTAAATTGATTCAAGCACCGGAAATTAGAAAAGAATCAAATCTTGTTTAACGTTACCCCATTACCACACTTCTCAAATACTTAAAAAAGGCGTTTAAGTCCACAGGCTTTTCTCTTTTAAAGATTTGACTGTGTACGGAGTGTCGTAAGTTAGTCTGAAATGTGGACAGAAATAGGTCAGACAGATTGGTGCACAGCCTGCTGTGTCTCATGCCCCTTCTGTCTCCCTCCCTTGCTACCCTTTGCTCCACTAGTTTCAGCATCCCGAGGAGCAGTATCCACCTCTGAAGTTTGGCACGGTGCCAAACGGGAGCACAGAAAAAAACATCCGCTCCAACTACCCAGACATGCACCAGTACATGGGCAAATACAACCAGAGAGGAGTGGAGGATGCCATACTAAACCTCAAGACCGGGTATGTGTGCCAGAACACAACTTTGTTCATTAACTCACATTTACATTTATCTTTGTCACCCACCACATCTCTCTTTTATTTTCCAGTGGCTGGTTTTCCATTAAGGCGCGCTTTACAGATTATTGTGTGATAAATTAAGGAAGTTGTTAAAGTCGCTCAAACTTTCCTCAGGCAATATAAAACGGCATTGTGCTTTGGTTGGCACTATTATTATGCGCACAACACAATTAAGAGCATAACTAAGATGCTCATGTGACAAATTATTAAGTACAGATTTATAAAGAACAGGAAAAGACTCAATTTACAAAACAAGTTGCCCTGCCATGTAGAACGTAGAACATTTGGGTTTGGAAATAGCTTTATAAAGGCAAATAAAAAAGACATCCACCAGTAAAATGTTCAATCAAAGTGTTGCCTCTCCAAACCCAATAAAGTGCAGTGATTCTTTAGATTAGATTTTTTTAACAAATACTTCTCTCAGAAGGTGATTTATGGGTGAAATGATGATTATACCTTTATCACTTTAATGATTAAAAACTGAAATTAAAAATGACACTAAATTCTGGAAACTTTCATTTTTCTTGAAAATCAAAGTATCCATCCAAATCCATAAAGCTCAAGTGTATGCAAGGCCAATCAATGATAGAGGGATATTTTTTTTGCGTTGTCTGCTGATGAAATATGATGAAACTAAAAACTCTGACCACAGGCCAAATTAAAATCAGATTTCGACATTGGTCTGCAATACAATCTCACCCCACCAAGTCACTCTGTAAATGTGTGGGAGTGATTGTATCACACAATCTACTTAGAGTAGATAAGGTTGCCCGGTTCTTATAGAGTTGTAGATGTTTATTCCTTCTGATTACGCAAGGGAAGGATTTCTTTCCTCAAGTAGGATTGCTGAAATGCTAACCTTCTGTAATTAGCAGTTGACAATACAATCGAGATTGATCGTGGAGAACGTATTAACTGCATGTCCATTAATCTGTCTAATGAAAATACAGCGTTTGCCATGGTAAATATAATATTTACTATGATTTTATTCGTGTTCTCGTTCTGTCACCAGCAGGCCATCACACACAGGGGCATTCTTTTCAAGTCTGAATAACATTTCACATCTTCTGTCACACTTTTTGCCTTTGCTGCAGTGATTCTCCTCACCTTTTACTCCTTCTCTCTCCTTACACCTTCACTGTTATCTCCCCCCACCCACCTAGTGCAGGCAGCGTTTCCCTCTCCAGTATTTCAGTGGAATCTCTATCACCCGTCATGTGTTGGATAATCCCAGTTTACTTCATCCTAAGCTTCTGTCACCGTGTCTCCCTCCCCGTTGCCTCGACACCACAATTACAACCAAATGTTAGCATGCACAAAAATATAAAAAACTCCTGCTTTGGTCTTGTTGCCCTCTCTCTTCTTATCTTTCTTTTCCTGTTGGTCCTCATCTGTCCTCTTATCTTGCCATTTCTGTCTTTTGTTCTCTTCTTTTTTTGTCCATTCATTCCCCTTCTCACTGTGCCACCTCGGTGTGTCTGTATTTAAACTTTATAATCCACATCACTCTCTGGCTCTATCCCATGTCTTTTCCCCCTGAAGTGTGTAAATCTCCCCCCACCCCTCTCTCTCTCCCTGTCACTGCACTCTCTGCACAGTATAAATCCCCATCCCCCTCCTCCCTCTCCCTCCACCCTCCTGCTCCCTCTTACTCACACATCTTTCCCTGATATCTGCCTTATTTTATTCTCCTTGTGTTTTCCCTCTTTCTTCAAAACCTGTTTTACTATTCCACCCTTCTTCTCTTCTCTTGTTATGATTTAACTTTTCATGCCCTCTCTATCATTCTCTGCGCCTGTCAGCCCTCTTTTTTTTTTTTGCACCTCAACTCTGTTCCCAGGTACATCACAGAAATCCACCTTCATACCTCCTCCCGTCTCGGCCGCTCCCTCCATCCTTCTGTTCCCTCTCCCCCTTTAAATGATGAATGAATTCTCCCTTCGTCCCTTTACAGGAAACTAGATGCTTTTATTTATGATGCTGCAGTATTGAACTATATGGCCAGGAAGGACGAAGGTTGTAAGGTAAGGACTAACTCACACGGGCACTCTTGCTCACACACTCGGATCAATATATGTTTGCCTCTTGGTTAGTTTCTTTAATATCTGCACACTGTCCTTTCTCCAAGGTGATGACCATAGGCTCGGGGAAGGTTTTTGCCACCACAGGCTACGGTATCGCCCTGCACAAAAACTCACGTTGGAAACGTCCTCTTGACCTGGCGCTGCTGCAGCTGGTGGGAGATGGTGAGAACTGTGGGAAGGGGAGGGGAGGGAGGGAGGGAAATAATTAGGACAACAAGGGGCAAAGAGAAGGTTATGGATAATATGGCAGGAGAAAAAAGCGACAGAGAAGACCAAGGGTGGGGGGTGAATGGAGGACACAGGGGGTAGATGAATAAGAGGATCTGAAGTGGTGGATAGGGGCTATTTAAGGTGAACCCAGGGATGGCTGTAAGGTGTTTTGATTGTGACAGAGGGAACGACAGTGTGTTGGAGAGTGCTGATGGTGATACTTAAGGGCTTTGAAGGTCTCTTTATTGGCGACAAGATAGGAGGGTAAATAAAAGCAGTGGTGGGATGCATGGGAATAATATTTGTTTATCTCAAGTATTGCAAAAATGGCTCTGTTGATGAAAGTACTTCAACAGAACTCCTTCCCGGTTTTCACTCCTCACAATCCATCTGACTTCCTCTCTTCTTCTTCCTATGCTGCGCCTGTTAAGAAGAAAAAAAGGATTTAGATTTGTGAGTCAGTGCTGTAAAAAAAGAGGGTCTTCACAACTTGTGCTATGACAGATTTACACTCATTACAGATTAGCAGAGACCGGCTCACACAAAGAGCGTGAGGAAGCGCGAGGAAAAAATAACCGAGGAGAAATGCCTGGAAATACCCTGAACGTGAGATGCAGGAAGGGTACGCAGGAGTGAAAACAGACGTTAAAAAAAAGATATGATAATTGAAAAACTGATATTTATGAGAGCTTTATTAGTTTGTCAGCCTCAAACACTTGTGTTAAGGATTAATGCGTAAGAAGAGAGTTTCAGAGAGGATCTGTTTTTAGCACCAGTTGTCACAACACTAATTCTTGATTGTCATTTTACACAGTCCGCCACACACATTTATTGTCTCAATCGGATGCTGCTTGTTTGGCTTTTTCTCCTTTTTTAAATCAGCTTTGCTTATGGCGTGGCGGACAAAGCCCTTTAGCTGTTTCTGGCGCGCAGACACTTTAGCTGCTTACACACTGATAATGCCAATTTGGTGCCAAGATCTATTAAATAAGGCTGGCGTCTGGAGCTGAATTGTTGGACCTGAGGAAGGGTGTGTGTGTGTGTGTGTGAGTGAATGTGTGTTTGTGCAGCAAAAAACAAGTGAGCCAGGACAGCCTTGACATGCCATGCTTGTTGTTTCGTTAAATTCTCGGTGTATGCCCTTGTCCTTGCGTCTGCTCTATGCAGCACCAGCCCTCAACATCAGCCGCGTACAGGGGGGGCTAGATCTAGAGAAAGGGTGGTTTTGAATGCCGAGGGGTCTAGTCTCAGGCAGGCATTATTTGAGTGGATTACTAAGGAAGAGGATTAGTTTGTTTGGATGTGGAGGGAGGGAGGAAGAGAGGAAAGGAGAGAAGGGGCGAAGTGTGTCCTCAGAGGCTACATCTCAACAACTGCCCTGCGGCTCAAGAACCCGGTGTCACACCTTCAGCCGGGCCCATCGTGTCACTGTGTTACATCAGTTTTGTACCTTGCAGTGTTGAGTCATATCACTTTACAACCGCATTAAGGGGGCACTAGAGATGTCCGGCATTGCTTTATTTTGTTCTCCCCGTTGCAGTCTCTGGTGATTCATACCAAAGCTTAAAGACACGCTCCATTGATCTCACTACAACTGCTTTTTTGATAAGGGCAGAACTGCTGAGTTGCAAGATTTTCCTTTTCCCTTTTATCAGAGCCTCTTCTATTTTTTGCACAGTATCAGGATTTTGATTCCAAGAATATATTATTCAGTGAGCAGATATTAAAATAATGTGAGAAGCTGGCTTTGCAGCTTTGGGCTGGCAGACTGTTTTTCAGAAATCTCGCAATGAATGCTTTGAGAGGTTTGTCATGTTGTGATAAAAGGAGGAGATTGTACAGGTCATGGTTTACTGCTCAACAACAACAACTGTGAAGCTCGGTGTCTCTGGACATCTCTGGCTTCTCGCCACATCTGGCACATTGCAAAACCCAGAACATGCACACAGACACTTGCAAATTTGCATATGCAGGCACACATGGAGACACACAAACAGTTTCTTTCATTGAATAATGTCTTTGTGGTGAATGCCAGCTCTGTGTTTGAAGCGTGCCAGCTTTACCTGACCTGACCTGGCAGAGGCGACAAAGGTGGAGTGTGGATTTGACACACCTGTCAGATTTGGCAGGCCTGAGCTGGCTGTGACTGAGAGGTAGAGACAACCGCCATCACAAAGGTCTAAGAGAAGCTAGAAACAGGCGCTGTGAGAAAGAGTCAGGTAGTAAAAGAGGGAGCACAGGATGAATCACTGGGAGTCAAATGGCAGGGAAGCCAGGAGATGAGACTTAGAGCTTAGAGAAGGGATTCAACTACGGCTTGTGAAGTCGACTCCAGACATGAGACTTCCCGTTTATCTTTGGCCGCCTGGAAGATACCTGTAGTTTTCACATCAGATCACATCAGTGGACACGGAGCAGCTGTTGAAGGGCAGTCCTGCCAATAAACATACTCCGGTTGGGGTAATACTCTGGTGGGAAAAAGGGACCTTTATGTCTCTGAGTTTCTGAGTGTGAAACTGTGACAGGGGTTGAGACCTGATTTTGCCAGTGGGCTGCAGCACAGTGTGCATCTGTTGCTTTAGCTGGGGGCCTCAGCTGATTGGCTAATGATGTTCTACAGGAGACACATTAGCTGGATCGCACAGATGACTGAGTCGGCCTCGTCTTAGTTATGCAAGCACAGCTAATGATGGCACAAATTAAAAGCCGGAGCTGGAGTTTGTAGAGCGGTGTAGTGCTGTGAGTGGATGTGCAACTTGTCAGTTTCGGCCATCAGAGCCTGTGGTGTGCAGGTAATAATTGCAGCGCTGCTCTTCCCGCTTAAGCTCTAATTGTGACAGGAAGCTCTTATTACATGTAGCGTTGGAGAATACTTCCTTTTAATTCCATCATGAATCATACGCTTTGTCTTCTGGGTATCAATCACTATGGTTACACCAGCAACCCTTGTAGCCAGTTACATGTTCAGTTGGACAGCTTGGATTCATTAGGCCTTGAGATCCTCCACGGAAGACAAAATAGTTAGCAAAGCCGTTTGCCTGGTTCCTGGTAGGTTAACAGATGGGAATCTCAAATCCCTCCGAGCTGAGCACCTTGATGGAGATTCTGACCATCCCTCCAGCACAATTAAATGATTATGATCTCCTCCCTCTGCCTCAGTCTATACTCTGTTCCATCCTACCCTATCACTTCTCTTTATTTTCACATTTTCCCTTCTCTTTCTCTTCTCTCATCCTCTTCAAGATGAGGAGTGTTCCTGCTGTTAGTCATAATGACACAATCTCAGCCTCTTGTCCTCCATCTCTGCTCTCCTGGTTGCAGCTTCCTCTAACTCTGTGTCTCTGTGTCAGTCTCATTTCCCCTGACGTGCTTGTGGACACAGAGAATGCTGCTCCTTCTCCGTCTTTGCAAAATATTCTCTCCAACTCTCTCATTACCTCTCTCCCTTTCTTCAGTGCTTGTTCAACCCATCCCACCATCTCACTGAGGCTCCTTGTATCCCTTTCTCCTCCTCTCCTCATTTACTCGAGGTTACAATGTTGAGATTAGGCTGTCGGTGCCATTTTACTTCTCAGTGCAACTTCATTGTTTCAGACTCTCACCCGCTGTCTCAGTCCCCTTTCTCTTTGTTGCTCTGGACACGGTGCTGCTATTTGTATTCTGACCTTTGACCTCAAGAAGTCACCTTGAATAAAGGGCAATACTGTAGACCTGAACTTGGCTGCTTATTATTAGCCTTTCAGTCTGCTTGTGTGTCACCTGTCGCCACCTATTGTCCCTTCTATCTATCTATCTATCTATCTATCTATCTATCTATCTATCTATCTATCTATCTATCTATCTATCTATCTATCTAGTTTGACTTTCTCTTTATATAACATTATTTCTTTCTTCTCTCATTCACCGTCCACTTTTTGCCTATTTTTCTCTTTCTACTGTATTTCTCCACTCTAACCTCATCCCTTTCCTTCCGTCTCCTCCTTCTCCCTCCAATACCCTTCCTCCTTTCTCCAGATGAGATTGAGATGCTGGAGCGCCTCTGGCTGTCAGGTATCTGCCATAATGACAAAATTGAGGTGATGAGCAGTAAACTGGATATCGACAACATGGCTGGAGTCTTCTATATGTTGCTGGTGGCTATGGGCCTCAGTTTGCTGGTGTTTGCCTGGGAACACTTGGTCTACTGGAAGCTTCGACATTGCATGGCCACCAGTTCTGGCAAATTGGACTTTCTCCTGGCAATCAGCAGGGTAAGTGTTTTTGTCTGTGTGCGCGCAATGCTTTCTGGACTTTTGAGCGCAAGTCTGGCTGTTTTATAGCCATTCTGAAAAGTGTTTTAGGGGCGAAAAAGCCCATATCCATATTTTCTCCAGTAACTGGGAGCATGAGATTATGCAGCACTTCTACACGAGGATGATACTGGAACTGGAATGCTTTGCTCAGAATCTGATAAACACACATACGTGAGCATGCGTGCGCCCTTATCTGTTACTGATAGTAAGCGTTCGAAAGTGTGAGGTCTGGGGTCAATTCAATTCCACTCAGTCAATTTAGGAGATTAATTGAAATTCAATTCAGCGCACATCCTGGATATCCTGTTCCTTTGACAGTGACCTTGACAGAAGCAGGCTACACCATATGCATGTGATTACTGTAGCTTCACTTAAAGTAATTTATGCCATTTTAGCACTGTCATAGTCTATGCAGTTGCATATACATTTAAAAAAAATCAAACAGTATGCGTTTTTACTTTAAGTACAAATGGATGTTTATCTAAAAAACAGCAATCTCGCAGTTCTTTTAAAAACTGGAACTTATTAGATTGCTGTTGTATGATTTTCATTATTGTTCGCTCTAATCTCATTTCAGCCTCTAACTGCTTCTCAAGCACATACAGTAATGCAGTTTTCTCTGTAGAGTGTTGCATAAAATCTTTAGCCCGCTGCCTCTGTAGACATCTGTGTTTTTCCTTTTTGCCAATGTTAATCTGCATATTTGTCCACAATTTTGTGCATAATCCTTTTTTTTTTTTACCCCAGGAAATACACTTACCCTCTTTCTTTGTATGTAACTCTGAGTTGTGATTCTAGTTTTTTCCTTGTGGTTTTTTTCAGGGCATGTATAGCTGCTGTAGCTTTGAAGATGAAACAGCGCCAGGTGGAACTAAAACTTTGCCGACTCATCATACTGCGATGGTTACTGTCCCATCACAGCCACATGTTGTCTCAACATCTATGACCAACCCAGCCATCGCCATGGCGCAACAGCAACAGCAACCACAGCAACAGCAACCACAGCCCGTCTACAAAACACCTCTACCGGGCTCTCCTCCCACCGTGGTGCATTCTGGGACAGCACTGGGTCCCCCCAACACCCCCATTTCTGGTGCACCCCTCCCTTGCTCCACCTTCCTGCCCCGACCAGACCGCAGACTGGCCGTGGTGGATCGCTGGAGGCTGCCCAAATCTGCAACAGCCACCAACCCAATGGCTGTAAGGGGAGCCATCACTGACATGGGACCCTTTGCACAGAAAGTCCCACCAAATTGGGCTTCAACTGCTGGAGGGGGTGGGGGACTTGATGGTTATAAGAGATACTATGGTCCCATTGACCCTGAGGGACTGGGGCCCTGCATGGAGCAGCAAGCAGGGTCTCAGACCCCCAAGACTATGCCTAGGGGCCACCCTCAGCCTCCTCCAGCCAGTGTGGCCTTCTACTCAGAGAAGGGCATGGACCACGGGGTGGGGAAGAGGGTAGTGGGAGGTGGCAGTGGAAGTCAGGGGAAAGGGGCCGGTAAATCTCTGGGCACTCCTAGACTGCCTCCTAAGAGTCAGGCCCCTCTGCCTCCTACACCCCCACTGCCACATCCCTCTCCCCCTCTCCCTTCATCCTTTTGGAGGAAGCGAAGGCCCAAGAAGCCCAAAGAGCCTGGGGGGCCGCTGTACGAGAACATTCTACCCCTGGGGCGGAGGGGAGGAGCACGAGAGGGAGTGAGGGAGGGAGGAGGGAGGAGGGCACGCCCCTTCTCTCCCCCACTCTCACTCCCTGTGCCAGTACCCCTCAGCCCCTCTTATACCCCTCCATCCCCTTCTGCGTCCTTGCACTACACTTCTTCGTCCTCTTCGACGACCACTTCATCCACATCCACGTCCTCATCTGCCTCGTCTTCTCGCTCCACCTCTCCCACCTACTCTTACAGTTCCTCCAGGAGCACACGGGACAGGACTGGAGGATTAGATGGAGAGGATGATGATGACGATGAGGAGCTGACAGAGGAGTCAAGCCTCCTTCTCGGCAGGGGGAGGGAAAGGGAACGCTCAATCATCCGGCCTCGTTCCCTCAGCCACGGGCGCCTGCCGCCACCCATACCCCCCAGAAAACCACGCACATCCTGGGGTGACAGAGAGAGGGAGCGGGAGAGGGACAGAGGGGGCAGCCAACTGTCCCAGCTCCAAGAGTGGTGGGCAAGCTGGAGTGAAAGGGAGAGGAGTGGAGCAGGTGGAGAGAGTGAGAGGCATAAAAGGGAAAAGAAAAGGAGGAAAGAGAAGGAAAAAGAGAAGAAGAAAAAGAAAAAGAATAAAAAGAGGAAAAAGAGAGAAGAAAGGGAAAGGGAGCGAGAGAGGGAAAGGAAACGGCAAAAGTTGAAAAAGAAAAAGAAGAAAGCGCTTAAGACAAAGAAAAGAAAGAAATCAATCGGGGGAAGGCGGTCTGAGCCAGAGGAGGGAGACGTAGAGCAAGAGAGGGAAGGAGAGGCAGAGGGAGAGAGGGAAGGAGGAATACAAGACTATTCTTCCTTCTCTACCCAATATCGAAGCACACTTGGAGAGAAAGGCAGGGATTCATGGGAAGGAGACAGAGGTAGACGAGAAGGAGGAGACGAGGGAAATGACAGGGAACAGGAAGACAGCAGCAGAAGCAGGGAGAGGCGTCCGAAATCCTCACGGTCTCATTCAAGACATCATACCCCAAGTAAGCGCTACCCCAACCTCAATAAACTCCCTGCATCAGTCAAATTTTGGGTAAATGGGAGGGGAGGTGATTCTAACACTCCGCCGACATCCCTCCATCCACTTCTTCCATCCTCCAAGAGGAGGAGAAGTGGAGGGACGGACAGAGATGACAGTGGTAGACTTGGAGAGCGGCGTCCTTTATTAATGCATTATGACAAAGAGAAAGCACAGACAAGAGAAGGGCTGTCTTTCCATGAGTGGGACTCTGAGGATGACGAGGATGATGAGGAAGAGGAGGAGGAGGAAGAAAGGGACAGAGTAAGAGAGCGGGTGGAAGATAGAGGAAGGAGAGCAGGTCGGGGAGCAGTTTCTGAGTCAGAGAGAGACAGGGCCAGAGCAGAAGATAGCTATTCAGATGAGGGCTCATCAGGGGAGTTTGGACGCTTTGAGAGATACTGGGAAGGAGGTGCAGGGGGGAGCAGCACTGGGATAGGAGGCATAGGCGGAGGCGGCTGGTTCTTTGGTACCTACCCCTCCAGAGAGAAGGGGGGCAGTATTAACAGCCGGGATGATTCCTTACTGGGGACTCGGGCAGAGGGATGGATCGGTGCTGATTTCTGGGGTTCAGGGCCAGGAGTAGGTTGGGGATCAGGGGGAGGGAGTGGAGGACTTGGCTCACAGTGGCCCCCACCCCCTGCAGCCTTCCCCCCTCCCAGGAGGTACTGGTCTATGGACAAGATCCCTGTGAAGGGAGATAAAAAGTGGAAGAGTGGAGGGGGGAAGTCCAAGGGGCGAGCGAGGGACAGAGGGGAGGAAGCAGGACGGCCCATCTTGTGCTCCTGTAGCCTTTACCCCCAACCACATCCTTACCCACACCCCCACAGCCGCTCGCACACCTCCCACTCGAAGAGGGGAGCCACAGTGCTTTCCCATAGCCAGGAAGAGCTTCTCCCCCACTGCCACAGCTTCAGTGGGGGTTCACGCCCAAAACCTCTGCCCCCCAAACCGGATCCCAGTCAGGGGAAATCAGGCAGCCAATCTAACCTCAGCCTCAGCACACAGCCCACAGACCACCCACCACAGCCCTCACCGTCGCCCCCACAGCAGCCCTCCATGTCTCCAACCGCCCTCCCGATGCCCATCCCACCTCCGCCCTCCTCATCCTCCGTCTCACCACCAGCAGGGGTAGGGATGGCAGGCCAGGGCCAGGCTCAGGCTTCATCCAGTGCCAAACTCCAGTATCAGAGACTACGCTCTGTGCCACAGCCAAGGAGGTTCTACTCCCCCCACCTGCCACTCAAAGCCAAGAGCCTCTGCTCACGCCGAGGTTCGGCCCACTTCTCCAGCCTGGAGAGTGAGGTATGACAGGGGGAGAGGAGAGAGGGAGACGTGGGAGCGAGCACCACTGCTTTTGAAAGCCATGGTACCACGGCAGCCGGAGACAAGGATGACAGCAGAGAACTGGCTGCCCTGGTGTCCATAGGTAATCAATTAGCGACCATCACTGCGGGAACTAACATGGACAGCAGTTCTAATGCTAACACCACTCCGTGTGAGAGCAACGCCAACGCCACACGCTCCATTGTCCGCGTTCTAGTGAAGGCGACAGTGAGACGCCACACAAGGGTGAGTTACATCCGTTTGGATGGTTCCCGTGAAGACGAGAGTGAAGGTGAGTCTGCATCAGTGGGGATCGCAGCACCTGAACTTCTTCTCCGCTCAGAAATGAGCTTTGTGATGTCATCTTCGGTTCTCCTCCCCTCCCCGAGTCACAACTACGGATAAGAGTAGTCTCCAACCTGTGAGTAATGATGTCATATTTGTACACGCACAGTACACACAGCGTTAACACACATATACAAACAGACACACAGACACACACAGATATATGCTCTTAACGTCTCCCTCCCTCTGGCTTTGAGAACACACCTCGGTGGGAAGAGGAGAGACCCACCTACTCCCAAAAAGAGACCAGTGTTTGGTCAACAGACTCTGGCCCCCTGTCCACATTGGCTGTTGGCTTTTGAACTGATTGGGTGACTGCTTCTTGGGTTTCGGAGAGACTGCCCCCTTTTCCCCTTTTGTAAAATCAGTTGATATGAAAAGCAATGCAGTCAGCTCTCACATGCACTCACTGGGCAGCGAGGACAGCGCTGTTTATTAGCCCACAGTGACCTCATGACACCATCAGACCCATCTAGCTCTACCCCAGGACCATCTACGTGATGTCATGTTTTGCTAGAAAACCCTTTTAACCAGTCAGACTTAACAGGAAATCCTTCTCGTTGGAGCTTGTCATGTCAGCTCTGGTCCAACCAGAGTTCAAACACAGTTTAATTATTTAAGAACAAACTGAACTTTAAAAGAGAAATAACAATAAGAACAAAAAAAAAACATGTAGCAGATTTTCTTTAATGTCTGTCTTTTCTTTGTTATTCAGACTTTTCTCCCCATAACCTCTTTTTTATTCTATCAATATATTTCTCTCACTGTGTTAGTGTTTTAATCATGAGGAGGCTGGATGTGGCTAGTATTGGAAGTGGGAATGACTGAATCGCAGTGCCAATTTTCCACTCAAGAGCTTTTAAGCTAGATTCAAGTAATTTATTTTAGATAAAGCCCTGTCATCACTCCCCACATGTGAGCATTGCATAAATCACCATCATGTAAGTGAATGAAGGGGATGATTGGTGCAATATCTGTAATTGGCACTAGATGGCTGCATAATATTTAAATAAGCTTTGGAGACATTAGTGCTAGAGGCTTCTGGTGAGTTTAATAATTGTAGCTATGTGGTGCAGAGGAAGCGGCGTGCAGCTATAACCTTTATTATTTTTATGAAAGTGGCCAGTCAGTATTTATTCTCGGGAAGTAAGGGAATTAAAACAAAGAGCAGTGTAATATAAAAGCTCTCCAAGGATATCATTGAATATCACTATTATATTTTACCTTGGCAGAGTTTGTACGTTTTAGATGGTATGAAGCACAATTATTTATTGTATTTTTCAGACATTTGTGCCACAGTGTAGCTGCACAATCCACAGGAAACATTTTCGGTATTATAGAGAGAAAACTGCTGATTTTGTATTAACTCATGTTGCTATTATTGAAAAAAAAATTGCTGTAACCAAGTTCGAACCACAAAGTACCGCAGACACTTGTGTGGAGGAAATGATCGTCTGCATTTAGTATTCCCCTTGGGCAGATAAGACTGAACAATATACTGCAAAAGTTTCAACTTTTGAGGTGCATACAGTAGCTGAGACTTCACTGAAAGCAGTCAGTAATAACTCCTTTTATCAAGGTTATCAGATGACTGTTTGTCTTTGAGCAATATTCCCACCTTCAATGTGAAAGGGATGCAATGGCACGTCTGTTTGCTGTTTGCATTGTAATTGTTTTTCCTCCAGTTTAAAACGAGGTCATATGTTTCAGCCAGACACAGATGCACCACATCTTCAATGATTTCGCTGTAGGTGCAACAGGCTCCATCTAATTCGGTTGGATGTGATTATAATAAATGAGCCTAAGTCCACAGCACCTGTCCCTGGCTGACCAATATGAATAAAAAATGCTATGCGTTCAAAAGAGAGTGGTGAACTGTAGCATTGTACCTCTCGTGAGCTGTGCCAAAAGCCATTTACTGTGTAAACTGTGCCAATGTTGCCAACATTGCAATGCATATGCCCTCCATTTTCATAAGGTCAACATATCCACCTCATTTCTCACACTAAGACCAGCCACAGCCCAGCTCTTCTTCTATTGTAGTTGAATGTAGCTTTGACATGATGTAGCAAAAGAACACCTACTTTTAGACTTTGTAGCTTTTTGGATGCTATTGATAATGGCTAGAAGAAGGGGGGGTTGACCTGCTATGTGAGGGACTGTGCGTGGTGTTTGTGCATGTTGTCACAGATCGAAGAGTTAGTCGACCTTCTCAATTCCCCTTTTAACTCCTTTTGCCTTTAAGTTAAGGCAGACTGTACTTTTATCTGCACATGGATTGCTTTCTTTCTAGGTCTACGTGGGGCTATTTTTAAAACAACCTGTGATTTTAGAGAAATGCTTTTTGCCTTTACCCATCTTTTGGAAAGCCCCAGAACCATTGCATGTTTAGCTGAATGAAACCTCAAAGATTTGTGGTGGGAGGGTTGTGTAGTTCAATTGTAGCAAATGCTTAGGACCCAGGGCAGCCACTCTACAGTGTGGTAGTACGCTTGCTCTACTCTGCACCCCAACAGTGGAAACCACGGCAACAGTTTGACTGCTTTCTGTGTAGTTGAACAGTCATTTTCAACCAATCAACAGGGCTTAAACCTGGTATGTCATTGAGCATTTTTGATTTCAATTGAGGCGCTAATACTTAAGTCTGTGACTGCATGAACAGAAGTGACTCTTAAAAACCCTCTGGCTTATTTTGTTTAACTATTTTTATTTAATGCTGAGAAAAAAAGAATATATTAAAATATACTATGTTTTTGAGAATGTACCATGTTATACTGTGATTTAACTGAGATATTTTATTGTATTCAATTATCATTTAAATTCTATTATTTATCTATAAAGAAATATATATGTACAAATAAATATATACATATATATACATACAGGTATATATATATATTAGTTAAGTTTGGTATATTTGGAGGAAGTGTTAGATGAAATAGTTTTAAATGTTTTAGCTTTGTAGCGATTCTAGACACTGAAATCATTTTTGAATTTCGATTCCTCCTATATGACTGTGAAGACATTAGTGCCTGTGACAAAAAAGACAAGTAAAAGTCTAAACTCTCTAATCATCTGTATCTACTATAGCTATCAGTCTGTCACTCCTCTCAAACTACCTAACATCACGTTTTTGTCCGTCGCTGCTTTAACACAGCAGTATGTTTCTCTCACACAGTCTGCTGTCTCTTCTGCTTTCTCCTCCTCAGTTCTGTCTCCTGGTTTTTCTTTATTTTAATGAGCTTATGATCATTCTCCACCTCTCCCTTTTTGAAGAGTTATCATATTTTTGATCACATCTCTGTTAATTAACCCACATCCATTATACCTTTGCTTTTTCCCTTTGATCACTTTCTTTTTCAATCAGCTCATTTCTCTGTCCGTCTCACTTAGCAAAAAACAGAGACCAGTAGATACTGTGTTCTTGCTCCTTTTGACTGATTGTTGATGATGATGATGATGATCAATTAATTGATTGATGAAATAATTAATGAACAATGTTACTATAACTGATGTGACTGAAGTGTGTATCTGACGACCATGCCACTGTAGCAAGTCTGGGCTGTACCACACCACCAGCGAGCAAATTAGGCCACAGTTGCTATGGTGTTGCCATGGCACTTTTACAGTGTTACCATGGTGTCCTCCGCACCACCACCACCTGGTGCCTGCTGGGTAATATAGTATAATGTTCTTCACTTTTCTCAAAGCAGTGGTCAAAGATCTGCTCTGCTCCCCTCTGCTCAGCCCTGATCTTAATCAGTGGGAGGTGAAATATTTAAAAGCTCCTCTGCTGAGGGAGCAACATGATGGTGAAGAGTCTGCTGATCTAGACTGGACTGGTTTGGCTTGAAGTGGTCATGATCAAGTATTGATGTTATGCTTATCACATTATCTTATCATTTGTTTATGCTGCCTGCATGCCATCCAAAAAGAAACAGGCTTCATATCACTCACTGATAGCCTCCAACCAGTCAGCAGAGACATGGTTTATGTGTGTCCATGAATGTGTATGTCTTATGGTTTATATTGAGAAGGTAAATGTATGTGTATTGCATGCGCATTGTTCATGCAAAAGCCACTGCGGCATGATTCTGTATTGCTCTCTGCTATCCTCCTGTTTTTCAGAATAACACACGCTCATTTCGCCGTGCATGCATATTTAACACACCGCGTACATCATTCAGCCAATGATCCTCATCTTCCTCTAGCCCTCAGTAAGCTGCAATCTAAAGCATCACTTTAAGTAGTCTGATCATCCCACACAGGCATATGTGTGGCTTTGCAAACATACACAGACACACGCACACACACACACACACACACACACACACACACACACACCAATGTGATTTACTTAGAGTGCATTCGTTGTATGTAATTTACATTTATCTTCCTTTTGACTTCAGTTCATGCACAGTGACTGTTTTGCTTGAGGTAACTGTCTGTCTCCAGTATTGTCCCGCACTCTGTCTTGCACTGTCCTGTCTCCTCTAATCTATCAGAACCTGTTTGTTGTAGCCCCATTCAATTTGTTTGATTGTACTGTGTTGCTCCTCTTTTGATTTACCTTGTTGTCATAATCTGCTTTGGTTTATTAGATTTACTGTCTGGTCAGATATGAATGAACAGTGAGTTGAATAGTCCAGTCCAGCCTAGTGCAGCGCGCTCCAGGCTGGTCTAGTGCCTGAGACCCTTTTGCAGCCTCAAGTGTATCTCCCTTCTCTGTCGACCCATTTACCTGGGAAGCAATGCGTGTGGTGCTCCAGAATTCAAACAGGGTCTTCATTGGCTGTATCGGCCATGAATTATATCAAGGAAACACAGGAGCGCCACACGTTGCACTCACCAGGTTCGGGGTCTGCATGTTGCACCATGAAAAACTTATCCCACCACAATGACAGGGCACATATACCCACAGAAACCAGTGTGTGTTTTCAGCATTGTACAAGGCCCAGTTCTGCCCTAGTAACCTCGCCAACTATAGGCCTACTTATCGGTTGCTAAGGCTGGTTGCTAGTAGGGTGATGTTGCTCCTAGCCCAGACTGGTTTGGTCTATGCCCTAATTTAAATGTGTTAGTTTATTTGACATTGTCTGTCTGGGGTGGGGCTGGAGGGTCAGTGCTGCACTTACTTCCTGAGAATTGCTTCATAAAATCTGATTCTCTTTAATTAATGTCAGTGGTGCTGTGTTTCCTTCCAATTCTTCTGTCACAAACGTGATAATGAAATAAGGGGCTTTGAGACACATCTGTTTGGAGTGCGCTTGTGTATTTTAGAGATTTTTTGACGCCATTCTGTGCCCATTACAGATTCTGACATAGACTTGAATATTTGCTGAAGCAGATCAACCATCCTGTGGCTTTTAAAAGATATACATTATATACAACAACACAGATTTCAGACAGTGTGCTAGCTTTGACTTAGCACTTCAGTTCCTGCTATTAAAGCACCACAATGTCATTTGATACAGTCACATGATAAATTACCTGAAAGCAGCTTTTTAAGGGTTAATTAGTTCTGATACCAAATGCAGGAATTGATATCAGAACAACTATAGTGTATCTGTGTGTATTTTCTCCTCCTACATCCTTTTTTAAACAAGCCATTACACAGTCAAATCTCCTTCAAAGTAAATTTATGGAGAGCTCAAAGAGTAGTTTCTTTGGCTTTCTGACAAGCAGTCCTCTGCCAAAATGTGTGTATATATATGTGTGTGTGTGTATGTGTGTGTGCGTACATGTGCGTGCTTGCTTGAATATATTTCTTCGAGCTTCCTCGGCTCTTGTCAGACTTTTACTTTGATCTGGCCAGAGCTGACCTAACATAATCCACTTCATTCACCCTCAAAGAGAGAAATACACCTAACACTCTGCCTCAACTCTCAACCTCTGCCAAAAGCAGCCAAGTCCGAGCTGCCTGACCAGCCGCCCTGTAGCCACTACAACAAACACATCTGGTTTTTGCTGATCGGAACAGAATTTTAAACAGAGATGGCCCTGATGCAGCCTGATGGGAAGTCATCCACACAGCTTGAATAAAACGTCCATCACTGACTCTTTTTCCAAATGTAAACTATTGCTTTGTTTAAACATGTAGATTCAACAAACCGGAGTTATTATGTTAGGAATAAATTATGTAAAACAAGGTTGAAAAACAGATAGGTGAATCTGAATTTTACTGTCCTTTAATAAAAATCTTTTACCTGTTTCACAGAGCTAGCTTTCAATGTACTCAGAGATACAGCCATTTCTCCAAAATGCTGCCCTGCCAAGCAGTAAACCTCTAAACATCACCTGACACATGATATTCTGTGAGAGTGTTGATGGGGATATTAAATATGTTTTGTTCTGCTCCCTGTGTGCCTGCGATCAGCTAATTAGCCATGCTTTGTCAGTGTGATGGGCTAATGGCTAATTGCATTGTGAGGCCTCTGTGTGTACATGCAGTAATGACTTAACGCTCTAATAAGATCGAGTTACAGGCAGTTGGATCATGTTGTCCCAAAACACTGATCTGAGGTCAGTGTTGTGCTTTTCTCTCTAATGGCTATGGTGGGAGGGTTGAGGGATAAACTGATCCTTTATCTCTCACATGGGATTTCTATCACTTGAATTTTTTTCTATCGTTTATCTCGACCCTCAGTTAGATGCCAGCAGTGATGCTGCTCTCTTTCTTTCTTTCTAAGTGACTGTAAGGATATCAAATACAGAAATGCAACATTGATTCAATTAAAAATGCATTACCTCTGTGAATGCTTCTCAGCTATGCTTTTATCTTGACATTTTAAAATATATGTATGCTCTTTATTGGTCAGTTGATAAATATCTTTTCCCTGCACTGTTTTCTGTTTCTGTTTAATCCTGCCTACCCCCACCTGCTCCGTTCCCTCTCCACCTTCTCCATTCTCCTCCACAACAGCACCTCCCCATCTTCAGTCATTCCTGTTCCAGCTCCACGGTCACACACATACACAGGCATTTGCACACATACAGTAAACAGTGACACACACTCTTGAGCTGCGTGTGGGAATGGAAGGAGTGCGCCGCGTCCCTGCTGAGGTGCAGCAGATTGATCCTGTACTGATCTGCCACCGGGTCCCTGGGGATTTGTAACGCATGTCTGCAGCGCAAGGCTTAACACTTTCTCTCACTTTCTTTCTGTCTTTGTCTCTTTCTCCTTCTGTCGTTCTCCTGCAACACGAGCAATGTCTCTCACTATGCAGTGCAGTGGCCCCCACGCTACAACACCCTCATCCTCCATCTTAATCAGTATTTCTCTTCTCTTTTTTTTTCAATTTTCAATTCTATTTTCCTCTGACTATCTCGGTTGTTTCATTTACTCTCATCTCTGCCCTTCCTTAAAGCCACTCTTGCCCCTGTGTATTTCCATTACTACAGCTGATAATTTCTTTCACTTATCTGACAGTGTCCTGCTCATGTTCAGAGGAATGTGTATCCTCTTACTTGGCGGCTAAATCCATACGTTCATCTAGCGCTCTATTCTTCCACACTTACAGTACATGGCAGGACAGCAGTGTTTCATTATGTGTGCGGAGCCGCAGGGCTCTACAACTCATCAGCTTGATCTCTGGAGTTGAAAAAAACGCCCAAGCACCCTTTCATCCCATGCCTTTCTTTCTTTCTTTCTTTCTTTCTTTCTTTCTTTCTTTCTTTCTTCCCTCTATCCTTCCTTCCATCCTTCCATCCTTCCTTCCTTCCACATTCCTTCCTTCCTTCCTTTCTTCCACATTCCTTCCTTCCCTTTCTTCTTCCATTCTTCCTTCCTTCCTTCCACATTCCTTCCTTTCTTCCTTCCTTCAACATTCCTTCTTTTCTTCCTTTCTTCCTTCCTTCCTTCCCTCCTTCCTTCCTTCCACATTCCTTCCTTCCTTCCTTTCTTCCTTCCTTCCACATTCCTTCCTTCCTTCCTTTCTTCCTTCCTTCAACATTCCTTCTTTTCTTCCTTTCTTCCTTCCTTCCTTCCCTCCTTCCTTCCTTCCACATTCCTTCCTTCCTTCCTTCCTTCCACATTCCTTCCTTCCTTCAACATTCCTTCCTTTCTTCCACATTCCTTTCTTCCTTCCTTCCTTCCTTCCTTCCTTCCTTCCTTCCTGTTGTTGAAGTTAAACAAGCAATTTCTCACTTTCTCTATTTCCACATGAACCACACTGGACTACAACCAAGCACAAATAAGCTAACTGACCCACGCCTTAATCCACACTCTGTGTGCGTGTGTGTGTGTGTCTGTGTGTGTGTCTGTGTGTGTGTCTGTGAGGACATGTATTCTTTAATTTAATCTGTTTTGGATACTGTTGCTTGTGTTTTTATGTGTTTTCATGCTTTTGACAGTTTAAGGACTGGCAGCTTTAATTTGGCTGAATGGGATCTTTTAACTAAAGCAATACTGGTGCAGATGTTGCTTTTTTTGTTCTGCATTATGCTAATGCTGTATAATGCCAATTTTAAGTGGTTCACGCCTCATCCGCCATCCAACAGGGGGAGAAAATATAAGATTTTTTTTATTTTATCTCATTTTTGGATCATTAAAATGTATTAAACAAGAAGTAAAGCATTCATATACAGTTCTGACTCTTTAAAAATGGTCATCACATTTCCCAGAGCCTGAGCCAGGGTCATTTGAGTGTTCATCCTATAGAGAAAGTATAGAAGATATAAAGCAGATAAAAGCCGTCTGAAATGTATTGAAGTCGTTTTTTTCTAGCGAAAAAAGAAACTCAGCTCTTCTCAAAACACTGGCGGGTGAGTTACACTTCATATATAAATCTGCTGTGCACACTTCCAGTTTGTTTAGTGCTCAAAGTATGATACAAAAGGATTTCTTTGTCTCTACTCTCATCGCCAGAGCTTTATGTGCAGAAAAGGCTTTATGTGCTTGGAGATTTTAAGATAAAGCAGTACACCAACAGAAACAGGAGTTTGCTGCATGCAGGTTCAAAGCAATTTCACCACCACATCTAGGACACAATAATTATTCATACCATATTCCTGTTTGTGTGTGTGTGTGCGCACATGTAATGCCACCAGCCCAAAGGGAATTCATCTTAGAAAACTGGGATAAAGATTAAGATATCCTCAGACTTTACCTTGTTCTCCCCTCGCCTCATTATCCAATCGTCCCTCTTACCCTGATTCTCCTGCCCTCTCGCTTTTATCCTTCCCCTTGAGCACATTTGGTAACAGCCTCCTCTTCCTGCCTGCAGCGGTTTGAAAGCTTTTCCTGCCTACAGCTGACGCCTTGAGTTCTTGTTAGTATTTTGCACATACTGTGAATAGTAATACCTTCAGCTCACATGCCTGTTGTGTTCATGTTGGTAGATGATCTATTGGCTTGGCCACGTTCCCAATCTAATTATACTCCGGGCCTGTAACTTTACCTGCAGTACAATCTGCATCCATGAATCATGAATGTTGCATCACCTCGGTCAGAAATAATGAAACCACTGAGAAATGCTGATGTATATTAAGACCCAGAGAAACCCACAATTATTAACGATAATGTCCTTATCTCATTAAAGCAGCTCCTATCCACATTTTAATGCTAATAATGAACTGCATGGGCGCTCGCATGTGAAAGGGATCACTTATACTGATGGGTCCACAGACAGTTATCTACTGTAAAGGTCTATGGAGCATTTTAATGTCTTTCACTTATTATTTGGGGTTTTACAGCTGGTAATTTTATTGTTTTTGATTTACTCTCATTGCTCTATTAGCGTGTACAATTTGGTGGTCTTTTTTAAGACCCTATCTACTAAGCACCAAAAACAGACCCACACAATTAGCAATTAGTTGCTGAACATAGTGGAGCATTTAGAAGCTAAAGAGCCGGATATTTCCCTCAGGAGTTAGTAGAAAAATACAGAGATAAAAGGGAAGTGATTATTGAGCCTAATTTATCAAGTGGCCAGGAACACAAGGCTAAAGTAATGATAGTCTTCCTGTGTAACTGTTGGATAAATAGGCAACTATTCCTGAAAATGATACGATATCAGTGACCAGTTTGCAACTTGTTTTTACCTCGTATAAAGCAAAGATAAATTCCCAACAAACACTCAGCGTAATACATCTTTCTTTTTTTTTTGGCCAAGGAGACAAGCTTAATGCAGAGGCCCAAAACAATGCGTAAGAGACAATGTGGTGCCTCTCCTGCAACAATCTCCCTTTTAGAGATAAATACTCAAATCTATCAATTCCACAAACAAACAAGCTAAATTTAAATAGACAGAGACCGATAAAACTAATGGAAAACACATGCATATCCAGTGACTGCAGCCAATGTTTCAAGACTTGGAGGACCATTAAGTGAAGTAGCTAAAATTTCACTTTGTTAATAGATATTAAGAATGTGAAAGAAAGTTATCTACTGCTACTGCATTGGGTTTAGAGAGGGGATAGAAGCGGGTGAGACTGATGCACATAGTTCCTGGAAAGACAGGCAGGTCCATGGCAGTAAAACGTCTGCAGCAGTGATTCAGAGGAACCTACAGCGTGATGGAGCACAGGGACTCTCTCAAAGTTAATAACAAGAATAGATAGAGGATAGAGAAGGAGAGAAAGGTGCTTAATGTGCCAGTACTCCTGGAAGTCTTAACCTATAGCAGCATAACCAAGGGCTGATCCAAGCCAGAACTTGAGACTATACGCTTTATCACTCAGTCTGATATATTTGACTGGACATGCTGTATAAACATTCCTGTTACCACAAATCAACAAGTTGGTCCTTCATTTCTAAAATCCGTCCATTTAAGTTTTCGTTGTAATCCTTCTTCGTTCTGCCTCGGTAATTGTTTCATTCCGTATGAGAGTATCTGCTTGGCTGTCCTGAGGGTTTTCCCATGCACAACCGGATAAGTAATTATAACTGTAATTATTGAACTTGTTTGATATGTGAAATATTAAATCAGTGCTGCCCCAATTTTTGAAGCAGATCTGGGGAAGGGAGATGACTCTTAATATCCCTCTCACCACGGGAAAATTTGGCAAAATAATCTTGAAAATATTAAAAAAAAACAGGACTTTGCAGACTTTTTGTCAGAAAGGGGGAAATGTGTCCAAAAATCTGTCTGATTCTCTTGTCGTGTGTACCCATCAGTGTGATAGATTCTAAGTACCAGTTTTGATCAATTTTCTGTTTTAGGTCCAAGAATTAAGTCCAAGAAAGACACACACTGAGTGTTTCTTAGTTAGGGTCTCACTGACTTCTCTGCCAAAGCATAAATTCACAGTTAGCAGAAAATGAATAACTTTCTCATAACTTTGGGAAAATTGAACATGGTATCACTGCTGCTTTGTGTAAATGTATCAGCAAGTTTGCTTAGGTGGTCTTTACACGAGTACGAATTTGTAAGACTCCGGTAAAATAAACTATCGATCTGGTGATATTGACACACGGAGACGCGTATTTGTCCATGACTCTGCATCTTTTTTGAAAACCGGTCTGCAAGGTGGATATCTGGGTATTCGTCTCCATGCCGTAGTTGGTGTAAATAGATAAGTCCGGAAAAGACGGTGACCTCATAGCACCCCTCTTCCTCCTCCCCGCCCCCCAACCCACGTTGTCACACACAGCATGTATGAATGTATGCACATGCGCATTCTCTGTTTTTGGTGCTTTGTGGCAATTTCACAGTGTCACCTTTAGGCCGGGTGTATGTACTACAGGATTTTGCGTGGATTTTGCGTTGTCATGTAAATGCACTAAGCCTATGTACAATATGATGTGTAAACAGCGATACATATTTTGGTGCTGACGCCAAGACAATACAGGGTCGTCCTTGTGTGAGGAGGGCCTTAGTTAGCCAACCAGCTAGCAATACTGTTACCTGGAGGTTTAAGGGTTTACAGTTTTAACCCCTACAGGAGTCCCAGGAAGCGCCAGTTTATCAAGGCTGGGGCAAAGGTGGGCTCTGTGAAATTGTTGTGAAAGCTTGACAACAGGAAGCAGTATGAGTCAGCATGAGTAACAGGAGCCAGGAGATTTACACCTCCAGAGCCTAAGCTGGAGGTAATGGAGAAGTTCAGTCCCAGGCTTTATATCGACCAAAAAAAAAAAGAAAAAACTAGGCACTGTATTCCCTGTCCTCAAATGGTCTGGTTTTGGCTGACGTTTGCATGGACAAAGCAAATCTCTGTTAATCTATCAGTAGACTTTGGTTTTTCAAGCTTCACCTTCAAGTCCTGTATGAGTGTGCGAGGCACCTTCTCAGAGGACAGACATGAGTGATACTTTTGGTGCCCTTCCTTACTCACATGAAAGACGTGCAGACCCATTATAATGATTAACAGACTGGACTGAACTGAACAGAACTCCCTGGGGGTAAAACGGCTGTATCAGAACAAGATCTCAGTCATTACAGGTTTGAAGTTGAATACTCTCTGTAAAAAGCTTTATGTGCATCTATCTCAACTATGAACAGATTTATCTATCTTACTTGTCAGTATGTTTCTTTGGAGCATCTGTTTTGGTCGTGAGTGGCAGGTCAGCAGTTAAATAAATATGGAAAGCAGGCTTATTTCCTTCAGTACTTGGGTTTGTAGGCCATGTTGATGGGCATCAGCCGCCTGCCAAATGTCTCATCTGACTGGCATGGAGGCTTGTTGCTCTCTTCCAAAAACACAGCGGACCACTCTTCATTAAAAAGCAAATAGAAGCACACCCCAACAGAAAACCAATACAGGCAAAAGCAGCCAGTTGGTCCTGGAGAAAGACGTTTAACTGGCAGATATGATTACCTCAGACACCACTTCCCCCCACCGATTCCACAAACAACAGTTAGGCAAGTCAATTTACCTTAATTTCATTGGAAGAGAAAGAAAGCCAGCAAGCCAGCCAGGTTGAAGCCGGTGCTTGATGCGAGTGAGCGCTCATTAGATGATAATGGATGCGTGTAATTGGTGAAGTGCTGATTGCTCCCCCAAAAAAGATTCCATCGCAGGAGAATTTTCTGTTTCATTAAGCCATGGTCAGAAATAATAAGATAGCCATCTGTAGAGAGAGAGAGAGACAAGAAGAAGGTAGAGGGCTGTTTATGGAAAGTACCCATGATGAGAGACGGTAGCAACAGTTTGGTATACTGACATATAACAGTAGTTATTGTAAAGATGGCGAGGATTAAGAGAGAAGTCGTGTCTTTTGGGACTATCTTCACTATGGATCAATCCTCCTTTTTTCAGTTTTTATGTTTTTTCATGTCATACAGATGTTTTTCTTTTATCTCCCATTCTGGCTGTGTTTATTCTATTGTTTCTCTGCTCTTAATCATGCAGCTGAATATATGTGTTTTTCATCCTGCTGCGTGTGTGTGTGTCTCCTTGGTTTACGGCTGTAATGTTTCATTCTCTGGCTGCACACCAGCTCTTTTTTATGGCCCAGAATCAAACACTGTAAAGCATGCACTGAAAGGCATGTGAACGCACACTGATACAGACACTGTAGAGCCACAAGTGCTTACTCATCACACCGCATGGAGGGGTTGTGAGCCATTTATGTGCTTTGTTTTTCAATGGCCTGGTTACAGACAAGTGCAGGATCTATAGTTCATATTTGTGTGCCCAATTCTTTCTTTCTTTCTTTCTTTCTTTCTTTCTTTCTTTCTTTCTTTCTATTTGTAACAACAGAACAACAAGATGACTCATCTTAGATAAGATGTATAAAGGGAGTTTCATATGGGCCACAACATGAAGACAGGAATGGCAGTCTTGTAGAAAATGCTCAGTTTGGTTCGAAGGAAAGCACCCTTTCATTTTCAATCAGCTGCTTGTTCTGCATGACTAATGCTGAAATGACATATATCATTGTCAGATAGGGTATGCTCACACAGCTGTTTTTTTTTTGTTAAACACACATAATCATGACAGCCTCCAGCACACACACATATACACATGCTCATTTGTGCACACTAGCTTGCTCTTATCTTGCTGGCTGACACCATTTTGCTCTCTAACAATCTTGCTAATTATAATTGTTAATTAATTCTCTGCCAGTGTCCTCATCAGGAGACTAATAACCTACATTTCCATTAATTAGACCTTCAACCCTTCGCTCCCTCTCCCAGTCTCTCCGTCCCACTCCAATCCACCCCTTCGTCCCCTGCCTGCCTGAAACTCTTCTCTCGCCTGCTGCTCCCATCGCCCAAGGTTGTCCATATAGCATGTGCACACATGCAGAGTGATTAATCGTGTGTGAATGGACAAACTTGTATTACTTGTTGGGACAAGCACTTAACTCAGCCACACTTGTGTGGACTAAACGTACAAGGCTAGCCGGTTGATCCCGCACACAAATAGTCAGTGTTTAAGGTCATTTTTAAACTTTTATTTTATTTCGCTAGGATTTGACCTGCAACGATAATGTCAGACTCAAAATCCTACAGCTAATACAAAGCTGTCATCAGCAAATGGTTGGCTAGCTTAGCATGAACACTACAAACAAGGGAAAACAGCTAGCCTGGCTCTGTACAAAGGTGAAAATAAATCAGTCTACTAGCACCCGTTAAGCCCACTAATTAACACGTTAGAGTAGTCCAAGTCTCTGTTGGTTGCCTGGCAACTGGTTTCAGCCAAGAAATAGTCTGGCACATCTCCTCTGAAAAAGAGCAAATTGTTGTTTTCACCAGAAACAGGGTGTAACGTATTAATCGGTGCCTCTGACAGAGCAAGGGATGCAATTGCTCCAGTTTGCTATCTTGCATATCCATATTCCTGCTACATTTACCAGTCTGCAGACGCGAGAGTCATTTTATTCATTTTGCAAGAAAGCAAAGAAATGTTTTAGACCTGTTTGACTTTCATGAATAAATGCAAGACAAAGTAGTGTGCTCCTTAGTGACAAAACTGGGTTCTTCGTGTGTGTGCGTGTGTGTGTGTGTGCGGCCTTGACAGTATGTGGGCAATCAATGGACAAATAGCCCCTCTCTCTTGGAAACTACTCTTCCCATCAGGCTCAGCTGACCTGGTTTCCGTGCACAGTGGAGCCGTGTTATCATTTCACCACTTGCTCTGATCTCAGAACAAATTGGAAATGCAGTGAACATACTGTTAACTGTTGCAGAAAAGATTAACAGAGTTGTTCATTTTACAGGCCTGTTGATCCCTCAGTCATCTGGATCTGCTGCAAACTCCTCGATTCTTAACAGTTTCTTTCCCGTTTTAGCGCTGCTTAACAAGCCATTTGTCAACTCCTCTGAAGCTTTTGTTCTTTTCTTCCAGACTTCGAACTTTCTGTCTTTTTTTTTTTTTGTTTCCTCTCGCCTTCTGGCACCAGAGGAAGTGAGGGACAGTTGGTGCTTGCTTGTCCATACTGTATTTGTGTTGGCAAAATGGCAGCTTCTGTCTTAACCGTCCTTCTTCCTCTCACCCTCTCCTGAGAGAAGTAACCCAGATTTCCAAATGAATCGCTGCCTATTCCCCTCAATCTCTCTCTCTCTCTCTCTCTCTCTCTCTCTCTCTCTCTCTCTTTCTCACTCTCTCTCTCCATCTCTAGTCCTCTACTTGGTAAAAAGAGAACAAATCTTGGAAAGACAATACCACCTCTCTATCTCGTCCTCCTCCTCACCCTGCCTCTGGGTTAACGGATATACCACTTCACTCTTCTATCTTTGGTTCCTAGACAGCTTGAATCTCGCCAAAAGCTTGTTGCTTTCTTTTTCCTTGTAATTGTTTTTTTTTTTCTTTTCATATTTTAGACTCATTCTTTCATCTTTATCTGCCTCAGCCCCCGCCGCCGCTGCTGCTGCCTTTTCTTTCCCTCTGTCTTTTTTTTATTTTTGAGGTGACCAGCTACAGGTGTGAGACCTTAGCCTTTTCCTTTGAAGTGAGCCAAACGAGGAGAAGAGAGGGAGAGAGGAAGAGAAGAAAGCTATCCTGTAGTTGCAGCTTTCCTCCAAAGTCACAGAGTATTCAGGTACTGTATCTTCTATCCTCTCTGCTGTGTGGGTCTGTGCATTTTTAGTATAGACTTCTTCTTTAAACTGATTTTAAACTAATTTTAGAGTTATTTACCATTAATCTTAGCTTTCCTCGCTTTTGACCTTTTGATTGATTTCCTCCCTGCTTCTTTGCGGAGACACCATTGTTTCATCACATTTTCAACATGTTTTTCGCTAAGGGCTTATTTATTTATTCATTAAATCTCTGTTGGTGTTTCATTTATCATTTAGTGGCACACAATACTTGAGCTACAGGCTCTATCAGCTAATGTTTGCGATTTTTCACACAGACTAAGTCAGTAGGTTTTATTCTTGTCTCAACTTTACTCCAGAAATGGGACTCATTGCTAATAAGGGCAGGGAGGAAGTCAGGAGAGGATACACACTCTAATATTGGAGCAGGTGGTGGGGGTGTTGTTGACATGGCAACAGGAGGTACAGTTGACATGACGACTAGGGGGCAGGGGGTTTGGTATTCATAGCTGCAAGGGTTGTGGAGATAGAAGGGGCACAATGGACGGGCAGTATGTGGGACACAACATGAGTTGCACTAAGAGTGAAGTGTCTCAGGGTCTCTTAGGAGAGTTCTGTCTCCGTACATGAATTAACCTCAATGTCTCTGTTACACCACTCTTTCTCTTTCAGCATACCAGCTCTCCTTTCTTCTTCCTCTGCACTTCTCGTTCATTCTCCCTTCTTTCGATCTTTCTCTTCATCACGTCACATCACCACTGCCTCCCGCCCTCTGTCCCATTGATACAACTTCTGTCTCAACCATGACCCGATGCACTCCCCACCCCACCTCCTCATCTCCCTCCCGTCCCTGCTCCCTCCACTCTTCTCTCTCGTGTGTTCAAGGTCTTTCACCACTGCAGCTCTACACTCTCCTTACCTACGCTAATCAATCTCTCCATCCCTTCCTCTCCGCTGTATCCTCCAGGCATCATGTCCACCCCGGTTTCCCCTCCCCCCTCCCTCACGCCGCTGACACTGGCCTCCCCTACAGTGGCGACCTCCCCCGGTGTCTCCCCTCTGCCCTCGCCGCTCTCCCCTCCACCAAGGGTGCCCGTGTTCCAGAGGAAGGGCGCGCTCAAACACAAGAGGATTGTGGAGGTGAAAGATCATCAGTTCACAGCCCGTTTCTTCAAACAGCCCACCTTCTGCAGCCACTGCACCGACTTTATCTGGTAACACACACTCACAAACACTCACACACACACACACTCTCACACAGACACTGCGGATTCACACAGAAACCAACACCGTCAGTTCATAAACCGCCTCCTCAGGCATCCCACTACTCCATCTGACTCTTACTTTCTTTGCACGTTCCTTTTTCTTCCACCGACTCCAGCTTCCTGCTAAAGAAGCAGCCTACACTCTGTAGCCACCACACTGACCCCATCACATAACCTCACCTCCACATGCAGCCCACACCACACAGAAATTAATTTGGGAACTTTGTATGCCCGAACACATACCCATGTGAAAATAACACATACAGTGCACAAGTTTTTGGGCTTTTCTTGTATGGCATGCACAAACACACAGAGGCAGCAATGGAGGAGGAACTGTTCAGGCCTTAAAATGGTTCTCCATCTACTTAGCTGTTGGAGGTACACATGGGGGACATAAGGTAATAAGAACGGTCAATATTGACTGTAATGACCAGACATGCAATCTAGTATTGGAGAAGCTTCTCATCCCAGATCGCCCGAGTGTAGTAATGCTACAAGGTTACAACCATCGATAAAACTCGCCACTCTGACTTAAGGAGGGGTCATTTTGCAGCATTTTCAATATTCCCCTGGAGACACAAATGTTATAGAACCATTGTCACCAGCTAATACTGCTTTTCCTTTTGAGTAAGCTGGACTCTCACTGTAAAATCAGTGGGTCTAAAGTAGTGTGTCAGAGTCAATAATTTTCAAAAGTGCTGCAGAAATGTGGACTTTTAAAAAAGCCGCTCAATAGAACTTACTTGGGTATAAACAGTTCTCACTCTGAAATGTGATTTCTTGTTCATAACTGGTGTTTACAGCGTTCACATTGTGGCAGGATTTTCCACCACGCTAAATTTTCATGATTCAATCTGAGGAATTAGAGTTGAATCTATTGCAGGTTTGGGAAATTTCTTATATCTTAGGACATTTAAACAGTTTATAAATAATGGTTTACATCCCAACAGAAATAAAAAAGGGAGGTTAAAAAAGACAGTGTGACAAAGCTGAAAATAGGGTTGCTGCATGGATTATATGTTCTCCACTAATCTTAATCTTTGTAGTTGATGCATTGGAAATGATGCTCTGAAAAACAGCTGAGATGGAGCGTTAGAGATGAAATGAAGAGAAAAACACCCATTGTAGAGTCAGTCATGCATTGAGCTTGTTTTATCCAGTAAAGTCTTCGCAGCATATCTGTGTCTTTTGCTTTGTGCAGTGAGAGTGAATCTGCATGTGTTTGGACATATGGTGGGGGTGTATGTCGGATGCAGGGTGGCAAATGTGCCAGCAGCCTCTGGGTAGCTTTCAGGACATTTCTCCAACTGGCTGCTGTCTCGGCCACAGTGGCAGCACTTAGCTAAGGGTGAAATCTCCTTTCCTTCATGCACGATTTCAACCTGGGTGTCGAAGCCCCTGTGGGAATTAACAGATTAATTAAAGACTGGGGAATGATAGCTGAAACATAGATATCTTAAGTCAGGCACCAAAAGGAGAATTGATTGTTTCTTGTTAGGTTTTTTCCGGAATAAGTTGAGTGAAATAGTCTAAAGAAATTGATATCATTGTCCCATTTGAATGTAATTTGTGGACAACTATAAGATAACTACTATATGATAAAGAGGGTTTTTATTCACATATATTAATTTTATTTTTACTTTTGGTGTCTGAAAACTTTCCCAGTTATTGTATAGAATTAGACTTAGATACATTCAGGTATTCATCAGAATGATAAAGCATTTCATTGAAACTTTGGTGACAGGAAAAACTGAATACTGGCAGCTATTGTTTTTTGGTGTTGCGAGTATGTTGACTATGAAAGGCAGTTGATCTATATCTGGTGGCAGGTGTGTGGTATTGGTGGGATTTATGGCTGTAATAATGTAACATCAGCCAATACTACACTTGAGCTGTCGTTTAAGTTTAGGGATGTCCCAATCTGATATTGATATTGGATATCGGTCTGATATCCGCCAAAGAAACAAATATCCCATTATATCAGTCTAAATTTTAAATTTCAGATATAAACACATCGATACTAGCAGTCCATTCCAGACTCTACTCCAGCCCCTATGTCTAGCAGAGCCCACGTGATCACAACAACAGTGTGTACTAAGGTTACAAACAAAGTAGCAAGGAGTAGGAGTGATGTCTACCATGAGGCAGTATTTTTCGTTTAAGTCCGAGAAGAATGTTGCAGCTGTGTGCGAAATATGTCGTGCACAAGTTTGTGCCAATATTGGATCAATATCGGTATTGGCCAATACTGAAGGCTCCAGTATTGGGATCGTATAAGAAGTAAAAAAGTTGTATCGGGACACACCTATTTAAGATTGCATGTACAACTGAGCTTTGAGGACAAACAGAGGGCTCCTCAGCTAACCTCTAACTATGACATGGACGTCAAAGACTTTGTGCCTCACCATCCACTGATCACATGAAGTTATTAGTTTATAGATGACAGACCTCATGCTCCATCATCTGGTTAGGAATCAGACAAAACAAATATACTGTAAGACTGATTTTCACTCAATGTCACATGAGCAAACACAATTTTCTGCTCATTACAAATAATCCTCTCCCACATTATTTTGTGCATGCTTAATAGAGCTCTCGAGTGTTAAACGTATTGTGAGGCTTTGAAGATCCCAATTAAAAATATCTGTTTTAAGACTGAATAAATCTCTGAATAGGATTATGTAATGGTGCACTATAAAGGACATTGGGTATGTCTGGATTTATCATTATAGGACGGGAACAGGCGTTACTTATCATGTTAATAATGGATCTGTTCTATTCAAGTGTCTCAGTGAGCCATGACAGTGTGACAGTGAGTCAGCATGCACCATATCAGAGCCCTGAGTCTGAGGCAGCCAAATGGTGTCCTGCCATCATTAATTTGGTCATTAACACGCCGTGTCATGTCAGACTATGTAACTGCAGTGAAATAGTCCCATTGCAGAGAAATGGATTAAGAGAGTGTATTTTCTTCTTTTTCCGGTAACAATTTGTCGATTATTATCAACCCTGTGTGGTTGATGATGTGTCAAGGATTCATTTTCATACGACAGGATTTTTCTGATGTCACCTGTTTATTTAACGGCCTGTGTTAGATGTTTCTTTGCATCATTAGATTTGAAATGCAATGAATTCCTTGTGATTTCTGGCCAGACAGCATCACTGCTGTTTCTCTGTGAACCCATCTTTGGTTCTCTAATGCTCTCTGCTGGTCAAAAATATACATACACCTTTTCTTGTCTTCAGAGGACTCTGTTGAATGCTGATCAAGGATCAGATTACCCTCTGTAACCTTCTCCTTAATTATTACCAAGCCAGATGGTGAACTGATTTTAGATCAGTGATTATGGTCAGTTTCCTATGAACCCCTGGGCCTCTCCAGGATGATTGTGGAGGAGCTCTCAGCAGCGTCTCGTTCATCTTCTCTTTCTAAACCTCCTAATCAAAACTTGATTCACAGCAGGCAGGCCGCTGAGTGGACTCTTTACTCAATCAATGGCTTTAATTATTCAATTAAAGCTCTGAGGAGATACTGGAAACCAGCCAACACCGCAGCTCTGGAAACAGGAGAATTGTGTTTATGCCTCTGTTTTCTGTCTGTGTGTGAGTGTGTTTGTGTGTGACTGTAATTGAAACTGCACCACTTGACCTGGTCAGCAGTGTGGTTCATTGGTAAAGATACTCAAACTCCACACATAATGACTTTGTTTATCAAGTCTACACAGGTAGTGGAGTTAGTTTTTTGATTAGAGGGAGTTAATTCTCTGTCTGTGTCTGCATGTGTTGGTTTAAATACAAAATAGAATTACGCAGCAGCAGCTCTATCTTGGTCTTGGCAGCATTATCTGTACTTTTCTGGCTGAGAAACTGTCTCACAAGCAAAATATTTCACCTTAAAGAGAAGCAGAGAAGATTATATTCATCTCTTAATCCATGTGCTTTTTTTTTCTCAGGGGCATTGGCAAACAGGGATTCCAATGTCAAGGTAAAGATAAACCCTGCTATTGTATTTCTCGGCCCTGTTTAATCTTTCTTGGATAGTTTTCTCAATGTGACTGATTCATTTTTAAGCATATTTTTCTCTCTTCTCTCCAGTTTGCAGTTTTGTGGTCCACAAAAGATGTCATGAGTTTGTGACTTTCACATGTCCCGGCTCTGTGACGGGCCCAACGCCAGATGTGAGCAGATGTGTCAGCCATTACAGACCTTATTTCATCCCTCTTTTCTTTTTTTGTGTCACATTTTAGTCATTATTTGCCCTACTGTCATATTAAGCTGTCAGCTAGCTGCCTGTAACACGTGTGCCTGACTCATCCATTAGTCCATACATCCTTGGAATCGTGCAGCCTTGTCCCACGTGTGACGTCTGCGCTCATGTCATGTCATGCTACAAGGCCTTTGAGAATAGGGAACAGGAGATAGCGAGAGGGGGAAGATGCAGGTGGAGGGTGGGTGGGACTGATAAGACGGGAGATTTACAGGGGGGAGAGGGAAACACACTGTCTCAGTCCTCCTCTCCACGGCTTTTGAGGATTTCAGAGAGATTTTTCCTTTCCTCACTTTTTTTCCCCTGCTGTTCAAATAAACTGCTGTAGAAATGAGGTCAAGGGGGACATGTGAGTGCATGGGACTGTGCGAGTGTGTGAAGAAGGATGAAAGTGAGAGAAACACGCACAAGGAAGATAAACAGGGTGGCAGATTTTAGAAATAGCAACTCAGAAGGACAGGGTGGAAAAACAGTTTGGGAGAAGGTGTAGTGTGCAGTCCGATGCGCTTAAGAGAGATAAAAATGATTCATCCCTCTCTGCACAGATATACACACACATACACACACTTATACACACACTGCCTCGCAATGCTGCACACTCATTTATATGACCTCTCCCAGTGGAGAAATCTAATTGGCTTGTCCATGAATACCCCACTCAACATCCCTACACTCATCATACTCTGCATGCCTGTGTGTGTTCACAGACTCTTTCACGGTTACTTTGTGTGTATTTGTGTGTGTGTGTGCTTGAGTGTGTATTTGCATGATAGTTCTAAATCCAGATTGTTTCTGCTGTATTTTTAGGACCTGAAGAGTCGACACACATTTAAGGTCCACACTTACTCCAGTCCCACCTTCTGTGATCACTGCGGCTCACTGCTGTACGGACTCATACACCAGGGCATGAAATGTGCCTGTGAGTTTCTCCACGTGAGATAATCTCCTCCTAAAATCTCAAGAAAACATCAGAACAGTCCACCTCTGAAATATTACAGAGCTGTCATTTACTCACCGAGCAATTTAAAGGGCTTGTGTGTTGGAGAGGAATCAGTCCATTAAAAACTGTGAGCAGACCATTGCGCACTGTCAAACTGTCAAATAAAAGCATAAGTACATTGTGTTACCAAGTGTTGCTGGAAAGTGTCTTTTAAGGACATTTAAAACTTTTTAAATGTGATAAATACCTTTTTATTTGTTCTTAAAGCTCCAGTGGAGAACTTTTGGCATGGGTCAATTTTGGCGCCCCCTGTGGACAAAGCAGTCTTCTCGTCTAAAAGCTAATGTGGTTCCAATTGACAAACAAATTTCATCCTGCTGACTTTTGACAACAGAATGCGTCATTTAATGTAAATATTTAAAGCAGAAAATATCAAAACAGGGCTCTGTCTTCAGAAGCTCAGCTGACACCTACCACCTCATACTGGTCCTAGGAATTTTAAGATATTCCATTAAAATTACTGAAGGTCATGTTTGCTTTTATATGTTGTCAAAAGGCATTAATGTGAATTTTCTGTCTATTTCATGAACTTAAAAAATTCCTCCCATGAAATTTGAAAAATTGTGCTATGAAGATGTTGCCACTGTGAGTTTTATACACAGACATATAACATCTTATTATATTTTAATATTAGTAATCAAGCTAGATTTGATTAGAGGAAACAGAAAAGGTAGAAAAAATATATTTCATTTATAAGTGGGTGCACATGTGCCATCCCTGAATAAACCTGTGCTTCAGTTGGGCCACACCAATTCTGCTCAGGAAGCAGGACATAATGTAAAATGGACTACAGAGTCAGCAAATAGAGACTCTATGAATGCAGCATTTCACATTCAGTATTCTAAATTAAAAAAAAAATATTGTTCATACTATTCTAGCTCCTCTGCAGGCATTGATCTTGTTGTATTTTTTTCTTTTTTCTTTGAGGCTGTGACATGAATGTCCATCGAAGGTGTGAGACGAGTGTTCCCAGTCTCTGCGGTCAGGACCACACAGAGAAGAGAGGGAGGATCCACCTGACCATCAAAGGGGAGTCAGAGGATGTCTATGTCACAGGTTAGGAGAACAAATACATGATGGGAAATGTCTGAAAACAAAAGACTGGTATTAAAGGATTTCCTTGTCCCTTTTCTGTCTGCTGTCCTCCTTTTTTCCCAGTGCGAGAGGCTCGTAACCTGATGCCCATGGATCCAAATGGCCTCTCAGACCCATATGTTAAGCTGAAATTGATTCCAGATCCAAAGAGCCACAGCAAACAGAAGACCAAGACCATCCGCTCAACTCTTAATCCTGTCTGGAATGAGAGTTTCACCTTGTGAGTCTTTGTGAACTTCATTCTAAAAGTTCACTTGGGTCTAGGACACAACGTGCTTCAGGCAAAATAATGTGTCCCAGATAATGGAAATACTGAGTCATAAAAAGCACCCTGCAAGATGAAGAGTGGACCATTGAATCTATGTTTGATAGTCCCTGAATACATGGAGCCTTTTTTTTCATAACTAGTGTTACAATTTCACCCTTCTCTGCCTTTAAATTAAGGGTTGAGATATCAGGAAATTGCCTAAAAACCTACAGAGATAGTCATTTCCTATTGGGTGTCTATGCATTGGTGTTTGCAAGCATGATAAGTAAAAACTCCTCTGTGATTTAGGCTGTTTGTGTCTGTCTCTTCAGCTCAGTGCGGGGTCACCAGTGGGACAGGCGGCTGTCAGTGGAGGTGTGGGACTGGGACCGCACGTCCAGGAACGACTTCATGGGAGCGTTGTCGTTTGGAGTGAGTGAGATCTTCAGGCGTCCCATCAGTGGCTGGTTCAAACTGCTGGCTCAGGATGAGGGAGAGTACTACAACATCCCTGTGCCAGACCCAGACCTGCAGGTAGGAACGGAGCTCCAAGAATTAGCCCTCAGTTGGGACTAAAGAAAAGTTAGTGGTGATATTTATACTCGTATCAACCAAAGTGGAGCAGGCTTTTATTTTGTACCTTGAGCTGACCATTTATTCCAAAGCCCTGGCAGAGTCTTTATCTGTTTATAATTCCAGCTACACCCAATAAACAACCGCTGCCACTGCTCACACTCGGTCAGGTCAGGAGGATGTTTAACTTACAATTCTATCCGTTGGTATGAAAAATACAAGAAGATCAATGCCTGCTGTTGCAGCTAGATAATTAGATAATAAATTATAGAGAACCCCCTCACACACACACACACGCACCCCCTTCACTGGTACCTGCAGTCTCCAGCAGGGCGCAGGATTGTTCTGCCTGACTCTAATTCGAAATCAGGGGTAGGAAGTTTGTGTGTGTGTGTTGGTAAGGCTGTTTTTTGTGTGAATCTTGGTGTGTATCCCACCATTTATCTCTGAACCGCCTTCGTTCTTCAGGAGCCTATGCCAGATGCCACAAGCCCCTCTTTGCCTCAGCCGATACCTTCCCCGTTGTCTGAAGGCTTCCCTGTGGCCCTGTCCCCGACTCCTGTGCCATCCGGCCCGCCTGTCCACGCACCAGGCCCTGCCAACGTAAAAGTGGGCATCCACGACTTCAACTTCCTCATGGTGCTTGGCAAAGGCAGCTTTGGCAAGGTAAATGCAGCAGATACTGAAGCCAAATGTCATCTATTCTACTCTCAATCAGCACCTTTTATCCAACAGCTGTAAGTGAAATCAAAGAGGCCATTCATGCTTGAGACAACCAAGATTATTTCTGGCTTTCAATGATTTCCTCTATTGATGGACTTGACCTTCAAGTGGCATTTCATAGAGAAGCTCCTGGGCAGAGCAAAGCAGAGAAAAAAAAATCATGTCTAACTAACATTCTTATTGTCTCTCCAACAAATGATTCACTTAACCCTTAGCTTTTTTAGTGCTGTCAGCAGTCGTGAGCTCAGGCTGGCTTCCTACATGCCACACAGGCGGGCACAGACAGTCCTCCTGGAGGTGTTCATTTCAAGCAAGCCTCTGCTCTCCATTTTCTCTTTAATTCCCCAGCAGATGAGGCATAATGAAGAGACTGGAGTCTCAAGTCCTCCTTCTTCCTCTTCTGAAATCCCCCAGTGCTGTTTCATAACTGTCAGAAGAGTCTACAGAGGACAGGAGAAATAGACTCGACTTACGTAAGATGTGAGGAAAAAAAAAGGACCCAAGAAAGGAGAGACAGACCCCAGGGCTGCTGACTGAGGGGAAGTGAGGAAGAGAGATGGAGAGAAAGAGAAAAAGGATTACTGTGCAGCAGAAAGTGACAAAATGACCAAAAGGAAATGGGATAACATGAGCGGAAAAAGAGGAGACAGTACATGTGACTGTGTTCGTGAGGTCTGTAATAATCTGAAGGGTGAAGTAGCCCACTTTTTTTGTGAGGAAGTCTGAGACCACGAGGAAGAGCAGGAGACACAGAGGACAGCAAGGTTTCTGTCAGTGACTGGCAGCTCCTCAATACATGCACATACACGCACACGCACACACACAGCCTCTTTCATAAGCACCTTTATGCTGAAAAATGGAAATGTGTAATATTCTGTACTGTTCAACGCTATTTGAAAGTAAAATGAGATCTCCCGGAGAGAAAGTGACCATTACAGCACTGAGCTTGGCTGGACGGGCGACTTGAAACTGTGGTTGTCAGCAGTTTCCATTTCTCTTTACTGTATTTACCATGCATGCACCTTTTGCCACGGTCAAACCCGAGTTATATGGCCCCTATTAAAGATAATGACAGCATTATTATGGGCAGTTGCCCTTATATGTATGATATTCAGTTTTTATAGCAGCACTGTATCACTTATGACAACAACATTTGTGGAAAGCTTTAAACTTTGCTGGTGTGCACCATGAATGTGCAGACTGAACTTTCTAAAACACTTATCCATATCAAATGCTAAAACTTGTGCACAGTTTTGACCGTTTTTACAAAGTGCCTTTGGTTAACAGTTTTTTTTTTATCAAGGTTGGAAGCATTTTTAATACTGCGGTCAAAATTGTCATTTCAAATCAGGTGTTAATGAGTATTCCTCAGCTTTTGCAGCCAGCACAGAGCAGAGCTGCTTTTTTAGCACATCTGTGATGGCTTCAGGTTGAACCTCTGGAGGTTGCTGCATGAGCATGACAACAAAAAGCCATCACCATTTGTTGGCCCTGCCCCTGCAGAGAACAGGATGGTTAGTTTCTGCAGAAGATTGAGTGGCAGTCGTCATCTTAACCTCAAAACAGCCTTCAAAAGGAGTGTTTTCAAACGGAGACAGCCACTGGCTCTGACTACCAATGGTGCAGCTACAGAAAATTCCCCTCACCCTCTAAAGCCCATGTCTTCGCAATAACCATGTAAAAATCGTGAAGATTAATTGGAGTACCCTATGTTGAAGCGAAGAAATGAATAATTGGATCATTATAACATTATATTTCATTTGATTTTAACATTTAATTTCTTGATAGGCTAATTAAACTAGGACTATATTGACCTTCCTGAACTAGATTCAGCAGAAACAGCCTCTCAGCTAAACCATCTACGCTTAATATCCAACATTTCTTTTTTTCTGTCTTAAACATCCTGGAGAAATTACTAGAAGAAAATAATCAGCTCTGTGACTTTATTCAACACTAAAGTATAAGTGACATATTTAGTCAGAGTTTGGAGTCTGCTTAAGCGCTAAGACATGTGCTGCTGAAAGGAGAGACAAACTGATGGCTTAAGACAGTATCTGCACTGTCAGATCTGCATTTGATCAAACTGACCATCACATCCTGTTACAGAGACTAGAACAACCAACCTGACCTACAGAAACCACTTTAACTTTGGCTGAAAACACATTTATCACATCAATCTCAATTTGTACCTGTTAGGGAAAAGTCCAATGAGCACATCAAGGTGAGTCATGGCGCTCCACAAGGGTCAATGTTCGTACCTTTCCTTTAATTTTATTTATGCTATTTTATTTAAGAGATAATGTGAACTTTGTTACTCTCAGGATGATGTAGAAAAACTAGTCCATGACCCTTTTGCCTTCAAAGTAGTAATACTTATTAATTAAGGGGAGTGAAAAGCAGGGGTAGGCCCAAAGCAGCTGAATAATGAGTCCTGAGTGTCAATCACAAAATCAGCAAAATATTGCACTTTTAGCCTCAAAAGTGCGAGTTCTTCACAAGACATCAAAACTGGTGTTCTCCTAACTAGAGCAGCTTGTCACTCATAACACAATGACCTAAAAAATGTTCAGTACAGGGAGAGTTACAGTACAGTACAGGGATAATTCTATCTGGAGTTCGAACAAAAGCTGGAGTGACAGGAACTCTGTTGATTTGAAATGCACTTTGTGTCAAAGAAATGTAAAAGAGTATCTCTGCAGTCTGATGAACAGACTGCGGTTCTGCTAACTCTGAGGATTTTTAAGAAGGGATTTTAAAAAAGGCTTTTCTTGCTGTTGCTGTCGTCATCAGCGTCCTCTCTCCATGCCAGACAGTTGGCGTAGAGTTGTCTATAAATAAACTTTGTGATTATTTATAGTTTTTAAGTACATGCTGAGACTCTTTTTATAATTCTTGTTTTTTATTTTTTGTTACAGTAACTTTCTCTCCAATTTTGTTTCTGTGCAGGTGCTGCTGGCAGAGGAGCGAGGCAGCGAGCGTCTGTTTGCAGTCAAAGTGTTGAAGAAAGATGTTCTCTTCCAGGACGAGGACACAGAGAGCGCCCTGGTAGAGAGGAGGGTTCTGGCTCTTGCCTCTCGCCCTCACTTCCTCACATCGCTCTACTGCGCTTTCCAGACTGAGGTGTGTGTGGACGGTAGACTGAGATATCTTTCATTAAATTGTCCATAAACCTGCCTGACATTTTGGCTGCGTGGTCCTCCCATGAGTTCAGTTTTCATTTATAAAATTCAATAATTAGCTTGCTTTGTATAACAAGGCCCTCAGTCCTGGAGGAGAGGTTTGAACAAATTGCTTTTTAATATGGACACAGAGGTGATTATGTATGGAGAGTGTGTATGTCTGTCTGCTTTTTCTGCAGGACCGTCTCTATTACGTGATGGAGTATGTCAACGGTGGAGACCTGATGTTCCACATTCAGATAGTCGGCAAGTTCAAAGAGCCTCACGCAGCGTATGTAGTTGAAAAGCTTCTTTCTGTTGACTTTAATCAAACTCCTCATCTGCAGCCTCTCATTTCCTGCCGCTCTTGTATTCTCTGTTCCTTTGCATACACACTCGTCTCTTTGCTTTGTTCATTATACACAATGACGCATAAAAAGTCATCAACTCAAGTACCAGCACTCCTCCTTTTTCCCCCCCCGACTTTCTCCGCCCACTAATTTCATCTTTTCATCCATATTGTCCCTCCCTTTGGCTGTTCATCTGATCAATAATCTTTGATCAATCATCTCTAACTAATTCCTACCCTGTTGCTCATTTCCAGATCTCTTTCTTCATCATCCTGCCTTTCATCTATTTGGTTACTCTCCCTTTCATCACCCCCTTCAGATTCACTCTCCTCTTCACTGGCTGAAAACCTTAGCCAATTTTCTGAAAGATAAAGCAACTAGTTATGATCCTCCCCTCCTCCTCTCCCTCATCTCCTCTCTCTCTCTTTCTCTCCAGGTTCTATGCAGCAGAGATAGCCGTCGGCCTCTTCTTCCTTCACAGTAAAGGCATCATCTACAGGTAGAGAAGACGGTTGCTCATTTAACACGGCCTGGTTTGCTGCTGTCACTTCCCGGTCAATAGACATGGCACCGATTTATCATGTCTGTTATAAAGAGGGTTTCTCTCAAAATGATTCATACCTGTGGGATCCGTTTCCTTCTTTCTCAGGGACCTGAAGCTCGATAATGTTCTGCTCGACAGTGAGGGCCACATTAAAATAGCTGACTTTGGGATGTGCAGGGAGGGCATGTTTGAAGGCGACACCACACGTACCTTCTGCGGCACCCCAGACTACATCGCTCCTGAGGTACCCTCACTCGCACTTCATGGTCCAGACTAACTCCTGAACTAGCCTCATTTGTTCCCCATTTCCTACTATTTCCCCTTTTTATGTGCTTGACCTGTTTTAAATCATTGTAAGACGGCGAGTTGCTTCACTGCAGATCTTCTCCTCTGTCCTCTCTGACCTTGTCAGCATTTTTGAATAATTAACTTCCCATGATTCTATTAGGAGCAGTGTGTGTGCTTGTGCTATCTCAGTGTTGTATAGTAATCCCCATTGTCCTTCAGAGACCTTGCTTTTGCAATTTTTGTCTAATTTCAGATGAATAACCACACTGAGAGCAACACAGACCACAACAAACTAACATAGAATGTAGAGTTTTTGCTTTCTGACACACAAAATGTTATTTTATACTTGGAAATATCTATGTCTGTGTTTCCACAGATAGTAAAATCCAGTGAAAGAGAAAAGGAGATAATCATCCTTTTGTTTGTGCTAACTGGTGTAAGACAGGCATAGTAAAAAAGAAAATGGAAAAAATAGAGAGAGAAGATTCGATGTGTTGTGCACATCTTTGAAAGTGTCAGCCTTGCTGTGGCACCCCTGGGTATTGACTCTCTTATGTAAACACCCATTGATTCTCCTGCATCTGCCATTTTGGAAGAGATACAATATATTTCCCCAAGGGCCGGGAATTGTTCCCCCATCCTCACCTCACACCGGTAGTACACTCACGCAGACAGACACCAAGTAAACAAATGAGCACAAGAATACGAAGTCATTTGCTGATTATTATGAGCTCAATTCTACATTATCCTTCTCTAATGCCATACTCGTCTTTCTCCTCTCTCTCTCTCTCTGTGCTTTTCTGGTAGCTGCATATCATCCAGGCCCTGCTTTTTCTAAATCTGCTCGTCTACTTTTACTTTCTTATCTCTGCACTGCCACTCTCCTCCTGTATCTCCTCACCTTTCCTCTCCACCCTTTTTCAGATTGTGGCATATCAGCCCTACGATAAAGCTGTAGACTGGTGGTCCTATGGAGTGCTGCTTTATGAAATGCTAGCAGGACAGGTAACCCTCAGCTTAATCCTAAGGATAGAGCCATGTGCACTGACACTTACGCCTGCAGCACTTGTCCTTTGTAATGACTTCACAAGACTTCTGAATGCATTTTATTTCAATATATTCCCTTAATTTGCTCTCAGGTCTTCACTGTTACTTCTTCTCCTCCTATCTATGTCTTCTCCTCTCCAGCCACCGTTTGATGGTATAGACGAGGAGGAGCTGTTTCAGTCCATCATGGAGCAGTGTGTCTCTTACCCTAAAAGTCTCTCTCGTGAAGCCGTCGCTATCTGCAAGGGCGTAAGTAACGGCTTAATTATTTCTAACCCATAAAACTTGTAGCCGAGAGTCAATTATGATCAAATTAAATAAAATTCCTCATATTACATTTCTGAAATAAATATTTAAATGTAAATCAAAAGACAGCAAAGCTTAGCCCTGCTCACTGTGGGCTTTGAAGAAATAGTTGAGCAGTCTAGGAATTCACTTATTTGCTCTCTTCTGAAAGTTGGGAAAGTGAAACAACCCGCATATCTTTCTATTAGAAATTAAGACAGACCGAGAAGCCATTAACCAAGCTTCACTTACGTAAGTAGCATATACTTATTATATAAACTAATTCATCTACCTTGTGCGAAATAAAACATTTAGGAGGGTCTTCAAACACGTGTTAAAGGGATATTCCGGCACAAGTTTAAGTCATGGTCAAACACACCGTAACACCGAGTTAGACTGCCCCTCGAGAGATGAATTTTGCAAAACCGCTTGCTTATCTAGTTCCACCAACTTCAGCAAAGAATGCATGATAGCAATACACGGTGGTGTATGTCTCCACGCGCAAATCACGACCAAAAAGCCACTTGTAGCCACAAATAATGCTCAGAACAGCACCTAACTTCATCAACAGTACATATAGGGTCCCAGCACATAGTACTAGCCATCAAACAACTTTTTAGCTTTGCCTGATTTCTTTGGCAAAGAGACCAAACACAACTCACCCACACACTCCTCAAGCAGCCGTTTGTTTGTGCAGGAGCCCTGACGAGTCGATTACCGAGTGCAACGGAATTCCGCAGCTCAAGGAAGAACATTTATGATCATTACTTCATGGAAATGCAATCAGAATTCTGAGTCTGAGTCTCAAGTACACAATGTGGAAACGTCTGAGTCAAGGCACTGTGACCAAAAATCTCAAGTCCAAGTTAAATCCCCATGACTTGAGACTGTGTCAGTGTTAGGTTCATATTACCCAAAATGAAGTCGCCTTTACCTGATTTGCGAAGAACTCTGTTTGGTTGATTGTGGAGACTTTTGTATGTGTAGAAATTACATCTGGAGATTTGAATCATCAGTGAAGTCACCATGCAGAAGTGCACACTCTCAGGCCTCGAACAAACTCAAAAATACCTGCAGCCCGCTCACTATCAATCAGAATTTGAACTGAGAAAAAAACAGAACAAAAATAAAAACATCTGTGCCTCACTGGTCATGTCACTGTTGACGTTAACAAAGTAGCTCATCCATCTCATGGTCTTTTCTGGGTCAATCCCGCGAGAGTCAGTCTAGATTTAAGTTTGTCCCTGTCTTCGTCTTATCGAACATGTTGCCCTTCTTTTAAAACCCATAAAAGCAAAAGAACAACAACAGAATAAAATAAGTAATGTAGCTACAACAAAGCTCACCATGAAAACTGTTGACTACACCAGCAGTGCCAAACAAAAACAGACATCGGTCAACTGTATCTCATGCATGATTATAATTATTCATTCCTTTTCTCCTTGTCTGTTTTCCCCCAAGCTCCTGACCAAGCACCCTGCCAAGCGTATGGGTGGAGGACTAGATGCAGAAAGAGAGATCAGGGAACATCCTTTCTTCCGCTGGATTGACTGGGACCGTCTGGAGAGACTGGAACTCCCGCCACCCTTCAAACCCAGAACTGTCAGTAAAACAGATGGACTACACACTTTACTTTCCCTTCTTCTCTTTTTTGTTTGTTCTCTCTTTCGTCACTCTCCTGTCTGTTCCCCTGTCGCTGTCTCTTCTTGTAAACTTTAAGGAAATCGAAGCTGTCACTTTATTTCATCTGTCTCTCAAATTGCCACTCTCTTTAATTTCCCAGCATGCTCCCTCTCTCAGCCGTCCACAGTGTGTTGGCCTTTTCATCCTCTATCCTTTCTCGGTTTAAACGGCGCTGTACCTCCCTCCCGCTCTCTCAATCCTCTCCCTTTCACCTCTTCTTGTGCTTCCAAGAGACATAGCAGTCATAATAGACAGGACCCTGTGGCCTTTGAGTCTTGCCTACTCCTCCCATATGCTAATGTATGTCTTCATTAGCCCGCCACACACCAGTTTGCGGCCCTGTTGGCCAATGGGGGAGTGAGCTGAGTGTGCTCAGGGGTTAGAGGCCAGGCCCATTAGCCAAATGAGGTTCATATCATCCAGCAGAACGGCTGTCATCCACTGAGAGAGAGCAGGAAGAGAGAAATGAGCAGCTTTCTTTCTACAGTAGGTGTGGTGGAGAGAGATCCTGGGAGAGCAAACGAGGGTGTGGGTGAGAGAGAAAAACACGGAGGTGCAGTCTTTTTATAGTTCAGCTCTTTTTATGTTACTCAGGTGGGAGGTAATGGTGTATACAATCAGTATCAGTGTGTGAATATGCTTGTTAATCTTCTCTTCTTGTTCTTCAGGGCGGGAAAAAGGGTGAAAATTTTGACAAGTTCTTCACAGCAGCTCCGTCTGCGCTCACCCCCTCTGACCCGGACATACTAGCAGCTATGAACCAAGAAGACTTTGAGGGCTTCTCCTTCCAGAACCCAGACTATGCTCCTTCACCTCTCACAGCGGTTTGAAAACGGCTCCAAAATGCTCCAGATGCACCTGAACCACAGTGTTGTCTCCTCAATAGTAGTTTTATAACAGAGAATCTGAACAAAACACCTCTCATAACCAAATTCTGTTTACATGACAATGCCAAGACACCTTTCTATTCATGCACTCTCTTTGATGTACGTATTTTATCTTGATAGTCACAGAAGATGTTGCAAACAAAGCCAGTATTATTATGTAGATTTGCATTCTAGAGTTTTTTTGTAAGACATCCTAACTTGATAGAGTGGTTGAAGAGTACTGTAGTATGAACCTGGTTTATGAATCTCTTTGCATGCAATGTTTGTAGAATGAAATGCTCTGACACACTAGATTTCTATAGCCTAGAGTATCCAACAAGATAGAAATATATCATTAGACAACCAATTTATTCAAAACTCTTCACTTTAAACCCCTGGGAGTCGTTTTTTAATCATTTTGCAGCTAAAACACATGACCGACGAATGTTTCCGAGCAGGGTTATTCCAGTCTAACATTGGATTTGTACACAGTAGAGTGATTCACCATCAACCAAGTCAGTTAGTAGCCTCTTTTTTTATTTACTTTTTTTTTTTTTTCAGGCGAGCAGCTCAGTCACGTTTCTCTGGCCTGGTCTGACCTCTTCTTTTATAACGTCACACCAGTGACTCCAGCTGACCCGCTGAGAGCCTGAAACAACAATGGCCTGCACAGTTAATGTGACAGTTAGTGTAGGCTGCAGTGCTGCCCCCCAGCTCAGGCTCACTCTGCTACACTCTATTACCACATTACTGCCTCAGACTGAGCTGCATCTTTTAATTCACGTGTTACTATTCTCTCTATAGTTCTTCAGCAAGCTGTGAAATTGTATCCACGTTGCACCGAGCTGAAATAGCGCCCTGTATATAAGTCCTAGAATATTTTTCTGCAGCCTTTAGTAAGTACGCCTCTTAATGATGTATCTCCAGCTAAAAGGAGTGTGCAGGAATTTTATCATTCTTTTTGTTGGATACAATAAAGCTTTTTGCTGTGTAATGACAAACTCACAGCATTGATTGCGGGTAATTAAAAGTGAGGCTCACTGGGACTGTTCAATACATGGAAAAAATAGCAGCGCCGTCATTAAACATTATCTGAGCAGCGCAGGTGGCTGCAAACGTCCACTTTAATAATCCCCTTTTAGCGCTCCTATCTCACCAACCAGCCACAGAAACATGTTCGATTTTCTGCAAAGCATCTATATGATTTGTTTTCTTTGTAATTTTTTGTTAACTTAGTATTTATTTCTCGTCTAGAGGAGCAAAATGATTCATTGTCTTTTTGTGTGTGTGTCCCTCTAACAGCAGCCAAGAGTAAAGGTCAGATCAGTTCATCCGTATAGGCCTCAAAAGGCCACAACACCTGATACAATAGGTAATACGATCAATGATAGATACTACAATAGATAATTTATGCATTCATGTGTTTGTTACTTGAGATAACTTTCTGTTTTCATGTGCTGGAAAAAAAAACAAGCAATCGAAATAAACTACTGAAAAAATCATGAAACAGCGACATCCAAAGTGTTTTTGTGTGAAGCTGCTGAGAATCAAACAAACAAAAAAAAAAAGAACAGCCTCTTGCTTTGTCTCCTCCCCACGCTCTTCTCTGTCACGCTCGCTCTCCCTCACTTTCACACAAAATGCTACAAAGTGCAAACATGTGCACACGCTAACACACACACACACACACACACGCACAGAAGATGCTGACCCCTCTATTTACTCTGCTACTGTAGTTGTCGAACCAGCAAAACCACCTCTCAGGCATCTCACTTTCACTCCCTCCTCCTCCCCTCCTCACCCTCTCCTTCTCCCGCCCTCCCCCAGCATCATGATGGGACTACTATCCCCACAGAGATCTCAGTTATAACAAGTTGACCTTCACATTAAAATCTCATCAACTCTTCTCTACCTCCCTCCCGCTCTATCTGTCCTTCATCTCTCTTCCTCTTCTTCATCATCTCTGTTTGTCTTTTCCTGTTAGTGCCACACTCTAAGTCCTTTACTGCATTGTTTTATGTCATTATCCATAAATCATAATGTCAGGATTTACTGCGGTTGCTATTATCTCCCTGATAAAACCCCCTGCTGGTGTCTGTTGATAAGACTATCATGCCTTGTTTTGTTGTGGCCTCTGCTTCAGTATTATGATGTATTGTATGCTCATATTTGTATTTGTATCACATTGATATTTTTATGTCTGCTGACAGCGTTCAGCATATGAACATGTTGAAGGGATATAATGAAGGTCAAACACTCCTCAGCTGTTTTCTACCTCTTACTTCAAGAAAATTCACCTTTACTTCCCAAATACAGCAAGATTCAATCAAGCATATGTAATGACTCATGTAGAGAAAATGATTTAAATACTTGATTAGTTTCATTTAGTCCCTGCAAAAAGTAATATAAATGCATTTTTAAATGTCAGATGAGGCCATTAAAGGCACCCAAGATTGATCATTCATGTCCTAAAATAGGATATCATCAGAAAATAGAACATGAAACGCCACATTTTCAATTACATCTTTGTTGGTTTGTTTACTCTCTTGACACAATGTCAACCTCTGTCAATTTCCAGATCTTAAACTCTGCTCCAGCTTTACTTCAACCTTGACAGCATCTGACGTTTGTGTAACTGAACCACCACAGCTCCTTGTTCAGAGAGTGTGTGTGTGTACTCCATCACTCACTGTCTCTTTGACACGATATCATCTCTCTTCCTCACTGCGGCCTCCTCTTCCTCTTTCTCTCCCAACTGTCTCATTCAGATCATCCCTCCCTCCCTCTTTCGCTCTCTCTCGTTCCCTCTCTCTTGCCCTGAGGTCAGAGTGTGCTGTAGACTATTGATATCGTTACTAAAAATATAGGATCCCTTCACCAGCTGGCTAAAAATAGATCGAGGGACATGGACCACAGGAGACAAAGGAGGAGGGGGGGGAAGAGGAAGGGAAGAGAAAAAGAAGTCAGCGAGGTTTCTATCTGTGCCATTTTACTGCCATTCATTTCACTGCACTAGTACAGTACAGTTGAGAGAAACACGGATGTCAAACTTGTATGAACTCCATCTATGAGACAACATGCATCTATCTTATCCTCCTCTGGTTATACTGATTTACAGTTTGTCAGTAGTTTTTCAACATTAAAAATCTTGTTTCCACCTCACATGGATGACAAATTAATACTAACTTTATTATCGTAATCATATATAAGAACAAGGCTCGATGTCAGCAGAGGTACATTTTTTGTAAAATGATAGGAAATGTATATTTTAAGTTTTTAATAACAAAGATAAAAGTTTTGCAGTAAGTTAGTGCATTTTTCCTTCATAAACAATATAACTGGCAGACTGATTCAATCATGCATCTATTTGACTCTTCCAAACTAGAGATGCACCGATCAATTTTTTCCCGATATCAATACCTGAGCTGAGCGTATCAACCGATATCCAATACCTATCCAATACTACTGTTGAATGAATGAACTGTATAGCTTGCCCTGTGATTGAAGGCATCAAGCTTCACATTAGCCTTGTTAAGAAAAAAAAGTAACAAATTAACACAGATATAAAGTTACTTAATGTTTTTATTAACCAATAACAAATTCATGTATTATAAGAAAAATTAATTTACAAAAAAAAAGGCTGGATCGGAGTCATTCATCAGATATCCAATTCAGTTAATTTGTCAATATCGGAGCCCATATCCGATCCAAATATCGGATCGGTGCATCCCGATTCCAAACTCCAAACTATGATTTAATAATGCACGACACGGAACTACTGTGTGCGCACTGTTAATAGTGTCCAACGTATAATACAAACACATAATGCAAAATAATTGATAATGTTAGTTCGGCATTACCCCTCCTTCTCTCTCTATCTCTCTCTCTCCCTCCCTTTCTCCCTCCCTCCCTCCCTCTCTCTCTCTCTCTCCCTCCTCGCTCTGCCTCTCTTGTAGCCAGAGTAGCTCGCTGAAACCGATCCTCCGCAGTGCCTGGGACAGATTGAGTGAAAGAAAGAGGAGAGTGAGGGATTTAGAGGATGGGTAGGGGGGCTTGAGGGAGAATACAAAGGAGAGAGAGAGAGTAAGAGAGCGAGAGAGGGAGTGTGAGGGAGAGAGCAAAACCCAGCGAGCCTCCTGCTGTGAGCTTTCTTGGCTACTGACGTGTGCGCACGACTCTCGTGGCAGGGTGAGTAATTTCCCATTTTAATAACTATTGTTTGTTTCTTGGCTTTTACTGCACCAATGACGCCTTTCCAACCTGAGTCAGTCATTTATAAGTGTTAGGAGAATGTGTGTGTTGGTGTGTGTGTATGTGTGTGTGTGTGAAGACAGCTTATGAAAAAAGCAGCATTCACAATAACGTGTCTTCTCAGGTCGTGTTAGCGTAAAGACCGCCGCTCCGTCTCCGTCCAACATCTTCATTAGCATGTTACCTGACAGCAGAAGTCTTCGTTTTCTCCAAAATAATCAACGCATTTGTGTTTCGTATGAGTCGCTCACATGTTCCCTTCTCTGTTTATCATCTCCAAACTCCGCGTGCGAGTGTGTGTGACAGTAAAAGGGGGGCTTCCACACAACCCAATGCGCACATCACCGCCTCAGTCAGTCAGTCAGTCAGTCAGTCAGCCCCGTGAGGGTGAGGGAGGATGCAGTTTCACATACATGTAGTTTACTGAAAAATCTGAATGTCTGTGTATCAGCTCGGCCCTGTGAAAAACCCGTTGGAGTTGTGTCTGCGCAGCTAAAATGCGCTCAGAAATCACGAGCAAACCCACCCATTGAGTCATGATATTCACGTTAGTCGTTATGAAGTCATTTATTTCCAACTGAGTGACTCCTCTGTCCTCTCAGGCTCGGTTTTGGAGGTGCTGCACTGTTGAGGTTGAGTAGTTTAGCACAGCTGTGGGTATACACACGTCCTGCTCGTCCATGTTGGGGACTCTTCACTTTTTGGGCCAAGGTCTTTCCCTACATACCATCCTACTTCTTTTCCTACCTTCCTTCCTTCCTTCATTCCACTTTCTTTCTCGCCTGTGTAGCCCAGAGGAGATGTCAGCCTCTAGATTGTGACAGATTACACGGAATTAAACCTTTTGTCCCCCTTGTGGCTCCTATCTAACCCGTCCGATTGGCTCATTATTTTCTGGGTGAGGGAGCTGAGGGGCCTGTCTCAGAGCACTAAATTGGGATTGTTATCACCATCTATCAGGCAAACTGATTTCTACTCGCTTAATCTCAATCCTGAGTCCCTTCCTGAAATGGCAACAGCTCTTTGGAGGACTTCTTTAGCACAAAGAGTTGCATTTGTTACACTCACTTGAGTCCAACATCATTTTTTAACCAGCAGCGTGTTTTACATCTCTGTTCCTGTGTTTCCTGCTTGATGGGCAGCTTCTGAGCGAGATGAGGGTGCTGTCCGTGGTGCTGAACAAGTCTGCAAGAGCCACTCAACCACATCCACTCATTTCTGCTGCGCTGCTACTCCATTTGATTCACACTCTTTCCTGATATCTCCAGCAGCTTCTCCAGCTACTGTGAGGTGCGACTGTTCATCTCCTCTCCTCTCCTCCTCCCTGCTCCCTCCTTATCTTCGTATCCTCCCTCCACTCCGCGCCCTCAGTCATTTCGCTGAGTTGTTTTTGATTTTTCTGAGACTCCTTCAAACTCACTCAATCAGACGGTATCAAACTCTTATCCACCAACAGCCCAGAAGTGTCAGCAGCAGCAGTAGAAATGGCCACTTCTGGGCTGGTCACAACCTCTGATTAGACAAGAAAAAAGAATGGAAATTGAAAACCGAGCAGCCACAGGCTGAATACAAATTTCCAGTTGCTTCCTAGTGTGTCTGAATTTGGTGCCAGATTGTATCCGTCTATCTCACCCATAGTCTGTGTGTTTCTTCAGCCTTAACATGACCCAACTTTTCACTTGTAAAAGGATTTTTTTCTGACTTGTAACCCTCTGACTCCAACCAGATGCTCTCTTAGTAACACACCTCTCTCTGAACTCTTATTCACTCCGGCTTCCTCACAGAAACTTGTGGTCGTGTTTTGTGCAGAAGCAGATTAGAAGAGGCCGAGCTAAATCTCAATATCTTATCCCTTTATCCTGAATATGTGTTAAACTACAGATCTGACTGTGAGGATAATGATACTCAGATTATCATAATGCAAAATTCAAAACTTCTCATGTTTGAGGCTTTTTTTTCCCCTCATAAACGACTAATATATGACCAGCTTGGAATTAAGAAGTCTGATGATGCCTTTCACCCTAATTCGGTAAGAAACGAACAGAGAAGCAAAGCCCAAAAGTTGAGTGTTGGTTACATTAGAACAAAATGCCTGGAGATCCTGAATATTCAGAGAATAATGAAACGAGAACCAGCACAGTGTCTGGTTACTTAACAATGACAACCAGCAGGCCACAAGTATGCAGATAGCAGTGCTGCACACAGTGGCATGCAGAGGTAACATGCTCAAGCACACACATACACACACCTTTCCAACCTTGCAGCAGCTGTGTTACATCAGCAGAAGAACATGCCCGATTTCACTCGTGTCAGCGACTGTAAGGAGGAGGCGGTGAAGCCTGAGTAGTAATATGATCACTGCAACCGGACAAGCAAGATAAAAAAAAATTCTTCCACTGCAACAAATAGCACCGACTATGGGTCAGACTTCAGAGTAAAGGCGTACTCTCTCTTGTCCTCAGTGCAGGCTGTTGGCAGCACAGTCTGGATGTGTTAATGGTGGAAAAGTTGAATTGCTGCTCGCTTTGACAAACGTTGTAGTTTTGAATGATGGAGGATTGACTTTCAGTGTGTTTGTTGCAAAGATAGCACATTGCTTCATTTTCATAACTGGGCCTCTCTGACAGTTTTTATGTCCTCACATTTCTTGAAAGTGGATTTGACGTAGTTTAAAGAGCTGCGTACGCTGATATATAAGGAGTTTGTCACCTGTGGACCTGGCCCCTTCTAAAATAATGGAGAATGGTCCTTCTGTCCTTAATTCAAGAAGGACCAGGATTACAAAAGATGCATAAGCTGTGGTTCGAAAGTGAGAGTTAGAGTGAAAGTGAGCAGAGGCTGAGTGTGTTTGAGTATAAATAATAAAAATTAGTACAGAGGAGATCTGTCTTACATGGACACAAACAAAACACCCAAACAGCAGATGAAAAAGTAAAGGTTATTATGTTGCAGAGGAGGTGTAGTGAACTTCTAACGCAGCGTCTAGGGTAAAGGAAGCAGAGAGGAAAATCCATAAAGATGGCACAGAGCTGCACAAAACATGACTTTTGCATTAGTTTCTAAGGTCAGGATCATCTAAATATAACTACTGACTACATTCGACACACATTTTGTAATGATTTACATGACACTACATGACAATCAGAATTACGAACAAGACATTTCTTTCTTGCTACAAATATTAGTATACCAGTTATTTGATGCAAGACGTCTTAACAAACTGGTGAAAAAGGCTGGCTCTGTGGTTGAACTCAAGCTGGACTCAGTGGAGGATGTGGTGGAGAGATCTACACTGAAGAAGGTGGAGAGTATTCTCAAGAACATGGATCACCCACTTCATAACACCTTGATGGACCAAAGGGCCAATGGTGGTGGACGGCTCCTCTCTCTTTGCTGCAGGACAGAAAGATTCAGAAGATCTTTTGTACCAACAGCCATCAGGCTTTGTAACTCTTGTGTAAATAGTAGATAACTTTTAGAGACATATTATGTGAGACAACAGATGATTGAATTTCCCTTTCGGGGATTAATAAAGTTCGTCTCATTCTTATTCTTATTTAAATTCATGTTCATAGATGTCTTTTATTTTGGTGAGTTTAGGTTGCAGCTGCTGCAGACCATCTTAACTTGATGTAATGCACAGTAAACTGCATAAACACCAAACAGCTCTGCATTTTATCAACCCTTTGTTGGTTTGGTCCAAGTTACGCAAAAGCTGGTTCCTAAACAATCACACAAACGTATGCATAGAGAACTAACTGTAGCATGCAGTCAGCACGCTCAAATGATTCGCAACGGAGTCTTTCCCAGTCAACCAGAACTAAGTCCTAAGAAAGACCACGTGTGAGTCACACAGGACCCCTTCACCCAGTCCCAATCAAACGCATGTGTGTGCGTTTTGTGTGTGTATGTGCGATTATGATCCCTGTCTTAGTTCAGTTGAAGTCTCGCTGCTCGTTATGAAATCATCATTTATTGCTCCTCTCTAACCTTTCAGAGGATTGGTTGCTACTGGATGTGTCACTCACGTCTCTTAGCGGTGTGTTGCCGCAGATCACGTTTCTATCTGTATTTCCCCGTTTCTCTGACCTCCCTCTGTGACCCCTTCCAATTTTACCCACACCTCTTTCTCTGCAGTTTCTCACGTGTTATTCCTCTTCTCTTTTTACCCCTCACTTCCTCCGTCCCTCGCGCTCTGCCCTCCAGATGAGTTCGTGCAGCAGCCGTGCGTTGACCATCCTGTCCACGGTGTTTGGAGCCTGTGGGCTGCTGCTGGTAGGGGTGGCCGTGTCCACAGACTACTGGCTGATTATGGTGGAGGGCATCATCCTGCAACAGAACCAGAGCATGGAGGTGAAGATGGCGCTGCACTCTGGTCTCTGGAGAGTTTGCTTCGTGGCTGGTAGGAAAACTCAACAACTTGTGAATATTTTAAGCAAAAGGGGATCCTCAAAGTTTAACTGCACACACATACAAACAGTTCTGCTGTTTTGTGAGTGTTTTTGTGCTCAAATTCACACACAAACACAATAAAGCAGCCAGGTGAAAGAGCAGTGAGGAGAGGAAAGAGAGAAAGCAGGAATCCTAGCTGTCATAAAACATGACTGTTACCTGTGAGCAGGACCACACAGATCCTCTTCCTCTCTCTCTCTCTCTTTTGTATGTTTTGTTTCTTCATGCACCACTGAGTCTGATCCTGCAGCAAAGCCCAACAGTTCATCCTTATCTGTCTATGCGTGTGTGTTTGTCTTCACAGGATCAGAAAACGGGAGATGTGTTGCGTCAGAGTACTTCACTGAACCCGAAATAGAGATCACCACGGAAAACACTGCAAACATCCTCAGTGAGTAAAACATGTTACAGCACATCAACTCTTGTGTGAGAGCCTGCAGCTCAGAGGACCTGCACGGTCCCCCTGCTGACGAACTCTGGGAACTGTAGTCTGAACAAGATACTGAGCTGCAAATACTACTCTTAAGATACCTGCAACTCTTTTGTTATCAAGTCATGTTTTCAAGGAAAAGTGCAAAAATGATGCCATAGTCTCTTGACTGTGAGGATTTCATGTTTTTGATCTTTTTGTTTAACTGTGTTTCAAACGTACATTGATTTTGCACTTTGATTTCTGAGGTTTTATTGTCCATTATTATTAATGTGACAGATAATGTCGATAGTTCCCTTGAAGAATCACATGAACTGTGTTTAAGTGAGGTACAAACTCTGGACTTTGCCCATTAAAGTTCTGTTTCTGAGTAAATGAGCTGGAGAATTTCAATAACGAGGTTCATTTTGAGCTAAAAATGTTTAAAAAGAGATAAAAATGATTTAATTAACCAGTAATTTATTTAGTTCCAACTTAAATTGAGGAACGGGAAAAATCCTCTTCAGAGTTTCATTGTTACATTTGAAGTTTCTTTACTGATTATAATTATAGTACTTTATTGCGACCCAAAGGTCTGTATGAGCTTAGCAATAAAGCGTATAAATTAGAAAACATAAATACATAAGTCTCTCGTCTGCATCATCTATATCTTATCATAAATATTACTAGCAGCATACATACTTTTAGTCAAGTTTTCATCATATCTTCTTCATACTTTTGTCCTTGTGTTTGCACTTCAGGAAACTTATAAAATAATCATTAAAAATACAGACCTTGTTTCTCTGCGAGTGTACAGGTTTACAGCCATGTTGCTTTCCATTGCATCATATAAGCTGATTGAAATGGAGTTAAAAAGTAACAAGATGCTCCATCGAATATGGCAAATCATGTTGAAATGTGTCCAAATATTGGGAAAGCAGACCATGACAGGAGGTGGATGCTGCAGAAAAATTCAAATTACAGAGTCTTGTCTTCACATGAGGCATTAAAGGGGCACAGTCAGACATCACTGAATGATCAATCTCCATCATTTTTGTGTGACACTCTGACCTCCCCCTCTTCACAGAGATGGTGCGGACGGCCACACCCTTCCCCATGGTGTCACTCCTTTTTGTCTTCACCGCCTTCGTCATCAGTAATATCGGACACATCCGGCCGCAGCGCACCATCCTGGCCTTTGTTTCCGGGATCTTCTTCATCCTCTCAGGTAGGGGTCATTAGTCATGTCTTGCTGTCACTCTGTGATTGATTACAGTGTCCTGATGTGTCCTGTGTCACATGTAGAGTCACTCCATCATAGCGCTATTTTTAGTGTTTGACTCTAAAGTCAGGAAGGCGTTAAGCTGAGGTATCAAGGTTGTAATGAGCGAGTTTTCTGACCTTTGATTTTGCGTTTCTTCCTTCAAACCTGAACATTGTTTATTACTCTTACGTGTATTTAATTGTACAAAAAACTCAGGCGATAAACTCTACAGACCTCCAGGCAGGTTTCCAGCGTGTTTTCCTTCACTGATGCAGTTAACCTCCTTGAACAGCAGGTGGCTGTAAAGCTCCCGTTTCTGCCCTCATTGCTGACTGTGGAGAGCCAAGCCCGAGCTCCTTTTCTCTGAAGGCGTTTTCACAGACAAGTTTTGAGAGGGAAGCAGCGCTGCAGAGCTCAAAGGAAACATCAAACAGACTCTGCTGCGACGGCTCTGACTTGATGTGGCGGGGACCTGCCAATAAAGGGTGTAGCAGTATAATAAGTGTTACGTAATACGAGGGGTGGGGGTTATGTAATGTTTGTGGCCGGTGCTGAAATTGTTGCAGTGTTTCACTTTATGAGGTATTTTGATAATAGGGTGATAACAAGAGGCAAGGGTATCAAATTGCTTTTCTGCGGTTGTATATTCTGCTGCGCTAAGCCCCTCTCTCGCTCCAAACGCTGTTTCACACACGCCCTCTCCCCATAACTCCCCTCTGTCTGTTTTCTCTTACTCCCCCCTCTTTATAGCCATCCTCCAAATTTACTAACTTGCTCCTGTATATAGATTCTCTCTCACTTATCTGTGAATCTTTTTGGGTGATTTTTGGACCACTCTGGTATTACTGAAACTGTGATTTTTTGATTCGGTAGCTTAAGTCGCTCATGTTACGGTTAATATTACAAAGTTCAAAGAAACAGCTAATATTTATGCACTTTGAGGTGCACCACATCCCCTTTTTTCCTCGTTTGGCACACTGCACATTTTCTCTTCCTCCTCTCTTCTTCATGTGCACGTGTGCTTCTCCTTTTTACTAATTAAACAAAGATGTACCTCCACTCTATGACTGACAGCAGCATGGTTTCTGCATCATGTGTGCTTATCAATTTTAAAATCAACATCATGGCTCTGTGGTGCACTTGAATGTTGCAGAGGAAGCTAAAAATAACCATAGATGCTGCTTAAGGCATGCTGCATTGCTTGAATATTGATTTTTCGATGTTGGCCATATGTTGAGGTCATGCATTTAACATTTCCAAGCAGCACTAAAACATGTGCATGTACTTAGAAGAGGGAGGTTTTAATGTCGTTTGTGTAAAAAAGAGGTTTTCTTTTGGTGACTTTCACAATAACAATGTTATTGCGATATTTAGGGGTGTCCCGATACGATACTGATATTGGATATCAGGATATTATATCAGCCTACATCTAAAATCTCCAATATCAGAACTCCAATACAAGCAGTCCATTCCAGACTCTGCTCCGGCACCTCTATCTAGTAGCGCCCTGATCCAGCATGCAGAGCCCACAAACTCACAACAACAGTGTGTACTAAGGTACTAAGATATGGTATGGCAGTATTTTTTGTTTAAGTCCGAAAAAGACATTGCAGCTGAGTGAAATACTTATGCACAATTTTGTGCCAAAATCAGTTCAATATCGGTACGGTCAATATTGAAGGCTACAATATCGGTATCGTATCAGAAGTCAAAAAGTTGTATCGGGAGACCTCCTTGTGATATTCATAGAGAAGTTTTAAAAAAAACACAACACTATCAGTCAAACTGAGGACCGGCACTCAACCAAAAACTCAATTATGTTAGTACATGTCATCATGTGATTTTTCTTTAATGAAGAACCAGAGTACATGAACAAGCTTGTTTGGTTAATGGAAAGAAGAAGGTGACAAGTACATGTCAGTCAGTCAGCTCATACTGTACCACTGTATCAATGCAGCAGCATCTAAGCTCCAGACCTCATCACTCCTGGCTTTTTAACCTAACATGTAGGGATTAAAGAGTGATGAGATAAATAAAATATCTTAAACCCCTGGAGCTGAAGTTTGCAATTAGATGCAGAGCAGAGCCAGAGACCAGATATCTTTCTGCTTGTATATTCAGTCTTCTGTAACTGGGAGTATAAGTTTGTCAGGTGGTTGTGATAATGCCACACACGACAGATGTGGAGTTGGTGCAGCTTGAGTTGCAAGAACTAGCTAATAGGAGTCACTCCATTGAAGCTTTAAGTGTATCTGCAGCCCTGTCATCTACAAAGTACCCAGACTTCAAAGTCCTCTGGGGTGAACATTTTTATCTTCTGTGCACAAGTTAATATCTTCTTAGCATAAGTGTTAATCTTGAGCACACAAGTCAATAACTTGTGCCCTCAAATTAATAACTCTGCCCCACAAGTTAAATATCTTATGCACACAAGGGAACAAGTCAACTCGTGTGCTAAACTTTGTTCACTTGTTCGCGTAGCTGACTGATCTAGCTGTTTGTACTCTTTCTACCCTTTGCAAATGCAGCAGTGGTGACAATCACACTTGCCATTATTTGCCTTTTTTCCATTATGTCAATCCCTTTTTTGTATTCCTCCTAGTAAGTAATTTCTTGCTCCCACAGCACACATAGAGGTTGTAGTTTTAGTCAATGATTCATCAAGCCAGTGGTTACTTAAAGCATGGGACAGGATGAGAAGTGTTGACGTTGAATTAACTTAGCATGCGCCACTGCTTCTGACGCTCTGAAGTAATATTTACGACTAAAGAAAACCAGGGCTGAGATTTGGCTTCCCTCAAAACTTACTTTGGCAAAACAAAAGGGTAATCTTAAATGTTATTTTGCGTAAGACATTATTGCTCCAGGGACGGCTGGAGGCCAAGACACTTAGACAATCTTTCCATTTAACAAACATAAGAAGGGTGAAGAAAGGCAGACAAATTATTACACTAGAAGCTCAGAGTTATTGCTCTCTTGAAGAAATCATGTTTCAGAAATTAGTGTGTTTCCTTGTTTGTGCTAAATGTCATCCTAACTTGATTTTGGTCTATCAAGTATGTTTTCTTTTCTATGAGTCACCCACATTTGTTTCTTTCTCTCTCATCGTGTACGAACTCCCCTCTCTACCTTTCCTCCCTCTTTCTGATCACGCTCCCTGGGAACACTGCAGCAGTCAAATCTGGATTTTACATCCTCACTTGATTCTGTGTTTTTCTCTGTTCGTCCCTCTCTGTTTTATTACCCTGCTGTATACAGGCCTCAGTCTGGTGGTGGGGCTGGTGCTCTACATCTCCAGTATTAACGATGAAGTGATGAACCGACCCAGAGAGCCCGAGCAGTTCTTCAACTACCACTACGGCTGGTCCTTCGCCTTTGCTGCCTCCTCCTTCTTGCTCAAAGAGGTCAGTCTGAGGGACATCTGAAGGTTGTTCGTGCGTTCATGATTATTCAAAATATCGATGTGTTTTCATGTCTATAGCTCGAGTGTTTTTTCCCCTCATGTTTTACATGCTGAGTGTGCAAGCAAGCCCTGTAATTATGCAATAGACTGAGGTATCAGTGGCTGTGATGCAGAACTGCAGGGTGTGTGCGTGTTAGTGTATGCGCCCATGCGTGCTGCAGTATCATGTGAATCCTCCACTCATCTCCCCCTCCTCCCTCCATGGCTCCTTCTGCCTCTTTCCCCTCATCAGCAGCTCTGCTCTTAATGTGGTGCAGTGGGCAGTTCAGTGTTAACTCCCCCTCCTCTTTACTCTCCTTGTCTCCCTCTTTGCCTTTTCTTTTCCTTTTAATCTTTTTCATATGAGCTTCAAAGAATTCATTACTTTCTTCTTTCTTAATCCTCACTGATCAAAAGCACCTACTTACACCTCTCCACCTTGTACTTTCTTTTAAACACTTCTGGCTTATCAGTCTTTTTTTGTCTGATTTCCCCTGCCATCACTTGGATCTTTTTTTTCAAATATTTGTTTCACTTTTTGACGCATCTTATCTCCACTGCATCTTTTCCCTTTCTATCTCAGGGGGCCGGTGTGTTGTCAGTCTATCTGTTCATGAAGCGCTATGCTGAGGAGGAGATGTACCGCCCCCACCCTGCACTCTACCGCCCCCGCCTGTCAGAGAGCAGCGACTACAGCGGCCAGTTCCTCCACCCAGAATCCTCTTGGCCCCCGCCGAAGCGAGGTCGCAGCACCTCAGAAGCCTCCAGCGACATCTCCATTCAGCTCAACCAAGCGCCGCCAGCTCCACCCAAAAGCAACCTCCAGAAGGGCGGCCAGGGCAGCCCTCCGTCCGGGTCTTCCTCCGCAGGGAGCTACCCGCAGTCCAGCGGGTACCCCTCCACCCACACCCTGCCCAGGTCGCACTCCTCACACCCACAAGGCCAGGCTCTCCCCATGGCCATGCCTCCATCGCCTGTACCTCCACCTCACTATCACGCGCACATGCACATGAGCGCCTCCCCCTGTTAGGAAGGGTGAGACGCGGACTCCTCATAATCATGTAGTCTGTACATTTGGATGATGGATGGACTTTGAGCACAGATCACATGAGATACAGAGAAAGGAGAGGAGATCAAACATAGGAAAAAAATGTAGCTGCAGATCAATGAGAGAAGATCGAAGAGATTTGGAAGACACTGTGATGGACAGAAAATAAAAACTAAAGACAAAAGAAAAAGAGGGATTTAACCAATGAGAAACGGGGAAGAAAGTATTTCCTAGAAAGACTCAAGTGGGGAGGTTGAGTGACACAGGAGATTTAAGGGGGGAGAGTGAGGCAGGGGCGAGCGAGGTAGTGCGGTATAAAACCAAGATGCTGCAGTGCTGCGGGAAATTTGTATGCACACTGATCACTGAAGACTGAGGATGCACATAGTTTTGTACATCCATAATTCATGCCATTACATTGACTATGCTTCTTTTTACCAAAGGGTAAATGGGTCAAAATATATTCTTGTCTTCTCTGAATTTCTTACATCATCAATCCAGTTTCATAACTTGCAATGTCAAAGTAGTATTATTGATATAAATGACTAAATATAAGAACACTATAGTAATTCTTAAGTGAGGACATTGTCTGTGAATGTTGTTAGACAGAGGTGGATGATATTCTGTGATATCACTAAAGACAATGATGTTTTACATATTTGTTTTAGAGACAGATTTTTATCTATTCCTGTACATAAAGCTGCACATGAGGACTTGTGTATATCTGTTGTATATTATGAATGAAGCTCTGGCACAAGTCACATCAATAAACCGACTTATTCTGCTTTTGACAAAAAAATCTGCAGCAAGCAAACTACAACAAACGATAACACTACCCTGGATGCAGCTGCACACCGGTTTAGAGGGGGGACCAGCCGATACTGATGTAGGGGTCTGATGCCCCCTACTGGCCACTGATCTGCACTGACCCGCGACGAGGCCTGACCTGCACTTTGCTGGTTGATGGTGCAGCACAGATGAGCAGAGAAAAGGGAATGATGGTGAATTTCAAGAGGTTGGAGGATGTTAGATTTGAAGACTGGCTCAAGTTGTATTTTTCAGGGATGGGGGTGTTTTGGGATCTGGAAACAGTAATAAATGCAAACATTACATTTGCACTTGGAGCTCAAAGTTCATCACCCCATCTGTGAAGGTCAGGCCCCCAGTTTAACAGCCAACAAAGCTGCTTCATTCTCATGTTAGGTGCAACACACAGGAGTTTCTCAAGTATCTGGAGTATCTGAATAATGATGGTCTTGTGCAAAATCGTGTTCAGCTCCCCTGTTTTTCAGGCTGCAATTGTATCCCACTGAGCAATAGGCGGCTATTAGACACCTAGAGGTTTTTTTTTTAGACCTAATTTCAACCATCTAGATTCTGTATATTTTAGACAGAATTTAGACGTTGCACTTTAAGCTATTATTCCATAACTATTTATTTAAAAAAGCAACTGTGAGTCGCATAATTGAACTCCAAGTACTTCACCAAAATAAATATGATAGCCGTTGAGCTATATTCAGTGTGGCATGGATATAGCCCAGATTTAGACTTGGTCTAAACTTGGTCTAAATTTAGATGTCTAAAAAACTTTAATTTTTTGACCTGTGGTAGCCTGATTTTAGACCAGTCATCTAGACTACATTTAGACGTCTATTAGACCTCTTTCAGACCAAAAAATGCTCAGTGGGATGTGTCTGCATTTCCTTTTTATCCTCCTTTAATTTTTCATGTTTAACATGTTTGGAAATATTTTCACGCCAAATATTACGTCACATGCCTCAAGATGAGGTATTCAAAATCTGTAAGAACTGTGACAAGGTATTCAGCAGTTTTAACATAAGTCCCAAAGAAAGGCATCAAATCGACAAACTCGAGCTGGAGCCGAAAAATGACCAATTTACCAAAAAAGTGGTAAATAGTGCAGATTAATTTAAGCCTTTTATTCCTTATTTGTCACAATTTCAATCTGGATGTGTTATCCTTTTCTGTAATCTGTCATACAGTAAAAGGTTCAATCTGCAATAGTATCTGAAATGAGAAAGTCTTTAATTCTAGTAAATGCTGCAGCAGGTATCAGGTGGATCAAAATAGCACCTCTCCCAAACAAATAATGTAGCAGTTTGCATATTTCAGGATATTTGAGCTGACTTTCATGCACCTTACGCAATAATAACATTTTCAGATGCTCCAGAAACTGAAGATCCCCCTGTGAAAGTACTCTGAAGTACTGTTAAGTTACTGAAAGTTGCAGAATAGCGCTCTTGCCAAGCCAACACCAAACATCCGTCATGTCAACTTACATTTCTGTTGTTGTTTTTGTATGTATTAAAAGCACATCATGCTCAGAGATATGTCAGTGTGATATATCACTGAAATTAGTTCTAAACCACAAAGCCATTGTACAATAGCTGGTTTTCATTATCACTGTGATGCTGGAGAGAAGTAAACACACTAATGTGGGATGAAACTCATGGAGACTTACAGGGTGAATTTAGCGTGATGTCGTGCAGATATCATTTTTTCAGGCAGGGTTTTTGTCGAGCAAGCATGTCTTGTGTTGTTTGATGTTTTTGTTTATGCACTCATATTTAAGGTGAGGCCCAGTGTAGCTGCAGCCTTCATTTCGGGCTCTGCAGTTACATTTAGGGGGATAAGTGCCTTGCTCAACGGCACCTCGACAGTGGCTGTTGAAGAAGAATCCCCAAACTGATGATTATCAATCTGCTTCCATCTCTGTAACTTTAAAGACTTCTGCTGACTCTTTCTCCACCAGCTTAAATCTTTCACTTTGTTTCTTCTCTGCATTTCCAAAAATCATTTGGTGCCTCTAAAACTGCAGTAATCTTTTTTTCCCCTTTCTCTTTCCCTGTACCTCTTCTTTTTCCTCGCTACCCTCAGCGTCACTCCTTTGTCTGTACATGATTATATAAAAGGTTGTAGCTGCGCTTGTTTCTGCATAAAAAATTGACTCTTGCACATGATCCCCAGCAACACCTTTGTAAAAAAAAAAAAAGCAAAACAAATGCTTTTTCAATGCTTCAATGGAACTGATGCAGTGTATAATCTTGAGTTAAATAATCAAATAGCGATTGTGATAAGATCACTGTTCTGGAAAGTGCTGATACTTGTGTCGCACTTTCCTCTGAAAATAAATAAAACTTTTCAACATGCCATATTTCACCTTGTTTGCCCTTACCTTGTACTCAGTTTACATCAGCTTACTTTTGGAGCTCCTATTTCATTTGTGTTTAATATTGTGAGTTTTCTTATGAGGAGATTTGCGTCGTAAGGCCAGAATTGGAAAATAATCCCTCCTTTTTGACTTGTGATACTGCTGTTTTCTGGCTGGAACATAATAAGTGGATGCACACACTGCACTGCGGTGAACCACTGGGTGTTAACCAGCTCCCTCCTCAGTCACAGAGAGCCACCACAGCCTGAGGCCAAGCATTGATCAGAGTGTATACGTGTCTATGCATTTGTGTGTATGACTGCTTTTGTTGTCACAGAAATCAAGCCTCGTACTCTAAAACAGCACAAGAACAATGAGGCTATTTTGTCTTGTAAAGTTTCTAAATTTGATGTCTACTTTTTTGTCAAAAAAAAGAATAAAGAGCAGGTGACCAGGTAAGATTGTAAGCTAAATGAAACCTGAATCAAAGCTTTACTAATCACTGTGATTACCATGAGAGGTGTTAATCACAACCAAACAAAACCTCAAATCAAACAGACAAAGATATAAATAGTCAGCAATGATACGTGTGTGTATGTGTGTGTGTGTCTGTTGGTGAGAGTTGTGAGAGAGAGAGAGAGAGAGAGAGAGGTGTTTCATCCGGAAATCAAACATCCACAGGTCAATAACAATAAAAAGCAAAAGCCTGAGCTCTCTGCTGTCTTACATCCAGGACTGAGGTGTGTGTGTGTGTGTGTGTGTGTGTGTGTGTGCCTCTCCTGATGAATGAAACCCGACTGCTTCAATAGAGTAAACAGTTAAGATTAAACTGAGACTTGTGGTTGTTCTGTGGACACTTTCCTTGCTTTTAACTTGTGTTTGTGTGTGTGCCTGTGCGTGTGTGTATGTGTTTGCCTCTGCTTCCTCCTTTTGTTTGTACGCAGTGTATGTGTGTATTTGACTCTTGATATGTGTGTATGTCAGTGTGGGTTGAGTGGATCTCTCTTTTCACCATCACCATTACTGCATGAAAGACCTGTCACTCTGTATTAGCTCTGTGCAGCTCTCCCTCACCCTGCTCTGTGTGTGTGAGTGAGTGAGTGAGAGAGAGAGAGAGAGAGAGAGAGAGAGAGAGAGAGAGAGAGAGAGAGAGAGAGAGAGAGAGGTGAAATGGGCAGTAAAGCCACTTTTAAAGCTATTGAAGGTCATTGTCTGCTTAGTTTTGTGCAACCTGACTGCTGTGTACCACCAGCAGCTCCTAGCTCCATTTTTATAGATCTGATGACGTCATTCGGTCCATATAACACACGCTCATCTATAAAGTTATCGCGATAAATAAATAAGGCAATTATGGTCAATTAGCACAATTATTCCTCAATCTCCCTCAATGAAGACACATAAATATTGACCTGTGGATATCTGACTCCGTGATTTAACCCCCCCCCCCCCCCCGCTCTCTCTCTCTCTCTCTCTCTCTCTCTCTCTCTCTCTCTCTCTCTCTGCAGGGCTGCGCTTGTGCTGCATTTCCCAGAACTACCAGCGCGGCCATCATCATCATCATCATCACCACCACCACCACCGTAGAGCAAACGTGTCCCACTGGCGCTCTATCGATGGCCCCTCGTGCTCAAAGTAACATATACATCCGCATCAATAACACACGCGCGCATGCATACACTCTCACGCGCACATACTGCATGTACATAACCTGGTCATGGCTAATAAGCTACTTACAAACGCACAGCCCCCTGCGCGCGCGGCACACGCTCCAATAAGCACATCCAGACCAATTCCCTCAATACGCGAGAGAGAGAGAAAGGGGGAGAAAAGGGGAGGGGAGGTGGGTGAGGGTTTCAACCTTCCTCGTGATCTCGCAGAGCAACATATTGTAGAAGATTTCATGTCGTTTCTGACATTATTCGTCGAGAAGCTTCTTTTGGTGGGATGCGACAAGTTGCTTGCGTCGCGCGCTCCGTGTGGGAGAAATATAGATAGAGGAGCAGACAGGCGCGAGCGCTCGTCCAACCGGAGGGGAGGGGAGGGGAGGTGGGGAGGAGGGGACGCATTCTCCCCGAGTACACACAAGCAGCGGCCACATCCTCTATAGACAAATCCGTGTTCAGTGACGTGTTTTCTATTAGCCTGGTTTTTAATGCACGTCCAAGCCTCTGCCATAAGTGGCTGATTTGGATCTTTTATCACTGAGAACCCACTCCCTCGCGTGCTTTTTACTGCCATCATCTCCCATCATCCCTTTTCCTATTTATTTATTTTTTTTGTGCCTCGATCGACCCGTTATTCAGCCCATCCACCGTCCACCCCCTATCTTCTTTTTTTTCCCTCCATCTCCTCCTCTATGGGAGTGCGACGCGCTGCGAATCTGAGCTAAAAGAGCCTGCAGGTAAGACCTCCACCAGCCTGTTTTGTTTCTAATGATCATAATTACACTGTGTCACTGTTGTTTGGACTTTGCTGCTTTAACGGAATTCTCCGTTCATCCTGTGTAATTTACACGCCACATTGATCTGTTTCACGTTGCCTGTAACTTAGCCCACTACTGACAGTGTGGACTGGAGAACTAAATGAAGAGAAATAATAACAATCCCCAGTCTCGTGCCTCCTCTCTGATTAAACACTGACTGATTATTTTCCACCTATTTTCCGCGGGCCTATAATTAGCGTCTGCAACGTCTATTATGCAAATGAAAGCCTTATAATAGCTCGGTTGGAGCTTTTTCCTGCACTCTTAATGCAGCTGGGACTCAAATGATGTTGTATGGAATGAAATGGTCCCACAGCCAGGACTCATTGTTGTGACTGTGTGTTTGATCTGTGTCCCACTCCATTGAGTTTCTCTGTACCGGCCGCTTGATGCTAGGCGTCCATTTTCCACCGTGTAGCCTCTGCAGGCAGGCTGATGTGTGTAGCTTCCTCTATTAATGAATGCACCGCAGTCTGCATCACTATACTCGAGCCCTGCATGCGCTCAGCCCCTGATCCCTGAGCCTGTATGTCTGCACAGCTTCTGCTTCTCTGCTGATGAGGCCAACATCTTAGCTTCACGTTGGACCTGAGCCACATCATCATCACCATCATCATCATCATGTCATCTTATGAGTGTCAGTCTCTATTCAGCCCACTGTCTCCTCTCATCTGCAAACCTGAGAGTCCTGCGCTCTTGCACAACCAGAGGTAAAAGGGCACCGAACATCTGGCGCCCAAATCAATCATTCATTTTTCCTCACAGCTCAGATCACAGCTGGGCCAAAGTTGGAATGAGATGTGTTGAAATGCTAAGGAAGTGAGGACTGCAGCATCCAGGAGTTAGCCAACCTGTGCAGTGAGTGAGTTATAGCCGCTCTCACTCAGGCTGCAGCCTACGACGAATACAACTCTGAATGTTTCCCTCCTAATTTCAATCATCCGATTCTTAAAACAAAGCATGGTAGCTTACAGTCGGAGATGCTCCCTCCTCTGAGCTCAGCCTTTTATTTCACGGCTGTCTCCCCCTTTTGTAAAGAAGCACAAGTGTCCGTCAGCACCTGCTCCTTTGTGAGTATGATGCAGGTTTGTTTGGCTGTTAGCGGGATGTGGGCAGCACCGAAGGAATGATGTTGAACTTTTGTTGTTTACATCACTTATGAGTCAAGAGCTGACTTTACTATGCAGGTTAGGACAGAGACTGAAAAGCAGCTCTTGTTCGTTTCACTGTGAACAGATACCATGAGTGATTACAATCATTTAACTATACACAACTCAGCAGATGCACTGCAAAAGTGAGAGTTCACTTGAAGTTTGCTTACACAATGTTGCATCCTCTAGGTTGTGAAAAGTTACGTTTTATGTTTGACCAGGAGGCATCCGAGTACATCTCACTTCACCATCAGTGAATCCTTCATGGAGGTGTGTCTGCCCCCTCCATCTGTTGACCACGCCCCCTCAGTCCCCCTCCTCCCGCTTAGTAAACACCGTCTGTACTATGTGTGTGATGTGTGCTTGGCCTTGATGGTCGTCTCACTAGAGTTTGGAATATTTTCAAAAGCCCCTCAGCCGGCGCTGAGATCTGCTGTTTACGCTGTAAGGTGACTCATTGCAGTCAATACTGGTGCGAGGCCCACACAGGCTGTGGTTGTTTTTTCGAGCGGTCCAAATAATAATCTTCTAATAGACACGGGCAGTCCAGGATTATCAGACACGAACTTCCTAATGTTTCTGTTTGTTGAGCTATTTTACTCTTAATTTGGCGGTCAGCTCTGTTCTCCTCCCTCTCAATCTTTGTCTCTTTGAAGAGAGGCAGTTCTGCCAACCTCATCATGTCTCTCATGTAACTATTGTTCTGAGAATCAATGGCTTTGTTGCAGACGTCTTGATGGTTCACGTTTTGGCTTTGCAATGTGCCTTCCGCTCTTCAGATGTTGCTGAGAGGACAGCGCAGCATTAAATTAAGAGGAAAAAATGTAATAAACTATGATTGACACTGGGCAGATAAACTAAATACCTCAGTTAAATCCAGCACCTAAGCGCTGTTGGATGTCTGCACCTGTATTAGGAAAAAAAAACAGATCTTTGCTGATTCAATGTCAGTAAACACATTGCATATGATTCCTGGGAGCAAAGCTTTTATCCAAAGCTCTCTAATTGACTCCTGTCTCAGTGGCTGTGACCCCCTGCATCAATTAACCTCAAGCTTTGGTGTTTTTAAGTGCTTCACTCAAGCAAGCACAGCCTCTGAGAGCCGGCGTGCGAGAGCCTGCGATTGAACTGTACAGTGTCAGTGATATATTGGAGGTAATGTGTCTGTGCAGAGGCGTGCAGTGTAAACATACAGCAGAGCACAGGGGTGTAATGTCTGAGTGTGCTCGCTGGACTGGAGGTATAAATGGGAGATCTGTGACCAAAACCTCTTCAGTCATCACAACAGGCTGGAGGTGTGTGTGGGAGACAGGGTCAGATAAGTAAACAGTATGAAGAACTGATTGATCAGGTCTTCTCATCAACACCGCTTTCATACTCAGGAAATGGTCCAAATAAATACTTTGTCTGAGATCCAAATTTGGGTCTTAGATGCTTCAGAGAACGTAATAGTGTAGGGATCTGATCATCTGTATCACCTGCACAAATGCGAGTTGTGATCTACCTGTGAACTTCACTGCTGTCACTATCGGGTCACATTCACACCAAAGCTGTTTGGTCCACTTTAAACAAATGCTGATCCGTGTCCAGAGATAGTTCAGTACATTTAGAGCGTTCTGGTGTGGACTCAATAAGTGAACTTATCAGCTTTAAAAGAGGAATCTTGGTTCACTTCTGACGAGAATTGTTTGAGATGTGAAAGCAAAGCAGACCCACTTATGGACCAAAGGAAGGAAGTGGGATCATTGGGTATGGTAGTGCTTCCTCTGCCACCGCTTGGCATGGGTAGTAAGCCACTAGGTGAACACACAAATTTGTCATTGTTGATGAGTAAAGACAGCAAAGTCAACACACAGTCTTATCCTTTTTTTTATCTATCCATCTTTGGCACATAACCTAAGATACTTCCACTCAGCGCTCCTCAGATGTTCTGATGTCATGGTTGTCCTCTCAGCTTGGCTTTGCTGGCCCATGTGCTCAATTTTTGTTGAAAAGCATTGGTGTATTCGTTTGCTGAGGTCAAGACTGCACAGATTGGCAAGGTTACAATGAGAGCACCCTCTTCTGGGTCATATGGCAAGCTCCTTCAGGCAGCCTGATTGTTGGTATTAGGGCTGGGCGATAAAATGATAATGATATATATATATCAAAAATTAATTTCAGGTCAACTCCAGGTCCGCTTCGCGTTACTCATGTGCTGAATTAGGACCAAGTAGCAAACAACTGCATAGTGGCAGGTTCCAGCTACACGCAACCATAGCACTTAAACATGTGAAACCGACAGCACTGTTGGTGAGAAAAATTTGTGCTACCCCCGGCAGAAATGCAGATGAAGGCTCAACAGATGATGAAATCGTCGACAACACTGGCACAAAAACGTCGTTGGTGTGGAAGTATTTTGGTTTTTTTTTAGGTCGGACATGAAGCAGAGTAATGTGCACTGCAAATCATGTTGACTACATGTTCTCGCAAAGTCCGGGAGTATCTCAAATCTTTTTCACCACCTGAAGCTGTGCTATGCGGCAGAGCATGCACAATGCAAAAGGTTACAAACCCCGAGCGGAGCAAGGAGCCCATGGCGCCTGAGCAGCTGAAACAGCCGACCATTCAGTCCGCTTTCTCTAGTGCAATGCCGTACGACAAAACATCAAAGAGAAACAAAGACCTCACAGGCGAAGTAGCTTATTGTATTGCAAAACACATGCTACCAATAAGCACTGTTAAATTTCATTTTTTGTATCTTGATATATATCGATATTGACCGATATGAAAAAAATATATTGTGATATAACTTTTTACCATATCGCCCAGCCCTATTTGGTATACTATTTAAATGTGAGTTTGAACGGCTCTCATATTTTTGTTTTTTTACACTAGCTGTAGATTATCATCTCATCATAGTTCTTTGTCATGCTTTATAGATCATTTTGTTGCAGATAGTCAGTAAGCGGCAGGTGACAGAAGTTAATTTCAGCTGCTAGTCCAGAGGAAATCTACAATGCGTGTCAGCACTTTAACACCCCATTAAAAGAAGAGCTTTACAATGATAGGCCTAATGGAGTAAAAAAAAACTCCAACCAAACAATAATACACCTCAATTATAAACAAGCACGTTTTAATGTATGGATTAGTTTGGACCCAAAATGAAAAAATGAGAGAAATTTATTTTAGTTCATTGACAATAGACAAAAAAACAAAAGGACAAATAGAAATCTCTCCTTTTCCAAAGTAACTGAATGGGTGTAGGCAGAAGTAAGAGCTTATTTACACCCACCCTCTCTTTCATAAAAACATATCCATCACCAAAGCTTACTTTTTTAAGATAGCACTATTATAACTTAGCACACATAAGCATTCATCTTCTCAGAAAGAATTTATCAAATTCATTCATAAATATTAAAAATCAGCCAGTTGTTCTGGGTTTTTGTTTTAAACGTGGACAGCTCATGCATTAGCTGAATCATTATAAAGCAATGCTGAAAAACATCTACTGGGTCCAGCTCTGCAGATTTTTGCTTTGCCTATTATCAAGGAAAGAAGTGCAGCGCAGTAGAGACAAAACAACACAGCTCTGCCTGTATGAAATTGTGCACATTAAGCGTCATCAAATGTCACAGAAGACTTTATTTGCAAAAGAGTAAACTCATGTGCTACTGTGGTGTTTTTAAGCATATGTTCAAGGGTCCATGAGCATCAGGTCATCCACAGGCACTATTTCAGGAGCCTCTTAGACCAAGGTGTTTCTGTCACATCCTCCTCCAGCTGCTCTGCTTAGATGGGCAGAGAAGTGGAGACAGGCAGTGTGAGGATCTTGTTGGACTCCTCACATGGTCTTAATGGAAATTCTGCTACACTTAGAAGTGCCTTTTTTAAAATGACCTACTTTATGATTTTATAGTCATCACTTTGACAGTTGTTGGGGTTTGAGGCTGCACATGTGCTTTCATGCCAAGGGTTTTTTAGTTGCGTGTGGAAGTTTTTCACTGCACCTGCTTGTGTGTCTGTGCTGGCATGCATGTAAATATGTAGAGATGCACGTGTGTGTGTGTGAGTGTGTGTGTGTGTACACGCCAGCTGTGGGATCTCAGCGATGAGCTCAGGTGTGCAGCTATCTCTCATTATTAAGGACAGGAATCATCTTGGCTAGCAAGATTCACTGTTCTGGATGTTCAGCCATGTTTTTCTTAATGTTGACGGCTGCCATCGAGCACTCAGAATAGAATACGCTGCATGTATTTTTAGAACTGTCATCATAAGTAGGCCCAGTGCACTTTTTTTTTTCCTCCTTCTGGTCAAGCATTAGCTCATGTCATTATCACTCCACTTTCTCTCCAGGACATCCAAAAGTTACAGATGTTTTTTTCTTTTTGTGAATCTAACCCTGAGAATATTCCCACATGCCCACACAGGACCCCTGCTTCCTAAATGTGTGGAAAAACTTATTAAGGGATATCATCATTTATTCAAGAAGCAGTTTGGTCGCTGATTTATGCAATGAATAGCTAATGGAGTAGCTGCTACAAAATTCAAATCTCCTGTGTGATTTATGGCTGCTTATTGGAGCCACAGCTCAATGGGTGAGTGTATGTTTTATATGAGGTGTTCTGTCATGCTGTGAATGAGTCACGCAGGTAGATCTAATTACAGCTGAAGCTTTCTGACAAGTAAAGGCCCGCTCTTGTGATAGGCTCTGCTAACAGTTTGCTCCTAAAGCTTAGCTCTGGCCTTTGTTGATGCAGTACATCCTGCTGCAGCTATTTAGCCTCTGGCTGACTCAGAGTCATACGACTGTTGCAAACATACAATAATGCTATCACAGTGCGGGTTAGTTAACTGTGAGAAACTCCATAAGTAGGAATTTATATATCTATCTTTGTATATGTATAAAAGCATACCTAAACCTTGATATATTTCTTAAACTCATCTGTAACTAAATCAATAATTATTACATATTTCTGGCAGGACCTGTCAGGTCTGTTGCCATTTGAGGCTGAACGACAATTACTGAGGCAGTGAGGGGTAATGAACCTTAGTTTTTCATTTATGAAAAACACACAACAAACACTCTCCACAGCGCTTTTGAAGAGTGCCACACATACTTAACGGTACTCCTTTCACACTGTCAGACTAAATCTGGACAGCTTAATAAAATAATCAAATTCAATCCAGTGGAACCAAAGGTTGTTTTTTTAAATTCCTAACATTACTCTTCCTTACCTGACTGCTGGCTGCAGATTCTGAGATGTTCAGTGGCATCAGAAGAGCAAATTGATGACGAAATTAGTTCCTGACAAATCTAATTGTTGATAGTCAGTTATATCGTCATGGGTGTTTCACATGCCCAGAGTGGGTGTAACCTGGTTTAACAGAGGTGAGCTGCAGAGGAATGAGCCATCTCACATCCTTGCTGGCTGACGAGGTTTGCACATGCAAAAAAGGCAACTGGGAAGTGACAGGTAGACAAATGCAGCAACACCACTATGGCCTAATGCTTTAAAGGTCCAGGAGTATTCTGGACCTTTAAAATTTACCAACATGCTTCCATGAAAGTAATGCACAGGAACAAAATAAAACCATCATCATTCATAATCTGTGTATACTATGGACATCTTGGTTCCGCCATCCGTCAGTATACTGACTTGAAGCCCTGAATAACTTTTAAAAACGGAGCTGTACAGAAAAAGGAGGACTTGAGCACAAACCAGTCTAACAATAACTACATATCAACATCGTAAGCAGGGGGGAGAAAAAATTATATTCTGTGTAATCCACAGCTCCATAAGCTTTGCTGGCGGAGGCGGGATTTATGACCTATACTGCAGCCCGTCACCAGAGGGTGCTGTTCTCGGGGAGGCTTCACCCAGCGAGGAGGCGGACAGCGTCCATTCTACATACAGTCTATGTCATCATTACATTAACACATGGACCATTCTGATCTTCTCGCCAAAGTATTAAACTCATTTCATAGAAACAGTCTACTGAACAGCATCCCTCACAGCTATGCAAGTAACTTTATCATCCAGCTTTTCACTGCAAGTTGATCACTTTTCTCTGGCCTTTACTGCTACAGTCAGAGTGAGAAACTGTTTTAATTTCATCGATTCAGTTTCTGATTTCAGAACTGCTTATCTACACCGCAGCTTACAGCTTCTTAAATAAGATTTCTGTATACTTGAAGAGGGGGGAAAAAAATCATGAACAACGTCTTTATTGTTGAGAAATTAAGGTTCTCTAAAGTAAACTGTTGACTTCGACAAATAATTGTCACTGTCCTTCTTATAAGTACAGATCGCATAAAAAGTTACAAGCCAAAAATAATCAACGACAGAAAATATAACTAAGAATGTAACACAAGATTAAAATACTTAATGCATTTTGCAAACCTAAACCCTGGTGACTCAACAGAGGCTAAAAAGTATAAATCATTCACCACAAACGGTGATATTCCTCCATTTTTACTTTGCTCTTTGTCCCCAAAGTGAGCTGACTTTGTTGGAGACAGACGTTACTCTGAGTAACTCTCTAAACTTGAATCTAGCAAAAGTCAAATCAAAGTATTTGTAGACATGATTTGTTCGATCTTGATGTGAACGTGTGCTTAATTGTGTTTTGTACCTGAGTGGGATGAGACTGTATCACAGCTTCTACTCGCTGTGGTCAGGCGTTTTTGTGAACAGGAAGCTGCAGCACATTGAGTACAGTGCATTCCCTCAAATTCACACTGTGTGGAGCCAATTCTGTTATTACATTGAATTGAATCAATCGCTCACTGCTGTCCACCATGATCCTCTCCTAATAACTTTGTTTATGTACTGCATCACAAGTGATATAATATTCCACTGACACATTTAATCCGATGAGTAAAACTGTATGAGGACTGCAAAGTTCTCACTGAGGTTTAATCCTGAAAGATTCATGTTGCAATCAGGAACCAAAAAGTGGAACATAAACTCACATGCTCTGTTGAATTCACAAATCTCTGAAAGTTGGAACCAGTTCTCGATAGCCAAGCCTAGCTACGGTCTCCTGGCTATCATCTTCATGTTACAAATGATTGCATGGGGGGAAAGCAGCTGCTATCATAGCTTCAGAAAAAGAAACACTCCACCAGCTTATTCTTGGTAACTTCTACATCTACCATGAAGCATCACTCGGATAGTGATGAACTTTATCTAATGTTTTGTCACCTCACGCCCTGAAACTTGGTGAGTTTTGTACCCTATCTGGTCTGCCATGATAACAAAAATGTTTGTCCTCTTCTTGTTTTTAGCTGTTTTAATTTACTACTTCTTCTTTCATTAACCAGATCTCCACCTTTATATTTCAAAATAAAAGCACAGATTTTACCAAGGCTGAAAAGAAGCAATACATGCTTAATACAGTAAAATGTCAATTCAAAGCTTTGGTGCTTTAAATCCAATCTTTAACAACAATCTTTGATTGCTTTGTCTATTAGTATTGCCATGGCTTCATAGTCGGACGGCTCTTTAAGTGATCTCAATCTTTTATGATAAAAACCTCGTCTTCAGCCATATACAGATGCGGTGCCCTCTGTTCAGTTTTTATTATTAATGATGACACTTTATATTTTAGCTCTTGTGTATAATTTATTGTGTGTATGTTACTGTGTTTTACTTATGTTATTTTTCATGTACAAGCTGCTCCATACAAGTTGCCCCTGGTGGGTTTGATAAGCACATAAAGGCCCAGGAGGTTTGCCCGATAGGTTGTTTTGTGGAGTTTTGCTGCTGCTCCCCCTGCATTGGCTTTTCATGTATGCAAATGAAACAGAGGGAAGGTGTAGCAATCCATGTACTCACATGGAAGGGCCAACAGCTCTCAGAATAAAGCTATGCCTGCAACATGAGGTGATGGTCATAGACGAATGGCACTAAAATGGGCCTCAGGATCTTGTCATAGTATCGAATGAACTGCAGTCAGGTCAAGAGCATGTAAATGAGCTTCCCTGAGACAGTTTCTGACAGTTTGTGCAGAAATTCTTTGTTGCAGCAGCTGTCCGGGTGGCTTGTCTTAGACTATCTTGGAGGTGAAGATGCTGGATGCGGTGGTCCTGGGCTGGTGTGGTTTAAGGTTGTCAAAGAATATTCTAAATTCAAATATATATTCAAATACTTTAAAATAACATGATTCGAATGTGAAAATCAAGTATCAAATAGACAGTGAGGAAAAACTGAGTAGGAAAAAACAAAAATCAGAAAAAAAACAAACAGCGGCTGCTTTGCGAGTGAGCGCACTGTAACGGCAAGTCAGGAAAAGGTTACAGGAGCCACACCTGTAGTGAGACTCGAAAAAAACGGTCCGTGGCACATGCAGAGAGAGATGGCAGGATGTTCGGAGCTAAACTCTGAGACAGTGGTCTGGACTCCAACAAACTTTAGAAGCTCTGTTTGAAAATTCTTCGGATTTTGAGCAGACACAGTAGACAGAAAAAATGCTGAGCGAGATAAAGTTATACACAAGCTGTGTAAACTAGAATTAGCTTATCATTCCACCCAATCCATATACTAAAAAACCTTATGTTAATCTTAGTACAACATTTGCTTCAATCACTGACTGAAGCCTGTCTATACAGACAAGAGTCAGGACCTTTAATTGCTCTCACAAGTTGTGGGGCGGGGGGATATAGATGTTCGAAGTTGTTCAAACCCATGTGTTATTCTTAGAACGAATATTCGAACGTCAGTTTAAAGCAATTTTGACAGCCCTAGTGTGGTTACAGGTGGTTTGCGGTCGTGAGATTGGTCAGATGTACTGCCAAATTCTATGAAACGCCTTTGGAGATGGTTTATGGTAGAGTAATGAATATTCAATTCACAGGCAACAGCTCTGGTGGACATTCCTGCAGTTAGCATGCCAATTGCACGCTCCCTCAAAACGTGTGCTGTGAGATGAAACTGCACATTGGCCTTTAATTGGCACACCGGTGCAATAATCATGCTGTCTAATCAGCATCTTGACATGCCAAACCTGTGAGGCGGATGGATTATCTGGGCAAAGGAAAAGTGCTCACTAACACAGATTGAGACAAATTTGAGAACAATATTTGAGATAAATCGGCCTTTTGTGTACATAAACAAAGTCTTTGATCTTTAAAGTCAGCTCATGAAAAATGGGGGCAAAAACAAAAGTGTTGTGTTTATATTTTTGTTCAGTGTAACTTACTATCTGCTGATACCAGGACCAGATCTGATACTTGTATTTGTCAAAACAAGTGACCTGAAAACCATTTTATGTTGTAGTTTTCTACTAAAAAATATCTCCAGGAAACTAAATTAAAGATGTCTTTATCTTATTCTCTAACTGTTTTCAAACTCAATTGTAATCTGCTTTATATGCTCAGCTGTATGAGACCCACAAAACTGCAGTGCATGTCATACTGCAGGCTTAGAATCAAAGCATTGCTGCCTTGGAAGTGTGAGAGTCACAATGGTGATGGCTACTAGACCAAGGACATAATATTGAACATGAACCCTGCTTTCTTATTTTTCCCCCTTTCCATTTTTCACAAATTGGATTTCAATACCAATGGATCTGGATCACTTAAAACCGTGAAGTGGAGAAACCAATCCTGCACAGAGAAGGCCAAAAATGGCATGGGACAAACATCAGAGCTATAAATGTTTGCTTTAAAACTAACAGCAGTCACATCATGTTTTAATTCAGCTCCTAAACGGCAGGACTTACTTTCACTCTCTGACATGGAGATGGGCTGTTGATCCAAAGCAATGAATTCAACCACTTTCTATGTAATCTTTACGACAAAGTTCATCGATTTTTTCTTTCAAGTCCAGAGTTTGTTGCTATGACAGCAGCTGTAAAGAACTGGTCATGTAAAGTTTTTAGGTGTAGTATTAAATTGGTAGTACTGAAAACAGCTGAATGATCTTATTGCATATGCACAGGCTATTTTCTCTATCAGGTTTAAAATTTTCCCATACTGCTGATATTCCAGCCTTAGGCTTGCTAATGCTGATGTAACAGACTGTCCTGTGTTTACGCCTCACATCTGTCCCTCAAGAGTTATGTAGGCTGCTGTATAGCAGTTCTTGTTGTTGTAATCTGGCAGGCAGTGCATATGTTCATTCATGCAATATAGTTTAAGTCCTATCTGGATTGACACTTTAATGTTTCATTCATTATTTTCAGGGTTTCCCCTACATGCGATTGATCGTGGCGCACCGCCATGTAGGGCTGGGCGATAAACCGAAAATTTACTGATACCAAAATTTACGACAATAACCAACGTCTTTTTGCCCATATCAGTAGCTATATTTGGTGTCACTAAGCATTAGCATCAGGCGATCAGGACAATTCTTGATCACTGGTCAATAAGAAACTGTGAATATCAGCTCATATTAGAATGTGTGGATTTCAAATGGGGCATCTGCAGCTTAGCGATACAGTCGGTCGTCTCCCAACAGGAGGTCAGGTTCGATCCCAGGTCCTGCTGTCCACATACCCAAGCATCCTTAAGATAAGGCACTTGACCCTCTGCCATTAGTGTGTGAATGTGGTGTGAACAGGTGAATGTGATGTAGTGCAAAAACACTTTGAGTGGTCAGGCTAAAGAAAGTGCAATGTAAACATGGTCCATTCACATCCTGAAAGCAAATAACTTTTCTGTTGATTTCTTTGGCCCTGATAGAAATGTTTTTTTTTTAGAACACAAATGATGCAATACAAAGAGATTTTGCTTTGACATGAATTCATAATGGATGGCCACTAGATAGCAGCTTTATTGACTTATGTGCATTAGTTAAATCTAGTGGTGTCCCGATACGATATTGATATCAGTCCGATATCAACAAAAAATCAAATATCGGATTATATCAGCCTGCATCTAAAATGTCCGATATCAGCACTCCAATACAAGCAGTACATTCGAGGCTCCACTCCAGCACCTATATCTAGCAGCACCCGGATCCAGCCTGTAGAGCCCATGTGATCACACCAACAGTGTGTACTCAGGTACTAACAAAGTACCAAGGAGTAGGAGTGATGTCAGCAGTGTGGCAGTATTTTTCATGAAAGTCCAAAAAAGACATTGCAGCTGAGTGCAAAACTTTTCATGCCCAAGTTTGTGCTAGTATCAGATTGGTATCGGCCAATACTAAAGGCTACTTTATCGGTGTCGTATCAGAGGTAAAAAGTTGTATCGGGACACCCCTGGTTAAAACATTTGATCTTGCCAAATGATCTTATGTAAGTTGTTTGTGATACATGGAAGAGCAGGGTTTGAATCCTTCTCCTTTCTCAGGTAAGCAGCTGTGTAAGTGCTCCAAGTGATGGGAAGTCTGATCCTTTTTAGTGAACCAGCTCATTTGGTTACGCATGAACCAGATCTCTTTGGTCCAAAAGGCTCCTAGAGTCAGATTTTAGAACCATTTCTTTTGTGAGCAATTCATATCTCCCACCTCAGCATACATGCATAGATGCGTCCTCATTGTAGTGTTTCTGCAGACAAGTAATATGAAAGTGATCATGTTGTAGCAAACTCAGGAGGAAGTAATAGGTTTTAATGGTCATCTTTAAAATTAATGACCACTTTAAGTCAAGAGCAACACCAATTATAAACCGTTAAGACATAAATTAACCCATGCAATAATATCATATACTGCATTAGTGAGCCACCCTGAATCACTGCAGGAAAAACTCCCTCACTGTGACAGCTCTAAATCAAGGACTTTTTAGCTGGTAGTGAAAAAAATGGATACTAATATTATTTGCCTCTTGAAGACCAGCATAAGCAAACAAGAGCATCAGTGACAACATTCATAACATGAGATTTTTTCACTACAGCTTACACATGTACTAGACAAGATCAGCAAGATGGTTAAAGTTCATGCTTTGTCTACTGAGGGCCACAGAAAGTTCCTCACGGTATTTTGTGCACGGTCTGTGAGCCCCAGACAGCTCATAAAACTAAGTTTAAACAAAGGTGGAAAAAGAGAGAGATGACAAGTAAATGATGAGGGACATAATATTCTATAATATACTTCATACATTACAAATTCAATTGTTGAAAGCTGCACACCAAAACTGCATGATTTAACCTGGCCCGTATAAAACATGGACCTGGTCTCAATGATGTTACAATGATGTCTCTGGAGACGTGTTTTGAAAGCAGATGATGGCGTTTACCAAAGCAGACTCTAGCTAGCATTAAGTCTGCCTTAAAACAGACATAGGGGTGGAGTTGAACAGGGTCTTTGGCCTCCAGGTCTGAAAAGTAGGTTGAGCCTGTCAGTCAGTCAACTCAGCCGCGCCCCTAATTATGCAAATCTTTGTATAACCCTGAGCTGTAATATCTTCAAATGGAAAAGTTTAAAAAAGAAATCAACCCCCGTGCAGTTTTTAAGAAATAAGACAGAAGTTGGTGGCTGAGACCTATTTTTGTACCAAGCTGTAAACATGTTTAATTCTGCTGTGAAAACGGGTGTTTGGACAGGGGACCTAACAGACCTCTTCACAGACTATCTTTGCAAAACTACGCACACGTTTTGGAAGCAGTGTTTAACTCCGTTCATCCAGACGTGTTAGCAAGCTTTAAAACGTTGACCAAAACAATTTAACACCAAAATCCCTCTGGCGTACGTGGCTGTAGGCGATTGAACACCCTCATTGTATCCAAAAAAGTTCATACAAACTGCCGAAATTCTGGACACGATTTTCCCCGTAGGTGACGTCAAAGTAGGTTTTGTGCAGTAACTATGACTAAACCGAGACAGTCAGACTATTAGGACTCATTACAGAGAAGTGTTGGAATAACAGTCGTATTCACTACCACTCTCAGTCCAAATACTGATCCACAAAGACCTCGTGTATTGCTGCTTGAACACACAGAAATTAATGTCTCGTTACATTTTGACAAGAAACACTTCTACTGCAGCAAATCCTCACGATTGAACACATTCGTCTGTAAGCGACTGACTATTTTGCGATGGAGAGTTGAAAGGCAACTGTAAAAAGGAAATGTTAAAACCCCTCTCTGTTCACAAAAAGTCTTTCTATCACTGTAACCCATCTTCCCCACTCTCTTTTCCCCCCTCATCATTTTCGTCAAACTCCTTTGTTTCCCTGTTAGTTAAACTCTCTCCTTTTTCTTCTTGCCCTTTCTCGTTCCTTCATGCTCTCCTGCGCTCGCTCCAGTTGTTCCCCTCTTTCTTAATTATTGGTGGAAAATAGAAATTACAGATAATTAAAGGACAATTATGATCTCCCACACAGGGGAGTTTTTGCTAGGGGGAATAACTTAGTAGGGTATTGTTAAGGTCATTCATTAAATACTGGAGTCAAAGAGCAAACACGCACAACCGCACACTAAGACACGCACAGACGCACACACACGGCTATGTTTTAGGCCTTGGAGATAACGTAATCCCTTCTGGACCTGTATTTTCCTCTCCGGGAAAGACAGTATGTTGATAGGGTTGGAAGGTCACTCTACACACACACATACGCAGGCACACACATGCATGATCACATCCACTAGCTTCTCTGCGCATATGAACCCACAATGTGTAAATAAGCCACACTGCTGTGGTGTCGTTGACAGTTTACATAATAAGGAGCCTGAATGCAGAGATTCAAGGCTGACTGTCTAACTGAGGGGAGCTGAGAGGAACATTACTGGGATTCAATAAGATCGGACTAGACCCATCCTCAGATGCACTTGAAAGGAAATCAGCACACACACTTAAAACACAAATACACTCAACACACACCGTTCCTCTTCTATCCCTTTTTCTGTCTCTGAGGCGGCTCTGTTTTGGTTCCCACAATGCAAACAGGATGTAACCTATTTTGATCACGGTGCCATATTGCATCATCAAATATTAACAAACTTGACTGCGCTGCATTATGTCTGCTTAATAATGTTTGTTGAGTAATCTGTGCAGCTTTATCGTATCCTCGTGTTCCTCTTTCAGTCGAGAAAAAGCAGCAAAAGAGAGCCTACTTCTCATACGCTTTCCCATCACTGCTCCCATGATTCATGTTTGCATTTGTGTGACTGGGAGCATCTGTGTCCCTGTAGTCACATACAGATCCATTGATAGAGCGTGACCTCACTGGTCTGTCAGTCAGTCTGTCTGTCCATCAGTGAGTCTGTCTGTGTTTCAGAGTCGACACTCCTGCTCCTGATTTGAAATATTCCTCCTCATTTCTCTCCCATCTTCTCTCTCTTCTCTGCTTTGCTCTCTGCCTCTTCCTCCCTCTATCTCTTGCCTGCCCCTCTCCTCCCCCCTTTCCTCCCTCCCTCTCTCGCTCTACACTGATCCAGACTTTGGAATTCAATGTTGCTATGGTAACAATGTCGGGTTGGTCCTCTCTGCCTCCCCCTCTTGCTCCTCTTATACAGGCTGGATACAGCGCAACTCGCTTTGGAATCAGTCAGTCTTTAGTCTGCAATACTGTCACTTCTGTAATGACTCTAATCTGTATTAACTCTGTTGTTGTTACAGCCTTTGAATGAAGCATCTGCAGATTGGAACAATTATTACACTCGACTGACAGAAAATGTATCTGGAACTATTTTGAAATAAATAGATCTGTTTTAAGCTGCAAGATTTAGAGACAGGGGCGCTACCAGGGTTTTTTAAGGCCCTCTGAGAAGTTTTACACTTGGCCCCACCACCTGTTTTGAGGGCCCCTGTCAGAGTACTGAGCTCTTTGACCCAACCTTACTTTGCTCCACCAGACAGTGCCCCTGCATAAAGTGATGCTAGCAGTTATCCGCAGAATGCTAACATGTGCATATGCTGCGTACGAGTTACCTCGGAAGTTAGAAGTCCGAACTGAAAATGACGTCACACCCGAGTTACCAGCGTTTCAGTCACCAAATCGGAAAAAAGCTAAATCAGAGGCGGACACAAGATGGCTACATCTACGAAAGTTATTTTAGCGCTCGCCTTGTCTGAATATAAGGCAAGCGCTAAAATAACATTCGTAGATGTAGCTATCTTGTTTACGGCCTCCGATTTAGCTTTTTTCCGACTTGGTGACTGAAACGCTGTAAACTTTGGTGTGATGATATTTTCAGCTTCGACATCAGACTTCCGAGGTAACTCGAACACAGCATTATTACTTGTGCTTGTGTAATGCAAGGCAGTTCTTTGGTTCGTTTGTAAACAATGGCTGGTAGATCGTTCTTATCTGGTGATAGTGAATGCTGTAGACGTACCCAATTCCGAGTAATTTTTAGTGCTAGCATAAGAATTTTATTGTATACAACAAGACTATGTGGCCATTTGGGACCATGACCATGTGGGGAACGACTTAGCCAGCCACATTCAGCAGCCTAAGAACCTACCTTTTTAGCTAGGGATGTCCCAATACAATATTAATATCGGATGTCGGTCCGATACCAGAAAAAAAAACAAATATCGGATTATCAGCCTGCATCTAAAATCTCCAATATCAGCACTCCAATACAAGCAGTCCATTTCAGACTCCCTTCCAGCACCTCTATCTAGCAGCACCTGGATCCAGCATGCAGAGCCCACGTGATCACAACAACAGTGTGTACTAAGGTACTAACAAAGTAGCAAGGAGTAGGAGTGATGTCGGCCGTGTGGCTGTATTTTTTAACTCCAAAAAGATGTTGCAGCTGAGTGAAAAACTTGCCATGCACAAGTTTTTGCCAATATCGGAAAAAAATCGGTATTGGCCAATACTGAAGGCTTCAATATCGGTATCATCTCAGAAGTAAAAAAGTTGTATCGGGGCACCCCTACTTTTAGCAATCATTCATTGAGTTATTCTGGCTTTAGTACTTTCATCTGTATTTTGGCTTTGACTACATAAATCAACTAATATTCCTCTTTCTTCTGATATACTTTCTGTAGGTGCAAAGAAGTCACCATGTTGCCAGTTTCCTGCTAACACTGGACTGACGGAGAGTGGGACAACCGTCTGAGCTGCAGCCCCTTCCAACGACAGCCTTTCAGAGAGAAAGAGAGAAAGAGAAAAAGAAGTCAAAGAGAGAAAAACTTGTACAAGGAGGAGAGGGGGGAGCAGGTGAAAACAGTCGATGGATGCTGTCCGGATTGAGGGGACAGCAAGTTCTTCACTGACGAGGAAAAGAAAGATTTCAAAATTGAGTCGAAGGATAGAAACTCGCCGTCAGGTTAGTGAATCTCCTGACAACAAATCTTTAGCTGCTTTTAACACATGATCAAATTGGATTATTTGATTTAATCTATGATGGGGGCAAGTTGCTGTGAAGGCTGGGGGGAGGGGTTCATTCTTGTTATGATTAGACATGATAGTGAAAGAGGCAGGGGATATATGGGCAGACGAGTGTTGGGGGAGACTTGCAGCAAAGAGACTGTTGTGACAAGGACTACAGCCTTTGTCTTTGGGGCACACGCCAAAACTGCTAGGCCAACTGGAGCCCGGAAACCATTTGATTTAAGGCCCATGCTTCCAACCACCCCTATAAACTATTGCCTTTTAGAGCCTACATTTTTGAGTGTTGGGATTTTCCGCAGTAAGATTAATGGAGCTTTTGTAGCGCATACTTTCTCTGCTATAACTGCAATGTTGTTCCCACAGTTGCAGCTAATCATTGTCTGCGTTGTGTACTTGGCAGTTTCAGAGGCAAATCTGACACTGGTATCATAGTCCAAACAGCTCTACTCATAAGCACTGAGTAATCTCGTTTTAGATCTATAGTGTGTGTAAGGTGTTTGTGTATTCATCTCAAGCTCTGCTGATTCTCAGGGGGAATAGTGTCAGGGTCATGAATATGGAGTATATATTGAGATTGGAAGGGTGTGATCTATTGTGTTTCACATCAATTCAGTCTTGTTAAGCGGAGTCAGCAGAGTCATCAAACTCTCCTCCAAGGACACATCACACAGCGACTTATGCACCTCCCACGTCCGCCTCTTCCTCCCTCTCTGCCTCATCTCTTCTTGCCCCTCATCATATCACCTGAGTGTTCACTGTCTATACCAATACACTGCACTTTTTAGATGATTGTGAACACATCTGCTCGGTTAATTTATTCATTCTTGGACTTGAACTCCAAGATAAACGTTTGTTTTTCACTCTCTCTCTCCCCTTCGCACCTAATGCCTGTCCTTTCCCTCCTCTTTCTCCCTCCCTCCCTCCTCCTCTTATCTTTACCTCTAAAGGCATGGTGTGTGAGAAGGGGATCCAGATCCTCCTCACCACCGTGGGGGCATTCGCTGCCTTCGGCCTGATGACGGTGGCAATAGGGACGGACTACTGGCTGTACTCCCGTGCCCTCATCTGCAACAGCACAGCCAATGTCACCCAGGATGATCCCCATAACAAGGACAAGAAGGATCCTGGGGCGCTCACACATTCTGGACTGTGGAGGATATGCTGCCTGGAGGGTAAGGTGGAAGATGTTGGAGGAGATTCATGTTTATTGCTGGGATTTGGACTGATTGGTTTGCTCTGGTTAAGTACAAAGGGTGTAGTTAAGTCAGAAATATGGTGCATCACTCTGGTTACAATTTACCTATGAGAGATTTAGACATCCAAATATAGTCAGGCTAGGTTTTTTGTTTCAAGTCTTAAAAGGGCCTGAGGTTAGAGGTAAAGAATAAAACTAAATACTGATGCACTGACTAAAGACTGGTGTCGTAAATATGAAGCCAATGCCAGCCTGCAGCTAGTTTATCCTGGCAATAAAACGATCAAGAAGAAACAGTGAGACTAGCCAGTAAGAAGCAAATGTTTGCCAACACCTCTAAAGCTAACTTAAGAACACATCATGGGCCTTTGTCTCTTTCTCTTCACCAAAACTGAAGTGTAAAAACATAAATAAATTATTGGATGACAAATTCCAAGCTGTTGAGGACAGTGAACTAGCTAGCTGCTTCCTCAGTTTCCAGTTTTGTGCTAAACTAATCAACTGATGTTTCTTCATGTTTACAATACAGATATGAAGACGGTTTGATGATGAGCTTCCTATATGTTTTTTGTATCATTTATTAATGTAGAGACCTTATAACTCTTTCACTCATCACCAAAACAGAACTAAACTCTTAAGCCTGAAGTGAAAATCTTAAATCTATTAACTACTTCTTAGATTTCAAGGTGAAACATACTTCATGTCAGCCTTTAGTTTAACTGTTCAAAACTTTGCCAAGTAGATTTCAGCTTTTCTGTGATATACGTTATGCCTTTCAGCTTCATACACTAACCACTGTATCTATAAGACCATGACAGTGATACTGCAGCATGACGCTCATTCAAAATAATCCATTCATCACTGTCTGATTGTAGCTGTGGTCATTTAATTCAGAGGCTGAAACAAAAGGCTCATGTTGACTCACACTCCTGTCACTCCAACTGGCAGGAAACCACAGAAACTGGCAGTGGCCATCTTTCGATCCTCGGTTTGTCACTGCAACACAAGCTGCTAATTCATTATACATTACACTGCCTGGCTGACACTCCACAGTAAAGGCTGGGATGGAGTTAACAGCTAAGCAGCTACAGCCGAAGGGGTGGTGCGAGTTAGCGATCTGTGCCTTTGCTTACATTCAGACTTCAGTCTCCAGGAAAACCTCTTGGCTCTCCTCATAAAGCATTCAGGCCCATCCTGTGCTTGGTCATTGTACAAAGCTAATTTGTCCTCATCTCCAAGCTTCCTGATAGCAAAGCAGCCAATTAGAGATAAGCTCCAGCCCTTGCAGCACTGCTGCAGTGCACCCCCACCCTCCATTGCCTCACTCCTTCATTCTCCCACTTGCTGCCCCTCCATCTCACTCCCCCCTAACATTTAATCTTTCTTTGGCTTCTCTCCTTCTTCCCCTCCTCGTGGCTTCCTTTCTTTCAGTCTTTTCTCTCCCACTGTGCTGCAGCAAAGCTGATGTCAGTGTCTTGGCATGGCTTAGAGGTCAAGTATCCTTGATGTCTTTGGAGTATTGGGCTCAGAAAGATGCTCAGTAGCCGTGCAGTGATGCGGTGAGGTGTAGCTAGGGTGGAAATGCAGGACATGCTAGCTCTGAAAGATTTATGCCCGTGGGTGGGTGGCATATTATGGGAGATACATCCTGTCCTCCACTCTAGCTCCGCTGCAAGTTTAGTGAAGGTAGGGCCACTGTGAATAACCTGTCAAAGATTTTATTTGCAGGATTTTTGTTCATATACAGTTGACGAAAGACTTTTGTATGTATATGGTGATTTTTGTTTGATACGATTCATTTTTAAAAGATAATTCAATAAGCTTCCACAAAACTGATACCTGTATAAGGTTGCTATTAATTTCACAGTCAAACTAACACAACTTCAAATGGCAGAGACCCAATTATGTTCCCTTGACAGCTGACAGTCAGCTTCAAAAGAAATGTTTCAATAAGTTTTTGCTTTCTGTTCCACATTTTATCACTTAATACTTTGATTAAGGGCTGGGCGATAAAACGATAACGATATATATTAAAAATTTATTTCCCTTAATATCAATTTAAAACATGGTCAATATGCTTTTCGATAGTCGGCATTCTGCCATGTTTTGGTAGAATATTTGAATAGCTAATGAAAAAGGGAGTTGCTCCTGGTCCACTTCGAGCTGAACCAATCATGTGCTGAATTAGAACCAAGTAGCAAACAACTGCATAGTAGCAGGCGGCAGCTACACGCAACCATAGCACTTTAACACGTGAAGCCAACAGCACTGTCGGTGAGAAAAAAAGAAAATGAGTGCTACACCCAGCAGAAATGCAGATGAAGGCTCGGCAGATAATGACATCGTCAACAACACTGGCACAAAAACGGTGGTGGTGTGTCGATATTTTGTTTTTTTGAGGTCAGACATGAAGCAGAGTAATGTGCACTCAAAATTATGTCGAGTTCATGTTCTCTTAAAGTCGGGGAATACCTCAAATCTTTTTCACCACCTGAAGCAGTGCCACACGGCAGAGCATGTGCAATGCAAACGGTTACAAACCTGGAGCGGAGCAAGGAGCCCATGGCGCCTGTGCAGCCGACCATTCAGTCTGCTTTCTTTAGCGCAACACCTTACAACAAAACTGGGAAGAGACACAAAGACCTCACAGATACAGTAGCTTATTGTGTTGCAAAAGACATGCTACCATTAAGCACTGTTAAATTTCCTTTTTTATATCATGATACATCGATATTGACTGATATGAAAAAATATATCGTGATAAACTTTTTCCCATATCGTCCAGCCCTACTTTGATTGATTGTTTTGGTTCCTCAAGGACTGTCTAAAACCATCCACAATTCAAGCATTTTCTAGAGATGAACTGACTGGTAAAACCAGGGCTATTAGCACTACTGACTTTTGAAATAACTGTTAGTTGATCACCAAATCTGATAACAATGTGCTTTCATTACCTCTTTGAAATTCCTCATGCCTATTTTTTCTGATGTTCAACTACTATAACTGGTGCATCAATGCATTTTTCTTTCCATTACATGCAGCTTACTCTGCCAGCTTGTTTACTTTTTAGTTCCTCAGATGTGACTAGGATACATTATAGTTGACACGTTTGTGTACTTTTATACTTCCTCTCTTCCTATATCTTGTGCACTGATGTAGCACATAAGTTGAGAAGAAAACATAGAACAAGCTACCTTATATGTCCTCTCGGTAAACTCTATGTACTTGATAAAGTTGTCCTTGCTTAAACTTGGCGCAAAGCTGAGCTCAGCACCTTCTAAGTGTTATAGCTATTCTGAACAGGTGCAGTTCTTTTTTTCACGCCCTTACACTGTGTAAGAAGCAAATTTAGTTATTCTGATCTTAGCACATATGGGTGTGTTTGTCTTGAGATCAGGTGCGACTGGGCCTGAAAGCAGCATTGCTTTCTTAAGATTGCAAGAAAGTGTAAGCAACATTGTGATGGTCTAAATTACTGTCGATCTGGTCTGTGAGGAGTGAATTATTGGAAACAAGGATGCAGCTATGTGAGGTTCATGTGGAAATTTGCATCTGTTTGTTATACATAGATGCACAGCAACTCTCCTCCTTTCCAGGTAAATATTAGCGTTTTTCTGTTATACAGACTGGTGACCCATGGCAGGTGAGTTTATATTATGGCTTAAACCTGCTACATAAACAGCAGTGAGCCAAAATGCAGGCATACTTCGTTCAGAATAGGAGGTGATACTTGTATTAGTTTGTTTTATCTTTCTCTGATTATTGATAGACACCTATCAATAATCAGGGGGATTAATATAACCCCTTTGGCATCTGTGTAAGACTTTCTGCCCATGTGGCTGTTTAGATGACAGAAACTAGTTTGCATGATCAAAATAAACTTGCACCATGTCCTTGGTCCAACATGGTTTTACATGCAGAAAGTCATTGCACGGATAATACGTGAACGTGTGCATGCAAAACAAGAGAAAACCTTCCAAAAATACAACTCTTACTAACACTTTGAATGTATTTCCTCCAACTGAGACAGTGTGAAGTTTGTTGAGCCTTTCTCTTGCCAATAACACTGATCCCTGTGGCTCAACTGATGTCCCCCCTCCTCTGTACCTCCATATGTTTCTTTACAGACCAACCTGTGGAGTTTTAAGAGCTGTGAGAAAGAGACCAGCTCACCCCACATCTGTCCGTCTCTCCCTCCATCTGTGTCTCTTCATTCCATCACTTCCATCCATCTCTCTCACAGTCCATCCATCAACAACAGTGGTGTGCTGTCATCATCGTGCGTGCACCCCTCCGTTCGTCTGTCTGTCTACATGCAAGACCTGTCGGGTAGTTATCCGTCTGCCTGTGTGTCTACATACATGTTTCTTTCTACATGTGTATGTGTGCTCTACGTATGTGTTGTTACTAACATGAATGTGGAAGAACTGTTCAAATCAGTCATGTCTCTGTTAGTTTTCTGAAGTCTGTCTTCTGAAGCATATGCTAACATTCAGAACGGGATTTTCTAACAAAGACATGCCTGCATTCAAGCATCAGTCAGTTTTTCCCTCAGGAGGATTTTTGCTGCTCTCTTTTGTTGTTATATTTTTGAGTTCTTGACTTTTGTTGTGTCTGGTCACCCCTATTTTTCTTCTCATATCCCAGGAGTAAAGAGAGGAGTCTGTTCTCAGATCAACCACTTCCCAGAGGATGCAGACTTTGACCATGACGGGGCAGAGTACGTCCTACGTAAGTCAATATAAGCACTCCATGGCATGTATGATGAATGGGAGAGAAGTCTGATCATGTTTAAAAGAGAAAAGGCGTAAGTAAAGTTGTCCAAAAAGTGTAAAAAAAAAAAAACCTTCTATTACTTTTCAAACTTGATGTTTTTATTGCCAATTCCTCACAAGACTATGCAAGAAACAAACATGTGATAGTGTGTTGCAGAAAATGAGGAGAGCTGGGGTGTCCTAGTTTGTGCTCAGTGCCCTGCAGTGATATCTTTCTGCTCTATGATAGGCTTCATGTGTGCCTGTGCATACATAAAGAAAGACTGCTTTCTGTTAATTATGGTGCAGAGGCATTTTGTTGGCATTTAGGTGGCATTTTCTCTCCTGTGGCCTAGTTGTTGTAGATGAGAGCCGTTAAAAGAGCGTTAAAATGTGCGTCCATGTGTGTTTATGTGCATGCATGGTAGACGTCCTGGTGAAAGCACTGAGGGTCACACGTGTGGAAAAGAATTCACTGTGTATATAATTTTCTTGCAAGGACTTCTGTCTTATTTCTAAAATTAGAAGCTTTAACTGCTTTTACTTTATTACTTTCTTTCTTTCTTACTGTCGGAGCTCAAGTGCAGTCATATAAGATCATAATTTTGTGTTTGTTGGCCGACTTACTGACTGTTTCTTCAATTAATGATCTTTGAAATCCTTGCAGGCAGTAGCAGAGCCAAAAATTTGTGATTGAGAAATCTTTGTGGGGATTTATTGGTCACAGCAGGGCTATGATTTCTTATGCAACAAATTAATCATCGTGCTGAAATAAAAAAGACTTATGTACCCCAAGTACTAAACTTATATGCATGTAATTGAACATACAAAGCAAGCAGTAAATCTTGTGCATCGAAAAAAAATCAAACGACAATAAAAGGCACTTGAAAAAAAACTTTGAGGAGTCATAAATCCAAACCACAACACAATTTAACTGTAGATTTGCCAATAGTTTTGCTCCGAACAACACTTTGATAGAAAACTTTATAGTGAAGCAGATTTGTTTTCAGCACAGTGGAACAACTTTAACAAACATTTCATTGTATAGCAGTACTCCAGATGTCAGTGAGCATTGTGAGAGGTATTTAACCTCACTTTCTTACAACTAGACAAAAGACACACATTGTCCACAGGACCTCCATGGGTTCAAGGGCTTCCACTTTTTCCAGGCCCCCCACCCATACACAGCCTTTGCAAGCGTCATTAGGACTCTATTCACTATGCAAAACAGTAGACATGCTTTATTTGCATTTAATAATCCATCTGCAATCACCAATAAATGGCTAGAGTGTAACTTTAGATACTTGTCAAGTCATGATATATAACCATTATTGATATGTAAACATCCAGCCTATTGAACTCAGACACTGCATCACCAAAAGGCAGCCCACCATCCTGGCTCACTGCAGGCCATAATTAATATCTTTTGCACATAATGCACACATTTGTGCACAAACTACATGCACAGGCATGTCTTATGCTAAATACATACATCTATACAGCAATATAAAGCAATTGAGAGTGAATGCCTTGCCTCACAAATTCAACTGTCAGTGTCACTAAATCTGACCCCAGACCAAACCTGAGGCCACCATAAAGGGGAGTACCAATATCTCACAGTGAAGCACATAAACACACAACGTGTGGGCATAAGAATATTGCATCGTTATCCGCATTTGAGTGCACTCTTACCTTACTCCTGACTTTATCTTCAACAAAGCAGTGACTTTCAGCCTTCCAAGCAGGTCATTCTCCGTGGATCTCCAGAATTACAGAGCTGGGTGTTTCATGAACGCAGTATATTCTCCAGAATCCCAGTTTTGGGGGAAAGCGCTCCTTAAAGTTACCCAGTGACACGATAGTAAAGTAAATCCACGAAGTTATCCATGTTTGGAAAAACTGATGACGGTCTCATCTTCCAGGTGAGTTTAAGCTGCTAGGCTAACATTGAAACAGCACATTTAGCAGCGAAACTGCGGCCACGGAGCAGCTGAGCTAATATAACTAGCTTAGCCAGTATTAATGTTAGCGTTCGTAATGTGATGCTTGGTAACTTGGACAGTGACTTAACTCAATTCCCGCCAGTCTTAATGTCTCTCTACGGCAACCAGTAGTACTTCCGCCGGTGTCTCCCCCGGTCTCACACCTGCAAGCGGCTTATTCCTAGCCAATGTGCCCGTCATAGCAGCCAGTAGGGGCTCGTTAGCTGTGGTCACTCGTCGGCTGCCGTTTCAGGCGTTGCTATCACGGCTTGTAGTTTTTAAAGTACCCTGTAAGCTTGAGTGTTTTCCCTGGATGTGCTTCCCAATGTTGGATTCACAAAGTCGGTTTCATTTTTGAGCTTCACGCCGCCTTTTCCCCAAACATTTTTAAATGTACCACAACTTCCCGCTGCCAGTCAATAGTTCGGAGACCGACGTCATGGCGGCCATCTTGCTATGGGAAGCTCGCCCATTCATAACATTACAGTCGACGGTGCATGTAGCATTTTTAAAGCCATAGATTGATTGATTTTAGACCGATTTTCGAACGGTTTGGTTTGTAACAAACCTCAGAGTTTTATTTATTTTCCTGCATACTCAAGAATAATTTTAACCATGAATTTTTATAAATAAACATTATGCAGATCGGTAGAGCAATAGCCATGGACCTACACACACAAGGCAGTTATATTAAATCATTTATATATAAAACATTTAATCATTCCATGTATGTTATATGAGCAATATTTATATGATTTTAAAAAAAGGCTGTCATACAAAAAATTTCAATTTCAATTGTGGTCTCAGCATTGACAACTCGCGCAAAGCGACTCAAAGGTTTGGCCTTGCGTGCAAATAGCCGTGAAACAACTGTGCTGCACGATTGTCTTTTTTTCTTAAAGAAAAGCTGCCATTTCAATATGTCCAAGCATCCCGACCCATAGCCACGTTATTAAGGTCTGTAATAAACAAAACCGTTTGTAAATCTGTCAAGATATCAGTGAGTTAAGAGGCTGTCGTGTAGGGAGGCCGGTGACTCCACCTCGAGTCATCTAGCCTTTCATATCTGTGGTTCTCCTGCCCTCCTTCCTGAGCACACAATCAGACACACACACACACACCAGTCAGAAGTAGCCTACCATAGAAGTGTCTGAAGAAATGTTTCTTCTGAGTTTTCCTGGGTGGTAAAAGCCTGTGCCTTAAACAGCCCAGACTTTAAATTTTTATACACAGACACACTGTAATAATGATTAAAAAGGTCCTTACCTAATCAATAACCAATCAATCAACTGTAGAAGTCACTATATTCTATCAAAACAATCTTGCTCTGATCTCAAAACCTGGTCAAAAAACTTAAAGGCCTATTTTAACTTTTACCAGAAACTTTTAGACTTTTAGAGCAAAGTGTGTTTGTGTTACCTCACACATTCAAGTGGACATGAACAAAAAAAATCCCAGTTTAAAATGTATATCAAAACTAATGTAAGAATATGTTAAAAAAAATTAAAACCTTTTCGATATTAAATGCATTTTATGCCTTCTAGAAAACTTTCAACAAAACTGTAAAAAGTGTAGAAAGAATTGAGAATTTGGGTTATGATTTCATGAGAATCCAAAGGATTATAACTGAAAAACTGTTTCCCTGTGATCACATAAATCTCTTGTGATTCTGAACCTTCCCAAACTTAATACCCTTTACTGTTTACTTTATCTTGTTCCATGTGTAGGGGTTGTCAGGGCTTCCAACATCTTCCCAATCCTCAGTGCCATCCTGCTGCTGATGGGAGGGGTCTGTATTGCTGCTAGTCGTTTCTATAAAAGTAAAAGGAACATCATCCTGGGGGCGGGAATTCTCTTTGTGGCTGCAGGTAAAGTGGAAATCTGTACACTTTCTTGAACACTCTGAGGTGCATGTCTGCATTTGGTCTGGAGAATATTACTCACCCAGTAGTTCAGATGTTGTGTTTGGCAGTGTCTGGTTGTGTTTGGACTGTTCTCTTACTTTAATGGAGGTTATTTAAGTGTCACAAACCATCATGTCAGGCAGATTTGTTTATTAGTACTGCACATTGGTCTGTCTGGGTGTATTTATCTCTTTTGTAAATACCGTTTTTTTCTGTGCTTTCTCAGGTCTGAGTAACATAATTGGTGTGATTGTGTATATCTCTGCTGCGCTGGGGGACATCTCTCCTAAGAAGGACGAGGATAAGAAGTGGCAGTACTCCTACGGTTGGTCCTTTTATTTTGGAGGCCTGTCCTTCATCATGGCTGAGATGGTGGGGGTTCTGGCTGTCAACATCTACATCGAGAAGAACAAGGAGCTGCGCTGCCGATCCCGCACCGACATTTTCAAGAGCACCACACACGCCATGCTCCGCCTGCCCAGCTACCGCTTCCGTCGTCGCTCCCGCTCCTCATCCAGGTCCACGGATCCCTCCCGCTCCCGAGACCCCTCACCCGTGGGCGGGGGCAAGAACTTTGGCCTGCCTCCCTCTGCACTCCTCTCCCAGGGCCCCATCTCAGTTTCCACTTTACCCAACCCCCACTCTCGCTCGCACACGGCCCTTGCAGGAGGCGACATCTCCCTGTACACATTGTCCCGAGATCCCAAACTGGGGGGTTTGCCGCCCATGTATGGAACGGTTGACAGGGCCACACTCTACCAGCTCCACAACTGCTTCCCAAAGGATGGAGGTGGAGGTGGGGTGATGATGAGCGGTACACTGCCTTCGCTAAAGTCGCACAACCCCTCCAATTCTTCCAACTCCAACGCGCAGATGCCCAACTCGGTGGGCTCAGGCCCTCCACCCTTCACCTCATCCACAGTAGACAGAGAGCGAGGGATGGGGACTCTGGACAGGCTGAAAGGAGACAGGGAGAGTAACTCTAACACCCTCAATAGGAAGACAACGCCTGTGTAGAGAGAGGGGAAAAGAAAAAGAAGAGAAGGAAAGTGGGTAGGAATCAAAAAGAGGAGATAGAGTGGAGCTCTGTGTTCGTGAAGATCAACACAAAGTAGCAATGAAAAGCTAAAGCTCTCCCTCCATCTTCACTGTTATTTAGTCGACTCAACTTCACAGAGAGCAAAAAGAAGAGTAATAACAGAGTGATAATAACAACAACAATGAACTTTAACAATAAAACTATTTTGATATTTTAATGTGCTAGAAAGGATTTATTTTGTTAATGATCAAACGCAATTAACCTTGGGCTACTCTGAAAATGTTTCGCATACCTTCTTTTGTGCAATATAACTGCTAATTAACCAGATCATCATCAGTGTTAAATTGTTGTTGTGATTATTCTTAGTGTTATTACGAGCTAGCCGTATTCGCAAACTCCAGAGTTTGGAATCAAAATCAGTTTTCTTGTTTTTGTTTTTTTCACTCTGGCTTTAGATCTCGACGACTTTACTGTGAACTTCTTCCATGCAGAGCCGCTGGGACTGTCAGTGAGCTGTGTGTAACTGTGTCAAGCATGAGTGATGAGTGTGCACAATCTGTGGGAGAATGAGGGTCTGTATTATTACTCTTTTTTAACCCCATATGATATGATTTCCATTTGTAACATGAAGTCAGATTTGAATACTGTAAATTGTCTTCCAATATTGATACTGAAAGAAATGCAACAATAATATGCGTGACTGAGACAAACTGTCAAACTTCATTGTTATTATGAGTCTGAGTTTTTCTATGGGCCTCTGTTAGTCTTCTTTCCATTCTACTCAGTGTTAACAGTAGTACTTGTAGCTATAGTCGTGTTGAAGATGTTTGTTCTTGGGCATTAACAGAAACCTCTGACAGGAGGATGCAGAAAAAAGATGACATGGAATAACTCATTTGTACAGATTCAGGTTCAAGTTATTGCCTGAGCCAAAAAAAAAAAAAAAAACAAGAACTTCATCAACCTTTTTCTATGAAGAGTCCCAAAGTGAGACATGCAGCTCATCATTTTCAATGGCAAAAAATAAAATATGTCTATGTGGGTTCTAAGGGTTTAAAAAAACATTGCAAAGAGAAACTTTTGAAAACATACATGTACATTGTAATTTACGCATACATATATTTGTAAAGTCTGGAAATGTTTTTCGGGACCACTGTTTAGATGCATTTTGGGGCGGGTTCAGACAACATGTTATGATCCTTCCTGGACTCTTGTCGGGTGGTTTCATCCGCCGTGCCATCATTACAACCCCAGCCTCCCCAATTCCCCCCACCACCACCCTTCTCCTAAACCTGCCTTTATTTGGTCACATGTTCGGCGCTACCCTCCTTTATCACTCGACCGACAAAAGATCAACCACAGAGACAACATCGTAACCTCCCCAAAGATTCTTTTCACTGTGCTTCCCCTCCTGTGACCGCTGAGTCTGAACTGATCTGTTTATGTTGATGAGAATGTAAACACATGTAAAGAGCCCCACACCCATACCCCTCTTCTGAGCCGTCCCGTGAGATTGCAGATCCAGGTGGAAACCGTGGACAGACAGCTACATGAAACAATGAAGAAACAAAACAAAACCAGACGCTTCCAGATTCTCTACTTTTTTCATTCTTTGATTTCATTTGAGAAAAAGAATAATGTGATCAAACTGCACACAGATAGCATTTATGTGGGCAATATGAATAGTATGTAGTTGAGAATAGATATATCTAGATAAATGATTATGGTTTATCTAAATGTGTGATAAACTTAAACACTGTATTGCACGAAGTTTATAAAAAAAAACAATAACAGACATGTTCACAGACTGCTGTCTTTTCTTTCCTCTTTGCTGATAAGGAAGAGTGGGAATAAACCTGTGTTCAAGCATCAGAGCAGAGCTGCCGTAAGTGGTTATACTATCACTGCATTGCACTTTAAGACAATTTTCATGTAGATTTCAAGGGTAAGTTCCAGGTCACGGTTGAGCTTCAAGGGGAACGTGTCTCCTCCTTTTCCACAGAAAGCTGCTTGCTGCATGTCTTCAGGTGTAGCAGGCGGATACTGACAAACATAAACTTCCTGAAAACCTACTGTACTGTATACTACCTTCTCCAAACCAAACAGAAATACTCAGCTAGAATGTAGCTGGCGAACCTAACAACAAATCTCTGAAATTAACAATGAGGTCTCTTTATGATCTACAAAAGCAAACAGGGCCAGTAGTAATAAGACTGAAAATTCCTGTATGGAATCACTTCATGCCTGTAGATGTTATTGGGAAGGGATTGGTGTCAGACATAATTAAGATCCAGGTGAAAGGAAAAGCTCTCTTTTAGTGTTTATACGGTGCATATTGAGAGAGACATTTGATTGTTGAAAAGGGCTGTCGAGGTGATGTGTTTGTCTGAAAACACAACTTAAACTTGTACAGTAGAAAATCAGCAAAGACAGGAGGTATAAGTTAGTCCTTAGGGGCATCAACACATACATAAAGTTCCTCACACAAGCTTTAAATTGATCAGTTGGATGGAAAAAAGTCAAACAGAAGTATTGGACTGTGCAGATAATCCAAGAAGTCCCACATTAAATCTTTTACTTTAAATTCCCCTCTATGTGTTCAATATGTTTCTTGGTTATTTAATCTTCACTTTGCAGAGAAGAGTTAGAGCTGTGCTGAAAGAGTGAAACCTTTCTAGAGTCACGGTTAGGCTTTGTCAAAACAAATTCATGGTTATAAGTGTGAAACTGTCAACGCACGAATACTAACACAGTAAAGTAGCAGACTCTGTGTAAAGTGATTGTTATAAGGTGATGTCTTCTTACTACAGTCCAGTAGCTTCTTTCATAGCTCCCAATCAGCATTAAAAAAAGAAATCGTAACAATACCAGAGAAGATTTACTCAGAGAAGGGATCACCAGACAAAAGTTTTAAATACCTCTTGTTTAAAAAATATCACTATACCAGTAACATGCAGAACCAAGCAGAGCTGTTACGATATCAAAATCATCCTGGTGGAGGAAGTGGCATTTATGTGCACACGTTCATAGCATACTCATCCTCAACCAGGAGGCTGACCTTGAAGAGAACCATAATTAATGATCCAAGCAACAAGGAACAAGACACCAAATCCTTGATTAATTAAGCGCACTAAATGAAACGTGTATTAATCAAGTTAAGTAGATCCTCGCATTAGCGGACAACCAACAGAATGATAAATGAAGGAGTTTTCTACCTGACTGACAAAGCGGTGCCCTTTCACAATGTCCTACACTTCAATGAACACAGTTAACTTAATTTACTAATAAGTTACTGATACTGATAAGACACTGAGAAGTTAGCAATCTTATTTTTTTTAAAAGCATGCAAAATCTTTAAGAAGTCACATACATTTTCTTAAGCTTTTAAAGGAATATTCCGGTGTAAAATTAAGTTAGGGTCAAACACACAATAACATCGAGTTAGACAACCTGTTAAGAGATGAATGTTGCAGATCGCTTGCTTCTTTAGTTATACCAACTTTAGTAACAAACGCACGATAGCAGTACAGAGAGCCATGCGCTCAAACAAAACGCCACTCTATAGCCATAAATAATGCTCAGAACAGCACCTAACTTCATCAACAGTACATATAGGGTCCCAGCCATAGTACTAACCACCAAACATCTTTGGGCCAGTCCATTGACTGCTGCGGGGTGACGCAGCTCAAGGAAGAACATTTATGATCATTTCTTTATCATTTCCTTGAAGTAATAATCACCATATTAATCATTTGCATCATCATCTGCATAATCATCTGCAGACACGGTAGTTCTTCTGCCTTAGCGTCTTGGTCTGATTGCGTTATGTTTGGTCTCTTTGCTAAAGAAATTAGGCAAAACTAAAAAGATGTTTGGTGGCTAGTGCTGTGGCTGGGACCCTATATGTACTGTTGATGAAGTAAGGTGCTGTTCTGAGTGTTATTTGTGGCTGTAGAGTGGCTTTTTGGTTGAGTGCGTGGCTCTCTGTATTGCTATCGTCTGGTCGTTACTAAGGTTGGTATAATTAGAGAAGCGAGCGGTCGGCAACATTCATCTCTCAACAGGGTGCCTAACTGGGTGTTACAGTGTGTTTGACCCTAACTTAATTTTACGCCGGAATATCCCTGAGATGTTGCAGAACTTGAGCAACTGTGTTAAGTTCTCCAGCAGTATAAGAAAAAGCAAACATTGGTCGCAGAAGTTCCTCCAGTTCAAGGTCTCTCAGTCCATCTTTACCGTCCCGCGATCCTAAAAAGCCTTCGACCTTCACTGTCAGAGCCTGCGCTCATTATGTTTGCAAATATGTGTGTGGTGCCAGATGGGAGGTTTCTGCCAAACAGGATAATGAGAAGAGCAACTGAAAATTAATTCAGTAAACTTTTCTGTGACCAACACAGCACCTGGACACATTTTGTCTTTTTTGTTCAGGTGGGACCATCCAGGACCTCCTGCATGTTTTTGAGCAAAATCTTAATTTTTCCAGTAAGGGTCAAGCAGACGGAGTCCTTCTAGAGGTAGGAAGTAATACTTCTAATGCATAACAGCTGATGAAAGCAGCATCCGATCCCTGACAAGCAGCCTAAGATTCCTCACAGAGCTCCTGGACCCTGAAGATTAGCACTTAGCAGTGTTTTACTCCGCCACAATCTTCAGTGATACAGCAGTGAGAGACTGATGTTGGCCACTCAGCAAGCACTGTTATAAATCAGTTTAAGGTATCAAATATAAAACCTTCATATCCTGACAAGTATTTCTTTTCCTCTTGTGGGAGCTTGTATCCGAAATTCCTGTAAGTCCATGTCCGCTCACAAACATGCAGTGGTCACACAGCACTTTGAAAACAGTCTCAGTAGAACTATTAACAGCTAAATATACAACCAGGATAGTGTGTCATGTGGATTCAGTTTCAGCCCACTGAGAGTTAAAAGCATCTGTGTGTATTTGTGTAGAGTGTGTTAGTGCGTGTTTGTTCATGCAGGTGGTCATGTGAGTGTATCTGACTGTCTGGATGCCGCTCGGTCCCAAGTGGATTGTGTTTGGGAGCAGTTATTGGGCCATCTCTGATACGAACCGGCACTTGTCTTTCTGCGTGCATGCGCGTGTGTGTGTGAGCATGAATGCAGAGTGGGGCAGGTGGAGGTGGAGGTGGGACCGCTGCCCTCCACATGGAGACAGCAGGGGGAGTGACGCACAGAGGTCAGGGGTGGAGAAGCAGAGTAGAGGGCACAGAGGTATGAGGATGGGCCGCTGGGGCACATAGTTAAAATTCAAGGATAAGGTTTCTGAACCTCTGCAGTGAAATGCATTACGATGAGCTCGGGTTTAATTATAGAGAGGAGGGTTAGGGGGCTGGCAGAGGGGTTAGGAGTCACACTTCGGCAGGGGGGGTAGGTGGAAATGGGTGAATGTCAAGTTTGAGAGCAAGCTGGATGTTATGTCAGCAAATGAAAATGACTCAACTATTTAACAGTACATCCATTTAATGAAAGGGTCGTGAACACATATGTGTGTCTCTGCAGACATATTGTACACTGTTACTAAAGTGAGTGGAGAAAACAATACAATGAAACAGTGACCATACATAAGTATAAAATCATCAACAACATCCAGTTTGTGTACAAAGCTGAGCTTATAAAGACAGCTCAAACAGTTCTCTGATATAAAAAATGTTTTTTATTCATTATTTTTTTCATTTTTCACAGTTTGATTTCATTCAACATACGCACATTCATCCTTTGTAGTGACTTCACACATTAGTTGTACAACACATATACAGTAAGAAATAAATAATAACAGTTAAAGCTTCTTATTTATGAGCACGAATATAAAGAATACACATTCACTCCATTCATGAGGCAACACAAAGCATAAACGACAAGTTACACAATCAGGACCTCCTGCAAACTGTCCTTGACTGTTTTAAAATGATTTTTATTAATATGACTTTTGCAGCTTTGAGAAACAGAAATCCATTTCTGCCCTATAAAAAATTAGAAGAATAAGGATATTCTTAGTATGCCATCATTTTGAGATTGATGGCTCAGCTTTCAAACTTGGTGTTTATCATCTTGTCGTGTGAGCTCAGCTTTCAAGCCTCATCATTTTTGTTTTCGTGGAGACTTTGAGCTGATTGATAGCGTCTGTCATTTTCAGGAGGAGCACCAAAAGATAACAAGCCCTCCATCATTCATATCAGTCATTGGTGTAACAATGGCATCATCACATTAGCCATGTTTGATCAAGTCATGATCTCGCCTGATTTTAGCCAAATTTCAGCGATAGTAGGATCAAAAAGTGGCCGCACTGTATGCTGGTAGATCACTAACAGATGCCTTTAGTTATGCATCATGTCTTTTGTCTTTAGACCAGTGTGCTAGTCCTTTCACTCGTACACCACCGATTCACTACTGCACATTTTTTCTCTTTATGTATTAATTTCTTTCATTGTTGTGTGGTGATACAAATCTTATTTTAAAGCCTAAGCTGGTGGCTGGTCTGTTAGACGAACCACAATAACCAGCCAGATTAATTTAACATTTTATAAAATTGGACCTACTTTATATCATTATATGCAGATCAACGTCTATCCTAATCCCGAAATTGTCCATAAACATAACAAATGGTTAATGTGAAGGTTGCTAAGATGTGGGATCACAGTCTGTCCAATACTGGTCACACTGACTGGCAGGTTAGCGTAATTACTTTTGTGTCACTGAAAGATGGACTGTAGAAATTTGATACTTACTGTAGTGTCATTTTTGTTGACAATAAGGACACAAGTGGTACAACACTGAGGGGACCAGCATACCAATCTAGCTACTGTACCTGTGGCATGCAACTGAACTTCCTGCACATGGTGTGCTACTTAGTGGCATGCTGTTAGCCACTTTTCAATATAAACACAGCTGCTTTTTTTTTTTTTTAACGTTTACCCAAGTTAACAGTATTCCTTGGTTATATCATATCATATCGAACATTTCTGATTAATAATTTCATTGAAAAATTGTGCCATCTTGCCGTTCAGATTTAAGGACAGTTTCTAATAAAGTTCTTGAAGTCATAGATAAACAAAATATTCATTATAAATTTCAACTTTTCAAAGCTTTTTATGGCAGAACTGGGCAGTACAAATGTCCTATTCAAAAGTCTCTAGGTTACTTTCTTAACAGAAAGACTAGACTTTGGGGTGGCTGTGCAGCAGGCTAGCAAGGCTTTATGGGACATGTATAAGTTGACACAACAGAGAGCTCAAAAATCAATATCACTGTCGCTCCTTATCTCTACTTCGACTAAAAAAACACACACAAAAAAAAATTCAGGAACAAAAACATATTTCAGAGGCCTGACAAGAGAATTTGTTGGCTTCTGTTCAAACATTAAGACCTTGTTGTTGCAAGTTGTATCACAGCCCTCAGGATATGGACTAATGTACTTGCTCCCGAACACGACATTAACAATACTGTATCTACATTTTAGTAATTGTGTGCTAGGTGGCGCTATTCTTGTGTGGAAAGCATTTCTGCCAAGGGCTGAAAGGAAGGGAGAGGAGAATAAAGAGGAAACCTCCTAGAATAAGTATCCCCCCTGCCGAGCCCACACAGGCCACAGACCAGGACATCTCGTGATGAAGAGGAACAGAGTGATCACTGGACAGCAGGGCCAACACGGACTGATGGAAAACCAGGACGGAGAGGAGGACCAGCACACCTGCACAGACACAGAGGAGAATTAAAAGCCAAAAAGCAAAACGTGCAATCCATCCAACTATGTTTTGTGAATTTGTAGCACAGCAAAGTGAGGGGGAACCTGAAAGGATGAAGCAGAAGGAGGCTGGTTTGAGGAAAAATGGCACTCCTTTGCTGAGTGACATGGCGATGCAGATAGAGCCCATTACCATCAGAGTCAGACTTAAAAGGGCCAAGATAGCTGCTGCTAGATTCAGATCTGTGAAAGGAAGCAGAAAGAAAGTTAAACAGTGTAACTATCTGATTTATATGTTCAGAAACTGTGTAGTTATAGTTACATTTTTGTCATTTCCTGTCCAAGAGAAATTTACCAGAGATGAGATGGGCCTTTGGTAGAATCAGAGAAAGTTTGACTCACAAGGTTGTTCTGTGATTATAATCAGTTACTGTGGGAAAGTTCAGACCCAGTCTGAATAGTGTCACTTCCCACATTGGCTCCCTTTAAAACAGAGTTTCTGGCACTGCGAACCTGAGCAGGTGCACCCCAGAAATCTAATAAATGTTTTACAGCAGTACGTGCCAGCTTTGTGTTTGTTTGATTCTCCATCACACAGAAATTATCATTCATTCATTAAAATACAACAAATACGGCCTTTCAGGATGGCTTTTGTTACAGAGGGGAGTGGGTGCCAAAAAACGGTGAGACAACCCAGACACACACACACAAAAGGCTATCAGGTATTTTATTTTTGTCCAGCTACCCTCTTTCATGCTTTTTCATCATCCTGCATTGTAGATATTTGGGTTAGTGTGTCTCCATCAGATGTTTTAAACAAACCTGCAGAGTTAAACCCCCTGATATGACTCAGTCCTCAAAGAAGAGACCATGTAAGTGTTAAAAGTTGTGTAATTTTGTTCATGTAGTTTCACATTTACAACAAAGATGGAAAACAAAACTGATGAGCAGAAGCCATGCAGCAGCTTGGTTGAGTTCTGAAAACACATATGCTGATGTACTGACAGTGACACTATTTTAAAGCGATGTAATGAAACCATGATAATGTTAGATTAGTGATATAGTATGCTAGCTAAAATAGACTGAAAAACTGTGTAGTCATTCTGTCTTCCTTTTGTACAACCAGAGGAGATATGTAGGGGCACATCATCCATCTATGTGTATAAGAATCATGAATATCTGTATATCTGAATATCTAAAGCAATTTATCCAACACTAGAGACTGTATAACAGCAAGAACAGCACAACAGCTATCCTGAGTGAAGCCAAAACATTTGAAAACCCGCCTCCTCTATCAAAACAGTTAGAAATGATTGTTTTAGTAATTTATCTGATGTTTAAAGAGGATTGACAGCTGTGGTTCCTGCATTGTTCTATACCAGATTAGCAGAGTGGAAGGGGAACGGTGACGCAAAACACAACAAACAGTCACATGTGAATCATTGAAACTGCTATGGTGTGTCCAATTAAAATCAACATGGTACCATCCTGAGGGATCCTTAACATTACATACAAGCTGAATGAAAAGTGCTGTTTTGTTAGTTCTGTGGCGTGGCCAGCCAACCAGCTCTTGTGTATGCTGTCAGCTTCACCAGTATATCATATCAATGCACATCAAGGCAGGTTTTTCAATGCTCTTCTATTTATGGGTGGAGATGTAGGCTTGCTGTACACATTAATAAATAGCTAATGTCGTGTACTAGGGATGGGTGGTCTCAGTTTACTAAATCTGTAAACCAAGTTTTGTTCTGTACACACCTGCAGCATACTAAATGACAGTAAAAATCTATCAATGTCTAAGAATTTGGTACTGTTATGGGTACTCAACGAATTCTGTTGGCACTATGGAGTACCGTTTTTACATAAAATCAAATGGCACCATGTTTCAGTACCTAAACACATCCTTGTGACTGTGAGGGATTAGAGGAGTATGTGATTTTCCATGCCAGACATGAACACAGCATTGCACACACAAGACCATAATGACTTCAGTAGCGGCGGGTTCAGTTAACAAAGCAAGCATGGCTGATAGAAAGTGCTCGAAAGTATGGCCTGTACCAATTCCCAGGTACCAGGCATCAGTGCCGTATCAGTATAAATGTGAAAGTTACCAATTCCTATCTAATACAGTTGAATTTGCAAATGTTGACTGAAGTGGTTGACTATCCCACAATTGGACATTACCAATGTCCATCAACTACACTGCTTGTCAGGCTAACTTACATTTACTCATATATTGTGTATGACGCAACAATGTTGGATATCCACCCTAAACCTCAGCAAAGTTTTAATAACATAGGGACATAACCCCTGCTTTCCATGTAATCCGAGCAGCTCATTTCCAAGAATGGCCCCAACCTGTCATCAGATTTTGTGGTATTTTTAGAACAATGGAAAAGGACAAGCCCACCCAGTAGCTTTGTCAAAGATTTGCTCAATGAGACGCTGAAAAGTCTCTTTCACCGCTTGCCTTTTTCCTCAATGCTGCACGTAGTTGATTCAAGATGTCTCAGAAAATTGTTCATCACTGTTCTTTTGGTTTTTAAGGAAAGTCACAGCTATTTATTACAGATGGTTTGCATTTCATATGTTTCTAAAGCTCTTCAATCTATAATGACCTGCTGAAAAGACTCAGAACCACAATATAAATAACATTATGTCGGCATCTAATGTAACAATAGCAAACATTTGAAAACATAGCGAAATATTGAGCTAAATGAGAGCTAACAGCTTGCCTCAAAGGTTTTCTGTAATGGCATAACTTTTGGGTCAGTTTGTGGCTACAAAGCTGTTGAAAACGTAACCCCCACAAGCTGCTTTTGACCTCATATCAGTGGAAAAGTGCTGAAATGAGGATTTTCATGGGTGCCATGTATGAAATAGATGAGGCCTTTTTGAGCTACACATCCTGCAAACAATAAAAATATTTGCAGGACATAATAAAAAGTGAAAATTAGTCTAATAGGGCTCCTTTACACATATCTTCTACCACCGTTTTCTCGCTGTTTGTCTTACAATTGCAATTCTTTCTTGCAACTCCTTTGTACTAAATGTCTGAACTAACTGTTTGAAACTTTCAACTAAAAAGTAAAGTTGTATTTGCTCAGCCAGCTAAACTTCAAACTGCACTTGGCAATGAAGTAAACACATTCATCAGTCTGATAGTGGATGATTTACTCTAAAAAAAGGGGGTGTCAGTGGAAGTTAATGGGCTGAAACATGCAAAAACCAGCAGCAGCAAAAGTGTGGTCCTCTGAGCTCCCAGTGAACGTCTAAATTGATGAAAGCTATAGTGTAACTGTGGATGTGTATCTCTGCGTTGAAGGGGGCAGTGTAATGTCTCACTTTTATTCGTTGTCTTCTTAAATATGACTGCGTTCTCCCCGGAGGTGAAGAATTTGAAATAGGTGCAGTTGGAATCTGAGAATAAAGACAAAGAGAGAGAGAGATCAGACACACACATGTGAACGCACACTTGCAGAAAAATACACTCCTATGGATGTCTGCTGGCCTCCTGCAAAGCGCCTCCTATGCATCCATGCACCCTGTCCTTCCAGGCATCATTCCTATTTATATCCAAGTGTTGAGCATTAGCTGGAATACACACACACACACACACACACACACACACACACACACACACACACACACACACACACACACACACACACACACACACACACACACACCGCACTGCCCAGCATACTGCGCATATGGTGCTTTCAGAGAGGGTGAGAGATGGCAATTCACTAAAGGTGGATGTCAGGGGAGAAGGGGCAGATGGGGAATAAAAACAGAGGAAGAAGATGACGAAGATGGAGGATATGTGGGGTGAGGGGATGATGAAGGGGGATGCAGGGAATATGAAATGAATCTCAAAGGATGAGAGAGGGAGGGGGGAAAGATGGGGTAAGTCAGGGGCAGATGGAGGGGTAGCAAGTGAAGGGGAAGAGAGACACAGATGGAGAAGGAGGTGAGGGGAGCAGGAGATGTCAAAGGGGGGAAGAAACACAGAGGGCTTGGTTAATACTGCATTAGACACACACTCTCCCTAGGTCCCTGTCTGTCCCCCTCCTCTCTCTATATTTAGACAAAAACTGTGAAGTAGTCAGATTCCACTCGGCTTCACAGGCGCATAGTGATGACTCTCACCCACTGAATGTTTTGTGGTCCAAGACGGCCTGCACGCTCACACAACCTCGCACACAAATATGTTTGTGTCTGAGTGAATTTGCAAACATGATTTTTTTTGGAGCAAACACATCATTCATCAGCCTACTAATCCTTTTAACACATTATGCTATCCCAGTTTTTTTTTTTTTTTTCACTCTCGCTGTCCCTGCCGAGGTTACAATCATTGAGCTGTCATGTTCCTCTCTAGCAGACGCAGAAGATGGATCACTGGTCTTGAGATGACAGCGCGGCCAGCATCAGCAGCGGGCAGCGTTTTAGTTTGGGACGGGAGCCAGAGGCGAGTAAACAGGGATGTGATAACAGAGACACAGAGATGGCAAAAACAGTCGTTTTTCTCCGAACATGACGAGCCCACGGCCATCTGCGACAGGCGGCGTGGGCCAACAGTGAGAGGACGAGCGAGGGAAGATTATCAAAAGCATACTGGCTGCTCTCACACACCAACAAAACCATCCCGAAGGCACAGATTGATACTGCTATGACAGGGAGATGAATTAGTGCTGGATGCTTGGGTGGAAAAAAAACTGTGTTTAAATGATTATTTTCTTATGTGGTGTATTTAAGTCGCCAGCAGTGATTTCTTGAGGAAGTCCCTCTTGAGCCTACCCTCTTCCAATACCTGCCTACTCTCCATCTTTACACTCTCTTTCAGACAGAAATGGGTCATTGTGCAGATAATCAACACTCTCTAGAGACTCTCACTGCGGTCAAGTTGAATAAAGAGCTTTACGAATGGAGCAGTCAGGAATCTAAACATACATATTCATCACTGTAATATAACTGTGCTCTGCCCTTTACTGCCTGTCTGAACTGTGCGCGCATATCAGAGGACGAGTCGGTAAAAAGTTAAGAGAAAACCTGGGAGAAAAACATACAAACTTCACAGCTGATTGGAGCTTATGTCAGTGTTGTCCTTATAAATACAACAGCATACAAATGAAACAACATGGAGTACGGTAAACGGTGATACTGCACAGCATGATCAAAGTAACAAAAGGCATAAAAGTGCAGTGTGCAAAAAATAACTTCAATGTCATGAATCAAGCCTTAAACTGAAGTGGAATGCTCCTTTATGCTGACAATGTAGTGATTTACAAAGATAATGTCTTTCGGTGCAACATGTGCAGAGCCTGCCTGCTACTGTGTGCAGTAACAAAAGCACAAATACTGAGAAAGACTTACTGTGATCCTGCAGCACGTGCCACGATTCACAGCATCCTATTTCTTTAATGATTCAATTTGCACATTATCTGTAGGATGACCTAGATACATATGTATGCAGGGACACACACACACACACACACACACACACACACACACACACACACACACACACACACACACACACACACACACACACACACACACACACACACACACAGCTATCCTCTCTCGATCCTTTTCCAAGATAATACAGGATGCACATAAACACATGCAAAATGGCTTTAAATGTCGTTAAAAAATCATATATGTTGATCAAATATCTAAAGATTGTGAGGGGGATGATTTTTTTATGTATATGAAGTGTTTGTATGGCTTTCCAAAGTCCCATATGAGCTTAGATTAAAGACCTACAGATGTTTGCATATTCCCAGAGGGGGATATTTGTCATGTTAGTTAAGCCTGCTCCTTCTGTTTTCACATCGGTGGTAATAGCAAAGAAAAATCACATGATGACTAATTGTTCAAGAGTTTAACTCAACAACTTGCAACCTATCAAATTTAACCTTTTGACCCTCTTCTATCACGCTTATTTTAATACCGCTGCAAGATCTGCGGTATGTCGGCAGCCCTAAAGCTGTCTAGCATGGACAGGTGATGTATTTTGCAGAGAGGCAGACAAGAGAAGCAAAACAGACCCATCCCCTCAAGAAAGCTCACCTGCTCACCTCCCAGACAGCACAGAGAGCAGGCAGACAGATGAACACAAACACACACAGACACACAGCAGCCAGAAGTCTCACCTCCAGGTAGTTCAGCTGGGCCGCAGCTTGTCCTCTCCGGGTCTATGTCAGCCACCCACAGGGTGCGGATGCAGCCCTTCCACAGGCCATAATGGGCCATCTGGCAGGTCTGGTTGCCACTGAAATTCTTGGGTTGGGCCAGCTCCACCCAAAACTCTGTCCCCATGCCTAACACTGTAAGGGTAACGCCAACGATGGCAACAAAAAAGGCCAGCTTTATCTTCCCCTCTTGACTGTCACTCATCTTGTGGGTCCGTCTCTGTCCTCTTACACCCTTCATTCCCCCTAAACCACCAGCTTGTCCAACCCCGGCCACCCCGATGCGTCCATCCTCATCCTGCTGGACAAAGAAGTTGGACCACATGCTGATATCAAAATGTCAGGTCCAAACAAGAGAAGGGGAAAGGATTGGGAACTTTGGTTTGAGATTGGAGGGGGGAATGATGGATCAAAAGTTTAAAGGAATTTGGGGGAAGGGGGCAACTTTAGAAGTTTTAAAAACAGTTATAAAGAATAGACTCTCAGCTGTCAAATACCCAGTGATGGATGGACAACCTGAGTTAAAAATTCTCAAAGTAAACAAAAGACTGAGAAAAAATGAGGAGGCTGATTAATGAAATCAGACAGAGATGTGAATAGAGCTACAGTGAATAAGGGGTAGATGAAGGTGGGATGACGTGGAGAGGCTGATGTCTCTTCTCCGTCTCGTCCTGTACAAAAGGGAGAAGAAACACAAAGATGAAAGAGCAGCCAGCACATGCTTCACACTTTCAAAACCCTTTTATTAGCAGCGTAATGTTTGATTTCTAACAGCTTCATCGGCATCTACAGTTATCCCTCCACAAGAGCCACATGACGAACTCTCAGCCAACAATAGAGAAGCCGTATGTTGTTTCTTTGAAAGGCTGCGCAGAAACAACTGGTCTGGATGAACGGGTGGAGCTGGTGGGTGTGGGGTCAAGGTGAGGGATAACACGACAGCGCCAGACTGGAGCACCCGCCCTCTGTTTTCCCAGAGGTGTTTGCAGCAGAGCTCATCTTCGAGCAGGTACACTCTCAGCAGCTTTAACACAGATCCCCTTTGATCTGAGGGGGATAACATGATGCCACAAATACCTCCCAGCATGCATTACGTCAACCAACAAACACTTTGTCTGTAGCCGTGACTGTCTCTTATAAAGCCAGGATGTGTGTGTGTGTCTGTGTGTGTGTTTGTGCTCTCCAAACTGTGAGTGAGGGGCCTTCTGGTGCCCGGTGCAGAGTACATGAGAGGTGATAATTCATGTCTGGACCCTCTGACAGACAGACAGACGGGTGAGGGAGGGGGGGGTCCTGCAGTATTTAACTCTGCTGTGCAGTCCAACAGGTCAGACAGTGGAGCCTGGACAGTGAGGACTGCAGCAGCAGCAGTTGGTGGATCACTTAATTCAGAGCTTTGCACTGACAGCATCAGAGGTTTTATATATAGGCAACACACCATGTGAACCCACTGTGTGCAGGACTATTGTGTGCAGTATTTTGTAATAAATATAAAGAGTATGAAGGAAATACAATTAGGGTTTAAGACTGTGTGGATAATCCCATCGAGACAGCTGATCAGAAAGCATTAATGCAAAAAGACACACAAAACTAGAGTGCAGGTTTAGCTGAGCAGTTAAGGTAACAGAGGATCTGGTTCTTGACACAGCTATCGCTAACCTTGAGCATTTAGCATGTCAGCCTCTTCTCTTTCCAACACTTAGTTCCTGTTTCTCTCTCCAGTTGTCTACTTATTCAAAGGCCCAACATCCCCAAAAACATCTCTGCTGGTAGAAAATACCACTGAAAACCGAAAAAGTTAAATGGGCTGGAGACTGACTTTCATTTGCTTTGATACTTGATTCATCAACCGGTTCATCAAAGGCATAAACTATGATCTGGTTCAGCTGTCTGCACAGTTGGAGTTTTTGTGTTTCTTCTGTTTTATGAATTGTTAATGTCTGGATTTTGGAGCACTGGGCTGACAAGAGAAGAAATTTACAGTCTTTACCTTAAAGCCAGAATGGTCAACATTAAAAGAAAATAAGAGAGAACAACAAAGCTTTGAACCTGTTTATGCCACTCCCTAAAACAAAATGCTTTGCCTGACGCTACAAACAAACGGTTGCTGTAAGAGAGTAGGTGAGTTGTGTTTAGTCTCTTTCCTAAAGAAATCAGGCAAAGTTAAAAAGATGTTTGATGGCTAGTACTATGGCTGGGACCCTATATGTACTGTAGGTGAAGTTAGGTGCTGTTCTGAGCATTATTTGTGGCTATAGAGTGGCGTTTGGTTGAGGTTTGTTCATGGCTCCTCAGACAGCTGTGTATTGCTATCGTGCGGTGTTACTAAAGTTGGTACAACTAGAGAAGAAAACGGTCGGCAACATTCATCTCTCGAGGGGGTGTCTAACTCTGTGTTAAGGTGTGTTTGACCCAAAATTAATTTTACACCGGAATATCCCTTTAATGTCTGCTATTCTTTGTCACAGCTTCATCAAAATCAAGAAGTGATGGGACTTCTGATACTTCTTCATGTCTTCAACGACAATGGTAAAGGTTCAACAACAGTAAGTGCTGGTGAGAGGCATGAGTCAGCTCTTCCCTGCTGAAACTGAGTTTATGGGCACTGCCAGTGCAGAAAATGGTGTTGATGGACACAGGCCTGTACAGTCAAGAATCCATCGAAAAGTAAGAATAAGGGAGAGGTAAATCAAGCATACAGCTGTCAATGTTAGCGAAATCTCGCAACTTTTCATTGCTTTTCTTTTGCACAGTTGACTTTAAGTCATGTTAGAGTTCTCAAAGACTTTAGTCTGTCTTTCAGAGAAAAGAGCTGCCTGGTTGCTGGAAAATATCAGACAATACTGATTCATTACTTGACAAAATAATCTGCAGATTCTTCATGATTGCTGTATTTTGTAAACAAAGCTTAAATTATTGCACAGTGACACGCCACTACTCCACAATCAAGTCAGGTGAGTTTAAAAGGATCTATAAAAGCACACTAAATCAGCCAAGGAGGAATGTGTGATCGGAAGCTCCTGAAGAGTAATAAAACTGTGTCTTAGGTGAGGTCATTTCACAGCTACTTTTAGACTCAAATCCTGATGTTGTTATTCCCCCTGAGAATGTTGTACCATAGAGACCAACATTTATTTACGACCGGTGCTTTTTAAAGTTAAGAGTCTCTTGGGGACCAAAGGTTTGCAAAAGCACTCATGCATTAAAATACGTCTCCATCTTGAACTATAACCTAAAGTATCAAGGCTGTAGCTGCTGACAGTCGTATTTATGGTCACAGAAATACAAACCTTGATCACATTACATCCAAATTAACCACGGCATCAAAAGAGGAGTCAAAACACAGCAGGACCAATGCTCATGCTTTATTACCGGAGAGTACAAAGCCGTCTCTGATGAAATGGTTGTTTTTGAGTTAGGCAGTGCGGTAAAAACTTTGGTGCAAGTTTTGCAGCAGCTGAGCGCATTACCAGCTTTGACATATGGGTGCGTTTTTATGTTGTATAAGTGAGGAGCTCTCTACTATTCACCACAAACAGCCTCTGGCTCATTCTGTGAGACATGTTGGCATTGAACAAAAGCAACAAGCAGATTATGCACTTGAGTGAGAAAGAAGAATAAATCTGACCTGTTATGGTGTGTGTTGCTCAGTTCAGGAGTGAGAGAAGCTTGAAACTTAATAGAGGGGGAAAGCGATGATGGGAGAGTGAGAGAGAGAGAGAGAGAGAGAGAGAGGGGGAAGGGGTGAGAGGGAGGTACATGTACAGATTTATGGAAAGTGAGCGTAACAAGGGTGGGGGCTGCAGTCTGGTTGGTCAGCACAGTTGATAGTTAAATGTATTTTTCCCTCAAGGCTTTACCTGCAGCTCATGCACGATCTCCCCTGTCCTGATTCACATGTTTAATTTTGAATCAATGATCCGAGGTGCAGCAGGGCGGTCTGTGCACTCGATTCCTCAGGCCTGCCAACATGATTAAAAACGCGCCTGTATCTGCGGCCGCCTTGCTGTGTGTGTATGTCTATTTTAGACAGCCACCTGTTAATGACATTAAGGAGGAGCTTGTGTTCATAAGTGAGGGGCCAGGATAGTGTTTAACAGCAACACAAGATACTGTGAGGAAATCTGACACGGAGACAGAGTGAAGTGAAGACAAGGAGAAGTGCAAGAAAATGAAATAAAAGGGGAACAAAAAGTTCAATAAACACTTTTTTGGGGGGCAGAAGAACCTGCTGAAAGTAAAAAGAGAGGAAAGTGCAGCCCCTCATTTCATTCCTCAGTGAACACGGTCTGGAGAGATTTCAGCCTGGTCTTGTGGAAAGCTTTAGTCGTAGCCCAGCCCTCTGCTCAGCTCCTGCACAGTTTGGGTTACATACGTGGCACAGTGAGAGAGTGAGAGAGAGGAAAAGGAAGAGCGAGTGAGTGAGCAGAGAGGGAGTGAGTTTCAGACGGATGAGGTGGAAAGGGACGAACCAGGCTGCAGGCTGTGACAGGAAATTAAACACCTACAATGTCAAAAACAGTCAAGTTCTGTTTCATTTTCAGGGGATTTTGTGTAAAAAGTACGGCGCAGACTGCAGATGGACTCACTCAGAGAAAGAAAAAGAAACATAATGAGCTTATGACAACCCTGATTAACTTATAAATGTGGAGGAGAGCTATCTGTTTTAAGGAACATATGCATGCCTGTCCTTTAAAGAAATGACTTACCTCTAATTAAACAGTCTCTCTCTGCTCCTCCATCAAATGAGATTAATACAAAGTGTCTGCACACGGTGGGAAGTCATCAATAATCTACAGTATGCTGATGTGAAATATCTTGTCTCCACATCACTCAAGTGGCTCTGTCAGCACTGCAGATTTATGCTTGAAATCACTCATCTGCACATATGTACAAGGGCAGCCATGCATGCACTGACCACACTGGTGCACACCAACAGCTGCAGCCATCTTTGACTCGAATCACTCTTCGCATATTCTTTTTATACCAAATCCACAACTTTAACTTTGGTGCAACAAATCCACAGCAGGAATTAACCATTGTTATTGTGCAGTTTACGCCTGTTAAAGTAACGTCTGATGAAGAAAGATACGACGCCCAGCTGGATCACTAAATCTGGAGATAAACTGCACATTTACATATACAGAGAGGCATGTTTCTAACTTTCCTGGGATATTATCAGACATGCTTTATCAACTGCTTTGGAAACTAATGTCAGTCATTTTTAACCTTACATCTAAATATGTCTCAGGAAGAGAAATTATCTTGTTACAGACCAAATATAAAACATTTTAACATAATAAACGTTTATGAAAATATATTGAGTGTATATATTCAGTCTCCGTTTGGATAATCTGACATTTGAAGTGCTGATTGATGGTCTGATTTTAACGACAGCTCTTTTGATTCGTCAAAGCGAGAGCAGCCTTCATCTTCTCTTTCTACTGTCCTCAAAAATGCAGTAGTGAGCCAAAAGGAGCTGCATCCATTTTATTTTCTCTCTGTGCTTTACCTGATATGACACACCTGAACTGTCCTCTCTGTACCAGTGTTTTTGTTTTTTTTTCTCTCATAGGTTGTCTACTCCTGTGAGGTGTTTATACAGCTTACCGTCACCACAGTGAATACCATAGGTACACAAAATGCTGCATCCATCCTATCACTGCTGCAGTGTTCTATCTTTCTGAATGAGGATCAATGGGGAAGCACTGCCCAGAATGACAATGACCATCACCACAGCTTTACATCCACCACTAGAGGGGGGTAATGTATTTACAGCGTTCACTGCAGCATGGGGCCTTCAGAGGGCTGCTGTAATAACATTTAATGGGTCTCATGTTAGTCGGCCTATAGTAGAAGAAGCAGGGTCAGATGCATATGTTTCCTCTGCTGGACTCGGCCTCAGCAGCCTGTATGAGCTGCTGTTTTATCTGAGCCCTCAGGGAGCGACAGGGTGGAGAGTGCTGCATCAGTGTGGCCCTGCTGCGGGGGGTGTGTGTGTGTGCAGCAGGGTGCAGCGATGCAGATGGAGACGGGCAGCAGAGAGCTGACACAGGACATTATTTCATGTCAGAGATTTGTTGCTTTTCTATTACAGTTTTCCCCGTCGCTCCCCGTTGGATAAATCCCAGGTGGACACAGTTTGTAGCTTTTATTGCTGCTGACCGAGACCGTGCGCTCGTGGGGACTGACTGGAATACCAAAGAAAAGGCCGGGTGAAGTCATTTCAGCAGATTTCTGGATGAATTATGTTGGTGCAAGTATGGATGCTACTCAAACTTGAGGAGGAGAAAGACACTCATGCCTCACAGGTTGGGGGATAATACAGATAGGTGTCTACTTTTTGATCTGATGTAACAAATTACAGCCTAACTGAGTCTAGATTAGCCTATTTATAATTTTGACACACATTTAAGGGCAAACATTTGGAATATATGTAATTTCTGGATATGTTAGGTTTGTTTTAACTCTCAAACGGAGAGTTTTAATGAAAGAAAACTTGGAGAAAGTTGGGATTTGATGCATTCATGACCACGTGTTTGAGTCTGAGATAGTGTTGATTACCACATACATACAAAATACACTTTATAAGGACTTCATGAATGTCTTATGTCTTCACAAACAGATAGAATATGATTTAAAATGTACATTTTTGGTTCTAAGAACAATAAAAAAATGGTTGCAGTGATGTTAAGATATATTAAAAGGTTTACGTCATACCATCCAATAATATTATAAACACTACAACTTTTACATCAGATCCACTAGCGTAGACCTCATGGTGGTGAAAAAAAAAAGATTGTATTTGGATATGAAAGGGCTCCATCGCTCGGATATTACAATTAACTACAGCTCTGGATAAACTATGCCATCAGCTGAATGAAAGACTGGCCGTGGCCCCAGTCTACTCCGTTTCCATAATTAACCGAGAATGACGTCACGCTCTGGATTGGAAAAAAAGAAAAAAAAAGCCTGTGCTGCAGCGAGGTGGGCGTGCATAACAGAAGAAGCAAAAAATAGAAAGGCTTCATGTAAATTCAGTTTTTAATCAACATTTCAAAACAAATTGGACAAATGAAAGACTGTTTTGCTTTTATAAACTAGATGTGTTTTTTTAGGGTTTTAAGTCATTTAAGAAATCACATTTTTCCAAGAGAGAGAGAGAGAAAAAAAGGAAAATAAATGACAGTGACACTGAGAAAGCAGGTTTCAGAAAGTAAGGAGTAACATCTCATAAGTGTTATCAACGCCACAGTCTGTCTTCAGTGCCATTTAAACAACCAAAGTATCAAATAAAAGCAGCCTGTACAGTGTGAACATGTGGTCCTCGGAGAATCAGGGGCAGAAGGTGAGAGAGATGAGAGAAAAGCAGGTTTCGATTCAGACAGACTACCACCTCGAGTAGCTACACTCAATAAGATCATGAAAATGAACATTTCTCTGTGAAGTGCTTCCACTCATTTGAGTGAATAAACTTCATTCTTTGCCTTCAGGCTTTCATTTATTCATTAATCTCTGAAACAAGCTTTCACTGTATTGGGTTCAGTTGTAATCCTTTTGTGTGGACAAGACATCACACTTTTTATGTAGATTATTTTCAAACAAATTAGAGCGGATTTGTGTGGTTTTGGTTTTACTCTGCAGTACACAATGAGCCGTGGGTATTAGTCACTTGTTTATTTGGTCTTGTCAAAGAGGTGAGACGTTGCACAGAAAAATAACCATGTCCGACACATCTTAAATCCCCAAGTCTGCTGGGAAACAAGGACAAACGAAAAGTGGTGATGCAAGGTTTAGGTACAAGAGAGAAACATCTATGAACACACAGACATCATTAATGACGGAGGGGCAAGCCAAATGTTTCTGTTTTTTTGTCAGTAGTTTGACGTGAAATAGCATTAAGGCTTTTGGGCAGGGAAGATAAAAAAATCTCCTTTTAATACCAATCTGTCTGCTTCCCCGTGTTCTCCGGTTAATTAGCTCTTGAGTGACACCGGGACTGAACCGCTGAGACAAATCAATCTCACCTGTTAAAAGCTGTGCACAGAAGATGGACGTTAAGAAAGTAAAAGAAGGAAAAACAAACCAAAAAAAATAAAGAAAAGAAAAAAAAAACCTAACAGGCATTATTGAAAACGTTCTTCCCTGCAGTTCATGTTACTCTGCGACTGAATACAGGTTGATTTTACAGCTCAAATCAGTGAAGCTACACACAGCACGGGGGACATTTACAGTTAACATTCAGAGTCCAATTAAACAACAGATCCTCTGACAATCGCTCTGAGGGGAGGGGAGGGGGGGGGCTGCAGACTGATGGAAATGTGAAGAGAAACAACCAAGTCCAAATATGAAGCAAAAACTCAAGTGAGGCGTCTCCTCTTGCTTTTCTAATGACAACAGCAAAACTGAAGTGGATGTTACAGCTACCGTATATCTACATTGGATGGTCAAATAAAAAGGCCCTCATCTTCCTGTCCTTCTCCCCCACGCCGCTCCCATCACAAATAAACTCTCCTGTTTTCTCATCCCTCTCCTCACAGTCCAGTTTGTTCCCTCCTGTGACTCCTCCCTAGTTACTTAAAACAGGCTACCTCCATTTAAATACAAACCTTAAAGTGTACCCCCCTCCCACCCTTAAAGGACATCCCTGTCTCACAAAGTATAAAAAATGTTGACCCCACCCTGGACCTTTTATTACACACATTTCTCAGAAATCTTTAGCTCTCTGACCTGAGCTACACCCTCACCATCCCAAACCAAGCCCCCTCAGTTATAGCTCTGAATATAGACCCTCTTTGTTCGTCTTCTTTTTCAATCAGCAGCAAAGATTTTAACTGCTCGACGACTTATTTCACAAACTGTATGTTCGATGTTGCAAAAATAAGCAATACTTTCAGATCTACAAGAATTGTTGTCCTGCCAAATCAATGAGGGGGCTGGTTTGGAAATTGGCCGGTTCATGTTCCCACCCTCTCCCTCCCTCCCTTCCTCCCCCCTCCCCTCTTCTCTGCATGCCTCCTCTACCAGAAGTCTCGGCGGTGATAAGCGTCTGGGTCGCAGTATTTGGTCACCACCACCCTGTTGGCAAACTTCCTTCCTGTCAGCCCCTGCATGGCCTTCTGGGAGTCAAAGACTGACATGAACTCGACAAAGATCTAAAAGAGAAGAAAAACAAAACAATAACGTCACCTTTGAAAACTTATGACTCAAACTGGTGGCGTTTAGGATACAGAGAAATTATGACAGTTCCTACCTTGCCGGTTCCGGGCACCTCCAGGCCGTCCACAGGGCGAGGTATCTCGATGCTTTTCACTTGGCCGTACTTGCTGCACTCGTCCCTGACGTCCTCAACGATTTCCTCATATTCTTCATCATCCAGCAGCTCCTCTGGTGCCACCATGTTCATCAGACACAGCACTTCAGTGGGCAGGCCACCCATCTGAGTCACTGAGCTGTTCAGACCCGGCACCTGCAGTGTCACTGGGGTCTGGTTTATACTTGTCTGTGGGTGGACACAAAGGTTTGGAGATGGTTATTATTTACAGAAGAACTATCTGCAAGACATCCTCATCCTCCTGTAATGCAGGCCAGAATGATTCCTTTAACTTACAGGTGTGGTTAATGGATTTCACAAAGTTCACAAAGTGTAAAATAATTATTAAAGCCACAAGTATTACATATGCATCGTCAGCTTGAGAGTGTGTCAGTTAAACCAATACTGTAGATGCGTCTTCATCCGACCTCCCACCACTCTGCTGTCATCTGTCCAGCTGTTGGACACTTACCAGGGTGGCGTTCTTGGATCCCACGCTGGCTCTCTGCACCAGCAGCTTCTTGTCTCCCAGCTGCATACCGTTCAGCCCAGCAATAGCCTGAAACGATATTAAAGGTTTAAGTTACACTTGAGGTCTGTGACCATCACAGTTACTCCTCTGCTTTGGTATCAGCTACACCATAATGATGTGATCTGATCCTGCGTTGACATCCTCTTTTCTTAATGTGAGAAGGAGACTGATGATTATGCTTTGGCCACATCAGGCTTTGGTCGTGCGCTTTTTTTCTCCAACTTATCTACAAATATTTACCAACAAGTTCAATTTCCTCATTTCAGATTTTAACTCTATTGCATTTTACAAAAGTTTGACAGCAGTAGCAACCAAATGCATACTCTCCTGCACAGTGTGTGTTTATGAGCTGCAGGTTATCAGATGCAGAAACAGAGGGCAAAAACAGATCATTTAAATCATTGCTATCAGATTATCATCTCTTATTTTCGATAAGCTGCAGGCTTTTCTCATCCAAAACAATAAATCCAAGAACCTTCTGAACTAGCTGACCAACTGTCAAACATCACTCTGAAGTTCTTTGCTTTGTTTTAGCTCTTGTTTTGATTTGCAAGCTACTAAGATCTATAAAACTTGAGCTTCGGGCGTATGCAAGTTGCCATCTATGTTTTTGGAAAAACTAGTTTAAAATATGGCCTCTGTAGCTGGCTGACTTCATGCTACATCAGCTTCCTGTTGAGCAAAATGCACACACCTACTGGCGCTGAAGATGTAGGACAAACCCGGTTACTGTAAAAACTGAATAGCTGATAGCATAGATCTGCCCTGTCGACCAGCCCAATGGTACAGGGTGGATCTAGTTTTCTTAGCTCAGAGCCTGTCCACTATCAGGATCAGATCAGTACCTCCCTAATAGTGGATTTTCATATTAAAAGTATCGTATTAAGACCGTGACTGCGCATTTATCTGATGAGATCATATGTCCCACAAAACACTTTTTGCTGTTTGCTGTTTTACCTGGTCATTGAGGTTGACATCAACATATTCACAGAAGGCGTATCCTTTAGATAAGCCTGTAGCACTGTCCTTCACCAGGTTGAAAGCCTTCAGGGGGCCGAATGATGTCAGCAGCTCCTTCACCTGAGACACACGAGACAAAGAGGGTCACCTCAAAACAACGGGGTTTCCAAACATCTCAACAATGTAAACGACTTATATTCATGTTCAGTGTTTCTTCTGAAGATGAAACTATTATAGTGCAGCTTTCAAGAATAACATGAGCTGTTCTCTCTTATCATTTCCCTTTAGCGCCTGAGCTGTCACTTTGTCCTGTTTGAATACAGGCTGATGTTTGAAAATGCCTAAAATCTGAGGCTCAGCAGTGAACAGTTCTATAAAGTCATCAACAACAACAAGGACATAGCAGGTTACTCGAGGTGGACTATTTAAACTACAAACTGAGCCCCCCTGAGGGTAGATTATACTCAATAGGGTAAAAGACGTGTATTTTACATTAAAACTCCTGAGTCCAGTTTGAAGGTGAAGCTGAAACATAAACCAACCTGGTCATCGTTCAGGTAATTCGGCAAGCCGCCAATGAAGAGTTTGTGAGCGGAGTCAGGTACCACTGTAGAGACCACACCTACACCAGGCGCAGAAAAGGACAGGACCAAACATAAACTGAGAAGCACAAAGAGCTCACTGCTGTAGGAAGGTAATAAGTGATGACTTATGAATTATGCCACAAGTACATAAGAGTTAAAAACCATTAATTGTCTGTGTACCAGGCACATAGACACTGGGGTTCTCGCTCATGCCCGGCAGAGGCTGGTAATCATGGGGACGACGGATCTTGAGACTCTGGCCTTGAAATATGATGCCATCAAAGGCCATGGCTTGAGTCGTTTCATCCACTGAACGAAACTAGAGACACAGTCACAGATGATGTTATTGAAAACTACAAAAATAAAACATTTTCAAAAAAGTCAACTCCTGAAAACAAGTTGTGCACACAGAATAAAAAGTCATTATAAATAAGCAGATTTTTTTTTTACCTCAAGGAAGGCAAAATTCTTGTCCTGATTGATCTGTACTGCAAGGACAGGGTTTCCGGGGGCCTGAGTAAGACCACCCAAACGCATCTGGGCATTGAAGAAGTCCATCATGGACTCCTACACAGCACAAAAAAAGAAGCAGGATTTTTGGATTAATGATTAGAAATGTCACTTTTATATGCAAATCTTAAATACTAGTTAAAAAAGTTTGAACTTCAAATAAAAAGAGCCGGATGAGGTCCTGTTCCTCACCTCTGTGATCCCAAATGGGATGTTGCCCACATAGAGCCGACGAGCCTGCCGAGTCATCTGGCTACCCACGACCGGTACAGGAGTGGGGGTAACTGCCAGACCATCTGGGGTCATGGTTGGTAGGAGGGCTGTGGCTGGGATCTGGCCTGCAGCTGTGAGCCGAGCCAAGGATAGGAAACAGTTAATACATTTATCAACTTTGTATTGCAGCTTCATTCATATATCACTAGTGGACTGCTTTTAAGTAAAGGTTTCAACAACAACTGATGCTCCTTCAAAAATGAATCGGATAAAACGCTCACCTTGCATGGCTTTGTACTGCATGGGAGTGATGTGTTCAAAACCAGGTGGAGGGACATCCCAGTACTTCTTGACCTTCTTCTTCTTCTCACGGTGTGGAGAACGGCTGTTAAAGGCAGCAGGAGACGGGCTGAATGAATGTGGAGCAGTCAAGATGAACAGGTAAAATGTCTCTGATTGATCAGCAGCAAGCTCACAGATCTGATGATTGATTTCAAAATTTTAAATCATGATGGTAAAGGGAACAGAGGGAATAAAACACCCATCTCTGGTAGGTATTTACACAATGAGCCAAAAGTCTAAGAAATACAGAGAATCAGAAGGAGGTCATAGAATTGCAGTTGTTGCACTGATGCACAAACTGGCTTAGTGTTAGTTTGCTGTATTACCTTCCAGCATTGTCCTGGGGGTAGCTGGTTGGTGAGCTGAAATGACATTGGAAGGGTTTCACATTTCTCTCAAATCAACCATGACATTCACCAAATATTACCACTTCACACAATCAAAACCTCAATTTCTATGAAATACAGAACACTATCAGGATTATATCAGGGGGAATATGGTTTTCTAAAGCGGTAAGTCCCTTAAAGTTCATAAGACAAACCGCTGCACTCAGAAAGCCTCATCGATGACATGCCATACCGCTCATGCAACTAAGCAACTAAGGATGATGGGAAACCAGAAAGAAAATCCTAAATAAATAAAATACAGCAGCTGCAAACCAGAGGACGTGACTCTTACATCTGCTATCCAAGTGCTTCTACTGAGTGAACACCAGACACATATTTCAAAATGCACAGATAGAAAAGGAGCACAAGTCAAGCTGTAGGTCAAAGAGTATGATTTATCAAAAGCTTAAAAAAGGGAGGATCAGAAATGACATTGCAAACAATCAAAACAATCAAAGAAACCAATGACTCAAATCTGTAAAAATCTTAACCATAGATTCACTAAACGCAGTATCTAAAACACTTCAGGCCAGCATGTTTCCTTGAAAACAAACAGGCTTGTCACCTTAAAGAGTGCTGATAAACAAATACTGAAAACGTTCTTGGAAAGGTGCAGCTGTTAAGAAAGCTTTTCTCAGCCACGAGCCTCAACACATTTGATCAAACAGGCACGAACATCCTGCATGGCTGCATGTGTCAATGACATTTGAGGTAGTACATAAACCTGGTGTAAAATGACAACATGTTTGTTTTTGCTCCTCTATTTTTATCACACTGTTTGTTTTTACTTGAGGGAGGGATCTGAAATCGTTTATATAATTATTCATAAGGTACTTTCTTTTTTTCTATGTTACACTATTCAGAATCTTAAAGAGGCTGCAGCAACTGTTTTTTTGTGTATTCAAAGGTTTGACTCACAAGCGTGAGATAAAACTACAACTGTGTCATTAACAAGTATGAAAGAAGGCTTTGGGGCAGAGATAAAAATAACATCCTCGAAAATAGACAATATGGAAGGCAGATTGTTGAAGAAACAACACTTCTGCTCTGATGGATACTATGTTAAGACTACAGTCTGTTGCTGTTTATTTGAATGACTATCCCATCTACATTCAATCTAAATCAATCGCTGTGACTCAACACTTCACAGTCTCAGCCTCCTGTGAGCACAAAAACACTGCTGCTCAGGCTTGAATCTTTCTACGAGCTGAAGGATGAGATCCAACTATGATATTGAAGAAATGGTGGTAGGATTTTTGGATTATGAACATCCGGATGAATCAGAATATGTTTGTTTTTATTTGGATTTGCACACTATACAGTACAGACCAAACGTTTTGACACACCTTCTCATTCAATGTCTTTTCTTTATTTTTTTATATGACTATTTACATTGTAGATGATCACTGAAGGCATCAAAACTATGAATGAACACATGTAAAATTTTGTACTTGAAAAAAAAAGAGAAATAACTGAAAACATGTTTTATATTCTAGTTTCTTTAAAATAGCCACCCTTTGCTCTTGATGACAGAGGTAACCATGACAAGGCACACCTGTGAAGTAAAAACCATTTCAGGGTGACTACCTCATGAAGCTCATTGAGAGAACAGCAAAAGTGTGCAGCGCTATCAAAACAGCAAAGGGTGGCTACTTTATGAAATCTAAAATATAAAACATGTTTTCAGTTATTTCACACTTTTTTCTTAAGCACATGATTCCACATGTTCATTCATAGTTTTGATGCCTTAACTGAGAATCTACAATTTAAATAGTAATGAGAATAAAGAAAATGCATTGAATGAGAAGGTGTGTCTAAACTTTTTGATGACTGTTGCACATTAAGACCAGGACAACCTGCTGACACATAAGTGAGTACACTCAGGGATGATAACTCTCAGAAATGTGCTTGTTTCTATGTATGTATCCACATTTGTTCTCAGGATGATATGATCTGATCTATAAAAGATTGCTCCTGTAGTTTCTTCTGTGGTCAAAACAATTCAAAGATGGGGATATAATACAGAGAAACACATCGTTTTTACCCTTTAATAACTCTAAGGATGTTAGAGCTGATATTTTTTACATTACTCATATTTTAGTGGTCCGGGTGTAGTTGTGAAGAGGCACCAACCTGCGTCTATGTCTGCGCTCCTTACTGTCCCCGCGGCGATCCCTGCTGCGCCTGTCCCTGTCTCTGCTCCTCCTTTTCCTCTCTCTGCTACGGCTGCGGGAGGAGGACCGGCGGTGGTGGCGGTTCTCTTTGTCCCTTTCAGCTGCAGCAAAATAGAGAGGTTGTAAACATACAGCAAATTACACTACAGTATGATAAAATGAACAGTCAGAAGATACATGAAAAAAAAGACAGTAAAACAGTACAATGTATGTGAATTCTTCTATTATTTTTAGGTTGACATAGCAATAATGAAGCAACTTGAGGAAATTATATAAAAAGAAACGGCTTGCTTTGAGAAACAGTGAGTATTGAGTTCAGAGAGAGCTCATTGAAGGCCATGGGAAGTGGCTGTGTTTGGTTTCAGTACCAGTGAGGTGTGAGATAACTAATGGACATGGTGAGTAAAGGCTGTGGATACGTTTACTGGACACAACAGCTGCACAGAATGAACGCTGGCTGCTCAAGGCATCAAGTCAGAGGTACTGTCTGGAGGACCACCATAAAATAGCCATCTCCGGTCAAGAAGAAAATTCAAGATTCACTCAAAATTACACATTAAAGGTTGTTGACGGGACACAAAAATCGCGTTTCTTCCACTACAACATCTGACAAGCAACTGCATCGCATATCAAATTATTTAATACAAGGGGAGGATACTTAAGCTGACAGTGTTTCAGTAATTAGACGTATCCACAGTGGACTAAAATTATGGCGACAATTACGCAAAAAGTACCGGATAATGTTCGCGTTAAGTGAGCAGACTTGGTTTCTTTACCTTGTTTGTTTTCAGATAGCTGTCTTTCGAATTCGTCAAAGTCCGACATCTCTGAGGGTCGAGGGCTGCGACGCTTTCGGAGACTGCGTTGTTCAGTCGGCGACGGCTAGCTCCTCAAGCTAGCAACAAAGTGAACACTCCTAAAAACAACTCCCTCACCGATGTAGCTGCAGTTAAGTTTGCTTGACCTAGAGAGCTACTCTAAAACAGAATTTCCGATGTGTGTGAACAGCGCAGACATCAGCTGTGTGGTCTTTATTTACCAGGTAACAGACGAAATCATTAAGAAAGAAAACGTGTTCGCATGCGTTAGCCCGCTAATGCTGCTTAGCTGGTAGCAAAGTCCAGGAGAAAAGGCCGCTGCTGCTCCGGTTAGCAGAGAGCTAGCACGAAAGACGAATGAATGAGAGCCTTTTTAAAGCGTAAGCAAATCCAACGGTGCCAACGACAATCGCTGCGCAATTCTTTAACTTAATGCATCAAACGAATACGTTTTTCAGAGTCTAGAAACAAACGAATCCAATAAGGTTTCGGTGTGCCCGCTTTTTTTGCTCCGTCTCCCAGGTACCCCGTGACACCGGAAGTTGATGAATGACAGCGTTCCGGGAGAGAAAAAAAAAGACGCGAGGAAGAAGACAAAAAGAGCACAATCATTTTCCTTCTTATTTATCTTTGTCTCATTTTATTGGTCATCTTAGCTTGGCTTTGTATTTTATTTTCATCAATCTCCTGGCGCTTTTTATCTTTATTTGTTTATCTGTCCATTGTTCTTTTTTGTACGACTTATTTTAACACCCTTGTTGAATGTATCAAAATTTAATGTATTGAGTGACTGAATGTAATTTGCGAAACGATGTGATAGCGCACCGTCGTAATTCATGAGGTTTTTATTTTTCCAAAATGTCAGCATAAAGTGGGTCTATCAAAACAAAACATATGTACTGAGCCAGAGCCGGCCCAAGCCTCAATGGGGCCCTGAGCAAAATTTGACTTTGGGGCTCTCTATTTCTGTCATTAATATTGATTGTTGATCATTCACACACCTTGACAAATCTCCTTGATAAACATTCCATGACATGCAAACACCTTTATCTTGGCGTTTTTTCTCTTCTTCCTCTTTCTTTTCTTTGCTCCTGAAGGATATGTCCTTTTTTGCAACATTGTTTCGCCCCACAACTACCTGCGCTTTGGATGCTTAGTGCACTTTGCACAGCAGGAGGCACATAACGGTGGCGGAGCTATGACATATTGGCAGTAAGAATCATAGGCCTACATCAGCAGCAGCACTAAAATGTTTTCACTTTATTTTATTTATACAAGAATATATGTTTGATCAAACAGAAAGCGTCACTCATACATGCAAAAAATTAAAAAAATTAAAAAAAAATTTTGATTGCTCTTGGGGCCCCCATTGACCGCGGGGCCCTAAGCAGGCACTTAGTTCGCTTAAATGCCTTGGGCCAGCTCTGTATTGAGCAATGAATAAACTGACTTTTGTCTCTGAGGATGAGTTTTGACTTATTAAAATAGAGAAAGATGTTTTTCACATGTTCTACTCGATTTTGATTCTTAAAAAATGGCAACACCTGTATTAATAAAGTATTTGGGAGAAATCTACCTCGAAGCCCTGCCCTGTGTATTTTGGGCATAAAAACAGAGGGGATAGAGTTGTCACTCCCACAAACTCTATGGTGTAGATTCGACCTTAATACCGGGTGTAGGATTGCAAAACAAGAAATATTATACAATTTAAGATATGTTTGGAAGAAATGAATAAGATAACTGATTCTTTGACTGAACAATGGGGAGATTTTCCTGAAACTATGGAATCCCTACATGAGACTTATGCGAGATGAATATAGGAGGGTCAGTGGGGATGAGCTCTTATGTGGACAGGAGCTGTATCTTGTCTGGGACAGAAATCTGATATGTTGTGGGGTAGTGACCATGAGGATGAGGGAGTCAAGAAGGATGATGGAGGTGTAAACCCTGTGCATGTAGATATATGTAATAATAATAATAATAAAAAAATATATATATTTTTTCTGTTATGTTATGTTCTTGTTACTGTTCACATTCATGCATGTTGATCTTTGTGTTGTACTGTTAAAAAGCAATAAAAAGTAAATTACAAACAGTAGCAACACCGTTCTGAAAGCATATGGAAAACAAATCTTATATCAGAAAATGAAAAGCAATATTATTATTATTGTTTTTTTTTATTCAAACAAATAGTATTGGTACAGTCCTTTGTAGGATAATAGATTAATGGCACAGTATTTATGCAAAAACTGGTTCAAACAGAACAAGTGTTATTATTATAATGACTAGTTGAACATACAACATTATAAACATTTGTTTGTCTTTCTTTGATTTTTCACTAAAATCAAGGGTCTGTTTTTGCCAGACTTATGTTACTGTCAGACAAGCGTCTTTATGGGTGCCAGTCAACCTAGTGGTTTGACAGTTTGCCTTATATACAGAGGCTACAGCCCACAGCGCAGTGGTCACTGGTTCATCTCACAGCCACGGCCCAATGGTGTGTCCCCCTCCACTTTACTTCAATTATTTCCTGTCTTCAGCTGTCCTGTAAAATACAGCCAAAGATGTCAGAAAATAACTTCTAAAAGTAAAGTATTTGGACCATATAGTGTTGGACTAGTCTTTACTATGGGCCATTTATGATCCTCTTTTGAAGTGCATCCCTCTTTTAGGACCACAAGGAATGCAAACCAAAATCAGAGCCATTCACTCAGTTTTAAGAGAGTGAGTGACCCAAAACTATTACATCTTTCAGCTGGTAATCCACAAAAAAAAGGCATTAAGGCAAGGAAAATGATTTTGGGAAAAATGACAATGACATACTGCAATAAAAACACTAAGAGCACATTTAACGAAACTGATTGGCTTACAAAAGTAATTCTAAAAAAGTGTGCAACATAATTTTGACACAGACACTGTGATTGAAGGTACATTAATTTTGTGATTGTTAAAAATATGCACAGAAGACTGCTGAGATAACAGAGGAACCAGAATGATCCAGACAATCAATTTATAAAATACTGACCACCAGCTGATTTAGATGCTCAGGGCAGAAAAGCTTATCATGTCTCAGCGAACCCCACAGCTGAAACATGAATGAGCTGAATTGGTTGCACTCATTTAATAATCCCTAAAACATTATCTTAAAGCAAAGACACATTGGGATTCAAACAGACGTGCAATTTGTGCTCAGGAAAAAACATGTCTTTGCCCTTTTAGCTGCAGCAGGCAGATCCTTACCATCACTATACACATAGTCAGGATTTACAGAAAACACTGATAATCCTGCACAACAACTTGATGATAAAAATGCTAAGTGAAATGTTTTCTTTTTTTTCCTGAAAAGCAAAGAGTGTTATACACAGTTTACATGGTCAGATCTAGGACACCGAAATACAAAATAAATCCTTCAGCCTGTAGACTGATCTGTGGCTTGAATGGAGCCGACCTGGTGCTGCAGTACCCAGTTGACCCATTTTTTTAAACAAGTTCCCAACAATCACTACAACTCAGTCCTCCTTTAGTGTCTAAACCTGTAGGAAATGGGGAGTAGCAGGTTATTCTTTTTCAGGGCCTGCACCCTGTTTAGTGTCTCCTCATCCAAAGCAGTGTAGCAACGTCGAGCATAGTCCAACAGCTTCTCCTTTGATGGGTCAAACTCACCCACTTCTACCACCTTCTCTGGGGCTACTAGCAGCAACTCAGCTATAGGTGTTGTAGAAGCCACTGTGTTGCGATCCACACCATGGATTTGGAAGGCTTTAGACATATTTTTCAACCGCTGGTATGTAAGCAGGATCTTTTTGTAGCGAAACAGCACCCCGGCAGCATCTTTCACTGATAAACAAACATGTACAAGAGAGTTAGCCATAACACTCCTTTTGACATAGCAGGGTATAATGAAACTGACTTTACAATTCTGTTTTCTTTCTCACCTCTCTGCCGCTCTCTTGGGACTCTGAGGATACGCCTCCTCTTTAATTGGTGTCTGTTGCTGTTTATGGTTTCTGACATTACATCTCCTCCTGATATCATTTCCTCCTCCTCAAGAAAGCCGTCCTGCTCCAGGTACTCATCAGATTCTTCCACAAGTGAAAGTGAATCTGGGAAGAATGTAAAATATCATTAAGGCCAACCAGACAAAAAGATAGGCACCATCTCTGCCTAATTTTACAAAAAAAAAAAAGTACAATTACAATAGTAGAAAGTTATGTGTTGTTCCAACTACCTTGCTCCATGTTATGTCCACCCATTTCATTAATGGATGACATTGAAGCATTGTTGTTGGTTCCACTGCTGCTCCCTGCTGTGGTGCTGGGAGTGCCCGGGTTATGGCTTTGTAGGAGACCCTGGGATTGTGTGGGGTTGAACAAAACATTTATGGAGGCAAGCTGGCTGTTGAGTGGATTGGGCATGTGGTTTTTGGAGGGAACCATGGTCAGTGGACCAGGCCTTCGTTGGATAAATGGGCGTGGAGAGAAGTGCTGTGAATTGGTCTTCTGTTGCTCTATAAGGAGAAGAAAGTGACAGTAATTGAAACAGTTGTAGTTGTACAGTTCACTGCACAAAGCTGCACTTAAGCACAGCTGTATTTCATGTCTGATTATGATTTAGCTCTCAAGTTTTACCTGCTGAAGGAACTTCCTCTCTCCTAGCCCTCCAGCTGAATCTTCTAGGTTCATAACCTGTAAAATACAAAGACGCCAGAATTACCATCCTCAGAGACTTGCTTTGAATAGTTCTGTCTCTAATCAAACTGTACCCCAAGTCTTGGATGGGATATCAGTGCACACCTGCCACCTGTTCTCACCATTGCTATAATGGCTATGCCTCCGTTCTTGTCCCGGGCTCTTGGTGGAAAAGATGAAGCGATCTAGCTGACATCGGAGGAAGTCCCTCTCTTCTTCTAAGTCCTCGATTCTTTTCTGCAGCCAAGAGTTTTTCTCCAAGGAGATCTGCAGCTGGGTCCGAAGGTTGGTGATCACCATGTAGGAGTTGTTGACTGGAGCAGAGGCACTTGTTTGGGGTGACTCTGGGGGTTACAAACAAGGGTAATGATAAGACTTTACCCGTTGCTCTGAAAGAGTGAATTGTATTCTCTAATACTCACCATCAAAATTCTGATCACTCTGACTGAAAAATCCTTGTTGTTCAAAGTTGCCCTCTTCATATGGAATTGCAATTTCAAAGGTGTCCTCGTTTTTTGGAGCTGAAAAGTTAAAACAAGTACAGTATTACTTGTGATGTATAACAAGTGGTGTAAAAATCACATTTATTTGTAGTTTTGGAGGAACCTCACTCTGCAGGTGAAGTGAACCTGCGTGGCTCTTGGATGTGGAGGCAGCATCAGCCCCATTTCCGTCCTCCATCTCAATCTTAAATAAACAAAAGGAGTTATGATCAATGTCATGTTTTCAAAAATTTCACTGAGTTGTGCTAGGACTGATGCTTTACACATAAACATCCCATATATAATCCCCCTTTTTCCCATTACTTGGAAAATATTCAGCTCTCAGGATGGATTTCATTCTGTAGTCTGTCGTATTTTATGCAATCAGGTCAAATACTCTTATAGATGCAACGAAGATGTGACACAGTCAAACTGCACATGTTACTTATGGATAACTTCGCAGCGGCCTGGTAATATGGGGGCTACATCTTTAGCTCTGCGCTGTTAGGGTGGCTAAACGTTAGCAAGATCGCAGCTACGATGATATATAAAATTACACTTTCATCATCACGTGACACTTAAATAGCCAGCTATGTCGTTCTGATTTGTAAGAACCTTATGTTAACGCCGTATTCTGAAGAAACTGGTACATACCACTCTGCGTTTGTAATAACTTAATCGTGCACGTGTAATAAGACGTTATTACTCTGTCATATCCCCATTGACGAGTTAGTCTGTTAGCTAACAAGCTAACAATAACAATTACATCTGTTTTATTTCCTAGTACTGCCTGACGTCATTTCCGGGTGCGATGATACTGGATTTTAGTAGAATAGTTTTGGAAAAATAAACACTCATTACATTTTGTATTTAACGTTTTAGGGTATGAGAGCGTCGAGTGTTTTATTTCAACGTAAAACAATCAAAATGTAAAAATGTTTTTTTTTCTTTTTCTTCTATTGTTCTGGACCTTTTGGTTAATGCGCTAGATAAAGTTACTCGATAAAGAGTTACTGGTCAGTCAGTTTGATTCAGCGATAAAATGTGAACAAAATTAGACATATTTTAGACTTTGAATCATTGTGATTTGAGCGGTTCAAAAACTGCAAGACAGGTCGAGCAGGTGACATAGAGGTGTCGGGTTTCAGTGTTGACTCGTGGATTCAGAGACTCGATCCCGAGAGACTCAAAACGCGTGATTTTCAGGTTCAAATTTCAAATACTCAGCAAACTAGCAAAATAAAGGTGAGTGTTTGCCATTTATTCTTTTTCTAATTAATAATTTATAAGGATTTCTGTAAAAAGGAGAACTATCTGTTTATGAAACAAAACTCCTCAAACGTAGAGGACAGGTGTGGCACCTGTTTTGACTGTACATGCAGGACAAGAGTGGAGAGTGCAAGACAAATGATGCCAACTTATGTGAAGCTTAAACTTCTCCTAGTTGCTGTTTTGTTTTGAAATGAGTTCAGGTTTTTATTGTAATGGGAAAATATTGATCTGAACTAGTTTGTGATACCTTTCTCTGTGAAATTTATGATATAAAAACTAAAATGTCAACATTGCACCATTGCTCCTTTTACAGTGCAGCCATGGCACCCAAATATGAGGGCTTGTCCCATTGTAAACTGGCCCTTGTGTTTGCTGTGGTGCTGGACCTGCTGGGTGTAATATCCCTGCTGCTTGGAGTCTTTGCATCATTAGAAATTAAAGGCAGAGACTTTGGGGATCTGCTGGTGTACACAGGAGCCCTGCTGGTGCTTATGTCCCTAGCAGGCTGGGTCATGTGGTACAGTGGCAATATTGAAGGTCTGACCTCCAAAAAGGAGTTAGGAGGAGCTGTTGGTGGAGCTGTGGACCGCCTTGCTCGCTCCCTAAGCCGCAGGATACGGATCCCAAGGACTCACAGCAGCCCAACCTAGGAGGAGAGCCCAAAGAGACCACAACAGATTTGAAAAGACTGTTGTAACATGAAGAGCTGTCCTTTACCAGATGGCATGTCAAGCTGCCTGAAGCCCAGGAGTACCATGATAGCTTTATGTTTCTTTACTATCTGTTCTGTTAAGGGTTTGACTAACATATTATGCTGTTGAAATATCTGTATCATTTTTAATGTTTTATTAAAAACCTGTATGAATTTGTGTCCTCTGTATAAGAAGCTGCATGTGGACTACTTAGGATTGTAATTTAGGCAGACAATAGAATCAAGTATGTGAGGATTACAAAGATTAATTCAGAAATGGTTTCTTTTGAAGGCAATTATTCCTTTTTCACTTACAGCTCTTGTAGAAATACCACCCAGAAAGAAGTTACATTTTCCACTGAATACATTTTAATTGATGTGTGCAAATGTGTACCTGCACTTAAATACTGCATTGAAAAGATTTTTCTTCCCTAATTTACAAAAGATACAGAAATCAAATGAAAAACATCAAACAAGTCAGATAAAGGAGAAAAACTGATTGAGAAAATAAATAATTTCTTAAGACAGGCACTCATAGTTGTCACTTAAAAGATGAAATATCAGATATTTGTAGACAGACACTTAAAATAAGCATTTTTTTTAGTTTACACCACATTTAATGTGGAAGGGAAGAGTTTAGAGATGAACTAAAAAATAATCATTCAAAAGTAATTATGCCCAACCTTAACACAGCATCTAGAGATGATGGGTGTCAGATTTCTGTGCCGAGTTATGACCAATACCTGTTTCCAGTTCACAGTAAACACTGAAGTATGTATACAGGAGCTACATTATCAAGTTACACTAACTGATCAAAAAAGTACGATAGAAAGACCTGATGCCACCTTGGAGGAATGAAAGTATTCTCTTTTTATAACAAGGACACTTAATGTTTTTCAGTGCAAAGGAAATAAGATTTTAAAAATCAGGCATCTCAATCCCTGACCAATTCTACAGAAACAATATGTTTAATGAGATGACTGCACAGAGCAAGAGCATCCACTCAAAAGACAGACTTACAGTTTGAATGAGGTAAACAAAGATGAAACCGTTTGTGTCATGGAAAGTCTTTAGAGGACGTTTATTGCTGCCACGCTGAGACGACGGCTCGCTCAGTTCTGTTAAAGCGTCATTTCCAGAGTCATATCAGGCTCTGCTGGTGTCCCGTACTTGTCTGCTCCAACTTTAGCTTCTTTAAAAAGTGCAGGTCAGTGCTGTCAGAGGGATGGGTTGGGCACTGAGGGTGAGGGGTTCTGCCAGATGATCATGTGACTGCGTTCAGACCGTTGAGGTGTAGTTTGAGACAGTTCTGCTGATCCCTCACCTGCGTCATCACCTTCAAAAGAGCATGGTTTGGTTATGCTTCAACACTACACATAGAGCCATTATATTAGACACTTAAATTTTATAGTGGTATTTTCCTTTAACTCACCCATTCGGAAGTTGATGTAGCCCTCTCCTCCACAGAGGATAAGCTGAGAGGTAGTGACAGTGTTGCTGCCAGGAGAGGTGATCAAGCAACCTGCAGGGGCGGAGATGATTTTGTTACTAAACACACCATGAATAAAAAAAAGTGATAAAAAAAAAATCAACATATTTTATATTAATTCTTACCAGGAGCAGCAAAGATGAACCTGACAGCTTGTCTGTGTCCATGGTAGCACAGCTGGGCTGATGCAGTGGAGCAATATGGGATAGACACATCCTCTGATGCTGGAGATAGTCAATAAAACAGTATATTATACGACATAGTGGAACTGCACGATAATGATAAAAACTAATATGGCGACTTTTTTCCTATCTGTATTATATTTCTGATATGAAAAAATACAGGAATTTACAGCAGATAAATGCCTTATATTTGAAGTGTTCAGAAAATAAATAAAAAAATTCAGTAACACAATTGTAATAACTAATTAAAATTTAGATCTGTGAAACAGTTTTTTTGCTTTTGTATCAAAACTCTTCTCCACTTATATTACAGCCCTCAGACAGCAGTTCTGATATCCACACGCAGAGGTAGAGACACAAGAGGAGGAGCTGGTACAGAAGGAGCGACGCATTGTTACATAAACTTTACTAAGTTCATTTACTCATTTCTGACAGTCTTAAAAACCATGCTTAATCCATGTCTCATTTTATTTATGAAAACTCTCTGTCTTCTCACTGCATATTTTTCCACATTACTATGATGCACGTGCACTGTAGGTGCTGGCGCTAAAAGTAAAGACTCTGTGATCCAATAAGTTCAGTAGCCTGTGTGTGCCCCCAACATTGATGAGCTCCAAGACAACAGGAAAACACTGTCTGACAGTAGAGAATATCTTTGATGGTAGAAGAATTGCAACAGACATGTGTGTGTGAATTCAATGGTCATGTGACACAGATATAAACACTGCCTGTACAACACTCAGTTTCTCTCTGTGTTTAAATAAAGAGCTGCATTAAAGTGATTTCAGACAAACATCATAGATTAACCCCGAAAAACAAGAAAGTAGAAACAGATTGACACCTTCAGCTCAATCGACTGACATCACACATCTTGGGAAGTGAGTATTGCGCATGCACGCATCTTTTTTACAATGTTCAAACAATACATCGTTCATCACCACAACGTTGTGTGTCTCTGACAATATTAAATGCAGGAAGCTTGTACTTGCAGTCTAAATTAACTCACTTATGGATAATGGGATGGAGAAAATGGCACCACCTCCTGTGCCCACCCACAGACGACCAGAGATGACTGCAAGAGATGAGATCTGGAGAGGGGAGAGTGACAGGAAGGCTGGGCCTACAGAGGGAGACAGAAACACATAAGCACATCTGCAGGAAAGATTGAGAGAAACAAAAAAGAACAATGTTTGAAAACACATACAGCATTTCTAGTCAGTTAGCAGAGATTCTCTTTCCTTTGCTTAATAAATGTTCCTTTTTTAAATCTGTATTTAACTCTTTATGTAATTCTAACACAGCCATCAAAAAGTAGCACACAGTCACAAAAGATCCCTAAATTAAAAAACTGCACAAAACATCAAAAATATTATTGAATACACAAAGATGGTATTTGCTCCAAAGTAAAAAGTAATCTCTTTGTGAGGTTGAGCTGTGTTTCTTTACATCAGAGGACATAACCATATCATGATGACACAAACTTTGGATTTCAGAGCTAATAAGAAAGCTGCGTCAAATCAAATGTGTTTTTTCATTTCACATAGATCTAAAAACAAACAAAACACAACTTAAGTACCTAATGTTTTAGTGACCAAGGAGGTTAAATCCACTTCCTGCAGTGGCCGTCCTGTGGACCAGTCAAACAGTCTGAGCATTGGATCAAGGCGGCAGGATGTCCACACACCACTCCCACCAGCAGACAGAAAACGAACCTGCTGCTCACTGCGCTCTGACACTGAGAAAGTTTGCTGCAAAGGCAGATAGACAATAATACTTATTAGAAAGTGTCGATATGAAACAGTGTATGGAAGGTTCGTCCACTGTATCGTACCTCAACCTTCTTGTTGCCAATGTCAACCACATGGACTTTATTCCAGTATCCCACCCACAGCAAGCTTCCTTTTGCGAGGCAGCAACGAATGGGCTGCAGAGGGTTTGATCCAAGAGGCATCGTGAAGTGTGATTGTAGATTCCAGCCACCTGTCGATCACAGCATTCATTATTGACACAGCTAATCATTAAGCTTTGTGACGCTAAAAAGGAAACAGAGAGCCATTACCTGAACTGTGCGAGAAAAATGCTAAAGTCCCATCAGCTAAACCTGCAATGACTTGACCCTGGGAATATCTGTCAGATTGAGTAGCAACAAGATAGCTTATTGTCAGAGTTTTCTCAATAAAGTAACAAAAAGACTACGGTTAAAGGCGATCTCTAAAAAACCAACTCACGTGAGTGAATGAACGCTCTCAGTGAGGGAAACTGACTGCAGACAGCGTCTTCGACCAGCAGAGGCAGAGTGTACCTGTATACTGTAGGGGTGAGAGAAAGCCAGGGAAGAAAGTTAAGAGGACTGGTTAGAGTGCTTTGCCAAGTTTTTGACTCAAAGAGTGAGTTATCCAGTGAAGTGAGATGCTTATTCAGCAGAGACCTTCCTTCCTGAGTTCCAATCCACACGGTTCCTGCCGAGTCACCTAAAATAACAAGACCAGAGAGATTGTTTTAAAAAAGAAAAGGCTCAAAAAGCAGCGCTGATTTCAGAGTGAAACTATGAAACTATGACTACAGTTTGAGGGGATAGTATGAGAACATATTAGATCAGAGAGGGTGTTTGAAGGCAGCCTCTGCAGCCCTTTGTGCTGGCACTGACCTATGGGAGGTACAGCACAGATGCAGAGGACGGGAGCAGTGGGAGGGAGGCTGAACTGATCCAGAACTGTGTTGGAACGGGCTGGATCAATCACTGTAATATCACTGCAGGAGGCGGGGCCAGAAACTACCCACACTGAACACTGGCAGAGAAGGACGGATATGGAGTGTGAGGAGATGAGCGGCATGAAACAACTTGATCCTAGGTCAGCGTTAGTCATGGATGAATGGAATTGTACATGATAATTAGGGTATGAAGATTTGTGCTGGTTGACAAGGATAATAACAGACTTACTGTGGCTTCGCCTGAGATCTCAGGTGTGACAGCAACAGCACAGTTCAGCTGAGGAGAAAAGAGGTCTAATGTAAACGCTGTAAGGTTCTTTTTTTCATTTTTTTTTTAAAAGTAGGTGGACTTACTTTTGCTGTGGAGTCTCTTTGATCTAATAGTCTGAGCCGCATCAGAACAGGCACATCTTTAGGTTCAGGGACTGGTTCTTGGGATTCCTACGGATGACAGTTGTACATGTTTGGGCAAGTTCAAGTCTTTGTAGCAGCTTTGTCCTTACAATCCAGTTGAATGTCTGGGTCAGCTTCTCTTAAATAAATGTCTCCTCCCCCTTAAAGGGATATTCAGGTGTAAAATTAAGTTAGGGTCAGACACACCATAACACTGAGTTAGACACCCCCTCGAGAGACGAATGTTGCCGACTGCTTGCTTCTCTAGTTATACCAACTTTAGTGACAACTGCACAATAGCAATAAAGAGAGCCATGCGCTCAACCAAAACGCCACTCTATAGCCACAAATAATGCTCAGAACAGCACCTAACTTCATCAGAGAGTAAACGCAGCTCACCTACTCTTTTCCAGCAGCTGCTTGTTTGTACGGAGACCTCCGGGCGAGTCTATCGACTGCAGCAGGGTGACACAGCTCAAGGAAGAACATTTATGATCTTTGCTAAAGAAATTAGGCAAAGCTAAAAAGATGTTTGGTGGCTAGTACTGTGGCTGGGACTCTATATGTACTGTTGATGAAGTTAGGTGCTGTTCTGAGCATTATTTGTGACTACAGAGTGACGTTTTGGTTGAGGTTTGTGTGTGGTTCCATAGACCCCTGTGTATTGCTATCCTGCGGTCGTTACTAAAGTTGGTAAAACTAGAGAAGCAAGCGGTCAGCAACATCCATCGCTCAAGGGGGTGTCTAACTTGGTGTGTTTGACCCTAAATTAATTTTACGCTGGAATAACCTTTTAAATCAGACTTGGTTTATGATAGTTTTACTAAGAGCTCCTCCACTTCACCTCTCAGATTGCCATATATCTTGCATTGATGTTTCTCCCACCTGTGTGTTAGCCAATGGTGTGCTCCAGCCGTGGATCTGCCGTTTTCCAAGTGACCCCCAAATGTGTGAGCGGATTTCCCTGTAGAGTTCTCTTTTCCTGACACGGGGGGAAAGAGCAGCAGGAGAGGCAGATCTACAGAGAGTGCTTCTGCTGTTAATCATCTTGATTGAGATTTCAGTGGTGATTCAATTTTGATGGAAAGAGTGTAAATTTTGGATCAGAGGAATTCATTCAAGAGTGAACAGAAACAAAAACACAAGCTTACTCCGCATGAGTCGGAGTGGCAGGTGGTGGTTGTGGAGGCCTCAGAGGAGCGCGGGCCAGCGAAGGAGACATGGGCCGGGGATATGAAGAAGCAGGAGGTGGGATTAAGGGTGACTTGGTCAGACCCAACAAGCGGTTGAACCTTAAATGATAAAAAGACATCAATAATTTATACATGAAATATCTGATTTGGGCATTATACCAACCACATAATTAATTAAAGCTCCAGTGGGGAACATGTGGCACCTCTTGTGGACAAAGCGATACCTCTTTTCCACTCTGATCTTTACATGTAAATGTGTGAGATGTGTTTTCTGGCAAAAAAGACAAAAATCTCACACTGCTTTCTTTTATTAGTCAAATAAATCAGTGCTCATGAATAACAGCTGTGGTAAAAGTAAGAGGGAAGGTTTACTTTATGTCGCTGAAAATAGCCCTGTCTTGACACCTACCTCTCTGCAGCATTTTTATGCATTAAAAGCTACGTTATAGAAAATGTCAGTCTTTTTAGTAAAGATCTTGTTTGCTCCTGTAGACCACAAAGAAGCATCTGTGTTCATTTTTCCTCATATGAACTTTAATAGACCAGTCTGTCTTAATTGTTACTTATTTTATCAAAGTGTAACCGGTGTTGTCACTGACAGTCCAAAAGCTCTAGCCCCTCTTTTGTTTTGTTCTCCTCTTCAAACCCCTGAAACGCTCAGTTTCCTTGAATTATCATGAGATCAAGTTGCACGTGTAGCTATCATAAGCACCAGTATCTGTATGTTTAATACCTGAAACCACACAAACCCTAAAACAGCATTTTGATTTGGGGATTAATTTAGAAACATGGTGCTTCTTGCTGTTTTATCAACAGAAGATTAAGGTCACTTGAGAACAACATATCTTGGTATTACAATTTTTTATCAAGCGTATTCTTTCATAATTTTTGTTTTTTAAGGGATTCAATAGTAATATTGTTTCTGCATCACCAGAGCCTGCTTAGTCTTCTGTTACACACCTGTCTGTTGACTATTACTCATATTACTTACTTTCTCCAAACACTTGACCTTCTGTCCTCTGTTACCCTCTCCTCTTTTGAAGCTCTACAGAAGAAATACAGGAAAAACATAAATAAGGCCGGAGGAACAAGAACCTTGAACATAGTCACCTTTTATTAAGCCAAAAACAGACAACCAAACAAATAAATACAATAAAAATGTCTTTGAAATTAGCACACAGCAATGACATCTATCAGCTGATGCAGTGGCAAAGTTACCTGAGCGTCTGGCTGTGTCTCATTGCCTCCTGAAGCTCAAACAGTCGCTGCTTGTACTGGTTTTTCTCCATCACCACACGGGCCATTTCAGAACGAGAAAACTGTCGCATGGCTGTGGGTAAAGCTGCCTGTGTGGAGAAAATCATCCTGCTTCACTGGAGTGTAGCATTAGAGTCTGACAAAGTAACAACCAATAAAAACTGTCTGGTTTCAGAAACATGGTTTACCACTGAAATGCTACTGTAACACTACATCTTTATGATACACTATATAAGAGTCTGAATATGAGAAAGTCTCCTTACATCAGGATCTTCAGATTGCCAGGTGTCCAGTTCTTTCCGAAGTCTGAGAAAGAGTGAATTAAAAAAAAAAACTTAAACACAAAAGTACTGTCATAGCAGTGCATGAAAAATAAAGAAGTAAAAAAGAAATTAAAGAATTGAAAACAATATAAGTGGGTGGAAAAAGTGTAAAATAATCTTCCTCACCTCTTAGTTTCCTCCTCCTTCTCCTTCATTCGCCCCTCTAGACGTGAGACTGTTTCCTGGAGAGAGGACACTTCCAACTGAAGAGCTGAACGGTCATCAGTCAGCTCCACCACTCGAGATATCAAAGCCTTTCGGGCAGCATCGACTAACTCACTGAAATCAGAGGGTAAAAATGAAAATGAGGAATTCAATGTTTTGAAGTGGCCACCAATAATTTTGGTGATGAGGCTTTACAGAGCCGGAACTGAATGATTGCAAAATCCTATTTTTTTCATATACAATCCCTTTACAGTCAAACAACCAAATAGTGAAAGTGAGAACAAGGTCAGAGAAATTAAATATAGCACTCACTGGGTGACTTTTAGTTCCTCATACTGAGAAAGAATCTCCTCAAACTGGTCTGTGCTCCCTACAAAGAGAAAAGAAACACACACACAAAAAAAATCAGACTCATGTAACAGATTTAAGAAAAGCTCTTATTTAACCTGTCTTCAAATAAAAAAAGAAGATCACATGGTAAATACACAGTATTAAAACAGGAAATAAAAAGTGATGAAATGTAAATTGATAGATCTCTTGTCACTGATGCACTTTACTTCATGTTTACAGGATATAAATAGTTTCCCACCAATGCTAGATCATTTTCAGGAAGCACGCCTCTTTAATTTACACTGTCTGTGCTGACCGACTTTCTGTTTCAGTTCTGCTGGTGAATGAAAAGCACAGATACCTGATTAAGGTTCAGACCCTCTAACTAGCTATTTCTTGATCAGCACCTTACTGTCATATTAACCATCAATTAAACGTTCGGTCATTATGAAGAGAATACATCAACCATATTTCTGTTTTTGGAGAAGTGTTTACCTCTAACATTGGCCCCTTGGTCGACACTCTCCACATAATCCCGACTCAGCTCCGACAGCTCAGAGAACACCGAGTCAGTGTTGCGCAGCTCCCACTCCAGACTGTCATCTTCATCCCCCTCTCCGTCCTGGTCCTCCTCTTTTCCCTGCCTCTCTTCTCTCACCTCCTCTTCTGCTTTGGGCTCTTTCTCCTCCACCTCTCCTATCTCATCCTCTAAGCTCTTCTCTGATTGATCTGTTGTTGGCTCTTTGGTATGGGGTTTGGTTACTGGAGTGCTGAGGATGGTGCAAATAAAAAAGAAGAAGAGATGGGAGAAGATTGACATGTTAATGGCGTACTCTGTGTCCACAAACATATCCATGAACTATAGAAACCTTAGATTCAGTGAATGATTGCAAACACTCCTCAAACTAAAAAGAATAAAATAAAATTACCACCTCGCATCCAAGCAGCAGTGAAACTGTCCGAGCTCAGGAGTGGAGCTTATAATGTCGCTGATAAAACGATCAGGAGGTTTTTCTGCAACATCAGTCACATTTACATCCTTGCCTACAAGACTGTCCAAAGTGGGGGGACCAGAATTTGAATGTGGTCTCTGTATCATCTGCAAACGAGAAACAACATGAACTCCTTTGGAAAAGTCTTCAATTGAAATGGATTTAGATGTGCAAAGATGTGAACAGTGAGGTTATATTTACCTTTTCAGGAACAGGGGATTCGCAAACTTGGTTGGATGAAAATTCAGCATTCTTGGGACGCAGGTGATTCCTAAAACCAACATGCAGTTGCACGAGAGAATAAACAGATTCAGTCTGTACACCTTTCTTATGTTTTTGTACCACTTTCTTACAGCACTTTTTGCCATAACCTGGATGAAATATAATTATTTTTAGACTATGATTTAGTTGTGTGTGAGAAAGATGCTTACTGCTCTGAAATAAAGAATGTTGCGGATAAAAGATTTTTCAGTAACCTGAGAGGAGAATCCCGCTCTGAATCTCTTCTCTTTTCCAAAAAATCTCGATATGTATGAGCCAACTAAAGGAGAAGACATCAGCTGGTCAGACGCAGAGCAATGACAAATAAATGCTTAATCTCATGATAAAATATGTGGAAACACATCAACACTGAGGTCCTAAATAAAAGCTGTGATCTGACCTTGTTGTGAGTGTGCTTAAGCGTGCTCAGCTCTCTACCCAGATTTGTCTTCTGCTCCTCCAAAGCCACCACTGCAGGAGGAGATGAGACGTAACTTTATTTGGTAAATATGTAGAAGCTTAAGTTTGAAACACTAACGGCCAATGTTACTATTTCCATACTCACACTGATCTGCTTGCTCTCTTGCTTTCTTCTCCAGCTGTCTCTGTCGTCGTTCCCTCTCCATCTCTCTTCCCTTCATGGCTCTCCTCTCTTGTTCAATTTGGTCGTCTAGCTCTAGATACCGCTGAAGAAGACACACGGTTTTAACAGCTCTGACTTTCACAGTTTTTATGGAAACACATCATTGTAAAGCACAAACCATCAACACTTTCTGAGGTACCCACCTCTTGACTCTCTTTTCTGAGCGCTCTCTCTGCTTGGTACCTCTCCAGTAACTCTTCTCTGTCAGCTTTCTCCCTCTCTGCCTCCTCCTCTTTTTCCCGCAGTTGAGCTTTGCAAGTGGCCAGCCCCTCGAGGACCCATACAAATATGGGCACCAAGGACTCCACCACACCTTCGCCATGGGTCTCTATAACCGTCTGCGGAGTAGTGAGGAGACACAGTGCAAAACCAGGTACAACAAGTGCAAATCTACACATGGTTTGATGAATGAAGATAAAAAAGAGAAACATGTTGAGCTGCTTTACCTGTAGTTCGGAATACAGTTTTCCTGCCTCTTCACTCACAATGTTGGGGTCCAGCTCCACCTCCCCGGATGCGCAAAGCACTCTCTCACCACACTCCATCATCTGCTGTTTTCATCTGTCGTGTCACTTGTTGAAATTGTTTCCCTAACTCAACACCTCAGGTAAAATTCTCTTACGAAGTTGCTCTCTTAATTTTTCTCCCTAACTAACTAATATAACTTGTTTATCTAGCTTTAGGACATTTCTGCAGACACCAGCACCACCCATCCTTCACAAATTAGGTTCCTCTTTGTTGTTGTTGTGGATGGTTGCATCCTCTACTGCACTCACTCTGTTTCTATACTGTAAGCTTATCTAATATCAGGGGGAGTTTCAGTGTCCATCCTGGAAAAAAAGGGGAAACGTTACAATGAGAAACAATGTTAATCAGCCGCTCCTACACTTGAGCTAATTTTAATCCTGAAAGGAAAGTCGGCTATTCATCTGTAACACTCAAGTATAGACATGCATTTTTCTACTTGCCATGAGCTTATGAATGGTCTGACATGGTCATGTGGATTTCTAGCGATATAATCTGTGACTGACTGGGTTTATTTAACAGGAAACCAAAGACAAAGTAACTACTCAGTGAGGATGAAATCTGAATTCAGGCGGTGGGTTTTTAAATCAGAGTATCCACTTAATCATGCAATTGAAATTACACTCAATTTAACCAGGTTTCAAGTTTTAACGTTTGTTGTTGGACTCGCTCAGGCGTTTGTTTAATTGTTTTGGGGGCTGCTATGACTGTTTAATGTTGAAGTCTTGGCCTTTTAATTTGTGTGTACTGTACATTTTTATTTTTGTCTATAAGAAGCACTTTGTGACTCTTTTGTCTGTGAAAAGTGCTACAAATATAAAGTTTACTTACTTACTTACTTCTCACATCTTCAGCAACATTATCAAGGGAGCCGAATCATTTGATCAAATGGCAACCAGATAAATTCAAACATTTTCTGACTGCTGTTGTTTGTATCACGGACTGAATTTCACTTGTTTTTGAACTGTTAGTCAGACTATTAACATTTACGTTCATTTCTTCACCTTTTACTTCCTCAAATATTCTTTTGTAATCAGTATTAAACATTAAAGGGATGCAAAGAGGAGAAAATAACGTGTTTGAATTGCTTTTCTTTCACCCAACAGTTCATCAAGCGTACTAACAAAAACAGGGAGAGGACAAAACCGGTGAACACGGTTTGTTTTCTCCTGAAAACTGCATCAAATGATTCATTGATTTTTAGATAAGCTGATTTTTTTTTGTCTCAAGTCACCCTTCAAAATGGAAAGGGACCTTTGATATTCATCTATCTCCTGACTGGTTGTAGAATAAAAGTAAACACTGGTTGTAATTTTAATCATGATCACATAATTGGCAGGGAGTCTGAGAAAAAGGGTGCAGCTTCCAAGTTAGGCTTAACAGTCATGGTAATGTGCTTTAAAGACCCTGACATTTAACCTACATGTTACAGACACAGAGATCATCTGTCAAATATTTGAGTGTATCTACTAAAGGGTTATGTAATGTGAAGCATGCTCAGACAAACCGAACGAGTACAGTTTTGTTTTTGTGTGTGTAGCACCAAAAATAGCTTACAAAAGTTCAAATGGTCAAATGTAAACACACGAATTTGACATCTCAAAAAACAGCAACAACTCATGAGAGCCATTGATGAGGCTATAGAGTCATATTGATCAGCTTATAATGCAAAGCTTGGAAACTGAATTGACTGTCTTACTTTACAGCATAAATAAGTAACTTGACTGACAGTGGACACCTTGTGATATCTTGGCAAGTTCACAGAGTCTTAACGTCGCTGAAAACAAGCCGAGTTGTCACGTTGTTGTCCGCCGTCATTAAAAACTCACCTCAGCGGCTTACTCCCGAGTAACTTTCCTTTATTTCCTCTAAAATTGTAGGAATCTGGAGGTTTTTTCTTGAGTATGGATTCAATTACACAGAAACGAGTTTAAAGAAGGGGGTGTTGTTTGATTCTGACGAACGCAGAAATGTTTTCAGTCTATCCAATCAGAACACTTAGAGTATACGCTCCAACCAATAGGTGGGGTTAAGAGGCGGGACTAAAGCAGTTCTGTTTTCAGATGGGGAAAAAAAAAGTTTCCTGAAACTTGAACGGTGACACGTGACCAAGAAGGTTGGTGCTGGCTGTCAGGTGACTCGAGCAACAGACGTCCATACCTGACGAAATACCTTACATACCTGAGAAGGAGCAAGTGTATTTTCCGAGCTGATAATGCATGAATAGTATCGAAGACTAACATGTTTGTAGTATGAGAGACGTTCATAGTAAAGGTTGTGGAGGGGTCAAGATGAGAACGTGATAGGGACACAATAACACGGAATAAAGAGGGGAAAAGTCATTTTGTAGAGCACCATTGTCGCTGTTTAATAAAATTATGCTATTGTAAATCTGCAAAGAAAATATAAGGGGTGTGAATGACACACAGTAAAGTGCAGTAAATCCTGGCAGGGGGTAAACCCACAGACAGTCTGTGGGGAAACCACACAGTGTGATGTAAAGTTCGTTTTAATTCCAGCAGATGGAGGTAAGGACACATAACTTCAAGCTGCCTTGGTGAAAGGTCTGTGTCTCTTTTGGTAATTGGATATTACATTTGGAAACAGATATCAAAAACACAGAAAAAAAATGGTTGATTATTTGATTTTTGTTTTCAAATAGAAAAACCAAACTTGAAATACAGCTTGATCTCATTATGAATATTTTCCACTGAAAATATTCATAATGAGAGATACATTTAACTATTTAAAAAAAGCAGGATGGGTTTTATTTTTGTCAGGAAGCATTTATTATACATGTGGTGGAATAGATCAGCAGTTAAAGAAGATAGGTCCATCATGTTGTCCACAGGAGGCGCCAAAACCAACATAAAATTGTTCCAAACACTCAAGAGCGGGCACACATATTTATTTATTTAATTATTTATTATAGCAAGCAATACTTTCAGCATGCATTATGAATCAAAATAACTGACTCGCTAGCAGGAACCTGATCAGGAATAGAAACCAAAGCACCTTCTTCTACATATATATTTTTTTTATTTAAATTGTGGATCATCAAAGCAACATGTACATTGAAAGCTAATAAAATGGTAAAGAGCTGTAAAAAGTTTTTTTTATAATAGGCTGAAAAAAACTCTTAAAAAATGGAGGGACTACATCACATTTCCTTGGAAAATATACAAGACTTATTCAGTTTATGCATAAAAATCAAGGAGAGAGCAGTAAGAGTAATGTAATATTATGTTGACATTGAGTCAACATGAGAAAAGGGAAAATAAAATAAAAGAAATGCTCTTTTCTGTCTTTAAGGTTGTTTTTTATTATATCTTTGATAATGCTTTAGAAAAACCCATTCTTTAGGCCTTATGAATACATCACCAAGGCTTTATATCAATCCTTTTAAGTGATTTTAAGTATTTACAACAGCTAATAGCAATGTGTTATAATCAGTGAGCATAATACCCTATGAAGGTATTATTTGAAAACAATTTTCAGTTTTCTATGATTCTCAGGCAGTATGTTGTGAATGTAAGTCAAATGACAAACAAGAATATTTCATAACTTTAACACATCTTTAAAATAAAACATATTTCTTGTTGCATTAAGGTTCAATACAGTATAATCTATACACCATAAAGCATTATTCTCACTGCTTATAACGTTTCATAAACATTGCTCTGAGCTGTTATGAATTCTTGCAATTACTCATGAGGGTTGTTATGAAGCCATATAGATGTATTTATAAGGCTGTATAAATTTGCTTATAATGGGTTATAAAATGTGGATCCATGTGAAGTGTGACCAAATCTTTTTATGTTTGTCATTAAACTGTGACTTTTTTACAGACCCTCCCACTCTCAACAAGAACTTCATTTCCATCCTCTCTTTCCTCTCGTGTCATCTCTCTCCTCTTCTTCGTCAGGAGGTGATAAGCCAACACACTTCCCACCACCAAAAGACTGAGAGCAAGAATAACAAATCCCAGTGACAGCAGGTGAGAGGTTCCCTCTATAGACTGGTTCAGTTGGTCCCACAGCCCCACGGCAAGACAACTGAAGCCAATGAGAGTCCCCCAGAAACCAAAGGCCAGCATGCACGACCCACAAGACAGCTCAGTCCCGCCAGTCACCACGGTGATGCCCGCCAGTGAAACGACACCTCCTGGTAAAGTCACTGTGTTAGATTTAGGGTCGTAGGTGACAGTTGCCGGGGCATCTGATAGAGCTGAGGGATCGAGTGTCTCCATCTTGGTCGCCATTGTTGGTTTTATAGCCTCTGGATGATCAAAAGGGGTTTGACATTCACTTTCTTCTTTGTCACTCCTACAACAGTACACAAAGTTCAGTTTTTATTTCCTCTTACGAAGTTACACAACTAAGAATTGATTGGGTTGTTTACAGTTTGAAGTGTTTACTATCTTTGGCAACCTTTAATCGATTGGTCATCTGGGTTAACCTGTGATAATTATGATAATAATAAAATCCTTTAAATTTAGAAAAGTGTATACAGCTCCTTGGGTAATTACTTGTGTAAGATACAAAGCAAGTGATTCAATATACTAGATTCCAGAGGATATGAGAGAGAAGGATGGTTGCCAACATCGTAAAATCAGGCAGATCTATGTGTTATTGAGAATGAAAGCACTGTTATTGATTCAGTGATAAATTTGAGTATTTCTTACCTCAGTGCTGAACCCGGAGCTTGGACATCAGTGGAAATGGCGTAAAGAAAAGGTCATTAAAACGTAAAAATGTCCTTTAATTTTCTGACTAAGTGAAGGCGAAAAAGTGCTGCTGACTTTCTCTTAGCCACGGTTGGTGAAGAAATGGGAACAGGCTGCTCAAGAGCTGGTACCTTTATCAGACACGTCACAACATGAGGCCTCACAAGATGGTGGACTCAATTGTCAGGACTGTTGTCATGGTTTGTTTGTTAGTTCCCCTCTTTCCTTGTGTTCAGAAGGAAGCTCTTGTCTGTCATTAAGCCTCATTATAACCCATTACCAGATATTTATCTAGGAGCTACTCCCTTCCTCTTTCCCTCTCTCCTTCAGCCTTAAGTTTGGACTTGTCCCCACCAAAGTGTTGTTTTGGCTGCGAGTGGATTTTTCTTTTTCAGAGTATTTTCCTGTTTGAGGGTCCAATGACACTGAGAGTGAAGTGAAAATTTGATCAGGAACGCCCTCACTTCTAAAACTATTGGACTGTTTAGTGACATTTTATTTTTGTTTAGTTTGGAGGACGGATCCAGAGTTTGTCCCTGTTGTTAAAGAATCATGTTGCTAAAATGTTAGTTATAGCACACAGTTAAAAAGACTTAAATTATCATTAACTTTATTTTGTTTGAGCATTTATCTCATAGTTTCAATGGATTGTCTTTTATTGAGCTATTTTGGTGCTCTTATTTTTGTATCTTTAGTATCATTTTTATTTATCATTTCTTCAGTTTCATTTTACGTCACTTTGTCTTTAGATTTTATCCCAGCCTCCAGTGTTTCCTCATCTTGAATTTTAATATGGTGTTTCCTCAGTGCACATATTTCATTTTTTATTAAAAAGCTCTTTTTAAGTTAATGCGTTTTAAAACTTGCTTCTGTTGTGCTTGGATTCTGGGACGAGGATTCTGGGACGGAGATTGGGTGGGGAAGAGTCAGGTATTCTTTCTTCTTTTTTCTTCTTCTGTGTAAAACACCTAGCGCTACATTGCCTTTTATGAAAAGTGTTGTAAAAATAAAGATTGTATGATTGAATGAATGAATTACAATCAAGATCTTTGGACTCTCATTCCCTTACATGGATGACTTGGCCTGGTTTTATTTGTTTACACTGAGTGGGGCAGATTTGCAGTATATATGTCAGGATGATGTGGCGTTGGCTTCTAGGTTGACGTTTGAACACAGGAGAGATTTATTCAGCCACTTAATAGGCTATCATGCTGCCCTGCCAACTGGGATGCTGCCAGGAGTTGATTGGTGACTTAAGAGCAGCTTTTCTGAGTGGTGACTTCTATTTGCAAACCCCCACTTGTTGCTGCGCTGCTTCACACTTTACTACCAGTGAAAATAATGAACATATGATGCAAGGCGAAGTGATAGCTGCTGTAAAGAACTGATAATTTATTGTTTTCATTTTACTCCCTGGATGTCATTAATATGCTTTAATGCTCCAGACTGTGCTCAGATATCCTGGTTATATGACTTCTCAATTCTGCAACAAGCAGAAAAACATTCTCCAAGGGACAACAAATCCTTGCTTGCCCCAGCTCTAGCAATTAGTTGAGCCCGGAGTGTAGGTCATATGTCAAGGATTCTTTTGTGGAGAGGAGGGGCTAATTCTATTGGCTATGACTTTCCCAGGATGAAGATGATGCTAATTGGCTAAGTGTTGGATTGGGTGGGACAGGGCGGGGCATTCGTAATCCAATAGATTGACTCATTGGGCATATTTATGGAACAAAGACAACCCTGGTGCACAGACAGGACATGGATGTAATCATATGCTGTAACCAACAGCACGTACATGAGAAATACTTTGAACGCTCTTATCATACATCCTTCTTTCCTCTGCTTCACTGCACACATCCTTATGCACAGAAAATCCGTACACCCCTCACCCTGCATGCTAATGGTGAAACAACAGTTAAGACAATCAAGATAATACTTTAAGTCAAGCAGACACAAAGACATCCCTCATGACTTAAATGTGTCTGTCCAAGTACCATGAAGGTAATTTGATGGGCCAATTACTTGGGTTTATTGGGTGATGGCAGGTGACAATAGGTGGAGAAAAAAACAAGAGAAAGAACCAAAGGATTAGGGCTGTGTGACAAGAAGTGGGGGAAGATAAAATAAAGCAGGAAAAACAGAAAGCAAAGTCATGACTTTGCATGTCTGTATGAGTTGGTTTGTTAATCAGAGACTTAAGTTAATTCGATAGTCCAAGACGCCGTCAAGCCAGAAAAAAAGAAGAAAATTTAAAGAGCCTGACTTGACTTTTCTTGAAAACAAATAGGCCTTAATATAACAGATTTGACAGGAAGGAGGTCATGCAACAAGAAGACTGACAGTAAAGATGATGCCAGGGGGCATGCTGTCGGTGGGATTGAAGGTTGAGGTGGGTGGGAGCAGGAAGTTTAACGACCTGGACAGATGGTAGACTGGAATTAGATGTCAGTGGTCAACTAAACCCATTGAAAGGCCAGTACTGAAATAGCAAGGGTACTGGTGGAGAAGCTAATGCTAGCCTTTGAAACACATGTAGAGCCACTTTCCAAGAAGTATGTCTACTAATCTGTCAAAATGATGTTTGGGTTGTTATGATTGATTAGCCTTCATACTCATCATTTAAGTCAGGGGGCTGTGCTGAAAGATATAAGAGTAAAGCACTTTACCAAAGCTGATGGAATAGAATTGAATTATTAGTTAATTATGAAAGATACACTTCCACAGCACGTCATAATTTCAATTATTCAACAGATGAGTTACGCCAGCGTGGTCATACTTTGTGATCTGTCTGTTCTTCATAACCCAATAGAGGAAATTAGTATTGGGGGTTCATTTTAGTCTAAAGCTCAGCCACCTTAAATCCCGCATTAACAGAATTACCCCGGTCATCCTTTGTAGGAGTGTGTTTTGCCCAGCCTCCTTATCCTTCACAGTCTCACCGCCCAGATTCAATTCTCCAGCCTTCATCTGCCCTTGCAGCACACAGGTGAGTCGTCCTGACACTCTTGGTCATCCTGACAATGTGATTTACTTTGCAATATCAACTAATTGTCACAAATGAACTCCTCCATGTGTGTAACTTTACTCTTTTCTCTAATCGCTTACAGGATCCTGTCTGGCACAAACAGAGGAGATCAAACTGGTGACCACATATTTTGATCAAAGGGGAAGCGCAGGTGGCACAAGAGAAGAAAAAAACTCAGGTGGCAAATATTTGCCAGTGGGTTAGCCAGAACTGACGTACTGCTAAGACACTTAGAGAAACTACAATGGGAAATACCACCAGTAGCGCACTATCAAAGGAGATCCTTGAGGACCTGAAGCTCAGCACTAAATTCACTGAAAACGAGATCAGCCAGTGGTACGAAAACTTCCAGAAGCAGTGCCCAACAGGCCGCATTTCACCAGAAGAGTTTGAGCAGATTTACACACGCTTCTTTCCAGACAGCGATGCCAAAAGCTATGCACGACATGTGTTTCGCTCCTTCGACACCAATGACGACGGCACACTGGACTTCAAGGAGTACATCATTGCACTCCACATGACCTCTACTGGGAAGACCACCCGAAAACTGGAGTGGGCCTTCTCGCTGTTTGATGTAGACAAGAACGGATACATCAACAAGACAGAAGTGACGGAGATCTGCCAGGTGAGGAGGGAGTGTGCAGTGGTGTGGAGGGTAGTGGTGAAAATGATGAAAGGATGAGGTGTTGTGTTGAGGCAGAAAGCCCATCGTAATATTTACAATACTGGAATTATTTATCATGTGCTAAACATTCATCTTTCTCAGTCAGAGATTCATCTGTAAACACAAAACTTTTCTGATGAGTGCGTTACCAAAGTGTTGACAAGGTGAATCAAAGAAGACTGTTTGTTTCAACCTTTATGATCACCTTTTTTGCTGCTGGAGCTGTTATGCTGCTCATATTCCTCCGAGAAAAGCTCTATAGTACTTTGTCAAAGCTTCAACTGGAAAAGACAAAATAATAGGATTACTTGACATCACCAATCCACTCAGATTGTGATTAAGCGAGTGCTACTTTTCTGTCATAATTGTGCTAATTCTTGAATTTGTGGTCATTTTTGAAATATTAAGTGAACTTTTAAGTCATTTTTGAGGCAGATGTTTGGAGCATTAGGAAACCCCCCATAAGGTTTTCCTGGTAGTTTGCTCACCTCCTCCTCAGTCATTACTAAAAAGCAAGCGGCTGTGTTATGTAAAGCTGTCGTCCCCTCTACTGGTATCTAGGTCTGGCTGCTAATTGGAGTCACAATTAGCAAGTCTATCTGAGCCTTGACCTCCTGATAATCTGTGTGATAACAGGTTTAGCTCTTAGACAATACAGGCAGTGACACACACTCTTGAGCAAGTCTGCCTTTTTTATTTTCTTTTTCAGCAGGAGGAGCTGCTCATCTTTTTTTTTTTAAAGTTAAATCCATGTTTCCATGAGTCATCTGGCTGCAGCTAAACAGTTAGTTTGATTTGTGCTAATTTCTGTCTTTTTGTCACATGATCAAAACTCAGGCTGATGCAGTGTCTGTAGTTTCTTATCTTTTTGCTTCATGCTCGGTGATATTGTATTGTAAGAGGGTTAAACAGATCAGCTCAGCATTCAGCCGGCATCATAATGGGATTTAAATCCTGGCCAACTGGTCTTTGTTCATATCCACCATGTTTGCTGTCGCTGCACAAAGTGGCTCCATTTGAAAGCCAAGAGGTCAACAACAAATGATTCAAATCAGACATAGTGGAGGGAGAAAGATAAAAACCTGATGTTGTACATTAACAAAACATCAGTCTGACCAAAAAGTGAGTTTGAAACGAGAAACAAGCGGGTGGAGAAAAGGAGGTTGTGTTATGTGCTGCAGCCCCATGCTGGTTTTCTGTAAGGAGCATGTGCTAACTGTGCGTCTTTTGAGTTTCCACATCTGCATGCAGCTACTTAATCTACTTTTCATAAACAATCTGTAACTAATTTTCCTCTCAGAGCTCACTCTGTAAACTCTATAACCCACCAGATCAGAGAGAGGCCAAGATGGAGGGACAGCACAGGCAGGCATAGAGGAAGGAGAAGCCATCTTGGTGTTTGGCTTGAGGCCTGAGTCCTGGTTCTAATCCATGTTAATCTAGGTGTCTTAAATGTGGGAGATGAGTGCTTCCTCTGTAAGTGGGACACACTTAAAGACCTGAACCCAAAGTGCACAGTCATTTACAATCTGTTTGATTCCAAGTGGCCCATTGAAGATTAACTCTCCCTGCACATTCAAGCCTGTGTGCCATTTTTCAGTCCCGGGTTGCTGAATTATTCATCATGACACAACCTAACCTGTTAATCTTTAATTCGGATTGCTCAGTCTTTAATTGTGATGACAAAGCTCTGAAGGAGTGCTCGTGTGGCTGCATTTACCTTCCAGATCCGCTTGGCACTTTTATGTGAGTGATTTAGTTGCAGGCTCCTACTCTAAATTTACTACATTCATCCAAGCTCTATGTTGTGTTGCTTCATAAAAAACCTCTACACACTAATCACTAATGGACTTGTATGTGAATTAGTGACTGGCTCACATTAAGAAAATAAACTATGAGCTTACAAAGTTGTCCTCCTTTAGATTAACTGTGTCTTGGTTTACATTTTCTGTATGTGCCACATTGATGTTCCATACATTATTATGTGTGACAGAAATGATGCAGCATCACCACTTATCTTATCCCCTCCCACTCCCCTCCCAGGCCATATTCAAGCTGATCCCCAAGGAGGAGCAAAGCAAACTACCGGAGGATGAGAACACACCCGAGAAGAGAGCCAACAAGCTGTGGTCTTACTTTGAGAAGAAAGACAACGGTGAGGAAAACAACACACGTAACACACATGACACACATGTGTGAACAGGCTGTGCCCTGCGGTGCATGACAGGGCAATAGGTTCTTACCCCTGTGTACTTATGTCAGAGGGAGATAAAGTCAGTATAAGCTCTCTCTCTCTACCTTTCCTCAGCAGCTGTTCTTACATCCTTCAGCCAAGATTACATTTCACAATCAGCTGTTTTGGGCTTAATAACAATACAAGCATTAAATCCACCTGAAGCGGCATCCCCAGTTACAGCATCACTGTTTGTCGTGACATCTAGCTTTGTTATGTATGTAGCAGCAATGAAACCTTGGGTAACTCTCCTGCATCGCATGCCACTCTTACACTCGAACACCCACATGGGAGATAAGAGAGGATTTCCGAGATAATAGTCATCAACCTCATCTTCTGGATGACTGATTTATCATCTTTCTTCCCACTGTAACATGTCTCCTTTTCTATTTTCCTTCACAGAGCGATTGGCTGAAGGAGAGTTCATCAAAGGAGTGATTGAAAATGAGAATGCAATGCGACTCATCCACTATGAACCACTCAAGCAATAAAGTCAATCCTGTTTTATCCCCCACTCCTTTTTTCTCTCATTAGACTCTTTTCTCTCTCTTAACCAGCTGTTTTTCTTCGCTCCCTCTCTTCTAATCCACTCCCCCTTCTGTGTAAATACTCCTTTCTGCAGAATATTGGTTGAAGCTATTGTTAATCTAATGTTTGTTAATAAATTTATATCAAATAGAGGTTTAGAGAGGCTAATATTTCAGCAGTGTTTTAAATGTGTGCAGCTACAAGCAAGGACAGTATAGCGGTGACTGTATTAAGGCAGTAAATACAATATATGTATCAGGAGTTTAAATGATAAATACTGTCATTAACCACCTTTGGAAACATCGGAAGAAATGTATAACAACCAGGAAGTACTACAACAGTTGTTTGAGTTTAAAGTGTTTGTTTTTTTACAGACTTGTAAATTCCTTAATAGAGTTTGTAGCTCACAAGTGTTCAACTTTATTTACTTTACAATAAATAAAAGGATTTCTAATACATCTGTGCTTTGAAAATCCATTCTTTTATGATTCCCAAAATAAGAAGAAACATGCGTTTGACCCAAAAACATACTTAATAATATAATGCTAAAAAAAATGGCTGCTGTTGCTGGTAATGTTTCGATTGTGTTTATCCCTGACGGTAAATCCAGGATTATCCCAAATGTTGAACCTACAGGCAGTTAGGGTAAACGCATAATACACCAATTTTTTGCTGAAAGAAATTACTTATTTAAAAGAGATAAGTTTGATTTAATAAATTACAGTCTATAACATCAAATGGTTGTTTCCCTGAAACTTTCGCGCGCTGTCTCTAAATGTGGACAGCCTGTGGGTGTGCTCCTCGCTCCCCCACTCCAACCTCTCCATCCACATGGCTGCAGTCTCTCCTCACCCTTATTCCTCCTCCTTCCCATCCAACTCGGGATTACTGGTTTACACATAATCTTCTGTTCAACATCAGAGAGCAGACTTTTCAAAATCTCTGTAATCTTTCTTTCTCTATGTGTCTATCTTATGGGTTTGTCTCCGCATCTGCAGAGAGAGACGCTGTTTGTTGAAGATCAGGTTTTGATTTGATTTGAAATGCTGTCAGTGTCAGAATGCCGACACAAGACAGATAAGATTTGGATAGTGGAAACATGATGATTGTTCTGCTGAGATAAATGAAAGTACATCTTGATTTTTTCTCTAAAGGGACAGGCTGTTCAGGCAAAAACATCCTTCCTGTCTATGTAATTAAACGGTTGTTGCAATGTAATGCCTACATAATACAGGTATATAAAGGTAAATATTCATTTACAAGAAGAGATTATTGTTTAAAACCATGAGGCACTGAGAAACACCCACACAACGAGCAGTCTTGCATGTGAGTGTGATCTCTACGTACATCGTAGTCCTTAGCTGTGATATGTGTGGATTTCACCGGACCTCCAGTGTGATAAGCTGCTCCCAAATTCAGTGAAAGTGAAGTCACTGAAAGAGGAAAAAAAGAAGAAAATGACCTGATTGCTCCCATGATCCTTCCCCTAGAGGATGAAAATGTCTTCCCTTTAAAGTTTTTCTCCTTTCTGGATAAAGATGATCCCCTAACAAGGTGAGTCAACCCGGTCCATGGCCTCCTCCATCTCGTCCATCTCCCTCTCACAGTCTTCACATCCTTCTGGCCCACAGCCTCCCACTAAAACCAGTGTTGGTACATCCCCATTTCCCACTCCAACCATGCTTCCATTCGGGGCCCACGCCACATCGATCATACCCTCTGGACACTGCAAAAGGCCGCTCACAGAGTAAAGCCCACCTCCTGGAACCACCTCGTCATAAGCCGGAGCGTGAGTGGCGGCTCTTGCTTCCTCCAAACGCAGCCTCTGTCTGCGGCGGAGCTCGATGATGGTTTTTGTGTAGGAGTTGAGTGTGACCACGGCAGCACCCATACAGCAACTGAAGGACACCCAGGCAAGACTAGGAGGAGGCAGAAGAGAGGCATCATCATACATTTTCTTTCTCTGTTATTGTGTAGAAGCTTGACTAACACAGGTTTGTACACCCTGAAGAGGAGCCACCTACGCAAATGACCAGCCGTAGTCCCAAGACTGAGGCCTCCAGTCTTTCGGTCCCACAATGACTGTCATCTGAAATACTGTGGTGTACATCATGTGGGCCACCATCCCAAGTAAACCTACATGAAGAATGAAATGAACAAAAAACAGTTTAGTTTAACAAAAACTAGACAACAGGATCATTTCTTCAAAGCTGGTTGTGTTTTTAATTGAAGGAAAGTCTTTTTTTTGTTTACCTGATAACACAGTACAGATGGCTGCATAGGCATTGATTTTTAGCGAGTGCATCTCTTTATGCGAGCACAAGACTTCCAACCACATGAGTAAGAAGCCCATCCCAAGCAGGCCAATGTATGTAAACTCTGAAACCACTGACAGCCAGAGAACTCCTGCAGCAGACACAAACACACAAGAACATTTAAAAGCAAACTCAAAATGTACCTTATTAGTCTTGCTTTTAATTAAATTTGATATCATTAACTTTGTTGAAGTGTTTTAGCATTTATCTCTTTTTAGTTATGACAGGATCGTCTTTTATTTGGTGCTCTTATTTCAGTATCTTTCACTGTTGTTTTTATTTCATTCTACATCATTTTTGTATGAAAAGTGCTATACAAATAAAGACTGATTGATTGATTGATTGATATGTAAAAACTCTGTACGCCAGAAATGATCTTTTAATGATTTTAGAGTGGTGCACAACTCACCTTGTGTCTCCCCAGGTGCTAGATCTATAAAACTTCGACATTTCTCTCCTGTGGACACAATGGACAGATATTGTGATTCACCAGAATACATCCATCCTAGTACAACTGTAACTGTGAGCAGCTGTGTGTAATTGTGATTGTGCTTTGTGGTCTCACCGTCGTTGTGCTTCTCACAGCTTTCCCAGAATCCTGTGTGGAAGTATCTGAAAGCAAACTTGTCTTCTCCGGTTTCCCAGATGTAGTGCACCGCGTTGGCCAGCTGCCTCTGTCTGATTTTGGCCAGCTCGTCCCTCCTGGCGGGAGATAGGGTGCGGTTGAAGGGGTTCTGAGTGGGACTCTCTGTGTGACAATGAGATATGGATAACAGAGATGGTAGCAGGATCATTTTGACACCACTGACGGCACAGACTCCAATGTCATCATGCTCACAAATCCAGACTTGAATTTATCCAAATGTGTCACTACCAATCACAGCACTTTCTGTGAAGTTTCAGCTTTAACAACTAATCTATGAAAATCTCAAATGTGCAGCAAATGCATGAACAGCTGAGTTAACATCAAAACACATTTGAGAGACCCAAGAGTTCAGGGAGATGCAAAAGTAATAAAAACAGTAATAAAAACCAAACACACTACATGCATGTGTGTGTCAGCACAGAATTGCTAGAGTTCTAGTGAAAGGGATTGAAAAAGCAACTACTTCCCAACCCATTTGTGTTTGTCAATCTGAATTTGGAACATACGGAAAAGTTAATTTAGCCACAGTAAAGTTGGATCCCTCTGGACAAGTACTAAAGGTCCACGTAGAGATCAAAGAGGAGTCCTCTATTCGGGGGAGAGCTGTTAATCTCAGTGTGGATTAAGTGTATCTGTTGAGAAATTAAAACCAGGCAGCAGGCAATGTAACCCTCTCCTCAGAGGGGGAATAAACCTTTGGTAGGGACTCTCACACCCCACAGATTAATACTGAGCCAAAAGCAAGTTCACTCCAGGACTAAGGTATGGGCAAAAAGGGATTAAAAACACAAAGACCAAGGACAATCAGTTACTAGCAGGTGGAGAAGCCTGTCATATCATCCAGCCAGATTATTTTTAGGCATTGGTTTTACACAGCGTCACAGTTCAAAAATAAAAGATAATAAGTACTTTTGTAACGAGGTTCAGAAGTCAAGGCCAAAGTTAAGCTGGAAAACAACAAGTGAATATTTGATGAAACAGTAAATGCAAATGACCTATCGGCAGGCCTCAAACGAGGACATGTAACCTGATATAATAGCATCAGTTTTGTCCGATACACCTCACCATTGTTTGGATTTACCTCAATCAGTCTCAAGGTCATTTCTTGATTTTAAAATGGACCGTATTTGTTCATTCTTTATGACCTGAATGACTTAAAGGTGTAGAAATCTCATATAAATTCTGCAGCAGAAATCCAATAACAGCAAATTCAACCACAAGTGTTTATTTTTACCACGGACTGGCTCACACTGTTATCCGTCACTGCTGGCAGCATTAATGGAAGAATCTTCATTAAAAAAAACTTGTTTTGCAAAATCCTTTTCTTCACCAGAAACAGCAGAATATCACTCTGCATCAGAGGCTCCAAGCCACCAGACTCTATTTTAATTTACAGAGGGAGGGAGTTACTGGTGAGGAGTTTTCTGATGTTTAAAAAGTAGACTCAAATTCACATTGATGTGTATTTATGAAAATAAAAGCAAACAAGATTATTAGCGCCTCGGTTCGCCTCGACTGATGGTTGGTATACCTCAAACCTGTGTTAGGTGTTTGCTCAGCAGCTCAAGAAACAGCCCTGTTTTTGCTAATTCTACTTCAATAATTCACAATGAATGACATATTTTTCTGCCAAAAGACAGAGGGTTGAGATTTTTGTAAAATCATGCATGCAGAGGATACGATGAGTAAAGACTGCCTTGTCCACAGGGGGGCGCCAGAATGAATACAAAGCAAAAGTTCTCTACAAGAGCTTTAACTGAAACACACTGACAAGACAACTCTCAGCAAAGCTAATATTTTAGGAGTCTATGAATTTAGCAATATATCATCTGTTTCCTGTGTAAAACAAACAAGTTAACCCCAACAAAATGATCTCTGTAGGGACTGATTCTGTGATACTGGTTGATTCTTCAAATTAGAATCTGAGTTTGTAAAATTGCTGCCAAAACAAATGCATATCCAATCTGTGGAAGATTTTCTAAACTTTTTGTACTTCTTAGGCATGAAGAAAGGTAGAAAGAATGAACAGTATATTATTCACGATTCACAGGGAAGAATTTGTTTTTCTCTATGCACAAAGTCTCATTCTACCTCATTCTTTAAGTCTACCTAATGCAACATCATTTATATACTGTATATAGACATTAAAGTCTGCTGATGTAGACTAAGAGCTAAAAACTCTGAACTAGACCTTCAGTCATATCTATTTTTTTCCAAACAACTTCGACTTTGTCATTTTTTTTAAAAAGCGCACAAATGATACAAAGACAAAAGTGATTGTTGCTTTACAGAGACAAAGTTCCTGGCCTGACAAGGGCCAGAGTGTGTGCAGGTTACTTATTTTAAATCACGCACATGTAGGTTTTAAAGACATACTCTAAAGGTCAATTGTTGAATCAATATTACCTGTAGCTGTAAGTATGAATAGAGGGTGTTTTTGTATTTTAACGCTGTGACTGACTGGCAGCCTGTTCAAGGTTTACAGTTTACTGTTGATTTGAGAAATGGAAACATCTAGGCCCATCTATTCCCATACCTAAAAGGAGGAAGCTGCTATGGAAGGTAAAGGTAAAGGTGAAGTTCAGCTCAAAAAGTGAATATTTAGCTAAAGAAACCACAGTTTAGCTGCATGTCAAGAGAGATTAAACACAATAGCTGTACCTGTGGTGTAAGGCTCGCTGTTGTTCTGACCACAGTTCTTCATTTTGACAGGCGACAGGCAGAGCGGCTTCACCACCTTGTGTGTTCCCTCACACCAATAAGAGGTGCAGAGAGCCAGGATGGACAGGGCCAGAGCCAGAGTGGTCAAAGTCAGAGACAGCAGGGAGCGAGAGCGACGGGACATACTCTCCAGCATGGCCAGGCAGGAGACGATGGAGGCAGGGGGAGGCCAGAGACAGAGACACAGAGAGCGTGTAGGGACAGAGGTTAGGCAAAGAGAGGGGCAAAGAGCACGTGTGGATGGGACAAACAGGACAGAAGGTCTGAGAGCCGTCACAGATGGGGCAGAGAGGGCAGAACAGATGCTTTGGGGAGGTTTTAAGGGGCGATGAGCTGCCAGGTTGAAATAGAAAACAAAGATAAAAGTGACGTAACTGTGCTAGATGAAGATGACTAAACACATCTGACAAAGCAATGCTGTAATGCAGTGTGATTGAAACAGAGATAAATGGAGTGAGAGAAGAGGGAGAGTTTAGGACAAGATGCTCTGAAGTTGATACACGTGGGAAAATAAAATAAGAGCACATGGAATTTAAAAATGAACAAAAAGAGGAGACTCAGGTGGGTGATGGTTGACGCTGGGAGGGAAGGTATGCTGGCCAATCAGTCTCAGGGTGATATCCTGCTGTCATCCCTATGGTGAATGGTGTAGCCAGACACAAACCCTCGGTGTGCGTTCTTAGAGCGGTTTGGCTACACAGGAACCACATGAGGTCTTTTAAAAATACCTGAATTTTTCTGTGAGAGCTGCATATCTGAGAGGGAGATGGAGGACATCCTTAAACTGGTGAGTAGGACACACAAAGGTGAAAACCAGTGTCCATAAGGTCAAATCGAACTCTTTTTTTTAAAGGTTTTGTAAGTCGAGTGGAGTCATAAAACTTCCTGAAGTCCTCCAGCTATGTGTAAAAAAAGGGGGGGCAAGAAAAAATGAAGACATGCATGCTGTCCCGTGAACAAGGCGAATAACTCCCTGCTTCCTAAACAACACACTCAGGCCTGACCCCGCACATCACGAGCTCTGCTGCTGGACCCTCTGCAGGAGACAAACTGGAGATGAAAGCAAAAACAAGAGATTACTCCTCTGATGAAATTATGGATAGAACACAAAACCAATGCAATGTTTTATGCACATAATCCCTGATAATCTGCTTTCATCTGTTTGTGTTAGGTGAGTTGTAGTGTGAAGTGCATCCTGACCATGTCTGCTGTCTGCCACACTTTCTGTCACACGCTCTCATGCTGTGTCAGCCGACAGCCCCTAAAATACAACAGAGCTCCGATAAAGTAAGTGGAACTAGCTCAATCCCTAATCATGGGAGCAGATCACAGGTGATCTCTGCCGTTTGGGTGTAAAATACATTAGGAGACAACTCTGGAGAAGGGAATGAGTAAGAGCTAATATATGTGTTGAGCGAAACTACGGATGCGACTTAATGTCAGAATCATCACAGTGAAGTAAGACAGAAATAAATATCTACATTTCTAAACATACTGTTTTAATACGATGTGAATTTTTACAAATCAAGAACATTTTCTTTCTCAATCCAGGAAATATTTCTCCACCTCACTGTCAATGATAATATATAAAACACATCCAGCATAATAAAAACCTGACCTAAAAAACCTACATTTTGATCAAACATACTTTTTGAAATCAGTATCAAAATAATAAAATTGCAAAATATATTTTGTTTGAAAGTAAAAAAAAATAAAAAAATCAGTTCATGATAATATGAGAGGAGAAATTTCTCATCTAAAATGAACTGGAATAAGCAACCGCTATTTTCTCATTGATACAAAATAATCTATAATAAAGTAGAGACTGATTAATTTCCAGAGCAGTATCTAACCATCTCAGCTGTAGTTCTTTCTGTAATAATATCTGATAAGTACCTGTCCAGGTTCTCTTCCTCTTCTCTTGTGGTTCTCCAGGTCAAACACGAAGTCACTGTGACAGAAAAACAACACTTTTCTCCTCCTGCGCTCCTCCAATCTTTCAATCCTGGGTTATCTCTTCCTTCTTCAAGAGCTCTAAATCAAAAAGCTCCTTAAGAACTTGATTTTAGTCGCTCCATCTTGATTCCCCGTGTCATTCCCCTCTTCATCTGTCTCGTCTGAGTCCGTCAGCAGTATGCCTCCCCCTGGATGACCATCAGTGACCCTTACCTTCGCAGCCACTCTCCCTCATTTATTCTCCATCCGGTTGTTAGTCGCAGACACTCGTCCGATGGAGTGGCCGGCTGTCTGTGTCCATGCCACTCTCTACTCTGTTTTCTGTCTTTCTTGGGAATTTATGTCACAAACCCATTCTGAATCGTGTAATCCCTCTAAGTCCATCTGTTCCTGCACTGCCTCCTCTCTTCCTGTGTCTGTCTCTTTTTAGAGGTGGCGCTTCCTCAGCCTCCAAAGACCAAAACTTCCCTTTCAACGGCAGTTTCAGCTCACCTCACAAACTCAACTTTTATCAGTTATTGAATTAATACGCTTAGAGGGTGGAGAAAACTGAACCAAATATAAATCCCCTCCCTCTCCTAAGGATTTGGCTTTACACCCGCGCTGCGTAAAGCCAAATCCTGTGCCCAGTAAGTTAATTGTTTATATTTGGGTGCCAAATCTGGTGCCTTGAAAAACAGAGCGAAGACCTTCACAGAGTCACAAAAATTTATTTACAAAACGTATGTACAGACAATCAGAAAATGGCAAAAACAAACAAACATTAAGTGTATGTTCAGAGAAGAATTTTAAGGGAGAAGGAGTGGTCAAAAATTGTGTATTAGAAGAAAGCAGTTCAACCCCAGGCTTGAGATTTACAGTAATGTAGAACCAATTTGCCATCACTGCCAAAACACTGAAAAAGAGACACAGAAAGGAAACATTTCATCCAAGTTTAATTATTGCGTTTTATTCACTAGATGAAAAACCGTATGAAGGGACATAATCAAAAGGAGACTCTGGACTTTGAGGTCTTTGCAGCTTCTTATTAAGACTTTAATCAGTGACCAAAAACTGCAAAGTGCAGCCTCTCTGTTATTGCGCCCTCTGCTGGTCAACGCTTCACATGACAAATTTGTTTCTATGGCCAAATCCCAATCTGGAGTTCAAAGCCTGACTACTGACTTCAGAGGCAACAAATGAGCGGTGACTTTGAGCGACTAATTTCGCTCAAAGACAAACTTTTGGGTTTTTTTATTTCATCCTGGCCTTGCTTTTTTCTGTATAGTTAGTCCAGTTTTATTGTATTCTTCTTGGTCAAACTTTGTGGAATACTCTTTAGATTAAAAGAATATTTGTTTACATGTTGTGCAAGGCTGGACAAAAATGTTCTTTGCATTGACAAGTTACAAAGTCTGTAGGTATGTGGACACATGAAAACTATTCAACTTGGCCCAGGAAAGGAATCATAAGCATCTATACGCTCAATGAAATTATGCATTTAAGTCTTTGAGAGTGAAAATTGCACAAATGCACTGGGCAGTATGGATTTAGAAAATAAACAGGGTATTTCATGAAAAGATTAAACTAAACCAACATACAGAGTAGTTTGAGAGCGGTGTGTATCTGGTTACAGAGTTAATGTTTTACTAAAAAGACCTCCAAGCTTCAGTATCTATGTGTGTTCAAGTTCAGAGCCCCTTTTTTTTCTTCCTTCCCCGTAACCCTTCTTAACCCCTTCTTGTTGTTAGCGGTGACATGAATAAACTTCTTCCTTGTGCGTTTATGTGCAGCAGTTGTATCTGGACGCATGTTTGACATTTTTGTAGAAGATATTCCTTTTTTTCTACTTCAACTAAGTCTCATTATTGCAGTGAATTGAATATTTTTTATCAAAGGATGATGGTGAATACTCAGAGAAGTTAACTCAAGTCAACTTTCATTGTCATGTTTTGTTAAGCCACCAAATACAACACATTAGAATGTTAATCTACTGTTCTGTTTAAAATCGCTGTGTGATAACAGCCCACTGCAGATACGGCATTGAATGTCTACTTACATCAAAGAGGACTCCTACATCCTGATCAGGTGAAGGGGCAAAAGACTGGTTTACATAAATAAACTGAAAAACAAAAAAGCAGAGAAATGCAGTTAAATTTGAAAAAATAAAAAGGAATAAACAAATAAATGAAGTTCCTTAAAGGGATATCCCAGCGTAAAATTAATTTAGGGTCAAACACACCGTAACACCGAGTTAGACACCCCCTCGAGAGATGAATGTTGCCGACCGCTTTAGTAACAAATGCAGAAAGCAATACAGACAGCCACACGCTAAACCAAAAAGCCACTCTATAGCCACAAATAATGCTCAGAACAGCACCTAACTTCATCAACAGAACATATAGGGTCCCAGCCATAGCACTAGCCACCAAACATCTTTTTTACTTTGCCTAATTTCTTTAAAAAAGCGACCTTACACAACTCACTCTCTCTCTTCCAGCAGCCACTTGTTTGTACAGAGATCTCTGGGTGAATCCATCGACCGCTGCGGGGTGACGCAGCTCAAGGAAGAACATTTATGATCATTTCTTCATGGAAATACAATCAGCCTGAGATGCTAAGGCAGAAGAACTACCGCGTCTGCAGTGCAAAATGATCAATATGATGATTATTAAAGATGTTTGCTGGCTAGTGCTATGGCTGGGACCCTGTATGTACTGTTGATGAAGTTAGGTGCTGTTCTGAGCATTATTTGTGGCTAGGAGTGGCGTTTTGGTTGAGCGTGTGGCTGTCTGTATTGCTATCCTGCAGTCATTACTAAAGTTGGTATAACTAGAGAAGCAAGCGGTCGGCAACATTCATCTCTCGAGGGGGTGTCTAATTCGGTGTTACGGTGTGTTTGACCCTAAATTTATTTTCTGCTGGAATATCCCTTTAAGTACGACAAGCTAGTTAACAAATCTCATCCTTACCAGTTGTTCATTTGCATCAAGTTTGAGGAAGCGAGAGATGAATTGGGACAGAGACTGTACAGTCCTCCCCCTGTCTACTGCCCACTTCTTAGTTTTCATTATAGGAGTGTCTCCAACAGCCTTCAGCAACACATCAACTACAGAAAGAGAGAGAACAGAAAGTGCTGAAACTGCCATTAAGATTTCATCATTATCATCACTATTATCATAATCATCATCATCATTATTATTATTATTATTATTATTATTATTATTATCATTATTTTGTGCAGCAACTACAGTATTGGAGTATGTACCACAGGATTATGTCAGGATAAAGTAAGAAAGGCCAGACTGGAGCTAGTTTTCATCATGGCCCTCATTTCCTCCACAGTGATATATTTCCCTACATATACTACACAACTGAAAGCTTACAAATTGTTTGTTGTACGGTATGCATATAAAATGGTACAGTAAGACTGGCTTAATACTGTGGGCTGTGTGCTGTGAATGTCAAGTTAACAGTCGGCAAACTTTTCTAAAACTCCCAATTTTGAAACACCATATGAGATGACACTTCACAGTTTCAAGCTAATGCTTAGCTTTTTCCTTTGTTTACATGCACTCAACGTGTAGCTGCTACTGACAGTCTAAAGTACATCTAGTATGAATAGAATAAAAACAGTTCCGTGAAGAAAATATAAACGTAATCTCGGAAAAACAAGAATGTTTCCCACATAAACATTAGCTTTGCTTTAGCTTCTCTCCAACCAAGAGGTACCCCATTTCAAAGCTAAACGTTCATTGGCCAAAAGAGATGAAAACAGACTTTCCATTGGCCAGAATTTATGTCAATCGCCCACAAGCCGGAACTGTTACCCTACCAGACTGACAACATTCCTCCTAAACACGCTGAAAATATTCAACAACCCATTGAAATATACGATATGTTTCACCGTCGTACTTTTCTTCTTCTCTTCATTTGTTGACGAGTCGTCTGACGGTGGCTGGGATTCCTCTTTTGGTGTTTCTGTCGGGGACTCTGCATTGTCAGACATCTTCAGATGACTGCTCTTAACGCTATTTGTTCCCACCCACCTAAGCTAGTTGGGCGAGTAGGAACAAAGATAGGCTGCTATTGGCTTAGCGGAACGTCAATCTCTTAAACACATATTCCATTGGTCAATAACCTACTGGACAACTACAGCGTTAGGTAAGGAAATGCAGCTAAACTTGTATTCTTCACAACACACAGATTTTATTGGCTTTTGCAATGACAACTTATACTGTTTATGCAAATTTTGCTTAGAAGTTAGTGCTCTGTGTGCAAAATTGGTAAAAGGTGACATTTCTATTTTTTTACAGTCACGCGGGAGGCGTTCCACAGAAAGTAATTGTTTAACTGGGCAGGTGAACTTTCCACGCTGTAGTTGTACCTGTCACCTTGTCTTCACCCTCTCGACCGGACACTGCAGGCGCTGACAGTAAGTTCATGCTTTCATAATTAAATTATCCAATAATCTGCATGATTTTCGACCTCCTCTGTTGTGCTCAGTCACGATCACAACACATAAAAGTCTCCGCAGGAGTCCTTTCAGCTTGTGAGCGACTCCATCATGAAGCTTCTGATATATAAACACTTTACCGTCTGTTTAGTGAATGTATTTTAACATGACTGTCTCATTTTTCGTTGTGATCTTGCTCATGCAGTGGCAAGCCTCGGCAGGCTCAGCTCGAAGGATGCAGTGCTCCTCCTGTGTGACATGCAGGAGAAGTTCAGACCAAACATCTTCCAGTTCAACAATATTGTCAGCAACGCAGCCAGACTGCTCCAGGTTACAGATCCTCAATAACACACAGATTATCTGAGAGGGATATTCCAGGGTCAAACACACTGTAACACCGAGTTAGACATCCCCTCGAGGGATGAATGTTGCCGGCCGCTCGCTTCTCGAGTTATACCAACTATAGTAACGACCGCAGATAGCAATACACAGTGGTGTGGGGTGACGCAGCCCAAGGAAGAACATTTATGATCATTTCTTCATGGAAATGCAATCAGACTGAGACGCTAAGGCAGAAGAACTACTGTGTCTGCAGTGCAAAATGATTAATATGGTGATTATTACTTCAAGGAAATGATAAATTAATGATCATAAATGTTCTTCCTTGAGCTGTGTCGCCCCACAGCAGTCCATAATGGACTGGCCTGAGGTCTCGCTACGAACAAGCAGCTGCTGGAGGAGAGTGGGTGAGCTGTGGCAAAGTTAAAAAGATGTTTTGGTGACTGGTGCTGTGGCTGGGACCCTATTTGTACTGTTGATGAAGTTAGGTGCTGTTCTGAGCATTATTTGTGGCTATAGAGTGGCGTTTTGGTTGAGGTTTGTGTGTGGTTCCATAGACCACTGTGTATTGCTATCCTGCAGTTATTACATAAGCTGGTATAACTAGAGAAGCAAGCAGTCAGCAACATTCATCTCTCGACAGGTGTCTAACTAGGGTTTACGGTGTGTTTGACCCTTACTTACTTTTAAATCAGCCTTTGTAATTGTTTAGTATAAACATTTGAATGATCTGGTCAAACCTGCCTGCTCTCATTCTTCTCTCAGGCCAGTCGAGTCCTGGGCATCCCCCCAATTGTAACAGAACAGTACCCTAAAGGTTTGGGACCCACAGTACCAGAGCTGGGAGCAGCAGATCTGAAGACTTATGCTAAAACTTCTTTCACCATGATGATAGACGAGGTCAGTAAGGAGCTGGAGGCCCTGGGGAACCCCAAACAAGCTATTCTGTGTGGAATAGAGGCACATGCCTGTATCGCAGTAAGTCCACAACACTGATGATGCTGTATTGAATAATGAAATATTAGCAAAAGCAGAAATATTTATTTGTATAATATTCAAGTAAGATGGAATATAGAGATTGAAGTTGTTCCAAACACTGAGAGTGAGTTCGTTGATATAACAGAGTTTTCTCTGATTTATTGCTTCTCCACAGTGCACAGCTTTTGACCTGCTTGAAAAAGGGATGGAGGTTCATATTGTAGCTGATGCTGTCTCTGCCAGAAGGTATCCCAACATTAAGGCATTGTTCTCACCTGTATTCATTCAATATTTGTTTTTGTGTGCCTGGAAAGAGTTTTCATGTGTGTTTCAATTTCTGCATCCTCCTCCACAGTCAGACGGATCGTCTGTTTGCTCTCTCTCGACTGAAGCAGAGCGGGGCTTTCCTCACCACTACAGAGGCTGTTCTGCTGCAGCTGGTTCAAGATGCTAAACATCCAAAGTTCAAGGAGGTGCTTACTACAGCTGCACTGTCAAATTGCTTTGCTTCTTTTATCACCCCCCAAAAAAGTTGTTTTGTCATTTCCTGAGAGTGCTCCCAAAAATAGTGCAGCAAAAAGATAGCTTTTTTTGTACTTTTTTAAAACTCTTAGTTTGTCTTAGTTTATTTAAATACATATTTAGTTTTTTTAAGTGGGGTTAGATGCGGTACTTGTCAATAGTAAGTGTATTACACATAGCTGGTGCCACCCAGCTCAGTTTATTTGTTGAAAAACAGGTCAGAGAACCAACACTGAGACAACGCCATCAACCTCTGCATACAAGATCAACTCTACCATGTAATTTAGCTGATTCTAAGTCTGACCTGAAGATGAATGTCTGTGTAGGTACTGGCTCTGTTTTCAGTTTGACCAGTGCAGACAATTTTCTAGAAATAGAGAGTGCGCTCTCACCAAAATCAGTGTTGATTGCAGTGTCTTAAAATTAGCTAAATTATATGGTGGAACTGACCCTGTCTGCACCTCCAGTCACTTTTTCAGCACTTAAATACATCCGGTTCAGCCGTTTATTGCTCCTCTAGCCCAAGTTATTTAGCATCTGTCTCTTATTCTGTGTTTTATATTGTGTTTATACCTTTGCATTTATGAACAAGGCTGTACTTCGGTACCGAACTGGCTACTAACATTTGTTTTTTAATTTGTCTGATAGATCCAGAAGCTCATGCTCCACCCATCTCCTGACACCGGCCTCCTCGCCTTCTTCAGCTCCATGTAGAAAACAGTCTGTTCCTCAGATGCTGTACAGAATATCTTTGTTTCTCTGCTGCCTTCAGGCGCTTTATTGAAGTGCTTCAATAAAAGGATGATGCTCCTTTAAACGTGTATCTTGTGCTTTTTCATGTTCATGTTTTGAAAGGTGAATCTTTCATATTGTTGATAATATAATGAAGCCACAGCTTTAGCAAGTTTTTCTCCCAGCTGTAGCAGACCTTAGAGGTGGGATCAGTTCACGGAGGCGGGTGTACAGAGTGATGTCACACAGGGGGAGGAGTAGGTGACGTTATTCTGGTGTAGTCAGAAAGGGAGGGAGGGAGAGAAAAAGGAAGCTCCTCGATAAGTTTTCTGTGTATATTTCTCCAAAGTTACACAAACTTTTAGGAAACAAAGGTGTGAGTGGAGGCCCTGAAGGGATCAACATGCAGAAGAGGGAGATTTGAAGGGAAGGACGGACACCAGCTTGTCTGTAGTTCTGCACAACTGATGACAACATCAAATATTAACACTTTTTAAGGCCTTGGGCCTCGAGTGACTATAGAGAGGTAAGCAAGCCACTTTTCTTCCTGAGGAGATAGAAGCTGGGGGTAGAATTTGTACACTTATACTCTGCCAAGTTTATGCAGTTTTTATGCTTGTATATGTAAAGTTTTCACAGCAGCACAAAGTGTCTGTGTGTGTACTCAGTGGTCGGAAACTGGCGCTGCTTCTGAGTAACAGGAACACAAGTGTTGACAGTGTTGCATGACGGGCAGAGGGGGGATCCATTATCGTTTGTCTCTGTGTTTGAGGTTTTTCAAAGTAAGCAAAAGTGAAAGGTGATGTTGATCCCACACTTCCTCTACTGTTCCCTCAGATCCTGGACGCAGAAACAGGAAGACAATGTCCTCTGAGTTGGACTCCAGTCTCACCAGTATTGACTGGCTGCCTCAGCTGGGAATCAGCAGCTTGCGCTCGGGGAGGGAGAGAGGAGGTGGAGGGGAGAGGGATAAGAAGAAAGACAGAGGGAGGGAGAGAGGAGATTTCCTCCCCTCCGTGCCGGACCCCTCCCCTTCTAACTCAAAGGGGAAACCCCCTCACAGCTACGCTACTCTCATTGCCATGGCAATCGCGGCTGCACCAGAGAGGAAGTTGAGTTTGAATGACATCTACACCTGGATCAGTGACACTTTCCCCTACTATAGCCGGGCAGGTCGAGGATGGAAAGTAAGATTTAATGTAGAGTTACAACACATTATCAGTTTAATGGTAATTTAGTAATAAAGTATCTTTAACTATTTCCATTTCCAGTCAGTTGACTGCTAATTTTCTTCTTTATGTGGCTGTATGTCCTTCACAGAACTCCATTCGACACAATTTGTCCCTAAATAAATGCTTCAGGAAAGTTCCCCGGCCGCAGAACGACCCCGGCAAGGTTCGTTTATACTTTGATACAAAAATCATTAATATGCTTTTGTAGAAGTTTTCATGGGGTGAAAATTGAGAAATGATTGTCTGAAAGAAATTTAAACTCAAAACCCCAGGGTTCCTATTGGACAATGGATGGACCTGCAGATTCAAACCAAGGGAGGGCCCTCAAACGTCCGTATCCAGAGGAGGAGGAGGAGAAGAAGCCGAATGTAAGATGTTCAGACATGAACACTCATTTCATTTTAAAGTTATAAAAACAAAAACCAACCAAAGGTGCTAAAGCACAAATACAAGCTGAGGGAAAAGTTTACAATTTTATTATTCAATGAATTCATCTTGACTTTTCACTCGTTATTGTGTAACTGAACATGTGATTACTCTTATTTCAATCATCATTGTCACTGGGGTTTGAATAGTGAAAACTTGGTGCTTGATATTGAAGGGCCCAGTTACTTTAAACATGCCCCCTTAGCCCCTCTTGTTATTTTGCCATGCAGAAGCTTGTCATGATTGTTTTTAAAAACTAGCATCAGGACACAATAGTTTCTCCCAATTATCTGTAGATTATCATGCCAACACCTGAAAAGAGATAACTTTCTGTGTGTGTTTAGAAACTGGCTCTTGTGATTGTAATATGCTAGAGATAGAAACTAAGACCCGAGGAAACCAAAAAGTATTTTTGTACTTTCAGGATGCATTTTTCATTGTTTCATTTTTTTTTTGCCTTGGGGGTCAAACCGAGGCTCTGAATTTGCTGGGGTGGCATGATGTATTTGTTCACACAGTATTGAATAAATGAATACCCCTTTCTAGACCAACCACTTTACTTTTATGACATATGTTTAGGTATTCAAAAGATATATTTCTGTTTATAATGATATAAATTTCTTAGGTAACTAATATTTCTAATAGTATCAATTGGCTGATTTCCAAATTGTTTATCTTTGCAAAAAAAATTGCAATACCGCACTGTCAGTGTACTCATATGTTGTAAATAAGGATCAATATTTTGCCTTTGACCCTTTAAAAATGTGTCTATTATATGTGTGGAGAACCTTAAGAGAGTTAGTCCTGCCTTTATTAGTTGTTATAGGACATTAGAACCTTTTCCGTCAGCTCATCTCCATGCTGTTTCAGGCTCTTCAAGTAGAGGGGTCGCAGGCAGATAGAGGACCTTCCCCTCATCAGCCACAGCCAGCTTCCCACACAGACCACCAGCTTTTACACACCGAGCCTCTTGGAGCCAATCAGCAACAGTCACCCTGTCCTGCCTCCCTTTCTCCTCCCCCGTGCAAGGTAAAGACACTTCACCACATTCAGGCGACGCTCCGTTTTAAATCATTATTATTTTTGTTAAACAGAAATGCCATTATGTTTTTTTCTACAGCAACCATCACCCTACATGCCAAGCCCCTTGTCCACTCTATCCATCTCTCCATCACCTGCTACTCCACCTGCTGGGCTACCACTAACTGCTCCGATCACCTCCATCAATTCTTTCCCGTCTCCTCATCCTCCTGCCTCAACTTATTCCCTCCCTGCTGCCTCTGCTACACCCCTGTCTGCTTCTCCAGCTGCTCCCTCTTTCTCTGATTCCTCTCTGTCTTTTCCTGCTGTCTCAGGGCCCGTCTCAGTCCCTGTCTTCTCCTGCAGCCCCAGCACAACTCATGCGCCTGTTTCCACTGTATCCGGGCCTCCTCACCCCTCTGTATCTGTCACCTCTGCATCTGTCACTGCCCCACCTGTCGGCCCCCTGAACTCCTCCACGGATCCACTGCTGCGCTTTACCTTTGATGAGCTGAACTTACCAGACTTGTATGCATCTTTCAAGTCTATCTTTAAGACCATGCGGGACCGGGGAGGCTCTCAGTGTAAGTGTTGTTTATGTGCAGGTGTCATAAAATAGATTTTACATGCATACCAGCTCATGAATAATCATTGTCCTTCTTTTCAGCGGAAATTACTCCCCTGACTGCTCTGACCAGTGACACTACTCCTCTACACACTCCAACACTTCTACCTTTATCTCCTCACCCTGCACCTGCTCCACATGCAGCACCTGCACAAGCTGTACCACCTCCACCGCCTGCACACCCTCCTGAGACGGAGCGCAACCCACAATACAGTAAGTCTTAAAGGGATATTCCAGCGTAAAAGTAAATTAAGGGTCAAACACGCCGTAACACGAGTTAAACACCCCCTCGAGAGATGAATGTTGCCGACCGCTTGCTTTTCTAGTTATACTAACTCTAGTAGCAACCGCACAAAAGCAATACACAGCGGTCTTAGAAGCCATAAACAAATTTCAACCAAAACGCCACTCTGTAGCCAAAACTGATGCTCAGAACAGCACCTAACTTCATCAACAGTACATTTTGGGTCCCAGCCACAGCACTAGCCACCAAACATCTTTCTAGCTTTGCCTAATTTCTTTCAAAAGAGACTTAACACAACTCACCTACTCTCTTCCAGCAGCCGCTTGTTTGTAGCGAGACCTCAGGCCAGTCCATTACGGACTGCTGTGGGGTGACACAGCTCAAGGAAGAACATTTATGATCATTTCTTCATGGAAATAAAATCAGACTGAGACGCTACGGCAGAAGATCGTTAATGTGTATTGCTATCCTGCGGTCGTTCCTAAAGTTGGTAAAACTAGAGAAGCAAGCGGCTGGCAACATTCATCTCTCGAGGGGGTGTCTAATTCGATGTTACGGTGTGTTTGACCCTAAATTAATTTTACGCCAGAATATCCCTTTGAATTACCTGATCAACGCTTCTTCACATTTGGAGTACAATATAACCAGCAACATGGCTGCCTTTTAAAGTTCACTTTCTTTCCAGCCGTGCCAGCCGACTGGTTGAGTAACCCAGATTCTTTGAAGGAGAGCTGCCGTATCGCCAGCAACCTCGACTGGGCAAACATAGACCTCTCAGGTCACCCAGGTCTGTGCTTTTAAACCTGTCTAGTGGGGAATCACACTCAAATCACACAAAGGCCTGTTTTTTATATTTACTGCTGTGGCTGCATAAGATGTTGGTGGAAAAACTGGTTTGACAAAAGTTATCAAATGACATGTAGTTATGAAGCCAGTGGTTGTGCAATGGTATGAATAATAATCATGTTAGTCATCATAAATAATCAAAATAAGTGGCTGAAAACCATCGTACTGGATGGTATTATAAACAAGACTACATGCCTTCATGAAAGGTCCCCATAAATGCAGGGGCTCCAGCGCTAGGACTGGCTGCACCACAGATATTTCCACCAGCAGTCTAGATTTTTTGCTTTTCTCATAACAGCAAGCCAACAAACCCTTCCTTTGGCTTTTCTGACTGATATTTTGTCAATAAAAAAAACTGATCTGATCTGTTATGATGGCACAAGGCACTTCTCAGGCGAATAATCCTACAGCAAAGTCCTTTAAGACTCTCTGTCTCTTTTTTCAGACTTGCTGGAGAGCATGCGCCAGGCAGAGCTCTGTGACTGGGCCTTGGACCCAGCGCTCTTCACCTCCCTCTGCGACTCGCTGAACCGCTTCTTCACCCAGAAAGGAATGATCACCTCTGGGAGTAATTCCCCTCTGGCCATTGGTGTGCCTCACCCCCTGCAGGTCCCACCCTTCACCTCCAATCAACCTCCCACCCTCGCTAGCCTCACTCACCCCTCACCTCTCCCCTACTGCGCCATACTCCCTCCTGCCGGCGGAGCACAGCCGCCCAGGAGGCCTCTGCAGGGACAGGGACTTCAAAGACCTCAGCTTACACAACCTGCAAACACGACCGGTGAGGCACTGCAGAAAGAATATGTACAATGTTTTACTTTGACTCCTTAAAGGGATATTCAGGCATAAAATTAATGTAGGGTCAAACACACCGTAACACCGAGTTAGTCCCCCCCTTGAGAGATGAATGTTGCAGACCGCTTGCTTCTCTAGTTATACCAACTTTAGTAACGACCACACGATAGCAATACACAGCGGTCTGAGGAGCCATAAACAAACCTCAACCAAAATGCCACTCTATAGCCACAAATAATGCTCAGAACAGCACCTAACTTCATCAGCAATACACATAGGGTCCTATATGGGCCCTACATTAATTTTACGCGGAAATATCCCTTTAAGGGTAGTTTTTGTCTTAATTCATCGCTAACTTTAAATATTTATTTTAAGCGTTAAACAAGTGTTAAATTTATACATATAGTTTGTTAAAATACATAAATATAAAAAAAAAATCAAGGTGCTGCACACAAATATATAGCGATCAATTCATCATTACATAAAATGCATAAAAATAATATGGGTGGCACTGAAACACAACCAAAGCAACAGCCAAATAAGCTGAACCAAAGTCCTGTCTCTGATTAGACTGATAACTAATCATATATTAAAATTGTAGGGTGGCCAGTAATATTTGAAAGGGGGTCATGCCACCCCTGGAGACCCTGCGGACACACCCCTGCATTCTCATTGCAATAGTAACTTGAGCTGAAATCATTTGTGCAGTCTGAAGAAAATAGTTCTGAAGGGGATTTGGGAAAAATCTTATGAGTAAAAATGCTTTTAAAAAATTTGCAGTCATCAGTAGTTGCATGTTTTAGCAATAATCCACTTTTTTGTACCAACACTCTATGAATGCTATTGCACTCCACAGCTTTAATCTCACATTGCCTTTTCTGTCTCTCAGCTGGTTTGCAGCATCAGTCCATGACCCCACGGCAGCGTCCTCCGCTGAGAAACCTCCACAGCAACAGTGAAGAGATCCAGGATGACTTTGACTGGGACTCTCTGCTCGCTTAACCCTTACTGACAGTGTGGAGAAATGGTTAAATTGAACATTTCAGAGAAACAGGACTCATCATCACGGCTCGTCTGCTCAAAACTCAGCGCAGAAACTCATCTTGAAGCCTCTCTGAGATCGAGTCTGGGATTAAGCTTGTCATTTATAACAGAATGCTGTACTTTTAAGTCTTCACCTTCAGTCAGATTCATATGCTGTAGTATTTTTCATCAATGTATCTTTTTCAGGTTGTTTTTCATGTTAGGTTGTAGAATTACAAACAAGAAAATTAACATATTATTGTCATAAACTGTAAAAGCAGGAGTAAAACAAAGAATGAGTTACATAAAGCAAAAAACAGCGCAAGACGAAACCAGCCAAACACAGATCATGTGTTTTTGTTTTATTTCATAAATTCCTTTTGATTTTTTCCATTTTGCGTTTCAAATGTGAATGTTCACAGTCATCACCACACAAAATTCAACCTGACCCGATAAAAGAGATATTTTTTTCTTGTTGATATAAAATAACAATAAATTCATCAAACTAAATTAAAAGAACAGCATGGAGCATGTTGTCAAGTCCCCGTTTTCTTTTCTTTCATTCATTGAGTAATTGTCTTTTTTTTTTTTAAAGAAGCATCAGTATCAGTCTCCCTCCCTGGACGCACAGAGGGATGAAACACAGGACAATGGTTCTCTGGGAAACCTGTACACCAGGGCTCCCGTATGAAATGTGTGATTGAGCAACAACCAAAAGAAACTAACGCTTCTGATTGATCAAAATATAGGATTGGCAGAGAAATGCGTGACCCTTATAATACCTCATCTGAAATCCCAACATTACATAGTATGATACAAGTGACAATTTTTAAAAACAAAAATATTGGATGTCATTTCTTTCTGTCTGATTCACTGAAATAAGATCGGACACAGGAAATGGAGACAGGTATTAATACATTTACACAGAAACAGGCATTTGCACTATTGCATACTTGCACTCACAAATGAGCATTCTCATTCACACACGCTCGCATTCAACGATACATCCCATCATTTTTCCCCATCGGACCACAGATGTCAGAGCTCTCTACAACAATCAGAAAGAAAAAATAAGCATTTGATTTAAATGGCATCATCGTGGGATTCTTTCTTGTTTATTTGTTCCCAAAAATTGGAAAAAAATAAATTACATTTAACATTAAATTAAATTAAAAGTGAATAAGATGAAATAATTTGACCACATTGTGCCTGTAATGTAATGCAGGTGTTTCAGTCCGTATCTCAGTCTGGAGTTCAGTAAAAATTATCCTTCATGCACTGGTTTCATTTCAGAGATTCAGTGTTTGACTTCATTCTTTAGGGAGAAAAGAGGAAGAGGCAGGACCGACAGTTTCTCTGTTCAGTTTGTTAGTGGCTATAATCCCCTCTCCCTCCATCTGGCTCTCAGTGCAGTCATGTTAGAACAGAGTAGAGTAACACTACTGAAAAAAGCCTCCCACTCTCACAGACTTACCTTCATCTCAAGACAGGACTGAAGAAAAAAACACAACATGACGTACAATACAGAACAAAAGAGAATTAAAACAAAATAAATAGATCTCTATTTCCCACCCACAAACAACCCAAACTGAAATGAAAGGAACTAAAAGTGAAAAATTATTTTGAAATGAAATAATGCTTTTGAAGGAAAAGATAAACATAATTTTTGACTTTTTGTTTTTTTCTTTAAATATAGAGATGTACACATTTTTCTTTTTGGACACAAAATGTGTTGGGGGTGGATGAATAAAGGGGGCAGCAGGTACGACAGAAGAGGTCAAAACAGGTGAGCAAAGTAGTGGTGACACTTCCTCAAAGAAGAAAAGGGTTGGTGCTTGCACCCGTCGTTCCTGCGCCTCCCACTGATCCTCCAGCCCCCATCACTCCTCCTGCTCCGGCAGGCCCACCCAAAATCAGCTGTGGAGGTGCTGCACCTCCCGACCCCAGCAGAGCTGAGCCTGGGGGTGCCATTGGTGAGAGGCTGCTGTAGGGGAGGCCCATGGGGCTGGCCTGCATCATGCCCATCATTCCTGGAGCCCCCATCCCCACTCCCATTGGGCCCATGCCCAGTCCTGGTTGCACCATGCTTAGCATAGGATTGGGAGGCACAGGACTGGAGCGAAGGCCGCTCAGACCCAGTGAAGAGGGCTGAGGTGAGATGGAGGTCAGGGGTGGAGCCACCCCGAAAGGGTTAGAGGAGGCAGGTGTCGGTGAAACCCCCCTACTTGAAATGGTGCTGCCTGGAGTCACCGCCATGCCAGGAGCAGGTGATGAGCCTGGGGGCCGGAAACAAAGAGGCAGAGCTTAAAACAAGAACAGTCATTCGGTGTCTGCTCACTCAAATTTAAAAAAGAAGATTTAACGGTATATGAAATGAACTGACACTAACAGTGATGCCTCATAGTCACCTACAAGGGCAAATGAGACCATCATACTCAAATGAACACCACATGGTTATACTTGACAGCTGCACCAATGTGAGGGTGAAGGTGTCAGACAAGCACACGATAGAAACAGTCTTAGTTTACATTTTCTACTGCAGATATTCACAGTGAGTAACACATTATTATACTGTTAAAAATAGCAGATGAAAAAAGAGACACACATGTACAAGGACAAGATCAGCAAAGAAATAAAAGATACCGCTCCTCACATACTTTCATTAGTTTCAGGTTTACCAGAAATTCTACACAGAAATTACACATGACTGAGAGCTGGAACTGACTGACATGGGAATAAAATCACCACAAAGGCGCTTGTTTGGTTGAGTTGATGCGAGAACACACTGATTCATAAGCCTTATAACTGTTGCACTGCAACCCTGCAGAGTTTTCCAGAATGACCTGTCCGTAATGTCGGTCACTACTAGATATTCATCGTCCCAGAAAGTCTTCAGTCAAGTGTAACTCCAGGACACAGTATCGTTCACTTCAAGGTCATCACAGAGCCTTCAGTTGGTTTTGTCTGCTTTAACACTGTAAACAGACTTCAGTCGACCTCATTTCTCTCATGAGCTGAAGGTGGAATATGACGGTACGAGGTAGGGTTGGTGGAAAAAATTGATTCATGAAATATCCATCACAAAGAAATACTTTGATGGATTGAGAGCCTTGCTAAATTTGACAGTTGCCAAGTGATGCTTTGGGCAGCTTTGGATCTCTGTTCACCGTGCAGCTAGTGGTGCTATAAGCTACTTGATGTCAGGTTCAGAGTATGAGGATGTGTTGTTTACTTCTCTAACAACCACAGGTGGCCGGGACCCTAGTGATCAGGCCCAGGACATGAGGTACTGGCTGGGAGAGTGGTGCGGTTTATGAAAAGGGAGTCAATTTTCAGTCGCTGGAGTATCTCAAAGTTACTTTAAGTAGGTTGGGAGGAATGTTAAAGTTTGCTAATGACTACTAATGAAGCCAGTCACCATCTATCTAACTAATGAATAAAACCAACTTTTTCGATTGTTAATACTGCGGCCAAGAGATTTGATCCAATGGCTGTTTTGTATCGACAGACCTGCACCCCTACAAGTCAACAATGTTCGAGGTTTCTCCATTGGTAGGGAAATTGTGTCAGCTCAGCAGATTTTCCGACCACAGAGCACAGTTTTTTTCTCTAACGACAAAAAGTCAAAGTTCGACCTGAATATTATTGTGTGATCTCAAAAAAATCATAAAACATATGGAAAAAGTTTGATAACACTTTTTTTTGCAAAAGTCGATGCAGAGTCACATGGTTTAAATGTCCTTTTTTCCCCCATTCTGTGTAACCTGAGAGAATGGTTTCAGATCTCATTAACATTCATTTTTATTTAACTTACATAATTTTTGATTAAGTGGACTTTTTTGTGAGCTGGGTGTTCTGGTCAACATGAAGTTGAGAATGTCTCTGAGAAAGTGCAGGTACAGAGTTGATATGATGTCCATAACTCACCTGTGTTTTGTAAGAAGGGGTTATGTGCGGAGGAGGAAGAGATAGAGGGCGGTGGCGGCTGTTTGGGTTTAGGTTTGGATGACACGAGAGAATCCAGGTCTACCAGCGCTGCATTGGGGCCGAGGAAAGACTCTGGAGTTTTACGAACCGGAAGTGATGAACCAAGAGATGACAGGTCAAAGGGCACCGGTGAGCCTGTACTGTCACAGCCCAGTGCCGGGGACCCTCGTCGCTCTGGGTCTCCTGAGGGGGCAGGAACAGAAATATGAAATGAGTCATTCAAAATAAAAACAACAAACAAAACAAAAAAAGGAATACATTACCACACAAATCGAGGGGGGATGAAATGTAAGACCAGACAACTGCTGTGTCCACGAAGCTAAACTTCTGTGTGCATTACTCAGTATGACACCTCCTAAAAGTGTGCACCACTACCTCAGTGACTGTGAGACCATGTAGCCTCAGGTGCGAATGTACCTGTGCCGTTAGTGTGTTGGGCGGTGCCACTCCAGATGTCGGAGGTGATAGGGTCAGAGGCAGGGACAGTCCCGTCCCCTGCCCAAGGGTCTACAGGCCCCCCCGAGGAGGAAGTGCTGGGTGGCACCGGGGGGCCCCAGGGGTCGGCACTGGGGGGGGTCACGGCTACAGGGGAGGGGAGGAGACGCAGGGGAGGGGAGGGTTAACACAACACATTACAGGTACAATCCACAACAAGGAGGGAGCAGGAAACTTGGCTGGGTTCCAACACTGGTGTGTCTCTCCTTGACCTCTGCAGACTCACTCACTCCAAAAGTGACAGGTGAGGATCACCATATTACTTTTTATGTCTTATCTGACGCTCAGTGGAGGTAAAGGAGAGATAATAGAAACTACCTCACACATAATAAAGGCACAAAAGGGCAGAGGAGAAGACAGCGTTGGTTGAGACACAGCCACAGTCAGTCCTGAGTAGAAACAAGAGGATAAAAAATCCCTGATTTAGACACAGAGGGACAATGGATTTAGCATGCTAGCTTTCCTTGTTACAAACTGAAAGCAAGTGAGTTGATGAGCAGACATGGTGACATGACAGGAAATTGAAACAGGGCTGTTCTGACGAGAAGAAATGCAACAGAGTAGTGAAGAGGAATCAGGTATGACCGATGTCTACGTCCTCTTTCATCCACAGAGCTGGACTCACTTCTCCTTCGATACTCAGCCATGAGTACGAGCATCTCCACCCACCTGAGTTCACCTGTGATTGGCCGTGTTTCTGCTTACCTGAACTTGCCCAGGGGTCCACGTTGTTAACTCTGTTGGACGTCTCCCCCCAAGGGTCTGGAGGAGGAGCTATAGTTGGCGGGGCTCCGCCACCCCAGGGATCAGAGCTTGTTGGAGATGTGGGCGAGGCTACCCCCCATGGGTCTGGGGCGGCGGTGGTGCCCCATGGACCTGAGGGGGGAGGGACTGTGGGTGGAGGCGAGGGGCCCGCAGAGCCCACAGTGGTGGTGGCGGCAGCAGGTGCGCCCCAGGGGTCCACAGCACTCAGTTCCATCAAAGCACTCTGCAAGAGAATATGTAATGGGTTTATGTTTCCACGGCTACACTCAGGAGAGTGAATGTATCAAGAGTGTATTAAGCCACAGATGCTCAGGTCAGGTTCTTCACAGTTCTTCAATAAATGGACAGAGGAAGACAAAGATCTGAAGACCAGACAGAGAAACATTTTCTCACAGCTGACTCTAAATACTGATCAGTTATAGGTTTCTGATTATTTGATCTTTATAGATCACAACTCTGAGTTCAGCCGTGACAAAGGCAGCAGTTCAGAGTCACAGACACTCATATTTGGGGTTACTGTTGGAACAGAGTTATCTTTAAATATGACCCACTATAATCTTGAAAAGGTACACTCTGTTATCTGGATTAAATTGGTATTTGAATCATTAGCCAGAACATCAAATATTGATCTAAAAAAGTGTTAAAACACAGGGTGACAGATAACACCCAGCTAGTTGTTGGCTCATTCAATCTCTCTGGTTTTATACATTCAAGAAAAGCGATGCAGTAATCATCCGAAAATCTGTCTGGATGTAAAATCATCTGCATTTCTTTCACAATGGAAATGTCTGTTATTTTATAGAGAACATCTGATGTATTCACTTAAGACTACGATCCTCGGATCTTTTTTTTTTTAGTTGTAAGTTGTTTTTGATTTTATGTTAAATCTGGGTTTTGTGTGATATTCCTAAATGTATTTCATGACACACAGAGGACGTACCTCCTCAGGTTTTGCCTTCTCTCTCTTGCTCTCCTCAATGGCCATCTGCAGTCTCAGGTCATCCCCTCTGCGCAGTCGCTCCTCCTGTCAATCACACACATTGTAAAGTCAGCAACCTGACACACACGTCCTCAGAAAAAACACCACAGGTACAAATTAGGAGGTCCATTATTTACATATCTGGAAGTCTGTCTTATTTCTGCTGATTTTTGCTAATAAAACACAGACAAACTGAGAGCTGTTGCGGCAAAGAGGTTTAGACATGGATGGGATGTGAATCCTACTTTAATCAAAACACTGAGGTTTAAGTGCAGATACCACCACAGCCGCTTTGAAGAGGCAGAGACAGCTGCAGAAGCAGCTGTGGTTACTTTTCTTGTTGTTACACGCTGTCCCTGTGATTACTTCATGGGAACTGCTGATTGAATTTAATCTGAAAGAGCTGCTTCTGGTTCACAAAACTGAAGAAGAAAGTGAAAGTCTTTGGCTTGGCATAGTGGAGTTTCTTTATCATCTAGCCTTTGGGAAAATCTGCCTTAAAACCTTTCCTGCAGATCTTTCAAAAGAAGTCTGCTAACTGCCTCCTGGTCTAGCCTCTTTGTCTCACCTCAGGATCAGAGCACAGCAGCTCATCTTCTAATACTGTAAACACTTTATTCAACTTTTGATGTTTTAAATGTGCTCAAAATAAAAACTGGATTTTGGATTTAGATTATCAAAAAGCAATGGCGACTGAACAGCAGGACACAGACTTGTCCATGAGATAAAACAGATGAAACCAAGCAAGCCCATTTGTAAAAAGGTGGTTTTTTTACGTTTGCATTTGATAAAAGAATACAGAATAATCAGACCATTGCACCACAGACCAAGTCCAGGAATCTCACAAGTCGTATCCAACAAACAAACATGTGTTTCACTCACAGTACATTTAAAGAAAAGACCGACAGCAGAAGATGAACAAGAGGGGAATTAAAGAGTGTATCAGGTCCAGAGTCCAGCTAAAAGCATGCTACCAGAGAAAGAAACATGCAAGGAGGAAAGAGAATCATCACCTGAACACCTTCAGCATAATTCAGTATATTATGATCTATAAATAAAAATGCAATGCCATGCAAATTCAAAAGTTTCATAAGAATTAGTCCGTTCTTTGGGTGCGACCTTTTATTGAATTTTGACACAAATTGGTGAGGATCTTAAAAGCACCTACTTCATCATCTTTCATGGGTGTAAGCACTCTGAAGTGCTTCACCACAGCATACTACAATATCTCAACAGCATTCTGATGCAAATTTTTCTTCAAGAAAATGATCCAAGATTATTTCAAGTTAAGATTAATATACTTGATTGATTGATGCTTGGTGTGCGTCAGAAAAAAATCCAATTGAGAGAAAGACACAGATAGTTGGTGACTGGCTGGCCAGTCTGCCGAGCACACTCCCTGGCCCTGACCTTTTGTTGCGACTCTTTGCTCAGAGTGAGTGCAAAGCGGAGCTCTGCATCCTCCAGAGGGTCCGCGCTAGTCTGGAGAAGGTCAAGTGTCAAATGGTGAAAGAAAAGCTAGGTGTGTGCAGTAAACAACACGACAAACAAACCTTCAAACTTGAGTAATAGTTGTGATTTGAAAGGAAAAAATTCGGCATGTTGACCTCATTGGATTAAAACTGTTATCTATTATAAGTATGCAATACAAAACACGATAGACTTCTACGTTTTGAGAAATTTTGAAAAACAAATTCCCTTGTGTAAGTGAAGAGGACAAAATAATGGAGAAGTTTTCTTCAATGTGGATCAAAATGAAAATCTGAGAGATGAGGAGTGGAGCTGAAATGATGGTACCTGTACTGCCATTCAATGCCGACTCTTGAATAGATTGATCCTGTCAATAGTGAATGGCTCTAAGCAAAGCTGTTCACACCTGGCCAAATTGTGTGTTTCCAAATGTGTCTGCAGTGATCACACACAGATTTATGTCTGAAACCTCTTCTTACTATGATGCTGATAAACCACTTGCGAGTCACATCTCCTGCTCTTGTTATCTAAAGCATGTGGAGACATAGTTTAAACATAACCAACTTCATGTCTATTTCAATACAGAATACAGATGTTTCTGAGGAGAGAGGAGCAGATATGAAGCTGGGGAGTCTGTTTTTCATGTTCTGTCTTTGTACTTTCACTTCATAAATGCTGCCATCCCTTTTCCGCCTCTCTTAAACTGGCATTGTGGGGCAATACGGGTACGATTCAGGTTACACATCAAAATTAAAACGGCACAACATACGTCACCCACACTAGGAACCTTTCGGGAATCGTCACTTGACATCACAGTGTTGTCACTTTTTTCAGGTTTTCTCAAAATGTAGTAGTCGATTGTGTTTTGAACAGACACATAAAAGGTAAAAATGTTAATCCAATAAGGTCAGCATGTCGGTCACCTGTTTCTCTCTCTATTCTGGGGTTGTTGCTGTTTTGTGTTACCTGCTCGGCTTCTTCTTTACTCATGGCCAAAGCCAGCTGAAGTTGCAGGTCTTCCTCTCCAGAGCTCTGTGGCCACGCCTGCTCAGGGTCTGCCCCTCCTGAGTGGGAGCCCACTGAGAGGCTGCCCCCGAGGCTGGGTGCTGATGGAGCTGAGGAGGCTGAAGGAAAGAAAATACAAATAAATATACGTGCATAAGAGGATGACTGGGGTTATCAACAAGTGAGTGATAAAAGGTCCCATATGCTGTCGTGAGGAGGCCTTTTCTTCAACTTTGACTTTGTTTAAATGAGCTATCTCACCACTGGAGGTCTGTGCCATCTTCTCTTTGGTTTTGAGGGCATGGATTCTCTCTTCTCTTAGTCTCTCTTCATCTTTCAGCAGCGTCACCAGCTGTTTGGCTTTCTCTCGCACATTCACCCCCTAACAAATACAAAGAGTGTAATTACAATGCTGACAATGAGCACTTCACTAAATATTAAGAATTACACAAACAAAAAAAAAAATTCAATCACTAATAAAGTTTGTTACTTAGCACTTATAGTGACGCAGCGCTTTATAGTTACAGCACTTTTAGTTCTCATCAAACTATAAAAGCTTCAAAGTTGACCTGGAGAGGTCAAAGTGTCCCTGGATAAACATTGCGCGGTATGTGCCACAAAAGAGCAAGACAGGTCCTCAAAGACGGTCCTTTCTCAACAATCACTTCAACATTATAAACAGCTTAGTGGACATAGGTGTGTCTGTGTACCTGGTCTTTGCCATCTCTGTCTATGTACTGAAAGTCCTTAAGGGTCTGGACTGCGTATATGTTCTCTCGGCACTGTTGGGCAACACGTTCTGAACCTGTCTTGATGAGGTACTCCATAAGAGTCATAGCCTGGTGGAAAAAAAACAAACACACAAACACAATCAACTATGTATTTAACTTCTTGTACTGTGTATGAAAGCAGACTAGGACAGTGAGAATGTGTCGGGGGTGGGCAGCCCTTCTGTTGGTTCTCGAATGAACCTGCTTCCACAGTTCCTTTACTTATTTCAATCATCACCATTTGGGGGAACCTTCTCTATTTACACGGCAAAGTATTTTTACGCAGCCCAAATAGACTTTAAGTTTACTGGTGTGCTGAGGACTAAAAATCAAAATGGAAAAATTTGCTCAAACAATCAGATACTGTAACTCGATTTATAACCAACCCTGTGGTTTAAGTTGGTACTAAAATATAAACAAAAAAAAAAATGATATTTTACCTCGGGTAACCCTTGACAAGCGGTTTTAAAAACAGAGTCTATGTTAGAGGTAAATTTTTGACCATCATGCAGCTGTGTTGGAAAAATTGTGGGTCGAAAGATGTAGATCATTCACATGTGTTTTGACAAAGTCCTGGAATTGTTCATATATTACAGAGAGCGGTTAACCTACGGGGCAAGAGGGTTCAGAGCTCAAGAAGAAAAATGGCGGTGTATGTCAGCAATGAGAGGAAGAAGAAAAAAACAGCATTAAAAACTTTAATTTCTACATTTAAAAGCAGGAACATTGAGGCGTTGTCTAAAACAATGTCTCTGTCTCAAACATTGAGTCTTTTTAAGTGAACACTCATCAGTTTCCTTGAGAGTGAACACTTTAGATTCAGATATTTCTACATCTTCACTGACTGAGATTTCAACAAGTTTATTTGCTAAAGAATGACTTCAACAAAATATAACTTCAACAATCATAGTTTTGACTGCAGAGCACTTCTAGAGCAACAAACTGTAAATACAGAACAATTTCAGACAGATCCTGTTTAGAGGATATCCTAACTCAGTTGTGCAAACACGTTACTCTAATATTTGTTGAACAGTTATCCCCATTGACAACACACACACGCACACACACAAACCTTGTACACATGTCTCCAGTTCTTGCCGTGATCATTGAGGCGTTTCCACACCATACTCATGATTTCTGAGAAGGCCACTACATTGTAGGTCAGATCAGCGATCTCTGACATCAGAGAGCTGCTGGGGCCCCACGGGTCATTGGATGTTGCCTCTCTTACCTAAACAACACAGCAGGAATCAAACTTCTGTTATCCTTCATTCAGACAGCCAGTGACAGGAATAATTCAAGAGCAGATACTTCATGATAAAACTGTACGCACTTTGCTCAGATAAGCGACGCTAACTCAATCGTGACATGGGCCAGAGAGGGGCAATATAAGAAATGAATAATATGATTAAATCATTATATGTAATGAGGGGAAAGGGTAAGGAGGTGCTTTGCAGGAATATTAGATTATTAGCATTTACATTGCGTCATCGTGTCATATCTGCCCTGTGGAGATTCATGAGCTACACTTAAGCCACGGACATATGGAGAGTGTGGGTGTAGAGAGGGAGAAAAGCCGAATGAGCAGAGGGACACACAACCTTGATTTCAGCCTCTGAATAGTTGTGGACGATGTTCTTTACTTGTCGCCGTAGCGATGAGGTCGACATGGCAACGGTCTGGCCGTCGAGTTCTGTTGCAATCTGAACAGCAGATGGAGAAGACCGGTTGTAAATTATAGTTAGTACAAACAAAACCGTGGCGGGGCAAAGCACATTGTTATTTCAGACATAGACAAATGAAAATGGCTTAATACTGTTATCATTACACATGATACGGAGTTAAAAAGACAAGAGATGATGTACATGAGTCTGAATGAAAGCCGGGGGGAGACCTTGAGCAGAACAATCAATGTGAAACATGGCGTCTTCACCAGGAATCAATCTTAAATCATGTGACAACTTGAGCACACCTGTTACACAAGAATGATGCAGAATAAAGGTCTCTCCTTTTGGTGTAGCTTTGCTTGTTTCGGGCGTGTGAGCCACTCATTCACAGAGTGCTATGTCTCAGTTTGTCTCTTCCTTCCCGTGGCAACATTGGGTCCAAAACCACAGGCGCAAGGAGACGAAAACTAAAGAGAGAGATGGAGATTAATATTTAAGAAAGGAGTCAGGCCCACTGAGAAGATTACGCTGAATCATATCAAACAGAAGAAGTGAAAGCTCAGTGCTGGTGATAATTTTCAACAGCAACTGTAAAATAAAGACAAAGCACATATTCAGCAACAGAAATCACATGGTTTGCTGCTGATCCCCACATGGCTACCAAACAGAGATACAGTATATGATTTATTTATCCCATCTCCCAAAGTCGAGGCTCTTTGAATTACGAGAATATGAGCTTTTCACTCCTTAAGACCAGGAGATAAATCTTTTTTATCATGTTAGAGCCGGGAGGTACGTCAGACAGTCAATCCTGAGCCAATACGAGCATGACGATGGAAAAATTGTGCCTTTTGTAGATTTACTTCAAAAATATTCTCAGCCTAAATTATAATACTTCAGAAAACACTCTCCGATGAAAGTTTTCATTTTAAGGAGTACGTTTGACAAGTTTGATGAGTGTGAGGAAGCCAAACATTGGACGAAAAGCACACGGTTAAGTACAGTAACGCTTTCAAATCTGCAACACTTTCTCATAAATCGAACCTTACAGCCTGTCTCCAACATAACATCCCTTCCTTGTGGTTAACCCAATATTTCTCTTTATAACACCAACAACACTATTAACTATTAAAGCTGAAGCTACTGAATTAATTATGGACTTTCATCACCATCTGATTTTTATGAGTCAAGAGGATAAAAGTCTCTTGATGCAGATTCTTAAACTTTATATTTAGACTTTTTATTTCTTAAACACATTTTTGTTTTTTTATCTCCCTAAGACTGTAAGATGAATTCATTAATGAACACAGAAGTTAATCAGGCAGTCAAGTTCTGAGTGCATCATCCAAAGAGTATCTTTTCTCCATTTCTTAGTCATTTCATTAAACAAACAGCTACTCCAACTATAAAAAAACGATCAATCATGTTAGTTTATAAGAAATACAGGAGGTAGATGTGTCCCTACAAAATGATGCATCCGGGAGTTTCAAAATTTGATTAAATGAATAATTAAAATAACAACAACAACAGACAATACTCTAATCTACAGCATACGAGGCCAAGAGATCTGTATAAGCATGAAATAACCAGCAAATTTCAAAGTTGCTCAGTCAACTATCAGTGAGGAGTTGATTGTACAGTGAGGATAAAAGTGGTCAATTTTGTGAGGAAATAAAAACTCATCAGTGCAATACGTTTTGCCAAACTGGTAACAGATTTTGACAAACATAACAAACAGATCCCAGGTGTTAATGCTGTCGATGCTGTTGAGCGCATACTGGCATCCAGAGAATGATTTTGTGGCACAATATCGAATCCCTCGGTACCTACCAAGCATTGTTTGTATTTGATTGCTTGCACAGCAGCATGAAATGTTGCTGACCATCTGATCCTTTCACTGTCACAATTTGTATTTTCTCACCGATTACACACTCCCTGTGGGTAAATGACACAGAGCGAGTGAGGTAAAAACTATCACTTCATTTTCAGACTTAATTTTGATGTTCTCCAATGGTTTTAAGATACTCCTGTGGTTAAAAAAGGTCACTATCTATTAACTCTAGAGTTCCTTGATAACACTGAACTTTAAGTGGATTATTGCTTGTGGGACAAGTGACACATGTTCTTCACTACAACACTAAAAGATATGTTTGAGATCTTTTTTGAACGCTGAATGCTTGGACACTCTCTAAACCGCCATCTGCGACAAAAAAAATCATGAAAGACCCGAGAAGTATGTGAATATCACAATTTTAAGCTTAAAAATGATCATAACTAAAACAAAATTATTACTTTGACATTGAAATACTTAGACAACTACTACAAGTCTGTACAGCACAGCCGAAATAGCTTATGTATTTTAATTTATGCATTAAAATACATGCATTGTGCTACTTTTTACTGTAAAATCTTGATATGAATAAATCCAATCAACATTTGATCTATAAGGATACGATGAAATGTGTTGTTATGTACAAAGGTCTCAATAGAAATCACCTACATCAACTGTAAAATCAGATGAATGCATTGTTTTGGCAGAGGTAGTGCTGTTACTTCAGAGTCCTATTGCTATTTTATCTAAATTCGACATTTTGGAATAATTCATCTAACATTTTCCGACAACATGTAGTGCTGCTTGGTACAACAGTTTTTTCAGAGATATTACAAAGGTTGATTTATGGATGGCTTATAGTTCTAACATTTGGGTTTTACTTTAGAAACCAAAAACAAAGTTTTCCTATCTATTAACTCAAGTATTCCTTGATAACACTGCACTTTAGGTGGATTATTGCTTGTGGGACAAGTGACACATGTTCTTCACTTCAACACTAAAAGACATGTTTGAGATCATGTCTGAGATCTTTTTTGAACGCTGAATGCTTGGACACTCCCTAAACTGCCATCTGCAAAAAAATGAAAGTAAAAAAGCACAATCTCCCTCTGAGGAAAATGATAAATGAATCCCACCCAGAGCATGAACTTTCTCTCGGGTCAGATACAAAGGGCACTGGTGGGCTGCCTTCTCCATTTCCCCATGCTTCTTGCAAAGTTTAATCATAAACATGAACATATTTCTTTTACGCAAAAAATCTGTGAGTTCAAAGATGATTTTCGAGACTCATTTCTTACCACCTTTAAACAAACAATAACTTCCTCCATGCCAAAGGGTTGTTATCAGCATTTAGAGCACTCATAAATCGTGTGTAAAACTGATCCTATGCATAAATTCAAGAGGCTTATTGGTCATAACAAATGGTTCAGGTGTGTTCATTCTGGCAAACTTAGTATATATTTTAGAAAATATATTTATGCAGCAGACACAACTGTTAAGTATACTTCTGAAGCACCATATGGAAAATCAATTCATATACCATGGCATACTTTTTTCAATTAGTAGGTCAAGCAAATATGACACCATGTTGTACAACATAGCATTGAGCAATCATTGCAAAACTCGCTTCAGACACTCCTGAATCTCTGTACCAAAGTTCAGACGACTAATCACAGACTTGTGTTTGATAAGAGACCTAACATGCTTCTTCAGGGTCCAACCTCCACAAAGTAAATGCTGTTCAAAAAAAAAAAACCACACAATAACCGTGTCAAGTACAATGACAGACCGTTATCTCACGTAGATTAGCATGCAGCTCGATGTTAATGACCTGTTTTAAGTTTAAAAATGAAAGATTAGCACGCCACAGTGAGGAGAAGAGCTGCCATCAAAGTTCAGCTAAGTCTGAACACAGACGAGGTTGACAGCCCCGAGGAGAAGTTAACCCCACACCCTGTGAACCCACGCACAGATAAGGTTCACAAACTACCCAGTCAGCCGCAGCACCTACCAAGTAAGCTAACACAAATCCAGAGACAAAACATTTTATCTAAGATATTACAGCTCATCGTCAACTTACTCTGTCCGAGTCACATTAAAGAGAGCCTCAAATTGTACAACAGCTGCAACAAGAGCACTGAGAGAGGGTGTCAGAAAGTCTCTATAACTTTAAGAGCAACACCTACTGAAGCTTATCCGCCGACTAATGTTAGCTGTGATATCTGGCTGTAGGAGCAGACTGTCCCATACTCATTAAAAGCTGATGAAAACAGTTTGTCAGCACTTTGACAGCAGGGTTTAGGTGAAGTCTGGCTAAAGTGTATTCAGGAGTACAGGAGGGTGTAGCTAGCAGCGAACTGGTGTTCAAACTTACTTAACGTCAACCAAAAGGTGATTTTCTTGTCGTAACATTAACTCACAACAGACTATGAGCGTTATTTAAAATGACCCGCTGGTTTAAAAGAAAAAGGAAAATTAACTTGCTGCTCTGTTGCTGCTGCTGCTAGGAAAGATTAGCCAGCTAGCTTTAAAGATAGCTGTTAGCTCGTTAGCTTCTGCCAGTTAGTTCGCACCTGATAACATGACTGAGAGAGAGTACAAGCTCAAGCGAAGACACGCCCGAGGTCAGGACAGTGTTGACATTATAGGTTTATTTCAAGAGCCAAAATGTCAGAAGATAATGAGCACAAAGAGCGATATAGATACAAATGAAGTGTGTACTGACCCTGTTGTAGCCTGAATGTACGAGGAGATGGCCGAATTTCCGCTTCCGTTCTCGACTCCAGGAAAGACCGCACCCCCCTGTAGCTTTGTTTTCCTGGGATGGTAGTAACAGGCTCATGAATAAGTGAGCGACTATTTAACTAACAACATTTAAGTTCATGACTATAGCTGTATAAAACAACGTTTTTAAAGCCGTCCAGACAGAGATTAGGACATGACTTTTGAGTCGCTGTTTGGCTTAATTCCTCAATTTTGCCAACACTGCACAGCCCACTGTTGTTGTAAGGGGAAGTACACACATCCCCTTTTCCAGCTGTAGTATTGCAAAAGTCATTCCTTCAAATCTTATATAGGGGAGAGTGGGGTAAGATGAGCCATATTTTATATTTCGGATCACTACATTAAGGAAATCATAGATAAATGCATGTAGGTGATTTCTACACCGTGGATTTTAAATTCACCATAAATAATGGATAAATAATGGATTTAAAGTTTTCTAGTATGCATGGTTTAGTCGACATGATATTTGCATTTGAATTTATTATGATCAAAGCCACAGGAATTTTTGACTGATTATGTATCAGACTGAAATAAACAGTAGTGCCTCTGTATAACATACAACAGTGAATAAGATTGACAACAACAAAGTCATTCATTTCTATATTGTAAATTTTAATGTCTGTAACCCCTGTGAGGGGTAGGTGGCAGCTAAGATGATTTACAGTATACTAAACAAACAACCTTGTGCTCTCTCTCCAGCAAATGTCCACAGTAAATGATATTTTTGACTGTAAAAAGAAAGCAAGTTTTTTTTTTTTTTAAAGTGTAAACACAACTTGCATATCTAAGACTAAATCAGCAAAGATGTAAGAGCTTTAATCACAAGGGACACAAGAATTGACACAAACACAGTGTTTCTCATAGGAGCTTTTTTATACCGTAACTTGTTCAGGTAATATGGTGCCCAAAGTAAAAATGAGACATAATCACCTTCATTTATGTTTGGAAAAAAACTGTAATTCTATGATTCAGATATATAACTCTGACATGTTCAAAGCGATCAGCCAAACAGTTTTGAAAACTTCATACACACAGGGCTCTTTTCTTCTTCATGTTTGCCAGTTGGTCAGTGGAGAAAAGGGATAAAAATGGACTTTTCTCCCACATGAACCATTAAGATCACATCAAAGTTCATCACAGAGACTTTCAACATGACGCTTTCACTGTGATTTTTGTCTCTTCTCAGTCATGCAATAGCACACAGGGTCCACAGAGAGGCAATGTTGAACTTCGTCCACAATAAAGCGAGACCAGAACAGCCTCCCACAGTGGAATCATAAATAAAACATGGTAAGACCCATAGCTGAGAACAACAGTAACAGCTGGCATACATGTGTGGTACAAGCTCCCCTTTTATCCAACATCCCTTTATCCGTTTATCTTCGTCCTCTCCCCAGTGAGTGAATCAGTGCAGGATGACTCAAACTAACTATATAGGTGTAATGTACTGTTGCACAGCTTTGGAAACTCTAATCTCATGAAGATGAACAAAGACATGCAGGAGATTATAACAAGCATAAAAGCTATTTTGACAGGTGCTGTTCCCCTGTTATGTCACAGTGCTCATATCGCCTTGCTCATTGCTGCTACACGTGTAGTGGATAGTAGTTTAGGGGCATATGAATTAAGGAAGCATGAGCATCAAAACAAAACAAATAACCACAATCAGATCTTACAAATTGTAAAAAGTCATCAAAAAAATCTATCTTTGTGATTCTGTATACTCAGTTTACTTCACCTTTCACTAGTTAGAACTCAAAGTGTTTAACTTTCTAACCTCAATAATACTGTATGTTACTAATGATAGATCTCTTTATTCTGTTTCTTATCTTTTCAGCCTGAGAAATAGACTGCCGAGCACAAAACAGATACATTGGACAAGAAGACATATCATTGGTTTGAAATAAACTAAAAGTCTCACTGGTTTCATTTTACCTCATCGCAACTCGAAACGTGTCGTTACACTTAGTACACAGTTAGTCACAACAGCCTGGTTTGATTGATAGTAATGACTGAAAATGCAGCAGGTAAAATTTTCTTGATAAGTTTCCCAAAAACATGATGAAGTATTTATTTTAAGAAATGTTTAAACCAGAAATCAGAGAAATGAACTCTAAAGGAATTGAGCTTTTTGCGGTGTAACAGGTGACTCTTGACACTCAAGGTTTAATTTGCAAGCAAGATGGAAAAATAAAGTTTTACCATAATTTTAAAGAAGTTAAGGGTGTGTAAAACTTTACTTTTAAAACATGCAGTCTTCTTTGATTCCTTTATTTCACCCTGTGACCTGGGAAATTGAAGCATCATGTGTCCTCTGCAACTATACTCTGTTAAAAAAAAAACCCTTCATATCTTCAGTGTGTATTTCTCTCATACGTAGTCAAAATATCTCATTACATACAGTTTAAGCCACACTGGCCTAACGTGTCTGGATGTGTATCTTATTTCAAGAGTAAACAAGTTAAAAATAATCATCAAATTAATTCTAAGAAGTTAAGATGGCTGACGATGCAGCAATCAATTTGTCTAAAAGTTCCTTAAAACACGCTATTATAGTGATTTCAAGAAAAGCTGTGCTTGCTGAATTGGCAGCTGCTTTTATTGCCAGTCAATTACTCCCATTTTCTAACAATATGTCAAATAAGATTCAATTCTGTTTAACAAGTGTAATTTGATATTTTGACCATGAATAAGATAAGTGCACATGTTTAGATAACATATGTTGTGAAAGACAACCCTGTTGGGGGAAAAAAAGGTTTCATTGTCTTCCCAGTAAATACTTGATCGTTGTTTAACACAAATACCTATTATAAATTACATATTTCAGATTTAAAAAGTGAAGACATCTCATCCTTTCATTGACAACTTCTATTTATAGAAGTTCAAATGTGTGATATTCTACACACTGTATGGAGGTGTAACTGTATAGCAAAGATGAATATTATGTAACTTTAAGCAAGTCAGCAGAGACATCCTGCCTATATGTTAGAGTGCATGTAAGCAGGACCCATATGTAGTACATATCTGCATGTGTAGTATGTACAGTATGTGTGTGTGAGTGTTAGTTAAGCCGTATTTGTGAATGAAAGTGACACTATCTTGGCAAACGAGTCGTTCAAAGTGCTGAAAGTTGTGTTTTGGTGGTGGAGTTGTTACAGCAGGGGGCTTAGGGACCCAGCTGTGTGAGCACAAACATGGAAGAAAGTGTTGGTCTATGGCTGGCCGCCCGATCACTGCCATGGTTTGTAACCGGAGCAGCCGTTGTGATAGCAGCCAGTGTTTGTGTTACATAACCCACAAGCCATCAGGCTCGTAGCAATAATAAGCCTGTAGTATGTAGTACCAGGGGAAATGTATACGAGTAGACAGAATGAGGAGGAGGGTGTCGAGACGAGGTGGAGGAGGAGGAGAGACTCGACCTACAGATGGTGTTAAGTGGGAAACAGAGCTGGCATGCAGACAGTAAAGTACAGAATGAAGGAATTTAACAAGGTGAAGCTTCAGCTGTTAAATACGTCAGTCTTAGATGTGAAGACATAATATACAACTGAGAAGATGTAAAGACCAAAGAGCGGAAGATAAGAGGAAAGTTTGTCTGCTGACGGTGGGAGAAATAACCCTCATTATATCTAAAACAAGAGAATTAAGGATAAAACTGGAGAAAGAAACAACAGGGTATATTGAAACTGCATGGCTAAGATATACTAAAATAAAGTGAGGATAACAGAAGAAAGGACAATGATTCTTGAAATTAAAAGGGACCATGAGAGGCATGCTGAACTGTACTTTGTTATCCCAGTTAGAGTTAGGGATCATGGGAACAGCTTGTTGGCCTTTTCCGATCATCCCTGCATACCTGTTGATTAAAGAGGAATCTTATACTCAGGGGGTCGGCAAGGGGATTCACTGACACAGACAAGCTGAGAGGGTGAGAAAGACATGGAAAGAAAAGGGGAGGGGGGGTTGTATTTGTGAAAGAAAATGAGTGACAGCTGGGAAGAGACGAAGCCGGGTGAGAGACGGGTTAATGTGGTGAGGCTGACTGACAGTTTTAAAACAGAGGGATATTAACACTGCTGTACAGTGGGAGAGGAGGGTGAGGGAGAGGGGTGGGGGTGGGAGAGAGAAAGAGAGAGAGGTTTCACATGCCTCATAGCTGGTGTGTGCGTATTTGCCAGCATAGCAGAGGGAGAGAGCGATAGAGGGGGAGAGAGAGAGAGAGAGAGAGTTGGCACAAGAATAGGAAAAGAGAGGGGGAGAGTTCAGCGTGTGTCTCCTGGGGAGAAGCACACAGTCAATATCCAGGTCTCCAGTAAACATCTATTAGTCTCTCCCTATAAAACAGCTGCTGAGCTATTGCATGGAACCTCGGGGCAAAGACGAAATTAAGAACTTTAATTTCAGCTAAATTATCAGTCTGACCGAGGACACTGTTGAGCTCCAGCACGTTAGCTTGCTGCAGAACTTGCAAGGAGTTTAAGTCTTTAGATGCTGAAAAGAACCAAGACACAGTGATCAGAGGTCAACCAACTGAACTGAAAATGACAGTGAGTATTTCTCTGCATTTGCAAAAACACACAACCTCAAGCAAACCTCTTTGTTTGTACTCATGAGCCTCACAAGTGGACTAATACAGTCATCATTGTGCAGCAAAATACAAACGGGAGAAATGGTAACATGCATTAATGCAATTATGTATATGCACAAGGTTGAGTGTGAAATCTGTTGTATTGCCATGTGTCTTTTTTATATTATGTGATGAGCTAACATGCAGGCACTATAAATTCATTGCCTGCTGTCATTGCAAAATTACTCTAATGCTCCAAATGTTAAGTAGACTAAGTAATGGAGAGGATTTTCAGCTTGTAATGTTGAGCACTTGTGCAGCACTTCAAATTTGTTAATAATGTTAGCTCATGCAGAGCCCTCATTAGAATCTCAGATCACTTGTCGCTTAAAGTGGCATTTATAAATAGAGTTGAATAAATAATCGCCTCCGTTTAAAGGGACAAGTAAGATATCAGGATATAACACAAGTTATGGATGGGTCCAAGATAAGCGATGAGTTACTGCATCCATAATTCAACTGTTGAGAGGGATCAAACTCAATGGTATGACTTTCTGAAATTGTAATAAATTGTATTCATTTCCTAATGGCGTGTGTGGAATGAAGGGTAGCTGGAGAATGTCCTAATGCGATAACCCGAACATGTGTTAACAACTGTGTGAAGGGAACCCCACTGACATTAGGATTCAAGAGTTTCAAATTGTACATTAAGTTTAATCTGAGGAAACATGTAGACAAAATACATGGATGGTACACTGTACACCCCTATTTTACCATGCTACCTGTTACAACCCTTTTCCCCGCAGGGTTTTCACAGAATTACAATCCCTCCCTGTTCAAAAATCTTGCAGATAAATAGCTTCAAATGAAGCCTTTAATCTTCAGTCATCTTTGGATCCAAAGAGTTGATATTCTGGAGATAAAACTGGTGCACCATTACTGTAAAGTATTCACCAATAGAGCAACATCCATCATTACACCATTAACTTTGAAGCAGCCTATCATTTGCTTGATTTGAAATACAGCTGTCTTGGTCACATCTGTGCCAAACACCCGTGTCGAACAGGCTGAAACCTGCTGTCTTATTTTTGGCTGCACATCAGATCAGTTATTTATTATTACTGACATTTGTTCATTTTGCAATATGATGTTGTGACCCAGCTCAGGTGTCTTGTGGCACCGTTTGACCTGCGCCATCAGAGATATGTTAAAAAAATTCCCCTGGCACTAACCAGGCTTATTAGCGCAATGCAAATGACTGACAACAGTACATTAACCGCCAGAGAGAGAGATCGCATTTCTTCTGGGAGGTGTAATTTAATTAAAATTAATGTGGTTGCCTACAAAGCCCAGTTACGTAACTTATGGAAGGTCAGAAGTAAAAATATGTTATCTCTTTATCTTTTGTTTGGTAACAGTTCACAGCCTCACTAATTGGTGGAGTTATGCGGCAGGGATCCACTTCAAAGGAGTCTTTATGATTGTAACAGAAGAAGATTGAATGACAGCGCCAAATGTTCTGATTGTCCTGATAAGACATAAGCCTGATGCCTGAAGTTTATTCCATCTATAGGACGACTGATGATTAGCAAAAAACACATATGTTCCATGAGCTGGATAGGTTATCATGTGGTTGAGAACTTCTGACCCCTCAAGAGAATAGTAAGAAGACCACATATCTGTTAAATTAATGAGATACATGAGAGTTAAAGTTGCAAGGTGCTCTTTGAGAAGCAGGTTCAGGTGGCACGTCAGCATGTTTGGCCATAGATTCAAACTTCTGTCTGTGGAGATATCTATCAGGAGCATCAACACATACCACTGAGGCTGTGGATCTCCTTTCAGTTGACTCCACCAGGCCAATCATCATCTGTAGGTATCATGCTATGGTAGTAAATATGGGTTTGTGCATGTTTGTGTGTGACAGGCTGCAGCGGCTCAAGAACTTGACGAGCGATGTTTCCTGTCGGCGCAGTCCATGCCAAGTCTGAAGGTTTCCGAGCACTTCCAGGTGGTGAAGCTCCTGGGAGAGGGATCCTACGGAAAGGTCATGTTAGCCGTACACAAAAAGAGAGGTTAGTCCAAGACATGAGGTCAAAGGTTGAAGCCTCGTGAATCTGTCTCTTCTTTTACATCTTACTGTCACTAGTCTTTACGATCGTTTCAAATTTCCACTCCCATTTTTATTTTCATCTACCTTGAAACACTATATCTACACATCAGCAGATTTTTCGTAGACCTCAGGTTTCTCGATGAGGAAACTAGACTGTGGCTGGGCGGGGTGGAGCTTGTAGTTAAGTGAAGAAAGATCTGTCTTTTCCTAGTGTTCACTTAACCTTTTGAGCCTCTGCTGCTGTACTAGAGTGCTTCGGTACATTCTCAAAGATAAAGTTGCGACAACTGGGGTGCAGCGGTGAAACAGAGTCAGCCCAAGGGAGAAGTTATATTTGTTCACAGTGTCAGTGATGGCCAGCACTCACATACCATTAATGATGACAGCTTTTTGCCAACATCTCATTAGAGGTTGTAGCATTCAGCATATGTTCCTCTGCTTCCTTTCCTCCAGGAAATCCTATGGCTCTGAAGTTCTTTCCTCGTCGGTCTACGTCCCTGACATCTTTCCTGCGTGAATACAATCTCTCTCTTTCTTACTGCACACATCCTTCTCTGACCCGGGCCCTGGGGATCTTCTTTTCCACGCCATCTTACTATGTCTTTGCTCAGCAAGCTGGTCTATACGGTGACCTCTACAGTGTGATAGTGTCTGAGGTCAGTTAAGCTTGTCTACGGCATGAAAGCATTGCTAATACCTCGCATGGTATGTCCAGCACAGCTTTTAACATACTTTCACTCAGGGTGTGTCCTCTACTTTCAACCAAAGACGCCACCTTGTTTATATTTATTTTCAACAATTAAAGGACAGTTTTTGTTGAATAAATCCATCCAGTTGCAGAACTTGCAAATGGATCTGCTTTTGCTGCAATATCTGCACTACAGTATCCTCACCTAGCAACACATGCACAACGAATTATTTTGTGGTACTGTTTATTTGCTCATAACAGTTGGTTAAAGTTAGGGAAAGATTATGACAGAAGGAACATTTAATGAAGACCAGAATCTTATCCTAAACCTCATGCAAAAGAGCTCTACGATGTAAAAACCTGCAATATAAAATCTAGGCACCAGAATATAGTAATAAAAGTCATTTCAGGAAGTTGCAGATTAGCGCCGGCATCCCTTACTAATCTAATTTAAATGCTTCGAACCATTCAAAAGACTAATTTCTGCAGTGTGGCTCTCTGCATGGAAACTGAACCTGCTGACCGTGTCCTTTTGAGCTTTCATTCCCATCAGCAAAAACTCGAGACCTGCTTGATAAGAGGTTCCAGCTCGCTCTATGTATGCCTATGTCACTGCCAGTAACATAATAGAGTGGTGATAAGAGTAAGTGGGAGTACATGAAGTAAAGCAGGGGTTTCCAAGAGCGTCGCCAAAATGCGTAATGGCTGAGATGTAACACCAACTATGTTGTAACCAGATTAGTTTCCAGTGCTAACAAGCTAGTAAGCGAAGCATTAATCCAGACTACCTGTGTGTTCCAGGTTGGAGTGGATGAAGAATGTGTCCAGAGGGTGATGTCTCAGCTGAGCGGTGCAGTTACACATCTCCACTCCCTGGGCTTTGTCCACCGAGACATCAAACCTGAGAACATCTTCCTGTGTGACAGATCCTGCCGCTGGGTCAAACTGGGGGATTTCGGCCTCACCCGGGCCATCGGCTCCACAGTTCGTGCCGTCTGGTACGAGTCGCCCTTCTGCACCCCTGAGGTAGAGCCTGCAAAGGAGGCTGAGAAGGAGATGGAGAGGAGGATACAGGAGGGGACAGAAGATGAGATGGAGGACATTTGGATGACAGTAGAGCCTTGTATTGACAGCTGGGCCCTCGGCGTGCTCGTCTACTGCCTCTTAACTGGCTGCTTCCCTTGGGAGGAGAGCACCCATGATGATCGCGGCTTCTGTAGGTACAAAAAGTGGTTCGACCGTGAGGCCGAAAAGGAGGAAATAGACAGTTACATGATCCTGAAAGAGAACCGAAGGGACAATCCTCTTCCTTCACAGTTTGAGGGCCTGAGCTCGCTAGTTTTGACTCTTTTTAAGGAACTGCTCAACCCTGAACCCAAGCTGCGGGGAAGCCCAGAAGAGATCCTGAGTTACCTTGGAGGGCCATGGTTGATGGAGACAGAAAGGGAGGAAAGGAGAAAGGCAGAGGAGGCGCAGAAAGAGGCCAAAAAAATAAGCGAAGGGACAGGGGTAGCAGAGGAGCTGGTGAGGGAGGGAAGAGGAGAAAGATAAGCTTTATTTCTATAATAATGTATTTTAGACTGTATGCAGTACAAATGTATACACTTTAAGGTGCTGTTTTTTAAATAATTTACAAAAAGTCAAGTTATCTTTTTCTTCCTTTGATGTACATATTCCAGTGTGTGTGCCTTGAGACGATTTAGTGAAAAGAAGCTTTAGATAAAGAAAAGTCTGATGTTTTAAATACAAGTTGTATCATAGTGAAAACCTGTTCTTGAATTGTCATCCAAAAAAATAAAGTCCTTTTATTTTATTATCTTCTTAGTGAATGAGTTTCAAAATGAGTGTCAAATTACAAGAAGCTGAATTCATACAGTTGTACACTTGTTTGTTAGATCACAATAGAGATAATGGCATTTTTTATACTGAAGAGGATCCCCTCACTGTATGTCTCCATAACATCAGTTTACACAGAAACTTAATCTGACCTCTGGGTTTCTGTTGCAGGTCGGAGAAAAATCACGAAACATTTTAATCTAGTGAATATAGATCTACCATCAATAGTGCTTGACTTGTTTACTGGTGGACACAGTATCATTTTAGGAGATATGTCCTGATAAGGATATGACTGATGAGTTTTCTAAGTGCCTAAATGCAAAAAGACCCCAGTTTAAGACATGATAAGAAGCAGCAGAGAGCAAGGATGACAGTGATCTCTTGTCAGTTGATCATAAAGTTCGAATATTTCAACTTTTGGGTCTCCTATGCATCAATATCATTTTGTCGCTCCCTAAATGACAATTCAAAACCAAAGAGGTGCTGCACTTTGGACAAATCCATCAACCCCAAACTTGACTTGTCTTTTTAGGGTAGAATTTTCAGGTCTACAGCTTTTGCTGCTGCCAGGACACAAATATTTTCAAATGTGTTTGTTATTTGTAAAATGATCTTGAATTGAAGCAAATACAAAGCACACAGAGCAATTTTTAAACAGACGGATAGTTCAGCAGCGGTGGAGTAAGAGGGAGCGATCGCCACCCCAAAAATCTGACCGGCCAGCTCAGTTACCACCCTGAAATCCTAAGCCATGATTGGCTATTTGCTAGCTTTGCATTACCAGACCAAGGTACTTTGGTGAGTGGGTCAACTTTCGTATATCACTTTATGTAACCCAACAGTAAGAGCCGGTGAGAAGAGTTGTAAGACTGAGGTTGTGTGCACAACCAGCACAGAGAAAAACGTTTCAGCATAAAACAAGCCCTGACTTTTCTTAATGTCACAGATTTATTCCAACACTGCCAAAAAGACTAATAAATGTGACCTGTTGTGTCCAAGTTCAGAACTGCTGCCACTGTGTGACCTACAAATGTGAGTGTCACTATCAGCATGAAGATTAATGTATCTGCATCTTTATTTTTAATGCCTGTCACCACTGCCACCAGGTCAGATTCCCTTAAAACCATTTACAGTATGTCAACTGAGGAAGTCTGTGTGTATATCTGCCTCAGCAGAGTTGTATAGTATAGTGAATAGAAAGTAAGGAAATAGAGGTTATAATGGACTTAAATCTTTCTTAAAGAGAACTAAACCTTAAAAGACAGGATTAGCATGAGGCAATACTTTCTGTCAAAACAAACACTAAATATTCTCTTCATTGAGTTAAAGTGTAGTAGCAACTTTGGATCAGAAAATTAGTCATGAGCCACTTCGAGCTCCTGTGAGGAGTTTTTAATCTTCTGATAAAGCAGACGGACCTGTATAGTGGTGCTTTTTTATAACCTACATAAACAAACTAAACATCAGCGCCAGGATTAGTTATTTTGGAGTCATCAGTGTCAGTGGAGTTGAATATTTACAAAAAGCCATGATTGAGATTATAGTAGATTTTGGTGATAGAACCGCACAGGTTGTTAAATGTATGACAGAAAACATGAAATAAATCAGATATATTTTGTGAAGTACAGATAGTCATCTGATTACTTTATCTGTCTGTTTTTATCCAACCCTTTAATAAAAACAGAAAAACAGACATTTTGTTCAATATGAGACATAAACCTGATTATTAAAAAAAAACTTCATGTGAAATTGATAAAGTCAGTTATTTTTAGATATAGAGAACTTATGAAACCGTTATATCAGACTCCAGGAAAATAAACCTGTGGAAAGAAATGACATCTTTGATGTGAGGCAGCAACAGGTGCTGCAGGACACAAGACACACATCTAAAATTGGACTGAACAATACAACCTGATAGTGATACCAGTGTGATCTTCTTCCAAGTTTGAGTGATGCAAACTCCGGGCGCGCTACCTGATGCAGGATATACTGGTTATCTACATACAGCCAACAGGCTTTAAAACCCTTTATTAGAATATATGGCTCTGCACTGGGACACATCCTTCATGGGCACGTTGACATTGAAACAAACCTCATGTGATTTCTGCACACAGACTATAGCCTCAGTCCTCTGTTTGTGGGGGTGAGGGTTGTCCTAAATCTGTCAGAGAGGAAATAGCTCCTTGAAAAATCACCTTTATTCCTGTCTCCTAAAAGAATGCTTTGGTATTGCTCAGAGCACTTTTGGCCAGGACTGAATCGTGCAATGATTTTAGCATGTGTCTTCAAAAGTACAAGAAGGTGCAAAGAAAGCAGCAAAGGAAGTTAAATAAATCTTTAAAAGCGACATTTCTTTGCATTACATGGAGCTGAGTTTGCGCTCACTCTAATTGGTACAAGGACTTATAAATGCACCACATAAAATCTAATCCTCAGCTTTCATTTTTGCATTGCACTGTGCTCAAATCTCAGTTTCAACTTGGAGAGGATCCCTGTTGGTAGCGAGCTGCTAATGTGCAGTGCGGTGTGTGTGTTTGTCAGTTGCGGCTGTGCTAACCCCTGCTAAGGGCCACTCCAGATGGATTTATAAATAGATCCCAGACCCATCTATTTACAAACCATGCACATCATCACCTCCCTCTGACTATCTGCAATCCGCCGCCCTCTAAATGCAAAAGTCAGGCTGCCTTGGCGCCTGTGGGCCTTAAACAGCACAAACTAATGGAACACTGTGACCCATCTTGCCCAATAGCTGATTACTTTTCCCTTTCTTCTCTTGTGCCACCTTGGGCATCACTTTCCCCTTCATCCTCTCTGCTCAAATATACCCTGTGCAACCTTCTGGGCCTTCTCTCTTTCCACTCACCACCTGGACCTCCTCATGACACATGTCACATGAACCAAGGATTAACTTCTTCATTCCTATAGCACAGTTAGTGTACATTAAAACACCTCATATCTCCTTCGGCAACAGCTGATTTCCAGGCAACACAAACACAAGCTCATGTAACATTTTGGTAGGGGGTTAATGGAGGACCAAAGCTTGATGAATAGAAACACATGGTAAGGACCATGGAGGCAATGCAGTGCCAACACAGAGGTGCAAATCTGTACGAGGTCCATGAGGACAGATAGGATGAATGATGAAAACAGGAGAAACAAGGACAGCCTGGTGCTCAATAAAATCCAGGTTCAAAGCCGTGAGATGCAGCTTTGAACCCTGTCACTACTTCCAAGTCACGAGTGACTTTTCAACACTTTAAATGATGAAAGGCGCCTCCTTCCCAGAAACCCAAATCTTTTCGGCAATACAAATCCAGATTTGTATCAGTAGCAAGAGTTAGATTTCAATCAGCCAAGTGTTGAGTAAAAATTCCTACAAGTTTAAATATTTCAACCAAACATAAAAGTCGTCATGGTGTCACAAACATATACATTCATCACCTTGAGATTGTTTAAATTTATCCTTTCACATAAGCTGCAGAGACAAAGGCTACAGAGAGAACCAGCTGTCGAATGAAAATAGATGTAAGTATACCAAGATGGATTGACTGTCGTGGTACTGAAAGTTGCAAAAGCAGATACTGATATGAGAGCTGGATTGATGGTCAGAGAGGACCAGATAAAGAGTTCATATAGCCGAATGTCTGAAATGAATCCTCACAGTGAAGCATGGGTCATCGTGGCTTTATTTTCCCCTTACACTCGCAACCTTGTCCATCACCTGGCTGCTTCTGAAAGTTCATCTTCGTTAATCGCTTAAACAGGAGCCAGAGTGGCGACTTTGATTTGACAAAAGAGACACAAATGATCACTTTCGCTGAAAGAGAAGCCCTGAGAAGAAACAGGATCTAGCTTGACGCACGTAACGAATCCAGTTAAATAATAAATCTGATGTGTTAATGAGAGAATTTAATTCGCTTTTTTATGTGCTTTTGTGCAAGTGTGTTTGTGAGTCTGAGTGTGTGTGATTGTCCGGGGAATGACTGAAGCACTGATTGAAATATTTAAGACAACATTTCAAGGCTCTCGGTAAGTGTTTATATTGGGTTGTGATTATCAAGGATTAGGGTCAGGTTTGGGGTTACAGTTAGGGCTAGGATTTTAAGAAAAGGTACTCAAATGTTTTAAAAACCAAAAAAAGAGAAAGAGTGAAAGTGTGTGTGTGTGTGTGTGTGTGTGTGTGTGTGTGTGTGTGTGTGTGTGTGTGTGTGTGTATGTGTGTGTATTTGCGCTTGCCTTGCTATAATTGTGGAGACCATAGCTTCATTTTACGATAGTGGGGACCTTCTGACCACTTTGCAGTACTGAAAGGATTGTTACACTTCAGCTCTTCAAAACTGTTTTTTTAGAGTGAGGGCACTATAGGAAGAGTGTTTCTTTGGGTTTAACACATCACTGGTGATAATACACCAACCACCTATAACATTACAAACACCTAGGCAATCAAATCCAACCCAGTACAACAGTCCAACCTCAAACTCTCCTCTCAGTGAGCTTCTGAATTTTCAGCAGTTGTTCACATGATCAGAAATTTGATAACTGTTCTTTATATTTATTATTGAAGACACAATGGGTGGTAGATTAAAATGTGCTTCTCATATTTTGTCCATTCCATTAACAAACATGAGGAGAGCAAAATTTTGGTAACACCTGTTAATATAATGCACTTACACTACAACCTCAACAACAAGAAGTGACAAGGTAACTTTTGTGAGTGAACTGCAGACACATTTTAAGAAGTCTGTTAATTTAACTGCAACTGAAATAACCCTTCTACTTCTTTATACCTTCATATAGTTTATTGACGGGCAAATATTAAAGGCCTTTAAAAAAATCTGGGATTTCTGATTCCCAGTAGAACACAAAGTTATATCTATTTAAAGCTTTATAAGTCCTAAATGCAAGAGAAAAAGTGATGAAAGCCTTCGAATGGAGTCCTCTTAAATCCAGTATATCTTTTCATAGAGCTCAGAAGTCCTGGCAACACCTTTGCCTCTGCTCGCCTCCTTCAGCCTCTTTGTACTCAAATTCATATTGACTGAAGATACACTGATTTACCCTTGAGCTTTGACAAAAAAAGCCATCTGATGCTGCTCTTGTGCCATTTGTTAGCCACTTAAAATGGTAAAAAGTTCAAGATTACAACATTAACTCTGCTAAGAATTAAAACATGAGTGGTCTTGGATGGGCTGTGGCCCTGCAGGGTGGAATGAAGCCAGGACTCACAGACTAAGTTATGAAACAAAAAGTAGGCTTGTTCAAATTACAATAAGGTTAGGGTGAGGGAGTCCCTCTGCAAGTTGTTATCACAAATAAAAAAAGTGAAAAGCATGATGTGTGTCAGCATGTGTAAGTGTGTGTAGGAATGTGTGAACATGTATTCTCTTATCAAACCCTGCAGTCCAGAAAAAATGTACAATATGTTTGAAATCCAGACAGTAAGAGAGACAGAGAATAAGGCACGAGTGTGTTGAGGTGAGAAGGAGGTCAGTGAGAGAGTATGTATTGCAGAGCTGGCATGTCCAAGCAATGGCATCCAACTAATAAACAAGTCGAGATATTATCATGTGTTTACTATCTGGTATGTTTGCCTTAACCGTTCTGCATCGCTTTCCTGCTCTCCCAACACCTGCCTCTTTTTCTCCACTCATTTCATCTCTTTTTTCAGTCTTTGCTTCTTTTAGCTCTACTTTCCCCTTATGCCTGTGCAGCGCGCACAAAGTGACACGTTAATGTGTTCAAAGGATTGATTGTCCCTCTTGGCTCTCCCGCTCGTCTCTTTTGCTTACACTGCCCCCATAAGTCAAGCTGTCATCGAGCTCGCCCAGTTGACCTTGTTAGGGACAGCCTACCGACGCTCACCCTGAAGTCCATGTAGCCCTGATATGTCAAGGGGATGATGAGTGTCTCCCTCTTGAGCTGACCGGGCCTACCACTGGGTGAGAGCCAGTGAGAGTTTTGTTGTCCGTGCCTTCAGGGGAATGTGTAGCAACATTTATATTAGTTGAGTCCATTGAGGCCAATGAAGAGTCAAGTTGCCCTTCCAGAGCAGCTTCAGCGGCCTGAATAAAAAATGATCCTCTGAACAAAAAGAGCATCTGGGACAAAGGCTCAGGAGGTATGGCCTTTGTAGTCAGTGCATCCAGTATTTGTATGCTGATGAATATGTGGAGACAATGTGGTGTGAATGGGTCAAAGGACCAACGAGACCACTATATAAAAACACTGTCCATGCACCATTTATCAGTTTAGGCTGTGGCCCTATCACCTTCTTTAGCTCAGAAGAAGTTTGTAGCAGCACCAATTTGCGATGGTAAAAATTAAACATGTTCAGTTTTTAGTATCAAATACCCTGTTGTGTGGGGAACACTTAGGACAGCTGAGCCCACACCCCACTGACTGTTATGCAGTATGAAATGTTAGCCAACCGAGAAGCAAGTTGGCCGAAGAAGGAAGTTCAACAAACACAGCCATGGCCACATCGGTGAACATGACGCACAAAGTCAGATGGACGTTAGAAATGGACCAACTTGTTGATTTGTCACAGTAACATAAGTATTTATACAGCATGTTCTGTAAAACACACCACAAACAAACTTGGAAGGAGAGAAGTTGAACAGAATCCACTACCACATTTGAACTGGATTACTAAGAAGGTAGCGACATTAAGCTTGACAACCATCCCGCTCTAAGCCTTGTTTGTTAACTGTAAAGTCAAGTCTGGCCGTGAAACTTTGTGGTATTACCAGCTTTGAGAGCCTCTGGTAGTTCATGGGAGGAATTTGTTGGTGTGTGGTGTGTTATTTCGGCCATATCATTGCTCTCAGCACACAAGAAGAAAGCTTTGAAATCTGCTTTTATTTGCCTGTAAGTGTGAATCGGGCTTTAGTCAGAGCCAGCATTTCAGGTATTATATTCAGGCTTTAAAGCCTCTTTTCAGAAACCAGTGAGAAATGTCACAGACCACAACCCTGTTTTATAAACTCAAGGGTTAAATCACACAGGATATAATTCGTTGCAAAGTCATTTTTTGAGTAGATATGGCTCCATATCAGTTACTGTTCTGTTGATATATAAATTCAGAGTAGAGCCAACTAACTTGATGCCAGAGGAGAGGTCAGAATACCACGGACTTATCATGGATCACTAACTTTTTTAGGCTCCACGTGCTGATGGTTCTTTCCAGAACGAGGTCAAACAAGCAGATGTATTTGTTGAAAGATGTTTGATGATGTAGGTTTTGTTCCCTGTCATTATTATCTTGACTATGCTTCAACTTCTCTACTCAACTGACCTTTTTTTATTGATTTCCCTTTTGTCACTTTACATTTATTACACACTGTGTTTTTGTCTTTTACATCTATTTGCTGCTCTTCTGTGTTTGTCTTGTCTTATCAATATTGTTATAGATCCATCACCAGTAAATGTAAATAAATAAGGGAAAACTAAAGATACAAATATCACCCTGTAACAGCAGTAACAAAGTGTTCTGGTTAAAACCACTATAACCCCTCTAAGCTAAAGGTGATCTTTTAAAAGACCCCTTCTTTTCCCCTATGAAAAACCACAACCCTAAGCACCTCATTTTGGCTGAATTATTGATGATTTAAACCAGCACTAAAGCAAACAAACAAACTGTAGTGAGGGGAACGGTCAGAATGTGCAGCAGATGACTTGATGATGTGGAAAATATGACTGTCACTGATTAGCAGTACAGAAGAGCGGGGTCAGGGCGGTCACTGCTGACTACCTTACATGACATGAGTCTAAGAGAGAATCAATGATATGAATCAACTCATTTGAGAATATAGGTTTGATTGTTTCACTTGCTTTTTTCACTGACCCCTGCATTAACTGTATGTAGATGTAAGGCACACTTTGCATGCACACTGCTCCACCTGCTGGTTGTATTAAATAGTGCCACAGTTGAACTATGGTCCTGATTTGTTTGGTGCTCTTGTTGACTTGAGTCTTTTATTTCATATGAGAACAAACCTGGTGAAACATGACTTGTTTATTTGATTATTTTAGTTAAGTTGTTGTATTCTCTGTTACTGCATTCGCATGTGTTATTTATAAAAATCCCCTGTCAACTGTATGCTTTTATTTTTGAACAATGGCAATTTTCCTCAACTATGAATGATGGAAATGCAAGTTTTGCATATGAGGTAAAGATACTGTGAAACATTAAAAGAGTAAGATGCAGGAATGTCTGCATAAGAGATGTGTGTGAAAGGGGAAAATATCTTTACCTAGCAGACATGATATTGCAGCTGCATGCTAGTTTTTCTTTCTCTCTTTTTTTTAACCAGATTAGGGCAGAGAAAAAAGAAAACTATGATGGTAAGAAGAACAGGGGGAGGAGGAGGAGGAGCAGGGAGAAGGAGGAGAAAGAAGAGAAGACAAAAGATTCATAAAACTTAAGCAGTTGTGGACGACAGCAAAAGTTGTGAGTATGACTTTATTCTGCTTCTTTTTTGCCTGATTTAGCGTATGCTGGAGAAATGCGCAGAGGTGCGTGTGAGGATGTGGAATATTTACAATCTAAAGATAGGACAGGAGAAATACTAAAAGGATGAAGATATGAAATGTAAAAAGTTGAGGCTCGACAGATATCTTCACTTAAGAATTGATAGTTCTGTGATAGGTAGTTGCACTGAAAGTTCTACAAGTATAACCGGTATTAAACATGTTAGTCTCATGAACAGAGCAGCAGAGGTATGCGAAGAGCTGAAGCAGGAGGTTCCAGCTTTGTAATTGTAAATGTGTGACTGACTCTGGAACAACTGGAGCAGAAAATGCACCAGTTGTGGCAAAACCTACAGGGGCTAGTGATGATTGTACAGTCGTAATATGTTCTATGAAAAGAAAGTTGGAGAAGAATGTGCGAGTGTAATAGAGGAGGGGCGGAGGGGTGTTCGGATAGGGCACAAAAAACACATTCTTGAGAGAGAACTCACGTCTTGGACTGCAAAGTTACACTGACACATCACAAGAGGAATGATGCAGGGCGGGAGAGAAGGAGAGGAGAAAGAGTAAAAAAAAGTTTAGGAGAAGGAAGGAAAAACATATCATAAAGGTTGTGGTAATTAAAAGTGTTTTCACATAGTTCCTCATCGGCTGCTTTCTGCCTGTCTTTACAAGCTGTGCAGAGTATGCAAGAATTTGCCACCAAGCAGAATATTCCAGGGTTAAATGACATCGCTCCAATAAAGATGACAACTTATCCAAAACACAGCAGCACTCTGTGTGTTTTCAGCCGGGGCCAAGCTGTAGGGAAAACATTACAGTGGCCCGGAACATCCTGAGCATTTATATGAAACATGATTAAAGGAAACATAAACAGCACAAAAATCCTGAGTGAGGATATTGAACAGTTCCACTCTGTGAAATCACCCCGACTCTCTTCCTCTTCGGTTTCCTCCAGCTCGTAAAGTTTTTACCCCTCACAAGTTGAAGGAATGGGCAGCCTTCCAGTGGTCCTGCTCCTCTGCAGTTTCCATGGTAATGCTGCCAAACAGAACACACAAATCATCTTGTTTAATTACGGTTGAGTCGCTGTGTGTTTGTTTTTATGCTGCGAAACACTCCCCTCATGTGGTTTCTGTTCCACAGCACTCACAGCTGTCGCCCAAGCCCAGCAGGCTGGTAATGCTCACACTTTGAGATCAGTTATATGATGCACTACATCTGTCAGTCTGTGAGTCACTGAGATGGGTCAGGGGTGAGATGTTTTCCTAATCTGGTTGAGTTTTCTTTCCTTGTTTCCAGATGCCAGTAAGACACCTGCAGCCACCTTACCACCAAGTGAGTGACAGCAGACTGCAGATGACCTTTGACCTGCAACCTTAGAGGCCACATGAACCTCTGACACAATATCTCTTTGTGCTTCATCTTGTGATCCATAAATTTCAGGAGGTCATTCATTCTCTGTGTTTGCAGGCTGCAGAGAGGAGATGTATCCTTGCACCAGGATGTACTCTGTTCACCGGCCTATCAAGAGATGTATTGGTGGTATTTGTATCTACAGGTAATTTAAAACTATTGTATCAACATCAGAAGTGAAGTGAGTACTTTTACAAAAATACTTCTGACAAGTAAAAATCCTTTCTTTGTGGTTTGACTGAAAACAAGTTTTGGGTTAAAATGCTGGATGCCAGCTCTAAAGGTGGGCAACATTTCAAACAGTGAGGTAATCTTGTGCTGGGGTTATACTGGGATGAGATCAGAGGATGCTCTGAACAGCCTGTTCAAGTTTCAAGACAATTACATGAGAGGGATGCTAGACTGTCTGGAATAGTGAAATCACCAATTGGAGTTAGATGCTCGTTTTCTTTTTATTAAATCTTTTAAAAATATTTTTTTGAGTCAGAATTGGGGTCCAAAATATATTTCACAATTTCGCATTTTAAATAGAAAAACACCAGTTGGCCAATTTGGGGCATGGCAACAGTGGATGAGGTTTCCACTGTGCTGGGATTTGGGGAGTTTGGGCAGTGGGGCATTCAAATTTCAGATGACGCTGGTGCCTGGACACAGTGTACAATGACATTTGTGTCGATATACACTAAAACAACATTGGACCTGATGAATAATATGTATCTCCAGGCTTCAGGTGTTGGCATTGTCTACTATGATGGGTGTGTTTCCTATAACTTATGAGTCGTAGATTTATGGTCATCATTTGGACACACACAAAGCTACAAGTGTTTGTGTTGCTTACAGTCCAGTTCTAGCACAGAGGGTGTATTTGTTGTGTTGGTGGAATCAATGAAAGATTAAATTAAAAAATCTTATTTGTTTTGTTAATCTAATATATGCCCTCAGCAGAACTATTGTGTTAAAGCAGTATAACACAAGAGGTAGTGCTGTTATACCAACTATCAGCATGACTATGACTACACCCTGATTATACAAAACCTGCAAACACTTGTCTGTGACTAAATCTGGTGATGTTTTCTTATTGAACAACTGCTCTCTGTAAATGTCCCATTGTTTGTGATGCTCATGTTATCTTCTGTTTTCACACTACAGCCTTCCTCGCGTCTATGTGATTAACAATGAGATCTGTGTGAGGACAGTTTGTGCACATGATGAGTATCTGAAAGGTGAGGCATTCAAGTAATAAGTATAACATGTGGTACGCACTGTGCTTCAACATTTGCATTTGTTGCACCCTACAGCTGAACTGTGCAGAGAGTTGTCCGGGTGGCCCAGGCGCGTTGAGAGGTCAACTTATAAGAAACGCTGTCGCAATCGTCGTGGCAACCCCAAAAACTGGGCCTAAACAGCACCCAGGTTGGCATAATCAGGAGTAGTTAGGATGGATCCCCATAGAGACGCACACCAGGAATGTTGTTATAAAGGCAGCCCGTAACACCATAAATCCACCACTCAACAGCTGGGGGTCTCCTCCTTTCTCTTTACATATACACACGAGTGATGAGTCATATCTATGTTCATGTATTAGTCTTTTGTGGGTGAATTCTGAAGGTTTGCTCATTTCAGCTGTGTGTTGTTGGACACAGATCATGTCTTCCATGGTTTACGATCCATTTAAGGTACTGTAGTAATGGGCCTATAGCAGCACTGAGTCATTTCATTGTACAAAGAAAGACCCTCTCTTTCCTGGATTGTAAGGTACCCATTCACAACCCAGTCTTATCTGCACTATTGTAACCAAATATAAAACTATTTACACCCTTAACATGAAGATATGTGTGTTTCTTCTATCAGCCTCTTTTATTGTTGTTCTATTTAAAAGGCAAAACAACCAAACCAAAGTTATGGTCATCAAGTTATGGTCATCTTTATATTTTTCTTTGCATATTCATTTTCCATATACATTTCCATACACATATACAGATTGGATAACAAGTAACATTTGGGAAGGATACAGAGAAGTTCAACCATGAAACAAACACAGAAAAACATTATTACACTCATACAACTTCTGTGCTCTTAGGTGTTTCTTTACTGGTTAATGTTTGTTACTTGGTTAACAAGTTCTTGAGTTGTTCCAGTATACAAAAATACCCCCTAAAGTTTTAAAATGGCTTTCTGAGAGCCCAGAAGTGATGTCTTCCATTGTTTATACTCTTTTACCAAGAGCTGAAAACCAAAAGACTTTCACAAAGGAAGGAAGAAGAAAAGCAAGCCCTTTCATTTCACCAGCAGATTTGGATCATTTTGGCTTGAATCATTACAGAAATCATCAAGTATCGATCGAAACAATTTTCAATTTTACGACTTTCAATTAAAGAAAAGATAAACATTTCAAAACTGTTCAGATCCAAATAATATCTGTCATTTCACACACGTTTGTATGTCATAACATACAGTACGTGCATATGATATCAAAGCAACATAATCTGTCTCTGTCAGGATATTTCACAATAACACTCCATCTAACACTGACAAGCTTGGTCTCACGTTGAAATTGTCTGAATCAGAATACCTTACCTTATAATATTACACCTTAACATGGCATCAAAGTTCACAGTTATACCTAATTTGTACAGTACAACATGCTGCTGTTGAGGTCTATGGCCCATTCACCTTAAAAAAGAACACACAAAAAAAAGCTAGAGCTCTTCTATCAAAAAGCCAAGTATGGCATTAATATGTATATGCAAAACTGTGGTTCTGAATCTGCAGCTGCCGACTCTGCCATCGTGATATTCAATTATGGCAGTCATTTTTCATAGCAAGTATCTCAAGATCCCTGGTTGGTTGGTTGGTTGTTTCTTGGTCGCCTGGTACTGGACTTGTATTTGTTTTTAAACCTGTTTCAGTTCATTTTGTTACAACAAGACTGGTTACAATCAAGTTATCAAAGAAGTGTTGTGTTTTTTTCAGAGAGGTTGGTCCTCTATTTAAACAATGAAGATAAACACAAGGCATGAAGTAACTACACACTTTACTTCTGTCTCAAATTGGTTTGAATAAAGTCTGATTTATTTTTCTTGATGCAACAATTCAGCTAAAATTAGGTGCTAAATTTGTGCTGAGGCATTGCACTCTGACACGGCACCAATGATTTCTGAAATAATTTACAGTAATGAACATTTGGTTAACTCATGATAACAAGTCAGATATCTATCTTGTATTATCAAGATGGCAAAAATATAATTGAGATCTCAAGATATCAACACAAAAAAAGATAACTGCCGGCATCTCCTTCTCGATTTCTATACTCCCAAGACTGAGAGGATGGTGGAGAAACACAGACTCATTCATTGAGCAGAGGAGAGGTCATGACCTGAATGACTCACCAGTCACAGCTTTAACAGCTGTGCTAAGTACAGATGACATAACATGGACTAAATCATCTCAGTTTCCCCCTGGGACGAAGATAAAAGCACTTGATGCTTTTGTAACACACTCGAGCATCTAACCTCTTCCTGATTTCCCATCAATGAGTACTGATCTACTGTAGAATTGATGAGAATCATGCCCAGGACGTAGACCCAGTGAAACAACAGCTGTAGCTGGATCAGACATCTCTTTCAAAGAAGAATGCTGTAGTGCCAAAATAGCCCAGCAGAGAGCGCTATACTCATCTATACCACAGAAGAGCCACAGTTTTAAAGTTTGTATTTTCAAGTAAATCATTCAGTGGTAAACTTCACACTGGCCGACATTTAGGTTTTGAGTGATCTCTGCTTTCAATGTATTACTAACTATGTAGACAGAGCAGACTGCCAGTCAGTGCATATAGTCAGTCCCACTGCTGGGGACTTAGGAGAAGAAAAACTACAGTACTTACAAGTGACAACACCACATACTATATTTACCTACTACTTTACCTACTAGTATATACACATGGAAAATAAATATTCTCTGTACATAAAATTAATCTGATAATATATTTAAATACACCTCATGGGATGTCCCCCATGTTCATGTTTCTACTGAAGATGAGCAAATAGAACATTTAGAGAGGAAGAAAGAGGGAAGGACAGAAAGAAGAAAACAGCAGAGCTAAAGAGGACTTACAGAAGAGAGCAGAGCTCCCTTAGAAGAATGAGGACAGACGGATGGAAATGTTCTTAATTATTTTGATTAAGACTTAACTGTGAGGTGTAGATGGATATGGCTAGGCACAAAGCCACAGGGAACTAAACTAAACCAAAATTAACCTCGTTTGGGACATTACCCTGCTTGGCAGAGAGAGATACAGGACCCCATAATGGGGAAATCAAAGATGCAAAAAGAGCTGCATAAATTTACAGAGAAACAGGAGGGAGAAAAACAAAATTCATCTCTCCTCACTTTGGGGTTACAGAGTCAAAGTCTCCCCACAGGTCAGAGCTGGCTGTAGTGGTGGTGGTGGTGGGGTTGAATGGATCTGCTGAGTTAGAGTTGCTGGAGTCCAGGTCTAGTAAACAACCTGGTGGTCAAAAGAGCAGAATAAAACAAAATGAAAAGTGAGGAAAAAAAACAAGATTGCTGACGTGTTTCTTATTGTTTGAAATTGGTCTGGGAGTACAGTCATTTAAGACTGAAAGTCACGCAGACAGGAAAATCTTTTTTACAAGAATAATTTTACTTGTTAAGATTTGAAAATTTGACTGATGAAGTCTCATATAATGACTATTCTTTATGGATGTCTCAACAACCTCACCTAAACCTGTGATTAGACGATAACAGATGTTTTTCATTCTATATTGTGACTCTCCCTGTTATGAGAAAACAAACTAGAGGCCTTGATAACAGCAGGCAAATAACCTCCTCAGTGGTCCACAGTATAATGCTACTGATACCTACCAGTGTCACTTCCTCCTGCAGGTGGTTGTTGTTGTTGTGTGTTATGATTAGTAGATCTGGATGAAGGAGGTGGGGCTAACTTGCCCCCGGGAGGAGGTGGGAGAAGCCCAAAGCCACCTGAACTCTGTGGACGAGACCTGTCCTTCTTTTTTGATTGCTGAAAAGTAAAAACAGAAGACTGGGTTGGTGTTGGTGTTCATACAGTAAAGTCACAGACGTCGCAATATAGAGATCAAACAAATTAGGTCAATGGAGAAACATTTAACAGCACTATGTGATCGTGGACCAAAGAGCTTTGGGGACTCCCTCAGAGAAACTGCCCACTTGGGAATTCCCCTGAGGACTTTGAAGGACATACCTTCAAAGGCTTTTCCTTAATTACATTTTTATTTGCGCCGCTGCAGTGACGTAAGCTGACCACAGTTGGTATAGCAACACCACATACAACAAGATGATAGAGTTTACTGTGGTCAGGGCAGTGTGATAGTTTGGTGTCATGGAATGATGATAATGATGGAGTTGGAAAGAAGATGTGAGAATATGGACTTTGCCACAAATCCATTTTGCCTTATTTGGTTCAGTTTTTGTGGATACTATAATAAGTTATTCACACAGTTGTTTTTTAAAGCATAGGATAATCTCTTTTACCAGTCATCATGGGATGACATCTGAAAAGAGCACTATAAATTGTGTCGCTCATGGTGCACCTTATCTACATTGAGAGCTTAAAGTCTCTCTGATTGGTGTAAGAATTAACTCAGTTTATTGTGAGCACAAGAAAAGGGGAAGGGTCTTCCAACTCATTATAAAGCTAAGTCCCTTTGTTTTAAAAAGACTGTCCATACTGTATCTTGCTTTCAAAAGACTTTCAGTGTAGATTATTTTGATATTTTTCCAACTGTCAAGACTCAAAAACACATGGAGGTGGTGAATATGAACGAGATTCGAATACATGGTTACCCCAATATTGAGAGTAATGGTCTGTCCTTCTTTGAAGCCAAGGTCCAGTTTAGGAGTGATATCCGGAGCCTGTGCCTGCTTAGAAAATTCATCTTCCTGTTTCACCCACCTGGATGAGATGATACAGAAATGCAAAACAGATACAGACAGTTGTATAGGCAGTATATAAGTGATCTGTTTTGTTTTATGACACAATATGAAGCAGATGCATACTTGAAGTGGTCCTGAAGGGCAACGTTGAAGTCAAAGGCATCGCCTCGGTCTCCAAACCCAATGCCAATAAACGCACTGCGGCCTGTAGAGGAAAAAAACACGCAACTTCACAGGAGATGTTTCACATAAAAGGAAACAAAACCTCAAACTTTCATTAGAATAACATTTACACACAGCAATGAAAGAAAAATGAATACTGGTGCTTCTGGAAAGTTTGCTCTGACTTATCCAATGTGTTGTCCTCTAAATCATTGACACATCCACAAATATTTATGGTTCATGCTACAAAATTGTTTACCCACCATTGTCATCCTGGATTCGGAGCACAAAGTAACGGCTTGAGTCACTAACTGTTTCCACTGCAATGCCAGGGTACTCTTCCACTGGTGCTTGGGCAAATAGCTCCCCTGTAGGACAGAGCAAAAGGATCATGTTTGCAACCTTATCTATTCTGTTAAATGGGCCAAAAATAAAACAGATGGATGTTTTACTCAACAAGACCTCACGTCTGGGATTCATATTATATCAGAATGGCTATAATTTGAGTGAGAATTTCTGCTGGAAATATACTGAGAAATACAGACAGAGAATATCAGCTTGTTTGGTTCAAAATAAAATGCCTGCTGGACGTGGGCTGGGTCACCTTGGAATAGATGAGTAACAGAGAGGGGGGTGGCAAGCAGGAGACTACACAGTGAAATGATTTACAACAGCAGGAGTGCCAGTAAACAATGACAGTGGTCTGTCTGCTTTGTCCGCTGCCTCACCAGAGATTTTGTCTTCCAATTTTACGTAGGCCACTTTGCCGCGGGCAGTCACACGCATACGTCCTGTCCAGTCAGGAGCATCTAGCTTCCAATCAGCTGCCCTGGGACACAAACACACAGGCAGTCAGGGAGATGGTGTTATTTAGATGGAGGGATGACAAGGCAAGGAGACAGGAGACAAGATAGGAGATCTGTGTTTAGCGCGCGGCTGTATGCAGTGTTTCTTATTGTTGTGATTGGTTCAACACAGACATTCACTGTAGCTCTTTGTTTTTATATGTAAAAGGAACGTGACTAAGACATCAGTCAAGCCCTTCACTGAGACCTTAGGCTGAAATATTACATCATCACCCTTACTCACCATGCATATGGTCACTGGTTAACCAATCATGAGTCTCATGAGAGTTAGGCCTATGCTACTGTTTGGCTGGTGTGATATCCACTCAGACGCAGCTGTAACGGGTCAAAATAAAGCACCAGCCAATGAAAAATGGGGTAAACAATTCGATGTCACCCTCCTAAACACTACTGTACTTATCCAGAATGGTCACTTGAAAGAATGTGAAAGATGTTAGACAACAATGTCTTGCAGTTATCAAATAGATTAAACCCCGCTTCAATGTCCTTGAGCCACACTTCTTCAAAGCTTCAGGGATGCTGCCCTCCATACAACCAAAAGCACTACGGTCTGACAAACAAACTGAGGATATTTTGACCAAATAGGGTGTCGATGCAGTCAGAGTTGGCTTCCTCAAAAATAGCACACACACTTTTTAATGGATGTAATTATCTCCTGGCATCTCCTCTAACAGTGATAGCGGTGTTGTCAATCCAAACCAATCCAATCTGTTTAATGAGCTAATGGAGTGCAGGTGCAAACAGCCACCGTTAGACGCGTATTTTCCACAGTGACCTTGTAAAATCACCGCAAACACAACAGAAACACTACGGCCGCAGTTGCCCCGGGCTGCGTGATAAGGGGATGAGCTCGATAGGTTTGGGTCGCCGAGGCAACGGCCCGCAACGGCTCTAGCTCGCGGATGCTGGGTCAGGAAACTAGCCGTCAGGCCCCTGCCTCCCCCTCCTCACCTGATGGCCCGGTTGGATGCTCTCGGTGGGATTCGGTAAACGTTGACTTCAGGTTTGACACAGAGGATCGACTCGTACTCAGACTGACCCTCGGTCGCCATCTTGACTTTTACTTAGTCGGTGCACGCCGGTGGTGATGGTGGTGACGACGGTGAGTGGTATGTCCGTGCGGCTTTAACGGCTACGTGACCGTAATAGACGGTGTATTTGCGCACAACCACACGTTCCCATTGAAATGCAATGGTTTCAGGGATCCTTCAGTTTGGTACATGGGGTAAACTGTCATAGAGGATAGAGTTATGAGTCTGGTTAAGGACTAAGAAAAAAACTAAACAAAATCTTAACAGAGAATCAGGTGCTTGGGCTCATTTTCTAGTCAGATAGAGCAAATAATAAACGAAATATGTTGATATTTGACCACAGTGCAACTTGCTGTTTAAAGGGATATTCCGGCGTAAAATTAATTTTGGGTTAAACACACCGTAACACCGAGTTTGACACCCCCTCGAGAGATGAATGTTGCCGCTTGCTTCTCTAGTTTTACCAACTTTAATAGCGATCGCAGGATAGCAATACACAGCGGTCTGAGGAGCCACATACAAACTTCAACCAAAAAGCCACTCTATAGCCAAAAATAATGATCAGAACAGCACCTAATTTCATCAACAGTACACATAGAGTCCTAGCCACAGCACTAGCCACCAAACATCTTTTTAGCTTTGCCTAATTTCTTTAGCAAAGAGAGTAAACACAACTCACCTACTCTCCTAGCTTGTTTGTAGCGAGACCTCGGGCGAGTCCATTACGGACTGCAGCGGGGTGACGCAGCTCAAGGAAGAACATTCATGATCATTACTTTATCATTTCCTTGAAGTAATAATCACCACATCAATCATTTTGCACTGCAGACACGGTAGTTCTACTGCCTTAGCATGACGGTCCTATTTTATTTCTATGGAAAAATGATGATAAATGTTCTTCCTTGAGCTGCGCGACCCCGCTGCAGTCCGTAATGGACTGGCCCGAGGTCTCTACAAACAAGTGACTGCTGGAGGAGAGTAGGTGAGTTGTGTTTAGTCTCTTTGCTAAAGAAATCAGGCAAAGTTAAAAAAAGATGTTTGGTGGCTAGGACCCTATATGTACTGTTGATGAAGTTAGTTGCTGTTCTGAGCATTATTTGTGGCTATAGAGTGGCGTTTTGGTTGAGGTTTGTGTGTGGAGCCATAGACCGCTGTGTATTACTATCCTGTGGTCATTACTAAAGTTGGTAAAACGAAAGAATCAACAAATATGACAGTCATGGCCTAATTTTAGAAAGGATTACCTTAGCAAGGATAACTACAGTCCTTGCAAGCTAACATGAGCACTAAACAAACACATAAGTAAAGAATGACATTAGACATAATTTACTTTAAGGCAATATTGCTTTATTTAACATGGCAGCGGAAACAGCTAGCAGTGCATATAGTGACAGGCCTTGCTCAAACTTGAAAGCAGTTTCATCAGTTTTTCCCCCCTCAGTCTATCTAATTCTCAGTTTAACAGTTGTAGTGATGTAGCAACACCAACTTGTCTTTTCCCCCCTCACATTAATGACTAACTGGTAACAACAGAGAGGTCACAGGTGTGTTTCACAGTCCAAGAAGCTTAAAGGCGTCTCTCAGATCTTCTGTTTCACATGGCTGATAAAGAAAACAAGAAAATACATTAGGAATTTCAAGTAAATCACAATTGGTTTGACCTTATCTCACCAGTGTAAGTAAAACATGGAACAAGGTAAGTCTACCTGGAGGATGCGGTTGAGTTTTCGGGCAAGGCGGACAGAATTTTGGTGAAGTCCTTCCCATGCCTTAAAGTTGCTCTGCTTCCGAGCAACAAATGTGTGCCAGCAGTAAAAAAAATCTGAAAAGACAGAGAGAAAAATAATCCTTTCACTGGACAGGTGGAGAATAATCATGAGAGGGGGGAATGTAGCTTTTCAGCAGGCTAGTCTTTCCTAACTTTATGCCGGAATAACCTTGTAAATTTCTGTTGCCTATCTCTACCACTTACAGTACATTTTCGAGCACTCTTATGCCCTCACCTTTGTAACTCATGACTGAGATCCGAACCCCAGCTTTTTTCAGCAATCTGAGGCCCTCTCTTTCCCGGCTATCCTCCATGTCACAGAAGTAAAGTCGAGAAACAAAGATCCTAAGGCGGAGATTGGGTGTCTTTGTGAGGAACTGGGCCAGTCTGATGGAGCAGTTGGCACAGGGAGACCAAGAACAGAACCAGGTAATGGAGTAGCTGAGCCTCTTGTCTCCAGTGCCTCCATACCCCCACAGACCAGGGCACAAGGCCCCCAGGTAGCGTAGGAAAAGCAGCTTGTTAGAGAAAATGACATGGGTGCATCAGTGTTATTTTCTGCTTCTGCAGTGAACAGGCTCTTTTCATTTGTGGCTCTGGCCCCAGCAGAATTTAGCCCTTACCTCTACATGGCAGCCATTGCGGTTGCGAAGGTGACCAAAGTCAAAGGTTAAGGTGTCTGGTCCCACTCGTCTCTTGATTACAAAGCAGAGGTATGTCTCACACCGACCCTTTGCCCAGCGCATGTTCTTGAAATGGTAGATGAACTTCTTTCGTGGTAAAAGCACACTAAGGGAAATTAAGAGGGTGTATTTATTAAGTGTTATATGTTGGTGGTACAACAGCAAGCCCACAGTACAGTTCACTGATTTTCCCTTTTTTGAAAAATTTTAGACATTTATAAAACGGGTGCTCAAAGATACACCTGTTAACATTTCATCAGTTATAATGATAGTCTGAAGTGTTGCTGTTATTTTTAAACCCATAACCGCGAAAAATGATCAAAGGCAATGCCGGGAAAGTCTCAAACAAAATCTATCAGAGAGCTCATTAGAGTACTTTAAGCTTGTTATTCACATGACTCACTTATGAATTCAAGTTTGAATACAGTAAGGTAGCAAGTTTAAGACATGTAAAATTTGTGGTTAAAAAATGTGAGTGATGGACAGTCAGAAAACAACTTACACTCACTGCTTTCTTCTTTCTCTCAGTTTCACTAATGTTTGCGAAACCAGCACAGTTGTTCATTGCTCATTAATACTCAAACCACAAATGATACTGCTCATAGTGAAATAGTTATGAATAAAAAATCTTGTCCGGCAAATCAAGAATATCTCATCTCGGATTCGATTATTACGATTATTATAATTTTTGATGATTATTTCTGTAGTGTGTGCATAATCTGTGTAAACCCAAGTCAAAGAGAAAGATATATTCGGTATGTGTAGGATATATTGATTTTGCTCACCTGTCTAGCTTTGTGATCATTTTGAAAGACGCGCCTCTGCTTTGTCACTCGGCTTGCGCCAGTGTGAAATGAAGGTAAATGAGAAAGAGTGAAAGTGTGTGTGTGTGTGTGTGTGTGTGTGTGTGTGTGTGTGTGTGTGTGTGTGTGTGTGTGTGTGTGTGTGTGTGTGTGTGTGTGTGTGTGTGTGTGTGTGTGTGTGTGTGTGTGTGTGAGAGAGAGTATTTTAAGGGTTAAAGGAGGGAACTGAAAACATATACCCCTAAACATAAACATCCTGTACACAACAAAGGCAGCTTCTGGTTGGACAGAGAGATTTTTCAAAGCGCATTCAGGGGGCGTTAAACAAAAAAGAGAAGACTGGATCACGTTGTGCTGCAGCTAAGCAATTAAAGCCATGAATAATCTTCTCCTCTGCTGTTATTGTGAATGGCATTACTCATTTAAATTAGAATAGGCTCATATTATGATTAAAGCAGAAGCATTTTGTTGACCCATGCAATTAAAGAAGTTTATTGTGGAGGCAGAGTACACAACAAAGATTTCACTGAATACTCTAAGTGACCACACATGAAAGGACGAGTGTTTGACGTGATTTGCAACCTCTGGAAGTTTTCATAGACGTCAATAAACTAAGCCAACTAGCTGGAACTTTCCAAACACTCTAGACTGATCCAGTCAGAGGTGACCTTCACTTAGGTTTTCCCAGATCATAAAAATAAAACTTCCAGATACCTCCTTACCTTGATCCACAAAGGGATCCTCACCGATTCCTCCTGCTATTCAACCTTTCCACCGTGCAAGTCAAACCACCTCCTCCAGGGCCCCCAGATTTGGTGGAACCCTACAGGCGTTCCCAGACTTTGAAGGCCCTGACACCTTCTTCTTTCTCTGATCTGGGTTTTCCCAAACTGTGTCAGTCCGGAAGCAGGACTGTAATCGACCTCCTTCACCCTACGTGTCTGCTCGAATGTCCAGCCAGCTGACCGACCACAGTGTGTGTGTGGATAAATCTCTCTCATAAGCCTTTGAACCTTCATATGCTGTCATCCATCCTTGTGGAATCAAGATGTGTATTATTCTGCTTTCGTCTTTACTTTATTCTGTCTGTTTTTGCTCGGGCTGAGCCTACTCACCCAGTGGCAATGCATGCAGGCATCCTGCTTTCCCATGACTCCCCTCACCCTCTCATGCACTCTGTGGTTTGGGGAATTCACCGTTCCCAGGGTAGCTGTTTTTGGAGCTCATCTGTGTGTGTGCGCTAGACATCTGTATGAGCATATCATTAACACAGTCTATATGTTTTACATCATCTGGAACTAATTTATCTAATATATCCTATGATTGTACTGTGCCCCAAAATTCAAAATGATTTATGCGTGTGTGTGAGCATGCTCTCAGTGACCTCACATCATATTGCATTACTCTGACGGTGCACAAAGCCTGCACATTTGATCCTGTGCATGTGCCTTTTTTTTTTACTTCAAGGGGCTGATCAAATGATGCCAGATTACATATGTAGCCACTTCCCACCCAGCTCTCTGGGTTGACCACAGTTGACCAAGGTCATCTCCTATGCACTACCACTCAACTGTCTGTATGTGAGAGTTGTGGAGTAGTACAGTATGTCCAGAAATGTCAGTGCATTTAACCCGTAGTCAGGGGCAGAAACCGGGTGTAGGAAATGCCAAGTCATACTTTCCGAAACCCACCCGCCCACACCCTGCACACGCGCACACAAACACTCACACACCGCCATACCGTGCAGACACACGAGACCACAGTCACAAACAGACTTTCTTTCCAGTGTGTGAACTCACATCTGTTTCCTGACAACAATAATAGCTACAGATCAGTCGGGTAGAGGCCCAGCTAACAGGTGTCTGGTCTTTAATAGTCATGAAGAAAAAGCTTGATGACCAAGAAGTGTCACAAGGACAAATACAGTTTTCACAAGGTGAAAATGGCTTGACCACACACTCACTCGTGCATGTTACAACACTGTTTGCTTACTGGATGTCTCGGCTTTTTCGTCATAGTTAATTAAAGGACAGTGATTTTCCACTACAGCTCACATGATTACGAGTTTGCAGTACAGTGTAGGCCTTTATTTGTCTTAGGATCAGGTGAGATATGCTTCTTTCCCACACACATTCACATTGTACAAACATCCTGTGGTGTTAAACTGTGGCTGGCTATACTGACACTGTCTGAGGTTAGCAGGGGGTAGATGCGCAATGCAAGCGTGAGGGCTGCTAACCATAATAAGGTTAGCCTCAGACTGAGGCAGTGTGCTTAGTCACATAAACTGACATTCACCTGCAAACCACACAAAGTTGAGTCAGAATACCTATGCATATCGAATGTATTTAAGTTTCACTGAAGATCATTTTTGAAGGACAAATTAAAGACCAAGTAGATTTAAGTTTTAAATTCAGATTGCTCTTTTAATTCAGTATTTTTGAACTGCAACCAGGATACTGTCAATGTAAAGTAACCCATTTTTTTATTAAGAAAGTAAAAGAAGCTGTTTTCAAAGATAAATGTAATATCCTAAGTTTAGTTTTATAAGTTTTTTTAGGTAATAGTATGAAAACTCTGACACTGACAGATTCTAGCTTCAGTATGTGTCTTCCTTTGACACAATAAAAAACATTAACACCTTCATAGTGGCTTAAGATCAAATTGTCATTGATTGATTTCTGGTTGATAACTTATTAAACTGCAAAGGATTGCAAAAAATGCATGGTAAAAATAGTTAAATCAACAAAGACCATAGTGAGCCAAAATACAATGCGCAGTTTGATATTCCCATTGTTCATTTAAGAAAAACAATTTTAAAAAAATGAAATGAAAGGATAAGAAAATCAAAGCAAAGTAAGGTAGAGATGTTTCTGCAGACTCATGATTCCATACTGTCACTTGCAGCAATCGCACCCAAGGTGCACAGAGAGATAAAAGTGAAAAGTTTCTGCAGATACGCATAAACCACACACACTTCCTATACAGTAACTGTACATCCCCCTACACATTGTCGAGTTGGTCTGTTGCACATTCACCAACACATACTTACACACTCACATACCTTATACTGTGGTTGATTATATGAGAATAGAAGCATACAGACACATACTTAGAAATAAAAACCTTTAAACATAAATATTTTAATGAGTTACAAAAGATAGGAGAGAAGCATGATGGTGAGGCTTTATGATGTGACTTTGAAAACTTTAAATAATACATAAAATAAGGGGGAAATGGTACCTCTTTGACACAAAGATAGACAATATAGCTTAAACACACTGCAACACAAAAACAACTGTATATAAATAGCAGTATAAATAACAAAAAAGTTCAATAAATAACTGTTTCAAACAAAAATCCCAGCATGTCGCAGTGATACTTTAAGCAGAGATTCACAGCTTGTCTTCTTTTCTTTAAAACATTCCTCTGCTCCTTTCTCTCCATGAGTCCATCACTAACCAATCACAGGTCTTTGTAGAACACCTTGGTGAGTGGGTATCCAATAAAGCCTCTCTCTGGTGTCTCCAGCTTCCCCTCATGACTATCTTCTTCATCAGGCTCCTCACCAAGCTGTACATAGCCCAGCTTTCTGAAGAAGGCCTCTGCCACCTTTGAAGGATAGGGGACATGTGCATAAACTCGGTGTGTGCCAGTCTCTCTCTCTCTCTGCTCCAGACTCTGGACAAGCAGCCTGGCCAGGCCCTCCCTCCGGTACCAGCAGCCTGTCACCAACCTGCAGATCCTCCTGATGTATTTTTGTTCCTCACTTTCCCGGAAGATGCATCCAACTATTTCACCCTCACAGTCTGCTACCCAGACCTGTCCTGCTGCCTGCTCCCTATCTGGGTCGATCTTCTCCGCTGATGCATCTTTGTCTTTGAGTCCGATTCTGCGTCGTGGCTGAGAAACAAGAAAAAAAGTTTACAGCTGCAACATTCAGTTGCTATTATCAAGTTTTAAAGGCTTGTCATTTCTCACTTAAAAGTAGACTTACTTTTTTAGTTACTGGTGTCTTGCCACTTATTCTACCATAAGGATTTGGCAGTGTCTCATCTTGTGTCCCTCTGTAGCTACTACCCACATAGTCCCAATAAGGGAGGCTACTGCCCAGAACCCCTGAGGACCGTGGCATGGTGATCTTGAGATAGATAATCAGCAGGAAGACAGGGATAGCAAGTGCCAGGATGAAAGAATGGATAAGGCAGCGCAAGACTGAGGAGAAAACAGCCAGGATGAAGAGGCAGAGTGGACGAGTGAGGATGTGGAGGATGAGTCGGTTCTCTGTGCCCTCACAGCCCTCCTGAAGAAACATTATTGACAGCCAATAGTTAGTTAAGTTTATAAAAGCAGATTCAAATGAGACAGGAGTCAGAATCTTGACCTATTTACTGTACAAACCTTGATGAGGGCTTTGACTGCCTCTATGTCATCCTCCTTCATCCTCCTCATCACCACCTGGTCCAGCTCCAGCCTCACCATGTTTGGGCTTTATGTTCTCATCCAGTGTGCACACTGAGCCTGAAACACGCATTGAAAGTACATGTAGAGAAGAAGATTGACACGTGTGACAGTGATATACATTATGCAGGCTTGATTGATCATTGTGCTGCTAACTTCAACTGTTTAAAGCAGAAATGTTTTGGGTAAATGGGTCAGTATATTTCCTATGATTGTATTATGCAATGTAGTGGCCAACAGTGAGCCAGCAGTTACAATGTACCATCACTCCCACGCTGAATCCAAACAACAAAGACAGATACGGATTATGAAGGATTTGTATGTGTCACCATCGTTGTGTGCTTGGGTCATGCACGTCATTCAAGATTAATTTGCACGTTTAATGTTGGTCAGGACACGGACACAATGTCAAGCGAAAAGATTTCGTTTACAATCTTCTAGTATGGTTATTCCAAAGTACTGCGGTCGCTCCTGAAACGAACAGACCCCACTGCTCCTGCTCCAAAACTCCCACTTCCGCTTACCATTCAGCGCTATCCCACTTTTGCTGATACGAAAATGCAAAATACAGAAAAACACAAAGCATATTTACCTCTTAGTTTGATATTAATCCCATGCAGGCTTGGCATATATGATTGAATGGCAACAACTGTGCTTTTGGCGTAGAGGAGGAATTCTGGATACCATCCTGCTCCATTTTACGTCACGTCCTGTGTTGTCAACGTCCCCACGTACGCTATTTGCGTACGAGCAATACGCAATGCACGACGAAGAGTGCGTAATTGCCCAACACGAAGCTGCGTAAATGGCGTTGAAATGAAGTAGGCTGTTAAAAGTCTAGATAGTTAATAAGTTAATAGTTAATAAGGTTAAAGAAGTCAAAGTAAAAGACAAACTGAGAGAAAATCCGATGAGGAAATGTATTAAGATATTTATTTATAGTTACTATTGACAGTCGAGAAAACAGGCTATGTACAACATTCATATACACAAAATGTATTTACTTGATAAACAAACTGCCAATGACAGTATCGTTTAAACTGATATATCTGAGAATATTCAAGGGTCCATGAATAGCCTATTTGAATGTATAACATTTCTAGTATGTGGCACCATGGGATTACAACACATTTACTTGTATGTTCTTCCTCAGTACAAGGAGAACTCAATTTGACTAAAGTGCTAACAAACTGAGCCCACAGATAGAAAGACACTCTCATACACACCAGTTTTAACTAGAAAACTGCACCTCCTTAGAGTTCGGTAAAGGCCCATTTCTTCTCGTTTCTTCACTTGAAGTCTGTACCTCTGTGTTGTCTGTAGAGCCCAATGACTTATCCTTGGCCTCTGCTGTTACGCCCTCATATTTGACCTCACTGCTTTGTGAGATCTCTCCATCTCCTCCTCTCTCCATTCTTCCTTCTCTTAACCCACTGGTGCTAACCTCAATTATGACGATTTCCTCTCCACCCTCCAGCTGAAATAAACGATCCATGGCTCCACCACCCTCTGCAACCCCAGCACTTGCAGTATTGCAACCTGCCCCTTCTTCTCCAATCATCCCCCCTTCACCTTCTATAAGGGCTATCATCTGCATACCCCCCTCAGTTTCGTGCTCCATCTTGGTCTCACCCCCAAGTTCAAACACCACCTCCTGCCCATTGAGGGGCACCAAACTTTGGGTGGGTGTGCAGGAAAGCTGTAGGCTGGTTTCCTGCCCTTGGCTGAAGGTATTACTGGACTGGCTGCTCCCCTGTGCCTCTGTGTGAAAACGCAGGACATAAGACTCTTCCTGATTGCTCTCTCCTGTCTGTGCATCCACTTGCTTGTCTCCCGCCCACTCATGCAGGAGTGACATCACCCCTCCCTTATCTCCCCCCTTTTCACCCTCACCGTCTCCATCTGTCTTGAACTGCAACACAAGTGATTTTCCTCCCCCACTCATTCCTCCACCCTCACCTGATCCATCCCCTTGAAACTGTAACACATAGGATCCCCCTCCCTCTTCAATATTTATCCCCTCCTTTGCCTGCCCCTCTTTATCAAAACACAACACAAACTGTTTGCCCGACACAGTCCCCTCTGTCCTTGCTGGCTCCACAGAAGGGAGAGGTTTACTTTCCAGAGTATCAAGGGCAGGAGGACAAACTGATGTTGTGGTTGCTGTTGTTGCTGGTGTAATTGTGGTACCAGTCGATGGGGGTCCTGAGGTATCCACTGTTTGGGCTACAGAGGTGGGTAATGAGAGAACTGGGACAGTAGTGCAAGTTGTGGACAGAGGAGATGATGGTGATGGTTGTGACTCTGTTATAGTGTTAGCAGCACTCACAGTCTGTGTAACGTTGGTCATGATATTGTTGGTTCCTGACTGGGCTACACCTGCAGCCTCACTGACTGGTACTGATGCAGTTTTCTGAAGAGCAGCTTTGGGTTTACGTCCCCGTCTGCCCCGTGCAGTCCGGGTACTTTTCCCCAATATTGGCTTGGTTAGTAGGGAACTGGATAGAAGACTGTGAGTTGGCGTGGCAACATGAGTGTTTGCATTGTTATTATTGTTAGTGATGATGATCCTGGTCTGCTGCTGCTGCTGTGATATGGTCTGAATCTGGGGGATCTGGGTCTGGGTTTGGTTTAGGACAGGCTGGAGTGTTTGAAAAGACTGAAGCACAGGGAGGGTCTGAGCCTCTGGAGCTGGTGGAGGGTTGTTCGCCGCAGGGACGAGGATCAAGCTGGACTGACTGCCATTGTTGGAGGGGCACTGTACAAGAAAGAAATTTTGGGGTTGGGATAGAGGGGGTGGTGGAGGAGGAGGAGGTGGGGGGGCTGGTGTTGGAGATGACAGAGGAATGAGCTGTAGGCCGCTAACTGTTTGAATCATAAAGTAGTTCTGGGAGGTGTTAGGGGGAATATTAAGTGCTGGCTGGGACACAATCAGGCTGCCGTGGTTTCCTGAGGTTTCCAATGTGATGGGGTTGAGCAGGGTCGTGGTGGTAGTTACTCCTCCAACACTGGCTTTAACAGTCACTCCATCTCTACCTCCACCATTCGGGCAGGGCAGGGGAACACTGCTGCCATGAGTGCGTATGTGCCTCTGCAGGTAGGAGTGCATGACAAACTCCTTTGAGCAGTATGGACATTTGAAGTCCTTGCTTGAGGAGTGTGTGCGAAGGTGGAGCTGGAGGTTGGAGGAGTGTGTGAAGCTTTTATTGCAATGGGTGCACTGGAAGGGTCTCTCTCCAGAGTGGGTGCGCTCATGCTGCTCACAGAAAAGTAAGAATAAAAAAGGAAAAAAACATAAAAGGTTTATAAGATAAGAGCCCAACTGAAATTAAATCATCAAAACAAAAGTGCACAGGCTGTACTGACCTGTTTGAGGTTCGAAGTTTGTGAGAAAGACTTGGAGCAGATGGAGCAGGTATGAGGCCGCAGTCCAGAGTGCATTTGACTATGTCGTCGCAGGCAGCTGGTGTTTTTAAAGGACTTGCCACACTCCTTACACACATACGGCCTCTCGCCTGTGTGCTGCCGTAAGTGGTACTGGTAGTGTGAGCTCCATTTGAAAGTGAGAGGGCAGTGGGGGCACTGGAATGCCCTGACGCCTGTGTGAACCTGGGTATGATAGAAGTGGAAAGAATTTTAATGTGCACTTTCTACAGCTGTATTTATAGCACAAAAACCAAAGACTTTCTGCAGGGCAGTTTGTGGTTGTTATTTGATATGAAGACATAATTCTGAAAGTGTTAATTGCTACAAGAACAACTTAAAGTGCAGTGAAATCTATTTCTCCAACTTTTTTATACCTCAATGCAGCTCTTCAGTGCCAAGCAGGAAAATGTTTGAATGATGCAATCAAAGTTATTGCTGATACAATTTAAGTGTTGTGGGATATCAGCCACATAGTCACAGGAGAGTTTGAACCTCAAAGCGTGTTATTGCGTTGTATGGATTTTTTTTTTTTATTGCTTTTTCTATTCATCTGTTGTGGATTGCATTCATCCGCAGGGTGTGAACCACCCTACACAGCTGCAGTCCTTGTGAACTAGAGAAATCATAAATTCTAAGGTGACATAAATCATAAAATTAAGATCCCATATGAGAGATCTTTCATCTGGAAAATGAACTTGTGTGTTCACTTATGCAACAGAGGAATGAGTGAGTCTTACCCTCTGATGGATTGAAAGCAGTGATGACCTCTTAAAGCTCTTTCCACACTCTGTGCAGCGGTAGGGCCTTTCCCCTGTGTGATCCCTCATGTGGTACTTCAGCCCTGATGAGCCTTTGAAGGCTTTTCCGCATTCTGAGCAGCGGTATGGCCTCTCTGTGTTTAGAAATGTGGAAAATTAAAGATAATAAATGGCATATAAAACCATATCCCAACCATATCATGTGAGACGGCACAAGCACGTTGCTTTGTTTGTTGTTACAGCTGTGTGATCAAATCTCTTTTGTTGCCATGTAAAAGGCAGTGTTGTAAAAATGTCTACCTCCAGTGGGAGTACTCTTGCTGGCTCCTGTCTTTTTGGGGGCTTTGGTTGGTTTTGTAGGTTGTTCTTCCTGCTCCTCAGCGACGGTAATGATGTCGACATGGATTTCCCTCTGACCCTCCTGCTGCTTGTCAGCTTGGCTGGGAGAGGAGGGAAGGGGGAGAGACAGGGAAAGAGAAGGAGGGCACACTATCTCAGCCTCGGCCTCGGCCAGGAGTCTTTGCTCGGGAGTGTGGGAGTGCTGATGGGTTAGGAGGGAAGACAGAAGGGGGAAGGAGCGGTCGCAGGCGGAGCAGCTGAACTGGGAACGGGACTGTGATGACAGAGAGTGCATCTGCACAGGAAAAGAGTTATACACTTGAGACAAAGATAATTTCAACACACAAATCTCGATTAGTTTTTCTGGTAAAGATAGTAGAAATCAGCTATAAAAGGCATTCTCACCAGTGAAACATGTCTGTTGAGGCCTCCGCTGGTTTTGAAGGTCTTGTTGCAATAGCCACATGACAGCCCTGCCCATGTAGTTCTGGCCTCTGGCTGAACGGTCTCTGAGCTCTGAGTCACTTCGGTGAAGCTCTGCAGCAGGTCAAACTGAGCCTGGGTGGTGGCTACACTCTGAGGAAAAACAGAAAGAAGTCATGCATATCAAAACAAAACATCTCCTCAGATAAATGTTAAATACTTTGAAGGGTGGGAAAAAAACTTTTCTTGATCAACTTCAATTATAAAACACAAACAGAAGGGGTTCTTGGAGATTATTGTCACTGTGCACCAAACATACTACAGACAGTACTTAACTTCTCACATTAGCACCTTACTCAAAAAAACTTGACATTTCTCACTGTTTGTGTATTTAGCATCAGAGTTTCATTGTTAGCTGGTGTTATAATAATGGTTGTTTCTCTTTAGCTGCTTGTAGTTCTGATCACTTACTGTACTTCCTCCATCTGCTCCCTCTGTCAGGCCAAGAAGCACCTCTGTCGGGTGTCCATTTTCCCCAACTGTGGTTGTCTCCACCACCTCCTCAAAATCAGCCAACAGGTGTCCAGCTCCCACCAGTCCATCCCCAACCTCCATCCCTGCCCCAGGCCCCGCCTCCACACTGGTTCTCTGTTCTCCTGGAGTCATATGGATGGCCTGATGTTCCTCTAGCTCTGTCCGTGTACCAAATGTGTGGTTACAGCTTCCACAGCTGTACAGCAGCACACTGGCCCCTGTGTCTGTGCTCAGGTGAACCTCTGTCCCAATGGCCCTTGATGCACACACATTCTCTCCAGAGGAGGTAAGAGTAAGCTGGGGTAGAAGGCTTGGATTTTGACCAGATGAGGTGGTTGACAGGAACACTTCTTCCATACCTACCCCAACTCCATCACTTCCTTCCTGACTGACAAATCCTACCATGTCTGTCAACATGGATGATGTCACTTCTTCCGTCCCTACCACCACCTCCACTATCTCATTTCCCTTACTAGGATCTTCCCCCCTCTTTCCCTCCTTTGCTCCTGCATTGAGATTGGAGTGTGAGTTCTTGTGCAGCGCCAGGTTGGATGAATGCGTGAAGCTGCGTCCACACTCGCCGCAGATGTAGGGCCTCTCACCAGTGTGTATCCTCATGTGCTGCCTCAAGTTGGTGGACTGAGTGAAGGATTTGTTGCACACTGAGCAGGTGTAAGGCTTGAGACCAAGGTGGACATTTTTGTGTCTCCGCAGACTACTCGAATTCTTGAAGGCCTTGGGACAGGTGTCACAGGGGTATGGACACTCTCCAGTGTGCTGACGTAGGTGATACTGGTAATGAGAACTCCACTTAAAGGTCAGAGGGCAGTAGGGGCACAAAAAGGTACGGACTCCGGTGTGGACACTCTGGTGGACCTAGAGATATACAACAACAGGGATAAGAAATCTGTCTCTAATTTATATGAAATCCTGTCCAGTGTTTCCCCCAGGATGGGAATCTAACTGTGGTGGTGAGTTAATGGAGGCTGGGGGGTAATGAATCAGCAGTGACACCGTCGACAATAAATCCTAATACAAGGCGCATGCACGTATGTATACCAATGCATATGAGTCCAAGATAGAGCCACGAAAGAAAACACCTCATTTTAAAGGTGTGGCGGCTTTTATTTAGCTGTGGCGGTGTGCCACGTTCAATTGCATGTAGGGGAAACCCTGCTGTCCTTGTAAAAAAAGAAAAAAAAAATCCTAGTCTTTTTAACAACCTTGTTTTTGATGGCTCACCTGTAGCAGAGAAGAGCGTTTAAAGGCTTTACCACAGTCCTTACACTTGTAAGGCTTCTCCCCTGAGTGAGACCTGCAAAACAAACGTTACAATTCAAAAGATGGCAAATACGTAATAGACATACTGTTTGTAAATGCAGATGTGCTATATGTTGTAAAATTATGTTGCAAAACTTTTCATTTAACTGCTTTTATTCAAGATATCAGAGCTTGGCCAGTCGGGGACTATTAAACCAATACCAACAACCATTTTAAGTGGACAATTACAGCACAGTTCTGATATGGTGGCCACCACAGTGATATCTCTTTTTGGACTGAACAATGCTTGGCAAAGGTATATCATTCTAAAACCAGTGTGCTCTGCTAGTATAACATTATATATATAATTATAATACTGCACTTCAGGCATGAACATAAAGATAAAGCATCTTCTGTGCAAACATAAACGCTGATACAGAAGATACCTTTGGGAATTTTTGAGTGGACATAAAATAGACATGTGCAGTGGTATGACTATGGATTAAAACTGCTTCATCAACAAACAACTCTGGTGCAGAGGACCATGTACTCTGCTTTGATGATCTGCTGCAGAATGTGTTCAAAGTGCTGTTGTAGGTTATGAAGTGATGCTGGGATTTCATTGGAAATATTAAAAACTGACACCATTTATACAAATGCACAGGTATTACATTATCCTTTATATGTTTGGTAACAAAAAGTTTTATATCTACACATTTTAGAAAATGCTACTTGAGCTCTACTTAAAATTTGATGGATGCTATTTAAGATTTTATTGGTAATACCGTTGGTGGTACAGCAGTGCAGAGGAGCCCTTGAAGGCCTTGGGACAGAGGTTGCAACGGTACGGCCTCTCATTGTTGTGGCTCCGCTGATGGTGGGTCAGCCTGGAGGACCACCTGAAACTCTTCCCACAGTCCATGCACTGAAAGGGATGGTCTGACTGCTCCGCCTGCTGGGCTGGCCCCGACACAGACGAAGACACCATGTCCAGAACCACCTCTTCTCCACCCTCCACTACTCCCTTGTCGCCCTCTGTCAGTTCCGCTCTCTCCCCATCATCCTCAGCATCCTCCCCTGAACCGAGGAGGGAAGGGAACGGAGACAGGGAGGTGGTTGACTGAGGTGGTAGAAGTTCAGCTTGGACCACCAAGGCCACTGAGTTGGCCATTAGAGAAGTACAGATGAGGGGATTCCTTAGCAGCAGTTGTGGGTCAGTTTTGGTGCAGTCAGTGTCATGGTTTCTCTTTCATCTCTTCATGTTTATATGTTGTAGATCTGGATGTCTCTGCTGTCCTCTCAGGATGGGTCTGACAAACTGAAATGGTAATAAATACATCATTTACTAAGACTGTCCCCTTTAAATTCCCTCCTCTGTCTCCCCCTCCCTCTTGTCTATGAAGCAACCCCCCCACCCTCACCCTCACCACCCCCGCCCCCGCACTTTGCTGTCTTTCCTCTAGCCGTCAGTCCGGCTCTGTCCGTCCCCGCAGTGCGGTGCTTACCATCGATGTACACACAGAGGTACAAGCTAAGTTACACATTCAATTTCTTTTTAAGTGCACAAACGGGCTGATAAGCTCTGCAGGCCGACAGGAAATAGACACAGACAGAAAATGAGTCTTTACATTGTCTCCAAAAGCAGACACTGGCCTTCATTTAAAGCTAATCTGTCCTCACCAATGCCGAATAGCGTCGTTAAACTGCTAAATGCGGATGTGCAGTAATACAGGCGGAAGCAGTACTCACCGCGTATCTTTAACTCATCTTAAAGCTATATTGTTGATATTTTGAAAAGGAACTGTGTACCGCAGTGCTAATCCACACAACCTTAACAATAAACACAGCGCAAACTAACAGCAGTTCTCCACCCGATGCCGCCTACTAAGAACGGCAACGGCGATTGGCTGTTGGCCACTGTAGACGCGTTACTTCGATTGGTTAGGCACTTCAACAGACAGATTGATGTCTGCAAACCGTTTCTAATATTTTTTCAAAAATCTAACCATAACCAAAATCACATTTAAGATTTTTAATGTGAACACTGAGGTTGTATAAACATTTTGACACATTTTCACGACGGGTATTTGTCATTTCTAATCAGACTACAACGTAAAGACTTCTGGGTAACGTAGTACCGGTGTCTTGCTGCCTTAACTCCAGGCTGAACACAGATGGCTTTGCCTGTTATGTGGATGATAAAAATCAGGGGTGTCAAATTCAACCACAGCAAGGACCATAATCTGGATTTAGGTTTAACCCGAGGGCCAAACAGGGTCAACATTTCACCCAAACTGTCAACCTCCTTTTCAAAAAGGCAATCTGAGATTGAAAAAATCTTTTATTTTTATTCTATTTTTTATTATTTCAAAAGATCAGAGCATGATATTAAAAATAGAAAAATAAGGCTTTTAAAGAGCAAATACATGAGCAGAACATTGAAAGGTCAAAATGTGACGTAAAATTTAAAATTAGAATCTAAAGTATAAAAATGACACAGGTCTAAATACTGAGTTAAACCAAATAGAAGCATGAAATAAAAAATCCAATCATGTTTGACTTGTAATCTTGAAATGCAAAATTGAAAACATGAAATAAAACACCAAATATTTCTTCCCTTACATTCTTGACTACTTATCAAATCTCCCTTACTCTCAATTTCCTAAATTTTCATGGCTTATTAAGGACATTTTAAATAATGGTGCTAACGTTTACAATATTATACTGGAGGAAATCTGCAGACTTCATACCGGTGGGCCAATGATAATACAAATATGATATGATCTTGTGGGCTAGATATAATTGTTCCACGGGCCAGATTTGGCCCCCGGGCCTTGAGTTTGACACATGTGATAAAAATTTACTGAAGATAAACTCAAATCCATTGTGCACATTCTGTAGTATTTATTTCACCAAGGCACATATTTCACATTGAGGCCAATCAGTGTGTGGAAGAGGCATCTTGATGTAACAAAAATAATTTAACATGATGGTGTAATAATAATAATATTAATAATAGTAGATAAGAATAAAAACTGTATAAAAGTACAAAAGATAGGAGGCTTGCTCCACCAACACAAAATAAATAGTTCCACCAAGTTACTTAAATAAATAGTCAATACTGTAACAAATACTAGAATAGAAATGAACAAAAATTAATAGTGATAAAGTTGGTAAAGTAATCTATGTTATATTGTAGAAAACAACATAATACACAAAAGTGTTGTATACAACAATTTACATTCTTGTACACTTATGTACACCTGTACAGAACATAGTGTCACAATACATAGTATTTTAAGGCTTTGGGTTTTATGCTAAAAATAAAACTACCTTTTCTACCCAAAAGCACAGGTTCAAAATCAGCCCTCTCACTCATCCAAGAGGCTAATCCCAACAAGTTTGTGCAAAGAATCTAATCAGGTCCATCAGTGCTCGGCAACAGGGCACATTCATTCAACTTTACCACAATGTTAAATATGCCTCCTCATGCAGAATGCAAAAAAAACAGGCATTAACAAAAGAAATTTTACCTGTGTTACAAAGAACAGCACTTCTCTTTGGCTACTTTTGTTTGTTTGTTTGTTTTCAGATAAATGTAAATGCAAATTGAAATCATAGTCTATCAGCTGATACATTAAGACGTGGCACATTTTGAACATTAACAAGATATGTTTACTTTAAGGACACTGTACGTGTAGAGTTACAGAAAACCTTGGCGGTCTGAAATGTTTGCTACATCTACTGGAAGAGTATTTGCTAGAGAAATACACAAATGCAAAGTAGATTAAGTCCATTTACACAAAAAGAAATAATCAGAGCGATAGGTTCAGGAAGTGCTACTGTGTTTTTCTTGAGGGTCAGTGATACACCAGACAAAAATAAAGATTACAGAGATGTGGGCAAATAAATTCACGTAAATACAGATAACAGGAGAGAGTGAAACATTACAACTTCAAATAAATAAAATTAAATAAATTACTAACAACAATAAATAAATAAATACATAAATAACATGGTCACGAACAAGGCCTTTAGAGGAGAGTTTGGGGAGTTGTGTGATCACTGTAGTCAAATTGGCAGTCTGCATTAATGGTTTTAACTGTCTGCAGTGTAGTGCATCCTTATTGGCTCTAATGGAAAGACACATTCTTCAACACACATGTCACTGGTTGATGTTCAGGCCGATTAAGGCATGCTATTGACTACAGCGCACACTGACATGGTCCTGATTCCCCTTTGGCTGAGGCGGGACTCTCTTTATCCTCCCTCACTGGCTCTGCTGTGGAGCAGTTGTAAGGAAAAGGATAAATGAGCTGAGATCATCATTGAACTGCAGAGGCTTTGGGCTTGAGGGTGAGGAATGCTCTGTACGCCCAGTCACAGAAGAGCTTGAAGTGTTGAAGTAGCTCATGGCTGGACTGCAGGACATCAAACTGGTAGGTCAGGTGAGGGGGGAGGGAAGGCGTCGCTGGGGGTAACCTGGGTGCTTCAACTCGCAGCATCTACAGGCGTAAAAACAGGGAGACAGATTGATTAGAAAAACAGCTTTTCAGGGTAAATTTGTATCGATGTGACGTCACACACTGGAGACAATTTAGAGTCAGATGTAGAAATTGAGCTTTGTACCTGACGGTGCAGCAGGTTAATGAGAGATTTCATTTCTCTGATCATCTCCACCAGTTTGGGCACAGCAGGGTGGTGGTGCTTCTTTGAAACTTTGTTGAGCCACTCAAAGTGGTGCTCGTACAGCTTCAGGTCAGCATGCAGCTGAGAGAGTGTGGGCTTCAGCTGGAAAATACACAGACATACTTTAGAGACTTAGCACGGGTGTGGCAAGATGTAACAGTATGGCTAGAAACAGGGCAGACAGACAGCACGCACGCACACACACACTCACACACATACACAAACACATTTACACACAGTTACATTATCAGAGCATTACCTCAAGATTGCTGAGGTCATTGGCTGATCTGTTGCTCATTTCTGGCAGAGACCTGAACCTGTGTGGCTCCACGTCTGAGTCAAACGCATGCTCCCTCTGAAAGAGAAAACAAGACACAGAGCGGCCCGTCAGTAATTTGCATCAACACAATTTAACCCATCCTGAGACAAGTCACGGCAACATGAGGAAAGTATTAGTGCAGCACCTTGCTTGGGTGACTGTTTTCTGTGCTTAGAGACAGTAGCTCTTACTGAAGGGAGTGCGGTTGATCGGGTCAGTGTGAGTTCACCCACATTTAGCCACCCCAAATGTCAACAATGAGAGCAAATGACCTGAACCCACAGGATGTTTTCTACAGGGAGCGAGGATAACAACATATGCAGTGACTAAGAAAGCTCAGGGTGCAACAGACAACACAAGGCTGTAGGGAAACTCCAGGGTCACAGCTATAAAAAGATGGAATGACGCAGTACAGCTGCCCAGCCAGAGTTGTGTGTTGTAAACTAAGTCTAGACAGCAGATGTAGTGCCTGTCACAGCCACTAGAGGGGGACAAAGAACCTGATTGCAGGCCTGTAGGCTTCTACCTTTACAACTGCAACAGCTCTCATCAGTAGTTTAGAACTAAAGAGGTGCATCAGAGTCAATAATGAATGGGGATGAAGATGAGTGATGTGGTGTGCGTCATTTCTAATCAGTAGAGGAACAAAACAGCAAAAGGACGATAATTGCTGACAATTTTTTTGGTAAACAGGTTGTGTGTGCTTAATGCTTCCTTAACCTGTTTTTCAGTGAGTTCCTTGCACCGCTCTTTATCTCCGATTGTTTATGTTGTTGTTTTTTAGTGATGAATGTGCTGCTTTGTCTTCCTACGTCTTTCCATCAGCCTCCATAAGAGCTACCTTATGTTTGTGGTCTGATGTTTTGTCTCTGTATCTTTTGTCCCCTTCTGTCCCCTACCCTCGTCTCTCTTCCCCCCCTTCTCTTCTCTCCTTTCTCTCCCTCTCAAACCAGGTGCACAAGCACATCCAACGTCACACGCACACGTGCATGCATGCACACAAATACACCGCTGGCTTGTCATCTAGTTGGCCCTCTGATCTCTTCATCTCTTGTGGTTTTCGCTCCCTCTTTCTCAGCCTTTAATTCTCCCTCTTATCCTTTCTTTTCTTGCTCTCTCTCCATCACAGATCATGACCTCACCCGACAGAACTCAGCATCCAGCCTTTTTTCTTCCTGAATGCAAATAATGGAATGTGATAAATCTTTTCTGATTTTTATCAAGCCACTTTGCTGTGGAGACCAAAGGTAAAACACTAAACACCACACTTACACAAACATGACTATTTACAGAACCCTCACAGCACACAACACACTGCCACAAAAATGCATACACAGAAATGCATGCACACATATACACATTTGCACAGATACTGTATGCACTTAAACACTTACTCACACGTACAAAGTGGCTTCGGAAAACTTATACAGACCTATGTGTGTAAACAGACTCACACACACGTTTCTCTCTCTCTATAAAGCATCAGTTTCATTGCTTTTTTGCAGGGACTTTCCATGGATTCCTATTCTATTTATCTTTCCTAATTTTGACCTCTTTTTAGTGGAAATCCACACAGTATGGAAAAAAGAATTAAAAATACATCTTCTATGTTTTTTAAACACTGTCTAATACTGTTCCAGACTCTCTTTGATAGTGCTGGTTTGTTCGCATACAGTTCAAAAGTCTGACTTCTGCTTCACTAAAGTCTTTAACATTGTTTTAAAGCAACAAACACACACTCACTCACACATACACACACATTTTGACCATTATCTACTAGCTGAGACTAGAGAGAGTATGCAGCTATTTTTGATTTTATCTCCTGAACAAAAGGGTTTCAAGATTTGCATAATGCAAAAATAGAATCTGGATCGGTCATGTGTAACCAAAGATGCTGAGATAAGATCCCGCTTTCTTTTCACCTGTTAAAATACACTGTGGACACACAATCACAGGCTGGAGCTAAAGTCTCTTCTTGCTTAAGGTCTCATTTAGGATTTTTCCACTCCAGTGCCTGTCACAAATGAAGATTTCAGGCCAAAGTTATCAGTGCAAGTGGATCTCATTCCATCATGAGGGGCTCAAACTTCATCCTTACTTTTCCAACAGCAGAGCATTAACTTATTTTTATGGAAGCAGGTGTTTGATAGACATGCTGGGCGGTGTGGCAAAAGTTGATGCGTACTTTATAGTTTGTGTTTCCCCTTCTGCATAACATTGCTCAAACCTTGACATGTAATCTTCACTATTCTGGATAAAGGCACTACCCTTGCCAACAACCTCTGCTACCTTCACAAGCAGCCAGGTGACCAGGCAGACCAGCAGGCTGCTGAGTCAGACCTCCCCTCCGTCCGTTCCGAGTCTAGTTTGGATTAAAAGTGAGATCACCCAGTCAAATCCCCCCTCGAGGCTTTTGGTGCCCTGATCTAAGCATACAGATGGACTCCAGCCAGTCTGTCATCAATGAAAGCTGCTTATGTCAAACTGTGGCCTGAGCGAATGTAACATAGCTCAGCCAAGAAGACTTTCCACGACAGTGATCTGAGCAAGTCGGTGTGATTGTACCTTTCATTTAGGTAACATCAACATCCAATTAGGGAAAGGTCAATCAATGACGAGCCTCCTACCCCTCCCTCTCACTAATAATTCAGTTAGCAAAGGCCTCATCAGCATCTCCTCCAATCAATAGCTCCATCATCACTTACCAGCAGATCTTGGGTGAGCTTCATTAGATTTTTGGTCTGATTGGACAGTTTATCCATGTCAGAAGGCCGCCGCTGGGGCACAGGAGAGGCCAACGTAAACACGGGCAGCTGGGCCAATAGCAGCGAGAAGAGGAGCGATGAGGAGGAGTCGAGCAGCACTGCAGGGGGAAGAACAAAACGGAAGCAATTAGTGGAAAGGCGCTGTCATCTCGCCATAATGATAACAACCTCAGGCCACGGCTGTCAGCTGAAAGGGGGAGATATTGCACCATAACATAAACAATGGCTCCAGACTTGGCTGAGGAATCCAGTGTCAGAGTCATGTTGTCACAGGCTGGGATGCAAATAATTAAATCATTAAAAAACAGCCGGGCTTTGACACTGAATATCACCTTCACTCCTTCACCGTAAGCAACGCAATGAATGCCGCTGATTGTCACACCTGCAACTGGATAGGTAGGTGAGCTGGTGGTATAAATTATATAGAGGCAGCCAAGTCAACTCTCTAACAGTAAGCTCATTCATTCTTTTCCTTTCAAGTTGAAATACAAGGTAGACTAAGTATTAAAAGGGAACCACAGTGGTGTTGAAATGATGAATGCTTGATAATTACAGGTGAACCACAAGAATCAGAGCCAAAATAACACTGCAGGAGCATCTAAGCCCAAGTGCTGTCCTTGTGTTAACTTTAACACTTGCATAGTGGAGTCCAAAGTGAAGTTCATGTTAAGTAAGAAGGCAGAGTTTTATCATTTAAAAAGGCAGGTTAAATTCATTAGGTCTGTTACAAACATTAAGATTTTGGCGTTTAAAAAATAAAGTAAAAGTTGCAAGAGAAAAAGCAATATTAAAAATTAAAACAATTATGAATTAAAAATACACAAACACTTACATTTCATATTGTTTCAGGTCCGAGAGAAACAAAAAAACACGAAGATAAATAAATAAATAGAAAATTAATAAATAATTTGAACTCCGGAAATTGTCACGTGCTCCGGTTTCTTCTTCGCGCTCGTCAGTCAGAGCGACGAGGAAAGTTGTCAAGAGAGGAGAGGATAAATGAGACAGGGTACAGTGATGCCAGGACCACTCAGAGTGAAAAAACAGGAGAGAAAGAAAAAAAGAAGTCAAACTTTGAGTCAGTAGCAAAGTTTGAGATGAGCCCCTGTAGTCTTTATGGAGTGCTGAAGGTACAGAGACACTAGGTTTGGAGAGAGAGAGGAGGCAACAGGAGTGCAGAGAGAGGGATGCGAGTGTGGTAAGTCCAAATTTTGCGCGCAGTGAAGTGTTTAGGCTTGTTTAAAACTTCCTTTATAAAGACGTCGGGCCTATGACACATCGGCAGTGACTCACTTCATTCATAAAAACACACACACACAGACACACGCTCCCTCTCCCTCTCCCTCTCTCTCTCTCTCTCTCCCTCTCTCTCCCCCTCTCTCTTTCCTCCTCCCCTCCCTGCAGCCTGTCTCCCTTTGCGAAACTTTAAAAAATGTTCCGTTGTTTTTTTTTCTTTCCTCTATCACTTTCTCTCGTCCTGTCTGCTATCTCCAGCACTTCCTCCGTCGCATCCCGCTATACCTGCGCCAATCAGTCCCATCTACCACTTTATCTTTCCATCTCCAAATCTCTTCCCCTCTCTGTCTTTCTCTCTCTCTCTGTCACTGCAGACGTTTTAAAAAGCCCATTGTTTTCACGTGTATCAGCATATCTCATGTAACAGTGTATCTTTTTTAGAGCCTCTCTAGTTTGACCTGCCCTGGCTGGTGTTTAGTGTCACAGAAAGAGCATTCTTGTTTGTGTTTTTAAATTTATAACCGGGTCCCTTTAGACTAAACATGCCACTTTCCCTGTATTATAACTAATACACACAGCAAACACCTTTCTATTCCATATTTCTCTCCCTCCTTTCTCACCCCTTTCTCTTTTTTCAGAGCCCCTCCTGAGACAGCAGCCTGTTATTTCCACTGCACCCCCCCACCCACCTCCTCTTTTTTTTTCTCTCCTTCTCTCCCTCTCCAGGGTGAAGGAAAGAGTGAGGAGTGAGGGACGGATAGAAGCAGGAGAGAGGTGTTGTTCAGACCAGAAGGGGCCTCTGAAAGTGTTGCATAGAAACAGTGAGTGGACACACACATACACACACCACAGGACATTAATACAGACATACGCTTAAGGTGTAAGGGGTGATTGAAGGGGTCAGCACGGCAGACACACACACACAACATGCACATGGATGCACATGAACATTAGTGTCATAGAGAAAATATTCAGCCCTGAAAACCACCCAAAAGTCATTTTTCGAGTGCAGAAACACATTCAGACACATGCAGAAACATTAGAGCCTACTGTACAACATAATTTCTCACACTCTAACCTTCTCACACATTAAAATACACACTCAGAGCGGGGCAGTCTGGAAACACTCTGTCAGGTGCAGTAAAGCGTGGCCTACAACTGTAAAGGGCAAGAACGAGTTTCCAGTGATCATACAGGGACAGTTGATGCATCATGTTGTAAACATACTGTACATCAAAATAGGGTCAATAGGTTCGTTTCCAGCGGTGTGCTGCTTTTAGTTTTTCAAGTTCTGCAGTGAACACAAAAGTGAATCCAACTGGGAATGTTTTAAAATGAAATGAAAAGTTATGTACTGATAAAACCAACATGCAAAAGTGTGCAGCAGAAACAGACTCAGCACACGCTTTCAATGTACATTTGACCTAAAACCGGGAACAGTGTGGACCCTTTACACTCTGTATGGGCCCTCCATTCTCATAAGTGAGTCCCTCTTGCTTGATGACTCTGTGTGCTCAGTCCCTTTTACACAAAATCTGATCCCCACACCCCCCGGTGAACTTCTTCTGTGTGCGAAGTTGTGTGAAACAGCCTCAATTCGAACATAAACCAAACCTTACTAACAGTAACTTCTGATGTCGAGGCCAAAGCAGTAGTGCCAAATACTGCAGTTCCTTAAGTGTCCACTTGAGGGTGGCTCCAACAGGCCACTAGGTCCCATTAACACCCGTGTTTAATGCTGCGTTCCAGTTGTACTCGGAAGGCGGGATTTCCGAATTCACCCGGAACGCCCCCCCAAAGTCAGATTTTCGATTCAGGAAGTTGGATGATCCTCACCAACCCTAGCTTGACGACAATGTCATATATCAAGATGGCAGCGCAGTGAATCGACAGTAAAAAGTGACAGTAAAGCTCTCGTAATGTATTATTTATTAGCACTTCTGTTTTGTTTTTGTGAAATTAAATAAGTGGTATATGTTGTACTGCCCAATGTCTAAATGTGAACACGGTGCTATGGTGTTTGTAAGAGTAAAATACTGTGTTGTGTGTTGTTAACAACTGGTATCGCTAACAACAGCTCACAATCGCTAACAACGACTGACAGCAGCCAATGACAGCAGACAACAGGTAACTGTAGGTGTCTACCTTGGTTTTCCCACTTGTTTACTGGATCGCCGTCAACAGGGTGTAACGTCATTTCCTGCTCCGACTTCTGAGGTAACTGGAATGCAGCACAAGTTCCACCATGAACAACAAAATAAAATTTGTTGAAAATCTGGTGTAAAAATTATGTGGCCCAGATTTCTTTTCAGTCAAATTTTACTTCTTAGAACTCGACTGACACGAGGGCACATTGTGGCTGATAGCCAGGAAGCTAAAGGACTGCCTCACCTCCACGTCTTTGTTTCTTGCTAGTTTGACCCAAAGTTAAGTTGAGTCAACATTTCCAAATCGGTAAAAACCATCGTTGGGCTTCAAAACTCTGTTTCAAAAACCATTGGATGAAGTCACAAAGATCACGTTTAGGTTTTAAGTCTACGGTCATACTTGTGCTTTTCTGATAGTGTTGCCCTGGTATACCCTTTTCTTCGGCAACATTATAATTAATTGGAGCTGACTTGAAGTTCAGCGCCATGTGCGGCCGACCGAAATGAAACCACCAAGATACACACAATACTAATGGATGGTAAATTGGGTATATTTTAATGGTTTTCTGAGATTGTAAAGATTTTTGCCATACTTGGATTGGGATACATAAAGTCACTAACAAAGGGAGAGAGGTAGAGACCAGCAAGAGGGAAGAAAGCGTTTTTTGAGTCTGGGTGTGAGATTAGGAGACCCTCATTCACAGACATACACTCATGCTGTGGTTAGAAAATAATTAGTGGTGGGCCTTGTATGGGCACACTCGCACACTCATACACATATACACACAGAGTTGCCAGTCCAGTGGTGGGCCTACACAGACAAACAAACACCCTCCAAATGATGAGGGCCCGTTGGCAGTTAGTGGGTGGTGGACTTGTTGTGGTTAGAAGGGGTCATACTCTGTTTTCTTGGGTCAACAGTAGAGAAGAAAAGCCTGGTGAGGAGGAGCGAAGGAGCAGAAGGAGAGGAAATAGATGAGTGCGGTTGGATGTAGGGAGATATTGACACACTCGCTCTTTTTAATTTCCCACATCAAAGGGCCGTTTGAAGACACAGCTGGGGAGAGAAGAAAAGAAAAAGTGAAGTTAGTCACTCTCCCTCATTCCCTCTCTGGGCTGCGTCTCATGATGGGGGTCTCCTGGGTGGTTCTGAGGCACACAGTCTTCTGTTAGGCCATCCGCCAGCACTGATCACTCACACACTATGACACCGAGTGGGTGCCCTTTAAGTGTGTGTGTGTATATGTGTGTGTGTCTGTGGAAATGTGTATGTGAAAGTGCAGGGATGTCAGTGGGAAAAGTAAAAAGGGTTATGCATCTCTGTTTAGACTTTTGTTTTTGTGTGTGAGAGAGAAAACACAACGGCGGCGGCGCATGCTTGTTGGAAAAGGGGGAATCCAGGGTTTGTGTAAATGGGTGTGCATACAGTATATGTGTGTAATTATGGGTATGTGGTGGTATAAGTGCGGTGTCTGTATACCGTGCATGAGCATCAGTGTTTGTGTGCGTGTCTGCTTGTGTGTGTGTGTTTGTGTGTGGCCTTCATATGCTACCCATTACATCACCAATCTGTGTAAACCACCATAGGAGGAGAAACAGAGTGAGACACTCAGACTACAACCTCAAAGACATCAGAGAGGAAGGGGAACCTGTGACAGGGCCTGCCAGGCCCCACTGCCAGACAAACTTTACTCACACAAGCTACACTCAATTTCTTCATGCTTTACACTGGGTTTCCTGTGTGCCATGGCATGTATTCACACATTATTACGCCGGCTTTAAAACATCTGAATGCCTCACAGTCTTTGCTCACCTTCTGCTGGGTTCTTAATCCAAACAGTTGTGCAAGCCAAATGGTATTTGCCAAAGGCACTCAGGAAACTCCTATTTAACCAAATCCATGTTGAATATCAGCGTATTCTTCTTGTCCGTTTTTTTATTTGACAGGGAAGTGCTCAAGCAAGGATAGTTGTTCATACATCCAAGGCTTTTGTTACCTTTGTGTGATTAGGGTTATCGTCAGATTATGAGAACAAACGAGTCTGTTCCGGTTATGTGGAGTTTCCCAAAAGTGTTTGTCTACGGGTGTTATTAACCATGTTCAGGTAAATCATAAAGTAGTCTTGTGGATTTTAGGGTTAAGTCCCGTGTTCTGATTACCTCAGTGCCTACAGTGCAAACAGTGCAGAGGCTGGCCATGACGCAACGCTACTCCGATGGTAAAAAGGATTATGGGAGGAGGAATAGTAATAAATTCATCATTTTTGTGCTGCATCCTTATTTCCTCCTGGGGATTCCAAAGGGGCTTAAATAAACAAATGTTACGATTACTCTCAAAGGGAAACCAGAAGTCCGGCCTTTTACTGTTAATATTTACTCTCCTATAACAGGACACTTTTAAGTTTCCCCATGACCTTCTCCACCTCCTGTCTTCTTCCTCTCTACTTCGTCACTCTGCCCCTCTTTCATTCTCTCCAGCTCACTGCCAAGTGCGTGATTCTGGCGGGGTATCCTATCTGGGGAATCGTCATGGTGATCTACCTCAACTTGTTACTCGTCGCCATCGGACCCCCCCCCTTGTTCCCTCCTCCTGCTTCTTACTTAAACCTACGTCAGAGAACGAGTGAGTGTGTTAATAGTTCAGGGGGTCGGGAGAGAGAAATAGTGACACACAGGAGGGGGGCTGCAATCATTGGGCCATAAAGTGACGTCTCAGCCTCTCTCTTTTTCTCACTGTCAGTGATCAGTGTTCGAGAACTCTTGTCCTCTTTTGAATAGATATATGACATGAGACCCTCCTCCTAAGCCTCCCCTCCTTGAGATTCTTTTCTCAAGAAAACTCCCCACGGACGTGATCTGCAAATTATGCGTGCCAATTGCTTGCTTCCTTTTTTTTCATGGGAGCTGGCCACTGGGGGTAGATATGGCTGTTGCGCATCTGTTGCTTTGCCTTTTTTATTAGACTATTAAAAGGAGACATTAACCAGCATCATTATTGCAGGTTTCCTCCACTGGCTCAGCTCACAGTGCAGCACAGAGGGCAGGATGCAGGGATGAAAGGGAGAGCATGAGACAAACGGCTCTCCCTGCAGAAACTGTGGGAGCAAAATCTTTCAATCAGCTCTCTATTAAACACACATTTACAAGGCTCATTTTGTTTAAAAGCTATACTCCGTGCTAAAACACAGTGTACGTGCGTGTACACATATGTGTATGTGCGTGCATGTGAGTCAGCCGAAACTCCGGCCGTCGCTGACTCTGTATTGCTCACCTGCTCACGTTTCCTCTCACTCTCACTGCGCCCGAAAAGTTTTACATCTGCCAGTGAGGAAATCTGTGAATGAACTGGTTGAAGCAATAGGTCACAGACAGAGTGTGAGAAGGAGAAGAGGAAGGAGGAGGGAGGGTGGGGGGGGTACACCGGGAAGCAAGCAACCCACGCAAGAGGAACTTTTTACTGTGCAAACACTCTTTCCATCTCCCCTGCTTGCTCCCTCCATCTCAGACTGGTGTTAATACACTGGAGAGCCCAGGCCTGTCTCAGAGCTCCCGCTCTCTCCTCCGGTTCTCCCCCCGTACTCCTCTCACCGCCATTCTCAGTCGCCCTAAACATTCTTTCCTCCCTTGTCATTGCGTGTCCTGTCTGCATCCCTCTTTCTCCGTCCTCATCTCTTCCTCATTTCGAAGTGCTTCCTCTCAGCTCCCTCTTACTTTCTCTTTTACACACACTCTTTTGCTTCAACTTCACATCCCACACTGCCTGTGCTCTTTTTTTCCCCCCGTTTGCAGTCTGGTGCACGGGAGGATCAATGAAATGTAAACAGTATAAGTTTTCAACAATCAAAGTGAATGTGCGGCTGACTCCCAGCTGCGATATCTCTTTGCTACACGACTAAAAAGTGGAAAGTCGAAATGAGGTTCCTCTTTTTGATGCATTCCACAGCATGTAGGATAGTTATCCTGGAGACATTACTTGTGCATTTTTTTCCCTTTTGTTCGCCTTGTCCCGTTTCTGTGGTGAGCTACTACGTTTGTGTTTCTGTGTTTGTCTTTGAGTGATGTATACTGTATCAGAGCTGACCGCTACTTGCCGGCGCGCCTCACGCCTGCGTCAGCCAAATACTGAGCCTGTTGTCGTGTTATTCTACGGAAGCTGAGAGTTGCTGACAAACTCAGGGGAAACCGGGAAGGAGGGGGGCTTACTGTGTGTAGTTGCGTGTGTTTGTGTGTGTAAGAGGGCAGCGGGGACTGGAGAGACGACGGGAAAAAAAGAGTAAGGGGAGAGGGAAGACAAAAGGAAGAGGACTTGTGTGACGTCGCAGTTTGTCCTACAGAGTGACTTTGTCAATATGAAGTGACCTCAGTCACATGAAAGAAGGGGGAAGGGGGGGTGGGACAGATGAACACACACACACAGTGACTCAAAGAAACATACATGTGCTTACGTCTATCCACTCAAGCTTTAGACAGTTCACTTTAGCATTTAAAACAATTTATAACCCACTGCCCCCTTTAACCTGACATGGCCTGGCTGCTTCTGTCAACGCTGACGCACATCAGGCCTCTCAATCACTTGCCTTTCATTAAATTAACGCTTGTTACACGCTGACACTCATAAATCAACCACCCACAACAATGATAGCAGATAACACAACTTATAACAGAGCACACAAGCAGCTGTATTGATTCTACCACCATTTAACTGACCACTTCCTGTGCGTCAGCCATGCAGAGTGTGTAAATTTCATCCTAACTACGAGCAAACAAGGGAAAGGAAATTTCATATCCGTGCGCTATCACTATTTATGTTTTGAAATACCATCCGGACAGGGGCTGGGAAGCGCGGGACAACAGATTGGAGGCAGAGTGCGTGTAAAATATGTTTGGAAATCAAAAAGGGCTTCTCTCCACATTCAGTGGGCTGTGCTTTGACCGCACAGGGAGGGGAGGCATACTTCAAGTTCACTGAAATGTCAACTTTGGTTTGAAGTGACTCTGAAAACATGGCACAGAAGATACACTGTCTTCTTTTTTGGGAATGAAATTTTGCACAGATGTCATATCGCAGTTTGCTTTTCACGCATTCTCCTGTGGAAAGAAAACATTTTACCGTAACTGTTTACATAAACTGCGAACCATCTATCCCTCATTCCTCTCAGACTTACTATCTTATCTCTGCAGTATTGAAAGACAGATATGGAAGTAATGTGTTTGCGTGCATTCTTCCTAACCACCATTATCATTATCTCCCGCTGACAAGACTAAATGTGACAGCCATCTTTTCCTTGTACATCTGCACAACCTGTCACAACCCCGGCCTCTGTTTTATTTTCTTGACCTTTGTTCATTGTGGGAATTTACAAAGCCTTTGTTTAGTGCACAGTTAGAAGACCACCTTTTTCCTTGAAGGGCTCTGACTAAGAGGAATGACATGAAAGTTATTCTAATCTCTCTATTCTTATGCCCAATGTTTATGTGCACTTTGACCCTGTGCTGTTCCCAATTAGCCACAAAGTACTCAGATGGGAGATATTTAAATGCCTAACATGTCTTCTTTTATCAATAACAGTCTGTGAGTCAAGGTCTTAGAAATGAAAGCTATCCAGAATTTTCTATTTTTGGCACCAAGTTCACACACATAAACCATCAGGCCCCGGCACCATTGCCTTTAATAGTCCGCCCCTCTCCTTTTTCTCCCTGACTCCTCATCCTCTCGCTGTTCATCAATCACATCATGCATTCACATCAGAAGATCCCCGCCACCGGTTGTCTAAATGGTGTAAGTCGGTCCAAGTGTCTGCCTAGTATTACAGACGCCCTCGCGTTTGGCTGGACCCCCGGTAGTGCCAGGAAGCATGCCAGGAATGCAAAGAATGGCCCAGTGAATGATAAGAAGGAAATTTCCCGCAGCAGACTGGACTGAAAGCCTAGAAACAACAGCCACATGGACAATTACCGGGGACCAATGAAAGCAATGACGACAAAGCCTAGGATAGGAGGAGATGAAACAGGATGCCTGAGCAGTCATAGGTCTCACAGTGGCTATTCCAAAGAACTGAGAGAGATGGCGTGAATGGGATGGTGACAAATGAAAACAAATGAGAAACAAAACAATTGAATGAGGTGGTACTAGATTAGTTAATTACATTGGAAATGTGGAAAATTAGCCAAAGGACTGTATTCACCCATTAGTCACGTAATGCCAAAGCTTAGATATTGCTGTGGTGTCGTTGAGCTCTGGCCAAAGTTGTAAATCAAATCATTTTATTTTGTTGCATGGTAAGCATGAAAGACTCAACATCTTGAATTGAGTATTTAACCATCACCTTACTTAGTATAGTGACATAGAGATGCAAGCCTTTCTTATCATTTCATGTCGCACTTTCCAAAGGTCCATCAATCCATCCATCTATTCATCCATTGTCTTCTGTTTTTTGGGCTGGGCTATTGTGGCAGCTAAGCAAGTCAACCTTCTCATTTCCTGGCGATGTTCCCAAGCTGGTGTGCTCTGTGGTCTTCAGGTGCTTGGACCACTTCAACTAGCTCCTCTTAAGAAGAAGTAGCCACCTTTTGGGAAGAAACTCTTGACCATTGAAAAGTTGGGCAGTGTAAACAGATTGATCAGAAGCTTTAACCCCTGGCTTGGTGGCCTCTCCATCTCCTCCCAGAGATGTGAAGTCAAAATACCGCTTTGATGGTAGCTGATATTTTGCACCGTTTAAGCCAAGGTATCTGCAAGCGATCTGGTAGGTGGAGCCACCAGACACAAGTCACTGTCGATCTGATAGTCCCAACACACATTTGACTAACCAATAAAACACACAGAGATGGTTTCATTCTCTGATCAGTTTTGTGCTTCAGAGTACTTTCATGTGATTTCAAGTCAGAAACAAGCATGTATAAGACGTCTGCCAATAGAATACAATAAGAATGAGTGTGTACACGCCTGTTCGATTGAAAAACAAAAGGGATACACACCCATTTTTTTCCAGAAAAATTGAATCTGCAGTTTATTCTGATTGGTTCTGATGAGTCACTTAATTCCAATTGGGCAATTTTTCCAGTTTTAATCTGAGTAGAAGTGGTCATGTAAACCCGACTAATGATGGTTAGGGAAAGTTTAATGACTCATGTCAATGTTCGTTTCGTTTTCTCTCATTATACCTTCGGTTCTCTGCCAAGTGAATGAAGAAGCCCACATTTTTCAACAAGGCTGTCAGTCGGTCATCAATATAAGATGACTGACTTATATCTTAGAAAGCAGTCTTCTGTTTTCTGTCAGAGAACCGTGGCCTGTGACTTACAGGTCCTGACTCTTATCTGGAGCTTTATGGGTCCACCACCTGCAGGAATAGGTTGGGTGTGTTGTGAACAGGGGCTTTGGGTTGCCAATCCCTGCTATTGTGACTTTCAAAAGGTCATGTTTTTAGCCGCTACCACAATGTTAGACATTTCCTAGATGATTACATCAACAAGGAAAGGCTTTAGGTTAACATTAGCTTGTGTATGATGTTCGCTAAGGGAGTTATCGAATATTTGGTTGTAACTGGTACAGCCCAAAATCCTTCTGCATTGTACTTTATGTTGCTAAACAGTCTTGAAGTTGTCCATTTTCATGAGTTCATACAGCTTTCAAGCCTAAAAATAAAACACTAACAGCATTTGGGCTTCCCGCCCTGAGCATGATGTCATAGGAAAATGGCCGCCATGTGATTATGGTAAATGACAAGTGATAGAGCAGAGATTAGGACAAACAAAGTGATGCCATAGACGAGAACAACAGAGATAGCAAAGGTAAAGACGTAAGACAGGTTATCGCTCATCGAAAGGGTGTTGGAGAGAGAATGAGGGCCAACACATGGACAGGAAGGAGGCACAGAGATAGAGGCTCGTCAGAGGAAAGACAAACCTTTTTAATCAGTGGGGTGACACTAAGTGGAAAGAAGAGGTCAAGCGCACATGCTTCACAGGCATACATCTTGCCGTGGGTTTGAATGACAGCACTTCTTCATGACTCTCTGACCTGGCTTTTCACTGTCTCCCACACTGTGCCATCTGCAAAGCCTTTCAAGTTCACAATGAATGGTGAATGCCGCGTTGCCAAACCCTGATCCAGATTAGCTTCACCTGCGTAGTGACCTACTAAATCTGACTTTACATCACTGTCTACTCACAAGTCGAGTCTACATTGAATTTGTCTGGCTGTTGCTGATTCGGGGGCAGCACGTGGATAATTGTTTTTGAGCTCACAAATTGCACTTAAGGGGATTGGATTACATACCACCGGGGTAGTTTCCCGGTCTTGTTTCCTTGTTTCCCCTGGATTACATCAGAGTTTAGACTCCTTCATTTGTGAGTAAGCACATACCTCAAAGTCACAAGGGGGGCACAAACATGCCTAATGTGTTACAACAGAGAGATGGATAGTCTATGAGGGGGGCAGGAAATGTAAACAGTCCATCCTGTACAGGTTTTTTTATTCATCTTCAGTGGAAAGATATGAGGTGTAAAGAGTGTTTCATAGTGCTCCGGTTTCTTTCATGCATGCTGGTGTGTGCATGTGTGCTCATTTTTTCTATCTGACTAAGCTGTTCTCTATTCTGGTCGTAAATAATAACCAACCTGGAAGGAAAAGAAACATTATCTGTATAAAACTCCCTAAGGTGTCTTGTCTTTTATGACAACCACTCATAGAGATTGGCCAATCCAAACAACAAAATTGCGTCGAATAAAAAAAATGCCCCGACCGCAATTTGGGTTTCTTCTCTTGAGAAATGACGCACCAGCTGATATTCAAAGTAAAAAGCATTCTCGCATGACATTGCAAGTCCTGTAAGCCACTGATCGCTGACTTTCCTGGGTCAGATCAACATTGTTAAAGCTGGGAAGTAGACAGTAAGCAGAGACTGGTGTAAGGAGGGGTTATAAAGGAGACCTAATGTGCTCTTTATGGCGTGGTTGTACCGAAGAAATGGTGATCAGAAGTGGTTCCAGAAACACGGACTCTTCTGCCTCTCTTGTTCACTCAGATCAAAGTCTGGTGTAATGACTTTGATTGTTCTGAAACAGCTGACACAAGGCAGATAGGTGGGTGTGTGAGTTTTGAGGTGAGGCAGTAAAAGGCGCGGACAAACTAGGAGAGGTAACTGTTTTTTGGTAACTCCATTAAAACGAACCCCTGGGAGGTTTGGACGACTGACAGCTGAGGTGGAGTCTGGGGCAGCCAAGCAGGAGGGAGAGTGTTTTCATGTGTTTATGTGTGTGTTTTCCTTCACTACTGGGACTTATATATATGGCTGCAGGGTTGTCTCTCAGATCTGCAGCTGAGTGTGACGGGGGTTCACTCAGGGGTATAGGAACAGGGCCTGGGGACGACCTGCAGAACACCCCCGATATCCTCTAGGGAGCAATGCTTTTGAGGTGTGCTCCCCCCGCCACCCTTCACCTCCAATGTGCCGAATCAGTGGAAGGCAGAAAGCCACAGAGTATCCCTGACACTAATATGGAAAAAAGCCTGTTTGGAGCGAATATAAGGGCAAATATTATTCTTCCTGAGCGTAACCACGGCGAGCACCTCTGACCTGGCAGTGAAAGTGCTGAAACAAAAAGCCCAAAGACTTTTTCAGCTCCATCAAAGGAGAGCTGCATAAAATAAACATGGCCATCAGATTACCACGCTGAACACGGGGCCGGGTTAGCCCGCGCCGGCCGCCCTGCCGCCCAACCCCATAGCTCTATGGGAGTTAAGTGTGGGGTCCGCTCAGTCAACACCATGACGCAAAATGGAACAAGCCTCTGACAGAAGCCCCAGGCTGATGGAATAAGGCCCCTACCCACAGGCCCACAGGCCCCCTGGCCCGAGAGAAACATACTGAGCGAGAACGAGAGCAGGGCAGGAAAACAGGAGGAAAGAAGAGGAAAGAAGGCAAAAGGTAGATGAGGGCATTTTGGAAAATAGGAAAAGACCACCGGTTCCAAATTGGTGGCACTGGCCAGATCCAAAATTGAAAAGTACACACATACAGTAAATGCACTGCTACCCCAGACAACCAGCATCTGCAGGCCAGGACAGACAGCCGCCAGTGGAGAGGAGGCCGAGGCAGGGCAAGGCAAGGGTACAGTGGTTGGTGGTGATGGTTGTAGCTGCCAGTGAGACTGCGAGGCTCAGCCGACTAGTCCCTTTAACAGTGGACAGCCTCAGCCCTGTGGATCTGACCTCACAGGGGTCCTTTTAGATCTCTGCGTGTGCTCGCCTACGTTCATGTGTACGTGCATGCATGGGTATTACTGTGTGTATTTCATGTTCAGGTGACGTAACCAGGAGAAAACAGATCTGCCCCTTGAGAAGGACCAAGGCTTTTCTCTTGGCCTTTACTTTACTCCTTGCAGTGAAACTCCACCGTATGTTTCATCTACCTCAAGTCGTCAGCCACAGTCTGTCATCTGTCTGCTTTTGACTGATTTCCTTCCCGGCACCTCTGACCTTCTAGTGACTTGACTCAAACCTCACGTGGATTCCTACTCCCCCAGTCTGTCTTTTTTGTCTGTCTGTGACCTAACAGAGATTCCCCTGATCCCTTGTTTCCTTCCGACGCCAGAAGCCATGCACAATATTCCACTCTCACTTTGTGACAGACTGAAGCTGACTCTTTGGTGACTGTGTCTCACACGGCCAAGTCTTTAAATATTTTCAGTCTGAGACCCAAAATTGCTCCCCTTGCCATGTGAGACCAGAATGACGAAAACAAATGGAGGTCCCCACTGGCAAGAGAAACCAGATCCAGTAATATTTGGCAATGATGACTCCATTGCACTTAAATCCTCACAGTTTCCTCTCCGGTTTCCTGATAAAACATGTTTCCCAACCTTCTTCAGCTGCCTTACAGTCATGGTATTCTTCCTTTTGCCCTGACGTATGACTTGAAAACCCTCCTTTTACTGCTGGGCTTTAAGATGACGCAGGGCCCAGGTAAAGTGTTACCAGATAACAAATAGAAACTGAAGGCACGCCAAGCTGAAGCTGTTAGTGTTAAGTACAGGAGCCATGAGCCTTTTCTGGTTCCTGAAAATGACTCCTGTGTGTAACAACAATGAACACAATCACTGTGGTCCACTGGGCCTCGCACCAGCAGCATTGCATTACCGCGTTCGCCTCCCTACTGTTCTCCTTTTCTTTTCATCCTCCTCTCTTTTCTCCTCTGACTCAGCTGTTTTGTAGGAAACTCCGTCTCTTTGAAGAAGGGAAGAATCTTTCATTACTCGACAGCAGGGGGAGAGCAGGAGATGATAGGGAGAGAATAACTGCCCCATTGTCTTCACGCACACCCCCTCCATCCACCAATGATAATTGTGTCGAGCTAATTACAGAGAGCTGCTACAACAGGTGTGGGACTCTGCACCTGGGTAAAGGAGTCTTCTGAGTGCATACATGTGTGGGACGGAGAGAGACTGCGTGTATGACTGCACACTCCTGGGTGAAAGTGTGTATGACAGTTCGTCTGTGACAGTGAGCGAGATCACAGAGACGCTTGTGTGTGTCACACGCTTACTAAACCTTACATGTTACTTAATAGCACTCATACATTGGTCACTGTATTGTATACACTGACTACTGTAAATCACACAATCAGCATGGACCTACGGTATACCAGTCTGAACCCCATCTGTGTTTAATTATAAACACACAGACTACATCTGTTTGACGTTACTGGAAAGTTGAAATTAGCACACAAACACAGTCTCACTCTCACTCATACACCACAATGAATTTCAAATGAGAGTGATTACAATCACTTAATTGATAAATGTAACCACAGGGAGCCTCCTCTCATGATTCATAATCTATAAGTGGTCTTTCTCAATAGCATGTTTTTTGATGTCAGTACAGTAAGAAATTAGGGAGACAGAACCAGAGGGGGCAGAGATGATGAAGTAAGCAGGGGTCTCTCATGGGACTGATGTTTTCTGAGCTTTTTACCGTAAAGGATTTCATCCAAGAAGCTGACCGTAACAAAGGAAGCCATTTGGCTGATCGCCAAGGGAGGAGCATGAGAACTGAAGTTTTCAGAGACGTCATAGAGCTTCACTCTCAAAACAAAGAAAGTGGGGAACAGTTTACTAGAGATGTCTGGCTGACTAGACAGTGAAATCGACTGGATATTACATGATTTGTGTCGGTTCAAGTTCAAGTTCAGCGGTTACTCACTCCTGTTGATGATATCACCTGTCTACTGTCTGTTCATGACAGCCTCTTGCTAATTTATGCCTAATGAGCTGGACATTTTATATGGCTGGGATTGTACCACATACGTTGAACAGGAAAGCCTCCCAATCAGACCACTGAGTGTGTCACATTATCCTACGGGAAATTAAATCCTCCCCTTTATGACCGCTTACCTTTGTAAAGGTAACCTTTGTGTATGGCCGACTGACGGTCACGGTGTTATTTCTCTCTTGAGTCATGCCCATTTTGAAAAACTTCCTTATTAACACAGGAAATGAGACTGTGTCTTTGGAGGAGATTGCATGGTAAGTATGTGATCCCCCCTTTAGTCAAGCAATTTTACCTGCACACTCACCATCTAACGTCAGAGGGGAATGAGTCCTGCATCGCCACCTTGTGGTATATTCCTTTGGTGTTAAACTTGGAGTGAGTGCCAAACCTCAGGGGCCCTGCTGTGGGGAATAAGCTTGTCAAAGATCAAACAGACACTGCAGGTCTTTCAGACTAGACTTCAGAGTTTTATTTCAAATGAGTAGTCGAAAAACATACATGAAAGACTAGTAAAAGTCACATAAGTCCACTGAAGACTCTGTGACATGGACATAAGGCTTTACTCCCTGCGTAAAAAATAAGTATAATGACACACCAATATATCTAATGAGTAAATGAACTGATATGTAAATATCATAAAAGAACAACCAGACAACAAAATACCAAAAACAAATCCAGTATGCAGTTGGTTTCTTGTTCCTGGTGCTATTCTTTTTACTTTTACTAGACATCCTAAGAGAGACAAATATGGGCTTCTTCAAAGTCGAGTCCTCTGATTGGCAGGGAGCTCATCCTGGTCAAGTCCCCACAGGTAGGTGCGAAGACGTGTCACCTCTTTTTGGAGCTCAGGGCTGGGGATTGGCTGAGAGAGGTCAAGGCGCGGGGTCTCATTGGGCAGGATTAGAGGAGGATGATCCAGAAAGCTCTCAAAGATGTCTGAAGATCCAACGATAAAAGTAAAGAGATTGACTTCAGTATTCAAAGCCACACTTCCATTGTTACATTCTTACACGTTTTAGTTTTCAAATGTATTACCTCCACTCAGCTCTGTGCCTGGCAGAGGGGCCCAAGAAGCTGGTGGGGCTCTGGTTGGACCCAGTTTGTAATGAGTGAGCAGGTGGTGCAACTGGGAGGGGCTCAGCAGGGCATGGTCCTCTTGTAGGCTTGTCCAGGACGACTTGAAGATGAGACATCAGTAAAAATTTAAAAAATGTAAACAGGTTTGTGTAAGGGCTAAGAAAACGCAGCTCATGTAGCTATGTTACCTGGATAAGTCGAGTCTTGGGAATGCAAAGGAAGTTGACAGTGATCGACAGTTTCTTCATAAACTCAGAGGCTATGTCGCCTAATCCTGCACCCTGTAGCCAGTCCAGAACAAGGTCCAAGTTTGTACGGATCTGGACCGCTCTGGACCATGAAAACAACCCGTCTAAAGAGAAAAGAAAGTATGTAATTGGTTTTGGAAAAATCTCACATTTTAAACAGTCAGCAGTTTTTGACCTCTAAAGTGATACCGGCTAAATTTAGTTAGGACCAAAGCAGAACCAAGAATTTGCTTCAGCGGGTAAAGGTTGTAATGGTTGGTGAAAATCGCACTCATCAAGTTTAATATGTTCAAGAGTTTGTACCCACTGCCATGCAGCCTAGCTAACCATCAGCTGCATTTGTAGCTTTACTTCTTTAATCATGTATACCTGCGTGGACTGTAGTTAACTGCTGGTTGTATCAGTTAAAAGCATTTCTGGTGAGCTCCTGTTGTTTTCAAAAGTACTTAACTTCACTAATGAGAAAAACAACACTGATTAACATCTCCGACTTAAAACTATTGGGTATCCACCCTCACCTCTCTCCAGCAGAGTATTTAGCAGGGAGGTGTTGGTGAAGAAGAAGAGGTAGCCAAAGGTTTGCGAGGTGAGCGGCGGTGACAAACAAGCCTCCCGTGACAGCATCAGGGAACAGCGATACACTTCCACCAGTCCAGCAACTCTGGGTGGTAAGGCAGAGATGTCGTCCACCTCTTCACTTCCTCCTTTTTTCTCTTCACCTTCTGCATCCCGAGCCCCATCCTTCTCCTTCTCCTCGCTGGAGAACGGGTTGGTGTCAAGGAGAGCTGGAAGGAGCGAGTAGAGTGTCTATGTGGAGAGAAAGGATAAAAACATGAGTAAATACAAAAGTTGTAGAGCTGGAATGATTGATGAAGAGTGAAGGGATGAAATTAGATGGTTAACAATAATGTAGTGAAATGAGGAAACACAGTGGGTTACATTTTAAAGGTCCAATACTATCGTCACCACTAAAATATTACAGATATTGTGTGATTTCCAATGAAGTTCATCGTCCCCAGAGAATGGACCCTCTTGACTTATGGGATAATCAAAACTAGGATCTCAAAAAGGAGATAAGATATCTGAGTTCAGCCTAAAATGTCTGATTTGTTATGATAGATTGAAATTTGGTAAACATCTGTAACCTCCAGTAAACATCGGATGTATTCTTTGTCTAATGCCAATGAGGAATTCAAGATAAAATGCGAAAGAAAGAAAAGTAAAATAATACCTGATGAACATGCAGTTTATATGTTGTGTCCACTCGATAGTTGTTGTGTCACAAGTAGGTTTAATAACTCTTAAGTGTGTCTGTTTTTATGACAGGATAAAATAACACTTAATTGAACCCCAGACGGGAAATTCTGATATTTCAGCAAAACAGACATGGCAAGCAAGAACGCATATGTCACTCTGGATGACACAAATTAGTGTTTGGTGTTGGATGGCACTAACGCAGTGGATTTCCAAAGTGCCTTTTTTTATGCACACTTGTTTCCAAGGAAGCAAAGCTCAAAAGAAATGCAGGAGCTTCTCACAGCTGGAAAAAATTTGAGTGAATACTTAGTGGTTGTGAGAAAGCAGCGCAAACATCTTGGAAAACAGAAAACAAATGTAATGAGCGTTTAAGAAAGACGTTTTAATGTCTTCTAAAGAAGTTTCATTTGCTGTGGTTTCTCAAATTGGCATTAAGACTGGCATATGGTGCCCCTTTAAAAGTGAAATCTGTAGTTTTTTGTCAACTTTCTTCTCAATTTGGACTTTTACGAATGCATCATATTGTAGGTGGTGTTAATGACAGCACTTTCTTGTTTCATACTGTACCTTTGTGAGGTGATACACACACTGTTGAAAGGTGTGCATAATGACATCATCCAGCTGCGCCAGGGCTTCTGAGCAGGTGTCCATGTCAGCTGTTAAAAGTGGATCCCCTGGGGCTTTGAAGAAACATCAGTAAGACAACATAAAGTTTTTTCCGCTGACGTTTGTTGAATGAAACTGATGAAGTAGAACACTCATCTTCTACTCCCATATAGGGATATTCCGGCGCAAAATTGATTTAGAGTCACACCACTCTACGCCGCTCTATAGCCACAAATAATGCAGCTCAAGGAAGAACATTTATGATCATTTCCTTGAAGTAATAATCATCATATTAATCATTTTGTACTGCAGACACGGTAGTTCTTCTGCCTTAGCGTCTTGGTCTGATTGTATTTCCATGAAGAAATGATCATAAATGTTCTTCCTTGAGCTGTGTCACCCCGCTGTAGTCCGTAATGGACTGACCTGAGGTCTCGCTTCAAACAAACGGCTGCTGGAAGAGAGTGGGTGAGTTGTGTTTAGTCTCTTTGGTGGCTAGTGCTGTGGCTAGGACCCTATATGTCCTGTTGATGAAGTTAGGTGCTGTTCTGAGGATTATTTGTGGCTATACAGTGGCGTTTTGGTTGAGGTTTGTGTGTGGCTCCTCAGACCGCTGTGTATTGCTATCCTGCGGTCGTTGCTAAAGTCAGTCAAATTAGAGAAGCAAGCGGTTGGCAACATTCATCTCTCGAGGAGTTGTCTAACTCGGTGTTATGGTGTGTTTGCCTCCAAATTAATTCTAAGCCAGAATATCCCTTTAAATCATCATGATCTTCATCTAGAACCCTCTCTCACCTTCAAACTCCCACTCTTTTTCCATGGCTTCAACTTTGACCTGGAAGAAGTTCAGGAGTTCTGTCGCATTTGACATCCAGAACATCAGGGGTCGAAGGTCAGCTGATAGTTTCTGAACGTTCGGCGTGCTTATCTCACCTTCCTGCTCTGTGGAGCTGGAGACATTTATGTAATGCCAAAGTTATTTGAGCTGTAAAAGTTTTGTGAGCATTCTCCTGTCAGCGTTCTGTTTGTGCTTTACTGAGGAAATACACCATACTGTGAGTAAAAATAGACTGAGTTATTGTTACTCAACTATATTTGAAACACTTTTCCACATCCGTGTTATAATACTTCCATCATACTACAAAAATTTACCAGAGACATAACAGCACAGGCACAAATGTATCACAAATCCTCCTGCAGGCAATCTCTAAACAGAGGAAACATGACGTCGAACAAAAATGTTCTTACTTTTGCGTGGGATGCTTATCCCCAAATTCCTTAATGTTATCCTGTAAAGAGAGTTGGAGACAGAAGAGAGGAGAGACATCCCAGCTTAGTGTGGGGGTGGATGAGGGGGAGCAGAGTCTCGCCCTGCAGCCAGGACAATTACAGCACATTTTCCAACAAGAGGGCGGTGACATCAGCTCATCCTCGCTCCTGTCCATAACGTAGCAGGCCACAATGAGGGGCATATGTCTGTCTAGCTGTCTGGTTTTCTGTTTGAAAGTTGCCACCAAAGTCTGCATACCTGATGTTTATTTTTTTCTGCCAAGCTTGTTTAATTGTAGTCACGGCCTTTAAAGTCTTTAAAGGTTCAGAGTTCAGATATGTTCATGCCTCATGGATTGACCTACTTTTGTACCTCTGAGGGTAATATTTTTGTGCCTAACATAGAATAACAGGGAGCACCTTGTACATTTTGAGCTGTTTTTCAACTTCAGTAGTAGGATGACGGTTTCTGAATGACTTTGGTGATCAAACAAACTCACTCGCATTTGTAGTTTTGAGTAAAATGTTTTCTCAACTTTTGGATATTTTGCCAAATTGTTCTGACATTCATTTTCCCAGACGGTTAAAATCTTTGTATATAATCTATCACCATTTCTGTAATTCCACTTTGACATAAGTGTTTATAGCTTTGGTTTCAGACCAAATACCTTTGAAAATGTCTTCACCTCCTGCTGAACTTTTTAGCTGGTATTTGGTGTGGACAGATCAACCAGAGGGATCTGAGACATTTTACCAGCCAGTTAAAAGTATATTTAGGTTGGTGAAAGGGATGTGACCCCAGCCCCATTACTTCACCAGTCAGATCGCTTCTACATAATAATATATCAGCTCCCATTCGGTCATTTGTGACAGTTGTGGTTCATTATTGTCCCAGACCACCGGGCTAACACGAGGCCAAAATTGATTTTATATGATATCTGAGACCCTAAAGCTTTTCTTTTTACTCACCCAGACAATTTCTTTAATAAGATTAGCTGATTTGAGTAGTATCTGTGGTGTAAGAGCTGGATCCAGGTGTTTAGAGGCATGATCAATCATGATTGATAAGAGATATGCAGGGGCTAAAGGCCCACCTCCAGAGTCTGGAGAGGAATTTTTGGAGATAATCTCCTGTGAGAAAAGAGAAGAATAAACACAGTGTAAGGACAGTTTTCTATTGAAAAGTATAAGGGGCTTTTATTTTTCAGTCTTCTGGGTTTACCTGTAACAGGGAATCTGCATGACGTGGATGGAACTTGAGAACTGCCTCAGTAGATCCCAGATACGTCCTCAGTGCCTCCTGCCTGTCTACCAGCCCTGAAGGGCAGCAGGTGGTAGAGATGTCAGTCTGCCATGGCAGGGTCAATGCCAGAGGTGGAGCCGGGCTCACACGTGGATCACGGTACAGAAAAAGGAAGTGGTTCCCCAGTCCAATTACATCCCCGGGCTTTAGGACGGTCTCTCTGTAAAGGGCCATTCCATTGTGTGTGACCGCACCTCCTCTGAAGGGTCGCATCAGAGCTATAAGACAATGAATTAGATAGACTGTGACACAGCAGGTGCACAATGAATCTGTGAGGATATGATTCAGTTACTGTTTTTGTACCTTGTCCCGCAGGCGTCTCAGGAACAGCTGAATCTCTCCTGACCAGTAAGTGTCTGGCCAAGAGGTCTGGAGCGGAGAGGAACGTGTCCACCTTCAGAGGCCTCTTCCCTTTCCTCTCCCTCTCTCTATCCTTCTCTTTCTCCCTGATCGTAGGCTTTCTTCCAAACACATGGGTATGTCCCGCCATGATGTACAAAACAAAATCCTAAACACAACACACAGTGGAAGGCAGAGCAAAGTCAGGGAGGTCTGTTATCTTAAAAGTGCTACAGTTTATATCAACTCCAATCTTGGAGATGTTAAGTTGAACGGAGGGCGGCCGATAAGGAATGAAGTGTGTCACAGTTTGCGACAATGGAGACCTGTGTGAGGTCATTGTGTGAGATGAAGTGATGTACTCAGAGGGGTTTTGTTGCTATCGTTGGGTTAATTGTTGCAGCATTGTGCTGCTCTGGGGCTGTTTTGTGCAGGATGCTGAATGGGAGAGGCTTGTGGAGGGATGGAAACCCTGATGGTATGTGGCGATTACAGACATGCAGGTATGATGTCATGTGCAGGGTGTGTGCACACATCCACGGCTGTACAAATCCTCCAGCTAGATGAAATTTGTGCACATTAGTGTGTATGCACCTTCTGAACTATGTAAATATCTGTGTGAGTCTGTTTATGTCTGTGTTTAAAATAGTCCACGGTAGTGTGGGTGATGTTTATGAGTATTGGCCCTGCGATAACATCTGCCAGCATGTCTTGCCTTGCTCTGATCGTAACCCTGCAGCAACAGGAAGTAGGGTCGGTCCGTGGGTGGAAGGATTAGACTTTGTGACATCACTTCCAGGTCACAGCTGGAGTAATCTCTCTCATCCTCTGCGGGCTGGTTTGTCCATCCAACCTTTCCTTCAGCTTTTGAAGCTCTTATCTGAAAAAAATGAGTCAACACATGTTGGTTAGAACAAACTACGTAGACTTGATTCAGTTTCTCTCCATGTCCTGTTTTTACCTCCCCTGGCTGCGGGCTGATCATGCTCACGATATTCTTCCTGTCTTGAACCCCTGCATTGTTGCCAGGCCGGTTTCCAGGACCACGTTGGTCTTTACTAACGTGGTTGCCCTGGCGACGCCGCAAACTCAAGTTCATGTCACTGATGCTCCTCCTGAGCTCTGTGTTTCTTCCACGATGACCTCGTTCACTCTCCTCTGGTCCACCCCCTGATGACATCCTGCTCCGGCGCCAGCGCACACCTGTTAGCCAGACAATCAGGTATAGGGGAGAGTGGGGTAAGATGAGCCATTTTTCATATTTGGGATCACTACATCAAGGCAATCATAGTTTTGTCTCTAACTAGTGTATCTGCAGATATTTCAAGATGTTGTGCATCCCCGCAAACCAACAGAATGAGTGTAAACATAACTGTCTTGATAATATAGCATGTAAAAAAAGTGGTCTCCTATGGTCAACTGACCCTGTGTATGGGGTAGGTTGACCATAGGAGCGGGGTAAGTTGAGCCGTATCCCTGAATTGATGCCCATCTCCTAAATATTTGGTCACATGATCAATTTCTTTTACCATTTTCCAAGTTACAGGGGGTGGCTCAACTTACCCTTTGGCTCAACTTGCCCCACTCTCCCCTATTTTCAATCATGTATGAAATTGTTAACCTTCCTGCCTGTTGAGTCTTTCAGTACCTTGATAGTTCTCTCCCTCCCTCTCACGCTCTCTCTCCCTCTCCAACTCCTCTCTCTCATAGTCCTCCTTCCTTTGGATTTCAAAGCGCCGCTCGAATCCATCCTTTGGCCGCCACATGTCCACTAACAACAGGGGACACTCCCATGGGGCAACACTTCTCCGGCACTCTGTCTCCCATTTGATAGCTCCATCTGGCTGCGGGATGGGCTTTCCAATGACATCACACAACAGGAAGTCCTCGGGGCTGTGTTTCTGAAGAACTAGAAGGTAATGGAGGAAAGGGGTAGGGGGTGTGGGATGATTATTTTCCCATAAACGAGCAGTTTTTATTGTTATTAGGTCATACCCAAAGGGCTCAACAAAATGTGAGGAAATAGTCCCTGTATTGGTCACAGCAGAGGTTTAAATGAGAAGAATTGCCATACCTGTGTCATCTGTCTCCTCCCTTTCTCTCTCAGTGTACCGAGTGATGACCTGGGCGATTAGCTGCCTAGCTGTGGAGTGAATGTTGGCCAGCAGGGAGCGATAGTTGGCCCCACTGGAGAGGGCATCCCCATAGATCTTGATCAGGCCGGGGGCAGACGATGAGGCAGGGGGTAGGTAATGATGGGAGGAGGAAGCAGCTGAATGAGCCCAAACCTCTCTCTCCCTCTCCCCCACCGCTCGGTCCCGGTCGCTGTTGGAGCGCCCTCGCAGGAAGAGATGGGAAAGGCGCTTTGTGCGGGACTGGGGCCCAGCAGGCCGGGGCCTGAGGAAGGCCGGGGAAGGGGATGGGGACGGAGCAGGGGAAGCCAGCGAGGGGGTGGAGGTAGAAAGGGAAGAGGAAGGAGCAGAGGGGGCCTCGTGGAGGGAGGCTGCGTCAGAGCTGGTGGTCGACCTGAGAACAACAGAGGAGGGGAAGACAGATGGAGGAGAAAGGAAGGGACTAGTCAGCTGTGAATTATGACTGACAAAACACGAACAAACAACAAGACCCAAAATAAAACAAGGAAGGTAACTAATGACAGTGGAAGGAAGATAAGATGCTATTCTGCCCTTGACAAAAAGTGGTATGCAAGTTTGATAAACGGAGGGCGAATATTTATGACATAGAAGCAAAATAGGACTTGAAGACAGTTTCAGACTGACTTGACAGAGACAGCACTCGGCCAGCGACCCCCAAGCTTGGCAAAGTGTTTCCTTGGTGAGTTGATCCACAGACCCACTGGGAAATGGAGCTTTCTGAAGCGAGGACTGCCAGACCCCTCCATCTTACAGAGACAGAGAGAGAGAGAGAGAGAGGGATGAAAGCTTGCAGGACCAAGAACAGATGCTGCTTTATGATTCAATAATCTGATATCTGTGTAAGTATGCCAGTAAACAGTAATTGTTGTGTTTTCCCTTATCTGCTTTATCTACCTCCACACTGTAGCTGAGCATGTATGTCAGTAATGTCAGAATTGAAACAATAAAACAATAGCATGATGTCACCGTCAAAAAATATCAACAGGAAGCCTACAGCAGGTTGTCAACACGCTCAAAACAAGCAGAGCGAAATTCACCGAAAACACCCCCATCAGCTCTGTGTAATCAAAGCACGAATTTCCCATTTACAAACAGGAAGCATCTTTTGCAGGCCTCAAGTCCCAGCTGTCGCGCTGATGGGGAAATACCCACTCCTAAGGTCACTGCCTGTCTATTTGCTGTCTTTGTTGTACAAATCAGCATCAAAATTTAGTACCACACTTGCATTTTCTCTATAGATATAAAATACTGTATGTAAGCCTAAGGAATATCGTATCATAAAAATGACCACAGTTTGAAGTGTAAACCCTGACGACGCTGCAAATCTTGAAATATTTTGATGTATATTTGTATGTATTAACTCAGCTATCATGGTAGTTAAGACTGCTTTTTTAATGAGAATATTTAAGGTTACATTTGTGGTGGAAATATGTTAAAAACCATCAAGTGTATGCATTACAAGATATCTCTTTAGGAATATGCTTTCAAAACTTACCCACAACTGCCTGTGATCCTTGTATGGTAGGCCGATCTGATTCTTCAAAAGCAAAACGCAAATACGCTTAAAGGAACATAAACACCTTGTATGCTTCCTCCTTCCCGTCATGAAATTCCATTTTTTTAATCCCAAACTTGTCCAGTTTCTACGAGTAGGTCTCTAATTTTCTGTCTAACATCTGTTCGTGTAGACCTCTCTGTACTAAAATACCTTTTTCTGTCTAACAGATTAAGGTCTGCTCCCTCTCTCTCCAGCTCTCGGCCTCTCTGCGTCTATAGATAGAGAAACAGGCCCATTGTTCTAAGTGACAGAATTTCCTTCCTTTGCAGTGGACAACACCTATATCCTGACTGACTGAGAGAGAGAGGGAGAGGGAGAAATGGGAGAAAGCAGAGAAGGGCGAATTTATAGACATGTATGATTTTTATTACACCTTGTTGGGAAGACTTTATCTTTAACCCACAAGGCAACATTTAGATTTTGCTCCATCTGGTTGAAACAGAAGTATGGTATCACTAGTATATCCTGAAAGAGTTTAGATTTATCAGACAGGTCTCAGAGCAGAAATACGGCCACTTAAACCCTGAACCCCGCTGGGATTTTAAAATGAGAACAGACAGCTGTGCTACACATCACTAAACACACACCGAGACGCCAGTTTGAATTTTTCTGGAAAGAGGCTGAGGGAAACACACACACTGAGACAGGAAGCTAGAGGGAGCAACAGTGACACCTGTGAACTTTGACCTTGTCTTCAACAGGAAGATGGCGATGGACTGAGAAAGAAGACTGTCAGTTCATTCCAGTTGGGAGTTTAATCCTTGAAAATCTGAATTTCATGACTGAATTTATAGATAGAACAGTAACCCTTGACCCAGTTTCTACCAAACTGGTTTATTTCAGCCTCAGATACACGTGGAAAAGGCAAACAGATCAAACATGAGGACTGAGTAATGTAGTAAAACATAAAAAAGAGATGTTTGATCTGATGATTGTAAATATGACATTATCAGATAAGTGGTTACATCATAAAAAATCTGTTGTATTTCCCTAAATGCGATACCTCACATTTGAATCAAGACACTGATCCTATCAGTCAGACTTCATCAGCTCCTTGAAGAAAAAAAATGACTCTTGATCAATAATGTATAAATTTCAAGGTTTTTTATTTTATTTTTTGGATCATTGCAACACAAAATGGGTTCTATTTATTATGTCAAACACAAGTGTTCTAGTCATATAAGGCTAAAAAAATAAGACCATTTTACACACTGAGATAATAAACATCAAAGCTGATTTTACTGGACTAATGTGGCCCATATTCAGTTTTTTTTTCTTTCAGCTTTAAAGCTGGACTCTTTTTTGGGAAGGACACTGTACTTAATTTTTTGTTTGTACTCATTAGTCTTAGCCTGAAAAAGGTCTGTTTGTATTCCTCTATGTAAAACTGGGCCTATACTCTGTGCCTTCAAAATTCATCCAGTTAAGTTAAACCTATATGCACAGTAATCAGTCTTGAAGTCACTTGTAAAAAAACAAAAATCCCAAAAAACAAATAACACTTCCATCTAATCTAAATATTACATAGAAGTACATTCATTCCTCATACAACACTTCTCTTGTAAGTCTGACAGTCCTTTTTATTTGAGTCATCTGAGACCTTCTTTATATAACCAAATGTGAATGTACGGTGGCCAAGGACCGCCACTGCTGCAATTTTTTTAATCTGCACTGTTTCTTTTTTTAATTTGCAGCAGGCTTTAATTTTTTTTTTTTTTTGCATCGGTACCTTCTGCTCTGTTTTTATTTGTAGCAGTGGCGGTTCTCGGCTATCATATAAATCTGATAAAACTTGTAAAGATGCAAAATATTTTTTACATTTTTTAAACATATTAGTGGGGGTTCCTGTTTATCTATTTCTATGAATAAATGTGATATGTTTTTAATGCTCATGTCAACTTTAAACCGAGATCTTCTCTTAAGCCTTTCTGCTGCAGGTATCAGTCCTCTCTGTTGATAGTTTTCGTCTTTTCTAAATTCACATGATGCAGGATCAGGGTCATTCAAGTTGGACATGACATCAAACATCCCAGAGTCCTTTGCGGCTCGGTGAGGAAGGACATCTTTCTATTGAGGATTGAGGACACAACGAGAAACTTTCCAAGGTGAGCTATCCGTAACGTCGAAATGTATGCTTTTTCCCTCCCTGTCTTCTCTTTTACGCGTCTTTTGTTGTCACTTTAGACGTATTTTAACATCTAAGTGTGTCAGCTGACTTTCAGATTCACATTTGTTATAATTTTAACGAGTAAACGGCGGACATTAGCGGCTCAGAAAGGAACGATGCTAAGCTATGCTAACTTGTTTACTGAATGTAAAGTTGCTGTGGTTAATATTTGTGTCCGCCAATAGAGTCTGGTCGCAAACTTGCCTAAAAGTATATTTAAATTTCCTGAATAAGATGGGATAAGCTAGAAGAACGGCGAAATTTGACATTGCGCGTATCCTATTTTTAGCTTAGCTAGCATAAGAACACTAAAGGTTACCCTGGCTGTGTTATCCTCAGATGACTTCTTCTGTGTTCAGTTATCATGAAATGGCTGTTATATATTAACACATCTTTGCTTTATTTTTGGTGTCTTTGTTGTAAAGATGTCGGAGACAATTGAAGAGAAGATCAAGTCGTACAGGACTGCTCCTTTTGACGCCCGGTTCCCCAACACTAACCAGACCCGCAACTGTTTCCAGAACTACCTGGGTGAGGACACGGGCAGACTTACAGACCAACACTTATTCAGACAGCCGTAAAAACTCTGTAAAATAAGCATAGATCAGCTTAAACGCCATAGGCAATTTAATACAACCCAAAACAATAACAATAACTCTACAAAACCAATACATTTTCAAGTTTTGACCTGTTCAGACATGTGATAGTTATTCTTAAAACAGATTGTTGAAGTTGCAATGGGTGTTGTTGGTGCATTACATTAAAGGGATATTTCAGCGTAAAATAAATTTAGGGTCAAACACACCGTAGCACCGTGTTAGACACCACCTCGAGAGATTAATGTTGCCGACCGCTTGCTTCCCTGATGCCAACTTTAGTAACGACTGCAGATAGCAATACACAGCGGTCTGAGGAGCCATAAACAAACCTCAACCAAAACGGCACTCTATAGCCACAAATAATGCTCAGAACAGCACCTAACTTCATCAACAGTACATATAGGGTCCTAGCCATAGTACTAGCCACCAAACATCTTTCTTTTGCAAAGACACTAAACACAACTCACCTACTCTCTTCCAGCAGCCACTTGTTTGTACAGAGACAGAGAAATGTTCTTCCTTGAGCTGCGTCACCCTGCTGTAGTCAGTATTGGATTGGCCTGAGGGCTCGCCACAAACAAGTGGCTGCTGTAAGAGAGTGTGTGAGTTGTGTTTAGTCTCTTTACTACAGAAATTAGGCAAAGTTAAAAATATGTTTGGTGGCTAGTGCTATGACTGGGACCATTTATGTACTGCTGATGAAGTTAGGTGCTGTTCTGAGCATTATTTGTGGCTATAGAGTGGCGTTTTGGTTGAGGTTTGTTTATGGCTCCTCAGACCGCTGTGTATTGCCATTGTGCGGTCGTTACCAAAGTTGGTATCAGGGAAGCAAGCGGTCGGCAACATTCATCTCTCAAGGAGGTGTCTAACACAGTGCCATGGTGTGTTTGACCCTAAATTTATTTTACGCCAGAATATCTCTCTAAGAGGTGTGTCTGACATTGTTCCCCCCATATATGGGGGGAACACACTCTAGTATACCACCACTATTCATGGTACTTTCAATGATAAATATGTAGGACAATAATCACCTGTCTGATCATGTCAACAAAACTGAACATTCCGAAGCTGTAGAAGTTGAATTCTTGGTTGTTTGAAACTACTCGGGAGTTCATATTGTTGTGGCCGTGTAATGCAGTGTACATCAATGTACCAAAGATTAGAGAATGGAGCCTGAAAGCTGTCTGAGGAGCATATGTGAACAATGTGAATGATGTGCTCATCTACAGTTTGACTTTCACTAACTGTCATGAAACATAACAAATATGTATGGTCTACCATCAGATAACTTACAGTTAACTTGAGTTAACCTTGTTTCAGTAATCACTCAAATATAGAGATCTGTTTAATGTTGAAACGTATGTAAATATGGTGTTCATATGACTAGAATTGCACACAGCGATTTCTTGAAGTCTGAATAATTTGTCCAGATGGTGCGTTTAAGGGTCTTGGCCTAGGAGTTGTGCACATCCCCCACAGTTGGCTTGGCACACAGTCTAAACATGTAAAAGGTAGCCTGGTAGGAAAAACCTCAACAGAAGAAGAAAGAAAGTTAACAAAACAGTGTTATCCTATTATGAATACAAATTAATATAGCTGTAAATTTGTCAGTGTTTTCGCTGTTTGACATACAGACAGTTAGCCTCGTGTTAAGTTGTTCATTGATTGTTTTGGTGTGTGACATAAAAGGTCAAGTGCACATGTAAACATACTGAACCAGTTAATCCATCAGCTGTGGAAACTCATAAAAAGTGTTAGTTAGTATGGTTTTTATTTCTGCCCAACATTGAAACTTGAACATCTCCCTTGTAAAGGAAAAAGCAAAAACAAAGAACAAACTAAAAAAAATTTGGCAAATGAAGCAACAGTCGTACACTTTTGTTGTCAAGCCAGGATATTGTCACTGTTCAGACTGTTCTCGTCTCTCTCTTCCTCCTTTTTGTTATTTTTGTCGTGTTTTTCGTTCAAACGCACAGTCAGATTAGGAATATAAAGCCATGTTGTTTCTCTCCAGACTACCACAGGTGCAACAAGGCTCTATCAGCCACAGACCAGGATGTGGCTCCCTGTGATTGGTACCAGAGGGTTTACAAAAGCCTCTGCCCCATGAGCTGGGTGAGTATTAGGGTTAGAGCTCCCATAGCTTCTTTATTATGTCCAGGTGACTTGTCGGGGGGAGGACACTCATCATGCACTTACCCTAGTGGGTTTAATACAGAAAATACTAGCCAGCCAGATGCAGCCCAGATGGGCTGCTTTTCCAGTTTTCTGTTCTTGTTCTACTTCGCCTCATTTAGTTCTGGGATTGGCTTATGATCAGTTTTCTCCATTTAGTTTGAGACTCTTGAGACACATTATGCTGCACATAACAAAGGGCTGTAAGAATGACGCATCATTTAATTATTTTCTGCTCTCCATCTTTCTCATCATACTTGAAGAACACGCCTCACCTTCTTTACGTTTCCAGCAGTGAGAACTTAGGCAAAAACAGCTATCATCCTATTTAATGAAGTTAGATTTTTATGGCTGTTAGTCTCAACTTTGCAGCTGTTTTGACAAGTACACTTTTCCAAAGACAAGACTGAACAATACTTGAGCATTTGTTCATTCTCAGACTGGTCTAATATTCTCTCTGATATTTCCAACAGGTCTCCAAATGGGATGAGGCGATAGAGAGCGGGAGTTTCCCTGGAAAGATTTGAAGTCGTCGGTTGTTAGGATCAGAACTGTCCACCACAGGACTTTCTGTTACGTACACCTTTACCTCTGTTGTGTGCCTAAGGACATCTTTAAACAGCTTTCATACTATGATCAGCATCACTGATGTAACTGGTATTAACTTAAATTATAAACACGCACAACTTTTCCAACCTTCATTTCGAGGTCAGAAATTTGTTTCCGTGTCATTGTAAACTTCATTTGGAGTTTAATCAATAAATACAGTTTGGATTTAACAAAAAAAGAGTTGTTGATTCTACTATTTTAGTGATTTATCAACTAAGCTTCACTCTAAGGCATTTTACAGACAAAATACAGATTTAACACAAGCTCAACCTTGTCTTTATTTTACTACCAGTAATGCTTTATCTGCTCGCCAGAATGATTTTCAGTTCGACTTGCTGAGACCTGAAGTCACCCTGGATTGTTAGATTATTACTGCACATACCCTTCAGCTATCTTGACTCTAATAGTTAGAGTAGGGATGTATACACAGTAATCACTGTGTATGCTCTTTCATTTAGTCCCCTCAAACACCCTCAGGTCTGTCTACTGGAAAAACCAACAACGTTTTTCCAGAGGGTGGCAGTGTTGTTACAAAAGCAAATGCTCGTTTCGGTGTAGTACTTAATTTTTGCCCCATGGTGGCAGAGTTGAACTACATCTCTTTCTACACAGCTTACCAGGCCTTTTCTAAGGTAAAGCACATAAACTCTGGGTTATTCAAGGTTTTTCTGTGGACTGGTATCTTAATTATTGGGATTCAGGAAGTATTACATTTACATACTTCAAAGCTACAAATTACAGAACTTCTCATTTCAAAGGGCACAATAAGAAGTAGTCTTGATTCATTTTTTGATCAATATTGGCACATCCGTTTTGTTAGGAGAGTTTTAACCCATATATAATTATCAGCTGATCGCATCTGTCATCTCCAACAGTTCATCCGGACTTGCCAAAAAGGGCGTGTTTGTTCCTGTTTTGACTTGAAGATGATGGAAAACCCTCTTTGGAGCGCCACTTTTGTTTCAAACTGTCTCAGCCGTTTGACATATGAACAGATAAAATTATGTTAAGTAAGATGAAGTAAAAGAAACTTAAAAAATTGTGAACATATTTATATAAAAAAGTACGAGGGATTTTTTTCCCAGAGTTTATCAACATGAGCCAGTACCAAACAGTGAACACAAGAGGGCACTGCTGCACCAAAATTTAACAAGGTTAAAGCTTTTAGAAACTTATCGTGATACTCCATCTCCCTCTCATACATAACTCTCTAACACCCAGAAGATCTTACATCAGATTACATTTGAACCACTATGTCCCAGAACCACATGATTACTGTCAGAGATGTATGGCATTAATGTTCAAACCCACTCAACCATTAACCAAACTCCTGGCCATGCTCAGGGGAAGTGTTCATAAACTTATACAAGCATTAAAAATATGGTATTTATTGAATTTGACGCTTTAAATCTTCTATTCAGTTATACAAAACAGCCATAGTTAATTACATCGGTGGAAAAAAATTTGAAGAGGTAAAACCAGGATATGCTTTTAAGATACTTTTGAGGTAAGGTATTAAAAAGACTTGTTTGTCAGCCATAGTCATTATCAGCAAAACTAAAAGAACAACAGGCTTTTTCTTATTGACTTCATCCTTCAAGATGCTACCAGTCAGTAATGAGGCTCTGTTGTTTTCAAATTTAACTCATGTTTTCTTTTGGAAACCATCCACACACATACACAGGTTTTAGTTAATAACCGGAAGTGGTTTGCTGTCGGTGTCTGATTGTGAGAGAGACTACGCAGAAAAGGCAGAGACAGGAATTGTATCTTATCTTCACCCCTTCCTCTCCCTCCTTGTCTTTCTTTCTCTCTTTCTTTCCGTCTCTTTCTGTAGCTGTGTTTGCAGATGTCTCATAATTTGATCTGTTCACTCAGTCCAGGTCACCAGGCGGGATGCTGGAAGATCTGTTTCCTTGGCAACAGCCAAATGGATCCAGATGGGATGCTGAGAGAGAAGTGTGTAAAGTAGTTTATAAGGATTCAAGAGTGAACCTGACAAATAGCACGTTTCTCCTCTTTGTTAGTTCCCCTTTTTTACATCTTCTCTGGTAGTATTTAGTCACGCCTGAATGACAATGTGGTTTCCAATGTAAGACTAATAAAGGGAAGGAACTGCCCGTCTCTAACTGAAGTTTTTTTAAAAGATTCATTGTGATGACACAAATGTTGCATCCGTCACTGTCTGTCCTGTCATCCAGGAGTGAACTGTCAAATTGTGATGTAAAGTATCGACGGACAAGTCACTTAAGTTCAAATGGGCAACACAAAATTATCATACTATTTTACTATTATGAGGTCAGATGTCACTTTACTTAGATTTTTGTTAAAATATGATCATAAAACACAATATTAACAATCAGAATACGTGTGTCTTAAATGTTGTTATCCTGTCATATTGTTTAATTTGACCACAAATTGGTGGATAAGTATTCAGCACAATGTTTAAAATGAAAGATTTAGATGCTCATAATTTCCTGAGGGAGGACCCCCCCCAGACCCCTTCGTCTTTGGTAAGTTCAAATGAACTCTATCCTGTACTGTCTCAAAAGCTTCTCCATTTACAGCTGTACCAGACTACCTATAGCCTGTATTACAAAATGGTCTTCAAATGTTGCCAAATGCACATCTTTATTAATCCCTTTTTTTAATTTTTTTTTAATGCTCTGTCACCTCATGACCTACTGCAGGTGACTTTTTTTTTAATCGTCCAGTCCATGTCCCTCAAAAAGTCTGAGTGTGCCAGTGTTTCAGGCTCAGGTGTACATAGTTTTGGATTAAACAACCTCTGAAGTTTAGTCAGCAAGCCAAGAGTGTACTTAAATTAAAATAAGTGAAACGCAAAACTTTTACATTTGCACTGGGTATTCGATATTGATCCGCTGATTACAGTTTCTCAACGTCCAACTCCAGTACCAATTATAAGAGAGCAGGTTGGCTGATGGCAGATATATATAATGCTGATAACATACTTTTTTTTTGTTTTCTGCATTAGAGACATTATTTTCTGCAAACAAATATTAATGAAACAAAATTTGATAATATTTGGAACAATGCAAATGGATTTCTGTCCAACAATCTAAAATTATAATTCTAGACATCATAACAGAATTTGAATTAAAACACAAGCTACTGTTTATGATTTACTATTCTGTTGATGGAGGATCAGACAAATGCATTTTCAATTGGAAAAATATAATTGTAATATTAGCCTTATGATGGCTGATGCCAATTTGATGCAGATTATGTCAAAAATGTCATTAATCAGCCTGAATAATTGGTCTGTTTCTAGTATTTAATGCCTCTGGCTGAGGGTAAAGAGCTCAGGTCATTTGCAGTCTGAATAAATTTGGAAGCTTAATCCAATCTCAGACAGGGGAGAGTGGGGTAAGATGAGACATTTTCCATATTTCAGATCACTACATCAAGTCAATCATAGTGTTGTCTCTAACTAGTGTATCTGCATATATTTCAAGATGTTGTGTATCCCTGCAAACCAACAGAATGAGTGTAAACATAACTGTCTTGATAATATAGCATGCCAAAAAAGTGGTCTGCTATGGTCAACTTACCCCGTGTATGGGGTAAGTTGACCATAGGAGCTCCACCCCAGCCTTCCCTCACCTTCTCTCTCCCTAAATAACAGTCACTTCTTCACATTCATGTGTATTTTTATCTATTATACGCTTTTGAACTGTTGCAATAATTCTTTTTATTATTATTGCATATAACTGCTAAAAAGCTGTTTTGTAAAAAGTCATTTTAACATGAGAATGTCTTTAAGTGATTCAGAACATTCACAGCTGTATTTTTAAAAAGAAAAGGTAACACATTTCAACAATCTGAACTGAAACTCTGATCCTCTCATCAGACTCCTTCACTTTCTCAGTTGAGCCACTGACTCAACTTACCCCAGAACTACTGTGATGACTTTATTAGTCCTCTAAGCTAAAATGGTGGACTTTTATTCTAGGTTTTTGACCTCATGTTGTAGCTCATAAATACCACAATTAATGTATTAAATGAATTTAGAATTATCTTTTTTGGTCTGAACACAATTCTAATAAAACTTATGACAGACTAAATTTACTTTCAAGAGTGAAAAATGTTTTTTGTAAATAAATGTCTAACCCCTTCACCCATGTGCTTCTAACCTTCACAGACTCCATGAATTGATGCCCATCTCCTAAATATTTGGTCACATGATCAATTTCTTTTACCATTTCCAAGCAACAGGGGGTGGCTCAACTTACCCCACTCTCCCCTACAGCCTCTCCAAACTAAGTAAGTAAACTAAGTAAACTTTTTTGTTGGAAGATGTTGATATGTTTTGAAAGTTTTATTCAACAACTCACCACATTTATGTGACGAGAAAAAAAACTTTTACATTTGTTATAGACTTTTTGGTACTTGTCAAAAAGTGTTCCAGGCTATGTTGTTTTGTTTTAGGTGTATCTGTCTAAAAAATAGACTCTATTGTTGTCATCTTTTTAAAAAACAGCCAAAGGAAAAGAAAGATATCTTCGTGGCTTATTAGGTGCTAAATTGTCAGCTAAATCCAAACACTAGTTCCTGGCCTCTTGACACCTGTCAATCAAGATTTAATGAAAATGTAAAAAGCTGACACAAGAACCACAACAAACAACAGCCCACGTGCTCACCAAGTGGATTTAAAATGACCCCGGGCCTCTGGTATTTCTTGAAAACTTGTCAAATTCCTGCCCGGGATTTATGTGGGCTGTGAAGATTAGACATAGTTGATGAAGAATTAGGAGGGCTCCCCGTTTGTTTGCCACCCACTGAGCCGGTCTCATGATTTCTGCATGACCAGGCTTTGTATCTGAGCTACGTGCACATTGCCTTTTGTTCTCGCGCCCCCGGTGGCCGTCCGACGGGCCAGCAAACAGCACAGAGACTTCTTTCACCGGAACCGTTTGTTCTTTACCACTGGTCCGTACTGTACGCCCACCCGTGAAACATCCCCCTCCGTCAGTGGGAGGGAAATGCTGCTGCGCCGCTGCTACGAACATTACGACACCAGACGAGCGGACCTTACATGACTCGACCGGATGGGAAGTTTTGCGTGCGTCTTTTTGACTCAGAGGGTTCTTCCAATGAAATGAGTAAGAGAGAAATTCAGACTCTGAAACGTGCCGGTGAACTCGTTCCGGTTGTTATAATAACTTACTGATGAGAGGGAGGAGTAAACATTCACTATACCAAGCAGGGCAGGACAGGACTGGTTTGTTAGATACACAAAGGCTGGCACACATCACACATAACGGTAAACAAACATTTTTCTATTTACTTTTAACGTATGTTATTTCTTTCTTATGTTGACTTAAAGCACCTAATTTATTGTCTGTATTTTTATTATTATCGCACAATTGTAACTAAAGCAGCCAACTTATTGTGTTAAAACATTTTTAAACAAAATCCAGCTGTAGCAACACCTGCAACTCAGTCCTATTCTATTTGATTTAAGTCTAAAGGTAATTCAAAGGCTATTTCATGGCCTTTATTGATCAAAAGAGTGCTGCAAATGTAATTTAAATGGAGAAGAGGCAGCTGCATCTTGTCTTTTTTGAGTTTTTAATTGGAGAGAGCAGAAGAGGAGGGTGAATACGGAAGCAGAGGGAGGGGTTTGCTGTCATTTTGGTCACTGACTCCTGTTGAATTCAGTGAGTGTAGAAAAGTGCCTCAGCTGCTACAGACTGCTCTTCAACATCTGAGTCCTGAGGGTGTGTATAGTTTGTAGTCTTGGGCTATAGGATTGGTGTTTTATCACAGAATTCATGTCTCAAGAGAAAGATCTTTTAAACTTTCTTTGTAAAGAGCAAAGGGCAAAGGATGTGTCTTGAAAGATTATTTAATGTTCTTTGTTTATTTTTCAGGTTGTTCCTGACACGATCCACAGAGGTGTGTCTACATACGCATTCGCAGGTAGCCCAGTCCGAGAGGGGTTCTGTTAAAAAAGTGTCTGAATTTAACTCTCCTGTCAAGCCGTGAAGATGGAGCGAATGGAGGATGATAAGGTAACTTATTTCTAACTCTTGTTGCTGCATTGGATGTACGTATTTATAAACAATCTTTTTTTAAAATCAGTTTTAACTTCTATCCTTTGTTTTCTGTCTGTCACACAATTCAGTGTTTCCTGAGGAAATAGTGTCAGTCTGTTGCCATTGTTGGTTTTATCCTGAGCCAAACACCTCCTAATGAATGAGAGCGCGTTATTTACGAGTCACAGGCTGGCAATTCTGTATTTTTCCTATCTGGCATGAGCAGGAGCTGACGGTGGGAGTCGAGCACTTTAGGACGTGACTAAGAGAGAAAAAGAGGGAGACAGGACTGTTGGGTGGCAAGTTTGAACTTGAGCGTGCTCAAGCTTCTTGCTTTTATTTGTGGGCTGTATAGAGAGCAGGGATGAGGAAATACTGGCACGATAAAGAGAAGGTGAAGCAATGACAGTATGTGTAAAAGTATATACACAACAGAGAAAAAACTACACAGGTATTATAGTTAGTCAAATTGTGTATTTGACTATGGATTTGATATCTCTAGTGACTGAAAATTTTCCTTCAGTGGCGCGCTGTTGCAAAGCTTCTCTGTGGCTTTTCTTTTGAAACATACTGCAAGCTCTTGCTTCATTGTCTTAGTGATTTCTTAACGTTTTTAGATCGTGTGCATTTAAGCAACTACACACTTAGTCACACTAATAATTAGCCTACACCCCAAAATCTTTTTTTGCCATGTTAACGTTAATCTTTGTTTTTCACGGACTAAAGGGAGAATTGTGAGCAAGTATTGATGCAAAAGTCCATCTGGGAATAAATTGTATGGATTAAGAGAGTAAGAAAGAGAAAAAGATGTAAGGTGATGTAAGTCATTGTCTTGTTCAGTAGGAGGGAGGATGAGCCGTGAAAGCACACAGGTTTTATATGGTTTGAAATAATTTGAAATCTGTGTGATTTTATTAAACGGGTTAATAACTCATACAGGAAATCCCCACATTAAGAGAGTCGATGTGAGGTTAGAGTCCAATCCTGGCAGCAACTCAGTAATCTCACCACAAGGTCCATTTGGCTGTTCTGGAGTTTCAAACAGCTCATGATCATTAGGAGCAGACAAAGTCTCAGTTTTAATGATTTGTTTGTGTGCTCAGTCATACCCATGATCTCTACACTTGAAATCCTGTTAACATGTCATCAAAGTGTCCAGTTTTTTGCGTCACTGTTTATACTCACGAGTAATTAAGTGTGGTTACTTTTGCATCTTGATTTGCTTTACCGGAGTGCTTTACATTGAATTCTTTTGCACACATTTCCATGGCTTTTAAAACTGAATATCTATGCATTCGACAACATGCAGACAATGACGACACATCTGCTCATAGTCATGATGCTTCTTACTCAGTCGTCCACTCCCACACAGTGTGTGTTATGTCAAGAGGTGGATTTGACAATGCTGTAGTCTTTACACAATCTTACTCAACACCAGCAGGTCGCTGCAGATACAATTTCACATGCTAATACATAACATAACAACACACCCACATGCAGTTTTTCGTCATCTAATCTCCTCTAGTGATGTTTGGATCTGCCACACCCCGCAAAAAAATCCTATGTTTTGTATCTCTAGGTTTTAAGATCTTGGGGTTAGGATCAGACTTGTTCATCATGTTACTATAGCGAACGCTTTTCTTGATTTCAAAGATTCCTTTTCTAGATGTTGACATTCAGTATGTATTTTTTATATTCATTTTTCTTCTTAATTTTATCTTACACTTTTAATACCACTTCCTTTGCACTTTTGCTTTATCGAGTCTGCAGCACTTCCTGTGTGGTTTTATCTGTTATTACCAAGAAGTTCACGTGATCGTGTCAATCTAGTTTGTTTCAGTCCTTATATATAAAACAAGGCCGTGCTGTCCTCCTGAGAGACAAACTGTGGCTTACAACTGATTATCACTATCTGTACAGAGCAAAATATCCAACTCATGTGCCTCGTGTGATTACTTATACATATCAACAGAACCTTGATAAGCGCTAATACAAATAGGAGCTGAGGAACCTTAAGATCTCTGTTGAAAGAGAACAGATTGTTTAATTCTGGTGAGCTGGACTTTTTGCACTCAGATGTGAAAGCAATGGTCATCTTGCAGCAGTATTTCTGTTTCATGACGTTTTAGGGATTTGGAACTTTATCAGTGCAGATAGTCGTATCATTTACAGTTAAACTTGGGACAAAGCTCATAGTTCTTGTCTGTTTTTGATATGAGTGTGATTACGCATTTACAAAACATCATCATTAACATCATGACTCTTTCTGATGTTGAAAATCCAACTTGGGTTTTTAATAGGGGTTGGGTTTAAAAAAATGCAAGGATTTAACTGGACGATTACGGCTTACTCGCCATTAACAAGCCCGCTTTACCCCTTGACCACTGGACTCTGCATGCAACTGATCACTTGCGCAAAAAGTTGGTGCATTTCAGTAAATTTAAAAGGGATGTAATCGCTCGAGTGGTTGCCAAGTCAATGTGAAACTTTGTTTGGGGATCTCCGTTTGAGACCAAAAGCCTCCACGTGCTTTGCTTGAAACTAGAACTTCATTTGAACCAATAACTTTTTATATTTCCTGATTGCACACTTTTACATATTGTAAATTTCTCCCCCCTGCTGGCCCTGCTGTTGTTGGAGATTAATGTCCTGTGTATTAGCGTGTTATTATGAGCTAAGCCAACTTGAATTCTGAAACCAGCAGGGAAAAATGTTCACAATAGGGTTCAGTCTCAGTCTCTCAGGGTGTCTTTAGCTACTTAGCTGAGAAATACCCCAAAGCTGCCAATCATGGAGCCAGAGCTGTGTTGAAACACCTAGCTCTCTCTCACAGCAGTGCAGCGAGTGTGCTGATGCAGAGAGCTGGAAACCAGGGAGGGAGGGCAGATGTAGAAAGGCTCATTGTGTGGAGTTACCAGTGTCACCATAAACAACAGGAGCTTTGTAGAGCCAGGAACAGGCCACATCCAGCACACACACTCACACTCACACACACTCACTGAGGGCACAGTTGTACATAAACCCACCCGCTTATTGTTTTAATTCACCAAATCTCTCTGTCTTTGTGTCTCTGAACAGCCGAAGAAGAAGCTGACACCTTATCTTCTCTACTGTGTTTCAACTGCAGTCATCGGCTCGCTGCAGTTTGGCTACAACACCGGGGTCATCAATGCTCCAGAGCAGGTGTGTGTGTTTACAGCGTGTTAGTCACAGAGCTTGATTTTTATAATTAACAATCACACTGGGAAAACCTTTTTAAAAAGTGGGCATGAATTCTGGCTAATTAGAGCTGCAAAACCACATCTTCTGTCATTTTCTGATTTGTCTCTAATCCTCAACGACCTTTTAGGTTATTTTAAAAACAGATAATAATATTAACAATAAAGTAGTTGGTCTGTTTTTGACCTTAAAGTTTTCTGATCTTTCTTGAGAGTGCATCTTTTCAAGGATCTAGTGCTAAAAGCTATGCTGCCCCCCTGTGGATGTGCCAGAAATCCCCAAAACACACAACAAGCACAAGCTTTGCCACATCCGCCAGACCTTCAATCACCAAAGACTGTCTTTAAAGTTCCATTTTAAAATCCTAAAACTCTTCTCTGTGGTTTTGACAGAAACTGCGTAGATTTTTCCAGAATGTGTCCATGGAGCGGTACGGGGAGCCTTTCACCCCGGGGACTAACACCATGGTTTGGAGTTTTGCTGTCGCCATCTTCAGTGTGGGAGGAATGATCGGGTCCTTCTCTGTTGGAGCGATGGTCAACAAGTTTGGCAGGTGAGAATATCAGGAAAAAGAACTGTGGTGAGGTGACGGGGTCATTCAATCAAGTTATTTTAAGGACAGTGAGTGCAGCTAGTTTAGTGTGATTTATTTTCTTCACACTTGCAGCTGTTTGAGAGAAATCAGACGAGACTCAGACAATTGTCCTCCATAATAATTTTCTCCTTCTCTCTCCTCACCAGGCGTAAGTCCATGCTGCTCGCTAACATCCTGGCTGTTATCGGTGGAGGTCTGATGGGACTGTCAGTTGTGAGTCGATCTTTTGAGGTTGTCATCGTCGGCCGGTTGATCATCGGTGTGTTTTGTGGTCTGTGCACCGGTCTGACCCCCATGTACGTGGGAGAGATCACCCCCACTGCCGTCAGAGGAGCCTTCGGCACACTGCACCAGCTGGGTGTAGTTATTGGCATCTTGGTGGCACAGGTATGATGTTGTGATTTTTTTAGTCCTACAATTTCTCTGGATAAAAAACAACCAATGAAACAAATGTTAGCATAAACATGTAACACGACAAGCATGTTTTTGCATTGTCCTCAGACATGAGGAGCTCAATTCATGATTAAAATATTCAAGTCAAAGATCCACTCTCTCACTACAGAGCAACAAATATTTTTAGACTCAACTTTCAAATCAAGTTTGAATCTTTATTGTTCAATATTCATGATAAAGTGACATGACTGATCAGACCTGAACTGACTGAAATCTGCTTTTTAGATCTTTGGTCTGGAGTCTCTGCTCGGCTCAGACACACTGTGGCCTCTGTTGTTGGCTCTGACCATCCTGCCCGCCATGCTGCAGACTGTCCTGCTGCCATTCTGCCCTGAAAGCCCCCGATACCTGCTCATTGTCCTCAATCAGGAGGAAGAGGCAAGAAAAGGTTAGTTTTGAGACATTTTCCAATATGTTGAAAAGACAGTAACATAAGTTAGACCATATCTAGACTGACCTGTGATCATTTGTAAGCTAATGAATCTTCCATAGACTTGAACATAGATGACTAGTTTCTTTCTTTTCACCGTATTTGAAGACATCATTCTCAACATTCCTCCTTTCTGTTTATCCATTTTGTCTCCTCCATGTAGCACTGGTTCGTCTGAGAGGTTGTGAAGATGTGAGTGATGACATTCAGGAGATGAAAGAGGAAGGGATGAAGATGGCCATGGAAAAGAAAGTGACCATCCTCGAGCTCTTCCGCTCTCCAAACTACCGTCAGCCCATCATTATCGCCATCATCCTGCAGCTCTCTCAGCAGCTGTCTGGCATCAATGCTGTGAGTACATCATAGTATATAATAGGGCAGAGTGATAATGATGTCATTAACAAGTGTCAGCCCATGTAACGAAAGAGGGTTATCGTCAAACTTGTCATCTCATGAATCTTAAAGGAGCATTTATTGCAAGGATTCAGACGTCTTTGACACGCAACAAGAAAAGCGTCATTGCTTCAGGCGGAGTTAGATTGAGCGGAATAAGCTAGGCCTCTGTGGGTCAATGGAAAGAGACAACACAGTGGTATTTAACAGGTTTTTGGTTAATGAGGTCATGTAACCCGGCTGACTAGATGTATTAGACGTAGCTGTGTCTGACCTGACAATCACAGTTAAGCTGCTGTGGCCTTTAGCTAAAGGCTGCAACATTGATTGAACTCTGACAGACAAATTAGCATTCAAGAGATGAATCAATGACCTGCCCTGCAACTCATACATAACACAACTTGTGTGTTTCTCTTTTTGACATTGCCAAAGTTTAAAGCTTAAGTTATCAGACATTATTTTCTTACTTCAACTGCTAATGTTCCTGTGGCCCACATTCTCGAAACCAAAAATACAAAGGTGTTTTTGCCTGTTTTATTAGCATAATTTAGATATTCGTAATATTATTGCCAAGCCTAAAAGTCTTTACCTTTAATTTATTTACCCAAGTCCAAAAAAGGCACTAGGTTAGCAGCTAGCAACTGATGTAGTGACACATTTAGCCACAGAAAAATTAGCTTGTTTGTGTCAGAAGTTTCCCCTGACCAAAATAGAGCAAAACCAGAGCAAATATGGGGCTTAAATATGCTGAATAGACATAAACACAGCTCAAAGTTAATGTTACTGTGTAGCTTCTGAATGTGTGAATTGACAGCTGTTAGCTAACGTTAGGATAATCAACACTTAAGGGCGATAGTAGTCAGTGCTAAATTGTTGTTATGCATCTTGGCAGCCTAAGAATCCATCACTCAGGATTAATATGATGTAATTTCATTCACTGGAATAAAATATTAACCCCTCCATTTTCCTCCCTGTCAGGTATTTTACTACTCCACTGGCATATTCGACACAGCTGGTGTTACTCAGCCCATTTACGCCACCATAGGAGCTGGGGTTGTCAACACCGTTTTTACTGTTGTCTCTGTAAGTGTCTGAAGGCTCATTTTGTGTCTCAATACTCGTTGGATTTTTAATGATGTGGTCATCAATTATACTGAATTGTTTCACCTCCAGCTCTTCTTGGTTGAACGGGCGGGACGAAGGACGCTGCACCTGATTGGCCTCGCTGGTATGGCGGTCTGTGCCCTCCTCATGACCATCTCCCTGTCTCTGGTGGTGAGTGATGGTTGAATGATTTTTCATGCCCTGTGAGGTTTTTTGCTCGCCAGAATAAAAAGTGTCCCAATTTCAGCCTCATTACATCTTTAATCTTTTGTTTTTCTCTCTGAGCAGAAGACCAACCCATCTGTAAGCTACATGGCCATCGTGGCTGTGTTTGGCTTTGTTGCCAGTTTTGAGATGGGTCCAGGTCCCATCCCGTGGTTCATTGTGGCAGAGCTATTCTCCCAGGGGCCCCGACCTGCTGCCATGGCTGTCTCTGGTTTCTCCAACTGGACTGCTAACTTCCTGGTGGGACTTGGCTTCCCAAAACTGGAGGTATGAACACATTTGTGCAAAAACCTTGAGATGTTGCCGTGTAAATTTGACGCATACCCTAAAATGTTTTCTTTTTCTACCCCCAGGAACTTTGTGGTCCTTATGTCTTCATCATCTTCATGATCCTCCTTATCTTCTTCTTCATCTTCACCTTCCTCCGAGTGCCTGAGACCAAGGGAAGGACCTTTGATGACATTGCTCAGGGATTTGCTTCCAGTGCAGGGAAATCTGCCACATCTCCAGATCCTGAGGCTATGGTCGTTGGCTTACCAGAGAACAAAGACCCTCCACCCATGTCACCTACAGAGAAGGTGCCAATGGTGGATGTCCCCCCAGAGAAGTAATGAGTGAAAAAGAACAGATTTACAAATGTGGTTCAAGCATATAGAAATTATAAGGAGTTATACATACGTGATAACTCAAAAATGCAAGGTGCAGGAGAGGCGTGGTGTATTTCTAGAAAAGCCACCTCAGTGCATTAACACAGAAATAAGATTGTAGTCTTTTTAATATGTGTTTTTAAACTGCCTTTTTAAATCATGTGATGTGTTTTTTAAGGTTGCCCTGTCACAGACGCCTAAAAAATGTCAGAATTCCCTGTAATCCTTCTTAAAACATGGGTCAAATTTAACTGAATTACTTGTACTTTATATTTGTTGGTATTCCCAGGGCCAGCTTTGCGTCTATTGCCATATAAGAGGATCAACATATGCTCAATGTTAAGTCCCAGGTCCTCAGCTACCCCCCAGTGTTTAAAGGTTGCAGGATTTGGGGGTTTTATGTATTGAGGTCAAGCCTGAAAAGCCGGTTTTGGAGCCTCAGTAGATTGACCCAAAAAAAGAAAAAAAAATACTGACTTGCAGTCTTGTCTGCCTGTTGATGTGCCTTGCTGCTAAGGGGGAGGGAGCCATGTGGCCTTAAGTGGGCAGAATTAACATGGCGGAGGTGCTGTGGATTTGAAATAAAAATATTTAAGTATTTAGAAGAGAAGAGATATTTATTCATATTCTGTCGCAGGATGTCCTCGGAGAGAAGAGGACATTTGTGTTTGGATGTTTTTCAATTTAGAGCATTTGTGCTGACAATTAAGAAACAACAAGGACAGATTTGTGAGTTGGTACTGTCTGCATCAACAACATCGTCGGTATGAGATTTAGGTATAGTCCAGCACTGCTTAGCCTCAACAAAAGTTTTGTTTTGCCTGGGCTTACTGCTCTGAAAAACACAAACCTAACTCCTTGTGTTTGATGATATTTTCACAGGGTACAGCCTTCATGTTAGAAAAAAAAAACTTGTTAGAAACATACAGGACTTGGAAATAAGAACTCAGGTGGCTACTTGTGTTACACTGTATAGTCTGCTTCTGACTGATGCGGCATACTAATATGTTGATTCATCCCTATACTTGAAACTGTTTTGACAATATTACAAAACAGTAATTTTCATAAATTAAGCATCTTACAATCTGTACAATAGTGTTACATTAAATCAGAAATGCTTGCCAGTGTTAAACAGTCACTTGAGCAGTTGATTACACACATTTACTGTAAGTTTACTGGTATTTAAATGACCACAAATGTCTGTCTACAGAAGATATTAGCCATATGGGATGGTCATTTTACATAACACTAAATGTGTCTCCTGGTTAATGCTTGGTTAACGCACAAAATTGTGTTTTCATAGATATGTTTGTTTCTGATCATCTGAAATCATGTGTATATATTGTACAATCTCCACTTACTGCCATATGATCAATTATTACAACACAGTTTATATGCTTATAAGTATTATGCCAGTATTTTGTATATCTCCATCTTTTTCTGCATCACACACTTATAAAGACGCACTTTTCAGTGCTCAAGCTTAGCAGTGCTCTCATTTGCACTCTTGCAGTCTGACTCTGTTGGATTATTGTGTGTGCCTTTCTTTTTCTTGTAAATATACTGTGTGTGTTGATGTGTGCATCGTTTTGTTTGGTATTTGTTTCGCCTTATTCTGTTTCATCTTTGTAACATCCACTGATTTTTCTTGCACTCTGGAAATACTGTTACTATGGTGAATGTTACAGAAGGCAAAGAAGAGACACAGGCTAAAATTGTGGAGTTAGAAAAAGCATAACCTTCATTATATTTTCTATTATAAAGTCTTCTGCTGTATTAATATGAGTGACACTTGCTTTGAGAAGCTAAAAAGGAAATAAAATGTGCCACCTTTTAAGGGAATGTGTGATCTTGATTATTTGCTTCAACAGCCTGTTATTTTTCTGTCGGTGATGACACAATTCAAAGCAAGTTTCTTATAATGAATGATTAATACATCTGCAGTCTTTGCTGAAGTAAAACTGTGTGAGATTTGTCTGGGATTGGTCCAGCTCTCACTTCCACACTGTGGCGGCTCCGTTCCCTTTTCTGCACTGCAGCAAAACCTCAGTAAGCTGTTTGGTTTTACACTATAGGGCTTACCAATACTCTGAGGCATTGAAACGAAGCTATGAGTTATTTTTTCTCTCATTGGCTGCTGCAGTTTAGCAGTTGAGCTGCAGATGATAGGACCAAAACATAAAGTAAATGTATGGCTGGTAAATATTTGACAGACTTCCTTACATATTCTGTTGAAGCCTCACGTGGACATGAATCCATTTATTGTACGTGAGTTTGAGCTCCTGTGTGGAGTTTTAAACAGGATGTTAGAAGAAACTAAAATTAATATTAATGCTCCTCTGGCTATCAGCAATAAAAATGATAATCTTTATGAAGGCATTTTTTATTGTAAACATTGCCACCTACTACCGCTATTGGTGCCAAATGAAGGGAGATAAACAGCCTCTGTTGACCTTTTAAACTGCAAAGATTTACAATGGGTGATAAATTTTAACAAGACTTCTCATCAGAAGACACTGTTTACAGAATATACAGGACACAATCAGCAAAGAATTAAGATGTACTATTGCCACAAAAAATCAAAACCTAAGCTCTTCACAGGAACTTCAGTTAGGGGTAGGATTTTTGTTTATCTAAGATCTTAACTTAACACTATATTATCATAACTCCTGTCCCAAGTCAAGATAGCAAAAAACAAACAGAAACAGGCTTAACTTTTCCTCTCAGCTGTGGGCAACGCTGTCTAGTCAATCACAATGATCAACCTACTTTTTGATAATGTACATTTTCATAAAGTTATCAAATTTGCACTTGTCACAGAAGACAGAAAATATTGTATTTGAGCGATGCTGATGAGGAAAATTAATATTCGTGGTACTTTTACAGTTGATACTTTTTAAATTGTACTTTTATTTTGAAAATCATCTGGCTCCTAATTTTCCCATTAGGCTTTGGGGGGTATCAACAGGAAGTGTTGTTTCCATGGAGCTAGCTAGCGAGCTTATAACCAAGTTACTCTTTAAGTTTTACTATTTGAGTTTTGTTTTTCTTTATTTTTTTAAATATGTGGCACACTTTTGGCGCTATAAAGCTATTAACATATAACCGAATCGACAAAAGGAGTTCATTCTTGGGCCGCGGGATGGATTTATTGACGTTTGTTCACCGTCGCCATTAAAAATGTGTAAGTCCAGACTCTTTTTGAAATGTTTTGCTATGTATATGTGTAGGCATTTGAAAAAATTAAAACTACTGCTTTTACTATATGAAATTTTAGTATTTTTAACTTTTTATAATATTTAATTTTTTTTAATTTTTTTTTTAATTTTTTTTTTATCAGCTTCAAACGTACAAACCAATGGGCTAAACCTGGATTTATACGTTTGGATTACTTCCTTAATGAGGAGGGGGACCTTGATCCATTTCCGTGTTCACCTCAACCCCTTGCAGCTAAGAGCCCTGGGTAATAGGGCCCCTGGCTGGTTGGCTGGCTGGGAATGAGGCCATTTAATAACTATGCCAAACCAATAGGCTGCAACATCTCCCTGCAAGAGTCTCCTGAAGTCTTCCTCACTGCAGTGAACTGGGGCATGAAAGCCAATCAACAAGCTGCAATACTGCGCTCTGGCCAGTGAGTGGCGTGCACGGACCGAAGGGCTGTTCAGAAGTGTTAGCGTGTGTGAGTGTGTGGTGTCTGGATGAGCAATGCTGTGAGGCATGGAGTGTGTGTGTGAGACAGCGGGCTCAGGGGAGACAGGAGGGAGAGAGTGAGGGTGTTAAGAGGATGTAGAGGAAGCTCCAACCACATGAATGATGGAGAGCATCCAAAACTATGCAGAAATTATATCAATTTTCCATAAAAGGTGGAGCCCTCAGACATCATGCAATAGAAAAGAAAAAGGAAGTTGGGTGCTCACACATGCCGCAACTTGAAAAGTGCAAGTAAGCACAGTGAACAGACGTGAAGGATGCCACGGTTTGTCTGCCAGGCGGCCTTCAAGAAAAGTGTGTGAAGAATTAGAGGAGAGCTGGAAGTGCTGTCGTTAGACGTGTCTAGACAGTTGTTCTAAAGACATGACAAACTTGTTTATTATTTTTTCCACCTCCCTCTCCCTTGTCAGTTTCATGTTGACTCTCTGTATTCTTTCTCTCGCTCTGTCTCTTTGTAAAAAAAAAAAAGAAACTCTCTCTCACTCTCCTCTTCTCACTCCTTATTTCTTCCTCTCCCCCGTCGCTGTGACAACAGTGTTTTGTTTACTTCTTGGCTGGAAGTGTACTTGTTGTATGTGCTGCTCTGTAAATATTTTTCTCATTCCCTCATCCTTTCATTCATCCACCTCCTCTTTCTCTCTCCCTCTTTCTCTCTCTCTCTCCCTTGGATAAAGGGAGCAAACAGACTCCACCCCCTCTCTCACCCCCCTCTCCCTCCCTCTTCTGCTCTTTCACACACACTCACTCTATCTCCCTCTTTCATGCTCTCTCCCTCCCTCTCTCTCTGTCAGTGTCATTCTGTAGTGGAGATGTGGAGTGTCTTTCTGTCTCTCTGTCTGTTTTTCCAGCCTAATTCAGCTGAGGAAGGTAAGAACGAAACTTTTTACAGCTCACATTCACGCTGTGACTGTGTGTGCGGTGTGTGAGCGTACGTGTATGTTTGAGGGTATGCGCGGGATGGAGAGTTTGCACAGCGCTCTCATCCCATCATGTGCTCATAATGAGTCCACAAGTTAAGGATGGACTCTTGGTATGCTTCTGCGATCACTCACTAAGAATATGACTCTCTTGGACTGCTGGACACTTTTAAAAATGTCTAAAATTGTGGCATGCAAATCTACAGAGACGACTTAAAAGCCTCTGATTTGTTTTCTTAATTTTACGGTTTCACTTCTAGTATGGAAACGGATGAACAATGCCTTCCTTTTTATTTGAAAACACATCCCTGTCTGTCTGTTTTGTCTTGTTTTGTAGGCTTTGCATTGTGTCTGTGGATATCGGTCTGTGTTTTGAAGCTTGCGCGCTACACATCAGATAGGACTTTGTTGGCTTGGAAGTGCCAGGTGCTTGCTGTAGCCTAACAAGCTCCAGCAGACAAAAGAATATGGAAATAAGGCCGGCGACAAATGAATAATAAGTTGCATAACCCTTTTTCGCTTTGCCTATTTTATTTGGCAATCCCCCCGGCCCCTGTGTCACTCATGATCTCATGGATGTGACAGCCAGATCCCTCTGTCCCCCCTATCTCTTCTCAAGTGTTATTATCAGTGTCTCTTATAGAAAAATATCATTAGAGTTGTTGTCTCGGTACTAATATCAGTCTGATACTGATATCGGTCAGTGTCTGAGCGAGTCAAAGTTCGCAAAATGTCAACAAATACTTTTTCCTGCTTAAATCATGTTTGTTTTTTAATCACACTAGTATCTGTAGGGTTATCAGTCCTGGCTGATTGTGAGTGTTGATATCGGAAAATGTGACCAGAACATCCTTGAATAGGATACGTCTGAAGAAGTGAGTGAGACATCAGTACGAGGAAATGCTCTGTTAGATCCGAGTGGGCTGACTTGAGAAACCAGGTGATAATTTGATGACTCAAACTGGCTTACTGTGAGTGTGTCTGCGTGCGACTGGGCATACACACACATATTCTTATAGGCCCAAGCATGCTTTAGTGTCTGACTATACATAGCTCCAGCTCCCACATCCTGTCCCCAACACTTTGGAGGGTTCCAACAGTCAGCACGCAATTACTTTTGAAGGATCCGGCTGCACCACGTCAGAAAGAGCTGCACCTGTTCATGCTCATCTCTCCCTGGCTTTAGTTTACTAGCGAGGTGTGTGAGTATGTGTGTGTGTGTTTGTCGGTTATAGTCTATAATAGAGGTAACTTATATGTCAGCTTCATGCCACATTATTAAAGCTGTGTTTGTAACAGATGGCCTGGACTAAGATGAGACGGAACGACAGAGAGGGAAAGAGGGAGGCTGCACGGTGCTACTGGCCTACTGACTGTTTGTGTAATTGAAATAGAGCTCTTGTAATACAGTATTAACCCAATAGCATGGACGTCCATACAAATCCACATGAATTGAAACATCTAGTTATGTGATGGAGGAGGGATTTGTTGTCTGCCTCAGCTTTCATCACAGTAGATTATTTGTTTGTCTGGACTGAAAGGCTCACTGAAGCATTTCCTGTCTCTCTTTTATTATTACCAATTATTTACCGTCGGCTGCTTTTCAGGTAAACCTTTGCAACTATCCATAATTGTTGTCTGTTTACACACTATAACGTAAAACAACAGTCTTTTTTACCTTTATTTCCTGCAGTGTACAGAACCAAGGCTAGATTTCTGTCTCTTTCCAGGCAGACAGACTACACACCATGTGAGTGACAGGCGCTTGATTCATCACTCTTACATGCTGCCTGTCTAAGTGCTGACAGCTTCGCCCACATGCATTGTTGACATGACGCCACATGGCTCGCTCCGAAATAGTCGGATCTCTGTCGAGGATTGCGTGTTCACTTGGGATAATCAAAAACACTGCTGAAGTAGAGGCCTGTGCAGGAGGCACACCTGATGCCCCTCCAGCTCTTCCTGCCATGGATGAACGGATCTGCAGTGATGCTCACTGAGCTATGCATACACAGAAATGAACCATGTATCATTAGTGAAGCTTATGTCATTTCTAGAAGAGGATATTCAAGCTGATTTTGACCACAAGGAAACAGAGTACAGAGAGGGTAAACTACAGAGGATAAATGTTTTCCTACTCAAAATTCCCCTTAAATTTCAGAAGCGCTTTCTTAAAGGTTAATATTTAATTATTTGTACCGGCAAAGTAAATCTCACAGCAACGCTTACTTTACATATTTAACCTTTAAAAAAGAAAAAAACATAATGACCTTATAAAGAGCATTTATTGTATAGATCAAGTGGCTCGTGAAAAATTTGCTGTAATCTTTTCACTTGACATTACTTAACTAATTTATGATCCGCCGAGATAATTTGTCCGTCAGCTTTACATTTTAAGGGTGGGAAAATCAGCCCGTCTGTGCTCGTGCTCTTTGAAAAAAACCTTCTCAAACCTCTCAAATCTAGCTTGACATGTCTTGACTGCAAATGAGATGACAGTTCATACTGGCCTAAATATTTTCTACTCTCTTATAAATCTGTTGACAATCAAAGCCATCAACATTACTCAGTCATCATCTTGTGTGCACATTGTTATATTTTGCACAAGTTATTTCCTTTCCAAAAGTTATTAACATTTGTAAACACACCGATGGTTAATATCTCATCAATCAAACAAGATAAACATGATCAGTCTGAGCATATTGTTTTTTACAGTCCTCATGTTTTTAGATTTCTGTGATCTGAGTGTTTATGAAGCACTTGTACATTCCAGTTTTAAAACTTATTCCTATAATAAAAGCCTAATAAATACTTCCTCAGCTGCTGGTAATCTGACACCAGGCTGTGTAAACTTGGGATCACGTTGTTTTACTCTGCAGCCGTGTGCGCCATCTCTCTTGTCACCACTGGTGTCTGGCTCTAAGTGTGTAATAATTAGGCTGATCACTGTCTTTATCCTGGGTGAATTAATCCGCCTTTCTAGGACAAGATAAATTAGAGAAAGTGAGATAAGAAAACAAATGCCACGCTTGTCACAGCAGGATGGATGCCACCAACGGCCCTGAAAAGCTCTCCGTTCTGTCCCTCCAGCCTGCATGTGCACTGAAGTGCAAAAAGAGAGAAATAATGTTCCTGTGGGAAGTGGAAGAAGCAGCATCCCCGTCATTGATGTGACAACACTTAACTGTGACCAGGCATTATATTTAGCAGCTTTTTTACACGTGAATCTCAAAGCAAGATAATTTTCTGTGGCTGTTGAGAGCACTGTAATGACATTAGGACACTTTACCTCAAATGAATCACACGTCTGCCATTTGTGATACGAGAGGGTAAAAGCCCGCGGTGGCGGCGGCTGCGAGCCAAGTCTCTGCTTTGAGTCACTGGGTGTTGTGGCAAATAGCATTGCAGATAATGTGCCTGTGCAGACAGACAATAAGTGAGAGCTAAAATGTAAGTGAAAGATGAACGCGTGGTATGGGCTGCTGCGACACAGAGGAATGTAGTATGCAGGTTTGAGTTTCATATTAAAGCTTTACTTGGCACTTTGTGTGTTGGGAGTGAACGGGGTGAGAGTTTGATTGTTGAAGGCTGAAGTATTCAGAGATGACTCCATGAAAGTGCAGAAAACTGATCTAGTCTCAGATTTGCATTCCTTCTGTATGAGTGGCTGCTGAGGGTTGAGATAGTGATGATGATATTTTTACAGCAGGGTCTTTACTGGTGACTCTACATTTCCTTGAATGCAGTATTTATTGCTGCTTCGGAGCAGCCTTTGCGCTTTGATTCTATATTTCCACTTTGCACACATTATTTTCCTCCAGTGAACAATTAAGTCGCGCTAGGGACAAGCTGCTCTACTGTAGCCGCATTTAGAGGCTTTTTTCCACAAGAGTTTTGGCGAACACATTTTTTGGGTCAGGCTCATTAAACACTGGCATGACTGCTTCATTCATGACAATTCCAAGGACTGTTCGACCTGAACCATCATCTAGAATGGGTATTAACGATTATGAAATCACATTTCTTATGGTTGGAGAGGTGGAAAGTGCAGAAATACCGGAAGATGCTAACAGAATGGTTTAACTTCACAAATATACTTTAGATTTGAACAAAAAAGACCGACACCACTCTAATGAGTTTGTGCTAAATATGAAGGCAGAGCCGGCCGGGTGTGTCGGCTTAGCTTTAAGTCTGGAAACTGTAGCCAGCCTGGTCATTTAGCCAAACCCACAAACCAACACCTTTAAACTCACCATTAAACACCCTTTATCTTTGTTCAGTTAAAAAATATGCCCTCCAGAAAGTTGCAAATGGTTGTGTTTAACATTTTGTTGACAACAGATTCAACAAACAACTCGAAGTTTGCCAATTTGTGAGTTTTGGAGGCGCTGGTGGGCAGATTGGGTGGGCAGATTTTGTTACTTGCTAGTCTTTCTGCTAAGCTAACAGGCTGCAGGTGGCAGCTATCCATGTAGCCCACATACTTTTAATAGTGGTATTTATCTTTCTACCTTAAAATGTCATAATCCTCAATCAGAACTTGTCGTTGAAGATCAAATGTCTGAAACCTCGTTCTCCTAGAAACCCTTTCAGCTCTCAGATCTGTAGCTCCTGTAACCCTCCAAAACAAACAAATCTTATTTCACACCAGCTTCACAGGATAGTTAGTCTGTCATGAAAAGGTGTGAAACTAAGCTGGTTTTGAACTTTTCTCTAGCTGCCTTTTTAATTTCTCACACCATCAGTACTCTCGCCTTCCAGTATATAACTGAGCGCAGCATTATGGATGCATTCCAAGACAGACTGTGTATTTCATTTATTCTCATACTCACAGGAGTAGTGTGGGAGATAGGATGAATTTGGCAGACACTGACTCTGCATTCAAAAACATGTTTTGATGAGTGTAAAGTCTACTGTGATTGAGAATCAGTGCATATTTGTTTACCTTTTATGAGCCAGTTTATCAGAAGGAGCTGGTTCTTCTCGATTGTGTCTACAGAAGCCCAAAAAGATTAGGTGTATCTCTTGGTCCACAGAGGGCGCCAAAATTGACACAGTTAAAAGTTGGGCAAATATAAAATCGTCACCCTCGCTTGTCCACATCAGACTTTTAGTGGTCAAAGGAAAGTATTTCATGTTTTTATAACTGAAGGCCTGAAATCCCAGTCAAATGTCTAAACCATAGACTGTATAGTCTATGGACAACTTGGTTCTGCCTTCCGCCAGTATACGGATTTCAGGCCAAAAAGCTCCCGGTAATTTCATGTTTTTTCACCACTTCCTTAAACCAACATTGCGCTGTAGTGTTGTACGCATTCGGCGGGAGAGTTGCTGTGAGGAAGCTCGGCTCAAACAGCGTATCCCCCAGGTGAGCTACGCTATCTTCGTACGCCCATAGGTTGTATCAGGTGTCAATCATAGAAAACTTAAACCCCCTAATAACTTTTAAAAACAGAGCTACACAGAAAAAAAGAGAACTTAAGCACAAACCAGTCTTATAATAACTACATGTCAAGATCGCAAACAGGGGGGAGAAAAATTAACATTCTGTGTTATAAATTTCTAAAGTTTGTCCACAGCCCAATAAGGATGGCTGGCGGAGGCGGGATTTATGACCTATACTGCAGCCCATCACTAGAGGGTGCTGTTCTCGGTTTGGCTTCGCCCAGCGAGGAGGCAGGCACTGTCCATTCTATATACAGTCTGTGGTCTAAATTGTAACATGTCCACTTGCAACCTGTTATTGCAGTAGCTCCAGCTAATGGCTGCTGTCATAATGCTCTACTACCCAGTTACAAACACGCTTGTATGTCAGATGGCATCTAAATGAAAGAAATAAAGTTGTATACTGGCTGTGTCTGGTTAAACTTGGATATAAGGGCTTGACCAGAGTAATGTGTAATAAGCACTGGCATGTGAACAATCAACTGCAAGACGGACTGAAGACTGGAGGAGCTAGCTCTGCTAATGTTAGCTCCTCTCAGCAAACCAGTTTGACGTTGTCTACCCTCAGACTCTGCCGTCTCGAGTTTATCAATTTGGAAAGGACTATGCTCAATTCTGGCTGTTTTTTTTTAACCCTAAAATAAAACATGGAAGGTCGGTTAGAGTTCACATTTCTGTAAAAGACCAGGAAATAAATTGTTTTGCAACATTGATACTGAAAGATCCCCAAAACAGCTTGAACCTCATCGTGTATCATCGCAATAAGACATCTGGGCTCCCTTTTTGCCTGTAAGTGTAGTTTATTGGGACAGCTATGTCAGAAACAAGCTCTATTACATGTAACCCGAGCTGCACTCTCCAGAGTGTGGATAAGGGTTTTCTTTTCCAAAATGTCAAACTTCTAAAATTTAGTAGTTGAGAACCTCCCTCCAGACACTTATCCAACCAGGCTTAAGTTTTTCAGATGTCTTATTCCCAAAGAAAAGAGGGTTTTCGTGCAATGTCCTCCTACCTGTGCCTGTTGCTGCCTGTCATCTAACCTGGCTTAACTTGTGTTTCTTGCAGCTGCACTTTCATTCAGCTCCACTGCTGGAGAGTTTTTTGATAACTCCCTTTGACATGTGCATGCTTATTTCTGGAATCGCGTTAATCCCACTCCTTCCGCACTCCCCCGCCCTCCTGCTCCCTCTGTGTCTTGGCGTATCACTCTCTCACTGTGGTTGTTTGTAATGATGGTTTGGTGAAGGCCTGTCCCTGACTGACTGTCTGTGGGTGGGAGAATCTGGAGCATATAAAGAATGGGTGGATATGGGTGGACAAGAGAAAAAAGTTCAACAGGCCCAGCTAGAAATGCTCGCAGAGACTGTGACCATTTTTGAGAAAATACATGTGCAAGTTTTGTTACCTGTAAGCTCAGTTACTCTTTGTGCTCTTTGCAGATGCATTTACTTAGGTGTTAAGGCATATTACACATTCACACACTCGCACTCCTCCAGCTTGCGTTAATATTAAAACAGAAATCCTTTACTGAGTGTCAGCGGGGGCTCCATCGCCTGGTAAAGTAGCCTACATCTGGCGTCAAAGAGGCGTGACATGAACAACTGTGCTACACTTAACGCTGAAGAGTGTCGGTGCATGCATGGCCACACAGAGAGGCAAAGTGTTGGACAAAGAGAAAGAGCTGGGAGAGGGTCACTTAGCTGAAGTGAAACACTTCAGTGGTGGAGGGGACAGCCAGGAACTAATGCGGGCCACCTCTGCAAAACAGAAAAGAGCATCTACACCCACACAAGTGCAAAAAGAAGTGGTTAAAGCTGCACATTTATATGCACAAACACAATATTATCCATCTCTTCTTATCCCTGTTCCGCAGTCCTGCTGTTTTCATCCTTTTGTCCCCCCCTTTTGTTTCAGAGCTCTTCCCAAACAAATAGAAGATCCAGCATCAATAATAGAGCAGAGAATGTCCATATTCAACATACAGAGATGTCACTTTTTTGATGAATAATACACACAAGCAGAGAGGAACAAGGGACAGGATGGGAGTAAGGTATGGAGTGGAGTGAGTAAAAGACCAGAGGAGAGCAGGACATCGTGGGGACAGCGTGCATTAACAGCACTCAGGTCCAGATTGCAGACTCAGCACTTCTTCAAACTGTCAGGGACAAACTTTGAGTGTCTCCAGCCCATAGATGGACCAATAACAGAGATGCTTTCGTCTGAAAGTTAAATAAAGGAGCTTTTAACAGCCAAGTGGACCTGGAAGCAACTGCCCCCCTCTCTTTTGTTCAACTTTGACGAGCACACACATACAAAATCCAGCTGTGTCGGAGCTAATCCTGAGAAGGTGTGCGTAGCTCCCCACTCAACTCCATCTTCGCTGAGGATGTTGTGGTGAATTATTCAACATGCTAATGTCACGCAATGAGACATGCATGAAGCTCTTTGAACCGCCCTCAATGTAATCCCCGTGTACCGGTTTATCAGGGAGAGAAGGGAGGCAACGTGAGGACCTGTGCTCCCCTAGGGCTGCACGACAAGAAGTTAAATAGTAGAGGCATGTATAATTTATATTTTAGTTATAAATGAGTGTGCCCCGATGTAGAGGGTTAATTGAAGCCGGAAGAGACATAGGAGGCATTTGTGTGTTTGCGTGTTACGATATAAATAGGTTTGGGCTTAATTAGAACAGAGATGTGTGTTTTTTATGTCTGATATTGGCATAAATGATCAATTAATATGTTGGAAAATTATGTGTAATGATTCCAACATTGTCCAACCAATTCATACAAGAATAAAGCTTCTACAAATGAAGTACAGGTACAAACCATTATTTTTCTTCTTGTGTTTGCAGATTTTTAAGTGATATAACAGCATGATCATTTTTTCTAAAGAGTCGACTGGTTTTAGGTAAATTATCAGGTGACAATAACAAACAACAGATTAGTGCTGCTGGTAACTGTTATGTTAATCAATAAGCAAAATGTAAGCTTTCTGTTTTCTTCCACACCTTTAATGTTTATTTGAGGTTAGTTAATTGATCCGGTCGATCAATTGGACTAATTAATGGCTTTTTGAAAGAATCAGCATTGGCGGATGTCTGCATTCAGCTGATTAAGTAAATAAACAAATACTGTCTGCAGAGACTGCAGGGAGCTTCATATATTTCTGTATCAACCATCCTGCTTTCTGATTATCTGCTTTGGCCATTAAAAAATGATACAGGGTGACCACTAATATGTACACATTTTTCAAGTGCACTACCCATAGACTGTATATAGAATGGACACCGTCTGCCTCCTCGCTGGGTGAAGCCACTCCGAGAACAGCACCCTCTGGTGACAGGCTGCAGTATAGGTCATAAATCCTGCCTCCACCAGCAAAGCTTATGGAGCTGCGGACAAACTATAGAAACTTTTTACACTGAACATAATTTTTCTCCCCCCTGCTTGTGATGTTGACATTTAGTTATTGTAAGACTGGTTTGTGCTCAAGTCCTCTTTTTTTCTGTGCAGCTCTGTTTTTTAAAGTTATTAAGGGGGTTCATGTTTTCTATGATTGACACCTGATACAGCCTATTGGCAGACAAGGATTGTGTAGCTCCCCTGGGGGATACGCTGTTTGAGCTGAGCGACTCTCAGCGACTCTCCCACCGAATGCGCACAACGCTACTGCGCAATGTTGGTTTCAGGAAATGGAGAGAAAAAGGCGGAATTACCAAGAGCTTTTCGGCTTGAAATCCGTATACTGGCAGAAGGCGGAACCAAGTCTTCCATAGTGTATACAGTCTATGGCACTACCAGCTCAAATGAAAGACATGATGGCTTCCCAAAAGCAAAACCAAAATTCAGAGCTCCCCCTGGGCACTTGCTGCAGAACAAGAAATAATGAGGTCATCTTCCTTTATGTTAATGGAGGACTCGTCAAACCCTGCTGTGCAATGAGATGTCACCTGTCATCTGTACTTATTTACATCTTGATAGTGGAGCATTGAAGCATCATGGCAGCAGCCTGAGTTGGTGCTACAGTTCCAGCTCATAACCTGAGGGTCTGTGCAGTCTGGACACATTTTATGACTAGCATTTCCGGCCTACAGTGATAAAGATATTTATAATTCTGGTGCAGATAAGCAAGGGTGCCAACATTTGTTAGGTTGACTAAACACACTCACCCCTGGTCATAACAGCTAGCTGTTGATCGATGTCCACATTTTCTTTTTTCTGAGAGGTTTAGTTTATATTTGTTTTATCATGCTAGAAATAGTCCATGAAGCCGCGTGCATCGAATAAGCAAAGTAGGAGGAGTACTGAGAGAGGAATCCATGAAAAACCAACACTGGAGTCATTTAGCTTTGCATAACCCAACTTCACCAGCTGATCCCTATTCAGCACAAACTCTACCACTCTACTCTTTTGTACTACAAGTGAAGGTGGAGTTGTGTCATCCTTCCATATTGATGTGGTTGTTGAGGATTAGTTGGTATCAAACTGTATTGAAATGTAGGTACTCGAATCAAACTAGGGAGGAGTAAATGCTATTGGGATATCTCTACAGAGAAAGTTTAACAAGTTTAACAATAAAAACTTAAAATTGAACCTTCCTGAGGGTTTATTGCAAGACATTTGTCTTAGATTGCACTATTTCTACACCTGTTAAGCTGTCATCTGAGTGTGTCCTCTGTTACACCAGCAAATAAAGGTGTGTCTCCAGGGAAAATTTGACATTCTTTTAAACAGCTTTGGGCATCCTATTCTGGTGGATTTAGTCCTCTTGCTGTGCCAGATTTTTACCCTGATGGTCTCTGAGATTCCAGCCACCAGCAGGTCTAGACAAACTCCACATTCTGATCTCTGTGGCTGCCCATAATCCTTTGCTGCCACAGTCATTTTATATATATTTTTTCTTGATACAATTCATACCACTGTAAATCCTGAAGGGCTTCCATGGAGAATATGTGAGTTTTGTAAGATCGACATAGAGACAGTCTAATTGGTGAAAAGAGATAGACGGCGCGGACAAGGAAAAAGAGGGGAGGGAGTGAGGGGGTTGAAAAAAAAGAGGGAAACGAAGGATTGGAGGACAGATTTGCAGGGTCTCCATCTGTGAGTATAATCCTTAAAAAAAATCTGTTTACAGAGCAGCCGGAGGATAGAGGTTAAACTCAAGTCACAAACCATGAAACCATGAATGATATCAGTTCCTTATTATTTGTTCAATTTGAGACAGACAGACAGAGAGAGGGATTTGGTGTGTGTGTGCACAGGTCTGTACACCTGTGAAATAAAAAATGAGCCTGGTCACTGGTGAGACAGGGTATCTTTTCAAATCCCATCCTCCCGTGTGTGTGTGTGTGTGTGCAGGTAACATATTCCTGTCAGTCTTTGTGTGGTTTTTCAGACAAAGAAAAATCCTCCTTCACACCGGTGAGATATTGTGTGACTTGAAATGAAAACAAAGGTATAAAGATCGTGTGACGAGTGAGAGAGGTTTTCTTCATTTTTGCAAGCAAAGGCCAACGTTAGTGTGCGTGTGCCCGGAGCTCTGTCGGTGATTGGTGCTATGCTTGATGAAATCAGACAGTGCGTGTTTTTTCTTGTCACAGCTCCATCTGTGCAGGCATCCTAAACCTGAAGTTGTGTTTGTGTCACCTCTGTTTGTGCAGAAAACTTTGGCCTGTTTTCAAAACGAGTCTCTTCAACAGAAACGAACGCAGAATGTGCCAGACTGAAGAAGGAACAGCAGCCGCCACCGTTTTGGAATACTAATGGGAAATTCAAGGGCTTCAGTTTTTTGTGTGGGAAGCTGCCATGTGTCAGCATGTAGCACTCAGCATTAAAGTCACCCTGTCTGTGTGTCTATGCGTGTGTGTGCGTGTGTGTTTCTTTGCCAGCTTGCTTTTTAAAGCACTTAAACCTGAAAGCAAATTATGTGAAACAACACTCCATCATAAAAGTCATACACTGTCCTAGTGCTTTTACTCTACATCATTGGGAATGAGCAAATGTGTTTGTTAAAAGCCGGAACAAAAGTAAAGCCAACTCTGGACACGTCATGAAGAAGCTTCTCTTTGTGCCAAAATGCAACACACATCAGGTTACTAAGTTTCAACAACATGTGACAGTGACTGTTGTGGCCTTTTAAAGTCTGAAACCGTGACCTTTAATCACAGTGCCTCATCAGGTCAATCAGTTTGATTTTTTTTTTACAAAACTAAAAAGTTGTGCCAAAACGCATCATGACTCAGAGTGGGTAATTGGGTTTGACAGTTGCACACAGCTGGAGCTCTCGCTCATTTTATTGCATGGGGGAGAAAATCAAAGAGAAGTGTGGACAAAACCTGGACCTGTTCCACCGACAGTAAACCAGCTTCCAGCTACATGTGGTGTTAAACACAGGGGTTAGATAGTCAAAGCTCCTGCTTTACCAAGTTCGTCTCAACTTCTACGTTTGCTTCAGCTCTTTATAGCGTCACAGGGCGAGTCTGGGATTCAAGCCTCGAGAGAGTGTCTCATGATTAGAAAATCTCTTCCACAGTCACTCCTTATTTAACCACTCACTCCATCATGTTTAAGTTCTTTAGGCGGGATCAATAATGTTTAACTGAAAGCAGCTCATCTTATTTGTCTATTTACTCTAACCATGTCTTTCTCTCTACTTCCCTCTCCATCAGTGATGCTGCTGGACACAACAGAGTCTACCTCAGAGCTGGGCTGGACCACCTATCCAGACACAGGGGTGAGTCTCTGAACTCAATGTGCTTTCAAGCTGTCAGAGCTTCACAGCTGCCTCATTGGGAGGCCGATCAAATGTGCTGCACACATGTTGTTACACATGGTTGAAAGTAAAAGTTTACAATCACCTCATTGGTTTAGCTTTGCAGTGTAATTAATGAGGAGTCAAACACAAGAACAAGCGCATTTTTTTTTACAGAAACTGGTGATTAAGTTATAATAAGAGCTCTCAAATGGGGCTGCAATGATATCTTGTTTTTGGTGTCAAATGCTCGTTATTTGGTTGATCAGTGATGTCAGAAATCTTCGAGATATGGTAAATATTGTCCTCGGTAACACTCAAAGTGGATGGGAATACTACACCACATGAACATCATTTTTAATTAGGTCCATTTTGTATACATTCACACACTGCTGGCGTAGCCATCTGGAGCAGTTTGGGGTTCGATGCCTGGTCCAAGGATGTTTGACATGTAGTTTTGAGGTCTTGGATCTAATCCAACCTTCTGCTTGAGTGACGGCCAACACTAACATTGAGCCACAGCTGTCTCATGCGATCATAAAATGCTCATCACCCATCTCTGGAGTCAAAGTTGATGTGTTTACTGTTTTGCTATTTGCCTGATCAACATTACCAAACAGGGTTTGTTCAAACTTTCAGAAATTTAAGACGCCACAACCATGAAATGTTTGACATTTTGTCAGTTGGCAGAGTTGTTGGGGTGTACATGTGATACTGTTAATTTAAAGGTTCAGTGTGTAGAATGTAACAGCATTTAGTAGAGCAGGCTTGGTAGCAATAGTTTTCATAACTATGTTGAGATTAGAATATAATCACCAGAATATCAAATAGGGGTGTCCCCATACAAATTTTTTACTTCCGATATGATACCGATATTGTAGCCTTCGGTATTGGCCGATACTGATATTGAGCCGATATTAGTACAACCTTGTGCATGGCAAGTTTTTAACTCAGCTTCAACATCTTTTTCTGTTTTAAACGAAAAATACTGGCGCATGACCGACATCACTCCTACTCCTTGCTACTTTGTTTGGACCTTAGTACACACTGTTGTTGTGATTACATGGGCTCTGAATACCGAATACGGGCACTGCTAGATAGAGGTGCTGGAGCTGTGTCTGAAATGGACTGCTTGAATCAGAGTGCTGATATCGGAAATTTTAGATGCAGGCTGATATAGTCCGATATTCGTTCTTTTCCTGATATCAAACCGATAAGCCCCCTTATATCAAAACTGCTCTGTTTTGTTAACTTGGTTAATCTGTGACATCCTATGGTCTTTTCTATTTAAATTGGATTTTTATATAAGTAGGTGGCAGACCACCAGCTTAGTGAGTGTTGATGCATGCAAAAGAATTTGTATTGTTGTATTGAGTAAATGGTAAAAACATGACAAACAGAGGATCATACTCATGCATAATAACAGTGACGGTGTGAAACCAGACAGCATCACATTGTGAAATTGTCTGAGACCATTGAGATGCCATGGAAATCTCATACTGTTATACCTTTATGATTAAACTCACATTTTAGGTCAAGGGGGGGGAATTTTGGTATAGATATAGTAGGTTGATGGTGATAACCATGTTGCTGTAGCGGGTTAATCATGGATGACCCTCTATGCTCTTATTTTGGCACCATGATTGTGCTTTTACTCATTAGAATAAAGCACATTAAGCCATGTAGTTTCCACAGTTTCCACCTTGTCTGTGAAAAAAATCGCAGTATGCAGAGAGTTTCAGATCTCAGGGTGAAGATCAGACACAAGTTGCTAATGCTCTTTTTTTAAAGGCCAGGGTTGTTATTTTGCAGAATGTCTGGTATCTGGTATTGATCAGTGGAATTTTTTTTTCTTTTTTTTTGCCAGAACAAGCAAAGTCTAACCTTACCTTTCAGACCACCTTGAAGGCTGAGATGTTTTTGTCCTCCTGGTCTTTGGTGTGTCTTTATCTAAGAGGAGATCACACTGATTGGACCACAACCCTCTTGTTCTTGAGCTGCTTTTAATCGAAGGCTGCAAATATTTGTGTCAATGTGTGTACATGTGTGCGGGGTTACATGTGTTAATGCATGTGTATATGTGCGTCTATACTTGCGTGACTGTGCCAGGGTCAGGTCCTGGGTCAGTTAAATTCATTCATCTGTGAGTGATTGTGGCTCAGTTCTAATATGGCTCATAATTAAACACACACACACACACACACACACACACACACACACACACACACACACACACACACACACACACACACACACACACACACACACACACACCATAGTGCTGTTCTGCCCTGCTTTGGAGCTCCATCTTGCCTCTGTTATATCTCCGTTGCTCAAGACCCCCTTAACACATATATATATTCACAGGTAAGATAAGAAGAACTTTATTCATCCCTGAAGGGAAATTCAAATCCAAATTCGAATTTCAAATTCACAGGAGTACTTCTAAACAACCTTGTCCTTGAGGTGAGTTCCCGCTAGTGATGGGAATTACAGCTCTTTTTAGTGAGCCGGATCATTCGGCTCAGCTCACCAACAAGAGCTGGCTCTTGCAGCTCCCAAACGGCTCTTTATTTTTCCACTAATACATTTTCTAAATCAGCCAAATTTAACGTTGTTTGGCTTATGATATGTACATATGTGTACACATACCTCTTAAATAATCCAATACATCCTTTGTGCTGAAGTATTTACAGGTAAAAATTACATTTTCTAATATCAGTAAATTGCTGTAGCATTTGCTTTCATTGCATTTATAGACCCTTGTATCTCTCTGAAACCACCCAAGACACATTTATGAGAAAATCAAATGTTCTTTGTTTTGTGTTGGTTTAGATGAAAAGAATCTTCAGTGATTTTATTTTGTATATTTTCCATCCATCCATCCATCTTCCACCGTTTATCCGGGATCGGGTCGCAGGGGCAGCAGCCTGAGCATTGAAGCCCAGACTTCCCTCTCCCCAGCCACTTTGTCCGGCTCTTCCCGGGGGACCCCAAGGCGTTCCCAGGCCAGCTGAGAGAAGTAGTCTCTCCAGCGTGTCCTGGGTCTCCTACTGGTTGGACGTACCCTGAACGCCTCACCAGCATGGCATCTGGGGGGCATCCTGATTAGATGCCCAAGCCACCTCATCTGACTCCTCTCAATGCGGAGAAGCAGCGGTTCTACGCCAAGCCCCTTCTGAATGGCAGAGCTTCTCACCCTATCTCTAAGGGAGAGCCCAGCCACCCTGCAGAGGAAACTCATTTCGGCCGCTTGTACTCGCGATCTTGTTCTTTCGGTCACTTCCCACAGTTTGTGACGATAGGTAAGGGTAAGAATATAGATTGATGGGTATATCTAGAGCTTTGCCTTTTGGCTCGGCTCCCGCTTCACCATGACAGATCTGTGCAGCTTCTGCATCACTGATGATGTGGCCCCCGAGATACTTGAACTCCTCCCCTTGGGGCAGGATCTCATCTCTGACCAGGAGAAGGCACTCTCCATGAACCATGAACTCAGATTTGGAGGTGCTGATTCTCATCCCAGCCGCTTCACACTCGGCTGCGAACCGATCCAGTGAGAGCTGAAGGTCACAGCCCAATGAAGCCAACAGGACCACATCATCTGCAAAAAGCAGTGAGATCCTGAGGTCACTGAACCCGATCCGCCTAGAAATTCTGTCCATGAAAGTTATAAACAGAAATGGTGACAAAGGGCAGCCTTGGGAGAGTCTAACCCTCACTGGAAAAAAGTCTGACTTACTAACAGCTATGCAGACCAAGCTCTGGCACTGGTCCTACAGGGATGAACATCCCTTGTCTGGGTGTCCGGTACCCCATACTCCCTGAGTACCCCCGACAGCACTCCCTGAGAGGTGACATTCCACGTCTCTAGAACTAGCCTCTGCAGCCGAGGATCGGACCGCCAAGGTCTCCGCCTTCGGCTGCTTCCAAACTCACAGTGCCCCCGACCCCTTTGGCCCCTCCAATGGGGGATGAACCCATGGGAAGGGGGTCCCACATTGCCTCTTCAGGCTGTGCTCGACCGGGCCTCATGGGTGCAGGCCCAGCCACCAGGCGCTGGCTATCGAGCCCTACCCCCGGGCCTGGCTCCAGGGGGGTGACCCATGTCTGGGCGAGGGACACTTGGTGCCAATTATTTTGTCCATCATAAGGGGTCTGTTTGAGCTACGCTTTGTCTGGTCCCTCCCCCAGTTTCAAAGTCCTTTATCCTTCTTTATGTCCTCACTCTGTATAGTCCGACTGTCAGGCACAACCTGGGTTCTCAACCTGTATGTGTGAAATAGGGACAGAGCTTTTACAACTGTCAGTAGTGTGTCCTTTAAAAAACTCCTTCACACTGAAGTGTAAGTCAAATAAAAGGATAATCACAGCTTTTCATGGCTGCACTTGACATGTGAGTGTGTGCAGTCAGGCAACCAAAATTTCTGACATGCTAGAAATTCATCCGTCCGGTTGGAAACAGATGATAAAGGTGTCATGATCCACTGCACTACACACTGCACAGCAAACAATGTGCCATCAGGTTCAAATGCAACTTAAAAATCAGATCAGAATCTGCCCCAATTTGCACTGCCTCTGCCCGTATCAGCCCTTCGCTGACTGACCAGTTAAGTTGCAAAAACTATGCAGACTCTTTAAACTTTGGGGTGTAAGTCTGCATATAGTGATCATGTACACAAAAAAATACCTGTTTTTTAGATTTTTCTGCAGTTTATTGCCAATCGAATACACAAGGAAACACCCATTACAAAAACACACAAACCAGTGGCGCAGATACACATCCCTATGAACCACCGTTCTCCTGAATTGTGTAAAAGAAGACAATAAAAATTGGCTGAGAAAAGGTGTATGCTGCAACACGTGTTGCGAGACACACTCTGGGCCTGGCAGAGCTCTGATAAAACTGATGGGATTGTTTTGTGAGGCAGAAAAAGTGTTGTTGTCATGCACTCTCATATTGATAACCCAGTGGTTTGATATTGGTGTTCTAGTCTGTCATTATTTTGCAGGAGCACTGAAGGAAAACCCTGAGTGAAAGCATCATATGCACACGCACGCACACACGCACGCACGCACACACACAGTCTTCATTGACATCGTCATTGAAATAATCAGTCAAACTATGTGAGAAACTGTGGGTCACCATTCATACATGTTACTGTGGGGAAATTCCTCTGCTCATTTCGCTACAGAATAATATTATTCTAAGACTACATCCATACATGGCCAATATAAGCAAGTGCTCTGAGATATACATTTAGAGCACCAAACAGAGCATAAAATGACCACAAATCACAGTTGGATTAATGCTTCTTTAAATATGATGGGTTTTTTTCTAGAGGAGGAAAACAGAATTTTTCAGGCAGCTTCATAATATTACTCTGAGAAAGTTATCCAACAGTCCAAGTTACTTTTCCCTTAACCAACTCAGTCCATTAAAGACCACTTGTCTCCAAACTGGTCATCAAGTTGGGTAATGTAGTATTTGAAGAATAATGCCTCCTCCTCCTCTTCAGGGCAGAGTATTTCAATCCTCTTAAATCACCAGAAAATGGACCAAACACAGAGAGTTTCATTTCTCACAGAGCTTAATATGAGAATATTGTATATATTGAGTTTTAAGATCTAATCCCTTTCTGTATCAAAAAAGCCACCCGACTTTATAATTCCCATAACCTGTAATTTCACCAGATGATTGACCCAACCTCCATTCAGCAAACAAGCATTTTAAAAATAGTTTTCTTTTTCTCTTGAGGACAGATCTGGGAAAGCTTGCAATTTAACTTTTCACTAATCTTAGTTATGAAGGCAAACCTAGAAACCCATCAACTGCCAGTAAATCACAAGAAATGGATTTCTTTTTAGACTGAGTTTGCTTAAGAAAGCAAGTAAGTAAATGAAAAAAAGGAAGTCTTACCTGAAAGCGATTTGTCCCAAACAAGCCTATTTCCAGCATCATTTGATACAGGCAGATGCAGATTAACGTTGTCAGGCGATAGCTGTTAGAATCTGAGACTGATTTATTAAACAGCTGTTGTGTCAGAACCAATAAGCTGTTGTCTGCATACAGCGAAACCTAAGGGAGCAACAAGCAGCTTCTCTGGGCCTTATGTGTAACCAGCAATTGGAGATAAAGGATATCTTGGCAGGACATCTTCCTGCCATTGGTTGTAGTCCAACTCGAGAGGTCAGTGGAGTTGAAATTGAGATACTTCGCTAAAGAGCAGGTTGTGAAATGTGCTTTCATGTAGATATCTTTTTGAAGAGATTAACGAAAGCTAAATCATCACCAGATGGGATGCGGGATTGCAATTATTTCTCCACATGGACAGTTTTCCTGTGTGCAGCCAATCCTAGCGGACATGCGAGTCAATGATACTTCTCAAACAACAAGCAGAAACCAGAATCCTTATAACACCAAATTTTTGTGGCTCACAGACTCTGCATTCGTCAGCCTTTGGTGGAGAGTAATGTCCTGATAAAAGCTTTTTAAGAGACAGCAGAAATCTGGGAAATATTAAAGGGGGAAAAAGACACGCAGCAGATGGTCATGACCATAGACTGTGTAGAATGGACAGCATCGTCCTTGCTGGGTGAAGCCAAACCGAGAACAGCACCCTCTGGTGACGGGCTGCAGTATAGGTCATAAATCCCGCCTCCACCAGCAAAGCTTATGGGACTGTGGACAAACTGAATTTATTTCCAGAATATAAATTTTTCTCCCCCCTGCTTACGATGTTGACATGTAGTTACTGTAACACTGGTTTGTGCTCAAGTCCTCTTTTTTCTGTACAGCTCCATTTTTAAAAGTTATTAGGGGGTTTATGTTTGCTATGATTGACACTTGATACAGCCTATGGGCTTACAAGGATTGTGTAGCTCACCCGGGGGATACACTGTCAGAGCCGAGTGTCATCACAGCGACTCTTAGCGACTCTCCTGCTGAGCGCGCACAATGCTACTGCGCAGTGGTGGAATCCGTACAACGCTGCTATGCAATGTTGGTTTCAGGAAATAGAGAAAAAGGGGAGAATTACCAAGAGCTTTTTGGCTTCAAATCCATATACTGGTGGAAGGCGGAACCAAGTTGTCCATAGTATATACAGTCTATGGTCATGACCAAGAGAGTAACCACTGCAACAGAACTTAAAGTCTGTACATAGGGTTTGACTACAACTAATTTTGATCATTTAACTGTTCTGCTTTTGACAGTACAGTCTTTTTTTTGGCTTTCCAAGTTAATTTAAAATTTTCCTCCACCACTTGTTTCAGTTAAATAAGTGTGCCCATAATTATAACCAGTTATCACCAGAGTTACAGAAGCAGCTAAACTGAAATTCTGCCCAGAAAAACTGAAACAGTTCCCCACCGACATCTGGCGAACATACTCTCTCACGTGGAGCCCCTTTATCCCACTTTATTGTTAACTTCAGCTTTATGTGCTGTCATTACTACCACAGCTGGCTGCCAGTGTGGGCCCATAATCAAACATGATGTCTGATTAATCCAGGCTCATGTGTGTTAGGGAATATGAGAACCATAATGGCTGCCACTAAGAGGCCATCCTTTTGTGTCAGTTGTTGCTGTGTGTGAATTTGTGAGTCAATGTGTGTGCTAAAGCAAGTCAAGCATTTGCATGATTTTTTTCCTCTTTATATTATGGTCCCTGGATGAGAAGTGCTTCTGAGATGGAGATATGGTTATTTGACCCGGGGCAACAAGCTGAGAGAAGTAGAAAGACAGACCATGAGAGGGGGAGAAAAAAGGGAGTGTGTGTGTGAGTGTGTGTGTGTGTGTGTGTGTGTGTGTGTGTGTGTGTGTGTGTGTGTGTGTGTGTGTGTGTGTGTTGTCTTTTTTTAACCCTTTCCTCACTTTCCATCTTTTTTTTTTTTTTTTTGCTCGAGGCTCGATACTCTTTTCCGCACTCTCTTCCTGCTTCTTCATGCTCTCTCATCGTCTCTCCTCTCTCTTTAATGTACTGACGAGAAGCCCCTCTGCTTCTTTGTCTCCGCCTCCCTCTCTCCCTCGTTTAATCTTTCTTTCCTTTGCCCTTCACAGACCCAGAGCCACCGGGTCTCTGCTTCATATTCTCTCTTTTATCCCCCAACTCTGTCTCCCCTCTGCCCCGTCTATTTCCCTTCAGTGTCAAACTAGCAGACTTCTTACTGTAGTCTGCAGCTTTTTTTTTTCTTCCCCTTGTTCCCTTTTGCTATTCTTCCATTGTGTGTTTGCTTTTCGTGTGTGTGCATGTGTGCACATGCATATGTCTTAGGGTGTCTGAGTGTGCCTTTCTCAGCCTCTCTGAGGCCCTTCCCCTCCCTGCCCTCTGTCACTGGAGAGATTGCTCTCTGGCTCTCTGGCATTTCAGTTCAAATTAAATCACAAAGATGAGTCGTCCCTATTTTTCTGTTTTTCTTTCTTTCTCTTTTTCCGACGCTTCTTCCCCCTCCTCGCTCCAGTCAGCCCTGTTTTGTCAGCCTCTCTTCTTACAGGAGGAGAGGGTGTGGGTTTTTTTGTCTTGGTTGTTTGGTTTGGGGTCATAAACAAATAACGCTTATTTTGTTCACAAATACACAGAAGCAAACTGCATGCAAAGCCACAAACAGATACCAGCGGCTACAAAAGTCCACAGCATCCCTCAGTCCTCTCACACTCAAAAATACAGACACACACTCCCGGCTTACTATTTACCCACTTTTCCTGTCCATCAGCATCCTTCCATCCAACCATGTGCTCCCCGTTGTCTCCTCAACCTCCTCCCCTGGTTCTCACGTCTGACAGAGAGTGAATCACAGCCTGCAGGGAGAGAAAAACTGTCCTCTCACTCCATTAGACTGACAGCAGCTCAGACCCTTTTCATCTACATACTGATCTTATCATTATTCCAACTGGACCAAATATGAATGTACCCTCTCATGTGTGATGCTATAGAGATTTTTCCTCCTCATTCTAGCTGTCAGAAACACACAGAGGAAGAGACACGGGCATGCAGAGACTGAACACAAACACAGAAACACACACTTACACATGCTATAAGCACCCTGATAGGGTGTCGGGACCTTTTGTCCTCTCACCATTGTTGCATGAGGAATAATGATGATGAGGCCGAATACATAATTCCTCTGTGTTACAACAGAAAAAGCCTTGCTTGTCACTCAGGGCGACACAGGCTTAAAGCCGAGCCTTTTCATCCTCGGAGGCTCCGTACTGTATAATTGGTGAAACTAAACCCGGGGCTACATTTACATTTCGACTCACGTGACAGTCTTATTCACGGCCCTGTCTCTGCTGCTAGATAGTCTCCCTCCATGAAAGTACAGCTCACTTTCAAACCCATTCCAGCACTTTTTGTAATGATTCCTAAATTATGAATACATCTGCTTGTTTTATTATGCAGCAGCTCTTTCAGGTCAGCGAGTGTTCACTGCTGTCATATGTGAACGATGATTCACTGCGAATGCTAAAACAGCTGCATTAAAGACCAACCGAATGGCATTTATGAAAATACAGAGTTGTTATCATACAAACATTACAGAGTTGAATGCCAGCACCGTCTGTTTTGCTGTGAGGCCTGCCTTGTTACTTTTGTTGAGGTGAGAGTTTGGAATATTTTTCTCGGATACGTGCATGTTCACACAAAAATGACACAATGAAAGAAATCACAGTGAAAAAAAAATCTTTTTCAAAGTGCCCTTGTTGCTCTTGCAGATCCGTAAAATGTGTGTGGGAGAGATTTTTTTTTTCTTGGACACATTGTGCCGAAAAAACATTTCCTCTTTTCACCGTCTATGTTGTGTTTTGTATCTCATCTGGTGTAACTGGGACACATTCTCCAAAAGCAGACAAGCAGACACGTTTTTTCGAAAAGCCAATGTCACCTAGCTATGTCTCGGTTAGTTTCCTTTGCAAGTCAAAAAGCTAACTGAAAAAGTGATCATGACACTGAAAGACACCAGCATATTACCAATGTGTGCATGAAGACCTGCTGGAGTTAGCATTTCGCTCCAAGCACAACCTTACAGAGCTGCCAGCACGGATATCGACCCTGACACCGTAAACAGGATTCCATTGACCCTCATCCACTTAAAAAGATCTGAATGGCTGAATGCCAGAAGAAGTGAGAGATGATTTCCTTGACAGAAATGATCCCTGAATCATAATATCTCTGTCTGCGATATTTGATATGTGTTTCTCTCCAAGTGCTTTAATTAACTATGGGTCTAATCATTGACTACCTAATTAAACAGTGGAAAGTCTATTGTGGATAACAAGGACGCAGAGACGACCTACATTACTGGGGTCAGTGGAGAGATGCTTTCACTCTTGAATGCAATACTTGCGCGCTTGCATGTGTGTGGGTGTGTGTGTGTTATATCAGACAAGAAGTATTTTGTTACACCAATCTAGTTAATAAGGATTGTGTCAAACAACTGTTATTTATTAGTGTTTATGCACAGGAATCACCCATACTGACAAAAAGCTTCATATTTGCTAAAGAGGTTAACGTCTCTTCTACAGGGTAATGTTAACACAAAGTCATTGTGTTGTTTCTGTGTTTCTTAGTGGGATGAAGTCAGTGTCCTGGACGACCGGGGGAAGCTCATACGAACCTTCGAGGTCTGCAATGTCAACCAAAATCCCCGTCTTCAGGACAACTGGCTGGCAACACCCTTCCTTTACCGTCACTCTGCTCCACGGGTGTTTGTCACATTGCGTTTCTCAGTCCGTGACTGCGCCAGCCTGCGAACACCATCGCCCTCATGCCGAGAGACTCTTACCCTGTACTACAAACAGGCCGACTCCCAGAGGGAGCTGCAGAGGACCTGGGTAGCTGAGGTGAGGCACAAAACTAAACTAGCTAACTCAAAAGAAAAACGACACCGGCTCTTTCAGTGACAAAGGAATGAAGTACGAAGTAAAGCTGAAGGCGAGACTTCTGCTGCTATTTTCTGCATCTGTTAAGATGCAGAAAAAATATTGCACTCCTTCCTCCACTCCTATTATAGTCTCAACATTAACAGAAGTGTTTAGACTTCACCATGAACAGGAATGTTACGTTTGGTCTTAGTTCAACTCTTATGTAGGCTTACAGGAATACAGTTAAATGCTACCAACCATCAAAACTGAGGTGCTCTGTTTCCAGCTGTGTAAATAATTCCTTTTCAAATCAATTAAATCATCTATAGTCTTTTGATTTATGCTAGCATTAGATCCACGGTTACTGAAGATATCTCTCAGGTTTTAACCCCACTGTGCTCATTGACCCTAAATAAGTGAACAAACACGTGAATTGTAAATTTAAATCCTTCTGCAAATAAGACACTTTGATTAGAGCGCACGTGATTACAACTGAATTTAACAAGGATTGATGTCATTTTCATTATTCTGCTTCTTCATCAGTGCTTGAGGCAGACAACCTTCAGACAAAATCATTAGACACAGAAAATTGAATTTCCATTGATGTTTCACTCACGTTAGGGCAAAACAAAAGCCTCTCATCATCTAAGGACAAGAAATAATTACATAATCATTAAGATTACTGTTGTGTTTGCTCAAAGAAACACTGGAGATTAAAGCCTTGTTCGTTCATACTGGTGTGAAGCACATAAATGTTAGCAAAAACTGTCTTCTGTTTTCAATAAATTCAGCCACTAATGACAGATCTATGACAGGAAATAACTAACAGTTCTCATTTTACACTCTAACACTCATCTGTTTTCAAGGAGGCTGTTAACATGTTAAAGACACTGAGACAGAGTGTCCACAGATGTTTCAATTATTAATGCATTTTAGTTTGATTTTATTCTTTTTCTGGGACATTAGGAGTTGCTGAGGATGAGCTACATGTGCAGTCGCTGCCACGGAGAGAGGGAGGGAGGGAGGGAGGAGTGCGGTATTTGTATAGATGAACACTCTTCTCCTTAGGGATGTAAGATGCTGTTTAAAAATGCAAATCAAACCCTGATGAGGAATCAGAGGAGAATCACAGGAGAGCGGGAAGCACTGCAGCGCTGAGAGACTTCGCAGGGACTTGAGCATGATCCCCCGCTGGGTCCTGCATATATCACAGTCAACATTTGCTTCTATCACGAAACTATAATATACATGCACTGAGGAAAACTGGAGAAAAATAAGACCTTGTCTTTCATCTGTTCCTTTTTCGGGCTAATTCCACTTTTTTCTCATTACTCTGTACTTTTCTGTCCGTTTCCTTTTTTCTCCCGGCTTGTTTTAACATCCATCCCCTTCTTGGTGTTTGCTTTTGCTCTCCATGCAATATTTTTTCTCTCCTGGTTACTCATTATGTCTACTTTCAATGTCCTCCTGCAGCCGTCCTCTGGAGAGAAGGAGACCAGGGAAGGCTGGGTAAAGGTTGACACCATCGCAGCTGATAAGAGTTTTTCCAAAGTAGAGCCCAGTTCACCTCACCAGTATCAACCCAACAGATACAGCCGGATCAACATCAAGACACGCAGCTTTGCCCCGCTCACACGGAAGGGGTAATCATGACCAGACTGTGTTTATTGACATTATTCAAAGGTCATCATAAGTCTTGAGTTGTCTTTGTGTTAACTCATCTCCTTTGTTTCAGATTTGTTTTGGCCATTGTTGACAGCGGAGCTTGCGTATCTCTCATGGGTGTCTCCATCTTCTACCGCCGCTGTCCAGCTACCAGCCTCTACTTGGCGTCCTACCCACCAACTCCTTCGGGGGCTGAGCCAACCGCCTTAGTGCCTGTGAGTGGGACGTGTGTCCCCAACAGTAAAGCACAGGCCGGCCCGCCCCCTCGTATGCACTGTAACGCTGAAGGGGAGTGGATGGTTCCTGTGGGAGGATGTGTCTGTGATGAAGGGTACGAGCAAAACCTCAACGGCTCCGCCTGTCTGGGTAAGTCTGAGGACATGTGATCACCTGATCCCTGCAGAGGTGGATAATCTTTTCATCATGTCGATTTAATTTGTCATGTGTGCAAAGTGCTCCAGCAATTTGGTAATGCACATCCATAAATTTGTGTGATGTGTGAGAGACATATTAAAAAGAATGGCAGCCTTCAAAAACATTGGCTCCTACACTTCCATTAATGAAAGTACATACATTTTCTTTTCATTGGACGCTCTCTGTGAGGCCTCGTGTCTGTAATGCTTAGTCATGCAGTAGCGCAGGTTTTCTATCAAAAGGTTATTGTCTGCAAGCTCAAGCTGAGATTCCCCGTTTATCTTGAATAGTAATCTTACAAAAGTTAGGAACTATGACTTGATGGCATTCACAGGATGGACAGGGCAAATCACAGAAAACTTCAGTTATGACCACAAGTAGTATCTTTTGATGCAATCTGAACATTTGGTACAAACTGATGTTAAAGCTGTGATTTTTGGTGTTTCTTTAAAAACAGTTTTATTGTTATTCACCGGTGTCTAAAAATCTTTTGAACTTGAAGATACCGTGAGAAAATCTCATAGACTGTATGTAGAATGGACAGAGTCTGCCTCCTCGCTGGGTGAAACCAAACTGAGAACAGCACCCTCTGGTGACGAGCCGCAGTATAGGTCATAAATCCCACCTCCGCCAGCAAAGCTTATGGGGCTGTGAACAAACTTTAGAAATTTATTACACAGAATTTAAATTTTTCTCCCCCTGCTTGCGATGTTGACATGTAGTTACTGTAAGACTGGTTTGTGCTCAAGTCCTCTTTTTTCTGTACAGCTCCATTTTTAAAAGTTATAAGGGGGTTCATGTCTTGTATGATTGACACTTGATACAGCCTGTGGACGTATGAAGATTGCGGAGCTCACCCAGCCGGGTGTCATCACAGCGACTCTCGGCGACTCACCTGCCGAATGCGTACAATGCTACTGTGCAAGTGGTGATCATAAAACGCTACTGCGCAGTTTTGGTTGCAGGAAATGGAGAAAAATCGCAGGTATACCAAGAGTTTTTCGGCTTCAAATCCGTATACTGGCAGAAGGTGGAACCAAGTTGTCCATAGTATATACAGTCTATGGGAAACCTTTTAATGTGTTGATTTTGCGCCTGCTGTGCTCTGTCTCCACATGCAAACCGCAACCAGAAAGCCACTCGTAACCTGAAATAATGCTCAGAACAGCATCTAACTTCTCCAACAGTACATATAGAGGACCAGCACATAGTACTAGCCATCACACATCTTTTTAGCTTTGCCTGGTTTCTTTGGCAAAGACACTGAACACAACTTACCCATTTTCCTCCAGCAGCCGCTTGTTTGTGGGGAAGCCCCGACGAGTCGATCACCAAAGAAAATTTATGATTATTACTTCATGGGAAACATCGACCACAGTGTGTTGCTGTCGTGTGGTTTTTGCTGAAGTTGGTGTAGCTAGAGAGGCAAGCGGTCGGCAAAATTCATCTCTCAAGGGGGGGTCTAACATGGTGTTATGGTGTGTTTGACCATGGTTTAAACTTACGCTGGAATATCCCTTTCAGTGCAGAGGAGGAGCAAAATATCCTGCCTTGAAATGGCAGTTTGTAAGAGCCTTTTTGTTGATGCTCTGAATTTAAACCATCCCAAAAAAGACTAGAATATTATCAGTCAACTTTTTCAGGCCTTTCTAGTCTTCCTCTCAGTTTGTTTCTTTCTGAATTTCTTGACATGAAAAGAATCTGGATCAATACTGAGAGAAGGTGCTCTTGGTCTGATGCACAACTGCGTTTGATGAATAGTTGAGAGGAGTGAGTGCGGGCAGGTCAGGTTAGGATAGGATGAGATAAACATGGGACAGTCAGTACTGTATCAAAGAAGTGGATTTGTGGATATGTAGTGATGCAACATATTGTCAGTCATGGATAGAGTTTTACAGACGTGCATGCAGGGATGCAGAGCTGCTGAGGGGAGATTAGAGGAGGGGAGCGGGGTCAACATTTGCATAAAACCGGTCAAAAGCACTTCCCCCCTCTCAAAGTGAGTGTAAATGGGGGGAGAAAAAAAAGGAGCCAAAAATTTGATAGATTCCCAGACAGACAGGAAGAGATATGGAGTGAGAGAAGAGGAGGAAAGAGGGAGAGAGGAGGAGAGAGGGAGAGAGTCGTAGTGGGAGGGATGTGACACATTTAGGTCATGGCGATGTAATGGCCACTCGTCTGTGAACAAGTGACAGGAACCGCAGGGGGAGAGTGGCGGAGTGGAGGGAAAACAGGGAGAGGTGGAGGGAGAGAGAAGGAGAGGAGGATGCCAGTTAATGACTTAAAGTACTGAGCAGGCAAAAAATCAGAGTGTGTGAAGAGGAAAAGAGTGGATTGAAGTGTGTTACTCTCTGCGTGGGTATGTGTGAGTATCTTGTCCTGAGGATGATGTTTGCATGTATATGGTCCTTAAAAGCAGGATTCTAGCTGAAAAACTGAGTCGAACATTTTAGTGGCCATAATTGCTCCACTCCCTCACATGGGGGCCCTCAAAGTCCAACTAACTCCGACTCAATTAATCTACTGACTCTGCCAAGTCATCTGTGAAATATGTTCATGCTCTTTTGCTTACATCTGCACCGGGCCCACCGCTTGTGTTTGTCTGCGTTTGATTGATATTTACTGACAAATCACCCCTTGAAACTGCTCAGAGGCTTCCACACACTCTCTACGAACACAGAGCTGCCCACGCCGCTCCGGCTTTTTGTTCCAGCTCTCATATGATTGTGTTTTTTTGTTGATCACTTCACTGACTAATGATGTGCACTGGCATCATCACAATTGTTGTCCTCACCGGCTCCCTGGGAATGTGGAGAAAAGAGGCAGATGGTTAACTGGCAGTGCAGTCGTCTGGGATTATTAACAGTAGCCCATCCTCGTTTCTCTCCAGAAAGTGGAGCACCAAGCTTTTCCAAACTATCAGAAGGTGAACATTTTGTTCTTATTTGAATTATGTAGAAGTGCATTTATAAATAACACATAGGGAGAAAATGATAGGCTGCACTGAAATGAACTTAGGCGTCATTTAAGCTGTAATTAAAACACGGCACTCTGCAAAATCCTGCACTTGAATGCAACTAAAAAAAAAGAAAGAAAATCCAAATGTTAACTAACTTTTCTACCTAAAGCAAGTCACTTCAGCCCATCTGCATTAAATCAAGCATATATCTTATGATGCTATCCAAGCCTCCAAGGTTTTTTGAAAGAATAACTCTACTTTCCTCTTTTCTTTTTAGTCTATTTGCTGTTTAAGTGAGCGACTGCAGTGTAAACAAATGTTGTTTAATATCCATGTGAGAATACCACAGCCATCACAGCCTTCCCCCCTCAAGCAAGACATCATTTTCAAAGACAAATAGGGGACTCCCTCCTCCTCCTTCTCCCAAGTGAAAATGAGTTTCAGCACTAAATGATTGCCCTTAACTACACCCGGCTCTAATAGCTTTCTATTTTAAGAATTAAGGGTCCATGAGACCTCCATAATGTCTTTCATTAGTTGTGCTAGTGGATTATCATGACAATATCTTTAGATTTAACAGTAAGAAGGGCAGGAGTGAAGTATCTGGCGTTTCTTTTTACACTATCTTCATTTGTTGTTGAAGTGTGACGCAGGCGTCCAAAATGACCTACTTTTACTGGTGCCGTCTGTGTGGTTGGCATCAGATGATTGAATTTAGGTTTATAAGTCTGTTGGCCAGTGATTTGGTGTAGAAATGTCTGGCAAAGTGTTTAGTGGAGCGCAGCGACATTTTACTCAGATATCTGTTGTTTCTTTTGGATAAATTCTATCTATTTGGTGACCTTATCATTTAAAATAATATTTTTCAATTTCTCAACAACTGTTGAATGGATTTACAGGAAGTTTGGTACATACATTCATAAATATTATAGGTGGATCCAAACTTCTTTAATAATGACTTTCTTTCCATCAAATACTATCATCACATCATGTCTTAACTTGAAGGCTGTGCTTGTTGCTCAGGGACCGTTTGACAGGATCTGCCATCAGGAGGATTCAGGGATTAAACCACTTACTGTAGTTGTTACTGTTTTAGTATTTTTGTCAGCTATAGTTATAGTTATAAGTTATTTATAACACGGATGTTCTGTTTCTTGGCTCAGTACCATAGCATCTTGATGGCACAGAGTTACTATTGTTTGGGATGAGGCATTGTTGAAGACCGATGAATGGAATAGAAATGTCATAGAGTCTGACAGTGATGAGTCAGAAAAACTCAAATCAGATTCTGCACTGAGTCATGCAGTCTTCATTTCATTTTGTTTGACTTCCATTAATAGAAACACCACCATCAATATCTGAGTGATAAACGTTCCTGTGGACACAACTCAAACTGTGTGTGCTTTGGACTATTTTCAACGATAATGGATGGAAGATTTTTTTCAACGATGGAGAGCCAAATCTAAATTATTGGAAAAGGACTGAAAAATATAACAGATTTGAGTAAATAACACATTCATAGGCTTTAAAGTATGTTTTAAATATACGGTAAATGTACACACACTGGACAGTCAAAATATGCCATCATTTTTAAGTGAAAATGAATCTCCAAAATGAGAACAATGCCTGACAGTGAGAAGTCTGTAAACTCTCACGACTGTTAATGTACTGCAAGTGTGACGTCTCATTATTCTAATAAACTCAGACTCACCAAAACAACACCCCACCATTTGGACCGATGATAAATTAATTAGCTGAGTGAAACATCAAACACTTAGACAAACACAGGCTGCATTTTGGCAGACAGACATTAGAAGACCAAACCTCAATTATTTACAAAGCTGTTTAATTACGAGCAAGTCTCAAAGAACATTGAGTGTCAGCATGATCGCTGACATTCAGGCTCAGTGTGGGACTTGTCTTCAGTCATTTAAAAAAGTGATAAGGACAGGGGCGGATGACAAACAGCAGCTGTCTGCTGTTGTGTTATTATTTTAGCCAAACAGCGGGGTGTTTTTTTCCTTGACATTTGCCTCCCATGAGGGAGGCAGAAAAAGCAGAGGGCACAGGAAACATGACTTAGCATGAGACACAATTACACCTGTTCAGTCAAACATTAAACGCTTGTTTAGTTTTTAGGCTCTCTTTAGGCGAACTGGCTCATTTGATTCCTCCCTAACGCTAAGCCACAGCCACTGTCGAGGATTTGGGACAAGAGATTAGCACTGAATGCTCAAATGGGCTGTAATTTAATTTGAAGCCATGTGTGTGTTTTTGTGAGTGAAATATTTAACTTGTCAGATCGTCATGATTTGTCACCCAGAGCTCTCAAACCAAGAGCAACCAAAACCACGAAGAATCCTGAGGCTTGTCATGGAGGGGAAATAAGAACATTTGCCCAAAGGAGTAAAAGTGAAAGTGTGATATTATTCTGAGTGTGATGGGTGACTGTGCTCTGGTCTCAGAATGAAACACTTTTCACCGAAAAGCCTGAATATCTGCCTCAGAGCAGGCAGCAGGATAGGGTTTGTTTCTTTTTTTGCTTTCAGATAAAAGCGTTAAAATCGTGCTTTTATCATCCTAACTGTTTCCCATATTGATATGTCAGATGGTATTGGCAGTGTTGACATTCAGTTGCTCTTCCAGACTATTAATAAAGGTCAAGCTTTAAGCACAACACAGAGAAGTGAAATAATCAATGGGATGCAGTATTGACTTGTTGACTGCTCTGATGTCGTTGTTTGGGAGGAGCTAGGCAGTGAGGATAAATGAACCTGATCACACCCAGCTACATCATGTGACTTGTCTGCGTCAAATCTATTGAGTTCTTTGGATAATCCGAGCAAGTTGTGTTTTCAAAAGCCCCTTTAAAGTGTTATGACGCATTTAAGGACTTTATAAAGGGTGGTATAAGGGGTGTTATATTGTCTTTATACAGGGTGTTGTGAAGGTTAAGAAGGGTTTATAAAAGGTGTAATCAAGGGTGTTATGTAGGCTTTTTTAAGGTGTTATGAAGAGTGTGATAAAGAGTGTAATAAAGGGTGTTATTAAAGGTGTTCAAAAGAGGGGAATAAAGGTGTTACAATAGTGTTTTGAAGGGTGTCATAAAGGGTGTTATGAAGGCTGATAGAAAGAGTGTTATGAAAGGTGATATAAGAGTGTGATAAAAGTGTTGTAAAGGGAGTTATAATTATGAAGAAGTCTTGATGAAGGATGTTATTGAAGGTGTTAGAGATGGTGTTATGAATGGTGTAATAAAGGGTGTTGTAAAGTGTTTAGTAGGGTGTAATAAAAGACATCATAAATAGTGCTATAAAGAGTGTTTTAAAAGGTGTTGTGGTGGGTTCTATCATGGCTTTATAAAGGGTTTAATAGAGGGCATAATGAAAGGTGTTATGAATGTTGTTATAGATGTTGTTATAATGAGTTAATAAAGGGTTTCATGACGATGGTGAAGCCTTGAAGAGTGTTGTTTAAAAAAAGGTGCAAAGAAGGGTGCTATCAAGGTTATTATGAAAGCTTTATAAAGGTCGTTATAGCAGGATTTATGAAAGTTGTTTAAAAGGCTAATAAAGAGTATTTTTAAGGGTGTTAGGAAGGGTGGTTTGAGGACTTTAAAGCTCCTATGAGAGTTTTGAAATTTTAATGTGATGTCTTTGTGCTGCCTGGAAAAGCAAACAAAACCAACAGCAACCAGAATAGTAATTTGTATACACAATTTTGTAATGGCTGTTGGAGCTGTCACTCAGATAGTTAGACTAAGTGAGTTGAAGCCGTCTTGAAATAGCAATAATATGTAAATATGTAACGACCAATAATCAGAGATGAATATTAACAGTAGAGCGAAAGCAGGATGAGATTTAACACCAGGAAACATCACTTAAATAAGTGAAGGACAAGATGAAAGAAAAAAGATGAAAGGCAACACTTCGTCCACAGGGGGCGCCAGAATCAATGCAAACTAAGGGTTCGTCTCCCTTCAATCTTTCAGTCTCTATTCACAGATTATACCCGAAAGTCTAGAGTCTGTATTTAGGGGTTGGATTTCTATTGTGGGAAATAGTACAATGTTCTTTGTAACTAACGTCATAACAGGAGATGATTTTCACAGATAAACTATCTTTTTTTAATTTGAGATACAAGGTTTTTTTTTTCTTGTCAGAGTAAAGAGTAAATTTACACTGATGTTCACAGGGTACAATAATTTCAGTTTACTTCAAAAATAAATGTCTGATCTGTGGGTTCACAGCTGATATCAGCCTTCAAAATCACTCTTATAACCTCTGTGCTTTAGTAATAACTGAACACAGTGATGTTTTTATGAAGAGTTGCTGTTGTTCCCGCCCTCAAATCATGCCACTCCTGATTTTGGATACATTATACAGTAGAGGATCAGAGGAAACAACCTTTTGATTTCTGGTATTAACACTGGTTATTTCTTTATCTAGGGTCATTAAAGCTTCTTTCAGTAAGGTTGCACAATAACCATAAATTGGTTTCGGCGCATAATTAATGCCACTATAATTGACATTTTAACAATAGCAAACACCAAACTACTGTATGAAAAACAAAGGGCCCCTTCATCTTTAACTTGGCAGCCCTCAAATCTTTAAAGTAATGCACACTGAAATTTAGCCCATTTGTTCATTGAAGGATGATTTGTTGTTTTGATTCCCGTTTCTTTCTCTCTTAGCGTCATTTCCAGCAGCAGACAGACTCAGTTAGTTACTAGCCTGTGAATATAATGAGGCATTAAGCAGCTCGCCTTCCTCCGGAGACCAAAAAGCTAGAAGAATAATCACAGTTAGTAAAACGACATAAAAATCACAATTTCTTCTCCTACATGAGTGGTTATGTAACAAAGATGTGACAGAAAAACAACCTTAAGATTCAGAGAATACAGCTGCAAGTCAAACTCATATGATTATGTTGTTTCCACATAGTTTACCCTCACATGAGTGTTACCTCACAAAGACATTGATTGTCAAAACTTTTTAAACTTATGTGGACATGCAATCCTGGATATGAAGGCTACATAGTCTATTTTTGTTATAAGCTTTTGTTGTAGACATTTAAGACATCTGTTTTTTATTTATTTATCTTTTTTCTTTCCTGTTCGGTCTTCTTTGCATCAGTGTTGTTCTGTATTCTATTACCTAAAAAAATGAAAAATAAAGTATATAAAAAAAGGATTGGTATGAAAACATGCTAAGGAATTTATGTTGCACACGAAATATATATACAGTCTATATAAATGTATAGAGAGAAGGAGCGAGAGAGAAAGAGAGATTTTTCTCCTGCTAAAATAACCCACCTTTGTTTTTCTTTAGGCAGTGAAAAAGCTGCTTGCTCATGTGAGAAAATCAACCAGAGGATTACTTGCCCTTACGTATGCCTGTCTGCTATTGGGATTAATATGGCGATGGTTGAAATTAGAGCACATATGATTCGGTTCCTGTACGTTTGCAGGCTGCAGTAAAGGGCAGAACGTAAAGAAAAGTTAGGCTGGAGGAATGCAGGAGAGGATATTTACAGTTGGAACCATGTGAACCCGTCTCTACTGTTGTGTGGTCGCATCTGTGACTGAGCTCATGTGTGTTCTTGTGTCTTTTTGTGTATGTATGTGTGCGTGTGTGTGTGTGTGTGTGTGTGTGTGTGTGTGTGTGTGTGTGTGTGTGTGTGTGTGTGTGTGTGTGTGCGTGTGTGTGTGTGAGTCTGAGAGAAAGAGAGAGGGAGAGGGAGAAAGATTATGCTGGGAGCCAAAAGAGGGAATGAGTGCATGAAACAAGGAGAGGAAGAGAAGAGGAGAGAAATTGGGTCACCCATCTACATACCAACCTATTATGTTAACCTCAGATTACTCATTGTTCTTTAGTTTTTTTCCTTTTTCTTTCTCTTTAAAAATAGATCTAACATATATTGTATATTTTTTCCTGTTTACATGATTAAATTTTGTGTTTGTGGAGCCACTGCCAAGCTAATCCTTCCCTGAGACTATTTATTTGCTGATTTCACGTTTGATTTAGTATAATCTAAAGATTTTTCATTAAATGTAAGCTACAGAAACATCCTGCTGAATATTGGGAGTGAACCCAATTTTACTGACATGAACAATAACACAAGATTAAGACTAATATACTGTGTATTATCAGTAATCAGTATTTCTTTTTAACTATCTTTAAAGTTCTTGCTTTGCTTTGTCTTTGTCTTTCAGATTTTTAAAGAGATCACAACAATATTAACTGAAGTATTTGTGGCAAGTCATTCGACTCCAGTAGCTTTTAAATTTCCTGGATGAACCGGCAATTAATCGTTATTTTTATTTTTCCAAAACAAGTAAAAAAGATCTTGAACAACAACCTCAAATTGCTTGTTTGCAGTTTGTAACCATTAAAAACAAAAGCAGAAGGTTTTAACTTTTAAAAGCTGAATCATGAAGATTATTTATGCTTTGTGCTGAAATATGACTGAGATATGAATCATTTATTAAGTTACATGAAGAATACGTGTCTAACGGTTCAGTTCAGCTGATTCTCTGAACATGCATCACATGTATGTCATTAATACTGAAATGAGCAGCTGTATCCATTTCCATCTGTCTGTTTTTCAGTGATTCCTCTGTATCACCTCCCTTCCTTCCCCACCCTGTTTGTACTCTTGTTAAGCCATGAGTGTCTCTGGGCATAATGACCGTGAAGTGTCCACTTTATAGCCCGGAGACAGAGTGAAAGATGGGCGGGTGGATGGATGTCCCCGGCTGGTCAGATGAGGGGCAGATCAAGTAAGAGGGCAGAGGGCTTGCACTCTCATTGGCTACTGTAATATGTTGGATGAGGATTGGAAGGAGGGAGGGTGGGTGAGGGGGGTTGGGAAGGGACGGATGGGGGGATGTTGCTGGAGCCTGTAATGGCTGTGAGGGGCTTTGTAGCAAAGTCATGTTTTGTGTCAGTGCCGTAAGAGAACACGTCTGGTAATGTGCAGCTGGGACATAAATGATGTAGTAAGCAGCATATTTTTCTCCTCTCTTACCCCCTCCTCTCCCCCTGTTCTCACCCATCATCTCATATGCATAATCCCACTGTTCATCCTCTGTCTCTTTGGCCTCCCACCCCTGCGTTCACTTATCCTAGATTATTCTCTCTCTCTGTGATGTCTCTGCATCCTTTTACCTCCCTCCTCTCGCTTCGTTTTTTTCGGCTCTTCACACCTGTTTGAAAGCAAAGTTGGCTCCCAGAGACGAGTGAGAACACAGAAAACCTTTTATGTGTTTATTTTTACATTTCTTATACTTTCATCTCCCACTCCCACGCTGCTACAACACCATCGGGTATACACGCATTCAGCGACACACGCACAGGCGCACAGACAGTCCACACAGCATGTCAAATCCGAAACAGGGCACACAGTCTTGACAAGGTTATATAAATAAGGTGAGGGGTTCACTCCCACTGACTATAAAACACACGCACACACACTTTCTCACATTCTCCCTTTCCAGGAGTGTGTTTAAAAGGTGTCACCAGGTGTGCCATTTACACACTCACAATACAAGAAAGCCTCACTGCATGATAAATCACTAGGTCTGCATTTACCTTACAGCCAAAGAGACTCCTTTATGAGCGACGCAGCCTTTAGCTGACACTACTTCACTGGCCTCAACACAAACAGTGTGAAAATGGCAGCACACTCAGTGATCTTATAGTCGGGGCCGAGGACGAACACTGGAGGCTGTGGCAGCCAGCAGCATGACAAGAAGAGTGTGTTACCTCGACCTCCATGCTCAGCTGTCCTCCATGCTGCCTGCTGACATTAACAATTGGCACATTTCACAGATTTTCCACCATGAACCACATCAGTCCTGCATAACAGCCTCCAGCTTCAGATGATATTTCCACACAATATTTCTACAGTGAGAGTGTGAGAGATCATATTCATGCTTTGAACTTTAGTTTGTTGCAGGACTACCACGCATTACTTATTGATGCAGCATCAATTATGTATCATTAATGTGATTAATACGATATGATATGTTTGGTTTCTGCTCCATTTCCTGTTGTTACAGAGTAATTACACATGCTGCTCTGCTCAGTGACATTTTAATTTTTCTTAAATTAAAGTAAAGGGATACGTTTTCTCTTTTTTGGATGGAGGGAATTCTCCAGCCTCTCTCAGGATTATTTCATATTCTGAAAAAAAAAGATTGTTTTGTGGTTGTTTTTATGGTGTAGATTCAAATGAAAGGATTGATACAGCTCTCATTTTTTGTCCATCAAATGTTTGACGAAAGCTGAGCAGCTGGTTGGCTTAGTTTAGCGCTAAGATTAAAAGCAAGAAGAAGCAGCCCAGCTTGAACACTCTGCCAGATGATGAATAAGCGCATTTCCCCAAAATGTCAAAGTTCTACTCTAAGCTCAATTAATATTTAAGGCTGCTGGATCAACTAAAAGTTACACTGTCCCAAGGCTAAAAAAAGAGGTTTTTCTTCTTGGCTCATGAAAAGATTTTTATGGGGACAGCCACAAAATAACACTCTGATAAAAAGGTACGATGAATGTAAAGCAGAGACAGTAAAAAAAAGGAAATGTTTGCCTCAACTGTTCTTTCTCAACGTAAAAATACAACCAGCAGAGGGTCTGACTGCCAAAAAGACAGAACACAGGTTGCTTGTTTTTTTTTTTTTAAAGCTCACAGCTGCATGAAAAACAAAGTAGTGTCATCTTTTTTTCCAAATGAACCTGAGCTAATGAGCTGCTCGGTGTAACTTCATTTGTACTGAGGCTAAAGGTCTACTTTCATTATTCTTTTTAAATTAGGGTCATATGAGGTACATGTCATTAGTGAGTTATCACCTCCAGGCTATCAACCTGGGTCAAACCTTCCACCTAATTATGCTCATTTTAACAAACTCCAACCCAAACACTGATGTTGGAGTAAGTGTACACTATATTAAGATGCTTCACAGAGTTTTACTTTGCCTCCAGAAAGACCAGTCATAGTTTTGCCTTTACATACCTGACAAATCAGGGTTTTGTATCATTAATTTTTGTACTTTGATAAGGACAGATTATAGTGAAGACTATGGGCTATGTCATTAGGCATAAAGAAATCAGTGAGTGCTGATAAATTTCATTCAGCTTTTCTGTTTTAACTCTTGAAAAATGATAATTAAGGTAGGCAGCTAGATGGTTAGTGATGTGTACTGCAGCGATATTTGTCCCATTGGATCTTGTTCTTTCTACACAGGTTCATTAAGGTGTCCTCTTGTATCCACAGTAAATGAAACATCATTGTCACTGTCTGAATCACTCGCTTTTATTTTCAAAATTGTTGATTACCCCCTCATGGAGAAAAATTGAACTATTCCTTTAAATCACCCTCGTCTAACTCTGAAGGAAAATAGAAACATCTATTTCCGAATGTGTGCTCATTTTTTTTAAACACTGTCATTGTGTCGGCGTGGCCATTTGAACTTGTTTGTGTGACCGGTTGTTTTGCTGATGTCTGTGAACACAAGCCACTTCCTCTGTAAACACAAGGAAATGAGTGTGCTGTACAAAACCAACAACAACAACAGACCGCTGTGAAATTGATGCTTTACCCCAAAAAAGTTCCTGCTGTTGTATTTACCCTGGACAAAATGGAAGAAAAAAACACAAAATGAACCAAGAGAAATTGTAGGTACACAAGCTGTGTTTACACACTAAAGTACGAGTTCACAGAAGTTCATTGATGGCCCTGAGGTGAAAATTTGAAAGGTTTATCTGTTAGGGTAGAAAAGAAGTTTCAGTCTAATCAAAGATGCTGAAATTATTTTATTGCACATTTTATGGCGATCCCTTTTTGGTTTATTTTCTGTTTTTTTCTTTTTAACACCTCATATATAAACACAGATGTCAGTGACGACTCTATCATTGACTATCACTTCACAATGTTCTGCTTACTGATTTAAAGCTCCAATGAGAAGCATTTTGACAATCATGAGACTGACTGAAATTCATACTGATGCCGTTTCATGACAAGGGACAAGACTGATGGTGTTACATCTTGGTTTTTAATGCCTAAAACTAGTTCAAGAGGGTAGATGTCAGCCTAGCAGTTGAAGATGCTGCCCTAGTTTTACTATTTTCACAAAAATATTAACAATAAATGAGACATTGGAATGTCAAAGACCAGCAGGGTGATATATTAGGTCAAAATACACTACTCAAGTGTGAGGAGGATGAGATTAGCAGATACTGCTTTGTCCACAGGGGGCACCAAAGTGACACGAACTGAAAGTTCCTCACAGGAGCTTTAATCAAGTTGTCATTGACAGCAGGTTCTTCAGCGTTCACATCTGTAAATCTACACATACATACATAAAAGAGATAAAAAAGAGACTAAGATAGTTTTGTAGATTGATTTCACCAAGGCAGAAAATGTGACTGTAAAGCTATAACACATACCATCATTTGACTTATTAGAAGTGTTTCAGCTCCAAATGAAATAGTTTGCAATTTTAGTTTAGTTTTTTCATATTATCATCTGGTCCTGTTTTTTTTTTTTTTTTTTTTTTTTTTTTTTTTTTTTTTAACACAGCTTTACTGTCAGTGTTTCTTTTGGGTCTATCATTAGACTTTAACTGTAGATATGTTGTAGTAGTAAATAAATCCAACACAGACAGATAGTTCAGTACTGGATGTTAAACTGAATGTTGATCTTTTCATTTATTCGTGGGTAAAATAAGAATATATTTCCTCCTCCTTCATGTCTCCTCCTCTCTGCAGCTTGTCCTGTGGGTTATTTCAAGTCGGTTTCAGGCTCTGTCCCCTGCACAGTGTGTCCCGCTAACAGCAGAACCAGCCAGGAGGGATCCAAGGTGTGCGAATGTCGTAGTGGCTTCTACCGGGCAGCCAACGATGCCAACTCCTCTGCCTGCACAAGTGAGCTTTGTCTATTTGTTTCTTTCTGCCCGAGTCTTGTGGAGGACCTTAACTGGCCTCATTTGTCATTTAGACAGACTTTGAGAGAAAGAGTCCAGCTGTTTTTTTTTAAGGTGATGAAAATTTTATTCCACTCGCAGAAAGAAAACCTGCAAAGTGTTTAGTTTCTGCTTTGCTTAAATTGTTTCGCTGCCAAACTTTAGCTCCTCCATTACTTGGTCAAATGTCTTAGCAAGTATGCAGCTTCTTACATATCTTAAACTTTTTAGCAGCTGCTTTCATTTAAGCGTCTCCAGCTTGTATCATGAATATCTCCCCCGCCTGCTTCTTTTGCCTTTTTTTTTTTTTGCACAGCTCCTCCATCTGCGCCTGTCTCTCTGTCTTGGGAGTACGAGAGTGGTGATGGCGGCGTTTCTTTAAGGTGGCGCCCTCCTGTGGACATGGGAGGCCGCATCGAGGTGTGGTACGGGGTGGTGTGTCGCATCTGCCCCTCAGCCACCTTCACCAACCCGGCGTCGTGTTCCTGGTGCGGGGAGGGCGTCACCTTCAGTCCCTCCCAGACTAACCTGAAACAAACCAAGGTCACCCTCAACAACCTGCTGACCAGAGTCACTTATCTCATCCAGGTCTGTTCCCACCCTGTACACAGACTGTGCTTGACTGTGCAGTTTTTGACAACATCTTCAGGGGCAGCAGAGGAGATGAGCCCTCATTGCTGTATTCTTCCATGAGCCCCACATCAGCAAAATACACACTAACATTTATTATTTAGCATTTGGTAGCTCAACTAAATCATGGCTTATGTCTTATTCATAAAGAGCACATATTCCCAATTTACTGGTGTTTGTCTACCCAGCCCTGTGTGTGTGTTAGGTTTTATTTTTTCTTCAAAATGAAAGTAAACAGCATAGAAAAAAAAACTTCAAATGTCACTTTTGTATGTTGCTTCTGTCAACAGGTGCAAGCCATGAATGAGGTGTCAGCTTTGAGCCCTTTCCCGGCTCGATACACAAGCATCAATTTCACTACGAGCCAGTCAGGTGAGCACAGGTCGGAGTGGATGAAAAAGCTGAGATAAAAGAGAGGAGATTATCTGAGGATGATATTACCATGTGTGTGTGTGTATATGTGTGTTAGTCTGAGGTTCATCTCTCTCGCTCTCTCTCCGTGTCTCTGTGCTCCATCTTTTCTACCCCTGCTGTCTGGACAGGAGGTTGCTCGAGGTTACAATATCCTGTCAGATCCCATCACAGTCACAGTACAGGAAGAAGGGGACAAATGAGAGATGGGCAGACAAAAAGATAGACAGAAAAGGAGATGAGGGTAGACAAGTGGGGGAGACGACAGAGAGAGGAGGAGAATGGGACATGGCTCAGACAACTAAAGTATTACACTGTTTTCTAAGAAACTGATCAAGACTGGAAGCCCAAACCCAACCCTAACTCCATATTCGGCCTGATCATCTCAAACCTTCTCATGTCTGGTCCCTGAGTTTCTTTTTAAAATGGAAAGAACGGTGGAAAGTTCCCCACAACTGGACCAGCCAGCCAGCACAGGGACTGTAATGAGATCCCGTGCTGCGCTCTATAAAAACTCCACTTTCATGCCCTACTAAATACTCACGACAAGTTCTGTAACAGTGCCCCCTAGTGGTCAGGATCACTTCATTAAAACTTTAGTGATCTGTTGTGGCAGGATGATTGACTTGTTACTGAGAGGTCAACTAATCAATCACCACTGCTAATACACTAATCTCTGCTGTCTCCCACAGTTCCCAGCACAGTTCCCATGATGCACCAGCTGAGCCGAGCACCAGATTCCATCACTCTCTCTTGGCCTCAGCCAGACCGGCCCAATGGAGACATCTTGGAGTACCAGCTTCGATATTTTGACAAGGTTAACTCTCTTAAAAGTCTGAAAAGTACGCAGCATAAAATACTAGAACAAAACTAAAATCCTCGTTTGTCTCGCAGGGATCAGATGTGGACAGTGCGGCGAGTGTTTTCAGTGAGACCAACACGGTGACAATCAGCTCCCTGATCCCAGGCTCCATTTACGCCTTCCAGATCAGAGCTCGAAATGAGCGAGGCTTCGGTCCTTACAGTGACACCATCTACTTCACCACACTGCCTCTGGGTACGATACTCATTTCCTGTCATACCAGTGAAATCAGTCAAAGTATATTTCGGTCATTAACACACAAGAAAACCTTATCAAGGAGAGGAATTCGAGATGATGTACAAAGAATGATCATTTATCACATTAAAATCATTAGTCATTAGTATTTATTAATGTTGCTAGAAGGCACAAAGAAGCTTACTTAAATATGATAAGGACAGAAGGCATATGCACATTTATTTCAGTAGCATAACATCCAGAGGAAGATAAAGGTTTACTCAAAACAAATAAGAAGCAAAGTGCAGAAATTTACACTTCAGAATTTTAAGAGCAACAAAGAAATAAAATTGTTTTATCTGCTGAATCAAAATCAGCTCTTTTAAAAAAAACTCCCATGTTTAGATCCGAAGTTATTAATTCATCTGAATGTAACTGATTTTATTTAAGGATAATCACCTAATCATGAGTACATGGACATATGTTTTTTAAATTTGTTGTTTTGCATGTTAAAAGCACATCTGGGTTTCAGGATTCTGAAACAAACTGTGGCATGTAAACACCCTGTCCAGGTGTCTGATCACTCGTTGCTGGTGCAGAACAAAGAGACTCAGTCTCTGTGAAATCAAGACACAGCTGCACACAGGTTTTCATTATCACTGAATTCATTATCATTATTTATAAGGTTATAAATACCGCAGTCTCTTGTGTTCATTTTAAAATCACAACTAAAATTAGATCAAAAGAACATGAAGGCTTAAACCTGGGCTGCTAACCAGAGCATGTAAACACTCTATAAATACTTCTTACCTGGGACACCTCCGAGAGTACCTTAAAATGTTCAAAGCAAAGTTAGATTTTCAACTGTGTGCTCTTCAGAAGTTGAGTTCAGATTTAATCTCACTTGTACTCCAACTGGAAAAACAAAGTAACAGACTAAAAGTTAAAAGATAACTGCAACAAATACTTTAAATCTCTAACTGCTGATGTTTCTCCCTACAGAAGAACATTCACAGCAGATCCAGAACAGACTTCCTCTGCTGGTCGGCTCGGTGATGGGTGGAGCAGCCTTTCTTTTGGTGGTGGCAGCCATCGTAGTTGTGGTGGTATTTCGCAGGTACTGTACGTTTTCCATCTGTTACCATGACCCAACACATCATGTATCTTTTTTCTAATGGAGTATTTTGTTATATTTTTTTAACATGGCAGCAAGAGGAGGGAGAGCCCGTACAGTGACAGACTGCAGAGGTACATCAGCAACAGAGGTGAGCTTTCTTGGATCGAATTCATGATCACATGAAGTTCAGATCAGAACATAGTTAAAAATAGACAGTGTAGAGATTCCTTCTTTGTAAAAACTCCTTTAATATATCACCAAAAATGAGATTGGCTGACTTAATGTTCCTAAGTTTGATCCTCCTACATCGTTACCAAATATCAGTGATTCCTAAAAATACAAAACCGTCTTTGTGTTTCTTGTGATGTCCACGAAATCCCTGCACTGTGCAGCTACAGAGCGTCCTGACCTACTTTCAGGAAAATAAATGTGTTTAAAGGTCAGAAAAGGGTAAAAAGCCAGATTTATTTCTAACAAGTTCCTTTATTTCTAGGTGGAGTGAAGTATTATGTGGACCCATCCACTTACGAAGACCCCAGTGAGGCTGTCAAAGAGTTTGCCCGTGAAATAGACCCCACTCATCTCAAGATCGAGGAGGTGATTGGTGCAGGTAGGTCTGGTCCTGGTCATCTCTGAAATCTAAAGAAACGATGTAGTGAATATAAACTTAATCTATTCCTCCTTCTTTCCTCTCCAGCTCAGTTTGGAGAAGTTTCTCGGGGCCGCTATCGTCCTCTAGGTCGCAGAGAGGTGTTGGTAGCTGTGAAGACTTTACGCTGGGGGGCATCAGACAGAGAGAAGGGGATGTTCCTGAGTGAGGCAGGGGTCCTGGGACAATTTGACCATCCTAACGTGCTGAAGTTGGAGGGTGTTATCACCCGGACCCCTCCAGAGAGAATCATCACTGAGTTCATGGAGAACGGGCCGCTGGATGCTTTTCTCAGAGTAAGACCATTTCTGTTTTTGTCACAGTGTCAGAGACTTTTCATTTTCAATTTCCCCCTCCTCACCTCTGCTCCTCTCTTCTACCTCTATCATTTCAGGAAAATGAAGGACAGTTCAGCGTCCTGCAGCTTGTTGGGATGCTCAGGGGAATCGGTGCAGGGATGCGGTACCTCTCTGAGAGGAACTTTGTCCACAGGGACCTGGCTGCCAGGAATGTGCTGGTTAACTCCAACCTGGTCTGTAAAGTGTCAGACTTTGGTCTATCCCGTCTAATGAGGGGCCTGGACCATAACATACCTACTTACACCGCCTCACTGGTTAGTTCTGGAAACTGGAGCTTCTGTGGTTCTTGGACCCTCTTGATTTGTGGTTCATGTTGGGTATAACACTGATTTTCTGTCTGCTCTCGTCCATCAGGGAAGTAAAATCCCTGTGCGGTGGACGGCACCAGAAGCTTTTCAGCACCGCAAGTTCAGCTCGGCTAGTGATGTCTGGAGCTTCGGGATACTTATGTGGGAAGTGATGTCATATGGAGAGCGTCCATACTGGGACATGAGCAATCAAGAGGTGAGAGTACAGAGGGGAATGAAACCTGAGTAACAGGAAGTCATCATGAATTAGTGATGTAAATGCACTCAGGTTTTACTACTACAGTGTAATAAAATACCATTACAGGAGTTTAGGCACCAGCCACAAATCACAACGTCCAATGATTGCGTAGAGACATCCCACTTCGATGTTGTTCTCTAAGATTCCCGCCCTGCGTCTGCTTCAGCTTATAAATAAGAAAGATGTTTTCCATTCTGCCAAAAGACAGAAAGATGAAAATGAGACTTTTTTAGAGGAACGCATTACCACCCACTTAAAAGGGCTAATTTAGATTTGGAAAGACGCTGTTTGAGACTAAATATTTTTTATTTGAACCTGCTGAAAAATAAAAAACATGAGATCCCAGAGACATCAAGCCCGCCTCCACCTTTACGGACTACTTTGTCTCGGTGAATTACATACAGCCACAGCCGGCCCAAGGCATAAGCGAACTAAGCGCCTGCTTAGGGCCCCGTGGCCAATAGGGGGCCCCCAAGAGCAACAAAAAAAATAAATAATGAAATATTTTTTATTTTTTGCATGTATGAGTGATGATTTCTGTATGATTAAATATATATTATTGTAAAAAATAAAAAATTAAAGTAAAAATGTTTTGGTGCTGCTGTCAAAGCTCTGCTACCTTTATTTGCCTTCTGCTGTGCAATGTGCACTGAGCTTCCAAAGCGCAGGTAGTTGTGGGGCAAAACAATGTCCCAACAAAGGACATATCCTTCAGGGGCAGAGAAAAGAAAGAGGAAGAGGAGAAAAAACACCAAGATAAAGATATGTTTGCATGTCATGGAATATTAATCAAAGAGATTTATGAAGGTGTGTGAATGATCAAAAATCAGTATTGTTTGCAGAAATAGAGGGCCCCAAAAATAAATTTTGCTTAGGGCCACATTGAGGCTTGGGCCCGCTTTGCATACAGCCCCAAAAAATGCATTTTATTTTGCTGTTGTGAAATGAACTTGTGTAATAATTCAATGGTGCACTTAATCTCCTTGTTCTTCTGCCCCCCTTTTTATTCAACAGACTTGTGTAATGCTGATAAAATACCAGGTAGCTTGAATTTGCATAATTTCTTCTTAGTCACTCTCAGCTCCGAGTGGTCTGTGACCTTTATGTAGGGCAATAACAGGGGACTTCTCACGCCATCTGTCTCACTGCTGTATGTGGAACGTCTCTCTTATTTTCTCTCCCTGCAGGTGATGAAAGCAGTAGCAGACCAGTACCGCCTCCCTGCCCCCCATAACTGTCCTGCTGCCCTCCACTCTCTGATGCTCCAGTGCTGGCAGGCAGACAGAGGGGACCGGCCAGGCTTCGACTCAGTCTTGTCCTCGTTGGACAGGCTCATCAGGCACCCTGCGTCTCTGAAGGCGGAGCCAACACGGTGAGACAGACGCTCCTTGACCTTACAGGACATGTCAGATCAGTGGGTGGTCAACAATCTGCTGTATTTATGGACTCTCACGATCTCACTTTTGACATTTTTCCCTGAACAGAAGCTGCTCTCAGCCGCTGCTCAGCCCCACCCCCACAGATTTATCATCAGTGGCAACGGTCAGTGATTGGCTGAAGGCTCTGAGGATGGAAAGATATCAAGAGGAGTTTGATCAGGCGAACCTGGACTCTTTAGACAGAGTCAGCGGGCTCACTATGGAGTGAGTATAGATGACCCTAATACTATAACTGTGGGATGTAAGAGTGGAGCAGGACTCAGCACTTAAACTCTTTAATTTGAGTGTACATGTTACTTGATTTTGTTTGTAAGTAAGAAACGTGAATGATGTGTATTTACCAGGTTTTTCTTGCGCAGCTACACTAACAAGAAAACTCTCTAGGGCCAAGTAGAAACTTCTATTTGTATATTTTAACAAACTTTCTTTTAGGTCATCATTTTCTTAGCTGCTACACAAATAAAATAAACAACAAATGCAACACACTGACATTTTACCTATATACTCAGTGTCAATTATTTTGTGTTTTTCAGGTTTGTAATGTTCAAACACCTAATTTTTAGGTTACGGGACACTCAGTCTTTCTGTGAATGTTTCTGTGAATTATTCAACACCTCTTCTGGACAGTTTTGATGGACAGAATTGTTCACTTATTATAAGGATAATTTAATTCTACATACGTAACAAAAAATTTGAAAATATGCTTACATTTATGTATTTTTTATGAAAAATGTTTGTTACTGGTCCGTGTGCAAGGTATGATGATTTTACATCTGCATTTCTGTGACTCTACAGAGCAAAGTCATTTTATTATCAAAGATAAAAACAAGGGTAACACTTTACAATAACCATAACTTATAAATGGTAAAAAGACTATTTATAAATGGTAAGCAGATAGTTTATTAATGTTTAATCATCATTTATAAATAGCATGTAGACCATTTATAAATTGTAAATTTTACAGTTTTAAAAACCTAACCCTAACTTTACAATAACCATCTAAGTAATGTTAATAGGTGGTTTATAAACCACTTATTAATCATTTACAAAGTTTTACAAACATGAGTTGCAACTTAACAATAACCATCTAAGTAATGTTTATAGGTGGTTTAAAAAACAAATATTAATCATTTACAAAGAGCTACTGACACACATTTTAATCTAGATGTTTTACAACCAATATTTGAACCCTGTATAAACCTTTAATAAATAGTCTATTAATATTTAATGAAAATTATTAATCATAATTTCATTGCTTGTTAATGGTAAAGTAAGTATTAACTTACATTAATGAAAAATCTATTTGCCATTTATAGTTTGTCTCTTTGCTGTTTTTAAATGATGATTAAACATTAATAAACTATCTATTTACCATTTATAAATTATGGTTATTGTAAAGTTTTACCAGAATAAGTCTAAAACAGGTAGAAGGCACAAGAGAGCAGGTGTTGTATTTTTTAAGCATCAATTAATTTCTCAGCTACCCCAGTTTTTTTATGGACAAACACAGAGTCATTATTCAGAGTCGTAGTTGGATGATAAACTGAGGTTTAATAACCATGAGCACTTGCTCTGTCTCTTTCAGAGATGTCCAGAACCTCGGGGTGAACCTGCTGGGACATCAGAGGAAGATTGTCAGTGCAGCCCAGCAGCTCAGAGCCTATCTGTCGCAGGGGCAGGTGGAGGTGTGAAATCAACCCACGTCACAGCTTGTGCCATGGACTTCTATGGTTTTTACACTCCTCTGTTTGTTGTGTCTGGTTTCTGTAACAGTCGTTTTTCAAGGAGCATATTCAAAACCAAAACAAATCAGCTTTCTTTTGTTTTCTTTTGGAGGAAAGCATCGACTGCAACTGTGTGCTTTCTGAAAACCTGACACTTAACAGCCAGAGCACCAGACTTCCTGCCAGTCATTTAGCAGAAATGCACTATGGGAACTGTAGTCCTGGTCAAAATGAGGTTAGGAGCTTCCTGAGGAGAAGGAGGACTTTAAAGATTGCTCGAGATTTTTTCACTTAAAATTCCACATTGTTGTCTGCCTTCTTCTGTCCTCACCAATCTTCAATCCTACCTCTCACCACCTCTTCCACAACCGTCCCTCCGTAAAACTTTTATATTGTTCCCACCCTCAGTGAGTACGAGAAAAAACCAAGTGATTTTTTTCAAGGACAACTCTCCACACAAAGAATTGCGTGAAGACAATCAGAGCCTTTTTTCTAAGATTTTTTGACTTGTTTGTAAAGTTGTATCACTTCCTCTCTATTTAAAAGCCAAATGCTAAAACCTTTCTAGCAGCGTACCGTAACAGGTTTTTGTAGGAGCTTTTAGAAATGTGTAGTTGGCTCAGTGTCCCAACAGAATACTAAAAACCACTAAAATGACTCTAAAATCAGCTTTCCAAACTCTGAGGTTAGACAAAAGTTGCTGCCATGACATTGAGGACACAAACTGAAAACTGTAAGCCATGTTTTTCCCTTTTCTAAAAGACGTATCCAGCCCTGTTTGTAAAGCTCACGCTCATTCTGAGCAACTACAGAGCTCATGTGCTGCAAAACCACAAACTTCACCTCAGCTGTGAACATAAACATACATCTGTAATGAAGACAGAAGCCAGCAGCACCCACCTTTATGTGTACATTTCACACTTCACGCCTCCTTGTTTGACTGCAAGAGTAAAGACACTGAGTCATTGAATCTTTGTGAATGTGTGAAATGGAAAAGATGGACAAAATCTGATCTGATTTACACTTGAAGGAAGGAGGAGAAATGCTTTGTAAGTTTGTTCCTGTGTGTGTGTGTGTGTGTGTGTGTGTGTGTGTGTGTGTGTGTGTGTGTGTGTGTGTGTGTGTGTGTGTGTGTGTGTGTGCGTGTGTGTGTGTGTGTACGCACGCTCGAGGCCATGTTCATATGAACATCAAGTTTATGCTGTACATGACCCTGTGAGTGGTGTGTGGGTGAGTGAGTGCGTTATTGTTCGAGTTTGAGACGAGTGTGTCAGGCTACACACATTATTGGTTGTGTTTACTTGTATGAGTGTTCACCACTTCTTCATATTTGTGCAAATTTGTAAAATAAATGATATGATTTTATTTAAACTGTTGAATTTGCCTTTTTTTTATTTTTATTGATGTGCATTTGTCCAGAATATTATGTTTTCCACTTAAAAAAAAAAAGACAGAAAACAAGTAGCTTTTACCCAAGGTGCATGGAGATGGGGATGATTCTTATGCACTTAAATGCTGCGTGTGAGTTACCTCAGAAGTCAGATGTCTGAGCTGAAAATGACGTCATCTACGAAAGTTATTTTAGCACTTGCCTGGTCCAAATATAAGGCAAGTGTTAAAATAACTTTCGTTGATTAGCCATCTTGTTTCCGCCTCTGATTTTGCTTTTTTCCGACTCTGTAATTGAAACGCTAGTAACTCAGGTGTGACGTCGTTTTCAGCTTGGACTTCTGACTTTCGAGGTAACTCAAATGCAGTAAAAGACCCACTCCGATGAAAATCATGCTCTTCTTGTTGTCTACATCTTCATATGATATTTTTCTGATGCTAGAGGATACATCATAAGAAAACTAAGAGTAAAATTGCATTTCTGAGTGTTTCTCCATTTAAATCACTGTGAATCTCTGGCAGACCCAAACAGCAGGATCAGATACAGTGAGATTTTCTACGTAAACAATCCAAGCTCCGCCCCCTGTCCCTGTGCTCTGCAGGCCAGACTTCAAGAAGTAGAGAGGACGATCGCAGAACAAGTGTCAACGGTAGTGAATTGCAGTGCTCGTAAGGAAGCTAATTATGAAATTATCTTTAATCATGCCCCCAAACTAAAGACATTAGGGTCCTAGAGCTGAAAAGCTCCTATATAACCTGCTACTTGTTACTTCTGCTGCACAGGTGTTACACCGGCAATGTTAGGCTACAAGCTACCGTGAGGAGGAGTGTGCAGAGCAGCGCTGTCTCCACCCACGACTCAGAGGCGGATTGCTAATGAGCCACTGGAGCTCTGCTGAAGAAAAGCCCTGGATTATGACACAGGTAACGTGATTTTGGCTGAAAACTTAATAGTCACAATTTTACGACCACTGAGAACACTTAAAATTGTGAAAAAAAAAAAAAAAACGATAGAAGTGGAACTTTAAATTCAGCAACATGTAACTGGTAGAGCCTTCAGTTCTGGTCATGGTGGTGACAGAACTAATTTTGCAAGGGTGTCAGAGTCGGGGTAAAAGTGGGACTGAGGGCTTGATCAGCCTGAAATGTACTAAGAAAAGTGAAAGAAAGCTGAGGGGTAAGGGCAAATGAAAGTGTGTCGTCATACGTGAAAAGATCACCCAGATAAATATGTTTGACTCTTTGGACCACAAATCCAATAATGTTTCAATTAAGATAATTCTGGCTGGACTGTACTCATGGTCTGAGCACATCCACACATCTTATCTCCTCTCATGAGGAGAAGCTTCACACATGAGTTTGCAGCTGCTAAAAAGATAACGTTTTATCCACCTTGATGAACTTATTTTAGCACAGCGTTAACAAAATGTGTTTGACCTTCCACAGATCAGCAGGTTTGAGTCAAATCTAAGTTTGGGATCTGCTGTGATCAGCAGCAGGCCAAGAACAGAGTCTGGTTTCCCACATGTCGTCCTGCTGCTGTTATCACAGCAGATCTGTCTGATAACAAGACGCTTACACAAACCCCTATATTACTGTGCCAGTCTGACCCAGCGGGCACTGTGTTCTATTTCAGTGTATCAGACATTAAGTCTAATAACTGGTCATATTGTCCACTTTAACATTGAGTGGTCAGACACTGGTCAAACCCTCAGCCCTTTATTTAAAATAATAGCTTTAATAGCGTCAATCATGATGTATTCAATCACAGGAAATAATAATAATCTGCTCAAGTTTTGAAATACAAAAGTGACATGTAGAGGGACCACTAAGGTTTATTTAGACTATCATATTTGTGCTCCACTACTTTTAAGAGTACGAAAATGGAATTTGACACCTTTGATTGCCATCAGTGTTACTGATTGTTATTCATTTAATCATACAAACTATAAGGTGATTTTACTAAATATGATGGATCATAATTTGTTTCACTTTACATACTTGCAAAATTTTGCTTTATCTTGTTCATCTGAACTTGAACATGTTAATAAGATATAATTTATACTGAGTTTATTGAGAGGAGAGGAGTTTATTATGAGATGTTAGAGAGAGGACAGAGAAGCACAACCTAAAGTACTTATTTGATTTTAAATGTTTTTTTTTTACCTGCTTTTATTTATTTCCTCTTGATGTTTTCTGCAGTGTTTGTTCTTTTAATTTTACTGTGCAGTACTTTGGTAAACTTTAAAGTTTTTTTTTAAATGTGTTATATCAATAAAGCGGATTGGATTGGATTGTTAAGGCTAAAACTAACCCCTGCTGGGTCAGGCTGTACACTCTACCTTCCCCTGGTCACCCCTTTTTTTTAAGTAAATCATCACATATTATCTTCTTTTCCCAAAGTCTCATAAAGTACAAAGATCTCTGTGGGATAGAAAAAACTCCTGGATGTCTCAGAAACTTGTGGAGTTTGTCCGCTATCTGACCAGTCTGATGTAAGGAGTGGTTTTATGGACAGTATCTACATCGCACTGTTGTATTTCTGAAGCTGATATTGTAAAAACAACAGCATCTAACCTTTTATTTTCTAAACTCTGTATATGAGATAATCCCATCTTTTATTTAATCATTTGTACTCTTTCAGTCAGAAAACCTCTGTGTGAAAATTTGGCAGAGTGCAAAAAAGAATTGTAACTAAGGAAGAGTAGAAAGTATTCCTCAAATCCACTACTCTCAGAGGTTAAACTTCACAAAAAGAAAGACAAACCTGCATCACAATGATGCAATGATGTAAATGTGTATTTTTAGAAACACTGACTTGCAACCAGAATATATTAAAATAGTCATATGTCCATAAGAGCTCATCTTTAGCTGTGAATAAAATGGCAAAGGTGTTACTGGAAATCTGAGAATTACTCCATTGTAAGTTTTTTTTATTTTGGTTATATCGGTCGGTCTGAAAACTGAAGAGACTTTTCAATGATTTTGTTAGTAAATCTTGTTTAATTTCACTTCAAAAGGAGAACAGGAGAAATGTGCAGTGGGAGGAAATCAGGGGATAACCCAACATCAGAGTAATGACATGCTGTAAACTGCATGTTCAAATTGAATCCTTGAGCTCTTTTGTGTAAAGTCACTCTGAATAAGAGCGCCTGTCACCTTTCATAAAAGGACCAGAGGTGTCAGTAATAGCTGTTTGCTGTTAACAGTGTTTTTTCAGAGCAGGTGTGCTGAAACAGAAGACGCACAGACCACATAATCATGTTTTTACAGTGTTATTGTTTCTCTATAAAGACATTAACAGAGTGGAAACCACTAGTCTTTATGACCCCGCTTCTTAAAGATGGTGCTCTAGCTCTGGTAAACAGCTATTATCTCCCCAGTACTGAATGACTGCCACTGCTCCATCCATTACCAGGGCCTCCTATACAGTCCCCTTAAACCATGTTTATCCTGCAGCTGAGCGGCCAGTTAGTCACAGCCTATAAATGTTGCAGGAAAACACCAATATGCTACATAACCTGAGATGTTAAACACGTCGACTGATTCAGCAGTTTGTGTGAAAATATACAAGTGAGATTTCTTATTTAAAGTCACTCCGTTTGAAATTAATAATCCTGGTAGTAAGACTGAGAATTTTACAAACAAGACTGAAGGGGCCATTTCCCTGTTTTTCACCCCTGGAGGAAAGTGACATGATATTGCTGACCTACAAATGATTATGGTCTTTGTCATATGGCAATTACCCTGTTTGTGATCACCTCTGTTGACACATCAATGGTGCTCAACATGTTAAATCACTGTGAATGAAATGCACCTGTGTGCAAGATGCAACATGTAAATCCTGCACCATCCAACCAAGTAATCCCAGTAGAAACCCCAGAAATTAGCTCAGAACAACAGGAATAATGCAGCACAACCAGCTTCAAGTTTAAATTTAGAGTTACAGTTCACTGTGAATGAAACTGCCTCTGCTAAAGACACACTGCAGAACCATTTTTGCCATAATCTCAGTGTCAACACTTAAAATGAATCTAATAACAGCGCAACCGAAAATGCAGTCTGGGCTGTCATGCTCTAATATCAGGTTTGAATTACAAAACCCGGGTCTAGATTTACAATCTTGCAATTTCCAAACAGGTTTCTGCCACAGTTCACTAGGAACAATGACCGCAATTTGTTGACTGTCATGATGTTGCAGAATTTTGTAGTGGCCATGCAGGTTTTGGAGGTGGTTAGAGGAATGCAGACAGGCCTGGTGATAGCAGAGATACACTGGGATTGGGGACTGGGACTATTGTCGCTTCACTTCTAAGGTGTCAGAATACACCTGATTATTTCAGATCGACAAAAGAAAGACGCTCCTGAACTGACGGTGAGTTTAACCTTCATGTCTTACTTTCTCTGTGGTAGCCTTGACCTGCGGTGAAAGTCTACCTGCTCATTAAAACCTCATTCTCTCTGTCCTACCTAATCTCTCCACCCAGTCATTCTCAACCCTTCCTTAGGTCTCCTCCCTCATGGTTCAGCCGTATATATTGGTGACACCTCTGGGATTTCACTTCTTCACTGGGTCATTTAAAAAGTGTTGTGACAGAGTGATATGCTGGAATATGAGCTAAAGTTGAGGAGCAGAGAGTTTTCTTTTTAAGGGTAAGACTAAAAAGATCCTCTGTTTTTATTTTAGGTGTTTTATTTTGAAGACTGAATAAATATGATTCAAACTAATCCATGTTTGCGACTTATCAGAGATCTATGTCTCCTCCGGCTACACCACATGGGATTGTTACTCTTTTCTCCTTCGATGCAGATCTTACCTCCCCTCCTGTGCTCCTTGCATTCGGACAACAGGTGTCCATGTCTCCATCTCTGGCCAGATCTGCTCCCAGCGAGCTCAACCATTGGTGGAGCCAGCTGAGGTTTCGCCTACAGAACAAAAAAGGATGGAACGAGATGTTGGATGAGACATTTCTTCTCTACAGCAAATAGTAAGACACTCATAAAAATACTCTTTTTTTGCTTCACTCTGTACTAAATCAAATTATATTTAGCCGATACTGTGCTGTTGTAAAAGTAGTATATGTTTTTGTTTTTTTCCCCCCACAGTATAAATGACATTCCTCTCTTCTACGCGGCTAAAAAGAACAGTGTCGGCTGCATCAAGAAACTTCTCAGTTGTGCATCCACGAACATCTTTGAGAGAGGTGAGGCCACGCTGTAATAACAACCTTCACGCTGTAGTGATTGAAAGGTCTTCTGCAGTATGGGTTGTAATCTATGTGTTATTAATCCTTCCCTGTAGGAGCGCTGGGTGAGACGGCGCTTCATGTTGCGGTGATGAACGATAACCTGGACGCAGCGGAGGCTCTGATTGACGGGGCTCCTGAACTCATCAACGAACCCATGACCTCTGAGCTCTTCCAAGGTTGACATTTATACAGCCACATAAACAAGCACAAGCAGACATCACAGAGTTTATGTTTTTTTCTATATGTTAGGGGATAAAATGTTTAAAATCATGAATGTAAATAAGAAGATGTAGAACATTTAAAAGAAAGAGATGATAAAAGATGTTTTAAGTAGGTTTAAAAGTTTAAAAAATCTTCTCTCATGGTCTCCTGGTGTCTTAGGATATGGTTAATTATCTTCTTTCAGAACAGAATTTGAATATTTTCATCCATTTTATGATAATTTTTTTAAGTTAAGCAGGTAAAACTGCTCAAATAAGTCCATTTTAACTGACAGATAACTAATATACCCTGCTTTCCTTGTCTTTCTCAGGTGTTACTCCTCTCCACATCGCTGTGGTGAATCAGAACATCAACCTGGTTCATCTTCTGATCAGTCGTGGGGGTGATGTGACCACACCTCGAGTCACAGGTCTGTACTTCAGGAAGAGGATAGGAGGACTCATATATTACGGTGAGTCAGCCCACTTACCGTGAAATACAGGGGGTTTCTGATGCCATGATTGTTCCTAATGAATGTGTATGAAGGAAAAGAGGTTATTCTTGTTTTTTATGGTGAATGACACAAACCGCTGGTGATTTTTAAAGTAAACATTTGGTCAAACAGGGGAGCACATCCTGTCTTTTGCTGCATGCGCTGGGAACGAGGACATTATAAACATGGTAATCGAGGCAGGAGCCAGCACCAGAGTCCAGGATTACCGTGGTAGGAATGACTTCCCATCCATATTTTTACAGTTGCATCAGTCTGTTATTAAATCCACCAATTCCTGTTCAGTTTTACCCTCTTGTACCTACCATCTCATGTCTCTACTCCCTTTTCTTCCCCTTATTTTCCGTCTAGGTAACACAGTGCTTCACATATTGGTTGTGCAGCCCAACAAGACCATTGCATGTCAGGCCATTGACCTAATCATGACACGAGATGCAGAGCTGGACCAGTCAGTGCCGCTCGACATGGTGCCAAACTTCAGAGGACTCACTCCTTTCAAGCTGGCTGCCAAAGAGGGAAACATTGTGGTGAGTTCAGCCCGGTGGGGTTCACCGAGCGGAAAATGCAGCATGGAAGGTGGAGCGGATTGTTGCTGTAATCATGTCCTATATGTGTGTTTCAGGCGTTTCAGCACCTGGTTAATAAAAGAAAAGTGGTTCAGTGGAGCCTGGGCCCTTTGACTTCTAACCTGTATGACCTGACAGAGATCGACTCGTGGGCTGATGACATGTCCGTGTTGGAGCTCATCGTAGGCAGTCACCAGAGAGAGGTAACAACACAAGGCAAAATCTGGTGGAATTTAAGAGAGAAATACAGACATAGAGGAGAGATTTATGTTTTATTTTTCTTCAGGCAAGAGGGATCCTGGAAGTGACCCCTGTGAGGCAGCTGGTTAGTCTAAAATGGAACCTGTACGGGAAACATTACTTCAGGTATAAAAGATGTCAGTGATTAAAGTAAAACATCTGAGCTCTGAGCACATCCAGTCTTATTTACGTGTGTTTTCTTCTCTCTTTTTCCTGCTCCAGGCTGCTAATGTTACTATATATCCTGTACATTGGGACCTTCACTCTGTGTTGTGCATATCGCCCTCTAAAGGACGCTCCAGAGAACTACACCAAGTCAGACATGGATAAAACTATCAGAGTACAGAAAACACTAAATGTAAGTTCTGAACGCTTTATTATGATATTCATGATGTGTTGTTTTATAAATTATTGAAGTACAGCAGTAGTTTGATTTTTTTTCGTAGTATCTAAATAAAAATGTGTGTTTGTAGTATAGATGCAGCAGGAGGTTAAGGCTTGATCAAATCTTTCTTCTTTATTCAAATCATAATAAGTCGATCAGAGACTTTTGGCTTAAGTTATTTAAAGACACCCTGTTTATGGTAGTTTGGTTCTAACATAAGCTCAATTTTATTCATACAAATCTTGGCTCTTTATTTACCTCATCGTCGCACACCTGCATATCACCCTGTACACTATTATTATATGTTAATAATATGAGTTTAATATCAAAAACCTTCTATTTTCTCTGTCTGTGCCTCAGGAAAGTTATCTAACATATGAAGACAACCTGCGGTTGGTGGGTGAGATCATCAGTGTCCTGGGCGCTTTAGTCATCCTGCTGCTAGAGGTGAATTTATGAACCATGGCCCTTCTTCTTTGCTGGGTTATTCAATATATTTTGTAGACATCCTTTAATGAACCTCCTCTGCCAACAGATCCCTGATATACTGAGAGTGGGGGCAAGGCGCTACTTTGGTCAGACAGCACTGGGGGGCCCATTTCATGTTATCCTGTGAGTTGAAAACTTTGACTGTATGATAAAAGCACTCCTGAGCAAGAGAAAAGATGATTTAGTGATTAATCGAGTTTTTACCTGTCTGCTCTTTCCTCCAGAATCAGCTACGCCTGCTTGGTGGTGCTGCTGTTAGTGTTCAGGGCCTGTGGGGTGCAGGGAGAGGCCGTGGTGATGGCGGTGTGTTTGGTCCTTGGCTGGTGTAACGTCATGTTCTTCGCCCGTGGTTTTGAAATGCTCGGCCCTTACGTCATCATGATACAAAAGGTAGGACTCAGGTCGGACAAGGCGGTGGTGACAAATCCCTCCGAAAGACAGTCTTACAGTTGAACTAATGATTTTGGGATTCGTTGAAATCCGCAGCCAACGTAGGAGCTGGTTACAGGACACAGGAGAGTTTTTAAAAATGGTTTCGAGCATCTATCTATCTATCTATCTATCTATCTATCTATCTATCTATCTATCTATCTATCTATCTATCTATCTATCTATCTATCTATCTATCTATCTATCTATCTATCTATCTATCTATCTATCTATCTATCGTTATAATAATCAATAATCAATCATATTGTTAAGATACTGACCTTGAAACTCCTCCCTAAAGGGGCAATAACATGAGACATCGAGACATTTCACTCTTTTACCCAGTGTGCCACTTCTCTTTAAACATACACTTGCTTGCTCCAGTATGAATTGTTTCTTCAGTGTTTCAAAATAAGAGCAAATCTATAAGCAAGTAATCAACACAGCCCTGTAATAAATGTTGGATATCTGACCAATCATTTGCAAATCAATTAATGAGAAACTGAAGATTGAGTCAGGAGATAAATTGAAAAGGAAATGGGACTATATTCAAAAGTGAGAGGACATGGTTTGACACCCCAACAGCTCATGTGTGTATTCAGATAACATTAGTAGAGCCTTTGTTATTTGAGGATGCAGTAGAGAGGTTGAATGCACACATTGATGTTGTCCAATAGGGGTCAAACTAGCTTCAAGCAGTGATATTAAAATGTTTGGTATTACCATATTTTGAACAGTTTATATAATTGGAAACATTAGTGCAACACTTGACCTGATTTTAGTTTCACACAGTGAGTTACACATCCATCAGTATCTCTCTGTGAATGTGATGAATGGAGTCTCATGTATTCTGTTGAAATTGTATCTTGTTCTACACCTGTACTGAAACGTTTTGGAAGCAGATGTACTCAGTTGTTTTGGTTTAGAAGTACAACTATTTGTGTTTTGACCACACTCGCTGTGTGTCTCATTTCCCCCTAGATTATATTTGGAGACCTGACAAAGTTCATGTGGCTGAGTTTCATTGTCCTCATTGGTTTTTCCACCTGTAAGTATATTCTGGGTAACATGTACAAACAAGTCTGTAACCATCACACAGTCTGTAAGGTGATGTTTTAAACTTTTCCTCTTTTTTCCCCCCATTATTATACACTTAAATCTCTCATTGCAGCTCTGTGGATGGTGTACATGACACAGGAGCCTGAGTCCATTCCTGCATATCGCTCCTTCCCAGTCACCCTCTTCTCCCAGTTTGAGCTCAGTGTGGGTCTCATAGATCTGCCAGTAGACCACACTATTGCCACCCCGCCGATCGTCCATGTACTACACTGTGCCTTCTCTGTGGTCTCCTACATTCTGCTGCTGAATCTGCTGATAGCCATGATGAGTGACACACACTGGAGGGTGGCCCAGGAGAGAGATGAGCTCTGGAGGACTCAGGTAAAAAGAAACTCCGCAGAATGTCCTCATTATCTTGTCCCTGTGTAGTGCGATGTCATGGTTACGCCTGTTATGATGTTTTTCAGGTGGTAGCCACAACTTTAATGCTGGAGAGAAGGCTGCCTCGCTGTCTGTGGCCTCGGCTCGGGGTGTGTGGGCTCAATTATGGTCTGAGAGAGCGTTGGTATCTCAGGTAGGAAATAACTGCAGCATCATGAAACATGAAAGAAATAATATTAAATCTCTAAATAGATATATCTGATTGATTGTATTATTTTAGATCTGCTTCATGGTTCTAAAAGGGGCATCCATTCTTAGAAGAACTTAATATTTTTATTTCAGTTTGTTAAAATTCAGTCGGAGAAAAATATTATGGCTTTTGTAGTGGTAGGTAAACTTTGTTGAGTCCCTACAAGTGCACTAGAAATTTGTATCAGACTGCATCTTGACTTTCTAGTTATATAATATTATATAATGAAGGTAGTGAAGGGCACATCACATCAGGAGATGTTTCATTATGGTAAATGCCAGACTTTCTTAAAGTTGATCCAACTTTGTAAGCAGCAGCAATGATACATCAGCTTCTTCTGTTTCAATTTTTTAAAATTTGCCTCTTTTGAAACCTTTTTTTTTATATGTAATTTGGGATCCTTTGTCATCTGTCGTCCTTGCAGGGTTGAGGACAGAAATGATCCAATGTTCCAAAAAATGCGCCGGTACATCAAAGCTTTCTCCAAAGAAGATGAAAAGGATGAAAAGACTGATGCAACAAAGGGGTCAATGTCAGGAACCCCCAAGCTGCGGCTCAAAAATAGAGGTTATAACAAGAGGAGGTCTCTTACAGGGTGGCAGATGATCCGCCACAGTGCTCTTGGTCTGGAGATGGAGATGGAGGAGACAGAGGAGGACCAGGACATTAAATATGTCTGAGAAAAGACTCTGTCTTCACATTGAGTGATGATGAAGTGTAAAAAAAACCCTGCAATACTAGGACTGTAATGGTTTTATTTATCTGTATAGATAATGGTGCAATTATTCCTGCAGTATTATGCTATAAAAAAAGAGTGTGTTATTTTTATAGCCATAGAAAAAACATGTAGCGGTAATAAATGCTAAGCCAAAACAAAGTGAAACTTAGCTGTTAAACCTAATATATAGTTGCAAAGACATTTTTATATGAGAATAAAATCTTGTTAAAGCAAATCTACTCGCCCTTCATTTTTACGAAGATGTCTGACAGCAGGTTTTGACTCCAATCAGTGTATAAGACAGATCGACCATGATCGGTGTTTTTTTGCAGAACAAATTGGGTCAAATACAGCAAGGATAAAAAACACATAGCAGCTATTCAAGATTCTAAATAAGAAACTACAATTTTGCTTTTTTGGATTTCCTTCTGTAAGAAAAAGCTGATACTTTTTAGGATTTCAGCTGACAGATGAAGTAGGAGGAAGATTGACAGGACGCTTTGATCCAGTTCCTCTCAGCTGGACCGTCACTGCTGAGGATCCCACAGTCACCATTTGAGGTAACATCTGCCCAATAACTGCAAACAAAGGAGGAGAAAATGTTTTAGTATGCATACACTGTACAAACAAGATAATAAAGCCACTGTAACATCACCCTTTGGTTTTTATGCTGCCACCACCACAGCTGAGGGGTGAGCACTCAAGAGGCACATGGTGCTAACAAATAATAGCAGCTAATGCTAGCGCTAGTTCAGCAAGGTGCATGGTTAACTCATCTTGACTAAGACACCAAAAGAGGATGTTTGAAAATAAGGTTTATATAAATTATCCTTGCTAAAAAGTACAGCTGAGTCATTTAAGTGTCTGTATATACAAACAGGGACTTAACATTTGTTGTTAAAATTGACCGAATAGCAGAAACCACAAAGTAGCACCTTTTAGAGCACCAAAGAGACTGCCTCACTTTAGTCCTCATTTTATTCTTAGCTGGACCATAATTTACACACTTAACATCATGCCGTGTTGAAGAGGACTATAAATGAGCAATTCTGAGATTTTACCAGTAAGTTTAATGTGCTCTGAGGTTAGAGAGGTTTTTAACAAGGCATCATACAGCTGGACTTCTTTCTGCGAACAGTGGAGTTGCATGAGGAGCAAATATCGTATGTGTCTGTGCTGCCAGGAACCTTCAGAGGAAACTTAGAAATAGACATTAAATTTGATACTTGAAGAACTGTGCTGATATAAATGAAGGGGAAAAGAGAGCATGGACAAGGTCATTAACCCTTTAATGCCTTTTGTATCATATTTGATATATTCTTTTATATACTTCTATCAAATCAATATGATCAACAAATTACTAAAAAAAACAAAAAAACAAAAAACACCTGAATACAGTCTGATAAATGATAAAAAAATGTCCTCTTGTAGTTTATCAGTTTCCAAAAACATCTAATGGGGATGTCAATCTATCAAACGAGAAAAATAAATAAATGTGTTTAATTTTAAGGACATTTAGTTTTTTTGTTTTTTGTTTTTAGTAAGTCAAGTAAACATTTCAGCTTAAAAAAAATTGAATTTTCTGGCCATATTTTGTGGTGTCAGGCATTAAAGGGCTACAAAAAACAAACAAACAAACAAAAAAAAAAACGTAAAATATGCTGAAACACATCATCCTGTTGCTTTGTGACTTTGTCCATTTCTTAAAATCACCTCTCTCCAAGCACAGTGTTGTTGACCCATCCCCATGTGAGTCCTCTCTGTCTCAGCCCGATCCAGTATTTCATCTTCCCCTTACTGGTCAGAAAACCCTGAAAGCGAAAGGGCATCCTTGACACATATAGAAAATATTTTGAGCATAGTTTTACTCGCACAGTAGGCTATACCACAAAAGAGCTACCTGAATCTCTGGGCTGGAAACAACAGCCAGAGATCCTCCTCTAGAGTAGCAGTTTCTGTAGCTTTCATCCCAGTTCAGCCTGAAAGTGGACAGGAAAAAACAAGATCGACCAAAAGTCAGCCAGCCATCAGCGCACTGCCGGCAGCCCAGGTCTGGAAGGAGAGGGGACAGACACAAAGACAGTTCTCAGAGAAGACACCAGGAGGCTTTTGTGCAGATTTGGCGTATGATAATGAATAGCAAAATAGACTATTTGCTTTACTTCATGGTAATCTTTCCCTCTTAATTTTGTCTGACATAAGATGATGTATTTGAGCATGAATAAACTGCCTGTGTTTAATGACAGAGCAATCTCAAACAAACTGATCAGCCCCCTCTCGGTTTAATTGGAGAGTCCTCTATCATAACAGGCACATGCTCTGCCTTCCTCCAAGGCTTGTCCAGGCAGTGATTTGGGCACATGTGAAAGCAGAACTGACACTAGACAGAGTCATTTGTTTTTCTCTGACCCAGATACATATAATTTCCTGTCCTGGTATCTCACTCACTTTTCAGCGGAACATCAGGGAACAGGGTCTGGCACTGTTCAAAGCTGCAGGTTTGGGCACCCTGCTTGCTCTGTGGTGTAGATTCCTCTTTCTCCCAGGGGGCTGTAATTCCTGTTTGGACTAGAAGGCAGAGACAAGTGGGAGGAGTTATTTTGGAGAAAACATGACGCAGCAGTGAAAAAACAACAGGCTTTGTTTGCTTGTATATAGTCTGTTTTATGAGCAAAATGAGGATAAAATCATTGGCATACTGATCTGTATTTGCTATATTCTTTTATTCGACATGATCACTTTAATCTTCCTGCCAGTAGTGGTTTGTTTTGTCTGGTCTGACACCTATGGCTGCAGACACTCACGTTTCACACTGAGGATGATGACAACCAGCAGCAGCACCAGGCAGATTAGTGAGAGGATCACACATGCGAGGCGGTACGGACGTGTCTTTTCCTTTGTCTGTGAGTCTAAAAGAAATGATCTGTTGGTGAGACTGTTTTGTACACAAATCACACATCAAGCTAAGCCCGAGAAATAACCATCTGGCTTACCTTTGTCTCCCTTCAGCTCAACAGATAACTCAGAACCTGATGATGAGTTTGCACTGGCTTCATATTTTTTATCCTCCCCATAACTACGACAAAATTTGATGTACATGGTGAAAAGAGTCCTGGGACTCGTTTAGCTGACTTGCTCCGTCTGCCTGGACTTTTAAGACACCCCCTTCCTTGTCTTGTCACCATAGCAACACGACGTCACTGATCCCTAAATATTCATGGAACACAATACACTATCTGTCCTTCGATTCTCCCAAACTTTTCCTGTTTTCAATCTTTTTCTTTTTATCTGTAAAAGAAGGAGGTCGAGTGAGAGACACACAGACAATAAAAGCCTGCAGATGCTGCCATTCAGAACAACAGATAGGGTTTCTTTCTCAGGGTCATTTTAGAGAAGCGTCTATATCAAACACAGATCACAGACAACAAAGATAGAGGGTTTAACTTTGCGTGTGAAAAGGGAGTGATAAAATGCAGGAAACGTGTAACACATTGAGCACAGTCAACTCGATTTTATTCTACTTGATAAAAGTTTCTTTCAAACACAACTGATCAAATTTATGAGAGTAAATTGATAACAGTATCTGGCGCAGTAATGAGGGTAAAGTCATAACAGATCAGTCTAGAGTTTGTAGGTTTTTGTTAAGACTTCAGAGCAAATAGGACATGTTTTTTGTATACTATACATATAGTTTTTGTAACTTCTGAGAATAAAAGAATGTTGTTTGATAAATCGAGAGAGTGAAAGGGACTTTAATGTTAGTGTGTTGTTACAAAGCACAGCAGGTAGTAATCTGCTTTTTTGTCGACTAACTATTATATTCATGTTTCTTTTTTTCACAGCAGGATTTTAATCTGTCTCATAAGCACATTTGTCATTGAAGATGTTGTTTCAAGGAATAATTCGTTTGTCACGGACAGACTCCTATGACCACTATAAAAGGTTCTGTGTAAACACTCTCAGATGAACGCGGTAGTTTATCATATTGGGGTGGTTTTGCTTCCTCTAAAGCTAGAAAAAAATAAGGACACAGCTAATAGGGACACAAACAAATGAATAAATATCTTGGGGGGGGTATTTATTTTTATTTTTATTTTTGAAGTGTTTTTCACTCCAGAAATAATTGTTGTACAGATACTGAACTTCTGCTTTCTTTACCAAGCTTCCATTTGTTTTCTTTAGAACATTCATATCATGACTTCCTCAATGACACTCCTTTTAATTCGCAGCAATGTAAAGAGCAAAATACCTCCTCAGCGCCGACAACAAACCTTGTCATCTGTGTATTCAACAATTAATAGACAGACAATTCTGTTATATTAAGCTTTACCTTCCCCTGTTTTTTCTGGAGTGTCCCTGCAAAATGCTTCCACACTGGCACTCTCAGTTCGGCCTTGAAGTCTGGCATAGTGATATGGTTTTACTTCTTCTACAGTTAAACAAAAGTAGAGATGAACAAAGTTAATACAGACATAAAAACCTGGAATTTGCTTCAAATTATTGAATGCATTTTAAACAAAAATACAACTGCATCATATTAAATGTGTTTTTTGAGGGCATGTCTTTTCCCCTTATGACCTAATGTACCCTCTTTTGGCTAAATTTACCTTCCTGGTGTATCTGTTAAGTTAAAGATGTTTTACCTTCAGGTTTGACCTCAATCATCAGTTCACCTACTCCTGCATCCCCTCCTTTTCTTCCTCCTTCAGTGGTGATATCTTGCATCTCCATGACTTGATTCTTGTGTATCCCGAAGTCTCAGTTCGCTGTCTACAGGCTTTCCTAAGCAACTGGCAATCAAGTTTTGTTTATAGTATGCGGCTAGCACTGCATACAACAGTTGCAAGACTTGTTTGACAATTATTAACCTTTATGATAGTTAGAAAAACACAAGCAAGGTCAGATCTCCCATGGTTTTATTTATTTGTAAAGTTAAAAGTGCAGTTATTCAGGCGGTGTTATGCAATAAAAAAGCATCTTTATCTTTATAACCATATAAAAAATAAAAAAATTAAAACCTGCAGTAGTAATAAATGCCAAGCCAAAGCAAAATGAGACTTTGACATCAAACTGATATAAAGTTGTATAAAAAATTATAAAAATGTACCGCCTCTCATTTTTATAAAAAAGTCTCACAGTAAGTTTTGAATCAAAAGAAAGGTACCATAATCAGTGCATACATTGACTAAAACTTCTCAGTAAAAAGTGAGTCACATAAATTTACAAAATAATGAACAAAAGGTACCAGAACAGCTGCTCAAGCTTCTAAATATAAAAGTATGATCTTGCTTTGCTGTGACATAAGAACAGTGATTTCCTATGTTGTTGAGATGGAGCTTTTTTGATCAGCTGTTGATAAAAAAAAGGGGGCTGATGCTTTCAGGTCCAAAGTTGACAGATGAAGTATGAAGTAGCTCGACAGGGAGCTCTGATCCAGTTCTTCTCAGCTGGTCTTTCACTGCTGAGGAGCCCACAGTCTCCATCTGAGGGAGAATCTGCCCAATAACTGCAAACAGAAGAAAAGAGTTTAACACAAAAGTCTCAACAGTTTAATCACAATTGCAACATCACTCTGTGATTACAATCGATTCACCTGGCACAACAGGTACACTACGAGAAATCATGTTCTGGGCTAGGGATGAGCACCATGGCAAACACAATGAGGAAGTCTTGTATTTATATCCTCAGGACTACAGCCTCTCTTTGCATGACATAAATCCCCACAAAGCACGTCACATCTGTCTGGAGATCGTCCATGGCAGGAGAGTGTTTATGGAGCCTGTTTGTTTTGCGACCAACTCTGACGTTTGTAGAAAAGGTGCTGAAAAATCTACAGTCCCATAACATGAACCTGGTTGATCACATGGATCATGTTGATGGGTAGCCAAGTATGAGCTGAAGCCCTCTGAGATCATCAGCTGGGACTTGATGTTTGCCATGATTACAACCATGCGTAGTTTATTTGAGGGGTTAGTATAGCGCCACTGTTGTGCCTGTTTTCCAGGACAATACATCCTTCTTCTCACTGTACCACTGAGTGGCCCTCTTCTCCACCAGCTCAAAAATCAACTGGTTCAAAGGGTTCCCCCTTTCTTCTGAACTGATAACAATTAGCAACAGCCTGTCAGGTTCACAGAATTTATCTCAGAGCAAACTGTAATATTCATTCATTCATTTTATATTATTCAGAGAAATAAACCACCGGCTACCACGTCACAGTCCCCTGCTATAGACAGGATCTGGGTTGAAATAGAGCTGAAAAAGCTTGCTTGGTCAACCTTCCACCTATGGAACTTCTCTGGTAGCAGATACGGCTCTGTCCTACAACCACGATATGACCTGTCCTGCAAGGGTCCTGTCTAAGCACTCTGGATTTTCAGTGCCACAGATGGAGAAGATTTATAGATTTATAGAGCGCAAGGGGGCAATGCTTGAGCACCGAGATCTGTCACCATGCTGCAGACTTATTAAGCCATGGGTTTTGGTGGAGCTCAGATCACTGGCTGCCCTCTACAGCCCACTGGTAACTCTTATAGACGAGGTCAGATGTGACATTGATTACATGCCTTGTCTAATTGCTCCTGCTGTGCAATGCTCTTCCTCTGCAGGAGGATGAAGTCTATGATTTTGTCGCAAAGACAACTGTGGCTGACTCTGTTAAAAAGGCTGTGCCACTCTCAGCTAGTGAAGATGCAACCTGATACTATGCAAGCGTTGCGCCAGTTGGCTCAGAGCAAAAGACTGCTGCTGGGCATCCAGAAGGATTCAGTGTCAGGGAGGAAGAAAACAGAGCCCTCTGCTCTGGGACTGAGTGGAGAAACCGCTGCCACTTGTTTGTTGCTACCCAAAAAGTTGTCTGTCGTGTCTTCTGCTTTTTTCCCTGGTCAAGATGATACAGCCTGTTTAGGTGGAGAGGGTGCAACATGAGGTCTGTTCACACTAAAGTGGCCTCTTGTTGGCCAGCAAAGTATTTGTTTGTTCATACAATCAGTCTGCTGGCAGTGGGAGTAAAGGCAGCTTCCTCATTGCAGGGACTTCAAAGCAAGTGGGGAGGTGACTCATCGGAGACCAGAATCATGTTGGCTTCATGCCTTCATGTTGGAAGGTCAAATTTTACAGCAAAGGTTTTGCACCCAAGTGTGAAATTGCAACAATCCAGTGCTAAAGCATCATCCACTCAAGGTCTTTATGCTTATAAATTGTGGGTGTTACAGAAGTGGTGCCCAGATCCATTTTTTATTTTTTTTTTCCCACAATTAACATTTATTTGGCAGCTTTGTCTACCTGCCATGTTGGTTGTAAAGGAGACGCACTTCCTCCTGTCATGTGTGTCTTACAAAGAAGTTGCTAGCTTTGACCTCCACAAAGCAAGTGGGTGACCCTCATGCTTTACATGCGCACCAGCTCACTTGAGATTGAGATGGCTTTAAAGGGATATTCTGGCGTAAAATAAATTTAGGGTCAAACACACTATAACACAGAGTTATGACTTGTAATCAGGAAGTGAAAAGAGAATAAGACCGCGTTGTGATGTCTAGTGACAGTTTGGAGAGTAACATCTTCATAAATGGTTCATGCTTTGGATAGCATTGTGAGTATGTGTTGTTTTTATAATCTTAGTCTTATCTAGAGATTATTTTTTGGAAAAAAAAAAAAAAAAAAACATTTATCTGAGATGTTTCTTGTTGTGTTGTGATGTTAATAAGCTAACAACAGATACATAGGGCTAACCATGGATAAATTATTGAACTCACAGTCTTTGAAGGTTAAACTACAATCCCCAAAAAATCATCAAAGGTCAAAAAATGTTATTGAAATGACAAAATAATAGTTAATAGTTAAGAGTGTAAGTATCAATAAACCTGTGGACAAGTAGACGACACCTTCAGAGTCTTGATGTTCCACGACACATATGTTGGAGACTGAAGAGTGTTTATTAGTCAAGTTTATGAAGTAGCGTGTTGGTCCACTTTCTGTTTTCTTTTCAAGTTTCCATAAAACACAGCAGTATTGTTATTGTGTTATTTCATGGCCACGATAACCCTGAAGTGGAAATCTGATCTCCTGACGGCCCTAGTCCCATACCATATGTGTTGCACTGAGTGAATTGATCAAAGGTAATGAAATGTCATGACTTTAATGTCTGTTTCCTCAAGAGGAGGAATATGGTGCAATACTTGGTTGCCCCGCTGCACCGATGGGCATGGTAAAGAGCAGCTGTTCAAATCTTAAATCTGTGTTTGAAGTAAAGTTGTTTATTTTTCCCACCACTGATTTTTGTTATTAAACTAAAGTTATTTTCGAGACTCACCTCTCTCCAAGTGTGGTTTTGTTGACCCAGCTCCATGTGTGCCCTCTATTTCTCAGCCCGATCCAGTATTTCATTTTCCCCTGGCTGGTCAGAAAAGTCTAAAAGACAGAGAGAGAGATCATTATTGACCTTTCCAAAATCATTCTGGGCCTGGTTTTACTTTAGATTAACTAAAACGTGATTTCAGATCTACCTGAATCTCTGGGCTGGAAATAACAGCCAGAGATCCTCCTCTGGAGCTGCAGTTTCTCTGGCTTTCATCCCAGTTCAGCCTGAAGGTGGACAGGTAAAAACAAGATCGACCAAATGTCTGCCAGTCATCAGCGCACTGCCGGCAGCCCAGGTCTGGAAGGAGGGAGAGGACAGAAACAGAGAAAGTTCTCAGAGAAGACACCAGAAAGTTTTTGTGCAAATTTGGCCTCATTTGTTGGGTTAAATAAAAAATGTGATAAGCAAGGGCAAAATCATTTACTCTTTTCTCAGGGTTTTTTCCTTCTCCATATGCATTATTGAAAAGTGAATTTAAGCATGTGGGAATTTGTGTTTGTGTTGAACAAGCAAATTAGTCAACTCTAGATTTAAGTGGAAAAAAACCCTCTTTCAAGCATGTGATTTAACTTCCTCCAAGACTTGTCCAGGCAATAATTTAGGCAACTGTGAAAGCAGAACTGACACCAAAAAGATGTTGATTGAGACAGAACCATTTGTTGACCAATTACATATAATTTCCCTTCCTGATCTCACTCACATTGCAGCTGGACATTGGGGAACAGAGCCTGGCACCGATCAAAGTTGCAGGTGTGAGTCTGCTGGCTTGGAGCTGTAGATTCCTTTATCTCTGGGCAGGCTGTAGTTCCTGTTCGGACTAGAAAGCAGAGGCAAGTGGGAGGAGTTATTTTGGAGAAAACATGACGCCTGCAGGCTGCAGCAGCGCAAAACAACAGGCTTTGTGTACTTGTATAGTCTGTTTTATGAGCAAAATGAGGATAAAATCATTGGCATACTGATCTGTATTTGCTATATTCTTTAGTTCGACATCATGACTTTGATCATCCTGCCAGTAGTGGTTTGTTTTTGTCTGGTCTGACACCTATGGCTGCAGACACTCACGTTTCACACCGAGGATGATGACGACCAGCAGCAGCACCAGGCAGATTAGTGAGAGGATCACACATGCAAGGCGGTACAGGCGTGTCTTTCCCTTCCTGTCAGTCTGTGAGTCTAAAAGAAATAATCTGTTGGTGAGACTGTTTTGTACACAAATCACACATCAAGCTAAGCCCGAGAAATAACCATCTGGCTTACCTTTGTCTCCCTCCAGCTCAACAGATATCTCAGAACCTGACGATGAGTTTGCACTGGCTTCATATTTTTTATCCTCCCCATAACTACGACAAAATTTGATGTACATGGTGAAAAGAGTCCTGGGACTCATTTAGCTGACTTGTCCATTTGTCTGCACAGAGCCCTGTCACCATTGCAACATGAATTCACTGATTCCTAAATATTCGTGAAACACAATATACTGCTTGTCCTTCAATTCTCCAAAACGTTTCCTGTTTTTAATCTTTTACTTTTTATCTGTAAAAGAAGGAGGTCGAGTGAGAGACACACAGGCGCTCCATTTTTAAACAATAGATAGGATTTTCTTTCTCAAGGTTGAGTGTTTGTGCCAAACATAGATCATAGACAGCATGTTCAGTCATTACTGATACAGGTTTAAACAAATGCAGCAAGGGAGGGTCTAAATAGACAATGTGCAACACATTACAGCAGTACATAGTTTTCCTCAGAATGAATAGATCATATTGTTGTTGATAAATTAATTGCAGTTTCTGGCATAGCAACAACATTTGAATTATTGTGAGGAGAAACTTTAGAGTTTTTCATTTCAAGTGAAGTTTTAACAATTAGAATGTATTTTCCTCTGGGGATTAGGATGATTTCACAAACTGTCTTATTTTTATGCTACGGAATTTATTTTCCCTTTTTTCTCCATTTAACAAAATAGAACGAAATAGATTAAACAAAAACTGAAACAATTGTGAATTTGTCAATGTAGTTTTAGATGACTAATAATGTAATTATCAGGGCAGTAAATGAGGCTTCAGTGTCTGTGTTGACTCAGTGTGTTGTAGTGAAGCACTGCGGGTATTGATCCGTTTTTCCATCAAGACAATGTAACATTTACATTATATAATTTACATTTCACATAAAATCTTTTTTAAATTTAAGCTGTCCTCGTGCTTCTTCTTTTTTTCACAGCAGTATTTTAATCAGTTAATCTCAGTATGAAGTATAATAGCAGTGAAACATGATCAGATGTAACTGAAGCAGATAAATGGAGTCCAGCTTTCATTAGTTATATTGCAATAACAGTCTTGAATCATACAGACGTGTGTGTGTGTGTGTGAGTGCTTACAGATATTTTCAGCCTTCTGATTAGACTGACACTACAAATACATTCACATTTTTCATTAAAGATCGAGTTTCTGAAAAAATATTTTGCCATCAACAGACTTCAAGTGTTGTTTCGTCTGTTTCTGTTCTTAGAATTATCTGAAACATTCGGTTCAAACTTCTTCAACCAACTTCTGCTTTCTTTTAATTTCTCATTACTGGTTTTCTGTGAAAGACTTAAACCACAATACTATTTTTTATGATCAGCAACTCAAGTAAAGCACTTTTGCCTTTAAATCCAATTTTATTTTCACATTGATATATAGTCTGTTTAAATATAAGGAGTCAGATTAGGATGAAAGGGTCGCAGTTTGCAATACTGTGTCATCTAAGTTTCCCAAAATTAATAGACTTTTACCTTGTTTGATTTTACCCGGTGCACCACTATAAAAAGCTTCTGCGTAGACATTCTCAGATGGGCTCTGTAGTTTGTCATAGTGGTGTGGTTTTGCTTCCTCTAGAGCTAGACAAAAATAAAGGACATGGTTAATAAGGACACAAACATCTGGATAAATATCTATAAACAGTATGAAATTAGATATTTGTTTTTCTGCTTTTTAAAGTGTTTTTCATTTAAGTGTTTTCATCACAGAAACAATTGTACTTTACTCAAGATACCAAAGCCCTCATTTCAGTGCCACAATCTATATGTTTTATTTGCTGTACCTTCAGGTTTGGCCTCCACCACCAACTCAGCAGCTCCTTCATCCTTTCCTTTAATTTCTCCCTCTCCTTTACTTTCTCCCTCGATGGCGATCTCTTGCATCTCCATGACTCTTGTCTTGTGTGTTTCTAAGTTTCGATTCACCGGGGAAGTCTTTTAAACCTGCCTCATTGACTGACAATGAAGTTATGTAACTTGGAAGCCTGCAGATATTTGTACCCCGCGGCAGTTGTGAGAATCCAGACCAAATGTCTCACAACTCAAAATTTTTTAAAAAGAGAATACAATATTCCCACCCTGAAGTGTCCACAAAGTAGATGACTCATCAGATTGGTGAGACTGAACACTTCCCCATTAAGATTTCTCTTTCACTCTTGTTTTGTCTGGTAAACAATATCATGGTGCAATAGTATGGCTTTAGGGGAAGGCTCTAGTGTTTAAGGATGTTATTTCAATATACTCGATGGGAATTTTTCCCTCTGATTACTGATATAAGGACTCAAATGTAACACCTTCACTCTTGTATATAAAAACATCACATTCAATATAAAAATATGCAAAAATTACGTTTTTAGTTTTGATTGCTGAAGTTCTTGTTAAAAGGTTGTTTTATATCTATGTTTTTCGAACAGACAACAAATTCCACAAGGTGCAGGAAACAAAAGCATGCAATACATATATATATATATATGCACACACACAACAGGAAACAGTCGGACACAAATATATTGTGCATTTTTATCTTTATTTTCCACAAAAGTTTATGATATTAATTTACAAAAACAAAATACTATTTGCATTAAATACAGATGACTGAGAAAGATAATGAGAGACCCCTCAACATAATTCAGAAAACTTTTTTTTCTTTTTATCATTCCTGTTTCTTCTTTCACCAAGTAAGGAATCACGATAGCTTGCAGTGTTCTATAAGGGTACTACATTTTATTACACTCACCCTGAAATACTGTCAAAGGTAACCCATTCAACACCCCTCCCCCCTGTGCCTTGTATGTATGAAGCCTTTCATACACTGGTACTGTACTGTACTGTAGTTACTTATCAAAACTAATATAAAGAATAATAGTGGCATGAAGCATTACGAACAGCCTGAACTTTTTATTCCTTAGCGAGTCTCACTCATTCTCCTCTCATTCTCTCACTCTCTTTCTTTCTCCAGTCTTTTGTCCTCCCTCAGGCACCATACACACTCTCATTACTGTAGGTCATGTACAGAAACAGGTCCTCTTCGTGATGCTCCTGGAAAAAAAACAAGCAGAGAATAATAGAGGATTGAACACAGCCTGTGAACTTCACTATGTGCACTCATTATTATACTAAAAGCTGATCGGGCGCATTGATCGTAAAGCTACAGTAGATGAATCATCCCTAAATATTTCTCTTCTGACGTGAAGGATTTTTGTAAACTCAGTCTTTAAAACCTCAACACACAAACTGCATTCTGGTTTTGATATCACTTTCAGTCTGACTTTACAATCATGTGAGTCAAGAGTTCACAGGTTTATGGTCAGGGTACTTCTCAGAGGAAGAAAAAACGTGCAGTAACATTGCTTCATAACCCGACTGTTAGACATGGGGACAGTTTTGTCAAAGACCAGGGAAGAATATGTCTGTGTAAGCCAAATTTTTGCATCTATTGAACAGTTGGTAAATACGTCTGTGTAATGCTGGTAAGTCATGTGGTGAGTGTTTGTGGGAGGGTGCAGTTACCTCATATACTGCAGAGAGAGGGGAGCTGGAAGGGGGAAGGGAATTGTTGACAAAGAAGAAGAGTGCCTCCTCCGGTCTCAAAGAAACGCGCTGACGGATCAGGAAGCACAACTGGCCCACTAAAAAAAGGAAGACGGTGAGATTGTTGGAAATTCAGGCTGTAAGTTTCATTTTACGAGCACAGGAAGAAAACAAGAAGCTGCGGGAATGCCCAAGTTACTGGCCGTTACAGTTGAGACTTTTAAACAGTATCGATATAAAAAAAGGCCCAAATAAGTCCAATTACAAGAAACACAACAACATACGATGATTAAATGTTATGATTTACCTGTTAAATCTGAGGGAACTAGATATTTTTTCTTGTCCAGTTCAGGAGCTCGTGACCGTGAGGCTCTCTCGACAATGATCTGTTACAAAAAAAGACCAAAACAAACAAGACAATTTATCACTGGGGGATAAAGAGATTAAAGTAACCATGTGAAAAGATTCAACAAGAGTGATCTGAATAACTGAGCATCAAAACAAGAAACTTAGAACTGAATTGAAATTACAAAATAAAGAACTTTGATCACAATCATGGCTTTATAATCAAGATTATAAGAAATATAACTTTGATTTTCCATTTTTACCGGTATTTTATCCGGATGCTTGGCCCGGACTCTCTCTCCCTCTGCTCTCCTCACCTCCAGTGGTACTGAGCGCTGGTACTGGCTGCTCATCTGAAAACAGCACCAGAAAACATGAAGCACCTCACAATAGCATTATTTACTGAGCAGACAAAGGAGAGAGAGCACTGGCTGACTTCGCCAACCAGAGCACTCAGTCACCAGACGATATTGACATCCTGAAGATCACATGATTGTTTATAGCAACATGAGATGTTGGCATCTTTAGATCAAGTGTTTTACTGAGGTCATACTAGGACTGGATGGTGTTAATTACACATCTATCATCTGGTTTCCCATGTATGCCTGGACAAATTAGCTCTATGTGTGAAAGCCACATGTGGAGGCAATCCAGTCAATACAAAAGACTTATGACTTTAGTTAAAGTCCATAAAAGCTCATAAAAACATATGAAATAGAAAATCTACACAACAAAAAAACAGCTTCAGCTTACAAGTTTAAAGTGAGTATTGTATCAAAGAGAGTATTGTTCCAGTGTCTCAAAAAACTAAAACAAATACCTTATGACTTGTTATGTATGTGAAGTGAGCTCTATTCTGATTTTACTTTCTGAATCAGATCACTAACACATATACTCATTAACCCTTTAATGCCAAAAGCCACAAATTATGGCCAGAAAATTCACATTTTTTTGGAGCTGAAATAGAAAAAACAATCCTTAAAATTTAACAAATATATTTATTTATCTTGTTTTATACATTAGAGGTTTTTGGAAACTAATAACCCACAAGAGGACATTTTTATTAATTATCGGACTGCATTCAGGCGCTATTCTAGACGTTTGTTGATCATATTGATTTGATAGAAGTATCATAAAAGTATGTATCAAATATGATACAAAAGGCATTTAAAAGGACTAATAAAGTGTGAGGACATTATAAGACAACAAAAATAAAACTTGATCAGCTTGGTAATTTTGAAAACTAGATAGACAGATAGATAGATAGATATCTCATTTTATGCTATGTCGCACATGTCTTTTGATTGCGATGTTAAGTCGTACACACCAAAAATATGTCAAGGCACTGATCAGAAAGACATTCCCCCTGATTTTTTTTCCCATTATAAGGAGTACTTTCATCGCTGAAGGACACAGGTACTTCGTCCGTAAGACAAAGTGATCCAGTTTAATGTTGTACATGATGAAAAATGTTTTTGAGGTATTTTGATACAAAAGCACTACCAGTGGATAGCCCACTTTTTTCATATCTCACTTTTTTCTCTTAGGATGTTTAGTATATTTAGTTTGTATTTATTGTATATATTTAGTATATTTAGTCTGTATTGTACATACCTCTTATATTTAATTTCATTTTGTGTTTCTATTGCTGCTGTAACACGGGGAATTCCCAGTTTGTGATCAATAAAGTCTATCTATCTATCTAAAATGTCTATATCCTAACAGTATGAATACCTGAGCAATCTAATACAACTCCATGGAACAACCTGAAGGAAGTTTCTACACTCAAAGTCTTTGATCAGATAGATAGGTAATATTATTCTGTAATTTACTGATGGAAATTGTAGTTGTTGATGGTGTACTGGAGTGTATAATACATGGAAAAGGATTCCTAACATTATGTTCCTTTTATGGATTGTGTTTAATTATCCAGGTGTCCATAATGCTATGCCATTTTGATGTGTATTTGTACAACATTATCCAGAAATGGAGCCTTGAAAAGAGGTATAATCACGGATCCTTGTTGTGTCTCAGCAGTAACGCCCTGTTCACTGCTGCTGCTGTTTACAACCACGGACAATGCTGCTTCTTACTGAGAATGCTCGAACACGTAATATCGAGAGTGAAACTATCGGTGCACACATTTTCCACTGTCAGCTTTATCCTCAAATAACAACATAGTTCTTGTTTTTAGTGGGTTATTTCCAAGACAGCATGGTCACGGGACACCAGGATTTGGGTTTACGGCGGTTTGAGGCCACGTCACATTTCACAACACTGTCGAGATCATATAACAGAGCCTTTCCAAGAGTAGTTTAGAGATTAAAAAGTAGTTAACTACATGGACAGTCAAAAACAAACTACATACCAACTACTCCGCGGGTATATATAACGGATAAAGGTAGTTTTAACGAAGTGCGACCGCGTTATCAGCTGTTAGTCATGCTAGCTAGCAACTGCAGCTAACGGCTCAGAAAAGACGTTACTGCTACCATACCTTCAAATAAGACGATAACAAGTTTCACTGAACACAGAGCGAATACAGATAAACTCCACTGGTCCCTTTGGGTCTCCGGGTTTCCCAAACTGAAACCTTTGGTGGTGAACAAAGCTGGAAAAATGCTGTTATAACGTTGGGGAATGCAATCTATGTCAAAGATGTCGACTGTTCTGCTGTGAGCGAAAACAACAACAAATACTACGACGCCCGCCTACCAAATCTTTAACTAATTGGAGACGAGTATTTGGATTGACAGTGATGTGTGGCCATTCAGAGGGAACCTATTTTATAGCTGCAGTGCGTTCATTGGATAAACTGTGGTGTCAGTCTTTTCTTGTTCCCGCCTCCTGTTTCTGTAAAACACGGCGCACACAACCAATAGCAGGCTCAGGAAAGTGGGGCAGGCCGCAGCAGGGTCACGCCTTATGCGGGCTACGTGCGTGGCGTGAGTGTCTTTTTCATTATCTGTACTGTTTGTTTTATTTTGCAAACAATTCCAACCGACACATGGCATTGATTATACGCAACTTGCAGAAACCCAACGTGCCACACTGATGTACACTTCAGATTTTATGCTGTACACCTTATATGATAAAGGGAACAGGACATGACTTACAATAAAAAATATGCATGTTTTCAAAAGGGGTCTCTGTTGACACCAATCCAGATTTTATTGAAATGTCTTCAGTGTATCATCTGTACATCTAAAAAATTTCTTGTACATTTTGTTCCATTCTGTCAGCTTGATTATGAATGCACCATTCACTCACTTTGCAATTTATGTTCAATATACACATATAATAACAGATTTGCAAGAAATAATCTTTTTCCAAGAAAAGTCCCTTTTAAAATATACTAGTTTACTGATGTTTTACTGTACAAAGTGAAAAGAGTCACAATTTGATGCAGGCCTCAGCAGTTCGCAGGTCACTCTCAGGTAATTTAGCGTTTCAGTGAGTGAAACAAGTGAGACCTAATGCTACATAAAGATGCATTTTTGCAGTATTTCTATTGCTGCACTAACATTTCAACAAGAGTTATTCCCACTCTGAATAATGAATGTCCATCTCTCTGTTTGCAGCAGTTAGAAACAGAACGCTTTAGCTCCTGTTCCTCGAAGTCGACCTCTCTCCTTTTAGTCCCATTCTCAGCATCCTGATCAAACAGCGGCTGTGGCTGTTCTCAGTTTTAGGGCATCTGACAGGTTGTGTTGTCGAACTCTGGAGTTGCTGATGGTTTCCAAATGGGATTCGGGTATCCATCCACGATGCCGATCTGACAGTCTGGTCCCCTCAACCCAATCTAAGAAAGAGAGAGAATCCAGCTCAGTGCTCCTCAATACTCATTATCTGTATTATCAGGTCAGTTCTGCAATCACAGCTGAATTAAACTATGAGGTAGAGAAAGACTAAAATAAGATAGTGTGATGGGCTTACGGTCACTGCTCTGTTGGTGCACTAGAATGATATCAGCTTTTTCCAAAGACAACTCATCAGGCTGCTGGGCAATGAAAGCTCGGATGCACTGCATCTGAGTAAAATCTGTAAAAATAAAAGATAAGAGAGGTCAGGCCTGTCAACTTATGTAAGACCATTTAGATAAAAAGGTAAATATTAAAAAGAAAAGAGTGCTCAGAGAGGAAAGTTCTTTTTCTTGTATTCTTAGAGGGTTGCGTAAGAAAAACTCTTCACATGAGTTTCAGACTGTCAACACATTTGACTCACTTTTCTTTTTAAATGTGTGAAGGTGGGGCAACCTTTCTAGTCTTTGTGAGCGCATTGACGCATGACAAAGTGTCATCCTCTTTGTAGCTCCACCCAAGATGAACCTGATTTCAACTGCTGAACTTATTTGACCAAATCAGTACATTTTACTCTTTATTTTTTACACTATATTTTACCTTTTTTTTAAACCATCACATCAAATAGATCTAAATTTAAAGGCCCTACTTTAACCTTTCTTGTGGTTTTATAATAATTCCTTTGCTTTCTGTCTTTTGATTGCTTCTCTAATCCACTCCGTATCACCGTAAACAATAGTTGACCCTCGATGACCTCTGGTATACAAATACAAGTGGACAGATTTGTAAGTGAGATTGCCTAACATAGTGGCAGCCTTACAGTGTGATAGGCGCACAAAATAATCTTTTGGGTGAACCAGGTCATATAATAATGCCACTTTTATACATGATTTTGTACACCAAGACTTCCTGAAAGGCAGAGCTGGCAGACATTTAAACATGATGACTTACAAGAAAAGCATAATAAGTATGACACACAAGATTTAAGAGGACTGATGCTGAAGATGAAGTTAGCTGCCAGCAGGGGGCAGCATGAACCGAGCCTGGCTCCTGAATTGACTCCCATTATGTTGGATGCAGCTATTATTAATGTAACAGAATGTGGTTGTACTCTTCTTACAACGGCATGTAATGACTGTGAGTTTATAGGATACTGACAGAACATGTTTATATACCTGTATAAGTGTAAATACTCTGGCTGGGTGATGAATATGAAGGAGAAGTTGTACATAGCCAAGTAAGCTGATGTAAGTCAATCGTTTTTGAGGCCTAATCTATGATGGAAAAATGCAGAAAAAGAACATTTTTTACATTGTGGGACATTGTGTCATGCATCATTGGCATAGAATTATGAATTGCATTCAGAAGATATTGTGAAACTATCACCTTTCATTTAGCAGTGGGACTTGGTTACGTTCAGAAATTTTGCATAAAGCTGATATAAAAGTTTTATTCCCTCCCAGAGTGCTGATATTTTCATAATGGTTTGAGATATGCTCCAATGGGTCCCTGTTTTCTACCTGCTGCAGTTTGCATACTCTTAACTGTTCTGCTTTGATATCTGAATTTAAGTGTCAAATGAGCACACTGTATTTGTGGGACTACCAGGATGTTATCCTCGTCCTGCTGGTTTATTTCTATTTGAGAGTGAACCACCCCTAGAGGAAGAAATTTCTTTATATACTTTACCCTGTGCAGCAGAAAAATCTATTTCAGCATGTGGTCGAGAAAGAGCAGATATCCATCGTAGCTTATCACTCCTGAAAAACGAAGAAGAAAAGTTTGGTGTATACTCTGCAAACCTTTTACCCCTTTATGATCTAGACTTCCCAAGCCATTGTGCCAGTCTCTTACTGTGTGTCAGTCCGTAGCAGCAGGGCTCTGTTTGACATGTGCAGCCGGATCAAGTTCTTCTGGAGGGAGTGGAGTTTAACACGGCAGTTTTCTGCGCGCAGTTCTGATACAGGAGCATGGTCAATCACTGTAAATCGTCCCCCTCTGTCAGCAGCAGAAAAGAAAAATGAGTCAGCGGAAGGACGGACGAAGATAAGATGGTGAGACGATAACAGACTGCATGAAGGTAAACAGGATGTAGCAAAACTGTAATAAGAAAGATGGATGACCGTGAAAATGCAGGACATTTTCATTGACTTACTCTTTTTGTAGTGAAACTAGCAAGTAGTCAGTGAAAAGGTGCAAGTAAATATTCCTCTCTGTGTCCTTAAGAGAGAAATCCATCAGTTCAGTGACCGGGCCTTCTCGCACCAACCTGCGAGACTGACTGATCAGAGGCAGGGTCTACAAAAGACATACACACATAAAAATACACACATGAGCGCTAATGAACACACCAAGAGCACAGAGAAAAACTAGAGGAAATAAAGAGTCTGACTATTACAATCTTTTGAAGGAGAAACCTCTCTCCATCTGAGAGCCAGTGTACCTAAGCTACTATAGGTACACTGTGTACCTTGAGCTAAGCTACTATATATTCCCTAAATATTATTAAGACAGAATTAAGAAAAACAAGAATACAAAGACTGACAGTCAGGCAGTTGCCAGAAAAACTTCACGAATAAGATACTGCAAAGAGAGAGGTTTACTGTCAAATAAAAAGCTGCTTTGTCATTGCTTCGATTCATCTACAGTTTTAGAAACAGATAAAAACAGAAACAGATAACATAATAAAACAACAATCCCATCTTTTATTGTTATCACTTACCCTGCACTCAAAGTCCACCTTAGCACTGAGAGAGACCAGGGACTCGATGCTCTTCATCTGAGTGATGCTGTCATTACTCTCCTGAATAAGCTATAAAAAAAAGGATAAAAGACAGGAGGTTAATCTTCAAGGAGATTCTGTGTTTTCTTAAGAATAGCCACTCTCAGTTAGCATGCAGTGAAAGGAGGAGTTAGTTTTACCTTCTCCAGGAGTTTCAACGCTTTGATCGCTTGAGTCGCCTCTGGAGTGCCAGGAGTTGTTCTCTTCACAATGTTCTGCACAGAGACATCAAGCGTGTGTTAAATTCATACTGAGAGTGCCATTTTGAGCATTTTCAATGGGTTCATAGACACACAAATACACACACACACATACACACCTGGACCAGCAGCTTTATTCTTGTGATCCTTTGGAAGGGAAGGACTAGAAAGGATCGTAGAGGGAGTCTTTGACACACAGGACTCCTTTCTAATTTTTCAACAATCCGCTTGAACCCTGGATTCTCATTCCTGAAAAAGAGAAAGTCAAGTTACAGAGTTATAAAGTTGACAGTATTTGGATGTTTTATAAACTGGAAATCATATTTCCTGTACAAAGTGTTTTTATTGGAGTTTGTGAGCAGTATGAAGCAAAAGTCATCCTGCTACAAATAAGCAAACATAAAAAAATCACTTGTCTGGGAGGCTTACATTAGTCTCTGGTAGGTGGCGTCCTGATAGGACTGGTTTGTGAGGTAGGGAACATAAACCATTTTGAAGCGTTGACAATGCCGAGCGATGATGTCACACACAGTGAACTCCATGATGTGTGATTCGACCCGCTCCTCCAGCTTTGACAAGAAACTACACACAAAAAAACCCATTAAAATCCCTTAAGCCTATCACTTCTACTGGTTTGTGACACAAAGAGATACAATATCCACTCAATCTACTCATGATGAACATGTCTAAATGAAAATGTAGACTCAGCTTTGACTAACAAACTTGCTTTCTATAAGTTGAAACATTTCTGACCTGTGGCTGATGGCGCGAACGTCAGCCAGCCGAGAAAACAGCCAGTTCCTATCCTGAGTGGTCAACAGCGACCCCAGCTGTTTGCACTTGACAAAGTGTTCAACAACAATGTCCAAACTGCGACAGTAGGAGGCCTCGGATGTGACCACTTCAAACCTCACCTAGAAGCAAAAAAACACAGGAGATAAACTGATGAGAACATGTGTAGATATTGTTTAAGAGTCACGTTAAGAGCTTAAAAAACATGGGGTCTCTTCACTCTGAGGAATTTTGACAAAGATGTGACTAACAGGAGGAATATTTCACAAGAAGTAAGGGGCTCCAACTTGGAAACACGTTTGTTTTTAAGTTCACAGGAAATACCTTCAGTACAAGGAAAAACACAACAAATTGTTTACACAATCAGTCTTCCTGTGGGAGACGATGTTCTGCCAGTAATAGTTAGATTATTGGGAGGGTTATTCTGGGATGAGGCAAGACAGAAGATATCACATACTCTATGTAGTGTGACATGTGAGGTAATAAGGGTAAGAGGCTGACTCATGTTGGTTACGCCGTTTCCAGAAAATCACACAGAAATTGACAAGGAACAGAAAAACTGCTGATGTTAGATGACGCCCAAACACTTTACTTTAAATGAGCACGAAGAGGGGAATCACATTAACCTCAACTGGATATCTTTCACAAGCAAACTCCACAGTCAACTTGCAACTTACAGTCACAAAGTAAGTGAGGCTGAAAGAAAGTGAAACACGACCATCATGCATTTACTTGCCCCCGAGGATTCTCCTGAATTTTATTAAGGCAAGAATGTTGTGCAACCAAAGAGTGAAGCACAAACATTTCCACGCTTCCTTCCTCCGCTGAAAATTGACTGTACATAAACTGGAACATTTCAGGTGTCTGGATAGAAGTTTTCACATGATCAGTATAAAAAAATCTCTCTCTCCTTTAAATCTTAAAAGTTACTTGAAAAAAACACTGCCTCAAAAATGAAGGCGCTATAGAGGCAAAATCCATCTCATTAACTGTTTTTAGAGTTTTCTGCCATAAAAGGACTTTTTTTTTAAAGGGAGCAGCGAGCTGACATGTTACCTCCTGTAGTCGTCTCTGGTCCTCTGTGAGCTCTTCCAGCTCAGTGCTGTTCCTGACACCCGGCAGCTCACGCCACAGTGTGGCCGACTGTGTGAGAGAGATGGACAGACGAGGGGAGGTGGGCCTGCCCTCGCGCCTACTGGGAGTTGGGACAGGCAAGCTTTTGATACTGGTGATAGAACCAGTGTGGGCCAAGGAGTGGGGATGTGGAACAGAAGGAAGTGGTGGTAGAGGTCTGCGGGCTGGAGGTGGCGAAGGAGCAGGTGACCTTGGAGCGTCCTCACTCACAGAGATGACATCAGAGGAGCGAGCTTGCCGAAGGATTTCGAAGTTCTGAGCGGCCTCGCTGTACTGCTGGTAAAGCTGGGCAGCATCTGAGAGATAGATAAAGAACAAAGTGGAAAAAAAGAGGGAGTAATGGGAGAGTAAGATTGAAAAATACAGGAAGCAAAAAGAAGAAGATGGAAAGAGACCAAAACAGTGTTAGCCAAGAGAATCTGTTTGCACTCGACATTCCTTTTACACGTACTTGTCGGAATGCAAAGTCGCAGCAGCATCAACTTAGTGGATATGAATACTTGCACAAACCTGTCTGTGGCTTGCACAGACACACAACACTCGCACACACTCTCCTGTCCCATTTCTCGCAATATCAGCATGAATCATAGGTCAAAGAGCCACCGCCATAAAACTTGTTTTAAGTTTCATTATTAAAGCGAAGCGAGCCAACTGTAAACTGAACAAAGATTTCCTCTCATTTGTGTGTCACACTAGAACTCTGAGCAAACATTCAAGATAAACAGTTAACGGGGCTGTTTTCACGTAGCTGTGAATCATGTCGACTAGAGAGGAAATACTCAGCTACGTCATGTTTTTTCTGGCTGAAGATGGAGTAGATGTTATCAAAAAGCACGTCACTAAGTCGCCTACCTGTGCGTTTCGAACAATCAACTTCTTTATCTGTACTAAGGTAATCCCGTCATGGATGAAATCAATGACTCAAAAATTTTCTGAATGGTCATCTGCACAGACAAGTTCGATTTCTAATCACAGTGGCTTCTTACGAGCATCCTAAGGTGCATGCTGTCCACTGTCTGCCTTTTTTACATCATCTATTTCCAGCTTTAAGTATTTGGCGGAGGAAAGACATGACCCAAAACAAATCATCTCCACAAAAAATTATGAAAAAGAGAATTTATACAGTTTGTGTTTTTGATTTGTGCCAAAAAAATACTATAAGGATACTCACTGAAAAACCTGGAGTTTCTTTTCCGTCTGTCGATTGTTTCCAAAACATTTCTGCAAATTCAAGAAAGAGGCATCATGAAGAGGTTATAATGACAGTGAAAACTTCCAAAAAGGAGTTTGTAAAGATGTCAGAATGAGCTTTTTGGTTCTTTATGTAGTGAGAATTCAGAAAAGGAACTATCTTAAGAGACCTAAAATGTCACTGGTACATTCAATGAACTACTACTGAAAAAAACTGATATCTTAAAACCTTGTTTTTCTGTCAGATGTGAGAAGATTTTACTCACCTAAGCTCCACTTCTCCCCAGCTTCTACTACGATCATCTTCATCATCTGCAAGATAAAAGTATTCATTCGTTGCGACGTTACACAAAAGCATACCTATCAGGAGACTACAGCGGCTGTCTGAATAATGAAGAATAAATAAATACTAGTAAATAGTTAAAAAATAAAATAAATAAGTGGAATCAATCAAGAAATTCAGGATCAACAAAAAAACTAGTGTGTCTTAAAGTCATGCGTCTTATGTTGTGTCTCAAACAGGATCAAGTCGAGCCTTTTAGCTCTCGCTCCTCTCTCTCCCCCCACCTCCATTTTTCTCCACCCACTACCTGGAACCACAACAGTGTGACGCAACTTCCAGTTTAGAGTTAAGTGATGTGTCCACGGAACATGTTTTTCAGCAGATGTCTGTCTGAGATTGTAGATTCTCTGGTTAATGTAACAACAGGGATGATGCAAGAACCCAGAGGGCAAAGCAGAGGATGTGACTACAAGTTTATCTGTGATTAGAGGGGAATAAAATCACAGGCGTGAACTGAATTAGGCTCATAAACGGTTTCTTCCTCTACAGGCAATCAAGGCCAGAATTTTAGGTCAAACTGATTAGAGGATTAAGGTTAGAAGATTCAGGAGAAACCAGGAAGGAATCAAACGTTACAACCAAAGAAGAGGTAGTACTGTGATTTTCTCAGACTGAATTTAGCAGATGATCGGAATTTCCACCCTCCATCTCCTCTTTTTACCTGTTGTCGAGAATATTCTGGGTCTGCGATCCCTTCCAACACCTTCTTCCTCTTCATCCACTTCTACAAGCTCTCCTTGTCTTCTCTCAGTGGTTTTCCGAATCCCCCTTCTCCGTAACCGAGCCTCGGGGCCCAAATCTCGGAAACTGCAGCTGCTGGTCAGCGTGCTTCCGTTTGATTTCTCATCCGCTAGCATCTCTCTCTCCCTCATGTGTCCCGCCGCATCTGCTGTACCCCTCTCTTCAGGCTCTGCTCCCTGCTTTTCTTCCTCACTCTCCCCCCTCCCCTCCTCTGCCTCTTGCCTCTCACTCTCTCTGGAGGAAAGGTGATCAGACTCTGTGTCATAGTTAAGAATGGGGCAGCTGCTCGGTTTGTACAGCGTGTTGCTCACAGATAAGTACATCTCCACTTCCTTATCCCTGCTTGCTTGGTCTTCTACCTTAGATATTTGACCTTCCTCACCTGCCTCTTTGCTAACTCTCAACTCTACATCTGCCGTTTCTTCTGCGTGTTTGTCCGTACTGTGATCCTCCTTCCTCTCTGAGTCTAACAGTGTGTCAGCATGAGTGTATGTGTCACCATGCATAACTGAAAACTGGTCAGCATGCATGCGGGCTCCGTTCTGCCCCATACCTCTCAATCCCTCCACTTCCAGAGGCTCCTCCCCCTCCTCTTCCTCCTCCAGCTCGGGTTCTGAGTGCTCCTGGTCTGACCTTAGAACACTCTCTCCGGTCCCTTCTTCAACCTCCTCCTCCTGTACGCATTTGTTGGACTCTTCTAAGGCATGTTCCTCAGAGCGTCCCAGGATCTCCCGCACCACATTTTTGGCCCATTTAAGGTGGGGGGCCTGGGAATGCCTCTTGGGCTCCTCGGACATGCTCCATGCACCGCTCATTCTTATCCTGATGGCTTCCACCTCCTCCGGACTCATCGCTCCAGAGTTAATCTCGTCCAAGATGGGTTGAATTTGCCTCAAATCTACTTGAGAGAAAATGTCAGCATAAGGATTATCTGGAACTGGTGAATCATTCTCACCCTCTCTGTCCAGCCCGTCTTTGTTTTTCTCTCTCCACTTTATGAGGAGTTTTTCAGTCTGTGAGTCTCTTTTAATCGTCCCTATCTCAGCGTAAGGATGCTCCACTTTCTTCTCGGCTCCTTCTCCAGTCTCTGCACTCTGATGCTCCGACGACGCTCTGTATCTGATGTCCACTTCAGATGTCCCAGCGTCCTGGTTGTTGATGTCGTCATTTCTCCTCAGGTCACTCTGAGGCTGCTGTGTGGCGTCATCATTTCCACGATGACTACTTTCCAAACTTTCGTCATCCCCTTCCACTCCCTTCTTCTGATCGACATGTGACACTTTGTTGGTGCCTGACCGCGGCAGCGTTTGTCCAATCACACAGAAGACGTACTTTGGCCGCTTCTCTCTCCCCTCTTCTTCTTCCTCATCATCCATCTCTTCTTCCGTTGCATCTTTTTCCTGAGAGGCAACAGGTGAGTGTCCATCACGAGAACCTCCGCCTTCCCAGAATTCCTGACAGTCCTCGAACTCCTCTTCCTCTCTGTCATCCTCCTCGTCTCCGCCGCTGGACACGGTCACAAATCCGTCCTCTCCTGACAGCATTCTGTCCCTCTCTTGCTTCCACCCCGTCTCACTTCCTCCTTCTTCACTGCCAGAGCGTGCCCAGTAATCACTCCCCCCCTCTTCCTCTCTGTCACTCTCCTCTGTGTTATCTGTCACATTCTCTCCCTCTGCATCCCTCTGCCACCGGTCCTCTATCCCTCCATCGCTGTCTGACAGATGTCCCTTCCCTCCTTTATCTAATTCCCTCCAGACTTCGCCTACCTCCTCTCCATCTACACTCACACCCTCTGACTCCTTCTCCTGCTCACTTCTCTCTCCATGTCTTCCTCTGTAACTGTTTTGGTCTGAGTACCTCTCATCTGGTTCCTCTTTTACCCTCCGCCCCTCCTTTTCCCACTCTGCCTGTGACTCCATCCTCCATTCTTTCTCCCTCGAGTGTCTCTCTGTGTCTTCGAACTCTCTCTTACTATTCTTGCCCCTCTGCGGCTCTAACCACATCCTCCTCTGCTCTGCCGACTCCCCTCGCTCACTTGTCTTCTGACTTCTCTCGGAGTTTCTCTGTTCTTCAGCGCCTCTTTCACCCTCTCTGTCTGGTTCCCTCTCTTCGAAACTGTCTGGACGACTCCTGCGTCTCATTTCGCTGTCCATGTCGCTGCTCAACTCGCTGCTGCTCTGGGCTCGTGGAGGCGCCCTTGGAGCTGTCTCGTTCTGAGCTCGGCTTCTCTTGCCTGTTGTGTCGTCTCTCCTAGGATCTGCCTCTCTTTCTTTTCTTCTTCTCTGATCATACTCTCTGTATCTATCATCCCTCCATTTTTCCCTCTCCCTGTCTTCCTCCCTGTATCTCTCTCTTTCTTTTTCCACTCTTCTTCTCCTGGATTGATCCACCTCTCTGTCCCTGTCTCTGTATCTTTGCCTGTCTTCTGCCCTGTATTTCTCCCTCTCTGTTCTGCCCTTGTTGTCCCCCTCACTCTTGCTTTGTTGATATATCAACTCCTCCCTCTCTCTGTCCCTCTCTCTCTCCCTTCTCCGCTCTCTCTCATCGCTGTCTCCTTCACTCCTTGTATCCCTCCTTCCCTCATTTTGGGCCTTCTCCTTTTCCCTCCTATCAGGGTAAATCTCCTTGTCTCTTCTTCTATTTGGAGAAGGTGCTCTGGCTTCTCTTTCTCTCACGTTAGGTTTTGGCTTTTCTCTTTTTCTACTCACATCCCACTCTACTCTGTCCCGTGGATCACCTCCTTCTCTTCTCCTGTCTTGATCAGACCCCTGATATCTTTCCCTTCCTGATTTCACGTCTTCTACGGGTCGTCTTCCTTCGTCCTTTGCCCTACTTCGGATCTGATCCCTTTCCCTTTCTCTCTGCCATGCTCGCTCTCTCTCCCAGTCATCAGCGTCAATTCTTTTCGGCCTCTCTCTCTGCCTCCTTTCTCCTCTTTCATTCACGTCATTGGTGGATGTGTTTCGTCTTCCACCTTCTGGGCTGCCTTTTCTCATTCTAGGAAACGTGTCACCTTTCTTCATCCCCCTTTCCATCTCTCTTTCAGAGTCCTTCTCAAGATTTGACAGAGGCCTCCCTTGTCCCCTTCTGTCATCTTCATACCTCTTATCTCTCTCCCTCCACTCTCTCCCTCCTTCTCTTTCTCTCAGCCGGGGCGCAGGAGCTTGGTCCTTCTCGTAGTATCGCTCCCTCAGATCTGAATCTTTGTATCTCGGTTTGTCTCTCATTTTTACACACTCTCTCTCTCTCCTTCTGCCATCTTCACGGTCTCTCTCTCGCTCTGACTGGGCAGTCATCACCGGCCTGGGACTTGGATCCCTGGAGATTTTTCCACCTGGCTGAAGTTTGCGGTCTGATGTGTTTATGTTAGATAATGTGTCAAAGATGGTGCCGCTGGGCCTTTTGGTCCCCATGGTATCATATTTTGGAGAACCTAGAACACAAAAACATCCATTAGGAAATCCAACATGAAGAATCAAGTCTTTTTCAGGGGGCAAAATACGCCGAAAGGAAAGGTTCATCACACATTAACATATTTTTTTATGGCACAGGGTTGAGTGTAATGGAAACTACAGTTCTACATAAGCTGAGATTTCACACGCCTTTGTTGGACTATGGGCCTAAAAAAAGTTTGTTATTTAAGACTTATCTGGGTGTAAGTTGTCTCAACAGTAGAATATTATTATGTAGGCCAGAGAGAAAAGGTGACACCCTCCTACAGTTCTACAAGAATGCAGCACAGACCTGCAAAGCACCACATACCAAAAGAAGTCTTTCAGAAAGCGAGGCCCTGTGACACATAGGCACGGCATGTAACATGTAAACCACAACTAAGCTCACTCCAAATCTGTGCTTGAACCAGAGGATATCTACAGAGGCTTTATGTTAATCAGAGACCCACCAAGGGTAATATAAAGCAACTCACCTGAGAGTCGTATCCTGGGGAGATAGGCAGTCCTTCCCCGGTCCAGTTCAGCTCAAAAGCATGAGATTGCACAACACAGAAGAATTCACTCCCTGCATTCACATCGTCTACATGACACAGCAAATTCTCTCCTTTTTTTAAACTCAAACCAAACTCCCTTTTTTCTTCCTCTGTATTTACTTGAACTCTTCTGCTGAAATTTAATGTTTATGCCTGAGCTCCCCTTGCTTTTCCCTTTTGCTGTCTCTCTCAGTCTTTGCCCTCCTCCCCTCCTTCCTCAAATTCCCAAACAAGTCTGAACAGATTGACACTTATCTTTCCCCTCCTCCTTTCTCTCTGTCTTTACAGTCGCTGTTGGTGAGCAGGGAGCTGAACGCAGCTTAATCAACCTGGAGTATTTGGAGTCCACCTTTGGAGTTCCCTACTTAAGTCCTTCCTCGCTCTACTTTACTGCTAGCATGATCACTTGTATACCCTTGGCAAAACAAAAAAGTATGCCACTCTCCCCTTTCTCCTGCCCCATTCTTCTCTCCTGAAACACAGGAAATACACCTCCTTGGAGTCTCTGTCTTTGAGCAGCTATTGGTTGACATGGAATAGCTGGGTGTGTCTGTACAACACAGCCAGGTAAGGTACGGGCTGTGATAACACTGGGGAAGGCTGGGGGAGGGGAGACAGAGAGTGAAGATTTAGAGCATACTGGAGGAAAGCTTACTGAAGCCTATAAAAACTTCTCTTCATTCCTCCATGAGAGCCAATAAAGAGGAGAAAGAAAGGAAAACACAAACTTTCCTAAACAGTCAGGAGACTTGAAAAAAACTGTGTTTCAACCACACACAGAGCAGCACACCAAAGGGAGGGATTTCACAAGGATGATTGCTGAGTGATTTGTTAAACAATGACCACTTTCCTATGTTGATTAAGTGGCCTGAGATGATAGGTTTGGAGTGCTTTAGGCAATTTAAATGAGTGAATAAAGGCAAGAAACCCTGGCTTAGGTGTAACCTTGTCTCATGTTCACCTAAATTTAGATTTGTACCTAGTTTGTGTAGAGACTTTTATGGTGTATTTCAAAATGTTTCATCCAAGTCCATACCAAATATAACTAGGAATGAAGGGGTACATGACCACTGTTTTATGCAAGAAAAGTCAAGCAAGTCTAATGATTGCCAACAAACAAAGTCATGGGTGCAAAAGCTTGGGAACTGCATCTGCAGTAGTCTGAGTTTTGTGTGTTTCTTGATTTCTATACTCGTTTTGTTTTTGTTGATCAGATATAATCATCTCCATAAATTCAATATGCGTGTCTTAAGGTGTTTTCTGTGTTTTTTTGGGGACATTTTGTGTATTTTTTTCTTGTCTCATAGAGTAACTTTAGTTTGGGGAGTAACATAGCACCCCCCCAAAAATGACCACAGTGTAGTGGTCTTTAAAGGGATTTGTTTTGGTTTCTTTTTTAAGATAGTAGTATTAAGGCTGAGGCTTTATGGGGCTGTTTGTTTTGGTTTTGCACTTTTCTAAAAATTTTTCACCCACTTCTTACAAATATAAGTATCAGTTACAGGTTGTTCTACTACCTAACAGAACAAGCGTAGTGTAGTGTTTTGGGCTGCCGATTTCCCAAAGGAAAAATGAATTAAGTTCATTTTTTAATCAATGATGATAAAAAAGTACACTTATTCTCACTCATGCTGAGATTTATACATGGTTGATGGCATGCACATGTCTCTTTGGTAAGTGTAAGGCTTTACCAACAAGCCCTTAGCTTGGCTTTGCATAAAGATGGAAAACACAATCAGCTCACCAGCAAGTTAGCTCAGTTTCATTAAATACTATAATGGTACAGAATTCAGTTTCTAACATCTCTGACTGTAGGTTTGAATACTTAGGGTTGCTTTACATTTTGTACAGTAAAGTGAAATGAGAATGGAGTCAACCCTCTCATTTAAGTAGTGCTGTGTAAAAAAGTATTTCCCCAGAATATTTAGCCAGAGTGTTCACTTAAAAGTATTTTGCTGAAGAAAAACAACATACCACTGAGTATTTCTAACCTTTAATCTTGTCACTTTGACCAGTTCTTTGAAAAGATTGAAAATCAATCACTGATAAGATAACCGGGCATTTAGGTTCATTAATTCAATCACATTCTCAGCAGGTTTAAAGGTTTGTATTGAGTAAGATAGGTTGAGGGGATAACTTCAGCTTGGCAATATATAGATCAAGCTCTGTGTTGTTTGCAGACGGTCAAAAAGTTGCTCTTGCGACAAAAATAGTATTGACGTTAAAGTCGTCTGCTTTGTAAGACCTAATATTAGTGTAACATTGAAATTATTAATTCATACAAAATATAATTGATATATATTCCTCACAAATTAAAATATACTAATACATTTCACATGACAGTAATAAAAAATTTGTGCAACTTTTCTTTTTTTCAAAATGGAAAATGACATTAAATTTTATCTTGACTGTTGCAACATAATTTAACTTCTTAAAAGGGAAATCACAGGGCTAAGGCTGTGTCCGAAATGAATCACTCAATCCCTAACCCCTAACCCCCATATGAGATTTCACTATATAGTTGACCATGTAGTGAACGCAATCACAGGTTTCAGACACCCCTCAAAAATGGCGCTACCCCTATATAAGTGGCTATATGGGGGTAGCACCATTTCGGGATCCAAGACACCAGGGATCCATTTCGGACACAGCCAAAATTCACTTTCAAGAAAAAAAAAGTTTTTTTTGGAAATAAATATCTAACCCCTTCACCAATGTGCCTCTAACCTTCACAGACTCCATGAATTGATGCCCATCTCCTAAATATTTGGTCACGTGATCAATTTCTTTTACCATTTCCAAGCAACAGGGGGTGGCTCAACTTACCCTTTGGCTCAACTTACCCCACTCTCCCCTACCTGGAGATGCGGTAAAGTGTCTGGAAACAGATGGGTTTACTTGATTTCAGGTTTATAGTCACAACATTAGAGGTGTTTTTGTCAGGTTGTCAGTTAAACACGTGTTCGGGGGTCAACTATTAAAGAGGCAGGTACAGATTTCTTCCCATCATTTTGTCCCACTTCCGCTAACGCTAGTGCGAGCGGATTCAGCGTCCGCTCATTGGTCGAGCTTCACATCGGCAATCACGTGCCTGTGTGTGTGTTTAGTTTCACTTCCGCACTTTGCTCCTGTCTTTAGCCTGTTAGCCCTTTTGGATGGTCTCACCTGACAGTTTTAGAGGAAAGTGGGGGTAAAATGAAGAACGGTAATGCGTACCACTAATGAGATTTACTTCACAATTCCATCTCCGTGTGTATTTACGTTACTTTACCCGCATAACGAAACAGTAGCTTTATTTGTGAGTTAGTCAACGAGGAAGCTACGTTAGCTCGAGGAAGCTCCTGTGATAAAGTATAACTCACAAACAAGCTTAACCAACTCGCACACAGGACACGAAGTCATGACGGTAAGTGCAGCATGTTGCACAAACTTTACGTACACTTTGAACATCTCTTTGGGTGGTAATATTAAACTGTTTCACTGGGGAAACTTATTGCTCAATGAAGAGGATGAACAGACATTTTGCAACACACATTACAGCCTGTATGAAGCCAAGGCTCCAAAATACAAGCATTTGCTGATCAAAATATGCGCACATAAGGTTTATATCGGTCTTATTGTGTCTTTAGATATTGTAGCTTGCAGTTACACTACTTGTATTTAAGAGGTGAATTTCTCTTGGTGGTTTTTGAAGTAGGAAGTAGCTGATCCAATGAGCGTGAACAGGAAATCAAGTCCTACACATGAGGTTTACACGATTTTCTTTGTGATTCTGATGGGAAGTGACAGATGCACACACCATCTTCTGTCTTTGTATATATGTATGCACAGAAATGTGATTTGTATGAAAGCTGTTTCATATATTTTTCTGCTTTTGTTCAAGTTAGTCACTCCAGGGTTTTAGCATCACATTTAACACATTTTTTTTTTGTCTGAGTCAGATAATATCAATTAAATGTTATGTCTGAGAAAGGGTAACATCTTTCATGTTTTCAAATTACTCAGTAGAGGCCAAAGATCTCTTAAAAATGATTGTTTCATCAGTACACTCACCTGTACGGTGATATGGGAAAGTACTATAAAAAATGCTGCAGACAGATAGTTTTGCATATTTGCACTTAACTTCAAGTTGTGATGAGTTATAATTCAGGAAATGGTTCCCAATGTTGACGGATATACTCATCTTTTTAACAGGCATAATCTTTGTTTATTCAATTTAATTAAAAACAAACTTGATATGTCCCTGGTTAGTAGAGCAGTGTTATACAAATAAAGATAACAACAGCATGATGTTTCTGTTTCCTTTGTACCAGGTGTTGAACATACAAAGCGGAGCATCCTTCCTGATGTTGACCCTGGTTGTTCAGCTGCTACTGTGTTGGAGTGGGGTTTACACAACCGACAGCACCAAGAATTGTAAACTGTATTCTGACTCTGAGTCAGAACGGAAAGTCCTTAAACGGCTAGCGCCACTTGCACAAAGGAAGTAAGTACTGACTCAGCCATATGACATGAGTTTGTATTTTGGGTTTGCCTGCCTTTGAAGAAAAGCAGCTTAACTTGAATGTGAAATCTCACCATAACCTGAGCATTTTTCCTGTTTGACAGTTGTACCACAGGTTTGCACATGTTATTTTAGACTAACTCTGATTTGTTCTCTTGTTGACAGCTTTACTATTAACAGCAAGAATGGTACTGAGGATTACACTTACGTGTTCCAGTTGTGTGGGGATGCATGGGGTGTTTCTGGAGCAGGAGTCGTCCAGGTGGACAACAACCAAAAGGAAAAGAAACCAACAATTATTGGCATGTATAATTCAACACAGGCCTATGGAGGAAGTAAGTGCCTGATAATTATTTGATTTACTTTAAGAAGCTTAAAATTTTTTTACTTGAGAGTCTTGTACTCTGAACATTGAGCTTACACCATTTTATAGGCGTAAAGAAAAGTGTATTGGTGTCTTGCGTCGTCTCATTTTGCGTGTTAATGCTGTTTCAGGTGACTGGGTGATATTAATCTACAGAAATGGAGAAGCGTATGATGGCCACTGTAAGAAGGAAAACCGAAGAGCCATGGTCATGATTTCCTGCGACAGGAACATGGACCCGGTAATACAAACAGATGAAATCTTACTTACCAAGTGTTCAGACTTGAGTTGTATAAAAAGAGTGACACAAGCACAAGGTGGCATTTTGAGTTGCATTTCCTGGAAGACTTCCCTGTGGTTTATAGTACTGACACAGGTTTACACCCCTGAAGTTACCACAGTTATGTTTCTCTTTTTATTTGTATTATATTCCTCCTTTCTGTAATACATACCTTTGATTAGCTAATGCAGCAAGTTTTAGAGTGAGGTCAGATTGCGTAGGAGTGTAATATGAATGTAGGTCAGTTTTTTTTCTACATGTACTTGCAACAGCACCGAGACTGTTACCATATGAATGTTCAGAATTTAACATTTTGCTATCCCCTTAAAGTCTTTTTTTCTGAGCCACAAATGACCATATTTGGAAAAAGGGTTTAATTATAAATTCAGTGAGTCATTTTGGCTGAGAGAATCTATTGGAATGCTAGCCACACTCGCATGTCACTGATAAAACCCAACTGCAACTGAAAAGTAGGGTTTGATATCAGTTGACTTTATGAATTCTCGTTTCAGTTGTGCCTATCATTATTAGGCAGGAACATATAACTATTTTGGCACTTCAGTATTACCTTACTTTTTAGCTGCCCCAGAGTTAACATTTTGGTCTGTTTTGCACCCAGTTTTTTATCAGCATGTAGGGCCTTGTACTACTCCATCCTTTGCTCTTTTTGACTCTTAGGGCAAGCTGGGGTCAGTGCTGGAGGACAGAGAGAGGGAGAGGGACTGTTTCTACCTCTTTGAGCTGGACACCAGTGCAGTGTGCCCACCTCTGCAGTCCCAGCTCAGCCCTGGCTCTATAATACTCATCATGTGAGTAAAGACTGTCTGCACTAAGAAAAATAAAAAAATGCTGTTCTAATTTTTAAATATTTAGTTTTGTAAAAAGATATGTGCTCACAAGCCCTCTCTTTTTTTAGTGGCGTCTGTGTTGTGGCTGTTTACCTTATTGGAGGTTTCCTCTATCAGCGACTGATTGTTGGAGCTAAAGGCATGGAGCAGTTCCCTAATTACGCTTTCTGGGTGGAGGTTGGCAACCTGACAGCGGTAAGCATACAAGAGTTGATAAAAATGTCTTTAAAAGAGCAGGCTCATGTGACTTGTTTTGTAAATGAATACAAAACTCTCCATTCCTCCAGGATGGCTGTGACTTTGTGTGTCGGTCCAGAAGTAGAGAGGAAGCCCCAGCCTACAGGGGTGTGGCCACAGAACCATTAGAGGAAGAGCCAGAGGAGAGAGATGACCACCTACTACCAATGTGACCTCGATTTATCAGAAATGGGACAGAAATGTACACTGTGTGTCGCAGCTTTCTCTTTCACAGGTTAGATGAAGTTAGACACAAGACTTGTTTTGCTTGTGCCAGTTTAAGGTTAGGACCTGTTGATACTTTGTGTGTTTACTAGACTTGTGGCGAGGGCAACTACCACGTGATCTGCTTGTCACTTTGGAGGGCATGTCATTCTTGAGGCTGATAGGCCTGTCTTCTCTTCCTCCTTGTATCCCATGCATTTCATTCAGCTGTGTAACTTAAAAAATGACTGATAAGTTCAAGGCTGCACTGTGACAGTAGAGAGTGACTTTAACTCCATGAAAATCTGACAGAAAATGGTAAAGTAAAGAGGTCAGATTTATGTTGTTATCAAAAATGAGTGACATAGTGCTTATGATTGTTGCAAGAGTTGGTGCAGTCTGCAGCAATTCATTACTTCTGGAGTACTGATTGTGTGCCCTAAGCGATGCAGGTTAAAGAAATGTTTGTGTGTGAATTTTTTGCTTTAATTGCTTTTCTCTTTTTTCTTTTTTTCTTTTTTTTAATAACTATTTTATTTTATTTTTTGGGGGGCGGGGGGTTAAGAGTTTGGCAGTGTTATTGATACATTTTCAGTGCTTACAGCCTTGCTACACTGGTTGGAAAAAAACATGGTTTGACTGAATTTACATTCTAGTTTAATGTTGGGGAACAATATTGTTAATATCCGCTTGTAATTGTTTGAAATGTGAGCCTCCTGACTGTAATCTAAGCTTGAATGTTGTAATTTAACAGCTAGGCCAACAATGCTGTGAAGCATCCAACTGAAATTCAAAATTAACTCCTAAAAGTCACTTATTTTTGCTGATAAATACTTCTTTAATTTGGAGGCAATTTAAAAATTTGTAGATCAGTTCCTACTGTTCAAATTTATAATATCAAAAAGTCTGCAATGAATGTAATATATGCACTAATATTTTGGGGGTACATTGACACTCAGAAGATTCAACAATTTGCCACACTATTGTTTGTAAGCATTGTCCTGTTACTAAGGGATCTTGGATCAGTGTGCTTACGTGACAAAACTGGCCCAAGCCACATGCGTTTCTTGGCACTACCAACATCACAGTAAAGAGTAAATTCTACTCTTTACTGTGATGTATATAACCAAATATTCAGGCTGCTTTAGGCCTGATGCTTTGCTTCTTTGAGAAGATGGAGCAGCAATGAAAGCACTTGTTTTTGTACACCTGCTGTATATTATGGGCGTTAACGTTACATCTTTGATGACATCATTAACAAGCTTTGTAAGATTTCTAGAAAAATGGTTAAAACTTGGTATTGAGACTTTTTTTATTTTGATGGGCAAAATTATGTTACAGGTGTGAGTTATGAAATCAAGCTACAATATAATAATAACTGTGAGCACTTCAGTTTTTTTTTTTTTTTGCTTTGGTTGTTGCTACTTTTGTTTGTGTTTATCACAGCTGACATTTATTGATTGCTTTTGGTTATTATCTGTATGAAAAGGTTTTATGGAGTTTTTTTTTGTGAACTGGACTAATAAAAAAGTTTAGTTCAGGGGTAATTCAAAGCCACAAACTTTTTTGATTCTCTGATTCCATCAGAAATAAACTATGAAAGCTCCTTAAGTATGTTTTGAACTGAGTATACACCTGCACTCATCTCTGGAGTTATATTAAACATAAAAATGAATGCATGTTGAAATACCGATAGATATTTCACCCCCTTTTAATGTTATGCTTTATTGAATTATCTTACTGCTTTCTTTTAAAGGATGCGCTTGTTTCAGTGTGATAGTGAAGGGAGCTTAGCTGATGTTAAACTGTGCAGTGGGTCAGAAAACAAATAGATAACATAAAGTTTCAACTCATCAGCATAAAGAAAAACTTTGTGCTCAGTGACCTCCTCCAAATACACAAAATATGGCCTACCTCAAAGCCAGTGAGATTCAATCTCTGAATAACCTTTAAAACCTTTAAAGGGATATTCTGGCATAAAATTAGGTTAGGGTCAAACACATCATAACACTGAGTTAGACACCCCCATTGAGAGATGAATGTTGCTAACTGCTTATAGGGTTCAAGCCATAGTACTAGCCACCAAACATCTTTTTAACTTTGCCTGTTTTATTCAGCAAAGAGACTAAACACAACTCACTTACTCTCTCCCAGCAGCCGCTTGTTTTTAGTGAGACTTCAGGCCAGTCCATTACGGACTGCTGCGAGGTGACGCAGCTCAAAGAAGAACATTTATCATCATTAATGATCATCTACATACAAGCAGCTGCTGGAGGGTAGTAGGTGAGTTGTGTTTAGTCTCTTTGCTACAGAAATTAGGCAGAGATAAAAAGATGTTTGATGGCTAGTGCTGTGGCTGGGACCCTATATGTTCTGTTGATGAAGTTAGGTGCTGTTCTGTGCATTATTTATGGCAATAGAGTGGCATTTTGGTTGAGTGTGTGGCTCTCTGTATTGCTATCGTGCGGTCGTTACTAAGGTTGGTTTAATTAGAGAAGCAAGCGGTCAGCAACATTCATCTCTCGAGGGGGTGTCTAACTTGGTGTTGCGGTGTGTTTGACCCTAAATTAGTTTTACGCCGGAATATCCCTTTAAAGCCAGTGAGATTCAAACACAAAATCACTTAAAAACCTTTAAGGTATTGGACTGGGCTTGTTTTGTTGTATGTGTTAAAAAAGGGTGATCAAGTGGAAGTGTTTTTTATTTACGTCCACACTGTAACAGTAGGGGGCGGTAAAGCTGCCCTCGGTAAAAAGGATCAAAGAAAAGAAGAAGAAGAAGACTTGTAAGGGGCGGGGTTTTGTTGGAGGCAAACTCTTACAGAGGTTCAGCGTCTGTGGCATTAAAAATTACGAAATCGCATTAAAAAAATTGATCGCATATACCCGCGTAAAGGACAGAAACACCGAGGAGAGGTAAACACACAAGCACGTCGAAAATACCGACCTCAGAGTGAGGGCGATAGCCAGCTTGTTAGCTGTTTGTAGCAATGCTATTGAAGTTAGCCTTTCTGTGCTGAACTAGCGCTAGACTTTAAACGCAATTGATGGCATGAAACATTTCCTTTCTCCCACTCCCATTTCTCTAATAGCATGTCTGCATTGTCGTTTCCCCTCGTGAAACTCAGTGGATTGATTTAACTGATGGTGTGGTAGACTTTTGCTTGCTGAACAGCTAACTCTAGTCTATTGTAGTTCCAGATGGCTCGCTTTTCTCTTTGCTTTTCTAATCTTTCCTCCATGTTGTTCTGACTACTGCATTCATCCGTAATGTTGACAGCTGAATAGCTAATGAAACCCTACAATGAGGAGTGTCATAGTAGTAATGTCTGTGAAGCTTACATGTTGCTAATGTTAAAGCTAGAAACTGAAGACAGTAGTTAGCCATGATTTATGACCCCTGGTAGAAAAAAAAACAACCCTCTGTACCTTCTCTAAACAAACCCTGAGTTGGTTTTCTTATACACAATTTTAATCTCTAGAGATATAACTTTCACTGCCTGGATTGAGCGCTATGTCTAGGGCTGGGCGATATGAACCAAAAGTCGTATCCCGATATATTTAGGCTGAATGTGGATATGCGATATATATCCCGATTTATATAGGCTGAATATCGATGTACGATATATATCCTGATATTGTTTTCGCAAAGTGAGAACAAATGTTTAGTCAAAGCAAAATATGATGTGTCACACAAGTAGTTCTATTAAAATGGCCAGATGAGATTATGCTCAGATGTTTAAACAATAATAAAATGTAAACATAAATACTGTCTAACCACAGGAGTACCCTTTTTTTTTTTTAAATTGGAGCTTCATAAGGTGCACATTTAAATAAAAATTATATCTTAAATAAAAAAAAAACAAACAGGCCAATCTTTTTCTGAAATAAATATATTTATCTAAGAAAAGCATCAACATTTTGACAACCACAAATTGCCTATTAAAATCAAATTGCAGATTTTCTCCTCCTCTCTAACAAATCCACAGATGCAAACAACGAACACTACAAAAGAATTAAATATGAAAAACCCCTAGTGAGGGCAGCATTTACATGTATAAAGACAGAACAGAATAAAGTGCTCAGTTTAAGAAAATTGTTTTTAAACATCATTTTGAGATTACCTATCTGTCTCTCTTATCTTCTCTAACCAGTTGCACAAGACTGTGAACAGACTATGAACTCAGTAAACATTTCCCCTCTTTCTTTTTTAACTTTGAGAAACAGTTAGTGCTGTCTTGAGGTAGACATTTGAGGACAGACAAGTCTATCCTTCTTTGTTTAAAGATTTTGTGTGAGAAACACCAGCCTGCAACAACAGCATCTGGTATCTGTATATCGATATATGCGATATGGTCCAATTCCATATCTTATTTAAAAATATATCCATATGTTTCTTATATCAATATATTGTCCAGTCCTACTAGTCACAAAACGTATTATGGCAATATCCAGAAATGAATTTTAGTATGTAGTAAACAACATGATGTGCACCATTACTGATCATACTTGGCTCCTGTGTTCTTCACAGAAAACATGGATACAGGGGAAGACCAAAATACAAACACCAACAATGGAAACCCTCAGACCACTGCGAACTCTCGTGCACCCCAAATAGCCCACATGTCTCTCTATGAAAGACAAGCTGTACAGGTGTGTATAAACATCATAGACCATGACATTGATCATGTTTATTTGGAAACTTTTGGACTGTCTTCAAAGTATGTGTCAAATGAGTTTGTGTTTGTGTACGGTTGTTTTTTGTAGGCTCTTCAAGCACTGCAAAGACAACCGAATGCAGCTCAGTACTTCCAGCAGCTGATGCTGCAGCAGCAGATAAGCAGTGCCCAACTTCACAACTTGGCTGCTGTACAACAGGTAACAAGGCTTGAGACTTGGAAAGTGTGGTTGTCATAATGTGAGTGGACATGTTGCAAACCATCCCTTTGCTTTCTCCGCTAAAACCAGGCCACCCTTGCAGCTAGTCGCCAATCTAACACCCCCAGTAACAGTATTTCCCAGGCAACCACCACTGTAAGTTGCATGCTTAACATTTATTGATATATGTATTGCATTGCTAGTTTAAAATCAAATAAAATATGGTAAGTTTTACAAAACTGTTAAATTTCTTTTGTCTTAGGTCAACCTTAGCACCACATCCACAGGGGGAACCACAACTAACCCCCGTCCTCATGTCCCTGCTACCTCTGCAGCAACAACAGCAGCTCTCAACCAGTCTGTGTTGCTGGGTGGGAACTCTGCAGGACAAGGACAGATGTACCTTAGAGTGAGTTGAAATTGCTCCATTATATAAGTTTGAGTTGCAGTTGTTATAAGAAAAACAGATTTAAAGTTATAATACAGTAATTCCACCTATAGTATCTTAGTTAAAGTTTGTAAAGTAGTTATTCCTCTGCTTCTCATAACTTGAGCCATACACTCTAAATCTTTAGGAGCATGTAACACAGTACAAAGTACAGAACAGGGAAAAGCTTCTTTTTAAAAAACTATACTGTATGAGTCTTTGAAAGTGTTTTTTAAATAGAGCACTTGTTACACCAACATTTTTGACATTTTTATACTTGTTACAGTTGCCCTCTAGAACTGTCTTCTTTGTCCTCACAGGTGAATCGCTCTCTCAGGGCCCCTCTTGCCTCTCAGCTCATCTTCATGCCCGGTGGAACAGCAACAGCCACTGTAGCAACAGTTGCCCAAACCCAGCCCCAGCAGCAGCAGCAACAGCAACAGCAGCAGCTTGATGGTGCCAATGCAAGTGCCCAGTCTGACAACGATCAGGTTTGTTAACTATTATGTGATTTTTGAGCTACTTCAAATAACATAATACTGAATACCCAGGGCTTGACACAACCTTTTTTCAACTTAGGATCACATGTAAGGAGCACACAAAGAACTTTAGGGGCACAATGAAAATTGATCAAATAATGTGCGTCTTATTGTCCAACCTTAGTACTATTATTTGAATTCTATTTTAGGTCAACTGGCCACGTGACATGGAAGCTTTTGAAGGAAAACAGCCTTTTTTGAGACCATTAAGCGATAATTTATTGTTGGTCCCTTATTCAACACCTGGCGTTGACAGCGAGGGTGCCGAGTAGATTTAGCTGCGCTGTTGCTATTCCCGGTTAGAGTGGAGAGTGAGAAGACACTGGTAAATCCGCAGTGAATGTCTGTCGTCCATAAAACTAACTTCACCGCGGTATTTACATGAAAAACGTTTGTTGCCTCGGCTGATTTTTTTTAATGTGCCCCTAAATACATTTTACAATTCGCACACATCTATTTTTTTGTCGCAAATCCGAGTGAAACAGTCGCACTGTCGAGCCCTGATACCACAATAGTCTACTTAATGTAATGGGGGGGCTTTCTTGCATCACTCGCTACAACTTCTATTTCTGTTGTTGTTACAGGTGCAGAACTTGGCCCTCCACTGCACTTCTACCCCCAGAGCTGTTTCTGTCAAGTCTGAGCATCCAGAGAGGAAAGATGTCGCCAACTTTCCTCTCAGTCAACAACAGCAGCAGACCTTTGCCCAGGCGGGTCACCAGCAGCAAGTGCAACCACAGCAGCAGCAACAAATGGCCAAAGGCAACTTTCCTCAGCAATCCAACACTATGGCTGTAAAGACTGGAAACCAGGCTGCAATGACTGTTACTCCAGCTGCTTCTGTGGCTCCTTCCTCTAATTCCTCTCAAGCACTCCCTCTCTCCCAACTCCTGTTGTCCTCCTCTGCTGCCCCTGTGATCCTGGTGCCCACCTCGAATGTCTCAACCACCACCCAAGGCTACCCAATTGGTTCGGTGACCCCTAAAGCCAACATGAACACTCAGACTCTTGTGGTTCAGCCCCTTCAGCAAGCTAGCACTACCACAGACAAAGGTCCTGTGCCAATCCAGCCCAAGACAGCTCAGGGACACCGCTTACCTGTGCAGCTGCCTCCTCGACACCCGCCTCCTATCCTCCCAGCACCGCCGAACAACAGTCAGGCCGCAGCCGGGGGGCACAATTCTCCTCACATCCCTGTGCAGCTTGTGGGGGCGAGGCAGGGATTAGCTGGGAATGCACAGGTTGTAGCTCTGGCACAGGCGCGAAGCAATACAGCTCAGGAGGGTACAGCTGGAGGAAATGTGAACACAGTTTCCAACAACAGTGCTATGGTAAGATTTCTGAGACTCCTTTGTTTTAATGTAGATGATAGTCAGTGTTGTGGGAGCTGTAACAGTTTCCTCTGCTCCCCTCAGATAAAGCCTGCCATCGGCTCGCTGAAAAGGAAATCTGACTGTGATGCTTCAAATGAGATAGCTATCGAATCCTCAGACTCCACACCCATGAAGGACTCTGCTCCTCCCTTATCTCCTGCCCCTACAAAGGACTCAGGTATGCCAGTTTGCCCCCTTCAAATCAAGCATCAATTGAAATTTGTTCAAAATCAACTCAGTATCTGTCATAAATAACTCTTTAAAGTCTAGCCCTCTAGTTTGAACCCCTTGATTTTCCCTGTTGATACTCACTAGTTCCTCCTGCAGCAGCTGCCTTCTCATCTCCTCCCACCTTGTCCCTGCCTCTGCCCCTCTCAAGAGGTGGGCATGGGGACAAAGACAGAGCACCGGTTCCACAGGCGGTGGTCAAACCTCAAGTTCTCACCCACCTCATCGAAGGTTTTGTCATTCAAGAGGGAGCTGAGCCCTTCCCCGTATGTGTGACATGTTTTCACAACATAAATAATTTAACTTCACTTTGCTTTGCGTGTCCCTGTGTGTAAAAGTTCCTCACACTCGGCTTGTATTTGATGTGACAGGTTGCTGGACTCCTTAAAGACAGAGACTTCGCCCTGGTCGGCCGCTCAGAAAATGGAACTCCATGTAAGTGCTGAGATAACTTTGATTTTTAATGAGCATGTTCACGCTTCCGACATATTTAACACATTTTTTTAATTTCCTATTCTCTTTAGTGTTAAAGTGCGAATACTGTGCAAGCCTCGCCCCCGCCAGCCAGTTCAGAGGATCAAAAAGATTCTGTTCAAATACTTGTGCGAAGAGGTAAGGTTGACTCTGGCTTCATGTTTGTTCCTTGTTGTACTTCGTGTACTTTTGAAAAATTGCATTGATAAGTACCAAAGTTATGGAGCGTTTCCAGAAAAAGTTATCAACTGTCGGCTACAAGGTGTTTATTGTCAAATCAACTCCGTACAGAGACCACTCAGTGTCGTGTAGTTGCCTCCAAAACATGTAAACTCTAAAGCCGAGAACATACAGGATCCGTATTGAGTGCGTTACGTATTTGCTCCATAGAGCAGCGTTGGGTATCACATACAGGATGCGTATTTGGAGCGTGGCAGCAGCATAGTCCAGCCCCGGTCAGCTGGGCTCAGTATAGAACAACATGCTCACAACAGGCTGTTTTGCCTTTCTGTGGTCGATTTCCTGCTAATTTGGAAATAATTCAGTGACCGTTGAGCCGTGTGTTACTTAGAAATCCATAACCAGGAAGTACTTCCTATCTACACAAACTGATACACAGTCAGGAGTTTGCATATGGTGATTTATTTTGAAATACTGAATTGCATGCACGGTTTTCGTGCTTGACTCCCTGTCTGGAACGATCTCTGTGGATTGATGCACATTGGAAGTGTAGAGCAGCAAAAATAGACTCGCTGCGTATCTTTAGCAGTGCTGCGACAGAGCTGATACACATCCTGTATGGCAACCTATTTGCTGCGTGATACGCCACGCTGCTGCCACACTCCAAATACACATCCTGTATGTTTTAGCCGTAAGTGTTGACTACTTTTGTTTATGGAATATATAGATGTTAAACACTAATGTGTGATATTTAAGTCACTTGTCAATAAAGTGTTGTGCAATGATGAAGCTCCAGCTTTTTCCACTGTTGTGAGCACGCTGACAAAACTTAAATGCACTCAAACACGACTGAAAGTTAGATTTATTATATTTCTCAGACATGAAACATGGGTGCAGATCATGTGACTCCACTGCTCCACTGGTTTCCGAATTACTCTGAATTGTCTTCCTGTGTGATGATTTTGCTCCTGGTCCCACAGGTATAATGTTAGCTGCAGCCAACACTTTAAGACGAGCAGAGGAAGAAGTGGTGGAGCTGTGGTACCACCACCAACCCCCTCTGAGAGTGCTGCTAGGAGAAGGACACCGTCTCGTAGGAGCAGCTCTAACATGACCTGTAATAAGATGTCAAGCAGGCATTTACCCGTTAAGGTAAGATCTGGGGTGTAAAGGTTAAATCTAGTAAAGATATGTTCATCAGGTTTTCCTTTTTGAGTATTTTCTTAAGTCCTGAGAGTCTCAGTTATTTAAAAATGTCATTAGAGGCTTTTTTCAATTAAATATGCTTTTAATGAGAATGAATTGTGTCAGAGAGAGTTGTAAAGACTTAAAACACTCAGGTTTAGGCTAACATCTTGGCTGATTTGAGGAAAATTTCTATCTTGAGCTTTATGTTTACGTAGTTGCCATATCAACAAATGCATCTCAGTTTCTTAATTCTTGTCATTGACAATGTTATTTTTAAATTAACCACTCTCTCTTTATGGCATAGTGTCATTCTGAGTCGAGCCGCTCCGATGATGTGTCCACTGATGGAGAAGAGGATGAAGATGAGGATGAGTCTCCTTCACTGTCCCCAAGCTCCTCTCACTCCTGCTCAAGAGCCGGACACAGCGCCCCTCCCTCTGACAGCTCTGCTCCTGGAGGTCTGCCACTAGAGGGTGCTAACTTTCTCTCCTCGACTCCTGCTCAGTGGAGTGTGCAAGAAGTCTGCAGGTTTATCTCTTCACTTCAAGGTCAGTGATTTATCAACAGTTTCTAAACTCTATGCCTCCCCTGATTTCTATTTCACACTAAATCTATCCTTTGTGTTCCCACAGGCTGTGAAGAGCTGGCGGCTCAGTTCCTGTCGCAGGAAATTGATGGGCAGGCTCTGCTGCTCCTGCGAGAGGATCATCTCATCTCCACCATGAACATCAAACTGGGACCTGCTCTAAAGATCTGCGCCTCCATCAACTCGCTGCGTGAGTGATGCAGCCAGAGGGGGAGCGAAGTGTGAACACCTGTTACAGCGAAGTTTAAAAGACTAAGATTTCGGGGGACATCAGGTTTAACAGTTTACCTTCTGGACAGTGAATGTGCAAAAAAGAAAAAAACATGTATGTATACTTTTATATTTGAGTTGTATCCATGTCAGTAGTGTTTTAGTTTTTTTATCCGTTACTGTGAGTAGTGAGAAACCTTTTGTATGTATCCTATTGTGAAACTGTGCAAACCTGCAAGTGTGCAGTAATGGGTGCTATCTAGGATATTATCGAGGACAATTCACCTGTTGAGACAAAGAAACAGAAATGCCTTCTTGCTGGATTTCAAAATGGTGCTTTAACTCTGGTTTTAAGTTTTCATAGTCAGACTCCCTTTAGACATTCTAGTGTTGTAGTAGTAATGTGTTATTTTACCGTAGATGTTTAACCAAGGCTTCAATCACACCAAGCAAAGGACACTCAGAAAGCCTGGCGTTTTATTTAGCGCATTTTACCAGTCAAAAGTTTAGTTTTGTATCTTTTCCATTTTGTACTACAATCAAAGTTATTTTTTCATGGATGAGATATAGTTTTAGTAGCTTTAACCAACTTAACTACCTGAAAATAGGTATGTCACTTGGTTTGCTCTATCGAGGGCTGAATGGAAGTGCTCTGTGTACGTATGCAGTACTACCAATAAACAATACCTGCTAAAGGAGCCGTGTGTGTGTGTGTGTTTCTACTTTGAAATAAGAGACCGTGTCGTGTTTATAAGGTTTTTATTCACATTATTATAAAGAATTTGCTCTGACATAAAGATAGTAATGACAGCATAAATACATATATGTACCCTTCATTTTTATAACTACACCTTATCTAAAGTTAAAAAAAAACAAACAGATCTTATATAACGTCTGTTATGGTTTATGGTTGTAAACAAGATTTGTAAACCATCATATACTGACAGTAACGGCCACAAACTCAGAATGCAGCATCTGTACATTTTTCAAGTTTACATATCTGAAAGTTTTCTGTGACAAAATCACTGTATTTTTCTTACTGACCCTCAATTTTTGAAGAGGACAAAAAGAAATCACATGAATGAGGTTTTACTCTGGTTAGAGAGGAAGAAGAATACATTATTTAAAAATTAAGGATGATTTTCTGTGCCCAACACACTTATTGCACCTGAAAGATACTGTTTTTGTTAAAGTGCACCACTGGGGTGTTTGGGAATAGTGCAATTTAGAGTTACATGTCATTGAAGCGTGCAAGGATCAGAAAACGGTGTAGCTGTTACTTTCTCCGTATCCAGCTTCCTGCAGATACTGCTCAATCATCACTGGCCCTGATGCCTTCAGTATTTTGTCCGGCGCACTTTTCTCTCCAGAGACCAGTTTACGGCTCACCTCAGCCAGAGAGGGTCGATCTTGATCCTTCCACTGGCAGCAGCCCTTAATGATGGAGTGTCTAAGGGACAGATAAAAAGAGTCTGAGTTTTTTGAAATCTCTTTTTAAGGGAAAAAGCTGCTTCATTTTTGAGCTGGGGTGTTTTGTGAGACTTGCGGTGGATTCTTACAGCGTGTTGGAACAGTTTGAAGGTTTTTTCAGACTTTTCCCTCGTTGGTGAAACTGCAGAAGTTCATTAACAGGGACTTCAGCGAAAGGAGCTTCACCTTGAGAGGAAAAAAACGAAGTGAATGTGTAGATAAAAGATAAAAAGTACTTGTCTGTAAAACCTTATAGGTTGAATGTGGGCAGAATAGTTAGATTTTTTTAGAGTAACTATGGAAATCAAATAGCTGAAATGTTTTTATCTTTGCTTTAATGTGTCACACTGAATCAAAAATTCTGAAAATCCAATGTTTCAAAAAAAAGCTAATATTGTTTTGGAGCAGTTTTTTTTCCAGTGCCTTCACCAACAACAACAACAATAAAGAAAGTAATGCATCAGATTTCATATAGCGCTTTATCAGAGACCCTCAAAGTGTTTTACATTGGATACATCATTCATTCGCTCACACAGTCACACTGTGGTGGTGGTAAACTACCTTAGTCGTCACAACTGCCCTGAGGCAGACTGACAGAAGTGTGGCAGCCAGTATGTGGCTTTTCTGACCACCACCAAACATCACTCACAATCATACACCAGTGGAGGACACCCACTAGGAGCAAGGTGGGTTAAGTGTCACAAAAGACACAAAGACACAACGGACAGACTATGGATAGGGGGGAATTGAACTGCCAACCTTCCAGTTATTGGACAACCGCTCTACCTCCTGAGCTACTGCCGCCAAAAACAAGAGACATTGAACTCATTTGTCAGCGCCACAAATGATATGGGTAATATTCTGACAGTAAGGTACACAGAGTCACTGAGAATACACATTATTTATTAAAGTTTTAATTGTTATTCATAACTTTCTTCCCCAAGAGTCAAACTTTAACTTACCCAGCGTTGCCATTTCATACAGCAAGATGCCAAATGACCATCTAGAGAAAAATAAACAGCAAAACAATCATTAGCTCCTGTATTCAGCATGAACTATCAGCAATAAACTCGAGGAGTAAAACGAACTGCATCTCCTGACTCTAAGGATGTGAACTTAAGAGAATCTTATAGAAAAACTCACATGTCGCTGCTCTGACTGGCAGGTTTCCTGACTAACAGCTCCGGTGCCTGCCACTTCTTCATGCTGGGGTCATCTTTCTGAGTGGCCCCCTGGTTCTTCCTTGTGTAGACCCCGTGAAGACCCCAAAGCTTGGCCGTGTGCTCCCTGCTGACCAGCACGCTGCGGGCGCGGATGTTACCATGGAGGAGATCTTTACTGTGAAGGAACTCCTGATTTAGAAAAAAGACAAGAGGTGATCATTTGAATGTCAACGTAGCCTTAAATTGAGTTTAGATTTTCACTGTATGAGCCTCTCATTGCCTGGTGAAGTACTGAGTGAGACTCTGTCAACAAGAGGTAGTATCTGGATTTGTCTGTAATGTGAAAGTCAAACACTGTCTACAAAGATAAGGACATATTTATTAGTGGACTAACCAGAGCTGAAGCCACCTGTTTGGCCATGGTAAATATTCTCCTCTCTGTCATCTCACAGGGTGGATTCAGATGTTCCTGAAAGAAAAAAAAAAAACACAAGTCACTCTGTAACTCCTTGTGAAAGCCTCTTTCTGCTTTATATTCACGACTTGATGTTTAAATTGAGCTCACATTGCACCATCATAGTTTTGTTACAAATCTACCTGTCTGCATCGCCACAGGTAGCCGAGTAAGTCTCTGTTCTCCATCTCCTCTACGACAGTAACCAGAGGAGCTCGAAGTGAGACCACACCAAGAAGCTCTGGTAGAAAGGGATGTGGTCCAAGCTGGGCCAAGAAGGATGCAAAGCCCAGGAAGTTGTGTCTTTCATTCGCATCAGCCGAGTCTGCGAACAGCAAGAAGAAGAGGGAGACAAGCATGAAGAGGTAAATCAGATGTGAGGCTCCTTCCACAAAACTTCCATGAAATCTAAATCTAACCATCTCACCATTCAGGACTCTCAGCACCACATTCCTGTTCTCCATGCGGGCCCTGTAGAGGGACACAGAGGAGTCGGAGCGCAGGGAGAAGGCAGCAGGTAGTGGAGAAACCAGGTTGAAGGACTCAGGCAGTCTCTGACGGGGCAACTCTCTGGGCTGGACCACAGGAGTAAAACTAGGCTGGAAGGTCTGCTGAGGGGGGCTGGGCGTGAAGGTAGGAGCCACCACAGGCGTGGTTAGGTTTTTGGAGGGGTAAGAGTTAGGGGGATTGAAGGTGGAGTAGGAACTTGGTACATCCAGGGCAATGCTTTCATGCTCTAGGACGTTGATACCAGGTGGAGCTGTAGAGAGAGAGAGAGAGAGTGAAGGGAAGAGGAGAGAGAAGAGAGAGAGAAAGGGTATCATCAGAGATCATGAGAGCATTTACATAAGAGTAGGCAAATAAAATCATGTGTCTGTGCTGTGCTGAGAGCAGTTTCATCTATAAACAATCTATCAGTGTAAAACACCAAGTCAATCTTTTTTTTTTAAGATTTAAAACCATAAAAACACAAGATATAAACTCCTGCAGTTAGTGGAACAATTACAAGATGATTATATTCAGGATATTTGCGATGAAAGAATTTGCAAAAAAAAATCTGTCTAACAATATATGGAAGATTTTTAAAAATTTTTGAGTGATTATTGTGACAGATTTTTACATTTGTGTCTAAAAGTACATGTGAAATTATTCTGCTTTTTGTTTGTTTTGAATGTAGGATCGTCCATGGCAGGGTTTTACTCTCTTAAAATAACAGGCGGATGATTCAGGTTCGAAGCCAAGTTTGTTTTTAAAGAGGAGTAACACACTTGGGAAGTAAGGACAGTTTTTAAAAACGCCAAGAAAACCATCATTTTAATACAAAGACGAATTTGTAAACTGATCTGCCCTACATTTATTACAACAATAATAATACATTTTAATTGTAATGCCCTTTACAATCAAGCGACCTCAAAGGGCTACATCTTAAAAGCAATGACATTTTACAGAAAATAAAAACAGGTTATTGGTTAAAAAGAAAAAAACAAGAGAAACATTTAGTTTTGAACATTTTTTGAGAAAGCAGAATCCAAGAGGGCTTCCTGATTCTTTCCTGACAATTCTTACCCTGGTAGAAATGTATGGTATGCTTTGATTGATTTCAATAACAAGTTGCACATTTCCGTCTTTTTTAAAGTCCTACCATCAATGCCGTGCAGCACCCTCCTGGTGTTCGGCTTTGAGCTCTGTGGACGGATCTTATCGACTCTCTCAGGACAGAATCGCAGCAGGAAAATGAAGACCACTGTGACCAGGAAGCTGGCCAGCAGCAGGATGGGGACAATGATCACCTCCTGCTCATACACACGGATCTCTGCAAACAGGTACACACACATACACGCAATCTCTTACCAACAGCAGGTCTTAGATACACAGATCTGGAAGAACCAGATGTGTTTGAGTGTACAATCTGTGTTTTCTGCTTATCTGTCAGCTTGATTGCACCATAACAAATCCTCCGAAGGTCAAACAAAGTTAGTGAGCAAAACTCCTGGTAAGACTCACCACAGATTGTATCCCCATGTTGACAGAGAGAATCTGCGTCTGATAATGAAGACATCCTGTTGGGTTTTTAACAAGAGGTTTAGGTTAAGTTGGATCATACTTTATACATCATTCATGCATGTCTGTCAGGCTTTCTGTATTTGCACATGCTCACAGTTTTTACATACTGTAAGTTTTTGTTGTTCTTAAACACGCAACAGTTAACGTGACAGTGGCAATCCTGAAACCCATTCAGTCTCCGGCTGATCAACAAATAGTAACATGACTCTCTACATGGTGTCCAGTATAAGAAGGTGTCTGAGCAAACATGTAACTGAGAACAGAGTTTAAGATGTTGTCTGAAAGGTGTGCCATACCGTCTCGAACTACCACTGATGGCTGGTATAAAACAATCTACGCCTCAAAAACAATCATATGAATTTCAACTGATGTACTAGTTTTGATATTTAGGATGCAAAGCCTGGATTTCAATCTTTCAGGAAACACTGTACAAGCTTTTCAACCGAGAGAAACAACCGACTTTACAGACAGATGTATTAACCGTAAACTAAGCTACTTCTCATATTGTGATCTAAATCAAAAGATGTGATGTTGAGGAACAAAAGTGACACCATAGCTCCTCTGGGTAACTCTAAGACAACATGATCATCCTCTCTTGTCAGATACAAGAACTCCAAACCTGTTCATCTGCATTTTTTTAAACATAAATGCTGGTGTTGTACTACACACCCAAAGGGCAGATATAAGTGGTTAAACAGCCTCAGCGCATGTTCCCAAACTCATAAAAAATACATGTCATAAAAATCCCAGAAACGTTGTACCACAAGTAATGAACACAGATATGGTAGCAGATGAAGAATCAGATCACTGCACATCAGCAACAACGATATTGAGATTAAAACGACGAGTCAAGGAAATAGTGTTTTGAACCCTTACCTCAGCTTCTTCAGTATTGTCTTATCTTCCAGTTAAAGTCCTGATGTTACAGGCTCATGTTTCCCTCCTTCAAACAGTCAGACACTTTTCATACATCCTATCGACTGAATGTGGAGTCCGGGTTCAGCTGAGCTCTTCAGATCTTCACTGTCTTGTTTTTCTCAGACTATAAGACAGGCTCGAGGGAATGCTACGCCACCTCTCTGTTTGTCTATGTTCCACCTTCTTTGACTCCACCCTCTTCACCTACACCTTATCCCTTTTCTCCTCTGTGTACTTCTTCCTCCTTCCTCCTTCTCAGTTGAAGAAGCGGTGCATCATGCTGACACTAAGTTCGTGGTAACCCTCAGTCCTGCCCTGCCTACCTCTCCCTGGGTTTGCTCCTCCTCATTCTCCAATTAGATTTTTCTTCCAAGCTGACATATGTGGGCTAGCTGTGGCCCTGCCTCTCACCTCTTTGTTTTGAGAAACTGGTCCTGCAGCTCCTTGTCATTTTTAGTCCTCGGTCTTTTGTTACGCATGTTTGGCCTTTATCACACTGGAACTAGTACGACAGGCTCAACGGTACCTGGGGAATTTAGAAGGCAACAATAAACTGTATTTGTTTTATTGGTACAGGCGTTAGATGATGGGAAATATCCCAATGTGTAAATAGTTTAATGTGCAGTGTCGGAAGGCCAACCTGGAAAATCACCAAAGGACTATGTAAGAGGACAAAGTCACAGTAAAGTTTACGTGATACTCCACAGATGTACAAGTAAAGAAGTTATACCAACAAAATGTACATGGAAAAATCATTACACGAATAAATATTATTACTGACCAGCAATGTGTACCTAACACTTGTAGATGGTTGGGGTGGGGCTTGATTCAACAGCTCACTTTGAAAAGACATTAATGAAGCTCATTAACATTATTATTTATTAACTGGACTATCTGCGTGTATAATATTATGTCAAAACAGCATTTTGTCCATCTATTAGACTCGTATCTGCACTCGTATAGGTCTAACTTAACATTATATAATTATCTGGGCACTATGTGAATGATGAGTGTACTTATACGTCTATGTTAGCTTTGCTGATCCTGTTAACACAGCAAATTTCCCCACCATACATAAATCAATAAATATGGGTTTATCTTGTGAGAAACTTGATTATAGATTAACCCTCATTGATTTTTCTGATAAAGATTATGAAAAGTGGTTTACAATGCTTTCTGTCAATTTGCTACCAGACCCATTATGAAAAAAATGCTGTATTTTGATTAGTTTTCATTTTTTTCACCTTTTTTTTATTCTTGGCTCTGATAATGTAGCCTGATAGATTGCATGTTTGCTATGTGGCATACTCTGTGAACACTTTCCTAAGGGCCTACATGCTCTCTCCTATGACTGGAATGACATCTGCATGTGCTCAAGATTGACAAACTAAGAAATGAAATATGAAATGAAATGAAATAACTAAAATATTTTTAAGGCAGGGCTCTGGTTCAGGCAGGGTAGATTAGTTTTAACAAGATAATATTATTTTTATTTTAATTATTCTGTTGTTCTGGATGTGTGGAGAGAATGAACACCTATCTCCTCCTTTTATTTTACAAATCAACTCTTTGTATTATTGTTTTGCTTTTATATTTTTTTTAAGTTGAAGTTGAGACATTTCTTGTAAGATGGTGTTATCAGCCATTCTTTACACCCACTGAAATGAACCACAGCATATCTCAGCTCACACAGGGAGAGAGATGGGTTACACCCAAAAGGGCTCATCACAAAGCAAACAAAACGTCAGCCGCATACAAACTAACATTAATCCCTGAGGGCAATTCAGCTGCAAGTGTACTCAATCTGCACGATGTATTTGGACTGTGAGTGGACAACTGTCGAAAACAGTCTCTGCTCAGACTTATCATAGTGATACGTTTAAAAATCAAGTGTCAATCATGAGAATAGCTGTGCTGCAGCTAAACACGATTTAGTAATAAAATCTGTCAAAGGACGTAAGAACTGTCTGAACCGTATGCCAACCAAGTAGCTCCTAATGTTATAGTGCTGTGTGTGTTGTGTACAGTTGTGCCAATCACCGCAGGCTAACACCCCCCACATTGACAAAGCTAATATGCAAATATTTAGCATTTTCAAAGCTCACCATCCAAACACAATGTCATGTTTGCTGCTTCCAACCAAAACAGACAAAGAACATGATTTGGAGAAATTGTGAATTAGCATGAGATGATTCTGTTCAATATGTAACCATTGTTACGAATATAAGTCCATCGGAGCTCATGTTTAATGCATAGGTTCAGTATTTATAGTCATATTTATCGATGCTGTGTAATTTCATTCCAATGCAGAAAATGTTTAACCTTCCTCCTGTGTTAGCTTTTACTACACACCCACCATGTTAAGGTTCGGTTTTGACCCGTGTCAAATTATACATAAATTACACTAAAAACAATTCTCTATCATCCAATTTGATTCTCATCTCTAGGTTACCTTGTTAGGCTTCATTATCCATGAAAATATTGCTTATAATAGTTTTTTTAGTGTCCCTCTGGGCCTTTCTTTGTCAGTATGCCCTCATACAGACATCTATACTGAATTGATCTCACATTTCTGGACATGCATGACGTTGTTATTTTTACAGAGAAATACATGGAAAAATAAGAATTTCCTCAATCTCACATGATCGGAAGAGGATCTGACTTTCAGTGTGGTGCCTGACAGTGCACTTGTGGTTTCAGTTTTTGCTCTAAATATTAGGTATTAATCTAACCGGGTCAACAGTGACCCTAACACGACAAGTGCTATAATTTTAATAAGAGTATTTTATAATTTAGTCAATTTAATTTTTATTTTGTATTTTGTTGAAATAGAGGTTCCTGACAAAGTCAAAACGTCTTGATGCAAAGAAACTTATTTAAGTGGTTCTTTTGAGCATTTAAAAAGAAAAACGGGTCAGTGCAGACCCTAACACAGGAGGAGGGTTTATTAAAATGGGCCTAAGGTAATGTTAAAAAATGCATGCACTTGTATCATCAACTCCTCACCAGGGAAGACAGGCAGCCAAATGAAATGTCCTGTTACCTTGTATTTTTGTTTTCTCTGAGTAGGAACACTGTTGTAAACAATCAGGATGATATACTCGACAGAGTTTATAGCATGGGCTGATCATCTCTTGTCATTCTGATGCAAAAATTTACATAATTTGCTTTCAACGCAGCACAGCTAAGGAGGACAGGAATGCTAACTGTTAAAACCTTTTTCAGTCTTGACTAAAAGTGAATTGGGATTTTAAGGGGATGGTAGTGCCAAAGTTTCTACAATTCATCAGTCTGCAAGAGGGATTTGCTCCTTTTAATAGGCACATAATTATTATACAATATTTACACTGTTCATTGTTATTTAGTTACACTAGGAATATGCTGAATGGTTCCACGAGGCACGGATGAAAAATGTGGAATTTTAAGAATTACAAAAAAATCAAAGACAGAGTTTTAATGTGATGCAAATCCAAAAATCTGTGAGCACACTGTGTGAATGCAGCTCGCTCTCTCTCTCACAGTTTGGCAGCTGATTTGTCAGGCTGAGGTCCCAGCCACTTTTCACCTGAAACAGAGAACTAAATGAGTCTGGGGCGAGAATCTAACTGAGTCTTGAATGCTGATGAGAAGCTGGACTGATCATACGACTTATGACTGAATTGTCATATGAGGGGTGATGAAAAGTGCAGGTAAGGTAGTTTATTAAAAATTGTGTGCGTGTGTGTGTTCTTGTGAATAATTTTCTCACCGATGCAGTGAGCCATGAGCTCAAATCTGTCAGATCCAAAAAACATCTCTGGCTTGCCTTCAACATGGCACACAATCAAGGGGAATCCAAATGCCTAGGGAGGTGCAGGGAGAGAGAGAGAGATGCTGTTCATTGCACTGTCTTGTCTGAATCTACAAGGAGAATTGAGGGAGACTGACCCCATAGTTCAAGGCATCTTGTGAGGAGAATTTCAGCTTGTCTTTGATCTTCTGTGTGGTGTACTTATTCAGCAATTCTTTAATCTCACTCTCGGATAATCCAGCTTTCATTGCTGCCTGCATCAAGAAAAAAGAAAGAAGGAGCAATGTTCATACTCTGATAAAATACTGAAAAAGTCTCTCAATGTTCTCAGATATAATCAGTCAGCAAAGTGGGTACCTCAGACAGAGATGCAGGTTCAGTGATGTCCTTGTCCTCGCTCCAGATCCGTCTCCACAGCTCCCGGGAAACACGCTCCACCTGCTCGTCTCCACTTTTCTCCATCTCCTGCACTGCCGTCACAAATCGCATCGCAGACAAAGAGCCTGTGGGTGAAGAAAACAGGAGAGAGATGAAACACCTTATAAGCAAGGCTGCAGCAGAAGTGGACTACTTGGGCAAACACTGCGAGTACCTTTTACGAACATGGCCTCAGCAGGGTTAGATGGACTCTCCAAGGGGACATTGAAATACTTTGCCAAACGCTCCAGATCCTTGGTCATGTAAAGGAATTTGTTTGGAACCAGACCAGGGGGCTTGTTTCCTGTCATGAGAGATTCATTTCACCTTATTTATTACAGTACTAATATTTTTCACACAGTTATGAACATATGCTCTGCAATGGGTCAGAATCATCATATTGTAATTGTTGATAGTTTTAGTTTTTCTGTCAAGTATCGTACTTTAAATCTGGACAGACTGAAGTTATATTCAAAGTTTCATGCTTTGCCTGTTAAAGTTTTAATAAGAGGATCGTCTTTTATTGAGCTATTTTGGTCCTCATATTTTAGTATCTTTTACTGTTGTTTTCATTTCATTTTATTAATTATTTCTGAAATATCATTCTTTGTTTTCAGATTTTAACATAAACCTCCAGTCTTTCCTTATCTTGAGTTTCCAAATGACGTTTCCTCAGTGCGCACATTCCTGTTTCCACGAAATCAAGCCCTTTTTCAGTTTATGCATTTTAATACTGTTTCTGTTGCAATTAGATCGTGGTGTGGGAATGAGTGGTTGGGCTGGGGTTGATTTGGGTATTCTTTTAATCCTGGATTGGGGTAAATTTGGGTATTCTTTGTTTCTTTTATTCCTTTTTTTGTGTAAAACACTTTGTGCTACATGTTATGTATGAAAAGTGCTATATAAATAAAGACTGATTGATTGAAGACTGATTGAAAGAAGATGACTATACTCCAGGAAAGATGCCATGTGCACTGTTCTCAGCTTTAATATCTACCTTTTTACCAGATTATTTACCTGACCCCTGCATGATGCCACCCAGAAATGCAGGGCGCAGTTTCAGCTCTATATTCCACACGTTTCTGTATCTGCACATGACCTGCAGAGAGTCCAAACAAATACCAGTATTATTGGATCTGTAGCTTTCTTAGTGCCCACCGACAAAATAATGCCAACACTGACCTCAAAGCCCAGCCAGGAGTACGGAGAAACCACATCATAGAAGAGCTCGACCACTTTCTTGGATGTCATTGTACGTCGGTGCACAGCTCAGTGTGTCAAAGTTCAGCTAAACTGACGAAAAGCTTCTAGATGTGCTGGTCAACTCAAAAGTGAAGCTTTAACAAACGATGTAAAGTGAATCACTTCGGTTGCATTAAGTTAAGCTAAACTAACTGGATAAGCCAGTCGGAATATTTGATTTTACTCCATGTAACAAGAATGGGATCTGTCTGCAACAATGTCTGACAGCCTGCACAATATAAATACCCCAACACGATATCGCCCTCCTCTGGAGACACTCGATTACTCGATTATCGTCTTCTTCTTCTACGACTCGTCATGAAGTTTTTCTTCTTCGTCTTAATTTCAAACAACACCGTAGAGGTTTATTACCGCCACACCCTGGACTGGAGTACAAACAGCATGTCAAACGTAAAAAGAGAAAAAGACCTTGATCCAACGAGGATCAAAATTTTTTCTAAATTAAACAAACATGTTTGTTTCTTTAACTGCTCAACCTTTTTTCAAAACAGTATGAATCTTTTTTTAATTAATATAAGCTTTATATCCAATGTTGTTTCCCATCTGTTGAAGCCACTGTTCAAATCAGCATTCAGCAGTGATATGGTATTTTTAATGACAACATAATGCACTAGAGTAAACACCATCAATATATTTGAGCCTTTATTTGGCAGTTTGATATGTGTCACATTTCACTGAAATACAATGAAAAGATTTTAATTTATCTGTTTATTCTCAGAAATACTCTTTACTTTTACTCTAAATTTACACACAAGCCATCCACAAGGATAATAACAGATACCTTATAGGCTAGTGATGTTTATATGTATGTACATTCATGTCTAAAAGCTACCAACACTTTTCTTTTATGTTTCTTCTTGAGGACTAGCTTGATCTTTGAGTTCAGCTGCTCCTGAACTGTCAGAGAGATGGGGCAGAGCTCCAGGAGGTTTATCACTAAAAAAGGAGGAAAAAACAGTTATGGTCGACTGAAATATGAAAAGATATGAGCTTTTTGTTATTCTTACCTTTCTCCGTCTTTCTCTGCCTGTGAAGGAAATGAAAAACAATAATCAGCTGCTACCTTTTGATAAGTTTAGGTTTTGTCAAAAGTATTTTCAGATGGTGAATATTTACCTTTGGTCTCTGTGATGCACCGACAGCAACTTTCCTGGGGACCCCAAGAGTCTCAAAAGAGTGGCTCCGCACTCTGATGGCTCTCTGATGGAAGAGTGGGAGAAAAAGAGTGAATCAAAACTATGAAGCTAAGACTGTGACTTGAAGAGTGAGAACAGCATCTACCTTAAAGTTCTCAATGAATCCTCCGCTTCCCTCTGACACCCCTCGTACTCCCTCTGAAGACTGTAGACCAGACAGCGATGGATCTCCCATCATGCACTGGGAGCGAGTTGAGAGTTCAGTCTGCAAGCTCTCTAGCAGAGATGATCGGGTGCGAAGCTTTATACAAAAGAAGAAAAAGGTAAACATGACAGAATGAAGTAAGACACCAATGAGAATATTTAGAGTGCAAGAACATAAGGGACATGTCTCTTTTTTTTCTCCTTTACCTCTAGTCTGCTGAAGCGCTGAGCTTTGTAGCAGGAGATCTCTGCATTGATGAGTTTGGTCAGAAGGAATTCCCTCAGCAGGGATCGCTTTAAGACAAGAGGCAAGAACATGTTAATCTGTGACAGGGTCATGCACAAGAGGCCAAGATTTTATGCATGTTTGGCTAGCAAAGGCTGATTCTTGTGGCCTAGTCTAATAGAGGAGCTACCAGGGCTTTTTGAGTTCATCGCAGGTGTTTGTGTGTAAAGCTGCAGGGGTGCTTATGCTGACCCTGGTTCACAGAGAAAAGTGCCTACAGTGTGCATAAATGGCATCAAATTGACCACTTCTCAATGTAAGAAAGAAACCCAGCTACAACCCAGATCTCAGTCCATGGACTGCTAAGTCTGATCCATGGAGGCCTGAGCTTGTGGTTTCCAGGACTTCAAGAACTTCTTCAGAGGTCTAGTGCAGTCCCTGTCTCATCAGATCAGGGGCCTACACAGTATTAGACAGGTGGTCATGTTATTAAAACCCTTAAATGCATTTTGTATCATATTTGACACATACTTTTATATACTTCTATCAAATCAATATAATCAACAAATCACTAAAAAAACACCTGGATACGGTCTGATAAATGATACAAATGTCCTCTTGTAGTTTATCAGTTTCCAAAAACATTTAATGTATCAAACGAGATAAATAAATATATTTGTTAAATTTTAAGGACATTTTGATTTTTTTGGTTTTCAGTAGTAAATGAAAAAAACATTCCATCGCCAAAAAAAATTGAATTTTCTGGCCATAATTTGTGGTGTCAGGCATTAAAGGGCTACGGCTGTTCAGTGCATGTATGTGCTGCTGTTTAAATTTGAGTGTCTTGGCTGCACAGGGGTAACCAATAACACCATGTTTCATCAAAGTGTGTTATTAAGCTGTGCCAGCGCAAAAATAAGCCAAATGGAACTCGTCTCAGGATTTATTGAATTAATTCCACCTGAGCCACTTTACCCTGACATGTCAATACAAGTGCTAATGGAAATTAGCAGGAAATTTGCTGTTGAGTGGCAGATTGGTTGAACACATTTTTCACAGCACATTTTTACTTGTCAAAGCTGGAGAGGTTTTAGCTCAAAAATGACAAACATTGTTGGCAGCTGTATGCCATTAAGATGAGCCAATTTCAAGGTCCTGAAAGAAAACATGCTAAATCCCTGTCATGGGTATTAAGACACTAAATGGAATTGAGCGGCTGTTTTTATCACTTACACCTGTGCATTTTCTTCTCTAAAAAGGCAAATATCTCCCATTAAAAAGGTTCTTCAGGGTGGATTAAAACAAAGGAATTTTGCCTATAATGTTGTTTTGACTGTTGCTGTAAAACCCACTTCTTTAAGAATAAACAAAGTGAACTCTTTTATTTTACTTTGGTGTTTATTTCTACCTCTGTGAAGACTGGAGGATCAGGGAGGACAGGGCCAAAGGGAGGGACATCTTCTCTGGCTGTGACAGACACCTGTGAGGAACAAAAGAGGGACCTAAATGATAAACCTTCCCGCCACAAATGACCTGATGACTTTACTGACCAAAAAGTCTCATCAACATTGCAATTAACAAATAAAAGGTGACAAAAATGTAGAAAAATGCTGGGGCTATTAATATTAGAGCAATGACATATTTCCAAGTCAGCCTCCAGACATTGTTTTATGTTTCAGACAATGCTCCAAGAAAAGCTTGGTGATATAACAGGGTAGTTGGCTACGATAGATAAACAGATATCATGAGAGTTGAGCGCCACTTTGATCTATTTGGGTTGAAGAGTCACCTGGTAAACAGTTTTGTCTTCCTCTTCTGGTCTCTGAATCCTCCGGACCACCAGGAAACAATGTAGGAAGTGAGACTTGATAACATCAGACAGAAAGGGAGTCTGGCCCTCCTGATAGACCAGCGCTACGATGTCATTACCGATGTGTCTTTTTCTTTGTAACTGTGGAGGATGACCAAGAAAAGAAGAAAAGAGGGCACCATTATCTGCTGAAGAAACTAGTCTCAGAATTGGATCTGAAAATAGACTTCACACCGGCTGACCTGCTGGGGGTCACCCTCTGTGAATGGCAGCTTAGTTGCGACATGGAACATGATTTCTCTCCCGTGAAAGGAAGTGTAGACGGCTTCACTTCCTGTTTGACCGTGACACACGTCCAGTCCTCCTCTAAATCTGAGAAAAGGGAGTAAAGAGATATTACACATTGCCTGTGTCATTATGCTGCTAGATTAAATCATCATTTTGCAATTTACCTGGTAAATCCTTGTAGTTCAACAGTCTCTCCAAGAACAGAGAGGAACTCTTTAAACTCTTCACTCTCCGTGTTGTTACTCAGTATGTCTTCCTCAGTGAGCTACAGACAGATGGATGTTGTCTGAGAGGGGAGGCTGTGAGATTTCAGACACTTGATGAATGCAGAACATTATCTTTTCAATTTCTTACCTGTCCTTCCTTTTGGTACAAAATGCCAAACTTAAAATTTGGAGACACTCTGTGTTCATCAAACGCAGTTATTAGATCTGGAGCCTGAGGGACGAGCGAGAGAAGGAGGGAAAGACTGACTTTAATGGATTTTTTGAATCAGGTCGTGTAATGTTTAAAGCTCTTGTAAAGACCCTTTTAAGCTGGCTTTGAAAAGGACTTAAATCAAAACTGATAACAGATGACAGAAATGTGAAAAACTTTTTTCATGTGGGTGCCAAAAGTGACACCAACCAAAAGTTCATCACAAAGTTTTAATTTGTGGTAATGTAAGAAGATTACCTTAAGGTAGCCGACCACATCAAACTTTGCAACAGTCACTCTGTCACAGAGCATCTAGAGAGAAAAAAGGGATTTCAGAAACATGTTTCACTAAACCAGAGGTTCAAAATTACATTTTTTAAGTACTTTAGAAAAAGGATTTTTCAGTACAAGTAAGATGTAGTTTTCTTCAGTATCTATGACATAGGCTTCTTAATATTAGTATTTCACCATACTCAAAAGTGCAGTATTTCTGTATGTATTAAGTAGTGCTTATAACCTCTACTTTATTGAGCCACAGTTCTCCCCCCGGGTCCCAAAGAGACACTGACAAATTTCTCCCAGTAACACAGTCAGCATGTTTGAATGAGATTAGTACAACTAACACTGAGCAGCCTCTGCCATCATGTATGAATTTAATGTAAACAGGTGAATGTGGCATGTTGAATAAAAGTGCTTTGAGTGGTTTAACTACAAGGAACCACTACAGAAGAAAATACACAAATGGATGAATGATGTTTTAACCCTGAAATGATTTGTTTAAAGCTCACATGAGGAAATTTAAACAAGACTGTCAGGGACAGGACTGCTCATTTGTACACCATTATTTTAAACACCTGAAACCCATACGAAGTGTTAGGTGCCTGCCAAACAACTGAAGAACCAGGCCTGATTTTACAATTTCCACACATACTAGTCAAAAATGAATGATACTTTGTCAAAAGTCAACAGGGTGAGACACTATTTAATCATGCAGATGACAGGATAAGCAAAGACTGTTATGTCCTTGGGGGCTGCCAGAATGACTCAAACCAGAAGTTCACCACAGCGGCTTTAAAATATTCAAAAATCTGGATTTAGAGTTACTGAAGTGTGTTGCATCAAAACCAGATTTCCTGGAAACAAACATGTTGTTTAAATTTTCCATTGGATTCTGATTTTTGTTACTTGATTGTTCACTGAATGCCAAAATTCTCATAAAGTGTGTAATAATACATTTGATACCTTTGCTAATTCGACAGCAGACGGGATGTTGGGGAAAAGAGAGACAGAGAAAACTCCATGTAGAGAACACTCCCTCATCCTGCAGGACAACAAACACAGCACCAGTATTATCTGTTTTTGTAGTGCAGTATTCCTAAAATTAACAAGTAAATCATACAGAAACATTCAAATCAAGTATAACCTGTATCCTCAGACATATGAGCAGGGATAGGAGTTTGGGCTGAATGATAAAGGAATGAGTTTTCAGTCTACAGTTGTTGCAGGTGTTTAAAGTGACTGAAGATCTTTACCTGAGTATGACCCGTATCTTGTTCTCTTCCTCCTCTAAACACACAGACAGAACCAAAGGCCCCAGTGCTGGATCCACTGCTGTGAATGAGTGATGGTACTAAAGACAAGGGAAAGATGATAAAACATAAACCTCAATCCAGAAAACAGGAAATTATTCTTTAACATTCTGGACCAACTCTGCTTACCCGTGAGCGGAAGAACTCATGATAGATTTTGGCCTCTCCATCTCTCTCCATAATGTCATAGCTCTCTGGATCTGACCCTGAGTAGGACGAGCTGGGACTCATGTCTACAAGCCTCTCAAGTGGGGGGTCTATCCAGTATCCCCCTGACTCTGAAGGCAGGATGAGCGGCAGGTCTCCACCTATTGTTAAAATCTGAGACTAAAATAGACACAGCAGAACACCACATGATGATGATGATGTGTTCGTGTATTTTTTGTTTTTGGTAAAACAAATGTCATGACGCTCCTGAAAGGGTCAGCACTCAGTCATAGAGTCAAACCAGCATATCCAGTCCACTATGTGTGTGTGTTTTATCCCCTCAGACCAAAGACTAACCTTCAGAGGAAGAGGGAACTCACACCGCTGCTCATCGATCCTGCTGCCCTGATGGACAAGGAGTATTGATGATGAGAAACTATCCTAACACACATACAAACACAAACAAACACACACACTATTCACGATCAATAGCCGTGCAACTCACCTGCAGCTTTTCTATGATTTCAAACAGCTCAGTGTCCTGATATGAAAAACAGGCAGGGCACAGGGGGGGGGCAGACGAAACCAGAGACAGTGAAAGGGAAGAGGAGGAAAAGGAGAAGAAGAAGAAGAGGAACATGACTCACACTTCAGTTTCATCTTGACTTTTTAGAGAGGCAGGATATTGGAAAACTTGACGTATATTAAAATTAAATTAAATTTAGGGGGGTTAGGTGCATGCTCGCTGAATATGATGATTAGACCACCCTCTGGTTGCTGCTGGTAGAGAGGAAAGGCTTGCTTTCAGTCACAGGAGAGTCCAGGATGTCCAAAATGTTGTCCTGTACAGATTCAGGCCTGCTGCAACAGGTAGAAAACATTGGAGAGAGAACAAATTGTATTTTTAGTCCAATACTTTTTGTAGGGCAAAAGCTGGAATGTCACCTGATGTGAAAAAAAAAAGAAAAGTAAACTTCACCTGGCCTCTTCCCCACATGTGAATTTGTCTACACTGTAAACAAGGAAGTGAGAACTATGAGAAAAGAAAACTTGCAACAAGAAGATTTATCCTATAGAATCAGCCACAAAACTCTGAGCTCAAATTTGAAACAACCGGTCTTTACTCACCCTCCATATGCCCCAAAAGTGAAACTTCTCTTCCTGGAGAGGGACGTGTCATTCCTCTTTTCTCCCTCCATAGCTGTGGTGTCACTTTGAGTGTGTGTACATGCCAGCTTGTGACCGAGTCAATCAGGGCTGGCTGAGGTTGAATTAATTCACTCTATCATTCTGTCACTCCTCCTCCTCCTCTTCCTCTCTGCCCCCTGCCTCTCTCTCATTTAAGCTTCCCTTTCCTCCCTCTGTCCTGCTGTCAGACACACAGGCAGCTTTAACCTGCTCATGCTCGCAGTTGAAGCAGCTGCAACAAGGTGTAAAGAAGAAGACGGACACTGCTTCTGCCATCGATCCCTGCGCTCTGATAAACACTTGTGGTTCTCAGGCTCACTGGACTCAAAGATAGACTTGTAAATAAATAAGGAAATGGGTGAGACATTTTCTCCTAGACCTGTTACCCTTTGAGTCAGAGGGATCATCAATTATTGACAGCCCACACAGTGAGGGTGAGGAGAGAGACAGCAGGGGAGGGCGAAGTAGGCCTGAGGAGAGGAGGAGAGGGGGAGAGAGAGGGAGGGAAGGGAGAGAGAAAGGGAGAGAAAGAGAGGGAGTATGCACATTTAAATTCTGAATAATATTTCAGGAACTGTGAGAGTGTGAAATGTTTTACAGTTCCTTTGCTTACCAAACTAATGAAGAGGAAATGTCGGTCTAGGCCTTAACTTCCAGCTCTACTAGAAAACTTCTCATTTGAAAAAAAATTTCGATACTTGAGGGAAAAAACATAAATACATTACAAAAATCTAACTTACAAATGTCCCAATTTTTATCAGAACCATGCTTGTGATAGACACAAGTACCCTATTAGTTAAACTAAAAACACCTGTTGTACAAAACACTGTCATGTGTTAAAGGGATATTCTGATGTAAAATTAAGTTGGGGTCAAACACACAGTAACACCGAGTTAAACACCCCCTCGAGAGATGAATGTTGCCAACCACTTGCTTCTCTAGTTATACCAACTTTAGTAACGAACGCAGAATAGCAATACAGAGAGCTATGCGCCCAACCAAAAAAGCCACTCTATAGCCATAAATAATGCTCAGAAAAGCACCTAACTTCATCAACAGTACATATAGGGTCCCAGCCACAGCACTAGCCACCAAACATCTTATTAGCTTTGCCTAATTTCTTTAGCAAGGAGACTAAACACAATTCACCCACTCTTTTCCAGCAGCCACTTGTTTGTACAGAGACCTCCGGGCGAGGAAGAACATTTACGATCATTTCTTCATGGAAATGCAATCAGACCAAGACGCTAAGGCAGAAGAACTACCACATCTGCAGTGCAAAATGATTCATATGGTGATTATTACTTCAAGGAAATGATAAAGTAATGATCATTGATGTTCTTCCTTGAGCTGCGCCATCCCGCTGCAGTCGATGGACTCGCCGGGAGGTCTCCGTACAAACAAGTGGCTGCTGGAAGAGGGTGGGTGAATAGTGTTTAGTCTCTTTGCTAAAGAAATTAGGCAAAGTTAAAATGAAGTTTGGTGGCTAGTGCTATAGCTGAAACCCTAAATGTACTGTTGATGAAGTTAGGTGCTGTTCTGAGCATCATTTGTGGCTATAGAGTGGCGTTTGGGTTGAGCGCATGCCTCTCTGTATTGATATCATGTGGTCGTTACTAAAGTTGGTATAACTAAAGAAGCAAGCAGTCGGCAACACTCATCTCATGACAGGATGTCTAACTCTGTGTTACAGTAGGTTTGACCCTAACTTAATTTCACGCCGGAATATCCCTTTAATAATATTTCTACTATATGGTAATTATACCAGATGACTTAGTGTATAAACTTTTATTGTGACAAACGATGGAGCTATTTTTCACTTTACAACAGCTTAGTTTGTGATACAGCACTTTCCATGAACAGCTAAATCATCTAAAAGACCATTAAAAACTTCAAAGTAAATGTTGTGACCTATATTATATCGTCATTCAAGAGCAATAACAATCTATCCTTTTCTACTTAAATGATTTTTCATGAGTAAACTCTTTGTCCAAATCTTTACAGTGCTTCTTATCAATCAGCTTCTTATCCACAGAAGACAGTTACAAATTCGAAATGCCACTTTACTGAAATTTCGCGGTAGGAGGCACTACTCTGTAAGGAAACAGCCGATTGGTAGCTTGAGACGCCACTCGGTATTTTCTGTGATTTCATTGGTCAGAATCCAAAACAATGACATGTGTAGCCCCGCCTCTTCTCTATGCAGCAGATACCCCGCGGAAGTTGGTTTGTGGAGTGAGGTACGGGATGTTATTATTTTGCTTCTATATAGTTTGAAAGCGCTGTCAATTTTCCAGAATACTACCGGGCATTTTGGTATCCTGTTGCAGAAATAGAAGACTCCTCTGAAGAAGGTTTGGGCGGGAATAACATGTCGCTCGCTTAAATTCAAGGGAAAAAGTCGAAGTGAGCTAGCTAGCTTATAGCACTGGAAATTAGCCATTACCGTTTAACAGTAAATACACTTTGATACTGTCTCTGTACCGTAACGTCGGTGTTTGACTAAATCTGGTTATTTTGGTTAGCTGGCCTCGTTAGCACATAATTTGGCTGTTTCTCTGCATAGACTGGCTTTGTTAAGTTAGCATTGTCTGTGTTTTCTGTTGTGATTTAGTCAACATGTGTCTAACTCTTCGGTTATGTGGTGATAACACGCTAACAGATGTGTAATATAATCTCCCAACTAGCTGTAAAATGCTCAACGATACTTCCTCCTTCTTGTTTGTGTCTCGTTGATAAAAAGCACATCTGTTTTACCTCATAGTAGTACTTCACGGTCGGCTTACATTTACTATACTGTGGTTAATCCTCAGTTTTGTTGTTATTTAGGCTGGTGTGTCCTCGTTTCCTGTCCTAAACCTGGTCTCCTGGAGCTAAAATGTTGGAGTGTGGCATGCTGGAGCAGGACAGACGGGCTCTGCGGAGACGCTCAGCTGTACTGTGTAAACAGCTGGTTGTGGATGAGCTGCTCATTCACTTGCAGGCAGATGAGATCCTGACTGAGAGCATGGCAGAGAGCATCATGGTATGTGAGCACTGCTGTTTATGGACTGTAGTGATTCAAGACACTTGTCTCATTGCTAGGTTTGATCAAAGATACCAAATTATGGAAAGTCAACAGAGTTAGATGGCTACATACAAAAAAGTTCTCATATAAGGGATGTATCATATCAATGATGTACTTTAACCCTAGAGCACTATCGCTAAAATAAGTAACACCATCACTCTCGCCGGGTGATTTTTACCCAAAATAATATACCCAAGAAAAAGTACTTGTATCAAAATAGGACAATGCATGACAAATTAAAGTAGTTTTCTTTTATTTTTTACTGTGAAATGACTCAGGGTCCTTGGCACAATAACAGCTGCAGGACAGAGAACCAAAATATGGCATATTTTGAGTGAGTTAAAATGACCAGCTGACTAAAATATTTCTTATCACCATATGAATTCCCTTGAAAATCACTATTTTGTGATAGTTATTCATAACCACTGTGCTAAATAAAGAAAGCATGCAAATTCTAGGGCCGCTTTTACTGAAATTATTCGCCTACATGCAGCTATCAAATCCACCCAAACCTACTTTACCCTCTATCACTATTGCAAAATCACCTGAACACACGACTGTAGGGAAAAGCGGGTTTTGTACTAGGGAAACAAATATTCCATCAAAGATGTCAAAGGAAATGCTGAAGCTACCCAAGTACCCATGATACTCAGACAAACGCAACATAATGAAAATCACGTAAACATGTTTAATCGGGTGAAAATCACCCATCGATGGTGTTCAAGGGTTAAGAATTAATTTTGTCCCCCTTTTAGGCTGAGCCAACATCTCTGAAACGAAACTGGCGTTTGCTACAACTCTTACCAAAACGAGGACCTAGAGCCTTCAGTAGCTTCTGCTCAGCCCTACAAGAAACTGAGCAGCAGCACCTGTGTGACCTGCTCACACAATCACCAGAAAGAGATGGAAGGGAGACACGGGTAGAGGTGAGTTTATACTCATATTAGACAGCAGAACTCGTAGGATGAAACAAAAATAGTCACTACAAGTAAGCTCAAGTATCGGAGATAGTGCAGTTTTTAGACTTTTGTTTCCGCTCACAGACTGTTCAACCAGAGGAAGCGCCAGAAGCAGAGGCAGGTCATCTAGCAAAGCAGATAACAGCAGAGAAGAGAGAGGTGAGCATTGTGCTCAGTGTCCCTTACCCGAAGTAATACACCAAGCTGAAAATGTCCCTAGATAATGTCCACAGCACTATGCATCCCTCAATATATATTTTTAAGAGGATCAATAACCTTGAGGTTGTATCGTCTTCTGCAGACTTCTTCAGTAGATTCAGACGGCTGGAGTGAGGTGAGCAGCACCTCCTCATGTCTGCGCTCAGAGTCAGCATTCAGAGAGTTGAAGCCAATCCGGGAAGAAGACAGGGAGGGAGCGAGAAGAAAGGAAGAGAAAAGAGGAAGAAGAGATAAACAGACAGATGTGAGAATCAAAAACCACATCCATATCATGTTAGACAACCATATGGCTCTCTGACGTACTCAGACAGACGGCAGGAGGTTTCATAAAAGCAAAGTCATGAGTTTAGTTGTTTTGACTGCACAAACAGCTGCTTCTCCTTGAATCTTCTCTAATGACTGTATTGTTTCTTTATAGCTGTACTGAAGTAATTGATGCTTGTTTTTCATTAATACTTTGCTTATGTGGATTTCAGAGATTTGTGGACTCTCCTCTCCCTCTTCCAGCCCAAGAAGGAGTTGCTGCCAAGAGAGCAAGGACACAGGGTGAGTGGTAAAGCAGTGTGGCCTGCATGCAGGTTAAAGTAGGTGTTTGCGTACGACGCTGTTGTCAATATTTTTCTGTTTCTGTGGAGATGAGGGGGTGGTGCTTGTTTAGTTTAAACAGACAGGTAATTAGGATTACTTTAACATGAAGACATTCTGAATCTAGCAGCAGCTTGAGAGAGTTCAGCCTTTGTACATTTATTATGTAATCATGTCACTGAGAGAAGAGTAGGAGTGCAGCTTGTGTAGCACTCAGCTGCAGTGAGTCGGTACCTACAAGCACCACGCCCCGAGAGTGACTCATTCACAGTATTGTTGTGCAAAGTTTACTATCACACAGCTACTGGCGGGAACACCCAAGGATTTGAAAACTTAGAATCAGCAATTTGACTCGTGAAGAGCCACTCAGTTGGTCACTTTTATGATGTGTGTCTGTGTTTGTGTGTGGCAGAGTCCATGGAGTTCAGTCTTGATGCAGACAGTCCCATCACCACTCCTGTGCAGCCATGTACACCTGACTTCTACCTCTCTCACTGCCAGAAGGTAAAATACTTATCTTCTCTGGGTCGTCAGCTAAACAGGTTTCAGTATTTTCTCAGTTATGCTTCACCTTTGGCCTCGTTCATGAAATACTCATCTCAAGTGTAAAATTACCTATTAATGGAAAAAGCAGGTTTAAGGCACAATATGCAGAAATACAGAATATACAACTTAATGATTGAGTAATGTATAAAAATGAGATATTTAAGTTGTCCTGGACCTCGTTCCTGAAAATTCTTTGTCATCAGAGTTTTTAGGAATCATTAACTCGTTCATGCTTTTTCACTTTTCTCTATCTAGTCCTACAGAATGAAGTCATCCCCTCGAGGTTTTGCCCTAGTCATCAGTAACGTGACCTTCGATCCCCGCGCTGCACCAGACCTTGATCCGAGGAAAGGGGGCGAGGTGGATGATGAGGTCCTTAGGAAGGTCTTCACAGAGTTAGACTACCAGGTTACAGTCCACAGAGACCTCACAGTTCAGGTACTGCAGACGGAGACAGACACAAAATGTGTTTGCTGGATGTTATTAAAAAGGATAAACCATCTATCCTGTTTAGTTGCAGGAAAATTGTAAAAGAAAGAAGACTGACCCTGTAGGTCACAGTGCTTTTAGAAAGTAAGATGTGTTTGATAGTTTCGTTTGATTCAGTTCTCATTTGAGCGCTTTCAGTAAGAGGACTTTTTATCACAAAACAAACACACAACTCACTCTAGTACCAGCGGATTTAGAGAAATTTGGCACGAGTGAGTATGTTGGCTGTTGATGTCTTGCTTTAAGACATTTTGCAAAGCTTGGGTAATGTCTGTAACTATAGAGAGACCTAGACTTAAGCTTTTCAGAACTAAAAAGCAACACTAATCTGTGTTAAACACACTTTTCTGTTCCTCTGGTTCTCTCTGTAGGCCATGAGGACGTGCATTGAGAACTTTGGCCGACGACAGGACCATCAGGCTGTGGACAGCTGTGTGGTGTGTCTGCTCTCACATGGAGTAGAGGGAGCTATATACGGCATTGACGGGGAGCTTCTGCAGGTAGGTTGTTTTGGTCAGTTTCTGTGTTTATATATTGCTTACCATTGAAGGGAAAAGACTTGTAACGTGTAACTCGTGTTTTGTCTGGTCATTTTCAGCTGGACTGGGTGTTTGAGGCCTTCGATAACGCACACTGCCCCCTGCTACAGAACAAGCCAAAGATATTCTTCATCCAGGCCTGCAGAGGAGGTGAGGCACTCTCTGTTCAGATTAACTTATTCATCATCATGACTTTTTGAGGATTAATAAACGTAAAACAAACAAACAAAAACAGATTTTAACTTTACCGTTGTTTTTATGTTGCAGAGCTACGGCTTGCTCAATGTCCTGTTGTAATAAGATTTGTTGTCAGTAGTCACTGGCTGTAATCAAGAGATGGATTTGTTCTCAACAGAAGACTCTTAGATGTCTGGAGGTTGTTTGATTAATAGCCTTTCACCATAAGCCCCATTGTTAGCTGCAATTTTTCTCTGAAGTTTGTGGCAACTCAAAGCAACGTCAAGACAAATTTATTACGGCATGTCTGACAGAGGGGCACAGCTGAGTAGGAGATGTGACGTTAGACCCAAAAAATGTATTTATATAATAAATCAGACACAGTAGAAAGATAAATGAGATAAAAAGATTTCAGTCTGATGCTTCATGTTACGGCCATACAATTGTTTAAAATCATACAATTGTTGATCAGAAACTTGACCACAAACTTGTGGAAGTGATACCATTAAATACAACAGTGTTTGGGTCAACTTGGGTTCAGCCGTACATTAAGGACCCAAATTATCCCAGTGGATCTCAGGGTACAGTCAGTGCTCCTTGACATGTAAAGAAACAAGGTGAGATGATCATAGCCTCTGCTGGAGCAGACTCTCAGTTTTTTCCAGGTGTTGCAAGTCATCAGAGCAGGGTCATTAAGCACCAGTACACACAAATGTTGATATGCAAATATATTATTGTAATGGCTAATTAATTTGTGGTTAAATGGGCTGAGTGTCTGTAACATCTTGGGGCATTTTGAAATGAATAAGTGAGAATGCAGATGGCAGCTTGTCCCTCCACATGTCCAGATGTTGTCTGCAGGCACCTTTATAGCATCAGGGACAGGTAACTATGGTTACACCTTCATAGCTTTCCATTAACGACAGAGGCCAGATGCTGTCCATATATTGATCATATGCAAAATTTTAGTCTACTGTTGAACTATTGATTGATAACATGATAGTGGTGTATCTGTGTCTGTCATTGAGGTTATGATCTGACCTCATGACCGCTAACATCCCTGACAAACTCCTCTGACCCCCCAGGAGGAATCTTAATTTCTCACACTTACTCTCCCCCACCACAGAGTCTATCACAAGTGCTCTGCTCTAAAGCCATCACATGCAACTCAGGAAACTGCCTCAGCTACTAGCTTCAGTAGTTGTTAATTGTTCAGGACAAGAAATATGCAGCTGTTGTCAAAATTGTTCATATTTATGAAAAATAACTAAATTAGTTGTATTTTGGATATTAAAGCTTAATTTTTAAAGACACAAAGCAAAGCAGCTTCCATTCTAGGTACCTTTTACTATCCATTCAAAAATGACGACAAGTTTTTACCACGGGTGAAGTCAGCTCTTCAAAAATGTAGGAAACCAGGCAGTCATTGGACCGCTAGGTGTTTGATGTTATTTTGACAATGTCTTCCAGAGGAGATGGATTGTGGAGTGGAGCAGATAGATGGACCAGTGAGGACCTGCTCTCCAAGCTGTGAACAGAGGGATGCTGGGAGGGAAGGACAAGGAGAGACAGGCTCCATGCAGAGAGGGGACATCGGTAGACCTAGGATTAAACTGCCCCAGCGCTCAGACATGATCTGCGGCTACGCATCACTCAAAGGTCAGAGAATTTGTAAGTTTGTCTCTTTCACTATTTTGTGTTGGAAATAAAAGTTGTTGTTGACCTGAAGTCTACAAGATAAAAATTACCTTATTTGACAAAAACAAATGCAGTATTATAGATGTATAGTCATTTATAGAGAAGTACAGAGTGTGAGGGTAGAAACAAATGTGTGTGTGTGTGTGTGTGTGTGTGTGTGTGTGTGTGTGTGTGTGTGTGTGTGTGTGTGTGTGTGTGTGTGTGTGTGTGTGTGTGTGTAATGACTGCCTGTCTCTTTCTTTAAACTTTCTGGGCTCTTGCTTACAACCAGTGATGCATGCAGCCTGCTTAAAAACTATCTTCAACAGAACCAACCATTAAAATGCTCAAGAATTCTACAACATCTGTAAACAGATCATGTTGGTGGAAACAAGACTGCTGCAAGCATAAAAATCAAATCGTCTACTCCAGTGGTTCTCAATTCCAGTCCTCGAGGCCCACTGTCCTGCATGTTATGGATGTTTCCCTGCTCCAACACACCTGATTCAAATGATCAACTCGTTATCAAGCTCTGTAATGGCTTAATGACGAGCTGATCATTTGAATCAGGTGTGAAACATCCAAAACATGCAGGACAGTGGGAGGCAGTCGAGGACTGGACTTGAGAACCACTGCTCTAATCAATCATTGGAGTTGTATTATGGATGATGTTCGTGGCAGGGTTTAATCAGAAGACTAATGTCCATAAAGTGGGTTAATGTGTTTCAATCATCTCCACCTTCTCTCATGTTGGAATGAAAGAGTTCATTAAGTGTTTCCACAACAGTCATCAAACAATAAGATTTTCATATTGTTCAGGACTTGTAATCTCCAGTGATACCACCAAGTCTTTGCCTTTTTTTCATTTGTCTCATCTCAGCGTGTTAATCCTGTATTTGATTGTTGTTTCACAAGGCACGGCAGCCATGAGGAACACCAAGAGAGGATCTTGGTTCATTCAGGAAATTAACACAGCTCTCCGACTGCGTGCCAGAGACACACATGTTGCAGACATCATGGTGCAGGTGATTATAAATTCAAAAATGAAACTCCCTTTTTAAAATGAAGCATCTCCAAAAACTTTTTAATTGATGCCTTTTTCTCTGTCTCAAGGTAAACGCCCGCATCAAGGAGCGGGAGGGTTACGCCCCTGGCACTGCCCACCACCGCTGTAAAGAGATGTCAGAGTTCACCAGCTCCCTGTGCAAAGACCTCTACCTTTTTCCCAAGTACCAGCCCCAGTATTGACACACAGAAGTGCACACTTATGGACTAACACGCACAGAGCATTCCTTGAACGGTAGCCCCACCTCGGGGACAGAAAGCAGTTCATTCTCTGCAAAACACTGCCAAACAGTCACACATTCCTCTGTTAGAAATGCACATGCAAACTAAAGATTTTCTACTTTTTCTGTGAATACAGCCTCTACAAACCCAAACACACCTGCATTAACTCGTGCAAATCTTGCAAATGATATCATATAATTATACATGGGAAATGGGCAACGTATTATCAGACTACTTTTTTGTATCCATGTGTCTTTGCCAGTCAGAGGGTTTAAATGTTGATCCTTTTAAATCAAGACTATTTTGTTTTCCTATTGCACAGCTATTCGAGGTTTCAAGCTCTTTTTAGAGATGTATTTTTACACAGATCTATTTTTATGCCTTTATTTTGTATGAATTGTTTTTATAAGCGTTTAAGGCCCATCTTCTTTGTTTGTACATACAATAATGCTTGTTGTAAGATGTGATCATTTCTTGTTGTTGAACATAGTTACAGGCAGGGGGCAGCACAGCAGAGACTAATGCATTTCATGATCTATCATCATCAATATTCCTCATAAGTCTGCAGTTTGAAATTATCTTTGCCGTCATGATTGCAGGCAGCTTTTATTCCAGCCATCATCAGCTACAGTGCTGATTAAACTGCAGCAGAATTTTTACTTGTTCCTAATTGAGAAGTTCAGATAATTTTATTCACTGTTTGCCTCACAAAGAGGAGACAGCTACGGAGCAGCTTTAAATCTCGATCTTGATTTTTTTTTGTCACTAATTTCTGCAAGTGTTCAGTCAGGACTAGAGTTAGAAATCGCTCTAACTTGCTCATCTACCCGCTGTGTTGCTGTAGATGTATCCCTGCCAGGGTGGTGGGCTGCCAGGGGAATGTGGTGCTACTTGTGAGGTCATACACCTTTAGTATGACCTCTGACCTTTACACTCATGGTGTATCTCCCTTCATGGGAGGTGCATACTTAGTCAGTTTGCTTGTGACATTTTGCCGCATGTGATACAGAGGGATAAAACTCGACTTTGTATGTCTTCCATAACTAATATGCAGTTTTCTACAGCGACCTGTGCCATGTGAAGATGATCTATTGGATGAATTTATGACCATGGGGCTTGTACAGTTTATTGTATCTCTTTGACACCCCCCAACCCCCAACACTCTAAGAAATCAATTTATCAAGGCTGTGTGTGTGAGCATTGATGTTTCCCAGAAAAGCCCTGAGCAGGCAAAGTGTGTTTGGTTACAACAGTGTTGTAGTGAGGAAAGCTGAATACGTGGTCGAAACAGTATTGATCGTTAACCATCTGTAAACAAAGACGCTATTAAGTAAGTGTGAGGACTTTGTGGAGGAGTTTACCCTTATCTGGGAGGTGCTTACTCCTCTTATCCTTTTGATTTTTCGGGGTCAGGAAATGTTATTTGACAAAGAAAACATTGGAGTGGTAAAGGGGAACTCTGCCACAGTCAGAGAAGTTTGAAGGTTGATACTTGTTGCCAAGCTCTGCTGAGGTTCAGCGTGGGGGGCCAGAGAGATTTGATTTCTGTCAACGCCAATGACTGCCAAATGTTCCCTACAATAAACAGGCTTTGATTCACAAATGAGACGGACTTTTGATTTTTTTTTTCTTTCTCTTCTAGCTGCGTGTCCTTGTTAGCATGTTTGCATTCGGCCGTGTGTGCATTTTCTCGTGCATTCCTTATGTTTGGCTCCAGCTGAATCCTGCACAGCGAGGCCTCTGCACGCATAGCCGCTCCTGTGCGTGCTCCACTTTATTTGATCCTCCTTGTTGCTGTGTTTGTGTGTGTTGTTCACAGCGTACAGCCCGTCCTCTCCACTCTCAGGTATAGTATAACTGGCTCCCCGCTATTCCGCTGCGCTCAGGTCTCCTCATGCTGTGACTGGGATGCATGTATCTCTCGCACCGCCTGCCGCCCAGTGATAATGTTCTTAGCATATCAGATAGAGGCCCAGCCAGCTGTCCACAGTCATTCTCCTTTGACACACACACTCACACACGCTGGTGGTCAGAGTAACACATTTCTCTCCGGCCTACAGTGTAGCTGTGAGATTAGGCTGTTATGTGCTGGCGTGTGGACCACAAAGCAGGGCGGGGTTAAGGGGGATCTGTATGAGTCTGGGTTTCTTTGTGGTTGTCATAAAGGCTGCCGGTCACATCAGCCTTAGAGGAAGAAGAGTTCGAGATGTTCCAATGAACTTATCTTTGCGGGTTGTTGTTTCTGTTCGGGGGCAGAGTGGTGGCTTCTACCTTGTGGGTCTATGAGCTTACAGCTGTTTGTGAGTGATGTATAGCTCTCATGCTAAACTGGACATCTGAACCTTCTGGAGACGTTAGGCAATATAGAGATAACTTTACCATCCTCACAGGCATTTTTTGAAGGGGGAAGGTTAGCATTGGGGGTGATTTTTTTTTTCACCCCCCAAGGGAGGTCTGCCATAGCATGTGAGCGTTATGGGGATTGCCTTGCATCATTGGCTGATTAGGTGTGAGCTGTCATAGGGGTGTCATGTGCACCTTCCTGCTCACGTTGCAGGGGCAGCCCTATGGGGGGTGCCCTTCTAACCCCCTCCTGTCCAAACAAGAACAGTCCATCCAAACACACACATACACCTAATGGCCGGCTGGCAGGGAGGGTGCTGCTAAGGGCAACAAGTTGTGTGTGTGTGTGTGTATGTGTGTGTGTGTGTGTTAGTAGGTGTCTGCAGTTCTAATAAAGGAAAGCACTGCGTCCTTCACTGCCTCATCAGATGGCTTTGCTCTGCTTTGTCCCCATGTCTGATCTCTGTCCCTGTGTCCGTCAGGTCCTCAGTAGAGCTGGATGGCTTGTAGCCTCTGGATCATCTGGAGAAGGACACGATCAAAGGGAACATCACCTGCTTTTTGTTTTTCTTTTCATTTTTTTGAATGAGTTCACAGGACAGTGAGAAACTTTCGAAGATGTTTGTGTTTATTTGATCTACTGTAAAGCGAATTCAAGAGAAGGGTTGAGAGTGTGTACATTTCCATTTGTGTGAGTGTGCGTGTACGTCTGCGTGTGTGTGGTGTTGTCCACGCCATTGGAAATGTTGGGGTGTCCAGCTCGGTTATTTTTGGATCAGTGACAGCGTGTCAATGGCTGCAGATGCGTCGCAAAGGAAGGCTCTGAGATACCAACAGACCCTGGTAGGTCTTTCTCATATCATCCTGCACCTGCACCTGCCCGCCCGCCCGCCTGTCTGCCGTCTCTTACAAATGTCCTTGTCATGCTTCTCCACCTGCTTCTCCTTCATCTTTCTAGCTACTTGTTTTCCATCCATCCTTCGCTGTTACTCATTCACTCTCTAACCTTTCAGTTCTCCTCTTCCGCAACTCCTCTCGGGTCATTTATTTTCATCAGCGGCATTCTAGTCCACCAGCAGTTCTCTCTTTGTCTCCTCCTCCGTTATGCTCACTTCTTGGACAAGATTTATGCAACTTAATGTCAAGTTTATTTGCGCAGCCTTCAGAAACATTCACAGTCTGTGCCGGCTTCACACCGCCCACTCTGTGAAACACTGAAGGCGATAAATGGAAAGTCATCCCTGCAGTAATCAAGCGTTTTATTACTTATTTATTTATATTTCAAGCTCTAATCTTTTATGTAATCTTTATTTTTTTTTAACTTTGCTTGGGAACAGTTTTTGGTTTGTGCTATTTGCTCCTAAGCTGCAGCCTTGTAAAGTCATTGCTGTTTTCATGTGTTAGTGGATATAAATACCTATATATAGGAAACCTGAGCAGACAGGTTAGAAGTACATGTCGAGATGAAGTCATGTCTCCATATCCCCCGCTTCATCTGTTTAAATGCTCATCCAGTGTGAAGGACGTTCCTCCCAGGAGCATCATGTCTGCCTCTTTTTCTGTTTCAGTCAGACCTGCTCTATGGACATATGACTCAGCATCAGATTGATTTGATGCAAAGTTACAGATAAAGGTCAGTTGAATGTGAGTTATAATACAAGAAAATGACAGATACATGAGCAACAGAGTTTAGAGCAGCTGGGGTGTTTGTATGTGTTAGAGCAGCCTGAGCAACCGACAAAGTGAGGAAGAGAGGTGACAGTGTCTTTCCTTCACCCGCATGACTCCTCTGAGAGCGGCCCAAGTCAAATCTCTGGTTCTCATGAAGCCACCCTCTGAGGACAACTGGTCAGATATAAATAAGAAATCTCAATCGTACCTACTGGCTTTATGTCTCCATGCAAATCTCACAACTCAGAGGTGTGAAAACTGACGGAGTGTGTGTGTGAGGGAGAGGGAGAGAGAGAGAGAGAGGAAATTAGAGCCTTAGAGGATTTGAGGAGTTTATGTGCAGAGCTGCTAATAGATCATACAAATATCATTTGTTTATTGATCAGTAGCAGTGTCTATTTTCGGGTTAAAGTGTTCTCCAGGTGCTGTGAAGCTACGACTGCAGAAGAGGCTTATTAGTAAAAGGGCTGATCTTTGTTGGATTAGTTCACACATGTTTGAAGTAGTTCAAGTGGAACAAAAATATGTCCTAACTGCATTTGAAGAGTAAAAATCTATAGTACTGGTTTGTTACACACCTAAATGTAGCCTTGTGTGGTTTAATGTTTAGCTTTATTCTAACACATTAAGAGACTGAAAAATTAGTTGATGATTTACAAATATAAATAAGACCTATTAAATGTCAGTTGAAAATCAGTTTGACAAGATCCCTTTGACAAGTCTGTGAATATTCTCAGTGGATTTACTGGTGAGTAATGTTTTAATGATAACTTTATGGAAATTGGGGATTTCTTTGGAAGGTGAATTATTATTAATTGAAAGTTTTTTAATTAATCAAAATAGTGCTGAGATTGTTCAGTTTGCCTCATTTGGACTTACTTAAAGCTCATGTGAAAAACTCTGGGTTTGCAGTGATTTTGGCTCCCCTTGTACCTCTTCTCTCTTCTCTGTTTTCATTGTACATGTGTTTTATGTGTTTTATGACAAAAAAACTTATCCTGCTTTCTTATGGCACTCAAATCTCTCAATCACGTCAAATCTTTGCTTTGTAAAATGTTAAAACAAAAATACAGTTTGCAACCCCATCTGACTTTGTAAGCCCCTCGCAGCAATTTAAGAAGTCAGTACGATACAGGAATAATGAATGTTGACGCTGATGTTTGCCTTTGTAGGTCATAGATAGACATACTGTAGGTTGTAGTTAAATTTTTATTCAAAGCCAGCAAAAATCTCCTCACAGGAGCTGTAAAGAAGGTCTACATTTTCACATTTTTATAAATTGCTGAATTTTAAAAGTTGTCGGTACTTAGTCACATTTTCATTATATTTGAAAATTACTTTGTTTTGCATTTAAAAGCAGTTTTTAATCCACATTGATAAAGTAAAGCAATTCTTGCTAATGTCTCTATTGCAATTAAATACGCTTAATGTTCTAAACCTTGAGATCAGTTTTCCTACAGATGCTGCACTTCAAACACCAGAGTGGATTAGAACATTGTTAGTGAACCCGATCTCTTTGTCTTCATCTTTTACATCTTCCTCCTCTTCTTCATTTTCCAACTACTGCATTTCCCATGGCCGCCTACAAATCCAAAAACAAGTATGGCCCTTACTATTTTGTCTGTGTAGAAATAGGGGGGTACAAGATGGGAGACTCACCGAAACAGGATTTTGTCTTCCAGGCAATTATACACTAATCTAAACATGCTTTATACATTTCTGCTAAGTCTGTTCTGCTAAATGCTCCAAAAAGCTACACACTGTACCTTTAATAAAATATGACACTAGGTTCGCATTACTTTCCATTTGTCAACTAAGCCTAAACTGGGAGCATTTTTATAGTGATATTATGTACTACTTATAATCACAGTGGTATTGCACCAACAGGAAGCAGGAATATCCTGCAGCAATATAACTACAGTGAGTCAAAAGGGACAAAATAGCAAATGGAAACAAAAAAGGGTTGATCATGTCCCTTAATAATATTGCAATAAATGTGGTAAAGCTGACAGCCTTGATTCTTGAGAAACAGTGATCAGCTGATGTGCAGCAACAACAACTATAATGATAAAAATGATAATAATAATAATAATAATAATAATAATAATGATCTTTATTGATAGAGTACTTAGCAAAGCAACAAAAAAAGGAAAAAAATAAATAAATAAAACCAATTGAACCATTTTTAATGGACATGGCCAGCTTGGATCATAATATAATTACCATGTTTGAGGAAAGTCAGGTCAGTGTAAAAGACATTCAAGGCTTTCTGATTCAAATATGAATGAGCGCGCTGAATCATTAAACCAACAATAATAAGAGGAATAACTTTATTGATTCTCGAAGGGAAATTCAACTGTCTGTTGTCTCATTTGTCGTGTCTCTGAAAGTCATCTACTATTTACAGAAGAGTTGTACAGTCTGGTGGCTGTGGGTACAAAAGATCTTATAAATCTTTCTGTCCTGCAGCGAAGAGAGAGGAGCCATCCACCACCATTGGCCCTTTGGTGCATTAAAGTGCTGTGAAGTGGGTGATCCCTGTTCTTTAGAATAGAAAGATACTGTCTTAATAAGATACCACATCTTTGTTTTTGTTGCATGGCCGACACTTAAGAACAACATTTCAGTCACAGCTGACGCTCTCAAAAACTTTCTGTTGGTGGTGTTGCATATTCATGTTCAGGAAACTCTCGGAAATCCTTGAGAAATAGTTGACCTTAAAAATAAATAACTGAGGTCCACTTAGCAAGATTTCCAAAGAGGATTCTACCTCAGCCTGTCAGCCTCTTCTGGGCCGCAGATCACCTCAGCAGTGAATGCTCGCTGGGTTTGTAAAGTTGTGTTAATTGCTTCCAAGTCACACGGCTGTTGTTGACCTCCGACCTTAACAAGAAGGAAGTGCCCTCAGTGGATTTGTGTGACACTGACAGAAGGCTGCAAGAGCAACGAGCTGTGTGTGTGCGCGCATACCACATGTTTGTGCTGCCTTTTATAATCTAGCGAGTGTTACATTTTATCCAGAGGATATGGTTAAAAAGTGAGGTTGTATGAGGAGACGGGTTTTGGTTTGTGCGAATGTCAACAGCAGTGAAATAGATCTCATAAGTCTCAAATGTTACAGGCTACTAAAAGGGATTATGTTCACCTGGCAAATGTCTCACGGTCTGGAATGACTGGGATGTAGACGATTAAGCCATTAAATTTCATACGATATCACAGTCACCTGACGCGTCTTAGCGGTTACAGAGGTAGCTTCAATGTAATCATGAAATTGTTAGGAGTCGCATCAATAGCTACAAAATGAAACACCTTGTAAACACTGTGAAATAGTGTCAATAACTTATCATTGTTTTGTGCAAAGGTTAAAGCCCCCCCATCTGTCTGAACGACAGCCCTCATGGGAGAGATGAGCTGAAAGAGACAAACAGAGTGAGAGGGAGAGGTGCGGAGAAGTGTGTCAGTGAACATTGGGTCACACTGCTGCTAAATTTGTCCACGAGTAAGGTTTCACCTCAGGGGCGGGGGGGTTGGATGGATGGGGACAAGGGTTGGTGAGGGGAAAGTTTCAGGGGGAAGAGTGAAGGAGGAAGGTGCAAAGCTGCACTCAAGGGTTCAGCCATAGGTGAGAAAGATTGGAAGGAGAAGTAAAAGGAAGGCTGTTTGTGGCAGCGCTGGGCAGAAAAGTAAGATCTCTAAGGTGTGTTGGACTCCCAGAGCTTCACAATCAGTAAAACAGAAAAAAAAGTTTCATTTTCCTAAAACATCTCAGGGCACAGAAACATTCACTCATGCACTTAAGCTTTGACCAAAACTAGAAGGTAAATTTGAATTTTCATCAAAGTTCGAGAAACTTCAGGTTTTTTCCCACCTCCTTGTGGAGTTGCACAGGTATGCTTTCCTGCTTTGTATTCATCGAAGACCTGCATTTTTGGGATAATACCCTGGTTCAAAAAAAATGTGGCTGAATATTTTGGACACTTTTAGTCAGAGATGTAATTTTGCTTCTTTGTTAGATAGTTTGGTTGCCTGTTTTCTATTCAAGCAAACACAGAAACTAGAAATCCAATCTTGAATATCTGGAAGAAAAGCTCATTTTGTCGCTGCACCAAACTGCATTCAAAAGCGATGACAATTTGCAACAGCTGCGCGCCTTTTTCACGCTATAAACTTATCTCAGAGAAATAAAGATAAGGTCTGAAATCAGCAATCAATCCTCTTAGGCACTGATAAAACAACATGCCGTTTTGTAGTTCAGGTTTCAGCGCCCTGGTATAATGCATGTTGGCTCACTGGCTTTGCTTGCCAGGACGCTGAGAGGGGGCAAAGCAGGAATAAGCAGTCACAGCTGTGCTTTCGAGTAATATGATTCAGGTATGACCAGAGGCCTTTGCAGCCTGTCATTCCCTTTCTTTTACTGTATTTCCATCACATCTTTTTATTGACACTTTAACCTTTTGGGGCTTTTCAGGCTGAATGGAGCAGATGCATTTTTTTTTCTACCTGCTTAAGTCACTAACAGGAGGTCTGAATCAGTTACCCTATTGCAAATTAAGGTAAATTCAGACATATTAAAGATCACTCTGACGATGAAGGGTTAATACTATAATATGTTATATTTCGATGATCTGTTATTTCTTTCCTGGTCAAAAATATATTTGTGCTCATAAACAAAAAACTATGACACTGTAAACTGAACTGGAGCCTAGTCAGGCTTTAGTATAGCATGCTATCTATGCAGAAGGCACTTAAAGTACAGTACAGTATTATCCAGCCTGTCCCAAACAATGTTAATATGGTTATGGTCTCTGCTCACTCAGCAGGTATCATATTCGTACCTTAAGCTTGAGCCCTGCCTGCCTGCTGGTATCATTTATGATCCGGCTGCAGGACTCTGCTAGATTGGCCTCTGGACCGAAAATCCACCCAACTGAATTAAGAGCTGCTGACAATTTATTGTCAAGCCTCAAGTGTCTGTATTAACCTCTACAGCTTCCCCTTCACTGTGTGTGTGTGCATGCAAACGTGTGTGTGTGTTCGTGCATGTGTGTGTGTATGTGTGTATGCCCTGGCCATACCTGTGGGTCACTGAGGTCTGTACTGTATGGAGGCAGGTAGCAGGTACAGTCTGAGTCCGTCACACTGGTCAAAGACAGAAAAGGACAGATGTAAGATAAAGATATCAACATAAGGTTTATTAAAGACGCACAGGAAGAAAGAGAGCAGAGCAGAGAGCTGCTGGAGGATCAGCTGGAAAGATGAGGGAGCGAATCAACACTTTTGAAACTGTTCTGAATATTGATCAATTTCTGGTAAGATTAATCATCTCTTATTTGAAGTGTTTTCTCTCTGATGTTTGCCTGGTTATTGTAAGCCAAGTTCATTAAATAGATATTCATTTACTGTTTTAAAATGTACTTTAAAAGTGACATTTCATGTTGCGGCATAAATCATTTTTTATTACATGTGAACTACTTCAAGGAGGGATTTATGCAGGTGTTTTTTTACTCCAGTACTTGGTGTAAAGTCGACTCATTCATAAAACATGAATCAGTTTGTTTTTTTCTTTTAGCCTTAATTAGAACATGGCACCGTGTATGGTGTCTAGACAAGGCATAGAAATGTCTTTGTGCTGCTTAATTAGTGTATTCATATGGAGAGACGAGTGCTTGTGAAGCGTGTGTGAGCGTGTGCACTAACAGAGCAAGTTGTGTGTGTGTGTGTGTGTGTGCGTGCGTGTGTGTCAAGGGGGGGGTAATCTCCTGATCTCTCTGTCAGTGAGTGGGTCAGATTTTATCATTAACCTTGTGTTATGGGACAGGCCTATATTGTTGTAAGGCCTCACACACACACAGACATTAATCTAGCATGCTCATAAAATGCACAAACACAAACTTTGCATGCTTAAGGAGCAGCGTAAACACTCAGACATATTTATGAATATGCAGTGCTGACTCTCTCTCATGAGGGGCACAGGAATGCGTGATTATTTTTTTAATTAAGTCCCAAAGTCACACTGCCCTTCAACCCTGGCGTCTATTGGCAGCTCTCACTAAAGCTCTCCTCTTTTTCTCCCCGCTGGCCTGATTATGTTTTTGTTGTTTTGTCTGTTTTCGCCTCTGAAATTTCATGTGTTTTACAGTCATGCCACCTCGTTCAAGTGAGCTCATAAAGGGCAGCTCCATGGATGAATTCACAGCTCTTTGACAGCTGAACCAGCATAATTCATCACAGGCTTTGTATTCCTAACAGACCTGAGGGAGGAATGGTTTGCATTTTTCCATTTTCCTCATCCTAAGAGACTCGCAATGCGCACAACATTAGAAGATGTAGCTCTAACAGCAAAGCACAAGAAGTGTAATAATGAGTTGTGCGAGTGTCAGAGCTGCACAGTAACGCTTGACTACTTTCATGTGCCCGCAGAGACGGGAAAGTGCAGGAAAATAATCAGGGCCACCAGGGGAGGTGGAGAGGAACTTGCTGAGAGTGAATTAGTGTGAACAGAGAGGAGGTATGGGGCTGATGTTTCCTCCTGTGCTCTTGTTTTGGAGTGGGAAGGTCGCTCCCCCAGTTAGAGAGTCAAATAGTGGCAGCTGGATGTTCAAAAGCGTGTGAAAGTTGGGAAGTCCTGGTTGCTGATGTCATTCTATAGTACAAGGTTACGTGGTGGCTCTACTGTAGACACAAGGTTGAGAGATGAAGACAGAAAAGTCATCAGACATGAATTTATCTGAGCTTCCAAAGCCTCTCTCACGCTGTCAGTTGTTTGTCCTCTATTGCCTCCATCTTACCTTGTGAAATTGATTACCTCTCCGATGAGTCAGCTGTTATGAATACTTTTAATGGTTTATAAGGATTGTTTTAGATCCTTATAAATGCATTTATTAGGTTTTATAAATGTGCTAAGATGCATTGTAAGGGGCAGATTTATATAAAGTATAACCACAAAACCTCGACCTTTTTGTTTAAAACTGGAGTAATGTGAGAGAAAAAATTTGGGGTAACACTTTACTTGACGCCTGTCTCTATAACGCATTATAAATATATGTATAATGCATTATAATCACGTTATAGAACTGTATAACTACAGTTATAAACACTCATAAATGATCATAATGCTTTATAGCAGTAATCATAACACACTATAAATCATTTTATCATGACTTATAAGGTCAGGTATTATGATGTGTTATAACTGTTAACAACTCACTGACAATGCCTACATAGATAATGCAATATACATGTATTTATTATGTGTTATAACTATCTTATAAACTTGTATAACTCTCAGTATAAACACTTATTAATTATCATAAGGCTTTATAACAATAAGCATAACACATTATAATACCTGACCTTGTAAGTCGTGTTAAAATGCTTTATAATGTGTTTTGATTATTGCTATAAAGCATTATGATCATTTATGAGTGTTTATAACTATAGTTATACAGTGCTACAACGTGATTATAATGCATTATACAAATATTTATAATGCGTTATAAAGATAGGCACCCAGTAAAGTGTTACCAAATTTTGTAACAAAAATGAAGTTAAACATCAGAGGAATGAAAAAATAGTTTAAAAGGAGAAAATATATACTCCTGATGTCTTGTGCTCCCAAGCTCGACATCATCTTGTTTTGACAACAGAGAGAAAGTTAAAAAGTTTTTATATCACAGCGATGTTTTTCTTAATGTCAAACACTCAAATTTTGATCAACAAAACAAAACCATCGATTTATACTTTACTGTAGTCATTTGCCCTGAAATTTGTTTGCAGCTTTCCTAACTCTAGACTTTGATATCATATTCATAGCTGAGCTAATTCACTTCCATTAAAACTGCATTTGTAATATCAACCTGTCTTTCTTTTTTAACTACAACACAGTCAGTATGAATCTCAACATAAATCCTTAGAACATTGGGTTATCTCTGAAAAGAACATTAAAGGTTCAGGTTTATACTCATGCTGGAACAACCGAAAACTGACAAATACATGATCAGAAAACCGCAAGAAAGTGTTCACGAACAATTTTGGCTTTTTTTGAGTATAGTCCTTTGGTTTATTTGTTTCACTGGTGGCAGAACAAGGTTTGGCAAAGTCAAATTTAAGCTCACCAATCTTGTGAATGCAGCACAGGTCAATGTTGTTCCTGTCCCTGGTTTTGATGGGGCCTGGTGCCAGGGTCTGTTTGATGATGTTGATGAATGGGGCTTTGGTGTTAATGTGTAGTGCGGCGGTGGTGCTGAGGTTGTCTGCAGTGTGAGACAGGAGACAGAACACGAGCAGAGCTGCTAACTCATCATGCTCAGGACACCTGATGAGGACCAGGTAAAGACCTGAGGACCAGAGGCCGCTCACAGGGTGGAGGGTGATGCTTTTATTCTCTGTTAGAGGGAGTTCATGACACTATCCAGTGTTGCTCTGTGCAGTTTGATTTCACGTCCACAAGAAGGTCTGTTTGTAGATTGTAAGACTTCTATTATTATAGTATTACTATTAAACTGTACTTTTTTAAAGTAATGATGATCAGAGATTTATTACTTTGTAGACATAAACATGTTATTAACATTTTAAAATATAGATCCATCTGATCTTGTCACTTTTTTTAACAAAATACCCACCTGAGTTTTCAGAATGACTGGAAAATGATGCTGGTAAAGTAATAATTAAATACAAAATTTTTTTTAATCATCTTCAAATGCTCTCCTGATACCTATGATTCAATCTCTTTCTCACGATGGCCAGCTACAGTGGCGACAGACTAAGCTGAAACAAATGAAGGTTAGCTTCAACAAGCTGTTTCATGACACAGATTATTAAAACCGTAGGAGTTTGGACTGCTTTGTATGACTCAGGTTGCCTGTTAGCTCAGGTTCAACTGTAGCTTAACAAACATTATTTATTTCATTAAAGCATTCTTAACATGGTAGTACTTTAATTAAGCGGCACTGACAGTTTTCTGTTCACAGTTTAAATTCTGTCCACCTGCTGATTAGTGGATTCATGTTTTAATGATGAGCGTCTTTATTAGGCGTGTTGTCGTGGTTCATGTTTTACAGTAAAGTTAAGAGTCTGTGCTCTTACATACAGATTAAAACCAGCTATGCTATCTCATACTGTGATTTTTTTCCACATCAAATGATTGTATAGATTGGTGCTGATCAATTATGGGCACTCAGCTGAGCTTAAGTTCTGGTTGGATGGATATGTGAGCTTTTATTTTTTTATTTTTTTTGCTTCCTGTGAACATGAGACAGCAGCAAGCAGCCCTCTGTGTGATTTAGCTCCTTGCTTGGCAGCGTGAAGGTTGCATATGATCTAATGGTTTGAGTTGCATATTACAGCTGCACCTGGATCTGCAGCATTTTACAGCTTCTTTGGTTCTTACGAGTGCAGCGCAAACTGATCACACTGGATTATAGAGGGCTGGGTTGTCTGACCGTGCTTGTGTGTGTGTGTGTGTGTGTGTGTGTGTGTGTGTGTGTGTGTGTGTGTGTGTGTGTGTGTGTGTGTGTGCGTGTGTGTGCGTGTGTGTGTGTGTGTGTGTCTGGAAAGAGGAAGATGAGGAATGTCTTCTCCTCCGGGGTCTCTTCCTCTGGCTCCTCTCCAGCCCTCGCCTCCTCTGAGGGAGGGGTTTTTCCAATCTCCATGCCCGTTTTGTCTATTTCTGTATGCCAGGGTATTCAGGTTGGTGTGTATCCCTTACACACACGCCGCACATTCCCCACTGCTTTCTCGTTATCTCAAGACTCTTCACACTGGATCTAGTTTTACCCCTCTCCTAAGTCTCGGTTGTCATCTCTCTCCTCTTCCCGTCCCCCCTCCTCCCATCTGGCCTTTTGTTTACCTTCTCCAAACAGTGTGTTGTGATTTTTCTGACTTTTTGTGTCACAGCGGTTTTCAGTATTTTCTCCTCTCTTGCAGCTGTACGGTGAGTACAGGGAGCAGCTGGGAAACTTTGCCCGACGGGAGGCTGCCCGTTTGCTGACAGAGAGACAATGGAGGAGACAGGCTGGGGAAAACACTGGCGGCGCTCGCAGAGGCCTCGGCCGACGGCATCATCATCACCACCCTGTGACCTTGGAGTCACATCAGAGCCACGCCTCTACTACCCAGAAGCCTCGTCCCTACTCCAAATGCCAAGGTGACCTACAGAGAAGGGGAGTTATTTTGTTAAAAATGTTTAACAAAAGATTTTCTTAGAAGTCTAAGACCAAGACCAACACTTTCTATCATCATGTGTTAGCGGTTGCCATGGCATCTTATATTCTGACCAAGAATTAGAGGTGGAAATTAATAAAATACCTTTAATTCGCCATTTCAAGGTAATGGCACTTCACTACCTTGAAGTGTCAGGCAGCAGCATCCATCTGTTGGATCCAGTTTCTGGTTACTTTACACATCGTGATTTTACATGCAACATGATGAGCTCATAAAATTTGATGCACTGCTTACGGTTTAATAAGAGTGTCATGCAGAATATGATGCAGTCAGATTTAGTAACAGCTGGTTTTAGGGATGTAGTCAGGATTTAAGACCGCCTTCTTTAATGTTTATCTGCCAAATAAAAAAAGGACGTGTAGTTGATGTGATTTTCCACCATAGCAACACAGAAATGTCAATTTCCTACCTTACTATCAACATCTTTAGATTCAAGGGTGCGTGGACCCTGCAATGAAAACCAAAAAAAATATATACACACCAACACAACAGTAAGCCTGCACTCTGAAAAGGAAAATGAATACATACGTACGTGATTAAAAAGTTGCAATATGCATTGCAAACATCCATACAGTTACTGCAAACATTAAAAAACGTCTCATTAACTGTGTATAAATAATAGAGCTACACAACTGATCTCATCTACATCTACATCTACAAGTCCTCGTTTATCCCAATAAATCAGAAAACGTTTATGTAAATAAGATCAGTTTTTCAATCAGAACACACACAGTTTTTATTAAACAGAGACCTGTGTACAATGGTTATACTTTCATACTATTTAGTTTCAAGCTAAATAATCTACTCTCAATTAGTGCAGATTTAGCGGTGGGAAAAAGTGCAGGATTATTGTGTAAGGTATGAAAAACAGCAGACGGACAAAGTAATTTCCTAAAATTCAATCTGTAATATTTGTCTCATCATCCCACTTTATAACATAATTGCAGATTTAATCCTAAATAACAAACTTTCTCATATCATGCAGGCCTCATGCTTGTATGTTGCTCCACTTATATGGATACTATGTTGGATGAAGGGTTGACTCTGAATCCTGCATAATGTGGTTGTGTTGTTTGGGGTGTTTCACAGTTGTTTTCACCTGAAGTAGAAAGTCTTCACTGAGAGCCTTAAAGTAGAAAAGAAGACCTCATATCTCTATATTCTATCATTTTGATTTTTAGGTATTAATCAAAAATATTCATCTCACTTTGTACCTGTAAAGATTAGATTAGATTAGATTAGATAAGATTAGATAGACTTTATTAATCCTTTAAGGAAATTTCCCTCAAGGAAATTAAAATTCCAGCATCATCAGTATGTACAGAAAAAAAGATCTGAAAAGTCAAATAAGTAAAAATACAATATATATAAAGAATAACGACATAAGAAGACTTCAGATAAATCAAGTGTTTACATTTAAAGGGAAGGAGCAGTCTGTCACTGACGGTTGTCTGGTTGATGATGACGGTGTCCAGAGTGTGACTGGCAGCGTCCATATTGTCCAGTAGTTTGTCCGTCATCCTCTTCTCTGCCACCGTCACCAGAGAGTCCAGCTTCATGCCGACCACAGAGCCAACTCATCTTATCACTTTTCAAGAGGGCTTTCAAACATTTAATAAACAAAAGTATTTTAAAACTGTTTTTTTTTTATCTCATGCAGCGTTGAGTTAGGTGAAAAATGTAGGGTGGTTTTTATTTCCTGTAAATTGTGGTTTTTGAGATTTAAGGTTTCTGCCCGACAGCAACGATCTGCTTGGCATTCATGTGGTTGAGTCATGCAGCTGCAGTCCACAGACATGGATATTCAAAGACTTCTATGTAAATAGATAACATGCTGCAAATATTAGAGGGCATAATGATGGAGAAGTGGGGACAGAGGGATTTGTTAGACTTGTTACACGATGAGAAGAAAAACGAATATTATGTTTTATTGACTCGCTTCCTTTTCTTTGGGGATTTTTAAATGGCAGCAGACGTATTTCATTCATTCATTCGACAGGTAGTTTGTAAATATACTAATCTTATTAGATTGTTTTTTGAATAAAGTCAAGTAAATCATTAATACTTTAAGGCAGTCATACCACATGATATCCCTGAAGAAGGGATATGGCAAATATGCACAGACATACAGTAGACACAGCAGCGACAGGGTGCAGCGAGTACAGCAGAAACATTAAGTACAGCGATAGACCATTAACATGTAGAATTATTTAATATCACAAGCTGTACATACAATCCCCATTAAGGTGGTTTAGTGTTCTGACTAGAGCCATTACTGGCCAAGGTTAGTAATGGCTCATCATAATGTGGCATCATGTTTAGTAGAGATGTAAAGCTCAGAGTTGCATGAATGTTGCATCAGTGAGTGTGTGGGCTGACAATTTTATGCCCAAAGTATCACGGTTAATAAGCAGGTAAACATTCAACTCTAGATGACATGAGATGATGAAGAGGAAGAACTCCCCCTTCAGAAAAAAATCTGGGGTTAAAGTTAGAGTAAGTTTGTCATTTTTGATGAGGTGATATGAAGTTGTGTTTCTTTATTTAATTGAAATGGTGGCTAACACTTTACTTGACGCCTATCTCAATAACGCATCACAAACATATGTATAATGTGTTATAATCACGTTATAGCACAGTATAACTATAGTTATAAACACTCATAAATATTTATAATGCTTTATAGCAATAATCAAAACACATTATAAAGCATTTTATCATGACTTACAAGGTCAGGTATTATAATGTGTCATAACTGTTAACAACTCACTGATAATGCCCACATAGATAATGCATTATACATATATTTATGATGAGTTATAATTTGCTTATAAACTTGTATAAGTATTATTATAAACACTCATTAATTATGATATGGCTTTATAGCAATAAGCATAAGTCATGATCAAATGATTACGATCATTTATGAGTGTTTATAACTAAAGTTAAACGGTGCTATCATGTGATTATACTGCATTATACATATATTTATAATGCGTTATAGAGATAAGCGTCAAATAAAGTGTTACCAAATGTTGTTTTAAGTAATGAGAAGGACCAAGAAAAGAGTTATTTGTATCATATTACTGAAGTATAATATTCACGTATGACGCTGGCCTTCAGTTTTTGCTGGTTTAAAAAACTGTAAAATCAATCGGTAACTCCTTTGCCCTTGTCCCATTAAGATAAAGCAGATGCATATCTAATAAAAAGATTTGAAATCATCAAATTGTAACATGTTTTAAAGTTTCGACTTCATGGATTAACATGACTCAAACCCTCCTCAAAGTCAGCGTATCTTTAAAATAGCATGAGATGCTACTTTACCAGGTATTTTTTGTGTTTCTTCTTCAACAGCCTTATAATTCAGTGTTAAAATTTTCTATTATGTTCTTTTTGCAGGGAACAAATCCATTAGTAAATGCCAAGCTCTGTGAATCACTCTGATTGTTCTGCACATTGTACGCACCTCTGTGTTATGCTAAAACATTATTGCTGCGACCACAGTCACAGCGACTGATTCCCTCTCAAGCATGGCTACAATAGCTAACTGTCAGTAATTAAATCAAATGATAAACGATTCAAGATGAGTCATTAATTTAATCCCTCTGGCCCAGATTGTTTGGCTCGTGTGCGGCGGTATATTGTGAACAAGATGGGGGAGGACTGGATTTTCCTGGTTTTACTGGGACTGACAATGGCTCTGGTCAGCTGGAGCATGGACTACACCAGTGCAAAAAGCCTACAAGGTATCATAAGCCATGAACACAGAGTATAGCTGTTACATTTGTACTCTGAGGATTCTCCTGTTTTTAATTATTCCATTTATTCTCTTGTGTGTGATGCACCTTCCCTGCCCTCTTTTCTCTATTTTTGTCCTACTTCTCTCCTTCAGCCTACAAGTGGATGCACGGAGAGCTTAAGGGCAATGTTGCGCTCCAGTACCTCGCGTGGGTGACTTATCCCATGATCCTTGTCATGTTTGCCTCACTTTTCTGTCACCTGGTTTCCCCACAGGCCATTGGTAAGCTCTCCGTCCCCTGTCAGACTCTGTCATACTCACTTAGCAGCTCTATCATTCCTTTTTGTCTTTATTTAGTTACATTTGAAATCTCTTTTGTTGATTTGCTGAATTTCTTGTCTTTTTTTCCCCAGGCTCTGGTATCCCCGAGCTGAAAACCATCCTGAGAGGTGTGGTGTTGAAGGAGTATCTGACCCTCAAAGCTTTTACAGCTAAAGTCATCGGGCTGACTGCAGGCCTGGGCAGTGGTATGCCAGTGGGGAAAGAAGTAAACAAACACCTTTTTACATCTCTCTTCTATTTGTTTGACTGTATACTTTCTGTTTTATAATACCACTGTTATCCTCCTTCTTTCCTCTCTTCATCACTATTTGTTCCTTTTCCAAGCTTGGAGGATGATAAATCGTCTCATGTCATGTTTTTCTTCACTCCCTCCGCTTGCAGGACTAAAACAAATTATTCCTCCACAAAGGAGTCGATTCATTTTTCCTATTACTGAGGCAGTGCAGCTGTCACATCCCACAATTAAACAGTGATTTATCTGTTCTGATAAAACTTGTCCCACTTTAGACTTCTGGTTTTACAGACAATAGTCAGTGTCTGTGTGGATAAACATTACTTGTCACCCATCTATGTCAGTGATTTCCTCCCGTCACCTCCAGGGTCCATTTGTCCACATTGCCAGCATCTGTGCCGCAGTGCTGAGTCGGTTCATGTCCATCTTCTCTGGAGTTTATGAGGTAAGCCGAGGCCCTGACCAAAACAGACACTATTACTCAAAAGCCTCATCTGTTGAATGCACTAACAAAGACATGATTTTTTGTTGTCTTTGCTGATTTTTGCTTTGTCAAACTGCTCTTGATTTGCACGTACAGTAAACATTCATAGTACACTGACCTCTCCTCTAGCACCATCATCAGGTCAAAATTTTATTTGGTTCAAGACCAAGGACAGTCAAAAGTGAGAGCTGTTAAATTAATCTCAGCTGTAATTTGGATTCACTCGCAATCTTTGTATGCTAACCAAACATGGCTGCACAAGGTAACTATTATGCCAGCATAGCATTGCATCTTGATGCTCCTTTGCAAGTTTGATAAGAAATCACATGAAAACAAAATCACCAGGATAGAGATTGAAAAAAAAAAAAAAAAAAGCTTTAGCCCTTTAACGCCTGACACCACAAATTATGGCCAGAAAATTCACATTTTTTTGGAGATGAAATGTTTATTTCACTTACTACTGAAAAGAAAAAAAAATCAAAACGTTCTTAAAATTTAAAAAATATATTTATTTATCTTGTTTGATACAGTAGATGTTTTCGTAAACTAATAAACTACAAGAAGACATTTTTATCATTTTTCAGACTGTATTCAGGTGTTTTTTTTAGTAATTTGTTGATCATATTGATTTGATAGAAGTATATAAAAGTATGTATCAAATATAATACAAAAGGACTGAAAGGGTTAGTATTAGTAGCTGTAGCCTACTAAATCTGCCATTGACAGTATTTCAGACGACTTTCAACGAGATAGAGCCGTAAAAATTCAATCTTAACACTCCAGCTTAGTTGAATTGTACTTCAGGTAGCTGTGATATCAATACTGTAACTAGTTTTGGCTGGCGAGAAAAAGCTTAAAACATAATGTGCTTCCTAAAAAAACAAACACTGGACTCCTTTTTCTGTTCAAGACACTTTCAAGTAGATGTGCTAGCAACTTGTTTTTCATGAGACAGCTGTTCCTCCTTATCATGTTTAATCAAAATTAGTCTGTAACTGAGTAAATGCCTTTTTTTCCAGCCTGTGTGAATGTTTACTGTGTGTAATCTATCTTACACTTCATTTAATGTTAGATCACAAATTATGGTTTAGAAGTGCTAAATGCGTTAAATTTGAGTCGTTTTAATTGATAATAAAGTTCATTGAATTTGACGTCAAAGTGAACTTGGGAATCCTGTGATTGTTGTTCTCCCCAATCTGTTGATCTTCCCCAGCTCACACCCTCTCCACCCCTCCCTTTCTCCTTTGAGTCTTTGTTTTGGCTCGCCCCCTCGCACCTCCTCTATGTTTGTGTTTCACTGTATTAATAGTGTGATGGTAATGTCTGGCATGTGTATTAACAGTAACCTCCCATATCCCTGTCTCCCTCTTTCCCTGCTCTCTCCCCTTGGCTTCTCCAATTCATCCTCGCTCATTTGTGTCGCCTTGTTTTCCCTCCCCTATCTGTCTCCACCCTTGAACCTTAACCCCAGAATGGCACCCACAACCAGGACCTGTTGGTGTGTGCGTGTGCTGTGGGAGTGGCCACCTGTTTTGCAGCTCCCGTGGGAGGCAAGTGCTGCCCTGCTCCCCTGATTTGCTGAGGTCTCCACTCAGCCTTGTCCTCCTGAAATAACATCAATAACATAAACATGGAGATTAAGTCCGACCAGACCAGACAGTGTTGTGCATTACAAGTGATGGAAAAGCTGATAGATGAGCATTAACCTATCAATATTGTGGCTGAGTCATTTGAACAAAAAGTTAAATTGAATCATTAAATCGTACTGAAAACAATTTTCCACTTTCCGACTGAAGCTGAGAAGACAAGTATATCAGTCTAAAGATCTAAATTATAAGATAGAGCTAGCCTGACTCTCTTGACAACTTAAAAAAATAAAAAGGATCTGTCAGCGACTCTAAAACTAAAAATAATACTTATATGTTTTATATTGTATTTATGTTTTTAAATAAAATTGATGTGTGTTATAAGTTACAACCACTGACTTTATATAAAGATGGAAGATGCATCTTAACCTCTTCCTGTCCCTTAAACATACTACCTAAATACCCCCTCCTGTCAGGCGCTGATGTACCGTGCATCTGAAGCCAGAGTGTAAGCACCAAAGATTGGCTTACAGAGCCGCCAGAGTGACCCAATATCCCTATTACTAACCAAAATATGTTTGAAATACCAATAAAAAAACAGCAGAGACCCCTCAGGTGAGCATATTCCTGAAAGAGCAGATATACATGTGTTGGTTTGAAACAGTACCTGTTATGGAAAGTTCGCTGACTTTTAAGTTACTGTTTGCTACGTTTCCTTTTCTCTACATTATCTACTATGCTAATTAGTTATTTGCATAGTTATACAAATTATTTGATGTATATTTTGTTTCTATAATTTGACCCAGATGTCATCCAGAAAGGCTCAATGGCCTGTAGGCTGATGCTACACTGTAGGGGGTCCAGTGACCTGAGTGTTTTGGCTTTACTTTTAGGAAGCTGCAAAATCAACCAACTTTGTTGTACAGTCAGTGGTCTGAAGGCTAAATTAGCAGCTGAAACCTTTATGAATTAGCGTAGCTCAGCTTAGTTTAGCTTAATTTAACTTAGCTTAGTTTAGCGTAGCTTAGCTTGGGTTAGCTTAGCTTAGCTTAGTTTATCCTAGTGCGAGGGCTGAAATCAGTTATCTTGGCTCTTTAAAGACAGTCTATATAACACAGTAAATTATGTTTCCTGAAACCTTAAAGCTCCCTTTGTCTGCTTCTGCAGACAAAGCAGTCTTAGCTTATTTTGTCTTCTACATGCTGAAGTAGTGACTTGAAAAAATCTCTCCTAGTCACTTTTGAAGGTCAAATGCATCATTATGAACATTTTATGTTTGCTTTCGAATGCCATGAGGAGACATGAGTATGAATTTCAGTCTATTTCATGAACATCAACAAAAAATATCTTCATAGGAGCTTTAAAAAAGAGATTCCCCTTTGAGTAGGGCCAGGGCAGCTTTTTCGATTTATCTCCAGTTTTTCTGCTAGGCTTGGCTAAAGGACTCCATCGAGAATGGTACCAGTTTCATCATAAAAATCTGAACAGATTGATTTTGTTAGCCCTGTACCTTAACCTTGACTGACCAAGGTTCTGCAAACTACAAGACCTTACAGAGAACTGAACTTTATGTTTTCGGCAGACTTACTCTCTTTTTGACATATTCTCAAAAAAAAAAAAAAACAATGTGACAGAGTGTCACTGATGCTTCATATCTTAACTGAGGTTTTAAGGTTGCTCGAACCCTCATCATAAAAGGTCATATGTTATAAGTGGAAATATTCTGTGTGCTATCTTTAATTTTTGGCCTGCAGCTGGCTTCAGCTGTTTGTAAGGACGTTGTGACCACGCGGGTTGTCTCCTGACTGCTTAATTGCTTGACTGATCACTCTCACTGGCATGTGCATGCTCTGCTTTAAATCCTCTCAGAGTGATTTTTAACCTCTTCTTAATCACTTCTTCACACCACACTCCAGTGATCATTATTTATTCACTTTATTCCGTTTTGCCTCCCCCCTCTCTCCCTCTCTCTCTCTCTCTCTCTCACTGTGGTTCCCATCGTGTCCTCTCCTCCTCATCTCCTTTTCTCGTACACTGACTCCCACTCCTGTCTGTCTCTGTCATTCCTTGTCACTTTCATTTCCTCCCCTTCATCACATCTCTCCTGTCATCCCTCATTGTCTGTCTCACCCCGTCGTTTCCCTCTTGTTTCTCCCCCCCTCTGTTTTCTGTGTCAGTAGAACCCTTACGGTTACACAGATATTCTGACTGTTGGCTGTGCCGTAGGGGTGGGATGCTGTTTCGGCACTCCTTTAGGAGGTACTGTACAACTTGCATGCTCACCTCACATGACAAGAATCTTAGAATCCCTTAACTCAAGCAGTGATTGCACAAGCATGATAAAGAAAGCGAGTCAAGACAAAATAGTGCCCTCTGTTTCACTTAATATGATTACAATATCTTTAGTATGATCAAATATGATTTGGCGTTTTGATTAAGAACTGGCTCTGATTGGCTTAAATTTAAAGCATTCACGTGTAAAATGAAATGTCAAAATCACAACTTATTCATCAGTCTTGTTTACTCGCTTCACATTGATGCAGCAATTTCTAGCTGCAGTGGTTGAATATGCAAGATATCAAAAATCTACACACATGAAACCTGTCAATCAGAGATTAAACAGACCTAAGTTCACCGCATTTCAACCTGAGGTCACTCAAAGTTACTCTTTACAATAACATCCACTTATTTTGTTTAAAAAAAGAGGGCGTTCAGTAGAAAAAAATAATTTCATTCTTCTTGAAAGTGGGTTGAACTCTGGAAACTGGACTGATAGTGGGGCGTTAAGATATTTGAACGGGTCAACTTTTCCTGCGGAAAGTTGTAAAAGGCTTATTTCAGTCTTTACTCATATATTATTGACCAGGTGGGAAGAAAGTTTTATGGACGAGGAAACTATAACACAACACAACACAGAATAAAAGGAGCGACTCCATCTGTGATTTCTGATATTTCAAAAACAAGTTTGATAGTCCTGGAGTTTAGTTATATTTCAGATTAAGACCAGGTAACTGGAACCTTTTGTCTAAATCAAGAGCCACATGTACAGTTATGAAAAAGCAGATAAATATAAACCCACTGGTAACCTCCATATTTGGTAAACATTTATACCTGTTTGTGAGTTTGTGTGTATTTTACAGGCTGTGTGAGTAGGTGTTTAGTAGTGTAATATGTGTGTAGACACACTCTGGCTCTCAAATTATGTGTAATTATACCCTTAACTTCAAGTGACTTTGGAATTATTTTAACTAATCTTAATCTCTCTCTCTCTGTCTCTCTCTCTGTCTCTCTCTCTCTCTCTCTCTCTTTCTGTCTCTCGCTCTCTCTCTCTGTTTTCTCCATTTTCTTTCACTCTCCTCTTTTCCTCTGCCCTTCTTCTCTTTCACACCGTCCATCCTCATTTGACTGTCTTGTTTAATCCCTACTCTGTTCTCTCTCTCTCTCTCTCTCTCTCTCTCTCTCTCTCTCTCTCTCTCTCCCTCTCTCTCTCTTTCTCTCTCTCCCTCCACTAGGAGTGTTGTTCAGTATTGAGGTCACGTCTACCTACTTTGCAGTGAGGAATTACTGGCGAGGATATTTTGCCGCCACGTTCAGCGCCTTCATATTTAGGGTGCTCTCTGTTTGGAACAAGGATGCTGGTGAGAGGCAGAGCACACACACACACACACACACACACACACACACACACACACACACAAACACACACACACACACACACACTGTTGTTAAAGACTTGCTGAGCTGTCATTTTATGGAAGGAGTTGAATAAGATGGCTAAGTAACAATTGCTGCTTGAGATAAACCAGAAAATTTTCAAGTCAAAACGTCCAATTCATCCCATCATACTCATCATGTATCACAGAGGCTTCTTGTCCTTGACGGCCACTGTCTCTTCACTGGCTGGAGGGGTGAGGAGAGGAGCATTTCAATTAAGAGTTTGACCTCTGGATATTGCTAAAAATTCCTGTTTCTACACACTGTGTGACCCCAATTATATGACAACATTACATTGTTAGTCTCAACTTCCATTCATCCATCATCTATACTGCTCAACCCATTGGGGGATACCTGTCCCAGTCGCTATCACAGGGCTTATGTAGAGATGCTTATTGGCGATCTAGTGAGACCAAATCATTTCATTTTGACCGTGAAGAGATCAAATGTGTAGAGAACCAACCAAAAAGCATGCAAACTGTCCTCAGGTGGGGATTTGGACCTGGATTATTCACTGGACCTGTGCAGCTCTGTATAAACTCATCCAGGGAAATGTCAGTGTCAGTCTAGTGCTTAGAGCTTGAATCTGCAACCTCAGTTGTAGAAATACAGATTTTTGCATTTAAAGTAACACAAAACATTTTTAAAATGGTTTAATCTCTGTTTATCTTGTTTAAATTACTTTGATAACACTTTACAACAACTGTAATTTATAAATGGTAAATAGAAAGTTTATTAATGTTTAATCATCATTTAAAAACAGCATATAGACTAATTATAAATGGCAAATAAATAGTTTATTAATGTAAATTAATAGTTACTTTACCACTAACAAACAATGAAATTATGATTAATAATTTTCATTAATTATTAATGGACTATTTATTAAAGGTTTATATAGGGTTTAAATATTGGTTGTAAAACATCTAGATTAAAATGTGTGTCAGTAGCACTTTGTAGATGGTTAATATTTAGTTTTTAAACCATCTTTAAACATTACTTAGATGTTTATTGTAAAGTTATGTTTAGGTTTTTAAAATTGTAAAATTTATAATTTATTAATGGTCTGTATACTATCTATAAATGATGATTAAACATTAATAAACTATCTGCTCACCATGTATAAATGGTCTGTTTACCATCTCTAAGTTATGGTTATTGTAAAGTGTTACCGTTACCTTTTATTTTTTTATATTGCAAATATAGTTCCATATGAGTATGCTATTTTCATACATCCATTATCTGTACGGGTTGGACCCCCTTTTGCCTTCAGAACTGCCTCAATTCTTCGTGGCATAGATTCAACAAGGTGCTGGAAGCATTCCTCAGAGAGCTTGGTCCATATTGACATGATGGCATCACACAGTTGCCGCAGATTTGTTGGCTGCACATCCATGATGCGAATCTCCCGTTCCACCACATCCCAAAGATGCTCTATTGGATTGAGATCTGGTGACTGTGGAGGCCATTTGAGTACAGTGAACTCATTGTCATGTTCAAGAAACCAGTCTGAGATGATTCCAGCTTTATGACATGGCGCATTATCCTGCTGAAAGTAGCCATCAGAAGTTGGGTACATTGTGGTCATAAAGGGATGGACATGGTCAGCAACAATACTCAGGTAGGCTGTGGTGTTGCAACGATGCTCAATTGGTACCAAGGGGCCCAAAGAGTGCCAAGAAAATATTCCCCACACCATGACACCACCACCACCAGCCTGAACGTTGATACAAGGCAGGATGGATCCATGCTTTCATGTTGTTGACGCCAAAATCTGACCCTACCATCCAAATGTCGCAGCAGAAATCGAGACTCATCAGACCAGGCAACGTTTTTCCAATCTTCTATTGTCCAATTTCGATGAGCTTGTGCAAATTGTAGCCTCAGTTTCCTGTTCTTAGCTGAAAGGAGTGGCACCCGGCGGGGTCTTTTGCTGCTGTAGCCCATCTGCCTCAAAGTTCGACGTACTGTGCGTTCAGAGATGCTCTTCTGCCTACCTTGGTTGTAACAGGTGGTTATTTGAGTCACTGTTGCCTTTCTATCAGCTCGAACCAGTCTGGCCATTCTCCTCTGACCTCTGGCATCAACAAGGCATTTCCGCCCACAGAACTGCCGCTCACTGGATATTTTTTCTTTTTCGGACCATTCTCAATTTCTCTGTAAACCCTAGAGATGGTTGTGCGTGAAAATCCCAGTAGATCAGCAGTTTCTGAAATACTCAGACCAGCCCTTCTGGCACCAACAACCATGCCATGTTCAAAGTCACTCAAATCACCTTTCCTCCCCATACTGATGCTCGGTTTGAACTGCAGGAGATTGTCTTGACCATGTCTACGTGCCTAAATGCACTAAGTTGCCGCCATGTGATTGGCTGATTAGAAATTAAGTGTTAACGAGCAGTTGGACAGGTGTACCTAATAAAGTGGCCGGTGAGTGTAGTTCCATATGAGTATGCTATTTTCATAAATCCATTATCTGTACGTTAGCCCTGTGATATGCTAGCAACTTGTCCAGGGTTTACTTTGCCTCTCGCCCAATGACTGCTGGATTAGGGGGTAGTTGATTTTAGTAGGTAGAAATGAAACAAAACACCTCAAGCTTGAGACAATTAGTACAAAAATAAGACACTGAAATGAAACTTTTTGTTCTAAATTTCATTTATCTTTCTCTGACTTTCAGTCACCATCACAGCTCTTTTTAAAACTAACTTCAGGATGGATTTCCCCTTCGACCTGCAGGAGCTGCCTGCATTTGCAATAATCGGGTGAGAATATTATAACACAAAAACTTGCATGCCAGTGTTCATGTGTGTGCTAATGTCTTCACTTTCCATTTTTATACGCCATTGAGGTTTCGAGTACATGCCATGTCTGCACAAACTCCTTGTCCTTGTGCAGGTTAAATAGTAAAATAAGTTTTTCCATAATGTTTCAGGATCTCCTGTGGCTTCCTGGGGGCATTTTTTGTCTACCTGAACAGACAGGTGGTGCTCTTCATGAGACGGCCGACAGCGCTCACACGCTTCCTAACCAAACAGTGAGACCCCGGCACACTCACATGACCGTATGCTCCCTACTGTCGCGGATTAATGTGGCGCTGCGCTCTCAAACTACAGTGATTCTGGTTGTGAACGCTGTTCCAAGACACTAAAACCATTTGTGCATTCAAACTCAATTCCTCTTAATGTGTCTCAGCTCCACTCTCCCAACTCATCAGTCTCACAACACTGGCCCGGACAGCAGCAAAGCCTTAACAACCTTTCAGCCAGTTATTCACTCAATGTGGAGATTCACTTATCCTCTGAGACTGAGCAGTCAGGGAACATTAGCCTCCACCATTAGAGAGAAGAGCAGCAGCAGGAGAGCCATGCAATCAGCGCTGCTACACACTTGTACTGACACTGTTATTTCTGTTACAACCGCTGCTTGTTATGCCATGTTGTGGGTTTCTGAGAGTACACTAGGCTTTCTATAAATGGCTTTGTGTTTCTGTGTGTGTGTGTGTGCCCAGTCGATTGATCTATCCCGGTGCTGTAACACTGATCATCGCCACTCTCACCTTCCCCCCTGGATTTGGACAGTTTATGGCTGGAGAGGTAAGTCTGAATCGATCTCATGCTCTCCAACTTCTTTTTGATGTGTGATCATAAATATTTATGATATTCCAGAAAAAGGAGGTCAGTGGGGTTTGCACTGCGGGGGTTGTCATGTTATGCTGTGTAAGAAAGGCCTCAAGTATTTGAATTTTATAAGCAACTTTGAAGGAAACTCCATCATTTTACACATCAAAGTATGTTTATAAGTCTCGGGAATGCTGAGATGTGTAAGAAATGTTGTATAAAATCTTTTTAGCTATTTGAAGACTAAAAAAAGCCGAAAAAGATATCGTTCAAGTAGATGGAGGGGAAAACTGCCAGTTTGGATAATGGAGAAATTGTCGACTACTTCATCTACTCAAAGGGATATTCGGGCGTAAAATTAAGTTAGGGTCAAACACACCGTAACACTGAGTTGGACACCCCATCGAAAGATGAATATTTCTGACTGCTTGCTTCTCTAGTTATACCAACTTTAGTAACAGCCGCAGATAGAGATACACAGAGTCACATGCTCAACCAAAACACCAGTCTATAGCCACAAATAATGCTCAGAACAGCACCTAACTTTATCAACAGCACATATAGGGTCCCAGCCATAGTACTAGTCACCAAACATCTTTTTAACTTTGCCTAATTTCCTTCGCAAAGAGACTAAAAACAACTCACCCACTCTCTTCCAGCAGCCGCTTGTTTGTATGGAGTCCATCTAATGCACCGTATTTATCATTTTGCCCTGCAGACGCTGTAGATGTTCTGCCTTAATGTCTTGATCTGATTGCATTTCCATGAAGAGATGATCATAAATGTTCTTCCTTGAGCTGCGTCAACCCGCTGCAGTCCGTAATGGACTCACCCGGAGGTCTTCGTACGAACAAGCGGCTGCTGGAGGAGATAGATCGAGTTGTGTTTAGTCGCTTTGCTAAAGAAATCCGGTGAAGTTAGGTGCTGTTCTTCTGGGTATTATTGGTGGCTATAGAGTGGCTTTTTGATTGAGCGCGTGGCTCTCTGTATTGCTATCTGCAGTCATTACAAAAGTTGGTATAACTAGAGAAGCAAGCAGTCCGCAACATTAATCTCTCGAGGGGGTGTCTAACTCGGTGTTGCGGTGTGTTTAACCCTAACTTAATTTTACGTAGCAGGACAAAGCACTTTTAGCACAATCATAAAAGACAAGACACTCTGTTTAAACAATATTGTGCAATAAAACCCTTGCACTGCACTTTTGTGTATTTTCCAGTTGATGCCCAGGGAGTGCATCAACTCCTTGTTTGATAATTTCACCTGGACCAAAATCTCCGGATCCCCTCTCCCACCGGGCCTGGGTCGCTCATCCGCATGGCTCCATCCTCAAGTCAGCGTCTTCATCATCCTTGTCCTCTTCTTCATCATGAAGGTATCCCTCCCAACGTCTGTGTGAAGCAGATGTTGCTTTGACATACTGTACGTGTTACAGCAGAAATAAAACTCTGTCTTTTTCCCACCTTGAGTCTATTTTTTTGTGTCGCAGTTTTGGATGTCAGCAGTTTCCACCACGATGCCCATCCCCTCCGGCGCCTTTATGCCAGTGTTCATTCTTGGTAAGAGGATTTTATAATGCAAGCGCAGTTTCTCCTGCTGAGCTTTAGTTCATTTTTTTCTCAACCAGCATGTTTTATCTCTCTCTCAAAGGAGCTGCGTTCGGTCGTCTCGTGGGGGAGATCATGGCCACTCTTTTCCCAAATGGAATCCTGTTTGATGGGATTGTTTACCGAATCTTACCAGGAGGTTACGCTGTCATTGGTCAGTCTGATCACCACAGAGCTATGCTTTTGTTACTCAACGCTTTGATACTTACTGAAGAGACTATACCACACTGTACTTCCTACCAGGTGCAGCAGCGATGACGGGAGCCGTCACACACACAGTTTCCACAGCAGTTATCTGCTTCGAGCTGACGGGTCAAATCTCTCACATCCTTCCTATGATGGTGGCGGTCATCCTGGCTAACATGGTGGCCCAGGGTCTGCAGCCCTCTCTCTACGACTCCATCATCCAGGTCAAGAAGCTGCCCTACCTGCCTGAGCTGGCCCTCGGGCACATCAGGTGAAGTTCAGACACTTAAACCCTCGACATGTGCGTTGATGTCCTCTGTACAGTTCAAGTGTTTACAGAGTATCTCCTCTTCTTCAGCAAGTATAATATTTTTGTGGAGGACATCATGGTGCGCAAAGTGAAGTTCCTGTCTTCTCAGTCCACCTTTCGAGAGCTGAATTTTCTGTTAGAGAATTCAACTCTGAAAACCATCCCCTTGGTCGACTCTAAGGGTGAGTTGACTTCATTGGTTCAACGCCCCCACAAACACAAATTAAAGTTGTGTCCTAAAACTTTGTATCAGACAAAATAAGCAAATCCACAAATGTTAAACCATGCCTCTTCTACTCCTCTTTTTGCAGAATCCATGATCCTTCTTGGCTCCATTGAGAGGACGGAGCTCCAGGCTGTCTTTGACTGGTGGCTGTCTCCGGAGAGGCGAGTCTTTGAGAGGTGTCAAAACTCACCTGGCCAGGGCACCAAAGTCAGCTGGGAGTCTTTCACCTTTGTAGATGAGGAGGGTGCAGAGGAGGGTGCGGACAAGGTGAAAAAGGAAACTAAATCAACTCACAGTGAGAACTTTGTATCTGAAATGATATTTTGCGTGTTTGTGTTGTACCTGCAGACTGTTCCAGTGCAGGAGGAATGTAATGGGCCTGTGCCGTCCCCCAAACCTCAGGAGCCCTCCACCAACCACACAAGCTCAGGTAGCATTTCCTCTGCACAAAAAGATGACCAAACAAACGTCACTTCTGTTCTGACGTGTGTTTCCATATCGTGTCCTCAGACAAGCGTAAGCTGCCGTCTGTCAGGAGGACCCTTCAGAGACTCTTCTCCTCCACGTCTTCTTCAGGACAGACTGAAACTCAGGTAGGATTAACCTCACATACGCATCAGTTCAACCCCAAAAGCTCAAAGCGCATCACTGATCTGCTGTCCAGTGACAGCTCAGGCAGGGTCATTGGTTCAACACAGCTGCTTGAGCCAACTGTGATCACATGATAGGAGAAGTATGAATATGACTCCGTATCTCCTAATGGCTTTTTTAATATGTCTTTTTGTCCCCCTCTTACTGTAGGAGACCACACCTCCTACGCTGACTGACACCATGACCCCAGAGGAGGTACTGTACATTATTGATAACACAGCCAACAATAAGACGAATCCAACTAAGTCAATCAATAAACAGTTAAAAGCTCCACTCTTCTCACTCTGATTGGCTGTTGCAGATCAAAGCCTGGGAAGAAGAAGAGCTCAATAAACCGATCGATATGGAGCAGATACGTATAGACCCCTCCCCCTTTCAGCTGGTGGAAAGAACATCACTGCACAAGGTAACGTCAACCTCACCCGGGGGACAGGTGACAGGTTTCAGAATGTGATGAAATATGGTGATTTGTATGGATTAGACAAAGATCCAACATGCTATGTCTTTTTTTCTAACTTAAAGGGGCAGTTCATCAATTTTTCAAGGAGGTCTGGGGGGCTAAATCAGGGGGATGCAAAAGTAGAGTGAAAACTATGATTTTAAAGATAAGGGTGGGGTGGGGTTTAACCATAGACTGTATATACTACGGACAACTTGGTTTCACCTTCTGCCAGTGTACGGATTTGAAGCCGAGAAGCTCTTGGTAATTCCATGACTTTTCTCCATTTCCTGAAACCAACATTGCGCAGTAGCATTGTACACATTCGGCGGCAGAGTCGCTGTGATGACACTCGGCTCAAACAGCGTATCCCCCAGGCAAGTTTCGTACACCCATAGGCTGTATCAAGTATCAATCATAGAAAATATGAACCCCCTAATAACTTGGACTTGTGCACAAACCAGTCTTATAATAACTATGTCAACATCACAAATGGGGGAGAAAAAATTATATTCTGTGTAATTAATTTCTAAAGTTTGTCCACAGTCCCATAAGCCTTGCTGGAGGAGGCGGGATTTATGACCTATACTGCAGCCCATCAACAGAAGGTGCTGTTCCTGCTGTGGCTTCGCCCAGTAAGGAGGCAGACGGCGTCCATTCGATATACAGTCTATGTGTTTAACTAAAAAGTTGCATCATGGGACATGTAGTCTGCAGGACAAAAAAAACATGCTGTCTGAGAATTTTGTGTCTTGAGAGTCATGAAACATGGACGCAGTCTCAGCTGCATCACCCACAGGTTTATAAAGAGGCATTTTGAAGCCACACGATGGCAGTCGCTGTAATGTAAGTGCTGACTCAACCAAACTTTTTGTCAACCTCAGACAAAGAGGTGTGGCCTAACTTCTTCAATCTTCAATAACTATTCATTTTAATATTTTCAAAACAATTAGTTATTTTTAAGAAATCAACCCCTTTACAGTATATGAGTAAAGAAATCAGCTGTTCAAACCAAAACTGGTATAGACCACGTGTCATCTTTCTGTAAAATTGACGCAATAATATGGGTCTTTCGGGTATTTCCTGGGTTTTTGGAGACAGCCTCTTGTGGACACTTTAGGAACTGCAGCTCTTTGCACTCCTACATTGACCTCATTTTTTAGCACCAGATGCTGCTGCTTGCCCCTGAACTTATAAGAGTAGAAATTAAACTCTTTTTTAGTTAATTGTTTCCATAAAGAAAGACAGTCAGTGAGACCACAAAACTCCTTTTTTGTATCTTACCAAACACTGAACTTGTGCCCCCACTAAGCTTGAGAACCTGAATCTTAACCGACTTGTTGTGATTCATGTTATGCAGCAGAGGAAGATATTTCCCTTTTTCTTCTTTGAGATATTTCCTAAGCACTGGTGCAGCTGTGCGAGCAGAGTATTGTCGCACATTAACCCACTCAACAGTGACTGCATCATGTCCTCCTCTGTTTCCCAGACACACACCCTGTTCTCTCTGCTGGGTCTCAGTCACGCCTATGTCACCAGTATTGGAAAGCTGGTGGGTGTCGTAGCGCTGAAGGAGGTAAAATCGCTTCTTTATTTCACTCCTTTTTTAGTTTCACTGTTGTGTTGATGCCCTCTCTCTTGGTTGGATTTTTAATGCAGCATGACAGTGAGATGTGATGATCTCAGTTGTTCTCTCACTGGGTGCATCATGCTCTGATTCATGTAGTTATTCCATCAACCGCCCACAGCTCTTCCCTACAATGGCACTTCAACACGGTTTTTTGCTTTTTCTGATGTCTCAGCGTGCATATCAATCCTTGTCCCTCTTTTTTCCACAGTTACAGAAAGCCATAGAGGGCTCCACGCGCAGCGGGGTGAGACTTCGACCCCCTCTGGCTAGCTTCAGGGATGCCAGCAGGAAAGCCAAAAAGCACCAGCTTCCCTCTTCCACCCCTTCCTCCCCCACACGGGACAGGGACCTGTGGGGGGAGGGGAGCCTGAGGGAAGGGGAGCTGGCAAAGATGGAGTCCAAGGAGGATTTCCAAGGGACTGCACCGTCTTCCAGGGGTGACTCTGCTCCTCCCTCGCCCAGCAGCATAGAGCGTGGCTCTGCAAATCCAACAAGAGGAGCTGAGACTGCTTCAGAGCAGCCTGCGTCCCCTTCTACTTCCTCCCCTACCTCACCTTCACCTCCTGCCTCTCCTGTGTCACCCACCAGCCCTGTGCTCACTCTTTCCTCCCTGCAGGAGGATAGGGAGAGTGAGGAGTCCGATGAACCCATATAGAGTGGATTTCAGAGAAAAGACTTACCTTCTTTTGATTTCAATCCTTTTACCCCAGAGACAACGCTGTTTCTAGGTGGAGGAGTCAGGCCCACCTGCCGCCCCCACAGACTCTCTGGGGTGACGGTAAACTGATGGACACAAAACTGCTGAAACTTGTAGAACTGTTTCTTTCTTTTTTTTTCTACTCTTACAATAATTTAACTTTTTCACTCTCAGAATCTCAGGTGCCTTCCTGTGTCTCTTTGATGGACGAGCATATCTCGATTGTCCGATATCCACCCAAATCACTGAACTGTTGAATGTAGCAGCACATCTTATATTTATGTCTGTATATAATTTACTATGTACCTTTCGTCAAGAATTAACTGACAGCAGTGACTTGTATGAAATCTAAACAGTATATATTGATGTAGACCTAAATCATTTGACTGAGAAATCAAGGAGATCAAGCATTTTACGTCGACTGATTCAATTTTATTTTAAACTACAACTTAAATTTATCATACAGTTATTGTATGATAATAATTCAAATCACTATTACCAGCCTGTAATTTTTAAAAACAATAAATATTACAATATTTCTGTTCTTTTATTTGTTATTTATGTACATCAATAAAAACAAATATAGTCAAATCTCAAGGTTTTCTGTATTTATGGTGTTTGGTTATTTAAGTGCTACACAAACAGTATAAAGTGGTCTGCTTCAGTTTTGCAAAAAGCTGCATTCAGACAGATTTAACAGTTATTTGAATTGGGGTCAGTTCAGCGCTAAAGTGGGGCTGCAGTCCCTGGATAGATTTTTAAACAATGCAGTGCAGTGTTAATCTAATACATGCATAATCATGAGGATCACTGTAGCAAAACGTTGGTGTTTTCACTGGTCAGTCTGTGATAACAGGGATTTTTAAAATTACCAGAGCAATAACAGCTTTCAGGTGCTGCACTGTTTTTGCAGTCGACTGTATTAAAAAATGCTCTCCAAAGTGAAGTCAGAACATTAGTGCCCTCCTGGTAACTGGATGCAGTTTAGGTTTTAAAGCCTGCTCCCTCCATTTCATCAGATGAGACATGGATTTCCTTAAACTTGCTTTCTGTCTTGAGAGTTAGTTTCCAGCCATGCTGAATTATGTCCAAGTGCTAATTTTTGAGAGGAGCTGCATTTTAGTTGTTATTTTTCTGCAAAAGAGAGCGGGTATGGAGTCATGATTGACAGCTTTGTTAACAAATGCAGCTCCTGCAGTGTCCTTTTGAACAGCAAAGCTGAGGACAGAATATGTAACAGTCACTGGTCTGTCTATAACCATTAGTGTCTGCTTCAAATCAACACTAAAACGGCGCTGCTGTAGACCGTTCCTTCCTGAGGGCCCTTTGACTTTTTTTTCTGTTAAACAGTATGTGCTTTGGTTAGCAGAAGAGGCTTAATACCATCCCTGCTTTGCTGCCAGCCAGATCACTGCTGTGCATACTTTGGTTTCTAAATATGTCAGCAGTGCAATGTGTCCGCGCCCATCAAGGCAGTATTTTTCACATCATATAACAGGAGGAGACTGAAGCATATTGTCTATATTTCCAGTCAATAATCAGTACCTTGCATTTACTTATTACTAATACAAATAATGAAAAAGTCAGGAAATGACCAAAGTGTGTGTACTATATCCTGTCTGTATCTATTTTCATGGTAATCCATCCAATAGGGAATGAATTGACTGTCAGACAGACGGTACATAAGGGTTGGTAATACAATTTAAATGTGTGCCAACAGTCTACCTTATAAAGATAATGTACAAATATCTTTGGGCAGGGAGAGTCAACAGAGTGCTGCAGTCACTGATTCCTGTGTGAGCTTAAACAAATAAGTAGCTCGTCTCCACAGAGGAGACCCCATCTCTGAGATTCTGTCGTTAATATTCTCCTGGCATAAAATCATCGATAAGGACTGGAGAGGGATGTTTTTTTGGAAAAGCATGACAAGCCGGATTACACTGCTGCCAGTTCCTTAGTGATTGCTGTGTTTGTCTGACAAGCACAGACGAGTTGGCCTGAGATAGCGGGCGTCACCAGATCGGGTTTAAAAAAAAAAAGATAAATCATGTGTTTAGGCTGTGGAGATAAAGGGGTGAATGTTTGAGGACCAAATTATTTACCATTAGAGAAAGATACCCACACATCTGCACAGTTAATGCCATTTGTTGGTTTGTTTATTTGCTCTTTCTCCATCGGAGGAAAAGAAGAGGAGACAGGTAAAGGAGCAGGAGGAGGTGTCGGAGGCGTGCAGGAAAAAGAGGGGAAAGGAAGAGAAACAGGAAGAAAAAGAGAGAAGATTTGAGCAGGAGGAGGAGGAGGAGGAGGAGGAGGAAGAGGAGACCACGTGGAAGAACCATCCTGTGACAACTGTCCGACCAGCATGCATAGGTGTGAGTGTCACGAGTGTACACTGGTGTCACCAGTCACACTACCCAGTTTTAAACCAATTAATACAGACTTTTACAGAAGCCATCCAATTTTTTTCACAGCATTAATTTTACAGCAGTTACTTTTTTTTGCAACACATTACCAAATTATATCTATGTTACATGTCTGATTGCCTCAAATCCCCTTTGGTTGATGTGAAAAGGTGTTTTTTTTTTTTTTTTTTTCAGGCAGTGATTCTTCCAAAAAGACAGCAGACAACTAACTCTACACTGACAGACGGACAAACAGACAGACACAAATATACAGAACAGATACAAAGTGATAGAAAGAGAGAGAGAGAGAGAAAGAGAGATTGAGAGAGAGAGGGAGAAAGGCAGAGAACCAGAAGCAGGTTGAGCATCATGCCTGCAGACAATTTACCGTAACTCTTGGAAGATGGCAGTAGACTAATACATAAAGGAGAACTCATCTGTTAACCAGTGTGACCAGTAAACCTTAACATCCACAGGAATATATTTGGCTTCTCATTATTAGTTTATTCATTCATTGAATTTCTGATCAACCAAAAAAAAAAAAAGAAACCCAAATCGAAGCAGTGTCTTTTATCAAGTCCATATTCTTGTTTTAGCCACTTTGCTCTCCAAATATTACGATGCAGACTTTCACCGTATCATTCGACTCATGAGGACACAGATACTGCTCCCAGAAAGGTTTAGACCTACATGAAATTATAGATTCTGTACAAGCTTTCACACTATTCCTCCCCATCTAGTAATTGTTCAATAAATAAATGAATATGTGCCATTTTGTAAAGACATTTTGTTTGCAGTTTTGAGCCTTCTCGTCTTATTCGTAAACAGGGATTTTGAAAGTTAAACTAATATATTGTAATTAAAAGCTGCCAAACTTCCATCTCTAATCTCTAAAAGTGTTCAGGGTTCTGTTTTTCTTGCTGTGAAGTGCTCAAAACTGGACCGCCACAAGACTGCTTTACAACCATGGCACCTATTCTAACTCATACTGGAGGGGAATTCAACAAGTCAGTAGAAAAATAAACATTGTCCCAAACATTGCATAAAGAAGCAATCAATAAATAAAGGTCATTCAAGTCAATCAACCGTTTAGTTTAGTTTTTTTATCTTGAAAGTTTCTCACACAATCATTGAAGTGAGAGGAGAAGGTGCTCCCCGACAGAGAAAAGATGGAAACAGTGTTTTTTTTGTGTTGTTGTAACGTTCGCCAGTGAGTCATGCACACAGTCCAGTCCACGATTTAAAACTGTTTCTTTTTCAGCTCCTTCCTCTCCTCACTGGAAAACACTCGTAGCTCCTCCGGCAAAAGGAGAGGAAAAAAAAAAGGAAAAAAGAAAACATGCTTCCTCAAACATCATTAGAATCACTATCACACTCTAGGCAGCTGCTTCACAGTAATCACGACAAGCAGGAAGACACCGATCTGTTCGGCTCCAGTGTTCAGTCCAAGTCTTCTGTTCTGTTCCCTGATTGGCTGATTGAGCGGCACGCAGGCTGTAATCCCCTCCCACCCCATCCCCATGAACTCAAACCAACAACTCTTTTTTTTTTTTTGTCTTTTTTTTGCGTCCCCACTGATGGACTCACTTGGTTTATAATCGCTCTGTTTACAACACAAACATTCCTCCGTTTCATTTATCTTCAAGTGGTGGTTCACATGAGAGAAAAATATAGGCCAAAAAGCTTGAGAACAATCCCAAAATAAAGTGGGACTGAGAGGTGTACAAAAATAAAGAAATCATACTGCACTAGAACAGTTGTGACTGTACGTGAGAGGCGATTTTTATATACTCAGACTATTTACATCTATGTGACAGAGCTCACACTGGTCTGTTGGGGAACCAGTGTTTTGTCTGCCTATTGCTGGTTACAATTTAGATATTCACGTGTGTGTGTCTGTTATGTATGTATGTGTGTGTGTGTGTGTAGTAGTGAGCAAGCAGTAAAACCATTTGTGCCCCCCTCCCCCAAGTCTGAAAGACTTGTTTGATTCTGTCCCATGTGGACTGTGAGGAGACATCAAAAACAAACGCTCATGTTCTGCTGTCTGTCATCCAGTACATTCAGATAGTGGTTATCATCCTCAATTTATCATGACGACGTCTGTGGAAATAAACAAGCAGCTGAGGGTTTCGTGTTGTTAAGTGGCTCGGTTTTGGTTGTCAGAGGTGCTGAAAGCTTTCAGAGTGGAGACTGGGTAACATTGACCGTCCGAAGGCAACCTCTGATCTGCAGGATTGCATCAGTGCAAAAGAAATTCGCTTATGCAGCTCTGTCTTTATTTCCCGTCGCAGGCCTGCCGTGGCCCCACCTGGGATACTATGGTTCAGTGCAAAGTCTATACAGTGCTGTATAGTACAGGTACTCCATAGTACTCTGAAGAAACATGCATACAGAGAGACAGAGTAGGAAGCACACTATCTTACAGTACAATCCTTATCTGTGCAGGGTTCAGTGTGTGCAGTCAGCAGGACAGGCCTGTCCCTGGGTTGTGCCTCTGGCATTCAGGTGCCACAACATCAATTTATTTTCGAGGGTTAATCTGCATTTCACTGAAATGCTGACATTTTCTGAGCCTACTTTAATTACATGTGGAATTGTTTGGGTTAGCATTTTTTTAAGTATACAGAGTGAGTTTGATGCAACAGGGAAATAAATTTGATTAAACACTAATATGTTGAGTAACAGCTGTAAACAGAGAAGTTCTCCAACAGGAAAACGTTATATCTTATTGTACACTTATACATAGATTTTTGTCTTATTCTTTTTTCGCTTTTTTTTTGCTTTCTTACAAAATTACTCTTATTATAATGTTTTCTTATGGTAGATTTTCATAATCTTTATTATGAGACGATGACAGGGTCCACTTGCTTGTCTCCATTAAAAGCATGCATGTTTCCATTCCCCTCTTCTGCCTCTAAATGTGTTTTCACTTCACTAATGGAAATGTCTCCATCAGTGGGTGCTCCTCCACCTCCTCCTTTTCAGTCTCTTCTTCCTGACTCCTCTCCTCAGTTACCTTTGGGATGTAAGGCTTACAAAGAAATGGTGTCCTTTGTTGCATCATCTTGTCTCTTTGTGAATCCACCTTTAAATTAGTCTCTCACCAGTTTGAAGAACTCGCTTCCAACCAAAAAAGTCGTGTTTTGATACCTGAAAAGGGAACAGATTAATAGATATATATTGTATTATTACGCTCATTCCTCGCTGACTCCTCAGTCAGTTTGTTATAAAAGTCCCTCGACATCCAGTAGCTCAGTTGGTTGCCATGGAAGCGGCGGGTCCCTCCTCGTCCCTCTCTTCTAATGCTTGAACGAGGCCAGAGCTGACATCGGAGGCCTTTCGCTCCGTGATTACCTCTGGCGGTGGTTGCCCTGGACTACTTCCACCTGAGGCATCTCCCTGTTGCGTGGGCGGAGTCAACATGGCCGACTCGGGCTCCATGCACAGTGCCACATCCTCCTCCTGAGCGGGACAGATGTAGAGAAACATTCAGTAAACTAAGTTATGGGAAGACTCTGTTGAGCGGTAATATCTCTGACTGAAACTAAAACTCTTAGCATGTCTGTGATCAAACTATTTTAACAACAAGTTGAAGACTGAGTTAAATACTTAAAATAACTTGAACGGGTTAACAGGTCAATATGTCATCTCTCATGCAGAATACACACTATAAGGATCAACTATTGAAAGCCTTTTTATGTCACAGTGTGTTTTTGTATTTTGTTTGACCAGCAACACAAAGATATGCAAATTCCAGAGCTATGTAGCAGAAAAGGGAGACAATTCATCTTGAGAAGCTAAAAACAGTAAATCTTTGTTCCTTCTGCTTGATCAACAACTTTATCAGTCTTTAGAAATACTGGAGCTGTGGATGGACGACCAAACTCACTAAAGCTCCCTCCACAAGAAGAACATTAACAAAAACTGAGATGATTAGATGATTGACGAGTCTTCAGAATTTATGGACTCAAATCAAACATTTTGACAGTAAAAGACACATTACTCGTAGTTAAAAGACTAAAAGCACCCTCACAGTCTCTCACAGTGCTTGTTCAGCAGCTCACATATCAAAAATTAACCAGTGAAGATGTAAATTTATGTAATCTCACCCTGCCTTCACCTCACCTTGACCTCCTCCTCCTCCTCTTCATGCTGCTCCAGCAGCGGGGAGTGTTCTGTTCCCACCGTCTCCTCTCCGGAGGGAACACAGAGGCTTGGCTCCACCACCGCTGACACACCCACGAAGCCTCCAGCCTCTGCCTGATAGGCCTCCATCTGCCCAGTGTTCCACAGATCCACCAATGGTGGGTGAACGGAATGTACCAGACTGTGAACGGTGCTGTTGGGCGTTGCTTGCAAAGAGTGGTTGGCACTGTGCAGCCGGTGCTCCAGTGACTGTAAACAGGGTGAAGAGGACGCGTTAGAAACTGAGCTGGGATTTGGAGCTTGTTTTATGTCAGAGGTGACACAGTGTCAAGCAGTTTGACAAAGTACACAGAGCCCCGTGTTGGCAGCCAAGAAACAAGGATTAGGAGGACAACAGAAAACCCATTTTCTGACTGTGCCCCTGATCAATAATGTTTTCATCTGTGCTGGGGAGGAGCCCATCTTTGTATTTTGATGAATGTATGAGATTTATCTCATCTGGAGCAAAAACACAACAGTCTTTGTTTATGTCTCCTGAACAAATCCTTAGTTAAGGGGTTATGGAGCTGTACTGAGTTAATCTCTAAGCTGCAGGTGTTAAACAGTTGGCTGACATGCAGACAAATTCTGAGTGTTAAGTCGATTTGTACACCAACCGTAAAATAAGAAACTTAGCAATGCCTGCTATAATCATTACCCAATTACTTTTTCTTTTAAGCAATGAAATAATGAGGCTGAATTTACCCTAAAGTTCCTTTGTATGAAATTATTTAAAAGGACTGGCAGGTTGAAATTACTATTAGGTATGAAATTAATATTGCTGTTATAGTAGGAAAGGAGAAGCAGAAACAAACAAAAACCTTGACTTAAGGTTCATTTTTGATATTCCTGCGATTGAAAACCTCGTTTTTAGGTGAGTAACTGTTTTAACATGTATGCAGTGAGTTTGAATAAGTTAAAATAACCCTCAATTATTTCAAACAAAGGGGATCATGTGTTGTGAGATGAACATTTGGGTCACAGAAGTTTTAGCGCTGACTCCAAATCCTATTTCATTCTTAGGGGCTGTTCAGGAGCCACTATCAGATTTTAGTTTGACCCATAATCTTAGAGGAACTTCGTCACGTCTCGTTCACCAGAGTGACTCATCCACACTCGCCTGTTGTTGTTGCTGATACTGCAGGAGCTGCTGTTGCTGGTAGTGCTGGATCTGTTGGATCTGCTGCAGCTGTTGGAGTTGGTTCTGCTGCTGGAGAGTGAACTGCTGTTGCTGTTGCTGCGACAGGAAGTGAGCCGCCGCCTGTCCGTCATACCCTTCAGTCCCCATAACATAGGAGCCAGTAGGGGGAGACGCCACACCAGAGGGATCATTGTTGATCGGCTCCCAGGCATCAGAGGAGGAGAGGCAGTAGTGTCCCTGGGAGACGTATGTGTGAGGCCACACCTCTGCTGAGGAGTGGTGCAATATCTGATCTGGAAAACATGGGAAAGAAAGCGAGTTATTATTGTTCTGCAGACTTGAGGAATTTATTGTAACAGGAGAGGAGCTGGATTGAGGTTAAGCAGCATACAAAGATTTTTAATGACTTTTTTAAAAAAAAATCATATAGCTCAAAATCATAATGAAGGGATCAAAATATTTAAAGAGATGTTTCAAGATTAATTGAATTTTTTAAGATCCAAAATTCAAAGACATCATTGTGGGTTTTGCAAACAATCAAAATATTTATTTTAGCATCTGGTGACCAACCTACAGTCAAGTCTTTGATAATGTTAGGTTGCTAGGTTTTAGGAGTGAATTAAACTCCTTTTAATGTTTTTATTAAGAGGTAACAGCAAAAACCTCTGAGATTTGATTTTGTCTTTGAACTGGCATGCTGAACAGAAAAAGCAGCTTTTATTGAAAGTAAGTTAAAAACAAAAATAAAAATGTCAGCAGAAAATAGACCACAGACTGGCTTATGACTGCGATGACGGATACGAAGTTACAATGGAACAGTTTCATTTTTCTGTCTAAAGCAGTGTACACCTGAAGGTACAGACGACACATGCAAAGATCGAGACAGGAGGGGACAACGTAAGACACAGGTGCTGACATACAACACTAATGGCAATGCACAGAGTTCAGAGGTCAGAGGTCAACTTTGAATACGACTTTTTGTTTGTTTTGTTTATGGCATCAGCTCTAAAATAATCATCATCTTGAAACCAAAATATTATAATCCTCGTCATCATCAGTGCAAGAAATAGAGATGATGTATCAAAAACATCTCAGAGGCACTGGGACCAGTTTGAACTTAGGTTGTTTGACAAACTGATGGATCATCTTTTTAAACTGCTCAGCGCAGTCACAGCTTTGATTTAGAGTTATTTATCCAAGAGTATAAATTGGACCCCGGAGGAAACATTTCATAACATTTTTTAACTGCTCTATAAAAATTATGAGATAAATTGAAGCAAATGCTTGAAGATCATGTCATATCCTCACAGAAATTTAACTTATAACTACAAATGAAATGTTTTCATGTTCTTCATGTTCTTCTACTACGTGATGATGATGGAGACTCGACACAAGGAGGCCAGTCCTGGGGAATGAATTGTCTAAAGGCAACGGTCAACCTTCCAACAGTCCATGTAAGAAAATGTGAAATTAATGATAAGAAAACCCCTCAGCCCGGGAAGAGGAGACGGAACAGTATGTTCTCATTACTGAGCAGCATGACACATGCTATACTGCAAGCTGCTCATCTACACCTACACAAACATTCAACGCAGCTGTTCTAATGCTGCCTGCCTATATACACCACCACTAAGCTTTACCATGTTGAAAATACAGGGCAATACAATCCTTTTTGTATCTTTTATATACAGTATTCCAGTGTTGGAAAGTCAAGATACACATTTGCTCAAGAATTACAATTGAAACTATGGTATCACTTTACTTGACGCATATCTCTACAACAAATTATAAATATATGTATAATGTGTTATAATCACGTTATAGCGCTGTATAAATAAAATTGTCATAAATGATCATAATGCATTATAGCAATAATCAAAACACATTATATAGTATTTTATCACAACTTACAAGGTCAGATATTATAATGTGTTATAACTGTTAACAACTCACTGACAATGTCCACATAGATAATGCATTATACATATATTTATGATGTGTTTTAATTTGCTTATAAACTTGTATAGCTATCATTATAAACACTCATTAATTATCATAAGGCTCTATAACAATAACACATTATAATACCTGACCTTGTAAGTCGTGTTAAAATGCTTTATAATGTGTTGTGATTATTTCTATTAAGCATTATGATCATTTATGAGTGTTTATAACTATAGTTATACAGTGCTATAACGTGACTATAACTATACATATATTAATGATGCGTTTTGGAGATAGGCATCAAGTAAAGTGTTACTGAAACTATTTTGAAAGTTTTTGTACTTATATTTGTCCATTTTATCTACTTAACGACACCACAAATACAAATATTTTCAATGTTTTCTCTTCTGTCAATCCATTGACAATGTATTCATCCTTTTCCTGTAACACTTATCTCAGTCAGGATCATGGGATTTAAAAAATAATAAAATTATGAAGGCATGGTTTACATAAAGATAAACAGTACAACATAAAATAGAAACAAGTTTCACGACTCTAAAAGCTCCTGCAATATTTGCAATTCTTTTTAATCCTTTACCTCTACTGGTGATGCTCTCTTGGTTAACCTCGCTCAGATGAGCCACACTGCCCTGGTTTGAGCCTGATCGTGGACTCTCTCCATCCATCGATGACCAGGCGAGGAGTGTTGCCTCTGAGATTGCAAACTGTTGCAAGATTCCTGGGGTCAGAGATTAAACGACAAACAGGGATCACTGTGTATCACTGTGGGAGAGCAAGGGCACAGAATTCTGCTAATGGTTGTGGCACGAGCATGTGTGTGTGTGTGTGCACATTTCAAACCTGCAGCAAAACGGGCCTCCTTCTCTCCGTCACTGAGGTCACTGTAGGCGTCGTTCTCCAGCCGTCGCTCCTTTTCTCGCTCCTGGGTGGTGATGCGGGACTGGGGGAGGCCCCCCGCACCCACTGTCGACATGCCCCAGTTCTGCCACTCAATCATGTGAGCAACACGCCCCTGGGCCATCGCTGTGGGCTTGGTAACCCGCTCCTTCATGGTGCGGGTCACACCTGCGAGAGGTCAAGGTGATGGAGATGGAGTGAAGGTGCGAGACGAAGTCATGATCAGAGAATTTGAAAGAAGGTGGAAGGAAATACAGAGACAGAAGAGAGACAGAAAGAAATCAAGTTATCATCAAATGTCTATTGCTGTTTGGTTGGTTTGATGATTGATCCAGTAGGGTAAGACTGATAAACTGGTGTGCCAACTGGAAGGATCAAATTCAACAGTAAGTTTTGTTCCCCTAAAAGGTAATGTATATAATGTAGAAGAATTACATCTCTGCTACAGCTATGGCTGTTCTGCTGTGGTGTAAGTAAACAGAATATACTAGAAATAAATGATGTTTGACTGTGACTGTAAAGAGTTTTTATAAAAACTTGTGTCCGACAAGGTTTTGATCAAAAGAACTAAATTATCAATGTTTGGGACATAGAAATGAAAGCATTTTAAAAAATGTGACATATTATCATCAAATATTAACTTTTGATCCAACAAAGACAAACCAGTGTACCACAATGTTATCAGTCAAACCCTACAGCTCAGATGCCGACTGTTTAATGTGTCTCCTCATGAACATGAATTATGACAAAAGCTAAATGACAAGGGTTGTGAAGGTGTCGTTTGTGTGTTTAATGAGTCTAAGGCATCGCCTGCTTAAGCTGCAGGGAGGAGAGTAGTGGATGGATGTGTCTTGTCTGACAAAGGTGCATCATGGGATGGAATAGGTTAATTGGGGTGAGGTGGCTGTGTGGCATGAGTAACGAGAGGTTAGCTTGTTGACATGATAGCTTTCACACCTCTGCTGTGCTGTGCTATGTTAGCAGAAAATTGCTCTTTTTCTCTCCTCTGCCTGTCTGAGAACGTTGATTCATGCAAACACTGCATAACATACATTTTTTTAACGCTGAATTTTAATTCCTGCTACCAGGCTAACACCAGCTGATTTCTGCATAATATTTAATGTGACCAACGCATGATGACACAAACTGTAAGTCCCTGGATGTTTGAGTCTCTCTGATGGTGGTGCATGGATGATGAAGTTAATGAATAAGTTATGGGAATAAATTATACGACAAATCTGTACCACACCACACGACGCAGCTGCTGCACTACACTTCACTGTACTGAATACAATTCACTGCACTCAAATCAACTGCACTGCACAGGATTAAACCAGAAACCACTGCACTTCACTACACTGCACTGAACTCTGGTTGACACAAACATCCATACTAATGCTCGATCAGGACATCACAACTTCACAACCACTTTACATAAAAAGAACTACACTTCCCACTCATCACTCACCTTTTCTCAGCTGTATGACTGTGCACTATGTGTATGTTGTGTTTTTAGGCTGAATTCAGTCCGTCAATGACTCACAGGGAGCCATTGACGAGTGTTATCACAGCGTGAAGAGGAAGTGATTCAGGGGAACCCGATTCGGGTACCATGCTGACTCGCGCACCCGCAGAGGGGCGGAGCCAACATGGGGTCAATTTACCAGTTACATCACAGACACACACCTGACACACCTGACAGAGAGGACTTAGCCAAAGCCCCGATGCCATAGGCGTTTGAGTTCCTCTTGAGCCGTGGCAGGATTGATGTGGTGTCTTCCATAGACAGCTGGAGGGGAAGAAGGGAGAGGAATGGTGGAGGGGAAAAAGCGTGGAGAAAAGGATAGTATGGGAAGTGTGACAGGGCACACAAAGACATCAGGACGGTGTGTGTTAGAGAGAGGTGAGTGGAGAGGAGAGGTGATGGAGATGTCGGGTTAATACAAAAGATCCAATCTGCATCACCCAAAATTCCAGCTATGATGTCCTTTTTTATTTTGTGACTCTGATTGTGTTCACTACTGTGCATCACTACGACAAACCGAAAGAGATCATCTGTAAAACCGAGAGGGGGAGGGAGGGGGTCTCTACGGGGAAAAAGGGCTGATCGCTAAAGGGTGAGTTAAATCAAAACAGGTGAAAGAAACAAACAGAAAGAGGAGGAAAAGTAGTAGATGAAGGAATGGTCTCACAACACTTACATTGATTCCTTCCCATGAAAATTCTGAACGTCCATGCTGAGGAAGAGAAATAGGAGGAGAGAGGGATGGGGAAAGAGTAAGAGAGTGACGGGACAGAGAGAACATTGACATGCGTGGGAGGGGAAATGTTGGAAGACAAATAGAGGAGGGACAGGAGGAGTTTACACATCGAACATGCAGAGGAGAAAAAAAGGAATCAAGCAAAAAAAAGAAAAAAAATGAGAGACAGAAACACAGGATTTTCCAGGAACGAGGTAGGCAAGAGTCAAGGACCAGAATGACAGGGAGAGGGGAGGGAATTAAACAGGGATCAGTATATTTGCTTAGTTATGTATAGCAGAGTGAATATGCTACGGATGAATGAGTCCCCTCTCTTGTTCCATGTGCTGCCAAAAACACTGAAAGCTAGCAGAAAATCATGTGTGAGCGAGGGAGACAGAGATGTCAGTGCTGTGTCGAACACTATCTGATGCTGCAGACAGACAAGGGACTGAGACTTACAGCAGGATGGTTTGTCTTTGAGTGAGTGTGTCTGTGTGTTTCTTTGTGTGTTTGTGTGTAGAGGCAGATGCAGGGGACTGAGACTAACAGGAGGAGTGTGTGTCTTTACCTGTGTGTGTCAAAGCAGATGCAGCGGACAAGGCAGATAAGGAGCAGCCTCTGCCACAGTATTTCTGCCTATCAGCCGGTCTGACACTAACTAGACCTGAGGCACTGATGGGTTAGTGGCTTAAGTTAAAAGCCTTCACCCTCCTGTCAATCTGTGGAAACTGTAAAGCTGAACGATTGAAAAAGGAAGGAATTTTCCATTTTCTCTGACTATCATTAAGAGGTGGCCATTTTGATACTTTTGGATTCCAACTCAGGTATTAAGAATTAAGGATACTTAATATTGACTAGATGTTAGGACAAAACACGCTGAGAGCATCAGATCAGATCACTCAAACAAAGGGAATGAAAACAGCGAGCTCACAGCTGTGAAAAAGTAAAAGAAATAAAAATGTCATTCTTCTTAACACAAACCCTATTTGTTAAATACCATAAAAGGAGACCTACTGTACTGATCGGTACTTTAACATATATATTGCTTTGGGGTACCACTCTCAATTTGTTCTGGCGTACATATTCTCATTCATGTATGCAAATTTGTTACTAAAGGATATACATTTATGTATACCAACCATGTGCAATTTTAGACACACATCTGCAAGTGCAATTGTGTGCTATGGGCATCATGGAATTCAATTCAATCTGGCACTGTACCACACATCGTGCACTTCAATGTAATTTTGCACTTATGCACTCGTCACTTTAACAAGCTGTACTGTAGTAAATGGCACTTTAAACACCTTTAGCACATGACATTCTAATTAGCACTTTACAATTCTCCTTTAATCTTTTTGGTCCCCTCACTATCGGTCACTTAGTTTTTGGTCTGTGTATATTATGTGTATGTTGTCAGTGCATTGTTTTATTGTCTTAGTCATGTTGTTTGTACTTTAACATTATTACTTTTATGTTTAACCTGCCAATGGGACTGGGGATGAAAATTAGCCGTCTGGCTATAATTCCACATATTTACATGTAAATGTTCATCAATATGTACTGCTCCCATTTTTAAAAATAAATAAATCGAAAAATAGAAATAACGTTACAGTGTTGAATGTCCATACTGACCCATAGCCAAGTTTCAAACGTAAGATGAAAAGTTTTTTTTTTTTTTTTTTGGGGGGGGGGGGGGTCTTGGAGGAAAGTCACAGTCAGAACCTTCACATGTTATTAAAAAATCTGATTTATTCATTTTGACTGATACTGTACTGAAATTCATCTAAATGTTCTGAGCATGCCCCGATGTTTGCACTCAGGGCTTTGAGCCAGAAGTTGAATTGCATGGATGTGTTGCTAGAGTGCCGGGTCATAAACAAAACCTCAACTGACAAAAAAAAAAGGCTATAAGAAGGACGAAACCTTCCCATCGTAGAAAAAAACTGTACAGAGCTGTAACAGTGACAGTGTTTTCATGGCTCCTCATACATCTCATGAGCCTCTTGCTGACATGTTTTGCTGACTGTTTTGATACATGATAAATCAACTGGGAGATGCTAGCAAGCTGGAAGATATATATATATCAAAAACTACCGTAACAGACATGGACACGCTTCTGTCAATGATTAGATTTTTGCTTAGTGCTTGTAGATTTAGTATTACGGTACTTCTATATTTTTATGTAGCATTTACTGTTGTATGGTTAAATCTACAGTCAGTTATATAGTCTGTGTCTTGACTAAAACCTGTGAAATAAATGCATCAAGCATATTTTAAAAAGAAGTGTAAAATAACATAACTTTTGTCGATGTTAATGAAGAATCAGCACTTCAATAGTTGTAACTTGTAACTCATGTTTGGTCAACTGGCTGTTGAATGTAAAGACAAAGATTATTGAAAACTTGGAGGGGACTCTCCGTCAGGTTCTTGCAGCTTGAATCTGGTTTGTTTGTGGTGATGAATTTGAGCCTCCTTTTGTTCCTTTCTTCACTCCATCTTTCTCTTGTAGGTCTATTCTTTACTCTCTCAGTCCCACTTCTTTGCTCTTTGACTCTTTCCACATGTCTCTCTCTCTCTCTCTCTTTCATGTTCTGTCTCAACAGGAGTGGGGTGGGCGTGGTGAGAGATTTAAAACACTTGAGTGGTAAAGTTGGTTTCCTTTGAAGCAGCTTTTCATATGTTGTGGCCAACAGCCCTGACATTGCTGTTGTGTGTGTGTGTGTGTCTCAGTGTGTGTGTCCATGTGTGTGTGTGTGTGTGTGGCTGTCTTTTTACTTTCTGCAGAACCGAAGGGCATTCTGGGGCACGGTGCATAAATAAATGATGAAATCAGTACACAGTGCATTTGGTGAAAAGTGGAGTTCTCTACATTTTAGTCCAAAATGGCTACTTCTCCTGTGTCCTGTCTCAGAGGGATCAGTGAGAGAAGGGGATCAGTAAAGCAGCTTGAGAAGAGAGGAAAGGAGAAATAGGACAGAAGGATGTGGTAATGGTGTATAAGAAGTCAGAAAAAGGAGAGAGTGATGCCTCTGCTGTTTGGCATTGAATCAGCACTGAGCAGTGACTCTGTCAGACGGACATCTAATCAGGCAACAGACGTCATAGCATCAGCAATGAGCCAAATAAACCAGCGATTGTTCAGTCTTCCAGCTACGCTACCCCATCTTGCGTAGAGAAGAGTAGTGGAAGAAAAGCGAGTGACATTGACACGATATGTGCTACTACTGCTATTAATCTAGCTTAAGCGCCGGCGCTGTGAATTAAACAGGGCTAGTGGGCTGAGCTGCTGTAGCTAATCACAAAGCTGCAAGTGAAACCTGTTTTTAAATCGGAAGCCAAGTTGGTTTCTCAGCTGGAGCAGCAGAAGTCCACGGTCAGAGGAAGTCAACAAGAGGGGTGAGCCAGAGGACATCACTGAGGACTTACCTGCTCCCCATCCTTCTGTACCGGCACGCCATCCGCCGCTAAGAGAAGAGAGAGGAGAGAAGAAGAGATGTATTTTAGTCTTTGAATTAATAAAATTATCAATCAATACCAACGAGAATTTTGTTACATACATCAAAAAATGTTCATGGAGCCTCTGCAGATGTTCAGTAACAAAGATTCTTCAGTTTTTTTATGATGCTGCTCCTTTTTATGAGGAACTTTTACAGAATTACACTGATACAACAAAGGAGACTCCTGCAATAGAAGCTTTCTTATGAACTCATATATCAAGGCTATTCTATGAAAAAGGCAGTTATGGTTGTAAAATTCCAAGTAGTCCATATTCTCTCTGCTATTTGTGGTCAGAATTTCTGCAATATTTAAACCAGGATATAACTTTTCACCTTAAGTTTACATACTTAAATTAAATGCTTACTTGGGAGTAATTCTCATAATAAATTAAATTCATTTTGTTGCCTTTTTCCCATCATATAAAACTTTAAACTGGTGACACACATTTTCTTCTGCAGCCCTCATCAGTCCATAACTCAAGATTTTCTTCTGGTTATATGTGAGGTAAATTCCCTTTTAGGACACTTGACATTAATCATCTCTGTATCTTCATTCACAGAGCCAATCAGACCTTAAACCGTGTCACAGTGTGCAACATACCACCTCCCCATCACCTGCATGACCTTAAGACACAACTTAGAGTTTCAACTACTAGCAGCACAGAGTCCAATCGCCAAAGTCCATAATGAGCTTCCTCTTTATGATAACGACACCTGTATTTCATTCAGTGACACAAGATGAGGAGTCAGTGGCAGATCACACACAAACTGTAGATGGGAGTCATGAGAAATACATGCTCTCTGTTAGATAATTGAACACCATTATCCCTCCTCTTTCCTGGCTGTCCAAATCCTAATTAAAACATTGGTTTAATTAACGAGTCTGCACTGGTAATGGAGTTTAAACACAGCTTTAGTCTCTTGGTGCCTGCTCTGTGTATCCGAGGGTCTGTGCACTATGTGCGCAACTCTCAGAGGGGCTCACTCCTGTATCAGCACTGTGGGTGTGTGTGTGTGTGTGTGTGTGTGTTCATGTGCGTTTGTGCTGAGCCAATCACGTTTTTCACAGCTGCATTTGGCAATCAGGGGCGACTCCTCTGAGGAACACAGTGAGTTGTTGGCTGTGCGGATGTCCAGTGATGTCTGTGACCCACTGACCCAGTGATTCAGAAACATCAGCTCCACTCTGTCTCTGTTGATATTACCCTTCTCTCTGAATTCTATCCAGTCGCATCAGATCACTGGGAGGGCAGGAGATGAGGGACACAATTCATCTCAGAAAACTGACCCGTTTTTCTCTCACATGGAGGACAGGGTGCCAACTACATATCAGAACCGCCTCGCTTCATTTGTACAGTTAATACAGTTTTCGGGCGAGGGATCTTTTGATTTTGTGATCTTCTGATGAAAAAGCGTAAAAGTACAATTTTGTATCTCCAGCCTGGGATGTTCCAACACTCTCAGGCGTTAAATCACCCTTTTTGTCTGACCCAGTTTCCGTCATACTTCTGCTTATTTCCTCCATAGTAAGCATTTCCCTAAATACCTTTGGACATCACTATAAAAAAATGAATAATGTTACTAGATAAATAGATTTTTAGTCGTACATTATCAGGGTAAATTTGCATGTGAGAATACATTTTGTAACTCTACAGTCTGCAGTCTGAATATTTCACACAAAACTTGTTTTACAAATTGGTTGTGTGGAGTTGTAATGTGATTATTTTACAGGATTCCTTTTGTTGCTTGTTAACTGTCAGTACTTCAATTCCCCTGTGCCTGGGCTGACTGAAGGCATTATATTTTTGGGTTATCCATCTGTTGCTTTCTTTGAAGGCGACATCATACAAAGCATAAGGATCATATATTCATATTTTGTGCATATTTCCTCCTGGACTCAACAGAGATCAAAAGAGATAGTGTCTAAAAGCTGTAACTGAAAGAAATCAGGTGGTATAGCGAGACACGATTCACCACAAATGTCTTCCAGGATGAAAGAATGATTTGGGGTTTTTTTTGTTTTTTTTTTACCAAAAGGTGAAAAAAATGACTTCAATGTGACTTGATAATGGTCTAGTAAAACTGTGGCTGTCTCATTCTTGTGAAGGTAATACCTCAGACCTCAAATTTAGCACATACATCTACATCTACTTGGACTTGAGGAGGACCTGTAATAACGTTGGCCAAAGCTTCAAGTTGAGGTCAATGTGAGCCAAAATATTTCTATTTGAGGGAATGTAATATCTCTATAAGCCAGAAAAGCAGCTAAAAACATCTGAGTCTGTTATTTTTTATTTCTCTGAAACGCCATCTGAGATCCATTTAGAAAGTCTTCTATACTTCACTTCTTGTGAACATGATTTCTCCGCTGTCACAAGGACACTCTACTGACAGTTACACTTTCCAGAAAAAAAGGACAGAGATGCACAGAGAGGGAGAGAGACCAGACATCTGATATTTCATTTCTCCTGTAAATAACTGTGATTCAAACTCAAATATTGCAGACCTACTTGTGTGGTTTATTTGCTTTCAGGAAAATGTGTTCTTTCAAGTATGTTCAATATAGAGTTTATAATCTCTCTCCCAGCCTAAGTTACACTGTCATTCTGCTGGAGAGAACTGTTGGTGGGAGCACACAATCCTGGGGCTATTTCAAGTGAAGAGTGTAGTTTTTACACTACAGCGTTTTATGCTCTACAACATGGAAAAATGTCTAAATGCTTCTCCTCCTTCTCAGTTTAGGCTTTTCTCCCCTAAAATACAATGTCCCACATTTTCTTTATCTTCACTGGTGAAACATGAAAACACACGTTGAAGAAGAATATCTCTACATAAGCATCTTACATTACCAGTGACTAATTGTACAGTCCGACTGAGCTGTAGTCAGGCGCACCGACAGTTGTTTTTTCAGTACACCCAGCTTCGCTGTGAATATTCCTCTAGATAATAGACTAAAATAAACAGTGTGATCAAGGGATTCCTGGAGAGGTAAGCCATGTATTGAGCGGCTTCTTTGCATCAGGACTTGCCCTTTCCAGAGGGGGTGGCCACAATTAATTCAAGTGTTACTTTCAGAGAAACGAACTCGTCGTGACCTCAGAGGGATTATTCAGGCGTGTTTGATTTTTGGCACTGCTGTGTGAGATGGTTACTTATTGGCTGATAACAGAAAGACAGAGAGATGTCTCATTTTCTGCCCGGGCGGGAGAGAGTGTCCCAGATATCTTCCTCATCTGGGTTAAAAATCTTCCCTGCAAACACAAACTCTATACAAACACATATACATACTCAGGCCTAAAGCAACACGCTACTTGAAGCACAGGGACACACTCGGTGTCACTCCCTCTACTCTTGTATTTCTCACTGCTCTGTAGCTTTCTCAGTCTCCCTTTTTCTGCATCCCTCAGCTTGTTTGGCCAATTAGTAGATTAGCAGTCACTCTCTCCCCACATGAATCACAATATGGCTCAAGAGTTCTCTGGACTGCAGCAGAGCAAACTACCGCTGGGACACCCTGCAGCCTTTTTACAGCAATGGAGCAGACAAACTTAATAAAGAGTATGTACTTTTTGCAGCAGAATGTATATCATCTAATGTATGTTGGCATCATGTTAGATTTGATCAAAGTACAGTATGCACTATTTGTGAAGTGAGCCATGAGAGTTAGATGTCTACATCATACTAAGGTCATTCAGAGTCAATTGTGCTTCTTGGATTATCTTTACTGATGATGGGTCAGTGGTCAGCATCTGGAATCTCAGTGCTTTCTCAGCCATAGCTCACTCTGTATCGCTAAACCCATGAAGGTGATTTCTTGGCCCCTCAGCAGCACAGTAAGCGAATGCGTAATTCTGCTCCTGAAGAGGCAGGCAGGATACCTCCTTGAGGAAACAGCAACAACAACAGAGCACATGACCGGAGCTCTGAGCCAGCTTTTCTTCCCCTGGCACTCTCCCACCTCCCCCGCACACACACTGCATACAGCGATGCAGCTCTGGATACCCCCCTGCGGTCATGGGGGAGCCAGGCTTAGCTCAGCCGAGGAGAAGGAGCAAGAAGGAGTGATGGAGAGAGAGAAGGAGGGTGGGGATACAGAGGAGAAAAAAATAGAGGGAGCAGCGCGGCCGTGCGTAACGAACAACCAAAGATCTGCAGCGGCTGCACTGTCAACTCCGGCTCTGACTGGAGCTGCTTGACGACATCAGCTGAAGTAGGGAGCATTTGAGCGTCATCTGTCATTTGTACTGCCAGCACCCTGCAGCAATAAGAAACAGGGTGCTGGGTGCTTGTTCACCATGACAGCTGCAGTAAGGCTGGTTGCCACGGTGGGGCACCGGCTTGAATGTCAGACGTCTTGCAGCGACATGTGCAGATGCTGGGTTACCGAGCTTTAGAGTTCAGCAAGAACGCAGCTGAGGACCAGAGCCCAGATGGTCGTGAGAGCTTGGTGGAGGGGAAACAGAGTTAAGTGTGTCCCAGGATATCATCCACACACACGCATACACGCTCCAAACACACGCTTGAACTCAGCATGAGTTACTGCCGTTAACTTGGTGAGATGGGACTCCCATGCTGCATGCCCCTGTCATTTGCAGGCCTGACACGCCTCATTAATCTGTTTAGGCATGAATGTAGCTGCCATCCTGTGCAGGTCTCATCACTGATGCAGGCCAAAGAGGTTACAGCAGCCTTTGATGCACCCGCTGAGGTAACTAGGAATCTACAGCATGCAGTCATTTTGCAGAGGAAGCTGTAGTCTAGCATCATAAACATTGTTACTGCTGTAAACACCCTAATGGCCTGATGAATATATAGTGAACAAAGAGCCCTGGTAGTGTCTTCTGATTCCACAGACGAGAGGAAAAAACTGCACAGATGGTGAGGAACTACCAGTTAAGGGTTCAAATATTGTGTGCAAGAAATCCTCATTTTCAGTCGCTTGTTATTCAAAGGCGATGAGTGCAAACAAGGCCCTTTTTCTTTATCAGCATTGAAGCGGTTAGTAGCTGCAGATAACACAGAGATAATCAACGCTGCTCGGGCAGTGATGCTGAGCACATCCATAAATTCACACTCACTCTCTTTCTCTCTCTCATACCTACTCACATGCACACCCAGATCAAATTGTAGGACCGACATTCTCTCTCTTTCACAGCATTATGTTTCAATTTTATAACACACTTTGTGGCTGAGTCACACTGTTTACAGAAACACCCGCCACCATGTGCCCACACACAGGCCTCGTACTTGCGATCTGCCACATACATGCTCATAGTGACAATGATATGCACAAGGGCACATACACACACTCATGAACACTTTAATCAATTCCTCCCTCCGATAAAGATCCAGCCTTGTAACATGGCATCCTGTGACAAGGCAAACCGTGCTAACACGGAGGAGATATGACACACAGCCAGAGACACACATAAATCTGTCAGGAAAAATCCAATGCCATGTATGCTACACTGAAGACCTTGGAGGTATGAGCACAAACAGTGACACACACTCACACAGGTAAGGGTCATCAGGTCCCACCGTGTCTCTGAGGTACTACATCACTGAGTCATTCACCTTGAATGCTTTCATGTGCACAAGGCTTTTCCAGCCTGGACAGAAGCCAGTCCATCGTCCTCCATCACTGTCTGCCAGATCTCCTAATTTACAAGTAGGCAGGGAACTGGCAAATACTGGACAGTATGTCTGAATGTAAGGGAAGAGTCAAGAGGGTTTTTTTATTTTACTTTGTAATGCAATGAAAACCGTTTGATGGGGCAATGCAGTGAGAGGTCATACGGGGGCCAATCATCTCATAAATCAAGAGGTCATGTAGTCACGAGGTCATTCATGAGCCAATGCATGAACACAAACATACACATCAATATACTACAGAGATACTACAATGGAGACACACAAGCTGGGGAAAGGACTGACAAAATCAGTCCATTTTATTCATCATGTATTCTGCTGTGCCCTTGGCCTCTTCATGCACATCTCTCTTTTCAAAAATCACTTCTGAGTACATTTGAATACTGTGGGAAAAAAGGTAGCCCACCTGGTGGAGCATGATACAGAGCTATTATGAACTACATAACACAGCTTCACTGTCAAATATGGGCTATAAATCAAAAATAAAAAGTCTTATAGAACAACATCATTGAAGAATTACAGAAAAACTCCAAAATAGGTCACAGTTTTCAGTGATTAAATGCGATTAATAATGAGCTGCAGTCGAAACGCTTTACTTACTTTTAACAGCCTAAATTTGGCAAACCTTTGATTCACATCAGAGACAGTCTGATCAAAAAACAAGCAAACAAGATTATGAATAGGACCTAACATTTGACGCCAGCTTTCAGAGCGCCACACTTTTGATACTCGGGCTACAGACACATCTCAATCAGGACCAGAAAAATCTGTGTGCAGACACACATGCTATAAGAAAAAAGAAACACGTACACAAGTACATGGAATGGGAAATCAGTGCCTTTTGAATCAGTGAGTGGTGTGTCAGCAGTGACTCCTTAGCAGAACCCTTTTACACAGAGTAAAAAGAGCATGCGCTTACAGGCAGCCCAAACAGGTGAGAGTCGTCATAATGTCCCATATTCATATCTATATTTTCACCACTGCTGCCTGATCCATATCTGTTATCTCCACACAGCACACTGAGCCCTAATTAAACAGTGATTACTGTTCCCAGCACTCACAGGTTTAGTGCAGTCGGGTAACTAGATACAGGAAACTGCCTCTGATGTAAAGCTTTTAGCACAATGAGGCATAATAGCATTATCAACTCTACATCTGGAGATGTGATCAAAATCATGATGTTACAGAATTACTGGTGCTTTATTGGACAGCTGTATGTATTTGCTCTCAATGAGGCATGCATAAGCTGTGAACTCCACACACAAGCTGAGTCATGGGCGAGAAATACAGTTTGTAGTTATTTTGCAGTAATTCTCTTTGCTGCGCTCACTGATGAGGTGAAGATGAATGTGCTCCTCCCAGTGACTGCTTCTCAAGGCCTTTGCTCACTGAAGCGGTGATGGATGCAGACATCTCATCAACTGTACATCACTGTCTGTCTGTCTGTCTGTCTGTCTGTCTGTCTGTCTTCACCTGACCTACTTATAGTGTTAGGGCAGCTGGGCTAAAGCAGATGTTAAAAGGGTTGGAGGCAGAAGCTTTCTTAGTCTTTTAGTTCCTTTAAATAACCACAAATGTTTGTGACACTGTACCAGGAATTTTGCCGTGTAGACTACTCTTCATACCAGCGTGAAACAACTTTCAATACTGAAACAGAGCTCCCTGTAAACAAATGCCAACCCTGGTATTTAAGTCAGCCCTCTTTTTCCAACTGGGTCAGACTTAAGAGCTAACAACTTACACACCTGCATCATTAGCCCCTGCTTGTGAGAAAAAAGGAAACTTAGAGCCACACTACGGTTCAAGTGTTATTTCTGTCTGTATTTATGAGTGTTACCACTTCCAACATGCTGCTATTTTTGGCTCTTGTTTTTTTAAGCCTCAGGCTTTCAATATATTTTAACGTACTACTGCAAAAAATGATAAACAATAAATAATTTTCACCTCAGGATACTCATATTACATACTACGATTACTTTTCTACTACAAAAATGATGCTGTATTAAAAATTCTTGGTGTCAAAACAAAGTGAAAGTCAGATTCCTGCAGGACAAGTAGTAGCACATATTCGGTTCACCTGCTGGACCCAGTCACATTGAAACAGAGACATTTGTTTTGTCAGGGCCACATAAATTACTCCAGCAGTGCATGTGTACAAACAGATATCCAAGCCTGACCAGGGAGTACACACCCAGATATGATGGAGCCGAGAAAGAGATAGTGTTACCAGCAGAGCAGACAGATACATCAGGGCTACTCCCATACAGAGAGAGATCCGGTCTTGCTGCTCCTCCAGATGATCCCGGCTTGGCAGCGTGGACTGCAGACAAGTAGGCCGATCAATAGCACACACTAAAGCCGTTCTCACCCAGGATAAACACAACCACGCCTCTACACCAGCAGCACCACTGCCGACTCTGGTACTTAGAGACTCAGACGCACAAGCTGCTTTAAAACATCTGGTCGCCCTCTTCTCAACTACTGTTCATTTCTACATACGTGCTGAATTACAGCGCTCACAGTCTGGGGCAAGATTCACAAACTGGAGATAAATATTTCATTAAGGGGATGTCAAATCTTCATAACATTGAACCGACTAGTTCATCTTTTTTTATTACTTATCCCTGATCTGAAAATGGAACTGCTCTTCCTCGTGTAGCCTTATTGAATCCTTAAGCCTCTTTGATTGCTAATATAAAAATGGACATAGAATTTGGCTCCAAATCAGATTAATATGACACCTTTTTTTAAACGTTTAGTCCTCTTTATTAACAGTATCCTCAGCAGCTTGAGTCACGTGGCATGTGTTCAGTCTCCCGTCTTGACTTGAGCGTTGACACAGCATCCCAACTTCCCCTCCTGCTCTGCAATGTGTCGAATGCTGCGAGCTAGACTGTTGGAGCTATGAAACTGTCTCTCATGTATTCCACTCACACCTGCCTTCCTAACTGTGTCATGTAGAGCTCTGTCTGCTGCAATCGCACAGTCTGTATATATTTTTAAAGTCATCTTCATAAAGAATTTAAATGGAGTTGGAAAAAAAGGATAAAAAAACGAGCACGTGTCCACAGGAGATCCTGTCTGGAACTCGGTTTAAACAGTCGTGACCCCTGCAGAGGTTATACACTTTCAGGGGTGATGCTGTGTTCAGACTGATGCTTTACCATAAGTATGTTTAAGAGCTTCATGTGCTAAGTGGTTCATTAATATTTAACACCAGTGCAAAGTTGTGTTTATTTTTACCTTTGAGTGTGAGTCATGCCACATAAGCTGCAGGACCTGAATACTGACGGCAACATGCCAGACTATTTGCGTGGAAACAACTGATTGTTCAACATAAATACATTTTTAAACAATCCCTGCCCAGTTTTGCTCCGCTGGCAGCAGTGCTGTTGTTGATTTACTCAAACCGTCATTCAAAGGGTCCTCACCTGAAAACTCCCATAAATCCCACACACACTCGCCTGCACGTATATGCCCCTCCCTCTCCCCCTCTCTCCATCGCCATCCCTTCATCTCCCCTCCTCCCTCCCTGCCTGCAATGAAATTCTTTCTCTCCTTATCCCTCTCTATCCCTATTATTCCTGCAAATAACAACAAACTGTGCAAACGCCCCTGACAATGGCATTATCCCGTGTTTTTTTCTCTTCTTTCTCCAAGCCACACCGCCCTGTAAATCAGCCCTATCCCAGCTTCCCCTCTCTGCCTCTCTCGGTCCGCTCCCTCTCTCTCTCTCTCTGCCTCCTACTCACACACATATACATACTGCCAAACAGCATCATAAATCAAGGGCTGGGTGGAGGGTAGGGGGGGGGGGGGGTTGGGAGGTGGGGGATGCAACCACACACACACACACACAGTAGCACATTTTAACACATATTGTCTCTGACATATTGCCTGTATGCTGTGTGTGCAGCCTCTATATGAACACGTCTAAAGCCTGCCTGCATGCTGCACTGAAAGAGAGACACAAAAAAAAAATCACACATATGCACACCTAACAGAAAGCCTGTCCGGAGTCTCCTCACAAAAACCCTTGCTCCCGGCATGGCAAGACCCCCATCCTCCTCCTCATCCCCCCTACCTCTCCTCCTTCGCATAACCCCCCATCAGCCTGCAACGAGAGAGAGGAGAGAAGCGGTGCTTACTCAGTCTCCTGGAGCCGATGCATCCCATGGTGTATTCACAAAGGCCCTGGATACAAGCGTGGAAGTGTTACCCAGACGCCGTGCATTCTCCCTCTTCCTCCTGCGACTCTCTTCCTCTCGGCTCTAGCTTTTTTTTTCTTGCTCTCCTGCGCTCTCTCCTTTTCTCTCTCCCTCCTGCGCTTACTCGATCACACACACTCTCTCTCCTTCCCCCTCTATCTCTCTCTGTGTCTCTCTCTCTCCCTCCCTCTCTCCAGTGCAGTGTCTTAGAAGAGATCCGGTTAGTAAGTCAGTATGCCTGAGGGAGACAGATTAGGACTAAATAAAGATGTGAGGCGTTAGTTAAAACAAGAATTAAAGATTTTTTTAAAAAGGGGTGTAAATATCATATCAAATATGTATTATGCAGTATTAGGTTTACAACACCGGTGAAGCCTCTGAATACCAAAATAATCTGGGTTATTGGGACTGACAATGACCGGATAATTGGTAAACCAGACAGATCAAAACATCCAGGGGTATTCATTTATGGGAGGTTAAAACAACAATTAGCTTGTCTGTGTGTGTGTATTGGGTTGCCACTACAGGATCAATAGCACGGTGCTGAGAGTGCCGGCTGCCATTGTTGTAGATATCTCTGCACTGCTGTAATATTGTTGAGCTAAAATGGGGGATTCTCTCTCTCTCTCTCTCTCTCTCTCTCTCTCTCTCTCGGTCTCCCTCTCCCGTGTGCACTCTGCCTAACAATGCACTGCAGCGGTTTCCTTGCGCCTCTCCCCTCCTCATCCTCCTCTCGCCCTCAATCACCCTCCCGCACAATGATTGCTGAGAAAAATGCCCACACATACACCAATACTAAACAATCCCGAGAAAGGAAAAAAAAAGAGACGAGGAGAGGGTTTCCTTCACACTCAAGCCGGTGCCGAGTCTCCACCTCTTTTTTCTGTCGTCTCTCTGTATTGATCCGCCCCTCAGTCATCTCTGCACCTATATCTTGTTCCCTGCTCAGTGAATCACATCACCAGATCTGCCTCTTTTTTTCTTCCCTCATCCTCACCTCGCTGGAGGAGAGACTGAAGGGAGTATCTACATCTAATTGTGTCTCATTTGACTATTATATTTATCTCTGACACCACTGCGCCTTTACCTTCTTTAACCCCGGTCTCACTTTGGTTATTTCTTCACATAGTTTTTCTAATTCCACCTCGCTGTCTCTCCTACTCCCTCTGCCTTGCCCCTCTCTGATTACAAATTTATGTCTGCTGTTTCTACTAGTGTTTACCCAGCAAATGACGCAGGAGCAGTCAGGACAGTGAAGAGGCTACATGTGTTTAGGGGAAGGGTGTGTATGTGTATGTGTGTGTGTGCATTTGTGGTTACTCATGCTTTGTTGACTTAACATACATTGGGCATAGAGGAGAGGGACGGCAAAAGCATGACAGATGGAAGGACAGAGAGACAAAGACATGGGCAGATGGGGGGGAAGTGATGGGACGGAAAGCAAAGAACAGTTGAGTCATGTGCGAGAGAGGTGAGGAGACGATGCTGTGTGAAATGAAAATTAGCACTCCAGAACAGCCTAAGGACAGAGACAAGAACTGAATCTCCCAGTTTAAGAAGGAGAGAGATGTCACAGCATGAATGTGATATAGCCGTGGAGGGTTTAAAGGGGATGTTTGACTTGCCAGACATAACAAATCATACATAATCCAGCCAATCCCTGCAGTGTGGGTTTATATATAGATGTATGTCAGCTTCCTCTGTAGGGTTTTCATGAGGGCAGAGGAGAAGAGGCTAAGGGGGTTGCAGGGGTCAGCTTTAAGAGAGTCTGTTGGCTTACATACTCTGAACCTGGTTGGAGAGGGAAAATACTGTCCTCCTCAAGTAAACATGTAATTTCAGACTGAGCATACTGTCTTCGAGCCCTGTCTCCCTTCCCAGCTCTCAAATTGCCTCCATCTGCCCATCATTTTGTGCAAATAACCATGTCAAAGTCCCTTTCCTTGTACTGTGTCATTTCAAATCATGCTTTTGTTCAAATCAGGCTTTCTTATTCTTTTAGGATTCAAAAAATCTGCTACAGTTTTGATCACTGATGAAGTCATCTTGCAGCCAAAAGTGGAAACATATGATGTGTAAGGCATTTTAAGTGGGTGGCTCTTCTGCTTTTCTTTGTAATATTTGAATATTTTTAGGTTGGTCTAAGAATAAAAATAACATCTTATGTAACTTTGAATTCTCGAGGACAGAAGCCATCTTTTTTCATGTGTTTTTAAAGTGCTTAATTCATCAAATGTGTGTGTATCACTAAAATCACTCAGTAATCAAAATGATAGTTGTCTGCAGCCAAAAATCCACATGCCTCATATGTGTACAATTTTTGACAATGTGATCTATCTATTCACAGTCAGTGCACCACAAGGTCAACCACAGTGGGAAGAAATTCTTGACACTAATCTTGCTCTTGATACATGGGCCATTCACATAGAAGACTGTCTCTCAGCGCCTTGGTGTCTCCCTCCTACACACACATGCACACATGTATCATGACATGAACCCCAGTTTAACAGAGGACACAGACAATTTACTTCCATGTTCTTGTCAGTCTGTTTTTTGCTTTCCTAGCTTGAGCGGTGCTGCTGCACAGAATTTAAATGCATCAATCCCCAGTTAATATTATCTTGTGGACCCACACACACGGTTGATTCCTGTAATCAGTGGCTTTCATGTACCTGTCACTATCTGTCTATCAGTTCCTGGCTGCTATGTAGGTTGCAGCTCAAGGATAATGAATATTATGAGCATTAAAACAGTCTTTTTCAGTGACTCTAAAGATGTTCTGCACTAATGAATGAAAATACTGGTTTATAAAGTCAATGTTAAGGTAAGCATTTTTCTAGAAAACTAGGTCAGACGGGTTTTAAGATTTCTGTTTCCCCGTCTTTAACAGCTTCACGTCATCACTGCCCGCTGCTTTCAATGTATCTTTAGTACATGTTCCACTATGTCTGCCTGCCACCTGTGTGTGTGACTATATGTATCAAATGGGATCACTTTAAAAATCAGTTCTACCAAGATGGAGAGATGTGTGTGTGTGTGCAGAGGATGAATAGTGTGTCCATCATTTTGCCTGAAGTGGGTTTTTTGTGTGTCGAAAGGGAAAAAATGTAAGTTGGAAAAGGGAAGGAAAGTGGGAAGAAAACACACAGGAGAAGACATGAGGAGTAAAGGGGGGAACTCTGTGGGGTATTCTGAGGAGAGATGGGGCGTTGGCAGTGAAGGGGCAAGATGGAGTGATACAAATGAGGCAACCTCTCATGAAGTGTTACTTAATGGTCGTGTTGATGTGACCAACTTTGCTTAACCCAGTTGGGAACAAAGTTTGAGGCTATTTGTTGTGGATGCTTTAGGCTGACAGTTCACCATTTTCAGCTTGAATTGTCCTGCAGACATATTTTTTATCTGTGTGTGTGTGGTTGTGCACTCCTGCTTCTACACAAAGCAGAACCCAGCGTACAGGGAGTTCCCAGTACTTCTCTATTATTTATAACCCTGTGTCCTTCTCTCCTGAATTTACCCTACATTCTGTCTCCGTCCAGCTCTCTTCCTCCAGACCACCTCCGGTGATGCACTTCTCTGCCCAGTGTATCCATCCTCCCCATCAAGCCTATTGCTCTCTTTGAATTCATGTCAGTATCTCTGGGCTCTGTCTTTACACACCCTGCTGTCCTTAATCACATATCTAGCTGATGTGGATTTGCTTGCTGACAAAGGTTCCTGGGCAATCTTCTGCCCTCAAGGCATTTTAGTTCAGCTGCATATGCCTCAGTTACGTGTGTCAGTCTGACACCTGCTGGGGGAACATTGGCACTGCAGACCAACGCTGACTTTGAATTGAAGCCAGTTTGGCAGCAAAGACATATTTCCTTCCAGTGCTGAGTGTGAGGAGACCTTGTTCCATCAGAAATATGCAGGTTCCCATCCTGTCTTTGGAGCGCCTGGAATTTTTCCCTAATGGTTTAATGGTTTTTGTTCGTGGGCACGGCTGTCTATCATGTACCTCTGTTGAAGGCTACACTTAATAGGAGTTGTATGCATGCTAAATCAACTTGCTTTGTCTAACTTATATCATATTAAAAAGGTTAACCAACTAAATTAGGAGGAAAGAATCACAGAAATATGGACATCAAGGAATTTTGCATGGATAGCAGAGGATGTTTTGAAAATAGAAACATGTTAGCATCAAGTGTGGCATAGGCAAACTCCACTCCCTAACAGTTCATTGACTTTCTAAATAAGAAAAGCAGCACCTTTCCTTTAAACCCTCCTCCTCCCAAAGTCATTGATGAAAACACCCTTTTTAGATTAAAATGACATGTTTCCTATAACAGGTATTAATTTTACAGAAAAATTCAACTATATTTGTTTGTTCTCTTCCTTTACTTCTTTGTTGTTTCACTTCTTATACCTTTGTTTACAGGGGAACTGGGTCAGGATTCCCTTTTTGTTTGATGTATATAAGAACTTGACATAAGATATATTTAAAAAAAAATCCTATGTGCAAAACTCTGTGTTAGCATAGGTAAATTTTAAAAAATGTCCAAATGCTGCTTCAGTGAAGTAATTGTCTTAATCAAGTCTTCACTGCCATGCTTTTACTTAATGCCCTAGAAAGTATTAAGAGGGACCTTTAAAAGATTTATCTGCATTTAAATAGCTTTCCACTTTTGTTGAGAAATTAAGTGTGTCATGAGCGCAACAAACTATGCCTCTATACAAATCCAAGCTGATCCAGGATTTTGATTTTTTTTTTTCTCTGAGCATTGAGGTATTAAGATCAGCTACTGACTCATGAGCAGTGGGAGGTAGAGAAGCAGCAGTGGAAAGAACGATGGGAAGGGGACTATGGGAAAAAATGAAGGAAAATAAAAGTGCAGCACATTAAGAGTAGACTTGAAAATGGAGGGATTGAGGAAGAAAAGTGGTGAAAAACTGCTTGTGATAAAGAGGGAGAGGGAGAGAGAAATATGGCACCTTAAAGCGAGACGGGGAGAGGACCCGTTCATTCCAAGGTTTGGCTGCATTCCAGGCTGTCTGGCTCTGATTCTGACAGACTTTTTTTTCTCTTCTTTCACCTCCATTCTGACTGGACCCCAAAGCTGCCTTCTCCCTGCCTGATGCAAACTTTCCAATCTCCAGGCCTCATGGCACCATCTGATGTTTGCAGCTGTCTGAAAAAGGGCAGAAGAGCAATATACATGTATAATGGCAGTTTTTCACAGTCACCACAGTCTGACTGAAAGCTAGTCTATGCATGAACTCTTACTTTCTCTTGTATGCCACCTGCCTTAGAGTTGGCTGCCTGTATGGATTGGGGATTTACGTTTTCAGTAGCAAGCAACCAGTGTTGCTGTGGAAGTGGAAATTTGACAGATTTTTTCCTCTTTTTTTGTCCAAGTGGAAGTGGGGAGACTGGAAAAATTCCTTTTGGGACAATAGGCTATCAAAGACCCCACTGACCACTCCCTTTGGTTTATAGACATGAATCAGGGAGGGACAGGTTACACAACTGCTGCTGCTGCTGAGGTTTGCATGAAGGAGAGAATAACCTCTGGTTTCACAACCTGGATTTGGTGTAACTCTGCTGTGAGTCATCCTGAATGTCATGTGCTTACCCAAGGATGATCTGACAGAGGCTCTATCTGTGGGATAAAAGGGTCATTGATACTCACAAGTCATACATTTTAAAAAGTTCAAATATGGCAAAGAAAAAACACAACAATACTTTCTTTATCAGTGTGAGATAACCACTGTTAACAATAAAGCTGTAGATGTTAATCACTAAAACTTGATTAATTATCACTGATCAGTTATTGACCAAACTGAACAAACTGTTGTCATAATTAAACAGTCAATTACATGACTGGTTATTTCAACTCTAACACAAAACAAGCCATTAGTTATGCAGAAATAGGATTTAATTCTCATAAACATGCATTGGTAAATTTGTGTTAATTTGTGAAAGCTGTTCACTGGTGTCACGGTGTAGGCAGTTTTACCTGTTAGAACAATTTCAAAATCAAAAACTGTGACAACAAATTTAATTCTTAGATATGTGTGTCAAAACAAATAAAATCAGTGTTGTGGGGGTGTTCTCTGAACGCTCAAACAATGAGACTGAAACATGTTGATTTGCGACTCGTAAAGGCTTTGACGTGTTTGTCTGTGTGGGTGTGTGGGTGAGACATACAAGGACATTAAGTCATAGAGGGGGCTGTTATACAGGATGGGAGGTGTCATTTAACACCAGTCTGAGGGAGATCACATCCTTGTAGTCAGGATGAGCAACTGACAGCATGTAAAGACAGAGAGTGCACTAAAATGCTGCCTCTCTCTGTAATCAAGGGAACTAATCATGTCCAGAAAAGCGGTCTAAGTGTTTGCGTGTTTACAGTCTTAGTGAAAAGTAAATAAAGATGTGGCGGCACTTTTTGGCAACAGACTACACATCATACCATCTTTGTGATCTGATCTTTAGCTTTGCCTGTAAAGACATGTGGAATATGAGTATAAAATTATAAAGTATGCTTTGCAAGAAAAAGTCTGGAACAGTTTGAGCAGACTTTCTTCAGCCTGGTGTACCTCTATGTTTGAAACTCCGAGCCATTCCAATGTCTGTGTCTAATCAGGTCTCTGGCCCCATTATCTCTCCCTCCCTCTTGCTCCCTCATTCCCTCAGTCTGACCTTACAAGGAGAGGCAACAGGGTTGATGTCATTGACTGAAGAATGCTACAAGAATCCGGAGAGAAAAGAGAGCAAGAGGAGGAGGAGGGGTTTTACTGGACAGTTTATGAGCACACACACACACACACACACACACACACACACTAGGGAGATACAGACAGAGAGGGGGGAGAAAATGAGGGGGAAAGAGAGAGAGGGAGAAAGAGAGAGAGAGAGAGAGAGAAAGGTGCTGTTTACATAGTAATACACAAGTCTTGAGCCAAAGTCAAACGAGAAAGAACTTGTTTGGAAGGATGGTGTCATTCCTTTTCCAGACTGCAAAGCACAGGGGGAGGGTCTAATAACTGGAAAGGGGAAGAGAGAAAGAGAAGTTACCATTACAGGCAACTCTTACTAAGCCTGGACCAAGAGAATAGGAAGAACAAAAGAAAGAAGTGGAGGAAAAGGGAGATCCTCATTGCAGCTGTACTTACAGGGTGAGTTACTGTACTTGTTTCAGGTCGGTGTTAAGAGTTGGCATGTCTTACTTTTTGAAGGTGGAAGGAAGATTGGCAGAAGTTACCTAATAAGGTAAAGAGTCTGCTCAGCGCAGGTATCAAGACAGTACAGAGTCAATGCGAGCTGCTGGTACTACCTCAGGTTGGTTTGACAAACAGCGACTGTGGACATGTCCTATCCACACGTGGGTTTTTAATGACATAAAATTTCTGCAGACTCTAGCCGGTAATACCTCGCAGTGGGTGGCTTCCTTCCAGTGGTTGCTCCCCGCTAAAATCTTCCTGACCGTACAGTCATTTGCTATACCAGCTGATGTGTACCAACGATAAGTAATAAGCTAGTATGCGGAAGCTCCTACAGGAAGCACAGCTCAAAAGTTGACCAAGCTAGCTTACTGCTACAGCGATGCAGCTGTGACTGGGTCGTGTAACCTACACTCACCGGAGAGAGAAAATAATATTTAACTCGGTGACAGCATAGTTGAGAGAAGTCGTCATCGTTGCCCTGTGAGGTAAGAAAAAACGGGGCGGCGTTGTGTCGTTTCACCACCGAAACTGACCGGAGCGTGAAACGGTCGATGTGGTGCGTTACTAGGGGTGTGTGCGTGTGGCTAACGTTGCAGCTTGTAGGGTTGATGATAAGCGCGAGGGGTAACACTTAACGTTTGTCACACGAGGCGTCTGGACAGGCTCGGTGGTGAGTAGCAGGTGTCATACGTTTTTGTCATACGTTACTATAATCTCAAAATGTACGTTTGCTAAAGCTACGAAGCTAACATGCTACCCGTTTCAGCGTTGGTATTTGTCATAGACAAGCGGATGTGATTAAACGTCATTTAACGTTTCTTTGAATTCTAATTCGAAGGCCAATGTCAGAATTAACTAACGTTCAACCCCGGTCTTAAGCTTTGACCTATATTTTCCCAATTTTACTTAATGGTGTATGAATGTTATCAACCCAACTGTCTGTCTTTTCTACGTGTATGTGACTATTTAGTCGTTGCTGTCATTTGTAGAAACATTAGTACACAGTTGGCTAATTATTGGGTTGTCAAAGAGGTTGGAGTACAAGGGTATAGTATTTTTTTTGCTGCCTGATAAGGCCATGTCGAGATTAAAACATCCCCCACTCTTTCTACTTTTAAATCACGTCTTAAAACTCATTTTTATTCCTTGGCTTTTAGCTCAGCATGAGAGTCATTTATGGTCCTTTTATCACTTTTATTTCTTTTTATGCTTTTGTATTTTTATTTCATATTAAATGTTTTTTACCTGCTTTTATTTATCCCATCTTGATGTTTCCTGCATTGTCTGTTCTTTTAATTTTATTGTGCAGCACTTTGGTAAACTTGAATGCAGATTGGATTGGATTGTCAATAGAATCCTATTATGGTGTGTTTTACTATTTTGATATGTCTGTGTATTGCTCATTGAAACGTCTCCATCGTTTGATGACCTATAAACCTAGTTGCCTTGATTTTCCTTCACGTCTATGTGAGAGGATATGAAGAGATCTGCCATGGCACCATGTACTAATAAGGGATGCTTGGAGAATCCATTCTGCAATTTGAAGTATTTGAAAATCCTGTCATTAAAGTGCTTGCGCCTTAATTCTCAGATATGCCTTTTCATTAGCAAGCATGGAAGAGGAGCCTTAACTCAAAGCCACATTAAGCTGTGTTTAAGAATAACTTTAAGAATAAAGCTCTGTCTGGGGTTAGCCTCAGCCCTCAGGTTTGTGTGCTGCTTCTGTTTGAAAAGACTGGGATTGTAGTCACTGGCGCCCCACTAAATTGGTGAGGCAAATTAGAATCTGTGAATAAGGATGATGATTTACAAATGGCTGTGTGCTACCCTTAATGACTGGGGTAATGGGGAATCTTTCCTAATTGAGGCCTTCACGAGTCAAGACCCATGAGATGTTTTAGGGAATTTCTTTGCCCCAAACCACTGCATGTCTTGCTCTTTGATTTAGTCTCTCAATGTCTTTGGCCCACATCTTAGTACTGTATGTCAAGCAGAAGAGGTTGTTTGTGGGAGAGGTGGAACAGAAATCACTGGCTGGTGTTACTATCAGTTTTTGAAATGCTGGTTGTTTAATCTTTTGTCTAGCTAAAGTCTGAGAGGGAGCTGGTTCTCAGTGCATGTCCACTGACCTGTAAGATTGGGTTGTTTGTCTCCGCATTAGTGACCCTGGCCTAGACACGCTTTTCCAGAAACTGGGTGTGCTATTAACATCAGAACAATAGAGAGTTTCATCCACATAACACCAGTTACTGATCCAATCACTGAACAAACGGAAAGTGAAATCAATTAGGAGTTTTTCCTTTTTGCTAAATAATCTAATTCTACTTTTATTTTTTAATACTGACCAGGAAAATGCTTATCAGCTCATCACTTGGACCTTTCCTTGTACCAGTGCTTTTTTAATATATATATTTTTTTGTTTCGTAAACTAGGTGTATGGGACTGTTAGTTTTTCAAGGAAGAAATACATAAAAAATGTTTTCATAAACTCAAGTTCAGTAAGGCACCATGCTGTACTACCTCCTTCTAATGTATTCAAAGCAGTTGTAAAGTATATAAACCATGTTTATTCTGGCTATAACCACAAAGTAATGAACTCCTGCTGAGTTAAGAAGTGTTCTGTTGTTCTTAGCTGTTACATAGTCAGGGATTTTATGTGAAACTTCAACAATGCAAAAAATACAGCAATAACTGTGCCAGGGACAGAGCTTAGCTATGTCTACATGGCTGAAAACAAAGTAAGAAAGGTGTGACAAGTCAATTGTTATTGTTTTTATTCCATTCTACTATAATTTCATTCACTCTGTCTTGTGTGCTCACAGGGTGGAGGGTTAGGTGGAACAAGAAAAGAAAAACAACAACTAAAACCAGTGTTTGGACACTGATTTTCTTGCTTGCGAACTTTGCTGTGAAAACTATGGAGGTCATAAAATACAGTCATCCATCAGAATTGTGAAGTAGAAATGATACTGCAGCCCTGGGTGATGTCATGAGTTCATGTGGTGGGTGAGAGATGAATGATGAGAAGTGGAGGAAAGCACAAAACCAAAAAGATTGCTCATCTTTATAATGTTCACAACCTCAGCTAGTTAGATCGCTAGTCAGACTTCAGCAGTCTTCACTTGTGGAGTAAAAAATTACAGTGAAGAAAGCATGAAAGATGCAAAGAAAGAGAGGTCTAAAAGAGGGGGGTTAAGCTGACATCATTGAATTTAGGTGCCAAATATGCTTCTCAGCAAAGCGTCTCTTGACTCGGATCAGATTTCAAGATAGATTTGCTGTTGGACCTCTGAGGCTGAGTGGAGAGCTGATTTCATTGTTAAAGTCCCTCTGGACTGTATCAAGGAATAGATGGAATGTATCAACACTCTTGAATAATTTAAGTGACTTTTGCATATTGAGTCATAGAAACAAGGGAGCTTAAGCAATTCAATAAAAGGACTGAATCACAGTTGTGCCCATCTCTGTCACATACTCCTTTTTAAAAAGCCATTAGTGTTCAGTTCTGACCACTCTGTATACAGCTCTTGAAGGTCAAGAGCTGTATACAGACCTAGCCTGTCTGTCTGGTTTTTCATTAAATGTCCACTCCATTCATCATTATGTAGGCTTGGATACTGGGCTTATGAGTTGACAGCTTTTCTTCTGACAGTACACTAAAGAACACATATTATATCTCTTTCCTTTAGTTATTGTATTTCTCTTTGTGCAATGAGATCCTCAAAATCTGCCTGCATTAAGTTTTGCTGCCAGAGTAGTTGGCATCTCCTTTCTGCACCATCTTCTTTTACTGATGCATGCAGCAATTTTCTGAATTATTTAAGTAGAAGAAAAGAAGCAGAGCTTATTTTGTAGGCGGATCATTTTTAAGATCAGTGAGTGAATCACGTTGTTCCTCTTTTTTTTTTACTTCTGACAGTATTAGCTGTAATGACGTTTCACTAGGAATTATACCCAGAGTTGGAGTTTGATCCAGTAAGAAAAGAGAACAACTTGTGTTTATCAGTGACATAGACACCCAGCACATAAAGCACATCACAATCTGCATCAAAACGGTTGGTATTCATACCTAAACTAAAAAAAAAAGATAGACAATGCCACGTGGGTGAAAAAGTGTAACCATAAGCTACATTTACGATTCATAACAGGATGTCTCTGACTTTCCTGTGAAGATGTGAGGAACATGTTGGCCTTGGACATATGAGGGTTTAACATCAGTAAAACTTTGATTTTGAGGAATTGATCCTAAAAGCAGAAGAGAAAGGGTCTCACTTCTTTTGCATCAGAGAAGCTGGTTATGTCACGAGTACCAGAGATACTTTTGATAGCTTGAAGGGGTATATTTCCTGTCAGGACTTGATGTACTGCTTGTGTGACTCAACCAAGTGCAACAAGGATGAGATCCTTCAACTTTTTCCAGGTAGTTTAGCTTTTACTGTTGGCTCTTCCCAAGTTTTCGGAATCGTTTTTTTTTCCTCTAAAAATTAACAATTATTGTAAACGGTAAACTAATGATAGCCTCCACTTTTGAATCTGCAGTGTAAACAAAGTTTTTGTGGCTTTTGCAGAGGCCTAGCTGACAACTACTGAACATTTTGTGCCCAGGGAATCTGTGGATTTTGAGAATTTGAAAAGGTTAAGACACTAGAAATGTGACTACAAGGAGACACTTTTTGAAAGTCTTGTCAGGTCAGGTTAATGGGTACTATCATGATGTTATAATGCTATTCTACCTAGATGTAAACAAGCCCAGAAGACAGATTGCATCTAGTAGGTTGGTGCAGTTTGTCTGTATTTTGATCCAGAAAATAAAGTTGTATTTGAGCCGTGTAATGTTAACTTGGCAACCACTTAAATGGAGCAATGCAGAAACAGCATGTGCTGGTGGATATCAAACAAGGCGGCCCAAAGGCTGGTGATGCTGGCTCTGATAATGTTCGCCATACTTGGCAAACCAGTTTTATATTGTTTACTCTGTGATTCTGTATTCAGTCATGTAGAACAATTATGCTCAGTTTGTAAAATTCCCCATATCAACCTTTGATACCAGGATGTTGGCGTATTCCAGAGTGCTCTTGTTAAATTCTGTAGTTCTTTATCAACATTTAGTTCTTACAAAGAGGAAACAAGAGCTACAACCTTAAAATTCATCATTTTACTTCATAGACAGCAGCCTCTTTGCAGTAAAGGAAACGTTAACACAACCTTAATTACATTTTTGAGGAAATAAACATTGATTGGACCTTTTTCACGTTACCTTTTGATCACAGTCGACTGAGAAAATAGTCTTACAATCCCTTTTGAAACTTTTCTGGAGTAATATCTTTTTGAAGCCTCCAGAGTTCATTTAAACTGAAAAATAAGATCCATTAGAGTTAACAAATCTCAGTCATGTCCAGGTTAGATGTTGTTGTTGCATGGCACCTATCGCTCCACCTGTTAAAAGCTGTGTAAATTGTTTGAACATTAATAAGCGGATGATTGGAAGTATGCAACTACTTCAGAGCTCTGGGGTGGAACAGCTTTTTAAAAAGCAGAGGGTGAGTTAAGACGGTCAGTGTTTGTACATATGCATGCACTCATGAAGTTTATGTATGTTGTTGATGGGGATCAGTAGAACAAGTGAGTGACTTCAGGTCGTGTTCCAGAGAGGTGGCTTGCAGGGAAATATGTCCAAACTTTGAATCACAGAGGACATAAACATTTGTTTAACCAGCAGCATTTTTGAGGCAAATATTTAAACTCACTCTCTTTCTGACGCACCCCTCAGGAAAATATTAAGATAGCTGCTCTCATCCCTGTTTAACAAGACTTCCTCTTTTCAAGAGGAACCTGCTATCATTTTGTTTTATGTCCCTGTATACAGCCATGTGTTATGCATTTCGTAAATCTTCTCTGGCATTTGGGAATGCCACTATTTCTGCTGCAAATGTGTGGCCTGAGGAAATTTTCACACACTTTTCTCTCATTCCACTGTAGACCATTTACCAAGAACAACAACACTGGATTTGTTGAATGCCTGCAGATTATTTTTTTATTTTCATTGAATTTTCACAAAACACATTGACAGAATTACATTTTAAGAGACATCACTTTAACTCAACTTTAGGTGAGTTTTACAAAGACTTGACGGGTCTAGACAGCTGTAACCCAAAATTGAAGTGTACAACAGTTTTGTAATGACAGGAAATGCTCAACAATAAGACCAGATCACAACTGTCAAACTGCATTTTTGGGAAGTTAACTTTTGACATTTTCAGTTCTACCTGTAGTTGTACTTCAGCTTTTGGTTTGTATAAAGCTGCAGTGCAGTGAAATGCAACTTATTACTAACACATATATGTTTGAATTCTTACATGCATATAGTTATTTTTGTCACCTTTTCGATATTAAGGTGCAAACTACAGTTAATCTGGTTACAATTAGTGTGTGGTTTAGAACTGTGACTGTCCAAATGTTTTACCGATGTGTCACCACCACTAATTCTCTACCAAAAGACCCGACATGCTAACACTGCCAAGGAATGTGAGTCCTTTGAATTTGGTCAGCTTCATTATGTTGGGTATGAGAGAGAGTCCTCTGTATTTGGGGTTCTTTGCACATCACTACAACCTGTTTGATGTTGTTGTTGTTATATAAGAGGAACTTCTGTATGGGTAAATATGCTCCTGTGCTGAGCCTGACTGTTCTCCTTTTTTTCTTTATGTTTATTCTCAGGTAAACACTCAGAATGGAGGACTCCAGTAGCAGTAAGCCTGTAATGGTGACGTCCTCTCTGAACTTTAAAGTCACCACCCCGTCTTTCTACAACCAGCCAAAGAAGTTTGCCTCTGTGGCACCACCAAGACCCAAAAGTGTGACCCCTCCCTCAGCCCCATCACCAACACCAATAGGCACAGGTGTGATCGGTCGAGTGGGAGATCTTCCACCGCCACCGTCTTCGCTTTGTGATGGTATTTGCATTATTTATGCCATTTGCTGTACCATTTAGTGACTATATTTAGTTTTATCCTCTCAGGCAGCAACCCTCCCAGATCCTAACCCCTGCTGCTTTTAAAGCTACAGCATGCTGAGATACAAGCACAGTTGTTTTGCTATACTACTGCTTTATGGCCCATTTCTGAGACATGACTTCAGTGTACTGCAGTTACTCTGTTCTAGTCTAACACTTAGAGTAGGTTTAATACCTTGACTTTAGGGGAGTTACATCTTGGGAGCTGTGCAAAATTACCAATAGTTTAAATACAAAGATTTCTGATTACTTTCACAGACTCAGTCTGACAACTTTGCCAAATCATAAGTAATCTGTGAAGTTGTTGACACCTGGAGAAATGGTACAAAGAGAGGGTTCCTGTTGTGTTTTTTAATTAGTACATGATGTATACATATGCTCGAGCATAATTATACCAGCAGCTTATTTCTATCTATTCCCATGGGCCCCTTTTTCATTCAGAATTCACAATCGCACTATTATTAACCCAACTTTGTACTTTTACGAGAAGTGCACAGCGCCATGATATCTGTGTCCCAGTGTGTGGTTTCGATTGTGTTCAGATATGAACACATAGCGCTGTTCTGCCATGTCTGCTCTGAGTTTTACAGTGCGACAACACCATATCTCCCCTCAAAACGAATAACTTATTGTCATATGTTTTGTAAATGCCTGTGTTTAACAGGTTTGTTGGTTCCAAGAATACTCTGAACATTATACTTAATCTTGAAAAATTTTGTTTTTGATGACACAAACACTCAGCTCCCCTTTAATGCAATAAAACAGACAGTAAGGAATCACTTCTACCCGATTGCTCTTACTTTTGCATCACATTCCCAAATGACTTATGTTTCAAAATCACTGGAGCAGCTAAATGGCATCAAATGCGCCAAAAATTGTCCAAACTTTCCCCACAGTTGTTTTTACTTATTTTTATGCCTATTTTTGATGTTTTAAGTAACATGTTGATATGAAAGCGCCCAGCGTAACTAATAAATGACAAATATTTATGATTTAAATTGAGGACAAGTTCAAACTGAGTGATGAGAAATCATTATGTCACAGCTTTTAACCAATCAACCCTCCTTATTTCTGTCAGACTTCCCACCCCCTCCTCCTCCACCGATGGATGATGATTTGCCAGCCCCTCCCCCTGAATGCCAAACCGTACCCTCTGCCTCTGACATCCCTCCTCCCGCCTTCCCTGCTCCACCTCCAGTAGCTGATGACCTGCCCCTCCCAGCCCCCCCTGAAGAGAGTGCCTGTCTGCCCACTCCCCCTTCTCCCCCTCCGCCCCCACCTCCTCCACCTGCACCTGCTTCAAGTACCAGTATTCCTAGTGCTGCTGCAGTTCCCCAGGTAAGTCGTGGTGGTTTCAACAGACTTACCCAAAGTTGCTTTGCCTGTCTGCATGTTTCTTCCTAATGATGCTTGTTATTGGCGCACAGTTTAATTAGATAGTCAGTTAGAACACTTCGGTTATTGTTGTGGGACTATAGTGAGTTCATGGAGTGTTGGCAGAACACGATGTCTTTTGACATTTTCCCATAAATGATATTAGCGATATCTGGGTTAAATCGCCTGGTTTCATAACTTCTAACAGGATTAGAGCCCATTTATGGAACTAAAATGGTTTCAGACATGCAGCAAAAGGTTCATTACAGAGATGTTGACAGTAGGAGTAGACTGGTTTCAGCTTGTTTGACAAGCAATAAAAGGCAGTAATGTAGGGCGTTAGACATGATAGACACAGCTTAAAAAAGTACATCAATAAGAAAGGGTTGAAAAATGATGTATACCAGTGTGCATCTTGATTAAATTACTGAACAGTTAATGCTGCATTATTCCTGTTAAAAGTGAAATGTTTCAACCAGAGAGATCAAAATTCAGTATAATTTACTCGATTTCATCATCAATCACTTCATTTTTCATCATTAATTCTTTCATTTTGTCAGACACAACATCCCAGCATGAGTAACTTTGCAAGCCCAACTTTTAGTTTCTGTCACACAAACTGTTCATAAATATTTCTCACCATCATCCACCTTCAGCCTGCTCTGCTTTATTATTTACTATTTGTGTACAAACACAATAAAACCCTTTGTGACAATTACCTCCTTCTCTCTCCTTTCACCAGAGGCTGTATGAGAAACAGACCAGCTTTGACAGACAGCTTGACTCTCTAACTGACTTGTTGTCTGAGATGGAGACCAGAGGACCATTCAACCCTAAGGTACGAAGCATAGAGGGCTGGAAAATCCACTTAAGAAAAACAAACTTAAGACATATGAATATCATTACTAAAGCTCAACAAAAGATTAGAAGAAATTAAGGCTTGGCAATGAGTCAGATTGTAGTTTCAATCATGTTTATGGCTCCCCATGATAATGAAGATGTGATAATCGAGACTGAACATTATTGTGCTGCCTGCCACCTGTTCCTTCCTATAAATGTGATGAAACCCACCCACCTTCCCCCCCAAGAAACTCTGTCTTTCAGTTAATCATAAGCAGCTCAGATCAATGTGGAACAAAGTTTAGGAGGAAGTTGAAGATTAATGGTGGACTGCTGTTATCTCCAACACGTTGTGCAGCAGTTGTACAAAGTATCAGTCCGCCACAAGTGGAGAAAGGATAGTGGGTAGAGGAACAGGAGGAGGCAATTGAGTGTCAGAACAGCTGAGGGGGTAAGCGGATTGAGCAGAGAGAGGCTGTAGTGATCACAAGCATGCATGAGCTCGAATGAGCTAACGAGTGCCGGGCTAAAAAGTCAGATATCGTTCTGGATCATGATAAAATACAAGCTCAAGTCTTGACATTGTAAAGGATGTTACATAAAAGCTTGAGAAGACTGAATGATTTGTTAGATCTAAGCGATATAAGAGTGCAAATACTTTCTTATGACACTGTAAAAATACTTCACACGTGAAATCTGGCAGTATTCGAATTAGTGGTAAAGAATCTATGCGTGGTCATCCAGTTAGACAGACAGTCATGCGTAATGTGTAAATGCATATGATGCTGATGTCAAACCATGAGTAATCATTCATACTAATCGTGGATATCAATCAAAATTGTTGTGATGATCAATTTTACCATAATTGAACAGCCCTTGAAGAGATGTGACAGCATGCTTTAATAACAGGAGGCCTAACTGTTGAAAAAGAGAGTGAGTCACAAAGAGATGGACAGGAAAAAAGTAAGGTAGGGAGGTCAGGGGAAATAGTTTGGAATGATGTCATGCTGGTCTCATTTGTCCCTCTCTTCATCTGTTCAGGTTGAAAGCTCAACAATAAGTAAACTGTACATGCAGCACACTGACTGACAGAGAAAACAAAATGTGAGGTAGCTGGTGATTCACACTGAGAGGAGACACTTTGAAGGGGGGGGGGGGGGGGCACAGAATAGAGTGGAGTGCATGAGAGTGTGATTAAGCCAAAGTGTGCTGCCAGAGACCCAGTGAGAGGGCCATAAATGGAGAGTGATTTTATCCAACTGGGAGGTACTGGATCCGGGCAGAATAATGTTGGCTCAAAACAGCAAAATAAACGTCTGGAAGATGAAGCACTTCTGATAAGTTCACAAACTGCAGAACACTTGATTGTTCACTTTTAATCACACCAAACCCTTTGATATAATAGGTCTCTGCTTTCAGCTTCTTCAAAGTTTATTGTTACATGTCATACATTAAACTTCCTCTGTTGAATTGTAGTTAATTTAAATGGAAGTTTTATGTTTCAAGACAAAATAAACTCTTGTATAGACTCCACAAAATCATTTTGTTGTTATTTTATCCACAGTTACCAAGCCAGTATTCTTCAGCACCAGCGCCCAAGCCTCCAGCTCCCCCTCCAACTGCTCCTAAACCAACTCTCTCCTTCCTCCCACCCCCTGAAATGGGAGATCGCCCACCTCCAGCACCCTGGGCAGAGGAACTCAAAGCCAGAACGAACCGACAAGCCAATAACAATTCTGCACCAAACTCTGCTGCTCAGCCATTTGCCAAGGCCCCCACTGTGGCTCCCAAGTCTGGTTTTGGTGGAAGACCAACAACATCATCAGCTTCCCTAGCACAAAAACTGAATCAGAACCTAAACCAGACCACTACCCCGATCGGTGGTGCACCAAAACCATCCCCAATCACTGCTACCAGCTCTTTCCCTCCAATCCCCGCGGCTCCCCCTGCCGCACCTCCTGCTCAGCCTAACAATGTGGCGCCTGCCCCTGCCTTTAATCACATAAAGAGCTCTCCCTTTGCTGGTCAGGTGAACGCGAACCAAAACCCTCCTGCTGCTGTGCCTCCTCCTCAGCCCAAGATGATGGCATCTGCCCCCACTTCTTTTAACCAACCAATGAAAACTCCACCTTCATCAACAGTACGTTCCAGCTTTATCCTGAATGTACACAGACATAGGGCGCATAAATACTTAAGGTCCAAGTCAACAGAACAGAGTCATGCATTTATGGGCATGCACCACCAGCACTTGTGCTCTGTAAGGCATGTCTGATTTAAGTATGTTAATAATGTATATGTATGTACTTACAGCTATCTGTCTATGTGTGTGTGTGTGTGTGTGTGCGTGTTTGTGTGTCCAAGCAGCCCTCACCGCCTGGACCAGTTCCTATACCTGGTGGAGGTGTTCCACTGAATATGAGGGAAGTGGAGGAGCTGGAGAGAATGACCAAGGACTTCATAAAAGACATGGACACCCATGCACCTGTCATCACTTCTCCTCCCACGGGTATGTGCACACACAAGTACACACGTACACACACACACAAGGGAGTGTAAAGGTGTAGTATTCATGGAGAAACAAAGTGAAAGGGATTTAAGCTTTCAGACAAACATGTTAAGATTTAATGTTGCATATTGTGCCTGTACATCTAAAAATATCTGTAAAAGTTTATAAGGGTAAACGGGTACAAATAGTTTTTAACCCTTATCAAGCAGGGGGCGAGACGAGTAAACAGAAAAGCAGCAGAGCTTAAATAAATGATTTATTTTTTTCTGCAAATTCTCTTTTGTTCAACCTTTTTTAATCATTTGTCTCCCTATGCGTATTTAAGAGGTCTGTGGAAAGTGCGGTGAGGCTCTATCTCGCACCCAGCCAGCAGTGAGGGCCATGGACAAACTCTTCCACTCCAACTGTTTCTGCTGCATGAGCTGTCATCGCCCCCTGCAGGGCATGCAGTTCTATGACAGGGATGGATCTCCTCAGTGTGAGGACTGCTATGTGGTGAGGAGAAACTCAAATTGTGTTTTTGTTGGTTATCATACAGTTTTGTGCTGTGCACAGTTGTGTTGATCCAAATGTTATGTGTAAATACAGCTCATATCTGAATATAGTTGTGTTTGATTTCATGTTTTCAACAAAAGGCAAACAAAATGTGCTCACAGTAGTGTACACCACACTGATGAGTACACACCATTAGTAAGAAGTGCTCAGGGCATATATCATTGGGTGTTCTGAATGATGACTTAGCTAATAAACTAAATTCTGTGCTCCTTAGTGACTAAATACATGGATATCTTACAGTTCTATCTAATGCTCTCTCTGCTGCTCCTCAGAGTTCTCTGGCGGTGTGTTCTCGATGTGGGGAGAAGATAACAGACCGTGTGCTGAAGGCGGTGGGACAGTGTTTCCATGCCCATTGCTTCAGATGCAGCACCTGCTCTTGTGTACTTGAGGGGGCACCCTTCATAACTGATGACAACAACAACCCTTACTGTGTCCAGGACTACCACAGGTAGCTACTAGCTGTTTCTTGTCTTTACCCGTTTATTACATTTTCTTGTATTTTAATTTTGTACTTATTTAACCAATGTAGTTTCTTTGCACCAGGAAATATTAGCTGTAGGAACATGTTTTGATAAAACATTTTTGCAATGTTTGAAGAAATCCATCAGTTTTATATTGATGTTATCTGTCAAGGTGACCGAGGAGGGTTGTATTGCTGAATGAGGAAGGCCCCCATTCTGCATACATTTTCTGAATCTCCTTTTTTTTAATCAAGAAAAGTCATCAAAGTTAAAAATAAAACTTGCTTGTCCACCTAATGCTGATAAATTGTAAAGCATACTTGGCCGTGCAAAACACGTACTTAGGTTTGATGAAGATGACTAACCTAATAATTGCTAGTTGACAAATTTTTGTTCACTTTCATCGAAATGATTTGCCTGTTGTTTTGTTTTGTGTTGTTTGTTCTTTTTGGCTAACTCCCTTTTTTTTTTTTGTCTGTCCGGGACAGGCGTTTCTCTCCTCTGTGTGTGAGCTGTAATGAACCCATCATTCCAGCCCCAGGCAGCGAGGAGACGGTCAGAGTGGTGGCTCTTGACAAGAATTTCCACCTTAAGTGTTACCGCTGTGAGGTAAGAGATTGAAAAAGAGAATCCTTTCATCAAATTAAGTGTGTCATGTAGTGCGTTTGATAAAGACCCCGGAGGAGAATTTAACTGAATCAGTATTTATGTGCTTGCAGGATTGTGCTCGTCCTCTCTCCATAGAAGCAGATGAAAATGGCTGCTATCCGCTTGATGGCAAGATCCTGTGTATGAAGTGTCACACTCAGCGAGCCAAGCAAGCAGCGCAATGAATGGCTGATGCATGTCACAGATCAACAACGAACCAAATCTAAAAGCACAGGATTCATTTGGCTGCCATTCTGCCTTTGCAACGGGGCTTTATTCAGTATAGGTGTGCAAGTGTGTGTGAATGTGTAGAGTGAAAGGGTATGTTTGCATGCAGATACAGTGTAGTATTACCCCATCTGTTCACTTCAGTGCAGAGGTAATGTACTGCATTGAAATTAACTCCACTCATCTTGTATTCTGAACCTCTCACCCTCTAACTCCTCATCTGGCCCTCTTTGTGTTACGGAGTGTATTTTTTTGTGCCAATTCTATGTTTACGCTAAAATTTCAAGCAAAACTTGCACACAACAGTTTGTTCAGAAGAGCAGTCTGATGTATAAAGTTGCCTTTCTTTTTCTCTCAATATTGTAGCAACATGAACTAAAATATTTCCATCTTACATTCACCGACTGGTCTCTTTCCCTGTGGGTATTGTAGCTACGTTGGGACAGATAGTGAACCACAGGGTGACGAGTAGCAGGGACCTCCATCTGAGCATTCTGCAGATTTAACCACTCTGGTTAGCTGTTGGTAGAACATATCGTTGAAACTTTGGCAGATGTGCCTGCAAGCATGACTAATGTTGAATACCTGACTAAAAAGTGCTTCTTATCAGCCAATCTACTCTTGATAGCTTTTCGAAGCCATACATGGCTAAACATTGACTGCAAAAATGATAAAAATGTTGAATGTTTTTGTTAGTTTTTGTGATGTGAATTTGAGCATTTACAGGCATGCCTTGAATTATGTCTTGTCTCTCTTTTATTTGATCAAACATGCTGTATTAGGGCGCAACAAAAATCTGCATCTTTCCCTTAAAAAAAAAAAGTTCAGAGCTGTTAAGGCATTGTATTTGTAGATGCATGCTTTTGGGATGCACTAATTGTGAACAAATACTGAGCACAGATTTGCAAAGCACAGAGTCCCTTCTAGGGTTCTCATAAATACAAAAAAAGCTGTGTAATTAAAAATGTCAGCTGAATGGCTGAAAGCGGGACCTATTACGTGATTGTTGCACATTTCCACAGTGAAATAAAACTACCCTTTAGTGTCAAGTTGACTCTAAAGCCCCTGCTCATGATCAATTTAGTTTCAGTAAATGCCTTTAGAGACATAAAAGTAGCTTTTGATATGCATTCCTCTGGAATCCTGCTTTAAACACAACACTTCATGGACCTGTTTTCATTAAGTATTGAGGTTGTTTGAGAACCAGTGCTAAAATAACCTCTTATGTATTGTATTATCCATTAGAGGCATTAGTGTGAGGTTTAGATAACTGATGGTAAACCATAGTGACCAAACATTAGAAAGCGTTTGATAAGACTGAGGATGACACAGTATAATGGGATTGTGTTTTAATTTTCATGTGGTTTTATCACCTTTTAATGTGTTTGAGCCTGGTTATTTTTGGTCCTCGAGTCTCTTACAGTTAATACCACTATTCTTTACATTATTCCTCTTTTGAACTGTAGCCTGTTCATATCTGTTTTATACTATATTCTTATCTTACTGTAATGTATTTCATAATAACACTTAACTTTATTTGGTTTCATGTTCAACCTGAAGGTATGTCTTCTCTTCTGTCGTATTCCATTGTTACATTTGAATTGAGCCTGGAATTGAATTGAACAATCGTAATTGTGCTAAAATTGGGCCTGGTGTGTTACATCACCAGAATGACTAAGATAGCACTAGTTACTCAGCGTTGCATGCTAATTGTGTAGGTGGTGGTGACATCTCTTCAAGTATTGTCTTTTGTTTGCACCAACTTCACCTTCATGGCCCTACCTTTATCATCACAATGTGATCTTTTAATGATGATGATGCCTTCACAGTCGTATTTAGGTGGCATTTTGTTACGCTATGTCCCATTGTATAACATGCAGATGCCTTGTCTTTTCATATAACTTTTTTTTTTTTATAAATTCCTGTTTGATATGTGTGAAGGTGTATGTGTTTAAAGACATTATTTAGCCCCAGGCCTTCCCCTTTGGCTGTATCAAAAGATAAATAAATGAATGAAATGCTAAATATCAAATTTTGTCTTTTTTCTTTACTGTTGGCTGAAAGATTTAAGTGCTTTTAACACCTACAGTAAATGAAATAGTACATGCTGTGAAAGAAGTTCACGAAAAATTATAAGTTGGACAGTTTGAGTTATTTGTTTTTCATGACTGTATTTTCTCTCTGGTTGGCCTCAATGTGACATCCAAGAAATGTGCGCACACCCAGACTCTCAACGCTCTGCTACAATCAAAGGATGCAAGAGCGCTCTATCAGTTGTCAACAGCCATATGTTGCACTGATAATGACGACAGCAGACGTGTGCATCATGGAGTGTTTACTTTCCAGGATGTGCTTGACCTTGTTTTACGCCGCCCTACAATATACAAGCAAAATATGTATATATCTTCACATACCTGTCTAAGCATTGATAACAAGAAATAGGAGTGAGAGCATTAATAAAAGTTGAAGTCTGCAGGTTTCCCATGAGATCACACATCATAAAACGTCCACGTGGATGTCCCAGAGTAAAACTGGAGTCTGTGCGTGATTATCTGCAGAGGAGAGTAAGACGTGCCCTGCAGAGTTGTTTTTATCAGCGTCAGATGAGGAGAGAAGTGAGTGACGAAAGGAGATAGGGAACTGAGATGACAGCTGTTGAACTGCAGGAAGGGCGAGCTCGTGTGAAACACTGAATGTGAAAGACATAGGATGCTACATGCTGGAGGAACACAGAGGAAGACATCCATACACTAAGAATGAGTGAAATCCCAACACAGCTTGAGGTAAGATCATTTCCAGAAACTGACAGTTGTTGTGAGCCTGTGTTTACTATGTTCACATGGAAATGGGGTTAATCTGTGTGTTTTAGTGGCTGGAAACTGGAGCAGATCCATGCATTTTCCATGGGAAAACACTCCTAAATCAAATTATGTGGTTTGGTGAGGCTTGCAGTGGGATCAGACTGTATTGCCTAGATTTTTGAAGCCAAGAGTTCAAACTAAATTACTTTTCACAAAATTTTCTGTCTTCGGAAAAGTCTTCAGATACCACACCATATAAAAAAAAATCACTATCAAGTTACTGGTCATCTCAAGATGTCAATAGGGATAAACAAAGTGTATGTGTTCACTGTTTCAACTACCTTCATGGTCCGATGAACCTATTGATCCTGTTCTATCAGCTTTCAATATTTGATAAAGAAGTTTAGTTTCAGACTCCAATAAACCAACACAATAGTTATTTAAAGCTCCTGTGAAAAGTTTTCAAACTGAAGGGAAAAAGACTCACTTAAATGTGATGCTTCTGTTTTAACCTAAAAGACAAACCAAACTAGTAAGAAGATTATTTCTGTCTCTGGGTATTTTTTTCTGTCTGTTACTGCTGCCACTGATTTAGCGCCAGGAGAGCAAGTTACAGAACAAAGACTGGAAGTGTCCTCATGTTTCTGCAGGAAAGATTCTCTGTGGTTTATATGACTGTTCACAGGGAGCAGGATGGGATTCATGTCAGAAAACAGCATACTCATGCTTCAGAAAAAAAACAATGGGTAAACAGATGAGAGGTGCTGGTTTGTCCACTGGAGGTGACAAGATTGACACAAAAGTTTCTGCTACATTTGGAGACACACGTGTTGAGATTAAATAAATAGATGAGAAAAAAATTGATAGTAAATCATGTGAGACATGAGACTCCAGAAAAATTAATTTCCCTTTGGGGATCATGACAGTTCTTCTTATCTTTTCTTATTAAATTAATCATTTGATGTATTAAGTCAAAACCTTGAGCAGTGTTATCACTCATGTTTAAAGGCTAAGAATAAAGCAACTTCTGATGAGGGGTCAATGGTGGGTATAAATGTTAAAAAGAGCAGGCAGCAATATTCTTTCTAACACCTACTTCCGGTTTGTTTCACGGCTTTACTAGGTTGTCAACACTGAGACATTTATTTTTTCTGGCAGAACATCAATTGAGCACATTCAGAACAAAATCTATTTACATTTGTTAACCCTGTAAAATCTTGTTTCACTTGTTCACTTTTAGCTTGATATATCAGTCCAGGCAACATCACAGCCAGAATCTGAAGGGCAGCTTCAGCCTCCACCACCTCTGTCTCATCCACCGGAGCCTCAACATCAACAAAACCAACTCCATCCTGAGCTTCAGTTGTCAGAGTCTACACCTGAGTACCAGCACCAAGCAAAATCATTGTTGATAACCTATCGAAGGCCGTTGCTCCTCCTTCTAGGATTCTCCTTATGTGCTGCCATTGGGGGAGTTATTTACTGTGTGCATCAAAATCTTCAAAACAGGAGAAATAACCTGGCAGACACTGGTAGGCCTTAGAGAAAAAAATGATGCCACTACATGACAAAATCAATTTCAGAATTGCCTTTCATTTCCCTTATCTCTCATTTTATCCTGTAGAATCTCCATGTGTCTCCTCACCCTGCCAGAAGGCCTCTGCCCGTTTGACCATGTCTGTTGATCCCTTCAAGCAGCCCTGTGATTACTTTGTGTTCACATGCGAGGCTGATAGATTTTCAGCAGATATTGGGGGGAGACAGAGAGGTCAGGGCATCCCTGGACATCCACAGAACCAGAATGTAAAAGGAGTGTGGCCAGAAAGAGGAGAAAGTACCATAGTGAGAGAAGACAGAGGACTGACAGAGGAGAAAATCCTGGACAGAAAAACCACACTGCTGCGATATCTCAGGGAAATCCTGGGTAGGAGTCTGCAACCAAGAAGTTCATCGCATTGCTTTACCCGATCATATTTCCGTACACGAATATGAAATCGTATCTAAATTGTGGTTTCTTGATCTATTTGTCAGAGTCAAATGACAGACATGGTGGTACAGCAGTACAGAAAGCCAGAGGATTCTATGATTCTTGTCTGGACACCAAGTCCATAGAGACTGTTGGAGCAGAGCCCTTCCTAACACTCATCCAGAAAGTGAGTTCATGAATTTTTATGACCTTTTCTTTAAAACACTTTTCAAATAAAAGTTATAAAGGGCTTAAATACAGAAATATACTGTCAAAACATGTCCATCATCCTTGGCTCTACTTTGAGTTTAACGCTGGTGACAAAATGTTTTCAAGTTAACATTAAAGATGATGGAAGTATAAATAACGTTTTGTCAGTGCGGCAGATATAATACTAAATAAAAACTGAGCAAGGTCACATTTCTGTTCCAAGCTGTGTTTACTATCTTTACTGTGGAAGCAGAAACCTCTTACTGTTCGTCCTCCTATACTTTCCTATATTTAGAAGGTAGAGTCAAATGCTTAAGTTAGTATTTAGCCAGAAGCAATGCCTGAAAATGCTAGCATGGCTGGATATAGGTATAGTTAAAACTTGATGATTTAGTGACATGTAATTTTTAAAAGTATTTATCATCAGAGGCTTACATATTTGCTGCTGTCAGTCTAAGACTGTTCTTAAAGGAAATGTGAAATAGTTCAGTTCATTGTGATAACCCTTCTCTGTGTATACAGCTGGGGGGCTGGGCAGTATCAGGTCAGTGGAATCAGACTGATTTTAATGCCACTCTGAGCTTGCTAATGAGGGACTACAATGCTTTCCCGTTCTTCAACCTCTATGTGGGCAAAGACCCAAATGAAACTCTCCATGGGATGTCTAAAAGATACATACAGGTCAGTATCCATCAGAGATGGTTGTCCTTTGTAGCTAATGGGAGCGTGGCCAAGGCAAAGTGGGCTTTGTGTTATTGCTTTTACTCCAGTGTTCTCTTTGTCAACAGATTGATCAGCCAGATTTGTTGATCCCCATTGAATGGAACAGCAAGATGCAGAAATCTCACGCTAAAACTCAGGTGGCTAACTCAGCAACATTTTCTACAAAAGCAGCAATATTCCTTTATCTCACTAATGCATTCTTCTGTCATTTTTTATCCAGACATTACGACCATTCTTGGCATCCTGTGAGAAGTACTTGGAACTGTTGGGGACCCCATCCCGAAGCACCATGATCCATGCGGGCATGTTCATCGCTCTGTCCTCTGAGTTAGCTGTGGCAGCTGCACCTCTGCACTATCGCCTGTCTAAAGGGCAGCTTTACCATCGAATGACCATCAAACAACTACAGGTAAAGAGGAGGATGTGTGGCTACACACACCCACACATTGTCAGAATCCTCTTTTGTAATTTGTTTGTTTGTGTTGTATGCTAACAGAGTCAGGCCCCTGCCATTGATTGGTTAGGCTGTCTACAGGCTGTTTTCCATCCACTGAATCTGACTGAAAATGATCATGTCTTTCTGCATAATTTACCGTACATTGTGCAAATGTCCCGCATCATTATCAAATGGCTGAACAGGCAGGAGTTTCGCCTCAGGTATGTGACACATTTCAACCCACAATCAGACATATCAGAGCTTTACGGTTCCAATAATCATTTTTTCCCCTTTCATACCACCAAAGCGGCCCACTTCATACTTTCATGTTCCTCAATCTGATGCACACACTGATGCCTGCTCTGGACTCTAGATTCTCAGAAACAGCAGTGAATTTGTCTGTGTCTCTTGGTAATACTGCTGTGGTGAGTTATTTCAGACATTGTCTTCTGCCCTTTTTTCAAAAAGTTCACAGCCAGGAGTCGGTTTGTTGAGTAAGATCTTCATTTCTTTTCCAGGTAGCTCCTCGCTGGAAACACTGTGTACTGGAGACAGAGAGAGGATTTGACTCCGTTCTTACAGCCCTTATCAGTCATAAGACAGCATACCAAGAGGTAACTTTTCATTTTTCAGCACAACTGGATTTATGAGACGCCGATTAAGTGTATCCTGTTTTCTTTTCGTTAGGCAGAGGAGATCATTGAAAACATATTTTCCTCCTTCAAATCAAAATTGAATGCTCTCAGTTGGACAGATCAGAAGATCCGCCAGCTCATCTTGAAAAGGGTAAAATAAAGCAAGAGTTGTCAACACAGTTTTATGAGGTAAACTTAATTTCTGTTTGTTTTGATCTCAATAAAGGTCTGTCTACCCCCAGATTCAACCTTTAAAACCAAAACTTTGGACACCAAAGGAGAAGCCCAGTGAGGCTGAGCTTGACCTGCTTTTTTCTGAGGTACATCACAAGACTTCATTGGTTCTGTTAGATAAGGTTCACAAAGATATTTGTCTCTCCATGAAACTGAAAACAAAGATTGACTCAAATTTTATGATTCCAGGTCACAGTCACCACAGGTAGCTTCTTCTCAAATTACATTCAGCTACTGTCCTTATGGCAAAAGAGAAGAACTAAGTTCTTGACTCAGCAGGCTGAGGCCCCTGATATGTAAGTACCCTCCTCTGTCATTAAAGTTGATAACTACGAATTTTTGGGCATGAAATCTTTTCCTGTTTTCTTTTAGTCTGTCTGTCACACCGTTCCTCCAGGGTGATGAACTCCTCTTTCCAATGGGAATGTTCATTTCTCCTCTTTTTCATCCAACCTACCCTCGGTAAGAAGTAAACTTGATTTCAGAGCATAAATGGCTTTTCATACTGTAACTACTGTAACATTACTTTATTTGCTCATTTGATTTTTTATTTCACAGGGCAATGAATTACGGCATGTTAGGTTTTCTTATGGCCAAAGATATACTGCATATGCTGTTACCTGACAGTAAGAGAAGTTTAAATTAACAATTTGAAAATCATGTTTAACTTGCACTTCTTCACATTTACTGTCCATTTTTTCAAGAATACAACACTTGATTATTCCCTGATTTAAGATCTTAACCTCTCTGTGTTGTGGCAGTTCACTCTCATAGTGAAATGGTGCACACTGTGGGGGAATGTGTTTGGGCTCACTATCTCACTGTGGCAGAAAATGCAGAGAGAGGAGTGTTTTCTCTGTCAGCTGTGCAGCAGCAGGAGGTCTGGGTGCAGTACTCTGCACTGCAGATAGCATTGCAGGTGAGCAGCCATCTTCAGGCTTTAACCTCTGTGTATATGAAATGGATTACTTTAAAAAAAAAAAATCCACATCTGATGCATGTGTCTCTCCTCAGGCTTATCATCAGAGTTTAGCGAAACATCCAAAGGACACCTCTATCTCAGGACTATCACACACTCGACTGTTTCTCACATCTTTCTCTCAGGTATCGTGCTTTTGTCAGATTTAATTAGAATTTCTAAATTTATTAGCTACCAGCCCAATATCCATTAACATATTCTTTTACAGCTCAAATGCGATTCAGACCCATACCGAGAATTCATGCCCCTGGAGCCATCCTTCTTGATTACAGTCATTTGTGCCACATCTGATCTGTGTCCTGCAAGCCTGCAATGCCCAAAGAAAAGCCAGCAATATTCATTACAAGCATGCTGAGCACACCGGGAGATTTTAGCTGGCCTGTACCATATAGACATTAAGCACAAAAATCTGTTTTACTTATATTTTCATATTGAGAGTACTGACAATATTTTCAAACTTAAAAACACTGTTTTTTTTTTTTTTTTTTTGTAGATATTATTAAAATGTGTTGTAATTTCTTAGGCTGTAAAAGCTGTTCAAATAGTCATGTAAATAAAATAAGCATTAAAAGCTTTAATTTCATGTGTCACCTGATGAATTGCTCCTTTATTAGCCGCTATTTAAGCCTAGTCTGGCTGGACCATCCTGTTGCGTGAATCACTTGCCGTTCCTTCCCACAATAGTCTGGACTTCGGCCCATTGGGAGCGTGTATTAGCGTGTATTAGCAAAGTGCAGTTGACTTTGCAAAGTTGGCAGAAATCGTTTATGTCGGATATAAACGATTTCTGCCGACTTTGCAAAGTCAACTGCATAATTAACGGCGTTCCGAATGAACGGTAGCCTGGCTGGATTATCCTGTTGCGTGAGTCACTTGACGTTCCTTCCCACAACAGTCTGGACTTCGGCCCATTGGAAGCCCTGAAAGTGGGCGGGAGTACTTTCCTTGATAGACAGACTACTGTAACCAATCACCGTAACCAAGCATCTGACATCGTCACAGATGCTTGGTTACGGTGATTGGTTACAGTAGTACATGGACTATTCAGGGGCTGCCTTTCCCTGTTGTCCGGGGAACAGTGGAAACACGGTCTCTGATTGGCCCTGTTATTTTCTGATCGGGAAGAAGTTACATAGCAACCAAATAATTTTGTTTTAATTAGCAACGATTACGGTTTAAAGGATAAATATCATTCAACTGCATAGTAGGCTATGAGCGTGTCTTTCTGAAATCTGAAATAGATAATCGGCAAAAATGAGGACGAGAGTAAGCCGGAAATACAACTTGCAGCCAAACACTATGGGAAATGCTGATATGCGCAAGAAAAGAAGGGAAACTGGACGGTTGAAGCAGGTAAAAATTTATTTTCTGTAACATGCTTTACTTTAAAGTTTGACTCTGTTGGAAGGACAACAGTACTGAATTACAAACAGAAGGGCAAAAAGTTGCTGCTGTGTCAAGATTGATCAGGTTTACTGTTTTTTAGAACTAAAATGTTTTGACCCTTTCAAAGCAGCTGTAGTCTAACTTGTAATGCTTTGTTTACTCAAAGGGATATTCCAGCGTAAATTTAAGTTACGGTCAAACACACCGTAACACCAAGTTAAACACCCCTTCGAGAGATTAATGTTACAGACTGCTTTGAACCTTTGTCCTGTAAACACTTTACAAAATTAATTTTCAATTAATTATTTTTTCAGAAGAAAAGAGCGAAAAAATTCCCCAAAGGCAATGGAAAGCCACAGAGACCAGGCGGGGGGTCCGTCAAAAACAGAGGCAAATCCTTCAAACCAAAAAAAAAGATCAAACCAAGAGGCAGGACTTATGAACCAGCGGCCAAATCACCCAGACCAAGAAGGAAGACACGCAGAGCAAGAAGGAAGACACGCAGAGCAAGAAGGAAGACACGCAGAGCAAGAAGAACGCCAAAACCAGCAGGGCAGAATCGCAGATCTGCAACGACCAGAGTGGCACAAGGTCAGAAGGCACAAAGGAAGACTAAAAGGACTCGGGGGAAATCTGCAAGAACCTGGACTTGGTCTTGATCTATTTCTCCGACAGCAAGACAACCACTAAAACGAATGGTCCATAAACACAAGGTCGCAGGGAGATGACCTTGCTACCACTAGGACAAGCATTTTGAGAAGTTCATGTAGCACATCAATAAACTCCTCCCTCACCAGCAATCCAAAGTTGTACATTTCCTTTGGTGTATGGACCTTATTGAAAGTTAATCTTCTTTTTACAGTTCAGTTTTCTTGAGAAATGTATGTCTTCTATTATCTTATAAAAGTATCAGTCAACTTTGTAAATAATGACCTTTTGTCCTAATTTATATAAAACAAAACAACTGATTTTTTATTTCTCTAACTTTAATTGTATTAAATGATAATCCAAAATTCAATTATTGGACTGATTGAGATCATTACAAAAAATAACCACACTTTACAATATGACAAAGGAGAAGGGTATAGAAAAGTGTTTATACAGACAACATCAGTATACACAAAGAGTTTGTAATAAGATATATGTTTGTAGTCCGTGCAGCAAAATGGATATTTGGCCAAATCTTTCCATCATATCCATTTCTATTCCATTTAAGAAAGTCCATGTTCCTCTCTTTCCAGTCAACATTAATAGTTCACGATCTGTCACAGGACACCCCACACTTCCTCAAAGGCTGAGCACATCTTGGCACAGGTCAGTGCCGCAGAGAGGGGGTAGTTACTGATAGATACAGTCTTCTCTGTGTAGTCCACATTAACCTAATAAAGAAAAAAGGTATCAGTAAAACAGATACAGACTGGATGGTTGCATGATTAAATCGTCCAGAATACAGAACTTTTTCTCACCGCTCCGTGCGCAAATGCTCCAATCACCACAGCAGCTGGTCCCTCTGGCACTACAGTCCGAGGACAGACAGCCTCTCCAGCAGAGAAGGAGGTAGAAATACGAGGGCAGCCAGGGGGCAGATGGTCAGACACTGGATTCTTAATCATCCTCAGAAGTTTTTGAGGGCCGTCAGCTGCCCTAACACTCAGCTTATGCAGCAGTTGAACTGAGATAGGAAGTAAAAAGAGATCGTGTTTGTAGGATTGACTGCTTTTCACTTTTCTTATTATACAACATGAATGCCATGTTGGCACATGGAAGATAAACATTGGTGGTTTACCCATAAGCCCACAGAAGCGATTGAAGGTTCTTGGGATGCGGGTCTGTGGGTTTATCTCGATCAAGGCATTTTTTTCTGTGTGGATGTAAACCTGCAATAAACCTGCCCTGTTCAGTGGACTGTCCATCAACATGAGCAGGCACTGGTGAAAGGAAATAACACATGTTTGAAACAGGCATATATTTAACTTTGCAGCATAAAAAAATTGTACCATGTCAAAGAAGATAAATCAATATCAAATATTCAAGACACATGCACAACTGTTTATGGTTTATTCCTTGACACATAATAATAACTTCAGTTGTATAGAACTTTTAAAAACTATAGTCATAGAGCAGATGGAAAAAGATAGATAAAAACAAAAAGCTCAGTTAAAACAGAATTGAAGGTCATTTTCATGTCATAAGGAACCCAGACAATACAAGAACCAAGCTAAAATGAGACCATGAGGACCAAAATAAAAACATAAAATAGTTTGGAAAAAAGAAAATGCAATTACAAGGGGGTCGAAAACGAAAACAGGATAGTAAATATAAAAGGCAGTATCAATAATGATAATAACATAATAACAGGTAAAACTGATAATAATAGTAATGATGAAATAGAGGAACAGAAATGAGCAAGAGATAAAACAATAAAAGGCCTGAAAGGTTAATTAAGAAAAGAGTACAAGTATAACAAAAGCTAAAAGACAGTAAAGCAGAAATAAGAGGTAAAAGAGAGAGAGATAAAATCATATGTATGAGGTACAAATGATTAAGAAACTGTTCAAATATGTTATTCAGATTAAATTTTGAATACATGTATACCTCATGAATTCAGCACAACATTTAATCTGACATAAAAGCTTACCTGATGAGTGATATCAGGTCTTATGTTTCCGGGATTTCTTCCACTTTTGACAATTATATTTTTGTGTTGGTCACAGTTTAGAAGCTCAAAGGTTTTTCCAACCTGAGAAAAACAAAATCACACACAATATAAACTCGTTAACTTTGTATCCACTTAAACTGCCATCATTTGAAAGTCTATGTACTGAAGTCACATCCATTACAGCAGCAGGTTGTAGCTTTATCAAAACAATACAGAAACACATCTCTGATGATTTACCTTCACTGTTTCTAATGAGGCTCCCTCGAGAATAACAACCAGTCTCCTCTCTGCCATACGGTCATGCAGGCTGCGAAGGTGTTTAGCGGCTTTTGGTTCATATTCATCTAAATGTTCAAGACCACGCTTCTTCCCTTCAGGAGCTGCCATGTTGCCTTCGGTAGCGGCAGAGCTGTCGCGAAATATAGTCGTCACTGCATGTTCATGAGCATGTGGCGAAATTTTTTTGTAGGATGGTAGGAGAAGGTCCCATAGACATATATAAATTTAAACGCTAGATGGTTTACGCACGCTATTAGCCAATGGAGACCGACGTCCGCGCATGGCGGCCATCTTGCTACGGGACGCTAGCCCACTCAGAACATTACAGTCTACTGTGTATGAGGCATTTAAATAACCATAGATCGCTCATTTTTAACCTATTTTCGAACGGGTTGTCTTGTAAAAAACCTTAGAGTTTTAGTTATGTTCATGCATACTCAAGAATAATTTTAACCATGGATTTGCATAAATAATCGTTAAACAGATAGGTAGAGCAATAGCTATAGGCCTACACACAAGGCAGTTATATTGAATGATTTATACGTAAAAAATTCAATCATTCCATGTATGTTATATTAGTTATATTTCTGTTATAGGGTTAACTATAACAAAATAAGGCAAAAACATATCTAAAAATTTATTTTCAATAAAAATTCCCGCCTCATGTTGCCATTTTAGATGTTTTTAACAGACCAAACAGCTTGGAAATCATGTGCAACTTCAGTGACGTTCTGCCTCTCCAAGTGATGTAAAATTGCTGGGTCAACTGTACTGCACGATTTAGTCTTTTTTTTCTCAAAGAAAAGCTGCCATTTAAATATGTCCAAGCATCCCGACTTATAGCCACGTTATTAAGGTCTGTAATAAACAAAACCGTTTGTTTATCTGTCAAGTTTTCAGCGAGTTAAGACTATTTTTGATCATGCAGATTACTCACCCCCGTCAGCTACCGTAGAGCGTACCAGAATGGTGTACTGAAGTAAGATGGCCGCCGTGTGCGGACGCCGGTGACTCCGCCTGGATTCATCTATCCTTTCTTATAGATATCTATGGTGATAATTGCGTCGCCTGTCGTCACAACTGTGCGTCGGATATTCTCTCCAACGTGTGGGACGGATTTTACATGTGCACGTTTAATCTAACTACACAGTAGTTCTTGTGAAAAGGAAACAATAATTGGTGAGTATGTGAGAATTTGCTGCTTAACTCAGTACGATCAGTTATAAGTTAAGGTCCTAGTTTGCTAACATGACATGCGGAGTCAGTTTATGGTGAATAATGTGTCGTTGTCGTCTTCTTGTCATAGTTCTATGCCTCTGAAAAAGTACATGTGTTTGATCACTGCGTAGTGCGTTCTTAGGGGTCGTTTTGCGTGCACACTGCATTAAGTGTGAGTTCTGTATCCATACTCGGAGGTAAATAAGCCCAAACTTTGTGTTAAGGAGAGTGTTTATGGTATCAGTACAACATGTGGTAACCTACTGCGTGTAAATTTGTCCAGTTATTTAATACAAGGAGTTGTGGTTCATTCATCGGAAACACTTACCTGAAGAAAACACAAAATGGTTCTAAGGTATCATTTACTGTTTTTTAACTGTTGTCGATTTTCCTATGCTTTTTTTTTTTTTTTAGCTCAGAGTCATGGGCAGAAAGTTAGATCCCACCAGCCAGGTGAAGAGAGGCCCTGGGAGAAAAGCCAGGAAGCAGCAAGGAGCTGAGACAGAGTTGGTGAAGTTCATAAAAGATGGTGAATATTGTTCTTTTTACTCCAGCTATTTATGTTTTTTTTTTTTTTTAAAGTCTGTTGCAAACTTTGTTCTGAATCTCATTTGGATGATGTTTCTTTAATTTCCAGATGAAACTGAACCAAAACGTCTGTCAAGTAGGGCCCGAAAAAGGTAAAAGGTTGACAGGTTGTGCAATATAAAATAACATGGCTGTTTTACAGGGTACTGATTTGATTTGTCATTTTTACAGAGCTGCAAAAAGAACCCAGAAAACTGAGGAAAAGCCCAAGAAAGGTAACCACATCCAGGCAGTAATGATTTTTCTGTATACACAAAAGTGTACAATAACCCTCAAAGATTGTACGCATGAACATTTGTTTGACTTGTATGGATGTGATGTTCTTTTCTACAACTCTTTAAAGTCTGCTGTTTGTTGAAACAATTTCGAGATGTTGCTTATGGTGATTTAAGAGAAGCTCAGAATTATTTTTTGGTCTATTTCGTTATAAGAAAGAGTAGAATTTCAATCATGTTGTCTTTCGAACTGTTGCTGCTCTTGTATTTTGTGTCTCTAACCAGTGAATCTTAATTAGTATTTGGTATTCTCTTTCTGTTGTTCTGCAGGATTCACTGACGAGAACAGTAAATGGTTGAAACCTGCTAAGAGGAAGCGCAAAACCGATGAACCTGAAAGTGAGGATGACAGTGATGAACACTGGGAGGAAGAGGAGGACGAGGAGGAGGAAGAACAGCCGCAGCAGCAGAAGAAGGCTGGAAAAGAACAAGGAAAGAAGGATGCCAAAGTAGCAGTCAAAGACACAGAGGAAGAGGATGATAATGACAACAAAGAGGAGGAGGATGATGACGACAACGAGGACGATGATGATGATGATGATGATGATGAAGAAATGGTTGATGACTATGGTACTGTTGATGACGACAATGAGGAAGAAGCAGTAGAGGAAGACAGTGATGAAGAGGAAGTAAGTGAAAGGCTTCTTCCAATTGACCCCATTGTTATGTTTCTTGTATCTAATCGTCTTAACTGGACTAAAGCAGTTATACACATGTCAACATGCAGCCTATTCAAAAACTGCCACTCTACTTTTCCTAAATTTGGTTCAGAGATTCAAGGTTAGGTGATTATTGGTCGATGCAAACACTTTGAATTCAGTGTCTCTCTCAGCATAGAGTGTGTGTGTTTCCTGTGATAACTGTTCCGCTGATGTTTTTCCTCTATTTTACACATTTAGCTTCTTCCCATCGAGCGTGCAGCCAAGAAAGAGAAAAAACAAAAGGAAACCATGCCTCCTGAAAGTGATGAAGAAGACGAAGAAGGAGATGATGATGATGATGATGATGATGACGACGATGATGAAGATGATGGTGATGAAAAGCCAGATGATGACATGGATGAGGAAGACACAGTTCAAGCCAACATAGATGAAATGGATCAGTTTAGGTTACCAGGGGCAGAGGAAAGCGAGAAGGAAGGTCAGTGTCCTTTTCTTTTTTTAATCTGGGATTTTCTTTGTTTGAAGTTGAAATTGAAATGAATTTGAAGAAACTGAAAATCCATTTCATATTTATATTTTAGGTATCCTGCCAGTAGACTTGAAAACAATCTATCAGAGGATAAAAGACAACATTGATGTCCTTTGCAATTTCACAACAAAGAGAGAGGAAGGGAGAGAAAGAGCAGAGTACATCTCTCTCCTGAAGAAGGATCTCTGTACTTATTACAGCTACAATAACTTCCTTATTGAGAAGTTAATGGACCTCTTCCCTCTTTCAGAGGTGGGTGAATACTGCGCTCTTTATTCCTTTGGACTCAGGAAAGTAAATCCTTGAGGTCAAACTCTGATATCCCCACCTTTCCTTTAATTTGTCAAATGTACAAATCTGTAATAGTTTAAAAGGTATCTGTTGTAAAGACCTGTTCACGATCCTACGTTTCTTCTTTAAGTCATGAATGCTTTTTGTTATTTACAGCTGGTTGATTTCCTTGAGGCCAACGAAATTCAGAGACCCGTCACTATTCGGACAAACACTCTAAAAACAAGGAGGCGGGACCTTGCACAGGTAACTGCGTTGGCTGGCTTTAAATCACATTCGTCAATAAATATAGTCTTTGAATGATAATGTGACAACCAATGAAGACTACACCTGGAGTAAAATTTTCAGAATAAAATGATCAGGGCATGAAGTCAAATTTTGAAGAACTACTTCAGTTACTTGAATTAATTTAAAACACAAAAGTTTGGCTTAAGTTTTGAACACATTATCAACTCAGAAGCCACTAGTAAACTTGAAAAAAGATCAACCTCAATAAATGACCTAAGTAGAATCCTCCAGTGCTAAAAACCACTCACTGATACACGAGTTGACCTACAAATTCTGTGTCTGTAGGCCTTGATCAACAGAGGAGTGAACCTCGATCCACTGGGGAAATGGTCCAAAGTTGGTCTGGTCATCTATGACTCCTCCGTACCAGTTGGTATGTTCTTAAACATTTGTGCCAGCTGTGTTGAGCATTAAAGATCTCTGTTTGATAGTAAAAAGGCAGAATGTAAAAAACTAACCTCAACTCTAATTCTGTAAAAACAGGTGCAACTCCTGAGTATCTGTCAGGTCAGTACATGCTGCAAGGAGCCTCAAGTTTTCTGCCAGTGATGGCGCTCTCTCCTCAGGAGGGAGAGTTAGTGTTGGACATGAGCTCAGCTCCAGGAGGCAAAACGACATATATCGGTAAGATGCACTGCAGTTACACTTGAAGTAAACAAGTATTTTTCAGCTGTTTTACACCACTTAATGTAGATATGGGCTACACACACCTAACTTTTCCAATGCTTATTAATGCGGAGATCATTTCCACATTTAATAAATGGATTCATTTGTCTGATATCTGGTAGCATTACTCATTTAAGTTCCTTGTTTTGTGGATCAACAGTCCGCAACCCAAAGATATTAGATTCTGTGTGGTAGATGACAAAAAGAAAGTCAATTCCTACATGTTGAAAAATGACAAAAAAAACAGAAGGATTAGCAATTTATAAAGACTACACAATTATACATTTATCCAAAAACAGTCAAGTTCAAACTTTGAAAACTGAATGTGCTTTTTCTATTGTAGCCCAGCTGATGAGAAACACTGGTGTGATAGTTGCCAACGACGCTAACGCTGACAGATTAAAAAGTGTTGTGGGGAACATCCACCGCCTGGGAGTCACCAACACTGTTGTATGCAACTATGATGGAAGACAGTTCCCAAAGGTAAAATTTACTGAAAATTGTTTTGTCTATGGTTGATCATTACTCCAAAGTTTCTTAGCACCCTGACTGGAAGAAATTTTCTTGCAGGTGATGGGCGGGTTTGACAGAGTTCTGCTTGATGCTCCCTGCTCTGGCACAGGAGTCATCGCTAAAGATCCAGCTGTGAAAACCAGCAAGGTACAATCAACTCACTGTTTAAATAAACACACATGATGATGTTTGGCTGCACTTTTAAGATGCATTGAATTGATTTTCCTTTGTTCCTTCTCATTTTCTGGCAGGACGATGCAGACATCCATCGGTCTGCACACCTGCAGAAAGAATTGATTCTATCTGCCATTGACTCAGTCAATGCTGAGTCCCCAACAGGAGGATACCTGATCTACTGCACATGCTCAATAATGGTAAGTGCACTGCTTAGCAATCCTTTTTTTAAATAGTAATTCTCATTCTTTGGTTGATTTGCAAGTGTTTTTTTAAGTTGAAGAAATATGGTAAAATGTGTGTTCTCAGGTGGAGGAGAATGAGTGGGTGGTGGACTATGCTCTAAAGAAAAGAAACGTCAAATTGGTTCCCACAGGACTTGATTTTGGCAAGGAGGGTTTTACAAGGTAAGAAAGATGACCAGTGTGTGTTACCGAAAGGCAAATACTCTGATCATCAACCCTAAATGTATTTCCTCCTCCTTTAAGGTTCAAAGAACGAAGATTTCACCCGTCTCTGCGACTGTCCAGGCGATTTTACCCTCATTCCCACAATATGGATGGGTTTTTTGTGGCCAAGTTAAAGAAGTTCTCTAATGTTATTCCAGCTGCCCAAACAGGAAAAGGTAACACTTTCTATCACAAACACAGGCACAAGTGAACTTCCAAAACGGGGGTGTCTTTGTTTAACTTACGCATTCTGTTGTTTGTCTTATTTAGAAGAAGACAGTGCAGATGCTCCTGATGCAACAGTTATCACAGACCTTCCTGAGGGGAAACCATCTAACAGTGGTGTGCAAAAGAAGACCAACCTTGGCAAGGCAGGCAGCTTGAAGGAAAAAACTCCAGTCAACGGAACCACGGCCAAGAAAGCAGAAAATGCCAAGCCAAAAGGCAAAAAGGACTCACCTGCTGGACCAAAGAAGGCCAAGATTGCCAAAATGGATGGAGGGACTGTGAAAGGTGCAAAGGCACAGAAGGCTGCATCAAAGTCTGCTGACGAAACAAAAGCATCAAAGGCTGACAAAAAGGACAGCAGCAGATTTGAGAAAAAACAGGGCAAAAAGACAAAATCACCCATGAAGGCACAGAAGAGACTAGGAAAGAACAAGTTCAGAAAACTGAAGCACATGTTGCAACAACAAGAAAAAGAGTGATGTTCACCATGTGATACAGTGTCCTTAGATTAGGAAAATAGTCCAAATAGACCCAGATCACCACAGCTAACCGTCCTCAGGTTAGTGCCCTCTGTTGTTTTTGGAGCCGCAATATTGTATATGTGAGCCAGATAAGGTCATAATGCTTTTGTTCTAATGATTTGTACTGGTCAATGCTGGTTTCACTGGGTGTGGGTCCTAACGTTCCTTATTTGTAACACAGAATACTCAGTATGCTTGTATGATGACATAATTGCAGGAAATGATATGTTCTGTGAAACATAATAAATGTTTTATGATATTTTGTGTATTCCTTTTTTGAATCATCATTCATCAGTAGTGAGTTTCTTGCTTTTAAGGTACACAAGGATCAGACAAAATAAAAATCTTTTGTGTTTTTAAATAAGCATCTTAAATCACATTTTACACTTGGCAGATTTCTCGTTGAGGTTTGAGTTTGGATTGGTTAAATCTTCAGATATCTGCTAATAAGTTGTGTAAGGTTTTAGGAAAGGACTAAATAGTTCCTTGTGTGTGTGTGTATATATATTTATATTTCAACCTATTTTAAGTAGTATGTTGTGAGGTTAAATATCCAAAATCAAACTTTTGACTTTTCTGTATGTTATTTTTGTCTTATACTAAATCGTAAACTGAAGCTGGCTGAAATTGGTTTATAACATGGATTTATTGATATAAACATTAACATTATTAACATTAACTACGACAGATTCTACTATAGATATGTAAATTATTTATAGTTATTTATTTGGAGGACTATAAAAGCCCTGAAAAATATAACTTACTGAAAAAGAAAAGGGATAGAAAATAAAGAAAGTAAAAGAAAAACAGAAAGGACGGAAGAAAATCGGTCTGCGAAGAAGTTTCTGGGAAGATTATGTCGAGTCTAGAAACAACCAATCACATTGGTCCGTTTGGGACCGGAAGCTGTGTTGTTTACATTTTCTAAGATGGCGGCGGGGATGTATTTGGAGCATTATCTGGACAGTAAGCTCTTTCTGATGGATTTTAGGTGTTGGGAAAAGTATTCACCGCCCTCGTTTATTTAATGCGCAGTTTTTCGGTTTGTAAAGTGGGTCCTAGTTTATCTGCGGGCGGATACAACGCCCCTTACCATTCCACAACGGTCAGCGTTTTGGGCTCAGTCTAATTGCTGGGGGACCAGATCGCATCGTAGTGAAGAAAGGATGCTATTTGACGGGGACTTTATCAGACCTCTGGAAAAAAAATTGCAAAACATATTTCACTGAGATCTTTATTATAAGCTTTGTAAGATTAATCATGCGTGGCCTCTGTCTGTTAAAAATGTTTATCAAAACATTTTGCCATCCAGTGCAGATGATCTGGTTAGCTCGTCATCATGCACACATTGGCAATGCTTTTTCTTTCTTAGGTTGGCTTTACTGTAAGTGTGAATTAATTGAGTTTTCTTTCCTCTCACCCCCAGGCATCGAAAACCTGCCTTTCGAGCTGCAGAGAAACTTCAACTTAATGCGAGATCTCGATCAGCGCACAGAGGGTGAGGGTTTTTAACAGGGTGTTCAACAGATTGGATTATATTTCTGGATCCATATAAAACTTTTCAGTTGACCCAACTAGGATAAATGTGCCACAGTAGTTTCAGACCTTTGTATAATAACCCTTAAGGATTTTTTTGCTGTCAAACATGAAACATATAGGGCAGAGAACAAAAGTTAGAAGGATTTCCTTCCAAATCATTTTGTTCTCCTTTGTCTTGTGATGTATGTCTACTTTGTATCCAAACCTTAATCTTTGATAAGGAGTTAAAAAGAGAAGCTCATTTATAATAATGTCAAATAGAAGTATAGGATTTAGGAACAGTTGTTGATGTGTAATACTGACCATCACATCTTCCCACTAGTGTACAAAAATGTCTAAGAACACATTTTTATTATTAAATTCTCAATTATCCTCGTCATAACATGGATTTTAAGCCTTTTCCAGTATCCTTCTAAGTCAACAGTTGTCATCACTGACTGAAAAACCAAATGGATCCCTCTGTGTGTCCTTTAAAGGCAACTAGACCATCTTTTGCATCTTTATCTATTGCAGATCTAAAGGGGCAGATAGACTCCCTGGCCAAGGAATACACCGCCAATGCCCGGACTCTTTCCTCAGAGCAAAAGCTGTCCATACTCAGGCAGATTCAGCAGTCTTACAGTAAATGCAAGGAGTTTGGAGATGATAAGGTGCAACTGGCCATGCAGACCTATGAGATGGTTGGTATATTTGAAGGAAAATTTATGTTTGATGATTATCTGTAAGTCATGTGAATAAGAGAACTCTTACTTCTAAAATGTGTAAGATGCCAAATTTCTATTCTCAGCCAGTCAGCTCAAGTTCTGTTTACTACAGGTCGACAAACACATTCGACGTCTGGACACAGACCTGGCACGGTTTGAGGCGGACCTGAAGGAAAAACAGATTGAGAGCACAGACTATGATTCCACCTCCAGTAAGGGGAAGAAAGGTGTGTGTGAGTTGTTTTTTAAATATATTCTTACTGTTTTCATAGACAACTCTCAGAACCATAAAAAAAACCCCTAGAAATTAAAAAAAAAAATTATGGTGTTATTTCAGGTGACACCAGACAGAAGGAAAAGAAGACAGCTAAAACAAGGTCCAAAGTAAAGAGTTCAGATGAAGATGGCAGCCCAAAGAGTGCACAGAAGAAAGTCAAACTCCTTCAGCCGTATGTTTTGCATCTACTAGCTCATGATGAAAGGGTTTGCGTTTCATGTTAAAAGTTATTTGTCAAAGTTTAACCCCCTTTTCTCATCACCAGAGGAGAATTCAACAACCCATCTGCCAACTTTGGAAATGTGCACCCATCTGATGTACTGGACATGCCAGTAGACCCCAACGAACCAACATACTGTCTGTGCCATCAGGTCTCTTATGGCGAGATGATTGGCTGTGACAACACTGATGTAAGCTTTTTTATTTCTTGGGAAGTGGTTTATTGGAGATATTTTAAGGATGTAGCTTCCTTAAAATACTTTTCATTTTTTTGTTTTTACACCAGGCCTTGTTTTCCAAGTTTATATTACTTTTGGTAATGCTGATTTAGTTTTTGATGTAGTGATTAATAAAAGCATAGAAATAGAAAGAGATGAGAGAAGAAGAGTGTTGAGTGTTCATAAACACAGGTGAGAATGTGTGTATTTTTAATTGGTTTTGTACCTGTATTTATCTGTTTTAACTGTTGCCTGTAAGTGGAATCTAACATAAGAATTACCAGGAAATAAACCTCTGAAAAATAATAGTACAGGAAGAGAGTTTGAGGTGTAAATCTTAAAGCTCCCGTGAAGTACAATTCAGTTTAAAAAAATGTGGGGTTTTTTTTTGTCAAAAAACCTAATTCTTCTTTACTGTAATGCCTTTCAAAATTAAAGAAAAAGTTGATTTATAAAGATGCAGTTTATCATTTTTATAAATCACCATTTCGTGGCAGAAGCTTCAGACATTGAAAATGTAATAAATATAATCAGTCATCTTCCTGATGGTCCTTTCATACAAAGGTCATAGAAAGGCATCAGCATTCATTTTATTTTGTTTTATGACGAGTTAAAAACTGCTTGGGAGCTTTAAAAAATGTGACATTTAGAAAAAAAAGTGGTGAACAAAGACAGAGATAGAAATTAATGGTTAACTTTGTTTATTGCCCTTTACAAAAACATTAGGAATTTATACAGGGTTTTTTTTATTATAATGACATTGACATTTTTTTAAAGGTCAGCAACAGTTTTCTGTTAAATGTATGTGCCTCATTGAAAATATTTAATTTACAATATATGTGCTCTTTTATTAAATAAATCTTTAGTTTAAAACAAGTCAGAAAAACAACTCTGAAAACAACTCTTTCATATGAGCTTTTTGTTATTTTTATCATCTCCATTTGCAGGGTTACCTAGAAACACCTCTTTTTAACGCTCTGGATTTTTGCTCTTTCCTCAGTGCTCCATTGAGTGGTTCCATTTTGCCTGTGTGGGCCTGACAACCAAACCAAGAGGCAAATGGTAAGAAACTTAGCGACGGAAGCAGAGCCTACACGGTGCTGTCCTACCTAAAATACAAGAATATTTTGTTGCAGTAGTGAAAATACATTTCTGATTTCTATATCTTTTTTTTCTATGGCATGCAGGTATTGTCCACGGTGCTCACAAGACAGAAAGAGAAAATAAAAAAGACCTGGTTATCCTGGAACAAAATGTGGACTCAGATCTGACAGAGAAGGAGGAGGATATTTCTTCATTAGTTACTAAAATTTTTGTTCTCACCTTTAACATTTTTTTGGTGCTTTTTCTGTTGGTTTACATAATTTGCCTTGGTCTGATGCAGTGTGAGTGAAGGAGCCAAGTGGTTACAGTTGTATTTAAATATTGATTTTGGATTACTTTTAACAGTTGTTGTTTTTTTTATTTTATTTTACTTTTTTTGTTTCCTTTGGTGCTCTTATTGTGACTGTTGTTGTTTTTTTTTACAAGTGCATATTGAACACTACAACTGCCCTGGATTTTTTTTATTATTTCTGAGGGGACACCACACATCAACATTCAGCTGTTCAACTATAAAATTGAAGTATTTTCTTTGAAAACAGTTTTGCCATGGATAAATTTTAGCTTTGTTGCATAATTAGTTTTTTGTGTGTTTAGCCATGAAACACTAGTGATATGATTTATAGCAAGAGGGCAAAAAATAAATTCAAATGCTGCATCCTGACAGTATTAGGCAACAGTGGTAGTGAGTTTAACCATTTCATTTAACATTTGATTGAGTGCTGTATAGAAAGTAAGACATTCTGTGAAAAGTATTGTCATTTCTGTAGCTGAAACATTGGTACAAGGGAGAGGGGTGCTTGTGTTGTCAATCATTTGAATACAGCTACTACCTCAAAAATCTTGCCTCTGTGGTTCTTTGTGTGTTGTTCACAAAATGTACAATTTAAAAGGATATTCCGGTGTAAAATTAAGTTAGGGTCAAACACACCATAAGACACCCTGTGTAGAGATTAATGTTGCGGACCGCTTGCTTCTCTAGTTACACCAACTTTTGTAATGACCACAGATAGCAATATAGTGAGCCATGCGCTCAACCAAAAAAGCCACTCCATAGCCACAAATAATGCTCAGAACAGCATGTAACTTCATCAACAGTACATATAGGGTCCAAGCCATAGCACTATCCACCAAACATCTTTTTAAACTTTGCCTAATTTCTTTAGCAAAGAGACTAAACACAACTCACCTACTCTCTTCCAGCAGCCACTTGTTTGGAGACCTCTGAGCGAGTCCATCTACTGCAATGGGGTGACGCAGCTCAAGGAAGAACATTTATGATCATTTACTTTATAATTTACTTTTAAAATTTTATAATAATCATCATATTTATCATTTTGAGCTACAGACGCAGTAGTTCTTCTGCCTTAGCGTGACAGTCAGATTCCATTTCCATGATTTCCATTTTTTACGCCAGGTCTTGTTTTCCAAGTTTATATTCTTTTTAGTATTGCTGATTTATGGTGTGTTTGACCCTAACTTAATTTTACGTCGGAATATCCCTCTAGGTTGTAGTGTTGTTCTTTCTCCAGACGGTGGCAATGTTGCGTAGAAGTTTCGGGTGAGACGACGCGAGTATATGACGTCAGAGTTTCAAGTCTTTGGCGCGAGGACCAAACAAATTTGAAAACCGTGGTCAAACCGTTCAACAGTCGGCTCAGAGAGAGAGAGGACAACTACTCAAGTTTTAGTTAACAGACTGGATAACAGGACAGCAGGCTCCAAAGGTGAACATGTTTTTCATTATTGTTTGAAAATATGTTAAATGCTGTTGCTTCTTGTGTTTTACAGACAGATTTATCTGTTACAGCTGAGAAGTTGTGATGTGCTGTTTAGCGAACCAAGCTAGTTAGCCTGTTAGCTTTAGCAGGTCAGATCCACAACAACAAAGCTAGCCCACAGAAAGATTTTTAAGACAGAGGCTTCACTTTGTTCATTTTGTTCCGTTTTCTTCTTAAACATCGAAAACAATGTCTAGGAATCGACTCTAATGATTTATGTAGGATCAGGTTATTCTACGATGTACAGCAAACGTGTCTAAGGCTGTGTTTAACATTTGCACCACAAGAAATTAGTTGAAAGCAATCTAATTACCATTCTTAGTAAAACTAACTGTTTCTTTGTTTCGCTCTTCTCCCCACCAAGGGATGTCGTGGGACTTTTTTGTGCCCGTGTGCGTGGGTGATCTGGTAAAGACTGGGGGGATCAACCAGTATGTTGTCCAGGATGTGGTCTCCCCAAAACAGCTGCCATCCTGCCTCAACAGTATGTGATAAATCTAAAGTTTTCAGTACTGATGACTTTTCTTGTTTAGTTTTTTTTTCGCCTGACTAAAAGTTTTTCTATCAAACACACAGAATTCAAGGCGGCACTGCGGAGCCAGGGTCCTATGTGTATATTGGAGCACTTTGACACAGGCTACAGTGTGCTTCAGTAAGTACTCATTGTGTGATTTAGCTTGTTATAAGATTTGTTGACAAGATACATTGATCAAAGCTGCTGTTCTTTTGCTTTTCAAGGCACTGCAACTCAGTGGAGATGGCCGTGAAAGAGGATGCTCTGGAATTATTGGTACAAGGTATGACATTTTTTTTTTGTATAGGCTAAAGAAATAGTTGACCTGTAAATGCCTATGTGATCATATATTTATTCATTTTTTGTCTTTCAGTGGTTAGCGGTCTGGCTGCCACCCTACCAGCGCTTTTCGTCTCCACCTCTGTCTCCGCTGCAGAGCGCAAAGAGAAACTTAATGCGGTCAAAATGAGTGTCTACCTGCTCTGCAAACTCACAGAGACCCTTGAGAGTGCCTCCTATAGACAGAATATTATCACAACCCCTGGAAAGGTACAGTACACTGTGCTGAAGTCATGCATTGTTGACCTTTCAGATAGTCGACCATTGTTTTTTCATCTGTATTAAATGCCCATTGATGATATTATGGCATGTTTCATGATCTAGTCAGACCGAGGGATTGTGGCTTCTAGCATGCTGATTGATGGGTAATCTTGGCAGTGTGGTTTAGTTTTATTGCACCGCTGTAAGGGCCCATCCACATTCAACTTGATGCCTTCTACAATCTCCTTCCATGAGTAATGGGATGGTAGTGATAGAAGGTGCCAAACAATGCGCAAATGTTTTGTTTGTCTTTGTGTGTGTATGTGGTACGCATGTATATGTATCAGTTTGCAAGAGGCTTTCATCCATATACACTTGGTTTGACCTAAATGAATGTCTCTTTGGTAATCTGAGGGCATGTATGCTTGTTAATTGAGGTTGTCTATTCACTGTTTCATGAAGTTTGTCATTTGTTTTGATTTATTTCTGAAGACAAACTTTTCAGTGTTTTTACATTTGTGTTGTCTTACACAGGGTAAAAAAGGCAAAGGTGGTGGAGAGGGGCTGCTGCAGTGGGACTCTGAGAGAGAAAAGGTGCTGCAGGCCCTCAATCAGCTCCTCCAGCTAGATATTCGTTCCCTCTGGAACCTCTCCCTGGTGGAGGAAGAGTTCATCAGGTACTGTACTGTACGGGGAGTGCAGTATCAAGCTCAGCTGTCTTTATTCAGTTAGCTGTTGTCATTTCCCGATTTCTTCTCCGGATCTCTGCCCTGATGGATAACACAGTTGCCTTAATTTGTGTTTATGTGAAAATTATGTTTTCCTTTCCATCAGTAATATTGTGCTCAATCTAATAAGGTTGGAAGATCTTTTGAATTGTTTCCATTGTCATTATGTCATCACAGTCCTATTTTTGCACATATCTATAAACATATGCAGTGAGAGGTTTTTTGTTGTCTTGTCTGGGAAGGTCTTCATATGAAAGCTTTTGGTGAAAAAGAAATGTCAGAACTTGCCATTGTTGTTTTTTTGTTTGTTTGTATGTTTTTGTAATGTATATACAATGTTTTATTTACAGCTTGTTAAAAATTGGGCTTGGTCCTCAAATTGTTTTCATACAGGTTTTACCCCTTGCACACCCAACAAAGTTCAAAGACATTGTTCTGTTCCCCTTTCCCCACAGTTGTGTGACTTGCTGCTGCTACAAACTACTTGAGAACCCGACCATCGGCCATGTCAAAAGCAAACCAACCAGGGATTGTATAATTCACCTTCTCGGAGTCCTTATCAAGAAGTACAGTCATCTCCTGGGTTAGTCACTCAGTAACATATGTCGTCTGTGAATCTGAGGGTAGTGTTTGAAAATCCCCCAAAATGTTTCATTCCCACTTGTTACTCATTATATATTTATGAGTTAAATCTGTGTTTATATTTTCATTTCACTCGTATCCTCTGATCTGACATTTACAGGTGCGAGTGTAAAGGTGATCCAGTTGCTGCAACACTTCGAACAGCTTTCGACCGTGTTTGCACAGGCAGTGTCTGTGTGGAGTACAGAATATGGAGTCAGAGCCATCATAGGAGAAGTAATAAGGTCAGTCTATATATCTGGTGTTCAGATTAAGATTGGATATTTCTCATTTGCAGTTTCTGTGTAGACATCTTTATCTTTGAAAAAAAGTACAAAATAAAAACACCTTTCCCTCATTTCTTCAGGGAGATTGGTCAGAAGTCCAGCGAGGAACTTGCTAGAGAGGGGTCAGGAGTCAAAGCTTTTTCATCCTTCATTTCTGAACTTGGTGCACTGGTGCCAGAGTTAATGATTCCCAACATCAGTGTGCTCATCACACACCTGGAAGGAGAGGTAATGTTTACACTAACATGCTCTTTTCCTTATGGTCTTATTTTATTATGAGTTTAAGAGTGGGGGGATTGCTTTTTACCTACAAATCGATGCTTTGATGTTGTTTAATGGCTTTGGGGAAATAGACAGGTCAGATACCTAAATGTGATTTTGACTTTTTAGGTCTTACAATCATTCTGGCTTGTGACTGGTGTGTTAAGTAAGCATATTATGAGCACATAATTATAAAATCTAACAAAGGAGAAAAAGGGCTTTTGTCTTTTTGTTAGTTTTGAAGGGAAAGAGCTTTTAAGATTTTTTTTACACATAGCAGCAAAGCACCAGTTAAGACTTTTTCAGACAAATTTTGGTCTTACAGCACCCTCAACTATTTTAGACAATCTCTAGTGACACTTTGATTCAGCTGGAAAGTGAATCGCTGAAAAAAGCCTCAAGACATAAAAGTGACTGATCAGTTTGTAAGAGTAAAATTTGAAAAAGAAGAAAAAAACATTTGTACGATCCCAAAAACTATGGAGGGGGGATCTCTGTAAGAAGTGTCCTTAGTTTATTTTTTGTGTGCTGGAACATTGAGCCCGATGATGAGACCAAGGCGAATATGAGCTTACTGGATGAGCGCTGGGTTCTCCTTGCCCTAACTGACAGGTAATCTTGGCAGTGCAGGGGAGGATTCCTGCTCTGCTGTAAGGGCCTGCCTACAGTGACTTGGCCTGTCCTGAATTATTTCTCTGGAGGTACAGAGGTGTAATGCTGGGATGGAGCTGACATTGTGATTGTGTGCGTGTGTGTGCGCGGTAGTTTGTGTGAGTGTGTGTAAGAGGCAAGGAGTTCAACCAGCTCTCTTTGCTGTTCAGTCAGCTATGAGTTGCTTCTTTGGTAATCTGAGGGCAGAATCCACAAACTCATGTCATTGTGATGTTTTTCATGTGGTTTTGGTACACATTGTTTTCACAAGACTTCTCAGTAAATACAACATTTGACAGATTCTCATTCAGGAGTAATTTTTTTAGTTTGCTGTCACTGTCAATATTTTGACACAGTCAAAGATGAAGGTCTAAATATTGTCCCACTTTTTTCCCAGAGCCACTCCATGCGTGTTGCTGTGTGTGAGGTACTGGGAGAGATACTCGTGCATGTCCTGTGTGGCGATGGGCTCGATGACTCCGGGAAAGCTGACCGTGACCGTTTCTTCGACACACTGCAGGAACATCTTCATGACACAACCTCACATGTCAGGGCACGTGTGTTACAGGTCTACACACGCATTGTCAACAGCAAGGTATGTTATGATTGTATCAAGGTGTATCTACAGTGTAATTTGATATTAGAGATATCTACTGTTGTAACCCAAACTCTAATTTTTTCTCAGGCTCTCCCCCTGTGTAGATACAGTGAGGTGATGGAGCTTGCTGTGGGAAGACTGATGGACAAATCCATAAATGTCGTCAAGAGCGCTATCCAACTCTTAGCAGCCTTCATTGCACACAACCCCTACAGCTGCAAGGTAACTGAAAGCAACATAACACGGAATCACACAAATGAACAGTTTTTCACAATCTCACTTGAAAAAATGGTTTTGTTTATCAGTTAAGCAGTGCAGATCTTAAGAAACCGCTGGAGAAAGAGACGGCGAAACTCCAAGAGATGAAAGAAAAACTGGGGGGAAGAGAACCAGGTGAGAATACAACCCTGTCATATTTTCTCAGTTTTCCTCAGTGATCAGTCACATTGTGCCCGATGATGAGACCAAGGCGAATACGAGCTTACTGAATGAGCGCTGGGTTCTCCTTGCCCTAACTGACAGGTAATCTTGGCAGTGCAGGGGAGGATTCCTGCTCTGCTGTAAGGGCCTGCCTACAGTGACTTAGCCTGATCCAAATTGTTCCTCTGGAGTCACAGAGGTGTAATGCTGGGATGGGGCTAACAGTGTGCATCAGTGGTTGTGTGCGTGAATGTGTGTATGTTTGTTTGTTAGAGGCAAGGAGTTCAACCAGCTTGCTTCGCTGTTCAGTCAGCCATGAGTTGCTTCTTTGGTAATCTGAGGGCAAAATTCCCGATGTCATTTTATACCTGCTGAAATTAAGTGACCCCAAGGTTTGTACACGTTGCCAAAAAGAACAGGTTTATTACATTTTTATAGTTTTTTAGTAGGAAAAGGAAAATAGTACCACAGCTGTTACCCACAAAGTTAGACATTTATTAGGGCCTGTACAAAGGAGCATCTTGATCTGTGGGCCACAGCATTTTTGCATCACTGCTGTACTTCTTTCCTCCACCCAAAAAGAGGGCAGTTCTTGCAATGGGCCCAGATTGATTTTCTTTTCCAGTGTCTATTTTACGAGAAATGCGCAGACAAATCACACAGTTTGTAAGATTCGTGGGGATGTGTTCCTGGAGTTATTTTTAGTATGAAGGATTTAAGTCAAAAGTATTGTAGTTTCAAGGTGTTTATCATAAAGATGCATTTACCAAACTCCCTTTATCTGCTCCAGGTAGAAAGAATCTGATTAGAGAATTAGTGCCAGGAAATATCATGCAAATGATGATCAGATCGAGCCCACTCACCCTGTCCTCAACTATGCACATTTTTACACTCCCATCTGTCTGTTAATCTTTCTCTTTTTACTTCTGAGCTCTTTGACTTATTTTGTGGCTAGAACTCCTGTTATCCTAATATTTGGGGTTTATTTTGCTGTTCCCGCTCCCTCCCGGCAGTGGCAGTCATTAAAGCATCGGAGCTGTGGGCTGCCATGGAACCCGAGCTTCTTGTCACCGTCAGGACAGAGCTGGAGCCCACAAGCGAAGCAGAGCAGGAGCAAGGAGACGAGGAGGGGGAGGACAAAGACAACAGGAATGTGGAGGACGACAAGGAAGAAGAGGATGACAGAGCAACCGCAGTGAAGATAGCTCAGTACCTGCGAGTCAACAAGTACAGGTGATACTAATAAACAGCCCTGGTTTGACGACAAGTTGACTTGAGTGTCATTCACATAAAGGATTTCTCTCACCTGCACTGTCAATTAGCAGACAAGTTGATATGTGGGATTTGTTTTCTACTCCTCTCAACAGGAATGCTGTGCGTCTTTGTATAAGAGCCCACAGCTGCTTCCCTGAGTCTGAGATGTTTGCTGCTCTATCAACTCTCAACCCCGAGGCTCTAATGCACACGCTGGCTCTGATTTTTAAAGGTAAAGCCTGTCTTTACTTCACCTGATGCACTCATATGCAGACGTACTTGTAAAAAGTGCTCTCGGATGTGAGTCTTAATGAAGTCAAGATTGGAGACACTTGAGAGTCAGTCCTTTGTATTTCCCTTTGACTAGAGTTGATGTATTTCATATTACCTTTTGCTGTCAATTCATTAAAACTGACTCGCCTTGAATTCTTGCTTTTGCAAGAGAATGAGAAGAGGTTACATGAGCATGAAACACTCCTAATTCAGAACATTGGATGGAGTGTGACGCATCACCCGCCAACACTATTCTGCTTCTAAAAACTTCTTTCAGATACACAGGTTGAATCGCTACAAGAATGTAATATCATTATGTAACATCAACTAGTTTCACAGCAGTTGTTTAAAATAAATCAAAGCATCTCACTTGCTCTGTTGTTAAATGTCTCATTTGATATTAAACAGTTCAGGTAGAATTTTGTCAAGATCACAAAGCAATGATTATATTATGAATATCATGACATTAATGCATTAAAAATATATACCAAAATATATACCAGAATGCTTGGAAATCAAAAATAGGGCCCAATGAGAAGAATGAAAACCCAAATATTAAAAGTGAAAGAAGAATAACTTAATTGAGGCAGTGGTGTTGACATCGCTGAATGAAAAGATAGACACAATAAGACAAGAATTACATCGCAACAAATAAACAAAAGTAAAAAGTGCTTCTTCATTGGTCAATGTGTGATGTACAGTATACTGAACAGCAGGGTACAAATATTTCAAATATATAAAAAAACAAACTGCTGACGAACAATTGTGCGTATGTCTGAAAAGCACATTTTCCTATAATTCAGATTCACTCAACCCTTTTGCGTGTCATACTGGCAGAGAGAATAAATGAGCCACTTTATAAAGGCAGTGCCTTAGTATGTTCTTAATGGGATTTTAACACTCTGGCTTTCTCACATGCACTTCCAGCTGAGAGTAGATTTAACTTAATTACTGTACAGCTGCTGTAGGAAGTCTTAAGTAATATATCAGCTATAGAAAATGACCCATTGATTATTATTTTTTCCTCTAAGATTGCTTTTCTCCCAACTTCTCCTAAACCTGGACTGTTTCCCTCAGGTTCTGATGATGACGCCTCTGAGCCCAGCCAGAACCTGGAGCAAATCCCACCGAAAGAGGGAGAGAAGGAGGGGGAGGATGGGGAGCTGAAGAAGCAGGAGATGTTGGTGCAGTACCTGAGAGACACAGAAACCTTTGCCTTACAAGTGGAGAGAGCAATCTCAGTGATTAACTCCATGCTTTACTGGAAAACCACTTCAGGTAAAATGTAACTAATGCACCTATTCAAAATAGATAATTAATCGATTCATTTCAGCGATAAAAGAAATATGAGTATTTCAGATTTGACTTTTAAACTCCTTTTATTTTAGTGGTCCAGGAGGCTGTGCAGTTTTGTGTGACCGTGTGTGAGTTCAGTGTTGCCAACTCGATCAGCGGGGTGAGGAAAATGCTGCCTCTGGTCTGGTCAACTGACGCTGCCATTAAAGACGCCGTGGTTCAGGCCTACCGACGCCTCTATCTGAACCCTCAGGGTGACACCATCAGGTGTGTAAAACTGGTTCATGTACACATGACAATAAAGATGTGCTGATCTAGATTTTTCATCCCTCTTACTTCCACAATCAGACTTCAGTTATTTATCTGTTAGCCTGTGGAAAAGTCTTTATCATTTGTGAACACGCAAGATGGCATCAGGCTTCAAATATTTCTGTAGTATCCTTTTAATCTCTTTTTTCTTAACAATTAAATGACATTTTCACAAATTCCTCATTCATTTTTGTATAATTCATACTTTTGTAATGCTGATCAGGGAAGTTATTTCTCTGAGGATTACAGTCATGTAAGGCTGCATGTCAGGCTTGTGTTGTTTTCTCTAAGTCGCTGTCACGCTTCTTTAATTAGGATGAAAGCCCAGACTCTCGTGGACAGCCTGTCTGAACTGATGGTGGATGCATCTCTGGGTACAATCCAATGTCTTGAGGAAATAGTGAGTAACTGTACTTAGTTAGATTTGGATCATGTCTTTGTATGGCAGATAGTAGAAAAACAACCTCACAGAATTCAAAGGACATGTTTGTACTGACTCACAAATGCCCTTTTTTTTCCTAGTCTAATTTTTAGTTGAATCACCTCATAATACAGCACACAAACGTGTCTCTGGTGGTTTCTGCAGGTTCAGGAGTTCTTTGGCAGTGCGAGCAATCTCCAGTCCACCGTTGTGCAGGTCTTGTGGGAGAGGTTTACTGGCAAACGAGAGACTTCCGCCCTATACAGGCGAGCAGCAGTGTTGCTGCTGGGCATGGCTGCACGGTAAGACGTGTTAGTTAAAGTATGCTTCTACAAAAACTTTCCTCGGCCCTGTGAAGAAAAAGAGTTCGAGTTAGTTTACTAAATTAGAGGTTTTATCTGTTCTTGCCTCAGCTGTCGGGTAATTCTCATCCAGTGACTCAGCTCCACCTACTCTGACCATGCAGAGTAATATGAGGACGAGTCTGTTAAGTGGTCACGATGCATACCTTATTTGTTCGGTTGGTTGTGGTGTACTCCTAACAACAATATGAAAGACTCAGTACGCTGGAAGAAATGAATCACAAGTTGTTATAATTATTGAAAGGTCCCACGGCACTTGTTTACCCTCTTCAATCTCACCAAATTGCGGCCTGATCCCATTGTCTTTATACTACACAGTGCAACAGAGTCATCTGAGATGTCAAACAAGATAATTATGAGAAGTTACAGCTTGTCATTATCTTCAAGTCTTACCACAGGCAACACAATCAGTTGCTTTATGGTACTGCTGTGGTAGTGCCGTGTTTACTTATTATTTGCATTCTTGTGTACTTGTTAGCAACTGGACAAATATCAGAGTTTACTGGAGTTAAGATGACACAAATTTCAGACTGAGTCATGTTTTTATAATTCTCAGGTATCCAGTTACACACAATGGTGAATTATATTTATATGTATCCATTATTATTTAAGCTGGAGGCTACAGATGTGAACCTTTACATATAGAATTGGACCACACATGACTTGCTGCTCATTTATCAACGTTTAGGCTTAATTTTTCAGGCTAGTCTAGTTAAACCGCAAATGCTCACATGTTGGCATCATCCTTTCTGACTCTGAAGTGTTTCACATAAACTTCTTTTCCCTATCTTATTACAAATTTAGATACTTTATTGCACAGTTTAAATGACTGAAGTAGCCTCCAGCTTGACAAGACAAAATAAAACCTGCTTGAAACCCGTACTCATCCTTATGCAAAAATATCTTCTCAGATCCTGATGAAAACAAGTTCTCCAAATCCAATAAACAGTATTTTCCATCGGTTAAATGTTCAGTTAAAAGGCGCAGGACTCTTGTCCACTCATTTTTGACGCCAAACTTTGCCAACACTGTTTTTTTTTTTTTTTTAAAATATGTAAAATCTTCATAATATTTCCCAGCATGAAGCCACTTCCGCTTTCTTTTGGTTCTGCCTCAGCTACTTGACGTTCCTCTCATTAGTCAGAAACAAGCTCAGCCTCATCTTTTCTTCTTTGTAATCGAAGTCACGACCATATAACTAGGCTCCTTGCCAGTGTGTTTCAGTGAATATATATATTTTTACCCTCAATCTACCTCAAAGACTGCTGCTGCTGTAGGGAAGAGTGAGCGGAGAGAAAGTAAAAGAGAGACTATCTGCAGTCCACCCACACTGCAGCCTCTCTTCATCCAGTCGGCAGCATTCATAACCTATTAAATCCTATGTGCTTCTACTAACCCGTCCTCCTACATGCATTATCTGGGCAGCAGCCTCGCACAGGCAAGGCCAGCACACGGTGGCCAGGGTGATAAAGGGCAGAAATGTTAATGCTTCACTTTGCATTTTCACATTACGATAGGGAATAAAAAAATCTTCACTAACTCTTCTCTTGTGAATGTAACAGGGCTGAAAGGGAGGTGGTCCTGAGTAATCTGGACACACTCTGTTCTGTGGCCCTTGGCGAGAAAGTAACTGAAGACTTCCTTCTGGCCAGAGACACAGTTATCACCATCTGCAGCATCACCGACCATGTCAGAGTAAGCATTTCTTTTTGTACCAGAGGCGGCATAAACTGCTGGAAATATCCTGCCTATGTAACATGTACCGCAGAATTGTCATAGGATACTTCGTCGTGCTGAAAGAAGCATTACTGTTTCATATTTTACATGCAAAGAAGCGCCTGATTTAACCTCAGAGGGAGCAGTGAAAGCAAGCTGTTCTTTTCTAGTGGAAGCAGAGATTTCAAAAACTTGGTTAACATGTTCTGCTTTATGTCCACCAGCAATCAAAAGGCGCCCCATTCAGACTACCCCAGGACCACCAGCTCTTCACCTGCCTCACACAGGCCCTCGCTGATGGTACACGAAAACGAACTTTATCTTGGGGACCACCCTCTTGATTTTCCATGCCTTCACTTATCTGACTGACTCTGTTGGTGCTTGTCCAGGTGTGGTGATGGAAGACCCTTACTGGCAGAGCTTCATGGAGCAAGCCGTCCGTCTCATCTACTTCCTGGCTGAATCTCCTGACCAGCTGTGCTCCCGGCTGCTCCAGCGCAGCGCTCGCCTCTTAATGGATCAAATAACAGAGAGTGCAGAGGTCAACAAGGACACCGTCCAAATTCAGGATGGATCTCAAGAGTCCAGTGAGCAAAGTGATCAAGGTGAGTCTCCATTTATGAACCTGTGCGACCCATCGCTTGCACGGTGCTTTAATAATTTTACTGTATGCCACGTGTGTCCATGTGTCTCTCCCCTGCAGTGAACTGTGTGTGTCTGGCCCAGCTGTTGGCTCTGTGTGGTTGCGTGGCTTTCTGGCAGGTGTCGCACCTCGAGCGCAGTGTGAGCACAGAGTTACGGAGGAGGAGAGGAGAGACAGAGGAAAGGGAGGAGAAGGAGAAGGGCCCATCCAGCAAAGCAAAGGTAGTTTATATGTTGAACTTCACAAAAATAAACATGTGTCAGGATTTTATTAGCAATGAATTCCCTAAGAAATAATCAATTTTGAAATGAATCTTGGCGATCATGATTTTAGCTCAAACTGTGCTTCCTAGAAAGTTTCAGTCAGGCCAAAACTGCAGTTGTCTGTGTTAATGTATTTTTGCAGAAATTCAATGAAAAACAAACCACACACAGCCCCATGTGTGTTAGAATCCCAACAGGAAAGCTTGATGAAATTTCTGTAATTAACACAGACAGATGAGTGATAGCTCAAATTGGTTCAGCCCATCAGGGGACTCAAGATCAACGCCTTGATAATTAGCATTAGAAATTCACATTCAAAAGACAGAGTAACAACAGATCAAATTTGTGGGTGAATTTATAAATGGAAAGTTCCTGCCATTTATTCTCTGCTTATTGCATTACTTTATAACCTCTTTGTTATACAGGACTTGAAAAACTATACTTCTGAAATGAGAGTATAAATCTAGTCCCTCTTCAAAACAAGCTCTGGAGGAAAAGAATATTTTGATTGTAAAACATCAATCAAACTGAACTATTTTGTGAAGTTTAACCCGCTGGTCTGTTTGCAAACTGCACAGAAATCACAACATTATTATGGTTGCAGCAATCAGCCAACGAGAGTACTATGGAGGAGGAGCTGGGGTTGATTGGTGCTTCTGCTGAAGATACGGAGGCTGAACTCATCCGAAAGATCTGTGAGACTGAATTACTGGCTGGTATGAAAAAACCTCTTGTCATTCGCCTTCTGGTTGAGCATAAAACCGCATTTAAAATCCTCATTCTTTAACAGATTCGGATTACTTTAAAATGCTCTCACATTTAACATCCTCTCCCCTCCCTCCTACCTCTATCTGTTTAGAGGAGAACCTGCTGAGTGCATTCCTGCCTTTGCTGGTGAGAGTCTGCAGCTCCCCAGGACGCTATTCCCACCCACAGCTCACCACCGCTGCCTGTCTGGCACTCTCTCAGTACATGATGATAAGGTAAACATCAGACAATTTATGAGATACAGGGACTTGGCAGAGTCATTGATAGATTGTGAAAACATTTGATTACTGGAAATCAGTTTGTGTTGAAACTAGTTTTATAGCTTTTTGTCTACTGCCTTTGATGAACAGGTGCACAGAATATAATAGAAACATCTCTGTCAATAATGGATCACCTCAAAGACACACAGATTGAATATATTAAACTAATAGACAGTAAATCATTCATTCAGTAAGTCATTCCACTGAGAAGTTTCCACACTCCTCTGTGGTGTTGCACATTTCATGTTTTTTTTTTAAGTTGCATCTTCTTTGAAAAATTAAAACAAACTGGTCAGTAATGTTTTTTTAGGAACCTAATTTTTATTTTCCCTTTTATCAGCACATCAGCGTGTGAGGAAAACATCCGGCTCATGTTCACCGTGCTGGAGCGCTCTACTTACCCTGTGGTCAGAGCAAATGCCATAATAGCCCTGGGAGACCTCACAGTCCGTTTCCCCAACATTTTGGAGCCTTGGACTCAGAATCTTTACGCCAGGTAATGAAGTTACATATTGATTTATGAGCTAAATCAAAACATACAAGGCACGCCTGCAGTCCACTCTGATCACCTTGTCACCCCACCTGTTGGTCTCGCATACCCACACTTGTCGACACACTTAGTTCTAACCCGTAACCGGCATTGGAGGAAAATCTGGCTCAATCCTTAACAATTTGACACAAAACGGACATCACTCAAAGCTTTCTGCTCCTTTTATATCTCAGTCCTGCAGCCACAGTGTGGAGGATTTCTATACAACACTGGCATGTAATTAGGTGAGACCTAGCTAAAATGTCAAAGCTTAAGAGTTATAAACATACTCTTTATATTTGTTTACTATAAAAGAAAATACACAGCAAGCCTGCATTATTATTGCGTCGTTTAAACCCTTCTTTGAGATTACTAGCTTGGAGAAATTGTGTTTTCACATAGTTATGAGCATTTTGAATACAGTGGCATGCAGATAACTGTAGGGAAGGAGAATTTCATCTAAAGAAAGGCAGCCAGCGACAACAGTCCACATCCTGTGAGTCAGACTTCACGCCTATTAACTTGCTTTTCAATTAGAGGCATGTTATCACCACATACGTAGATTTGTTGGTTTTTTTTTACATAAAGAACATCCTACGCCCGATGGTGTAATGTCAACGACATTTCATCTCAGCCAGAATCTGCTTCTTCTGCTTGTACACCTCAGCCATCCCCAGCCTGATCCCACCAGCAGCATCACGTCTCGGTGTGTTGTTCCTCACAGCCACCGAGGTGTTGCTGTTGTCACGATGCTCCACTGAGCCACAAGATGGGAAAAGTTCACTCTCTCCATCACGACTTGTTATGATTAACAAACTTTGAGATGATCTATACTGGCAAACTCTGATATCTGACTTGTGTTCAGACGGTATAGTTGCCATAAAAAATATCAGCAAAGCCCTTTCTGGAAAAAAAAAGAGGGGGCGGAGCTTCGGACCACTTTAGACATGGGGGGTTTTGGACAATGAACAGCTTAATTATTAGTGTGTTACAGATTGTGACTAGAATCAATGACTCGTGCGTTGTAATTATACAGAACGGGTGGATGAACTGAAGGGAATAATTATCAAGTGAAGTCAAAGGTTAAAGGGCTCACACTTGTAGGTACACTTTCATTTTAAAGCACTTAATGGTTTCTGTCCATTCCTCTCGCACATAGTTGCTTAAATGCTCAACTTAGAGGCTGAAGTTGCTCTGTTTGATGAGTGTGGTTTTAATTATAACGGTGGATAAAGCTCACATTGAGGTGTTTCCGACGTGTAAAACATTCTGTTCTTTTCATAATGTGACATTTCTCTTCTAGTGTTTTCTACCTGATAAGCCTTTCATAGTCTTCCCTAATTGTCTCCCACACACCAGTACCTCCACTGTTCTTGAGGCAGCTGCCCTGAAGCCTCCTGATAAGCGTGTTACGAATTAATTACCCTGTTCACTGCTGCTGTAAGCCCCTGCATTGGCATGTGGAAGTGCCATGTACGATTGTCTGATCCTCTGCCAAAGAGTCCTGCTCCCTGGCATAAATGAGAAATGGTTAATGAGTTTCTTTTGTTCCGGGGTTTTGGGAGAGGGTAAGTCTAAATGGGTCTTCTAATGCTATCAGATTGCCCTGCCACAGCTTGTCCAATACTATTGTAGTCAGTTCAGGCTGTGGCAGTTGTTTGGGTAACTCAGCTGTAGGTTATTGAAACTGGTCTTTACAGAAAGCTTAATTGACCAGGACTGGGAAGTGATCAGTGTGGAGGTGGAGAATATTTTCTCCTCTCCTCACATTTTTGGCTATGCTGGTTGCGTGGCTTTAGGACCGCAGAAGTCCATCTGCACTCCAACTAAACAAACTGCTTTTAAAGTTTATGGTTACCAGAGACTGGAATAGTCAGGTTTTTGTTATCGTTGTTCCCCTCAGTAGCTTTCAGCAGCTACAAATATTTCATCACTTGCCTCGTAGACTGGCACTTTAATTTGTACAGTCAGAAATGTTTACCGGAGGATTAATCATCATGACTGGGGTTGCACTTTTCATTAAAATATTTTAAAACTTAAAACGTTTTGCTGAGCACAATACTCAAATCACAGAGAATGCTTTTTTTCACACAGGTGATTTATTTGACCAAAGTTATCAGAATTATGTTGCAATTTTGACATCTGTCAGAATTATCTCAATAATCGCACAACCTCACCATCATGTTGCCACCCACATCATGACTCTGACCCCTGACCACTCATCTCACCATAAATTTGGCTTACATTTCTGTCCAACTCTACAGAAGTGAGTTTCTGTCTGATGCGGTACAATGTTTCTTTCATAAAAGATAAAATTTGACTTAAAAAAAAAAAAAAAAAAAAAAAAAAAAGCAAAATACTTCATGACTGCCGACTCAGGAGCTATCTGTTGTTGTTTATGTATTGTTGCATTTTGTATTTGTATGTATTCTGTTTGTTTATTTGTTTGTGTTTATTTTACGTATTATTATTATTATTTTTTTTTTTTATTTTATTTTTTTTTTACATGGAGCGTATTATACGTAGGAGATATTTGCATTGATTTATTGTGGGTTGGTTTAAGGACCCCAGGAAGAATAGCTGAGGCTCGGCCAAGGCTAATGGGGATCCCCAATAAATCAAATCAAATCAAAATGATCTCAGTAAAGTCAGCACTAACTGAAAGAAGACCGGCCTTTAGGATAAATAACAAAGGGCTTTAATACAAAGTTGTGGGTGATTATACAAATACAAAACATATTAATGAAAACCAGAATATTTTCTACTAATAAGTCTAAATCACTCACAGAAATCAGTGTACATTTATTCTAATTCGTCATATTTTACAATTCAAAAACTGCTTGTTTTTCTTTTACTGGTATGTAGTGGTGCAACGGATCACAAAACTCACGGATCGGATCGTTCCTCGGATCAAGAGTCACGGATCGGATCATTTTTCGGATCAGCAAAAAGAAAAAAAAACAAGACAAATAAAATATATAAAAGTAGTCCACAGGGCATAATATCTTCTTTTTAACATAATTATTAATGAAAAACAACTTAAAGTACAATATACAGGCATATCTCCTTCCTTTAAAATGTAACAATGAACCAAAAATGAAGTGTGTGCGCGATGGGATGTCGTAACGTGGCTCAAGCACTTTCAGCATGTTTTTAAAGCACTCGTTTTGCACAACTGAATACGGCCTCATGTCTGCAGCTATAAACACACCGATAGAGTTTGTGAAAGCTTTAGCCTGGTCGGATTGCGCAGGAAGAGGCTGCTTAAATGCTGCGGTGATGAGCGGTTGTTGGGCAGCTTTCGTTTTATCTCAGGTGTTATGCCAAAGAATGCACCCCTGCCGTATAGTGCACCCCCTAACGGGAGCGCGGTTGAAAGTACATAACAAGGCGAAATAATACAAGTTTTCCTTACGTTGGATGTATTCAACAGCGTTTGCCTTTAATAATTTCATTCAGGCTATTCATATCAAATATGAGATCATTATCTCCACTTTAAGAAGCTAACGGGTGGAGGGGATGCAGGGGGTGCGTTCTACGGCAGGGGTGCAATCTACGGCACAACACCTGTCAGTAAAACACCCGGCTGATGTCGCTTCAAATGCGTGAACATGCTCGATGTGTTTCCACTGTCATATGGCTTTCTTATGCCACAGTGCCTACACTCCGTCGCAGTTTTGTACACTGACCTCTTTCCTTCTTCATCATAATTGACAGGGAAGCCAAAATGCTCCCATACAGGGGATTTAAGTGTCGCGGGGCGTTCGAGCTCCTCCTTTCTCCGCTTTCAGAAATCGATCCGCGGATCACATGTGTGCCGAACCGAACACGTCGATCCGAACGGATCACGGATCAATGATGATCCGTTGCACCACTACTGGTATGTGTGTAGTCTAAATTGATTTGTTCAACAGTTTTCCGTTTGATGAGTGAACAGTTAAATTTAATGAACATAAACTGTTTTAGTTTTGGCTAATATAGTGTGTGTTTTTTTGTTTTTCTTGTATGAATCACTTATAGTGAGATGCTAATTTAGAAAATGCTGGTCGGTTTCTTCTCGCACCTCTATCAAGCCTGTGAAATGAATCCCATTCCCATCAGCCTTTGTTGACTAAAGTGTTAATTAAACAAACAAAAGCATCCTGTGACTGTCAGGTAATTGGGCGATACTGCACACTTCATACCAGCTTGTTTTCAGATTTTAAACATTCCAGATTTATTGATTTCAACATTAGGTATAAATACTGGGATTCTCGAAGGAGAGAGCAGCGAGCACTGCTCAGGTACAAAATTAATTCCACGCTCATTTGACTTCCTGTTCTTGTCCAGGCTCAGCGATGAGGTGCCTTCAGTGCGGCAGACAGCTGTGACAGTTCTAACTCAACTGGTGCTTAAAGATGTCCTTAAGGTCAAAGGTCAAGTTAGTGAGGTGGCAGTGCTGCTAATTGACCCTGAGCCTCACATTACCAGCCTGGCACTGAACTTCTTCAATGAGCTGGCCACCAAGGTACACACACACACTCACTCTCTCTCACACACACACACACACTTACAGCACTTCTCAAGGCGACTGAATAATTAGGGAGGTTTGAGCTCTTTCTTCGGTGTGATCCTTCAGGACAATGCGATCTACAACCTGCTCCCTGACATCATCAGCCGCCTGTCAGACCCAGAGAGAGGCATGACCTCGGAGGACTTCAACACTATTATGAAGTGAGTTTCAAGCTTTTCATCATTTGTCTGGTCTCATCTTTGTCCGCAGAGGACATGTCCACATAGGGCAGGATTCTGCAGGTCCACAAAACTTGTTAGGAAGCTTTCCTGAGAAACTTGAGAGCTTTTCTATTTCGAGACCTTTGTTTACAGGCTGCTTTGTGTTTGTGTGTCTACAGACAGCTCTTCTCCTACATAACCAAGGAGAGGCAGACCGAGTCTCTGGTGGAGAAACTCTGTCAACGCTTCAGGACTGCCAAGTGAGTACATCTCCTTTTTTTATTTTCACATCTCTGACCTGCATCTTTTCTTTCTTTTCATTGTTATTCTGCTCATTCCTGCACCTGCAGTGTTCAATTTATGAGGAATGTAGGGGCGGTAGCATGGGTAATTAGTGGGTGTGAGGAGAGACAATAAAAACGAGTTTGCCATTCAATTCACCTGTCACCTCCACTCTGACATCTTATTCACTCATTTGTCATGGAAACGCTCTCTCACTGCGGTTGGGGGATGTAGTCGGAACAACTGGCCTGGCCAGGCTTCAGTCTTCTCTGACTCATGCTTGATCCATATTCCAAGGAAGGACGTTTTATATAACACAATGCCAAAGTGAATTTAGGTATACTAGGGTCCTGGAAAATGAGATTTTGTTCAAATGCCAAGGCAAAGCTTTTTTCGTGAGTAATGAGCTCCTTTGTCGTGGATGTAGAATTTTCTACCACGTAAGAAAGCAAGCCACTGTGGAAAAGCTGCATGACACGAGGATTGCAGCATGCCCCCTCCAACTGTCTTCCCAGGAGAGGAGAATGGCATCCACATATAGTCTATCTTAAATCAGGTGGCCTCTGGCACATTATAATGCTCATACGTCATCATTTACACTCTTCTTTGTTGCAGGTAACATATTTTTATGTTTCCTTATGTATTATTGCAGGAAATTCAATTGCGTAATATTGTATTTTTACCACATGATTTGGAGCAACACTTGTTTGCATAATTGGTCCATACAAAAGCGTTCAAGGACCTTCAATGGTAAGGCTGACGCATAGCCTAAATAATTTCTCATGATACAGGCCTTTGACTTAAACAATGCTTTGGAAACTCGGCCTACCTCTGCTTGCGTGTGGTTTGATGGCTCAGATAGCTTTGGCGCACCAAATCACAATCTGTTTTTTACTTGTCTCCTTTAGGACGGAGCGCCAGTGGTGTGACTTAGCCATGTCTCTGTCTCTGCTGTCCATGTGTGAGCGTGGCTTCAAGAGGCTGCAGGAGTGCTGGGAGTGTTACAGTGACAAGTTAACCGAGCCTGGAGTCTACCAGCCTCTCCTCTCCATCACTGCCAAGCTCCGCCGTGGAGCCAAACCTCAGTTCAAGGTGTTGGAGACATCTTTAGTCCAAAGAGGATGTTATATGTACTTCAATGTTGTTCTCATTTACTAATACCATCTTACCTCTTCAGGCCCAGGTAGATGAGTTTGAAAAGCGTCTGACTGCTGTTCACACTCGTGGACTGGAGAATGTTGAAAGTCCAGAGATGGATGAAGAAAATCCAAAGGAAGGAGGGTCCACTGAGAAGACGGTCATTCAAACACCCCTGCCCGCCAGAGGCCGGTTGAGGTCAAAGAGAGGTAAAAAGAAAAAAAAATCAGAGGATGTCCCTGCGACGGAAGTTGTGTTGATCTTGTCCCTTATTTAAAAATAACTTATTTCTGATTGTGTTGCAGGTCAAACAAAGCCGTCAGTTTCAGGTCGCGGGGACGAGAGTTTTGTGACGCCTCAGAGAACTCGCAAGTCCAAGAAACCTGTCATCACCTTTAGCAGTGATGAAGAGGGGGAGGAGGACGATGAAGGTTGGTGTAGTCACTTAATTGATTTATTGATTTGCTGTTCAGAGCTTATTATATTTCAGTCTTCTAAGTATTACATTGAGTGTAGAAGACAGTCAGATGTTGGTGAAGACAGGCTGAAGCTGACCTCCATAACAAAGTCCACAACATGCAGTTTTTGCAGTAGTTGCTTGCTTCTTAAAGTCTTCCAGGTTAAATACTATAAAGCAATAAGAGACCCCCCTCGTCATGTCATACTGGTATGTTTGTGGCACCAGTGTATTGGATGCAACTTTAAAAAAAAGTGTTAATTCAGGTTCCATGACCTGACGGTTGCATTAAACACAGTTGCTTTACCTCACCAGTCCTGCTGACATCATAGAGCGCTATATTTACTTTATTTATCTTGATTTTTCCTTTACACAAGTACTTTCTACTGTCGGTATATGAATGTGCCGGACAAAGATATTTTAGTACATCAGGAAAACTTTTTGGATCAATACGAAAAAAGTTTTTGGTGTTTGGAGCAGACAGGAGATTTAGGATGGCTGTGCTTCAGTTGTTCTTAATTAAAGTTAGCTGTGTGCTGCAGCAGCAGCACTAATCCAAGTTCTGGGGATCAATGTGACAGATAACTGTAAGATTAAGAACTAAAAGAACATGAATTAGCATGCATAATGCCATGCAAAATTAGGTTTGAGTTTGTGGCATTTTAACATAATTTTCTGTCCTTGTCCTTAAATTTGATATTGATTTATTTTAACAAACCAAACTCCAGTCTTAAAAGTAGTGTTGAGAAAATCTCCATTCTGCAGACTTTATTTTTCATGTAAACAAAACTTCTAGATGTCGCAAATCTGTCCCTCTTATTTTCAAAGACTTCAGGATGATTCAGCAACAGTCTCGGCTGCAAGTTCACAGACCTGTGCCCCATGTTCAGACCACTCTAGAATATAAAGTCTTTGCAACAGCTGTGAACATACTTGGAGAAGAGAGCTCACTTCATTCAAATATCTGACGTAACGCTTACAGTTACAGATCGGTGAGTGTCGTACTTGTGTTGCTTTTTAACTTAAACTTGTTCATTTTTTCCCTCAGATGCTGTCATGGCAGAGAACGAGACCCCCAAAGTGACCACGCCTATCGCCCGCACATCCCGACGAGCTCGCCTCAGAAACTAATCAGTCATTGTCTCTTATTTCTGTTTTTTTCTCATGAACTTCTATCTTTTTTTTATCCATTTTAAAATTCCTTTTTATACATTTTAATTTTTTAATCTTTCTGTATATTTTTCAAAGATAATGTAAAGTAGACTGATGTCACATTAATGATGTAGAATAAAGACATCTTACATAAACCTGGTTCTGGTTTTGATAGGAAATCACTGCATCACTCCCTGCCTCTTCACACGGAGGGATGAAGGCTGACGGACATAAAGGTGTGAAGAGCTGAGTGTCTGCCGGGTTAACTCAAGTAAATTTATACCATCATTAGAGGCAGCTTTGAATGTCTGCTCGTACTCTGTTTGGACAGCGGTGTTAAATGGATTGTCACAGCTTGTCCAGACAGTATTACTACCCTCCATGCCTCTCTGCTGCTTTAACAGCACTTTCCATCATATCAGACTCTGTCTTTATCAGGCAAACTCTCTCTTTATATGCCACACTAGTTTTCTTGTATGTTTATTGTCTTTCTTTTCCCTCTTGTTCTGTCTGACACATTTGCTGTTGCCCAGTTGGCCGCCTCTTTTCTCCTGTAATCAATCTCTTTTGTAGGTCTCCCTCTGCTCGCTGCCTCCCTCCCTTCTCCTCCTCCTCCTCCTACTCTCCGTTGCCTACTTTGCCTCTTACAGCACTCTTCTCCTGCACGCTAGTTTAACCCCCCTCCCTCCCCACATTGCTAATCTCTCCTTTTCGCCTACTCCCTCTCCCACACGTCCTCTCCGAAAAAGATGAGAGGGGTGCATTTCTATATGTGTGATTGATATGTTATGTAAAAACACTTGCCAACAACAGGCTAACAGTATGATTGCAGCAGCACTTAGGTTTTTATCTGAGGACAAATTAGAGTTAAATGTATTCAGTGGGTGTAAATTGTCCCTGTTTATATCTCGATTTGAAGCTGTAGACGACGAACTCTACTTGTTGCTTTCACTTGGTATTCAAGAGAACTGTTCTCTTTTGTGGATCTGATGTCCACTTTTTAATTACCGGGGATTGTATACTTGAAATAATCAGAGGCTGCTGAACTTTGAGGTCGCTGAGTTGGATCATGCAGCTCCTGCTAGTGTTGTAATTTGGCGGCAGGGGGCACAGGGAGCAGATGGCACCGACAGACTGTAACTTACCCAACAGAGAGGGGAGGTCAGGGCATGCTGGGAAAGACCACAGAGACAATGAGGAGAGAGAAAGGCTAATATGCACGAGAAGCATTGTTAAGCACATGGGTGATGCATAACTCGGATAAAGTCGTGACATGAAACGCATGAATCTTTTATCGGTCTCATTGATGAGCAGACTGCCGCCCTTTGACCTCACTGTGCTGCTTCAGAGTAGCTCCGAGTGCACCGAACACACACAGTCACCTTGGCAATGACAATCACCGTCTCTAAAGCTATGACATCACTCTAGGGAAAAAAAGAAATGATAAGGAGGTGGAGGAAGATGGGGAGGAGGAGGGGGGGGTCGTCCCCGGCTCTACAAAACCTCTGCAGCATCCCAGCTGATGCCCCAGCATTCAGCTTCTGCCAAGAGGACAGACGCAGGAGGCAGGAAAAAAAAACCCATCCTCTCAGTTCCATCACAGAGCGAGGAAGAGGAGGAGGAGGAGCCAGTCGAGTAAGATAGTGATGCTCCCCTCAGCAGGTGCCAACAAGTGAGAGGTAGCTGAGAGACCGAGGACGACAGACATGGAGAAGAGTCTCTAAGAGCAGAAGACACCCAGAGCTCCGAGAGAAAACCAACAACAGGTAAGAGACTGAACTTTTCTCTCAGGTACTTTGATTTCTTCAATTTCTCTGTTTCTGTAATATTCGCAAAGAGGACTGAATCAAATTAGGAGTTTCTGCTACAGATAAAGATGCGCACCACCAAGTTAAATTACAATTTCATGGTTCAATCTCTACAAAGATTTTTCTTTTAATTGTTAAATCATCTGAAATCTACAAGTAGGAAAAGCTTGACTTTGTATTAAGGTGAATTTTAATTCTAACTCTGACTTAAGTAATATATTTTTTAAAATTTGGTAGAGTATATTTTTGATTTTTTTTAGGCTTGACACTAAATATAGAAAAAGAATAACCGTGTTTCCTCTCTGAGATATTACAATTTATGTATATCTATTAAGATAAGTATATCATTTGACTCACCGTTTTAATCTAGTCTTTAAAGATTAAACTCAATGATGGGTGGCAACAAAGTTTGAGCTTAATGGCACATTTATTTGATTATTAACTATGAAAATGTGACACTTGATCTCTTAACATTATGAGTAAGTCAGAAATAGAATTGGAGTTACAATTCGTAATGATCTCAGAGAGAATATGAATCAATTTAATGACATCTGCGCTGATTCATCAAACAAAAGTACTTTTTATAGATCTATAAATGTTTTTGGGGAGGATGTAACCACAGTGCATATAAAAATGTTTATCTCTTTGTTTCCACTGCATGTTTTTGAAAATGAAGTTTTGACTGTGCTTTCCATGGATCATATATTTAAATACTTTTTATTTCTCTACATAACTTTTTTAATGTCTATCTATATATCAACAATATATATCTGTTTCTTTTTACAGCCCTTGTACTGAAAGTCCTCCTACTCCAGTTTTTTCCTGTCAATCATCTCTGCTACCATGCTGTTTCCTGTGCTGCTCTGTGCCGCCCTGCTCCTCTTCTCACCACTGGAGATCACAGAGGCTCGCGCTCTGCACCCCTCTCCTGATGCCGTGCAGGTACACAGAGAGGAGGGGTATGGGAGGAGAGAAGGAAGGGGGGAAAAAGTGGACGGAGGAAGATTCAGAGTGGATGAATGATTGAAGAGAATGGTTTAGAGAGAAGGAAGGAAGAGGAGGAGAGAGTAATGAAATGTATCACTGATTGAATTATTCCTTCTTGTGCTTTCTCCGACCATTAAATTCAATTTATCTTCCTCTGTAGTTCATGGAGCAGTTTCTGGAGCGCTACAATGACCTTCTGACCCTTGACGACCTGGAGAACCTATTGAACAGCCCGCCAGAGGAGCAGTCCACCTTCTCCTCAGGGGCCAAAGCAGCCGAGTTCCCCAAATGGGCTGACACACAAACGCAGGCTGAGACCCCCTGGCTTCGACTGCTTAAGGGCGCTCTGGCCAATCAGAAGAGAGCAGAGCCGGACCGGTCACGGAGGGGATGGAACCGAGGTTGCTTTGGGCTCAAGTTGGATCGAATTGGGTCCATGAGCGGCCTGGGATGTTAGTGAGGAGAAACTAGAGACTGGTGACATCCTGCTTAGAGTACCATGAAGGGAGAAAAACACGCAGAGAAAGCTGTTAACATGCGTAGACTACATGTGGTGTGGTGTAAACCAGCAGCGTTGCTAATGTAGTTTCATCCAGAGTAGGGACCATAGATCAGACTCTTCACACTGTTGTGGCTGTTCTAACGTAGCAGCTGTAGTTTGTTTCATGTGTAAGTAATAAAATGAATATTAGAACATGTGAGCTATGTTTACATCAAATCGTTATCTTTGATTGTTGAGCTTTTTTAAGTATTACAGCACTCATTGTAATTCCAGTTTGGTCTGCGTACAGTAATTGTAAACCTGTTGTTTTGTGACTACAGGGTTGTGTGTAAAATCAGGATGTGAAAATCCGTACATGATGGCATCTGTAGTTCCTGCTGTTTGTTTTTGTATACCTTTGATTTGCATGAATAAATGGGTTTGACATTAGCACAGTTGTGGTGTTTTTCCCTCCCAAATGAAGCACATTACTGAGAGATTCAACATCAACACTCATCCTTCATGTACATGCCAGTTTTCCGCCTCTGTCCACACGCATCATCCCAATTTTTCCTTCAAAGCAGAGCTCTGATTTCTCCTGACACATTTTTCTCCTCTGTCAAGGTGCTTTATTGATTCACCTCATGGCTGTTCAACTCACTTATATTTCCTTCTCTGTCATTTTTGTGTTTGTGTAGTTCTTCATAACAACAGCACTCCATCGTATACAGATCCTTTTTTTTTTTTTTTATAAACTTGAAGGAATTTATGTGGAAATAAAAATAGGTACTTCAGCATTTTTTAAAGAACCTTGCATATATGTATACTATACGATGTGTATCAAATTTGATTGTGATGCAGCTGCCTATTTTGAGCAGCAGTTTTGGTCCACAATTTAACAACCAAACCAAACCTTTTTCAGCCAACCAAATACTTGCAAGTCAAGTCAAGGTCTGTTAATCAGAAGTTCTGGAGTTTGTGACCACATGATATGATTGTAAGCAGATATTTCACTCAAGTGTCAAAATAACTCCATGATTACGTCTAATCTAAGGTTTTTAACTCTGACACTAGATGGCAGTGTAACTCCATGTTTTTATCCATTCCTCACTTCACAGATTCGCCTTCTGGACTTTGCACTGGACCTTGGTACAAGCCTCAAGTTTACAAGTCTCGCTGAAGGCCTTTTACAGGTACCGACAGTCTGTAAGCAAGTTTATCCTTTTCTGATAAGATAAAGCAGAAAAAAACATTCATTCTCAGAGAGCCCTCCTCAAAACTTAAATGAAAATTCTCTCTGAAAGTTGATTCACAGTCTGCTCTACAGTGAGTGAACTTTGTCTGTTGTAATAGAGACAGATCATGTGATCTCTATGTGTCTGCATTTACAGTAATGAGGGCTGGACAGCCAACACTTGGTCCCAAGTGTTGGCTGTCCAGCCAGTGTCTAATCTTAGCCTGACCTTTACTTACTCTCTCTGACCTTAAACTGCGATGCAGAGGCCAAGACATGGCATGCAGTCAGAGTTTTGCTGGTTCAGGTATGCCCAGACCACTGGACTGTAGCCATGAAGCACAGCAGCAGCAGCAGCATACTCCAGTTTGAGTGCAGAGCTGCATGTCTGCTATAGCGCTGTACATCTGACCAGATACTTCAAAGAAAATACAGGCTTGTGATTGTTATCTTGTGTCTGGTCTGATACGTGCTGTGTTGCACATTCATCCTCTGCTGTGGTGGAAAGGTGGCATGCAGTGTGTAAGGTTTCAGTACTCTGTCTGGACTGGTGTGCTGCTGGGGCGCAGTATACAGACAGGGGGGATGTCCAACTGCGCTCAACTTAAATGACCTTCTGATTCAGACTAGCATCCAGTTTTTTTTTTTTTTTTAAATGGATCATTTAATTTCACCTCTGGATGGATTTGCGAACCAGGCTGACACAGGTGCCTGAGGGGTCAAGATCCCCTGGCCCTGAAAAGTGACCAATGACATGAATTATTAATGGTCCCTGTGGGAAGCAAAAAGAGCAATAAAATCACCCACAACTGCAATAAACATGCAAAATAAATGAAAATGCACAAAAAAAAGTCTACAAAGAAGACCCATTATCTACAAAGAGACACAACATGTTTGCAGGCTGCTGGAGGGGTAAACTAGCAATCCTAATAACAACAAAAAGGCACAAACAACCTTTGTGGAAAAGTGTAACCTTCATGATTTCTAACAGACATGCAACATTTTCAAAAAGGCATAAAATTAACTACAAATACAACCACAAAGAGAAATCAAATTAACTACAAATACAACCACAAAGAGAAATCAAATTAACTACAAATACAACCACAAAGACATAGATTGACTACAAGGACAACCACAGAGACATCAAGTGGCTTCAAAAAGACAAAGAACAACTACACAATGCATAAACCATTTAATGAATCACAAGACAACCATAAAAAGCTGTAAAAAAAAATACAAAACAACCATAAAGAGGCAAAAACTTCCCTTTCCACACAATTGTATGTTTTTTTTTCTTTGTTTGTATGCGGTGAGATTTTTAAACTTTGGTCTGCAGACACTCAGTAAGGTGTCTCATTAACCACACATTTGTGAAGCATTTTCCAAACAAAAAAAGGTCAGCTGACGTGTCCCATTACAACACTGTGAACAATAACTTTCCTCACTTACTGTTGCAGCACAGGAACACTTTACCAGAAACATTTTTACACAAAGAAACTGTCAGCAATAGTTTTTTCTGGAGTAAATCCTTCAATTCTTCATACCTTCACAAAACATACATGGATTCAATCAGACTGAAGATGCTTCCTCTGCACATGCGTAATGACCTTATGTTTGTAACCAAGACTCAACTCATGACTTCTGCTGAGGACATGGGAAGGCAGAGGAAGATGGGTGGCCACAGAGATGGTAAAAGTGAAGGGTCGTGGTCTTTGGACATCAAATGTCACAGCCGGGATGACAGAGATTTGATCCCTTCTGCTCCCTCAACATCTCTGTGCGTCTGGATTTACTCAGAAGGTCAGTGAGAGACCCCTATCTTTTTTCCAGTCCACTGTCTAAAGGAGTTAAGTAAGAGAGTGTCTAAATCTGGACCTACAAAGACAAGAAAGGTGGACACACGAGAAAGTCTGAATGAGTGAGGAGTATGATTTATATTTTTGAGTTTCAAGTCCAAAATTACAGATCCATAAAAACATTTTCCTGGCTAATTCACCCGTATGACAGGAGAAGTGGGGTCTAACTCAACATGCCTCTTTGCAGACTGATGACCTTGACATTCAGAAGGGGGAGGGGCAAGAAGACAGGAGCAATGAGGGGGCGTGGCTTCTTACTCTGGTTAATCATAAAAACACACTGCTAAACTTTGATCTTCCCCACTCACACCCGGAGTCCCGAGACAGACAGAGGCTTCTCACAAACGGTGAAACCTTCAATTATATTTAAATGACAAAATGAAATACCAAACACTTGTAGGGACTCAGCATCAGGCTGCATGACTGGGTAACCTAATGGAGATCAGCTGAGGACAATCTGCATGGAACTACTCTGATTGAGAGGAATCAGCTCTTTGAGAAAATCAGACTACTTTGTGGTTTTAAATGTCATTTATGTTACTTATGAGCATGCAAAATGAGTCGTTAATGCAGGGAGAAGTCAGGTGTTTGTCGCAGCAGATTTACTCTGAAGTTGAATTGGACTGTGGTCTCAGATAACTTATCAGTCATTCTTGAACATGCCCTCTTTTAAAGTCTTTGTGTGTTCAAAGATAAGCTCCATAGACGCTCTCTTATCAAGTGAAAGCTATGACCGTATACTGATGATCAACATTACTAACATTATTGTTTTTATCCTCTCCTGTCTTTTTTTCCAGAGGACTAAAAGAACTCAGGCAAAATGGTCAAAGTTGGTATCAATGGGTAAGAGCACTTTTTTTATCCTCTAACCTTTTAGAAATCACCTGTTCTCTGTGATCTATCACGCACTGAGCTCCAAACTTTTCCAGTGAAGCCAGTCTCTGCACTGCACAGCTACTTTAAAAACTTTAAAAATGAGTGTTTAAAGTTGTTAAACATGAAAGACAAAGTGTGCACATCATTTAAAACAATTTGTGTAAAAAAAAAAGTGACTGAAGTTTGAGCAGTTTTAACCTTGCTATCTGCCTAGCTGCACATCTGCGGTCTCTAATGCAGCTCCACTTTGCCACAGCTAAGAAGGAAATGTGTTTTGCAATGGAGGACGTGCACACATACACACACCAGTGACGCAGGAGTTGTCTCCCAGCTGTCCCCATGTTTTTCCTGATCTTTGAACTTTGCCCCTCAGCAGATAACAATGTTGGCAGTGGCTCCAACATGGGGGTCATTCAGCAGATTGTTTTTCTCTTCGAAGAGGACCTGCGTAACTGAAATGTGTCTGGGCACACAATTGTCCACCTCTCTTTCTCCTCTACTCGGTGTCTGAGGACAGAGTGTATCTGAGTCAGGATTTTGGACCCCTCCAGGTTAAAAAGTAACTCAGTAGCTGATCAAACAGTGTCCTGCCGTCACAAGGATTACCACATTTGAGGTTAATTTCGACTTTAACCCCAAAAGGGGAGTGTAGGAGTGACACATCCCTCCCTCTGCCCCTCCTCCTGACCTTTGCCCTTTCCTGGGGGAGTGGTTCCAGGTCTCTTGGAGAATTGTGTGCCATATTTAGAAAAAGACAAAGCCTGTAATCCCATTTTATGACTGATTTTCAGGCTGATCATTTTATCCACTGACTGTGGTCAGACAAAGATGGTATCACTACGCCATCTAGAGGCCATACTGAGAAACAGCATTGTCCCTTTTTCAGATTCGGCCGTATCGGTCGCCTGGTGACCCGTGCTGCTTTCGCCTCTAAGAAGGTGGAGATCGTGGCCATCAATGATCCTTTCATCGACCTGGAGTACATGGTGAGTTTGAGATGGTGAATTAAAATGTGAATTTAAGGAAATCAGCACATGCAACAAGAATTGATTAGATTTACTTTGGTTGAAGAAGAATCACAATCTTAATGATATTATATTCTACATGTTAGATTGGCAGAATCATCTTGAATCACTTATTTCAGATCTGTTGTAATCTACTTTTGTCAGCAGATATGTTTCACACTTCACATTTCATCTTTTTAGGTCTACATGTTCAAGTATGACTCCACTCATGGCCGTTTCAAGGGTGAGGTCAAGGTTGAGGGTGACAAGCTGGTGATTGATGGACAAAAAATCACCGTTTTCCATGAGTATGTTTACTTCACTTCAATTACAATTTCACAATCTTCAAAAAGAACGAATGAGCGTTGAGTTCAGCTCTAACTTTGAATTCTCCATCTTCTTTTAAATTTCAGGAGGGACCCCGCCAACATCAAATGGGGCGATGCTGGTGCCCAGTATGTTGTTGAGTCCACTGGTGTGTTCACCACCATCGAGAAGGCCTCTGTATGTACTCCATCCTATGCCACATTTTTTTATACATATTTTTAATCAAGTTTAATTGCCTAAAAGAAGACAGATTGATCACATTACCAAAACACATTTTTAGGCTCACCTGAAGGGTGGTGCCAAGAGAGTGGTCATCTCTGCACCCAGCGCTGATGCTCCCATGTTCGTCATGGGTGTCAACCATGAGAAGTATGACAACTCACTCAAAGTCGTCAGGTAAGAATCGAGGAAGCTGTTTGTCATGAGCTGTTTGCATATTTAATTTAAGATTCAGGCTACTGTAAACAGAGATTCCCACGTTGTCTCAGATAAAGGTGCAACAGGGTGGTGACTATTCTAACAGGGGGGGTAAATGTAAACCAACCAAATAAAGTCACCACACTGACTCCACACATGCTCTGTTGGATTCTCATGCTGTCTGCTTAAAAGCTGTGGGATCACTTAACCCAGATAGGACTTTTAAACAAAAAAATAATAATAAAAAGTGGTTGAGGGGTAAAATTGAAAAAATTGATCTTTCCAGTCAGGTCAGGACAGGACCAGTTGTTGCAGTTTTACAATTGATAATATTTAGTTCTAAGTATTTGTACTGGGATTTTAATTAGTTATATAATTACCACACAATGAAACAAAATTTGTTGCTTCTTAATTTTTTTCAAATATTCTGAGTAGTGCTTTTATATGATCTTATTCAGTTGATTTTATTCAGTCATTATATAGCATTTTGCTCCATTTCATCTAACTTTTGTTCAGAGACTGTTTTTGACTCAACTGCTGTTGTTAAAAATTAAGTTTTGTCTTAACTCAGTTCCTTAAAGTCTGGTCTCCACTGGGACATTTTCCATGTATTGAGCAAAAATTGATGTACTGTTGCTTGGAAGTCAATCAAAGCCTGACTGCTGATACAATTTTAGCCGAATAAAAAAAATAATAAAACTTTAGTGACAGAAGATACAAGATTCTTGGTGTATTCACCTTTGGTCCCTCCTGTTTAACTCAAGAGGGCAAAATCTTGCATAACACTTGTAAAACTATCTGTGGATGATTATAACATTTTGTCCCATGGAAGCCATCATCACATGTGATCAATTTCTGATCCTGACAAAGTTTACAACCAGTGACTTTCTTTTTTCAGGGTTGTTATTTTTGGCAAAAGTCCTACAAATCTTAATGGAAAAACTCAAAGACATGACTTTTCTCATTATTTAGAAATTAAAGCACTGTTCAGTTAACTGGAGCTTTTATTTTGTCTCCCTAGCAACGCTTCCTGCACAACCAACTGCCTGGCTCCCCTGGCCAAGGTCATCAATGACAACTTCACCATCATTGAGGGGCTGATGGTGAGGATTAAAATAATTCTCTGGGAAACAATTCGGCAAAGCGATGTTAAGCATGGCCCATAACCAGATTAACAGAACAGCCCAAAACACTAACATGACATTGCAGATTTAGTTTGTGTTCAGCTTTATTTAATCATCCCCTCTTTTTTTCAGAGCACTGTTCATGCTATCACAGCCACCCAGAAGACTGTTGATGGTCCCTCAGGCAAACTGTGGAGGGACGGCCGTGGTGCCAGCCAGAACATCATCCCCGCCTCTACTGGTGCTGCCAAAGCTGTTGGCAAGGTCATCCCTGAGCTTAATGGGTAAGTGACAAAAACACTTTGCTTTATTATAGTTAAAGTTGATGCCCTTACTTAACCTAAACGTGTCACTATTTCACAGCAAACTGACCGGCATGGCCTTCCGTGTACCCACCCCCAACGTCTCAGTGGTTGACCTGACAGTCCGTCTGGAGAAACCAGTGAGTGAACACAAACTAAAACTGTGGTAACACTTTAAAATAACAATAACTTATAAAGGCTAAATAGACAATTTATAAATGGTAAGCAGATAGTTTATTTGTTTAATCATCATTTATTAATAGCATGTAGACCATTAATTAATTATAAACTTTACAATTTTAAAAACCTAAACCTAACTTTACAATAACTATCTAAGTGATGTTTATAGATGGTTTAAAAACCACTTATTAATCATTTACAAAGTCCTTCTAACACACATTTTAATCTAAATGTTTTACAACCAATAATTAAACCCTATATAAACCTTTTAATAAACAGTCCATTAATAATTAATGAAAATTATTAATCATAATTTCATTGCTTGGTAATGGTAAAGAAACTCTTATCTTACATTAATAAACTATGTATTTACTATTTATAAATTATATTTATTGTTAAGTGTTACCAAAACTGTTTGAGATCTGATATGAATGATAATATTGAACATTTTCATATATTTTTGATGTCCAAAAAGACTAAACAAGATGAGCTGTGATCACTTTTGTTTGTTTTGTTGAATTGAGTCACCCTCAACATACATGGTCGTTATACATACTAACAACACCATCGCCTCTTTTGACACATATATTCCTGCGTAATACACAAACCAAGAATAGCTCCACTCCTTTCAAACACACATGCATCATATCCAGATTACAGTGTATTCACCTTTGCTGCCTCTGTACTCCTCCTCTTTAATATATTCAGATCGACTGTTACAAGTGCTCTTGATCAGTCATGTCTCCAGGTTACTTAACCCGTTTTGTCCCACTCACACGTTCTTGATCAATTTTCAAAGATTTTCACGTTCAGTCAGAATCAATTAGCTCAATTTTTTTCACAATCAGGTCATCCAGATACTGAGACTAATTATAGATAGTTGACCTTTTTTTAGATTCATGTTTAATAATAATGTGCGTCATTTTGTCTCTTTTCGACAGGCCAAATACGATGACATCAAGAAGGTTGTAAAGGCTGCAGCTGATGGACCCATGAAGGGTGTCCTGGCATACACAGAGCACCAGGTATGTGCGTTATGTGTCCTCCAGTGTTTAATCTATGAAACTGTTTATTGAATGTTCTTGTTTAACCGTCCTCTTTTCCATCCTGCAGGTCGTCTCCACAGACTTTAACGGTGATACTCACTCCTCCATCTTTGATGCTGGTGCTGGCATCGCTCTCAACGACCACTTTGTCAAGCTTGTTTCATGGTAAACCTTCTGGATGAGAGGCTGTGATATCCTTTTTTTTTTTTCCTTTCCACTGAAATAAACTGTCTTATTTTCGTTATTTCCAAACCAGGTACGACAACGAGTTTGGCTACAGCACCCGTGTGTGCGACCTTATGGCCCACATGGCCGCCAAGGAGTAAACGAACCTGCCGAGCAACCGTCCCTGCACTACGCCACATTACCCACATCGTACTGAATCCAGAGTTCCACTTGTGCAGTAATCCATACTGTCTGTGACTCTGCCTGGTTTCCATCAGTTGGTTGACCCTCATTAGATGCCTGATGAAAGACCCCACAGAGAGCAAACAAAAAAGAATCAAATTGATGACCAATTACTTTTTTTGTATTTCTTAAACTCCCTGTTCTGTTCTTGTGTGAGATGGAGTGAAGGTGTGAGAGTTTGTTTGTCTGCGGTGCTTAAGTACTGCAGTCTGTGGTGGAATAAAGTCCTCTGTTTGTGAGATTTATGGCTTCCTCTTTCCTCTTTCTTTGCGCTAAAAAAAAACTGCTCCCATGGGATAAATGCTGATATTGGTGTATGGATTCTTATGTGGGTCAGTGACTTGAGCAGAGTATCATTACACCCGTCTGATCAATTTCTGCTGTAAGAGTACAGCTTAAATTGCCGGGTCTTTATTAGGTTGACCAAAGATGGTAACTTCTGCCGGTTTTGCCGCATTTAATCAATTCTTCACATTCGCAGCGGCTTCGATATAAAGTGTACATGTTGTTCTCATAGGTTTCTTCCTTTGTCCTGTGAACGGCACCAAAGCCTGACAATCAAAAGCCCACTTTGAGCGGTCAATATGAAGGTGTAACGTCTACAGGGGAACTGCTCTGATGTAAATGAAGACTTTTAACAAGTCATTCCTACAATTTTGTTCAAACTCTGACAAAAGCGACAGGTTGATTTAGCTGAACTCATTGGCGCTGAAGGAGTAGAGATGGGGAAGCTATCCAGAGTAAGATTCCTTATCGCTTGTTTAACAACTCACTGATTCGTTTTAGGTATGTGTCCCAAAAAATTAAGACGTGAATTTTTCCTTTTAAATCATAAATATTCCATTAAATTTCCCGGAATGCTGATTTTATAGACTGAAAAGGGTTAACAAAACAGATTGCTTCATGGTAAAATCAAAGCAAAAAAAAGAGATTGTCTTAGTTTCTGTCATTTAAAAAAAATCTCCCATAGGATGCCCATGTAGAAAGAAAAACCTTTACATTCACATCAGTCACAATGAGTAACTGTTGCTCTCAGTCAGTCCCAGCTACAAAGATCTTAATAGAAATAATGTAAGATTTTATTTATTTTTATTAGAGATTAAGAGATCACCTTAAAACCTGTATGTTCAGTCTCAACACTTTCATACCTTAACTTTTACTTTAATCCTCAAAGCCCCAATTTCTTATGCAAAGGCTCATTTAATATGTAAATACTCAACTTTATTCTGTTATTTGTGCAGAGAGAAAACGTTTAATTAATGATCACAGTGATGGCTGTTTGTATTCAAAGAAATAACAAAGACACAATGAAGACATGAAAAAAAGAAAGAGTGGAAATCTAGAGAGGAGAGCTGAAGCTAAGTGGGGGTAAAGATCAACAAATACACCCTCCCCTCCTCTCTTCTCTCCTCTCCTCTCCTCTCTCTTTTTTCGCTCTCATGCACACACAGTTCCTCGGTTCGCGTGCCTCTGTTGCTCTTCTCGTTTCTCATCCAGACTGTCAACAGCAACATTTCTCTCTGGCTCTCAGAGATGCAACATGGATTTACAGATTAAGATTATTTGAACATCTCAGAGATAATCACAGAGCACAGGAAAAACAAGAGGCAGGTGAGTGGTAAGGTTTTTTACATGTTTTTCGAAAGTATTTTTCATATTTGTGAAAAATACTTTAAAGGTAAAATCATTCTACTTAAGGGTGAATTATGTTCATTTAAGAAAATCTGTTTTCTTCTATTTCTAAGCTGTGAAACTATGTTTATTTATCTTTTTATTTTGGTGGTTATCATCCACCAGGGATAAATGACTCAGAAAGGAGTATTGCTTTTAATTGATAGTTATGCAGGTTCATCAACAGACCTTTGTTTATTGTATTTTATTTGCATGTACCTCATGTAATTGAATAAAACATACATCACTGTAGATCTGTTACATGGAGGGGTATCTTCTGTTTGACACCTTTGCAGTAATAATCTTGACAAATCACTCAGCAATAGAAAAATGTATAAAATCCAAAGAAAAGTCAATTTTAGTAGGAGAACCCCGTCCAGCAGTGTCGTGAAGATGAACCTAAAATGTCCTTTTGACCTGCTTTAATTACGTCTGTTAACATCTATGAGAAATGATGTTTTTAAGGTAGAAACTTTTCCTTGGAAACAAACTGACACCAAACTTAGAGATGAGTTCGATTGATCAAAAGTTTGCTTTATTTTTCAGTTTGCATTCACTGCCGGCCTAATGAGGAGTAAGAGAAAACAGAGAGATAGTTACCAAACAGAACAGTTTGAGGCATGAACATGGGTTTTAACCTCAGCGCCATGAACTGGCCTTTTGTCTCTCACTCTATCCTGTTTTACATGATCCTGTTTCTCTTAAGCTCTGCTGTTATTTTTGTCAGCACATTAAGAGCGCACAAGGATTAAAACATCGAGGAAAAAATCCTGCAGAGATCAGGATTAAGTTTGTGCTGACTGACATTCACCTCCTTCTGCACAATGACAACACATTTTTCTTCATATCTGTGTTTTTTTTTTTTCTCTTCAGTGTGTCTCTGCAGCTCAAGGAGAGTCCTCTGCTCTCCTCCACTTTCCTCTCTTTGTGCTGCTGCGGATCGGTGCAGGCCCCATGGGAAAGAATCACTCTCAGGGGGCCTCCTGGTTTGACCCCTCGTCCACACACCCAATGTTCCTCTCCCAGCTATCTCCCTCTGCAGACCTGACCATCGCTGTATTCCTCACATTTACAGGTGAGTAAAAGGAGACTTTATGCATCTGGAGAAGTCGTGCTCTTATTTTGAAAGGTCACTGATTGCAAACTTAAGCCAAAGAGGCAGCGATTTGAAAAAAGTATATTTAAAGTGATGACAGTGTTGTGAGGACTAAAAGATTATGAGCACCATGTGACTGACATGTTTTTAGTCGTGGTGAGGATAGAGATTTGTTTCTTCCATTAGCTGTCAACATGAAACACTGCCTCAGTTAAAGCTGCCTGAAAAGCAGACACCTGCAGTGAGACAGTGAGACAGTGAGACAGCCTGACCCTGAAACATCTCTACTGTTTGATCTGCTCTCACAGTCAAATCTGTTCGTGTTTATTTGGCGTTTTTCTTCATTCATACGCCTCCTGTGGAGTAGCGTGAGTGTTGTGGAGCATTAACAGCAGCAGACCGGCATGTGATTAACAAGAAATAACGATGCTTTGATCCACGCTGAAGCACTCACTCTAACCCACTCCATCATAGACAAGAGGCACAATTAGATCACATGTGGAGCTACTTAGCTTAACATTGCTGTTTTCTTTTCTCTGTCAAAAACACTTTTTTTCCCCAGGTCTGACATCAGTGCTGGGGAACGGCATGGTGTTGTTGGTCTACTGCAGGAAAAGGAAGAAGCTCAGACCTTCAGAGCTCCTCACCGTCAACCTGGCTCTCTGCGATTTTGGCTTCAGCTTCTTCGGGGCGCCATTTTTCATAATTTCCAGGTGTGATGAGCAGCCAGGCATGAATTTCTTTACTCCATTATGTAGCAAATTTTACTTGACTTGAGTATTTTTCATTTTAGGCATAATCTTTTTATTTTCAACTTCTAACTTTTGCAGATATTTCATTTCACCTCAACATTTGTCAGACGGCTTAATTACTTTCCTGTTTCTTGCAACTTTCTCATAAGTTCCCATTTACTATTCATCTCATATCATTTGAGAAAAACACAAAAAAGAATTTACAGGTTGAATTAAACCCCAAAGCTCTAAAAACTATCCCAGTAATAGCAGCATTCAGTAAAAAAAAATGAATATAATCTTCAAAAATATGTTTAAATCTATGTAAAATTACATTTATATGATAATAATTTTGCTCGTGTTATCTTAAAATAAGCTTTATATACTGTATTTCTAGTGAATTCCATTTCCTGACAGCTGCCAGTTTTCTTAAGTTTCTGCTGTAATGGACAAACTGGTTACCTACACATTTTTGTATGTAGTGAGTGGCGCTGCAAAAAGCAGTTGGAGAAAAACAAGTAAAGGCAAAGAAAGAGATGAAAAAGAAGAAGAGTGTTTGCAAAATAATTTGTACTAATTTATGTTTTTGATGTTAGAAACTTGACAATGAAGGATCATTCTTATCATGTATCATAGGAGCTTTTTGTCTTTGTAGGCCACCATCACTTCACTGATGAAAGGGGTGAGCAAGGGAGCATTTCAATACAGAATCAGACCACTATATATTCCTAGATATCCCCATTTCTACACATTGTACCTTTAAACGGGGCACATTGGTTCTGGAGCTGTTTTTCTGACCTTATAAATTTAAGACATACAGTTGTCAAAGGACGGGCAACACAAACATGTGATGATCTGAGAGGACATAATGCAGATCCAACTGCCCAAAAGTGAACAAATTAATCAAAATAAGAGAAACTTTTAAACATATGAAGCACTAAATGAAATGTACACATGTACATATCAACCCCAAACCATCTCACATGATTATAAAACACAAACCAAACATTTGAGCTTCAGTAAGTGAGAGTCAGTAATTTGGGTATTTTTACAACCCTCAAACTTTAACCCGAAGCTCCTGTGAGAAACTCTCAATTGTGTCGATCCCTGTGGACAAAGAGGACAGAACATGTTTTTTTTTTTCATTTGTGAACTATTTTTAACTATGAAATGCATGTTGGTGTTCTAGTGGGGTTAAAAGAGGGACTGACCACCCAGAGCCTAGCAGAGGAAGGAGCCCTTAATTAGCCTTAAATTAAATGTACTTTTAGTTTGCGTATTTTTTTCTCTAAATAATAACCATCACATGTGAGGTAAACTGAGCTGATTAAATGAACGTAACTCGTCTCTCTCTTTTAGGCGTCTCTCACCCCTGCTAGGCAGACAATGGTTTAGTCCATCTGTAACAGGATTGATCAGATCACAGCCAAGTGACTGATGCTGCAGCGCCAGGTCTCTTCTGAGAAAAGACAATCATTGTTTTCTTTAAACTGTAACAGAGTTTCAATGTCTTCCCCACATTTTCAGATATTGTACTGACTGTAAACAGAACCACTTAGTTTACATGTCAAGAGTAACAATAGAGAGCTGTAGTAACCTTTATGAGTGAGTTAAGGGCAGGTTCAGCAAAAGTATAAAACAGTTTAGTGTAAATAAAATAGATTGTTACGTACATGTCAGGTGTACCTTTTTATCACAATGTTGTTTTGGTTACTTTTACTTCAGTGATTGACCTGAAAGTGAACTCCCACCTCATGCTGAGTGAAATGTTAAAAAAATGTAGAAAAGAGACAGAAGGAGCTGATCTGTTAAATACGTCAGAAGACTAACGCTGCTTTGTCCCTCTGTCAGCCTGTGCCATGCCTGGGTGTTTGGGGAGACAGGGTGCCTCTGGTATGGCATTCAGGGCTTTGTGTTTGGCATTGGCTCCCTGCTCACCACCTGTCTCATCTCTGTGGATCGCTGCCTGAAGATCTGCTGCTTAAGATACGGCAAGTCTCTCTTTAAACATGGACTAGAGTGTACATGGAAATGCTATTCATTTAAGACACACTGATTTAAAGCTCTTCTGTGATTGTTTAGGTGACATTTGAGGTGAATTAAACTTGACAATGTTTTGAAATGATACTCAAGGAAAATATCAAGAACTCCCTCAGGATTGAGATCATCTAATGCTAACAAAAGTAAAATGTTGATTCTTCTCACTTCTTTAGGTCAGTGGATTGAGAGGCGCCACATGTCTCTGTCGATAGCTCTGGTGTGGGTTTACACATTATTCTGGGCCTTGCTGCCGGCGTTTGGCTTTGGAAGTTACGGAGCAGAACCTTACGGGACCAGCTGCACCATCAACTGGTAATCCCTGATTTAACTTGCATTTGCTGCTTGATGCCCTGTTGTTTACACAAACACAAAAGGCCTCTGTGTTATCTATGTATCTGTAGGATTTGCATTCTTCATGCATTCACAAACAAACTGTGCATTTACCATTTTGCCCGTATCTCTAATTCGAGGTGGAGGATGAGGTCGTCTCTGGATGACAGAATCTATATTTTCCTCATCCTCACATGGTGCTTTGGGCTGCCAACACTCGCCATCGTCACTTCTTATTCGGCCATTCTGCTGACGGTAAGGACAACTGCTGCGTGACAAAACAAAGTAGAGCTTTTGAGAGCACTGTCTGTATCTGTGATTCATTTATTTTCATCTTTACTCACACATTTGAAGTCACAGTGTGAACAGTAACAGCTCCCCCTAGTGGAGCACTGGAAAGACAATGCACATAAGTCCCTCCTCAGGCACAAAACTGCTGAAGAGCAGAGAGCATGACCTTCAAGACAGATGTTTGGGCCAAAGCAGAGGAACATCAACTATGCATTATTCTTTGGACAGCAGGGAGTGACTCCAATAAATACAAAAGAGGTTCAACTTTACAGAAGTTTGCAAGGTAATCCTGCCTCCCTCAAGCGGCAGTTTTACCACCAAACTTGATGCTCCAAAGAGAAACTTCGTAAAAAAAATGGGTGACATTAACGTTAAGTCCACAAATTATATCCTTATTTGGACCATAAGAGCAGACAAAGTGAGAAAGTACTTTGCCTACATGCTTAAAAAAAGTTTTGCCACATTCAGCCATTCAAAATCGAGCAACAAGGTTTCTTTCTGAAAAATTTAAGGCCTCTGCCCCGGATATTAAACCAGCTATGAAACAAACTGAACTTAGCTAAAGTCCAAATGTGAGTGCCTTGAATTCACAGTACAGAGTTTTGTCCTATCAATAGATGAATGTGACAGACACAGAAGGCGGCTATGAATAGCAAAGCAAAGCGGTCACCGAGAATAACAGCTGACACATATAAGTTGTGTATTGGCGGCTAAATTTGGAGTCATGGATTGGTCAACATGACTAAGCACTCTCTTGAAAACAGATGAGCTGTACTGGAAACTTCATAAACCAAGAAAATATTAAAATCAGAGAAATTAAAGTTGTTGGGTTTTTTTTACTGGAAAATTTGTCACTTAGCTGTGTATATGCATGTGGCAAAGTTTTACAGATGTTGTTTTATTTTCAGGTGATCAGATCAAAGCGTACTCTTGCGTCCATGCCATCCTCCTCTGTCAGTCACACCAGCAAAGACGTGAGACTTGCAAAGGTAAACATTATCAGGATCAGTCTTTGATGCACATCCTACATGGAGGAAAACAAACTTTATGTATTTCAGATGGCTGCTGTGGTGTGCGGTACCTTCCTCCTGGCCTGGATGCCCTACGCTGCTGTGTCTCTGGTTTCTGCACTCCTTCCCAGAAGCTACCAAGAGGTAGAGGACACCTTACACACCACAGTGGTGGACGAGACAGCTGGTCAGAACGCTTCTAAGATCCTGGACGTCTCCTCGCTGCTCAACTGGACTGCTGCAGAATATTACAGAAACCACCATTACAATCCTGAGAGCAGGTGGAGTGTTTTTAACAACACAAGTTCAGCCTCGACCCCCAGTCTGAGTGATTTCAGATCCGCCGTAGTCAAAGAGGTGGAGACAATGACCAGGAGCCACCACCCCTATTCTTCTTTGCCACCTGTGGTCACCTTGATCCCCGCAATGTTTGCAAAGTCCCACTCTATGATCAACCCTCTGATCTACCAGATCATGAACAAAGAGTTCAGGGATGATGTCTGTGTGATGGTGTATGGTCGAGCAATGGCGGAGAACAGGCGAGTGCAGAGGAGGAATGGGAGCCGCTGTGAAAGTAAGGAGAGCATATTTATTGTCCTTTTTTCTGTGACTTGAAATTCGTTCTTGTGCAGTCAGCTAAAAGACAATCTCTTATTTTTCTTGTTTTCTTTTCAAGGGAGCCTCAGCATATCCTGTCACCAAAGCTGGAGGAGGAACAGGAGCATGTCCTTGTTTGTTGAAAGAAAAAACAAAAATGCAAAGAAAAGCAGGACAGAAAAGAGAAATGCAGGAAGATCACACTCCTTTGCCGCGAATATCTCAGTTAGAGATGGTGCTTTGGACTTTCCCTCACTGGACACTCAAGGAAATGTTGAGAGACACTTCACCAAAGGTGGACTGAGGACAGACACCACCATTACTGTCTAAAAGATTCTGTAAATAGATGGATCAATACGTCAATATATAGGCGAGATGTCACTGTGAAACCAAAGTAGTTGGGCCATTATGGAGTCTAAAGACAGAGCAGGTCAAGCATCCTGGGTTACAGTAAATACAATGTAAATATATTTTTAAAAAGTCATTTTTTTGTGAACACATTCTCCTTTTTATTGATGGTCTGATGTTTATGTTGTGTTTTTGTTATCCTACAATATGACCTCGTAGGCACCACAAACCCAATAATGGCTTTGTCTTACTCCAGACGACTTCCTGCCTTGGTTATTCTATTAAAAATAAAACTCTTATCTGTCAAAGCTATAAATGTAAAGTAAACAATTAAAGGGATGTCTTGGCATTTTGGCTTGTAAGTTAACTTTTTAAGAGTTGGAGGATGGTTGCTAGGTAACCAGTTGACACTTTGTTAATGTAGGTTGCTACTTGAACGGGTTTTTAAAAATCAATTTTATACTTAAAGGAATATTCCGGCGTAAAATTAAGTTAGGGTCAAACACACTGTACCACTGAGTTAGACACCCCCTCAAGAGATGAATGTTGCCGACCGCTTGCTTCTCTAGTTTTACTAACTTTAGTCACAACCGCAGGATAGCAAAACACAGCGGTCTTTACGCATTCCACCACTTGTGCAGTAGCATTGTACGCATTCGGCGGGAGAGCTGCCGAGAGTCGCTGTGATGACTCTCAGCTCAAGCAGCGTATCCCCCAGGTGAGCTACGAATCTTCGTACACCCATTGGTTGTATCAAGTGCCAATCACAGACAACATGAACCCCTAATAACTTTTAAAAACGGAGCTGCACAGAAAAAAGAGGACTTGAGCACAAACCAGTCTTACAATAATTACATGTCAACATCGCAAGCAGGGGGGAGAAAAATTTATATTCTGTGTAATTAATTTCTAAGGTTTGTCCACAGCTCCATAGGGATTGCTGGAAGGGGCGGGATTTATGACCTATACTGCAGCCTGTCAACAGAGGGTGCTGTTCTTAGAGAGGCTTCACCCAGAGAGGAGGCAGATGGCATCCATTCTATATACACTTGACGCTTTTTTAAAGTAGGTTATTACTTGAACAGGTTTTTAAAAATCATTTTTAAGCTTAATATCTCTGACACTGACATGGGATGTACTTCCAGGTGTTTTGTCTTCCTGCCTTGAGTTCAGGATCTTCACTTTATGCTTCATTTCTATAAATTGAACGTTAACATTCACAGTACGGTTATAAAATCTCTACTATTCTGAAATTAAATTGTGGGGTAAAAAAATAAAGCGGACAACAAGTTAAGTCGGTTTAATGGTGCAGACTAGTGCTGAAGGGCCTGTCTCCCGGTACACAAACAGTTAAATGCGCAGCGCCACTCTATTCGTGTATTTACGGTAACCCTGCTCCTCCAATCCCGCAGCACTTTCTCCGCCTGCGGTCACATCTTATCTCCAGAACTTCAGTGACGCTGTGACATTAGATTCCGACGTTTTCCATCCACTCTCTGCGCTTTGACTCGGTTTTATTGCATTTACTTTGCAAGGCATCTGAATAAGTAAAAAAAAAAAATCCCGGTGTTGCCGCATTTGCCTCATCGCTTGTTGTTTTGACTCGTCAGTGGATGTGTTTCAGTGGGGGGTTAGGGAAGCGCTGATCTATCATCCGACGCTAAGACCTCTGAGCCTGAAGGATAAGATTCTTATTTAGGAACGGTTACATAATCGGGTAAATACTGGCGTTTTGTGCGCACATCTCACCGGTACGTTTTGCACCTTTAATCTATCTTGTCATTATATTCAGTCGTAGAAGGATCATCACCGTCCGTGTTCATGCCCGATCTGCAGCGCTTTAGTTTTCCATACCATAGCATGAATCCTTTGTTGGGGGCAAATACGCATCTCCAACAGCATCCTCAGCAGAGCCTCACCTCCGGACACCCAGACTCCCCCTCAGGCCTCCTTCCCGACGCCGTCTTCGGTGGATCCGACCCGGCATCCTTCGGCATCTTACTCGGTGAGCAACCCAGCCCAGGGCCTGATCATCCCGGGCCTGACTTCACCGCACCCTCCCAGGCTTCTTCTCCTTTCCTCCACCACTACCAGCACCGCACTGTGCCCAATCCCCCCGCAGCCATGGCTCTTAGAAACGACTTGGGATCCAACATCAGCGTCCTCAAAACTCTCAATCTGAGGTTCAGATGCTTTTTGGCTAAAGTGCATGAATTAGAGCGCAGAAATAAGATTTTGGAGAAACAGCTGCAACAGGCACTGGATGCAAATAAAGGCTGTCAAGGTGGATGCTGCGATGGTGGGGCGCATACTCAGGAGGCAAGTGTGCAGACTGGATTTGTTGGAACCATACCCCTCAGGCCTGGATCCCTCCCTTTCCATAACACCAACAACTCAGCCAGGAGGCCTACAACGCTGTTTCCACCATCATTCGCCACCACCCTGCCACCTACAGCCACAGAGAGCTCCAATTCAACCCAAACTAACCCGGCTATCACCATCAGCCAGGCTTCCCCCTGTGTGGACTCTCCTGGTTCTGGTTCAAGAAGTGTCACCAACACCAACACAGGCCAGGAAAGATCTACCAACCCTCCTCCAAGGTTCCTCCCTGGAACCATTTGGTCCTATAATCACACCCGCAAGTTGGGGCCCAGTACAGAGCGAGTAACCAGCCCAGGAGTGTCCTGGGTGCACCCTGATGGAGTTGGGGTCCAGATTGACACCATCACCCCTGAGATAAGAGCCCTGTATAACGTCCTGGCCAAAGTGAAAAGAGAGCGGGATGAGTATAAACGCAGGTAAACTTTTTCCATTACACCTTTAATAACACACATTCATGCTGAGTGTGTCGTGTTTTTATGAGTGTATTTTACTGTATGGAGGAGGCAGAGCTGTAAAGCAGCTGTAGACCAGCTGTCTCCAACACAGGCAGCGTCAGCACATTTCCCCACCATCCATCACCTTCTGTCTGACCATGCATCCAATCCATGTCCAAGCACAGAGGCAGGTGCTGCAGTCAGGAATACGCCCAAATGATTAACACATCACAGGCTAAATATAAAGAGGGATCAAGGTCAAAACTAAGTTGAGACAAGTAAAGAACAAAAGCTCACCCATGGATACCTTTATCTACAGGTACATCTGAGAAAACACACCGTAATTAGGAGCCTTTGTTGTCCAGGGAATGTTTACTAACTAAACTAATGAAAATAAAAGAGGCTAGTTGGGTGTAGAGTGAAGAAAAAAAGCATCATATTACTGTAAAAGCATCTGAAGTCATGCAATTTACTGGGAACTATTGACATTTAAATTAGATTAAAATTTTAAAGAATATGTCTTCCTCTGCATATTTAATTTTTTGACTATTAATCATTACATTTTAGGGTCCAAAGACATCACCAGTCTTAAAACTTCTTTCTGCACTTTATAGACGAAATAATTGATTAATCAAAAATCAACAGAGGCAGACAACAGAAAGCTTTCTTTCAGGGCACATTTCCCTTTACACTCTTGTTTTGATAAATATCCCACATCTTGTGAACTCTGCCTTGAACGTGGAGGTCTACATGACAGCTCCTGATTGATTATTATCTGTCTGAGGTGAACTAAAGTAGTTCTCATCATTCATCATTGTATTCCCCCCGTGTATTATATCCAAATGAGCAGCCATGCATTCTCCACAGAGGAGAAGACCCTGAGCACAGGATAGAGGCTTCTTTGTGAATGAGGGGACCAGGACAGCCCAAACGGCCCTATCGCTGTGTGAAACATCAGACACGTGATTTGATTGAGTAGGGACTCCTGAGGAAGTGATTTGCTGACCTCGGTATAGAAAGTTAACGTCTTTGTTTTCTGTTAACTGTGGATCATGGTGTGTGGTCACATCTGAGTCTGTTTATTATGAATCAGATATTCACTGAATGATAAAAGGAAACAGTATTTTTGAAAGTCATTCTGTTACCTCTGTGATTTTTTAACATTTTTCTGTTTTTCTAAACTCGGCTATGAGTCATTTTATCTGTTAGCTTTGTTGCATATTTCCTCTTTTTCAAAGTTTTAATCCTCCTCTAGCTTTCTGTTCATGTCACGTGTTTCTCTTATCCAAGGGCAGCATATTTTTCATATATTCTTCTTATGTATTTTTATTTCATTCTTCACCCCTTTCCCACTTTTCCCACCACACTCCTCATGTAAACCCCAGCCATTAAACACTTCCTCTCACTCTCTCATGCACTCCCCCTTGCCTCTCTTCCTCGCTGTGCATCCCCCCTCTCCACTTTCCACACTTTATCTGCAATGCAGCATGCACTGCAAGCTGTAACTGCTGGATGAGGGTTTGGCATCTCTGCCTCCTGCAGGCTCTCACCTTACTGATCAGACAAGCATCCTCTACGACAACAACGACTCCTCTTTCATGACTCAGTTTCTCTCCGATTAAGTATTCCCAAAAGGTGGAGACGTGCCGCAGCATTTTGCATTTCTAACAGGATTTATATAAGGGGCAACAGACTCTGCAGTAAATGGATTTCCCCTGGGCACATGTGTAGTGTGGAGTCATCTGAGACCTACAAATGCAGGATTTCTGCTTGGGCCTTTAGATATCTTGAAGTTAAGGTGTGCGGGACAGTCGTTCAACAATGATTGAGGGAATAAGCAAATCAGTCACACAGACTTTGACTTTGCTTCTATTACAGCTGTATGTGGGAGTTAAAGATGCTTTTTTTTGTCTTGTAAACAACAAAAGTTATTTCTAAAGTTGTGATGTGTAGTAATTGATGGTATTTAGCGGAACAGATTTAGGAGGGTGAAGAAAATATCACAAGTATATTTGAAATAGTGTATAATCACTGTTTTTACATTGAAATATTATACAGACTGTACCTTTAAATCCACAAAACAGCTCTTTAGTGCCAACAATTATCAAAACTCCAGCAGAACCCCTGTAAGTGAGCTCATTTCCAGATTATGCTGTATGTTTTAGGACAATCTGGTCTCATGAATCCTGCTGTATTGATTTAGTGCTGATATACTGGAGTAGAGGTCAGAAATAGCTCATACTGCAGCAATACCAAAGTGGATTTAAAATCGTTAAAAAACAGTGTTATCATTGTTAATTCAGTTCTCTTAAGCATGTATCCAAAGAAGTTTCATAGGCTCTAAATTAAGCATAGTTATACACTCCACCTAACGCTGATTTAACAAGTCCAGTGTTTTTGTTCGAGTTAGATTACAGTGGTAACTTTTCTTTTCTGAATCTGACGTTATGTGTCTAATGGAACTTGATTATTATTGAGGGAAGGCATGGTGAGACAGATGCACTGAAGTGGTTGAGTCATGGGTCAGTTTATAGCCTGCATGCCTTTCCAAGCGGGTCCAGGAGAGGCATGAGCAGCTGAATAAAGAGAATATCTACATCAGCCAAGTATGCAACACAAGAGTGCTCTCTGTTTACCTTGATGGATGAATAATTTCCTCCTGTTTCTGTGCTTTTTAGATGGGAAGAGGAATACACAATGAGGATGGATCTGCAACAGAAAATTGCAGACCTGCAAGAGGTAACAATATGTAGGCATTGCTGTGTCTGTATATGTATGTGTAGGTTATCAGATATGTGAGGCCAGAAATGCAGTCCTCCTTAAAAGACACCGTTTGGACTCTTTACACCACGCATGTCTAAACTATTCGACAAAGGGCCAGTGTGGCTGCAGGTTTTTTTTTCCAACCAAGCAGCAGCACACCAGACATGATTCATTTCATCAGCTGATCTCAGTCTTCAGACAGCTGATTGGTCAGACTGCGTGCTCTTGATTGGTTGGAAGAAAAACCTGTAGCCACACCGGCCCTCTGTGGAATAGTTTGGACATGCCTGCTTTACACCTTTTTACAGCAACATCCGCCCAAATCATTAAAATGACAAAAATAAAACTGAACAGATGAAAGTATGGGCATCATTAAACTTGCAACATCAGGAGGGATGAAAGTACAGCAGCACTGAGTGCTCACTTTACTGGCATTGATAACTTACTTTGTGTATTACTTTGCTTTTGCACATTTGTTCAATCAGATTCAAGTTACACAACAGATCTATTTGTCTGCCTCACTCACCTGCTCTCAGGTCGACAACCATATTTGTGCTTCCTGCAGCTGTGGCTTTGTAAACCCGTGGTTTGTAGGTTTCCTGAGTGAGTCTGTGTCGGGGGGTTGTTTAAATAGGTGAGAGCGTGCACATCCTTTCACATACAGTACCTGCTGTGCTGGAAAGCCCGTGAACTATTGCCAGGAATTTGTGCTGCATTTAGCCGGCAGAACCACAATGGCATGACACCACAAGCAGCCAAACACTGCAGCTTTGAAATGCCAGACCAGTATTGTAAAACACATAAATAAGTCAACATGGGGAGAAGGGAATTTACGAAGACATCAGACACAGTTAGAGCTCCCATGAGATTACTCTCCTGGGATTAATAATGTTTGAGCTTTTTCTCGATACAAGCTTGTATTTTGTTAATAACCTCTGCATGTTGTAACTTCCCACGAGAACAAATCTTTGATGTTTACAATCTATCTCTGTGGGTGTGCTTCAACGTGATGAGCCCTGCATGTCTTTTTTTCACGTGTGCAGGACCTGCAGGAGAGTGAAGGCTGTCAGGATGAGCTGGCCCTCAGAGTTCAGCAGCTTAAGGCTGAGCTGGTTCTCTTTAAAGGCCTTATGAGCAATGTAAGTGCAAACGCTCAAACACTAGTTTTACATTGCACTTAATCAGAGATGTGCACATATAAAGCAATCTTACATCTCTCTGACTATGCCCTTCAATTCTTAAAACAATCTCGTGATAAAACTACTGCATAGTTATTTTTTATACTCATGAAGAAGCTTGTACTAAATATCTAGAAGTCATGATAAGAGCTGAAGGTTTCAGTATTTTCCGTTAAGTTTACGCTCCCTCTGCCTTGCCTGACTCTACAGAACTTGTCAGAGTTGGACAGTAAGATCCAGGAGAAGGCCATGAAGGTAGACATGGACATCTGCCGCAGGATCGATATAACCGCCCGGCTCTGTGACGTAGCTCAGCAGAGGAACTGTGAGGATGTGATCCAGATGTATCAGGTACCGGGAAAACAACTTTCTGTTTTATATTTCCATGATTTTGTTTTATTGGAATACACTGAGCCACTTCTGGTCTTCTTTATTGATAGTGATGGTTTAATTCCCAATCTGATCTCTGCAGGTTCCTAATAACCAAACTTCTCTAAACTGCCGCCGAAAACAAACCCCTCTGTCCTTCAATGGGAGCGAGTGTGATGAACCTGTCAGCACCTCTGAGAGCGACGGGGGCGTGGTCAAAGAGGAGGAGCACTGTGGCCAATCATCAGCCAATCAGATAAACGAGGAGATGCAGAGGATGCTTAACCAACTGTGAGTGCTCTGACTTTTAAAGCTGATGAGTTTAATATCAGTTCCCCGCCCTCTTTCATGTGCTTCTCCTTTTTTTAATTTTGAAGTCGAGAATGTGAGTTTGAGGACGACTGCGACAGTCTGGCCTGGGAGGAGACCGAAGAGACGCTGCTTCTCTGGGAGGACTTTCCAGGATGTGCTTTGCCCCCTGATCCGACCCACCCACCTGGAGAGGTAGGATTTGATCACATGACCTACTTCAGTAACGACTTCTGAACCTTAACGATCAATGTGTCAAAAAGAGAAGTAGAGATGTGTATAGTTTAATTTTATCACAGCTGTTTCTGATAATGTTCAAACCAAGAGAAAATTCAGATTTTTCATGATACAAGGAAACAAAATGTCTATACACTCACGTACATCGGGGTCTTTACCCGAATCTATATTGTACATTTTTCTATATAAACACTTTTAATGGCGGCGCACTTCATAAAATAACTTTAAGGAAGATTTCGACATCAGGAGAGAAATTTAAGCTGCCTGATATGATGGTCGGTACAAATTTGTCTCAAGGGATTATTCAGCCAGATCACCAAGTGACCTTCACTGCTCTTCAAGGCTGTTTCAGGACAAAGCACTGCAAGCACACACACACACACACACACACACACACACTCACACACACTCACACACACACAGGACCGTTGCGGTGTCTGGCCTCTGCTGGTATAGAGTGTGTTTGTTTCCAAGAAATCCATGTAGGTATTTGTTTTCAATCAGCCTGCTGTCCTTCTGGGGGAGTGGTTGCATGAGTCAGTGAAATTTGAGCTGAATGGAGCATAAAACCAGCTGTGTTTTTTCACCGTCACGTGAATTCACCTAGTATCTGACTGTTGTTGATCAGCAGAATGTTTCTGTATGTGTTTCCGTTGACTCTTTCCCTCTTCTCTCGTCCCCCTACAGGAGGACTGTCTAGAAAAAGTGATTAGTGATACAGAATGCCTGTTCAAGTCCAGAGAGAAGGAGTACCAAGAGACGATTGACCAGATTGAGGTCAGACACGTCTTCTGTACTTTTGGATCATGAATGTGTTAAATCACACCTGTCTGTTGAACACAGATTTTCTTTGAACAGTACTTAGTTTCCCACAAATTCACTAAAGGTGATTTACGTGATGACTCAGCAATAAGTTGCTGAGTTGATGACTCAGTTTTTCTGTTTTTGAGGCGTCTTCTCACGGTGTATCATCATGCTGACTAAGTTGAATATTGACGACATCACAAAGCATTTGTGGCTTCAGCTTCTGTAGTTCATTTATGTTGAATTCCACACACATTTTTAATTACTCAAAATTTCCCACTGAGCAATAGACGGCTATTAGACATCACGTTTTTTTTAGACCTGATCTAGATTCTATGTATTTTTGGACAGAATTTAGACGTTGCACTTTAAGCCATTATTCAATAACTTTTTATTTCAAAAAGCAACTGTGAGTTGTATAACTGATCACCAAGTACTTCACCAAAACAATTATGATAGCCGTTGAGTTATATACAGTGTAGTATAGATAAAGCCCAGATTTAGGCTTGGTCTAAACTTAGTCTAGATTTAGACGTCTAAAAAAACTTTCATTTTTAGACCTGTGGTAGCCTGATTTTAGACCAGTCGTCTAAGACCAAAAAATGCTCAGTGGGTTGTTATTTACTCTGCACACCTCCATAGATGTGTTTTCTTTATGGTGAACACGCAATTAAAGTTTGTAATTTAGTTTAAAGGATAGTGATGACGGTCGTGTTTTTTTTTCTAAATCCAGCTGGAGCTTGCAACAGCAAAAAGCGACATGAACAGACATCTGCACGAGTACATGGAGATGTGTTCGATGAAAAGAGGACTGGATGTTCAGATGGAGACCTGCAGGAGACTCATTACACAGAGTGGAGACAGGTACACACATTCACAATCACTCCTGTCTGTTCATACCCAGACCTTCTATTGTCAGGCTTTACTGTACGGGCTTTCAAGTTTTCTATCCCTGTCAGTATTATTTAAATGTTGAATGATATTGGGTCTACAACACAGTATGATATAAATACAGATTCATATGAGCACATTTCAAGTTGTTTTTTAATGTGTTTATCTATCGTATGCCAAAAATATAAAAATCTACCAACAATGACACCTACTACCTATATGACCTTTGCAGTTGCCATATTACAAAATAAAAAGAGTAGCATGTAAGAGTCGTACTGTATTTTGAAAGTCATTGTTTTGTCCTCTCACAGTAACTCTGCAGCGCCTGCATCTTCTGACGACAGCGGTCAGAGAGACAATGACAGCTCGTCAGCCTCACCGCCGAGCATCGGGAGATCTTGACACTTCCTCTCTCCTGCGTCAAGAGCTGCGGTCATGTGATCCCCACTACATCCAGCTAAAGTACCACAAAATGCAATACTCACCTGTAACTATGGCAACACCATGTTTACATCTATTCCTTCTGATTTACTGTGTCTCAGTGTTTATTTTTCTTGCCGTCCTTGCAAATCAGCTTTGGTCCGAAGAGACTTTGAGCTCTGAAACTGTGACTGAATCAGTGCTGGATTTTCTTTTTTTCTCTACTGCTGCGTACTGATGTCACTGCCCTGCAGAGAGAGGAGGTCCTCTTGGACTAGGACCTTGTGATCTTGTGTTTGACAGGGATGGTTTGGATGTCCGGTCTCTTGAAGGATTGTCTCGTGAAGACTCAGAAGGTTCCAGATGATGTCTTGTAGTGAGGTAGTGCAGTGATGAAGGCTAAAACAGGATTCTGCCTGAATTCCTGTGCAAGCGATGCTCATCAAGCAAATATCAGAAACTCATTCAATTCATGCCAAACAAAGTTAAAGGCCTATAATGACCTTTTCTCAGTGAAAGATGAGAAAACAACAAAAAAGAGCGTTAATTCCCATTGAAGCAAACAGCACTGTATCAAAGGATGTCCTGGTATCAGATTAAGTGTAGTCATCGGTTTTACTGGTAATCTTTGAGGTGATAATGATGAGCTTGTGTCTTTAAAGTCTAATGAGATGTCATGATTTAACACTACTGCTGCAGATTTAGAGTTTGCTTTGTAAAGTAGCAGATTAAGCTGCTTGCACAGCAAACCCTCAGCCATAGATGAGTCAGAATTTTATTACTTATAAAAACAAAGTGAAAAAAATCTACATTTTCTGCTGATGTAATAATGAAACATTCATCTCTGAATTTTTTTTTTTGGTAAGCATAACCTAATCATACTTGAATTTAATACCACACTATAAACTGTGTCGTATTAAAGCTACAGTCGTCCATGTTGCCACAATATAATCACTGCAGTTACAGTGATTCCTGACTGAACTGAGAAAATTTGCAAGGACAGAATTTACTGCAAAAACTTTTAAAACTTTTCCCAAAATACCAAGCGGATGCAAAATAAAGCAGAAAATGATGCAGGCAGGTTATACAATTTAACCGTAAAACTGATCTGTATTGAACATGGCAGATGAAATAGCTGAGTGGGGAGTTATTTTGAAACTGTGCTCTAAAATCAGAAAAAAGGGAACCGGGATCACAATGAAAAAGAGGAGATTTTAGTTCAATAGAGCAGGTTTGTTCTTGATTTTAAATGTAGACAAAGTCTTCCTGTTATGCTGTCAAAATTCAGTCTGCACCCTCTCACAGCTGATCCAGGGTCAGTGCTGTTTCATTATTTTGCTCCCCATGTTTCTGACACTTAAAAGTACAGCACAACAGTGTGCACTCATGCCCAAGTGTCATGAAGCAGTTTATTGAACTTTCATTTTTAGCGGGTATGCTTAGCTGCATGGCTGAGCAGATTTTCTTCAAGGATAGTGAAGAACCAAGAAAAAAGATGGCCATAATCAAATGTAAGGTAGCCCTTGAGTGCCAAAACAAAATGGTGTGATTGTAAAAACCAACAGGAAATTGCTGCGTGAAAAAAAGACCTAAAATAGCTGTTGAAGCAGCTTTTAACAAAGGTGCTTGATGTATATAAGTAAAAATACTTTTGAGCCTGTAAGAGTTTGCACATAGTAAAGGAAGAGCTAAGCAAAAATTTAAGTGAAACAAATTAGCACTATTAGTTATAAAACATGTAAAAAAAAATGGACTTGCTGGAAATAGAAGATTATATTTCTTCATCTTTTACATGCTGAGGGTGGGGTACTAGAATAATAAATTTACACCAACACATACCTCATTTTTACCTTATTTATGCTTTCTGCAGCACAGTTAACCATGAACCTAGCCTCTGATACACTGTAGTGAAAACATTAGCATACCGTTGGAAATCATCACTTTCAGGGAAAGAACCCTTACTCTCAATACTCATGTATCCGACACTGATGTCTAAATATAGCACTAACAACAGTTTCTCCAATATGGGTGAAGCAGTTGAAATATATTTCTTCTGCTGCGAATGCAATCCACTTCTCCACATCTCAACAGTACTGCGCAGGTTTGAAGCTTCTACTCACACACGCATGTGTCGGGATTAGCTGAATGCTAATTGCTTCTGTTTGATAGAGAAGGAGGATGTCAGATATGAACCGTGTGAGGCGTAAAACACAACATTTCCCTTTGTGTAGGTTTACTTTCACACACTAAGTGAGTCTCTATGTATGCATGTGCCAGTGTGTATGTTTTTGAGTGTTTTGTCTGTACAGTGAGTATTTTAAAGAGACTTTTACTTTGGCAAATACACATCATAAAGAGAAAAATAAAAGCAATTTGTTACGATTAGAAAAACAAGGAATCCAGATGGAGCCGTCTTTGGACAAAATCCTTCAAAAAATGTAAATATGTGAGCCAACCCAATGACATTTCAATTCTTTTCCATCAGTACTTTCCCTTTATGAGTGTATGTAGATGCCAAATAAGGTCAATTTAAAAATGACTCAAGTTTAAAATAAAAACTACTGAAATGCAAATGCTTTAGCAAAATGACTGTACGATGGCTTTGATAATATGTGTAAAGTAGAGGAATTAAAGCTTTGAGTATACACTTGTGTTTAAAGACTGCCAAAATAAGTCACACTAAAAATATACTGGCAAAAGAGTAATCACGATTTTAATGTCAAACGTCAGTGAAAGTTATGGAAGTTAAACAAAGTATGAACTTGACTCTATTATATGTTGTTTTTTGCAGAGAACAGCATCTTTCCGATATTAAAATATCCTAAAATTGGATGATAATCCTGAATATTGACTGAGTACAACAGACATGTGACTAAGCAGCTTTAAACACAAAGACAGTAATAAGGCTTACTGAGCTTCACTGCAGAGCTGCAGTGTGTCATGTGTAAAGAGAGACTGAAAGAATAAAAGATTCAAAAAGATTTCATGTCATCATTTTCAATTCAGCCCTTTGGTTCAACTCTAAATTTAGCCATCATTCAGCACAAAGAATTACAAGACTGTGTCAAAATGGCTTAAAGGAAGACAAACATACATTTTAAATCTGCTGTGCAAACATCTCTCCTTAAGTGGAATATAATTTCTCATACTTATGTACATATAATCTCAAAATAATGCATTGCAATAGCGTGATGTATCTTGATGATTTGTAGCATCAGGTGACAGTCTTATAATGGCCAGCTCACACTAACTGCACAAATGCACGTAGAAGGAAACTCTGAAATGACGCAAATTCTAAACCACCAAACCACTAAAGATTTAAAGCAAAAAAATGGAAATATTTATGATGAAAGCGGAAGGAGAAGAACAAAAAAACGACTGTGCTTCAAGTACTGAAACAAAGCAAAGTCAAAAACCTACGCACCCACTAAAACAGCTGTCCTAAAAAAAAGCAGAAAACCTGCTTATGGAAGAAGTGCTCTGTAGCTGTAGTGATGCTCTGAGGAACAACTTTAATGAGGGAAAGACGAGTGTAGCTGTGTCTGAGCGTCTGTTAGCGATGGATTTGAACCAGCTGTCTAAGTACTGGTACCATCAGGCTCTGAATACAGGATATTACTGTGTTTTCATCTCATACAAGCTGGAGCTTTGGACCTGTGTGTGTTCAGTGTCGTTTCAGATGATTGCAGCCTGCCTTTTTTCTTCTCTTATTTATTTTGGAGCTTTTTCCCACTGTTATTTATCTCTTACTGAATTTGCTTTTGGGTATCAATAAAGTTCTTCTTATCTTATCTTACAGCCTGTATATTACAGCAGTAGGCCATTGTAGTATTATTCACCTGTCAGTCACAGTACTTTCCCATGCTGCATTTGCCAAAACAGATAAACTAATGAAGGATAGTAAAAAAATTCAAGTGTGAGCTTTTCAGTTCTCTGCTTGTTGGCCAACAACTGAGATATTTCTTCAAACCCAAGATGCACAGCTGGGTAAGTGTTTGGGTGTTGTGTATGCATAATGCCTGGGCAGGTCTGTCATCTTGACAACTCGACTCTTCAAAGTTAGACTGCAGCTCCAGACCTTTAGCTCGTGATTGACTTTCCCCTGTGCTTCTAGAGTTCACATAGTTAGCTAGTGCCTGGAAGAACAAGTTCTTTGGCACCGCGTACGTAAAATGCTAGAGGCAGGGTAAATAGGCCAAAATAGTCTTATACCATCTGTTCAAACCACCTCAAACTGCAGTGAAATCATATTGTTACAAAATAGTCTCGTCATAATATTACAAACTTTAAGTCTTTGTGTCATGAGAATAATGAAAATCAGAAAAAACAGGACTATTTCTTTAGCTGCAGGGCTTGGACCTCCCCTCTCGCACTGATATCAGACAATAAAAGTAAGGATATAGGAATCTCAAGTCTTGTCACCGATGGTCTTGTTTAATTTTGAATATAATTAAGAAGCATCAAAGATAAATTTCAGTCTATTTCATAAATGCTTCTCATAGGAGCTTTAATGAAGATTTATTAAAAACCACGTGACTTTGGCTTTGAGAGAAAAGATGAAGCCGGACCCGTTTTTATTTTATTTTATTTTTTTCTGATTTTAAATTTAAATTGTTAAATTTTATTAAATTTTTTTAATTTTTTTAATTTTTTTAAACTGTTTTTTTTTTCTTTTCTTTTCTGTTGGGCATTCAAGCATACACAATAATTTTCTGTTATTTTAATTCTTTTAAACTTCAGTTTGAAAAGATATCATTTTGTTTTACTGTCATTCCTTTAATTAAGAAGTTTATATTGCCTTGTGTCATTGTGGTCCTCAGGCTGTACCAAGTGTTTGTGGACATCAGCACCACATTGTTAAAAGTATCAGGACTCTAAAAGCAGAATATTGCCGTGAGAAAAATGATGTTTCATAATGTTTGCACGAGTTAAGTGTACCAGCAGATCTGTGATTGGTTCTTGTTCAGGTCGTACAGCTTGCTCGGAAAGTGACGTGGCTTTGAGATAGAAACGGAGGAATGCGGATGAGCCGAACATGTAAACATAACATACTGGTAGAGGTCTGTGGGCGGAGGGGACAGGAAGAAAGGAAGATGTAAGCAGGTAAGGAAACGATGACACAGATGACGGGTAGGGTGAGAGAGAGCACAGGGAGACAGAGAGAGAAACACACCTTGAGGAAGTTGGTAAAACAACTGAAAACACATCAGGAGACACATCACTTTAAAGGTAAGACTTTGATTGAATTTTTGATACCCAACCAGAGATAGTTGAAAACATTACTGCTTCTATGGTGTGATAAACATGAGCTCCAAAGCTGTGTTTCAAGTGTTAGCTCAACAACTCTTACTTTCTTTTGTTTCAAGTTAGTTTAGTCTGTTCTTATTGTGTCATCTTCACAGGATGCAATGTTTTCTGATTTTCTTGATGCTCTCTGCGCTGCTGGTGTCCATTTCCCTGCAGGTAAAACTGCCGACTCTCTTCGCTTTATTTGCCAAAACAAGGAACCAGAAATAGGTCACAAATAAACCAATGTCTGCTCACTTCTAGACAAGTTATTCAGGACTCACTGAAGTTAGTATCGCTCCCCTCTGATTGTATTATATGTTTTAACAGGCAGAGCTGCCCAGGTATTATGAGATTGGTGGGAGAAAGTGTCAACTCTGCCCTGCGGGTAAGACAAATAACACTCAGCATGATTTCCTTCTGTTTATTCTTCATTAAGCTGTGACTCACAATTATATCAATGAATTGACAGTTTTTGATAATTAATAGATATTGCTTTGGATTGCTGATGTTTTCAGTGCGTTTCTGTCTGTTGTGTTTTTTCTGCATGTATGCATTGTCTCTCTGGATGAAATATGTCACACCCGTTTGCACTGACTTTGTGCAGTGTGACCACATCCTTCATTAACATGTCCTCAGGCTGCTCTGCCTGTCATCTAGCTGTGCTCATTTCTGTCGCTCTGTTCTTTCAGGTGAGTTTCAGAAGTCTTGTAAAGAGTGTGCACCATGTCCTGCAGGAAGTTACACGGCTGAGTGGAACCGAGAAGATAGGTGCCACCGCTGCTATGGAGACTGCCGACCAGGTAGGAAACTATGAATCATTTTTGCCTGCCAAGCAGTTTCATCGCTGCCAGGACTCAATGAAAACACTGAGCTATTGGCTGTGATAAATTACAATCTGCTCTTTTTCTTTGTGAATTAAAACTCCTAAAATCAAAACTTCCACTTTCTACTGTTACAGATTATAATCTGAAGGTGGTCCAGAACTGCACCAGCACTTCAGACCTGAAGTGTATCTGTGAGGCCGGTTACACATGCAATGAAAAGGTCTCGTACTCAACAAACTGCAAATACTGTGTCAAGATCAAGGAAACAACCTGGACGGGTAAATATTGAGCTGTGCAGTGTTGCCTTCTTGTCATATTAGACAGACTTCAACCAGCAGGGGGCGTCATTACAAACCAAATTTACCACAGAGGTTCTCACTGGTTGTATCAGAATGACTTCACTGGTTATTTTTACAGGGTATTAGTTGTTTACACATATGTCACTGTAGTTAAATGTAGATGGGCTTTGATCTGAGGTGTGGGACCTCCCCTCTTTGTTAACTGTGCTGTGAAAATACTCAGATACTTTATATAGTAAGAATACCATAGACATGCTGTGAAAACTCACATTTTAGCAACTTTATTTGTCTTATTTTTTGATGAAACTTCTCATCAGACTTAAGCCACATTCAGCGGCTCAGATAAAAATCTTATTGAAAGGCCAGAGTTGCTTGTAATGGGTAAACGTACCTGTTAATGCAGTGAGGAAAGTTATTTGTCACCATTAGAATAATGTGTTACAGTTAACTGTTTAACTAAACTGTATCTGGGAGATGCCTTATATTTTACCAGAGAGATGCTCCTGTTTTTATATGCCTTTGCGGGACTGTCATGCAAATATGGCTTAAATTAAGTCTAATTAAATATTTTTGACCAAAAACAGGATAAATATACACACTCAGATTTGACTATCTGCAGTCAGTTACCATCAACAGCCCAGCTTTATAGTCTGCACAAAGTATTAGAGGGGAAACACACTCACATATTAAAAGTAAAACTCTCTAGAAGAGAAACAGAGAAATGGGAGACAGGAGGTTGAATTATACCCCTTCATAAACTGTGAAACATGTACAGCCAGTATTAAGATGGTGCTAAAGATATTTGTGTTTGCTCTGCAGGACATTGTGTGCCTTTTCTTAGTAGTTGACAGTAAAGAGAGGACAGGAAATGAGGGGAGAGAGTTGTGAGATGGAGCAAAGGTCTTTGAACGGATGTATACTAGCCTAAGTCGGCGCCTTCACCCCTGGACTGTTGACAGATTTGTTTAGTAACTACTACATATGTCAGCTACATCTCTTCATCTGATGAGAAAATAAATCCTTACCATTGAATAAAATAAAGTAGAAGAGCAAGTACAAAGTCCCAAAGCCTAAAAGCAGAACAAAAACAATCTAAACAGTCAGTCAATGTTGTCTTAAAGTGAGACGTGGTTAGAGATTACCTGCCAGCAGGAAAAAACAAACATGAAAAGTGTCTCCTCTTCAGGTTCCTGTTTCTCTTTTCCTCGTAGGTACTTTCACTTACTTTGCTTTGAATTTGTCCTTGCTCCTCAGAGGCAGCAGCAATCATTTCAACCAGAGATAAACACACGCCTTCCCCAGCTTCCTCAGGACATAGCAGCACTCCTGCCAAATCCTGCAGATTTCCCAAGTGAGTCACGGATAACAGTAGATGCAGTTCACACAGTGAGGTTTTATATCAATAGGCTGACTCAATTTCAAAGAGCTTGACTTTAAATATGATCAGATACATAAGAGATCATTTTAGCATTTGGTAAATGTGATACATGCATTGCAGATTGATCTTGTTTAATGAGAAGAACAGTTGAGATGCTGGAGATATAACACCCCTTTTTTTTTTGTTGTTACTCAGCTGTGGCTCTCCAGCAGTCACACATCAAGGCAATGGCACACGTCTCCAAACAGGTGAGTGTGTATGAAAAAGAGGAGTATGTGAGGGGTGAGCAATACTCATTTGATTATCATAAAGGGGAGGCAATGATTCACTGAAAGTCTCAAAACTACTTTAGATTTAGAAATGTCAATGTCAGACTGAAATGTCTCAACAAGCTCTGTACAGGTGGCCATGAAATGTGATTAAACCTCATAGTTATTACCTACTTCACTCAAGCATGCTAGAATTTGTGTCTTTTGCAATGTTAGCATTTAGTTAAGACGCTGCCTCAGAGCTGCTGCTATTGACTGATTTTCTTGTTTTCTTCTTAGACAAGACAAACAGCCACCTGGCCGCCATCTTGTGTCCAGTTGTCATCATGGGATTCGTGATCTTTGTGATCTTGCTCTTTGATTGTCGTCATAGAGATGAATCTTGTTTCAAGAAAGGTGAGGTTGAATTTATTAGACATGGTCAGTTTTCACCATAGACTGTATGTAGAATGGATAGAGTCTGCCTCCTCGCTGGGTGAAGCCACTCCGAGAACAGCACCCTCTGTTGACAGGCTGCAGCATAGGTCCTAAATCCCGCCTCCACCAGCAAAGCTTATGGAGCTGTGGACAAACTTTAGAAATTTATTACACAGAACATAATTTTTTCTCCCCCCTGCTTGTGATGTTGACATGTAGTTACTGTATGACTGGTTTGTGCTCAAGTCCTCTTTTTTCTGTGAAGCTCAGTTTTTAAAAGTTATTAGGGGGTTCATGTTGGCTATGATTGACACTTGATACAGCCTATGTAGGGATTGCGTAGCTCTCCCGGGGGATACGCTGTTTGAGCCGAGCATCATCACAGTGACTCTCTGCGACTGCGCGGCCGAATGCGCACATCGCTACTGCGCAGCGCTGGTTTCAGGAAATGAAGAAAAATCCCGGAAATACCGAGAGCTTTTTGGCTTCAAATCCGTATACAGGCGGTATGCAGAACCAAGTTGTCCATAGTACATACAGTCTATGGTTTTCACATGTAAAAAGTTGATCACATGGTTAGTGGGAAACAACTGAAAGCCTTTTTGAAATGACTGATGAGAAATGTGTCATGAGTTCTGCAGGTACATAATAGATGGTAACTGTTTTCAAAGTCATACACATGTTGATTCATCATGTTCACATATGACAAGAAACTGAATTTCTGTTACTCATTTGTTTATTTACATTTTCCCAGCCATGTCAAAGCTCTACAATGAGGTAAACGGCTTACTTTAAGCCCTCATTCTATCATGAACTTTTATATACAGGATCGTTTCTCTGTGGTTCACGTGGAACTGATGAATGTTTTCTGTTTTAGGGAGGAAGAAACGCTTCTCACAAGCCAAAGGAGCTGACTCATCAGTTCCCCAGGGGCTCATTCAGTGCAAAGCAGCAGCTATCATCTCTATCAGCAGCCAATTTGGGTACTACTGAGTAAAATGAGACTTGACTCACTTTATATGGTTAAAAATGAAAAATGATACAGAAAGAGTTGTGTTTCTGTAATGAGTATAAGATGAACTTCACTGTCCTTCTCTGAGAAAAGGTCAATAAAACTGCTTCTTTAGTCACACTCTTCGACTTTTGTTGTCTTTATAGGGCCAGTCCACGTCCACAACCCAGGGACGGTCATCTTCAGCCTGCTCAATCAGTTTACAGGCCAAGTTGGTCCAACAGTTGAAGGTGTGAAAACAGTTGGGAGAAAGTGCAGCCAGGAAGAGGACGCAAGAGACAGTCCCGTCTTTCATCCCACATCCTGTTCCAGTATTCATCTCTCTGAAGAGGAGAGAAGCGTAGAGATGGACAGCATGTTCCTCCCCTCTCAAGAGCAAGGAAAAGACTGTCATGTGTCCAAAGAGGAGGTCCTATGAAGTTAAAAAAAAAAAAAAAAGTATTGCACCTTTGCTGTCGTGTCTGCTGGCTTACAACCTGATTCTAGGACTTGTAGAAGAAGAAGCTTTGAATCCAAGGATGGGAGTCAGTCAGATTAATCTTCCTCAGGTAAACCACGAGCCTCAGTTTCACAGAGACATTTCTATATACAGGTGAACAAAAATATGTGTAGTGAGCGCACATAAGAAACTTTAACTGTTGGAGGACCTGCTGGATGGGGATTTCTTTTCCTTGCTATAACTTAAAATGCCATGTAAATACTCTTTAATAAGATCACTGCTCAGCATTCATTGTGTTCAATTTTTTTGCATGAATTGAGATGAATGAGATTTTAATTTAAACAAAAAAAAATCTAATTTTTGCAAGTTAAAAAGATTTACATATGGGATGTAGAAAGTCTATTTACATAAACACACATAAATGTCAAATAGTTAAATACCTGAAACCTCTTGTACCACAGTACATATCATCATTCAGTGTTGTGCATGAATACGCTAATATTTTGATTAAACTCAACAGCTCATTGTGTGACCGCTTATAGTGAAGGGCAGCTCACTGTCCAGGAGGTTTCTTAGAGGACTCAGGAGTTGTGGAGAGTTACTGAATGTGTTCTGTGTGTTATAGCAGCCAAAGTCTGCTGCACCTGGTGCTTCTCACATCCACTTGTTAGCAGGTTTACTTGGCGATGAAGCCAGCCCTGAGTTTACAACAAATCGGGCTAAATTATGTACATTTTTAGAGAGGTTCTACTTTTTAAGAGAATAATTCACTTTTGTGTTTGTTTGTTCAGTGTTTTTTACCCTCATCTCATTTACTCATAGAGGATGTGAAAACCATCTCTCCCACATTACTGGTTACGAGGCAGATTTTTCCGTGTATTTGGGTAAAAAGTTGGAACCTTTCACAAAATTTTCTTCAAACAGATGCCAATTCTTTGTAAGTATTGAAAACTGCAGATTATCCTTTTTAATTTGTAAAACACTGAATGGATTTTTGGGGTTTTCAAACTGAATATATGTCTTTTTTTCTACAGCAGTGTTTGATTATCCTTTTAGTTAAGGAAATGTTGTTGATTGGGAATTGAAGTTTAGGAGGTTCCGATGATGGGTAACGTAATTTCAGCTGAAACAAAATGAACATGAACTAGTTCATTTTGATCTGTGCGAACTGAACATTGAGTTTTTTCACTTTTAGTGCAAACTTGCACAACATGTCACCGACATGCTGCACTGAGTCACTCGCTTTACTTTATTCCTTTTCATCTTCCCAACGTTGCAGATGTCATGTAGTCCTTTTTTCCGGTCAGAAAAGTCCATCAGTCCTGAATTAAATATCCTCAAAAACTCTCGTCATTAATTCAAGGATCACATTTTCCGCACACTTCCTGGATCGGCTTTGATACTTCCCCCTCCTCGGAGCTTGTTGGAACAGGAGCAAGTTTTTCTGTCAAGTACCCTAAGCAAAAAAGAGAAGATGTCTAAATTTAGGAATCAGTAAATATTGAGAGAAAATAGATTGAGATAATAAAAAATGCACGTGTTTCAATATTGCTGCTTCATCATATCCATTTAAAGTCAATTTAAAATGAAATAGCAGTAAATTCAGCATGTAAATTTGCTTACCAAGCTTGTATCTGACCCAGCGCTGAAAAGAGTAGGTCTTTGCCAGAACAACAAATCCAACTACAGCACTCAGGAGGAAAACTATCACCAGTAACCACACTGTATCTGTAAGAAAGTGCAAGAGACTGAATATCCACTGACAAAAAAAGAAGAATTCACCATAATCTTATATCAAATATGCTTTCTTTGGGAATGCAAAGAATGAGTGTGGTGAGGACAGCAAGTTTCAGGGCTAAAGTACATAAATAAAAACGTTACCAGCTTGTTGCTGACAAATCTTAGAGTTAATTGGAAGTATGAAACAGGTCATTAATCGGATTTGTCATCAAGATTACTCTGAAACCCTTTCAACAAAGTTGGTCAGAGAGTCTGATTAATCACACAAGACTCAGAACAGTTCACCTTATGTGTCTGACCTTTTCTGAAAAACTTGCAGCAAAATAGCCATTTAGTCATTTGAGCCACTGTAAAAGTAAAACTCTTGGCGAGTGCATCTGAAAACAAGACGCTGGTGATTACGTGGTCAGAGCCATTCTGCTTCAAATTCTGCCTCTGGTTGTTCTTTTGCACAACAGTTTGATTTTTGTTACCTTACTATTATATCATGTAATGTTGTATTTGTCCAAGAATGCAAAATGTATGAATCTTAACTTTTTGCAGCTGCAACTCTTCTCGCTTCAACCTAATACTTTTTTGTTGTTTTCATGAGGTCAGCTATTCAGTTCCTTTGCAGGATATTTATATTCTAACCATTCAAAGTAGTGCAAATACACCCTTGACCACATCCCTTTGCACCAAAGAAAACAGAACCTTGGTGACATAAGTCAACGTGTGTAGAAGCAGTAGTATATCCTACCTTTATGAAGAGGCTGGCGGTCGGTGGTGGTGGTAGAGGTTGGAGGGAGTTTGTCGCCGATGGTAGTGATGAGGGTAGATAGAGGGGGTGTCATGGCAACAGTGGTTGGTATCTTCACACATTTGCTGCAGGGTTGGTCTATGCATCTGTATCCAACTTTACATGTGCACACAGCGTTATGAGTGCTGTTACAACGTGACTTTTCCTCCATGTTTGCTGTAAAAAATACAAAAAAGAAACAACCGGAGATTAAGAGAAATCATAAATTTGAGAATGTTATGTGTAAGCGGTACCCATATAAGATGTACAGTTGTCGTATACATAAGACACATAGATGATAAGAGAAAGAAAAATGACTCAAACTGGGCATGTCAAGTAGAAAGTCTGGTCACAGAATGTTAGACGGTTATATTGTGAAACAGACAACTCAAAAATGAGCTGCACTGCACCCATAGATTTTGAAGTTGGCGGGGATTGCTTAAAATGACTGTTCTTTTTTTTCTAAGTGGCACTGTATGAAGTACTTGTCAATAGTAAGTGTTCTACCCACAGAAGACAGCCAGTTTATTTTAGTACTTACTGCGGACACAACACATCCGCCTTCTTCCCACAGTACAAGTGATTATTATCTGAGTGCTCATCAAAGTGGTTTGGGAAACTGAATTACTCTGTTGAGAAAAAGTTTAACTTACATGTCATTGTGCTGCTCTTGATGCTCATATCTGAATTCTAGCTAAGTGTTAACACCTTCACTAACCCTAAATGTGATTAAATATTCTTTATCTAGATACTGTTGAACTTTTGGAGCAGCCAGTGAAACTTCTGTGTGGGTTGAATCATTTCCACTGAAATTACTTTCCAGTGACATGTATTGATATGTAACCTCTTCAAGAAAAAAAAAAAAAAAAGATTTTGACATTTAACTTATCTGCTGTTATCCTGCCCAAACCTCCAAAAGTGACGAAAGACAGTTTCTTTGAATAGATTCAAGATATTTTCAGATACGTCTTATGCAAATTCTGTTACAATGAAGATGTAGAGGAGAGCTGTACTGTAACACTAGATAGAATGTGCTAACATAGGGTTTTCTAAACTTTCCCAAGGATCCCCATCAACAGGGGTCCCTTGTAAAATTCCTTTAAAATCGATCATCTTGTTATTGATTCATTTGTGAAACAATCCTTTATATCTTCTGATATTTAAGGCAGCAATAGTGAGCCCATCATTCAGTTTTTCTCTTGTTATTCATTCATTTGTTCAGTTCATTTGCTTTTCCCTCTGTCATGAACAGTTATCTCCCTAAAAGTATTTAACAGGAACAATGACAGTGAAAATTAAACTCTTGCTCTTGATATTTATATTTGGCCCATTCTGTGACCCCACTCTAGCACACCTGGGGGTCAGGTCCTCCACTCACTGCTAAAGGTATAAAACATTTAGGTTAAAACCAAAGCATGTGCTTTTTGTGTCTTTCTGCATAGCACAACACATTTGTATGAAGTGAGCCATACTGTTTTCTGTTGTCTATGGTTTCCACAGTGACATTTAAATGTAAGCAAAACAGACTGTTTCTGCTCACCTGTTGCTCTGCTCAGACCTGAGTGATGACATAAGATATGATATTTTCATCTGCTGCTCTTTCCGATGTTTACCACTTTTCAGTGTTTTTCTTTTGTTTCCACTGACACGACGACAGTCTACTTTGTGCACCTCCTACTGTCTGTGGCACTCTTGGTTAGCTTTGCCTTTGATGCTGCGGCTATAACCATGTAATCATGAATCCCACCCTGAGGTCGTTTATGGAGGGTTTCTCAGACTCCCCCCTCCTTGTAGTCTCTCTCTGACTGTGTCCCACCCTGACACACTAAATGGGAGATCCCCTTTATGTGTGTGACCTTATGTTCTTGTGGGTAAACGTCTCTTAAATTTTGATCTACTGGCAGAGTTGAGTAACAGCCAAGAGAAATCAGATTTCTTTTTGAGCTTATGTTTGCCGGTTAGAACTAAGAGATGACTCATATCAACATCAATGCTTCAAAAGTGGATCACACACACACACACACACACACACACACACAGATACATGTCTCAATACTTTAAGCAGACAACATTTTGTCAGTTTTAAGTAGCTTATTATTGCCAATGAAGCAAGAAGCAAGAGTGGTACAAAAGAATAACAACATGCATCATAGTAAGTTGGAGTGTCTCTTCACAATACAAAACAATAATGAGGTCCATAAGAAGCTCAGCCAAGCATTTTTTTTATCAGAATTCAGTCAAATGTCCTCACAAGCAACAATGTCCCCTGAAGAAAAATTGTCCATCAGGGTTTGGTCCTCAAAAGAATACAATGACAAACACACACACACACACACACACACACACACACACACACTTACATATCAAGTCGAGAACCACAAACAGGAGCTTCACAGTATTTACATGCCATCCTTATTGCTTTTGTAAGTGTAATTAGCATGTTTGTCTACTTGCCATCTTAGTATGCGACTATTTTCTGACGACGTATGGATTATCAGAGAGCATAAGCAAGAACCAGCAGCAGCAACCTATGACATCAAGGTAATATCTCTATTGACCATTAAGGTCTCAAACACACTTAACTCATCACTCATCTTAGAATAAAAGCAATAAAATTACTCACACTCCCGGCATCGCCTACACCACTTGCAGGTCAACTCTGCATTGGGCGTGTCTCTGTATTGGCCATCCGCACAGGTAACACACTGAATCTCACAGGTAGTTTGAGAACGCTGAATCATACGTTTGCCTGGAATACACACTAACAGTTTAAGTGTCTTTCACTTATGAAAACCTCAACAAGAGAAAATCAAGTCACTCTACCTGGTGGACACCCATCACAGCAAAGCTCATGATTATTCCTCGGCCAGGGATATTGGAACTTCTTGCACTGCATGGAAAGCACAGCAGAGAGGACAGAGAGGCTGCACATAAAAGTCAAAGCTAAAGAATAGAGAGTCGGCATCTGTGAGGAAGAAGAAGGGAGGAGAAAATGAGGAGGATGAGCAGAAGGAGGCTCACAATGAGGAGGGAACAATGAGGAAAAACAAAGATTTCTCTGATCAGACAAATACACATATTTACAGTAATGGATGCTGAGTCATATTTGGGTCAATAGCTGTTGATAATTTAAATAAAATCTACCGAGCAATCATACCAACACTCCATAAAGCTTGCAGTGAGCAAGAGTGCAGGGATATTGAAGTTTAAATCAAAGTGATACAACAGTTTGATCAAAGGTTTGCCTGCTGAAAATATCTCTTACAGCCTTTACTTACTGTGGCAGAGAAGATGAGATGTGACCTGGGACCCTCTGAGTGTGAGACTGAACAGGGGACCAGAACTATGTCAGGGTACTATTCATAAAAGGTCATGATGAGTCATTGTGAAAAACAGTAATCATGTCTTTGTATCCTCTCTGCTCTGCTCTCTTACCCACTATCTCATTCACTCTCTTGAGACCCCTCGCTCTGCTAGTGATAAAAAAAAGGTCTCCATCAGCCTCCACTACTTTCCATTAGCATTTATTGCTCTCGTTTCATCCAAAATCAACGTCTTATCTGAAAACAATAAATGTTTTCCGTTGTGGGAAGCCCCCCCTGGTGAAAATGGATTGTTTATGGATGCACAAGTGTATTAAGTACATTTATTTTATGTATATGCATGAGAGAGTACATTAATGTCAATGCTTACTTCAATCAGGCTTTTTTGGCTTCTTTTAATCCATCCTTGTATTGCGTCTTTCTCTCCGGTTTCAAACTGAATAGTTACAATGTGTCACTCGAATATCATAACCAACTCATTTAATGGCAAACCATCCTGTTTCTCTTAAAGAAAGCAGCTTTAAAGATGAACCTCATTTCAAGAAGTGACATAATGCTGATGAGCTGTTGTGTTATCATTATGACAGAGGTGTGAGGAGAGGAAGAGGTTCTAGTCAATAATATCAAATACTTCTCCGTCAAGAATGTAAAAAAAACAGATAATGAGGTTGATAGAGAGCAGGTTTCCAAAAGAAAAGTCATATTTTGATTTGCCAGTCGACAGGAAAGTTCTCTGGGCTCGGGCCCAGAAAAGTCACCAGCATTTTTTAACTTAAATGTGTATGTGCACCTCTTTGCATGTTCTAGTTTTAAACTGCATTTGTGGATGTGGTGATAAACGGTACATATAATCGGTGGTTTCAAGATACGGTTTTAAGCCCATGCACTGATGTCTGCTAAGGAGTCATGCCTGTTTGTAGTGCAGTGCTGACCGAGGGCCCAAAGATCACAGCTATCCGGTACAGATTTTCCAGTTTGCCCCTTTTATAAAAATACTTCTACAGATTTCTCTGAATCTGTTGGTTGTGCTACAAAGCTAAATTTCAGAAGCAGGACCACACCTCAACCCTACCTCTTCTGGGGAAGCTGTAGCTCAGGAGGTAGAGCGGTCGTCCAATAACTGGAAGGTTGGCGGTTGGATTCCCCCAATATCCCGAGTCTATCTGTTGTGTCCTCAGGCAAGACACTGTATCCACCTTGCTCCCAGTGTGCGTCCTCTACTAGTGTATGATAGTGAGTGTTGTGTGGTGGTGGTCGGACAGGTTGTAGGCACAAACTGGCAGCCACGTTTCCATCAGTCTGCCCCAGGGCAGCTGTGACTGTGGCACTTTACCACCACCAGGATGTGATCATAGACTGTCTATAGAATGGACGCCGTCTGCCTCCTCGCGGGTTGAAGCCACTCCGAGAACAGCACCCTCTGTTGATGGGCTGCAGTATAGGTCATAAATCCCGCCTCCGCCAGCAAAGCTTATGGAGCTGTGGACAAACTTTAGAAATTAATTACACAGAACATAATTTTTCTGCCTCCTGCTTGTGATGTTGACATGTAGTTATTGTAAGACTGGTTTGTGCTCAAGTCCTCTTTTTTCTGTGCAGCTCAGTTTTTAAAAGTTATTAGGGGGTTCATGTTTTCTATGATTGACACCTGATACAGCCTATGGGCGTTCAGGGATTGCGTAGCTCACCCTGGGGGATACGCTGTTTGAGCCGAGCGTCATCACAGTGACTCTCTGCGACTGCGCGGCCGAATGCGTGCATCGCTACTGCACAGCGCTGGTTTCAGGAAATTAAGAAAAATCCCTGTCCTGCTGATGGTGTGGTCCTTGCTAATGGTTTTATATTGTGTGCTGCAGATGATAAAATCCCACGACTCTTTGAAAATTTATGCTGAGAAACATGAAGACATTTAACATCTAGTCAATCTTGTTGCTTCTTTTTTATCTTCCAAATCTCTCCCTTCTAAAAAAAAATGCTCAATTTCTGTGTGATCAGACTCTTGATAAAAGTATTTCAGAACTTCTCTTTGACTCAGTTAAGCTGTCACGTTTTTTTCTTTAACACCCTTGTCTGAAACCAGACCACAGCATGTGACCTCCCATCAACTCTGAAATGAGGCCTAAAGCTGACGAAGCAACATCTTGAAGGGGGTGCCTGTGGACCCTGGTGTGGCTGTTGGCAAGCGTAAGGAGTGCAGAGATGAGTGTAAGAGAGATGACTGACAAAGAAGCAAACCTGCTTATGCTTATCTTAGAGTTTCAGTATTAGGCTGCTTGACAGTAAAGACCAGTGTGTGTGATTAGACATTAAGAGGAATCTTAAGCTGAATCATGTTAACACTCTTGTGGTGAAGTTAACACACTAAGTGACTTTTTTTTTACTGGACCTGACACGTAAAATTTACATGCAAGGGGATCTGTATGATCCCCACAAGCTTTCACCACCACCACTGTGCCTGGTAACTCATGCATGTAAGAGAAAGCCTGCAGTGCTTACTACTGAGGTCCATGCAACAAATACTGCTAAACAGGTAGTCTTGAGATCCTTACAGAACTCTTGTAAAGTGGCATCATGAGTAACCAAGCATCCATATAAGTAACTTATAAACATGATGGTTGGGTCATTAGACATTTGTAAAGACTTCTGAGAAATGTTGACATTTCTCTGACTGCTAAACATGTTTTTAAATGCCTTGAAAGTCTCTTATCAATGTTTTTATAGGCATTAAAGCAGATTATTGAGTCTTACCAAGCTTTTGAAGGGGTTACAATGTTTTTTACACAAGTTGTTACACATTTTTTTACCAGATTAACTATACCTTTTTAATAGTTGGCTTAGATTTTTGCAGCCACCAGATCTAAAGCAGGAAAAAATGATACTTTGACTTTGAAAACCTTGACTCAAATTATCATTGCAAGGCCTATAAACTAACGCATGAGTGTGCTTGAAACAGGCAGAGCCACACACAGAGGGAGGAAAAGTAGAGAGACGACGTTATATCTTTCGGTTCGCTAGCTGAGAAGGAAGGAAGTGGCTTTTCTGAAGAAACACTTGTTCTGCTGACTGAACTCTTTCATCATGTACTGTGGCGTTTAGGTCACATGATACTCAACTCTACTGGCCTGGTGGATAAAATCCCATCTTACTCCAGCCTATTAACTCTGGTGTCTGTTATAGCAGGTCCCAGTGTATTTATTGTCTTGTTTTATTTGTTTTATCTTTTATTTTTTACCTTTTTCTCCTGTGTTTCCCAAAGGTAGCTCTTCCCTCATGTAATGTCTCGGTGTCAATCCATGTCTCTTTAACAATATATCTTAAATTCTCACACTGTGTGCGCTTGTATGTGTGTATGTGTGGGTGAGTGAGGGTGGATGTGTGTCTTTGTGTGTGTGTGAGAGGTTCGGGTTTTATTGTTGTAAGTTGTTGTTTTTAGTCTGAAAAGTGCCATAAAAATAAAGTTGAATTTGAATTTGTTACTTAAGACAGCACCATACCTAAAAAGAGGCTGGATTCTCATGAGAGATTTTTCTCCTTCATATTATAGTTTATTTCATGATTTGATTATTTATCATTTATTTATTATTGGTCAGTTTCATGAGTTTTGAAGGCCATAAGAATTGATGGTTTAACAACAGTGCAAAGACATCTGTGAGAGCTCAGCAACTGACATATAATTGTGAACCCAAATTGTGAGCCATTGATTTCAACTCAGGCACCTTCTGTGTTGCCAGATCAGAAAATGCTTGTAAGTATCCAGAGCTTCATATAGCATCAAATAACCACACATAAATGCTAAATAGGTTCCTGTGCAACCAACAAGAGCACAGTAAATCAACCATAGGCTACACAAATTGCAAGATGAACCTCTGGCATCCTAGCGCCAGGCCCAGATTAGTAATAATGAGTGCTGCACGTAAAAAGGTGCACTTTTAACCATGTAGGCCTAATAACTTTAATTAGTTACATCACAAATGACCCGTATGAGGACTACTTGCAAAACAATTTAAAACAAACAAAAATGCACAGAGCGCCTTTGTCTGCCCCCCTTTTCCCTCCCTCTCTCCCCCCTATTTTTCTCCTCCCTACTCTGCACACCTGTGGTGCTAAAAGACACACATGGACCTGGACGTACAGCATCTGATTGTGATTTCGAACACAAACATGAAAAACTAGTTTTAAAATAAACGAGCAAATGCTATAAGTGGGCTACAAATCAGTAACAGTGCAAATAAGATAAGGTGACATAAAAAATCATCTTACCTTTGACGCAGAGTCAGCGACTTTCCATTAACTTGAACAATATTGAGAACGAAAAACTTTTTACAGTCACTGGAAGCCAGGTCAGCTGGCTAATACATTGAAGAATCAAACTTCACCAACAACTGTCGGTGTATTTATTTAACTATTTTTTTTAAATAAAGAGAGAGAGAGAGAGAGAGAGAGAGAGCTGTTTTCACAATATTAAAAACTCGCCAAATGTGGTCAAAAGCAGCCCAAATTTTATTCAGCCGCCTAATGTATTTTTTCCCCGTCTGACGTAAACAAAATTAGCCCAATTGGGAGGAAAACTGCCCAATCTGGCAATACTGGGGTGGGTGCATAGACTGTATGTACTATGGACAACTTGGTTCCGCCTACCGCCTGTATACAGATTTGAAGCCAAAAAGCTCTTGGTAATTCCGGGATTTTTCTTCATTTCCTGAAACCAGCGCTGCGCAGTAGCGATGCGCGCATTCTGCCGCGCAGTCGCCGAGAGTCACTGTGATGACGCTCGGCTCAAACAGCGTTTCCCCCGGGTGAGCTACGCAATCCCTGGATGCACATAGGCTGTATCAAGTGTCAATCATAGAAAACATGAACCCCCTAATAACTTTTAAAAACAGAGCTTCACAGAAAAAAAGAGGACTTGAGCACAAACCAGTCTTACAATAACTACATGTCAACATCACAAGCAGGGGGGAGAAAAATGTATGTTCTGTGTAATAAATTTCTAAAGTTTGTCCACAGCCCCATAAGCTTTGCTGGCGGAGACGGGATTTATGACCTATACTGCAGCCAGTCAACAGAGGGTGCTGTTCTTGGAGTGGCTTCACCCAGTGAGGAGGCAGAAGCTGTCCATTCTATATACAGTCTTTGGGTGGGTGTGTGTCTTTGAGTGTGTGGGGGGTCCATGGGAGGTTTGCGTTTTATTGTTGTTTTTAGCCTCTGTGAGGCACTTTGAAATACACCTTTTTGTCTGAAAAGTGCCATAAAAATAAAGTTGAATTTGACACACACACACACACACACACACACACACACACACACACACACACACACACATTTTATAGTTTATTTCATGATTTGATTTGATTATCATTTATTTATTATTGATCAGTTTCATGAGTTATGAAGGCCATGAGAATTGAGGGTTTAACAATAGTTCAAAGACATCTGTGAGAGCGCAGTAATTGACATTAAATTGTGAACCATTACATCCCTTTGGCTTAATTTTAACTCAGGTACCTTATCTTTTTATAGCTAACCAGTCTATCAGTGGGATTTAGTTAATAGATTATGACAATTCCACAGTTGATTCACCTGAAATTAAGATTTGGATTAAGTCCAGGGAGGAGTGTCTTCTCGTTCTAATGATTGATTTAACTCTGTAAAGTTAACAGCCTTGATAATGAAGGCGTTATTTGAGATCATATGGCAGTATGCTGTGATGTTAGTGTTTCATTTCCCCACCTCTTTATCTGGATGCTGTTATAGTCTAACTATAGACAAAGGTAAAACATGTCGACTGGCAGAAATGAGGGTATTTTCTCGACTGGGATAGTCGTGTGAGACATTAATATCCGCTCATGTGTCACATTAGACATGTTTTGGTATGTTTTGCCCACAGCTGTATTGTGTTATTGCCCAACTCTGTCTCACAATTCCTTGAAATGGCCACGTGACGCAGCTATTTCCCGTCTGAGGCCGCCTCCGCACGAGCTCCGAGGACAGGGATTAACGGCACCGTCGCCCCGTTTTCTGTGAAGAATAAATCCAAAAGTTTATCAAATTAAATACACATCCGTGCTTACATATGGAGCTTAAGTGAGGAGAAAGTCGTCGGTAGTCGACCAGGTAAGTGAAGGTTAGATACCTCTGCATGTCCGCCTGTGGGAAGAGCAGATTCATATCGGACTTTGAAGCAGTTGTGGGCGTCATGTGGTGTAGTTAAATCGAAACCACTGACACAAGAAACAAAAAAGCAAAAACTTGACTGTACGTAAATCTTTAACGATAACAGAAGAAAAAAAAATGTACGCTGTGAGTTTGAGTTTCAAAGTTTTAAAGTCGCTGGATCTCGAATCACAGCGATCTACCCCGAACGGAAGGTGAGAGGGGAAGCTGCCAAACAGGTTGCGTCGAAACGTTGGAGTCATTTTTCGAGATTGACAATCGACAGAATAGTTCAGTTTTGGTCATTTGGATCCATATAAACTTATGTTTTTGTCTACTCCAAATTCATTTTTTTAAAACAAGGCTATATGACTCTCTCCATTACAAGCTGCTATGGAGAAAACGAATATGAATAAACATAACACCCAATTGTTAAGACTTCAAACTCAATTTAAGGACTGATGTTTGGCATGAAATTGAAATTCTTTTACCTTCATTTGAACAAAGTGATCAACAGAGTCTCTATTTTACCTCTTACTCACCTGTGTTAAACTTTATCACCTGAGGAAGTCATTGAGAAAACACACCTCTGTAACCTCAGCCCCCTCCCTAATATTAATTCATGGTTACTGGAGTTAACTTGCAGACCTATAAGTCTTAAAGTGATGATAAATGATCACTTTCTCCCTTGCTGTATGCTCTGATCAATGAGTGAGACATAGTTTCAGTTAGGCTGTGGAGTCTACAGAGGTTTTCTGCACAAATATAAGAAATGGATGTCTAAAAAACTCAACAGGTACATCTAAATGAAACTAACCTCATAATGACACGCCATATGAATTTCGTGTCGACAGCTTAAATGTTTAAATAGTACCCAGAAAGGACTTGGATTCATTCCTAACTAAATGTCAGCGCAAGGTCAGGTTGCTCCTCAAGTGTGTGGGCTCATCTAGACTTAAAAATCACAATATTAGTGGATAAAAACAAGAAGGAATCACAATTATTATCCCTGGCTTAAAGAAGAATTTCTAAAAGTGTTTGAGTCCACTTAGTTCCTCTAGTCATTTTTAACATATTGGGTTTTTTGTAGGTCGCTTCAGATGGACTAAGCACAGCCTGTAAGACGATGGAGAGAGGTGTCCCCGGAGGAAGATGGAGCCAAAAAGTGCCTGTTGGCACAGTACTGTTGCTCATGGTGAGAAATGTGTAACATCAGTACCTAAAAACTGCATGAACACATGAAAAAATGTACATTTAGGGAAAACTTCCTTGTGTATTTATTGTGTACTCTGTGTTACAGTGCATCCCTACTTTGGCAATGTTACAACCTGCACAGGAGAGGAAGTGTCCAGACTGGGAGTATCTTTCCGAAAAAGGATTTTGTTGTAACAAATGCCCTAAAGGTACTTTTCATCCTCTTGCTCAACATAATTGGATCACAGACACCGGCAACTAACTTATTCTATAAAACCCATTGTACAAGGACATAACTTTGATGTTTGTGTTTTCCAGGTTTTAAACTTTTAGAAGAATGTTCTGGTCCGAATCAGAGGAGTAACTGCACACCCTGTCCTGCACCCTTTCAATACAGCGATCATATGAACCACTTCCCAACATGCAAAAGTTGCAAACGCTGCAGCAGTAAAGTCCATCTTATCTCTCTCCATTGATATCTGTCTTTATTCTCATGTTTTCTAATTTCAGATAAAGTCTAATTCATCTTTTATTTCTTATCTGTCATCCAGGATCAGGACATGAAATAGAGATAACGCCGTGTAAAAGAGACCAAAACACTATTTGTCGCTGTGTGGAGGGTTATTACAGATCCTACATTGATTCCCAAACCTACGATTGCATCAAATGTTCACAGTGTGGATCTAATGAGAGAGTAAAACAGACATGTGAGTTGATGATCTTGCAATGGAGAGACAATTTTAAAAAGCTCTAAATGTGTTAACCCTCTGATTTGTCAGTTACTTCCTTTGTGATTGTGACTCTTGTATTTTTCATGGTTTGTACAGGCTCACCAGAAAACAACACTGTGTGTGAATGTGCAGAGAATTACCACAGAGTCAAGCACAAGTGTGAACCCTGCAAAGAGTGAGTAGACCTCAGTCTGTGAACATGCGTTGTTCCTATTCTGCAGTTTGGGATGGATTTATTTAAAGCCGGTAATGGAGAAGTTAGTTTGCTGAATCGAAACTTGCAGTCATGTCCAACCTTGGTCAATCTTTCCATTTGTTTAGACAAAAGAGAAGTTACGAGACTTACAAATTTTGCCACTGACGCTGTAAAATTTACTAAACAAGTGGTCATTTGTTAAAAAAAATACTTCCTCATAGACCCTCTGTTGTAACTGGATTCCCTGCAGTTACCAGTCTTTCAGGTGTTTGTGTGATATTGCTGTTAAGTTTCAACTGTTGGATAAAAATCTTCTCAAATGTGCCAAAAGAAGAAGTTAAACTTGAATATCTCTTTTGGTTAGACAGGGAAATACAGCTTAAGTTGGCATTATGATAAGACAACTTTAAAAATGTTCTCACTGATCAGCACCAATCATATACTAGAGGGAGGCTGCACTTATATGCTACTTCCTTTCCTCAGAAATCTACCATTTCTTGGCGACTGAAACAGATGACACATTAATCCATTTTGAACTGACACCAGTTTCCTGTGTCATTCTAACTGTGCTACTGTACTTAAAGTGTTAACACGCCCTCACTTAAACTCATATACTGGTGTATAAAAAGCGACCCCAGCTCCTGGGTTGATCACTTCCTCTATAGATGTAACACTTCCTCCTCAATGTTGTGAACCGTGTTTTCTGTTCTCCACAGATGTACCACTGGGTGCAATCATCTCTGCTTATCCCCCGTTGTCAGTACAACAGGTGAGCACTTGTTACTGGGGATTGATCATCAAGCCAACTTTGATGATCTTGACTTTTGCCTGTTATTTGTGTAAATGTCTTTCCACTGTGACCCATCCACAAGACTTATGTATCTGATCAAGGCTTTTATTGTTAAGTAGATCCTACCTACTTACTAAAATACATACATACCTGCATACATTCATACATAGATACATACAAGTTGCAGAGCGACCATTTTTTTCCTGCAAAAAAATGAGCTTTTATTTTGTAGTAATAAGATAAATTAGCAAAATATGCGTGGTAGTCTCAGCACTTGGAGTCATAGAGTCTGAGGAGTGACAATGAATGGCTGTCTGGAGTGGGAGGTATCATAGGAAAAACATTTTGATTTAAACGTTTAGAATATTAGAATAATCTAATAAACATCAGACAGCTTACATTATTTTGTCATGTAAGCCTTAGGTTTGCATAATTGTAGGAACTATTCTTTGTTATTCGGTTTATGCAAAAATGTCAAAATAGCGAATCATTACAAAAATCAAAGTTTTAAGTTTTAAAAGAAAGTGATGATGCAAATGATTTCGAATTTATTCTTTACATTTTAATTTGAGTTAACATTTTTTTAATTTATCTAGTTATTTTTAATTGATTAATTATTTCGTCCAATTCTGCCAGACCCATTAAGCGAGAAGTTTCCATCGTATTTATACATTTTGCCTGTTGTGCTCATGAACAAGATATTTGAAATCTTTAATTAAAACAATAATCATTATATAAACTTGGTAAAAAAAAAATGATAGAACACATATTTAATGTGAATCCATGCTCATGTTTCCTCTTGTGTCCTTTTGGATTCTTAAGCAGCTCCTGGATCTGGGGAGAAGTATTTGATGGACATAATAGGAGTTGCAGCTGGGGCTCTGGTGATGTGCGGCGTGATTGTTGTTATCACCCACATTGCAACAAAATGGTCCACGAGGAAACAGTTGCTGAGATCATCCTCCGGAACATCTGACAACTCTCAGGAGTCCTGTGAGGTACACTGATTTAACCGTCTTTGGTTACTTTTCCCCATTGGATTTACATTTACACTGAGTATATTTCATTCTTCTCTTGTCTCACAGAGAGACCTAATATACAAGGAGCAGCATTCACACATCTGTGTTGAAGCTGTTCCTGAATGTCCTCAGGGTGAAAGTGACCCAGAGCCCTCCAATCCACTTGACCGTCCTCGTCTGGAAATCAAGAGTGAGTGTCCAACCTGACCTGACCTTCAGGTCTATCAGAATCAGAAATACTTTCTCAGAAGAGGAGATAAATAATAGATAAAATAAGTAAAAATAAAGACATAATCAAAATATACAATATGTATACAGTTTTACAATATACAAGTATGCACACTATATACAACACAAAATAGTAAAATATGGTCTAATAACTAATTCAAGCAGGTCGATGCCTGAATAGGAATAAGATGTTATTTGTGCATTAGCTGAATCTTTAGCTCATAACAAAGAATAACGTTTTGATTAAGCATGTGTGACCTTCTGTGAGAACCACGCACTCCAGAGCTAAACAGTGTTATTGGTTTAGTTTTTTGAAGTAATAGGGATGAGAACAGGAAGAGAAATAGCAAGGAAATCAGCTGTCATTCTGTCTGCGCTAAGGCAGTCATGCTTTAGATCGGTTTACTGTTGGATAGGAGAATAAAAGTTTAATTCCATAAAACATGATGTATAATGCACTTGATCTACCATGACATTAAAATATGATAGTTTGTGTGAACATAACGAAAAAGTATTTAGTATCCTGTCGGATTAACTCTAATTTCTCTTTCTTTCTCCTCTTCCCCTGCTGCAGTCCATGACTTGATCTACACAGTTCTGGATCTGGTTTCTGTACAGCAGATGAAGCAGCTGATGCGCTCTCTCGGTGTGAGGGATACAGACATCGAACGTGCAGAGCTGGATTACAGAGGCTCGCGGGAGGCTCACTACCAGATTTTAAGGATGTGGGCTGAGAGAGGGTCCACAGGAGGGAGATGTGGAATACTGCAAGAGTCCTTACTGCAGGAGTTGTTGGACAAACTGAGGGAGATGTATCTGGGACGAGCGGCCGAAGAGCTGGAGACAAAGTACGGCATTCAGTGATTCTGCAGTGCCTGCCAAGTGGATCCAAAAGCTTATGAATCCAAGTCTTGTTCTTTTTAGAGACTCACTCATGGTGCTATAATCAAAGAGGTTTTATTTCACAGCAGCCAGCGTCACTGAAAACTCTACCTCCCCTCCTGCCAATCACTCGCTTAGATGACAGGGTCAAACTACTGAGAGCGACGGATCAGATGGTTCCAGACGGAGGGGTCACTGAAAATGTAATTTTGCACTGGTGAATGTGTAAAAAAATGTGCAACATAAGCTTCAGGGGATAATGGCACTTTGCGGGGACACAGCTTTTCCTCACGTGTACAGATTTAGATGATAAGATCACTCGGACTCTTCTCAGCAATCAAACTTCTTAACAGATTCTATTTTTAACCAAATACGGAGTGTAAAGCCAAAATTTGACATTTCACAAGGAGTAACATGTTGGATTTTTCGTTCGCATGCTGTGAGCCAAAGAGGTAAAAGTGACTGAGAATCAAAACTGGCTGTTTTGAGTTTCCAGAACAGTTTCCAAAGCTATCAGCCTTCAGCTTTAGACTGATTATGAAATGATTTTCTTATTTAACCATGCTGAAACACAAGTCATTATATTTCTACTAAGGTCAAATTAAACCTTTATGGCTGGGGAAAACTTCTTTGAGATGCGCTGTTTTTTAGTATCACTTTGCTTGAAAGAATGCCTTTTAGAGATATAAGGAAATTATAGAGTTTAAGATCTTATACTGTTTATGTTTATTATTTAACATACATTGTTGATGTGATGACTGTATTGTGTATTCATTCACAACTCTCTGATATAAAAACTATTTCTCGTAGATAAGAGAATTGCAGAATTGAAAAGACAGGTGAGACAAACATGTTTTTGTTTTATTGCCAAGAGGGAACTGCGAGCCAGCTAGTAACGTTAAAGTAGTTCCTCTTTGAATCATAAAAGGTCATAATCTTTTGGGAACATTCGCAAAACAAGGGAAGTCTGCAGTTCCTACTTAATGTAGACTGGATCCCCGTCACTTTTCATAGCCACATTTGCATTCTTTTCAGCCCCATCATACAAGCTTTATTCATGGCTGTTAATGGAAAGAGGACACGCCTTGTCTCAGTATGCCTCAGCCAAAACAGCTTTTATAACACCAGTCTTGGCCTGCAGATTCTGATATGAATCAGCCACAGTCTGACGGACTAAGGAGGTGTCATTTAGCACTTTTTATCGAACTAAATTGTCTGAACGTTTATTGAGTGAATAGTCAATGCTAATGTTGAGCCTTGTACACAAGATGTTATATTCCTATTTGAACTTTTAATAAATATTTCATGCATGTTGATGTTTGTATCTGGAGCATGATTATAAGGTTGAAAAACTATTTCAGTGCCCATAAGGATGTGAAGGGTATCAAACTTGAGGCACCTTGCCGGTCTACATTCCTTCTTGCTTCCTTAAACATTTAATCAGATTTACTTTATTGTCTTTTCTTATGCACTAAAAAATGTCATTTTTCTCACCATGACCTGCCGTGACCTTGTCTCTTTTTTTCTTTCCTGTAGCTACTTTATTTTGGTTTGTTCACATCCGTAAAGCTCACCTTGTCTTACCTTTGAGTGTTTTCAATTACACAGCACTTGAACACTACATTTTTTCCATGCTTGATTTCACATCTATATCTCTATCTGATGCTTCACTTTATGAAACCCCTCTTCTTGTTTAAAAAGGTCGAAATGATTTCGCTCTGGGTGATCAATAAGCTTGATTGACATGAAACAACAATAGATCATCCCCAAAGGAAAACAGTCACCACCCCGCTTCACTAAACGCTCCTAACTGCAACACATTAACCAGCCCTGAGCACTGATTTGTTGGCTGCAGAATCTTGTTGTTCCCGTCAGGCCAGTTGCAGAGGGCAGGGGTGCAGGTGAAAGGAAGAGGGAGGGAGGGACAGATCCTAGCAGAGAGAAAGAGGAGGAGAAAGCTAACAGAAACCAAAGATGACTGGGTGAAACAAAATGGATCCAACCAAGCCCAGGTAAAGTCTATAATTTGATCTATTAAAAAGTGGGGCGATAAGCGGGAGAAGGTGAAGGTGTTCGGCACTTTAGAGGGACATTTTACTTCTTGTCTTCGGTGTAAATCACTTCAGTGTCAAAGCTGCTGTTTTAGATCTACGAGCTATCCTAAGGTATTTGTGTTGTTGATTGACAGAGGGTTAAAATGACAAGAAACCCCCCTTATATGAACTTATTCTAAGTCTTTAAATGAGTTTAAGTGTTAAAGTTGCAACATTAAATCTCTTAATTTATCCTTATTATGTTGCTGTGGGATACAGACAGGGGTTGTGAACAGGTATGACACCGCGATGAAAGCACTTGCGTGGCAGCTTTGATGTTTGACAAGAAAGCATGAGTAGATTAGCTCAGTATACCTGTCTGCAGTGTGTTTGCTTTTAGAACAACAACTTAAACCTGTTTAAATACGATCAGGAATACCAGTTAAATCAGTGCACTGACAGTACGCCACATTATATAACTGCGGTGACCAAACAGAGTGAAAGAATGGCTCCTCTCTTAAGGCTACAACTATCTTTAACTCTGGGAAACCAGCGCTTTAAGAGTACAGTCAGAGACGCATTCCTTACTGCAATCTGTAGCAGGACATTGTGCAAGTTGTGAAAGTGTTGAATTTAACAAAACTGGTGTCACTTGAGTCCCGGAGTAACACTATGACCCCCTCGACTCTGAAACAGGAGCTGTAGCCATGTGAAACAGCTGGTGTCTTGTTAAATCATGCTCACTGTCTGTAACATGCCGCAGTAATGATTTCTGCTTCACTGGCAGCCTGATTACCTGACATGCTCTTAAAAACAGTCTTAAAAAAGAGCAGCAAAACTATTACGAACACACCTATGTTGAGCTTTTATGTTATATAACTTCTCTTTCTTTTTTCTTCCTACATTGCTTTCCACTTTGTTTAATACTAATGTAGTTTTTCTCATATTCTTTGAAAACAATCTTACAGAACTAAATGTTGTCCGTTCGTCTAGAGTCTCCCAGCTGTCAGGTCAGGACAGATATATCTGACAGATTCTTGCTTTTTAAATCATGTTGCTACATTTTTTTTGTGGTTCATTCTATGACTGGAGGCCCTTTACATGTCTGAACTGATATATTACAATACAATGCAAAATGCCTCATTTTGAAGACAATGATAACATTATGTTTTGGTTGTTTTTTGGCTCCTGGTAGACCTTACTTGTTTTTTTTTCTGCTTAGAAATGTGGTGGAAAAACTGCAAGGATGTCCCCTAGCTGATCTGTGTTAGCCCTATTTTCTGCTTGTTAAAATCATTAACAATTGGTACCTACCTATAAGTGTTTTTGATTTATTTTCTCTTGGAGATTTATCTTCTTGACCGCTGATCTATAGGCCTACAAAACATTACTTTGGATTACTTTGGCTTTTGTTATACTTGTTTTCTATCCAACTAAAATAAGGTGATTTTCTTTTTGTGATTGACTTCTAACAGCTAGTAGACTTATAAAACTGATAGCTAGCAGGCATGTTTTATTGTGGTGGTAATAAGCTAATAGATGTCTGAAATGATGAGGGAATCCCATTGTTGCTATCAGTGTTTGTTTATACAGCTTTGTTCCTAAAAGGAAGTATAAGTGAACCTATTAAACTGAAAACAAAGCATACAGTGTCTATCCATTCAGTCTTCCACTCTTGCCTCTCTTGTAAAGCCTTTTCTTCTCTCAAACTATGCTCTCACACACCTTAAGTTGGCAATGAGTAACCCTGTCTGCTTATCCTCAGCCTTTCCTCAAAAGCACCACATGTAAACAATGGCGGAGGAAATGAATCCCTGATGGAGGAATCGGCATGGCGAGAAGGTGTGGATGGGGAGAGGCAGAGGGACACCAACGAAAGCAGAGAGACAGATGTTGTGGATGGGACGACAGCAGCTGCAGAGACAAACCAACACCACTGGGGGTCAGCAGACAAAAGCAAATTTAACACCACAGGCTTTCAGGCAAGTGAAATAAGACAGAAATGAACTGGAATGTGAATAAGTGCAGAACAAGAGAAGTGGTGCAATTTTATTCAGCTATTTTTAGATTACATTTTCTGGTTATTATACGTAGACTTGTGATTTATACTTTAAGGACAGGACCATTTTAAGACTAAAGCATTATGTTAAATGAGTTTTTCGTCTGGATTGGAGTACTTTAGCAACTGCTACTTTTAAAAAAACACTTTTTAAATAATCTACATTTTTTTACATTTTAATGCCGAAAAAGTTACTCTTTACTGAAAGTTGCCAATGAACACACTCAGGGGATTTTATAAAGCTTTAAAAATGAAGTTTTAAATACTAAAACTGCACAGCAAAGTTCAAGTTTAGGACTCTGTTATTTGCAATGTTTTACAGCATTGCAGGTTTTTAAAGGTAGAACAGCCCAACTCTTAATAAGAAAACCAGACTCTCCTTGCACAATAATGTGTAAGTAATAAAAACAAATCTTATTATATTGTCCTATTAAAGTCTAGTATTGTTTAAGTACAAGACACTATAAGAAGGCAATTGAGCAACAAAGTGTTCAATAGTTTGACTTTGGTGATGGTATTGTGCATTTTTCTCATTGCAGGGCTTGACAATAGTAAGTAAACTTTTAGTATCATGGGGGAAGATGACGCTAAGAAAATCCCAGAAGTGTGTCAAACCGTTGGTGGCCCTGAATCTGCTTTTGAAATCTGTAAAGCATAAATCATGAGTGTAACCGCAGTCTAGATTTGTACATTGTTCCGCGCTGTTGTTTTATGTTTGTTGATACAAACTTGGAAATGTGCGCAATCTTCTGCTGCTTTCACATAAATTGAAAAAGCCTATACTGATTTTCCGTTTCGCATGACTTTCCAGAGAAGGACCAAGCAGAAGGTGGTGACTGATTTTGCCACAGTGAGTAAGGGAACATCTGCGGGAGCCAAACCCAGAGCTGCACTCAGACAGGTCCTGTTCAGTCAGGGCGTGTCAGAAAAAAACTCGTCGTCTGAGGTATTATGTTGTCTGCTGTTCCTCAAGCTACACGCTGACATGTTTAGAAACAGTCGAGACTTGCTCTAATGATTTACCCACACTCAAACAACCAAAAACACTTGCAGCCCTTCTTAACCTGATTCATTCGTGCACTTTTAAATAGAGCGCATACTTTAGTTTCACATCAGATATCATCTTTTACCCTCCCTCACCCTTGAGTTTTTACAAGCCCTTCTTGTTTTCTTACCATCTTCTTTTTGTCTTCCCTACCTTAATAACCCCTCAGGAGCGAGGGCAGCTGGATGTGTTGAAGCAGGGTCTGGAGAGCTTTGCTGTGCCAGCCAGTCTCAAGTGGAAGTGGAATGAGGAGAATCTTGGGACAACACTAGAGAAGAGCTGGACAGAAATAGTGCACTCTCATTCAGTAAGGGTCCATACAACTTAACAGTTAAAGATAATATTATTTTTAACAGTCAGAAACTCCATTAAAATACTTAATTCAATAATAAAATTAACCTTACCTTTAGGTCAAGAGCCCGGGATTAGTTGTTTTAGTGAAGGCCTCTGCTTCATATACCTAAAGAAAACTAATTAGTGAGCCACATATTGCACTAGATGACATATTTCTTTACAACCCAGAACCTTTAGGCTACTAGTTTGAGTCAGTTCATTATGCACTATCTTGCAGCTGTAACACAAATGCACCACATCTACACCTGAAAGTAGTCCTAAGAAGGGCAATTTTCCCACCTATTTGCAATTTTCCTCTGGCATCGTAGTAAAATGGAAATCACACACTGTTATAATCTCATAATGTTCTGTTTTAGGGTTTATGTTGAAGAAATCTTGCAAAAAATCAAAATGTCTTTATTATTAGATATCTTGGCAACTGGATTGACTCCTTATTGTGACGATTTTTGGGGAAATTAGTCAGAATTAAAAGATTGAACAAAATATTATCATCAGCACAACTAATCGATGGAATTTAGCCACCTAGCCTATATGATAAAGTTACCATTGGACATAGTTGAAGGCTAGTAATTTGTCAAAGTTCACAGAAGAAGAAAAAAGTAAATTTCTAGTTACACTAATGTAAGCAAGTATTTATTCTTACTAGCTATTGTAAAAGCAAATGAGGGCTAGCAATAGCATTAGTCTTACCTGGCATTAACATTAGTCATCATTAGTCATTTCTATATCCGATTTTTTGCTAAAAGAGGGCATTTTTTACTTTGTCATGTGTTACTGTAGGCCTGGAAGGGGAATTTACTAGAGATGCACCGATCCAATTTTTTTCCAATCCAATCCGATACCGATACCTGGGCTGAGCGTATCGGCCGATATTCGATACCGATCCGATACTACCGTTGAATGAATTAACTGTATACCTTGCCCTGTGAGTGAAGGCATCAGGCTTGGCATTTGCCTTGTTCAAAAAAAGCTAACAAATTAACACAGATATAAATTTACTTAATCTTAATTATTAACAAATAACAAGTTGCACATTAGCACACAGTGAAAAGAAGTGAGACTTCGATATATTAAAAGAAAATTTAATTAAAAGAAAAAAAAAATACTGGAACATTGGATCGGCATCATTCATCAGATATCCAATCCAGTTAATTTGTCAATATCGGAGCTGATATCCGATCCAAATATCGGATTAGTGCATCCCTAGAATCCACAGATACTAACTTTATAGCTATTTAGTTTCTTTAATGCTGGTCTGATTTGGCTCTCCTGTTTTGATTTCATTTAACAGACGATGTCTAGGATGCAGAGGCACCAGCAGGAGGCGCTGTGGGAGTTTGTTCACACTGAGCTCACCTACATCAACAAGCTCATTATCATCAGAGACGTAATGTTCCGTTTTCTACCTGCCCTCGCAGTCTAATTTCAATATTCAGTATTTCTTTGTATTTGTCAGCGCTGAAAAGGTGTTTTCCACAGGATGTTTAACAAAGTTGTGTCTGCTCCCCACAGCTGGTTATTGCAGCTCTGGTCAATCTGCACCAACGTGGATTTCTCGTGGAGGTCAGTTTGCAGAGCATTCAACCTCATTTAGATGGAAACACACTAAAACCTGCTGCACAGCACAGTCGAAACGAGACCTATTTTCCGCTGTTCTGCATATCACTGACACACATTGACTTACAAAAAGAGAACATCCGCTCTCGTCTCACGTACAGAAAAAAAAACGAACAAGTGGAAAATGTAGAACAACAACTGATTTCCACTGAGAAGATGGAAAATATTTTAAAGCAGGGGAGTTAAACTCTTAAAGCTTACATTTTTATTCTTATTCGACTCCTTCCTGTGACAGATGACCCCTAAGCTGCTCTTCTCCAACCTCCCCTCCATCATCAGTGCACACCAGCTCTTCTGGCAGGAGGTGATTTACCCCATGTTACAGGAAGTCAGGAAGACTGGGAAACCCTTTGACCCTATGAGGTTAGAGGCTGGATGCCTGCAGGTATAAACACAGACAGTACAAACACACTTGTTTGCTCACGTGCACTATTGCACAGACTTTTCCTGTATTTTACTCAAGTTATTCAAGTTTCTACAACTGCACGTATTCCACATTTCATTTACATGTGCAACAGTTACTTTGCAGATTATGATTCCAATACGCTTAGTAAAAATTTACAATTCATCACCATTGGAGAAAAAAAAAAAAAACTTTATAGAAACTTTTAGAAAATTCCAGACTCCACTGATTACGGGCTAAATCTCTGTGTGCTGAAGTATTGATCCTCAATGTTTAACCCTAACGCTAAAATTAGTAACACCATCACTATTGCCGGGGGATTTTTACCCGAAATAATATACCCAAGAAAAAGTACTTGTCATGAAAATATATCAAAATGGCATGACAAATTACATTAGTTCTCTTTTATTTTTAACTGTGCAATGTCCAAAGAGAGGAAAAAAAGTGCCATGAGGGGACCATATAAAAAAGCAACAAAATAACTGAAATTAGGCATTCATGAACAAAAAAATCCATATATATAGAAACTGTAAACTTAGTTTCTTTTCCACCCATTCCTGGGGCATGTGAGTCTTCCCTGGTGAAGACTCAGGGTCCTTGGCACAATAACAGCTGCAGGAGAGAGAACCAAAATATGGCATATTTTGAGTGATAGTTATTCATAACCACTGCACTAAATAAAGATAACATGCAAATTACAGGACCACTCTTACTGACCTTATTCCCTACATGCAGCTATCAAATCCACCCAAACCTACTTTACCCTCTATCACTATTGCCGGGTGAAAATCACCCGAACACATGACTGTAGGAAAAAGCAGGTTTTGGATCAGGGAAATATGCCTTCAAAGATGTCAAAGTCAATGCTGAAACTACCCAGGGACCCATGATACTCAGACAAACGCAACATAATGAAAATCACATAAACATGTTTGGTCGGGTGAAAATCACCTGGCGATAGTGTTCTAGGGTTAATATGAAAATAAAGTTACAACAGGAGTCAATCTGGCTGATAATTTATATGTTTTCTATTTTTTCAGGTACATTTTTCTTGTAGATTTTCTTTCATGACTGATAAATAGAATATATTGTTTCATAAAAAATAAGCAGCAGTTTGTCTTTTCGTCCACAGTTCCATGAGCGTTTTTCCTCCTATCAGTATTACTGCTGGGAAGAGGAAAACAATCTGGAGTTTACACGCAGGCAGATGGAGAGCAACCCTCACTTTCTCGCATATGTCCAGGTGGAGTTTGCAGCACTCATCTACTCTCTTCACAACACTCACTGTGCATCAAGACACACACTCAGGTTCACGTCAGTACAACACTGAAGAAAAAAAAAACTTGCAGTCCAGAAATAAACAACTCAATTTCATTGTGATGGAAACATTGCTCACAAAGAACAGGAACCCTCACTGTAAATGCGTTTGTTCACCACCTGCTTTTTCACTTATGTCATACCACCGCATTTTTAAAACTTCGTGGGAGGTGAGATTTTTGTTTTCAACCACGCTTCAAAGCCCACCAAAGGCACATTTATAAAGAAATGGTATTATGTGGGCGTTAAAAGGGTCCAGTCTTCCAAATCAAACAAAACATCAACACTTTGCTCGAGAAGTGGTTTCTGTTTGTGAGCATACAGCATTTGGGTTGTCAAAACACGAATGTATCAGTCTTTGTCTTCAGTTCAAGCTCAGTGAATATGATGGTGGATAGCATCCTGGATTTTCACGGTCACCTGCAAACCCCCCCACTGAACAGTTTTATTGCAGATAATTTTTGATTAGTAAGGGTGATGAAAAAGACAGAGTGCTTGTTCATGAAAAAGACATGTATATTAATTGCTTCAAATTAATTTTTTAGTTTTAGGAGAAGCATACAACCTTAAAAAATAAAAATATACGTGGTTCAATACTATTAAGATCGCTGCATGTTGCCATTGAGATCAAATTTGGATGAACTGTCCCTTTAATTTGGACAATTTCATCAGGAGCTTCAAGGCCATGGTATATAAAAGATAGCTTTAAGTTTTAAAAAAGCATACAGTCATGATTTAATTACTGACTTGTTTGTGTGTTTCTGCCAAGTCCAGTGGGTGGAGACTCACCCTCAGTGTGATCGGATGCGGCTTGGGGACATGCAGGCCAAACCTCATCAGAGGATCACCAAGTACCCGCTCCTGTTAAAGGCCATCCTAAAAACTACCCAGGACCCTCAAGTACAGCACGCACTCAGGGGCATGGTAAGAAACTGTGAAACGATATAAAACCTACAATTACACCAAAATCCATTTTTAATGCAACACAGTAAATGAGTGTCTTTTATTGTTTCACTATCAGGAAAGTATGATTACAATAAACAGGTAGAGATCAGCAAAACAAGACTTGGGCTGCCTTATTATTTGAGACAAAATTTCCACTGGCTCTCATTTACTATGTCTCCGTTCTCCTCCAGTTATCCAATGTGATCAGTTTTCTGGAAAGTATCAACGACTACCTGAGGCTAAAGGACGAGGAGCTTGCTCTTGCCATCTCAGCTCAGAGGGTGGAGGGATATGAGGTGGAGGGAATAAACGAAGACATAGACAAGGTATTGTTTAAAGTTTAAATAAATAGTCAGATAAAGTCTACGAGATCTCTTTTTTTTAAAGCCAATCATGACACAATATAGTTTTCCTTCTTCCTTTAAATCTCTGATATGGAGCAGACTGTCAATTCATATTATAGCTGAACATTATTGATAGTATCATATATTTTGGTACTAATGATAACTAATGACAGATTTCTTTGACAGCTTGTCCGTGAGATCACCCAGTTTGACCTGACCTGCCCCATCAGAGGAGTGGGTCCAGAGGTCGTTCGTAAACTGATGCTGGAGGAGAACTTGAAGATTCGCGGGAGAAAAGACAGTAAAGTGAGCAGAGCCTGTGCACTTCTGTTCAAGTTAAACTCTATCCACAGAACATTTTTGTCATTACTTTTTGTGTTTCTCTAAATGTTGTTGTTTAGTTGGAGGTGGTAGCTCTGCTTTTCTCCGATGTTCTTCTGATGACCAAAGTCCAGAAGAAAGGAGAGCGGCTAAAGGTAGTCCGACCTCCTCTGGCGCTTGACAGAACATACTGCATACCGTTAAAAGATGGCTGTGAGTACTCCTGTCTTATTGCAAAACATGCATGACAGACTGTCGTACAATAAATCCTTAAACCGTTCCTCCTCTCTCTGCAGGTTCGTTTGTTGTTGTTGAAGTGGGTGAGCTCCAGAGCGCTATGAACGTCTACATATTTGTCGCCAGCACCCCAGAGAGCTGTTCCAAATGGGTCATCACCATCCAGCAGGCAAAGGTGAAAACAGACGCCAAATCTCTTACAACGATAGTAGAGCGTGACTTCATTGAAATCATCCCCAAGCTAAAGTTGGCTCCAGATTGGCAATGTCCATTTGTGAGTTTGATCCAGACTGAGTTATGTCCTAAACTTATGGGTGGAAAACAATTAAATCAAGTAGCAAAGTTCCAGTAACAGGTTTCCTCTCCTACACTAAAATTATTTCAATAATCATTATACATTTCATGTTATCACTTCTATTAGTTAGAGGTGAAAAGTACCTTCTCTGACAAATAGACAATCGTAGCACAAAGGTGGCCTATCAGACACAAAAGGGGGGCCCACACCACCCCTATCCACTCAAATGAACACACCCCTGCATACAGATAACTCCTAACTCATCAGCTGTTTAAGGCTTCACTGATGTATCTTCATGTTCAATCAACAGGAAAAACTGAAGGACCTGAGAGAGACGGAGCGTATCAGACAACTGCAAAAATGGAAACCAGAGCAGCTGGAGGACAAACCTGTTACAGACACCGAGATGAACCATTTGGAGACAGATGAAGAACCTCATGTACGAAAAAGAGGAGAGACTTTTGTGGAGGAACTCACGGAGGAACTCATTCAGCCTCAATCAGTAAATGGTATGTTGGCATCTAGAGAAGCAGAGGAACAACGTGAACATCCAGATGATTTCGCCACCAGCAGCACTCGCGTACCTTTTTTTCAATCCCTGCCTGCTGAAAACAATCAAACAATATCACGCAAGGGCTTTGCTGGCCGGCAGCAACCAGTCCAGGGGTATGAGTGGATAGAGATGGGAGTGAGAAGAGAACAATTTGGGATGAATCCAGAGGAAGAGAGGAGAATGATTCACTTGGCAAGGACAAAGAAGGGAAAATTTCTCGGCTTTGACCACAGGGTGCATTCTGCCCCAAATCTGGATCATTTCCGTCATACTGTAGTCAATCCCTCTAGGTACAACACAACAGGACCACATGCTCTCCTGATAGGTGGATATCCAGATATTGACTACCCAATGGATGAAGAAACTTCCATACAAACTCATCAGCAAACAAATAACACCAAGGAAGAGCCTGAGTTAGTAGGACAGCCAGAAGAAGGAGGAACATCAGCAAGGACAGATGCAGATCCTCAGTTTGTGAAGCAGGACATAGGGAGGAATTTTATCATCAATCAGTCTGGAGATCTAGAGACATCGACACAGATGTGGGGTTTCTCCAAAAATTTGAAGTCACCAGGGTTACGGAGGCGGAGGCCGGTCAGCACCCATCAGGGTGTCTCCACTCAAGTGACGAGGGAGTTCTTCCAGGAAGCACCAAATAACTTCTCTTTCCACAACGCTGACTCAAGGTACAATGGAAAGATGAAGAGAAACTCTCTTCCTGTTGGCCACAGCGCGGACACCCTCCGGGTGCTGAAGCTGGGCTCCCTGAAGTCAAACCAGGGGATGTTTTGGGAAATACAGGATAGATATTCTCCAGACCCTCAAACATTGTCTGAGTCTGAACTGCCTGACCCTGACTACTTCAACCCAAGACCCATCATGAAAACCAAAAGGAGTGCCTCCATTCCTAATATCATCATCCAAGGAGACCGTGGACTTCGACTGCACTCCAGCGGTCTTAACACTCTCCCTCTTATAGAAGATACACAGCTCCCACCATCTGAAGACAGTCGAAACGGACAAGCCTCACCCCTGGAGGGTCTCTTAGAAAGAGCCAAAGAGAGAGGGAGGGAGAAAGGCGGACTGAAAAGAAACAGATATTTGAAAGTTTCTAATTTGAGGTCAGGGCATCCTCCTCCTTCTCCCTCATTTTCCACCACACCATCACCACCTCCCAGTGATGGAGACAGAGACACAGAGTGGGAGGAGGAGGTGGAGGTGATGAGACACAGAGCCCTGACAGTGAGTCAAGGATGGAAGGAGCAGCTGGTGGATGGTGATGAAGATGGCAAGAGGGACAGGTTAGTATAACAGAGTTCTCATTTTTGACTTAGCGCAGAATCTCGACAAAGTTTGACTCCATCTTTAAAGTTGAATAAAACTCAAAAGTGACACAACTTGTCTTGAACACTGGAACATATGCGGTATCATCAGCACACTAAACATGACTTTAGCATTGTTCACACAAAGCTGCCAATCAGAGAAGAAACATGATCATTTTTAGTCTAATCAAGAGAAAGTAGACCTCAGGAAATATGTTTGATATTTCAGTTTTTACAGCACTTTATAGAAATCCTACTGAACAACTACATTTATTGTTGAATTATTTATAAATAAAAGATAAAGATTACTGAGTGAAGTTCAACTGAATAAAAGACAGCACAGATTTTAAGTGGAAGACAATCACAACAAAGTCTTGGAGTTTTTTCCTGCCAACAAATTACAAACATAACAGATACAAGCCAACGGATTAGAAAAATAAATACCTTTGTAACCTGCTTCACGTGAAGGTCTGAGGTCTTACTCGGTCGAAGAGTTGCATTTGTGAGCCTTAGACTGAGTGTTGTGTTCATGGACACTTGTAACAAAAGCTCAGGTCCTTTGTTTAAAGGAATGACTCCCGCCTGCTGCTTCATGACTGCCTCATCTTTCATAGCAGACCTGCCGCAGTATTACATTTCAGTTTAATTTAAATTATTAACAGTAAGCATGCTCTGCGCTGGTCAATATATGCATTTGTTTCCTCCTTAGTGTGGGAAGTAACACCCAAGCTGTCAAATCTTTACTAGAGAAATGAGTTTTCAGAGTTGAGTGGGCTGCTAATGGACAGATTTCTCTGTGAGAATGGAAAATTATGTTTACGGCGTCGTCAACAACAGCTTTTACCCTCAAGTAGCTACTCCTACAGCAGTGAAGCCTGGTATTCAACCTCTTGGCTTGACCATTTTATCAGTACGGCTGATGCTCATTCTATCCTGCAGTCAGTCAGTACGCTGTATGAGACATCATGAACTGATCATATACCATTTGTCGAGAGCCTGGATGTTGGTAGTCACCCTGATCTGACCGGTGAGCTAAATAGGCCAAAATTGAAATAGAAAGCCTTAAATTACAATGAGGTGGTAAAAGAATGAACTCACTTCAAGTCATATTTATCATTACATCTGACTTAACTAAAAATAATAAAGTTTGAAACTACAATACATTGTAGATAGCAGATTTTCCACTTTCATTTTTTTCCACTTTACAGAATATTCATCAGGAGATTGAAGTCTGTCATTGTTTATATAATACATACTGTAATGTTGCTTTTTGAGCATTTTTTTGGCATTACTTTGAGGATTATGCATGCTAGTTTTTTTAAAGGAATCCACTCTTTTTGGCTTCTTTAACAGAATTTAATTGATGTTGTACCTCAGCGTATACTGTAGGCTTGTTCAATGATAGGAAAATTACCTACACACACACACCCCCACATGCATATATTTATATATAAATATATATATATATATATAAATATATATATATATATATATAAATATATATATATATATATATATATACAGTATATATATAATGTATATATACACATAGCAAAAATAATAAGAATTATTCTTTGAATATAAAACAATAAAAACAGCAAAAAAGATAGATGATTAATATATAAATGAAAGTAATGATAATAATCTTACAGTTAAATATTCTGACTTAATGAAACAGACAGATATTCTCTGTTTGTCTTTCAGTGATGGAATACATTTAACAAAAGTAGACAATTAATTCTTGATGAAGTTATCAGTACATCCTCTGAAGTTGTACTTAATTTTCTCTTAAGAAAGAAAAAGAAAAGACTTTTGATCTTTCAACCAGATAAAAATGTTTTGATCATGCTTCTCCATCCCTCTCCTCCTTCAGTGTAATCTTCGCTGACGGTGTGAATGTGGACTGGTCAGGTTGGTGCTTCGACGACGAGGAAGTCATGGATCATTTACAGCCTGAAATGGAGGGACTTCTGGAGGGCATCAGCCGGTCTTTGGCCTTTGGGAATTTATATCGACTCTCCGAGCAAGATGACGCAGAGATCAGCCAGGTGTAGCTCTAATAAGACGAGAACTCAGACTCAGCGCATGTAGAAAAACTCTACATGGACAGATTCACAGAAACGCTCTCTTCTTAGGGAAACTATTTAAAATCTTCTCCCACATGGCCTCTGATAATTTCTTACTCATGTTATTAATGAAATCTATATTTTTTTAGAAGAACGCCATAATTTGTATCAAGTGTTTTGTGTAAATATGATGAAAAGATATTTTTATAAAGGACTGTAAGTTATTTATATTGTATAATGAACCCCTCTCATGGACCTGAGAGTTTGGATTGTACATAATAGAAATAATAAAACCAAGTTTATTTCTGTTAATCCTGTTTTATTATTTTTTGTACATACAGTAGAGTATTTAAAAACAGTTACATCTCTAAAAACAGCATAAATTACAACGTCTCTAACTCAACAGAATTGCTACAACGTCTGCTCTGAAAAAACTATTTACAAAATCTGTGCAAATAAAAGTCTCCCAACATGTTACAGGCATGAAAAGATTTCTCCCGTCTCTAGAAAGTTGCTTTTCTACAAGGCTTTCGCTGTACCAGGTCTTCAATATTTCACTCTGGTCCTTTCGTTCTCCTCCCGCTCATTGGAGGCGGTATGAATGATTGTCTCCAGCGCAGGATACTGGAAGATCTTTTTCCTCTGTGGGGCAAAAGAGGAACAATCATCAACGCTCACTCTACTTTCAGGTTGAAGGTTCTGTGTGAAACAATGGGCTGAAATCATAATATACTATAAAGGATATCAGTATAATGAGATATGGTAGCTTTGGTGAGGCAAAAGTCGAGCAAAGAACTTTCAAAACACGCCTTCCATCTCTACTTTTGCATCTCATTTCTATTTATTAAAAAAATCAAAGCTGATGTGTTTAATATTTACCCTTTGGTGGTTCTTGTACATTTGGACCAAAATCAGCACCAGAACAAACAGGAGTACGCTGAGTCCGACAATGATAGCTGTCTTTTGTGAGCCTCTTGATGATGATTTCTCTCCAGACAGGCCACCTTAGGAGAAAATAATTAACAAACAGTCAGAAAAAAGTGAAACATCATTTTTTTTGTACATTATCTTAAAGAATAAACGGCAGTAATCTCGCAGAATACTTACTCATCTGATGAAGGTGGTGTGTTACATTTCCCAAGACACCCTCTTTCCCGTAGAAACGGCACACCCATTCGCCCTGGTTCTCCTCAGACACCGTGTCGATGGTGAGAGTCTTTCCTTTCTGGATGGACTCAAATGACCGTGTGCTGTTCAGATCGTACACCACATGGACCCACTCATAGTACGTCACCTCGCTTGCGTCTGACAGTTTGCAGGTCAGAGTCACGAGGCCCTTTTTCTTCGACGAAAAGCTGCTTTCAGCTGAAAGAACAATGAGATAATATAATAAATCACTGACTGTACAAATAAAAAAGATTGTTTATAAGTTTAAATTGCTGAAGTTGAATGACTGACTTACTTTTGGCAACGACCAGCTGCATATTTCGAGTTAACCGTTGACTCGCAACAGTTGCAGAGCATCTGTACTTTCCTTCATCCTCAAACTTAACCTCTGTCAAACTTGCAGATATTTCCCAGGGGGTCTGGGAGGATGATGAGGATGGAGAGAAAGAAGAGGGGAGGCGACCAGGTACAGGTTTAAATAGAGATCCAGGTTTCAGCTTCTCCCAGACTGGGTTTGATGGGATTAAACCCGAGGAGAGCACACATGGAAAGTTGACTGTAGATCCGACGGCAGAGTACAGCTTGGTACTATCTTTGGATGGATTGATGATTCCTGTCAGAAATAAAAGAGAGGAAAACAGAGGAGTTTGAGTGCATTAGATGGTTAAAAAAGATGAACTGAATGGATTTATTTCTGAAGGAATCTCAGTTTTCTGCAGCTCATCATTCATACCATTCACAGTCAGAGATGCAGAAGCTCGTCCTATTTTCCCCTTGGAGATCACGACACAAGACCATTTTCCAGTTAGTCTTACAGTTGCCTTTTCCCTCACAACATTTGCAGGGGGTCCTCTGTTCACGATTGCTTCGGTCCTGGGCACATATGGGCTGTCGTTTAATGTCCAGCGCACAGTGACTTCGTTGGGCCAAGGGGACACACTGCAGGAGATTGAAACATCTTGCCCCGTGATGGCAACAGATGAAGAGACGTTCACTGTGAAACAACACAGACACAGATGAGATTATTGGCATATGAATAACTTCATTGTACAGTTTTTACTCTGTTTCTCCTTTTGGTTTTATGCTGATCAGAGTTTTAAATCTATCATATTAATCACAGTCTTTACACAGTTCTTATATGTTATTTTATAGTTAAGAAACTGTTTGGTGTCTTTTGTCTATTTATTAATAAACCCAACTAGCTTGATCCTTATTTTTTGTCACAACATCTGGGAGTTACCGCTGTTTTTCTGTCTCTTACCCTTAATGACTCTGAGCATGACAGTTTTTTCAGTGACCCGGCGTCCATATTCGATCCTGCACGAATAAACTCCTCCGTCGTCCTCCCTAACTTTAGTGATTTGCAGGCTGCAGTCGCCTCTTTCAAACCTGGAGGCCAGGCATTGTATACGGTGGATTCCCTTCTGTGACCAGCTTGAGTTCCAGTACTGCAGACCGCTCTTTTGCTTTCTCCACACAGTGCTGTGGACAGATGTCACAAACAATACAGTGTCATCAACATACAGATGTAATTTGAGGTTGAGATTGAACTAGGGTGGCAATTAACGCAAGAAATTGGAAGATATCCGAAGCAGGGACAGCAAACAGTAAAAGTCTTACCCTTTGTGGTTTTTGTTCCAGATGATGGCACGAGGGGAGCTGGATGTAGGGCTGCAGTCACAGGGTAGTACAGCCTGAGAGCCCACTTCAACAAGCACCTCAGTTCCCTCACACTGAGCCTCTGTGGAGGTAACAAACAAAAGAACTTTAGAAAGAAAACTTGCATCATTAACCTCAGAAAATTTTCATTATATCACAAAAAAAGATTTAAAAAAAAAATCAAAATGTACCTTTCAGAAAACAAACAACCAACCCAAGGATTAAAACCTCAAACAGCATCTTTTTTGTCCCCATTTTCCTCAACAAAACGTTGGCTTGTCCTTCACTGGGACTTCTTCACTCTAAAGTCTGTCTCTCTCAGCTTGAGATGTTCTTTCAGGTCAGTTTGGTTTTTATACGAGTCTGTGGGTGGAGAGTGTAAGGTAGTTCCCTCCCTTGATCATGTGACTTCAGCTACAAGCCGAGCTTTGATGCGGTCTGTCTTTGTCATCTCGGAAACTGTCAGAGAGATGTAAACAAGGGGACACACTTCCTCCCACGGATTCTCTCTCACCTTCATTGCTGTTTCCTTCTTCAAGTCGAACACAATTTTTCAAGGGCATAAAGTTTTTCAGCTTGTGAGCCAAAGCGTGCACAAGATCCTGGAGCTGTAGCATTTACAAACATGATTTTCTGTTTTTCAACCTTAACTGTACATTTTCTTCTTCAAGAAAATGCTCCCTTGCCAAATGATTGATAAAGAAGATTAATGCTATTTTCTGCTCCCTTCAGCGAAAACTATTTGGTTTAACAATGATGATACACAAACATGTTTACGAATGACCTCAGGATCATTCAAGGAAACTCTGGTTGTTGCTTTGAAACTGAGATGGCAAAAGTTCAAACCCAAAAAACCATCCCGTCACTCCTTTGTCACTGCCAGTCACTCGCGTTAGCAAACATCTGGTAAACTCATGAGTCTCGTACCATCATTATACGCAGCAGTGTGGTGAGAATGAGGCAATTTACTAAGGTATCTTCTCCTGATAGATTTTCATGAGAATGAATCATCCCCTCCATTCTCGCTTCTTTGTTTTCCTTTTCGTCAACTACGCCACCACCACTGCAACTGAAACAGAACTGCACTGTCGGTCAATGCTTCAGTCACAGACAGCAGTTTTATGTGTGTCAGTTTGTGTCAGAGAGGTGCAAATAGATTATGAAACTCCTTTAATTGAGTATTGTTCATAAAATTATATAAACAACATTCAATCCAAATCTTACATTTTCCCACAACCTGTTCAGTGCAGTTTATTGATGAGAACTGGTTATGTTGCAAATCAGGCCCAAACTGACCCAGTCAACCTAAATATAGGTGAACATTTTTGTCAGACATTTTTGTTGTGGTCCAAGATAAGACAAGTTGAGATAAGATAAGATAAAGTAAAGATAAATAAAACAAGATAAATGTAAATTTTTTAAGTAAATAAATAAGAGTGATGCAAGGTAGCAATGACATGTTATGCAGCAAGTAGCGGATTAAAGTAATAGTTAAAGTGATTTGGTTTAATATGGTAAATATAAAGTGACATGACACAATGATATGATGATAAAGTGCAACAAGTTCAACCCAGGGTAATGTGAATGTGGCATGATGTGTAAAACAGAAAAATGACACAAGGTACAATGTACAGTCAGGTAATAATATAATATAATATAATATAATATAATATAATATAATATAATATAATATAATATAATATAATATAATATAATATAATATAATATAATATAATCAGTCTAGTCTAGTGACCATCTCGTGCTGCTTACAGTACAACATGCTGCAACTCTTCCCGCACATGGCTTGTTATGCCATTAGTCACTTTTTGATCTATCTGTAATAGTAATATAGCTAACTGGCAAACAGTTTAATATCTAACGCAGACTCTGTCAGTCTGAATTCAAAGCGTGTGACAAACTTTGTTTTGAAGCTCGGTGTAGGGGGCCCCGAGTGTGACGCTCAGAGTGAGGTGGTCTTTCCTCAATCTGGTGTTGAATCATCTGTACTGTATTTGAATACAGGGTGAAAGTAGTGGGATGGAAAAGACCCCTCATATGGAAACTATTAAAATCTCAGAATGCTAGAATGCATCTAGCGAGACATCCTGTTGATCAGATGAATCTTTTCAGCGCACCTTACATTGATAAAGGAATAATTGAGGATATTTTTGGTGTAAAATTGTTCAGTGATAGGATCTATGAGGCAAAGAGTCAGCTGTTTAATTCAACAAGATCAGACAATTGGATTGTTTGAAATTTCAGCAGATGAAAACCTGCTGGAAGATATGAGGTCTAACAAGAAAGAGACATAGATGAAGATTGTGCGAGATTAACTGAAAAGGCTGAGTGTGTGTGGGTGAAACCAGAGAGCTGTTTTTTCTCGTTCTGAGGAGACTTTTTCTCTGGTAACAGCCATGTGGCTGCTGGAGAAGAGGTGTCTCACATTGTTTCATGTCATCCGCACAGAACTTCCTTTTCACACCAAACTGTCAGCCTGTAAATTTAAATCACTGTCAACCTTTGTTTTGAATATCAATAAGGGGGGGGACCCAATATGACAATCAATCAGAGTGAGGTGGTCTTTCCTCAAGCTGGTGTTTAGTCACCTACGCTGTATCTGAATATGGGTGGAAGTAGTATAAAGGAAAATGCCCCTCACATGGAAACTATCAAAAATGAACTTCAGAGAATACAGATGATGACTATGTTCATAAGAAAGGGTTTGGAAACTAGTCAAATCATAGTACTTCTTTAAAGGTTGAGTGTAAAATCTGTCGTTTTTTCCTGTGCTAAGCTGTCATTGTACTTTCAGTTGCAACACATATAATGCAATAAAACACATTCATGTAAAGGCTTCATTCACCGTGACTCTCAGTGAAACCAGCAGTGGTTTCATTAAATTACTTATATGATTATATCATATCATTAGATCTATATGTGTAGGTGATGAAAGATAAAGTTCCACTGAGTTTTACTGGCAGAGGAAGCAGAGCACAGTTAAAAAAAAAAAAAAAAAAAAAAAACTGTTCGCTGAGCAGTTTCAAAATTTCGCGACGTCAGCATTTTGTCCAGGGATGTGAAGTTAAGAGCTACGTGGGAACATGGTTGCATCTATGAGAAAGCAAAATGCATCATGATTGTTTGTTTTGGAAACTACGGGAAAATAAAGTTTGTTTTTGCTAATTCTTTGACAGATGCTTCATTCCTCTGAAAATATACTCCATGTTGATTTGTGATTAATTCTCCACACTGGGTATTTGCTCATGCAAAAAGGTCAAAATAACTAACTGCTAACTAACGGCATAATCTCTCAAAACAAACTAAAACTAAAAACCTAAAGATACACACTGCACACTAAGAAGAAAACAGACACTGTGCTGCACAGGCTCCAGCAGTGTGTTTATGTTTAAGTTGAATGGAATCTTATATTTTAACATGTTTTGTCTTGACTATATTTCCAAGCCCTCAGTGACGTTTTCTTAGCGATAATGAAAATAAGACAAAGATCAGTCTGAGTTTGGGTGCAGTTGTTTCTTAGAAAAATGGTAAATTATTCCACCCAGCCCTTTAAGACAGTAAGACTGAAAGTTTGTGGTGGTGTATTGTGCTTTTGTGTGTGTGTGTGTGTGTGTGTGTGTGTGTGTGTGTGTGTGTGTGTGTGTGTGTGTGTGTGTGTGTGTGTGTGTGTGTGTGTGTGTGTGCAAGAGAGAGAGGAAGACAGACTGAAAGAAAGGGAGAAATATAGAGAAGGGGAAGAGAGTTCCTTGTTTACTTTTTTATTTTTATTTTTCATTATCGTTATTATTATTATATTATATACTAGTGGATTACTGATTATATTGGTTTCTTCAAGTATCTTCTAATGAATCATTTAATAGTTTTCTATTAAACTGTTGTTGAATATATTGTTGTTTATTGATGGTTGTGTTATGTAGTTGAATGTGCACAATCATTTTTACTTTGGCAATAATGTTTTGATGTCAATAAAGCTCACTTGAATTGACTTGAATTAAACTGAATTGAATTAAATAGAATTATATATTTTATTCCAGCTAAATTGTGAGATTTGTTGAGATTAGTTTCTGTATGCTTAAAGCTGTCAAATCCTAAAACAGTGTACAGGTCTTAATATAAGTGAAATAGATGTGAGCGCCCTAATTGCAGTATTTATGTCTTTTTTCTCTGTGTCATTTTTTGTAGCTTCTAGTTAACTTTATTCATATTTGTCACAATAAGGCAAAAAGCAGAGCAGATCGAGGAACTTTGCTTCAAGTCAGCTGGATACATTAGGAGACTCATTTTGTCCGGTTCAAAAAAGGACCATTTCTCTTGTTGTTGTTTTACAGCGGATGGTAACCAATGTTAGATGTGCATTACCGCCACCTACCATGCAAGAGTGTGAGCCAGAGGTCCCTGCTCCCACGGGAAAATAAATTCATATTTGCTTTAAACTAAATTCTGTGTATTTAAAAACTCAAACACTGCTTTATACTCTCCTTTTCCCAGACTAAATAAATTCTTAAGGTTCAACACTCTCATTTCACTTTCCTGTAGTTTCCTTAAAAGAATTTCTCTTTGATTATTATACTTTTGACTCTTACATATAGCATGTCCCAAGGCATGAGCGAACTAAGCGCCTGCTTAGGGCCCCATGGCCAGGAGGGCCCCTTCAAGAGCAAACCAAAAAAAATAAAAACAATAATGATAATATTTTTTATTTCTGATGAGCAAATATACGTTATTGTTAAAATAAAATAAAAATATTTACATAACTCTGTTATGTGCCTTCTGCTGTGCAATATGCACTGAGCATCCAAAGCGCAGGTAGTTGTGGGGCAAAACAATGTCGCAAAAAAGGACATATCCTTCAGGAGCAGAGAAAAGTAAGAGGAAGAAGAGAAAAAACACCAAGATAAAGTTATGTTTGCATATCATGGAATGTTAATCAAAGAGATTTGTGGAGGTGTGTGAATGATCAACAATCAATATTATTGGCAGAAATAGAGGGCCCCAAAATCAAATTCAACTCAACTCCACAGACATATCTCCCTGTTAGATGTTTTCCAATTAAATACATAGTTTTGTTTAATCCAGTGTGACCTAGTCTTAATATAATTTCCATACTACCCACTTTTTGAAGAACCTTATTTCCACTGATCAATACAGTTTGTCCTTTGGAGTCGCTACCTCCCTCTGCTGGTCAGAAAACCTGGTAAAAAAAGGGACAAAACGATTGTTCATGCGCCTGTCTACATACACTACGGTACCAACGCTATGCATTGTGGGACGGTGTAATATGGAAGCGCTCGCTGTAAGCATGTCGAAGGCTCAATAACAAACAATTTACGCGATATAAAAACGACACACGCACTACTATTATCTGTGTTTAGCTGCTTTAAAGAGCTTCTTACGGGACAGGGTCGCCTCTGGACGCAGAAACTGGTAAAGTTGATAAAACTACATCTAGTGTTGCTAATGTGCTCGTTGAAGCTAACGCTAAGGGTCAATGCAGAGTTACACAGAGATGGAAAGCTGTTTTCATGACATTGACCACCTGAACATTGACGTTAAAAAATGATAACGTGCTTATTATTGTTATTATTTTTAGCTGTCTCGTCGAAATGTGGAAGATGTTTGGTGGGCTTCTGAGAACAGGAGGGTACCTCTGTCAGTCTGGGTCGCTGCTCCACACAGTCAGGACCTTTTCCACCGGTGAGTCCTACAGGGTCAACCAGAGACTTCTTCTGACTTTACTAATGCTGATTTGAATATAAAGGGATATTCCGGCGTAAAATTAAGTAAGAGTCAAACACACACCGAGTTTGACACCCCCTCGAAAGATGAATGTTTCCGAACGCTTGCTTCTCTAGTCATACCAACTTTAGTAGCAATATAGAGAGCCACGCGACTGCTGCGGGGTGACGCAGCTCAAGGTAGAACATTTATGATAATTTCTTTATCATTTCCTTGAAGTAATAATCATCATATTAATCATTTTGCACTGCAGACGCCGTAGTTCCTTTGCCTCAGCGTCTCGGTCTGATTGCATTTCCATTAAGAAATTGTCATAAATGTTCTTCCTTGAGCTGCGTCACCCCACAGCAGTCTGTAATGGGTTGGCCCAAGGTCTGGCTACAAACAAACTGCTGCTGGAAGAGAGTAGGTGAGTTGTGTTTAGTCTCTTTGCTAAAGAAATTAGGGAAAGTTAAAAAGATGTTTGGTGGCTAGTGCTATAGCTAGGACCTTATATGTACTGTTGATGAAGTTAGGTGCTGTTCTCAGCATTATTTGTGACTGGTGAGTGGTGTTTTGTTTGAGATTTGTTTATGGCTCCTGAGATCGCTGTGAATTGCTATCATGGGGTCTTCACTAAAGTTGGTATAACTAGAGAAGCAAGCGGTCGGCAACATTTGTCTCTCGAGCGGGTGTCTAACTCGGTGTTACAGTGTGTTTGACTCTTACTTAATATCCCTTTAATTCTGGATATGTCATCTTATGGTCTATTTACTTTATATTTCTATGAATTATGTCCCCCGTGGTAATGGTATGGCAAGCTACAAACTATCATTGTCTCATTTTGTTCTGTACTTTTGTTTCCTACTTACTTGAGATCATACTATTGGTCTCATGTCCAGGAATGAATGTGGAGAGGGGTCAGTGTATGATTTATAGAATATTTTACAACAGTATTAGTGTGGGTACAAATTTTGTTTTGTTTTGTACTGTTTTATTTGTTTGCTGTTTTGTCTGGATGGTTTGCCTCATATTTATCATAAGCAAACTACTAGACTTTTCTCACTTTGGTGTTACACTTTTTTTTTTTAAAGTTTAAAAAGACACACATACAAACAAAAAACATAGTAATATCCAGTTAACATTGATACAAAATAGTAAATGCAGCAAAAAACTTACATTTGCCAACTTACCAGCAAATATCCAATAACTATTTTAGTGTAGCTGATTTGGAAGAAATAGTTTGTGATTAATCTTATGCAGCGACTGATGTGCCCTCAAGAAAAATACACTTACATGAAACCATATGCTTTATTTAGGTACATGCTGCCAGATCAGGATGCATGCCATCCCTCAGCTGAAGAAGGTGGACAGATGGACTGAAAAGCGAAGCATGTTTGGAGTGTATGATAACATAGATATCTTAGGTAAGTGTCTTAAACTAGTCAAGAGACTAGAAAAAAAAATGTTTCTTCATTTTGTGTGTTAGAAGTTTCTCATAGTGTGTCCTGGCTTTTCATACATCAGTAACAAGATGCAATTATTACTTAAGGTGTGTCTCTTTTTAGTAATGATTTGTTCAGTACCAAGTTAGTTACCAAGTCAGTGCTTTAAAGCAATAGTACGCGCAGCAAGTTAGATGTCACTGACACCTACAGTTTCAAAGCAGTAAAGAAGAACTGATCAGCAACATAGCAAACAAACTATGTATACAAAGAGCTAGCATTTCTTCCTTTATGTATTTGGTTTATTTTGTTGGTGATGACTGTCAAACAACAACAAAGAAGAAAGATCTGAAGATTTCCCTCTATAATTATCAAAACTGAATGATCTACAACCACTGAGAGGTAAATGTTTTCAACTGACCACTGAAGAGAAAGTGAAGTATCATACATTCAAAGTCTGAAAGCCAATTTCCTCACCCTGCGACGTACAGAAAGATCAGATCTCATCGTCACACACTCAGTACACCGACAGAACCTGATGTCCTCTCTGCCTGTCTGTCTGCAGGGGACTTTAAGGCTCATCCCAAAGACCTAATCATTGCTCCCTGCTGGCTGAAGGGGTTCAAGGGTAATGAACTGCAGCGACTGATTAGAAAGAAGAAGATGGTGGGAGACAGAATGATGACCTTGGACAGACACAACATGGAGAAGAGGATTCGCTTCCTTTACAGACGCTTTAATCGTTACGGGAAACATCGCTAAAGTGGCGAACACAGTGCCGTTAAATACCTTGGCCAGCCTTTAAGGACTGCTCGAGTATTACTGAGTGATTTCATACTCTTCTAGCACTGTTTTTTTTCCACTTTTTCTAAGTTATCATACATATATGTATATTGCTGACATACTTCCTGTATTTGTTTGTTGATTAGTTTTATATTCTGTTAAATTTCCTGACAAACAAACTATAAGAAAACAACCTTAAATAAACAGTGTAAAGATGAACCCAAAAAGTGTTGTTTTATTCATCCTTACATACACAAACTCTTGAAGTTCTCAGACGGTCTTTGCTCATATTTTTAGATGCTGCAATTGTCAATAGTTGAAACAAGTCTTTGTCAGATCAAGTCAGCTTTATTAACGTAGTACTTTAAAACCAAACAAGGTTGACCAAAGTGCTTTATAAAGTAGAAAGGTACAGCAGGGCAACACTAAATACATCATATTTACCTAGAATTAGTAAAAGGTAACAGGACAATAGTCTCATCTCAAAGCAAGGACAAAGAAGAGATGGGTGTTCAGAGTCGATTTTAACCGTTCAGGAGTGAAGACAGATCATATTAAAAGCTATTCTACAGCCTTGTAGTGTCTAGTGCAAAGGCTAGATCGCCCCTGGTTTTTAGCTGAGTGCTCTATTTACTAATGGAAAGATGAGAAATTCCCAACCACTGAGTCCACAAGTCAGCGACAGAGATCAGAATTCAGGGAAAGTTGATTTTGCTGACTGATTAAATATGAGCGAAAGCACACATTATTGAACATGGGTATGCACATATATTAGATTTTTCGTCACAGGAGAGGTACCTTGGCAGGTTGGTGGTACTACACATGAATATTTACAATTTAACAAACATGATAGTTTGGAGCAAGATGTATCAGTCATTTTGGGGTAGTTGTCACATGTTTAAAAGGGAATTAAATTAATGTAGAGAGTCTGCTTATCAGTTGTCATGATGAAATTTTGACTGTATTTTTACAGAAAAAAAGTGGTTTAAAGGAGAGGAGAGAGCGAGAAGACATGGTCAGGAATTGCAAAAGAAAAACAACATGGCAGTGCAGTACCTGACATGATGCTGAGGGCAGTCAGACAGGTGACCCTAGATAATAAATCAATCTAGAGTGCAATTAAGGACGTTAATGTCAACTACCATAGTACTCAGTACTGCAAAACATTCACCCCAGCCGAAATACAGGGTCAGACAGCTATCCAAACTCCAGAGCATGTTGCAGAATAATTTATGTTAATGTTTGTTCAATGAATTTTTCTATCTTAATGATCAACATTTTCTGTGCCTGACTTTGATGTTCATTTTGAAGTTAAAAAAAAAGAGAACAACAATCATTTTGTCCGTGTTTTATTAGCAGCAAAATCCACTGTGACATCTTACCCCATGTCCTGAGACAATTTACACGATGGTGGGACAACATGTCACATATTCACTCTCTCTATTTGATTGCTTATAACTCAGCACTGTCACATGATATAAAAATGACATGAATACAAAATTTATACCTGAGACTTTGGTCTTTCATCTGGTACACATTTTGTTTATATATGATGTATTGATTGCAAGAAATATACAAGAGTGTAAAAAGTGTGACGACAACAAGCCCGGTCTCCCCTATGTCTTCTAAAAGGTCTGATTATGTGGATCACAAGAGAAGGATTTGTAACCGAATATGTCAGTGTGCAGCATCAATATGTAAATAAGAGTGGGCCTCTAGTAAATCACTAATGATTTCCTTTCTCCCAACAGGATCATATTTCATTTTCTTTTAGATCCTCTAACATTTCTTTTGTGTTTTGGGCCCAAAAGTAGGACTCCGTTTGGGATTTAACACAAGCATAGCAAAGGGAAACTGTATCAAGAGAAGGGGGTGTGTATTGGGACAATCCCAGGCAGGCTGGGGGGAAAGAGTCGAGTCAACAATCTGTACAGCATCCACTGTACCGCAGTGTCTTCCTGCCGCCCTATCCGACACAGAGAGCTGCAGTACTGCAAAGTGCGAGGAGAGAGAGAGAGAGAGGGAGAGAGGAGGGGGGAGGAGGGGTACCGCACCGTCGTTACGAGTCCAAGTGGAGGAGGCAGGAGGAGAGACGCATTATTGCAGTAGCCTACAGAGCCACAGCACTTTGCACAAGACGCACCGCCGAGGAGAAAGAGAGGAGGGGGTGACGGAAATTCAAGAGAGACAGACAGACAGACAGCTGATTTCTCATGAGTGGACTTTTTCTCCTTTGCCCCACCTTTATTTTGAAATTACACACATTAGCCAGAAGGTTTTAGAAGAAGCGACTAAAACAACCAATCAGCGCCGCTGCTGCATCTCTGGAAGGACTCAGCATCTCTTGAAGAAGGAGCAGGGATTTCAACAGAGGCGGATTTTCCCTTGAATGGATTATAATTCAGAGGTACTTTCCTCTTGAGCCCGCGCTGCTCTGCTCCACTTCCCACTCTTCCGTGAATTATCACAGACTCGTTTCACGCACACCGGTATTGCGGTACTTTGCTGACGACTCTCAGTAGCCTATAAATGCATCGCTAGGAGATTGGCTCCACTGCGCCAACACCCCCCGCATCTGTTTACTCTTGGTAGGGCACTTTTATCATTTTGATCACTGAGAATTTGGGCCTTTTGAAGGAAGTATCGAAAAATCCCATCTTTTCTCTCCTATCTTGCTGTTTTTTCCTCTTTTTATTGCACTTCAGACCCTCCCTCTCCTACCTCGCAGCGCGTCACCCCTCCTCCTCCTCTTCCTCCTCCTCCTGCTGCTGCCCGTGAGTCACTTCAAACAGCTGCATAGAAGATGTAAGTATTGATGCGGCTTTTCTGCTGCGTTTTTTCTCCTAAAACAAATATACAAACTATTTTTTAAACAGTTGCATAACTCTGGATAAAAATCACTTTCATTTGTTGTGTACATTTGAGGCTGGCAGGGGTCTGAAACTGAGCTGATCTCTTTCAGGTTGATGGATTTTTTGCTGACGCAAGTGAAAAATTCCGTCACAGCATCACTAAATAATGTATTCAGAGGGTGAAGACGGCCTCTCCACAGCCTCAGATAGAGTAAAAGTAAAGCCAGAGAGAGAGTCAAACTGAGATGTAGCCTATCTGATACTTTTGTACCAGCGTACACACAAAATATAGACATTAATGTGATTTCTTTAGGTTTCGATATTTTTGTCTCAGTATGATCCTTACAGTCCTGCAGGAGTCAGTCTCTTCTCCCAGAGGAGCATGTTCGCTGCTCTGTTTTCAGGCTCCTGTACTCCCTCGCCCCCTCCTGCATTTATCATTCCCCTCTTTTTCTGCACACCACCTCTCCTCACTTTTTCATTTCTGTCCCTATCCCAGATCTCCTCTCCAGTCTCTCATTCAGCAGTCTCTAACTTCTACTCTTCTAGCTCTCCATCCATGGCTTGAATGTTTTCTCATTTTCTCTCTCTTCTTCCTCCCTTCACCCTTTATTTTAACTCTCCTTTTCACAAACCGTTTTCTCGTTTTGTTTTGCCATTACTATCTTCCTTTTCTTAAACTGTCACTCACTCTTCACCTGCAGATCGGAAAGTCATGTTTAAAGTCATTTCCTTCACCTTGTGCTCCGTCTTAGGTCTGCCCCCGATGCTGCCCCTGCTGGAGCCCCTGGTGCTCCAGGAGCCCCTGGTGCAGATGGAGCCCCCTCCGGCCAACCTCCTGCCCCACCCAACACCTCTAGCAACCGCAGGCTACAGCAGACACAGGCCCAAGTTGAAGAGGTGAGCCGGACTAAGAATCATGACCAAAGTTCGGTCATGAAATAAAAACAAGCAGTGTTTGTACTGGAGCAAAGACAGAGTAGCATGTAAGCTTATTTGTGTTCCTGTTTTCTTCTTTTTCACCTTTATATGTTGAATTTGTTTGGTTACAGTATGTTTATGGATCAAACTACATATTTACTCCAATCTATAATGTTTAACTTTGGAAACCTGTCATCCCCACATCTAGTTTTTATTGTTTTTGTTTTTCTTCTATTAAATTAAACACTATCATGCTGTGATATGGAAGCAGAGCAACGACATTTCCTTACAGAGAGGAATCACTGCTGTGTTTTATTCTGTGCAATGACAGTTAAAGAAAGTCTAAATCAAAGTCTCCCCTGAGTGGCTTTGTTTTAATATCTCAACCTTTTTGTCTCCCATCATTACCCCTGCTGTACGCTCTCTTATCCTCGCCGCTGGTTTCTAGGTGGTGGATATCATGCGGGTGAATGTGGACAAGGTGTTGGAAAGGGACCAGAAGCTCTCAGAGCTGGATGACAGAGCGGATGCTCTCCAAGCCGGAGCCTCCCAGTTTGAAAGCTGCGCAGCCAAGCTAAAGAACAAGTACTGGTGGAAGAACTGCAAGGTGGGCACATTAGTGAGGCTCCATTAGACAGATTGTTGTTACTGAAAGATACTCAGTGCAGTCAGAGTCTATATAAAGAATACCCTTGTTAGCATGTGCGGGGTTGCACAGTGAATTGAGTATCCTCAGCTCTTTTATTCTACAGCATGTAACTCACTCCACGGTTTGTGGTGCACTGAGGCAAACAACACGCCACACATCAATCTGTTAATGAGCTGCTGTGGAGGAACGAACAGATGCTTTGGAGAATGTGGTTATAGAGATTCTCCGACTGAGTCTGCAGCACAGTTTGGTTTTGTAGATGTGTCTTTGTCGTCTCCACACACAGCACCAGCTTGTCTTGACTACCTTTTTTACACATACATCCTAATGCATTAACTGGTTTTTGGTCTCTTCTCTTTGCAGATGATGATCATGATGGGTATTATTGGAGTCATTGTGGTTGGAATAATATTCTGTAAGTAACTGCTCATTTACAGAGTTTCATTTATTGACAGATTAACGAATTCATATGTGGGTCGTTTTATGAATCGCTGTTAATGAGTAGCAGATGGAGTAGAGGGCAGGGGTATTACTCTGCCAGTATTACATCCGTGTGTGTTCATGCTGTTAATGATGTGTATTTGACTGTGTTAGACAGCGCTGCCAGGTACATTTAACACCAGGATGGTATTTGTATTTCTGCTCTCACTTGTGTCTGGCCTGTGTACTTCTGCTGTATCTGTCAATTATTCATGGCTCCTTATTACAGTAAATTATTGATATAAATCCAGTTAAACCAGTTCTGTTGCTAAAAACAAACCTTTAAACGCAACATATAAGCAGAGCTGAGCTGACTGTACTTGTTTGTCTTGGAGTGATGTATCACCAGATCCATTACACTAATGACTCCCTCTCTCCTTCGTTGCAGTGTACTTCTTCTACTAAGCTCAGCCCATCTATAAAGATGGATATGGACTTGAGAATGATATGAGGGGAGAGAAAAAAAAAGAAACCTAAACTCCCCCTGTTATCCTTCCTCTCTTCACACAGTCTTCCATCAAACCATCCTGCACTTAAACATGACAGTAGTGTTTCTGGGTGTCTCTGCTCTCTTTGTCCCTCCCTTACCGTCGCTTTCTTCCGCTGTTTTGGTCTTGCTCACTCTCTCCTGTCTCTGCACCTCATGTATTATTGAAGGACGCAGCAGGGCGAGTGAAAGGGGGAGAAAGAGAAGAAAGGAGGGAGAGAGAAAATTCTCATGACACAGGAACATGTGGGGCTGTACGAAGCTATAGGGGGAAATGTAAAGATGGTGAACATGTGCAGGGGTAAAAAAAAAAATAAAAATAAAAAAAGAGTTAGCAGTCCTTTTTATTCCGGATACGCCAAAGCTTGTCCATGTTACCTTTTTTGAGAGTCCTACATTTGTAAATTGATACTTACATGCCAAACTAACACACTCCTTCTGTCACTACCGCTAGCCTCTTTGCTAATTACTAACACAAAGTCATGTTAGATTAAGATTATTAACATTTTGTTGTGTGTGTGTATTTGTGGTCGAATCATCATTGCTCATGTTTAAGTTTTGCTGACTGGTTTTCCTTAGTAGCATCGCGGATTATTTTCTGCTAAGATCACCCTTTGTTAGACATTTCAGCAAAGTACAAATGAGAGAAAAATAATTGTAAGAAATGTAAGAGATAGTGTGAGGGTTAAATGATGGTGAAAAGTGTTTCAGGGCAAGAAAGTAACGGTACTGCAGCATTATATCTGTGTCTTTTAAGTAGTTGAATAACTATGCTTTATTATAGCATAGTAACATGCACAGTAAGACAAGTAGCCACTAACAGACAATCTAGTGTATTCTCGAGGACGGAGGACAGGTCTCTTAACTCTGACTTCAACAGAGTCACAGCCATAGACAGATGAATGTGTCGCATCACATTTTAAAGAGGTTTAAATGCCAACCTATTTCGAAAGTTGAGTAGACAAAGCATTTATTTGTTTGTTGTTTATATTAACTTGATCTTTAAAAAAGGAGAACAGGAGATGGACATGACTTTTGACAGCCAGAGCTCCCCTCACATAAACACAGACTCACCTGTCACCTGCAGTCATGTTAACAGCCAAACTGAGGTGTTTGTTTCTAACTTGCATGGTTAACGGTGTCCATAGTTTTGCCTCTTTGTGTGACCTCTGTATCTGCCATTTCTGAATCTAACTGCCGATTGTACATTTTCTTTTGTTAGTGGTCCAAATGGCCTGTGTATAATGTCTTTCTGATCTGATAATTACTGCTTATGCAATGCAATGATGCTCAAGAGTTTGCCAAATTCTGTTGAATTCACTTGCTTTTGAAAGAAAAACAATATTCAGAGACTGCAAACAACCGCTACTATAGTGAACTGTTAAACCCATGTAGTATTGTATGGATAGAACAATAGTTAACATCCGTCAGGTCATGCTCCTGAAGAAGTGTTTCTAATTCTTTCAGGGTTTTGGGGGTTGTTGGACTCAAAAAAGACTTTCTCCTCTTAGACTTGATTTTGAGTCGATAGAATTAAGAAAGAAACGTTAAATGCAAAAAGGGATGGATGCATAATTGTAGCAGTTAGCTATAATTCTCTGACGGTACTGTACGACAATATCATCATGTGATTAGCAGACATACTGAGAGACGTGATGATGTTTGCGATTTACAACCCAAAAAGGCAGAGAAAGATGCAACTGGATTTGTGAAAAACAAATGCATGCTTACCACTTTTGCTGATGCAAATAAACAAATCACTGACAAACCTGAGTGCTGATCTTTATTGCAGATCCTTTCAAGACGTTATGTCACATAAAACCGCTTTGAAAACCTTTTTTTACAAAGCTCATAAAAGAGTTAAATCAACATCACACTTGAAAAGTAAACAAGAACAGCAAATAGTACCAAATGTACAAAAAAAAACAACATTAAAATAATTTCTGCAACATAATCTTTGACTCCTTTTTGACCAAATTCCTAGTCCATATTGGTCAACATTGGTTTGACGGTGTTGGTTGAGGCTGAATGTTGCTCAGACTGAAGCCAATATTCAAATAGTTGCATATCTGAACTAAAAAAACTATTTATTAATTAATGGGTAGGTCCATGGGGCTTGTGCAAATGTACTAAATTAACAATTTATCATTTTTCACAGTAAAAACAAAGCGAAACACTACAAAGCATTCTGTTACCCTCAAACTTCTCAAGTATTTACAAGTGAGTTTATTGAAATTTTACAGCCAAATTAGCTAAAACTCCTCTGAATAATGAGACCAGTTTTGGTTTCATTGCTAATTCAACCTCAGCTGTGTTTCCTTCTGCAGGATTGAAGTTACCTCCTGGATTTTTATGATGGACAACAACATATTAAACATGTTAAACTCTGTACATATGAGCAAACATGTTAAACTCTGTACATATGAGCTGCCAATAGTAAGATTTCAAAATCTGACATATTTGTATAAATCAAAATAGTTCAATCATGTGGCCTAATTTAGTTAACTGATAAAAATGTGAAATAAATGATAAAAATAAGCCAAAAAACCCCTTACTGCAGCTTTAAAAAGGCAAACCACCATCATTGAAACTCATTAACAAAAGGTGATACAGTGATGATCCAGTGTGACATTTCTTGTTATATCAGAGAATCAGAAGAGTAAGAGGGGCCACTCATTGCTTTGTCATGAAATAAGTTAGAATATTAACACCGATAAATGACACACAGAAAGTCCTTACAGGCTCAGTTTCAAGTCTGGATGATCTATGAGAATATTGCTAACGGACCTGTCTGATGCACTGGTAGAAGAACAGCACAGTGACGATCAGGAAACCCAGAAACCACCAATAAGAGGCTGTAAATGAGGAACACAGAAAAAAAGGGTCACAAGTGATCATAAGTTAAAGTTCACAGCATGCAAATGAATAATCTAAGGACACAATAAAGTTAGTTTTGATATCAAAAATGTTTATCATGAGGTCTGACGTCTTAAAATAAAGTCACTGATAATTACTGAACACAACAGCTACATGTGATGTAGCATAAGAGACTCCTGCAGGTTTAATATATGTTCAATTAAAAATAATATCAACATTCAAATCATTTTTATGAAAAATGGTAGAGCTGTAGAAGAACCATCATGCTTATGAGCAAAGCTTTATTTCACTTTGTCACTTTAGTCTGTAGTTAATTTCTAAATGATCTCAACTCTCTCCCTGTGAGTGTCTGCATCTCCATCTTGTTTTTTTTTTGTGGATTTTTAATGCTGTTTAAGGTGAAATTAGAAAGAGATAAACTGCAAGACCTTTAAGCTAAGACATGATGTTAAAAAAGGGGCTTTTATTGCAGCTTCACTGAAAAATTGATGCTTTTTTTCTCTAAATATGCAAAATATACAAAACAATTTTTAACCTTCTTAGCTGCTATTTTCAGACAAAGTCGTGAATTACCGCAATAAAAAAATAGCCAGCAAGGAGCACTTCAAGCTAGGAACAGCATTCACATGCAAATACCTGGCTGTGGACTTTCTACCACCACACTGAGAGAGAGAGGAGCCTCCAGGGCAGAGTGGGTGACCTTGCAGATGATTTTAGTTCCAGGAGAGACGTCAGGGGACACAGAGAGGTGGGACGACAGGGAGTATGTCCCGTCACCATGCTGCCGATGGCTGGACAAAGCGCCCTGATGTGGAAATGGTGAGGGCTCTGTGTCCGTAGGAGAGAGGGATAACCACTCCATCTGATGGGCAGAGGAGAGAGTTGGCATAAAAGGGTAAAAAATGAATCCCTCTATCTTTTTTTGGTTTGGTAGCTCCATAAAAGTCACTTGGGTGCTTAATGACAAGCTGGCATAAATATATTGTAAATGTTAGCCGTAGACTACGAATCTGTTTTGACAGACCTGGACATCCAGCGGGTGGTACTTCGCACAGTGGCAGCTCAGTGTTGTTGGTGACTTTGCATTCAAAACCAACGTCTCCTCTGAGAGTGACACGTGAGGGGGCTCTGAAACAAAGAAAAAGAAGGTAAAGGAGACTTAGACAGCAATCTGCAGTTTTCAAATACAAGCAATCAAGGCGAGACTTACGAATGACATGGAGATGAATGACCTGCTGGGCGTTAATAAGTCCAACACTGACAGTGCAGATGTAAGTTCCTTCATCCGAAACCTTCAGTTTGGTCAGAGTCATAGAGGCGTTTCCTTCACTAACAACCAGGGCAGAGTCCACATTCGACCCTGTCCTCTCTGTGTGAACTGAAGACAGGAAAGATTCAGCGTCATATCATATCACTTGGCCCTCACAAGCAGACTGAATTTTCTCGGTAGGAGTTCTGAACAGTTTCAGACATGTTTACTTAAATCTATTTCCTGTCTGATTACCTGTCTGTGTCACATTCTCGATTCTGATTGGTCGAGTGTCCACTTAAACAGTTATCAATTCTCAATAGCCAAAGGAATGCCAAGAACAACTTCATCACATACATCATTTATTATCAGTCTATGAGGGAAAGTTTAGTACATATCTAATACATTTCTCCTCTGCCTGTTGACACTGTGGCAAAAAATTAGTTTATATCCCTAGCTGGTCTTGAAAGTTGGATTATAATAAAAGTTACCGGACCAGAAGACCTTTGGATTAATGCTACGTTCAAGTTACCTCATAAGTCAGATGTCTGAGCTGGGAATGACGTCACACCTGAGATTCCAGCATTTCAGTTACCAAGTCAGAAAAAAAGCAAAATCAGAGGTGGAAACAAGATGGCTACATCTATGTAAGTTATTTTACCGCCTGCCTTGTCCTTGCTTATATTAGAACAAGGTAAGCGTTAAAATTACTTTCGTTGATGTGACTTGGTAACTGAAACGCTGGTAACTCAGGTGTGGCGTCATTCCCAGCATTCACCAGCATCACAATTCTTGTGATTTTAAAGGTAATTTATTGATATAACATCATGATAATTTATTGCCAAAATTCGCAATATATAAATATTGAATATTGATACTTATTCTGGTGCGTTATGTTCATGTAATGTCAATGGTTGGCATGTTACATGCCCGAGTTCATACTGTGTGTCTCTACAGAGCAACAGTCTTTTTTGTTTCATGCTAAGATGATCATCTTTTGTTCGTGAAAATTTGTAAGCAGTCCTAAAAACTTCACAAATAATTTGCATTTAGAGCCTATTTGCTTTTATTTTTTCATGAACTTCCATGCTCCTTCTGCAAGCTTGTCCTTTAGTACTATCATCAATTCTCCCCAGGCCATAAACAGTCATCTTCAGAGTTTAAATCCCCCCTAAGACCACTGATGACTACAGCAGCCCATACACATATGTTTAGGCAGCACTTACCCACTGCGCTCCCTTCTGCATCATCCAGCCTTGTCGTCATTTCAAGCACTTTTCTCCCCTTCCCTCTGTGCTGCAGTCGCCATTCAATGCCCACCTCCTGCGTCAAGGGGACCTCCTGCTGCTTGAAGCCACAGTTTAAGAGTACATCACCTCTCAGATGTGCAGATACAGACTTGATGTGGGTGAAGACCAGGAATATCACTGAGGGACAGCAGCAAAGACAAGAGTGCAGACAAATGAGTGAAAACTGAGTTCAGTCTGTCAATAAAACAAAGACCTGAAACAACAGTGAACAGATGAGTGGGATCTCACCCTCAGTCAGAAGAGTTCCTGATTGGCTCAAAGGCAGACCCAGTTTGTTTTGTACGAGGGTTGACTGGTCTGTCTGCACCCCCAGAGTCTGCAGGATTAGGGAAGTGCTGAACCCAACTTCCTCCACGCTTAGGGACACCATGAAATAAGCTGCATCTGAACTCTCTTGGGATCCATAAGGAGTGTAGCTGCTTATTTCACACATCACCTCCTGCTCATTGCAGTCTGCATGGAGCAGCACGTCTGCGTTTGGGATCTCAAGTGATGACACTTTCACAGAGGGATGAGAGAGGAAGTTTTTAAGCAGGTTACGTCAATGCTGGTGCAAACTTCTGACATAGAGCAATTGGGATACCTTTGACTTCTAATAGGATCAAATCTGGATCAGGTACTGAAGGTGGGACAAATGGGGTGTATGTTTCAAGTGATTCATCAGCTGCCACTGAGATGTCTTTCAAGACAAGAGTGGCAGGAGTCCTGGTGAAGAGTGCACCGCCCATTCCCACCATACCAACTCCCTCCTCTACGAGAGTGCAGGAGAGGACCACATCTGCAACACCTTCAGCTGAGACAGAAGGACAAAGAAAACCCATCTAAGTAAACTTTATAATATTTATGTATGATCTGGAGTAACATTTTGCTATAAAGAATGAACAAATACACAACAACCACCACCATAGGTTAGTATTGTGAACACAATCGGCAAAAAACAAATAAATATATAATTATGATAATAACAGAACAAATTCAGGCAGACAAAAAGGTTAAGAGGTCTGTTATTTTCCTAATATCATACTATAATAGGTCTGGAAAGGATACTATGCAATATGGTGGCAATTACAGATAAATAAAAGCAGAAGTTTTTGAATATTATTCAGTTTAATGAGTTAAAGGTTAACTAATTTTGGGCATGGTACTTCTAGGAAATTCAACAAATAAAAAAATGCAAATTAAATTTTCATGAATATGATAAATATTACTCAATCACTTGTCACTCCTAATATTTGTATGCAGGTGCAGCTCAAAAAATTAAAATGATCATGTTCAAAAGTGAAACTTCCATATATTCCTGATTCATCACACTTGTTCAAAGAAGGATTTATAACACAGAGGTGTGGAACTTCTGGCATGGATGTGTAATGAAGACAATCAGTCTGTTGCTCTGCTGGGGTTGCTCTGATTGCTCCTTCAGCTCATCTGTATTGTTGGCTCTGGTTTCTCTCAGCTCGCTCTTGGTGATACCCCTAAGATTGTCTGATAGGCAGACCAATCAAGTGCAGTAATACCATGGTCAGCAAAACTAGTTTTTGGTAGTTTTAGTTCAGTGGGCACTAGGCAGGTGTCAGGTCCTGCAGGAAAAGGAAATCTGGATCTCTGCAGAGCTTCTCAGCAGATGGAAGCAAGAAGCATTTTAAAATCTCCTGGTAGACTTCAGGTTGTGTGGACTCTGGACTTGATAAAACACACAAAACTAACACCAGCAGATGACACGGCACCCCAAATCAACACAGACTTTGTGATATTTATGCCTCTCAAAATATTCTTCCAGACTCTGAGGTCTTGATCTCCAAATAAGACGCTAAATTTACATTCATCTGAAAACAGGACTTTGGACCCTGAGTCCAGTTCTTTCTCTTCTTAGCCCAGGTGAGACTGGGCTCAGACTTGGCAGTAGGAAAATGACACTTGTGGCCCATTTCTATGACGTGTCTGTTTATAGTGGCTTTTGATGCACAGACCCCAGCCTCAGTGCACTCCTCATGTTGTTCTCTCACCAGATTGAGAAAATAAAGGCTCAGTAAACATTTGCAGGTGTTCAGAGTTAATAAGCTGATTAGAGCTCTTTTCAGGACTGAAATAACTGACAGGAAACTGGACTTTGACACAATAGTCAAATGTTTTGAGATTTATGATTTTCGAGAACTGTAAACTGTAATCATCAAAATTCAACCAAAAAAGTCTTTAACCTTATACTGCCTGAAACCACAAATTATGCCCAGAAAATCGAAATTTTTTGGAGCTGAAATGTTTACTTCACTTACTACTGAAAACCAAAAAAATCAAAATGTCCCTAAAATTTTACAAATATATTAATTTATCTCGTTTGATACATCAGATGTTTCTGGCAACTTATAAACCACAAGAGGAAATTTTTATCATTTATTGGACTGTGTTAAGGAGGGTTTTTAGTAATTTGTTGATCACATTGATTGATAGAAGTTTTATAAAATTATGTATCAAATATGATACAAAAGGCAATGAAGGGTTAAGTATTACACTTAGTATTTGATTAATCTATGATGGAAAAAATATTATTATTATTATCCTCAAAATTATTATCATTTAAGGAAAGGACAGTCATTTTTGTGTCTGCATCTGTATTATGTAGGCCAACAGACAAGGAAATCCTGGTTAAAACCAGGCAGGCAGTTCACTCCGTCCACGTCTCATAAAGAAAAGGCTGCAAAATGAACGCAGAAAATGTTTTCCCTATAAACTAAAACTAAAGTTTAAAGCCACAGAGCCAAATAAGACCTAACCAAAACTTTAAGATGAATGCACTTTTGTAAAAACTTATTTTACGACCCTCAAATGTAGAAACTGTGCTTCCAGGTGTCTGTGAACAATGCTCTTACCACGGACGCACGTCAGGAAGCTTCCAACCAAAATGACTCCAAGAATCATTGTCAGGGTGGGTCGTCTTCGTGTTTCTATAAACTAAGAATTTCACGGCCAAATACTGACCTTAAAGCAGCTCTTTAGAAGAATTTACTGCCATCAGCACACACGTCCCATCTAACTTTCACTTTTGATTTCAACAACTACACGCGACACACTTGAAAATACAGGAACAGTTTCTCATGCACCACATCGATAATATGCCTGACTCCTGTCCTGCCGAGGGGATGAATGAATCCGATGTAAATTTAACACTGGAAGTTGCAGCACTCAAATATACATGAAGTTTTCTTCCTGTGTTGCGCATGTGCAGATGAAAGCAGGAAGGGAACGAAAGTAAAAGTGAACGCGCGGAACTGTCCAATCACAGAATAGCAGGGACTGGATCATCGGTCACTATGGAAACATTTAGCGTCTTTAACATAAAAACTGAAATATTATAGCTTAGTTTTATGAAATATTTGGGGTAAAATGGGTCAACTTCACTTGGAAATATGTGAGGGTTTTTTATTTATTTATTTTGTGGACATCCAATTAATCTGGTTGTCATGTGGTGAATAAAACACTTGTATGTTCACTTGTATGTGATTTTGCGACTTTCTGGGGGGGTGGAATGCATCCCGGGGAAGACTTTTCCTGAGGAAAGTCCCGCCTCCTTCGCCTCTGATTGGCTAGAAAATCTGGACACGTCATGAAATTGTGGTAACAACCGTTAGCTTTCGTTATCAGTTAACAGATGAAAGTTAAAACAAAGACATTTAGCAAACTGTTAAAGCACACAAACTATCGTCATATGAGAGATCCGATGCTATGACACTAGTTGTCCTTCAGGTCGTTATCTTTGTAATGTTTGTGTATTATCAAAAAGCACTCTGTTCTCAGACGCGTAAACAATCAGCTGGTCGGCCATGTTGGATATACCGGTGAATCTGACATCGCAACAACACACTATGTGATTGGTCAGAAGTGGACACACAGTATGCGAAACTTTAGAAAAATCGACCATGATCTGAAAAAATAAATGCTGCAATATCGCAGGACAGGAAAACGTCGTTGATGTGAACCCTTGTATTGACAGGATACGGGTTCGAAAAAAAATATAGACATTCAAAATAATCGCACGACAAAAACGGTCCCAGTGTGAAAGGACCTTTAGTTGTCACAAGTTTAAAATGGATTAAAATTAATGTAGAGAGTCTGCTTATCAGTGGTTGTCATAATGAAATTTTGACTTTATTTTTACTGAAAAAAAAGTGGTTTGAAGGAGAGGAGAAAGCAAGAAGACATGGTCAGGAATTTCAAAAGAAAAACAGAACATGGCAGTGCAGTTCCTGACATGATGCTGAGGGCAGTCAGACAGGTGACCCTCACTAATAAATCAATCTGGAGTACAATAAAGGACTTTAATGTCAACTACCATACCTTGGCTCAGCAGTGCAAAAACATTCAACCCAACTGAAATACAGAGTCAGACAGATCTTCAAACTCCAGAGCATGTTGCAGAATATTTTATGTTAACGTTTGTTCACCGACTTCTTCTTGCTCAATGATCAACATTTTCTGTACCTGACTTTGATGTTCACTTTTAAGTAAAAAAAAAAAAACGGAACAACAATCATTTTGTCCGTGTTTTATTAGCTGCAAAATCCACTGTGACATCTTACCCCATGTAGTGAGACAAAATCACAGTGATGTGAATTAATGTTACTTCCCACCCTTGAACATAAGTCATATTATAAAGACATAAAGACAATTTTTTCACTGTTTTTCAGCTTTCATTCAAAGCTTTGTCCATTTTTCTGGCACAGGTTGCTCAAATCTATACAATACTGATTTTAATTAAGTTTTAAATTTATAATAAAGATGTAAAAATAAAACTGCGGCTCATTTATTTAGGATGAGTGGTTTATTTTGATCTTGATTTTTGTGGATGTCATTGCTTTTATTCGTACATTGTCGACTCACATAATAGATAATCATTCATCAGTTTTCATGCATAGTCTTATTGATCCAGCCCACATAGTTGGTGACTTTGGTATATGCTCCATATACTCCCTTGAGCCCACAGCCAACCCCCCAGCTGACAATCCCACCAGCCCAGTACTGTTTACCATTCCACAGGGCAAAGGGGCCTCCACTGTCACCTTGACAAGAGTCCTTCCCACCCTCTGGCCTTCCAGCACAAAACATGTTATCTGTCAGATCAGGTACATTGCTCCTCCTCGTCTTCGCCTCGTTCATTGAAGTATGGCATCTCTCCTGATCCACCACTGGGAGCTCCACAAATTTCAGCGTATTTGTTGACAGCCTTCCTTGACCACTGTCTATCTGGCCAAAGCCTGACACCACTCTGTTAAAGGAAAAAAGAAAAGTAGAGAAGAAAAGTTATGGTCAACCTACAGGGGGAAGCTAAAGACATGAATGGAGCATAGAAAGTTTTAAAAGTGAGATCAAATATTGTTTTTCTCACCCCGCTGTGTTAGTTATGTATGTGGCATCCTCTGCTGGTAAACATATTGGCATGACGGATGGGCCAAATGTGAGTTGGTCTTGCAGTTTGATCAAGGCAATGTCATGGTTGTAGTCAATGCTGTTGGGATTGTTGTAGTCAGGGTGAATGTAGACTGAGGAAGCACGCATTGGAGACTTCAACAGGAGATGAACATCAATACCGCCCAAATAAACCTGCAAAATGAAGGTTAAAAACTCTGATTCTGAAGTGCAGACAAGACAGGATTACACCACACACCAACAGCAGAACATTTTACCTCTATAGTTGCATTTGTTGCTGTTATTCCTTTTTGTTGGAGGACGTGAGCAGCAGTCAAAATCCAGCGGTCTGCAATCACCATGCCTCCTCCTCTGTCTCCACTCACAGTCAACAACACTTGCCAGGGGATGGTGTTTTCTGGAGCATCGTAGCCTCCAAAGATCCTCTGAACGTGAGGGAGGGGTTCTACTGGCTTACCACACACTGAACCAGACGGACATAAATAAGTCAAACAGGAGCAGGTGTCATGTGAATTCTTTTTAAAAATTTGTTTTAGATAGGGTCAGAGCAGTGGATTAAACATTGTTTAATCCACTAAATTATTAAACATTGTTTAATCCATTGCCCTGGATAGGGTGTTCTCAACACAAAAGCGATACCTGGTATGCATGTTGGATGAAGAACAATTTCGTTGTTGGATCTCCATCTTCTGTCTGCTTCACACGTAAAAGTTGCTACAAGCAGAGAGAAGATTAATTGGCTATTTGCCTCATAGGAGTTGGAAGTTTTGTAAAAACTAAACTTTTCAAACTGTTTGGTGTGCAGAGGTTTGCTAAGTTTTCAGCACCTTAAATTGTGACTTTGGACAAACATCTTGAGAATTTAAGATTTATGTGTTTCCACTCTATTGAATTACTTTTTAAAGATAACCCTGATATCTGTTTGATATTAACAAACTTGACTGAGTAAATTTCCTTTTTGTTCAGTAAAGCCACGGCACAGATGTAATGCCATGCAATGGTGAACTAAATCCAAATTTAAAATGATTTCCCAATCGCTTAAACTGTAAGATTAGCAAAACTAAAAGCAGTAAAACCACAATGGATTATATGACAAGTTCCAAGCAAAACAATGTAAGGCAAATCAGAATCCTCAGTTAATCTTCTCACCAGTTAGGCCGCCCAGGAGGGAGTAAAATGGCTCATTGCAGTGATACTGAACAACAGAGAGGTACTGATTCTCTATGCCAGACAGGAAGGTCACTCCTCCATTCTGTAAAGGTTCTGGTTCTCCACAATCGATTACTAAAGGTGGAAAAAAAACAAGGATATGTTTACATCTCACCAGTGAATGGCAAAGTTTCAAAAAGCCTAAATTTGTGTTTGTATTACTACATATGTTTTGTGTTAGTGTTAAAGTCAAAAACATACTGTGGCATTCTGGCAGAGGGAGGTGCCACTGTCCGGTATTTTGGCACATAGTAGAGAAACTATTAATCTCCTGGCCATCCTGAGAAAGAAACAATCCCAATTACTAATTTTGTACAGTACAAGTTGAAAGTAAAGTATGTGTGTATTTTGTTCTTAAAGCTCCTGTGAGAAGGTTTCGGCTGGTTATGAAACAGACTGAAATTAATACAGAGGCTTTTTATAAGGAAAAAAAAAAAATCTGAAAATCAATTTTCTTTGTTGAAACAACAAAAGTGTGTCCACAGTGGGGCACCAAAAACAAGTTCCTCACAGGAGCTTTAAGTTTTAAACATTGCTGAAGAAGGAGTAAAAATGTAGCCAACCGTCATGAGCTTGTATCCAACATCACAGCGCACAGAGATGTAGTCTCTATATAGATATTCAGTTAAGATGGGAGTGACCCTTCCATTCACTACAGCACCAGGAAGTGGACACTTCACTCCTGAAAACAACATGGAAATGGAACATCAAAGGCAAAGGTTTTAGGTGAAAAGTCATTTATTTAGTAAACAGGTTTTACAGAGTGCTGATTTTTTGACAATTGACCACATAAACTAAAAGTTTAATGTATGGCACTGTTTTCTTTTATCTTACTTTATCTATAAAGTGAAGTTGCATGAGGTACTTGTCAGAAGAAAGTGTATTCATATGAGATTCAGGTCAGTTTAGCCTCTTTGGTGAGAAACTGGTCATAACCGGCACATCAACTTGGCTATCAACCGCCACAAATCACAGGTCTGCCTCATTGTTTCGCTATTTTTTACGAACTCCAACCAAAGCACTTTGCTTGGTGTAAGTGTATTATTAGTTTTTTTGAAATGTCAATTGTTCTATCATAAATAAGTATTTTATTATTATTTTGAAGCTAGCAAACTCTGCAGTCGACTAATAGGCGACAGGCGGAAGAACACCTGTGCTGCAAGTAGTGCCAAGACAACGAAGTAAAGCTCGAATAAATTTCAAAAATAAGTACATATTTACAAAAAACACTGGTGCTTTAGTTGGAGTTGGAGTTAAATTTTGTGGTGGAGCTGCTGACCTCATCTGCAGCAGCCAACAGCTCAGCTTCTATCTCAGCTCCTAGGTAGGGTTCTCAATTAAGAGGCCGAGCAGACCAGGACCCCCTGAGGTTAATAGCCTACTATAGACAAGTACGGCCTGTACCAGCTTAAAAAAAGTGAACAATCCCTTCAATCTCTTATCATCCTATCCTTCTGTCCTCACGGTGTGTGTTGTAGTCCAGGCTCCAGCCTCGGCTCTGGCCGTAATCATCAGTGTGGTAGTCCAGCTTCACAATGTTGGAGTTTGTCTCCACCAGACCTGGACTAGTGCCACCACACACCTTCACAGGTTCTCTGTCTGCAATGGTTATCTTTAAAGAGATATATGTCATTAATAGTATTTTTAAGGGAGGTTTTATATTTAATGATACCTGCTGGTGTGTTTTGTTTTTAAGTTGTTTATTCTAACCTGCAGCCAGTGATGGAGACAGTCCGGTCCTTGCTCAGAGTCCACGCTCTCAATATGAAAATTGTCGCTAAAGTTAAGAGAGACCATGAAGCCGGATTCTACTGAAATGACGTACTGACAGGACACAGCGTGGGGAGGGGGGGTTGGGTATCCTGGGCTGAATAGATGTCCTTCTGGCTCACTGAATGTACCTCCATTGCAGGATACTGGACAAAATGAAGAACTAATTTGGATGGATTCATAATTAAAGATGTATATAGATACACATATTAAAACACTACTTCAATCTAAATCCTGTAAAAAAAGGAAGAGGACCATTGTACTTTTTTTCTTTGCTATTTCTTTGGTCAAACATTGCATTTAAATCCCTTTTGCCCAACGTTGACTGATATTAGAGGTGTTTTCATGCTCCACCATCAAGGATTACTTTATCAACTTTGTGGCTACCTGCTAACTAAAATCTAAAAGTAAAATGTGTTTGTTTCAGGACAATTAGATTAAAGTAGATATTTTAGTACTCATATGAGGGAGTGTATATCTGCACAATACTCACACACACAAGTGCGCTGGTCTGAGCGCAGCTCATAGCCGTGCTGACAGGAGCAGAGGTATGAGCCCAGGGTGTTGAGGCAGATCTGAGAGCAGAGTGGACCTGAGCTTTCAGCAGGCTGTGCAGAGCACTCATCTATGTCTAATGATGGGAAGAGTGTTAAGTCAGTGAGGAGGAGTGAAACAATGTGAGACAGAGGAGCAGACTCTAGGTGGATCATCCTTACCTATAGCCTGGTACTGAGCAGTGAAGCCCAAGTTCTGCCGCTCAGGGTTGCTGTCATCTGACTGGAAGATAAGGGTGAGTCTATTGCCTGGAGACAGAATGGGCTGGTTGCCGGGGTGATGCCCCTCAGCAGAATTCTCATGGCCACAAAACTTGCCCAAAAGCTTTTCATCATAGAGGACCTGAAGGATGATACAAGACAGGAAAACATGACCGTGAAGAGGAAACAACGGCAAGCAGGCAGAATTTTACGTGCACAAATGATGACAAGGATTCATGCATCCCTGAATAGTATTATCAACTGTAGGGCTGAGGTCAAGATACCAAATCCAACTAAATACCACAATCAATCTCAATATTTTTTTTAAGTCTCAAGTTTAGTCAGAGATTCACATTTTATTTCTTGTTTTTTTTTTTAAATCATGTTTTTATTATTCATTCAACAGCCAAAGGTACATACAATTAGGTGAGAAAACGACCCCCCCCCCCCCCCTTTTTTTCCAGAAACAACACAACAAAACAAACAAACAATGACAAACAGCAAGAAATAAAAATAAATCCCTTTTGCCCACCCACTCCCAACCCAATCCTACATATTTGTTTCAGTACTACCACTCATCCTTTACGTGTATTATAAACAAATAAACACATACTCGGAGAGAAAGAAAAAATAAAATAAAATAAAATAAAATAAAAGGGGAAAAGAATTCATACCAACAGAAATTGAATTCCCAAAGGGTTGGGGTTGGGCGAACATCAAAGATAGGTGTCATTTATCCTGCAGTGTCTTTAATTTAGCGATGTAACTAATCATGTAGCCCCAAGCCAGGTCAAATCTTTCAGGGGTCCCCCTCAAATTGTATTTAATTTTTTCCAGGTCTAAGTGCAGCATCAGGTCCTTAAGCCAGACAGAGGCTTTGGGGGCAAATGGTGACTTCCACTCCAATAATATTCTTCTGCGTGCTAGAAGAGAAGCAAAGGCGATGCTATCCTTAATTTTTTTCTTGATTTTTTGACATTCTGGTAGTACTCCAAAGATAGCCAATTCTGCGCAGGGCCTCAGTTTTGTGTTAAGTGCTTCTGTAAGGTGTTTAAAAACAGCTGTCCAAAAGGCTTGCAGACAGGGACAGGACCAAAACATGTGGGTCATGTTTGCTGGCGACAGGTGACATCTGTTGCAGCTATCTGTGATACTGGGGTAAATCTTAGACAATTTGGAATTGGTAAAATAGATACGATTAACAACCTTAAATTGTATCAGATTAAGCCTGGAGCAAGACGAACTGTTGAAGAAATTAATTTATTTATAACACGAAAAAAAGAGTTGGGTAGAAAGACTGGCAAACATTAAAACAGATACAGAAATCATGGGAGTACATTCATTTTGATACAGTTTACCCTGCCAGCTATGGATATATGCAAGTTACTCCACCTTTCCAGATCAGATTTAAGTTTGTCTACTAAAGGTGGAAAGTTGATTTTATAAAGATCTGAGATCATACGACAGATATGGACACCTAGGTACTTAAAACTGTTTTTAACAAATTTAAATGGGAGAGAGACAGCTGGAGTTTCCAAGGCCGTGTCATTAATCGGGAAGCATTCACTCTTTGAAAAATTCAATTTATACCCAGAAAATTCTCCAAAAACATTCAACAAATCAATTATTTTAGGGATGGTGGTTACTGGGTCTGAAAGAAATAATAATAAATCATCCGCATACAAGGAAAGATGATGCCTTGAACCCCATCTGTGGATTCCTTGATTAAAGCTAGCCAATCTAAGTGCAATCGATAATGGTTCTATTGCTAAAGCAAATAGCAACGGACTCAAAGGGCAGCCTTGACGGGTTCCCCTGTTAAGAGTAAAATATTGAGATTTCACCCCATTAGTAATAACTGAAGCTTTGGGGGAAGAATACAGAAGTGAGATCCAGGATATGAATTTAGGTCAGATGGAAAATCTCTTTAAGACCTCCAGCAGATAGCTCCACTCCACTCTATCAAAAGCTTTCTCTGCATCCAGGGAGACCACCACTTCTGGTGTCTCCCCAGACGCAGGAGAGGAGAGAATGTTGAGGAGGCGGCGGATATTGGAGAAGGAGTGTCGGTTTTTCATGAACCTGTTTTTGTCTCTTTACTTAATTTATTCTTGCAGAATAGGATATAATCTCTCCTCGAACAACTACCTTTAATGTTTCCCACAGTAAGGATGGGGAGATGAGGTCAGACTTGTTGGTACCAATATAATCATCGATTACCTTGGAGATTGTTTGACAGAAGTCATCATCATTTAGCAAAGTGCTGTTCAATCTCCATGAAGGGCGCGTCTTTTGCAGGAGTACAAATGAAAGGTCAAGAAGTAGAGGAGCATGGTCTGACACTACTATCGTTGAATATTCTGTATTATTAACAGCAGGAATAAAATAATTATCAATGTAAAAATAGTCAATTCTGGAAAATGTTTTATGGACATGAGAGTAAAAAGAAAATTGTTTTTTATTAGGATGGAGAAAGCACCATGGATCCACAGCTCCAATTTGATCCATAAAAAATGTAATTGCTTTACCAAATTTAGAGGGAGAGTCCTTTCGTGGGCATGATTTATCCAGAAAGGGGTTAATTGTGCAATTTAGATCACCTCCTAAAATCAGGTGGTGGGAAGTTAGGTCAGGTAAAAGTGAGGTTACTTTCTCGACAAATGCCTCATCATCCCAATTGGGTGCATAGAGATTAACTAAAACGACAGGTACATTAACAAGGGTCCCTGAGACAATAATAAACCGGCCCTGGTGATCGGCTGTAACTTTTGTAGGGTAAAACTGTATCTTTTTGTGTATCAAGATCGCTTCACCCCTTGCTTTACTACCAAAATTGGAGTGGAAACTTTGGCCCACCCATGAAGCCTTTAACCTATGGTGATCCTTAGCGATCAGATGTGTCTCCTGGATAAAAGCAATTTCCGCTTTAAGATGCTTCAAGTGAGAAAAAACTCTACCCCGTTTAACAGGACCATTGATTCCTTTAACATTCCAAGAGACAAATGTCAGACAAGATCTCCCTGTAGTGTTAGGCATAGCGGACTAGTAGGAATATGGCAAGAAAAAGCATCGATTCATTGAAGGATGTAGTGCTGAAACCCCAGACAGAAATAAAGATAAAAACAAATATGTAGGATTTCCCACCCCATTGCCCCAAAACAAAAACCCTAAAAACAAGAAATAGATGAACATAAACAAACCTATACCTCCCTAAGCTTGACCTATGAACACAGACAAGCGGCGGGACTCCATAGACTCTGTTACTTCCGTGTGACATAACTAAGCAAAACCCTAACCAGCGGGCGAGACTCCAATATCTGAAAGTGACTACAATGTATACAATGCGCAGAGTAATTATATGTATATATGGAAAATAAATAAATGAATATGAAAAAAAACGACAATAATAATAATAATAATAATAATAATAATAATAATAATAATAATAATAATAATAATAATATGTAAATAAAAAAAGGGAATTATGACAAAGGAGGAGAAAGAAAAAAAATGCAATAAAGTTAATACATAAATAAAAAGTACAGGAGAGAAAGAAAGAAAAAAATTTATAACAAGAAAAATAATAAATAAATAAATAAATAAAAAAAGGATATATAGTTAGCTGCACCAAGACACAACAGCATACATGTTGTAAAGGATTAACCAGGGGGAAGAAAAGCAATATACAGCAGTATGCATGCTGTTAAGGGTCAACCAAAAAGCAGCCCCTTGCTTTTAAATCTTGTCCACGTAAAACTTGAAAATGAAATGGACCAAATTAATAACTTAGAAGTAAGTCTATTCGGGGAAAGGAAAGCAATATATGACAGTATACATGCTGAACACGATCAGCCAAAATAGCCCCTTGTACTTACATTTCAACAGAATAAAACTTTATCCCAAATGCAACTAGAAAAAATATTAAGATAGTTACCTAATAACTAAAACTATTAGGCAAAAAGAAATCAGTCTATGACGGTATATACGAGCCTATTATAATGAAAGGGCAGACTGACATTCAAACACTTGTGTCAGTGTCTCACCGGAACAGCTGTGAGTGAGTACTGGTGACCAGACATTGCCGTGAACCGGGTCCTCGATAAGTCCCCTAGTCGGTGGAAGCGATGCGCTGGTTGTAGAAATCCTGGGCTTTCTGTGGAGAGTCAAAGTGGAAGCTCTCGTTGCGGAGCCAGACGTGGAGCCGGGCGGGATGTAGCAGCCGGAACTTTACTCCTTTCAGGTAGAGGGAGTTCTTGACAGGATTGAACGCAGCCCGCTTTTTGGCCAGGTCCGGGCTGATGTCAGGCTAAACTCTCAGCTCAGAGTCGCGATATTCCATCTTGTGTTGTGTGGCCCATCGGAGAACTTTTTCTTTTTCTTGGAAACGGAGAAATTTGACGAGGAAAGCTCTGGGTTTCCCCGCGCTGCCGTCACCTGTTCTGGAGCCGGAGGAGCGATGAGCTCTTTCTATTTCGGGGGGTTCACCACGGTCATCAGAAGGTCGGAGATGAATCTTGTCGGGTCCTGGTCCTTTTCGCTGCCTTCAGGTATGTTGATAAAACGCAAATTTGAACGCCTGGACCTATTTTCGAGGTCATCGACTCGCTCCAGCAGCAGTGCGGCTTGGGAATGTAGTGTAGCAACTGTAGCTTCCATTGCTGTTATCTTCTCGAAGTTCTCTCCCACCACAACTTCAGTTTTGGTGAGCCGGGTGTTGAATGACATCATCTGTTGACCGAGGGTCTCGACTGACTGTTTCAGGGATTCGGTGGATTGTTGAATCAATATAGCCACATCGGCTTTGAAGCAGTCACGTTGCTTGTTGAATAGAGCCTCCAGGTCGAGCCTAGTGACTGGGTCGGCAGGGTCGCTATCTGCGCGTCTTTCCCCCGGGTCTGGAAGCTTCTGGACAGTAGCGGCCTTGCTAGTTAGCTTAGCTGAGATGCTAGTAGCTCGGGTAGTTACCGACGGATTGGGGTTAGAGGTGCTCATTGCGTCAAAGTTCACTTTCCCACAAAGTAAAATAAGATGTATGCAAGTCAATTCAGGCAGGAGCACTGTTAAATCAGTAGGTTTTAGAAGTTAAATGAAAAGTTCAGCTGAAGCTCCCCGCTTGCACGTCCGCTCTCTACGCCATCAGCGACCGGAAGTGGCATATTTTATTTCAACATTTGATGATATTATTGCACAAAATATGAAGGCATCTCTTCATTTCCACCCCTGTTACTCTTAGTGTTCTGATGCTTGTTGTCACGGCTCTGTGTTTTTCCTCCTGTTAGCAGCATTTTAGTCAGCCAGCACCAAATGTAGACAGGATGACTGAGATGCTTTTGAGCTTTAGTGGATAAACTTGACAAAAAGCTCTTAAAAGAGTGCTTTGAATAATCAGTTTTCACTGATTTAATCCACTTAAATACACAATATTGTGTGATGTTACTGAGGAAATAGTGTCTTATACAGTTCACTACCATTTAACCATCACCACTTAAGCCTGAGTTTTATCACCAAAATTGGCACTCCAGCAGGGGTGAGTCCAGAGGTTCACCAAGGGTTGTGTGGCCTCCAACTGGATTCGGATCAGCCACCCTTGGTGCCAACCCCAAAGTCCTTAACAATGATTGACTATTTGCTATGTGAGAGGTGGAACTTGTGTCGAATCAAGTAATCTGGTAGTTTCGACTCACATCTGCGTAATTCCTTTTGCCTGTGCCCTAAATTGCAACTTCAGATGTATACTTTTATCTTGGGAAGTCAATACTGTTAATCTATGCATTGCTGCTTTTTTGTATAATATCTGTACGGAGATTAAACGTTGGCAAAGTTCATAAGTTTAGTGGAGACAGAAAGGAAAAGTAAATGCCAGTCATTTGCATATGTATATGCATAAGTTTTATGCCACCCTGCGTTACTCTTTTAGGTCACCCTGGTCAAAAAAGTCCAATCACACCCCTGCGCTTAAGCTGCACAAAGTTAAAAACTCTAACACTACAACAATGGTGTGTTATTTTCTGACTGTGAGGGAGTCGTAGTGGCAGTCTGCGGATGCTTCAATGTCCAGGTGTGTGAAGGTGAGGCTGATCTGGTAGCCCTCCGGCACGCTAAGGTCCCACTGCTCCTGCAGATTGGGGGCGTATGGTTGGGGGTAGCTAGGGGACTGGACCGCTCCGTACATTTGAGGCTTTGCTTCAGGCAGCCTCCTGCACTCACTCAATGACACACACAGAACCCTGAAAACAGCAAGAGATCGATCTGTTCATCAGTTTGCGGTCCTCTGAGCTGCTGGTCAAAGTTGAAGCAAACAGGATGAACAAACAGTTTGATGCAGCCTTCAGAGTCAATGAAAACATGTTAAACTGTCGAAGCTTTAATGCATTATACAGAAATATGGATCTCACAGTCACCTTTTAAACACTTCTCACTCGTTGTGAAGGAAATAACTCACAAGATGATTGCATACAGATGCCTTAATCTTCTTTTTTTTGTCAAAACTTGGAATTGAAGTTTGAAGCTTCACATTTGACATCAAAATGGGTCTGTATTTCATCTGAACTTACCAGATGATACACGTCGTCCACCACATCTCTGCAGTAAACACTGAATCCCCTGAGAGAACTGATGCTGCTGCTGGAGGAGCAAATGACTCAAATTCAAGGGGAACATTAATGTCACTAAGTCGTTTTTCTTTTTTTTTCCCATTGTTGGGCAACTCACCGCGTAAATGCTGGGAATATGTCTTGTTTGTCTTGGCAAAATCAGCTCAACTCTTAACTTTCAATTTTACACACACACACAGGTAAGCACACTGAGAATAAATCGTCTCAGAAAATAATCATTTGTAAACTTTGTAAACTTTATTTTTACTGAAAAAAAGTGGTTTGAAGGAGAGGAGAAAGCAAGAAGACATGGTCAGGAATTTCAAAAGAAAAACAGAACATGGCAGTGCAGTTCCTGACATGATGCTGAGGGCAGTCAGACAGGTGACCCTAGATAATAAATCAATCTGGAGGAAAATAAAGGACTTTAAAGTCAACTACCATACCTTGGCTCAGTACTGCAAAAACATTCACCCCAACTGAAATACAGAGTCAGACAGATCTTCAAACTCCAGAGCATGTTGCAGAATATTTTGTTAACGTTTATTCACCGACTTCTTCTTGCTCAATGATCAACATTTTCCGTGCCTGACTTTGATGTTCACTTTTAAGTAAAAAAAAAATGAGAACAACAATCATTTTGTCTGTGTTTTATTAGCTGCAAAATGATAAAATGATATGAAAAAATGATATAATAAAGGTGTAAAAATAAAACTGCAGCTCATTTCTTTAGGATGAGTGGTTTATTTTGATCTTGATTTTTGTGGATGTCATTGCTTTTATTTGTACATTGTCGACTCACATAATAGATAATCATTCATCAGTTTTCATGCATAGTCTTATTGATCCAGCCCACATAGTTGGTGACTTTGGTATATACTCCATAAGTCCCCTTGAGCCCACAGCCAATCCCCCAGCTGACAATCCCACCAACCCAGTACTGTTTACCATTCCACAGGGCAAAGGGGCCTCCACTGTCACCTTGACAAGCATCCTTCCCACCTTCTGGCCTTCCAGCACAAAACATGTTATCTGTCAGATCAGGTACATCGCTCCTCTTCGCCTTCACCTCATTCATTGAAGTATGGCATCTCTCCTGATCCACCACTGGGAGCTCCACAAATTTCAGCATATTTGTTGGCCGCCTTCCTTGACCACTGTCTATCAGGCCAAAGCCTGACACCACTCTGTAAAAGGAATAAAGAAAGGTAGAGAAGAAAAGTTATGGTCGACCTACAGGGGGAAGCTAAAGACATGAATGGAGCATAAAAAGTTTTAAAAGTGAGATCAAATAAATTGGTTCACTAAAAAAGGTTGGATTTAAATAAATGATTAGATAATAAGATGATGTTTTTCTCACCCCGCTGTGTTAGTAATGTATGTGGCATTCTCTGCTGGCAAACATATTGGCATGACGGATGGGCCGAATGTGAGTTGGTCTTGCAGTTTGATCAAGGCAATGTCATGGTTGTAGTCAATGTTGTTGGGATTGTTTTAGTCAGGGTGAATGTAGACTGAGGAAGCATGCATTGGAGATGACTTCAACAGGAGATAAACATCAGTACCGCCCAAATAAACCTGCAAAATGAAGGTTAAAAACTCTGATTCTAAAGCGCAGACAAAACAGGATTACACCACACACCAACAGCAGAACATTTTACCTCTATAGTTGCATTTGTTGCTGTTTTTCCTCTGTGTTGGAGGACGTGAGCAGCAGTCAAAATCCAGCGGTCTGCAATCACCATGCCCCCCCCTCTGCCATCATTCACAATCACAACTTGCCAGGGTATGGTGTTTTCTGGAGCATCTTGGCCTCCAAAGATCCTCTCAATGTGAGGGAGGGGTTCTACTGGCTTACCACACACTGAACCAGACGGACATAAATAAGTCAAACAGGAGCAGGTGTCATGTGAATTCTTTTTAAAAATTTGTTTTAGATAGGGTCAGAGCAGTGGATTAAACATTGTTTATAACTCGTTTGCGGTGTTTTTTTAAAAACCTTATACCCATACCTAACTCTATACTTAAATTCAGAAGTTTACAAAATTCCCTAATTTTTCCTGATCCCATCTAAGCTAAGTACAGAATTTAGACGTTGATAAAAGCAGGTATTTTAGTACCATGTGCATCTATTACAGTTTGTAAGATACAGCATACTTACTGTGAGTTACACCTCACAGTTGCAACTGCACAGAGCTGTACACATGAGACCCAATTTGTAGCACTTGCACCTGCCACAACAGCCAGATTTACAGCCACATTTGGTGAGCTGTTCACATGTCTTGGCTATTGCAGAGTTGGCTGTCCAGAAGACCTGCCATTCCTCACCAACCTTTTGACATCCCCAGTCTGCAGGGTCCTCTGCTTCTGGCTGACACTGGGTTGCCTGGGCCCACACACAACCAGCCTGATAGGCAGCACGCCTGGTGTGTTGGAGTAGAGCTGCTCTGGTTTCTGGCAAACAAGTCAAGCCTGGCCTCATCCACAGTAGCAGCTGTGCTGGATCTGTCATACATGAGCATGAAAAACTTCTCAAGCACCTCTATGTCGCAGTCCTCCACTGTGGGAGGGTAAATACCCAGTTTGGCGAATACAGGCAAGGATTCTGGAGATATGTCCCATGTATGCCAAGCCATTTTCTTGCCTTTGTTGCGGAAGGCAGACACAGTGTCACATCCTGTAAAGGCATGGAAGAAGAGCATGCCTTTGACCTTCTCCTGGCCAACATGCTGAAATATGTCATGCACACTGATCCAGAGCAGAGTCTGACCTTGCCCAAATGCAAGCCACATATGCTGTAGGCCAGCCTCTTGGAGACCGCTGAATACACTTATAGCTAAGATCAGAACATCTGTGTCATTTGCCTTGATCATGATGGATTGGCTACCAGTTGCATGTTTGGCATGCACAAAGATGCGGCTGTCCGCTTCCTCTTGAGAGCATTTATCCAGTCCATCAAGACCAGTTGCACGAGTGCTGAGGACAGCAGGTCCCTTTGTGATGATGATGGTATTTAGGGCAAACATTTGTGCAACCTTGTCGGCAAGAGTGGGACAACTCTGTTTTGTTGTCATTGTGCCTCAGGAAGTTATGCCAGTTAGATAGCGTGGTGTTCTTATCCCCCGGCCACGTTTGGACCTGGTCTGAGCTTTAAGGCTTGATGGGTTTTACACATCAAACACCAGATGTGTCATTATGTACTTGCTGGAGTACATGTAGATCACAGGTAGGAAGTCGAGAGCTGCATAGTCCTCAAAAGTCTTGGATCTTTTTGGCGGCAGGGTGTGGTCCAAAGCTGACCCATCTCCAATGAGAATGTCTGCCTCAGGTTCCTTGTCAACTGGTGGGACATAATTCTCAAGGATAGGGGTCAGCTGAGACTTCTGGCAAGTGTACAATTTTCCACCCTTGCTCAATGCAACAGGGAAGGACTGGTTCTCATGCTGAAAGAACTCCTGGAGGTCATGCTGAGTTACACAGCAGTGATATCACCAGTGTGCCCTGGTTGTGTGCCGATATTCACTCTATTACATCTGCAAGCTTGTACTGTATAAACATCTAAATTCTGTACTGCAATGGCCCCATTGGATGCATAGACCAAAAATATGTGCATTCCAAAAGTTAATGTTTCATAGTCACTAAGATCGGATTACTTCAAGGCAATGGCAGCCATCTTGGACACCATCTTGTTTCTCAAATTTAATGTTATAACCCTCATGAAAATAACAGATAATGGAAATGATATTTTCATACAACCATATGCACGTAACAACAATCGGTGATACAGATTTCTCACTCTCCCAATTCTGTTCAAGTATCTATATGCTGTATCTCGAGAACCGTAATGGATACAGAAATGTGCTAGGTACCAAAACGTCCGCAATACCCAACTTTATATTCAACTCCAATATATGTATGGGGCTTAAAATCAAGTCATTTTGCGTTATAAAGGAAAAACCAAATTTTTGGGGCAGACATCTTGGATTTTGGGGCCGCCATCTTGGAATTTTGCGTGGCTAACGTTATTTTTGAAAAGAGTGGGGTTTGAAGAGTATATGTACCAAATTTCATGTTTGTATAACAAAGTGAACGATTCGGGCTATATTATGCATTTGTCCGCTCCACTATTTGGATGGATTCATAATTAAAGATGTATATAGATACACATATTAAAACACTACTTCAATCTAAAAAAAGGAAGAGGACCATTGTACTTTTTTTCTTCGCTATTTCTTTGGTCAAACATTGCATTTAAATCCCTTTTGCACTAAGTTGACTGATATTAGAGGTGTTTTCATGCTCCACCATCAAGGATTACTTTATCAACTTTGTGGCTACCTGCTAACTAAAATCTAAAAGTAAAATGTGTTTGTTTTAGGACAATTAGATTAAAATAGATATTTTAGTACTCATATGAGGGAGTGTATATCTGCACAATACTCACACACACAAGTGCGCTGGTCTGAGAGCAGCACATAGCCGTGCTGACAGGAGCAGAGGTATGAGCCCAGGGTGTTGAGGCACATGTGAGAGCAGAGAGGACCTGAGCTTTCAGCAGGCTCTGCAGAGCACTCATCTATGTCTAATGATGGGAAGAGTGTTAAGTCAGTGAGGAGGAGTGGAACAATGTGAGACAGAGGAGCAAGGTGGATCATCTTTACCTATAGCCTGGTACTGAGCAGTGAAGCCCAAGTTCTGCCGCTCAGGGTTGCTGTCATCTGACTGAAAGATAAGGGTGAGTCTATTGCCTGGAGACAGAATGGGCTGGTTGCCGGGGTGATGCCCCTCAGCAGAATTCTCATGGCCACAAAACTTGCCCAAAAGCTTTTCATCATAGAGGACCTGAAGGATGATACAAGACAGGAAAACATGACCGTGAAGAGGAAACAACGGCAAGCAGGCAGAATTCTACTTGCACAAATGATGACAAGGATTCATGCATCCCTGAATAGTATTATCAACTTTAGGGCTGAGGTCAAGATACCAAATCCAACTAAATACCACAATCAGTCTCAATATTTTTTTAAGTCTCAAGTTTAGTCAGAGATTCATATTTTATTTCAACATTTGATGAAATTATTGCACAAATTATGAAGGCATCTCTTCATTTCCACCCCTGTTAGTGTTCTGATGCTTGTTGTCACGGCTCTGTGTTTTTCCTCCTGTTAGCAGCATTTTAGTCAGCCAGCACCAAATGCAGACAGGATGACTGAGATGTTTTTGAGCTTTAGTGGATAAACTTGACAAAAAGCTCTTAAAAGAGTGCTTTGAATAATCAGTTTTCACTGATTTAATGCACTTAAATACACAATATTGTGTGATGTTACATTGTTACAACAATGGTGTGTTATTTTCTGACTGTGAGGGAGTCGTTGTGGCAGTCTGCAGATGCTTCAATGTCCAGGTGTGTGAAGGTGAGGTTGATCTGGTAGCCCTCCGGCACGCTAAGGTCCCACTGCTCCTGCAGATTGGGGGCGTAAGGTTGGGGGTAGCTAGGGGACTGAACCTCTCCGTGCATTTGAGGCTTTTCTTCAGGCAGCCTCCTGCACTCACTCAATGACACACACAGAACCCTGAAAACAGCAAGAGATCGATCTGTTCATCAGTTTGCGGTCCTCTGAGCTGCTGGTCAAAGTTGAAGCAAACAGGATGAACAAACAGTTTGATGCAGCCTTCAGAGTCAATAAAAACATGTTAAACTGTCGAAGCTTTAATGCATTACACAGAAATATGGATCTCACAGTCACTTTTTAAACACTTCTCACTCGTTGTGAAGGAAATAACTCACAAGATGATTACATACAGATGCCTTAATCTTCTTTTTTTTTGTCAAAACTTGGAATTGAAGTTTGAAGCTTCACATTTGACATTAAAATGGTTCTGTATTTCATCTGAACTTACCAGATGATACACGTCGTCCACCACATCTCTGCAGTAAACACTGAATCCCCTGAGAGAACTGATGCTGCTGCTGGAGGAGCAAATGACTCAAATTCAATTAATGTCACTAAGTGTTTTTTTTTTTTTTTCCCACAGTTGGGCAACTCACCGCGTAAATGCTGGGAATATGTCTTGTTTGTCTTGGCAAAATCAGCTCAACTCTTAACTTTCAATTTTACACACACACACAGGTAAGCACGCTGAGAATAAATCCTCTCAGAAAATACAGAATCATTTGTAAACTTCACTAAAAATGAACGCAACTCATATTATTATTTATTCTTGAATAACTCAACTGAATGAATTTTATTTTATTTTATTTATTTATTTATTTTATTTATTATTTATTATTTTTATTATTTTTATTTTTATTTTTTTCATCATCTCTTTCCGTCCTTGTTACAGAAACAGTCATGATCCTCATTCTAACACTAGAGGGAGCAATTACACTTTTATGTTCTCACATCATATTATGAGTATCCAGCCTTTTTTTCCCATAGTGCAATGCCCTTTGCACAGTAGCATAGCTTATACACATTTATTGTTTGTAAAGAAAAAATGTTTGACCATATTTCTTTTCTTACATAAAGAATAAGAAGAAAAGATAGTCCTGCAAACAAGAGAAAAGCACCCATAACTATCAGTACTCATTAGCATGCAATTAGGATGTAAGCTTCAATATGTAACAGACATCAGTTTTTGGCAATAGAGTATCACTCTGCATGATACAGCTACCCATGAAGAATGACAGCAGAGCCTCACTTTGAAGGATTCAATCAGCATTTATTTGTTAAACTGAGAACGATCAAAACTGTTTAGTATCAAAGTGAACGAAGGAGACAGAAAAAAGATTGCGTAAGAGAAAATCACATCACTGCTGATAATATTCTCTTCCTCAACATTGGTGCTGAATGCTGACACCCTAAATGACTGGGAAGTGGTGATGATTGCTGCTCTGTGGTTAACATGTGGTTCGTGGCTCTTCAAGGCTGTAGATCTAAACAAGACTGTTCTAAGTCAATTATTAACAACAATTGTAGGTTTGAACTCTAATATGTTATCTTTGAATTCGAGCTGCGCTGATTTCACACTTAACTTCTCATAACCACATGTCAGACATACAGTATCAAGCAAGTGAGACTTCAAGCCCCTTTGCTGCTGCATTCAAGCCCCACCATCCCAGCATCCACCTGTAAACTCGGGAGTTTCAGACGTTATTGATAACCCCTCAATTTCTGTGTGTTAAAACAAATCCAGTTCAACACACTACGGCATGGTCAGTAAAACACACGGCACTGAAATCTTTTGGATAATTCTAAATTTTGGCATTTTTATATAGTAATACTGATGTCTACCTTATTTTCCTGCCCTTAGTATAGGTAATTTTCAAGACCCATAAATTCTCTTGCCTTTTAGGAGACAGAATGTTCATTGCTTTCATGCTTCTCATGCAAAAATATCTGTATATGATGTCGCAGGTGCACGCTATTGTAAATATGAAGACTGAAATCAAATGTTTGATTTACCGATAAAATAATACGCCCATTTTTGAGGCCTGAAAAGAAAATGTGATCTTGTAAATAAACTGTGGTTAAGAGCCAATACTAGAGAGTTGGTTAAAACAAGCAATAACTGCGGTTGATCTGAAAACTGATATAATATATAAAGAAAAGTATATATCTATTTTATGATCAGAGCACGATACCATGAATTTAAATGTGTTTGATTACAAGATTACAATCTTTTATCTGAGATGTGCAATCAATCGTTTTGGTATAGCTCACTATTTTCCACCTCAGTCTAAGATGTTTCATTGGCATCCATAGTCTCCCTAATCCAGTCTACATAATTCTCCACCTTGGTGTAGTAACCTTTGTACTGTCTCTGACGACAGGGGGGTCCCCAGGACACAATACCAGCCAGGTAATGTGGCCCCCCTGCACTCAGCACAGGCACAACAAATGGACCCCCGCTGTCTTTGAGGCAGCTGTCCTTCCCTTGCGCTCCAGCACAAAACATGTTATTGGTGAAAACGGTGCGTTTGTTGTTTTTTGCGGTGGGTGTATTCTGACATTCTGCAGTAGCGTAGGCCCCGATGTCAGCATATTTTAATGTGTCGGATACACGGTAACCACGAGGGGCATCTGTGACCCCCCAGCCTGACACTGTGCCTTGCTCTTGCGCCAACAAACCTCTATGTGTCCCTGGAAGACATACAGGGAGAAGATTTGGGCTTAAATTCACCCTTGAAGCTAACCTGATGAGGGCAATATCGTTGTCAAAATTAGTACGATCTTGAACGCCTGTGATGAAGCTGGGATGGATTATGATCCTATCGGCGTTTATTTGAGCTCTATTAGAGGTCAGTGCCGCTCCACTAACCACTCCACCGTACATCTTCAAAGACATCACCTGCACGCCCTCTACAACATGAGCTGCAGTCACAGCCCAGCGGTCATTAATCAGTGACGCTCCGCCCCGTGCGGGTTCTGTTATCAAAAGATGCCAGGGTATTTCTCCCACGTTTGCATCCTGACCTCCCAAGATCCGACCCGCACTTGCAGTATGTCTGTCAGGCATCCCGCACACTAAAAAACACGAAAAAAGCTCAAGTCACAAGCAATTCTTATGAAGCAGAAATCTCTCAAAAAGGGTAGAAAACATAAAGATTAAAAGCTGCACCTGCAACACATTTTGGAATCTCTGTTTTGCCCCTGCTTGATTCCCATACACCATTCGCATTACAAGTGTATGTGTCTGAAAGATAGAAGAGAAAACTGACGTAAAATTAGAATACAATAAAACCAGATATTCCAAAAGTTAAATAAGGCCTCTTCTAATTACATACCGTCTCCTTCGAGTTTGTAATACTTTGAGCTGCAGTTAAACTTGATCTGGTTGTTGTACTGAGTCTCTGAGCCTACAAACGTAAGGATGCCATCTTCCGGGATACCAGGGGGACCACAATCCACAGCTACATGTGACAAAAATCATAGTCAAATAATAAGTTGAACAAACGAAATATTAAGAGAGAAAAATCAAGAATCTTCAAAAACATTAACTTCTTGTAGCCAGACTTACGTTCACAGGGGTATTTGGGAGTCCATTGGCCTGTACTACGACATGTTGTCTCATACTCTCTTGTCACGGCTGTGGTTCCTTGCTGCGTAAAAAATGAAGAACACAATGAGCTTAAATGTGGCTTGAACATACTGAAAACAGGACTCTTTAATGTATTAGTTTGCCGCTCACTCACAGTGTCCACAACATAGCCAACCTCACAAGTAACTGTCACCGTTTGACCCTGAGGATACACTGGTTGTTGAGGGGTCGCAGTGGAGTGAGGTGTTACCTCTGCTAGGCAAACCTTGGCTGTATTTGTTGCATGAAAAGCACAAAAGATATTAGTTTTAATATTTTAATCAACCTTAACTGATAATTTTTATCCTTATTTGTGGCACAGATGAAGCAGCTGCAGTACCTCTGGTTTTAAATTTGAGAGAGAAGCCTTTGTTGGTGCCAAAGCCATCAGAAGTGAAGTGGATTTGGACTTGATGTGAGTGAGTTAAGAAGGGAGATGGGGGAGGAGTTTCACCACAAAAAGATCCCAGGGTCTCAGAGGAGGTCTCAACCTGAAAACAGAACAAGGATGTAAGTTTCATGAGAGACAAAGAAGCACTCCAGGCAACTCAAAGCAGAGCTGATTGAAAACTGCACATCAAAGTTAGTCTCTGGAAACTCCACAGAGTAACAGTGAAGTGAAGCGGTAAGAGGGGAAGGCACAGTCGAACATCTGCCCCTGGTGGCGGGTCCTTAAAACGGATGATGAGTCATAGGAGGGTGTAAAAAGACCAGCAACAGCTCTTAAGTTGTTTTGGGGCTTCTTGAACTGAGACTGAAGCAGCATAGACGACAAAAACTGTTGTTTCTCTTCCTGCTAGGAAGAGAGAAATCTGAGGTGAGCAGTAAAGAAAAAAAAAAAGGGGAAGTTTAAAAGGAACAGCTTTAAGACAACAGAGTCTAGACTGTAAAGTCCAGATATGCAAAGTTGATACAAACCTCTCTAAACAGACTCAAAAGTCTGCATGCTGTCAGAGGTGTTTCTACTAAATACAGACAATTTAAAGAGAAACACTTTTAGTGACGGGATTTATTTGTTCCACAACTGTCATTGAATAAGTTCACTTTGTAAAGGGTTGTTCTCACTGGTATTATAGCATCTATTTCTTTTGGTCTTACATAACATGCGTGAACCTACCTTGGTATTTTTCTAAATTGGTACTATTCTCTTAAATAACCAAAACTGAATGTGCACTTGTGAAATCCAGAGTTTCAACACTGACGTCTGAACTTCCTCTTTGTTTCTCTCGTCACTAAACAAAGTTTAGTCACAGAGACAGACCTCCGTGTGGTTTTCACATATTCTATTCACACCTACCCTCACTGTGTCTATGCATTGACTGCCGTCGGGGCTTTGCTCCACATCAAAATCTTCAGAGAAGAGCAGCTCGATCTGCAGATGTTCCTCCACAGACAGGGTGTATACACAGTGTGAGTTCTCGGCGTATGGAGCAGGCCAAGAAGGGCTGGATACCTCTCCCCTTCTCTGGCCAGACAGATCTTTAGAGCAGCTCACTGAGTGGGAGATATGAGTGTTTCACCGTGATTAATATCAACTAAATAGTCATGCATATTTCACAACCTGTGCTCTTCTTATTTTATTCTCTTCTCTTCCTTTTCCCCGCCCTCACATTTCAAACTTCCTCTATTTTCCCATTTTCACTTCATGTTTCAGTTCTGTGCGATCTTCCTTGATTTTTCTACTTCTAAAACTGGAGAGTGAAATCAGCTCTCTGTGCTTTTGCTGTTCTCAAATGAATGAGGTTCTTACCTGTGCAGGTGTGCTTGTCTGCGGCTAAGTGATAACCATGACGACAGGAGCAGTAGTACCCTCCGATGAAGTTGTGGCAGAACTGCGTACAGCTGTTGTCCGGGTCATCACATTCATTGAAGTCTGAAAGGAGGTCAGATATAAATAAACATGTTGCAGAATGAGGTTGGCACCATTAAAACCAGGTTAATGAATTCAACAAGTAGGAGATATTTGGGAGATTATATCATAGTTACCAGTAATTCTGTTTTATTGTGTAGTTGTTCAAAATATACTGTTACCAGTTGAAGCTCTGATATTAAAACGTTAAATCTAACTCTTTGGTTTATTTCATATTTCCTGCTTTTTTATGGTTCTCTAATTTAAAGTTGCCTTTTTTCACCTTCACTAAGTGTGTTGGTTTATCAATAATCATACTAATAATAATTTTATTTGTATAGTGCCTTTAAAAACAAGGGTATACAAAGTAATTTGACATACAGGCAAAAGCACAGGAACCAAAAATATATATTTGTATCATAACCCATTAGCAAATGACCTATCAGCACAGCATGAAACACAGGAGCATGAGAGCCAAACACCTAAAGAAATAAGAGGTCCCAGCAGCACATTATCTGAGAGTTTGAGGACCAATGACCAAAAATCGAAAGCATGGGAGAGCAGAAACAAAAATGGCCAAGATGATAAAAGCAAATTAAAGAAGATAAACAAGGAGAGGGAAATTAAAATACACAAGAGGTACAAAAATATTTAAAGTGTTTAAAAAGAACTTAAGGCAAAAAAGATAAGACAGGTTAGAATTTAAAGTAATAAATGACAGTTGAGAAATAAAAGCAAGAAGTAGTAAAATTAACAAACTATGGCAGGTAAGTGGTAAAATACTTTTGTTATTTTTTCACATTTTTAAAAATGTATTTCTTTGACGTAGGCAACAGATTGACCACTTAAGTCTACTTTTTAGGTTGACAAAAAGCTGGAGCCCACAGTATTCTTTTATAGCTGTCGGTCACTATAGCACAGCTGCTCACCTCAAACCTCAGCCCTATCTCTGGTACTGCTACAATGCTGTAGCGCCTCCTTGACCTGTATGTAAATAAGGTGGCCAATAACAAATCATATTGCAGCACAGTTTGGTTACAATAGAAAATGAGGAATAAGTTATCGGAAGTGTTCGGTTAGTGGCTTACCAAAACTCAACTGGACAATGTCTTATCAGCAACCTACTGCCTACTGATAATAAATTGAATTTCAGGCATCGTGTAGCCCACTGTAGCCCATTCGATAAGTCACCAGTGACTGGGCCCACTCCTGCTTTGAGAGGCTACATCATCTGCTTTACAGTATCAGTTATAATGAGGATTTAGTTACTAAAGCCTAGTTAGCACTTTGAAACTAAAAAATGTGCTAAAAACTTTCAAAAGCCTCTGCATTCTTAATTTATCAGGCTTGGTTTCAATATCAGTATCATAGTAGACACTGTTTTAATGTAGGGGGTTAAAAACAGCTTGAGCTAAATGTGGCCTGTTATATAAAACAGAAGTTCTCAACTGGTCTCATTCTGGGACCCACAGTTTCCCATGGTTCTTAAGTCACGACCCACTTTTATGGAATTCAAACCAAGCAAAAAAAACCTTTAAAGACTCTAATCTTTAACATAAATCCACTCGTTTTATTGAGTAAAGTGCATTTCAGAGCACAAGAAGGGGACAACATGAGAACGACAACTACTGAAGTTGCTTATACAGAATATATCAATATATCGTGACCCATCCAGAATGTGTCCACGACCCACTTTTGGGTCGGGACCAACCAGTTGAGAACCACTGATCTAAAATATAAAGTACTTATCAGTGTGGCTCAAAAGATTTCGAAACTTGGGAATACATGCGAGAAAAGACTGAGCCCTTCTTGGGAAATGAGTCATATTAAAAAAACACATGATCACAATAGACTTTGGTAAGAATCGTTAACCCCAGTATTTCCCTCTTTTGTTTCTACTTCGTCTCACCTTGATCAGAATAGAAGCCTCTGAATCCAGCATGCCTCTTTGTGTTAGAGTAATCTGAGTGGAAAGAAAGAGAGAGACAACCACCCGAAGAGGAGACGAGTGAGGGATTTACGGACGCCTGAAGATCCTCAAAATCCATTTTGCCGCACAGAACAGAAATGAGACTTCCATTTGAATAGACCTGGAAAAGACAAAACAACAAATTAAAGAAAAAGTTCCAGAGTTAGGTGAATCGTGTGACATTGATTTTGACCTCTGACCTTCACGGCATCGTTCTCACAGTCCTGGCTGTCCTCCAGGTCCAGGTGGATCAGCCTGATGGAGATGGAGTGACCTTTTGGGGCACACCTGGTCCAGTTCATACTGGCATGAGGCAGGTATCGAGTGGGATACCCTGGAGACTCCACCCATCCCAGCAGTGTGGCGTGGGCAGAGTATGTGAGCAGAAGGAGCAGGAGACTAACATGGAACAAAAGTAAATTCAGAGGGAAAGACATCATTATTGACCAGTGGCGAGTGCTGATGGGGATATCTGATCGGACAAGAAGCTTCATAAGTGCACTGATAGAAAGTGTGACACAACAAGATTTAATCTTAAAACAAGAAACAGTAAAGTCTATCTCCTGTTCGTTATGCGTCACACTTTTCCTATATTGACAGCGTGTCCCCATGTGAATCAAATGAACCTAGAAAGCAGTTTCATTTTCCACCGAATCGATACCAATTGATGTGACTGATAGCGAGCGAGCTTGAGCTTTAGCTTTGCTGTAATGCTGTAAAAGATTTTATGTGATTTTATGGCTCTTAACGATTGGCATTTTTTCTTGTACTTGACTGTTGTATTGTTGTTTTTATGTGTGTCTTATCTGGACGGCTGGGTTCCTGCCTGCAAACAAAATTTACCGCAAGGTATAAATAAAGAAACCTTTGAACCTTTGAACCTTTAAAAGAATGACAGTTCACTCAGACTTATGTGCAAAAATACGCACGTTTAATGAAAAAGATATATTTCTTGTTTACATTAAATAATTTAAACTTACTGTGTTTATTTGTGTGTTTTGAAGCCCCATTCAAGATAACACATGCTCAAAAGATCCTACCAAATTGAGGAACTAGAAATGTTGTGTGAGCGAAAACCCGTAAATGTTTTTCTTTTGTGATCTTGCTTGAGTACAATCCAAAGAAAGTCCAGTTACACTATTTTAGCATAAGCTAACTATCGAAAGTTCATTAAAAAAACACAAAACTCAGTAATTCTGTACCTTGTACTTCTATTGTAGTCTTTAATAGCGCTAAGAAGAAATATTTCAACTCACCTGACTGGAAACATCATGATCTGATCAAATCTCCTCAAGAATAAACTACATCAACGTTTATTCTTCCTCTTTTCTTCATAATTCACTTTCCTTTCCTCTCTGTTTCTCTCTTCCTCACCCATAAATGCAAACGCAGGCATTTTATAAAATCTATTAGTAGATATTTTTTTTATATGATTACGGAAAAGAAAAAGAACAACTGGGGTAATGTGGATGTCAGGAAGAAGAGACCAAGCCAAAGTTTCCAGATGAACTTCTGGAGTAAAAATCACTGAGCGGGTTTAGCTCCACATTATCCCTGCACCGCTGTGCCAAAGGTTGAGTAAAAACAATGGAAATATGGAGAAAGGAAAGGGTGTAGAGAGGAGAGGAAATGCCTCACTGGTGCTGCAGAGTCAGCCTTTCACTGCGTGTTCATGCAGGTTACCTCGCAGTGAAAAGCTGAGCGCAGGAAGGAAGGAAGTGAGGAGGGACAGAAACAGAGATAGGGGGTGTTAGAGAAAGTCAGAGACAGAGAGAGACTGAGAGGGGGAAACAGCAGAAAAGGGTCACTGGGGCTTTCCACTGTGTGGGATTAGAAAAGGCACAAGAAGTAGGTGAGGCAGAGTGGGGAAAGGAAATATTTCTCAAGTCAGAGACAGATCAGACAGAAAAAGTTGTGGTAGAAGAACGAGAGGTTGTCAGAGAGAAGAGAAAAGAGAAGAGAGAACACCTTGAATGATGCTCAGTCAGTGAAGATAAGTTAAGTCGCGCTGATCTGAAGGATTAGGGGCACGAAGAGGAAGAAGAAGTCTGCCACAGTCTTGATTTTTGTTATTCTTCAAAAAGGACCGTAAGTGAATGGGAAAACCAAGATGAGCTGTGAAAGTAAGGACAAGTACAGCAAAGATGGCAGATGCTGCGATCGATGCCCGGCAGGTCAGTAAAAATAACCATTATTTCTTTGTTTCGCGGGTGACAAACTTTTCTAAAGCACTGTGTAAAAATCAGGAACAATGATCTACTTTGGACCAGCTTTAAATTCATTGAAATCAGCTTTGATTCTTACATATTTCTTTATCCTTTCCTCTTCAGGCTGGTCCGTTCAAACTGAGTGTAATGAAACAAAGAAGACTGAGTGTGCTGAATGTCTTCATGGGACCTTCACAGCCACAAAAAACCACTTGTCTTCATGTCGACCCTGCAAGGACTGCAGTTCAAGTGAGTCTCATGCAGTTACTGACACGTACATACTTTTCTCTGTAGCATGACCACAAATGCTGTTCCTTCCTCTTCTCCTCTCTGTTGTCTTTTATAGAGTAAAGCCTCTTTTTGCTATGCGTGCTTGATTTGAATACCATCACAAACCTTAAACAGCTTTTGTACTTGTTCCCTAATCGAGGAGATCTCACTAAACAAGATAACTTTTTAAACATATTCTCACTTTACACACAAATGTCATTTCAGATAGTCGCAGTGTTATTTACCTTTGTACAAATGCTGCAACTGTTGCTTTATATGTGTAGTGGGCTCTCAATTGTCCTTCTTCATACCAATAATGAGCATTTATAGATGTCAATCATATAATTATTCTCAGAAAAAGAATTTATCACAGAAATCTAAAGGTGATATTGAAAATTCAAAATCATATGAAAAATATCTGTAATTATTCTTCATTCTGGATATATGTTACTAAAATAAAGACTGTGAATTCTACATATCTAAAATGGGCTTTCCTTTAAAAGTATTTAAAAGATTTTATGTAAGTCCTTATGTAAGCAAGGGAAGCCTGATACACACAGCATGGGGGCCAAAAGAGGGGCATGGATCCTCCTTGAATTCTGATTGCAATCCTAGATGTCACTGTTATTTTGTTTAATTATAAAATACTATGTATATGTATTTGAGGGGATAAACTGTTTCCCGCTGTCTTACCATCATAAATTCAGTGTTATGAGCACATTGTCTCCAATGTCTCTAAAATGTCTAAAAATGTGACTCTAGACAAACTTAGAAGAAGCTTAGAAGATTCATATGTTGCCAGTCTGGTGTGTAACATACATATACAGGAATATAGATCTGTGTAATACTTAAATGTTAAAATGGATAGGTTCTGTTGAAATAAGGGTAAATATATGCCATTCATTTATGAGGGTACAATCTTAATTACACCCCTGTACACTCCCAAATACATGTATGGCAATAGTGAATATTGTGTGCGAGTAAGAATGCCATTGTGACGATCTAAAATGCTCATTCATAATGGGAAGAACTAGCTTACAGAAATAAAAGATAAATATCAAGTCTATTAAACGAGCTGTCTCTTTGACTCTTGCAGTTAAGAACGGGAGGAAATTAAAGGACTGTACGGCTCGGGAGGACACAGTGTGTGCGTGTGAACGTGGTTTCTACTGTTCTAATGAGGAGTGTGAACACTGCCACAGAGTGAAGACCTGCCCTCCGGGTGAAGGGGTCCAATTTGAAGGTAGGCTTCAACTGTAGATGATGACAGAATCAGCATGAATTCATATCTCACCAGAATGCAGACACTACTTTACGAAGGTCTGAAGGTCTTGATTTCTCCTGCAGCAACTGGAACGAATGACACTAAATGTGCCGTGTGTGAAAAAGGGACCTTCAGCAATGTCACGGACTTCTACTCACCCTGTAAAAGACACACCAGGTCAGACTGCCTCTCCTTCACACCAAGTATTATTACTGATATTTTTACAGCACAGAAAAGATGTAGTTGTTGCTGAAATAAAGTTTTGAATGACAGTCTCATTGACTTCCTGGATCTACAAACTTGAAACCTCCCATGTCACACCTTCTGTGGTTGTTTCATCCACAATGTAGAAACTGTTTTAAAGCTCTAAACTTTTAATGTATCCAGTTCAGGAGCCAAATTCCAGTCTGATTTTACAGCTCATGTGTTTGTCTTTACTTTAGACCGTAGATGCACTAGTACAGTATGAGGATATTAATTATCTGTGCTTGTTTTCAGGTGTGACGATCGGGGCCGACTGCTGAAAACTCCAGGGACCCTGATATCTGATGCAGTTTGTGGTGGCTTCAAGACTGGTAAGTCTTCTCCTTCTCCTAATAGGGCCTTTTATTTTCCAAAACATCACCTCGTTAGGATCTTTGTCCTTTACAAAAGATCAACCTGTGCAATACAGCGAATGCTCACATCCTGAGCGAGGATCAGTGGGTCCCTGCTGTCCTTTAGTTTCTGTTTGTATACGGCCAATACTAACAGAGGAAGCAGAGGAAGTGCAGATAAGAAATCATTCCAAAGGAGGGAAATCATGTTGCAGGAACAAGAGAGAGATAAGATTGAGTCTGTTGCTGAGTGGCTGGAGAAGTAGAACTAGACCTGTAATTGTTTATAGTACTAAAATAAACAGTATATGGAGTTAAATAACCCTTTTTTTAGAGCAGACTGTCCACATGTCATTAAGCTGTATGTCATGCATAAGCATACATGCGCATTACTAAAGCATTAGAGGATTCTCAAAAAGTATACCAAATACTATTCAAATATTTGTTATATTTGTGTACAGGATTGTATGTTGATATGATATTTACAATTTGAGGTCTACCAAAGAATTATGCTGCGTTCGAGTTACCTCGGAAGTCAGATGTCCGAGCTAGGAATGACGTCACACCAGAGTTACCAGTGTAAGTTCAAAGAAAGCAAAATCGGTGGTGAAAATAAGATGGCTACATCTACGAAAGTTATTTTAGCGCTTGCCTTGTCCGACTATAAGCAAGGACAAGGCAAGCGCTAAAATAACTTTCATAGATGTAGCCATCTTGTTTTCAACTCCAATTTAGCTTTTTTACGACTTGGTAACTGAAATGCTGGTAACTCTGGTGTGACGTCATTCCCAGCTCGGACATCTGACTTCTGAGGTAACTTGAAGGCAGCATTATTTTCAGTTTTAGCAACAATTAAAGCTGCTGTGAGTGACTTTTGATTGGTGTTGATTTCAGTGCCCCTTCCTTTGACAGAATTGTATCCGTCCACCTTGTAAGTGTAAACTCTATTTTTAACAGAAAATGTCACTCTTTCTCTTCACAGTCAAATGAATTATAAAAAAAAGCTTTTTTGAGGGCGTGCAGCCTGTCACTCTGTTAGACATCTTCCCAATAGCATCTTCAGATTAAAAAAATAACTGCATAGAAATCATCAGTCTTTAAATCCATGCTTTCATATATCACACAAGGCATCCATATGGACATTAGTGTGTTTCAAAAACAGCTAAAACTCCTCACAGAGGCTATAAATGCTTTTTAGAAAACAGCTGGGTTGTACACTATCTGCTTACACTTCAATACAGGATGCTCTATAGAGGTGTTATATTGTTGATAAATTCATAAAATTACTCCTGAAATTGATGCACCTAGACAACCTTACTCTTCATCTTTGTAAAGGTGTATTATGAAACTTTTGTTACAAGTGAGGTGTTTTTCTTGTTTTGCCACCTCTTCTGAGTGAAACCGTCAAATGGAAATTGAATGGACAGTTTTTTTGTTAAGCAATGATTTAACTCATTTCCTTTTTCAGTTACAATATCACTGAAGGAGTGTTCAATATTCAGTAATCAGTCCCCCCTGCTTTATTTACCAGAACTTGCGCATGTAGAGGCCTCATGAATATGTATTTGGGTTTCACTGGAAACCCCTCTGTCTGTGTTCATCAGAGTGCCACTGGATTACACCTGCAGCCTTGTGGTCAGGACTTGTGTTGACTGCGCTCATCTTGTTTGGTGTCCTCTGCTGGAGGTCAAGACGCAGGTCAAGCAGAGTCGGTGAGTGCTCACATGTGAAGTATGCAGGTGTGTGCCATCACTGCTGTTCATACTTTTCTTCTCATACTTTAAAAATGGAGTTGTGCTGAAGAGGTCTGCCCACTCGTTAGTAACAGCGCATGTAGTCAGCCACAGCAGAGACACAAAGCTTTGAAGTCATACAGTTCAGGGTTACAGTTTATCTAGCTTTCAGTCGCCTCCCACTTTTTCCTTTACAGTGAACGAATCTTTTTGTATGCCAGATTACTTCAAACGAGTTCACTGCTCCCTTTTCTGCAGTTTGTTGCTTATTTGAAATAGTTTTATGTTGATTTAATGATCTTTGGGGGGGTTGTAGGGCAGGAGTAGAGTCACAAAGTAAACATCAACCCAGACAGATAAATTAAGGAACTGTGAGACATGGTGCTGAACAGGCTCAGTGACAAACTAAATCGAAGAAAACCACATCCTGTGCACTTTCAGACTGACACAGTTATATGGTTTGATGTGACGCACAATTCACAACAGCTAACTCATTCTGAGAAACAGGTCTTACGCACGCGGCACTGTCCCATAAGTGATTGAAGTGTCTGACGTGTACTTTACTGTTTTCCAGTGAACCTGTGTTAGCACACAGGTTCACTGGAATTTACACATAACAGAATTACTCAGAAGGTTTTTTGCTTATCTGATCATAAATGATTTTTTTAAATCCAGAGGAATTTTTTGAAAGGTGGACTTTCGAAGGAAGTTTTAAGTCGCTCTGAATAAGATTGCAGCAAATGATCATGTTTGAAAGTTCATTACGACAGTACAAAAGTCTTTGTTCTTTCTTTTCAGTCTGTACTTTATTTATATAAGAGTGTATTGTCAGGTTCAGACATTAAAGTAGAGCTGAGGTGTTTTGCCCTGAAGAGGGTTTAGGTTTTATCCGCTGGTGCTGACTGCCTGGATTAGATTTTTTTTTTACCATGAATAGAGTTGAAAAACTTTTTTAACACATCCCAAGTGACAGTCAGTGAACCTTTGCAAATCAAATTGAGAATACATAGAAAATAGTAGGAAAAAAGTGAAAACAAAGTTTCTTCTTACACTGAAAACCTTTATATTGCCATTAACATAAGGCTGTGTTATCAGCGGCCTGGTGTACACCTACCCCCTCACATCAGTTTCAGACATTTGAGATAAGGATACAAAAATTGTCTGTCTTGTTGGTCTCTGGATATCATGAAAGGCATTGGTACGACTTTCAGTCAATTTCATAAATATAAAAAAACTGCAGTAGCTTTAAGTACTAGATAACTTCTTGCACTAGATACATTAATAGCTTGAACAGTCACCAAAAATCTTAAACTCCAGATCAAACTGTGTATAATTTTGATGTGATTTAGATTCAAGATGTTCCTCTTCTGACCCTTACTTTTGTGTCATCCTTTGTTTTACTCAGCCAGTCCCGATGCTCCTGTTGCCTTCATTCAAATTCCAACAGAAACAGACTATCAACCTGAGCTGCCGTTACCATCCAGAGAGCAGAACGGTCACTACACAGAGGAAGTCTACAAATTACCACTGTTCACCCCAGGTGATAAATCACTGCACACTGCATACACAACAACAGAGTTTTTGTCACTATTTGTAATCTTCTTCTGCAAATGTTTCAATTCTGAATGAATTCTTGTACACAATGACAATTTAAGATGTCCAGGTTAAAGTCTGATCCCAGGATTCAGTAGCCCTTCAGCAGAGTGCTTATATCTCCATGTATCTTTGCCAAAGACCACTTGAGCTGTCCTTGCAGGTTGTGTTGGCAAGGCAACAGGCTAAAGCATTTTCTATCAGAGTTTCCTTTAACTTGTCGAGAATCTGAGTATCTGGAGAAATATTAAATCTACTTTTTTGGAGTATTTTAATTTCCCAGTTGTTTCAGCCCCATCAAGTAGGCCTTAAATCAATCCCACCAAAGTGCAAAGTGTGATCTGTTAAACATTAAACTCAAGGATGGTCTCACTGAACATTGATTTTATTTCCCTCCTCAGATGATAACACAGTCAGTTACGCCACAGAAGACAGCATGGGCAGTGTTCCTATAACTCCTCTACAGGTTTCAGTTTCTTTCGCTGAGTCGAGCCAGGACGACAAAAGTGCTGGACACTGCACCACAAACTTCTTCAGAACCCACTCAGAGCCGCAGGAGGATGAGTGGTGTGGGGCAGAAGCCTCTTAACAGTATCCTGAGACTGTCTCTAAAAACTATTTTCTATAACTTATACAAAAATTTATCAAACAAAAGGAGAGTTTCTCTAAGACACGAGACGAAGTTTCTCTGTTCTAGGAGAGAAAAAAGTGGCTGGTAGTTTGCTGCCCCCTGCTGGCTGTGAGCTAAAATGACGCCTCAAGACATTCAGAGTAGGTCTGCACATAATCCAGCTGTGAAGCTCCTTCTTCATTAAGGGGAGCGTTATAGGGTGAAGACGGAGATTTGTGCCTTATTTAGCTGTCCAGTCTCCAGTTTAAATATTTCTTTTCATGTTCTTTACTTTTTTTTTTTTTTTTTTTGACAAACCTGTTAAATTTGCAGATGTGTTTGTAGCTCAATGTAGCTTTGTGAAGTACTGTCCAAAAACCCATTAAAAAGAACATGGACACTCTCGTCTATATTGGAGTCAATCCTATATTCCCACAGCTCCTATCTGTCCGTTGTAATTAGCTATTTTTCAGTCACGCATTTATTAAAAAGTGGAAAATGACCGTTTTATTTTGAGCCTTGTTTTAGCCAGCTAGCTTAAGCTATAGTAGCTATGGGTTAGCTAACATCAAACCTTTGTCAGTAGGTCAGGAAAGGGTGTCTAGTTCTTAGGGGATGGTTGTCAACTTGGTAGGAAAAAAAAAAGACATTATAAAGGCTAATTTTAGGGCTAACGTTAATAATCCAGTTTACTCCTGGTAAGTTTTGTCTTTTTGAATGAGTTCAGGAAGACAGTTAGCATTTTATATCAAACACTAGCTCCTAAGAAAAGTTTTATCAGACATAAAAGAGTAAAGCCACCCACAAGCCACAAGAAATATGACTTCAGGAAGACAGTTAGCATTTTGATATAAAATGCTAACTGTCTTCCTGAACTCATTCACACAGACAAAACTTAGCAGGAGTCAATCCTTTATTCCCACATCTCCTATCTGTCCGTTGTAATTAGCTATTTTTCAGTCACGCATTGATTCAAAAGTGGAAAATTATAGTCTTAATTTGAGCCTTGTTTTAGCCAGCTAGCTGGAGCTATAGTAGCTATGGGTTAGCTAACATCAAACCTTTGACAGTAGGTCAGATGAGGGTGTCTCGTTCTGGGGTGGATGGTTGTTAACTTGGTAGAAAAATTAAGACATTATCAAGGCTAATTTTAGGGCTAACCTTATTAACATAGTTTACTCCTGGTGAGTTTTGTCTGTTTGAATAATTTCAGGAAGACAGTTAGCATTTTATATCAAACACTAGCTCCTGAGAAAAGGTAACCAACCCTGAAACTCTAGTTTAGTGATATATATCAAACGGATTCAACCGTTATTCTAGTGTGCATTCAAAAGTCTCTTCTGTTGCAGAAAAAATTTAGACCATTAAACACTGTTTTCTTTAAACTTTCTGAGACATAACAAAGCCACCCACAAGCCACAAGAAATTAAACATCAGAAGAACAATTAACCCTTTTATATAAAGTGCTAACTGTCCTCCTGAACTCATTCACAAGGACAAAACTAAGCAGGAGTCAATCCTTTATTCCCACAGTTCCTATCTGTCCGTTGTAATTAGCTATTTTTCAGTCACGCATTTATTAAAAAGTGGAAAATGACAGTTTTAATTTGAGCCTTGTTTTAGCCAGCTAGCTGGAGCTAAAGAATGGGTTAGCTAACATCAAACCTTTGTCAGTAGGTAAGGTGAGGGTGTCTCGTTCTGGGGGATGGTTGTCAACTTTGTGGGGGAAAAAAAATACATTATAAAGGCTACCTTTAGGGCTGACCTTATGAACCTAGTTTACTCCTGGTAAGTTTTGTCTGTTTGAATAATTTCAAGTAAACAATGAGCATTTTATATCAAACACTAGTTCCTGACTTAAATTTGCTCTACTGTCATCGACAATGGGAGCAAAGGTAACCAACCCTGAAAGTCTGTAAATTTAATGATATACTAAAAGGATTCAACCGTTATTTTAGTGTGCATTCAAAATCTCTTCTGTTGTAGAGGAAATTTTGACCATTAAACACTGTTTTCTTCAAACTTTTTGAGACATAAAAGAGTAAAGCCACCCACAAGCCACAAGAAATATGATTTCTTTATAACATGGAGGAGATAGATAGTGCAATACCAGGAAAGATACTGGGAATGTTTACACAAGTCTCTGTGGTCTCTTCTCAGGCATGACATTAAGAATATACAGATATTCAGTCCAAAATAATGTTGATTATAATAAAAATAATTGTACACATGAATCAAACCAGCTTCTCAACTATATTCTATTCAGAATAAATTGAGGTGATTAACTAAAACACACGGTCAGCTACTTCACTCGGCCTTCTTGAAGACTTGCTTGGCAACGACGCCTTGAACTCTCATCTCCTGCAGAGAGGAAAGATACCATCAAGAAGAGAAGGGGGAGGGGGAGGAAAAGGAAGAGGAGGGGGTGTAAATGAAGAGCGAGAATCAATAATACAGTCCGTCACATCAGAGGAGACCCCCCCCCCCCCCGTGTAAGAGACTGATCCTTGCTGGCATTTCTTTCCCAATGCTCGCCTGCTTGCGGACATCAACAACGCGTGGCTTTGTCTGGGGTGTAACAGAAGAATTAGAAAATCCTTTAGTGGAACAATACTGATTGTTTCGAATCTTAATCAGCATTGACAAACTAATCTATAAGCTCTTTTAGGATCAAAATGAGCAGAGAAAATCCGTCCCCTTGGTCCTCAGTCACTGTAACACTTATAAAGACATGCATTCAAGAGTCTTTTATAGGACTCTTTTCATATGTTTAACTAAGTCCCACAAAGACACTTATACACTTCCAAACCCTGCCGCTGGCTGCATTTGCATCATATCCTTTAGTTAGCATATCTTTTTCCCCACCCTTCTTCCTCTTGTATCTATTTTCCTTCTTCCTCATCCTCCATCTCTCTCTCTGCTCTTTCCTCCATCGCTTCTCTCCATCCACACCCATCCTTACCAAATGCAGCTTGTTGCCCTCCAGCCAGTGAGTCCAGCCTCGTCCCTCTTTTTCTCCTCGTTGTACACAAACCAGGTTCGCTCCGTCCCAGTTCACTGTAGTCTGCGGAAAAACAGATATGCTGTGTCACTGTGTGCTATTAGTATGTAAAGTAGCTCTTGAGTTTGGCTGCACTGTCTTTGTGTCGTGCAAAAGGCTGGAAACGAGCGAAGAAAACCTCTTTTTCTGCCCCTTTCTGTTCAGTTTTTCTTTTGAATTTACTCTCAGAAGAGGCTGCGGTTCTTATTCTTGTGTTGTTGTTTTTTTTAAAAGCTTTTGTTCGTCGCTCACTGTTTTGCTCAAACATAACTCACTGTTAGTTGAAGTCATGGTTTAAGCAGCAGGGAGGCAACTACAAACACAAAATCACAGCAGTAGGTGGGTCAGCTTACCTCTGATGTTACTCCTCTAACACAACACAAACTTGTATAGGCAGTTATGATACTCAACACCCTCATCAGAAGAGCCAAAACTTCTCTGAATACATTAGTGAAAACACACACCTGACATGTTCGCCCGTCTACAGGGCCCAGGTCTTCAGTAAACTCTTTCCCGATGGTGAAATCCATGTTGAAGTTCTTAAAGGTGGTGAGGGTGCGGATCCTCATGGCTCCTGTGGACGGGTCGTGGGTGATCTCTTTGGTGGGCTTCAACAGACACACAATCTTCCTCAGAGCGAAATTTATATCTAGAAGAGGATAAGAAACAACACATGAAAAAGAGAGGAACTGTGCTTTATTGTTCCTTTATATAAAAGGGTCTCCCACTGAGAGCAGACATACTGAATATGCTCCCACAGTGTGTGTGTGTATGTGGGTGGGTGTGTGTCTGTTTGGGGTCATACAAAGGACAAGGTGGTGATTTCATCCACACTGATGTGCAGCTGCAGAGAAAAATGTCCCACAGCATGAAATCAATCTCTGAAGATAATTTTGGTTTTTTTTTATAAGCACCACAGTAAGAAAAACGTGACAGCTTGTTCCAATGAGAGAGAAAGAGGAGTGTGTTATGCAAAGAAAAAAGGCTGTTTTCAAGTGTCAACATGCAGAATTATAGTTTATCTATTTACTTTATTAAAGTTTAATAGTAGGGAAAAGAAGTGATGCTGTTTTTTTCTTTCTAATGTCCCTCCCCTTTTCTTTTGGTACCATTCAGAAGCAAGACACCACAAAGAAGAAGTCCTGAAGTTGAAACCTCTTTGAACAGAGGTTTTAAAATTGAAAGTGCTAAAAGTCAGAGCTGAGTCTTACCTAAAGCTCCTAGGTACGAGTCCATGTTCTCCTGCTCCACCATATGATACGTGCCGGTGAAGTTCGGTTTCGACATTTTGTTCAAAATCCAAACAGGTTGAAATCTAAACTTTTTCTTCGAGTCCAGTCTGAATCCAACTGATCAGTTACAGCCGCCTGGTTTGATATCAGTTGCACTTACGCAACTCCTTCAGACAAAGCCTGATCTGAGAGGAATGCGCGTAAAAGTCAGCCTGCTGCTGTGTTGGTGCCTGAATGTTGCTGGAGGTTCGTGGGCCCGTGGGACTCTTCTTCTCTGATGGACACTCCACGCTGGCTTTGGGGGAATGATTTCAGTCAGCTTGGAATCGCTCGCGAGTTTTTCAGCAGCAGAACATGCAGGGGGAGGACCGTGCATCTCTCAGAGCGCTTTCCACGCAGGGATCAGAATCAAGAGGGGCGGGGCTTAGAGGTTCTATAACATGTGGTGAATGGAGTGAGGATGGAGCCCACCACAAGATTGTATAGCTAAGGGTCTATGGACTTTACATACCATTAGCTGACTAGTATTTGGTCTACTGACTTTATCACAGCGGTTTAAGAAGACTCACCACTTCAGTAATTGTTTTACTATTAAAACCAAGTCAAAATCATTCATTTTAAATGTGAAACTACGGTGGCCAACAACTGCCGCTGCTGCAAAATAAAAAAAATAAAAATAAAAAAAGGAGTCACAACGGAAGTTACTAATGCAAAAAAAAAAAAAAAATAGAGACGTGCAGATGAAAAAAAAAAAAAGCCACAACGGAAGTTAAGGACGCAAAAAAAAAGTGGTGATGGAAAAAAAAAGAAGAAAGAAACCGAAGCCCGCTGCAAATAAAAAACAAACAAACAGTGCAGATAAATGTTTAAAAAAGCCACAACGGAAGTTAATGACTAAAAAAAGTGGGGATGGAAAAAAAAAATACTGACTGCGAAAATGAAAGGATGCAAATTTAAAAAAAGCCACAATGGAAGTGAGCTGCTGGGGACCAATAACGATGATGCACCCGTGTTTTAAGATCTAGGTACAGAAGATGACGGCAAGCAAAAAAAGTGGCAATGCAAAAAGTTAGTTAGTTAGCTAAGTGCTTGGTTGTCATAATCTCCTCTGAAAAATTTCTTGCATCCAAGAGGCCTGTTCCTTAACCCTAAAAAAATAAAACATAATGTACAATATAACACCAAACATCACACAAAGTACAGCATAACTTGTTTTTTGTAGATTTTTTTTTAAATCTTTGTACTTAATCCCTAAAGTAACCCAAGATTTCAAATAACAGTACAAAATAAATCAGTGAAGAAGAAGAGGTTTTATATAGACTATGACAGAAATACACCAAGTGTACTTGAGCACTGTACTGGAGTTAATATCTGTAGTTGGTCTGCAGTATCAGTAATATCTGAATTATCTGAATTAAGGCTTTTTCAGGTTTCATGAGAAGGATTTTGTTTGGATTCCAGGCATAAAAAATCTCATTGTGTTAATACCATTAAATTAGCAGATGAAGCAGTAAAAACGTGCTCCCTTTCAAATGTAAAGACTTAAAGCTGTGGCCAAAATTAAACTCCTGCAACTCAAACTTCTGTTGACAAAACAACAATAGAACAAAAGTACTGTATGAACTATGAAACACTTCACCAGACTGTGTGGTGTCAAAGTTGTGGACTAGACTTATAAGAGCAAGTAACAGTCTAGTCTGTGCTCTCGTGTATGTGTGTGTTGGAGGGGGCTGACACCTGAGACCAGTACAAAAGAAGAAGAGTCATTCAGTTAAGAGAGAGGCATAACTGCAGAGTACTCTGAATGCCGGGTTGTAAACATACTCCCCTCCATCTTCAGCTCTAACGGGGGTTCAAACTTTCTGTGGGAAGTTTTAAACTGATTATGAAACAGTCTTAAAGTAATACTGATGCCTCTGTTCCACCTCCAACAGCAAATAATAGTTCATGGCTGTCAGCGCAGTAATCAGGTCTGATCCAGATAAAGAGATTTACTGTGAGCAAACAGAAGAGCCTTTGTATACATTTTCCCCTGGAAAGTCTGACAGTGAGCTGAACATTAGCTGGTTAAAAGAAAGCTGTTGCGGGTTTTCATATACATACACAGGTGCACCAGGAGGGGACCGGCGAAGATGAAACATTAGACAGGCAGCCCTTCTCGAGTAAATGTTGTTTTAAATAAGAAGCTAGGTCAGTCTCGCTGTTATATAGTGGTCTACGAAAGACATAACGCAAATGAGGGTGTTGAGAGTGTATGAAAAATTGCAAAAACACTGTTAAATTTAATTTTTTCCATATAACTACTAAAGCCAAACTGACATACTGTATATCATCTCAGTAATAAAAAGCTCATGCATTTTCCACTTGTTTCCACAATCGCTGCAAACTTTGAATTCAAGGTTTGACACAACATCTTTTTTTTGACCTACTTTTTGCTCATGTTTGCAGGTGTGCATCATCTGACGATTTCTGTTAACAACCATGTGAACAATCACAGCTCTGTAATTAAGAGAACAAGCAAAACTAAAACAAACAAAATAAACGCACTTTGGAAACCTTACGTTTGCTTAAATCGTGCTGTATGAATAAAATGGATTGGATTGGAATGTACAGAATGCAAATGTACAGTTTTCTTACCTCCTCCAACCCTCCACCAGGGGTTTTATCTACTTCATGCCCCGCCTTATTCTGTACATGTATAAAAAGTGATTTTTTTCAGGTTGTCTCCCTTGACATCTACCCAGCAGCAGTGATTACAAGCATTAATCATAACCAGAAATAATCAGTCTTTTACTTGATGGTCTGGGTTTCTCTTGAAGCACAAAAAATGTAAAGGTCAGCGCAACAGTATCATCCAGTATTGGTTAGTATTTAGTCACCCATTTCTTTGTTATCTCATAACAGAAAAATGCTTCCTTGATTTAAAACAAACATAAATGTTTTTATAAGCTTGAACAAGCCAATAATTAAAACAATAATATCCTGAGAAAGATTCATAAATCAATTTCCAACTGAGCTGAGATAAGATAGCAACAGGTGGGTCTGTTTTGGTGTGTTTGTGTCTTGTTTAAGTCCTAATCAATCTCCTCCCATTGATATGCCTCATCTGCTTTTCCTGTTTCATCTGGAAATGAAACAAGATACAGACAAACGCCTGAACTTTAAAGCTTTCAAACTACTCCCACTGTGTGTGATGTGTGACCTGCCGCTAAAAAAAGGAGTTTCAGTGCAAACATTGAGGCACCTCACAAACATACTCAAACAACTGATTTAAAAAAAAAAGACAATCACGCAACAAACTGTTCACCAATGTTTTGGTTTTATTTTTAACAAATGCATTCAAGCATTCATGTGAGAAATCAGATGTTATAACTCCATCATGTCTCTGATTTTACACTTTCTTCCACTGCGACAAAAAATTAACCAAAAAGCAGAGCCTGAATAAATATAAAATTATGACGTACTTAGAGAAAACTTCTCAGTCTCTATCTTTTCCTCACCGAGCCACTTTTCTTGTCTGCCTTTTGCTTTTTCACATCCTTCTTCCCCTTTGACAGATTCTCGTAAACGTCCTCTTTGTTTCTGGAAATAGAAAACGCTGATTAGTGCTTTTATCAGTTCCTTACTTCTTTAATAGAGCAGTCACCGTTGATTAGACATAGAGAATCAGAGACTGTAGAGGTTAATGAATGAGCCATCTGCAGTAGAATTACTGAAACAGACCAACCAACCATGAGTCAATCACTCAAAGCTGACCGCCAAGTATCCCACCCTGAAAGTGGGTCAAACTTCAAGCTGCGTTGAGCTGAATCGTCCAGTGTCCTGTTTTATCTTTGCTAACTGGTTAATTTCAAAACAGCCTCATTACATACACAAGCCTTGTCCTGGCTCAAAGGTCATTAACACAGTACTCAAATGACCCCAGAGAGGAGCTGAGAGTCTAAAATGATACAGCCTCTTGTTTGTTCACTAACAGAGCAAAAAGCAGATTTTACAGGCTTGAGTTTCTCTGGAGGGGAAACTCTACAGTTAGAAAAAATGACCCTGATGAGTCAAAGCAAGACATTTCTTTCTAAATTGTCCAGACATCATTGATTCATCTGTGTTGATTGCTGAGGTTATTATTTGTGCAACAGTTACTAAGAATGCTGCTGACTAAAAAACTACAATCACATCCTGTTGTACGGTCGAGGAAGTAAAGGTTCTCCTGGAGGAGGGTGGTGTATCATCTTCCTTTAAAACAGCTGCAATGCAATTCTCTTATTCTGGATTTGGCAACTTTCGAATTTTGGAGTTTCAGTTTGCACAGTGGCTTGGATTTAACTTTCAAAAGTTGCGTTAATTGAGTTTTTTTTTTTTTTTCCATTGCTGTTCTGGCTTTTTTAAAAACCAGTGTGAGAACAATTCTAATATGCAGATTTGAGCTTGAAGTATTAAAAGAAATAAGGTCAAGGACTTTGTTTAGCAGTATTATATAAATTGTAGAATCAGAAAAAGTAGAGACAACAGCCTCTATTACACAGTTTATTCAAGGTGGTAGTATGTTATGTATGGACAGACTATTTTGGCACAGCTGTGATACTTCTAGCTGGGCATGGGAGGAAGTTACAGAGAGCAACATGTGGTAAATGGAAAAACCTGCAGGACGCAGCAGCAGGTGAATGAGAAGCTCAGGCTGTTTGTTTACAATGTGACACTACTTTTCTTTCACAATGCTGCGGTGCTTTATAAAATCACACACTAGGAGAGCTACGTGATGGTGTTGTTAGTCCAGAGTGAAATCACAGACAGCATAAAACAAGGTTTACTCTGCTGTAAACACTGTTATTGTTGTCATCTCTGTGTAAAAACAGGCCCACACCAAAGCTTCATCTTCTACTTCTTAAGAATAGGTCACCCATATATATTCAAGGGCTTTAATAATTCACTGGAGAGCCATTTTATTGCTTTTACAGGAAGGATAAATTTCCTCTTCGCTGCCTTGAAACTGAGAAATATACAGAAGATAAACAAACGTGTTGCCTTGGATGCCCTGCTATTCTGGACTGTTTCATGAGAGCCTAAGCGCCTTATTAGTTTCAAAACATGAGGACAAAGGTCTGTAGTGGAAAATGAGCCGACTGGCTCACACTGGAATATCTACAGAAAATGCTGACAAATGTGTTTCAGCTCTTCTGGATACAGATCCACAAAGGACTGAATGTATCTGATTGAAGGCTCCCTGACAAGAACAAGGTGCTGGTACAAACTGGCACCTTTATTCGATGTGGAGAAAACTCTTTGGTTCTTGCAGTAATCAGATTTTATGCAAGGGTTTGATTTTGTTCCCGGGACCTTTTCTTGTCTCCAGTGCCAGAGGTCCAAAGATGAAATCTATACTTTCAATAGTGTTTGATTTCAGGAAAATCGAGGTCCATGCTCGATTAAACGGTGACGAATTTTGAAGGAGTCTGCAGGAGTAAAAAGAGCTATGAAACTCTATTGGAGTCCTTTAGCAACTACAGCTCATCCTCCCTCTATCCACACCTCCTCCTCTTCACAAAAACGTTTGCTGACATGTGGCTGAAGATGCTGACTGTGCTGTATTTGTAAAAAGAAACTAGGGCAGCTGTGTGAGGTTCAGAGGAGTGATGTGAACTTTATAGGGACATCCTATTTACACAAACACTCACACAGTAGCTCACTCACTTTGAAACCTTTCTGCTGGCTGGTTGGTGCTTGAGTTGTAGGTTTCCATACTCTGTGTCGGTTTCCTGGGGAAGAGAGGAGCACAGACGTTTCAGAGATGACAGGAGGATAACTCAAACACAGAGCAGGTCACACGGCGGGTTTAGTCTAAGCAACAGGTTGTTGTTTTTTTTTCTCTCCGGGTCAATGTTCATCTTTCTCAGGCGGCTCTTTGATAACATATCACACCGTTCGCACCAAACTAGGCAGCTTTCAACATTCACAAGTGCAAAGGCCTGTCGAGATACACATCTCTGTTCAGAAATCTTTCTGTTTTCCTCTCATCAATCTAAATCTCAGTAGAGGGAAATAACTTCTCACTCTTATGTGATTAATTCTCTGTCCATGTTACTCACCATGTAGGCACAGTCTTTGGCCTTGGTGGTCTGAATGTACTGAGACACAGACAGATAGATGAACTTGTATTGAGCCTCCGTCTGCACCATGCCGGAGCGCTGCTCTCGTACCATCTGGATGTATTTGGGGATGTCAATGTCACAGTCCAGACCTGCACAGAGAAGTCAAATAACCACATCAAAATCGCAGTACTCTGTATTTATTTTGACTCTTATTTATTTTTTTGTTCAAAACAAACTGATATTGATTTATTTTTCTACCCATAGTGTCGATGGTCTCGATGATCATGTCAATCACCACGATGGTGCCTGTTCGGCCGATTCCAGCACTGAAAAAAATTCACAATAAGATAAAGCCTATTTAGTTCATATAAAACACAACTTTTAAGGTTCTTTTAAGACTTTAAATAATCAACAGTCAGACCAAAAACTGTGTCCAGCTGCACAATGAACCTTACAAGGCACAAATCTTTCACATTTTATGTTGTAATTTCAGCCTCAGAAGAATGGCAATGTCAGTTTTGTAGATTCACAAACAAAAGTACAAGGAAAAATTCAACTTTTGACCTACAAAAGTCAGGAGGTCTTCTTACTTTAGGTTGAGGGGATACATCAAATGAATTTTATTGTAATGCAAGAGATAAAGTCAGAAAAGCAGCAGCTTCATTAGGGCTCATCCTCTGGGGGCTTCAAATGCTGTTTTTTCAACGTTTAATGACAATCTAATCTAAAATAATTGAAAATCTTCGTGAACCAACCAGCAGACCTGGCTAGCTTAAGGACAATATGTCAACTTTAATAATAACTTTTTATTGTTGTTATATGGAGCCTATCATTTTAACATTTCTCAAATAGTCACAACTATTTCACTATTTGAACTTTAAAATCTTACAATAATGACTAAATCTCCTCTAACTCTGACTATCTATCTCATTATGTCATGACTCTTCAGTAGTTAAACTCGCACCCTGTACAGAGGTTACAGTCCTCAAAGCAGTTAGCCTAAATCCAATCCTGACCCACGACCCTTTGCTGCATGTCACACCCCACTGTTTCCTCTGAGTTTCTGACTCTATTCACTGTCCAATCTCTCAAATTAAAGCGTAAAAGCCTTTTGAGTAAATTTTGTTCCTCTTTAAGAGGGTTAAATGTCAAAAGTCTTAGTAACAGTTGTGTTGAGGGAAACCCTGTGAGATTATAATAGTCCTGCGCAGCTTTGTGAACATACTTACATACCAAAAATACTTACGCAAGCGTCATGTAATCATCAACAAACGTGTGAAAAACACACACTCACACGCATGGCCTCAGTATCCCTCACATCACACGGGGGAAATTCCAAAAGGATAAACTGTCATTTGACTTACTGCTTATCTTAATCCTGAAAATATGATCATTATAATCTTTACCCTCTGAGTGTTATCATCTAACTTCTAATCATGGAAGCTGAGCTTGTTGTTGTTTCAAACAACATCACACTTAAACAGATGTCTGTCACAAGCACCTCGCGCATGCAAGAGTTTAAAGGGTTAATGCTCCACGACACATGACTGGAGGCACCATTTGGTAAAAGCCCATCTAGAAAAACTAATTGTTGTCTCCTGGAAAACCCTTTACAGAAATTTCCAAAGACTTTACCAGCTTCTCAGGATGTGAGAATGTTTAGAAATCAGATCAGACGCCAAAGAATTAAAAGATGATCAACAAGAAAATGAGACTGAACAGATTTTAAATATTGGAGGATCGTTCGGTTAATTCATCCAGTAAAAGATGTTCATGTTGAACATTTGAACCGTTAACAGACGGTAGGATGAAATAAAAAAAATATCAACTAATATGGGTGCAGGGCAAAAACATGTCAACAGGGGGCGCCAAAATCAACATCGACCAAAATGTCCCGCAGAAGCTTTAAATAGAGGATTTGGGCTTTATGCTGCATTCGAGTTACCTCGGAAGTCGGATGTCGAAGCTGGGGATGACGTCACACCTGAGTTACCAGCGTTTTAGTTACCAAGTCGGAAAAAAGCAAAATCGGAGGCGGAAACAAGATGGCTACATCTACGAAATTTATTTTAGCATTTGCCTCGCCTTGTTATATTCGGACAAGTCAAACAAGGCATAACTTTCGTAGATGTAGACATCTTGATTTTGCTTTTTTCCGACTTGGTAACTGAAATGCTGGTAACTTGGGTGTGACTTCATTCCCAGCTCCGACATCTGACTTCCAAGGTAACTCGAAACGCAGCATTAGCTGTTAGTGGGTGGAAACACAAGATTTACCAAGAGCATTTAATTTTTTATGACAGTCCATAAATTGAATTATAGGTGTTAAAAAAAGAAAGAAAAAATTAAGTAGAGGTTTTGAGCATGTCTACTTTGACAATGTCTAACAGCAGCTCAGTATCTACAGAGCCTGGTGTGTGGTACCTGCAGTGGATGATCATGGGTCCAGCATCACGGTTTTCAGCCTGTTTGGCGTTTACTTGAGTGAGGAAGCTGAGGACACCACCTGGCTCCTGGGGGACACCATGGTCAGGCCAGCTCATGTACTGATAGTGCCAGATAGTACGAGAAAGTTTGGGCTGTAAAAGACAAAACAGAGAACATTAAACAAGCAGTGCTAATGAAGGTTTATGTACGTCTGAGTGAGGGAGTGCAGTGAGGCCACGAGAGGTTTGGAGGGTCACCTGGTCCATATGAGTAATCTCCAGGACACGAACTTTATAATCAGCTGCTTCTCTCTCTGACTTAGATGTCACCACATAGGGACCAAACTCTTTGGAGCTCGAAGGGTCAGGCCAGTATGGGACACATTTATTCTGCAAAAAGAATAAATCAAGTTAATTTCATCCATGAACCTCCACACACGCATTTTTCGACAGCCTCCGAATTTTCCCCTCATGCACTTTAAATCCCTACACATTTTTCAGCTCATCTGTTCAGTCTCTTTTTGACAGTAAACTGTACACAGCAAGCTTAATCAACCCCACCCAACTTTACAGCTACATGTAAACTATAAACTTAAGCCCTATTAGGGTGCATCTCAGTTCATCCTATATTACAACAGGTCTTACAGCAGCTGAAGGGGAAGTATTCAGATAAGCTTAAGTAAAAAAGCAAAACCAAGCTGGGAAATATTAATTTACGAGCAAAAGTTCTGCCTTCAAACCCCTCTCTGTTGAAATTATAAAAGCAATGTCACATGGAATATGAAAGACACCAGGGGTCACTTCTGCATTCATTTGTATTTTCCTCTGTAGTTTTTCAGAGATGCTCTTATTGGGTATTTGAATAAATTGATATGCAACATAATTACCTCCGCCAAGGAGGTTATGTTTTCAGTAGCGTTTGTTTGTTTGTTTGTCTGTTAGCAACTTTACGGAGAAAGTTACAGACGGATTGACCTGAAATTTTCACCAGAGGTGCGTCTCAGCCCCAGGAGGATCCCATTAAATTTTGGAGGTGATCCGGACAAAATTCCCTATACTGTGATCCAGAACACACAAAAATAAGGGTGTCGTTGGAATTTTCAATGCTGAAAGATAACCAATGGGCGGCACAGTGGTGTAGTGGTTAGCACTGTCGCCTCGCAGCAAGAAGGTTGTGGGTTTGAATCCGGGTCAGGGCGTTTCTTGTTTTAGGAACATTATGAACAGTGAACATACCAGTTTAAACACAAATAAAAGTTAATAAAAGACACGTAACAGTAAAAGTTTTGGTGTGAATCACGATATAAGGGGGGACATGAGCTGCTTGGCGGAGGTCTGCGCTCTCCGAGTGCTTTTCCAGTTTGTTCATTTTGTCAAGCAATCGATCAATTCACCTTTAGTCATATAGCACTAGTTCACAAAGAAAAGATCATACTGGATCATACTCTAGTTATAAAGACCTGATTCAACGATGGCGTCAGATTGTAAGATCAGACCCACTTCCAGCCACACGGGTGTAGCACTTTCCTCTACAATGGAGAGGAAAAACTTCCTTTTAACAGGTAGAACCCTTAAGCAGTACCAGTCTCATGTTTGACAGTCATCTGCTGAGACTGCATTGGGTTTAGAGAGGGGATAGAGGGAGATTCAGAAAGAGGGAGAGAGATGGACAGAGAAGGAGGTGCTGGGTTGTTGTCTTCATCACATATTACTGAAAAGAAACTCAGCTTTGTTAACTCAACATGTCACGGTGAATTTAGTAGGAGCTTCAAGTTGTTCAGTTACAGTGAGTTTTCACAACCCTCGGGGGGTTGTAAAATTTGTAAATATCACAGGATAGAGACGGCATGAAAGATTGAAATCTTAAAATCAATTACAGATTTCCAGTGAACAGGGATTGAACAATGAACCAATTTTTGACTTTGATGGTGTAGAAGTTTAAAAAAGTGTAAAAATAGAAATAGTACAGCGCTGGAATAATACAGAACCTATTTTTTAAGATCAGTTAATCTTCATTATCATACCAATTTTATCATCCATATCATGTGAACAGTTAGAGGTCAAATAATGAATAATAATGAAGTGGGGGTGTGTGCCATTTAAAGCCTGTCAAAGAAGAAGGATTTTAATGTCAGCTCACTTGCTTAACAGAAGCCAGTGCTGTGACATATGCTGTGATATTTACAGTTCGCCTAAAATTACCACAGAGAACTGCAGTTTACAAATATTGCTAATAAAAAGATCCCCTGGTGTACTGTAATAAAAACTGCGTAGGCTTCGAAAGAGGGAAGTTCTCTCGGCTTGAAATGTCAGTTTAAGGTGCGCAGCAGTAATTAAAATGTTTTCCTGGCATTTCGTTCAGGGGAAAGGAGAACATCAAAGTCCAAGTCTACTTTGATGGCTGATGCTTTTGATACTGACCCGCCCTTTCTCAACCTCTCTGGTTGTCATGACGATCACCCTTGTGTTCTCTTGCCACACCATCTGCCAGAAATCATTGACGGTAGTTGCAAGACACCCCTGGGTGGCGATATAAACTTTCTGGTCCTCAGGCTCCCGCATCTTGTTCTGTAAGCACGCAGCAATGATGATAAACAAAAGAAAGTGTATGACAGCTTCTGTTTACTCTTGTATTTCAGTCTCTGGACACTTACTTTCACGTAGTTGGCGTTAATGTAATCAGAACCAACAATGGCAGGATCAGTGTCCTGCAGGATGACTCTGGTGTCATTGACTTTTGGAGGAAACAAGAGGACGGAGGGATTAAACCGTGAGACAAAGGCAGAAACAAATATCTAGTTAATGTTACGATCAAAACTGACTTAAAACATATGATATGAAAAGTTTATATAATAACAATACTCACAGGGAAGAATGTTCTTGTATCTGTTTTTGCTCTTGTTTTCAGGCCTCTGGCCCTCCTCTCTGCTTTTTTTCACCTTTGCCTCAAACTTTTGAAGAGCCTGATGGGAGGAAAAGACAACTGAGTTGCCGAATAATGACAGAATATAAACTTCCACGTTAATAAAACACAAGGCGATATTTTACCATTCTCTGTATTTTTTTGGTGAACAAAAGCAACATGTTTTCAGCATTATACCTTAACTTTACTTCACAAGACAAGGAGAAAGAAAATCTGAATTAATTCTTGTCGCCACTCTGGGGGGCAGTTTGTCGATTATTGGTGAGAAAATGTATTTGAACTATTTCAGTGACGTCACCAAGCATTTCCCGGCTACTCTGAGGCTACTCTGAGTCAACACACACTGTTTTTTAAGTAGTTTTATGTGAGTCTGTGCAGCACTGAGATCATTTTGGTTAGTTTATCAGGTTTACCCCTTTAAAGAAAGAGGAATTCAAGTACAACACGTATTACAGTAAAAATTAAAAGGGAAAAAAGTACAACCCCCCCAATTTCTGTTTGACAAAAAAAGAGAAGTAAGACTTGTCTGTTAAATAAAAATAAAGCCCTCAACTTTTCCCGTTTCATACTGAATATTTAAACCACCAAAAGCCTGCTCATTTGAAGACTTGATCGTTTATGATTACCTTTTTTGTCAAGTCTCGATATCTCTCTGTTCTTTTTTATTTAATCACACTAATAAATAAGAAATTAACATTTAAAAAGGGAAAAAGTTAATGACACAAAAACCTTCAGAAATTACAGACAGTGCAGTAATGCATGATAATAAAATTGATGATTTCTGTGCTCTTGAGTGTTCGTTTTCTTTGTACTCAATAAATGAAATAGAACTCACTCTAATAAATCTGCACAAGTTTGAGCTGGAGCAGGTGCAAGACCATAATAACCAAGTGTCGTCAGCATAGATACCAAAGAAAGCTTTTTGTCTTGGAGGACAAAGGTTGTTTTGTCTCTCTTTGTGTGTTTTGGTTAAAATGGAAAATTAAATATTTAACATGTATTTTACTAGCTTAGTGTTGAATGACTAAAAGTGGGCTCTTTGAAAATGATGAAATTTAATTATATTTAGTTGATCTTAAACTGGAATTAATCTCTTTTCCTCCCATATCTCTGCACAACTCTTAGATTTTTTTTTTGTCATCAGCACTTTTTCGTTGAACCTTTTCCTGTTGTTGGTTAAAGGTGTGATTATATACACCCTTATAATGTCTCACGTTCAGAATGAACGCCAAGTGACCCAAATGCCGTGCGATCATCTGAGGTAGTTTCACAGAGGTGTTTAACAGACAAGACATGAGCAGGTGAGGCTGTGTGTTTGTGCTTGTCTGAGCGTGCTAACAGTGTCTTAGCAACACTGTAATACAATGTGAACTGATGCACTGGGACATCAGTATAATACTGCTTCAGGGTCATTAAAAAAGTAAAAGCTGCATTGTGAAACAATTGAAAAGACTTTTGGTAAAGGTTTTCTGCAATTTGAGGGAGCATGTTGGGGTGCGAGTACAGATGGTATTAAGTATTCACAGTATTAAGCATGAGTTTTATTTTTAAACAATATATCAAACAATCATCTTCAAATTTCTTCCTCTTTTTGGTTATTAGCTTTATTGTTATGCTTTTGAATTTATTTTATCTTTCAGTCTGAAGCACATTGAGTTCATCTGTGTTAAAAAAGTGCTTTATGAATAATAATTCTTTTTTCGTGTTTAGTGCCAACAAACTGTAATTTGTTCTGATGAGATGATTCATTTCATTCATTTGTCGTATTTTTTTTTTTCACTTTAGCTCAATCTGATTCCATGCTGAGGGATTTGTAATGAAGCCTTTAATTTGATATTTAGTGTATCACACCGCCACAAGATGGTAGTATAATTGAAAACTACAGTGAAATCATTACAATCTACCTCATCTGTGTGTAAATGTTTTATGTGAGATTGTTTTAATGTTGAGATGTTGTGAATATTTTCTGTTGTAGGAACTATGCTGCCCTCTTGGCCAGGTCTCCATTGTAAAAGAGATTTTTAATCTAACCTGGTTAAATAAAGGCTAAATACATAAAATTCTTCTTTCAACCACATCACGAGCATTCAAGGCTAATAAGAATTTTAATTTAGTAAATGAATGATTAATGAATTAGTACAAAGCAGTAATTCTGATACCACAGATAAATAATTATTGTGAGTTTGGTTGTTGGATCAAATCTTACATCGAACTCCTCCCAGAAGCCCGCCTTGCTCTTCTCTCCTTCACCCTCCTCCTGCTGCCTTGTGGTCTGATCCAGCTGTTTCACTCTGCTGTCGATGTCTGCTGCATTCACTCTGGTAGAGTTATATGGCTGCCAGAACAGAGAGTAGGGAAAAGAGAGAGAAAAAGGAAATTGTCTTCAGACTACAGCAGACCAATGAACTCAGTGTGAGTGATATTTACTATCTGAGGGCTGTGCTGCATGTTTTTTTTTATTCATTAACTGTCCATGGAGGTGTTTCATTAACAGCTCGAGGACATTCATTTTTATGATTCTGAAATCAAAATCCAGCTCACCTGTTTTAAATGCACCCAGTTTCCAGACATCTCCTCGATGCCTTTGCGTTTGTAGAAGTCCACCAAGTCCGTCAGCGTGTCAAACATATCTGAACATCCCACTGTGTATCTGTCATTCTGCACACACACACAAAACATACAACATATCAACCTGGAGCAAAATGTCCTGGTGTAAAAACACAAACAGAAGTATGAACAGGCCTTCTGAGGAACAGCTCTCTGCACAATCAGACAAAGGTACTTCCACAAAAGAGGGATTTCCTTTTGCAGGCTCATTTGTAAAAGCTCTTTATTTTGATAATGAATGATGAATTCATTTTCTTGCTACATAAAAATAAACTACCTCTATAGAATATCATATAGCTAATTTTGTAGTTGACTCCCCCAAAATGTTTTAAAATAAGTAACTTTGAACTCACATTTTCACATTCAGTTGGCACAGACCGCAGTAAACGGACTCTGAAGCAAGAGCTGAGCTCACCTGATCTTTGCCACGTGTTTATCAAAAAGCCTTTGTGACCCTCTCAGTAATCTCACATTAATCTTCTGCACAAAAACAATGGCTCCCGATTCAAATGAGGCCTGAGCGGTGTTTTCTGTGAGGTGAACCTCTGCTAAAAATAAAACGCAGAGGGCCACGGCGATATCTACGAAAATGAGACGTGGCTGCTGCAGTTCAGCGGTAATCTACAGTGTGTGCATAAATAACTCATCGTGTCAGGAGCGTGATTCTAGTTTCACAGATCTTTTTTTGAACTGATAAAAGCAAAATAGTGTTTCCCACCTGATAAACGTCTGACAACCGAGCATGACATTTATGAACATCAGTCGAGATGTTACAGTTACTGATTGCATTAGATAGGAGAAATGAGACTACGGCCTCTTTCAAAGTGCACATTATCACAACTCTGGGATTGTCCGTCAGTATTTCTACATAATGTGAATCTCTCTCAGGAAGCCAAGACTGACCAAAATCTGACCCTCGTTTTATGCATAATTCTGCATGTCACACAATGAAACAAGCAGAAGCCCACACCTGACACAGGATCTTGATGTGGGAGACCCTTTTTCCTCCACTTTTGCTCCTCTCATCCGTCAGAGCTGACAGAACAAAGTCTCCAGGTTTGGACAATGACTCTCTGACCAGGAAAGTCCCCGGCTCGTCTCGTTCGCACAGCAGCTTCTCTGCAGCCGACCCAGACAGGTGACCGTGGTACCACCTGAGACACAGAAGAGCCAGAGGTTCAAGGAAAAGAAGTTACACTCTGAGCGGAGGTGGTGACATGGAAATATCAGAGTATTATGTATCTCAGTGAAATACAACAGATTAGGATTTTAACAGAAAACATACTTTCATCTAAAGTTCTCTTTGGAAGATTCATCCTATGATCGATTTTTTTCAGGCTGCTTGTAGTTTTGTCACATTCCTTATTGTAGTTTGAGTCTAAAATAAAAACTACAAATGTGTAATAAATATTAAAAAGTGCCAAAACTCTGGAAGTGTTTAAAGAAAATACACTGTAATTAATAACTCTTCATTATTAAGTTCACATACATCCTATGTTTATTTCTCTAAATGTTTTTATTTTAAGATGATGTCTTATCTAAAGTCATCATATCATTTCCCTTGAAAACACAGAGATTGTCACTGATAGGTTTGAAAAAACGATTAGATTTTTTTTGAAAACATTTGTGCATTTTTTTTTTTTTAAATGCATTTACAGTTAAAAAAAAGATGCAACTGGGGTGCAGGTTTGACCTCGTGGTTAAGTTGCACGCCCCATAAACAGAGGCTGCAGTCTCCGAGTGAACGCTTTGGGTTCACTTTCAGCCTGAGACCCTTTATTTAAACCCCACTTTTTATAATGCATCACAGGCAAGTGACAATTAGCATTCAGATCAGCATATAGCAAGTGTTATAGACAGTGAAAATAATGCCTCATAACTGTATGGTTTATAATACATATTTTATCCAACTATATATTTAATAACTGTACATATTCCTACTCATAATCCTAAATATCTTACTATTTATATTCTTCAATGCACCCACTGTTTAATAGCATTTTCTCTTTTTCACACCTGCACTAATCAGTATACTGCATATATAGATAATATACATAAGTAGATATTTATTCTTTTGTTGTATAGCCTATTCATACCTGCAGTTACCAACACCGTGTATATATTTTTAGCATATTCATTGCACATATAAATATAGTATATTTAGTTCATACCTGCACTGCCCATATGTACATACCTTGCACTTCTGGTTAGATGCTAAACTGCATTTCATTGTTCCTGTACTTGTACTGTGTTCAATGACAATAAAGTTAAATCTAATCTAATCTAATCTAATATCTTAATATGAAAGAAATAACAGCATCCTTTAAATTCTAAGTTTAATAGCACATTATAATTCTCATAACTATATCCTGTTATAACAGTCCATAAAGAACTCATTCTAATTATCATTAAAAATCATTTAAAAAAAGTTTCATTTGATGATTTTCAATTTAGAAATATCTCTTTAATAGTCACAACATGCTAAAGTATGATTTTGGTCACTTTTGAGTAAAGTTACAGCACTGTATGCGGTTATTAACAATTAAATGTCCATTTCACACATTTATAAGCAGTATCTTCCTGCTGTGAGTAAAGTATTTGTCAAAAATACTTCACAACATTGACACATTTTTATACTCATAATTTTTTTCTTTCATTCTTTCTGTTATAAAACATCACAAATGCACTTATAAGGCTTCATGAATGTGTTTATGATGCATTGTTAGAGATTTGTTATTAAAAAGTGCTACCAAAAAGCCCCTCAGTTACTTTTTCACCGCTGTACAGTTACTGTATTTATAGTTTACTGTTCGAGCTCTGCGGAGTGAACCTATCCGTCTATTTAAAGCTGAGCGGCTGTCACACGCTCAGTGATGTGGTGCACTAGGCAGTTGTGCAGATTAAAGACTACTGTGAACCAAAATAGGAAACTATAACAAATCAAACCATTAGATGAGCAACTGAAACAGCACACTCACATGTTGTTGTGACAACCAGGTAATTTTTTTATGCACTGTTATACTCTAAATTTGCATGTGTGTGATTGTTTGTATAACGTGTTAGTGAACGCAGTGTCTGCAGGGCTGGGTTGTGACTTAATTTTAGGCACAGTTCTCGATTTCTTCTGCTGAACTTCCTGCTCTGCGGTTGGAAAATTTCTGATGACAGATTTCGTGGCTAAAGAGGACAAAGTATTTATAGCCTTCCCCCTTCCCCCCTCCTTTTTCTATATGTACCATCCAGATACCCCGCTCACTACTATCTCTCCCCTCCCCTACCATCACCACCATCACCACATACTGCTTTTCTCTGGTCTACTTAAAATCACAGTTTATGCTTTCATAGCGGTGGATATTAAACTACATTATGGTTTTAATGACATAAGTTTGCACCAAGCATCAAAAGGAGTTAGGACCTGTGCAGTTTTGCAGAAGCTTATAAAGTGCAATAAGAGTTCTGCACAGTAAATGAGTAGGTTTTAGACAAGATTTTAAGCATGCATATGATGGACAAACATGTAATAAAGTCAGCCTCAAAGGTTACATGTAATCAATGTATGTTCCAGTAGCAACAAGTTAAACAGCTAACTATATTCCTCTTGTTTCATAAGAAGAGATCAGCTGTCAGACACTTGAGAAGAAAGAAAAAGATCACCGCGCCACAGGCTGACCTGCTGAAGCGTCACTGTAAAAGCTGTTAGATGAGAACAAAATTGGGGCGAGATGAGGAAGACAAAAAGTGAGCAAGAACATACAGGAGTGCGCAATAGAGGAAGACAAGAAGGGTCTGGCCATTACTTTCAAAAGTGTCAAAACTTAAAGTTTCCAACCGCAGCAACAAAAGGGAAGTTAGACAACTGACAGAGAGAGAGAGAGAGAGAGAGATGGGGGGCAGGGGGTAGAGCTTCCAGCTAGGGTGAGGCACACAGACACACGCATGCAATAGATAGAAAGTAATGCCCTTCTTGACTCATAAAAGAAGTTTTACTGTAAAACTTTATTTATCACCTCTGGTTGGACATTAACCTACTTAGGTCAGCCTACAGCGGCAAAATCTTTCCAGATAGGAGACCGTCTTTTTTCAGAACTTTTCACCACCTACAGCAGCAGTGTCAAACAAACAGTGACGGAAACTTGATAAACACTTGAACATAAGGAGGTTAATTTAAAACTTGCATTAGACAAGCAGAAAAAAAAAGATTTTTATCATATTTCCAGCTGCAGCCTGGGGTTGGAAACATGATATTTAAAATTTCTCCAGTGACCATGTTTAGAAAATAGACGTAGAGCAGCGATCAGTACAAATGAAATAACAAGATCTCAATCTGTCGAAGTGAGTCTGAATTAAAGAGTGCATGCTACACAAAAATACATATATTGATACTGAAGTTTTCAAGATAAAGACAAGCTGTAACTGAGGAGCAATATTACAAAAGATATCCATAATTTACTGTCCTCTTTGCACACATTACACAGTTTGAGGTGTAAATAAAATGTTCTTTACAAAGTTGGAAAACCTAATATGACTTCCAAAATTTTCACAGTCTCACACCTTTCTATCTAAATGATGTCTTATGCAGGTTTCTCTGGTGTGAAATAGTAATCTCTGTGATGAACAGAAAGAGAAAATGCATTAAGGTTAGAAACTCAGTGTTTTCTTCAACAATTTTGGGATGAATGAAGCCTGTTTCTATGTTCAGTATAGAACTGCAGATGTTTTTACCTATTCTGGAAATGAATTCTTAAAAGTTTCAACATGTCGACGTTGATTCTACAGAATAAAATTGTACGTTTAAGTGCAGAAGGACCCTTCTTTTCTTCGTGCTGACTTTAAATAAGAGTTCAATGTGTGTATGAACAAGCTTAAATCTGTGAGACAAACTGGTTTGGTGGAGCTCATGATGTGGAAGTTAAGGCCTGCAGGGCATTAATACTGAGAGGAGGAGACTTCTCGTGTTAGAAATGAATAATATTTGAATATTTGTAGATTTGGGATTTTTCACTAAGGTAAAGGAGAATCTAAAACTTGAGACTTTTTTTTGCAGTAAATCACAACAGAGAGCATATATTGCAAACTGGGCGTTTTCACAAGTATTAAAAATGCCTACAGACTGTAATTTGTAAAAATACAATAAAACAAATATGGTTTGGTAAACAGCAGTAACAGTGAAATTTAAGTAGTCTCCTATTATTTAAACATTCACAAAGAGCACAGTGGACCTTTAAATATGGGGAGGTAGTTCTTGTCATGACATATGAGCTGCAGAGGTGAGGCTGATGTCGGACTGAGGCCTCGACAGGACAGCTGTGGGCTCATTTTGACTTTGTTAGTGTAGGTGTTTGTATTTACTGACTCACACTCTGACAAAGATGCTATGACACCAGATTTGTCCAAAAGCAGTGTTAAATGAAACCCGTTTACCCCCCAGAGGAAATTCTTAAAAGTAAAAGTAAAATTAAACCCACAAATAAGACTCATTAACCCCGCTAAATGAAAACGTTGGAGGAAAAAAATACTTCTAAAGGCTTTTGCAGATTTAACACTCAGCCTGACACTGTAAGTAGAGTCAGTGGGTGGGTGTGTGTCAGGGGTGAGAGTGATGGTAAGAGTGCACAGACCTTTCTGTCGTGGGATCGGAGCAGTTGAGGGGGTATTTGAGCTCAATGGTGGTGCCATCCTTGTCCTGCAGGATGCCATTCTCCGCTGTGTAGTACTCAACCAGCTCTGACAGGGTGGCAAACTTCTCCCCACCGTACAGGTCATAGAAATCTCCCGTGTTCTGGATGCGGATGTGGGTCACCTGCTCGCCCACCCTAGAATTAAAAAAAAAGACCCATGTTACACAAATTATCAAAATATCTGGGGACACCAAAAAAACAAACAAACAAACACAGATCTTCATCTCAGGAGGTTACACAGTAAAGTTTCTTCAACCTCAGAGGAGATCATGGAAACAGAAAGAATCTTCACAGAATCTGAATTTGATTTTTTACAGACTCTGCGGCTGAACTCTAACCTCCTATTAACTCGATGGTAAATACGCAGAGGTGGTATTTGTTAGTGACACATACATGTGAACTTTAAGTGCACGTCTGGTAAAAACTGCCCCCAGAGAGTTTTTATTTTACTCACCGAGAAATCATTAAGTCTACTGAACCACTATACAAAATTATTACTCTGATAATCCCACAGACTGAAATACTACTGAGATTAACTAGGATTACAGGACACATTTTTTAACGGTTAGACTCATTGACGAGAAAAGGTCACTCAAACATCTGCAGTGTATTTGTCTCACAACCTAATTTGTGGCATTAAAACAGTTTAAAAGCTCCACCCGGGACATTAAATGTAAAAATGAGAACTTGTCAAATGCTGCTGACTAATCTGCGGTGAAAGCGTCTGTTAAATCCACACTGTAACCCTGCAGTCAAAACCCTTTCTGTGCTTTCACATTAAAGCTCTCAGAGTCTCCAAAGATACTTCACTGCAGCCTGAGCTCAAGCACTGTCACAGGAATAGCAATCACAACTATAGACAATGATGTTTCTCTGCAGAGCTCTGAACTGAAAAAGATATGTCAGTGAGAGATACATAACGACAAATACACACTGGGATATATTCAGTGTACATACCGGCAGAAATACAAATACAGCACATTAAAAGCTGAACCATTTGCCTCTTTAAAGTACAATCTGCAGAACGTGTGTAATTATAAAACTTGTAGAGAATAGGGTGAAAAACTGGCTTTAATTCACTGAGTTTCATATGACATTTCATCCGTAACTTTAAAGGTTATTTGAAATAATTAGAATAAATTAAAACCATTGGGAAACTTCAGGATATTTCTCCATACTGTGTTAAATAATCAACTCATTACCTTTAAGCCACATACATAAGAAAGAAGAACATTTATCTGTATAATATCAATACAAATATCGGTGACACATTTTGGGCTTTGACTTGTAGTGGAAAGTTTGACTTCACTCTCTATGAAGTGAGAACCAATGGTGTCAGCTACTTTAGTGACAAGTTTATTTTAAGCTTTAAAGCAGGAAACAAACATAAGATCTCAGTGACGGTGAATAAAAAAAACACTAAAGGTAGAAACGATTTTTCAATAAGCTTCACGAGCTTCAGTAAGACTACGTGATCTGAGTTCTGTCCTTTGTGTCATTAGGTGAAGGAGACATGTGTTCGGGCTCAGAGCACAATATATGAGAAAATTACTCCTTCCAATCAGTGGGTGAAGGAAAGTAAAAGGTAGTTTTGGGCTGTTTTTGCAGACATCATTACCTGACAGACAGCGAGAAATCTCCTACGTTTTTCTTGCTGGGTCGGGCTAAGAAACTGCCATGAATGCCTCGGTTCTTCAGCATTTCCTCGGCCTGCAGGCCTGTGATGTCTCTGTGGAACCACCTGTATAACACATACACAGCATAGAAATACACTTAATATGGTTATAACTGCACCCAGTGTGATGAGACCCCTGCTGAGTGTCAGTGAACATAAAGCTACTGGATTTGCTGAGTGAAATAAATACATTTATTTACCTAACTGCAGTAACTTTAAAATTTACTAAGTTTCCACACATCATACAAAAATCAACCTCAAGACACAGATCTAACCGCACCATCTTCTTCATTTTTGTGTAATCGTTTGACGACAGCATTAACAATTCTTGGAACTCACTTGTAAATTGTTTTTGGTTGCTTATAAAGTTGTACATTCTGTGGTTTACTTCTCCATTTGTTTTATCTTGTTGTTTTTTGTGTTATTGGCTTTGACACATCACTGTGGTTTCTTGTAGCTTGTAAGCGTTTGTCACCCTTTTTCTCTGCATGGATGGCATAACTGATCATCAACAAATTTTAGTTTACAGTCTGTAACTTTAAAAAGGTTTGAAGTCTGCATCCTCCATGTGCTTGATCTATAACAAACACAGCACCTGCTATAGATGAAAGACAGTTTTCTGATTCAATAAGATCAAATCTAAGTTTAGATTAACACCCTGGTCAACACTTTACCACTGACCGATTTTTTAATCTCCATAACTATCATTCAGAGAGTAGTGAAGTAAACATCTGAAGTCACAACTTGTTGTACTCAACAATGTCATTACTGCATGGGTTCAGACTGAATTTCTTAAATTTTAGCATTTCCTGTCATGCTGAAGGATGGAAAAAGTGAGCCATGGTCAAGCTCAGCTCACCGCTTTTACGCCGGACAAAGAAAAACTGTTTACGAGAACCCTGCCCTGTCAATGAAAAGCCACAAAAATAATAATAGATGATCAAATGTTTAATAAGTAAGAGCTATCTCTCTTTGCGACAGATTTTAGGCAACAATGTGTTTTTCTTATTATCATATTCATAATCCACATAAAGACAGAAGTGAGGACATGAAGGTTTTCTCGCTGTTTCATGAAATTCAAATTATAATATTTAAACTGTTTCAGAGTAAAACCTTGAGTCGAGGGAAACCTGTGCATTCACTTGATAGAAATTTTTGACTGGCTGGGTAAGAGTTTCTCTTTCCAGTGTTGGTTGCCACAGCAGAGACTTTGCAAACAACAAATGTTCAAACACAATGAAAGAAATAAGGAAAGACTGAAGTCACAGGGACCACAGCTGAGTCTTTACAGAAACTGCACAAAAACGTGTCTTAACTCAACCACAGTTACACCATTTATGACACTTTTTTTTTAAGTTTTCTATGACAACAGCGTTAAGAGCACATCAGAAATCACATGATAGAAGAACAGAGCAGGACGAGTCGACTGCTGGGGAAAGAAAGAGAACGAGGAATAGAAACAGAGAAGTTGTCATCACGCTTGCACAAAAACACAAAGCACACAAGAGTTGACTAATGAAGCACGGTGTTATCCGGCGGGGGGCTTGACTCACCGAACCATGTTGTCTCCTCACTTCTTCTGGGAGCAAAGAGAAGAAGAGTGATCGGTGAGGGTCACTTCTACCTGCACAGGTTCACACACTCAGAGGCATAAGCAACTGTATTTTTCACCTCTACTTTTAAATAGGAACAGCCACTTCCTCATTACTTCCTTACTTTATTGCAGCATACTTGCAAAGATACAAATAACTCACTTTCATTTTAGCTTCTGCTCTTTTTAAATACTTGCTTACCTCTGCACTTCACATGTATCTCCCTAATACAAAAACTTTTAGCTCTATCTCTGCGCAACATCCACAAACCACCGTCAAACTACCCGCTCACTCCCTCTTTCCCACCCCTACGTTTCCTTCCACCCAATTCCCTCCTATCCAGTACCTCTCTGTCCCAATAGTAAAGCAGGGCCGCACTTACTCTTCTCAGCTGCCTCTGAAAACAAGTGACAGAAACAAGCGGAGATGCTCCGACAGTATACGTCTGTCCCCTCCTCCCTCTCTCACTGTCCCCTTCCTTCCTTTTACGTCTCCTTTCACAAAATAGTGAAAGCAAGACAGGAACTAAAATAGCTGACAGGGGTGGAATTCCTCAAACAGGTTGTTTTGTTTTCTGTTACTTTTTTTAAATTCAACCAAAATAAAAAATCACAATGTAGAGCAGAGTGCTGTCAAACTTGATTTCTTGATGCACCGCCCCAGAGTTTTTCACGCAGATCTTCACAGGAAAAAACAGCAGAGGTGGGTCAGACGGTTCCATGTAGCTGTAACTCATGAGGAAGAGTGCCTTTTCCTGTAATCCTTTTACGACCCCGGGAATGACAAATCCACGAGATGAGAACGTTTCTTCTTCATGAGCCAGTCCACACTGTGTCTAAGACAGCTACACACAAAGCTGGCCCCCTCTCTGCCTGCCCACCTGCCTGCTACTATTGTTGTCTGTTTGCTCTTTACTTCCAGGTGTGTATGAGTGTGTGTGCGTTTGTGTGTGTATGTGTGTGTGTGTGCAAGAGAGAGACTCTGGCAAAAAGGTCAAAGTCACAGAGCACTTCCTTATTTGCACTTCAGTCTTCCCCACACTCTCTCTATATATATGTGTGTGTATGTGGGTGTGTGAGTGCTGCTTTCAGCTGGTAAACCATTAGCAACTGTGAACTCACCATGGCAGCGCTGAAGCAACAACGGCTCAAGAATGACTGAAGGTTATTTGAATCAATGTGTACCTTCAAATCAAAGAAAAGGATCGCAGGAGATACTACATCCCCCACAATGCAATACTGCACTGTGAGGGGAAAAAAAAAAAGCTTGGTTACTTTGCAAGTGCATGTCTGAATTAAGCCATGAGTGTAAAAACTGGAACAAAAACATTTAAATTGCAAATCATGTTCACCTAAAGGAGGTTTGAGGAAGCCACATGATTTGAATTTGTCTGTTACTTTTCCTGTGCCAAACACATTTTCTTTACCCGGCTGTGAGAAGAGAAGTACAGAGCTGTAAACTGTTGCATTTGCAAGCGTAAAAGTGGGATAAAACACACATTAAGCAGAAAAGGATGCAGATTTTAAAGTGGAGAGAAAAAGATGAAAGTAAAGTGGAAATCCTGGTATATACTTTTGAGCATACTGCAGCTCTCTCTCTCTCTCTCATGCTCATACAGACACACAGCACTGCAGGTGTTGTTGGTCGTGGTTAACGCTAGCTATTGCAGTTTGCATTATCCTTCGCAAAAAATCTAACAGCTGAGTCTGTTTTTTTTCTTCTCTTACAGTTTCCAACTACATTACAAACCCAGCTAAGACATGCACTTAAATACATAAGTTTTTTCTCACATCCCCAGAGTGATAACAGATATTTCCTTAATTTCGTCAGTGTTGCAACTTTGTGTTTCTGTGTACAGGTCAGTTAATCCTCACATTAGCTGCTTCCTATTTTTTTAAATATAGATTCAGCTGCTTCTGTTTTTTTAATCTCACCTACAAATTGAGTATCAGCATTCTGGTGGTTGGATGGAGTTATACTATTTTAAATTCTTATTATTCTGAGCACAGTTAGGCTTTATGCGACAGACTATTTACATTTTTGTGCAGTCTACCAGAAATGCTGACGCTCCCTGTGTGTGTTCAAAGCCGCAAGAGTTAATGGGTTAATTATAATGCAATATAAGTTTCAACTCATAGCGTGTTATTTTGTCCCTTTCAGAACGCCGTAGCTCGGCAATCGCAGTATCTATCTGGTGGAATGGAAAATACCACCACTGTGCTACTTCACTTTGAATAACACCCAGATGGTTCAGTTGACAGGTCAAAAGCCGATGCGTTTAATGTCACACTAAGTTAAAACAGAGCTTTGAGTCTGAGCTTCCTCCTACAAGCTAAGCAAATTGGTGTTATGACTGGTGTCAGTAAACAACACAAGCTGGCAGAGCTCCTTTTTGGGGTGTGAATCGCTGTAGATCTGTAGATAAATCGAAGTCAACCACAGTGCTTGCTTGATGGGCCAGCAGAGAGCAGGCCAGGCAACACTGTGAAGGACTCAGGTCTAAGGGACCTTTCGCTGGGTGGCATATTGAGACCAGTCTAAAGCCTTGATGTTGTGTGGTACTAAAATTAGACGTGTATGTAAAACACAGAGAGCAACCAAACCGGAAACCTTGAAAAGTTGTGATGTTGTTATTATTAACCAGGAATCACTGGAAATCAAACCTGTTCTGAAAACCATGGGATTAAAAATCATTGTAAGCCGCCAAAGTTCTGTGTGATTTAAAAACTCATGGTTTGATAGCCCTCAAACTTTGTAGATCAAAAATAGGGTAACACACATAAAATAGCACAATAAAACATTAGGTTATATCAAAAAATATACTTTATAATTCTTGATTCCGTACAATGCAAATAAAAAAAAAAAACATATTTCCATGATTTGAAACACTAGTGGACACTCACCCACAAGCCATGGTGCAGACCTCCACAGTAGGAAAGAACAGTAAAAGCAGTCTGGGCTCCTCTGCCTCAGGAAGTGCTGATTGAATCCACTCTCTTCAGTGTTGTTGTCTGTTCGGATGATTCGTAAGTCTCTCCTTCCGAACAGTAAAACTCTCACAGGTGACTTGACTACAGGTCAGCTCCTCTTTCTGAGTTCACTTGTGCTCAGCCTCACTCCTGATTAGCCACTGACTTTCTCTTGATAAGAGATCAGGCTTCATTACTTGTGCTGCCAATCCTCCCGCCCTGTAATTTACTACAATTTTCTGAATTATCTCAGTATCTACCAGAGAAAATGTGCCTGTTCCTTCCTTCTTTCCTCTTCTTCTTCTTGCCCTACTCTTCCTCTCTCCGCCTCTTCCAAATACAAAGACTCTCCGGCTGTGTTATCCAACCTGCAAAATCAGAATTTGCATCCATGTAAATAACACCTTGTCTTTCAAGGTTTGAATGCAAATTGTGTGATGCTATTTTTCCTTTGAACAGTTTGTCCTGAACTGGATAACTCCCTTACATTTGAACAATTGAAGAATAAATACAATGTAGCACTGAAGCAAACCTTTTGAAGGACACTTACGTTTGATAACTTCAAGTTTCTTTACATTGTATTCTTTCTGATAGTCTGGGAGGAGCAACTACTTCTATAGAATATAAAACAATAAACCTGCTTCTAACTCGGTTTTTAGACTCAACAAATACTTTTCTAATGAGCTTATGACCTCAACACAAGTTTTGTTCAGTGTTACATTTCCATACTACCTTGGGATTGACCTATTAAAGCAAAACAGACGTAAAAAGTTTTATAGACACTACTGGGTTGTGTATTTGAGAAGTGGGCGTAACACAGAGTTAGTTTGAGAGATGAATGTTGCCGACCGCTTGCTTCTCTAGTTATACCAACTTTAGTAACGACCAGACGATAGCAATACACAGCGGTCTGAGGAGCCATAAACAAACCTCAACCAAAAAGCCACTCTATAGCCACAAATAATGCTCAGAACAGCAGCTAACTTCATCAACAGTACATATAGGGTTCTAGCCATCAAACATCTTTTTAGCTTTGCCTAATTTCTTTAGCAAAGAGACTAAACACAACTCACCTACTCTCTTCCAGCAGCCACTTGTTTGTTGCGAGACCTTGGGCCAGTCCATTAAGGACTGCTGTGGGGTGACGCAGCTCAAGGAAGAACATTTATGATCATTTCTTTATCATTTCCTTGAAGTAATAATCACCATATTAATCATTTTGTACTGCAGACGCGGTAGTTCTTCTGCCTTAGCATCTCGGTCTGATTGCATTTCTATGGAAAAATGATGATAAATGTTCTTCCTTGAGCTGTGTCACCCCGCAGCAGTCCTTAATGGACTGGCCCACGGTCTCGCTACAAACAAGCGGCTGCTGGAAGAGAGTAGGTGAGTTGTGTTTAGTCTCTTTCCTAAAGAAATTAGGCAAAGTTAAAAAGATGTTTGATGGCTAGTGCTGTGGCTGGGACCCTATATGTACTGTTATGTACTGATCATTATTTTGGCTATAAAATGGCGTATTGGTTGAAGTTTGTATGTGGCCCCTGAGACTGCTGTGTACTGCCATTGTGCGGTCGTTACTAAAGTTGGTATAAGTAGAGAAGCAACATTCAAACTCTCGAGGGAGTGTCTAACTCGGTGTCACGGTGTGTTTGACCCTAAATTAATTTTACACTGGAATATCCCTTTAAGCTACACAGTTTGTTCACTAAACATGAAATTTAATCGAGGCTGTGGTTGATAACAAATTTAACATACAGCTTTAATAAACGATAGATGGTGAGATTTGATGTGAGGCCTCAACATGAAGAGTCACCGAAGGGCTGGAAATTCTCATGACCTCCTCACGTACATCAGGGGCCGTCAAAAGTGAAGAAACCTTGAAAACTGTTTACTTTTTATTGTAGTCCATAAAAACAAACAGCAATGACAAAATGTGGTAACCATAATAATAAATTCAATCATGTAACAACATAACAAAAGACAGTAAGAAATTAAATTAAGTTAAGCTTGCCATCATTCACAAAAGCCGTCCCATGTACCTAAAAGCTGTGGAGCTAATACACATCCGTATTTCAGACAAATGCAGGAGAGTTTCCGAGGAGAAATCTGTGTCGTGGTCTGTTAGGAATGTCAGAGTTCAGTTTGAAGAGCACAGACAGCTCATCCTGGATTGAGTCACCTGACGAGAAACAGGTCAGTTTGGGATGAAGGGTCAGGAGGTAACGGATCTGACAGACTGATAGAAAAGTGACTAACAGTCTCTCAGTGTCAACAGTCTTTCTGCAGTAGAGGTGCACATTAATATGCCTTATTTTACTTACAGGAAACAAAAACACGTATGCTCATCCTCACTCTCCTTTACTCTCCACACACACAGGTGAGGACATTAGAGTTAAACTACCTTTAAAAAAAAAAGCTTCACAATTTTCTACGAGTGAAAATGAGCACAATTAAATCCCTTGAACTCTTTGATAATCTGAAAAATACTACAAAGCACCAGTATACTCCAAACATGCTGCATTTTCTCCTGTCTAGCTTCTTCAGCTTCATGTTACATAAAGTTACAAATACGAAGTTTGACCCTGCTGTGAAGAGAGAAAGATCAGGGACAGGTCAGTGCAGTCCCGCAGTTCAACAGTGCTCAGGTTACAGGAGTTAAATCTGAATCCCAGAGGAGGAGAAAAACTGTTCTCTGGTCTGCCGTGAAAGTAAATGGTTTCTTCTTCACTCTCATTCTACATCTATTATTTCGGTCTTGAGAGAAGTCAAAGTCCAGCAGCACAGCTGATGGTCCTCTGAGTCCGGAGTCGGGTTGTGAGTGCAGAGCGAGGAGGACTAACCTGACTGTGTGCTGTACATGGTGTTCAAGGGGGTGAGGACATCTGCTACATGGAGATGAGGTGAGGGCAGCTAGCCTCTGAGGGGAAACGTATGAGGTGATTGGTCAGCGCGGTACTTGCATCTGCTGTGAGGTCTGTGATTGGTTCTGAGGAGTGACCTCTGGACCTCGGCTTGCCAATCGGCTGAGAATGTTTCTCTCTGACATTTGCAGCCGCACGGCCACAGGAGGTATCCTGGCGATGGTTGCAGGGAGACGTGTGACATCAGCCTTCATGTCACTCAGCAGTTCCTCAAGCTGTTTGAGAACTAGATAATAAAGAAGTGTTTGAGACATTGAAGGACAGCAATTTTTTTTTTACAATAAGCTTAAGTCAAAGGTTTTTAAATGACCATATTTCAGTGTTGAGCTGCATTTGGACCCTCTCCTCTGACCCACAAGGTCTTACCTTTATGCAGGACTGCATTGGCAGGCTTATTTCCAGACATCGACTCCTTGCTGAGGTGCTGGTGGGACTCTGCCAGACACTCCACTTCACTGAAGCGAGTGTTGAGAGCCATGGAAGGGTGGGCTGGGTCCTCTGTCATGTTGAGATATGCCGCCCTACGTAACTGCTCCTCAATCACCAACGCCTGCTCCAATAACTAAACAAGAGAGACATACACCTGTTCAATTAAATATGCAAAACAAAGCTAAACAAAGGCGCTAAGAATGGGGGACTGTGAGCGTGCTCAATTCACCTTAAACCTGCGGGCCAGAAACTTGTTTTTGATCTCCAGGAAGTTTCCTCGGCTCATCTCCCCTTTGAAAGGCTCATTGAGGATGGCAAACCTCACATCGTTCTGCACATCCTGCCAGCGAGCGTAACCGTGTCTGAGAGGTGCTGTGGTCAAGTGCAACAATACTGGTGTTTCTTGACAGCTTAATACCTTTGTGCCACCTTTCTTTCTTTCAGGTGAAGGGTCTTTAACATGCATGAAAAACGTTCCACAGACAAATCCACTCAGCATTATTTACCGTCTTGTTTTATAAATGATTATTAATCAAAATACAACAACGGAAATGCCATAATCAAAACTTACTGAAGCCCAAAGACACTTTTATAAAACTAAATCTAGTCCAGCCAATAGTTTATAATTCAAAGGTTAAGTGTCCTTTCACATACTGACCTAAGTCAGCAGTTTCCTGTTATTGAGAAGTTTGCAAACAATCAAATATGAGACTTCAAGAGGGAAAGGATACTGTATGATTCCAGCTAGGAGCCAGTAGTCATGGCGACGGTGCCAAATCTCAAAGGTCTTCTTGGTAACAGTGGCGGCCCGCTCTTCATTCTGCCACAGAGAGTGAAGCTCTGGAAGAGAGAGGAGAGAAAAGTCAAACGACAGAAACTAGACAAAGAGGTGGAGAAGGAGGTGTTTCTCAGTCTGTGTGTATGTGTGTGTGTGTGTGCGTGTGCTCACCTGTGAATCCTCCATCAGCAATGTTGAACATGAACCTCTGCTTGGTTGCTTTTTTCTTCTCTTCACTGATGTTAACCACCGGTGCAGCTGTTCCTCCTCCTTCTTTGGTGTTCTCTCCATTCTGCAGTTTGCCGGTCTCTTCTGTTTTTAGGCCATCCTTCTCTTCTTTTTGCTCTGTGAGGAAAAACAAAATTGCAAACATTTCAGCAGCAAAACTTAAGACGATATTTTTAAGTGACATAGTTATTCTGAAAATCATTGGTTCAAAAATAACACAAGTTTGATATCCTGAAATCCAACAAAAATTCTGATGAAAGTTTGTTTATGATAAACCTATTTAAAGTTATGATAGTCTCATCATAATGAAAATAAAAGCTTCTACAGAGACTTTTAAGGCATTTCTGGGAGTTTGTGTGTCAGCATGTACTCACCTTTCTTCTCCTCTATCACTGAACTCGTGTCCATCTTTTCATCTTTTCCCTCCTCGGCTAAAACAGAGGAAACACGTGAGAATAACAAAAAAGGCAAAAAAGAAACTGAGAGAAAACGTTTTGAGCACCAGCCTCACCTTTAGACTTGTCCTCCTCGGAGTCCTTGCCCTCCAAACCTTCACCTTTGACCTCAGCAGGACTGTCTTTCTCTGTCTCTGAGGTCTTGTCCTTCACATCCCGTTCCTTTGCTGTGTCTTCAGTCTCCTTCTCCTTTCCTTTGTCTCCATTCCCTGTCTCCTTCTCTTTATCCTCTGTCCCTACAACTGGGTCTCCTTCTCCTTCTTTCTTTTCAAGGATAGGAGATTTTTCAGACTCATCTGGGATTTCAATAATCTGGAGTGGAGAGTAGCAGACCAGTCTCACATTAGTAAAACTTATAAAACTGAAAACGAAGACATATGACATGAATATTAAAGCAGAATTCACCTCTGGATCATCTGCCTTCTTGGCTCCTTTTCCATCCTCTGCTTCTTTCTTCATGTCGTCTTTGTCCTCAGATTTTGACAAATCCTCTGACAAAACAAAAACACATTTTACCAAGAGTTACCAAGAGTTGAGTTTCACTGGTCTGTCAATAATACCATTCATTTTTTAAGTTGTAGGGCTGTATGAGTCAACAAGTGTACCTTTTTATTGAACTTTTACTCTGACATTCAAGAGCATACTAAAAGAAACTGAATGGTGACTGATACCTGAGTATTAAGCAATAAAAAACAGGTGTATTTAGAAATTAGGGGGTTATTTCAAGATTGCAACACAAATGCGTACATTCACTTCTGTTAACCTGAGGTGACGCATCTGCTGCTGTGGTCAGAGCTCAGAGGAAACAGAAATGCATCAAAGGATCCCCCAAGACATGCTACAGCGTGCAGATCAAGTGTCTTTGATGGTTCTTGGTATACAAGCATTGCCAATTTCAGACCCTAAATGCACTAAATGCACCAGGAACCAAAAATGAAATCCAAAATCATTTAGAGTTTAAATCTTGTTTTAAAAAACTGTCAAACAATGAGCATTTGCATGCATGCATGTGTGTACCTGGTATAGGAGTGTTGGGCTGTGTGTCTGCAGGGGTCCCAGTAGAAGGAGTCTTCGGATCTTCTCCTGCAGCCAAAGCTGCAGCTCTTTTGTTCTCCTCAAGCTCAGCCATCCAGGGCATCGACCACTGACCGTTCACATGCTCGAACTCCTGCACCTGTAAAGCAACGGTTGGTTCAGTCAGCATAAAATCATTTCAATAGAAGAATATTTACCTTTACCAGCTAGTTGAACAGCTGAATTGGAATTCTTTGTGCCAGTAATCAATGACAGTTTAAACCTGTAACCTGTTGACATATTTTGTATTGCTTTATTTATGAGGGGCATACCTTCTTCCTTATAAGTGACATGACACCAATACGGGTTAGCACATGCTGCCTGGACAGACCCTCACGAGGGACACCGTCAGCAAAGGTCTCAGCTCCATCAGCCCCAGGCTCACAAAGGTGACGCATGAACAGAGACACGTAAGCCCTGCAAGTTATTGAAACAACATAAAACACGAGTCAGATTCATGGAAGAAAGGCTAAGAGGTTTACTGTGCAACAGTAAAGACAAGTGGGCTAAAACCATAAGGCTTTGACATTTGGAAATATTATTGCCCTGCACTGACTGAGTTATGATCTCATTTTAATATTTATTTTTATAACATCAAAACAACTTTTAAGCTTAAAGACTCACGAGAACTTCTTCCTACTGAAAGGAAGAGAATTCAAAAACCTCCGGCCAAAGATTGGGTGGAAGAAAAAGTGATATACAAGCAGACAAGCAGAAAGTGTTGTATTGAGACTCACTTGAATTCTTTCTCAGACTTCCCTCTGAGATCCCTGACCAACCACTGGTTAGTGAAAGCATCCTGAGGAGGCATCCCATAACGCATCACTGCATTCAGGAAAGCCTTCCTCTGTCGTGAGTTGAAACCCAAAACCTAAAATGAGAAAATGGAAAATTTGCTCCAGAGATATACAACAACGGTAAAGAGACAAAAAATAAATCTTCACTTGAGATTATGTTTTATCTGCAGAAACCAACCTCGATGTTCCCGCCCACTCTGGCCAACAGAGGAGGCAGCGGTTTGTCCCGATCGTTCCTCAGCCCTTTACGGTTAGGTCTGCGGGCGTTAGCTGCGACAAAGAGATCATTGTCCAGTTATGTAACTTTGAGAATGACATTTCTCCTCAGTAATGAAAAGGTTAAAAATCAAACTGAATGTCGTGAACAATCATTTTGTGTTCTGAACATGTTGTGGTTTCTCTGTGATTGTGATTGTTTGGCTTACGTATCTTCACTCTGAACGCTGATCCTGCTGAAGCTTTCCCTCCTCACAACCTTTCCGTATTTCTACATTAAACACTTCTTACAACTTAAAACAATATTGCAGTAAACTCCATTTAATCAAAGTTACAGATCCACAATCATGTAAACAGGATTTAACCAATACAAAATAGTTATTATTATTGCACTTAGGAACAAACTGTTGAATAAATATAAGCAAATAAATATAACTGGTAGAAATGTTTATACATATTTAAGTGAACAGTTGTTCAAGAACATCTCCAAAATACCTCTTGTAAACAAATCATAGAGCATATCAAAATAACTTAACAGTTGATATGAACACAAACAACTTCTTTAAAGTGCAGGGGAGACTGTTCAGTGAGCTGCAAAGCCATTCACTTTAATTTTCTTCCTCTGTTCCTTTGCCTTCCTCTTTCTCTTTCTCTCCTTTTTCCTTTTCTTTTTGTCTTTTCTTGCCTTTCTACGCTGAATGCAGATGATGCAGCGACACCTGCTGTTCGTTTGGTTGATGTTGAAGTTGTCAATGAGGATATTGTAGCTGTCGTCTGAATCAGAATACAAATCTGCAGATGTGGTTTGAATGTTAGCAGATGAATAAACTGTGATTCGACTTCCTTGTTAACAGGAAGGTCCACAATCAAAATCTTTCAAGTGGCTCAGTAGAAACATTTGCTGTATGACTTGATGTAAAATGAAAAGGTTAATGTGCATCTATTGGTAGTCCATCTTACCACCACATCACGCACACACGCACGCACGCACGCACGCACACCTTTTTCCTCACATAAGCAGTAAAAACTGAGAGCCTTACCTTCACTCCTCTCGTCAAAGTCCTCGTCTCCCTCCTCTGAAGCCACCGAGTAATCAGACTGGTTATCAGACTGATCCTCCTGCCAGTCTGAAAGGAGCAAAGAGAGAGAGAGAAGTTGAGGAAGGGGGACAAAAAGGATCTCACTCTGTTTTTGAACAGGTTTTTTTGGTATATAACGCTTTAACACCCTGAGAATTTGCACCTTCAGACTAATGACAACAATACTTTTAGCCAGCAGGGGGAGCTGCTGCTTTGAAAAAATATATATTACTGAAACTTCTCAAACAAACATAAACAAAAACAGTCTTGTTAAACTATGCAAATTTACACTAGCAATATATATCAGATAGCAGACTGACTCTAAACCTGTGTGAACACAAATACATCTGTTGTCCTCTTAAGATGAAGATAAACTGACCTCATGAAAACTTTCATCACAACATCTTTGAGATTTAACTCAATTATTTTATTTTTGACAATTAAATGAGGATCTAATCTTACCTACTATAAACTTGTAATATGTTTAGTATCAATTTGTCGTAGAAAAAAGTCTACTGTGACTGTATAAAAATAATCTATTGGGTGAACTATTATCATTGTCGGTGTTTCATAGTGGATTATTTATTTGTAATCTTAAACATGCCCAAGTTTACTAAATTTGTAGCTTGGGAAATGGAAAAGAAACAGCAACAGCAAAGCTACTTCTGTGCATTAATGTTGTGAAGTTAAAAGCCAAATGACAACATCTGTTTAGGCTGAAAAGTCATCACTGTTTCATTGTCTGTGATCATGTTTTTGTTTTCAATCTTGTCTCCATCAGTTTAACTTTGTGCCCTTTTAACGATCTGACATTTGCCATCTTTGTGTATACAAAATCTGCTCCTGCTCTTCGTGCTGAGACAGCTGAGACAACAGATGTAATGAAAGCTTTTTTTAAAACAAGCTGCATCTGGCTACATCAATTTCACAACCACACATGAACATAAACTAATATCTTTATCTAATCTCAAGCTACAGAGCAAAAACAAAACTCCATGCCATGCATTCACTTGATTTTCTACACCAACACCACACGAGTCCAACAACAACACTGCACAGCAAACACACACGAGAAAAGGTTGCTTATATATTGTTCTGTACCCTGTCTTATACCTCGGTCCTCCTGGGAGCCATCATTGTAGTTAACTGGCTTTCGGGTTCTTTTGCCTTTGCCCAGATTTCGAGCAAGGTCCTCTTGCTGCTGCTCGTAATGATGACGAAGCAGCTTCTCCCAGTAGTCAGGATCAACACTTTCCTCCTGCTTAATAACCTCTCTTTCCACCTCCTCCTCCTCAAACAAAAGAAAAATTATGCCTTATAAAGGAGACATGGCCATAAAGTAAAGCAGGTGCAGAAGTTACAAATCTAAAGTCTCTGCAAAGTTGCAAAAATAATCTAGGTTTAAGTCTAAAGTTGTCTATCCCTTCACACGTGTGTTTTTAAGGCCTTCGTACCTCATCGTCTTCATCTTTGACCACATACTGGGCTACTTTAAATGAGCTGAGGTATTCGTTCATGCTCTGGAGCTCAGTGTCATCTGTGGCGTCCTGGTTTCTGTCCAACAAACGGTCAATGGCGTGATCATCGTAGTGGATCACACTGCTGTCGTCCTCCTTGTTGTCTCCTAAATGTAGGATGAGTCAAACAGAAACACGCAAGCATCGACTTTATTCATTTTCTTGCAATATCCTTGTGCTGATGGTGTGAACTCTCCACTTGAGTCTTTTGCACATTTTAGCCTCTGTCCTTCACCAAGAGATAATATCCTGATCATCTCTCTTAATATTGAGTAAGGACTAATAGGAAAGCTGTTGAAGGAGGATGAGTATGGCAGAAAAGGTCAAGCATTTCATTAAACTCAGTGTGACTAAAGCTTATCTTAATATCTATTTGTAAAAACTCCATGAGCAAATGAGCATTACTTTTCTTTACAGCTATACTTGCTCTGTTTTGACTCAACTCACCCTCTCCAACTTCATCCTTAAACAGCTCCTCAGTTCCAAATTTAAGGATGTCGTCGAGCTCTTGCTTCGACATGGAGCCTGTCTTGGAGCCGAGACCAGGACGCACGACCAGATGGGTGAGCATCATCTTCTTCTTAGCCACCTGGTAGATGTAAGTGGAGGGAAAACAAGTGTTTAGGCAGCGATCAGTGCAATCCTGTCACAACAGACATGTTTCAAGGAGGTTGGAAGGTGATTTTTGTCACAAGATGAAGATTTCATAGACCTGCGTGATCCTCTCCTCCACAGAGGCTTTGGTAACGAAGCGATAAATCATCACTTTTCTGTTCTGCCCAATACGATGAGCTCTGCTGAACGCCTACAGAGCACACACAAAAACACACGCACACACAGATCAAATGGCATAATTAACCAATAATCAAAATTATGACTCGGATTTGAGGTTTCTGCCAGATGATTTCATACCTGGATGTCATTGTGGGGGTTCCAGTCAGAGTCATAGATGATGACTGTGTCAGCAGAAGCCAGATTAATGCCCAAACCTCCAGCTCTGGTCGAGAGGAGGAAAGCAAACTGTGGAGCACCAGGAGCTGTTGGGATGAACGGTGGAAAATTCAACACAGTGGAACAATAATATAAACACACAAATATAATAAAACCACAGCAGCTGTCTTTAAGCATTACAACTCATGTATATAAATGTCTAACCATTAAAGCGGTCGATAGCCTCCTGTCTCAAGTTGCCTGTGACACCTCCATCGATCCTCTCATATTTGTATCCCTCATTCTCCAGGAAGTCCTCCAGCAGGTCCAGCATCTTGGTCATTTGAGAGAAGACCAGGACCCTGTGACCTCCCTCCTTCAGCTTTCTCATCATCTTTTGTAGCAGCATCAGCTTCCCTGAAGACTTGGTCAGAGCATTGCCTTCATACATGCCATTAGGAAGTTTTGGTGCCTCCTGCAGTGAGAGTAGATATTTGAATACAATTACAGCCTTTTAGATGTTTCCACACAAAAAAATAGTCCCACATTCACTGTCACAAGAATCTAGATCTCACATATTTGGGCAAAAAAAAATCTGAATCATACCGTGGCGGCTGCAGGAAAGAGGTAGGGATGGTTACAGCACTTTTTCAGGTCCATCACCACATTGAGCAAAGAGACTTGGTTTCCTCCTCCACGAGTGTTCAAGGCCTCAAAGTTACGAGTCAGGATGAACTTGTAGTATTTCCTGATTAACAACCAAAGAGACGATTATTAAGAGATGACAACTCTAGAAATCAAAACAAAGAAAATATAACACAGGAAGACTAGTTTGATCTCCTTCTTTCGACACTTACTTCTGCATGGGGCTTAACTCCACTCGAACAATGAGCTCGGTTTTTGAAGGCATGTGTTTGAAAACATCGGCCTTCAGCCTCCTGAGCATGTGTGGTCCCAGCATGTCATGGAGCTTCTTAATCTGGTCCTCTTTGGCAATATCTGCAAACTCCTCCAGAAACCCTTCCAGGTTGCTGTGGAGAACAAATAAAAATGAGTAAGTATCAGTAATGAGGTAGTTCCTATTCTATTCATGAAACTGTGAGAAGACATTAAGGGCTACTTGATGACTAACTTGAATCTCTCTGGTGTCAGGAAGTTCAGTAAGTGGAAAAGCTCCTCTAGGTTGTTCTGGAGAGGTGTGCCAGTCAGAAGCAGCTTGTGTTGCAGAGGGTAGTTGTTCAACACTCTGAAGAACTGAGAACGGACAAAAATAAAATAAAGTAAATCACATTAACGTAAATAAACACAGGATTACACAAACACTTCAGGGAGATTCTGGGTGTAATTACCTTTGACTGGTTGTTCTTGAGTCTGTGGGCCTCGTCCACCACCAGGCAAGCCCATTCAATGGATCCCAGCACAGCCTGGTCAATGGTGATCAGTTCATAGGATGTCAGCAGGACGTGAAACTTGACTGTGGAGTCTTTCTGTAGATCACAGAGAGAAGTGGGCATAAGTTCAAATTCCAAAAAAAGAAATAAGCTGAGACATACACTATCAATGAAAGTTTAGCTGGTTTTGGTATTCATATTAATGTAATATAATATCCTGACAGTTAACCCTCATAATGCAATACAGTATAGAAAGTCTTATAAACTGAGTTTTGGTTCCCAGATCCTGCTCTGTATTCCAACTTTCTTTCCTTACCTTCATCTTGGATGCCTTCTTCCCACCTCGGATAGCGTTACCCTCAAAGGAGAACTCGTTCTCTCTGATGACAGCCCTGCTATCTTTGTCTCCAACGTAGGTCACCACGTACATATCTGGGGCCCACATCTCAAACTCTCTCTCCCAGTTTATGATTGTGGACAGGGGAGCACTGACCAGGAAGGGACCTTTGGAGTGACCCTATAACAGTGTGAAAACAGTCAATGTCAGCATGTAAAGGTGCTACACATCATTAGTGAATACTTGCATTTACATGAGAAGTAAGCAAACTTTTGGTCTTTTGAAATATGTGAAATGCCAACTTAAAAATAACTTATACTAAAAATATAAATCATCATTACAGATATATGGACAGAAATCCAGAAGTCACTTGTGGGATTATTTACCAAAACACAAAAAAAGACCAATAATAATAAAATGTTGATTCATACTAAATAGGTCTTCTTCTCATTTGTTATTAAGATTAAACTGTTTTATTTAATCAAATCCAAAAAACAGCAGACATTTTTCCATCCTTCAGCAGACCTGCTCCCTAATCATCAAAACTAATGTCCATAAACCACTTATTTACAAGGAACTCCCATTAAAAGCTTTTAGGGGCCACTTGAAAAGAAGTTTCATGCATAAAAACAGTACGACACACAGAGATTACACACATCAGCCTTCATCAACCAACAAGATATTGAAACTTCCTTGGTCTGCCTTGAGGACAAAGTTCGTAACTTAGGACTCATCTCCTTGGATGAAAAGAGTTCATTTATATCATGTGTCTGAAACCCAACCACCATAATAAATTAAATTTTACTTGTAAATTCCTTAACAAAATCATAGCATGAGTTTTGCTAATTATAGATTCAACAGTTAATACATCGTCTTATCACACAAAACTAATCCCTGCCTTTAAAGGTCCATGAATAAAATCAATAATTTAAGCTTCAGTAGTAATAAAAAGTTCTTACCTCTTTGTACAAAGAATAGAGGAAGACAGCAGTCTGCACAGTCTTGCCCAAACCCATCTCATCAGCCAGGATGGTGTCTGTGGCCTGAGCCCACGAAAACCTCAGCCAGTTCAAGCCCTCCAGCTGGTATGGATGCAGAGTTCCTCCTGTGCTGTCCAGGTAGTCCGGCTGCCGATCAAACTTGATGGTGGGCTGGAGGGAACAGCGTAAGAAAGATTTACATCTTGTGTACGTCCTCATTCAGGCTGTTTTTACTCAGCTGAAATATCCACTTGACAGTATCTCTTAAGTTGATCATTTTTAATTTTACAGTCTACAGAAAAACTTCACAATAACCAAGGCTAGAAAAAAGTTTGACTCTACTTACATCTACAACTGGGTTAGCCGGTGGTCGCTCAGCTTTCTTCACTTTGACGGCCTTCTTCAACTTTTTACCAGGTCGTCCCTCTTCACCCATCATCAGCTCCCTTGGAGAAAACAACATATAAACTGTTTTCAGACATGGACTCTGTAACACTTCTAGAAAATTTTAGGCTCTGACCTGGAAATGAAACTGACTATACTATTCATACATATACCCTCAGAGTGTGAGGTCTCCCTTGTCAGACCAAGGCATGGGGGAGCTTTAAAGGCTAACTTTGATGTCAGATAGACACTGCAGCTACCTATTTTTAAAGTATAAACATATCTCTGTTATGACCTGAAAAAGAAAAAGATAAATAGCTCAAACTGGCCACATCTGTAATCAATTTGAGCTACAGCAGCCTTTTTCAACCACATAGCAAAACTACAAAACACTAGCCTCAGGGGGAAAAAAAAACAGCACTCTCCCTGCCACTTCTCACTGGGAATCACTTGTAAGAATTGCTGCTGCTCACATAAGCTCACCCAGACAACGCTGCGATGATAGTAGGGAATTAGCAGGAAGTGTTCTCAGTGAAGTAACAAAAAAAAAAACTGTTTCTGTTCCAAAGTAATTTCAGGAAGCTTTTACTTTGTCCGTGTCTAAAAAGGGGCTTTTGTAGGGCAAAATATACTTTAAAGATCATAAAAGAAGGATGACACATTTTTTTTCCACACGTTCCTGCTTACCTGTGATTCCAGTATGTCTGTTTGTAGGTGTCAAACTCAGGGACGTCCATGTCCTCACTCTCCCAGGTTGACTGGTCGTAGGCCAGATCCCTCCACTTTATCAGGTAGTGCACGTTGTTCTTTTTATCAACACTGACATGGAAAAAGGAAAGAAAGGAGCTATGATGAGGCGCAAACACTTTGTAGACTTTTCAGATGAACTTTACACGGATGGTTGTCCATAACTCTTAAAGAAATAAATTATACTCCAATTCTGTGTTGCCTCTGTGAAGTAAAACCTTTTCAGCTCTTCTTTAAGTTATTCAGAAGCAGAGACAAATCCTTAAAGGAGCAAGTAAGGCAAGGTCAAATTCATCAGCAGAGGTCTAATTCCACCTACCTGTGATTGAGGATGCGGTGGATCATCAGCCACTCCATCTTGACTCCGTAGCGATAAAACTCCCCCTCCATTCGAACAAAAAGAGGGTCCTTGTTCTTCCTCTTGGTGCTTTTGTCATCATCACCCTCACCTCCAAAATCTACAGGTGGTGGTTCATCCATGTCAGTCTTTCTCTGGTAGTTTCGGAACATCACCTGGCAGTTGAGCTCCAACTGAGAAGCAACGAGAAAGAGAGACTTTATGCAGAGATACTCAATATTTCTGTGTATAGTCTGTGTCTTCTAGCAGAGCACAGAAACTTTCAGATTCTTGTCCACAGGGGGGAACAGTTTTGGAGATTGCATGTGGTACCTGTAGCTCGAGCACCCAGGAGCAGTGCCAGTAGGACATATTGCACCATTTGACAAAGAACTCCCTCTCCCTGCGGCCTGCAAGCGGCGGGGGATCAGGAGCATCAGCAGGAAGGTCAGCAGGCCGAGGGACAGGCGTGGGGGCAGGTGGATCCCCCCATCGCCATGTTAAAACCTTCTGGACTTTGCCCTTCATTGGTGGACACTGTTAAGAGAGGATTAATTCAGAAATGCATGAAAGTCAGTGAGCGGAAGCAATTTAACTCTGATAAGATTTTTTCAAGGAAATATGAAGAGAGACTTTTAAGGAGACGAGAAACAGCAAAATATAAATTAAATGAAAGACTGCCACAGTTTATCTAAAGTGCTGTAGGCGTGCACAAGAAGGATTCTGCATTCCATTGCTCGCCCACATAAGCATACACACACGCACACTCATACGCACCAGTGTACTGCACTCACCTTGCAGCGGGGGCAGATCCATTCTCCATTGGGGATTTCCGGCAAAGGAGGGTTGAGGCAGTGGATGTGGTAGGAGGAGGGGCAGGTGTCACAGCAAAGCAGCTCCCCTCCATCCTTGCACACACGGCAGAACTCGATGTGGTGGTCATCCTCTTCCTCCACCCCTTCTTCTCTCCCATCTTCCTCATCTTCCCCTTCAGCCTCAGAGAGCTCATCCCTGGCCTCCCACTGGATTCCCTCCTTCTCCTGGTACAAGAATTACAGATGGGGGGGTGGGGGGGGGGGGCAGACAGGCAGAGAAGGTATGCGGAACAAAGCGAAAGGAAAAAAACGGGAAGGGGTGGGGGGGGTTTTCATGAGGGGTGGGGGGTGTGGGGGAGTGCATTGCATGCGTGTGCGTGTTTGCGTGTGGAGCCATGGCGGAGGGCAGAGAGGGTGGAGGGAGGGGTGGGAATGGAGGGACAAGTAGAGGAAATGGGGGATGGGGGGCAGTGACACGTGTGGTGGTGAGAGAGAAGGGATATATGAGAGCATGAGCAGAGGGTTGGAAGTACATGTATGTGGTGGTGGGGGGGCAGCACAAGACAAAGGAATTTTTGGAAAACAAAATGAAAACCCAGTTTAATTCAGGACGCAGAAACTGCAATTTTACAACGATACATTTCATCATATGTTTTTTTTTCCCTCTGATAATGAGTGTGATACGGGGGAATTCCCGGCACAGTAAGGAGACCCAAAATGAAGGTACTCACACAGTGTGGGCAGCTCCACTTGCCCTCTGGTGCTTTCTCCATGTCAGGATCCAGACAGACCATGTGATAAGCTCTGGGACAGGTGTCACACAAAATGATCTCCCCCCCCTGCTGACACACTTCACAGTAGTCCTGGTGGTCCGTCTCATAGCCGTCACCATCTTCCGTCTCCACTGAGAAAGGAGGTCCATAGAAAATGAGCGGAAATGAGAAAGAGCAACCGGGACACATAATGAGCAGCGACCTTCATTTTGGCCTTGACTCAAATCTAACTTGACAAAGCTAAATCCTCCTGCATTAAGCTGCTGTCTTTTGTTTAGCACTAAGGGACATAAGTGCGGACGTTTTCAAAGTATTCCGATGCCAACCTTTCTTCTTTTTCTTCGCACTCTTGGGTTTCTTCTTAGGACGGCTGCTACGGTTCGAGCCATCTGACACAGAGAAACTCCCATCATCAAAGTCACTGTCAACATCAGGTTCGTCTTCATCGCTCTGATGGAGAAACAGTTAAGAGAGAGGATACTAAGACAAAGATCAACTTCACTGAAGCTACTGATTTAAGTCAAAGAGACTGGTTTAAGAGCAGCTTACGGAGGAGCGCTTCCTCTTGCTGTTGAGTCCCCCGAGTTTGATCTTAAGTGGGGCCACCTTCTTAGGTTTGGGCTTAAGTGGAGGTTTAGGTGCGGGCTTTGATTTCTTGCGAGCATTTGGACCTGAGAGAACATAGAGATTTAAGTTCAGAAGCGCAAATTCGAAAAATATTAGAAAAAACTTAACATCAAAAGATATTTATCATGTTCCATCCACATTTATCCTACTTTACCTTTGCCCTCTTTGGTCTTGGCCTTGCGTAGAGGAGGTGCTGGGGCTGCTGGGGGCGCGGCAGGTGTTGGAGCAGCAGGGGCAGGAGCAGGTGTGGGTGAGGCGGCAACATTGGTTTCTGCCCCTCCGTCTGCCCCTGCCACCACCATGTTTTCAACAGCTGCAGCCACGTTGGCAGCTGCCAGGGCTGCATTGGCGGAGGCACAACCCTGCAGGACGACACGGTACAAAGTGAAAAACTCCCTTTTCTCAAGTTCAACCTGCAAGACTTCTTTATATGTGAATCACAAGCCCCATTCATCTAAAGTCAGACTGAGGTGCATTACCTTCAGGGGGTTGTTGGTGCTAAATTCTCGCCACTTAGCCATCATTAAAGTCATCATCTTGGAAACAGCTATTTTAGGGTTCTTTGCTGCAATTAAGGGCCTAAAAACACAATATTGACAGGAAAAATACTGATTACTCATTTATCTCCTTGACAAAATGGTAAAAGTGAATAATAAAATCAGCACTCACCTGACAAACTGACTGAAGGCCTTGTAGTTAGTGAGTGAGTTGTAGTCTTCCTGAGTAAAGACATGGTCAATATCTTTCATGCCCCAGGTCTCCAGTAGCTGTGTGGAGCTTTTAGGCTGAGAATGAGGGGGAGATATACAGGAAGATCATTTGTCATATTTGTCTTTAAGGAATCAATTATTCACTCTTATTAAAAGTCTGAATGAACATTTACCTGGCAATCATCATCATCATCCTCATCTTCTTCTGGTTCTGGATCTTTCCTTTTGCTCTTAGAGTTCGATGAACCCCCTTTCTCCACCGCTGAGCCTCCTTTCTTTTTTTCTTTGGCCGAGCTGGAGCGCTTCTTCTTTTTCCTCCCAGGGGCATAATCACTTCCTTCACTTTCTGACCGCACACCTCCCTCGTCTGCATCTCTCTCTGCAGTCTCTACTCCAATCAAGTGCTCTGGGGAGCTAACTGGCAACTCCTGCAAGGCAAAGAGCCACTTAGCATTAAGCAAAAAAAACACAAGTGCTTATATCATGTGTGGATAACTTGAATACGCTCAAGTGTAGATTTCCAGTGTCTGTTATGGTAAATTAAGCCTAAATAGAATAACATAGAGATCATCAGTGTTTCATGAAGCTTCACTGGTTAGTTTGTATTGTTTCTTGTCAGAAAATTAGTTGAAAAAGATTAATCAAGTAATCATTTTTAAGCCTTGCTGTCTGCTCTTGCCAAAACTTAGATGCGCATGACAGTCCACTATTTGTATTGTTATTTTATAGGAGGAGGTAGGAAACGGCTAATCAATTAATCCATTAATGTTGGCAGTTCAGAAATAACTCGAGAAATAAGGGCACTCCTGTTTTTGGGTCCTGAAGCTCAAGCAATCATAAATATCTTTAAAAGATATTTATTATAAGGGAGAGAGGGGTAAGTTGAGCCACCCCCTGTTGCTTGGAAATGGTAAAAGAAATTGATCATATGACCAAATATTTAGGAGATGGGCATATCAATTCATGGAGTCTGTGAAGGTTAGAAGCATATGGGTGAAGGGGATAGACATTTATTTACAAAAAAAAAAAATGTTCACTCTTGAAAGTAAATTCAGTTTGTCATAAGTTTTATTAGAATTGTGTTCAGACCAAAAAAGATCATTTAAATTTGTTTTATACTTCAATTGTGGTATCTATGAGCTACAACATGAGGTCAGAAACCTACCATAACAGTCCACCATTTTAGCTTAGAGGACTAATAAAGTCATAATATTAGTTCAAGGGTAAATTGAGCCAGTAGCTTAACTGAGAAAGTAAAGAAGTCTGATGAGAGGATCAGAGTTTCAGTTCAGATTGTTGAAATGTGTTAATTTTTCTTTACAAAATACAGCTGTGAATGTTCTGAATCACTTAAAGACATTCTCATGTTAAAATGGCTTTTTACAAAACAGCTTTTTAGCAGTTATATGCAATAATAATAAAAAGAATTATTGCACCAGTTGAATTGTGTATAATAGATAAAAATACACATGAATGTGAAGAAGTGACTGTTATTTAGGGAGAGAGAAGGCGAAGGAGGGCTGGGGTAGTAGGGATACAGCTCAACTTACCCCGCTCCTATGGTCAACTTACCCCATACACAGGGTAAGTTGACCATAGGAGACCACTTTTCTTGGTATGCTATATTATCAAGTTATGTTTACACTCATTCTGTTGGTTTGCAGGAATGCTCAACATCTTGAAATATATGCAGATACACTAGTTAGAGACAAAACTATGATTGACTTGATGTAGTGATCTGAAATATGAAAAATGGCTCATCTTACCCCACTCTCCCCTACACATAAAGGTAAACAATACACCATTCCCTGCAACATTTGACTCCTCTAGATGTGACCCTGTTTGGTTATTTTGAAGTTTATGTGTTATTACCCAGGTTAAAGGGACAAGTATCACTCAGAGCCAAATGTAAACATGACAAGTTTTGACTTTACCTCTCTGACAGGTCTTTGCCTTTTGCTGCTGCGACTCTCACGGCTGCTCTTCTTCGCTTTCTTCTTCTTCTTCGACTTCGGTACCTCGTCTACATCAGACACAGCATCCTCCGGCTCGTCCTCACCTGCGGGATAATGACGGGCTTTTTAATTAGCGAGACAAGACAAGTCCTGAGCACGGGGAACAGGAGGAGCCCTGCTGCAGGCCACAGAGAGAGACAAACACAGAGACAGACAGAGAGAGAGAGAATAGAGGCGTTCCGCGCGCGCACTGGCACGACTTGGCACATGTCCGTGCACGCACGCGCGCACACACACGAGAACACCGAGTCCACCATGAATGCCACAACAGCACAGGTTAAAACTTGTACATGCTCCGTGTGTGAAACTTTGACAGCTCACACTCGCACTTCGGAAAGCACGTGTGAGGTGTGAGTAACCGGAGGGGGTTGGAATAGAGGGGAAAATAAATGAGTAAACACTCTCCTGACAAGTTAGCTAACTAATCTATTATGGCGAGTGACAAGCGGCCCGAGCTGACTAGTGCTGGGCTAGCTTAGAAGCTAACGCTAGCCTCGGCGAGCTCAAGTGACAGCGAGAGATGGACCCTGTTCTTCGGAGGAGGAGGAGGAGGAGAGAGAGAGAGAGAGAGATTATAATAAAAAAAAGCGAGCTTACCGCGAAGAAGTGAGTGCTCGTCCGCGGCCCCAAAGTCCTCCCTCTCATCCTCGCTGCCCGACATTTTCCCAGCGTTTTAACTGTATTTCTTGCTGGTCGAATTAATCCCCCCTAAAACCTCGCTGCTCCTCGGTCGGCGAGGGAGGGAAAATGACGTGGGACTGTTGGAGAATGGACCGGGGGTGTCCAGGAAGGGAGGGGGTGATGGTGGTGGGTGCTGGAAAATAAATAATAATACATTGGTAACCAGTCATTTGCTCGTTTCTTATTATTCAAATAGCATCTCATTGACCACCTGCACGCTCAAACAAGTTGAATAACTACCTTATCTCTGTTTTGACATTATGTTTTTGACAGGTATTTGGAGTGAGGGAATAAGTGACAACATCTCTTCAAGTATTAGCAGCAAGTTGCACAGTCGAGTGAAAACAACAGCTACATTGGAGAAAACTTTAAGTCTTTAAAACCCTACCTTGACATATCAAAAACTTACTGTAGTGTGGTCCCGGGTCGAGGTGTGCTCTCTGTCTCGGCGCAAGAATTGACACAAGTTAGGCTGTTTGTGCGGCAGTTGTTGTCACCAAGTGTTCATTCATTAAGCCGGCTGAGTCAATGATCGGCGAAATTAGAGAAATGAGCCGTCAATGACCCAAAACACGTTGCTCCGTTCCCCTCTTCTCTCTCCCCCAACCTTACAGGCAAAGCTTAGCTAACATCCTCACAAACACACAAAGGGGGCAGACATCCCATAATAATCCCCCCCTCCCACACTCACACAGGACTCTGCATAGTTACCTCGCAACGGACAGACCATAATATTCAGCCTGCCCCCACCCCCTCCACCACGCGCGCGCGTACGCGCGTACGCACGTACACTACCACCACTAGACATGCATGCACCAGGCTCATAGCATGCACACTCCTTCCCCTTTCCACTAGTAGTCCCAGCCCCCTTAGCAACCCCGTTGTCATGACGACACCCCCCCCCCCCCGCTCCCGACAGACCATAATACTCTAGCAGTAGCAGCATACATCCCATAATATACAACTTCTTAAAAGACAAAAAGAAGGAAAAACAGTCACATGCTCTCCAAGGGAGCTCAAGTCCATTGGTGACAGACCATAATACTCCTCATCACCCACCTGGGAGTGAGCATGAGTATGCCAAGAAGTCAAAGAGCCTTCCATTTTGTTCACCGGGATCCTTCTCACACAGGTGGACTGTATGCCCACAGTGTGTGTGTGTGCAGAGTGCAGATCAGCTCATAGTTAAACAGAACCGGATGTGTGTCAGATAGGCCACAACAATGATGCCAACAATGTTACTCAGCATCACAGGAGGAGGATGAGGCCTCCTGTCACAGCAGTGTCATCACGGACAAGTCTGACTCCAGTATTCCTGCTACGATGGACACAGTGATTGGGATGTGTGTGTTTGCTCTTCAAATGGAAACAGGGCCAACAGGTGTGACCTTAAAGGGATTTCAGTGTAGGATGAAAGTGAATGGTCCATATATTGATTTAGATTAATACACAATATGTCGCCTTCATGTTTAATTTGTAATGCATAAATAAAACAAAGAGCTGCTGCATATCAGACACATTCAAGCAGATGGGAATGTGAAAGCACATATTTAAGACTTTACTAGATTATACATTCAAGGATGTACAGTATAACCAAATAGTCTTTACTTCAATTATAGACAATTACAATAGTGATGTTTCAAATAAATTAACTACACAGACATTAGAGGCATAAGCTGCTTTTCTCCCTGCTGAGGTTTGACTATTAGGCACAATGAAGTTAAGTTGCTATTGTTCAAGACCTTTAAGAACTAATTCAATTCAAAAATGACATTTTGGCTCAGCAAGTTACACTGCCTTTCAAAGTAAAAGCACCTTAAGATGCAACAAGTCGAAATAAGAGGACAGTTAGGTGGCAAAGAAACTTTAAAACTGCACTGTGTTAAAATAAAGTACAAAGAAACAGTCTTTTTCTTTTCTTTAAAGTCACATTTTTATACATTCAAAGTTGGTTATGTATAGTATTGATACTTTAATCTTTACAAGTCAACCTGAAGTAAGCCGAGCTACAGTATGTCACAGTGTTGTTCCAGAGCCATACTGCAACACATCTGTATCAACAGCAAAGACTGTTGTGAATTCATGTCCATGAATTGATATACTATTCGTGTTTCTGATGTTGGACATGGACCAAAACTACATAACCACAAAATTTTGCTTTAAGTTCGGTATGATAAGCAGCATTTAGACATAAGTTATCATAATTGAGAGGCAGCCAAGACAATAAACATGATTGATCAGTGCTGAGTTTCCACTGATACTTAGAATGCCAAAATGTGACTGTTGTGTAATTTATCTGGTGTGTCTGAAATGACTTATTGAATAACATCACATTAGAGGGTTCAGGTTCTGTTATGAGGGCAGAAAAAAGACTTGAGGGCCGCACAAAAGAGGCCCACCAAAACCATCACATGACTATAATATAAGTATTTTGAGTTAGAATTCTTTGGACGCCTACCAAACAATCTTTTGAGGTTGTTATTCAAACTATATATTTGTGTTTTGTCCCTGATGGTATTTTGAAAGAACTAATTTTTAAAAATTCTTTTGCATCATATCACAAAAAACTTGTAAAAGCTGTATCTTAATGTTTAGAGTTTTTAGATTCATTTTTGGGATTCCCTGCAAGAATTTCGTCAGTTTCACTAAATGTGGCCGCTCATCGAGCATATTGTCACGTCTCACTGATCCAAGGCATGATATACTCTGTTGTTAGTTAAGACATAAGTAAAGTAAGTTACCACTGAATCCTCACAAATGCTTACCATTTATCACTTTTATATATGCATCCTGCATAAAGTTGCATGTTTGTTTCAGACACAGTTAGACAGGGAAATAATCAGTTATATATTCATACTCTGCTTTCTGGAGTTCTAGTGAAAACTGTATTTGAGACATAAAATGATTGTATTTGTATCAGTGAATGCATTTTCTGCATGTCTGCTCTGTGCATGTGTCAAGTGAGTGGGAGAGGAACTGTTATAATCCCAACCCAGCGGCCTTCCTTTACTTCCTCTGCTAATATGGCCACTGCAATATTTCCTGCTGCAGTACATGCAGATCGCATAGCAACAAAGGCCTATGTCTGGCCGTTGTCTGCTCCTATCGCTTGAATGCCCCTCACACATGCATGTATGCTCGTGCACACACACTCACGTGCAACGTCGTCACCAACACCTCCTCCTAACCCCTCCATATCCCATATGTACAGCTATCTTTCCCCCTCACAAGCACTAAAACCCCCCCTCCCCACCTTTCCCCCCCTCAATCACCACCTAACACCATCATTCCATAATATTCATGGGTCGTTCATTCCCTCTGCCCCCCTCCCCCCATGTGCACACAGCTCACCACCCACTCTGCCACCCCCACTTCCCTGCCTGACAACACTGCTGCTCGCCATCCCATAATATTCATGCACACGCTCCACACACATTCATACACAGCAGTGCATTCAGCTCTTTGTTGGCAGAGGTGTCTGAGCAATGCAAGTGCACATCCACAGCAGTCATGTTTCTACATGCCTTCACTACTCCATCCACACCCAGGTTGCAAAGGCAGGTAGCCCTCAAGAGGCAAGTAATGCAAAGAAGTGAGCAAAGGTGATGGGCCATGTCTCTGTCTCTCAATGACCTTGGTTGGAAATATGTCCATGAAGTCCAAAGTCTCCCTGAGGCATCATCCTTGAGGTAAAGGCCCATTGTTCATCCCACAGTAAGCACCATGGGACCAAATAGATCTCTCTCTGGATTGGCTTATCTCACGGCAAAGTCTGCTTTACTTTATAACAGGAGGAAGTCATCTCTACATATGTGTCATCATGTTTCAGCCTTGACAAGCACCTCTTGAGGCTCTGCAGCCAAGTTACAGTCAATCAGTACGGGACCATTCCAGCATGATAAAATGTCCACAAGATGAGGGAAAGATAAAGATAAAAAAGGAGGGAATGTTATTTACGAGAGAGGGGTGAAGGGATGTGCACAACAGAGGCGCCGGACATGACAGTGGCCAGCTCATCACCATGGCGTTGCTGTGGGAGACAGAAGAAGACGTCACTTGGAGAAACAGGGGACACAAAGGAGGAATACGACATGAGAAGGACAAAAAAAAGGAGGGAAGGGGGCCTACAAGAAACCTGTCTTTGCAGATATAGACAGAGAAATGTTGGAGTGTGCGTGCCTGTGTATGTGTGTCTGTTTCAGAGAAATTGAAAGAGGATGTGTGGACAGGGTAACTTTCAGGTTACAGCAGGTTCGGTCACACAAGTACAAAGCCCTTAAAGTTCAAATTAAGTCTAAACATTTGTTAAGACTTACCTTAAGAAGACAAAAAAATATATATGTAATGAGCTAATGCTAATCACTGAGGGTAAAAAAGAAAATTATGATCAGTCAGACAGAATTCAATAAAACAAAGATACAGCAGTAAGTTATAGCAATTTAGATTCAAAACTTGATATCATACAAAAATACAGTACATGTGTGTTCACAAAAATATGTAAAAGTGGTGGTTTTCATTGCTGTTGCTGACCTCCCATCAGCTACAACTTGCTGTAAAGGTAATCACAATTAGCCATAAAACTAAAGGCAAATTAAATTCCTTACTGTCTGCTTAATGTTGTTACCAAATAAAAGTTCACGCTTTTCAATTAAATAATTGTACGTAATATCTATTCCTCAACCTTATCACGGCAGAGAGATTTTACTCACAGTTTGCACACATTAATTGTCATTTGCAAGGAGTGTGCTAATTACTCTTTTCTTGAGACAGATATAAAATGGGCAATAATTAGCACTTGAAACAACATTCAAACAAGGCTTAAAAATTTACATTTAATCTGAGTTCAGGTTTTCTCCCACAACTTTATTGCTGTCTCTTGTTATTTAAAAGCAGAAATACATACTAAATACCTAAAGAAGTGAAGTTACCTCACTGCTTTCATTCACAACAAAGAAACACATTTATGAAATATTACCTCAGTTGTAATGAAATAAGCTTGTCTGTTACAGTAGTCAATATTTACATCTGGGCTAAATACACAATTAACCAAACGAAATGTCATTTCAGTTGTATAGCTGTCATCATACAGTATCAGCAACTTGCAGTAGGGCTCAAATAAAGCTTGTATTTTGTGTAGCCAGTTAATTCCTTCACAAAATTATCACAATCATCTCTTCTCGGTTATCAAACCCACACAGATATAGTATCTTAATTTTTCTCTCATGTGTCACAAACTTGCTTTCTTCACCACTCTCTCCTAACCCCAGTGTAACACCCACCCGTGCTCTCCTTATGCCCTCCTTCCTTTCCTAACTGGTGATTTATTTGCCTCAGTTCCAATATTTGTCGGCAGTGTGTTTTCTTCCCCTTGTCTAAATGTCACCCCTTCTTCTAAGACAATATAGGGAGGGGGAGAAAGGGAGAACGAGAGGGCAAATGTGGGGGAGATAGAGGAAGGGTAGGAGGGGGAACTCGTAAAATGAGCAACAAAGTTTGGGAAAATTAAACATTAGGTAAGCCACTTTTTCCACATGGATAGATATACATATTCTTGGAAACAGGAATGCTGTGTCATGGTATTTAGTTTCACTATTTAATGGATCAGTATTTCAACTAAGTGTTTCTATCTTGAGAGAAAAAAGCTTTTGTCCGTGTTATCAATAGATGTTTTTTTAGCAGCAAATGTACATATTCACAATTTAACTCATAAATATTTAAAACACTTTCAACATGATCAATAAAATGACGCAGGAATTGATCCTTCAAGAAGATCAAAGATTTGAACTCTCATGCCAAACAAGCAAAATGTTAAGTATACTAGTGTACTCTCTCTAAATACTTGTGTAGTACAACTAATGTCATTCCCAGAGCTTCCTCCTCCCTTCCCTCAGCATCACGCCTGTCCTCTCTCCCTCCCTCCCTTCCTCATTCGCTACCTCCTTTAAAACCCATCACTCCCATCTCACCACTCTCACTCATTCTTGCTGTTGCAAACTGGAATGGACTTTTGTTTTCATGGGAACAGAATCGAGCACCTGCTGACTATCACTTTTTTTTTGTAAATCTGAATTTCTCCAGCACTTCTAGATTCTGAGATTTGAGATTTGGGAGTAAAATTGACGTGCAGAATCTGATCAATTAAAGAGGACATGTGGATTTATTTTTGCATGCAGAGGAGGAGGTTTTCTTGCTCTTTGTGAAAAGGTAGGCTATTCCTGTGAGCATGCAGCTACTTTCAATGACGGCACCAGTGTCGAAGCTGATGACCAACTTTTGATGTTTGAAATTGGGAATACATTTCACCTTGATCAACTTTTCAAGAGAGAGGGAAAACTGGATACCACGGGACTATGAACTGGTGAGAAACTGCTGTTTTTGCGAAAAACAATAAAACTTTTTCATCACCTTTGACAGAAAATTTTATCATCTCACATTTACAAAGCTGTTGTGCTTTCAACTTAAAAGTATTTTTCATTTCAAATTCTGTATTGATAAAAGATAACATCCACAATAAGGATGAATATCATCTGCCAAGTTTTTTTTATATCTGACCTATTACCTTGACCTTTTGACAGACATGTGGGGATCATCCCCAAACTCCGCTCCACAAACGTAAACAAAACCACAAGCAAACAGACGGAGCACTCATACGGCGGAGGCGGGCAGCGTGCTGTCCAAAGACCCAGCCTGACGCACCGAGACGGACAGACAGATAGACAGTCTGATGCCAACTGTCTCTGCTGTCAATCTAACGGCACCACTCCTCCTCCTGTTGCTATGGGCAACCCACCCCACCATGGCAACCAACTGGCTGTAAGTCTTGCGTGCGAGGGAGGAAGAGAAAGAGGGAGTTTGTTTGTCATGCTATAACTTTTAAAAGATGGTGACATGTCTCTAAATCTCTTTCAGTCTTTGCCTCTCTTTCTTTGTCTCACTCCTGGTGACCTTTTCTCTTTTCTTTCTCTCTGCCTTCAATGCGTCTCTTTCCCTACTCTTCCCCTTGTTTCCATCCTCTCTAAAACTCTACCCACTTGTTCCCTCCACATCCTTTTGCTCACTCTCTTTTCCTTCCTCATGAGCTCTTTCTCTAACTCCCTCTCTTTTCCTCATTATGCATCCTCACTCCCTTCTTTCTCAATAACTTCCCCTTCCAAAACCCGCTCTGAGTCACTATATCACTCTTTGTGCCCCAGCTCCCTGGCGAGGCTGCCTCGCTCCAGGCCTGTGTCTGGTGCCGCCCCATGTGCTCGGCTAAGGGGGTTGACCCCGGGGCAGGTTGGGGTGTGCAGGGCGCGAGGGGAGGTTATGGAGTCTGTGCGAAAGGCAGCGGAGATGGTCATAGAAGAGGTGGGGCAAAGATTTTTAACATCCACAGATTTTATGTTACTTTCATTATCAGGAGTTTGTTGAACCTGGAACATTGTGAGTGCTTTATCTAACTGCCATGCATGACACCTTTATACTCAGTGTCAGCACCAGTTCAGGAACCGCCGCTGGAACTGCTCCACCACCCCACGTGGGATCAATGTTTTTGGCAGAGTCATGAACCAAGGTAACCTCATAAAAACGCCACGCATCAGGCCGCTCATATCTGCATTTAACACTTTTCATTTCTGTACAACTCTATTATGGTTTCAGGGACTCGCGAGGCAGCCTTTGTGCATGCTTTGTCCTCAGCGGCGGTGGCAGTGGCTGTGACCCGGGCCTGCACCCGTGGGGAGCTGGAAAGGTGTGGCTGTGACAGGAAGGTCAGGGGGATCAGCCCTGAGGGTGAGCTCTGGTTCTATTGTGTGAAAATACAGCAGGTACAACCACACAGAGTCATGAAAAATGAAACAGTCGAGGTGCTGCAGGTTTTAGGGTGTGGCTTAAACTTTCCAGTGTGAAGCTCTAAGAAGTGATATCATAGCAGCTGTCACAGGTAGATGACTCCTTGGTGATATAGTCGATTAGTGGAAAGCATACTATAGGCTTCAGGCTTGTTTAATTCAGTGTTGATTCATGGTCAACCATCTTTTTAGCTTTATATTTAAATGTAAACCTGTGCTTAGGATGCAGTAAACTGCAATGCTGGTTCTTCTTCAACTCTAGGTTTCCAGTGGTCAGGGTGCAGTGACAACCTGTCCTACGGCGTGGCTTTCTCCCAGACATTTGTGGACGAACCAGAACGAGCCAAGGGGCTGTCAGCAGGGCGACCACTCATGAACCTCCACAACAACGAAGCTGGTCGAAAGGTTGGTGGTGGTGCTGCAGCATTAAAGACATCTTGAGGTTTCAGTGACTTATATCTTTCCTTCTATCTTTAGGCCATCCTTCATAACATGCAGGTGGAGTGTAAGTGTCATGGTGTCTCTGGCTCCTGTGAGCTGAGGACCTGCTGGAAAGTGATGCCTCCATTTAGGCGTGTGGGTGTTGTGCTCAAAGAACGTTTTGATGGAGCCACAGAGGTATTAAAATATGCCACAACATCCTCTGAAACTTTGAGGGATCCTACTCTGTCTGGCTCTCTTAACAGGATCTACCTCTTAGGTTCGTCTGACTCGCATAGGATCCAGGACTGCCCTGCTCCCTCGCGATCCCCAGGTCAAGCCCCCTGCTGCTAGAGACCTGTTGTACCTTGCACCGTCCCCGGATTTCTGCCATCTCGACCCTGACAATGGCATCCCCGGAACTGCTGGAAGGAGATGTAATGGTATGAAAATTAAGTAGAAGCATCTTACAGTCAAGATAACCCAATTTATTGATCTAACAAATACAGAAATATGATGTCGCTCTCTACCTAGGAACCTCTCGATTGGCACCAGATGGCTGTGAGCTTGTGTGCTGCGGGCCCGGGTATCGAGCGGGCCGGGCTGAGGTGGTGCAGCGATGCTCATGCAAGTTTTCCTGGTGCTGCTCAGTCCGCTGCCAGCAGTGCAAGAACACAGTCACCATTCACACCTGCAGAGTGTAAAAGGAGCAGAACACGACCAAAGCACCCCGTGCAGAAAGACCCAAACAAGCTACTAGACGGACACTCGTGCACACAAGACGGGATAGCAAACCCTAATGTGTAATTTTAGCACCATTTGACCTTCACCTCTGGTTCCAAATGCAAACTTACCTAAAATAACTTTCCACTGAAGCAGCAGAGACAGAATATTGCAAAAGCTGTAAAGTAAGAGATTTTTTAAAGAGCATTGACATCAGAAGTAAGGTGTGAACATAGACACACATGAAAAAAAGTCAACAATTAATCACACATTGGACTGACAAAGCTTTTCAGGCTGAATTTAACCACAACTAATCGGGACACGTTACAGCATCATTTTTATTTAATGCAAACTTCTCCTGTTGTCATAGACTAGCTGGTTTTCAAACATTTACTGTATTTATGTCTCTTCCTCCAATTTGGTTTATTTATTTATACATCTGAGTTTCTGCTTCACTTCAGCCTCCAGCAACATCTTTAATCGCAAGAATAACTTTTACTTACATCAGCGTCTGTCTTGTGTTTTGTCTCTCATCTTCATGTGAAACTCTTCTGTATGTTACTGCCCGAGCAGTGCTTAAGTCTTTTCAAGAAATCTAATAAAAACAGTAGTTTTATCTGAGGTGCTTGAATGTGTTTTATGGGTTTCTCGTTGAGCAGGAGCACTTCAAATTTTTGAAATACGTTGACCCCTGTAGGGTCTCTGATCAGTGGAGGCACCATGGAGCAAAGTTTTAGTGAGGGATCCCTGAATAAGTGAAATTTTTTATAAGGAATAGCCCCTTGAGCTGTTCAGAGGGGATCCCTAGGATGGAAATGTACAAACAGAAGTAGACCAGACAGACCACCGAGCTGATTATTCTGTGACAAGCTGTTTTTAGGCGTGTATAATACTGTATCGACCACATATAGCTAAACTCAACACTCCGGGCTAATTGAGGGGAGGTCTAAAAATAGAGAAAGGAAGTTGGCCAGTAGGCCAGGCTGTGTAGGAGTGAACACTTGCTGTTATAATCTAGACCCTAATTGGCTATTTTTTATTGCAATGCAAGATTTTTGTTTGAAGGTTTTTCCTTTTCCCTGTGGGACGATAAAGAAAAAATTTCCTAATGAAAAAACAATCACAGATTAGCTCTAATATTTTCCAATAACCTTTTTCTTTTTTTTCAAATCAAACAACACTGGTTTTGCACAAATAAGACTCAATTGTATCTTAGGTGGTGTTAACAATAGTGGAGGACAACTCCACTAGGGCAACTATATGTACACGAGTCAGAGTATGAATACACATGATCAAATATTACTCCACACAAGTGAAACTTCCCTAAACCATTACTTAAGCTAAAGTGCTTGCTTTTAAAATGTTTGCCTGTAAGTTCACTGTTAACTTTATTTTTCCAAATTAGCAACAACTAGAAATGTTCAAACTCTTTGTAACCACAGGTGCAATCTATTCTTGTTTAAGGTACGGCAACACCACCTTGTCATTCCACACCCAGAACTACACAAACACAATTTTATGTCTTGCAAATTAGATTTTAGAAAAAAAGAAAAGTAAGAAAATGACTGTATTAGGGCTGAATTTGAGTTTTCCAGCAATAGAGTATTGAAGGGAAAATATCTATCAAAAATATACACACCACAGACATAAAAATCAACTGCCAATTTAATTCAACCGTTTTATTAAAAATATCCTTTGATTACAAACACCCATTAATTGACTAGCAAAGTTTATTACCTTAATCTCTATTCAGATTCAGACATATTCAAAATATTACAACTCCATTTGTTATATTATCCAAAGTTGGTGGTCTAGCAATAATAAAATCTATCTTGACAAAAATAAAAACTCAAGTTTCAAAGAGAAGAACTGCTTAAATTTTCCCCCAAACAAAGTCACAGAATTAAAATAATACACACAAAAAAACAGATATCAGGAGTAACCTGAAAAAGGAAGTTTGGCAAGATTAAAAAAAACAAAAACACTTGGCCTCCTCAGAAGTCTCTGGAATTTGGAAAAGGTGACCATTATAGAAATCTAATTTTATTTTGGAGTGATGATAACTATCTTGTGCTTCCATTACTCAACCCATACAAATAGAGTAACACTTAGCATTAAGCTGCCCCTTTACAAACCACACACACAAACTTAATGTTAAGATGTTACTCATTATTTTTCCATGCGGGCCCAATATGCAAGAATAAGAAAAATACAGAAGAGGCGAAGGCAACTAGATAAACTCTTTAAAAAAAAATCAAACTACAGTGACAGGCAGAGGGGGGCCCGCCCCACCAGAGTTTCTGTGAAGAAAACACTGCAATTTAAAAAGCTTTCAGAAAGGGAGATGGGTGACACTGCATTTACAGTATACTGAAGTTTTGCTCCCTAAGCCTCCTTTAAGGTTTATTATGAAGGCACAGTCAGTGTACAAGTGTACTGGAATAAGTCTCAATGCTATTGTACCTCCTGTCCCCTTTTGTTTCTTCCTTTTTTCCATAGTGGCCATCAATCTCTCTGATGTTGTGATTTGCACAGTCTTATTTCTTACACTGTTACATCTCACTCTGCAGTCGTTCATTTATAGCAGCACACACCTCTTCTTGGTTTTGGTCTCAGGGGGCTCCAAGGCAGCCAGAATGGCCTCATCAAACACGTTCTTAAGCCCTCGCTGGTTGAAAAGTCCAGAAAATGAGATGCAGGTCAAAATCACGACATCTGTATTTTTCTAATGCCTTATTTTAAGAAGTCCCTTATAATACTGATATTAAATATGCAGTAATGACATTCAAAATACCTGTGTCAGGGCAGAGCACTCCACATATTTGACACCTTTGAGCTCTCGGGCCAGCTTCTCCCCGCTATCAGGGGCTAGGGGGCGCTGTTTGTTCTTTGCCAGTTTATCAATTGTGTTGCAGTCCTCTCTCAGGTCCATCTGTGTGCCCACTAACAGGAATGGTGTGCGTGGGCAGTGGTGTGTAATCTCAGGAACCCACTGGAGAAAATGGGCAAAGTATAAAATTCCAATTTTCTTTCTCCACTGTCATTTTTTTGGGGTTGGTTACCGAACATATTTTTGGTACCAATTAAGTGTATGTAAAACTGTCCACAAAAAGTCTTTATCTTGGAGACTTAAATCTTTAACCTGGCATTACCTGATTAAATTTACAATAAGACATTTTCCAGTATTTATGCTAAAAATAACTAAATGATTGCGAAAATAACATTCATCATGAATAACAATAAGAAAAACTGATCCGAACCCTAAATATCTGTCAGACTCATTCTGCAAACCAGTGCTCTGGCTTTATTACATTACAAAAGCCCAAATCATGTTTTCCTATTAGTTAAAAAAACAGTTTTTAAACTGACCTTCTCTTTGACGTTTTCAAATGATGAGGGAGAGACAACAGAGAAACATACGAGGAACACGTCTGTCTGTGGATAGCTGAGAGGACGCAGCCTGTCATAATCCTCCTGACCTAAGAACGACAATTAAAAGAGAAATGCAAAATTATTTTTTCCAATATGTCAATAAGTAACAGAGAAAAAAAGACAAATCAGAGTCTTTCAAGAGAAATTCTCATCACCTGCTGTGTCAAACAGGCCGAGTGTGTAGGGCTCTCCCCCAATCATCACTGTTACTGCATAATTGTCAAAAACCTATGAGCATGCACAAAGAAAAAAGTCAAATGAGATGACAAAAAGTATTTATGTTTCAATTTCACTGTTCTTCAGCTATGATGAAATAAAACAAAAAGACTATTAATGTGTTACAGAACTTTGAAACATCTTGATATGAAATCCTCTTACCGTTGGCACATATTCTGAGGGGAACTTGTTGGTTGTATAAGAGATGAGCAAGCAGGTCTTTCCCACTGCTCCATCTCCTACCACCACACATTTTATAGTCTGCATCTGCAGGGTGAAGAGAAAAAGGGAAACATCACAAAATTATTTGTTGAATTCACAAACCTTATTCCTAGATTCTGATCGAGAAAGTAACCAGAGCAACTCTTATATAAGCTAAAGCAGATTTTGCCTATGAATTTATAACAATGGGTAACATGCCCTATTTCTGATATATTTTCTTTCTTCTGTGCTGTTATTCCTACACATGCTCTGACTGATTAAATTACAGTAACACAACAATAAAGGGGTAGGACTAGATGAGTTTTATCAACTTAATCCTACACCCTTTCGAACAAAGTATGATTGTCTATGTTGCTACAGAGCTGTCTCTTTAATTTTTTCTGCCAATGCACATTGAATTTATTTTGTTTTTCTTTTAACCTGTTCGAATAAACAAATAAACTAAACTAAACTAGGAAACATAAACCAGACACCTTATTAAAAATTAAATTCTTCAAAAGTACTGTAGTAGCTACAGTTTTTATTGACTGTCTCTGAACAATTGTACATCTATACTTTGTTTATCAAAAACACTCACGTCTTTAAAAAGATTTGCCTTCTGGACAATCATTTACAAAGTAGCACATACAGTAAATATACTCACTCAACTATAACTAACAAAATACAAACTAAAACCTTGAATTATCGAGATCTGCTGCAAGATTACAATGTCTATGAAAGGGTTACTAATCTTTTTCTAATCAATACAACTCTTCAGGAAGCTTTAAGTCTTCTAATCTCTAACATAACTCTTCTGACAGATTTTTTTGGATTAAACAACTCAAATGTTTAAGAAACAAGAATGAGATAAGCTAAAAGTGATCAAGTCTTACACAACAACCTTGAAGTAAATTATACTGTGATAGAAATGTGCGACACTCAGGTTTTTAATCATAAAAATAAAACGAGAAATACCTGTCAATGTAGATTTTAAGGTGAAATGCACGTTTTTTTGGTCATTAATAATGTTGTAAATCTTTTCAATTGTGTTTCTTGTCATTTAAAAGGTGCAATCAGACTGTATTGGTGTTGTATCACATACTAATGCACTACAAAGGCCGACCAGCTCTCATGAAAGTGTTAAAGATTAAGTGTATTACGACTAATAAAGCAAAACAGTGTTTCTGTTGTTAAATGTTTAAGAGTGGATAAATGTACACAGAGGTTTCCCTGACTAAGTTGTTGAAAGTTAAACAAACCAGAAGGGGAAAAAACTCCTTTAAGTATCATTATGCTTGCTATTACATGTGCATTCATAAGATTATTGATGACAGTGAGTCACTTCCGCATAAGCTACATACCACAGAAATCCACGGCCTGTTAGCCAAGTGTGATTTAGAGGAGGATACAGACAAACACTTCCCCTAAATTAACCGCTCATCTGATTCACCGTGAGCTAAAAAACGACCGTAACTTTAATCAAACACATGAAAAGTAGGGGGTGCCACTTCCATTTAAACGAATACCTACAGCTAAAACAGTCCAAAATGGACTTAGTGATCGTGCTGGCTAGGATTTAGTTAGAAATACAAACTTTACCGTGTCTGCTAACAATAAGATCCTTTCCTCTAATTTAGCAACAGCTCAGTTTGTCATAAAAACTCACATAAACGCACGGATAGTTAAAATAACGAAACTTTACCAACCGCACTGATGGTAGCGACACTGGATTAAACCCTGTGGCAGAGAAACTTTAATTCTTTACTTTAAAAACGCTACGTATACTCTTCATTTGACCTTTAAATGATCGAAAAGACTTTACCGCATGTGTCCCGTAGTGTAATAAACCACAAAAAGTAATTTGAGACTTATTTTTACATATTTCTACTCACCGTTTTTCCTCTCACAGGTTAGGCGTTGGTTACATCCGGGTTTGAGGGTCGTATTCCTTTATGCGCAGCCGCAGTAGAGAGGCAACAGTATTCTGTATAGAAACAACACCGCCTGTTGGACAAGCCCACAAACTGAAGTCAGAGTCAAAATGGGTTTAGTGGCAGAACTTCTAAAAAATTATTTTGGTTTTGAGGTGGATCAGTGTTCCTTTTTTAAATGAAACTTTGGAAGATGTGATTTTTTATACCCTTTCATACAATGTTTTTGGCGTGACATAAAAAATGAGATATCTCTAAGTAATAATGATGAATTACATCTTTTTTATTTTTTTATTTGGATCATCTAACCCTGTCTGTTTCAGACACTATTAACATCATCAGACTGTTGGGTAAATATCAAATCCATTGTGTTAAATAGAGGAACTCTAAGCCCTACTTTCCTTGTTTAATTAATGATTTTAATAAAACCCAACATGGCAACCCAACAGGAAACTATTAAATTACTTTGGGAAGAAAGTTAAAACCCTATACAACAGAAAACTAATTAAAATTAAGAACAAGTCAAAGAAAAGTGTTATTGATTCATGTCCACAAATAAATACTTCAAAATAAATGTTTATGAACTTTTTTAAGTAACTTCTTTTTGAATGTTCATTTTACTTTTCACTGGGTTTCCATGCGCGTAGTTCCAAATACCACACTATCAGACTTATGAACATGGTATATTCCACATGAGAGTATGCTCTTTGCTTTTGTGATCATTCAATCCACTTCTGTTGTGTTGTTTATGTACTTCAGGTCATATTTTAATTATTTTTGATAAATTTATAAAATGTATAAACAATCTAATTCTGAGGCACACGATTACATCTTAGGGCAGTGGTTCTCAACTAGTCCCGCTCTGGGACCCACATTTTACCATGGTCCTTAAGTCGCGACCCACTTTTATAAAATTCAAACCAAGAAAATTTATTTCTTACAAGAAAAACCTTTAAAGTCTCAAATTGTTGACATAAATACAACTATTTTGTTGAGTAAAGTGCATTTCAGAGCACATGACCTGAGGATGAAACTACTAAAGTTGTGTATACAGAAAATATCAAATTGCACACAATGGAGACCAGCAAAATGAAAAAAAATGAATTATATGCATCTCTGCATTCAGAGCATATTCAGTGGAACCTGAGGAGGACCATGCAACAGTATGGACAAAAGTTAATAAACATCAAATTGCACAAAATAAAGACCATAAAAAACGTGTAATTTTACTGCATTCAGGCCACATTAATTAGAAACCGAGGAGGACCACGACATAATACGTGCCTTTTAATATAAGCTAGTTTTCAAAATAAGGCTATGTTCACACTGCAGGTCAATTCTGATTTTTTAACCATATGTGAGACATATCTGACTTTTTCATGTAAGTGTGAACAGTGCAATTCTGATTTTTTCAAATCTGACTCAGGCCTCTTTTGTATGTGGATATAAATCAGATATAAGCGACCACAGTGTGGACGCTTAGGCGCGTTCATCGGACCTATACGCCATCAATATGCAACAAATGCCACCATTGTTCAACAACACAAACAGGCACGGAGAGCAATTTGTGCTTTGTGCGCATGCAGGTCACTTCACGGACGCATTCCGTTCACATTAGATGCTGCATTCATTGTTGTATTGTGAACGACCGCACAAAAAGATCAGATTTAACAAAAAATCTGAATTGTGCACCATAACCTGCAGTATGAACATAGCATAAAAGACACGTCAAACATCAGAGTCGCATTAAATATTTGCTTTTTTGACCAGCTGTTCACGACCCGTCCAGAACGTGTCCGCGACCCACTTTTGGGTCGGGACCCACCAGTTGAGAACCATGGTCTTGGGGTTTTTTCCTTGTTATTAAGGGTACTTGTTTAACCTTATGCAGGGTTCTGCCCTAATGCACAGGAGAAATCATTCCCTCTTCACCTAATGCCTCTGAATTCAGCTAAAGATGGAGCCTGAATGTTGGATTTGGATGCATTAAATGATGGATCCTAAAATTTCAGCGCTTCCTCGAAATGCTTTTATTTTGAAAGGCAGAGCGGAAGTCCCGGTCTTCAGCTGCACTGCTGACTTTTTCAGCAGCGTCGCCTCTCTTTGTCAGAGGATCGACTTCCGTTTTCATGTTTGGTCCAGGTTTCTGGAATTTACTCTGTAGTGAGACTCTGGGCTGTCTGCTGCTTTGATAAACCGCAGTCTTAGTTTTGAAATTTGGCGGAGGAGCCAATCAAAAGTCATCCATTTCAGCCTGTTAAGAGTTTGATCCCGTCTTTCTGTTTTATCCTTGAAAAACACGACTGTTTACCTAGCTAGCTGGCTAGCATCAGCCAGCTGAGTTAAATCACCTAGCATGTTTCGGTACTTGAATGACGTTGATGACGACCCCTACATGATGTAAGTATTCATATTAGTTTCATTTTGTGCATATGTTATCTGTTTTTGTTTGTGAATAGTTTGGAGATGCATTAATGACGCGTTAAGTTGTATCCTCCAGTGTGTATTAAACAGGTACCTAACGTGTCTTGAGCCAGCTGTGGGGGCCTACAAAAGGGTCCACCATGTTGGATAGACAATAACAAAAAGAGCTGTCAGAGCTCAGCGGGACGTGATTAACCAATTAGTGCCTGTTTCCACTCCATTTATTAAGAATGCATATGCAGAAAGATGACAATGGTATACTAAAAATGTTTTCAAGGAGTCACAGGTGCATTCCCAAAACAGGAAAGAAAAAGGAAACGAACAGACAACTGAAACAATTTTTATCATAAAATGAAATCAATGAGCAAGAAATGAATGTTTTGTTCTGCAAAACTGAGAGGTATGCATGCATTTTTATTTCCTGAAACAAATTTGTGTAAAAAAAAAAAAGACATACCTCCTGACAGAGCACTTCAACTAGAAAAAATGTGGTAGATTCACAAACTAGTAATGTTTTTTTAAATCTTTTTTATTTTTATCTAAAGTGCTGATGCAGGATTAATTCTACTTAAAATCTTGAACTGATTTTTTTTGCTTTTGCTTCAGGGTATTTTACAAATGTAATTAATAGCTCAAGTGGTCAATTATCACCTTTTATAAGTTCATATTCTTCATACTAGGTTGAGGTTGTGATCAAGGTAGTAGATTGCTAATGGTTTATGATTTTATCCCAGTAACCTTTACATAATGTTGTTACAGTATAGTCCTTACATGAGAGGTGCATAATCTGAAAATGCCCCCTATTGCTTGTTAAAGCGGCTTTAAACAAACGAAAAACAAACATAGGTTGATTAAAGATAGAGATCAGGTTTGCACTTGTGTCCTGGCTGCATCAGGGTACAATTTTTTTGCAGTTTAGCCCATAAAGAGTCTGTTTTGTCATTCCGTCTGTAATGAAAGTGAAAATCCTCAAGTTTAAAATATGGAATCAATAAATTGTTGACAGCTGTATTGCAGTATATTGCTTATTTGTTACAAATAATCAGTTTTCTGTAGATCCAACAGAAAAAGCTGCAACCTTATGCATTATTTTACATTTTTCTGTGTTTTTTTATGATCAGACAACAAATAATCTATCCAAATTAAATAATTGGAACTGAAATGAAACCATCAGCCTTGTAAACCGACCATACTAAATGTGCAAAATTTGCCAGAACACTCATTGGGTCTTTCCACTCTGTTTTTGTAAAAATCAGAATTTTTTTTTTAGAAAATTAAGTCATATAAGTAACTTTGAGGTGGTATATTGTCATTTAAATCTTTTTAACTCATTTTTGTTCAGCCCATTTTTGATCTTAGACTTGGTTATTTGCTTCAGGTGGTTCAGAAAACTCCTTTTACGAATGGTGTGTGGGTTAAGAATTGCTTGACAATTATAGTTACAGCCACAATTAGGCAGTAATACATAATTTGCATCACCTCACTTTGAGAAGTATGAATATTTGAGTTGCGAAACTGATTTACACCCACTTTCATGTGGTTATCTGTCGAGCCTTGTACTTGACATCTTCCCTCTGCTTATCCATTCCTAACAGATCAGTGATGTTAATCATTCAGCTAAACTCAGTCACAAAACAGTCACAAGAAGTCAAGAAGTTTCAGTAAAATTTGTGATTTCTTCCAGGGATCCCTTTGCAGCTCACAGGCAGCAGATGAGGGATCTATTTGGACCATTTGGTATGGATCCATTCGCTCTCGCCCCCCAGATGCAACCACATCGTGCGCCACGCAGACAGGTAACTGCCCCCTCTATCTCTGAGCTATTTTATTGCTTTTTTAATTATATGTAATTTAACTGTGATAAAGCTGACAGTATTGCTAAGCTACAGAACATACAGAGATGTGCAAGTTATTCAACATGCTGACTAGTCAAGTCACAGTCAGTCCAGGAGCAGAGGCACTGACATCACAGAGACTGTCAGCTCTGCCAGTTTGGGAAACCTCTCTGCATGTCCTGTTAAAAGTCACTGACTACGTGCCAGTTTTGTTAGTGGCAGCTGTTGTGTACTGCCCCCTAAAAGAAAGCTTGCTGAGACCTGGCAACCCCTCACTACCAAAACACCTGTAGCTATTGTTTCACATTGAGACATGCTTTTAACTTCTAACACCATCCTGATAGCTGAATGTGAAATGGGTCCACCACAACAATAACAGACGCATTTGAGTCCAGTCTTAACAATCAATTATCTAATAGTAGATTCATTTTAAGTATCACTTGTATCTATCTACCCAGATTATTTTTAATACTTCTGAAGTTTTCATAATGTGCTTTTTTCCTCCAGGCTGGTCCACTGGCCCCATTTGGCATGATGGGAATGGTGAGTTTCTGTCTGTGTGGCCTCTTTTGAAAGGCAGTCAACAGTTTTTGGATTGAATTAACTTTTTGAATTAAGTAAAGGATTTGAATGAAGTTACTTTATAAATTAGATTGAATTTGCAGACTATACGATTAACGTGATGTGGTTAAAATAGGGGAAAAGATGAGTGAACAAAATGTAATTAAATCTATGAGGATATGATAGTTTTTATTTTTGAACTCAGACTAGTAGAATAGCCAGCACCTAATGGACAAAAGAAGAGCTTTTTTCCTGTGTTATCTGAGAAAGTTATAGCAAATATTTCTGTTTCGTAAAATGATTTTTTCATGCATCCCCTGGCCCTGAAAGTAGAGGGTGTAGGGCTCAAGGATAGTCTCAGCAGTAACTGACTTTCTGTACCTCCTGATGTTTCACCAATCTGAATTCTAATGCTCTCATATGATTTTATTTGTGCAGGGCAGAGGGTTTATGGACATGTTCGGCATGATGGGGGAAATGATGGGAAATATGGTGAGTTTTTACTTTTAAATATATATTAAGGATTAACCCTCATGAGTGAAACCTGACAGTGCCACCTCTGACTCACTGTTGACTTTTTTTTCCCTCTTAGGAAAGAATGTCCGGTTCCCCAAACTGTCAGACGTTTTCCTCCTCAACAGTGATCTCCTACTCTTCCTTAGACGTAGGGGCTCCCAAAGTTTACCAGCAGACCAGTGAAACAAGAACAGGCCCTGGAGGGGTGAGATGAATTGACGGCTGTTAAAATGCTTCTAGTTCATGCTGGGGGGGTTTTGGTTACTTCCACATAAGTAGACCTGGAGAGCAAGCCTGACTGCACATGCTGCCGTCACAGTTTGTTCATCCAGGCATGTCTGTGGCGTTCAAGCCTCATTAACATTTGAAAGCCCATGTAACTGTAGTGACTATACATAGATGAATCATGTACAGTACAAATATCATTGTGTTTGTACAAACATTTACAACTGAGTTCATGTGAAGTGCAGATCATCCTGCTTGTTTTAGTAAACTGGATGTTGCTTCACTTTAGATCCGAGAGACGCGTCAGTCGATGAGGGATAGCGAGAGCGGATTTGAGCGTCTGGCCATCGGCCACCACATTGGGGAACGTGCACACATAATGGAGCGTTCACGAAATCGCCGAACTGGAGACCGTGAGGAGCGACAAGACTTCATTAATCTTGATGAGAGTGAGTGTTTTTGACTCTCTACTGTCTGATATTTGCAGACTAACCACAGGGGGCACAGAGTTTTCACAGCTTGACAAGTAAGGACAGTGATGTTAAAGGTGCTGCAGTGATGAGATGATTGTAACTTCTTCCACAAGGTGAGGCCGCTGCGTTCGATGAGGAGTGGAGGTGTCAGGCAGGCAGATACATTCCCCCGAATGCTCGGGCACTGGACTACAGTCGAGATCGACGTGCAGGAAGCCAGCAGCTGGCTCTTACTGCCCCTCCAAGCTCGACATCCCCGCCAGGCCATCGGCACGAGTCCCCCAGACACCGCCAGCCCCAACCTCGCCCACGCTATGACTGGTGAAAGGTAAGATCCCCAGGTCTGATTTAATCAAGAACAAACCAAAAAAGTACACTTAAGGATCTGGTATTCAATTTTGAAAGACTATTATGGATAAATGTATAAATACACAATAAGAGGCTTTTGAGAGAGGATGAGATGGCTACAGTTTTTACTTTGCACTTGCAAAAAGGTTGAGTTTGATGTTTCCTTAATTATGTTTTTATTTTATTTTCCTGGAGAGCTTTTCTTTTGTTTAAATTTGGTATTACTTCTTATACAGTTAATCAGTTTTAATAGGCATTTATTGTAGTAAGACATTCTCAAGAGCTGACGGTTTTAAAATATTATAACAGGGCCACTGCTAGCCTTGTAGTTTAAGTGTGCATCCCATACATGGAGGATATGCCTCAAGCAGATGGCCCGGGTTTGATTCCAGTCTGTGGCTCCTTTCTCACCCACACTAAGGCTTGGCACTATTCGATTCACGATTTTCTTCATATCAAGCTGCAGTGCAACATTCACAATGTGTACGGTAACATTTACAAATCAAAACATAAAAGCTATTACTTTAATGCAAGGATGAAAACCAAAGGTAAGAATTGCGGATGGAAAGCCAATCCTTACATTTAAAGAAAATGGAGTCATCCCTAGAGGTGATGTGCTCAAGACACTACCTGCACCACAAAGACTTGGTGGTTCAACCAGAGGGGAGCATGAGTTCATATCCCCCTGCAGCATTGTTGATTCGTAGTGGGTTTAGAGAATTGCAGCTGATTATGATCTTAATGTGCTCATGTGGCGCTATAGGCCTTGTTATAGAGACATGGGCTTTGATGTTGGAAAATCTTTTAAATAAATGTAAAATAAGTCATTTTGTACTTTTATATAGCATTACTGTTTGTAAGATTAAAATAATGTGTTTTACTTCAATAATAAGTGGCACAATTTACACCAGTGTATTCTCTCCAATGGCACAATTTACTCCGCAAGTTGTGCCACAAGACCACTTATTTTTCTAAAGCTATATTTCTCAAACAGTTTATTTTTGATCCAAAGTGATTGTTCCCAATGATGCACCACATCCTAAACTACATGTACATATTTTAGTTGGAAGTATGACTGTCATCCCCTTGCTTTAAAGATGCTTTAAATAAAAACTGGCACAACTCACCCCACTTTTCTGCCCTTTTGTGTTATAGCAGTCGTTATCTCCCGGTGTCTTCAGCTGCTGTTGTCATACAGACTTACTCTGGCAATGGGCCTGAGACTCAAGTTGAAAAGACTTTTCACCAGACTTCCTCGTCATGCACTCCTCATACAAGTGCCTGTGGTGTTTTTTCAAGTGCCAGAAGAAGTTGGTTATGTTTCCACATGATGTAGCAACTTTAGCGTGACAGATTTTGCACAGTACCTGTTTCTTGTGTTCTTGTCTGCAGCCTCAAACCCAAAATACTCCTAAATGAACACCATGCCAGTTTTTCTTGCCGATTAAATCACCTAACTCAGCTTGTGGTTGCACTGAAGCCGTTTAAAAAACATGTTCACGTTTCAAAACACGGAGAGCAGATAAAACCAAATGGTTAATGTGACCTGTCAATGAGTAGCATATGTTGCCTCTGATTGGTGAGTTTGGCAGGACGTTAGGGAGACAGCATTAATATGTAGAATAATTGACACAACAGATCCTGGATCAGTAAGGAGCGCAGCAAAGGAAAAAAAAAACACACAGCTTAAGCGATCACATGATCGTGCTGTCTGAAATTACAATTTCAATCAGAAAACAATAAACCGTTCAGCCCTAGCCCACACTCTCTCCTATCTCTTTCCCCACTTAACCTAATGTCCTGTCCTTGCAAATAAAGGCACAGAAACCCAAAATAAAATCAATAGTAGAAGATAATTTTCACGATGGTACACTGGGTAAAATATTTGCACTTCCCTTACACACTCCAAATTAAAAGTGACTTGCAGGTTTGTTGAGATTGTTTGTTATCTCACTGATGAATGTAAATTTTGTTTCATGTCTTGTGTGGGAGCTGTAGTTATAATTACAACGGTTGTTGATTCAGTTCTCAGCCACGACTCTGTGCCACAGGCTGCCCCTACACGCCGCACCCTCACTTTTTTTATAATCAACAAACTTTATAATCGTATTTAAATATAAGCTAAAATAGTTGCATTATAATGTGAATGCAAAGGGGATATCATGTGTCATTCATTTGTCGCACTTTAATTTCTCAAGTCCTTGTAGTTATAATAAGCTGCGCCCTTATTGGTCAGGATTTCCACAGGCTGTTTGTGATTGTTGTTTTGCCTTCCTGACAGATGGAAAGCACTGAATCTCTGTTAATTCCACCTTTAATTTTCTGTCTCATTGAACACATTGGACTTGACTCTCCCTGCAGGTGTCACACCTATGGGACCAGATGGAAGGAGTTGAGGGAAAATCTCCCCAATGCTGTGAACAACGCTTGAGACGGAAGTTGATGATTGTCTCGACTGCCCGTTGTAAATGTTTAATTTGACTGGACTGTCTTTACATGAGTATACACACACACACATATACACACACACAAAGAACAACCAAACCACATACAAGTAAATAGTTACATTTGCAGCTCTGTATCTCCACAAAACACGCACACACATATACACACACATACACACACAAACACAGCAGCACCCTTGTGGGAGCATGGGTCTGACTACACTCACTTTATGTATACTCATTCTAAAAACTTGACATGTGTTTCTTCCCACTGCACTCAAGTGCTCCAGTATACAGTACATCTGCTGTACAGTCCATTTTATGTTTGTGAAGGCACTAGTGTGTCAGTGAATTGAATTGTATACTGTTAACTAATTAATCTAACTAAATAAAAGTTCATTAAACATTGTTAGATAATTAGAAAATGAGTCTTCTTTGTGGCTGTTTCCAACTACATGTCTTAATGTGTTTTCAAATACCAAATTGCACTTTTTATCAAAGGCACGTTTTGAAGAAGTTTGTATTTGACTGAATCCTTTTACACCTCCGGGATTGTTTCCAGAAGTATTTGTTCTCAGCAGCTATAGTGTGCACAAATCTCTGATTCTGAATTCCTCCTTATGTTCAAATGTCTGTACTTGTGTGCTTCCTCTTCCCTTCATCACCCTGTCTGCAGGTCATGTGACTTTCAGATAGAGCACACAAGTGGAGCAGCCAATAAAGACCATACTCTTGACAAACTGCTTCCCTAGCAAGCTCCCTTTCTGCCATCCTCTGTGTTATCTAGCTGTATCTTCAATTACATCCAGGACTATTTTTAAATGCACGTCCCCCTCCTCCAGCATGCACCGCTCCTGTCACCTGTCTACCTATCTTCTTGTCCGCTTTGATCCCCATCACAAGATCTCTCATGTCCTCTGTCAAGGCAGCTCTCTTCGTGCATCTGTCTGAGCTCTTCTGTACCCTCTTCTTCACATCTTTGTTTGGAGTTTGTCTGCTTGTCAACCACATCTAAAGTTTGCACGTGTTCGTCTCTATTTTTTCCCTTTCCTTTCCTTTCAGCCTGTTATGTCATTGTACGCAGGGTGACGGCACAGCCTGAAAATACCAGCCACCGCAAATTAGCATTTCATGTTAGCAGTTTGCTGGGACAATATTTGCACACATGTCATGAGTGATTTGGTGGTTAGTTAGCAAATAAACAATGTACAGTCTGCAAGCAAATGGCATGATTTGCAGGGAGGGAGGATGACTTTGCTTGATGCAAATGTTGGAAAATGATTGGAATAAAAACAGGTCAAGTGCAAATCACAGCACGTCCTTCTCAGCTTGTCCTCTGACCTTTATTTTTCCAGCATCCTTACACAACAAAACAAATACATGTAACCCCTGTTATCTTACTCCATCCTCCTTCACACCCTCCTCTCTGTTACGTCCCCTCCTCTCCTCTTTGCATCTTCCAATGACTCACACGCTCCCCCTCCCCCTTGTGTGTCATATGTTTTCACCCCATCCCCTCCCACCACCCTGTCTCTCCATCGCTGCCTCTCATTTACCCACAATTGCTCACTTTTCTCTGCCAGGCTTCCGACACGCTGCAGGTAACGCTTAAAAAGATTGATCCTTTTTTTTCATTACCCCTCCATTCCTATAAGCCTCCTCCATCTTCTCGCCCCCCCCCCCCTCTTCTGCTCCTCTCCTTCTGCTCGTGTTTTCTCACCCCCTCATCTCTCCACCGGTCCATGTTTTCTGTCACTGACTTAAAGAGCAGAGAGCGTAGAGCTGGGTTGTGATCTGGAACAGGTTGACAGTAGATGCATAAGTAGGTATGTGTTATTAGATTTTGATTTATATTATCTTTGCTGTGTGGGTGTTGTTGTGTTTGTGTGTGTGCCAGCATTTCCGTGAGAGTACCTCTTTCACTAATATCCATCCAAGGCTGCGTCACCATCATCACAGTGTGAGTGCATGTGAGGAAGAGTATGTGGAGTGTTCGTGATTCATGTTAAAATAAACCAATAACGCTGCCTTAGCTGTGGTGAAATTGAATACTTCGATAATTTAACGCGCATCTGTCTCTCTCTGTGTCGAGTGTTTATTCTGTGCTCGCCCTTTTTTCTTACAAAATGAAATCAAGCAAATTGCAGAAATTTGTGTCCATGAATGCAGAAGAGTGGAGATGATAATTTTTTTCCTCAACAGGATGTCTATCGTAAATATTGTTGCCAGGGAGATCCTGGACTCCAGGGGAAACCCAACTGTGGAAGTCGATCTGCATACTGCCAAAGGTTAGAAAATTAACATGTTGTCAGATTAACACTTTTAATCTGATTATGGATTCAGTTGTGTACCATTCTTAATCCAAACCCTTGTATTTGCAAAAGCTTACCCTCACCTGTCACCTCTTCAATCTTCACCCCTTCTACCCTCCATTTCAGGTCTGTTCAGGGCTGCAGTGCCCAGTGGAGCATCTACTGGTATCTATGAGGCTCTGGAGCTCCGAGATGGAGACAAAACCCGCTACAAGGGCAAAGGTGAACACTTAAACAGACACATTTGTCTTTCTCAACATATTTTCCTTCTTCCTCCTCACTGCGTCACAGACATTTCCCTCATATCGCATTAATGTAGATAGATAATACTGGTTTTTAATGGCTCGACGTATCTGCTCCTGTCCTTCTGTCTTAGGTGTGACCAAAGCTGTAAATCACATTAATGACACCCTGGGGCCTGCCCTCATCCAGTCTGTGAGTAGCAGTCCAGGATCTCAACAATGTTAGTCAGAAACACTTAAAAGCATTGAGTGAAGACTGATCTTGTTTTACTTTCAGGGGATCAGTGTATTGGAGCAAGGGAAACTGGACAACACCATGATAGAAATGGACGGCACTGAAAACAAATGTAAGTAAGCCTCATTGATGACAAATGTGAAGTGACATGTTTCTGCAGCAGAGGCTATAAACTGCACATGTGTTATTGTTGCTATCATTGTTTTTCCCACAGCTAAGTTTGGAGCTAATGCTATTCTTGGAGTGTCATTGGCTATCTGCAAAGCTGGTGCAGCAGAGAAAGGTGTCCCCTTGTACCGTCACATTGCTGATCTGGCAGGAAACAGCGAGTTGGTGCTTCCAGTCCCTGTGAGTCCTTGTCTAAAAATGCATTTCTTCCTAACGCAAAAGCCCATTATCGTCTTGTCTTACTTATCTGTTCCTTATTTAGGCTTTTAATGTGATCAATGGAGGCTCACATGCTGGTAACAGACTGGCAATGCAGGAGTTCATGGTACTTCCTGTAGGGGCGGAGTCTTTCCGTGATGCTCTGCGTGTGGGGGCAGAGCTCTACCAGACACTGAGAGGTGTCATCAAGGAGAAATATGGTCAGGATGCAACAAATGTTGGAGATGAGGGAGGGTTTGCCCCAAATATTCAAGAGAACAGTGAAGGTAAGCTCATGTAGTATAATCACTCCAATCTTTTATTTCTTGAAATGTGCCCTCACATCTGTTATCTGCCCCTCTGTCCTTCAGCCCTGGAGCTGATAAAAACAGCCATCGAGAAAGCTGGCTTCACAGACAAAGTGGTGATAGGGATGGATGTGGCTGCGTCAGAGTTTTTCATCGAGGGGAAGTATGACCTGGATTTTAAGTCTCCGCCCAATGCAGCCCGCAACATCAGCGGTGATGAGCTGGCAAGCATCTACCAGGGTTTCATTAACAACTACCCAGGTGTGAATTATGATTTTGCCCTGAAGCAACTGGATCAGAAGTGTTTTTCCTCACTCTTCTAATACTGGTGTAGTCCCATAGGGCACATGTTGCAGAAAACAGATTTTAAACTTTATACGTATTTTTTGTTGAGCCAAGTGAACAGATTTGACAATACGGGTTCCATAAATCCTGATTTTGAGTATAACAGCAGTGGGGGATTTTATTTTTTCAGGTTTTCAGATGGGGTACAACCGTACCATAAAAGAAAAATGCACTCTAGTGTTTCTGTTGAAAAGCACTTTGAACTTGGTATCATGTAGACATGCAAAAATCGCAGAAAATGTTCATATTTAAAATTGAAAGAGTCCAGTTCAAGTCAAATTGTTATGCAACTCAAAACAGTGGACGAAATTAGAAAAAAAAAACTAAAAATATCAATCTAATGCTGCATATTAATGTTATTCCTAAATATCACACTTGAGGTCATGCTGTTGTACTGATTATCAGCACGACCTCTAACCCAATTATCCACAACAGCTCTCCCTCTGGTATGGTATTGCATGTTTAAATAAAAGGAATGTATCAAATACTGACCTTCATTCACATGCGCAGCAGACACCATCACTTTCCGACTGAACTAATACCAATTAATGAGCCTACCAGCTTATTTTTCACATTTCTACAATTGCCATATATGTTTCACTGCTTCTATGACAGAGAAACTGAAAGAACAAGAGCGCCTGATGTCTCCACAGCCCGCTCTCTCCTCCTGACACTTGTGCCTGTTAAAGAGGTTTTAATTATGCGCTACGGTGCACATTTGGCAAGCAGGGACCTACTCTGATGTGGCTCTTTACCCTGTCAATGGTGTGCTTCCTGCTTGTGTGGGCAAGTGCGTGTGTGTGCAGCTGTGTGTAATGTGAGTGCCTTTTTAAGACATTACTCCCATTAGAGCCATTATTGCCAATGTCAATGGTGCTCCAGTTCTACTTGTAGGTGAGGAATGAAAAAAAAATGCCATTCCCAAGCAGGTCATATTGAAAGACGACAGCTGAAAAAACATACCTTTTCTCTTTTCCACAGTGGTCTCTATTGAAGATCCTTTTGATCAGGATGACTGGCCAGCTTGGTCACAGTTCACAGCCTCTGTGGGCATTCAGGTAAGACACATTTTCCTTGTTATCTAAAGTCAATTGGTTCAGCTGCTCTGCCAAGAGGTACTCTAGCATTTGAGTATTGTACTTTACTCTATTAGGAAAACATTGAAGCTGCTGAGGTTAAGATATCTTGACTTTTAGTGGCTAGAATGGCTGTGAAATGCTGTCCTGAAGTATTGGCCACTCAGTAGCACCTTCTCCCTCCTGGTAGACACCAACATCACCAAACTATAAACTCAGACATAAGACTGATCTGGGTTGTAACCTAGGCAGAGCTGTCCTATCATATGATTGGATTAAGTTTTAAATAAGAGATAAACAGATATACAGTTCTGCAATAAGAGAAACAACATATTATAACGTAGACTTGTTGCTTACAGTGAGTTAGAAAATGCACCTCAGTCTGTCTATAACTTTATTTTCTAAATTATGCAGGTGGTTGGAGATGATCTGACCGTCACTAACCCACGCAGGATACAACGAGCAGTGGAGGACAAGGCCTGCAACTGTCTGCTGCTAAAGGTCAACCAGATTGGCTCTGTAACAGAGGCCATCAAGGCGTGAGTTGAATTTGTATGTATACATCGCACGTGTGTGTGTGTATAAATGCATGCAATAAATTTGTACCCTCTCCCTGCCTCTCAGGTGTAAGCTTGCCCAGGAGAACGGCTGGGGTGTGATGGTGAGCCACCGCTCAGGAGAAACAGAGGACACTTTTATAGCTGATCTGGTGGTTGGTCTCTGCACTGGACAGGTAATTTACATTTGTGCCATTGCAACATAAAGAAGCAGCTCACATACTGACTCGTACTTGAAACTCCACTGCAAAGGTTCACTAATAACAAGAAGATTATTTCTTATTTGCAAAGAAAACTATACATATAAATCTAGAATGTAGCCATTATGATGGATATTAACATTAAACAAAAACAAGATGTCAACTCCAAAATACTGTTGGTAATACTAGGGTTTGTCTCCCAACAGATCAAGACTGGGGCACCATGTCGATCAGAGCGACTGGCAAAATACAATCAGCTCATGAGGTGAGTATTGATAGCTTCCACGCAACTTTTCACCACTTTTGCAGTTCTCTTCTGCTCCCCCTCTTTTTTTCATCTTCTGTTATCTTCCTCCGTGTTTATCTGCTTGCTCTGCCTTTCTCTCTGTTCTTTTCTCTGCTTCCTCTTCCTTTCAGGATTGAGGAAGAGTTGGGTGACCAGGCCCGCTTTGCTGGGCACAATTTCCGCAACCCCAGCGCCCTCTAAAACTCTCGCTCCATCACAAATAAGAAAGCATACATCTATAAATCATGCATACATACATACAAACAAACCATGTTATATTCCCTTGATGAGTACACAGTAATATATCATCTGTTTTAGCAGAACAAAAAAATCAAATACACTCTGAAAAGCATTAAGACCAATTAGTTTTCATGTAACCTAAAAGCAGTGCAATTGCAACATATTTACCTGACTTAAGCAAGAAATAAACATAATTAATCGCAGAAAACTGCAGCAAATACTGAACAAAGCAGACGAGCACTTTCCCTGATGAACTTGTGAGTTAGTTTCTTCTCCCGGATCTTCTGATGGTCTCACTACAGAGGTGTTTTCTGATCTTTTGTGCCCTGTTGTTTCCTCTTCCTACTCTTCCTCATGTTGTTTGTAATGTGAACCCTCAGCAGCTTGCAACAACATTGTGTGTGTGCGTTATTTTGTGTGACAGGTTGAGCTTAATAAAGAACTGGATAGACATTAACTTAAGTCCAAGCTTTCTGTGTGTTTGTTAAAGTGGGATGCAATGTAAAATATATAAAAATTGAAGCATAAAATAAATCATTTGACATTAAACTGGAATACCACATTAGTAGCTTCTCAAACTATTTTGACAATTATTTACATTTGAAGAGGATGTGGAACAGAAAAAAAGGATAGTTGTACTATGTATAAATGAAAATCTCTCAGCACAAGCAGAAAAGTGATAAAATTATATTTATGAAATAAATGGAGCAATGTAATGTTTAGTATACATAGTAGGCCTACTGACTACCTAGGGTGGGGTGGGGGGAGGGATCCTTGATGATCCTAAAATATACATAAATATTTTCTCTGCTTTGTTTTCTCTTATAAGTTATCACTATCATAGTAAAACTAAAACTGACAGGTTAAATAAAAAGATGTTCAGGTTTTCTTTCTTGAAATAATGGGAAGTCCGTCAGAGGCCCAAATGCACAATAGGAGAGGGTGGGGAAAGATGAGCCATTTTTCATATTTCAGATCACTACATCAATTCAATCATAGTTTTGTCTCTAACTAGTGTATCTGCATATATTTCAAGATGTTGTGCATCCCGGCAAACCTTAAAAATTAGTGTAAACATAACTGTTTTGATAATGTAGCATGCCAAAAAATAGTGGTCCTCTATGGTCAATTTACCCCATGTATGGGGTAAGTTGACCATAGGAGCGGGGTAAGTTGAGCCGTATCTCTACTATCCTCCCACTCTCCACCCCAGCCCTCCCTCACCTTCTCTCTCCCTAAATAACAGTCACTTCTTTACATGTATGTTTATTTTTATCTTTTATATACTATTCAGCAGGTACAATATTCTTTTATTATCATTGCATATAACTGCTAAAAAGCTGTTTTGTAAAAAGTCATTTTAACATGAGAATGTCTTTAAGTGATTCAGAAGATTCACAGCTGTATTTTTGAGAAGAAAAAGTAAAACATTTCATCAGACTCCTTTACTTTCTCAGTTGAGCCACTGGTTCAACTTACCCTAGAACTACTATTATGACTTTATTAGTCCTCTAAGCTAAAATGGTGGACTTTTATGCTCAGTTTTTGACCTCATGTTGTAGCTCATAGATACCACAATTGATGTATAAAACAAATTGAAAATGATCTTTTTTGGTCTGAACACAATTCTAATAAAACTTATGACGGACTAAATTCACTTTCAAGAGTAAAAAATGTTTTTTTTTTTTAAATAAATGTCTAACCCCTTCACCGATGTGCTTCTAACCTTCACAGACTCCATGAATTGATGCCCATCTCCTAAATATTTGGTCACATGATCAATTTCTTTTACCATTTCCAAAACACAGGGGGTGGCTCAACTTACCCTTTGGCTCAACTTACCCCACTCTCCCCTACTGACAATACTGATACTATATTACCAAATACAAATGGTTTATATATATATAGCTAAGTAAATATAACTTTTTGTCTTGTGATTATTTATTTCTGATTTAATGATTGTAAAGCTAAGTCTTTGTTTAAAGCTTTAGAGATGGGACCCAATATATTTTAATGGGCCCAGAATTCCCAGCAAAGACCTAGATTTAATTATATTCCACATATAAAATATCAAACACTGAAGTTCTACTATTCGTTTAATTTTCCATAGTTTTATTAGGCTAATTTCATGGCATTATATTGGTATTAAAGAACCTCAAACTCGATGATAAACTAGCCTCAATGGACTAAAGGTACTTCACATTGTCGCACACATCGGTCAGCGGCTCCACGCGCCACCGGTCGTCTTTGAACGAGCCGAGCAGCAGAGGGAGCACGAGCGCCTCGAGGCCTCGGTTCCAGTTACGCCGGGCTGCTGCTGCTGCTGCTACTGATGATGATGAAGGAAGGAAGGAAGGCAGGCTGGAGCCGCGCAGGCGCAACGGGTACAGTCTCCGGCCCGGTTGCCATGGTTACCACACAATAGGAGACGGGACAGGGGGCTGCGTGAAGGGAAGAGAAAGAGAGAGGTAGAGAGAGCAAGAGGAGAGGAGAGAGCGAACGGAGTGGAGGGTAGGAGGAGGAGGAGGAGGTCTGCAGAGCCGCTTGACTGGACACACCGCTGCAAGCTTTTCACAGACAGACAGAAGGACAGACAGACAGACAGGCAGACAGACAGATACCATACTATAGGCCACAGTTAAGTTTATCATATTTTCATTGTTGAGTTATTCCACATGACTTGAAGCCTTCTTTGTTAAGTGGCTAATATTGTCTTTTAAGCACATGTGTCTATCTTTTCGTCCACCTTTCTGCTTGTTTTTGCGCTGAACTAAGAAGAGCCTTTATAAACAAAAAAAACCTCATGGACCTTCCCTCCTCCTCCTCCTCCTCCTTTCCTCTCTTCATGAAAAACCAAAGAGCCAGTTCTTCAGTTTGAAGCAGAGCCTTTCCATACAGTAAAGGTGACTCTGGAGGGACTAGGCAACAGAGACAGAGAGAGACCCTCCCTCTTGATCCCCTCCCTCTTCAGAGTTTTGGCCCTCTCTCTGCGCCTCTCTTCCTCCTTCTCCTCCTCCTCTCCTCCTCCTCCTCCTTCTTTAGCCTCCCCCTCTCTCCACATGCAAATCACGCCCTCTCCTCTCTCCCTTTCTCGCACCCGACGTGCATCCCTCTCTCTGGCTCACCCCTCCGCTAAAAAAATTGTGACTGTAAGACCGGAGAGGGGGTATAAAAAAAAGTGCAAGTCGTCTTAGAAGAAGAGGGGGAGTAGGTAGGGTGGGAGAGGGGGGGCAAAAAAAGAAAAAGGGGGCGAAAGGGGGTGGGGAAGAGGCGAGGGTACGCATCAATTTGTAGTCTTCAGTTGGCACCCCTGTTTTTTCCTTTCCAGCAACGAATAGAAAGAGATTTTCTTCTGCATTATTGTTATGATCGGAACCCGCTGCAATATGAGCCTGCACAAGCCTCTGTTGACAGACGCCTGGGCCGTGAGGTGTGCGTGTCAGCGTGCAACATAAAACGACAAAACAGAGGGAGAGAAAGGAAAGGAAAGGGAGAGTGAGAGTGAGAGCACGCATCGCTGGATATCATAGGTAAGGAGAAGGGAAAAATGGATGCTTATGCTCTGTGTTTGGAGGTATTCCTGCTGGCCACGTTCATGCTCTCCCTCCCATTTTTTCCTTTGTGCGTTAATTATCATTATACTCCGGCGTTATGGCTGATCATGCCCCGGTGAATTAATGTTAGTGGTGTGCACGACGCGCAACCACATTCCAGCAAGGAGAGAGGGAGGGAGAGCCGGTGCGAAATGCCATGATTCGCCATTCCATATCATCTTTCTTTTTTAAGATGTGCAGCGTCTACAAACAGCACTGCTGCTGCTGTTGCTGCTGCTGCTGCTGCACAGGCATCCATTCTGATTGTGAAACATGTATGTGCTGCTGAACACGACTCCCCCTGTGCCGCCGGGCTTCGTCTGAGGCAGGCTAATAGAGAGCAGCTTTTGGCCGGACTCCTCTGCATGTGTATCAATAACATTCGCAGGCAAGAAGAAAGCAGAAGAAAGAGTCGTTGCAGTGCCCCGCTCGCCGGTGATGTAAGCAGAGCAACTGTATGCTGCTGCTTTGCATCACATGCAGGGGGACCATTTGTTGATAATGCATGTGACTCTGCGTGTTTGTGCGTGCAGAAGGGCTGCGATATTACTGCTGATGTGTTTGCTTTCTATTTGTTTACTGACCATGTCTGAGAATCTGCCAGTGGACCACACTTAGGCCAGTGGCTGCCACCTGTAACTGAGATGCATTATGTATACAGACACCTACCTTACACTCATGTTTTCCATTCATGTGTAACAAATGTGTTGGTTAATTAGGTTAAACATGCATTCACTATTATAAATCCATGTGTCATCTTGTGCTATTATTCATGATAAGTGTGAGCAGTGGAGATTTTACTCTTTAGACTGATTGAGTCAGTCACTGCAGCATGTACTAATAATTAATGCATAGCCATGTGTAGTGGAGCTGTTACAGGATTTACAGGAGCTTTTCTGCTTTGAATCAAACACCAGCACACACAAAAAATGTGTAGCTACTTTATTTAATGGATGCATAGGAGAGTGTGTCTGCTAGCTTCTCTGCCAAATATATCCTTTTTCATCTAGTGGTGTGCACTATTTATAACCTCATTCAATATACATGAGCTATTTTTTTTCATCGCAGAGGTTCATGAATGAACAGATTAGACAAACACAAAGTGGTCCTCGTGTTGTCATTCACACCAAATGGCTAAATGGTCCTGACATTGTACATTTCCCTAAAGGCTGGCTGGTTGGATAAATAAGCAGGATTCTCTCAGCCATAAACAGGTCATCTGGGTTAACCACAAGTGGCTGTGGATTTGGGGCCTTGTGGTGAAGGTGGAAAGAGGGGGGTGTGGTTCAATATTGCCAAGATGTATGCTTGAGTCCTCTGCAGATTCACTCCCTAAATGCAGAGCAACAACGAGCGCTTAAAAAAACAAACAAACAAACAAAAAACTTATAATTGTATTTTGCCAATTATAAAAAAGCCAAACCAGTGTGTTCTGTTGGTTTTTCTGTTACTGTTCAAGTGGGTTTTTGCTGCCTTAGTGGAGACTGAAAGCCAGCAGATAAGTCATCAGAGGGCAGTGAAAAGCAGTGGGGCCAAAAGTGAGTGAACCATGCTGGAATTTTAAACATTGTGACTGCATTTGTGGTTTTGCAGTGAGACCTTAGTATGATGTCTTGTACTTTAAAAAAAGGGGTGAGAGGCCTTCTCATTTTTAGCTTATTGTATTTGGAACCACTTATTTGTGTTGATTTATGAAAGTTGGATAGGGTTATAGTGTGCTGTGTGCATTTTATTTTACTTAAATATGTTTATTGTGAAGTAGTTTGATGACACTAAAAGCTAAAAAATGTATGTGCAATACATGCAAGGGTCTAATGAAGGAAAAGCGTTGAAAAAAAGTAAAATTGATGGACTCAAGGCAAACAACTGGTTTCCTTGTTTGCTTAAAATCTTACGTAGATGGTTGTGTCAAATAAAGTATGAGTATCATGGTACTTTTGCGTTCATATATGATCTTGTGTTCTTTGAAAAAAATCCAATCTGCTCTAGGATTATCATGCAGATGTAGACTGAATAATGTCTTCTTTGTTTATCTTCCTTTTTTTTAATACAGGTTTTGGCTAGCTCCCATGGTGTAACACACAGCCAAGTACATAAGCAACAGAATCCAGTTCAATGCCTGTAATGGCTTGTGTTGTAAAATGGATGTTTTAAAGAAGAAACAATGAAAACACGGACACACAAAGAATCGGTATGAACCAGATCTACGTTCATTTGTCACTGTGATGCAAAGGTTTTCTGCTTATTCTAACAGTTTATTTAGCAGTTTAATGGAATAACCAGTCAAATGAATCATAGTATGCCATAATATTTAAAAATAACCACAACAGCTAAGACGTTAATTGTTTGGTTGTGAGATTCCATGTTTATATTTTACTCCTGTCCCTGTTTCTCAGCCTTCTCTCTGTTTTGTCCTGTTCTTTTTTACCTCCCTCTTTATTCTCCATTTGTCTTTGCTCCTGGTTCATCCCACCTTCAATTGAATTAACTTGAAATTCCTCTGGTTTGCATCAACTCATTGTTTTAACTCAATTTCCACATCTTTGTATTTATGTGACTGTCTTGTTCAATGCTCCTTTGATCCTCCCTGCTTATTGCTACTTTTCTGCTGGACTTTGGGTTTTGCAGATGCCCATGCGCAGTGGGCGACGGCGGGGGGCAAGTGAGGAGAGAAGGGGTAGGCGCCCAAACCCCAGCCCCACTCGACCTGAGCGCAGCGACAGACAGACGGTTAGAGCTTACCTTTTTTTTTTTCTCTTTCCTATTGTCGTCATTTCAGCCACGGGCTTATATATGTATGCAAGTAAAAGTCATGAAGAATAAAGAGCTATCTCTCTGTATTGGATTTTGTGCGTATGTGTGCTTTGTGTGTATGAGTCATCAGTATGATTGCCACAGATATACCCTTGCAGTGTCAGTAATGTTCAATATTGTGTTTTACAGCTTAGCACTTTGAAATCTTTGATGTTTGACATGGCTGCTGCGTGTGCTTGTGAGGATAAAAGTGAGGCTTTGTTCTAAAAACAGTTGTGAGCCTGCATGGGATTCAAAGGCATCACTACTGAATTAAAAGTCTTGTGTTGTTTTAGCAAAGAGGTGCTGGTGAGGAATTGGCTGGAAATCGCTTCAGTCGCAGATCACAAGGGCATGATTCATCTGAGAGTGAGGGGGAGGAACTTGTGTCTCCTCCAAAGAGGCAGAAAGTTCAGGTTTGTGTTACATTTCATCAACCTGTTATATAAAGACTAATTATAAAATCTCTGATTCAGCTAAATCATCAAAAAGGTGCTGTCTAAGCTGCTCATTGTTAATTTTTGTCTTTATAGACAGCCAATATTACCACAGTGATAAAATCTTGATTTGTTCCTCATCCTCAAATTATCTTGTCTCGTCAGGATTCGGCCTCCACCCCAAATCCTCCAACATCAACACACTCGACTGACAGCTCAGCTCCTTCGAATGTCCCACCTCCAACTTCAGTTGCCAGCCAATCTCGTGAGAGTGACAATGAAGATGGCCAATCCCAAGGCAGTAGGAGTTCAGTCGTAGGGAGCCTGGCCAATAGCAGTAGCAGTCTGAGCAGTGGGCGGGATATAGACCAGGACAATCGTTCCTCATCCCCAAGTCTCTCTGCTTCCCCTCTGGGTAGCTTGGACTCTGATTCCGATGGCCCCGACTCACCAAAGCAAGGAGAGAGGGAACGAGAGAAAGGCAAGGAGGGAGGAACGAGCAAAGTAGCAGGAGAGGATAGGCGCGCACTGAGAGAAGGAAGAGGAGGGGAGGAGTCCTGTGGAGAAGGAGAAAAGCGAGAGGTGGATGCACGTATTGAAGACTGTCCGTCTCTCAAGCCCCCCTCTGCTCCTTGCTCTTCCTCGGGTCTGACTCCCTCTCTGCGTGGAGCGGGGGATTCATCAAATGAAAGCAATAGTGGGAGAAAGTCTTACTTTTCCCTGGACTCTAAACTGATGTGCAAAGTCGAGTATGGTGGACCACCAGGTGTTGACGGTGGACTTAGTGGCAACAGAATGAATTCCAAAGCCAGTTCACAGTGTGTGACAAAGGCAGCTATCTCAGGAGGAGAATTTTCCCATAACAGCCCCAATATTCCCCACCCTTTACCCCCTCCTCTTCCTCCTCCACCTGCTCTAAAGCCGTTGGAGCTTGGCGGACCAAACCTGCCTGCTGAGGTTAAGTCAGAAAGAGACAAAATAGAAAAGGTAGATAAAATCCAGGACAAGTCCAATCCTCCATCTCTGTTGCCTCAGACAAGCCCCCTTCCACATTCCCAGTCCCAGCCTCAAACCCAACCCTCCACCCACCCTCACCACTACAGCTCCACTAGCTGGCAGGGTGGCACAGCAACTGGTTGCCAAGGGAGCTGGGGTTACACCCGTTACCCTGGAAACCACCACGCACACCAACCACAGCACCAGCCGCCTGTGCAGCAACAGCAACTTCCCTCTGTGTACAACCCCTCGTCCTCTCGTCACTCCTCCTCCCATCCCCCTTACCTCCCCCATCCCCACCCCCACAGGGAATACCTTCCCAGGTACGCTGGAGGGGGAGGGGACAGAGAGAGGGGGACTGCAGGAGAGAGGGAAAGGGGGAGGGAGATCAACAGGGAGTTTTCTGCTCCCATTGGCAACAGCAGCAACAATAGTAGCGGGAGTAATAGCAATAGTGCCTGTGGTGGGATGAGTGGGTCCAACAGCATCCAAGGAAGAGAATTTGGGGGTCTGTCAGTGGGTCAGAACCGGGACTTCCAAGGTTCTGGCAGGGATGGACCTAACTGTGGCCCAGAAAGAAGAGACTTTGGTCCAGCTTTCAGAGACAGAGAGCGAGAAAGGGACAGGGACCGGGATACAGGAAGGGATTTTCCTCTGCCAAACCAAAACCAGAGTAGAGACTATGGCCCCAATGGAACTGGAGGGGGGCATCCAAGAGACAAAGACGGGGGCAGATGGGGTGAATTTGGGGGCCAGACTAGAGAGGTAGTAAGCACCAGTAATCCAAACAACAACTCCATTCCTCCAAGTTCAACCAGTGGGCTGCCTGTGACCCCAATGATAAACCGAGACCCTCCTGCATCACCCCAAAACAACCCCAGTCACACCCCCCATTCCTCCCAGCCTCCTCATCCCCACCCGCATCCTGCAAACCCATCCAACCGAGAGTTCCCTCCACCTATGGATCAGGCACAAACCCCTTCCTCTGGTGCAGACCACTTTCACAGAGAGTATCCTCCTACTGGAGGGAAAGACTTTCCTGCTGGGGCACCACCTCCCACTGGCACAAATCGAGAGTACCTTAGCCCCCCAGGAGTGACACCAAACCTAGGGCGAGAGTATTCAGGGCCTGGAGGAAACAATCATCCTCACCCAAATCATGGCCACTACCAATCTGGGTCCAGAGACAGGGAGAGAGACCCAAACCTGCGAGATCCCGCTTTGTACCAAAACCGTGGAGGCCCAAATCAACCTCCTGCATTATCTCCTTCTTCCTCCTCTAGCCATCATGGACACCCTCCAAATGCTCCTTATCCCCCTCCACCACCTCCTCTACCCCCTTCTCAAACATCCCATTCCCAACCACCCCAGTCAAATATGGCACCCACTGTACGCCCACCACACTACCAAACCTCCTCCCAGACACCTCCAACACCTCTATCCCCTTTACCAAGCCCATCCACCAATCAGATGGGGAGCTTCTCATCTTTTCCCCCTGGCTCTTCCTCTGGGCCAAACATGCCACTTCCTGGTCCAGGTGTGTCCTCCAGCTGTTCACCTGGATGTCGCCCCCCTCCTTTCCATGGCACTTTGAACAGCCACCCTCCCTTCAGTGGAACATTCCACCCCAATGGAAACAGCGGCGGTAACATGACAAACAGCAATAGCAACAGTAGCGCTCCCACCAACAGCAATACCAACTCGCAATCACTCTCGCCTCAAAATGTCTCCAAAGGACCCCCGCCTCTAAGTAACCCGGCCAACAACAGCATTTCAACCCCAGCCTCTGGTACTTCACACACTGGTGGAGATGGACCTATAGATGCAGCCCCACCTCCCACACCTGTTATCAAAGAGGAGCCAATAGAAGACAGGGAGGAGACTGAAAGTCCACCTCCGGTGTTGAGAAGCCCATCTCCTGAACCCAAACCTGTAGACATTCCCATTCACGCCAGCCAATCAGCAAGGTAAAGTCAAATTACATCATCATCATCTCATTAGTGGTGTGTCACTCTGTCCAGTCCCTCTTTATACGATCATATGTAATTAACAGGAAGTGTAATAGTTATAATAGCCACTCTTACCCTTGATGGTTGTCGTAATGGTACACTACACTGCTGTGTCACTCATGTCTAGGTTTCACAAGGTCCTTGACCGTGGCAGCGGTAACTCCTGTGCCCGTAGTGATGTCCTTTTTGTCCCATTGGATGGCTCCAAACTGTGGAAGAAGAGGAATGAGGTTATCGAAAGGGCACGTAGGGAGGTGGAGCAACGGGCCAGAGACCTAAGAGAAAAAGAAAGAGAACGAGAAAGGGAGCGTGAGCGGGAGAGGGAGCTGGATCGGCATCTACAGGTGTGCACATTTGAGTGTGATAATAATGATTGATTTAATGGATTTAATGTCAGCTGAATTAATCAATTTGATGGGGGGGAAGTAAAGCAGATCAGAGAGATGTGATTTATTATCTCTAACTGTTTTTATCTGCAGCAGCAGAAGGATGTCAACGCTGCTGGAGGAGGTCGCCAGGGCTCCTCTCTCTTTTTTCCCTCCTCGACTTCTATCATCCTTGATCCTTCGTCTTCTTCCTCCTCTTCTGTCGGGAACTCCGTCTCTCACCCTCCCCCTCATCCTCAGCATCACCCCTCACACCCGCATGCACACCTTCCTCCGACACATCATCTCCATCCAAGCCTTGCTCACTCCATCCCACACTCCCTTCTCTTGCCATCGATGGCTGGGGCCTCAGCAGTGGTTGGCCCTCAAGGAGCTCTGGGAATAGGTTTGGGAGGTCCATATCTAGGCCCTGACACCCCAGCATTGAGGACCCTGAGCGAGTATGCCCGACCGCATGCCATGTCACCACTTGGGGCGGCAAGTCGTGCTCAGGCACACCACCCTCAAGTTCACCATGGCCATCCACATGTCCATCCCTCATTTTTCCTCCCCCAGTTCCAAAATCATGGTTTAGCCCACCCGCATCACTTACCTACTGATGCAGCTACAGCAGCAGCTATTTTGGGCTTTTTGTATGGTGGCAGCCTGGAAGGTGGTCCAGGTGTAGGAGGCCACCCTGGGGTAGCAGGAGGCCCAATACCTGGAGGGCTTGGAGGTGCAGGGTTGGGAGGAGTTGGATTTCCTCATGCCATGGCAGCACATCGAGACCGAATCAAGCCAGGGTTTGAATTTAAGAGTGATGATCGAGTCTATCCACCTGGATCAATACCTGATCCTACAGCTCTTGCCTTGGCTCACTCTCATTCTCATGCCCATGCTAATGCTCATGCTCATGCTCATGCACACTCCTTGCTCCTTGGAGGAGGTGGAGCAGGAGCAAATGAGGTTGCACTCTACGGCACTCCTCCTCCCCCAGCACCACCTGGCCCCCCACACCTTCAGAATCCAACTCTGGCTCCTGTAACTCGTCCCCCCAACCCTCCTGCCCCTCAGCCCCTGTCCAATCCACCTCCCTCATCTCTTCTCCCACCTTCTCTCCCCTCTCACCCATCATCTGCCCCCACAGCCCCACCAGGCCCTGCTGCTCCACCGCCAGCTCCTCCTCCTCCCCAACCTGCCCCACCAACCTCCAATGCCTCCTCACTCCATCACCCAGTCCCTCATTCTTCTTTTCCCAGCTCTCTGTCTTCTCATCTGCCGCCCGCCCCTGCCCCAGCCGCTCCCCCTGAACCCTACCCCACACCTACCCGCTCTCCTGCCTCCTTTGAGCGGGAGAGGAGTGGGGAAAGAGAGCGGGAGAGGGAGAGAGACAGAGCACCTTTGCCTGCTTTTGGGGAAAGAGAGCGAGAAAGAGAGAGGGAGAGAGAAAGGGGAGGAAGTGGTGGAGGTGGAGGAGGAGGGGGAAGTGGAGGAGGAACAGGTGGAGGAGGAGGAGGAGGAGAAAATCTGGGGCGTCTACAGATGTTAAACGTGACCCCCCATCATCACCAGCATTCTCACATCCACTCACATCTTCACCTGCACCAGCAAGACACAGGTATCCACTGCAACTAACACAGTTACACTTATGTGCATCTCCTATATAACAATGCAGTCAATATTATGTTGTGTTTGAGTGACCTCAGAAGTCAGATGACCGAGGTGGGAATGATGTAACACCCGAGTTACCAGCATTTCAGTTACCAAGTCAGAAAAAAGCTAAATCGGAGGTGGAAACAAGATGGCTACATCTACGAAAGTGATTTTAGCGCTTGTTATTTTAGTTATTTTACATCATTTTAGCACCCCTTTTTGTCGATGTAGCCATCTTGTTTCTGCTTCCGATTTAGCTTTTTTCCGACTTGGTGACTGAAACGCTGGTATCTAGGGTGTGACGTTATTCCCAGCTCGGACATTTGACTTCCAAGGTGACTCGAACACAGCGTTATTTTTAAAACTCAAAGAATTGAAGATTTTATGATGAAAAATGGAAGAACAGGACTTAAAGCAGTATTGAGGAGTACATAAACCTCCATTGTTCTCAAACCTTTACTCAGAGACACCCAGGTAGACTGTTGTGGTGTTGTCTACTGTCTACTCCTCTGCTAAAGGAGATTACTTTGCCCTTTCTTACATATTTGTGATAGATTTTTAGACTGGGTAGAGAAGTGAGAAAGCAGGACTAGATAGACTGTTACAACTATGATCTAAGACTCTGATTTGTCACCGTTTAAAACCCTTGCTTTGACTTTTATTGAATATATCCTGTATTTCCTATTACATCACTGGCATCCAGCGACGGGCGGGGTTCACCCCCTGATGGACCCGTTGGCATCGGGGTCTCCTTTGGCACGTCTCCCCTACCCAGGAGCCACACTAGGCACCCCCATCCTGGCTCACCCCCTCACTGACAGCGAGGTGCTTCGCCAACAGCTGTTCGGTGAGGAGAAGGCTCCTCGTCCATGTACTTGTTCAGTTTTTTTTTCTCTAAAAACTCCACTGTGTTTTAAGTTTATAATGATTGAATGTGATGATGATGACTGACCAGAGTGCTCTCACCCACTTTTGTGTTCCTCAATCAGGCGCTCCTTTCCGTGACCTGCCCCAGCCAGCCTCCCTCACTGGTCCAATGTCAGCAGCCCATCAGCTCCAGGCCATGCAGCAGGCCCAGAGCGCGGAGTTGCAGATCCAGAGACTGGCCCTGGAACAACAGTGGATCCATCACCATCACCACCACTCTCTTACCCAGGATGAGTATTACAGGTACAAAAAATTTGGAAAAAAGTCCATCACAACTTACATTTCGCAGTTGTGGGAATGTTCACTCGTTATCATATCACAAATCTCTGTATTCAAAGTTGAAGTTCATAAAAAGATTGAGAGAATCATTTCACACAATTTCATTTCACTTCCTCAAACTGATCAGCCACTGAAAAGAACAGATGGTAAAAATTTGGAAAGACACTGGGGCCATATTTCAAAGTAAAACAACACATATTTGAATAAATGACAGCAGAAAGTTGCTGAAAGCTCAGATTACTTATGGAGATGTTTTATGGTGATCACAAAATTCATAGGAACAGAATAGATTTGTACCAAACAATGTAAACTAGCATAGGAAGAGCCAGATTTTTATCTTCTGATGTTAGCTTACAAATGGCTAAAGGCTAACATTAGCTTGTGTCTGATGAGTCAGTAGGATATCACATATGTTGCTTTAACTATAGACTGTATGGACATAAACTCTGTCCCAGTGATGCCACCTGTCACCCAAAGATTGCAGTCAACATATTTGAAATTTTGACCCCATTTCACTCATGGAAACAGTGACGTGAAGACCAAAACTGCGCAAAGTATCTAGAAAGTTTTTTGCACTTCCTCATTGGCTTCATGTTCAAGAACCCTGTGACTTCAAGTGGAAGAAAAGCATCAATCTGCAAGAATCTTACCTCAACCTTTGCTGTAGCCTTTGCCTGAGCTTGATTTTGGTCTCTGGTTTCTGTTTTAACTTTTTCAGTCACCTGAAGAAAGAAAGTGACAAGACCCTGTGAGGGAGGGGCAAGACAAAGGGCAGCATGGAGAAAACTGAGGGAGAATATGTGCAAAACTGACCACGAAACGTAGGCACTGAAAAACAATGAAGGAACAAAGACTCAAAACAAAAGCCTACGGACAAATGGATGGGAATCCGCTTAAAAATACAGGATTTTGAAGGTGTCACTGAAGAGGGAGAAGAGCGTAAAAATGTGGCGCACAGTCCCTGCTAACTGCTCCACATGGAGGGTCAAGACTTCAGCGCTTCCCTGCAAAATGTTCTCAAACTTCAATCCTGTTTTGTATTGTGCTCTGTACAGTATATTAGACGTGGGCGGCAATAGTGAAGTACAGTATGTGTAAAATACTTGATGCCAGAAGGAATGTGTACATGAGTCTCTTTTATGTCATTGCATGTAGCTAGGCGCTTATTCTGATCCGGTGGAACTTTTCTGTTCTATTTTTAGTAATCATCCCCTCTTTTGTATCTGAGGGGCGTTCAATATGCATGAGACCAGCAATTTAGTGTTATGTTATGATCAACTGTATTGTTATGATTAATGTTGTCTGTTTGTTGATAATGATATAATTATATATACAGTACATATTATTTGTATTATTTTTTTACATTTTCATGGTATGGCGGTCAGTTTTTATTTTTATTTTTTATTTTAAATTTACCTTGTGAAACAAGATGCAAATGAAGGAAAAAAAATCTGGAAATAAATTATAATCTTTTTTTTGCTAGTCCCCCGTGTGTTCATGTGTGCACTATTTTCCCCCTCTCACATACATTCAGAGTATTTGCCCCGTCTTTGTTTTATACAAGTCACTCATGCACAAAGCATATCAAATTCCTCACTCTCCTCCCCCTCCCCCCTTTTTTCTCTCCCTCTCCCTGACTCCCCCTCTTTTTCCTCCTCGTCAGTCTGTCCCTCCTCCTCCTCCTCCTCCCCTCTTGGTGAGTGTAGCTAATAGGAGACACATGGGATGAGTGTGAGACATGGGAGTTGAGTCGCTCCAGTGAACAGCAGCCACCCTGTAGAGCGAGCATTCCTTACTGCACCGTAAAAATGAAAAGAAGAAAAAATATAACAAGAGAGAGAGAAATGAAAAGGAGAAAGAAAGGAGGAGCTACGAGAGTGTGATTTACAGTCCCTGCTAGAGGCTCAGGACTATGTGTATGTGTGTGTGTGCTTTTTTTACTGTGTCTGGCTGGAGGAATCTCCTTCAAACAGACATGGATCAGTGACTGCAGTCTTCACCTTGCACGCTAAATTACTACTAGCTTCAAGATTTGGCCACACATAGATCCATCTTCTCAAAACTTAGCATTACCACTCTCCATTTGTATCTTTACAATACACTCTGTCTGTTTAAAATCTCTGACAGCCATCTCTGGATGCCTTAACTCTGCCCCTTTTTAATTGTGCCATGTTCTAAACCCTCTTCTCTTCCTGGTCTGCTGATAAGTGATGGCCCCGTCTCTTAGGTACACCTCAGTTAGGACAGGGATATTAAATGTGTGAGTTATGCTACGGTTAGTGAAATATATACTGTCTGGAACATGCTTGTGAGTTGGTATGTAGGCTATGAGTCATTAAAGTCACCTTGAATAACTGTGTCAACATAATATAAAGTATCATCTTGCAGGACAAATGTGAAGCTCCCATCCAGTGACATCACATCTGGGGATATTCTTAGCACTTCATCCGTCCTATCTCAGGGTGAATTAGGATGCTGTGAAAGGTGCAAATGAAAGACAAAAGACATGGTTTTAATATTACATTTCACACAGGCCTAGAATTACAACCATAATTGTATTCAGGGATTTTAAAAGAAAGGTTACTATTTGGAAAAAAAAACTTGTAAATGTCGGTCAAATACTTATTTGGTAAAAATGACCTCCAACCCCTTTGTTTGGACTGTTTGGTTCATCATGATAATGTAGTTATGTTCATAAATCACTGGATTTACCCAAGTGCATTCTTAAGGCTTATTCAATTGATTGTATTGTAAATGGTGATAATCAATAAGAATACTCTCTTGGTTTTTCATTTGATAGCAACAAGAGTAAATTAACAAAACAAGGCAACAAATTAAAACCCATGTTTTATTGAGTTATTGAGGCTCTTCATTCTTTTAGACTCCCCCGTGTTTGCGCAACACTGCCATAAGCAAATCCAAAGAGCCATTATTAAAAGAGATAAAAACATCATTGAGACATTTAAAAAAAGCTGAAAATTTGTTACATCAACATCAAAATATTAATTTGTTTGATTATTCTGTTAAGTCCCAAGAAACTATTAAATATGCTCAATAGTGAAAACATTTTCTGCATCTTTTTTATCACCTTAATTGCACTTCACTTTTTTTTACTCCATTTTGTGGAAATCTTCAAACTGAATTGTCATTAGAGCACTTGTGGTCATTTTGTGGCGTAAAAACACTCAATGAGGTGGATTGCGTTACCCCACAACCCCTCTCCCTATATTTTCTGGGTGTAAAATCTGAGCTCAGAGTGACCATCTACTCCTAAGGGTTTAACAACATGATCTGAAGCTAAACGATTCAGCATTACTGTACACCACATATAAGATTTCAAAGAGATACGGAGTCATCATTTAGATTATTCACTCTGCACACTTGTCGTAAGTGGTTTACCGCACAGCAAGCCTACAAGTTCATAAGAGCTCTCAGGAAATATGTCTCCAATAGATGAGTGCACCTTGACATAATGATCCATTTCACTAAGAAACTCTACAATATAAGCCATGCTGTCCTCCACAGTCATTTCCAGCATCTCAAGAATGTTTTTCACAAACTAGCACATTTAAAGTGGAACTGAGGAAAGACTCAAATAGTGAGCTGAAAAAGAGCTGAAAAGACTATTGAAATGTATGTAATTCAATACTCTGTTATAAACAACAAAAGGATAATAATGCTTTAAACTGAACTAAACTGAAGTACTTTCACTCTAGTGTAAACCACTGATCTTTACTCTCTGTTATGACAGAAGACATTAGTTGTATCACTACTTATGAATTCAAAATCCCCCATCAGACTCAAGGCTCTATGCGTTTCAGATCCCAACAACCTAACACAACCCCTTTAACCCTTTGTCGATACTTGACAATAACTGACAGGATGGCCTGTCATTAATAACAGAATGAGCTATCTGACACAGCAGCATCCAAGGATTGTTGTTCATACAGGCGCATTTAAAAAGATGAGAACGTCCCATATAAGTTATTTTTCCCCCAAAACTTACAGAGCTAGAAGAGGAAATCATCTTTTGTGACTTAAAATAACTTACATTTCTCTTATCATATGGATATTTTATACCAAACAGAATGAACAAGCCTGCCTGATGAGCTACTTTTCCTTGACAAATATTGACATGTGTAGTTTTATATGTGAAATAGATTTTTTTACCTGTCCAAATGAGCTATCTAGCCTGTCAGGTTGAACTACCTTTAAAAAATTGGCTTATCTGCTATGAGAAACAACTTGCCTGCCTTTTTGAATAAACTTTGTGTCTCTTGTCGTAAAGAGTATTTGATTGCAATATCTTTCTTTCTCCTCTTTGTACTTATTTTCTTTATCTTAACTACTATTCCAAACCTGACAAAAACAGTGCAGAAGTCCTGGACAGTCTATTAGTAAGTATTAAAGTATGAAAGCTCAACATGCACTGTAATGTCCCAGGCAGGGCTAGTTTCAAATACAGTATCCAATTGTCCACGACTGTGAAGTTCCTAGTAACCCAAAAAGTAGGAAAGGTTAAGTATTTAGCTGCCAAAAATGGGAATACTCAATTGTACATGAGGCTTACATGAGGTTTCATACTTGAGGCAGTACATGCCCAGTACATTACACACTACAGTCTAAAATCTGCCAAAAACTGATGGATGGGAATGTGTGACTGTGAAGCTGGTGCTGCCACCTAGTGGAATGCTGTGCAGCCTCTTTTTATACCCACAAGCATAGATGTGAAGATAGAGTACCAACATTTTATTCTGAATTCAGTGTCCATAATTTATTCATAAAAATTCTGTGTGTGTTTTTACAAACAGCGCTACATACACAAGTTCACAAGGCCTAATGTGGTCCATGCACATCAACTAACAACTAAAGACAGAGAACAGACATTACATTCTTTGTTCGGAGCTAATACTAAAATAATGAATGACATACAGTAAAAACAAGCACCTATTGGACGTCAGTGTAACTTTGAGGTTCATACAGGCATGTTTTCTCTCTTGTGCACACTTCTTATGTGCCTGCCCAGGGACTCCATCCATTTAAAGGACTTGCCACAATAATTACAAATAAAGTGTTTCCCTTCGCTGTGTATGGTCTGGTGTCTATTCAGAGCACTTGTAGTGATAAAAGTCTTCCTGCATATTTCACATATGTATGGCCTTTCTCCCGTGTGTGTCCTGATGTGAGCAGCGAGGTGGGAGCAGTTATTGAAGCGCTTTTCACACACAGAGCAGCAGTATGGTTTCTCTCTGCCCTCCTCTCCACTGCTGCTGTTGTTGTTATTGATGTTGTGGTTTGGGTGGAAGGGTAAGATGGGATCGTGGAGACTTGTTCTCAGACTGGAAGGAGATGAGATGAAGTCCTTGATGTCTGATTCGAGGCTTTCCAGTTGCTGTGCCGCATCGTGTCCCATCCAAAAATCCCTATGGCTCTTCAGATGCTCCTTCTTCACCAGTGAGGGCTCTGGGTGCTCCTGCTCCATGCTGCTGCCCTCATCCTCCTCACAATGCGGGGGCTCTGGAGCTTCAACCTCAGGGTTTGACTGATGATGCTGTGGTGGAGGAGGAGGGTGGTGGTGATGATGGCTGTGCTGCTGTAGCTGGGCTCCGATGCATGTCTCCAGCTCGGGCTCTATGAATAAAACACAAATACTCAGATCAATTAAATGCTGTTTGCTATAAAAACAAATGAAAAAAGATTATGTTTGGCTGTTTGGAGATTCCATTCAAACAAACCTTGTTTTAGAAGCTTCAGTTGCATCCTTAGTCGACTGATTTCCAGATCTTTGGAGCGAAAAATCTCCTCTTTGTACTCGGCTATTGTCTTTTCGACAGCTCCGAAAATCTCATCTGCCACTGCCATCAGTCTGTCGTTGAGAAAAGCTTTTAGTGACAGCATTTTAGATGTTCCTCGGTGGGAGATTAATTTCATACACTCGACGTTACGCTAGGAGACGTATTCTTACGAGTCCCTGAACGTCACGCTTCGATTGTAAACACGGACGTAAAAGCGAGCGACGCTGCGGGTTCACCACGGGGAACTAGCGCCAACTGCTGGTGCGGGGGTGTAAAGGCAAGACCCCTCCTTAAGAATGGGAGGACTGCACACAATGCAGCTCAGTCACACAATGGGCCATGTGTTGTTCTCTAATATTATCAGCTTAAAGAACATTTCCACTTTTTGAGAGCTGAAACCTACCTTTTAAATCTGGCTTTCAATATGGAATAATTTCTTTTTAAACTTGGACAACATTATTTCCATTGTTAACTCCATTTAGTTAATTAATTGTCCTTTTTTTTTTAAACTTTGATTGTTTTTTGATTTTATTCCCTACCCTCAAATATTCAATTAATTAAATATATTATTTTTTTATTTACATTTAAACATTATTTACATTTATACATTAATATTTTCGTTTATATAAAAAATAATTGTAATAGTAATGGTTACTCACACTCAAACATTAAAATTATTTTTAGGTAAGTAAGGGTTGGCTTATGGGGTTTGTTCTCAGAGGAGGGTTGGTTTGGGTGAATTTTTTAGTTCTATTGTTGTTATTGAAGTTGTATACTGTTTAGGAAAAAAATTTTAATAAATACATTGTTTTAAAACATTAAATGTATCAATTATTTTTCTATTTAGTTGTTTAGTCCTTTATCTCTTTCTTGTCCTCTTTATTTTCTGTGTGTTCTTTTGTGAATCCCTTTGGGCTGCATGATTCTATGTAAGAAAGGCGCTGTATAACCTAAACTGAGTTTAAGTTGGTTGAAAATAAGCAAACTGCTACTTTGTCAAGTAATGATAAAATCCAGTATCTTTGGTATTTATGTTTTATATAATATACATCAAACGTGTGCCTGAGCAGGTCTTTTTGGAACTATGATGGAATGTTTTTACTACACAACATTATACAGATTAAAGCTTTAAATCTCAATTTTATATGCTTTCTTTGCCTGTTTATTTTGTGTGTTTAGTCTGTGTAATGTGTACTTTTGACACTAAAACCCAGGATGTTGGAAGCCCAGGGGTTAGGGGCTCAAGTCCTGCCGCCCACTGGCCCCATACTATGAAAACCAGCCTGGAAGCTGGAGAGGTGCCAGTTCACATTCTGGGCGCCCTTGAGTAGGCACCGAACTCCAGCGCTCAGGTTGCTCCTTGATGAAGAAACCCTCCTCAGTCTGCATCTTTCCATTTCTGCATGTTCATATGGTCTTGTTTATGCATGTTTGAGTGTGTTTTGGACTATTTGTGTAAAAGCAGGGGTTTATAAAGTACATAAAACTTAAAGATAAATAAATACATAAATCATGTTTGCTTTCACTTCTTGTCCTGTAATTGAAAACGAAACATTTTAGTTCTAATGGCCATCAGGTGTGTGTTACACCAGTTTTTAAAGGAATTCATGCCAGCCTGCCCTTGTCTCCTGCACATTCATACAGTACTGTTTTCACAGCTAGCTGTTCAGTCATGTGGCTGTTTCAACACAGTAAGAATATAAAAAAACAAAGACACTGGGACAGACAAACATTAGGTGAAAGCCAGGAATTTGCTAGAGCCAGACAAGAGATTAGGATAGAAATATAAAATGCATGATATAATCTGCTTTGTTTGTCAAAGAAAAATAACATATTTAGTCCCCTTTAAAAGCCGGATCACTTCCACTGTTACCTGCCTATGACTGGTTTATTCTTTCCTATGACTCTCTCTAATGCCAAACATAACACAAAATCAACTTTTAAGAAAAAGTTTGAAAATCCAGCTCTTGACAAAAAGAGACGAATATCTAAGCATCCATACACCAAATTTAGAAATCATTTCCATTTGCATTTAGTTTTTTTCCTCATGACCAATTTCAACTGTTAGAAAATTACAGTCTGAGTATTTAGATTAAGTAAGAGACTAAAGTGAGAATAAAACCTTATTGCATCCATTGACTTTACATACACAGTGGTTGCAATAAGTATAGGTTGTTGTGATGAAAATCATCCTTCTACCATTTTACTAGCTACTTCTATTTTCCATCAGAGAAGGTGTTAGTTTTCCTCAGACACATGAATCATTCTCTGTCATGTCTGCTTCGGTTTGGGATAAAAATAGCTGCCAAGGTCTTCTCTGCATGGCATTGTCTTAGCAGTGGTTCACTTCCGTAATGTGATACCCTCTCCTTGCCATCCTAAGACTACCACCAGAGTTATGATCACACTGCAGACTGAGCACTGCTGGTACAAGTTAGTACCCTAAATATGAGCAATAAGAGGGTGAATATTACAGCATAGTACTCGTCAAAAAAAGAAGGAAAAGACACCAATACCATCTCTAAACCGTTTATTATAATGTTACCTTACAGCCTTCCCAACCTTCTTCCCATGGCCATGACACAGTATGATGAACATGTAATGGACACTCCCCACTGGGCAGAACAGCCAATGAGAGAGTGGATCATGCACGTCTACAGGGAGGTAAAAGCCACAGCACATCATAATTACACGAAAGAGACAAAGATATTAAAAAGACAAATAAATTTGATTGACAAGAGCTGTGACACTGTTTACAGAAAAAAAAGTTTCGTAAACATTTCAAGTAAAGGCGTGGACTGGTCGCCCACCTCAAGGTGTAATAGTCATGAGTCTTTACAGCTTGAGAACTCAGTGTTGAAGTTAGTACGCACACAGGCTATTCTTGGTGGACTCAACTCTTTTACAGTGCAGTACAGTGCAAGTGTCAACCTGTCCCTTTCTTTTCATGTCATATCTACCACCTAAGAAATTAAGGAAAAGGAGGGAATGACGTCATTACACGAATACTTTGAATAAGGAGGGGAAGAGGACTAAGTGCTGAGAATTAGGGAGGATGGAGTGGGATCGTCTGAATGGAGCTGGCCACTAATCTGGACTTGGTCTCACTGTCGCTTTCAAGGTGGTTTTATGCCTTGGCGTTGATGATTTCGATGAACTCCGGCTTGAGGGAGGCACCGCCAACAAGGAAACCGTCAACGTCCTTCTGGGAGGCGAGCTCTTTACAGGTAGCACCAGTCACAGAACCTAAGAAGTGGAAGAGCACGTTTATAGGAGCCAGATAGCAAAAAATCTAAACTTTCACACACAAACTTTGATTCTTCAAGCTGACTGACCTCCGTAGATGATCCTGACAGAGTTGGCCACAGCCTCAGACACGTTCGTCTTCAGCCAGACCCTCAGCTTGTCATGAACCTCCTGGGCCTGAGTTATCACACAGGGAACATTTGCATTGTGAGTGGTTTGAAAGGAGATTGCAGTTATCGTTCGCTGTGGGGACTTGTGTTTACCTGCTGTGGGGAAGCAGTCTTGCCGGTACCGATGGCCCACACAGGCTCGTAGGCGAGCACAACCTTGCTCCAGTCCTTTACATTGTCTGTGACAGAGGTGTGTGATAAGATTAGAATTTCACAAGTTGTCCTATTTGCATTACAATGTTAAGACTCTCTCCCGTGCACATAAACCTAGGGGTCAGTTACCTGCGATGAACTTGGTCTGAGCGTAGACAACCTTCTCGGTGGTCCCACCCTCCCTCTCGTCCAGCTTCTCACCGATACAGGCAATGACACCCAAACCACTCTCCAGAGCGTGGGCTGTCTTCTGACCAATGAGCTAAAATCAAACAGCAGAAGAATTCAGTGAGTGAGAGTATGCAGGGGAACTACAGTATGTGGTGTTTCATGTGTTTTTCTTATTTATGTAAAAGGATGCAACTCTGGATCATGTTTTAACATTGTTTCAAACATGATCAAGTTTAATTCATCATCCACAAGTACCTCATCACTCTCTCCAAAGACGTGGCGCCTCTCAGAGTGTCCCAGGATCACCCAGTTCACACCACAGTCCTTGATCATCGCAGGGCTGAAGGAGGATAATCAAACATGAATGAATTTCCTCTCCATGCTTTCGCTTTTATTTGCTTATTATCATCAAACTCTTTCTTCTCATGACATACCTGATCTCCCCAGTGAAGGCACCCTTGGGAACTTTGTAGCAGTTCTGAGCTGCCACCCCAAACTTGGAGTCCAGCTTAGTCCTGGCAAAATCCAGGTAGATTGATGGGGCACCGCACACAACCTCTGTGAGCAGAGAAAAAAACAAAGCTGGTTATGCTTTTGTGAATCGCAAAGAGATACTTCCAGATACAAACATTTCTGCCTAAGTTCTTAAACACCAATAATTTGGAAATAAGAAGTGCAAGTTAAGATAAGTATTTACTCTTTTGTGCAGTCTATATGGAAAATTTGACCACTATAAGAACTCAAATATAATGTTTAAAGTCCTTAAAATCACCACTCATATGAGTCAGGTTTTTAGATGCTACTAGGTTTTCAAAATCATGCTGCTACCATGTTTCTGGAAACAATAAAAGCCAAAACACAAGCACTTTACTGCCCAAAAACTCTTGATAACTTCTCTCATTAAATTAAACAGAATTTTTACTTCAACACAGTGAGTAGACTGTAGGAAGAACTTGCTTTTTACTGCCTAACTATTGCAAGTCACACATATTCAAGTGTATACAAGTACAGAGTGTTTTTACTTGTTGGCAAACAATGTTAGTACAGTGCAATCTGCAAAGATCGAGCAGAATACAGTACAGTTAAGTAATGACATTCAAAATGTAACTGTATCTTGGGGTTACCAGTGTCTATATTAAACACTCCTGTTATTATTGGTTTAGTAAAGGTCATTGCTCCCCGGCCACAGTCAAGCCCCTCTGCATTAAAGGTCTGAGTTCAGCCCTCTAAAGGGCGCACACATGGCTGCATTCTGCTGAGGTCAGAGAAAAGTCATGGGACTTTGAGTTCAGACTGTTAAATAAAGAAGTTAAAATAGCCGTCATGAGAGGAAAAATCAGTCTGGAGGGGAAACAGCTGAATTTTGTATTTCAAGTTAAAGAGAGAAAATCAACTGGGAATACTAGGAATCACTGCAAGGGGGGCGGATACCTTAATGGAGCAAGGTCCAAGGCTAGTCTGAACAGAGTGACAGTCCAGACCTTTAACGGATATTAACACATAACATTACTGTTGCATAACACCTCCTTGCAAAAGGAAGAGCAAACGGGCCTAATGAGGGCATAGAACAGGCCTGGGCAGATTCAGATATGCCCTCCATGCGCCAATTTCCAAAAGAGTTCAATGCACTCAATAAAAAAAGATGGCATACAGCTGCAGCCATACTAGCTTGTCTCCGGTCTGCAGAAAGCAGACAGCAACAGGGCAAATGTCTACTGTTGTTGCATTCAGGTCATGGTGGAAATAATCGTACACGGGAGCTCGAAAAATTAAACTAACTAAAATGTGCATTTAAGCGCGTTTTCTTGACCAAACTAAACCAACTACATCGATAAAAAGTGACAAAGGGAAGATAACAAAGGGTGCCTGTGCTCGTTGCCGGTTTGGAGATGTAAGATGAGTCTTTAACGAGCGTCAATGAAGGCATCAGTGCGCTTTCACAGACAGAAAGCAGAGGCAGGGCTGCCTGATGGAGTACGTGCCGCTGCAAACGCACACCCACCACCTCCATATAACCGACTCCACTGAAAACTGGCGTGACCAGGCACATGTCTGCGGCTAGTTGGTGGAAAGCCAAGAAAGACAACAAAAAAGCCTGAGCCCGTGAAGAGTTTTATTTTAAATAGCACAACATAACTCTAACTAGTGTGCTATTGTGTCGTCGGTTTATTGAATGGCTGGGCGGGTTTGACTCTGTTGAGACAATGAAAGAGGAAATAAAAACACGTAGTTGTGGTGATGAGGGAAAAGTACATTTTGTCAAAATCTACGCACCGACATTGGGGTCGACCGTGGCTCCATTCATGGTCTGGATGAGCTCCCCGAGGCTCTTCTTGTCGCCGTTCATCTTCCAGTTTCCACCGACGAAGAATTTCCTGCTCATGGTTGCGTTTTGTTGTGTATTTTCACGAGTGTGTTCAGAGTAATTCACCGGTGCCTACGGCCTACCAGGGTCTACCTTGTCTGGGGATAGAGAGCGGATGTAAGACAGCACCGCTGAGTATTTATCAACGTGAAAATGTGACCCCTCCTCTCTCTCAGTTCCATTGGTTTGTGACGGCACGCCCGTAAACGCATCACCCTGTTCATTTCAGGAAGAGGCAGAGCGAAATGTCATGATGCGTTCACGTACGGTTCGTTAATCTGGTCACCTGTTGGAGCAGGGGCTACAGACAAAAACTTCAACAGTTGTAAGACTATTGTATGGTTTAAAAGAATAATAAGGGACACGAGAGTCCTTAAACAGGAGTCAAGCTTGTGTTTGATTAATGAATTATTGATTCAAAACCTTAAAACTGAGGCTTAAGCTTGTTCTGGTGAGTTTGTGGCCTACTATACTGCTGGGAAGCTTATTTATCGTCTTTCTTTAAATTTTATTACTTTCAATATAACAAACCCAACCAAAATCAGTTATACTTTCAAAATAGCAAGATCTTTTGTCAAAATAGCAAGATCTTTTAAAAGTAAATGATAATAATCTAAAAATAAAAGAAAAATGGTCAGATACTGAATCTATTGAGGTGGTCACTTTGCCTCATTTTTAATCAAATAAAAACTGCAGAAAACAACAGACGCATGATATTACAGGCATAATAATAATAATAATAATAATAATAATAATAATAATAATAATAATAATAATAATAATAATAGCACCACTGAAACGGTGGTTTTATTTGAGTCTGCCTCTTATCAGCTGTATTTATACAGTTTCCATATATTTGTTTATAGCGAATTAAAGTAGGAACTAAAAGTTAGTCGTAAAATTGCAGGTATGGTTTTTTTTTGTCGGAACCAGACCTGATTTTACCTTCACTAATTCGGTCCAACCGGCGCTCCGTTTACGTGTGTGACTGGAGGGTTGTTTGGTCGGTCTATGACGTTTCGTAATACGATAGGTTTAGAGAATATAAGTTCCACCCCTTTCTGTTCCGTAAGTAGAAAGGCCCTCTTTGATTGGCGGATTAGCCGCGTAGTCTGTGTACCCAGCGTGCACTGCGGCAACATGATTACTATTTTTACAAACTTGAATCAACAGTTATTCAATTTAAAATAATATTTGCTTTATAATGACAATGTTTGTCTTGTTTTTAAATTTTACTCATTTATTTAATCGATAAAACAGAAAGTTCAAAAGTGAACCATAAGTAAAGTATACCGAGGTTGTGTACAGAGAGCGTCAGCTGCTGGAGGTGGTTACAGGAATTATTGCTCTTTAGTAATTTGTCTAGCAGGCTTTTCTTAAAGAGAAGCCCACCTCACTCTGTTCAAATGAAATAGACTGAAACAAGTATGACACTCGGGGGAATCTGGACAGGGTGTAAACACAGTGCTGTATGGGAAACATTAATGAAGTGGTGATCAAATCTGGAGTGAAACATTGCGTTTTAAACACACCCAACGCATGCGAACTTAGCACTGCCCCTCCAGATCACAATCAATTTGTGCCTACCCTTGAGGAAAAATGCCAAACAGAAAAACACATCAATAAGTCCTTTTAGCAATAGAAACTAAAGATGCATCTTTAACATCTGACAGATAAAGATTCAAAACAAGCCTATCATAATAAAATGAAGTTTCAGGCATCTCCCCTCTATTTTATTATAATGGCCAATAGCTTAAAAAGTGTATGAATAGATATCTCAAAATATTAGAACATTTTATAAAGAGTGTAAGTAAAAGATTAAATACCACACATCACAGTCCAAAGCAGAACATACAACCACAATCACGGGAAAGACTGCTGACTTGATAGTTTTTCTCAAGACCGTCATGAAATCTCTCCTTCAGGAGAATAACCCTCAGAGGCTCATTGCTATAAAAGCTTTCTGTTTCTAAGAGTGCTGTATTGAAGCATAATAATGGAGCATAATCAGGGAGAGAATTGTGCTGTAAGAGGAAGAGCACAAGCAACGCAAATGACCGACGCCTATAGATGGTTTCCAAGAAGAGTCCATTAAAGCCCCTGGAAGAGCTTCACAAGGAGGGAGGTAGGTGTCACTGCATCAGGAGCCACATGGAGACAACTCGAGGTGAGGTATTACAGTTGTCACATTCCATTAGAAATCCAATCAAACTTTATTTATAAAGCACTATTCAGGCAAAAAGAAATGCAGCACAAAGTGCTTTACAAGTTAAAACAATCAGCCCCCTCATATCCACCCCCCCCACCCCCACCAAGACCTCAACCCAACACACACACACACACACACACACACACACACAGAGAGAGATAATGCAATCTTAAAAGCGTGTGGCTGAGTACAGAGGAGCCAGGTCAGGAAACGTCAGGAGGCCGACTGCACAGGAGTCTGCTCACGGCCCAGGGCCGGGACACCTCCACCCGGGTGGGCACCCCACTACAGGCCAGTAAGGGGCCCACAGCAGCAAGCACTGCTGCAGACCACCACCTGGCCGAGCTGAGTGCACACCACGAGGCAGAGAAACCCTAGACAGAGCCAGTCACAGCCTTCAGTGCAGTCGGCCCCCACTGAGGAAACACTGGAGAAAGTCAATGAAAAGATACACTTAATCAGCTAATAACATTGAACTAGATAAAATCGCAAAATACTGATAAACAGCTAAAACACCATTTTGAAATAAGTGAATAAATAGAATAACCATAAAATGTAAAATGAGGAATAAATATATAAATGAAATAAAATAAGAATAGGATAATAGGATACTATTATAAGGCCAGTGCCAGAGGATCTCAGGGTCCGCGAGGGTTCATATTGTAAAAGCAATTCTGAAAGATAAGAAGGTCCAAGACCCCTAAGACATTTAAAAACCATTAAAAGGACCTTAAAATCAATCCTAAAGCACACAGGGAGCCAATGCAGGGATTTTAAAACCGGTGTAATATGTGCCCGCCTTCTGGTCCTTGTCTGCACATGTGAGCCATATTAAGGAGCCATCCCTGAATCAGTGACATTGTCAAAATAATTTTTCCTGAGAAGAAAAAGAAATGTTTGTCAGTGGTCCAAAGTCTTATTTCAAGATGGAAGTTAATTTTGTTTTGAAATCTGAAGAAAAGTGGATTAACACTGAATCTAAGGTGCTTGAAATCTATTGGAAAGTTTCTACAGCCTGTGATGAATTGTGGTACTCCGTCACTGATCTTTATCAAAATAAATACAGCTGTCTACCAGGAGATTCTACCAAATCAGTAAACGGTAAATATTTAGCACTTTTTACAGACACCTTTCAACAGAGTGAGTGTAAAGATAACTGTCTTGATAATATAGCATGCCAAAAAAGTGGTCTCCTATGGTTAAACTAACCCCATGTGTGAGGTAAATTGACCATAGGAGCGGGGAAAGTTGATACAGTAAGCCCTTTCCCGACTGTATTATAAATTTCTAAAGTTTGTCCACAGCTCCATAAGCTTTGCTGGCGGAGGCGGGATTTATGACCTATACTGCAAGTAACTACATGTCAACATCACAAGCAGAAGGGAGAAAAATGTATGTTCTGTATAATCAAATAGTTATTCCACAGCTCCGTAAGCTTTGTTGATAGTGGCGGAATTTATGACCTATACCGCAGCCCGTCACCAGAGGGTGCTGTTCTTGGAGTGGCTTCACCACAGACTGTATATAGAATGGACAGCGTCTGCCTCCTCACTGGGTGAAGCCACTACGAGAAAAGCACACCCTGTTGGCAGGCGTCAGTATAGGTCATAAATCCCGCCTCCGCCAGCTAAGCTTACACAGCTGAGGACAAACTGTAGAAATTTATTACACAGAATATAAGTTATTCTCCCTCCTGGTTGCCATGTTGACATGTAGTTACTGTAACACTGGTTTGTGCTCAAGTCCTCTTTTTTTCTGTGAAGCTCTGTTTTTAAAAGTTATTAGGGGGTTCATGTTTTCTATGATTGACACCTGATACAGCCTATGGGTGTACGAAGATTGAGAAGCTCACCCGGTGGATAGGATGTTTGAGCCGAGCATCATCACAGCGACTCTCGGTGACTCTCCCGCCGAATGCGTACAATGCTACTGCACATCGCTGGTTTCAGGAAATGAAGAAAAATACCAAGAGCTTTTTGGCTTCAAATCCGTATACTGACAGGAGGCGGAACCAAGTTGTCCATTCTATATACAGTCTATGGTCGAAAGACAATTCTCATAAAACGGATGACAGACTAAATTCACTATTAAGAGTGAAAAATGGTTACTGGAAATAAATGTCTAACCCCTTCACCCATGTGCTTCTAACCTTTACAGACTCCATGAATTGATGCCCATCTCCTAAAAATTTGGACACATGATCAAACTCTTTTACCATTTCCGAGCAACAGGAGGTGGCTCAACTTACCCTTTGGCTCAACTTACCCCACTCTCCCCTATACAGTGTATTGACGGATAAGGGTTGACAATCTACCACCTCACCACATGAGGGCACTCTTTCACCATAGCAGCGCTTGTTTCTTTTAGAGGGTGAATCTTAAAGAAAACTTGCACCTTGGTAACTAACAGGTCGACCACATTTGCATTAACTCTACAGAAAGCCTTCCTATCACTCAGTTCTACTCTTCTGCGCCATAATGTGAAAGCAGCCACGAAATAAAGTGGGCTTCAACACGGTGAGTGTACACATAAAGGGGTGGGAAGATGGGAGGAGAAGTCCGCCGTCAAACTTTGGAGGAGGCTGAACCGCGAAGCGCCTTTAAAAAGCGGAGTGTTCGTTGTGTGTGTGTGTGTGGATGTGGGCCGTGAGTCAGTGGAGTTCATTGAACCGTCGCGAGTAGACGTTTCCGCCCACAAGAAAGATGGCGGCTCCCTTGCTGGAGAGTCTGTCGGAGTCCTTAGGTTCCCCGGAGCCGGCGCTTCGTCTCATTTTATCTATATTAATCGGTGAGTCCATGCTGTCGAAGAAGTTAGAAGATATTCTTATAGTCAGCCGCGATAGCAGCCATTGAGTGGACACAATGAAGTGCTCTTGTCGGTGTGTGTAACTTCAATGCTAACAGACACTAACTGACACACAGCTACAGGCTGCTGCTGCAAACCGGTTGTTTTGGTGTACTACTGCTAGCTTATGCTAATACCAAGCCCAATAAATCAATCACGGGCCCCTCGGAGTTTGATGATTTAAGATTTGAGAATTTAAAGCACACACTTGAGGTTTTAACAGCGTCTATTCCCTTTAAAAGACCATAACTATCGGCCAACTGGTGGCATTGACCTGACATGAAAGTGTTGTTTTATGGTGCCACCCTCCTTTCAATGGCTCGATTGATTGATTGTCGGACAATGAAAGTAGGCAGACTCAGATCAAGTCAGCTGGGGAGTTTAAAAAACAGCCAAACACACCGTCCAGAGGACAGAAAGAGTGAGATGTAGGATTAGCATGTTTGTATGAGGCTGGTGTTTAGTGAAAATAATGGCCTCAATGTTGTTGGGGGAGGGCTGTGCTTTGACAAGAAGACTGGGCACAGACAGGCTGCCAAAATATGTCCCCCCAACCCTCCATTTTCTACTGTGGGCTGAGGAGAGGGGAGACAAACAGACACCCACCAGGGTTCAGATATATCGGAACATGGACGGATCGTACATTGAGGTCCTCGTTTAGCTTGAATGTATGATCTCATGTGTTAATATAGGTTTCACACGCAGCGCTACTTTGGTACAAGTTGGTCGAGGTGTGTTTAGGGTGGGGGGAGGACGCCCTCCACGCTGTCCTCTCTGAACCTTGCCCTGACACGTCAGTTTTCTCTCTGTGTCCCCTCTCACCAGCAATTCAATGGTCATAACGTGGCCGGTCAGATCCGACTTTGATTGGCTAATGCCTAAAAAGCCTTCAGTCTATCGCTTCCTTCTTGGCTGTGTTGCCTAATGTGAGTTACACAAGGTTGTATAGTAACAGTCTCACACTGCAACACCGGAGCCTGAAATAACAGGTGGTTTTGTCACTGTTCCCCTCACTTTGATTTCTGCTTTTCACACCAACTGCTTACCAAAGTTACTACACAGTTATACATTGTCTGTAATGTAAATATTTGTTCAGAGTCTGATTTAAATACACCACAACTGCCATACACTGGTCTCTGTAACTACACATGTTGGGGGAAAAACTGGAGCCAGACTATTATTTTTCAACCGTTCCCAAATTCAGCAAAACCCAACGTGTATCAACATGTCTTTTAACAGTTTTGTAGTTTGTGAAAAATGGAACCAATCCCTTCATTTCTTAAAAAAAGTAAGGTGCTGCAAGCAAATGTAACTTTACCGTCAACTCAGTTAAAAATTCTGAAAGATGCATGAGTGAATGGATATAGACAGACGCCAGCAAGAGCATGTAGGCTTTATTTAAAGTTAATACACTGGCCTTTTGTACCACTATGAAGGAGTGTGATGTGTGTTTATATATGTTTAATAATGGACAAAATTAAAGATTGAAGAGGAATAAAGTACAATATGTACCAGGGAGTGAAGGATTGTTTTTATTATATACATATTTGTATCTAAAAGATGTAGAAACCGGTTATTATTTTATTATCATTGTTGATATTGCTTTTTATATTTACTATCCTGTTTCTACTTTTGATTTAGCTTATTTTGGTCCTCATGGTCTCATTCTATGTTTACTGTCTGGGTTCCTTATGACATGAAAATGGCCTTCAATTCTGTTTTAAATGAGCTTTTTGTTTTTATCTGTATTTTCCATGTGCTCTATGACTAAATGTCAAAGCACTTTGTAAACTTCTGTTTTTAAAAGTGCTATACAAATAAAGTTATTATTATAATTATAGAAAGTCTTTAGCCCTATCTTAGCTATCAACTTAGACAATTACTTTACAGCATAGTTAAATGAGAACACGCTTATCCTCGATGTACAGTTATTATATAGCTCTGATAATCCCTGCACCTCTGACCTTGCAGGGACTAAGTTATCTCACCCAGTCAAAAGAGTTCATTTAAGTCGAGGTGAAGCCCTTTACCTTTACAACGGACCAACATTGGACCTGTGGTGGTGAACGTCATGGTTTTGGTGAAGCTAATCAGGACTCATATGTATTATTTTTATGCTTATTTATTACATCATGTTAGTTTTTTGTTTATATTTAAACTGATAAACATCATTAAATATGAATAATTCATGGAACAGTTAAACAGGGAATGATGTAAAATAAATTAAGCATTCAAAATGGACTACTGCCCATATTTGCATAAGGGGTCTAACAGAAAAAAAAGGAGGAGGGGGTCTGCCCTTTCTGGCCCTTTCTGCCCCTGTAAATTTGGCAGTTATCTCCCTCCTTGAGGTACCAGATACACCACTCCTGCTGTGTGTCGATCTGTTTTACCACAAGGTCAGTGAGCTGTTGATACCGGGAGGTGTCAACAATAGCTGATATGAAGTCACTCTCTGAAGCCCTTTTAACATTTAATTCTCTGTTCTGTGTTTCTGTCTCTCCTGCAGGGTATCCCTGTGCTCTGGTGTACCGGCGGTTTTTGTTCCACCAATCTGCCACAGTTATACACTTGTTTCACGCGCTCTCTGGACTGGCATTAGCAGCATTCAACTTTGGTGAGATGAAGAGGGGGCAGAAAGATAGCATTGACATAAAATGATTACTTGTCATCATGTCGCTGTATAACTGTTATTTTTTCAGTTCATGGTGGGTCGGTCCTTTTTCAAGCTTCCTTTTTATGTTTTCTTGTACAAAAGCTGCATTTAAACTCACTCTAAAGCACCATTATTCATTTTGGTGCTGTCCTTGAGGTCTAACAAACACAGGGAGTGAATAATCCACCTTCTCTAAACTGTAGCAAAGTTATCTTTTAACATGGCTCTTTATCTTTTGTGTGCTTGTTTGCAACAAACTCAATAGGAAACCAATGAAAAATATGTCAGTTAGTGGTCAACCACAATTTTTTTCACCATTCATTTGACTCCAGCTCGAGTTGTAATTCTCCAGTGTACATCTATTTTACATGACGTGTTTCTTATTGTCAAGAGCTCTTTGATTTGGTGTAAAATCAGTTCATTAATCCATCTCTGTCATACAGTGAAAATAGGTTATCGTTCTATTATCATGTTAATGAGTAAAAAGTCCAAAATCTCTGAGAAATGCTGAACTGCCAGCACTTCTGACACATTCAGTGAGGAGCATGCTGGCTGAGGTTTTTCTAGAGGAAGACCAGGGTTTTTTTTCATCAGCATGAATCATCAACTATTGTGAGTCATTTCTGGTTTAAGGAGGAAGTAAATGCCGCCTGTTTAACAGTCGATGGCAGCAGCAGGGATGAAGGCTGGAGATTAATTCGAGCAGTCGTTCATTTACTTGCAGCGCAGACTTTTTTCCTGGTCAGCTAAATCAGCCAAACTGAAAGTATACTGCGAAATACACAGACGGCATCATAATTAATCAATTGCCTGATATTTTCTTTTGCTCTAATGGACGGTTCGTTCTCTGGAAATCATATTTTAAGATTATTAGATATTTAGTCAACAGGAATTATATCTGGTTAATTTATATCTATTTTAGCTCTTCTTTTAACGCTAAAATGCATACACTGAAGTTTTTCATTTTGGTTTATTTTACATATTTGATGATGGAGATAATCTGAAGTTTCTTTTTACTATTGCAGAGTTCTGACAAACAACAACTAAATACTTGCATTTTAAAAGCTTGAAGCTCTTATTTTTTGTAATCTTTGTAATCTTCTCTTCAAACTGTCTCTGATTTTAATACTCAAATTTGGATGTCTCACCTTTCCATCATTTATTGAACACAGTTTGACAGTACAGATGTAATGACAGCAGTCAGAAGTCGCTTTAAACAGGATGAATGATGAGACATCCTCGTGTGTGTGTGTGTGGTCCTCTGGAGTTGAGTCAAACTGCTAACATCTCTTCTCTTTTTTCTGTCCTGGCTGCACTTGGATTTTACAGCAGGTCTGTTGCTTTCTCTTTCTCCTTGTGGAATTCGTTTTCTTCCTCTCCTCTTTTCTTTTCAAGCGTATTTCCGAGAGGAGCACAAGGTCGCGCCGTATCGTCATAGACTTGCCTCGATGCTTTTTCTCCGTCTCTGCTGATACTGAAGTGTGATGGGAAATGCTGTTGTCATGTCCAGTCCTACAGTTCACACTTCACTGCACTAACACCCCCACCCCCCCCTTTTTCTCTCTGTCCATCTCTCTCCCAGGCTCTCAGCTATATCACTCTGGAGTATGCATCCTAGTTCAGTTCCTGATGCTGAGGCTCATGGGAAGGACGGTAACAACTATCCTGAGCAGCTTTATCTTTCAAATGGTGAGCTGTCCTGCTGTTTTCACTCATCCCCCGTATCTTCAGGCTTAGTTTTGTAGCATTAGCTCACTTTAGTCCATTTACTGCAGTGGCTCAGGTGCTGTTTAACAATCTGCCTGCACCATCTAACACAAGATTTCTTCATACACTCTCCACCATTTCCTCTACCTGCCCGGTCAATTCTTGCATAACGCTTGGCCCATGTTTTAAAGTAGACACAACATAGGCCAGTAATCCTTTAATATAATTGCATACTGTAAATGTGATTATCTCATTTGTTTACATTTAAAGATATGTACGCCCATTTTTGGTTTTAGAAGCACCTTCTTTCGTTGTTTTTTGCTTTTTCCTCGCCCCCCTCTTTTATTATTGCAGCACTCACACTCAGTTTTCCCTCCTTTCTGCAGTTGTACCTGCTGGCAGGTTATTACTACACAGCCACAGAGGAGTATGACATCAAATGGACCATGCCTCATTGTGTCCTCACACTCAAACTTATTGGTGAGTGTTTTTTTCCCTCTCAGCTCACCTCACACTCCTCTCTTCTCAGCAGAGTAAAATTGTTTTGTAATATCAGATGTTTTCATCACCGAGGTTGATTTAATATCTCCCGGATGCTGTTGATGCAATAACCCCACAGTGCTCTAGCGAACGATAAACACCCCGATAACTGCTGACTCATCCTCTGCATGCTGTAGGGTTCATTGCATTGATTGCCGCTGTGTTTGTCCATCTCACCTAGTTTCTGATTTAGTTGCATCTTCTGTTTCAGGTCTGTCATTTGATTACTATGACGGCGGGAAAGAACCTGTGAGTTGGTCAATTTGTCTTGGCCTTGCCTGCTTGATCAGTCATGAATGTTGATACCTGTCCCTGTCTTTCAGTTTTAACCTCTTAACTTCTGTTAGATCCTGTCTTTGTCATTTCCTTGTCACCTTTTCCTTGTGTCCTGTGTGAAGAAAGTACTGATTATAGTAATATTTGATGTGTTAATGTTAGCTAAGTTTACCTAATTGCCCAAGCTGATCACCAGCTCTGAGATTCATTTCATTTCATTTTCATTTATTATTATTTTTTTCATGCAACGCAAGAAAGTGAACTGAAAACAAACAAAACCAATGAGAATATTCAAAACAACAACAACAACAATAATCAAAGCAAAAAAATAAATAAAAAATAACTAATAATAATGCGAACCCAATGTGTCCAAAAAGGAGTAGGATGAAGCATTATGCTTTTTTAAAAACCTACCCCTTATCCTCTACTCAATAAACAGTCAGTCTCCAACATATTTACATTATATTAACAATAAATAGAACATAAATAGAGTAAATAAGTACATAAATCATTTATAAAAACGCCCGATGGTTAGAGCCCTTCCTCCTCCCTGTCCCTGGTGAGAACCATGTTTTTGTCCCGCTTTTTAAACTGGGTCATGCTTGGACATTGCTAGATCTCCACACCTAATCTGTTCCACAACCTTACTCCACAAACAGAAACACAAAATGTTTTTGTACGTAAATTATGAATGTATGTATGTATGTATGTAAACTGTCGTACGTGCCTGCTGATGCTTCAAGTAAAACATCCTGTTACATCATGTAAAACAAAGAAAGGCAGCGAATCCTCACATTAGAGAGACAAGAACCAAGGCTTTAGATTTTGGCTTATATAAAAAAAAGACTTTGTAATCCATCAATCATCCTGATGATACTTTTTTCTCGCTTTTCTATAAATTGGCCCTCTCTGCAAACATAAATTCAAACATCCGTGTAGGAGTTTCAGGGAACAACCATCTCTGTGTGATAACTCAGTTATTGTGATAAATCAGCTGTGTGTGGGAGAAGAATTGTGTTACTTTGACTCAAAACACACCATAATATATTCAACACCAAAACAAAGGTACTGGAAACACAACTTTTATTGCAAAGCAAACATTTGTAACTTACATTCGGTTTACTCTGCAGGCGAGCTGGATGCAGAGCTTCCTATTGAACTACTTTGGCTTTTTAAAACGAAGCCAAAAACAGGAGGAGTAGCATTCCAACACAAAAGGAACTTACCATCACATATATGCAGCAGATGTTCTCTACGGTCTATCCTTTTTTTTGCCTGCTAAATCAAGTGCTCGTTATAGCCTAGACTTGCACAAAGTTCCTAAAAACTTCCCAAATTTCCCAACTGAGCTTCAAGTGTGAACATAAACAGCTGAGTTTGAAATTCTTTGAGTAAAGTTGATGTAAGTTTATGTGAGAGTGCAGCAGGAAATCCTCAGGAAACTCACTGTGAGTTAGCAGTCGGGGTGATAACACTAAAGTCATGCAATCTTCTGCTTTTACCTTGTTTCGATATATAAAGCACTTAAAACAAAACAAATGCGACTCAACTTATGCAGCTGCAGAAAACACTCCAAAATTTAAACTTGTCTCTCCATCAGTGTGACCCCCTGTGCTTGTTTGTTGGGGGCTAAGGTAGTTGTGGTGTTGTGTTATGAGTGTGAGTGACAGACGCAGCGTGTTTCTGAGATCCATTCAGAAAACTGGATTTTAAATATCTGTTTTTTGGTCGAATTAAGCTTTTTTCTTCTCGATGACTCAGATACTCTAACTGTCTGTGGGACTTTTGTTCAGCAGACTTTGTTGTAAAAACTTATTAATGTCAACTGTTTCTTAATATTTTCTCCTCTCTAACTTACTGACTTGAAGTGACCTCTGACCCTGCATGCTGTCATTATTTTTAGACCTAAACTTGTACTTGAATACATTTGAAAGAATAAATAGGGAGTTGGTTTTTGCAGCCCAGTTAGAGACTAACTCAAGACTGGAGGCTGGTACCACTGGGTCTGCGGTTTGAGACCCCTGCTCTGTATTTCTGTTTAAACCCCAAATGACAAGAAAACTTTTTTTGCTCGTGCAAAAAGAGATTGCAGACAAAATTATTAAATAGCTTGTCTCATCAGGGTTAAACAGGATCTCTTTGGTTAAATAACTTAAATTAAGATGTATACCAATCTCCTGCTCTCCGCTTTGTTTTTCTCTCTCTCTGTTCGGGGACTTTTTCCATCTCTCACTCTCAGCTCATCTGCTCTCTCTCAAGTTTCTTCCTGCTACAGCGAGCGTCTTTGTGACAGCTGTTAATTTCCTTCCTGTTGCTTGATTTCATTTTATTCTAATTAGATGTAACATGCTGCTTTTCAGTCTGATTGATCTTTTTCATCAGCGTAGAAATGTATAAATGTCCTCTCATGCGGTATTTTGTCTGTTTAATGAATACCAAGGGTCACTGCTCAGGACACAGTTTACAGCCTGCAGTTATAAAAGAGTATTACTTGCCCTCATGTTGAGTTTGTGGTTGTTAAAAGAATCCTTTGTTAGTGAGCTTGTCAACATTTAAAATAGCCTCTCTGACCTTTCCTGTTCTGCTTCCTCTTCTTCTCCACTCCCTTCACTCTCCTTCTCTTTTCCAATTATCTGTTTCTTCTCACATCTTCAAACTCCAGGCCCAGCTGAATTTAGAGCAGAGGAAGGCTGCCCTGCCGTCCGTGCCCTCTCTGCTCGAGATCTATGGCTTTTCCTACTTCTATGGTGGCTTCCTGGTGGGTCCCCAGTTTACACTACGTAGCTACCAGCAACTGGTGGCAGGGGAGCTCACCGACTGCCCCGGAAAGCCTCCCAATAGGTGAGACGGCGAGAAAATGCTGAGCAATGAAAAGAAAAATGAGTTGAATACTATCTTTATTACATCTCAGTGAAATGAGTGTCAGAGCCCTGCTGTTCACATTATTACTCTCTTCCCCTTTCCACTTCTCATTTTGTGTCTTTCTTTTCTAGTGTTATACCGGCGATGAACAGATTTGGTTTAGGTTTCCTCTGCCTGGTGATATATGCAATATTCAGTCCCTATTACCCAGATAGCTACTACTTAACGGACGAGTTTGAGGTAAGAACAACAGTCTGTGCAGAATAATCTCTGCTTTGTTTCTTAAAGTGTTTCTTTCCTCGTCTTACATGTGATCTTTATCCTTCCTACAGGCTCAGCCGTTCTGGTATCGCTGTGTGTTCATACTCCTCTGGGCTAAAGTCATTTTGTATAAATATGTCAGCTGTTGGCTTATAGCGGTAAGTGGATACTTGATTTGCAAACATGCACCAAAAATTTGAATACAAGAACCCACAGATTTGTTCACCAGATAAACTCTATTTACAAGAAGCCACATTAACATACCAGCTCAGTGTTACAGCACACTGACACTTTTATTCTTCCTTTTACACACTTTCACACACACACATACACACTTTCACACACACACAATGACACACCCTCATCAGTCGAGGTTCATAGGTTCAGTCCCAGTTTATCAGGTTCTTGTGCATCATAATGTGATCTTGCGTAAGCACGCCGACTAAAATGATGCTTGTGTGTTACAGGAGGGTGTGTGTATTTTATCTGGAATGGGATATAATGGTGTGGTGGACGGCAAGCACCAATGGGACGCCTGTGCCAACATGAAGGTGTGGCTATTTGAAACCACACCGCTCTTTGGAGGAACCATTGCTTCCTTCAACATCAACACAAACGCCTGGGCTGCCAGGTCAGTACGCAGCCTGAAATCTGTGACGCCCTCTGGCTTGTGTTCAAAGCAATGCGGTTAAAGTTCAATATTTACTTAGATGACAACACCAAAGCGGAGGGGATTACTGTTCAATCCAGTATGCATGTGTGGCATTGCTCCACAAAAAAGTAGTAGCTTACTTTTTCATGCAGAGGTCTTACCTCACAGTGAAGTTTCACACCAGAGGAGTCTTCACAGGAAAAAGGGTGCCACCGTGGGTGGAGTTAAAAAAGTTTTCCCTTTCCAACAGGCAGGAGTGTGTGTCATCGTTTTATTATGATCACAGTGTGCGAAGCAATTTATTGAACATACAGTTTATTACATGGTCCATTTCAGCTGAATGCATTAGCTTCCTGAGTTTATTTTCACTTTCTATTATCCGAAACGGCATGAGACACAGAGGCTGGAGGAGAGGAAGTGACCGCCTTCCAAAATGGAAAGTACTATGAAAGGCAGACCTCCACCACCACGGCCAATAGTCCACTCTCCTTTTAAAATTGAATCTGCACATGCAGCCACTGTATAAGTTTGGATATATCTTCCAAAACAAGAAGGCTCAAATTCTCAGTGTTTGTGTTCATGATGTGCTTCTAAATTGGAAATATTTCACACAACGTACATTTTTGATCACCAGAAAACGATGTGAGGTCAGTTTATAAATATAAGTTTATAATCCTGTGTGTGTGTGTGTGTGTGCACATCATAGACTGTATATAGAATGGACAGAGTCTACCTCCTTGCTGGGTGAAGCCACTCCGACAACAGCACCCTCTGGTGACGGGCTGCAGTATAGGTCATAAATCCCGCCTCCGCCAGCAATCCTTATGGAGCTGTGGACAAACTTAAATTTTTCTCCCCCCTGCTTGTGATGTTGACATGTAGTTATTGTAAGACTGGTTTGTGCTCAAGTCCTCTTTTTTTCTGTGAAGCTCCATTTTTAAAAGTTATTAGGGGGTTCATGTTTTCTATGATTGACACCTGATACAGCCTATTGGCGTTCAGGGATGGCGTAGCTCTCCCGGGGAATACGCTGTTTGAGCCGAGCGTCATCACAGCGACTCTTGGCGACTGCGTTGCAGAATGCGCGCATCGCTACTGCGCAGTGCTGGTTTCAGGAAATGAAGAAAAATCCTGGAAATACAGAGAGCTTTTTGGCTTTAAATCTGTATACAGGCGGTAGGCGGAACCAAGTTGTCCATAGTAAAAACAGTCTATGGTGCACATACCAAATACTTGGACTGATATTGCAGCATCAACATGTGACCTTGCAGTCAAAAACAGTTTCTTGGAAATAACTGAAATTCATTTTCAAAGTTTTTACTGCACCTCATAGGTTGTTAATTGTCTGAGGAAGATGTAGAGGCATATCGTAACAAAAGCGTTAACAGGAAAATGTTTGACAGTAACGACCTTACATAAATTCTTGACAATAGATAATAAATAAAATAGGTACTAGTGAGGATTCTTGCGGGACACCTTTTTGTGTGTTTGTAGAACTGTACGACAGGCCATCAATTTTTGACTCCTACCACTTCATAAAATGGACATTTAGTGAGTTGGATCTGCTCTCAGGAAAAACACCCATTTGTACCATGTATTCCCCTTGAATCAGATCTTCACTTTATTTCTCCATTTGCTGCTCTTACACCATGTTTTTTTTTTTCCATAAAAATCAGGGCAATCATTTTTTTTGTAACCCCTGCAAAGAGCGAACAAAGAGCATAGAGAATCACAGCATCCTTTGTGAAAGAAAACAACTTCTATGGCTAAATGATTTACGCACAGAGCTGTCCTTTTTAGATCAGGTCATACTGTGAAATTAGCTAAAGGAGATTTTGTAATCGTCTCCATGGTTACGATATAGATGTGACACTTGAAATGTTCCCATTGTTTGACCTACAAAGACAAATCTATTTATAGTGGCGTACACAGCACTTCTGGTGAACATTTAAAAAGTTTAATGCCAAATGCGTTTGGTTTGATATTATATTCATCGACTCTTCATCTGGCAGACTGGCAGCTTTATACAGTAATAAACATGCATGCTTTAATGTCAGAGCTTTATTATCCATACAGTACACTGCTCCAGTGTGAATCCTCAGGCTGGACTAATTGGAATGAGGAGGACATAGTTTGATATATGTAGGAGCTCCTTCAGGGGCCAGTAAGCTTCAAACAAAATACTTTGTATGGAGCGTGGAGTGAAGTACTGTTTATAGCCGTTCCAAATGGCCATATTCAAAGACGGCATGAAAAGCCAGCCGTCAGCAATAAGTTGTAGAATTTACAGTTTGTCCTCAAAGGCATCCACAGTGCTGCTGCTGCTGAAGCATGAAAAGCCAGAGCTTGAGAGAGAGAGAAGTTCGAGTGCTGCAGACTTTCTCACCTTTGCACTCGGCCAGTTGTTACAGCAGTGTGCCCATCAAAAAGATATGCCCCCAAATACAACATTGTAAAGTGTGTATGTGTGTGTTTGGTGGTAGGTGCTTAAATGATCTTCGAAGCACGTTGTTTTGAAGGCCACGGGAAAGATTTTTATAACAGCAGTACGTTGTGTTCTCATTTGTCAGACCCTGCTCTGTAGAGCTGATAGTGCAGCTTGACATGATTGTGCTGCAAGGAGGAAAAAAAAACAAACACTGGTTTGAGGATTGAAAACATAATTGTGTGCACTTATTAAACATACTGTGAAAAACAAAGCCTGGTCCTGCATTGGACTGATAACTATCCTTTCAGAAGATGTAAAGTTGTTGCAGTGTTTTAATATAACCTCAGTTGCTATGCAACATCAACTTCCAGGTATGTGAGTGCTTGCAATGTAGGCAGTGATAGTTGATGCATTAATACTTTTGAACGCACTCAAGTTTTGTCCCTCTCTTTTTTCCCTTTTTTTTAAGGCACATTTTCAAACGATTAAAGTTCCTGGGCAACAAGACCCTGTCTCATGTGGCCACACTCCTCTTCTTGGCGATCTGGCATGGTCTTCACTCAGGTTACATCCTGTGCTTCTCCATGGAGTTCTTCATCGTTATTGTGGAGAGACAGGTACACTGTAGATGCTGTGTAATATATCGTCACCTTCTTAAAATAATGGCCCAAGTCACTTTTTGACAAAAAAAGACTTTTTTCCCCTGAAATCAGTCCTTCATGATGATCCTCAGTTGAACAGATCATGTGATACTATCCTTATAATACTATATGATAATATTATAATCGACTATGTAAAGAGTGTGAGTTAGGAAATTTTCTGAGAGTATTCAGAAAAAATTTTGGAAAACTTGATCATTTACTTAGGCCATTATTTGAAGAGGGTAAGGATATGGAGATAGATAACATAATTATGAGCTGGATGCTCAGATAGTGTGGGTGTTTATTTCATTAGATGGTAAATTAGTCTGACTTATTATCTCACTAAAATGTAAATTTGCACTTGGGCTGCATCGAACACACCTGGTGTTTACTTTTTTATCAAGAGACAGTCTTTTCTTATTACTATTGATCAAATACACCTCTACTGAATGAACCTGTAATTAAATATTGACTTTAGTCGCCACTTTTATTGTATTATTGATATTTAACCATTGCGGAATATGTGCCTGACTGACTGTGTTTATTTGTGTGTGTTTGTGTGAGACAGGCCCTGGCACTGGTGAGGGACAGTCCCTTGCTGACAAAGCTGGCCAACAGTGCGCTCTATCCTCTCATCTATGTGGTTCAGCAGTTTATCCACTGGCTCTTCATGGGCTATCCCTTAGTGCCATTCTGCCTCTTCACCTATGACAAATGGCTCAAGGTAAGTCAGTGCTCACAGAGCATACAGGACTCCAGCTGAATGTGTCTGATCTCACTTTTCATGTTGGATATTTGGTGTCAGAAAACAGGTTTACTCCACAAAGGAAGAAAACCCGAGTGCAGACAAGACAGTTTGAACAAGCAGGCATTCTGTTGGGGTGTAGTGATATACAATCTAAGGGCTTATTTCACCAAATTTTCATCATAGTATCATCCGTTTGAAATGTGAGCTCATTGTCTAATCTCTTTTATATTTGCAACTAATCCGAACAAACACATGGGAGCATGCCAGACATCTGTAGTGTCATAAATGTTTGTGCTGTTCGCAAATGACAACAGTTTGTAGAACAGTGTTCCCTCTTCATATGATCCGTGATTTGAGTTATTTTCATGCCAAGTCACTTCAGTTTCAACTTGCCTCAGGAGGGTTGCCTGTTATAGAAGCTTTATCTGGAACTAAACATGCTGCACAGCTGTTTATCGTACTGTGAGACAGGATTTCACTTCTCCGGAGAGTTATCAGTCTGGCAATCATTTTTCATTTCGTCATGAAGGATCAAGTCAAATCAAATCTTTATTTGTACAGCGTAAATTACAAATTTGCCTCAGTAAGTTTCGCACTCTGTAGAGCACACAACAACCTTGATTCGTATCAGAAAAGACTCCCCAAAAAATCTTTAAAGGGAGGGAAAAAAAAATCAAAGAAGCCTCTGCAATTGCTGAAGGAAAGTGAGGTTCTTTTGTACTGATGCACTACAACAGAGTTGCATGACCTATCAACAGAAAAATATGCAGCTTATAGAAATTTATGTACACACTTTCCAAAGAACAGCCATCAGGAGAAAAATCATATTTATGGTTTAAAGTAGAACAAAAAATGTGATGCTTTACCAAACAGGAACACTTTTAACCACATCCTACACGTACTTCAACCGCATGGAAAAGCAGTAAGAGTCTAGCTGCCAATGCGATATTGTCTGCCACTCTGACTTGTCACCCATTGGAATCATTTGGTGCATCAGGAAGCAAGTATAAAACAAAAGAGATCATGAAGTGTTGAGGTGGCAAAATCATACACGATTTCACATTTCACATTCAGAACTCAAAACTTTAAGTGTTATTAAACAGAGATGCTACAACTTCTTGTAAGATTTCGCTGGTTTTAAATCTTCTCTAATTACAAGTACGTATGCCAAACTAAACATCTAGCACTATTTCTGGTCTTTGATTAGGACCATAAGGAGCAAACTACGCATGTAAAGGTGTTTTGAGGTGCAAAAACAAGTGTTTTACTGTCCTGTCATCTTTGTTTTGCAGGTGTATTCGTCCGTCTATTTCTGCGGTCATGTATTCTTCCTCGTAGCCTTTTTAAGCATGCCATACCTCCGGAAGGTGCTGGTGCCTAAGAAAGAACGGAGCCAGAAACAGGATTAAAAACATGGTACTAAGACCTGGCATGGTAAGCCTTTTCTGTTTTCATGTTTTCTGTCAGTCACTTATTAAAAAATGTTAACAATCGGTAAAAGAGTGTTTGAATATCTCTTTTTTTTCCCTTTCAGGTCTATCTAAGGCTGAATATCCACTGAAGGGAACTGTGACTTTCAAGGAGCTGAATGGAAAATATTTTAAGGCCTTTAGTAATATAAATATATATATATATATATATGTCCATGTAAAAATAAATTTCTATATATTTTTGTGTTAAATGGGAGGGTATTTGTAAAAACATTTTCAGAAATGTTTACAGGAAACGACCATCGTGCCACATGGGGTAATTGTGAGCCAATCAGGGGTGATTTTCCTGTTTGTTTTTCTCTCCTTTTTTAAGATGTTGGACTTGGAGAACTTGAGAGACTTTACATGCTGTCAAGACGGAATTGCACTCACCAGTCACGGGTTCAGAGTCTGTCATTAGCTCCAATGTGTTATTTTATTTCTTTTTTTCTTTGTTTGATTTCTGTCTCACATCGAGTACCCATATTTCAGCTGCAGCTGAAGTTTTCACAGGAGGTCAGAGCACAGCTCCAGCCCATGTGGCACTTTCTGATGTAATAACACAAAAGGCAACAGCTTTCTGTACAACACAAGTGAAAAATGATGACGATAATAATAGTAATCAAAGGGGTCTGGAAAATGGCTGCCGGTGGTTATACAAGCACTGTAAATCACACACTGAACACTAACCCCTGAGTCAAAATTGCCTTGCATTAATGAATGTTTTTATAGTACTTTTGCTTTGGTTTTAATTTGATTTGTGATGAAAAAAAGACTTGATTTTATAGAGTTTTAAAAAACTTTTATGAAAAAGAACATTTTGTAGCTTTGGATAAGATTTCATGAATGAATTTGCATTGTTCCCCTACCCTCTTCCTTGTTGCCGTTTCCGTTTTTTTGTACCTTCTTTATCACCTTCTTTTGTCGTACACAGATGTGACAGTGGGTAATTTAACTGAAGAAACATGCAAACTGCCCAACAGCACAATCAAAAGAAAGTTCTGTTTAGACCTGTGTTTCACTTTAACCTGAGAATATGAGGCTGTCATTTTAAACTGGAAGCAACTAAACAAACTGAGCAACCGTGAGAGAAAATCCACTGTTGTGTTTTACCTATGGCCTGTTTTTCTGTTTCTAGCTGCAGGCACTGATTTAAAATGTGTGAGGATGAGCATCCCATCCTCACCGTGGGAATGCCTCTTACTTTGTGTAATTGATTTTTTTTTTCCTCAGGCGGTAGGCTGGATTGTCTGATCCATGTTTTGCTTCTAATGCACGTGGAGAGGACAAACCTCACTGTAGCAGCAGCAGCCCTGACTTTTGTTAACATTTCTACATGACAGTGATTATTAACTGAAGTGAATTGCTATTTCAAGAGACAACTTTCTGCTAGGGATGCACCGATCCACCTTTTTCACCTGTGATACCGATACAGATATCTACAGTTTAATATCGGCCAATACCAATCCAATTAGTGTTGGGTCGTTTGCGAACAATTCGTTCAAAAGAACCGAATCTTTTAAGTGACTGTTGAACCGAATCACTTCCTCGAGTGATTTGTTCGTTTCTCACTTCAGATGAGCTGAAGTGAGAAACCGCATTGTCAGGTCAGCAGCTGGCGAACGTGAGACCACATGCACCGACACCTAAATCACTTGGTGAACGAATCACACATTGAACTACACTCTCTGGAATCATTTTTGTTGGACGAAACTACCGAATTTTTTCAGTGCTAAATTGCCACCACAACAACTTATATACAATGGGACACAGCATGTAACAAGTAGTGCATTAAACCCGCAGCATCCTATCACTGCAGCGGTTTGCGAGGGAACGGTGCATGTTGAGTGTGAATTCTTCTAAACGTTCAGTGAACGAATCATTCACTGAGCCCAATTTACCAAGCAGACCCGATAGGACAGTACACTTACAACATCTTGACTTATGAACAAGTTCATTTTTACAAACCTAGTTGCCAAAGCAACACAGCCAAACACTCTCGTCTCCTGGTCCCAGAAGCTTTGAATTGAACTGAATCCTGAACTGCTCAGCTGTATATCAGTTCAGGAGGTCGGAGATGCAGGCTTCTCTCGTTAAATGATTCAGTGATTTGGTGAACGAATCTTTTTGGTGAACTGATTCTAGTGATTCAGTACACCTAAAAGAACTGCCGTGCCCACCACTAGATCCAGTTCCGATACAGAAAAGCCACACTGAATTAGCTTTTGTTGTAACCTGTATTACCATTGCCCCTCAGAGCGTTTACTGCACAGGTATTGCAAGTGACCGTCCTCAGTGGCCTGAGGTGTTGTGATAAAGTTCAAGATAGCAGACCCCTTTGCTTGCTCCATTTTGAAAACAATATCGGCAGCGTGTTTAGCATAGAGTTAGACTGAAGAGATCGGCCCTTATGCATCGGGATCAAATATCGGATCGGTGCATCCCTACTTTCTGCCTTATTTCTACCAAATGTACAAAGAGAGAGGGGTTGTGGGAAAATTGTGTGTAAGGGGAGGGTGATTTTCAAAAACCAGTTTTATAATGTCCATTAAAATGCAGCATTTTAAGTGAGAAGGCCTGTTTTTTGTAGTCATTGTGTAAGTGTGGATGTCCCAGGAGGAGTACGATATACCACAGCAGCACTGTAGGGCAAAAAGGGGACGGCATGACGTCATTTTGCAGTCCCGTTTAGGGGCCGTGGGAATTTATAAAAACGATAAAAAAGACAAACTAAAGAGAAAAAGAAAGAAAGAGAGAGAGGAGGAAAGGTGCGACTTTAACGCAGAGGGAAGAAACGTGATAATGAGATGAATTGCTGTGCTGGGGTCTGAGTCACTCTCGATGTGCGTTCAACAGCAAAATACAGAGAGAGAGAGAGAGAGAGAGAGAGAGAGAGAGAGAGAGAGAGAAGGACGCAGTGTGGGCGAGTTAAGAAACGCCGAGAGAGGGAGGGGACGACAGCGTAATATTCTCACCGTTTTTTCTCCCTGTCCGTGTACAGCCGAAAAAACAAGGGCATCCATCGCTCTTTCTCTCCCCATCTTCCTCACATCTCCACATTTCCCTCTTCTTTCTTTCTCCACGGTGTGTATATCAGAGCATCCGTGTGCGTGAGTGTGTGTCCTCCTCCTCCTCCTCCTCCTCCCTACCTGGAAGGTTTGTTTTTTCGCAGGGGGGGATCACCGAGCCGAGAGAGGCGGATGCAGCGAGCGTAGAAGCAGGGTACCAACCAGGAGCATCACCACCACCACTCACCACGGTAATGTCATTTAAGCGTCTCCTTCCCAACCTTCATGTCTGTCCTTCCTCTCTGTCTCTTCTCCCTCTTTGCCTCTGTAGCAGCTCTCTAACACGACCACAGGCGGCCATGGAGCCCAGGCTAGTTTAATGTGTGTCAGCAGTAGAAGCAGCAGCAGCCTGATTATTGTCGCATAGCATGTTTCTGTGTTGCCTAAACAACCTGTGCACTAGATGGAGCCTCTCGATTTGTATTTCCAATCATTTTGAAGTAATCTATCTGTTCCTATTGCCTATCAAGGACTGCAGCAGTGATAGGAGCTTTTTCATGTCAGTTAGGGGGGAAAAAAACCTCCCCAAGGACTCATTTTTCAGTAGTGGTCACAAGAAAACAGCAGCTGTATTTCCCTTGTAACCTTTAAATACCACACTTAAAACATAGGGAAACACCCTCACAGCAAACCTATCACAGTGACACTCATGTCCAGGTGTGTGTATGAATACTCCTCAGGCTGGTCTGGGATCTGCTGCTGCAAGCAAGCTGAGATTTTGAGGGAAGCCAGAAAGCAGCATTATGGTGAAACAATTATACATGCAGCTCTACACACACACACCTCACTATGCAGGGTTTGATCTGATCTATGTAGATGTTACACACGACACGTGTCGTACTGCAGACATACAACCAGGTAAAGAAACATGTATACCCTCGTCTGATAGGCCTGACCTGTCTTGCTACTCTACCTGTCTCTTCCAGTGCTGATCAGTTGTTAATGCATGTACTCACCCCACCCTGTTGTCCCCCTCTATTTCTACCTCTACCTCCCTTTTCCTTTCCTCCCTCAGATGGACAGAATCAATTTTCTCTCCTTCTTCCTCCTTTGCTTGACTTCGGTTGCCAGTGGCAACAAAGGTCAGTTCCTCATCCTTTAAACTGTTAATTGTGAAGTGTGGAGAAGCTGGTTTTTTTTGACTGCCATGGGAGCACGTACAGTAGTCCTGCCAAGGTGCCCAGGCGGGACCATGGCCGTGTTTTTTGCCCCTAAATGTACCTTATAACTTTACTGCTGTGTCTAGTTCACATTCCTCATCACAAAAACATTTCATTTGTTGTGACAGACGTACATATTTGTACAATTTGTGTCTCGTGACCCCATGAGCATGTGCGTGTTTGTCGCCTGGGAGAGATGATAAATCTGTTTCCTCCTCTGTAGCAGATTTATCATCCAGGATAACCACGACTCTGATTCAACATCATTGTTTCGGTTATTACCACGCCGGGGGAAGGAGAACGAAGCGGACAGCAAAAGGGGGAGAATGTCAGGGGAAGAGGAGGAGGAGGAGGGAAGGACGAGGAGAGGGAAGGAGGGATAGAGTGTCAGGAGAAACAGAGGGAAAGAGGTTAGGAGAGACAGAGGAGAAGGAACCGTGACAGGAGCGGAGAGGACGTGGCTGAAAGGATGTAGGGTGGAGGTGGTGGTTGTGTTAGTGGTGGTGCGCGAGATCAGGTGACACGAGGGGGAATAGGAGAGGATACTGGACAGTCTCATGTGTATGTGTGCGTATATATGTGTGTGTGCGTGTGTGTGTCAGTGAGACAGACCAGGAAGGGTGGGGGGGATAGTTGTGGAGCGATAGAGTGACAGAGGGAGGAAGAGTGCCAGAGAGATGGAATGGGATGCCTCTCAGTCTGTAATCCCGGGTGTAATCCACGGGCCTGATGCTCAGATTAATGCTATATTGCAGAGAGGGAGGGAGGGAGATCAACTGAGGGAACAGAGGGCACAAAATAAATGACCAAAAAAGAGACACGACAGAGGAGTGTGGAGTAGAGGAGGAGGAGACGGTGTCTGTCTGGATCTTTAGAGGAGAGGATAAATATCTCTGATGAGGTCTGGGTATTGAACGTCAACATTATAAAAACACAGAGAATTGAAATCTGTCTGGTACGGTCGTCTTGGCCAAAAATGAGATTGAATACTTTATTAAGATCCAGATTTTTTCCAATGTCACACTCTTAACTCGGTTTATGTATGGAAATTAACTCTGAATAGGAATGTGAGCTTTTTTGTTGAATTGAAAATTAGTCAAGGATTTTCTCTTTCGTTTTCTTTTTTCCACTCAGAGGGCCAGCAAATGATAACTGCTGTTTTGGATTAATCTGCTGATTACTTTCTCCATTTTTGGTCTGCGGAAGTCAGAGCTGAAAAATGATAGCTTGGCTATGGCCACTAAATTTGCTCTTTTTGGATGACAAACAGTACAGCATCCATTAATATTCAACTTTTTAAGAACGTAAAAGAACCATCAAAAAGTTTACTTTTATTTCACTGTCAGTCAGAGTTGTCCCTGCACAGGAGGTAGGAACAATTTAGCATGGAAATACCACTGAAAATGCCTCATAATTAAATTCTGTTAAGGATTATCATGTGCAAATTTGCTGAAAACGAAACAAAACAATCCAATTTAGCTTCAACTAGTTCTTATCAGGCTGCTGAAATACTCTTTTCAGAGTGGTTTATGGAATTGAGTGATAAATAATACTGATGCACTCAAGGTTGAGTCATTTTCAACCAAATTAATAAACATTAATAAGAAAGTGTAATATTTATCACCATGATGGAACAGAGAAAAACCTTAAAATGACGAGAAATCAAGCATATCTGAGACAAGTTACAAATCAATATAAGAGCTGAATAGTTCAATAATTTATGAGTTTTGACAATCAATTAATTAATCATGCGTTTCTGTTTCCAAGAGAAGATGCCAAACATTTACTAGTGCGATCCACTTCATGGTGAAGATAACCCATTTACAGTTTCCTATAGAGGAAGCTGTATGCAGAATTTACAGATTCATTACATCACTTTTCATTTTTGAAATATTTTATACACCAAGCAACTGATGATAGTAATCAGCCCATGAACAATTATGGAGAAATCATCAAGTGCAGCCGTGTGAAACACATTTAATCTGCACCTGGATGTAATACCTGAGGGCCTATACAGGTATTATCAAGTTCAGGTATAAGACCAGTCCCTACAATCAGAGAATTTTCCAGCACTGCCCTGCCCTCCTTTTAAAGAGAGAGAGAGAGAGAGAAGTTAGATCAGATTCAGAGCCAGCAGTGTTTCTCCTCTGTCGACTCCCCTCTCACAGTTGAGACAGCAGAATTAGTTCCAGTCAGATTTTGTGGAAAATGTTCAGTGTAGACAACAAAGCAGCAGCTAAACACAAGTGCTGTTCTTCTGTCTGATTTCAAACTCTGCAGCTCCAGTCTCTCAGATTGAGGACAACAGAGGGGGAGGCACTCCAGTTTTTGTGTCTTTTATTTTTTTCTCTCTCTTTGCTGGAGTGTAAAATCGTCATCCTTCTGGCTCATTAACTTGGCCTTTGATCATCCGGCACAGAACATTCAGCACAGGGATGAATAATTAATTTGCAATTAAAGGTTAAACTCACAGTAAACCTCAGGCATTTAATTTGGCTGTTTTTCAGTGCATTATTGTGCGGCGCCTGTGGTCGGCCAGTTTGGCTGATTGATATGAGCAATATAGCTCCCTGTGTGTGTGATAAGGTGAGATCTGACTGGCTTTAATTATACTGCCAACAAGAGAGGAGAGCAGAGGGAACAAGAAGAGGAGGAGGTCTACATGGAGAGAGGAAGAAAGAAAGGGGAGTCTGTGAGGGTGCGGGTGTGATTAAACCGAGTCTTTGTGGTCACACACATGTATACGTTCTGTATTTCTCCACTTATGCACACTCTCACCACATCCTCGCTCATAATGGAGTGTTAAAAATAGACACGCTGGTCCTTTCTAATTGCTCCGTTTAACCCAAAGCCTTTTCGGTCTCTCTCTTCTTCCTCTCTGTGCCGTTCAGCCAATAAGCACAAGCCATGGATCGAGACAGAGTACCAGGGGATTGTCATGGAGAACGACAACACCGTGCTGCTCAATCCCCCTCTCTTTGCCCTGGACAAAGACGCTCCACTACACTACGCCGGTAACACCTACGAGGAATATAGGCTGAGAGAGAGAGAGAGAAAGAGAGGGAGAAAAAAAAATCCATTAATTTGCTTGAACATCCACAGAGCTGTGAAAAATAGGTCAAATCGAGTGCTGGGCCAGCCAAATTGAAAATTATCTCACCAGGCCTTATTGGACTTAAATAGTAAACATAATTTTTTCTCAGGGAAGAGTTTTGCGCTAACAGATTGCTGCCATATTTCCCAATAGACAGTCTGAATATTAATGGCAATATATCCAGTCACAGAGTCCCTCTATTTTTAACCCATCATAGTGTAATTCAACCCTTCATCTCAGGGGCAATCTACAGCGCTCGCCCTACCTCTGCAGCCTGATGAAATAAGGTTGTCATGTTTGCACTCCTGGAAATAACCATGTTCAGTCTAATTATAAGAGTTCAACTAGAATTACTCGAGCGCTCCCTGAAATTCTATTGGGCTCGTGTCAAGAAGGAGGAGAAAATTAGCTGTTTGAGCAGGAACCTTCCCCACCTTCGACTGGTGTCAGCCGAGGGAAGATCAGCTGCAGGCTTTTATTTGGTGCTCAGCTGCTGTCTGTTTTATTCTCTGCCCTAAAATGATTGTATTAAACCAAGTGCCACTTAGAGGTAAATTACAAGATATCCGTATGCACTCTTCCAATCATCTAAGAGTGATACAACTTTTCAGCTTCCCAATAAACCCCCACAGTTACTTCAGTATTGACATTTGGTCAAGTATTTTCCTCACTATAGTTGCATACTACTAATTTTTAATACGATAAGAGTGTTAGAAAGCAACAAAAAGACAAACATACCATCACCTTTATTTTGTAGTCTAGACTGTAGGGTTTCCCACCGGGATGTGAGGTTGAGTGCAAAACCTTTAAATGTATGCTGAAGGTAGACAGAGAGCTCTTAAAGTAATAAAGAAATCTATCCTAAATCTATTCTATAGTCATCAGGATTTGTTGTTGTTGTTGTTGTTGTTTCACTCTCAGATGGTAAAGCTGCCTCTCAGACAGATAAGAGTCAGAGCTACAATAATAAATCTAATGCAGAACAAAAGCGTAAATAGTTTGAACATGTCAAAACCTTGGGAAGTCATAACAAAGAACCACTAAACCAGAGAATTTGGACGTTTTTAATTCAGAGAGTCAGCATATTCATGTGTCAGCATGACTTATTCTTTGATTTGCTTAACTTTCTCTGCCTCTTTCAGGTGAAATCTGTGGCTTCCGGGTTCATAATGGCCCCTCAGGTTCAGGTACGGTCCAGTTTGAAGCCGTGGTTCTGGACCGATCCACCGGAGAAGGTCTTGTCCGGTCCAAGGAGCCGCTGGACTGTGAGAGCCAGCGGGAGCACAGCTTCACCATCCAGGCTTATGATTGTGGAGAGGGACCAGACGGAGTCAACAGCAAGAAATCACACAAGTTAGTCCACCTCTTTGCCTCTCTCTTTTTATAGAGGTCAAGTAATGTTCTCAGTAAAATAAATGTTGATTTAAATCAAGTTTAGATCACAGTTTGAATTGAAAAGTGAGAAAGTGAAATTAAAAAGGCTCAAATATGTGATAAAAAAATCAAAATCACGTGATTTAAAGTCATATTTATGAGATAAAAGGTCAAAATTCTACATTTAAAAAAACATAATTATGTGAAAAGTACATATTGTTGATTGAAAGATCATATCATTTGAGCATCTAGATATGCTTTTATTTTGAAACAGGAATTTGTAGATGCTCCAGTTTGAATGCTAGGTCTTTCTTTTTACTAGGGGCTGCTTTCATCCTACCTGTGAAATTTGATTTTGATTTTTTTGATTTTTTTAAAATTTTTGATTTTTTTAATTGTCTCATCGAAAAATATGGTTGAAGTGCCATAAATATAAGTTAAGAAAAAACCTAAACATTGAAAGTCAGAGTTATGAGATAAACAGTAAAAAGTAAGAGTTCTTAAGGAAAGTCCAAACTATGAGATTAAAAATATTTTTTTAAAAGAACAGACATTGGGAGAAAATTTGTAGTTTATGAGGACTAATCAAAGAGATAACAGTCATGATATTTTAAGAGTTACATTTAGATAAAAAAAAAAAAGGTCAAATTAATGACATCAAAAAGCTAAAAACGAAGGATAAAGACTCTTAATTTTGAGACAATGATTGGAAAAACTCAACATTTTGGGGGGATAAAAAGTCCTTTTCCAGGTCAAAAGTAAAATTAGAACACAAAGCAAAAAGATAACATTTTAAAGTGAAACTCTAACAATGGCATTAAAAGCCTGATAATTTATGTTATCTCATTTTGATGAATCTTATAAACTGTAGTAAAATCTCTGCAGCTCAAAATCTGGATTAACTGTGTTGTTTATTTGATATCACATTTTCATCTGGTTTTGCTCTAGTACTGGCAGACATTGGCTCCTCTGTCCTCCAAACTCAAAAAGAGATTTATTACTTCAAACAATAACTACAGCCTCTGTCTGCTGCTCTCTTGGCTGTGTGCTGTTATGACCATCCAGCCTGTTTCTGCAGCCTAATGTGACCATACCAATCCTGCTCTCTCTCTCTCTCTCTCTCTCTCTCTCTCTCTCTCTTTCTTTCTGCTGGCGTTTTGCCTCCCACTCTTGCTTCCCTCAGGGCCACCGTGCATGTTCGTGTTAACGACGTCAACGAGTTCTCCCCTGTGTTCGTCGAGCGTCGCTACGAGGCTTCAGTCCCAGAAGGTCGTCTGTTTGACAGGATTGTGCGCGTGGAGGCCCTGGACGCCGACTGCTCCCCTCAGTACAGCCAGATCTGTTTCTATGACATCATCACGCCCAATGTGCCCTTCGCTATTGACAATGATGGTGAGACATGTTTTCCTTCAACTTATTAGTATTTGTCTTTCTCTCCTGCCAAGAAACCATCCCCTCATCTGTAACCATAACATTTCTATTTTACACTGTCTGCACGATCATCTCTGTGTGGCTTCACATGAAAGAAGTCATTTAATTCAGGTTTCAATTCAGTATGCAACCCAGGATGTACTGTTCACGCTGGAGAGACACACACACTCACTCACACACACACACACACTGCAGATACTGCTGAGGTGACAGAGTAGGAGCAGCATCTTAATTCCCTCACAGGTAGAAACCAAAAGATGTTAAAATAGACTTTGTGTAGGCGGACGATTGTTCTGTCTCTGCATAAACACTGCAGCAGCTGTTCTGTTTAATATAGCATCCTTTCTTCTAGACTCGTTAAATTCTTCTCCTCGTATCCATTGACCAGCTGCGGAGAGATCAATTGTAATGTGACACAGCAGCTGAGGAGGACCCTGTTTGAGGATGACTCTGCAGATTTGCCCTCGACTCACTCGGAGGGTTTTAAGAGGATGAAGCAGCTCCTTTCTTTCTTTTTTGCTTTTTTGGGTCAGACTGGTACAGCGGCAGCAGCGGCAGCAGCACAGAGACCTTTTGTTCCAACCTTGTTTCAACACTGTGGGCTTGTCATTGTCTATTTTCTTTCTCCTTACTTTGTCTTTTACTATCTCTTTCATCCCTCTGTTTCTCCTCTTGCCATCGCGCAGCATCGTCTGTCGTACCTATTGTTTGTCAGCTGGCATGCTGAGCGCTGTCAGCCAATCTGACTTTATCTCTAAAAAGCAGTGGGGAAAAAACATGTTTTATTCTGTTTTTCTGCATTCAATCTCCCTCTATGTGTTTCTCCTGCTACTCTTGACTATAGAATGTGCGGGAAAGGATGACGACTCTGTCAATTAGCAGAAAGAAGGCTTATCAATGCATGCTCATCCGTGCTAGGTTTTCAATTATTCAAGCTTGTTGTTGATGACTAACTCTTCTATTTCTGTGTCTTTTATCCTTTGATTCATTCTTCTCTCGTCCTTATCTCTCTTTGTCTCACTCCGTCTCCTAGGCAACATTAAAAACACAGAGCCGTTGGATTCAAAGCGTCAGCGCGTTCACACCTTCTGGGTGACCGCCTTCGACTGTGGGAAGAACCGAGCTCAGGCTGACGCTCAGGTTGTCGTCACTGTCAAACCGTCCTGCAAACCTGGCTGGATGGGTAAAACACCTATTTCTTTATTTCACCCTAGATAGTCATGTTTGGATGATTAGTGAGGCTTTGGAGATGTGTTTTAGCTGTGTTATCCATCTCTATTTGGCTGAAACTATCACTTTAATCTGGAATGTGTGTGGGCTCCCACTTGGATGAATCACCTTTGCATGTTTATATCAAGAGCAGAGTTTTAAAGAGGAAGAGCTGTAGCCAAGTTACACCAAAGCAAACCAATTACATAAGCTGTTAAAATCACGCATAACGCCGCTGAACTCACCCCGACATTAGATCTGTCTGCAAGATGAGCGAGCACTGTTTACTGACAGACTCTCAAGTTCACGGATGTGACATATTGCATCTCTTTACATAGATTCATTTTAAACACACTGCAGAGCTGTTTCAGTGCAGTGTCACAGTTTTAAATATTAGTTTCCAGATTTGCACATATAATGTCAAGAAAATGGTTCATATAAAGACAGATAAATAGCATGAAAACAAGTGATAATTCTTGCCCATGTTAAAATATCAACAGGAACCAAACTGAGTATAGAGATGCACCAATCCATTTTTTTCCAACCCAATCCAATACCGATACCTGGGCTGAGCGTATCGGCTGATATCCGATACCAATCCAATACTACTGTTGAATGAATGAACTGTATACTTTGCCCTGTGGGTGAAGGCATCAGGCTTGACATTAGCCTTGTTAAAAATAGTTAACAAATTAACACAGAAATAATGTACTTAATATTATTTATGAACAATAACAAATTGCACATTAGCACACAGCAAAAAGAAGTTAGACTTCCGTGCGCTAAAAGAAAAAATAATTAAAAGAAAAAAAAAAGACTGAATCAGAACGCTGGATTGGCATCATTCATCAGATACCCGATCAAGTTAATTGGTCAATATTGGTGCTGGTATCCGATCCAAATATCGGATTGGTGCATCCCCAAATGAGTACTCAGGTTCCAGGTCAAAATGATGCAAAACTTATATTAATTGAAGTTAAAACTAGTATTAACTACAATCTAAACCTCTGAGTTAACCTCTATTAAATAAAAAATGACTAAATTTAATCCTAGATTTTTTTAAGTCACATGTATAACTTAGTAAACATCTCTTTCATGTGAAGGACATCTCTTTCTCTGAAGTGTTTAAAAGTCAGAGGATGGTTGTTACCAGACTGACTGTGCACAAAATTATGCTCGTTCTTGGCCTTCACGACAAATGCGCTAAAAAAAACATCACCCTGTACATTTATTTACAAATACATAAATTAACTACATACACAAATATTTATTTGTACCAAGCTGTAATCATGTTAAATTTTTCTGTAAAAATTGGCATTTCAACCATCCATGGCTTTCCCTTTCAGCCTCAGTTGGTATTAGGGGAAACAACATTTTTTAAATAGGAGAGGTGTCCACTTTCTAAAATATAAGAGGAGACTTAACCTGAAGCATGCTGTCCAGTATTTCTAGGATTCAGTGGTCTCATATTATACTTTCAGGTTATAATCTGGATTTAATGACATATTATTATTATTATTATTATTTTTAAGGCTGGACCAAGCGTGTTGAGTACACACCTGGGTCTGGAAGCATCCCCCTGTTCCCCAGCCTGCACTTGGAGACCTGTGAAGAGACTGTATGGAACATCCAGGCCACCGTAGAGCTCCAGACCGGCCACATCGGGAAAGGCTGTGACAGGGACAGTTACTCTGACAGATCTGTGCGACGGCTGTGTGGTGAGATCTTGTTCGAACCTCAAAACTGTCGCGTTATCTAGTGCCAAGACCTTTGTCATCGACCGCCTCTCTTTGTTGTTCCTCAGGTGCTGTGAGGGGTGAAGTTGACCTCCTCCCGCCCCCATCCCCTGCTGCTAACTGGACCGCAGCTCTTCCTACTCTCCCTTCCTCTGATTCATCTCTTGTCTTCTCCTTCAACGGGTCAAACCACGTCGCCGTGGTGCCGGATTCTGTTGTCTCTGCACTATCAGGCGATCACTTCACCCTGCAGCTGTGGATGCGAAGGGGCGGGGCTAACATCCAGCCTTCAACCACTCAGACCAGAGGAAACCGCAAAGAGGAGGAGACGATTGTGTGCAGCACTGTCAGGAATGGTAGGTTAAATCATGAAGTGACTGCGTAGGAATTTTGGAGAACATTTGGAGAGATATTTGGTTAGAAAGGCGAAAGAAAATCAGACAGCCAACCCACGGAGGGTTACTCAGGACTGCGGGTGAAATCACAGCTGTTTAAAGGTTCAACAGCTACTATCAAGGTGCTCTTGAAAGACACACTTGAACCCAGCTTCTACAGCCAAGTGGAGAGTAAAACATTGTTATTGTGCCAGGAAGGATCTTGTTTGTATGTTGTGAGTGTTGTCAGGTGTATAACTTTGTAGGCTGCAGAGCTAAAAGGCAGCAGGTTCAGCGGACTTTCCCTTTTTTTAAAGGCACAGACGGATTAAAAACGATTAAAAGTTCTTTTGTTGTTTATTCTCTTCAGACGTGCCTCCTTATGTTCAGGTGTTTCCAGGAGACCACACTGACCCACTAACTCTTCCTTTGCCCCCCAGATGACTCCTTTTCCCACTACTCCCTCTCCGTCCACGGCTGCCGTCTGTCCCTCTTTTACTGGCCCGATGTCTCTGCTGCGCGGCCTGTCAAGTTCCTGTGGAAACTGGAGCAGGTACTGAGGGAACTGCAGCGCTCAGCTTTGATGTTCTTACTTACACTGTTTCTTTTGTGTTTGTACCCTCAAATTAAGCTGAAACAGTTATACTTGTGCATGCAAACCATCTGGCTTATGCCCTGGAGGGATTATGAGACACATATTTCAAATAACATCCATTTTCTGACAACAGAACAACACTGACATTACAAAAACTTTCAGATAACATATTTATTCAGAAACATTTCACCTGAGTTCCTTTCTCCTCCCGAGGCTATCCAGAAAAATAACTTTTCTAAATGTTTTATGGTTTAAAAAAAGCCAGCTGGGTCTTATTGCATCAGCCTGTATTCTCAAAATCAGTTTATGTTTTTATCTTATTGAATTAAGCGCTGTGCAGCTCAGACTATGAAGGATAACAGGAAATAAAATGGAACAAATTTCCATTCAGACAGATAATTGAATATTCCTTCTTTTGATTTCAGAGTTAAGCAGTAAAATTTTTGATATTAACTTCTTTGCCTGTGATATGACAGATTCACAGCACCACACTTTTATTTATCAGCGTTGATATTTGTGTGTGTGAAAGAGTGCATGAAACAGACACACATGTCACATCCCTGCATGTGGTGTCAGTGTGTGTGTGTGTGGTTTCATAATGTGGGGGGCTCAGGGGAGGCTGATGGGGGGGTTTGTTTTGACTGAAGCCCCCAGCCCCAGACAGATTGAAGCGGCATGGATTAAAGGATGCTGAGCTGATACAGACAAGATTTGTCAAATCCTTCTGTCTGAACCACCATATCTCATTACCAGGGTCTGTCCTTTTTGGCTCTCTGTCTGTGATTTCTTCCTTTCCTTTTCCATGGAGAAATATAAAATTTATGGGCACTTGTGCTTAACCACGATTTAAGGGAACACAGTCACAACATTCATGTCACAGTTCAAGGTACTAGTAACTATCCAGATTAAGATCCATGAGGTTTTTAGAGCTCTTTTAGAACATTGTTGAAGTGTAAACCAGTGATACCTGAGACCTCTTACATAAAAGCACCATCAGCCAGGAGCCCCTTTGTTACGCTCAAGATTCCTATGAGCTGTAAACATACGTCCTAAAATATTTTCATTTCAATGCCTGCTAAAGCCCAAAGTGAATTATGTTGTTAAAGGTCCTGTAAGTAACTTTTGGCTTGTGTTGGTTTTGGTGCCCCCTGTAGACGAAACGGTACATCCCAGCTGTTTGTTGATCTTGCCCCAGACACACAAATCTCACCCAGCTTTCTCTAACAAGTCAAATGCATCATTCATTATGAATCTTCTCTTTAATAGTCTTATCTTCAAGAAGGCAATATCCTATTCTGCAGCAAGGGTCACAGGTACATAATTCGATATGATGTGTTAGGATACGATAGGATACGATGCACAATACAAAACGATACGATACATGATACGTGATACAATTCAATATCATACTGTACACTTTATTTATAAAATGACTCAAAGGGAATCAGTTTCATCGCAAGCTAAAAACTCCTTGTAAGAACAAAGATAAGACAACTTAAAATACAGTTGAGTTGTGATATAAAGTTGAACTTTTCATTTTTTTCTGCTCCATTTATCATCATATTTTTTAGAGGATCTCTGTGAGGGGCCTGACCCTGTATTTGGAAACTACAGGCCTACATTTCTAATCTGAACATAATGTAGTTTAAAAAAGCTACTTTGGAGTGTTTTTGGTTTCTGCATATTTTTATATTTCCTGTTTAAACAGAAAGCTTTGAAAGTTGAAGTGCATAATGGTGCTTACTGGAAGTCAGAGACTCTAAAGCGCCATTAGGAGAACCTACAAAACTGTTTTGGAGTCAGTTGCTGGAATGAAAGTATCACATCCCACTAGCATTAATAGTCAAATGTATTTCTAATTGCAAGTACTTGCTGTTAAAATCTATAGGAGGGGTTTCTTTTTAGAGTTCTGTCAGTCATTTGGTCTCATATCTACCCTGTTAAAAGAGGTTTCAAGCACTAAAAAGTCTAATATAGAAATTTTCACTTAAGCTGCTGTTGGACTTGGTTTTGCTGGTCATGAAGAGACATCAGTACCAATCAAAATCTGTTTCTAAACAAATGTAAAACCTCCTCACAGGATCCTTTTTTTTAATAATCAGATTTTGTTTTATTTTTGTAATTTACGTAGAACCATACATCATTTTAATTCAAACAAAAAAACAAAAAAACAAAAAACAAAAAGAAGGGTAAACAAAGAAAACCTCCAACAACAACAACAAAAAAACGCATCTTCAGTTAAAGAAATATGTGTCCTTGTACCTATAAAAACACTGTCTCCCCTCCGTACAGTTTCACTTAAACCTTTAGGCAAGTAATCCATTAGGGGCCGGCATGTGTCCATAAAGATATCATCATTCCCTTTCTCACGGGGTCTTTTAATGAAAGATCTGACTTGTACTCGGACCCCTGACTCCTGTAAATCAGTAGAAGTCCAGATGTTTACCTCTGTGGGATTGTTTGGACTGTTTTTTGTCTAGGATCATGTTGACTCCGTGTTATCTGTGTCCAACAGGTATGTGACAGCGAGTGGCATCATCTTTCACTCAGTGTCCAGTTCCCTTCAGTGACCTTGTACGTAGATGGCGTGACCTTCGACCCTGCTCTCATCCATGACAACGGAGCCATCCCCAACCCCGCCCCCCGCCAGAGGATGTTCATCGGCGCCTGCTGGGGTACGACAGTAAAATTTACGCTCTGCGAATCATCCCCCCACTGACACACATTTCATTCCAGCTTCCTGTGCAAGCAGAGAGCGACAAATCCTGTTTTTTTCTTTTTGCATTAATACTACGAGCAGAAAATGTGAATTCCTCTGCTGCTAAAATGTCATTTAAATTAAATCTCACATCACCGGCAAAAACAGGCTGACAATCTGGGGTAAGCAGCAGAACCTCACGATCTATCACAAGGCATCACAACCTGCCGAGACGTTTCCCCTCCTGTCTTTCACTCCCTGGTTTCACTGACTTATAATTTGGTTGATGTATTTTATCTTCGAGGGCTAATAATATAACTGACTTCATCAATTATTCAGGGCAGCAGAACAACACGAGGGCCAGACAGCTATCAGCCACTTACACTCCAACCGCTGGTTAAAATGGGAAACTCGGGCTGCCAATTAACTGTGAAACACACACACGCACACACACACACGCACACATAGATAGACACTGCACTTACACTCTGAAGTGAAAGCTGCTCTTCTCCCTGTTTGGCAACAGCTGCTGCCAGATAATGAGGAGATGGTGAATTTCTGAATATCATCAGCGGGTTTTCTTTTGCCTGTGTTTTCTCACTTGTGTTCGCCGTGCGTGTGTGTGTGTTTTTTTAATTCTTCTTGTCAGTCTCTGGCACCCTCACTCCTTCTTGCACTTTCTTCTCATACCTAGTATTTTTCTGTTTTTGTCTCTGCTGTCTGGTTTTCCCTGCAGAGCCAGAAGAAAAGCAGAAAGAGATTCTAAACAACACCATCCCAGAGGGGAAAGACTCAGGTGACCTCCCTGTTTTCTCGCCGTCGCTGGCATGAGGCTTTTCAGTCTGTTGTCTATCGTTGATGTGCTTATTGCAATATGAATATGGTCTTTTATAATCCCCTGTCTTTGGTTTTTTAGTCAAGTATGTTGGAGGGTACCACGGCCTGTTGTCAGGGGTGACAGTGCGTCCAGGCAGCGTGGAGCCTCACAGTGTGGTCGAGTGTCTGTACGCCTGCAGGGAGGGGCTGGACTTTGGAGACCTGGAGACCCTGGGCTCTGGCATGAAGGTAACAAGTCAGAATGACACATTATAATGAAACAGGAGCGCAGTAGAGTCATATTTAAGATCTGGAATGAAATCCTGTGTCGAATTTCCGTTCCTTCTTATGTTTTTAAATCTTTCTAAAGACTGTGAATTACTGTTAGTCCTTTCCAGCGCTTTTAAAAAACCCGACCTAATTAAAAGCTCTCAACAAAATTATATATTTTGATAATTGTAATAAACTCAAAAAGAGTTTGTATTCAAATCTGCTCCCATAAACTTATTTCCTTATACTGACAGAAAACCAAAGAAAAGTCTTTTGTTGACTTATGGAGAAATGTTTCTTTTATTTATCAGTGTTCATTATTCACATTGTACTAAATAAATCTTTCTTTAAGCAATCACTGGGTTAGATCTGACACATCATTACTTATTGAACTCCGTCAATCTCAGTGCCTGTGTTAGATCTGATTTAATTTTGATTTTTACATCTACAGGAAGAATTACTAACTAAGTTTTTCTCTTCAAATTGTTCAGAGTTAATTGTATCTTTATTCATTTCATTATGTTATGCATATGTGGTGATGGGTTTTTTACAGACACGTTTTGGTTTGCATGATAAAGCGGTGGCAGTTTTGCCCAAAGGAGGGTCTTGATTGAATTTTTCTTCAATTTGTTTCACCCGTGCTCATATTTTCGCAACCCCTCTGTGCTCTTTAATTCTGTTTTCATACCTGCTGTGGACGTGTCACAAATGAAAGAATATATTCACAATTTTCAGAACTCAACGGGAGGAAATATAGCAAAGAATATCTGTTTCAAACTTGAGACGAATAAGAATGTTTTATTCACAAATAGATAGCATGTTGCCAGATGTGTTTCAAACTTCTTCTTGAAGTAATTTGTGAAGCCTGAAGCGTTTACCCGAGGGTGAATATATGTTTTATGATTTAGAAGGTATTATATGTTTTGTTACACATTATGTTTATTAAAGAGAAGAAACGTAATTTATGTCATAGGGGTTTACAGGTACAAATAATTCAGTTTAATACAGTTCATAGTTTTTAAATCTCAGCTGGGAACATTTACATGACAGTGAAGGAAACAAATACAACATTTTTTTTTTCTTTTAACTATTTAAATGAAAAATATGACAAGCATTCACCACAGGACATAACTATTTTGGGTTTTAGTCGTGTTTTGGTGTAGCTGCAGCTTCTCGCTCCTCTGCTGTCTGCATGTTGGAGCTTTGTGGGGATGGGCTGGCACACATGCGTTCACATACAAACATACAAACAGGGATGTCACACCATGCTGATCTGGACATCAGCTTCCTTGCTTGTGTGTTATTAGCTGTTTTATATGCTTTTACCTCCGAACATCTTAATTAGATTGAAGAGAATCAAGAATTAAGCCTCTCTTTGGTTTTTCAGGTTCACGTTAACCCCAGTCAGTCAGTGTTGGTGCTCGAGGGAGACGACATCGAGAGCTTTAACCGCGCCGTGCAGCAAGTGACCTACAGGAACTCTCTACGCTTTGCAACTCCTGGAGTGCGACCCCTGAAACTGACCACCTCACTCAGGTACAAACACACACACACACACACACACACACACACACACACACACACACACACACACACACACACACACACACACACACACACACACACACACACACACACACAAACACATTATTAAGAGCGTTCTCAATAAATAAAGACCTGAATAAGGAATAAGATAAAGCATTTTATAGAAGAAGTAAAAGTACACAATGAAGCAAAACAATTTCCTCCTATATATTTTTCTATCGTTATTGTGTCCTTGAAAAGTCTCTCTCCTTGCAAAGCTTTACAAATAAAATGTATTATTATTATTATTATTATTATAAAAAGTTACCAGTATAATGTCACTCAAGTGGGTGTTTATAAACAGGATGTCTTGTTTGGTTAGTTGCTTCAAAAGTATGTGTAGAAAACTGAAAGTTAAAATCATTTCCTTTATGGAGAAATCTACTTTTCATTTAATAAATAGATTGCTGGGTTTGCAAAAGACATGAAACATTGTGGACAAAATAACCACGGCAAAGTGAGTTCTTGTTGTTCAGTGCAGGCTGGTACTGGTTTCACAAATATCACGCGTCATTCTCACAGTCACGTGACAAAGGTATCCTCCCAGTTCAGTAGTCCATTCAAGCTGCAAGATTTCTGGTCTCCTCCTCTGCTTTGTCATTGCCGCTGCTGCTCTGCAGTAGTGCTGCGCTTATCCTCTCAGCCCCAACATCTGCACAGCATCCACCTGCAGGCTTTGGCTATGTGGCTTAAGATATTATCACATTACTCCTCAAATATCTACAATTTAGATAAATCTGGCAGGAGCTATAAGGTCAGAGAGTAGAAACCAAACAATACAGAAGCAGAGTTGGGGATTCTGGCAGTACTTCACCTATTTATTTCTAGTCTTAAATGGTCAAAGCCCCAGCAACACACGTAGTGAAAAGAAACATTTTCTTTAGCAAAGAGACTAAACACAACTCACCCACTCTCTTCCAGCAGCCACTTGTTTGTACGGAGACCTCAGGCGAGTCCATTACTGCAGCGGGGTGACGCAGCTTAAGGAAGAACATATATGATAATTTCTTCATGGAAATGCAATCAGACCGAGACGCTAAGGCAGAAGAACTACTGCGTCTGCAGTGCAAAATGATTAATATGGTGATTATTACTTAAAGGAAATGATAAAGTAATGATCATAAATGTTCTTCCTTGAGCTGCATCACCCCGCTGCGGTAATGGACTGGCCTGAGGTCTCTGTACAAACAAGCGGCTGCTGGAAGAGAGTAGGTGAGTTGTGTTTAGTCTCTTTGCTAAAGAATTTAGGGAAAGTAAAAAAGATGTTTGGTGGCTGGTGCTGTGGCTGGGACCCTATATGTCCTGTTGATGAAGTTAGGTGTTGTTCTGAGCATTATTTGTGGCTATAGAGTGGCGTTTTGGCTGAGCGCTTGGCTCCTGGGACCGCTGTGTATTGCTGTTATTACTAAAGTTAGTTTAACTATAGCAGCAAGCGGCGACAACATTAATCTTGTGTGTCTAACTCGGTGTTACGGTTAATTAATTTTACCCCGAATATCCCTTTAAAGCAGGCTTTGACAGTAAATAATACTGTGTTACTTAAGTACAGAAGTTAAACCAACTGCATTTTCAAGAAAGTAAATTGAAGCAGTTGAAGACCCAAAGGTAAATCATCACAAACAACATCTCTAAACAACACAAACGACAGTCGGTCACAGTTTTACAGGAGTGTGTGGGAGTCCAGCAGTTAAAGGAAGGGTCGCTCTGTGGACTCTGCGGCTGCTTTGACATTGAACTCATCAAACATGGACCTTGGCTGGCTGTGATAAGAAGCAGCATAGCATGAAAGAAACGATTATATAGAGAGTATGTCAAAGACAGAGATAAGACAGAATATCTTATCTCTTTGTTCGCTCTGGCTCCAAGTGAGTTTGGCTTTGTTGGAGAGTAAACTGCAGGTGATGCATTCTTCTTGGTTTTGTTGTAACTGGAGTTGAAGGGAAAATCCTGTTTCTCTTTTGAGTTAAAGCTGATCTTATCTGTTAGTATTTTACAGAATTATTCCCACTCGATAGAAACTTCTCACACAACCAAGATGTTTCTATTTTTGCTCCCTCGAACACTTCTGGACACGCTGTTCAGCTTCTTAACCATCCTTGGGTCCTGAATGCATCACACTGAATCACCTGGCTGTGAAAATAAAAGCACACCAGCGTCTGTTTGCGGGTCAGTGCTCAGCCATGCTTAACAACTGTGAACTGGCTTTCTGGCTTTAGCAGTCACTTTCAGCTGATCAATTATTAATTCACTCTGGCTCCAGCGTCCAGCACATAAACTCTGCGCTATACTTTGTATCTATACCAGAACTAGTTACCAAGATTAGATCTCATCAATTTATCACGCTCTGCAAATCGTCTTTTTACTGTCTTTTGGTTTTTTTTTAACCGCGTTCATGGGATTAAACTGATTACTAGGCCACAAGTCCATGCTGGAGTTGTATTTTCTCAGCGTTTTAAAGATTTCACTGATTCAAGGTCACGGGGAGATTTTTTCTCACTTGGTTTCTGCTCAAGTGTACCAGAGTTTTTTTTTTTTTTTCCTCCTGCAGCATGTTTCATTGCGTGTGTGAAGATTAGACTGATTTGAGGCCAGGAGTTTCCCAGATGGCTGAACAGCAGGCCCTTCTGGAGAGGCCGAAACAAGCAGCTGCTCACTCTGATAGTTGAAAAAGCAATACACACACACACTCACACACACACTCACACACACTCACACACTCTCTCTGCTTAATCCCCCTTCAAATATGATTCTAAATTATAATGCAGACGAATAAATACATGTAAGCAGCCAGTCAGAAATCTGATTTCCTGGCAGTAAAACTCCACTTACTCCAGAGCTTCTGTGTTTTTTTTACATTTTCTGTTTTCAGACTTTCAACAGACCAAGTTTAACGACTGTCATGATGGAATTAGGGAGGTAGATGGAGAAATCATTTAACTGGATTTTGGCTTTTATGTACCTGAATACCCGCCAGCTGTCTTACTAGTCATTTCTACAGCTTTCCATATTTTAGTGGTGCTATTGGTTCAAGCTTTCCAAAGAACTCTGACTTGGTGGAAACAACAATAATGATGATATTAAGCATGTTTCATATCTGTTTTTAATCATCTTAGTTAAACATAATGGCATGTCAGCTGTACAAACTTGCATTTCACACCAAGTGTAGCTAATCTGCTCACATCACCCCTGTCTTATCGCGTCTACCGGTCAATTTTCATATTCATTTTACAATTTAAGGACCCCCCAATGTATCTCTGATTTGTTGTCCCCCTACTACCTAAGGCGCACCCTTCAGTCATCAGACCAGAACACCCTAATGGTGCCGAACACACGTTTTAAAACTCAGGGAGACCGGGTTTTTAAGACTGTAGCCCCCAGACTCTGGAACAATCTGCCTTTCTCCCTCCGTTTGATCGACTCTGTGGATACTTTTAAAAAGCAGTTGAAGACTCTTTTATTTAGACAAGCTTTTAAATAACAGGGTTTTGTTTGTCTCTTTTACTCATCTTTTATATCGGCACTCATTTCCATATTCACTTGTACTGTATTTGTATTTATGTATGTGCTTATCTTTTTTATACCGTTTTTTGTTTATCTAATTGCACTTAATTTATGTACAGCACTTTGTGATTTCTTTCAGTGAAAAGCGCTCTATAAATAAACTTTACTTACTAGCTAAGGCTAATACTAATAAAGCGGATGGGAACATCATCACGTTTGCAGCTATGTGGTTATAAACCTCAGTTCTAAACAAAGACTGTGAGAAATGATAGACATCATTGCAGCCCCCAAAAGCAAAGGCAAATCCTTTACAGAGTGCTACAGCACAGGCCAGAGAGTTTCTCAATGGTCTTGTCTCAATGGTTCTATTCAACATGTACTTTTCTGGGTGCAAGTTTGTCCCTGTCGTCTTTGTCTCATTGGTTCTTTAACATACAGAACATGTTGTACCACTCTCGCTCACGTTTTCTGTAAAATCCTTGAAAGTGTAACAATAGAGTGACAGAACTGTTGCTGAATATGATGGCGTGTGTGTATATGCATGGAAGTACTTGTCCTTACTCCAAACTGGATGACCTGTTCTGGAAGGAAAAATGCTGAGGCAGTCTCTATTGATAAGTTCGTTTTGAGTTTTACATAAATCTTACAAAGCCTCATTTGGCTCCTGGTGTGGCTGTTTAATGTGATGTTACCAGAGTCAGTATCTGTCTGACTTCATGTAAAACTAGAAGAGCACTCGGAGAGCACAGACCTCCGCCAAGCAGCCTATGTTCCCCCTTATATTGTGATTCACACCAAAACTTTTACTGTTACGTGTCTTTTATTAACATTTATTTGTATTTAAACTGGTATGTTCACTGTTCATAATGTTCCTAAAACAAGAAATGCCCTGACCCGGATTCAAACCCAGGACCTTCTTGCTGTGAGGCGACAGTGCTAACCACTACACCACTGTGCCGCCCATTGGTTATCTTTAAGCACTGAAAATTCCAACGATACCCTTATTTTTGTGTGTTCTGGATCACAGTATCCAGAATTTTGTCTGGATCAGGATCAACCTTTGACACCTCATAAAGCTCATTGAGATCCTTTTGTGTAATTTTTTACTAAAGCCTCTGGCCATTTTTATAGAGTAAAATGCAAAAATTCTAAATTTGCCCTATCTCACAATGATAAAGAATCCTTCAAAAAATTCCTGGATCCAGAAGGCGATCCGGATCACCACCAAAATTTAATGGGAACCTCCTGGGGCTGAGACGCACCTCTGGTGAACATTTCAGGTCAATCCGTCTCTTACTTTCTCCATAAAGTTGTTCACAGACAATCAAACAAACCAACAAACAAACAAACAATCGAACAAACAAACAAACAAACAAACAAACAAACGCTACCGAAAACATCACCTCCTTGGCAGAGGTAACAAACTAAACAAATCTTTGAGCTTTACATTAATGAACATCTCTAGACTGCTCCTCTTTTCTGATTGAGGCTAGCAGCTGCAGGCTACATTATTCGCTATAACATGATGAACCCGAATCTTATGTGGCACCAGAGCCTGACACAGATGGACACGCATGAATTAAGAGTGACAATATCTCTCGCTCAGAAGCATCAATTTTGACACCTTTGTTGAACTGTCCATCATGTCTGACAGAGTCGCAGGTGTTCGGTGGAAAATCGGTGCAGTATTTTTTGTTTTATCATCAGTACTCTTGTAATGCATCCTGACAGGAAGCCATGTGGTACCCCAGAAAATCATGAGACCACCAAAGTTAGTAAGATCTATTTCTGGGCGCCATGAATGTTTGTATAATTTCCCTACTTTCATGGCAACATATCCTGGAGCTTTAGAGATAATTTAGGAGGAAGGATTCAAGAGACTGTCCATCATGCACCAGTGTTGCCAAATATTCTTTTTGACATCCTACTTTCAGATGTTTCAACGAGGAGAGCTGCCTCTCCCTCAAGCAGCTGGAAGGATACCTAGTGGTTCTGCAGCCTGACGCCCCTCAGATCTCTCTGTCCGGAGTTGGCCCTCATCTGGCCCGTCCTGCCCCTGAGTTTGAAGGTCCCCGTGGTGTCCCCCTTTTCCCTGAGCTCAGGATTGTGTGCTCCTTGTCTCATGCTGTCAACACAGCTGCACAGGGGATGGAAGGTGGAGGTGAGGATGCAGACCTGTCGTTGTTACACTCGCATCTCTCTGCTCTGTATCTGCATATGGAAATGACAGATTATCATTACTTGCATCCTTTGTTTCCTAAATCGTGTTTGTCATTGACGGTGTACCTTTCTTCTGCTTTTTAGCTCTGATGTCTGATGCTGTGGCTCATACCTTGGACGGCTGTGAGGTCCAGCCTCTTGGGGAGGAGCTTAACCCAGAGAGGGAGGAGCTCCTGGTGGACATGGATGTGGTGCGAGAGAGGGGGCTGGAAATCATCAACACAACTGCTTATATTGCCATCACAGGTACTGTCTTTATAGACATACAATATAGATCTCAGAAAACGATGCATCTGTTTTTTGTCTCATAGTGTGTCATTGAAACAGATAAAACAAAATACATCTCAAATCTGGATCACATGGTCTGTTACTGTCTCTCTTTAGAGCACATACAGTATGTATTTGGTTAAATACAGAAAACTGCCCTTAGTTTCTCAGTTTTATTTATAATGTTAACCATGGCTTATGTCATCCTGAGTTTTATGACATTAGATATAATAGTCTTCAGTGCCTTTAAATGTGTCATCCATCGCTGACGTTGCCATGCCTAGATATGGAGAAGTAGCTGCAGAATTACCTTCTATCTTCTTCCTGCTCTACAGTACACAAGTGAGAGAGTATCAACTCCTCTTTTAGCGTTTTGTGCTCTTTTACATTTTTTCATCTCCTTTTACAGGAGCTGAATCCATCTCTGTGTATGAGGACGTCCTCCGCTCAGTCCGCTACCGACTGGCCAAAGGCTCGGCCCGCTTTGAGAGGCGGTTCCGTCTGTCCTGCTCTGAAATGAACGGCAGATACACCAGCAATGAGCTGACTCTGGAGGTGAGAAGAAACAGTATTCACTATACATCTTCTTAACTGAGATGAAGAAGAGCATGTCCCGTAGACTATTATAGATACATTTTGTTTAGTGAGGGGCGAGGTGCTGATGAGGTTGTTCTTTCTCCTCTTCATCCTTTTAGGTGAACTTCCTCCACTCTCTGGATAGTTTGTACCACCCATCCCACCTTCTGGCCTCCCAGCAGCAGTTCCTGCACCCGTCTCACCATGCTGGAGAGCTGAGTGGACACACGCTGCCAAACCCACACCGCAACTCAGGTGACACTTCCCACTAACCCGTTCCTCCTGTCCTCTATACTCTCTGAAGTTTAGCAGAGTCTCTTCCACCTATGCCTTGAACATCAGTTAAGAAAAAAAGTGTGTCAACAAAGTGTTAGATAATATTAATTGGAGAGAGTAAGACCTAGCTGGGAAACACCTCGTGCATCTGCTGCTGTTTCCTAATGTGTGAAAACTTCCTCTCACACTTTCAGACCTTTAGTGGTGCGATGGAACTGATTCCCTTTGTGCAGTTCCTTGTTTTGTTCCTCATATGCTGGGGAATTATCACGTAGGTTCTCAGGGCTGATGTTACACTCAGTCTGATCCAGCAGTAACACTTTGTTAGCACCAGCTGGGGTGTTATTCTATTTACACCCTGAGGAATGTAAAGACTATGCCAGGGTAGAAGGAGAAACAGAGGATGTGGAACATGTTGGATTCATCATATAAAACAAAAAGTTTGGAAATGCTTTTGGGGAAGGAAACAAACTTCAAATGTTTGTTTGACCTTATTTCTGAGATGCAAACTCACAAAGATTTCTTGTTAACAAGAAATTTGTTCGCTGAGAACTTTCCAAGTCGAGGAAATCCAAAAGCCACAGTATCACTAAAATTTAACTCAATTTAAGCACTCTCTTATTTTAGTTTGAAGCCTGGAGCGAGGGACAACCAAAAGATCTAATCAAAAGAACTTGGAGAGCAACTGCAGATGAAGGTTGGCAGCAAATCTCAAACACAGGCAGGTGTCTGGACACACAGAGATCTGAAAGTAATCTTGAGGCTGGTAATAAAACCGTGCACGGCAGGCAATGAAAACTTGTAATTATATAATGGTCTGCTCTTTTAATTTTACAACACCTACAGCTTCACAGAAGACCAAATTACTACTTGCCTGCACAGTGAAATACCATAATAATGTTTTATGAGACATTCACCTTTGAAGACGTGGTTAACTGGGTAAATGTGTGACTTTTCAACACCCCACATCCAGAGAGTGACAGGTTTTTCAGCAGATGGTCACTATATTTAGGTTTTTATTTTGTATACATATTTATTTAACCCCTTGATGCCTGACACCATAAATTATGGCCAGGAAATTCAAATTTTTTGGAGCTGAAATGTTTATTTTACTTACTACTAAAAACCAAAAAAAAGAATCTAAATGTCCTCGAAATTAAACAAATATATTTATTTATCTTGTTTGATACATAAGGTGTTTTTGGAAACTGATAAACTACAAAAGGACATTTTTATTATTTGTCGGACTGTAATCAGGTGTTTTTTTTAGTAATTTGTTTATCATATTGATTCGATAGAAGTTTATAAAAGTATGTATCAAATATGATACAAAAGGCAATGAAGGGATAAATATATACAATCCAAAATTGTTTTAAAATCCAAAAATCCCTTGTGGCGATTTTTATGTCGATTTCTTTTTTAAAAGTTCAGCATTATCTTCTCTAATTTGTTAGAGTTGTTAAATGACAATAATCTCGTCAAACTCAAAAGTATTGTAGCAGTAATCTCTGAGTGTTCATGTCAATCACAACCTGAAGTGCGTTTTCTTTTTTTATTCAGTGGTGCCGGGAGCAGCCACTGTCATCATAATGGTGTGCGTTGGTTTCCTGGTTGTCATGGTGATCCTCGGAGTGTTCCGAATTCGCTCAATCCATCGCCGTGGAGAAGGTTCCAGGGGCGGGGCTAAGGAGGGAAGCAGCCAATGGGACGACTCTGCCCTCACCATCATTGTCAACCCCATGGAGGTAATATAAGATCGTTAGTTGTTGACTGTTGATTCAAAATGATAAATAGGATAAGTAACCACACCTGGTCGTCTCCTGTCCCCACCTGCATACAGTCCTATGAGTCTCGCATGGGCATCTCTGCTGACACAGAGGGGGAGGGGGAGGAGGATGAGGAGGTAGCAGATTCACCTGATGACGCCAGCGACGACCAGCGAATCATCATCAAGAAGGAGGGGAGGGACGGAAACGCCCGCCGCTACTGAGTCATCAGCTCTCATGGAAACCACCACCGGCTCGCCAGTCACACACTCCAACACGTTTTAATATCGATGACTGCTGACACCACTAGTATAAGGAATGTATGCTTACAAACACTACGCACAACACAGTCACTGTAATACACCCAACACTCAATGCCATGTGTGACCTATAGCCAACAAAGGGCCAATTGTTCTCCACCTAAATGTTCGATGGCACAAAGTATACAGTTCATGTAATTTAACCGCCTGAGCAAAACCCACCAAAATTGTATGTGGTGCACCAATTCTTGATCACAGGATGGTAATGTGTCTATATAGTGTATTACTGGTTGAATGAGACTGATTTTGTGTAAAAGAGAGAAAAAGATTGTATTTTATCTTTTGTTATTGAACACAGAATGAAATCTATACAGGATGAAACCTGGAACAACATGCAGGCCGTGAGGAAAAGATACAAAGCCTCTTTCCCGACATTTCTCTGCACGCCCCTATTAGACTCGAGAAGTCTGTGCACAAGCTCTCAGCATCCTCTCTCTCAGCACATTCCTCTCCAACCGCAGAGCAAAATCAGTGAGGTCAGAAATTCTTTCATTGAGAAAAAAAAAAGATCTGAAAAACATTATGCTTGCAGGTTTTTGTTCATTTGGTATCGTGGCTCATTTAGTGCTTCAGCTCCTGACTTTGTTTTTACAACGGGCTGGTGTTAAGCTGACATATCCAAGGACTATCAAACTCACACCTCATTCTTTACATAAGCTCTGCAGTGTTGTGTGTCGAGTCCATGCAGTGTCATTGGAGGTTCAAACTGGAATCTCTGTTAAGTTTCAGCTTGTGCCACAAAATGATAAAAGAATTACAACAAACCTGGTGCAACCTCACCTCTAACCCACCCCTCACAGTGACCACAGGAATGTCTCTAAATGACTCTCACTGCACTCTTTCACTCACTGCACACTGCTCTTACAATAACTGCAAGACGTCACATGCAAAACAATAAAAAAATACACACACAGATACACACATACGCACACAGACACTACACACCATATTGCTACTACTACCCCTGCTGTTTCCAGAATGTCCGCTCAGCTTGGGCAGTTTTGATTGTATTGATTGTAATGACTTTTCTGTACATAAAGTGATGAATATTATGATATTATTGTTATTACTATTATTATTGCAGCCACACTTTAAAGAGGGAGCAGATTATGATTTACTTTTACCCCGCTCATTATTTGAGTGACCACCTCGACAGCATCAGAAAACATTATAATAATGATAATAATAGTAGTAGTGATAAGGATGATAATCCCTGGCTTGATGAGTGTCTCTTAATTTGTGTGTAATATTGTTGTAATTTAAGAACTTGTCAATATCTAAATCACAGAAAATGGAGGGCACATTGTTGTGATACTTAGACACGTCTCACTCATTTCAGCTGTCACATTTTTGGGTAACTTTTTCACACTTAAAACCCAAACTTTTTTTTTTTTTCACTCCACGTGATATCCTTGGTTTGATGAATGTACAACTGTGTGCTTCTCCTCACCTCCCCCTCCCCACCCCCTCTGCCTTTCCCCTTCACCTCTCCCTCTGTGTCTCTTGCTGTCTGTCTGTGTAGCCTATCAATGTGCAGTGCTAAACCTGTCAGTAAATAAAGCCTGTCGTTTTTGACTGTGATGTTAAGAAGGAATAAAACATTGCATTGATTAATAACTTATATTATTACTATGTTACTATGGGAAAAATTACCTGTAATTATTGATACGATGATGACATGGATTATGCTGACTAATTGTTATTGAGAACTGTCAGAAAACATTACAAAATTCATAATAAAAACACTATATGACGTCTCCGTGAGAGGGCTTCCTTGTCAGAACAGCATACTAATGTCGGGGGAAAAAAGATTCAGGTACAAGTTTGTTGACATTTTCTTATTGTTAAACTATAATATCACAAACATACAGTCTATGTCAGTGTACAGACTTTATATAGGATACAGTAAGCTGTCAAGCCGACATGCATGTCATATTTTCTAATACATCTAGCCTCAGTGCTCAATATTGCACTTTGTTACTATTCTATATTTGTTGATATGCTGATATAAAACTTATAATGGAATTTAAGATGCAAAACATCTGGAATCAAGCAAAACAGCGGGATATAAGGAACTTAAACACTCAAGCTTGAACAGCAAACTACATATTGCTACCATACTACTAACACATGTACAACATTAAGTAGTAATAGTATCCAAATACTTCTACAGAACTTGTAACGGTGCTTTTTTAATAGATGCAGCTTGTTAATGCGAATCAAATTTTGTCATTTACAATAAGAACATTTGTTATAATAAATGCACCATATATTTTTGTTGAATTAAAGGATGTTTCCAAGGAGATAAATGATAGTGACATGTAAGAACATTTTGAGAAATAAACAAATTTACACAGGCCTACTCAAAGAGACACAAATACTATAAATATGGGCCTACCTGAGTGATGCAAAGTTTTTACAGCACTTGAGAGGAACATTTTACTGACACAAAAAATGTTAAAAACTGCATGTAGGACATATTAGTTTCGTGAATTTATTTTTTAAAATCTCATAATTGTATTTTAATTTTTAAAAGTGGGCTATTAATCAGTCTTATTTACAACAAAAACACTCAGAATGTTGATGCATGTATTCATATTCAAAATAAAAAAACCTTTTCTTCTATTATAGTATTTTTTACGGTGGACCGCCACTGCTGCAAATAAAAAAAGAATGCAAAAAAAAAGAAGTCACAACAGAAAGTACTGATGCAAAAAAAAAAAGGAAACTGAAGCCTACAATGGAAGTGAGCTGCCGGGGACCGATAATGATGATGCACCCGTGTTTTACAATCTAGACATAGAAGACAACAGCGATAAGTTGAACTAAAGCTAACACTACACCAGCATCCTCCAGTTCTACTTCATATCGACTCAGGCGCTACATGGCCTAACCAAATGACACATTGAAAAGTTTACAAAGTGAAATTAAACAATAACCTTTCCACTTACTTTCTCGCTCATCTTTTCACAGTTGTCTTCTGTGCCTAGATCATAAAACACTGGGGCATCATCATAATTGGTCCCCGGCAGCTCACTTCCGTTGTGACTTTTTTTTATTTGCATCCTTTTATTTTCACAATAAGTAATTTTTTATTCTAATTTATTCTATTCTGCATCACCACTTTTTTGTGTCATAAACTTCCATTGTGGCTTATCTGCACCTTTTCTTTTTTATTTCTATTTATTTATTTATTTATTCATTGCATTGTTAACTTCTGTTCTGGCTTTTTTTTTCTGCACCATTTCTTTTTTTATTTGCAGCAGGCTTCGGTTTCTTTCTTTTTTTTTTTTTTGCATTCTTTTTTAAATTCTTTTTTAATTTTTAATTTTATTTTTTTTTATTTGCAGAGGTTGCGGTTCTCGGCCACCGTATCTAATGGAGGAGAAACAGCCCTAATTCCTTCATAAAACCAGATCCCCCAAAACAATGATTTACGACTGGTCAGTATGTATCTATTATTCCACAAGGGTGAGTTGTGAGGAGTGAAATTGTGCTTACACATTAAACTCCAGTGAAGTAGACTTGTCACTTGTTGGTGACAATCTGAACCTTCCCTCACTTTACTGCGTCTGTTTTCAGAGCTCTGCCATCCTCCTGCGTAAAACTCTGCGAGAATACCAAACCATCGTGGCGTTACGAGACACTCGGAGCGATCATCGGTGAAGCGTTTTTGTGGGTCATGGAGGAGGAAGGTAAATAAAAGGCAAGCGCTAGAAACACTCAGCGGCTGGTTTGTAGATGGTAACCGGGGAGGTGTGACTCTGAGAGCTGCTTTTAGGTTCTTCTCAAGCGGCTGTTTTTAGAAGAGACAACGGAGAGGAGCGACCGTCGGCTCGGGGACAACAGCAGCAGCTGTCGGCGGTAAGATGAACATCATGCTCCCCGTCTATTCACGCCGTGTGTCGGGCTTCATACTACAGACATGATCTCTGCACTGGCCCTACTGTAGCTAGCATGCTAATATCACCAGCTAACGATAGCCCCATTCGCTGTTACTGGGAGCTAAAAACATGGTTTATTTTTTAAATATTCTCTCATATTCTTGCATTTCATTGAGTGAGTAGAAGAGAAGATATCTTGCGAAACGTTGACCGAGCTAATGCTGCTGTTTCTGCCTGAAGCCAGTTAGCTGTGAGCCAAACAAGAGAGCTATCAGATTCTCATTTGACACATGACAGGAGTTTAGCAACGAAAGGCTGCGTGTTTGTGTTGTATTTAAGTGTTATAGGGTTAATATTTTGTATTTATTTAATGTGTTTATGATTATGACAATAGCCCAAAGAAAAGCGGATTATGTGGGGGGGAAAAAATCAGAAACCCACTCTGCGCAGGTTATGTATCAGGTAAGATTACGGTATGTAATGGTAAAGTGAGCAAAAGGACACAGTGCCCCCCACCTGTGATAGTATTTGTATTAATATCTTTGTGTAATCCTCTTACATTAAACCCCATCATCGCACTAGAAGCTGCGTGGAGGACAAGTATGAACAAATTGTTAAATCTGCAGTCCAGGTTAGGACCCAAGAATGAGGATGGGACGTCCACCTGTGGATTGGACTCTCATGGTTTAGTGTGGCATGTTTACTCAAGTAGACAACAAAATCATTTTCTGTGTTTGCCAATTCATTATGCAAACTTTAATACTGCCTAACCCTGCTGCAGGGAGGTTAGACAAGTTGAGTAGGCCACATGTGCTGCAGTTTGTCATCTGTTCATCCCTGAGCCTGCATGGATGTAGGTCAGTGAGCAGCAGGGTCTCTTCATAAACCACTTAAATTTATATTCGCTATTTCCATTTAGGGACTAAATCATCCACAGGGGGATCGTTTTGTCGATGTTTTATTCAGAGAATCAGCAGAGAGTTGCAAAATTAGCAGAAATTAACAAGACAGGATTTTGGTATTGATGCCAATTCCATACTAAATACTTGGATTTTTCAAATTGAGTATACTAAGCATAGTATGTACTCAATCACGCAGTGCGTGAGTTTCGAGGGTGCAGTGCTGTCCCAAATCGCATACTTACTGGAAATGACAACACAATTTGCCTCATGTCTGAACATTTATTGTGCGTAACAGAAGAATAACAAACTATTTACATATAAAAAAATTAAGAACAAGAAAACTAAAGATACCCTATTTACATATTAAACATTTGGAACTCGGTAACTAAAGATAAACTATTAACAAATTAAGCATTTAAAACTAGAAAGAAACTATTTACAAAAAACTACTTTTTAAATATATTTTATATAATATATAAAATATAATATAATATAAAATATAAAGGCAACTTATCACTTACATCTGTACAAAGCTCCCAGGTCGACTGTCGCCAACCCACTGGCACTTACAGCCGTCCTCAGCCATTCTTACTGATGAAATGAGTGCGGGCAAGTGTCCACAGTCGCATACTCAAAATCTTGCCCGATTTGAGTACGTCATCCGGGTACTTTTGCATACTCAATTTTCGCATACTATCCATACTTTTCTCTATTTTGAGTTGAGTATACTCAAAATTTTAACTATTTAGTATGGAAGTATGCGATTTGGGACGCACATTAGATCTCAATTTCAGCTTTGTCGATGTGAATGTACACAAGCTTTCTCAGTCTGCAGCATTATATTATGTATCAGATGGAGCAAAAGCGAGTGATCAGCCACTTTCTTATAGTGCCGGTGATTGAAAAAAACATGTTTTCAGAATCAGCTATGGACACATTGAATAGTGTCTGGGCTGAACACACAGGCCTGCATGTTGCTAATTATAGTCTGTAATTTTAGTGATAACAGTATGCCAGTAGAGCTTTAAATGCTATCTCTTTTTCCTTTTTTTTAAGGCTGTAGTGCATTTAAAAGCTGGAAATCTCTGAACTCATTAGACTGTCAGACTGTCAAATGAGCAGTCAATGCCTCTGCCTGCTGGGCCATCACATCCACATTATTAACAGTTCATCCTAAGCCAGGAACTGACGTGGAAAACAGCAGATGGAGTTAGATTTGGGTTACATGACACGAGACTATCTGTGCAGTTTTCAGACACCCTCAAGATTTCACCTCGTTTGGCCTGTCAGCCGAAAAGAGGCCAGTGGTGTTAAAAAAAAACTACATTCTGGATGATCCGTGCTAACACATTTTAATCTTAACTTTTTAGTGCTTTTGTAAAATGCAAATGTGGCTTGATAGCTTGAGACTTGCAACTTGTGTAGTAGGATTAAAAAAAAAAACATGTTATCCTCAAGAAAATTGTTTTTTTTATTCCAAGAAGAGTTCTTCTTTTTATTAAATTCACATGATATGAGAAAGTGACCCATCTTAACCAACTGGGGGTGTAAATGTGTCACTGTACAGTTCATGTTTTGGATTTTCTCGAATTTTTCACACACTATAGTAACTCGACTGAAGCACTCATTGAACACAGTTGTCCTACACCTACAATGTTTTAATGCATCTGTTCATTCTCTTCTCAGTTCTCAGGTGCTCTGATTGGGTTTTGCCTCATCCTTGTGTTGCCATGGCAATGCGGGAGTTAGTAGAGGCAGAATGTGGTGGAGCCAATCCCCTCATGAAGCTGACCGGTCATATGACCAAGGAAGGGGGGGCATGGCGGCACCGCTCGACACCTACAGTGAGTAATCAGTTAACCTCAATTAGAAGTTTAAAAGGTTGAATGCACTCAAGATGCCTCCTGCAAAGTACAAACAACACTTCAGTCTTTTGAGGAAACTGCAGTTAGCTTATTTTTCCTCTTTTTCTTCAGATTCCCCCTGCTGCTATTGAAATTGCCACTGAAGAAGAGGTCAGTGCTTCCGTTAGTAGCAGTGTGTCATAAAAATACTCACTTTACACTCGTAGAATAAAATGGTCTCTATTCATCAGTAAGATCTTATTTTTGCTTCAGCTGGTGAACGAGTTTCTTCAGGCGCCCCCTCGACCCCCACACACATTTGACATGGGTCAGCTGTTGGAGGAAATGCAGCAGATTGACCAGCAGAGCTACAGACAAGCTCCACAGAGAGGTACACAACTTTATTACTCCCACTCTTTTGTTGTCATTTATTAAACTTATCATTTCAGGTCTTGTCATTGTGTTTGTGTGACGAGCCAGCAGCACTTTCTTTAAGCGCCACATTTCTCTATGTCACAGCTCCAGATGTGGCAGCGTTGGCTCTCTCGGGTGACTGGGCAGCTGAGTTTCTCTCAGGTCCTGACTCTACCTCAGCCCCAGGACTCACTGCTCTCGGGGATGCAGCGGATGCTGATTGGACGAGAGAATTTATCGCTGAGGCTGCAGGTAATTTGAGTTTGTTGTGATTTACCTTTCTCTTTGTGTTTCACCCTTTAAACACAGGCCACACCAGGTGAGCGCCTAAAATCTCCAGAATCATCTGCTGTCTGTCTTCAGTTTTTCTGACATCAGAGCAGACTTTCATTTTTCATTTTTTTCATTTTATTGTTATTTTTAAACATGTGCGTGCAACACAATAAAGTAAATTTAAAAGAAACAAAACCAATGAGACTATTTAAAACAACAATAACAATAATCAATGCAAAAAAAAAAAAAAAATTAATAATAATAATGCAAACCCAACGTGTCCGCAAAGGAGTAGGATGAAGCATTATGCTTTTTGTAAACCTACCCCTTATCCTCTACTCAATAAACAGTCAGTCTCCAACATATTTACGTTATATTAACAAAAATAGAACATAAATAGAGTAAATCGGTACATAAATCATTAATAAGAACAGAAATCATTGACTGGGAGGAAGCCTTTTTTGTTTTACATTGTATGGAACTTCACGTTGCGTCTTTTCCTTCTCTTCTCTGCTTCAGATCCTGGGCGCTGGGCAGAGGAATATCTGGAGCAGTCAGAGGAGAAGTTGTGGTTGGGAGATCTGGGAGACAAGGAGAATGAATGGTGAGAACAGGGGGACCAGGTCATGTTTGGCTCTATGTAATCCATTTACATCGTTCAGATTCTGTTTTTAGTTTTCCCTTCTCTTCAAGCACATCCTCAAAATTCACAAAATTTTAGGTATAGCAAGTGGAAAAGAAATCGCCCTATTTTGATTCTTATTAAGGGCGCTGTGAAGATAAAACAAAGTCTGCTTTGCTTGAAAAGAATATGCTGTTTGTGAGTGTTTTGGTGTCATTGATGCCAGTTGAAAGTTAATGGATAACTTTCTTCACCTCATTATGAGCTGATTGAGAAGTGCCTCACTTAACCAAAACCAATCATTTAAGACTACAAGAGCAAAATTGTAGGTATTGTCATCAGTGTCTCACACCGTCTGCAGCAACATTGAAAATACTAAGTCTTAGCTGCAGCTGTGTCTGTTGGAGGGTCTGTCTGACATGAGTGCATGGTTTTGGCTGAGGGAGCGTCTTGAGTCTAACCTCAAGTGAAACACTGACACAGCTTACTCGCTGTGAAGACATTTCCAGTGGTGGAGCAAAATGAAGGTTTTATGAGTAGCTCTTGCATGCTTTGATTAAAATTCCAAAAACATTGTGCTTCTCTAAGGTGGTTTTATCTTTATTGAAAATACTTAAAATCAATTATATCCTTGAAATTACAATATGCAAATGAAAATAGCTCCTCAAATTTGACTGCAATAAATGTAGAAAACGGCAATAAGAGAGCACAGTGGCACAGGCAGATGAAACATAACAGCTTTTATTGCATAACGAAACCTTTAATGTTCATGCTGAGTTCAGGCTTTCTACATTTTAATAGATTCCTTTTTAAGTCTTAATAAGGTGTGAAAAGAAAAAGACAGAAAGGCAACTGAACAGAAAGTTTAAGCTAGTGCACAGAAGTTTATACTTAAAGGACTCAGTAGTAAAGTACTAGAAAGCTCTGCCCTCCTTATACATGTCTTAAAGGTTTTTATTGGATCTAAAATAGTTTGTGGTTGTTCACAGGACAAAGGAGTATCAACCAGGAGAGGAGCTGAGGCAGACGGCCAATGAGCTCGTCGCAAAGGTCGATGATCCAAAGTTACAAAACACAGAGGTGAGCAGCAGCTCCATACGTGTCTGACACTAACTTAAAACATGCTTCATTTCTTTTTACATTTCTGTCACCATATCTTTCTATTCTCTTTTTCTTCAAATTTTTTGTAAAGTAAAACTTTAGGATCTCAGTACACTGGTAATGTTGATTTATTGTGGGTTATACTCTTGAGTTTTGAAGAAGGCTTTATACAAGTATAAACCTGGTAAAACCAAGAGATAGTGGTGGTATTGTTACATGCTTTTATGCTGTTATTCTTTTTTTTTCGTTGTTGTGTAGTTCCTGCGATTCATTAGGCAGATTGGAGAGGGCAGTGTGACAGTGGAGAGCAAAACAGACAAACAGCTGACAGATAAAGCTCAGGCCCAGGAGGCTCAGAACTGGGCCTCCAACCTCAACCAGGTACGAGTCACTGCCCCCAGAGGAGGGGGTCATGGTTCAAACTGGGGTTACATTGTGAAAGCACACGGCTTCATTTTGCACAGAGGAGATGGTGCCTTGTGTGTCTCATCAGCCCAGCATCCGATGAGGAATAATATTTTCCAAAAGTATAACCAAAAGAAACCACTGCACTCGCTGTAATATGAAGCTTGAGGCTTCACAGCATTACAGATGGAATTTGTTCAGCAAAGAGGAGACTCATGAGTCTCTGCTTCTCCTTTTAGGCTCTTAGCTTCAAATGTGTACAGGCAAGCTCCAATTGTTGCCATCCGGACTCAGTTTTCCTTCATCTTTTGATTTTAAAGGGATTTTAAGTGATTGCTTTACTGTATTCAGTCAAAACATACAAGCAGCTGAGACCAGATTGTAGACTTTGATTGGCATTTCCCCCAAATTAACTCTTTGAAAGCCCGTTTCAACCGGGAAAAGAAAAAGCACCGAAGCTATGATGTGGAAAAACACTGAAATCAAGATTTTTAGTTAATATTTATTCCTTTGCTGATTTATTCTGAGTTGCCTGTTTGTACTTATTTTTTTTATTGTTTTTATTTTTACGTTTTGAGTTTTGCTGTTCATGTTTTACATGTTCTTACTTTGTTGAATTTTGCCGAGTAGCAGCTAATCAATTCTAATTAAAAATTAAAATTACTCAAAAATCCTGAGATATTTAATTTAAAATAATTAACATTTTAAAACAGCATTTTGAAACACAGTCTTCAGAGTTTCAGTCGTGAGTAAAGTAAAATGTTGATGTTTTAAGCTGAAAAAATGCCTGAAATCTGTTAGATCCCTCTCCAAAAAATCATTATTTTCAACCCGATCCTTTACATAAACCAAAACCTGGAGCTTGACTGGCTGTGATGGGAGCACGAATATGAAAATAATATAGATTTCCAGCTGAATTTGGTGTAAGCTCCACGTTATTAGCATTTTTTAGGTTTAGGCTTCTTGAAAACGTTGGTAAACTACTTGAATGTCTCAGTTCTTTGACCTCTTATTTCTTTAAAGTTTAATATTTTCACCTTTTTTCTTTTTTAAGTCCTTATCTTGGCGTGAATGGGCTTTCCTCATGTGCAGTGAATGTGTAGCTCTCAGTCCTCTTTGTGATAGTTGTTGTAGTTCACTCGTGGCTTCACCCGTGTTCTTCTTGCCCTCTAACGATGACATATATACTTCCCATTTTTTGACCCGCCTTCCAACTCTCGGCTTCCCATTTCCTCAATTAACTGCCATCCATCTACTCCTCTTACAACTTGAATTACTCCGCCCACCCTTCCAAAAACTCCTCCCCGCCAACCACTCCCTCTGCCTCAAAACATTGCCCCATTCCCCACTTCCACCACCTCCTCCTCCTCCTCCCCGCCTCCTGCCATAGTTCCTGACGGAGACGGGGGGAGGAAGTCTTCCCCTGGAACCCCCAGAGAGGGATGAGAAGATTGACAAAGTTAAAGCTAAACAAGCAGAGCAGTGGGCCAAGGTCGTCAGGCAGGTAGGACCTTTGTGGTCTCTGCTGGAATAGGTGTTTTATTTTTAGGTGAAGAACTGCTAAATTTGAGTTTCCACGAATGCTAACTCTGTCATATTCATAAGTCGTAAAATACAGTACACCCAGCATTGAATTATTTGATCTGGAGATGGTAGTGATTAAGGGAGAAATGTAAGAAAATGAGGGAGAGAAAATAAGCTTCTTTAAGTGTTGTTTTTTCTCTCATCTTTTCCTCCTTTCCGCTCACTTCCCTCTATATTTTTCCTTTTTTAACATCATCATACTCAGCTTAAAGCACAACTTTTTTGTGGCCGTTGCATGTTTACTCTTGTAAATCACTGCCTCTGCTCTGTTCAGGTGTCTGAAGAGTCAGCTGAAGCCTGGGTAGATGAGTTTGCCACAGCAGGACCAGATTTCCAAGAAGCCAAAGCTGCAGTGGAGGTGAGAAAAAAATTCAGCGAGCCAGAGCCAAAGCTCTTCAGGTGTAAATATACCAACGTGTTTTCATCTGTCGGTCAAAGGCTCGTACAAATCTGAAACGGAGGACGAAATGTAATGCAAGGAAACTGAGCTGATGATGTGTGTTTGTCTCTTTGTCAGAGCGATGTGGATTTCTGGGAGAAGCTGCAGCAGGAGTGGGAGGAGATGGCCAAGAGAGATGCAGAGAGCCACCCCTGGCTGTCTGACTTCGATCAGCTACTCAGCAGTTCTTATGACAAGGTAACAGTAAACCTGCTCGCTGTAGACATCTGCAGAGGAATTCAGTCTATACATGATTTACGTTTTCAGCATTTTCTTTAACATACAACCACGTTAGAGATCGTGTGTTGAGGCTTTATAATACACAGAAATTTATGCTCTGCCTTTGTGTTCTCCTCTTTTGTCGCAGGGTTATCAGTTTGAAGAGGAGAACCCTTATCTGTCCCACCCTGACCCTCTGTCAGAGGGGGTGAAGAGGATGGAGGCAGGAGACATCCCCGGTGCCGTCCGCTTCTTTGAAAGTGCTGTACAAAGAGAACCAGACAACCAACTGGTGAGCCGCCCTGAGACCCCAGTCTCATTTGATTTTTCAAATTTGCTAATATTTATTTCTACAGCAGGCTGATGTAATAAAGCTGTTATGTTTGCTCTGTTATGCTAATTAAACTACAGGCTTGGCAGTATCTGGGGACCTGTCAGGCTGAAAACGAGCAAGAATTTGCTGCCATCAGCGCCCTTCGCAGGTAGGAGATCAGAATAGCAAAATGCTTTTGTAGACTTAAAGGGATATTCCGGTGTAAAATTAATTTAGGGTCAAACACACAACATCTTAAAAAGATGTTTGGTGGCTAGTACTATGGCTGGGACTCTATATGTACTGTTGATAAAGTTAGGTGCTGTTCTTCTGATCATTATTTGTGGTTATATAGGGGCGTTTTGGTTGAGGTTTGTTTATGGCTCCTCAGACCGCTGTGTTTTGCTATCCTGCAGTCGTTACTAAAGTTGGTATAACTAGAGAAGCAAGCGGTCCGCAACATTCATCTCTCGACGGGGTGTCTAACTCGGTGTTACTGTGTGTTTGACCCTAAATTAATTTCACATTGGAATATCCCTTTAACTTCAGGGCTCGAAACAGTCGAAGACAATGTTAGTGATGCAAATACTGCTTATAGCTTTGGGTTTTTTCTTCTGGCTCTTTTGTTTAAATGGCAATAAAAAAGTTTTGTGCATTTTCTAACAACAGACTTTACTTGCCTCTCTGTCTGTAGGTTTAGTTTAAGATCTAAAGCCTGAATGAAATCATAAAATTTGAAATCAGTTCATATTCTGGTTCCCAACAATTGCTCTCTCAACTAAAAGCATACCATGTTTAAATGACAAGATAATGTGATGCCTGCTGACTTATTCTCTCCCTTCCCTCGCCTGACATCTCTCTGTAGATGTATAGAGCTGAAGAATGACAACCTGACAGCTCTGATGGCGTTGGCTGTCAGTTTCACCAACGAATCACTTCACAGGCAGGCCTGTGAAACTCTGCGCGATTGGCTGAAGCACAACCCAAAATACCGCTCTGTGTGGGAGCAGAGCGAGAGCGAACGTCAAAAGGATGGTGCCAGAGAGCGGGACAAGGAGAAAGAGAGGTTCGGATCACTGCTGCCAGAGTGAGTTTAACGCACATGTGGGAATCAGAAAGAAAAATAACACCATGCACAGATCTCCTGTTGTTTGTAGATTTGAGTAATTACATTCAGCTCTGACACTCTCTCTTCTCCCCCTTGTTATTTCCACACACAGATCTTTGTTTACCGATGTCCAGTCTCTGTTCCTGCATGCAGCTAACTCCGACCCCTCGCAGGTTGATCCTCAGCTGCAATGCGGTCTTGGAGTTCTCTTCAACCTCAGTGGGGAGTATGACAAGGCAGTGGACTGTTTCAGTGCTGCTCTGTCTGTCACACCACAGGTTAGTGTGACAGAGAGAGAGAGGAGCGACGATGTGTCATGTAAACAGTCGCTTGAGTGTGAGTCTGGTCTGCTGGGCTGTTACGATGTCAGCTGTGTGAAATAATTATGAGCTCAAAGAGGGAAAAAGTACATAGCATAGAGGAAGCTAATTACAAAGGCTCTGCTGATTTTAAATATTTCACACTTGTTATGCTGTTGAATCATGCAACACTTTGCAGTATGTGTAAATATCATGTGTGGAGGGGTGGAAGTAGCATAGTAAAGCATCTCAAGCGTTGTCATGCCAGAGAATACAACCAGATCAACCAAACAAAAACAGAAACAAAGCAGTCCGTGTTGTCATTGGTGCTGCAAAGATGTGAGAAACTTCCCGTGATGGTTTGAGAGTGTGAAACGTAACAGAGAAGGTTCTTTGACTTGTTGTTGCTCGTTGAAAATGATGGATTTCTCTGCCTGGTTCAACACTCGGAATCCTCCGATGTAGATATCTGGTGCTGATGTTCACACGTTGTTACTCTGGGGTCTAAAAATACACTGACTGAACACGTGGTGCATGCCACACAGTGCAGGGCTGTAAACTTCCACAGATCATAATGCAGCCTTAAAGGACATGAAGTGCTTGTCAGTGAATGACGTGCATGTCAGTTTGTTTTCACCATATTGTGGCATCAGTGTTGTTTAATATTGACATTTCTTTTGCTTTATCATCCGATGCAACATTTTTATAACATGATTTCTATTTCCTGAATAATTCACTGCTGCATTTAGAGGTTTATAGTTGAATTTCAACTCCTGTTAGTTTTAAAGATTGACTTACCAAGCTTCAAGCACACCTTTTTACATTTTATTAATTAATAACTTCACAGTCAGTGTAAGTGCAATTGTTAATTATATTTTGTTATTCAAAGTTAGAAAAGTGTGATGTTGCCAAGAGCTCAGTTTAAGTTGTCTATTTGTACACTACATGCTCAGATTAATCTGATCTTTCCCCTCCTTCATCTTCATCAGGACTACCTGCTGTGGAATAAATTGGGCGCCACACTCGCCAATGGCAGCCGCTCAGAGGAAGCTGTGGCCGCCTACAGGAGAGCACTGGAACTGCAGCCTGGCTTTGTCCGCAGCCGCTACAACTTGGGAATCAGTTGTGTGAATTTAGGAGCACACAGGTGAGGAGGGAATCCTACAGCTTGCAGGTGTAATTGCTCAAAATAACTTATCCCTAAAAACTTATGTGGATTTTGGGCAGTTTTGCCTTTAGTAGATAGAACAGCTGAAGAGAGTATAGACTTGGGAATGATGTGGAGCAAAGGGTAACAACTGGGAGTATAACCAGTGACTGTTGTGAAGAGGACTGTAGCCTCCGTAAACAGGGGGGCGCACTTGAAGTGTGGAGCCAATCAGCATCCCTCTAAGTTAGTCCTGAGCTTAGAGAGATATTTTTTGTTGTAGTTACAGCTTGACTAAAATAGCTTACTGTGTATTATTGGCGGACTTTGTGAATCATTTCTGTCCATACAAACCAACACCAATGAATTAATGAATCTATATAACTTAATAATGAAATACAATGTGGGCTGCTTAACCCAGAATACACTGGAGTCACTCTAACAATAGGTCTTTCATCAGATTGGTTAAATTAACTTTAAGGACACCACATACCAGTTATCTTTAATGTATTTAAGTATTAGATGTCAACTGAACACCAGGTAATTTTATTGCTGTTTGATATTTCTGTTTTCTCACTGATATTTTTAGTTTTGCTCCTTTTGTATCAGAATTGAACAAACCCTGTGCTTTGCAGTTCCTTGTACATCCACTAGATGGCAACAGCAGTTTTGTTTAATGTGTATTTGACAGTGGATTTTAGTACACTTTTAAATAGGTTAGTTATTTCACCTTATGGCCATACTAGTGGCTCTTGTTTTCGATAACTGCACTTAATTCATGACAATTTTCGCATTAGATAAATAGTAGTTTTAAAAGTAGATTTAACCTGTGTTTCTTTATTTTGATGTGTATGAGACACTCACACAAGGATTAGCCTTCGTTCACCCTTATGTCTGTCCTTTATTATCAGAGAGGCAGTGGAACACTTCCTCGAGGCTCTCTCCTTACAGCGTCAGGCCGCCGAGGATGGAGCAAGAGCTGTGAGGGGACCTGGAGGTGCGGCAGCCACCATGATGTCTGACAACATCTGGTCCACTCTGCGCATGGCTCTTAGCATGATGGGAGAGAGCTCTCTGTACACAGCTGCTGACCGCCGGGACTTGGACACATTGCTGGCTCACTTCTGTCAGAGAGAGGTGGAAGGTGGGACTGAATGAGGACCAACCAGGGGGGAGCTCATCGAGTGTGAGTGTGTTTCGCTGGGAGGAAAATGCTTGGGTGAGGAGGAATCAGATTTATGCAAAGAAACGGAGGGAGGAAGACACTGTGAATAATCCACCAACCTTGAGATGTCATCTTGTGGTTATTTTCCCTCAGAAGACTTCAAATGTTGCAGTATTAGTTTCTACCTGGAAAACGCAGCCAACAGTAATACAGTCATATTACTGTGTTCTACATGTCCGACCGTCCTTGCCTTTCCTACTACTCTGTTTATTGTGAGAACCCAGTTTGATGAAACATGACTTTGATTTTAAATGTGTTCTCAATGAAGACGGTAAATGAAGACTGACTGAATCATTCTCTATTCAGTGGATGATCATGATTACCATGATTTTTCAGTGCCCTCACAACCTCTGGTTGTATGTTAAACTATGTATTCACTACATTTGTGTAGATAGAAGGTACAATATTGCTTTGACATTGAGAGAGTACTGTTTTGTATCAAAAGTGCCCCTTAGAGAAGGCCGGTCTACAGTACAAATGCTAATCATAAGTGCTACAACGGCTTTTTGTCTTTCATAATGTTACTTAATTTAATTTTTTAGTAATCACTTATCGGCTGAGATAATGAGATGACAAACAGTGGGACTGTTGCTGTTATTAGTTGTATTTGAACAGTCCATGTGTATGAATGTGTCTTTTGGTCAGGTGGGTAAAAATAAATGGATAAGACCGTATAATTGTAATCTAGATGAGAACGGTTTCTCTGGGCTCCTCCCTCTCCTGCTTTTTTCATACCGCCCTTGTAAAACAATTTGCTTCATTGTAAGATAATGCAGTATGCCATATTGTGTATTGTAATATAATTGTTGCACTATTATTGTTTTCAGGCTAGTTAAATCCTGACTGCAAAGTTTAATGTAATATTCAGCAATAAAGCTTTGATTCCAAACATCTGTTTTGGCCTTTCTGTATCTGAATAAACAAACAATAAAAATGTCATGGTTGGAGCAAATTAAATACAAAGAGCACAAATCTAATAACAGATGGTAGTGTGAAGATTGGAGAGCCCTAGAAATTCAATTAAGTAGTCTTGGATGCAGAGCTGGCCCAAGGCATAAGCGAACTAATTGCCTAGGGCCCTGCGGCCAATAGGAAGCCCCCAAGAGCTATCAATAAATGTTTTTTTTAATGTTTATTATTTTTTGCATGTATGAGTGATGCTTTCTGTATGATCAAATATATATTATTGTAAAAATATAATAAAGTAAAAACATTTTAGTGCTGCTGCTGATGTAGGCCTATGATTCTTACTGCCGATATGTCAAAGCTCAGCTGTTATGTGCCTTTTGCTGTAAAATGTGCACTGAGCATCCAAAGCGCAGGTAGTTGTGGGGCAAAACAATGTCGCAAAAAGGGTCTATCCTTTAGGAGCAGAGAAAAAAGAGAGGAAGAAGGGAAAAAACTCCAAGATAAAGGTATGTTTTCATGTCATGGAATGTTAAAGAGATTTGTGAAGGTGTGTGAATGATCAACAATCAATATTATTGACAGAAAAAGAGGGCCCCAAAATCAAACTTTGGTTAGGGCCTCATTGAGGCTTGGGTTAGCTCTGCTTGGATGACAGCAGCTATTAGCAGACAGACTTTTATTAAAGCTTTAATTTGTATTTGTGATCAAAAGATTGTTTTTTAAAATAGTTTTAGGTGATATTTCCATCTAAAAATAGAGCTGGTGCACTAAAAGATGTGCAGCGAGCTTTTAAAAGTATGCCATAGTTGTGTGAATGAATACTGGACTATGAGGCTGAATATTGGGAAGCATCAACCTTCATATTTTACTCATTTTAACAAGGTGGAAATTTGACATTGTCTCCTTTTTGGTGGCTATAGAAATGAAACCTCTTCAAATCTATTATAGTCTTTTGCATTGTCTCTTTTTGAGTGACATGTTTCAGCAGGATAACTTTAACGTTTCTTTTAATTATCTCCAAATGTTGAAAACAAAACAAGCATTTCACTCCAACTTTCAAATATGTTATCAACTGGGCGTTGTAGCCCGTTGTACAACGCTGTGCTCTCAGCCAATGAGCGCCGAGGGTCTAGGGCCGACTCGCACGCTGATTGGCTCGTTCAAAAGTAACACGTACGCAGCCGCGCCATTTAAATGTTTTAAAACTCGTGTGCTGCTTCCCGTGTTTACCGAGCGAATATAAAGAGATTTAGCAGCACGTCTGAGCCCGTCTTCGTCCTCTGTAAGGTAAGATAAAGAATAACTCAGATATAAAACTGATAATTTTGAAAGTTAATAGTGAAAGTTGTCTGCGTTCGTTTAGGGTGTGCGTAGTTAATACGGAAACCAACAACAAAACTCGATTTTAAGAGTGAAGACAAGACGGAAGACAACAGGCCTGGCTAAACCAGCTTGGTGTTCACCGGTTATCGCCTCCTTATTTTACAGCAAACTACTAATATCTACATTATTAGCATATTGAACGTAGTCGTGAAACATTTGAATGTAAGTTTTGAAGCAGATTTAGGATCAGGGTCATACAAAAGTTAAAACGATTAGAGAGAAAAGGCGAATACTCATGTATGCATCGAGTAAGATAAGTAGACTATAGTCTCTTGTTTCTATTGCATGTCTTTCAAATACATTTAACGGTTATTGTTACTGTATAACTCATTAATATAACTAACTTTTCCTCACAGTATGAAGTGAGCTTGCTGGTTGTTGTAAAAATCACGATTTATACCTTGAAATCCTTATTCTGGGATTTATTCTTTAGATCTTTTTACGTGTTTTGCATTGCTTTTCAATATGTAATTCAAGTAGAGAACTGCATTGTGTAAGAGGTTTCTATTCTCTTGCCACAGTTGATCTTTAATAAGCATCATGGGATCCAGTGAGAGCAAACCAGCTGTGCCTGCACCAAAGAAACCTGAGGCACCCATCAAGAACAGCAGGATCATTGATCTGGATCCACGCTCCCCTTCAACAGGAATCACTCGTACACCCATTCAGGTAGGGGAGGTGGTTGAGGAAGTGACCCTGGATGCTGTAAGATTTGGAAGGGGAAACATCAAAAAATGTTAAACATGTCGTATGTTTCCTCAGGTCTGTGGGCCTTTGTCTAAAGTTTTTGCTGAAGTCAAGAGTGAGGCATTCACCGATCCCCGCTCACCCTCTGTTGGTATTTCCCGCACACCTGCCAGAGAAGTTATGAGGGGTAAATATTCGATTAATTATTAGCTTAGCTCTTCTTGCTTGTTATTCCCTCTGTAATGATGTCCCTCTGCTCTTGCCTCTAGTGACAGTTGGGTCCATTACTCGCCGACTGGGCATGTTATTCCATAATGAGACTGAAGGTGTAGCCCCAGAAGCCCCTCAGAAATGCTTCGGTGATTCTGTGGAGGAGGAGGAGGAGGTGGAAAGTGAGGAGCTGGCATCTACTGAGCCTCTCTTGACCTCTAAGCCATCCCTTGTTTTCAGCTCCCTGGCTGAACATGCTCACCTTCTTTTCACCCCTGATATGTCTAATCTGGAGGGTGTTGATGTTTCCAGCCCCTTTGTGCACCTCGATGAGCCCCAGATGCAGTTAGAGGTAGAAACTGAGGCCGACTTGAGCTTGGAGGAGGCTGAAGAAGCAAGGGAGTCCCCTCTCCACAAGAGACTGAGCATGAGCTTGATAACTTGCCATGAGGGGGCGACCTCAACCCAGATTTTTGCAGAGGTGCACCGTGATGGTGCATCAATGCAAAGTGAGGAAGTGGAGCCACTCAGTGGTGGTGTGGATCACTCTTATTCCCTTCCCTCCATCACTGTTAAACCAGAGTGTCATGTTGAGCCTTCTTTCCCAGTTGATTCAGAAGATCCCCCAGCTCAGGAGTCCTCTGTGCAGTCAGAGAAACAAGCAGAAGACAAACCATCCTCTGAGGAAACAAAAACAGTCAAAGAAGAGACTGCAACCGTCGCAGAGCAGCCACACCTCTGCAACGGCATCCGCTGCCCCACCTTCGATTCAAAGAGCCCGAGTCAGGCTGTGTTCAAACCACAGTGGCTGGGAAAAGGTTTTGGAGCCTCTGGGCTGCGTGCCAGAGGAGCACAGGGTGGGAAAAGTGGCTCCTCTCCGCTTGCTGTCCGTGTGGCTGTGAAAAATGTGACCAATGAAAACAAGAGACAGTCTGGAAAACTGAAGCAGAATGGTGACTTAAAAAGTTACATGGCATTTTATTATCTGTTTAAAAAAACAATGCCGTTACTGAAAACTTATTTTTCTTGTTGCAGGTTCTGAAGGGCGTTCCCCACTGCAGATCCTGAAGACAACCAACTCACCAAGGGATCAATACCCTCAGGTAAGGCATATAAGCTGTTCAAAGAACCTATTTGTTTCCTTTTGCTTAATTAGAACGTACACTAATACATCTAACAAGGCACCAATGATTAATTAAGTTGTCTTAAAAAGAATTACAACATTAAATGTGATTGAATGGCTGAGGTCATTTGTTCTGACCCTCTCTCCAGGCGAAGCTGAAGGTGTCCGTTCCAGATAAGCAGAGGCATGGACAAATGGACCGCAGAGTGCCAGCAGTGTGCTTAGATAAGGAGAACAGATGATTCACTGTAACATAATGTACAGAATCCTGATACTTCTGTTTTTATAGCTGTATCTAAAAGGCTTTTACATGTACAGATTTCTGAAAAAAAAACAAAAACAAAACAGTGTTCTGTAAATATTTAACTTCCAATCTGAGAAGTTTACTGTCCTGTTTTATTCCTTTGTAAATATCAATAAAATTATTTGCATGACGCTAGTTTGTGTGTATTGTTCATAAGTATGTTCACTGTTGTCTGTTACCCTCCCTGCTTTTGTATGAGGGGCCTTTTCTACTTCAGCTCAGTGTAAAATATTTGGACCCTGTCTGTACAAACAGAGCAGGAACTCAACACTAAACATTTGATTATGTTATTAAAAATTCAATTTCATGGAGCTGCATTTTGAATTCCATTATCCTTGGTACTCATGAGTCTGTGTTGTAAAGCTTTTATTTAACACCAGAGGGAGCCTGTAAATAAACCTTGACATTCAAAGTTAGTTAATAAAAAGGCAAACTACTTTAAATTTTAAGTCTGACATTGTCTTTGCATCAGGATCAGCAAAGTTGGCATGCTAAGAAATCAGTCTTTGCATTTTGAAACCGAATTTAAAGTCAAAAACGAGCAGCACAGTCTGTTATGCAGAATCATACGTTTATTAGACAGTCTTTCAGCAAGGTATTGTTTACTATGCACAGTGTGTATCCAGGAGCCAGTCTACATCCTAATCAGAAATTATCGCTTATTTAGTGTGTTTTTGTATGTACATAAACTGTCCTTCAGGTGCACTATGCAGAGGAAAAAGGTAAGCAGTCTTTTACAGATCAAGATGTATCACTCATATGCACACAACAGACATCATCTGTATGACACTCGTACAAAAGCTCCTTCTGTCCTGAGACAAATGGGTCATCATTTTTTGTAAGTGCTTAGTGAACCATGAAACCATTTTACAATCCCATCTGTCAGTTCAACAGTCTACCCGGAGCACTTTCCAGGTCTAGCTATTGGCTGATGAGCGGGTTAGGCTAAATGATGAGACCCCCAAATCCTGCTAAATATTGTCCATCAGTCACATACAAAACAACTCAAACACTAATGTAGACATCTGCTAGCTAGAGATTGATTTCAATTAAGACTAGAAAATGAAAAGAAAGTAATTGTAAGCAAAGGATCTACCAAAAACTAAGAACATACAACAGTCTGAAACAAAAATGCAAATAGTCAAATATGACATAATTTATGCTTTGATACAAACACAGCATTTTAGCTACTGTGATCCTACGCAGGCTGTAACCCCACATGTAGCCTACTCAATTCTATCTCATCCAGTGTGCTACCATTTTCATTTGGCAACTGTTGTCATGGAGTGATCTTTGAATTGCTACAATAATATGTGCATATTATCATTTCGAACCACAGTAGAATAAACTATTGAGAGGAATGATCGTTTCCAAGGCCCCCGCCCTTAAGTCCCGCCCATAAATTCCCCATAGTGTGAGACTGACAGAGAGAGGAGAAACTCTCCAACATTAGAATGGACTTGGCACAATTAAATTACCCTCTTCTCACCCAAGACGGCTCCTCAACCCTCACCCCTCCCTTAAAGTCTGATTGCTTTTTTATCTTCCTCACGTTCTCCCAGCCGGATGTTTACTGCCCTCTTTCTGCTCACTGGTGGGGAACAGCCTTAGTTCCATATCTTGAGGAAGCTGTCCCAGGATCCTGTGCAACACGCCATGCCGTCTGAGGACACGCCGATACAGCTCACTCTGTTGTCGTGACCAGCAAGAACTCCTAGACAAAAACACACACACGGATAAAAAATAAAAAAAAAGCATGTTGTGAAGAAGGGCCTGTCTCCAAAGTTACTCAGTGGAACATCATCCTATTAAGGTGTTAGGTGCTCCAGTGAATTCTCTTGTTTCTATTTTCTCACCGACTCTCTCCGCTTTCAGTGCATCCCAGATATTGACGTTGAAGTCGTCATAGCCAGCCAGCAGCAGGCGTCCACTCAGGGACGGGGCCAGAGAGGTCACTCCACACATGATGCTGGAGTCCTGGTAGGTGATGAGCTCCTGGTCGGCTCTCAGATCGTACAGCTTGCAGGTGGCGTCATCTGATCCTGTTATCACCGCATTACCATTTGGGAAGAACTGAGAGAGGGGTGAGAGATTACAATCAAAGAGAAAGAAAATCCAGAGCTCCGGTACAGAAGTCAGGGTCAAGTCCTCTTCTTTCTTACCCCGATTGCGTTGATGTCGCTCTCATGGCCCCCAAAGGTCTGTCTGCATTGACCCTCTCTGATGTCCCACAGCTTGGCTGTGAAGTCACATGCACCTGAGATGAAGAACTTGAAATCTGGGGACACAGCCAGAGACATGCAATCTCCCTGGTGTCCAGCAAAGACAGTCTTTTGGGTCCCTGTCTCAATGTCCCATAGTACACTAGAAGGAGACAAATAATGAATTTATTAACAGTTGAACTGTAGAAGGGAGAATAACATTAACTTTTTCACTTATTCTTACCAAGTGCAGTCCCCAGAGCTGGTGATGATTTCACTATCACTGAGGAAACGACAGCAGGACAGGTAACCTAGGAAACCACAGAAATTAAATATGAGACACCTTGAGCCACAGTGTAACCAAGAGAGACTTTCTCGTGCAAAAGGCTTCACTTGTTTGTCCTACCTGTGTGTGCAGCCAGCTCACGCATCACCTTGACGTTTCCATCTTTGCCCTTTAGGTTGTAGATGGAGCACATGTTGTCCAGTCCTCCACACGCCACTAGATTGCCTGAGGGTGCATAGGCGCAAGTCATCACCCATGACGACTTAAGAGGGATGGCATTCACCTGGAAAAACACAAGAAAACAATGGAAATCAACAGCCAAATAAGATGAAAACACCTACAAGCCCTTAGAGGAACTCTAATGAACCCCATCCTTCTACATGAATTTATCACATTCATCAGAAATACAGGGGTTATGGAACATCAGAGATCAATACACTTTTGTTTGTGTCTCTACTTTCAGAGGGAGAACTCAAAATTTAGCAAAACTGATTGATTGTATGGTCAACCACATCTGATCAACTAGGACTGTCCTAAACAGGCACAGTAGTAAGAATGAATGTGTATTATTCTCACATTTAATGAATAACACTTCAAAATGTCCTTTGTTGTGTTTACTCATACTTTTTTCACAAGTACTTTGTATAACTTCAAAATTTTTGTCTTTTCTTTGAAAATCTAGGTTTCAAGTGAACTTCTGGACATTCACACCAACAGCATCAATTTCATTTTCAGCTATCCAATGGTTTCACAGGGTTGACATTTTGCCCTTTTCTACAATTCCTGTGATCAAAACACACTTTTCTCTTGCTTTTTCCTACCTTGTTGGTTGTGATGCTGTCCCACACTATAAGTTTTCCATCTTGTGAAGCACTGACACAAAGCCTGATGAGGAAATAACAGAAAACAGGAGGAAAAAAAAGAGATACACCTTGTTAATGACAGCCAAAGAAAACAAACCGAAAAGAATCAGATAGAAGCCGTGTTTCCAGTTTCTTTTGGCACATATTTAGTCACTTTTATCTCATCTTACTCTTGTTTTGATCTTGATTTAATTCAACTCTATCACATCTCAGTTCAGTGTGATGTAAAAAGTCCACTTCTATCATTTTTGTACAATAATTTGTGGGGTATTTACGTGGAGTCAGTGCCCCAGTGCATGGCATAGATCTTGGCGAGGTGACCCCTCAGTGTTTTCCTGGTCTTCATCTGGACTCGGCCCACCACAGTAACCCCCGCCGCTGCTTCTTGCAGAGTTGTGTCCTGCACTGCCTTTCGTGCCGCCTTCAGAGGAGAAACACAAACACAGGTTTTCCGCTTTCTGCCAGTGTTGATTTAAGATGTGGTTATGAATCATATATTGAGACACTTGAGGGGTTTAAAAAAACAAGCCACATAATGATGTTGATGATGAACACTGATGACAGCAAAACGGTTTTCTTAGCTAATTGCCTACTGACAGTGATCTGGTCTTTGAGACTGTCCGCCTCCTTTCGCAATTGCTCCATTTCACCCATGGTGGTGGTTTTTAGGCACTGTCACCAATGGAGACAGGTAGATCGAAGGAGAGATGATAATCCTGAAAAAACAAAGAAGAGCGGAGACAACAAAAAGGGTTAAGTCACAGAAATAGTAAACAAGATCCTTGTTATTTTCATCTAAAATCATTACCTGACGGAATTTTACCTGCACCTATCGGAGCCCTTTTTTAACCCTCCCTCGCTCCAGCCTCCAAGTAAGTGCTATTTGCAAGTCAAACTGGCCCTCATCTACTTTGCAAACTTTCACAAACAGGCAGGAGCAAACACAGAAATCCACAGAACACACCTACACATGCATCCATGTATGCGTGCACACACACACAAACACATGCAGCCTGTATGAATATTCAAGCACCGTATTAGCAGTGAAAGTATTTGCTCTTCAGATGATGTGACACTTGTTCAGCATACACATCCTCGCCCTGAATGTACACAAAAACCAGTATGTCCTGTAATAATGTCCTCAGTTTGTTTCAGCTCTCTGTCACTTTAAAAATTCCCAACAGTGACAGGCAGAAGGTTTGGCATGTTTAACACCCCAGAGATCTCTGACCTGATGTTGATGGCTATTGAATTTTGTAATATTGTGATTAAACGAGCAAAGTCTAGCAGCAGAAGCAATCACCTAATGGACAAACTCATACATGTGTGGCAAATGTGATCAAGGCAGAGTCATGATTTCAAGCTGATTTGACAAAAACTGAACCTAACTTCAGAGCAAAGCAGCCAAACACAACCAGGTTGTGAAGCAAAATCTGTAAAAACCTTCAAAAATGTTTAAAAAATACTTTCTTTCATGATATGTCGTCATTTTATCTTACCTTAAAATGTTTTGAAGGGAAATATCGGCGTCAATCTTATTGTATGTGTACCTGCGGCAATCTCTCCCTCTCTCTGTCTTTCACTATTTGAATGAGCGTCCCTGTCAAAACACATGACCAGGTGGATTTGCCTCTAATTTGTTTTTAGTGAAAAGGAGAGGAAGGGAGTGAAGGAAGGAGTGACTCTTTTCAAAAAGGAAGAGACTTGCTATAATTGTTTCCCATAATCCTCTATCCATGTCTGGAGCTTTAAAGCTGGTCTGAAATATGTGAAAATTAAATTACAGTGCTGATTTATGGCCCTAATTGTAGCGCTCTAAACGCCTCAGCAGTTACGGTGCAAGATCCTGCTACAAATAGCTGATAACTACAACGACTCTGAAGTTGGTAACATGGGATTTTAGGACAATGTTCCAGATGGGAAAACCGCTTTGATAACAAGTGTTGTAATGAATGCTTTAGTCGTGCTATTACTCTTTTGCCATCCTGTCCCTGCCATTGTTCCATGTGATTAAATGACTGAGAGGGGCTTGCTGGATGGTGGAGTACATTAGCACAACCAGAGAGGAGAGGCAGGGGAGGGTTGGAGTGGGGGGAGAAATACAAGGGAGTAAAGGAGGAGGGTGGGAGGGAGGGAGGGTGGAGGGTAAGAGGCGAGGCAGGCAGGCAGGAGAGTGAGTTTTAAATCCTACTGGCTGAGATTTTAAGGGAAGCCTTTTGAATCAAATCTGCTCTCATCCGATTACTGACTGCTCTTTGCATCTGGATAAGAGATGGAGAAAAGGGGAGGGGAAGGAGGGAGGGAGGGAGGGAGGGCAGGTAGTGGGATGAGAATGAGGGAAGGGGGAAATGGAGGAGGTGGAGCTGCAGGCAGAGAGAGCTGAATGGGAGACGATGAAGGATGGAAGGTTTTAAGTCAGACTTGGTCTGTGAACTTGAGGCTGACCGGTGACCACATGCTCTGAAGTTTACCATCTTTAACTCAACAAAAACTCCTCAGATATGACTCTGACTGATTTTACTGGAGTGTAAGACTGCTCATCAGGTTTCCTGTGTGGTGGCTACACAAAAGAAGCCTTTTAGCCGAGAACAAGATAAAATGATGAGAAAGAAAGCAGTTGTCTGTAAACACACAGAGTTTCCTACACTGATTTCACTGCCAGAAACAAATATGTTGTGTGTTTAGTTTTACGCAATATTACTGATTATAATATCATGAGGTTCAGTACTTAAAAATATGAAAATAATAATAATATATGGCCCCACTGTAAAGTAAGCAGCTCTTACCTCTCTCTTGTGTTTTCATTTTAGTATAAATCTCACCACTTTATATCTGCACTGTGATATATTTTCATGATCAACTTATAGTTTCTTTTTCATGAAGGTTTTGTCTGACAGTGTTCGGAATCAGACTACTAATGGATTTTTTTGTCCGATTATCAATCCACATGATCAAAAAAACAGCACTGTATGCTGATCCCATGTAAATCCCTCTGTCATGTCTGCCATTAACAAAATATTAAAGTGTGTTTGTGCCGCAAATGTGTCTCTCCAACTATGAGCGACATTTCCATATCTTATATCTAAAACAACTAAAATCACAATATATATTTTGTAGAACACGTGGAAAAAGCAGCATCTTTTTTTGATTTAGTGATGAATAGTTTTATATTTAAGTCTCTTCAGCCTTGAACCCATGTTTCCATCCACCCCTTTGAATCTGGTCCATCATCTGAGCAGCATGATACAACTTCATGGCTACCAAAGTATGTAAACACACAACATTCACTCACCAATGAGGAGTCCTTCTTCTGGAGGTGTTGTGGTAGATCTTCAGTCAGTCTTTCTCCAGCAGTCTCTCTCTTTGGTCGTTATCGTAAGTTCAGCCCGGCTGTCACTACACTTCCTTCTACTCATTCACTTTTGGTATCACACAGTGGGCTAGTCCTCTGTCACTCACTCTCTCCACTGCTCCTATGAGGAACAGATGAGGATTGGAGGGATGAAGGGAGATCAGTGATGAGGGGATAAACCATGGGATGGACAGAGAGAAGAGGGCTGGAGTGGGGAGGGGGGTTGGTGTGAGGTGGGGGTAAAAGAGACAAAATAGGGAGAGAAGACTGTGGGGGAAACCAAACAAGGTGCAGAGCGTGGATATGGGGTCACAAGACATGAGCCGGGGTGAATCCGAATCAAAAAGTCAGAGATGGAAATCATGGAGGGGAGGGGAAAGAAGATAAATAGAGGACCTGGGAACATGGCTTTTTATGGTGCTGAGGTGGTCTTAAAAAGATCTCAGACTGGCAGCAGGGTTTGTGTTTTGTAAACCTGAGGTGAAGCTAATATTAGAAGGTTTATGGGCAGAGCACGACAGAGCAGAGATCAGAGGGTAGAGTGGTGATATTGAAGAAAACTGATAGATTCATAAGTGAGGTCTGTCAAGTTCAAAACAACACAAACAGTACCACCAACTACACACAAAAGGTATTGTTATGAACCTTTTCATCCTTGCCTGTCACAGAATGCGCCTTGCTCATGTGGACTATAGTCAAATTCTTGTATTAGTTATGAAACAGCAGCGATACCATCACTTCTATGTTGGTATTTTCAAGCCAAACAATGGCATTCTGGGAAAACTAGCCCTTAAGAGCAACTGCAGTTCTTATATAAAAGGAGATACAGAAATGTTAGTTGACTTTCATGGACCATCAGATGTGTATTTAAAAGCACTACTACACTCACTCTACTCATACTAACAGATTATAAAATAAGAGTCATATATCAACAAATTTACTATCTGTTCTTTGGCTTGTAAGAGTTAATTCTGCCTCCTGCTTTTCAAGGGCGCGTGTCTAACACAGATGCTGAAGCTCAGGATAGAACATTTAAATGACAATAGACAGGACCTGAGTTTTCCTTCATTAGTGTGCAGAATGGTGCTGTAGCTGACTGTGACCCTTGACCTCCCTAGTCAAGGTAGAGTTCTGCACGTGTGAAAAGCAAACCTTTAGAAATGAGATTGAAGGGCTTCATTAAGTGTGTTTACATGCTCATTTATATCCCAGTGTTTAACCTCCTCCTAGGACGGATCTCATGCAGGATCTGATCTTGAAAGGAAACCTGAGAGACCTTGTTATTAATCCTCTTGTTTGCATATGATCAGTGTCCAGTTTTGTTGTAGTCCTTGCAGTATCTTCAACTTTGTTCTATATTAACAAAAACCAGGATGAGGTGTTTCCCTGGCATAGTATCCTGATTTAGACTGGTCCTCGGGTAGGACTATACCATATTTACATGCATAAAGTACTGCTGAACCAAAACATTTGAAAACCCCAATCATAACCAAGATAGTAAAGCAAATGTAAACCCAGTTGCTACAAGAGGTTTCTGCTGCGTGTTTGTCTGCGTGGTCTGCTCCCTGAGTTGATTTTCACATTCAGTGTGGATAGACCGAGTCCTGTAGTTTAACAGTGCTGACCTTTGCTCACTCAAGCACAGTGACGACAGAAGCAGACTGACAGAGCCGGCTGAGCTGACCCTGGATTTGCAGAAATGGGGTTTAGGAACTGCATGCTGTAGAAAGAGATGGAGCGTAAAAAAACCTAAAGGAAAGAAAAAGGGATTTGCTTGTGGGCACACAGACTCTGTCCAGGATAAAGGCAGAGAAAGACTGATGTATTTGTGTACTGGGGGGATGTCTTTATCTTGTATTATCTGTTCTATAAAAAGTTTTATCTTTCCATTTGTGGCTTAGACTGTAAACAGAACTGCTTGACCTCTTGTGGCATTTTAATGTCATTATATGGAGACTTTGTCTTTTGTGGTCTTTAAAGCTCTGTATAAGCTTCAATATGGATGAATAGGGTAAAGTGGGTTAAGGTGGGTGTGGATTGGGGTAACCGGCTTAAATGATGTACTGGTTTGTCAAAAACAACTATGGTGACATGAATGCAGGTCAAATAAATGCACTTTGACCTTTCTGTTGAAGTTCATCTGATGGTTATATCAAAAACTAACATGAGGCATCACACAGGAATCAAAAGCAAACACTGGATGAGTTGTTTGTGCCACAAATTACAGGATAATTCATGTGTGGAAGTGCAACTCTCTCTCTCTCTCTCTCTCCACACAGTTCAGTTATAATGCCAACAGGATGCACTGATTTCAGTTTTATAACTACGCTGATAGGCCTTACATAATATCTGCTAATGATATGAAAAATGGAAGGATGACGTGATATGGCTATAAATTACATACATTTCTGCCAACTGTGTAATTGGGACGATAGACGGCCAGGGTGCTTAGTGTGAGGCTATCTGAGATGCATTATGCAGGCGAAACACCCACTTAAGAGCAGATTAATGCAGACTTTTAGGGTGCAGCGTGTTTACAGCACATGAGGGAGGGAAAAGGTTAAAACCAAGGCTCCATTAAACAGGCCTGCCGACCCAATTCTGTAGCAGCAGGGGGGATTATCACACAGGGGGGAGTGAGAGTGTTAATATGGGCCATAAACAGTACTTGACTTGGTACCTAATGTACTACACGAAAGCAGAGGATGGGGGTTGAAGGGAGGCACTGGTTGTAATGGGTAGGATAAGGTGGTAGAGTGTCAGCATGCTCAATGTGAATGAATAAATGATCTCTCACTAGATTAATATTCCATATTCTAAATGGGAGATCTTTTAAGCTTCATAAACAAATGCACTCATTTATGAGGGATTAGCAGTAATCTCTCTATTTCCATCCTTTTTCCTCCATGCACCTCTCTCTCTCTCCCTCTGTCTCTGCTCACTCTCCTGCCTCACACTGTACTTTCTCATATAATATTGTAGCTACTTTTATAGTCTCCTACTGCTGAATGAGTATTACATCCTAAATTTTATCACCTTTTACAGAAAGAATCTGATATATTTATAATTCATTTTGCGAGCAGAATACAACTACCAAGGGTGTAAGATAACTCAATTATTAATCTGTTTGACCCTTATGCTTTCTAAGGGCTCATTCAGTGTGAAATACGACTATAGTTTATTTAAGAGTCATGTTTATTTCTTCTCATAACCTCTTTGGTTTTACAGGAAGTGATATCAGTCGTTAAAGCCGCAAAAATGTGAGTACAGAGAGAAGAAATGGCAATGGTCCCTCACTTACCTTCATCAAATACAATATAAAAGTTGTACAAAAATGTGCAAGCAGTTTAAAATTCAAAAAGCAGCAAGATGAATGTGTGGTCAAAGAATATTAAAAGTCAGAATTGGAGAGTGATCATGGATATGAAGATCCTGTTATGAGGGGGAGAACATAGTCCAGTTTGGGTGTTTTTTCAGTTTGTCAGGATTGTGTTTTCCCCTCTCACAGCTCGTCTTTGCCTCCTGTCACCCTGCCTCGCCCCCCTTTGCCTCTCTCCTTTGTTGCTTGGCTCCGAGCGTTCCTGGCGGCGGCGCCCTCTGCCTTCTCCTCGTCCTTTTTCACCACAGTATGTCCACCTGCAGCCCACATTTCCTCCGCCTGCTCTCGCTCCTGAGAGAGGGCAACCAAAGCAAAGAAATCAACCTCAGTGACCTCTATGACAAAAGGCAAAGTTTGGTTCCTGGTTTGTCACTTCAATTTATATCCTTGTACTTAGTGGGCAAATATTTGGAGGCTGGTAATTTCTTTGGCAGTCGATATGGGGAATATGTCGATTTTTGTAGAGTGAAAGCTTTTGAATAACTCCAAACACTTCCTCATATAGTGGTGGGTGCCCAAGAGCAAGACTGGAGAAGTCAAACTCTTTTTGTTACATGAGCTTGTCCATGAAATTTTGTGGGTTTTTTGGTCTTAAATGCCTTTATTCAGAGAGATTATAGGTCAAAGGATAGAGTAGGAAACTGGGGGAGAGTGTGAGAGATGATATGAGGCAAAGAGCTGCAGGTTGGAAGTGAACCCTGTTTGGAGTCCTGTACTGTGGGACTGTGGGAGTTTTGCTGTTATAAGACACTATCAGTTTGGATCATACAGGACCAGATTGTTTATATGATGCAGACTGAGTTAGACAGGCCACTCTCAGGTAGGAAATGTTTGTATTTAAGAGATCATTTTTAAAATTAAATTATTAAATGAATTATTAATTAAATGATCTTTGTTTACGCTTTCCATGAAGATCTACACAATCACAGACCAAGTAGGAGGAATGTCAAAACATGACAACAGCCACCAGATTTGCATCACTCCCCAGCTGGCCTTGTTATCCAACGCAGGTGTCATGACACCAACAATCTCATAATTTTAGGTCAGGCCTGAGGAGAAAGATGACTGTGCTCGCCATTATACTCACCATGTCCCTGTAGAGCTTCTCCTTTGTAAACCAAAGAGCCAAAGCACATCTGCGGCCTTTGGTCACTGCGGTAACCCCGTGTGGGTTTGTCGGACCTGAAGAGAAGCCCACTAATCGACCACAGCTAGGTTTTACTCGAGCCTAGAGACATGAGAGGGGAGGGCGATGGAAAAAAGATTCAAAAGATTGTTTTATAAACTTACCTAAAATAAAACTTTACACTAGATCTGAAATCAACGTACAGTTACTGTCTTTGCATCCCTGTTGGTGAAGAACAACTCTCCGCCATCAAAGTTGTCGTTCAGGTAGAGAACAGCACTGTGAGGGGAGAAAAAAATCAAATCTTCTTCTACAGCCACAAAAAAAACATTTATCTTTGAATTAATTTTAGTCTGTTTTTTAAAATATTCTTTTAAACAGCAATGGCACTGTCACTTTGGCGACTGTGTTTTGCCTGCTTCCTCTGGCTGATGCTTATTTTTGTGTACCTGAGGTCTCTGTGTGTGAATGCAGGTGGTTCCCTCCAGCACTGCTTAGTCTCTGGCTCAAGGAGACAGTTGTCAACATGGACAGGATGAGACAGGTCCAGCCTGCCCTCCTGGTCACCTAAGGCCATAGACAACCAAACAAACACTATTTCTGAGAAAAACTTATTTAGGTTATCCATATGGAAGCATGTGCAGCCATGCAGTTGTTTTTCCAGATCTTTTGCATTCCCCTCACAATGTAATGATGATCCCCTTTTAGAGAGATTTGAATAATGGTTGCATTACCTGCGACAGCACTGCGGCAGACCAGGTGTGTGAAAGAGATGAAGAGTCCTGACGGGCTCCTGAAGTAAGAGTGCAGCAGGGTTCTCGCTCTTTCGCCCAATTCGTGTAACAGTTTAGCATCTGATTGGTTCACCAAGCCATCTTGAGCCAGCTGCCAAAGACATGAGGTAAAAAAAACAAAACACACAGAATAAAACTATGACTTAAAGCATGAGAGCATCACTCACCAGAAAGATGATACGATGCTTGTTTATTTAAATGATGCATACTTAATTCATTGGCTTTTAGGGGAAGGGTTCAAAACAACTCTTTCTTTCAATGAGTTCTTTAGATTATTGATAATATTGTTAGTATCAAGGAGTTTTTCAATTATTTAATGTCACAAAAGGGTATAAAAATGTTATTCTGTGTTTCCCTTAGCCAGAAATTTAATTCTCCAAAGAAACAATTAAGTGCATCCTGTTGTGTTCTACATTTTATCTTACTATTACATTTTATTGTACAGTTTCAATTTTACTTATCAAACTGTATTTTATCAAATCAATATTATCATACCAAGTGGCATCTAATCATGCTGTATCTTATACCATGGTAGCTAATCATATCATATTTAATTGTATTGTATCTTGGATCAAATTCTGTTGAATGTTATCATATGATATTGTACTGTGTGGTATTATATAGTATCATATCTTACTATGTTATATGTATATCACTTTGTCATGTTTCATCGCACCATAGTTTATCGCATCATATCATATAACATATCATATGTCATGTCTAGTCTCTCTCACCTTTAGAGCTCTGAGGACAGTCAGGCCCTCAAATGTCTCATGTGGCGTGTGAGGAGACCGTCGTCCCCGGTAACCATCTCCGGCAGATCCTGAAGTCTAAAGAAGACCAGGTGAAGTGGTACATGAAGACAGTAGGTATCTATGTGACAGAGCAGGAATCTGAAGAAGCTGGACTTACTGCTAACTGCAGTATCCTGTCACACTCTTTCTCCGTCATGACTCCATCCAGTACGACCCGGTTGGTCCCATTCATTAATTCATCATCCATGGTGATGGTCACGCCCACCTGAGGGACCGAACCACCTAAAAAGATAACAATTAAGTTACAGTAAGAGAGGAAGCTGGTAAACTCTTTACTTAAACAAGGGGGTCTTACCTGCAAAAAATCCACTGTCATCCACTTCTTCCTGCTGCTCTCCCTCTTTCATTTTCTCATTCATTTTCTCTTTTTCAGCTCTGAAATTGAACAAAAAATACTGAGTTGACTCCTCAGAAACTATTATTGAATGTCATGACAGAGAATCAATTTCCTCTCCTTTCTGCCTCACCTCCAACTATCCCTCAGTGATTCAGGCACAACATCCTCTGGAGTCCAGAGATCCTGAATTGAGGGCAAACGTTCAGTTTTTATGAGCTATTTTGTGGGTTCAGTGCAAGTGAATTTGTCGCAGTACTTACTGGGTCTATAAAATTGAAGTCAAGGTTCTCCATACCAAAATACAGGAGCTTTTTCTCTTGCAAAGAGTGACTGACATATGTAACTATTTCCTGTAAGACAAATACACACATCATTTAAAAAAACACAATTATTCCCCACTTTTGAATCTGCTGTTAAAGAAAAGAGGAAACCAAGATTCTGGCCACTATATTTGTTATTTAAAGGTAATGGCTCTTAAGTGGTACCTCAGCAGGCTGTGTGCCCGGTGACTCTGTGTCTCCCCCCAGTGTCTCATAGTAGAGCTGCAGGTTATCTAATGAGTCTTTGTCAGAGGGGTAGAAAAGGAGAAGAGAGCGGAGTGTCTGCACTGCTCCACTGATATCACCAGCTGTGGAATAAAGGGGGACAAAAGGGGAGAAGTTGGACTTAAGGGTTGAGATTTTAAGAGGAATTAGATCAAGAAAAGTAAATAATATGTCATGATATTAGTAAGTGACCTTTAAACTGTGCGATATGCTGATGCTCCAGCTGTGAGGGCAGGAAGTCCTCCTGAGCAGAGATTCTCCCAGGTCTTGTGGCTACCTGAGTCACGCAGGACTGACGACATGAGAGCAGGGAGAGGGAGAGAGCTAGACAGAAAGAAAGATCAGAGACTTTAGATTCTTTCCTTTTTTTCTCCAAAAAGTCAGAATTCTCTGTTTGATTTTTCACCTGCAGCCTTTTCGAACGCGCCGTCAACACCGTCCACTCCTCTGTCCTCTGGCAGCCGCTGAGGGGCCACCTCACACTGCACCCTACACTCTTTTATCTGCTGTATGGTTTCATTAACACATGCTTTCCATTTCTCTACAGCTTTTACCCAGTCAGAGGAGGCCTCATACTGTAGTGCAGAATCATACAGGACCTGAAAAGATAGAAAAGGAGAACATTAAATGAACAGTTTTGTTTATCTTGCGGCAAATTCCAGACAGAAAATGCAGTGTTAGAGAACTTCAATGAAAGAGCAAGAGTACTTGCTGTTTTCTAGGCCTTCATAAGCCAAGTTTGAACAAGCCTGATCATGTTATGAGGAGTGTGCCTGATTAGACGAAATAAGTAGCTGACGAAGAAGACTTCAATTACGTAAATCAAGTTTTGATTATGCTGTGGGTTCAGATAGAGTGAGTATGAGTAAAAGAAATTCAGTTCCTCAGACCGGGGCTCTATTTTTAGACTCACTTCTCTTTTTATTTATCCTGTGCAGTCACATAAAATCGTTTGATGTCTTAGGCCTACCATGATATTGATGTCGACCCAACAGATCACCCTCTATAGAAGTAAAATCTTCAAAGCTCTGAGTCTTTACATATTGATTAACTGAAATAAATTATCTAAACATCAACCTTTAGTATATCTGAGAAAAATTAACTCATTTGAACATGTTTTCTTCAACTTTTTAATGTGTATATCCTAAATTACTAGAGAAGATGTGGACATGGAACTACATAATTTTGGCTATTTCTAGAGGCAAATGCAAATACATTTGATGCAACTTGATTCCTTTTTACTCACCCAGTGTTTTTCATTCTCAATCTCTCTGTCCTGGAAAGCCTCCTCCGTCACCCCTTCCATCCGTCTATACTTCTCGATGTTGTTTCTCATCTCTAGGTGACTGGGGTTTGCCACAAAATAGGTATGAGCTGCTGATGCTGCTTTCTGCAGTTTTTCCAGCTGACATGTAAAAAGAGGAAATGAAGAATGAAATTGGCCAAAGACTGTTGTGACTTGAATCATTATTTGGATAAGAGAAACACAGCACTGACATAAGACTGTTTGCCCTTGAATAACAGATACTATGACATACTACATGAGTCTAACAGCTGTACTTTGTGGCTGCTTGAAGGATAGTTTACCTTGTAGTATGTGACCTGCAGAAAGTTGTAAGGGTTGCGAGTACCGAATTCATACTCGATGTCAGTAGAAACAGGGAGCTGTCCTGTAGGTGTGACTGAGCGTCCAATACAGAACCTCAAACATTCAGCCTTCTGCTGCACCCAGTCCAAGACCCAGAGGTCCCAAAGACTCCCCTTTTCCGAGTCTAACAACAGAGAAAACAGTGAGGTTATCAGTGAATCATTATAAAAAGTCAATCATTTACAAAGCAACTATGTCTAAATTAAATATAAGGCTTATGCATGGCAAACATTTGCAGTAGTATATACGGTCTTGCATCTGAATTCTACCTGCTTCACATGATAACAATATTTTAAGAGATGCTGTCAAGTTTCAAAGCAGTGCCTCTGCTCATATTTCTGTTTTTCTACAACTTGGGATGATGAATTTTTCATGTATTGGCCCGACACTTACATACTAAGAACCAGACAAGATGTACGTGACTCTGCACTCATCTTTTTTTTCTGTATGGTAATTATACTCCACACAAAGCAGGGATTCTGGCAAACCACTGAGCCCACCCATTGCTAGTAGGAGGAGAAGCTAAACGATTAAATTTGAAAGTCTGAAACAACAAGTGTGTACTCTTTTTTTAAAATTCATGAATGCTGAATAAGTATTTGCTGAATCTGGGGTTAAATGTTTTTATAGAGAATATGTAAGACACCTTAGGATAAACCAGATAGATGATAAGCAATGGGATAAACTGTATACTTTATGGGGGGAAAAAGTTCATTTTGACATTTTTCTGGGGAAAAAATGATTATTTTATCTCTGTAACCCCAAACTGAGAAGAAAAGCTCACTTTGGTTGAGAGACCATTGCAGCACACTCGATAGCACTGATTTGAGGGGTTATAGTAAACATAACTTGATTTAAAGGGTCCCAAAGAAACCCAAAAAGAGCTATAAACCTGGGGTTAGGAAATGCAAGCATGACAGGGTCCCAACTTTTGTTTTTTTTGGGTGTGAATGTAATTCATTGATTGTTCATACAGACTAAACTGGGGAGTCACTGAAGAAGAATGCCATGTTAACTTACACAAATATAACTTTATTTAAGATCAGCCAAGCCCAAAAATAAATCACACTTGATCAATCACTCACCCACTTTACTAGCAGCCTCTTTCCCTGCTGACACGCAGTCTTCATGACACTGTCTGCGGACTCTGAGCAGTGATTCCTTGGTCACGATGGATTTCTCCAGCAGCTCTGCAGCCTTCGCCCACTCCTCACCAAAATATGCACGTACTCCACTGTAATACAGAAAATCATACGGCTGCAGGAGAGATAGGACGCCAGAGCTACCACTACCAGAGGCTGCTAAAGTTAAACACGGTAATGCTACAATAACGAAATTAAACGCCACGTATACAGTGAAATGGTTGGGGTTCAGCGCCATGGTCCGAGAAACAAACCCAGTGGAGGAGACTGAATTTGGAGGAGGAGGGACTACTGGGGAAATAGTCAAGGAACCTAAGTGCCCTCGGGAAAGTTACATGTTTTAGTCCGATATGATCCATGGCCAATCTCTCGTTTTATGTTCTGACTATTGTTTCTTTTCAACAGCTGATTTTGTTTTTAGAAAAATGTACTGAGCTTTCTTCCTTTTCGAGGTTATAAAAGTTAGACTGTGTTGTACACGCTGTATGGCACCAGCTGTGCGGATTGTAATACACTTGAATCACCACGAGAGGAAGCCGTTGGTTGAATTCGACATAGATATACATAAGAAAGGCTAGATGACTCGAGGCGGAGTCACCGGCGTCCGTACACGGCGGCCATCTTACTCCAGTACACCATTCTGGTACGCTCTATGGTAGCTGACGGGAGGTGAGTAATCTGCATGATAAAATATACTCTTAACTCGCTGAAATCTTGGCTATGAGTTGGGATGTTTGGACATATAAAAATGGCAGCTTTTTCTTGAGAAGAAAAAAAGACTTAATCATGAAGCACAGTGGTTTCGCAGCTTTTTGAGTCGCTTTGCGCGAGTTGCCAAGGCAGACCACATTCAAGATTTTAATTAATTTTATGACAGCCTATTATTTTTTATTTAGTCTAAGTGACAGTCTTTGTGGGTGTGCTTGTGTTTATCAGCTGTCTAACTTGGCTAACAGGCTCGCTGTGAGTGAGACCAAATACATATTACAAAGTTGACCCAGCAATTTTACATTAGTTGGAGAGGCAGAAATGCTCTTTCGATTCAACATAACTTAAGTTGCACAAGATTTCCAAGCTGTTTGGTTTGTTAGAAACATCTAAAATGGCAACATGACGCGGAAATTTATATTGAAAATAAATATTTCTATATGTGATTTCTATATGTTATTATAGTTATCAATATAATAGAAATATTACTAATAAACCAACATGGAATGATTAAATGTTTTATGTATAAATGATTTAATATAACTGCCTTGTGTGTAGGCCTATAGCTATTGCTCTACCTATCTGCTTAATGTTTACTTGTGAAAATCCATGGTTATAATTATTCTTGAGTTTTCAGGAACGTTACTAAAACTCTGAGGTTTGTTACAAACCAAACCGTTCGAAAATCGGTTTAAAATTAACCAATCTATGGTTATTTAAATGCTGCATGCACCGTAGACTGTAATGTTATGAATGGGCGAATGTCCCGTAGCAAAATGGCCGCCATGCGCGGACGTTGGTCTCCATTGGTTAACAGTGTGCGTAAGCCATCTAGCGTTTATTTATACATCTATGGAATTCAACGGTCGTTACCGTAAATATATCACATAGATCAGATTCTATTTAGACTAAGAGATATATAATATTATTTCATGGAACATATAGCAAATTTCACTCTTCGTCTTAGGATGTTTTCGAAGCTTTTGGTTCGTTAAGGTTGATATGCGATATAAATGTCGACTCAGTGCTTTGCTGAATCAGAGCGGCTGTAATATCATATAGATTACGGTAACGAGCCGCAGCCCCACGGCGTGAGGGCTACTGAGTTCGTTCGGCCTTCCCTCTCAACACAAGGCAGCATCTCATGATTCATTCAACCAAACACAGACAGCTGAAGACGGGCTAAAACAACGGGCACACTGCGAGCTGGGGAATTCAGAGGCCTGGGGTCCAAAGTTAAAGGAGCAAGTTTTCCTACTGAAAGGCGGAACTAGCTAGCTTGTCATGGCAGATGTTGGTGAGGTTTTGATGTCGGTTTTGTCCACAATTCGGGTTCCGAAGCCCGGGGACCGTGTCCACAAAGACGAATGCGCCTTGTCATTTTCCTCGCCGGTGAGCCAGCCTTAAAAACATGAAACAAAACATTGTTGTTTCTCGTCTTACCACATTACACCCTCCCCGTTCTTGTCTAATACCATTTTATCGGCGCTGTCTCACCTAAATGCTCTGGCTTTTTAGATGTTTTAACTAACTAGCATGCTAGCTTTAAGCTAGGCTAATAATGCACTGTAATGGAAACGGTGCTTCTCTAGCTTGTTAGCTAGCCCTGTTCAGTCTAACTGGGTTCCTGTCAAACTAATTCGAAAGATATTTTAGTCGTATTTTGTTCACACTTGGGTTTCCGTGACAGCCATGTTAATGACTTTGAATAAACTATATCTTATCTTAAATTTGCCCAGACTTAAATATTTCCTGTTATTCATTTATCTACTTGAAAACCAACGTTGGGCTGATGTACAACAGTTAGCCGACTAGCTGAAAACAACATGACAGATGTGACATGGTAGAAGACATCCACATTACCTCCACATCTCAAACCTCCCTCTGTTGTGTCCGTGTTGAAATAAAATTGTATTTACATTGTTTGTCTTTTTACAGGAAAGTGAAGGAGGTCTGTATGTGTGCATGAACAGTTTCCTGGGCTTTGGGAGTAAATATGTGGATAGGCATCATAGTCGGACTGGCCAGAGGGCTTACTTCCACATCACTCGGACTCGCAAGGCTAAGGTAACCCCCAGCCCCAACCCTTTATAAGCCATAGAAACCAAAACCCTCAATACCAAAACCATTCTAGATAGGGGAGAGTGGGGTGAGTTGAGCCAAAGGGTAAATTGAGACACTCCCTGTTGCTTGGAAATGGTAAAAGAAATTGATCATGTGACCAAATATTTATGAGATGGGCATCAATTCATGGAGTCTGTGAAGGTTAGAAGCACATGGGTGAAGGGGTTAGACATTTATTTAAAAAAAAACATTTTTCACTCTTGAAAGAGACTTTAGTCTGTCATTAGTTTTATTAGAATTGTGCTCAGACCAAAAAAGATCATTTTAAATTTGTTTTATACATCAATTTTGGTATCTATGAGCTACAACATGAGGTCAAAAACCTAGCAGAAAAGCCCACCATTTTAGTTTGAAGGACTAATAAAGTTATAATAGTAGCTCTGGGGTAAATAAAGGTGTCTGATGCAGGTCTAGACCTGCTCTTGTTCTTTGAAAGTGTCTTGGGATGACGACTGTTATGTATTGGCACTGTATAAATAAAATTTGGTTGACTGATTGATAGTAGGGATACGGCTCAACTTAGGCCGCTCGTATGGTCAACTTACCGCATACACGGGTTAAGTTGACCATAGGAGACCATTTTTTTGGCATGCTACATTATCAAAACAGTTATTGTTACACTCATTCTGTTGGTTTGCAGGGATGCACAACATCCTGAAATATATGCAGATACACTAGTTAGTGACAAAACTATGATTGCCTTGATGTAGTGATCCGAAATATGAAAAATGGCTCATCTTACCCCACTCTCCCCTATTCTATTTGATATTCATAGAAGGAAGAGGACAACAACTCTGGATCTGGACATCCACCCAAGAAAAAGCCCACCAGATTGGCCATAGGTGAGACTATGACAGAATAAAAAAGTTTATAATCGGGTATAATCATTTAAATTTGCCGTGTCTTAACCCCTTGCCTTGTTTCTGGTGTCTTTAGGTATTGAAGGAGGTTTTGATGTGGAGCAGGATCAGTATGAGGAAGATGTCAAGGTGATCATTCTACCTGACAGACAGGAAGTGACATCAGATGATCTAGCTACAATGCCTGACGTTGTGAAAGAGCGGGTAAGGAATCTGTTAAGGAAGGTGTGTTTTATTCTTTCCAGGCAAAGGATTTGTGTTCCCTCTTTGGGGGGGTCTGTTAGGGTTGCCACACTGGTTACATACTACAGTATAGAAAACAGGAACAGTTTTGCAGCATTTAGGATCCCATTGTCACACACATAAAGATAATAAATTAGATTTATATAGTACCCTTCAAAGGACCCAAGGTGGCTTTAAAAGTGATAATGAAAAATAATATTGATAATAAATAATAAAAATACAAGAAGACTGAGGTAGGTGAAAAGACATGGGGTTCTGATAGGGAAATGGTAATGGGAGGTTGGAGACTGTGATAAACAGGTGGTGTTTCAGTAGTTCTAAATGTGGTCAGATGGGGCATTTTGGATGTCTGAGGGAAGGTTGTTCTCTTTTTTTCTTTTTGAAGTATGAGCAACTTACATAAAGGAAAGAACAGTTGAAGGAAATAGCAAAAAGTCTGAAAAACATGTGTAGGCTTCAAAGATCGTTTAAAGGATTCGTCTTCTACAGTAAATCACAGACAGATATCTTGGATCAGAGTATGAGGTCACATGTTGACATTTAAGTTTCTCTCACCAGCTGTAACCTAGTCTAATTTGTTCTTGTTTATTCATCTATTACCATCAAGGTGTCCCTGTCAATGGCTGGTATCATGACAGCCGACTCAGTGTCTCATGCCTTACAAGTTCAACAGTGGGATGGAGAGGTGAGACAGGAGTCAAGGCATGCTGCTGACCTAAAACAGCTAGACAACGGACTCAAGATTCCTCCCAGGTGAGACATTAAAACACAGCTGTCTTTTATGTAAAACTAGCGTACAGCTTGACATTAAGCATTCATGATCATTGTTGCGTTATTGCTGTGGCCCCCTTGCTGTATTACACTGTTGTATGTTTAGTTTTATTACAAAAACAAAATAAGATCGCTGCTCAGAGTTTGCATTCCCTGCTTTTCTTCATGACAGTGGCTGGCGGTGTGAGGTTTGTGACCTACAGGAGAACATCTGGATGAATCTGACGGACGGCAAAGTCTTGTGTGGCCGCAGGTATTTTGATGGCTCAGGGGGGAACAACCACGCCCTTCTCCACTACCAAGAGACAGGGTATCCACTAGCTGTCAAACTCGGTACCATCACTCCTGATGGAGCAGGTAAGCAGACAGCACAAATACTTTTTCATAAAATGATACTGTCTAAAAGGAAATTTCAGTTTTTATGGTCTTTTTAGGTTTAACGCTTTTTCACCCTCTTATAGCAGTTTAATCACTTTTTTTGTCATGGGCAGATGGTTACCCTACTTTACAGGTAGATAGTAACCTGCTTTTTAACATACAGGAAAAGCTCAAACCCACATCAGTCCCCATTTCATTTCATTCAAAGATCACGTGCTGTTCCGCACCTAGTAATAAAACATATACCACTAATAAAAAAAAACCTGTGTCTTTCTGCCAAAATGTATGAGCCACCCTAACCCTAACCCCAGATGGCTGTTGTCAATCAAACACAAACACTGACATGGTATTCCATTCAGCTGACACACAGAGAGATTTGCGGCTATTTCCCGAAAGCCTTTTGAATTTTTTTAAAAAGGGGAAACTGTAAGGGATTTGAAGTGGATGTAGAGGGCATTACATGTAAGCTATGATGGATTTCTAATAGGAACAAGAGTCAGAATAAATGCTGTATTTGTGGTTGTCAGAAGCTTAGAGCATCATTTCCCTAAAGTGCCACTACTGCTTTTTATGTTCAGATGTGTATTCCTACGATGAGGATGACATGGTGCTGGATTCCAAGTTACCAGAGCACTTATCTCACTTTGGTATCGACATGATGACCATGGAGAAGGCAAGTTCTGTGATAATGTTGTATTTTTTTTCAATTCTATGTATTCCTCTCTTTTAGTGTCATAAAAATCAAATCTGCCATGTTTCCCCCCCAGATTTACTATAATCATCTTCTGTCAACTTCTCGTAGTCAGAAATATTGCTAAACCCTCTGCTTTATGATTGAAGTGTCATAAATTCTGTCAGAAATATTGGACTTTTTCCTGTTGGCAGACATCCAGCCTGTTATGGGTGCCTCTGTCTCAGAGCAGCCATCGATTATGTGATGTTTGTGAGTCGTCTAAAATTCAGCTGCAGTGATAGAGTTAGTAGTAACTGAAATATCTGAGTCTTTGTCCAGCTTTGTAGGCTGGTTCTCTGTCATCTTTTTCAATTCAGCATATTTTAACTGTAACTTCAGTAGATCTTTAAAATATTCTTATGGTATTTTTTTTTTTACTGAAAGTAACTGTCTCTTTAATGTTTGTTACGTTCATCAATCGACATTTAATGCATTTAATCATGTTTCATCATATTTATCAACTGGACTTTGATAATTTTATTCATTTGCTTCTTTAATCCCCTGGGCATCAAAATCGAAATGCAATCAACAGGTCACTCAGAAAAGAAAATAACTTGTGAATATAAATCCAGTCTTCTGTGCAGCTGGTGAATCTACCTTAAGTGTTGGCTTTCATACAGCAGTACTCTTCATGAAGTTAGGTTTTGTGTTTGTGCAAAATTTTAAATTAAAGTTTGTTATGACTGAATACAGCAGCTGAAAACTCCACAGGTTCTTCTAAATGCCACCTACATTGTTGACAAAAAGTAATGTAGAACATACAGGTAAAAGTAGGGAATTGATTACTTTGGAAAGCAGCATGGTGTTTAAGAGATATACCACAGCAGTAATGATGATTTGTTAATTTCCTGCAGTTGGCAGGATTGGTCTCTATGCTTACTTTCCACGCTTTAAGTTGTTTTCCTCCACACCTGTTTTCTTCGGCGATTCCCCGCTGCCATTAATTTCTATGCCACCTGCTTCTTCTCTAATTCAGAATGCCGCTTTCACAGTTTTCACAGTGTAAGATCTCCGTACCTCTCACTGTGCACTGTAATGTTGTTTCTCGCATTGCTAATGTATTGCTGCGCACACATAATGATGTCGCGCCGACAGGGGGTGGGGGATTCGTGCCTCAGTCAAGCGGAAGAATAAGTGCAGCGCTTGGTGTTGTGATGATATGTTTTGCAGTCTTGTTCTCATCTGCCTGCTGTCAGCTCTAATTGAAATTAGAAGAGTTTGCTCACCATCCTTAAAACTTGTCTTAAACTATCAAAGCTGCCATATAGAATGCCATTTGCCTCGTACCCTTCATCATTTCTTCACTTATCTCTGATTCCTCTGCTCTTAGACTGAGCGGACGATGACGGAGCTGGAGATCGCTGTGAACCAACGTGTGGGGGAGTGGGAAGTGATCCAGGAGTCGGGGACCACCCTCCGGCCCTTGTATGGCCCTGGCCTGACTGGCATGAAGAACCTGGGCAACAGCTGCTACCTCAACTCTGTCATGCAAGTGCTCTTCACTGTTCCAGACTTCCAGAGCAAGTCAGTACCTTTTTTTTTTTTTACTCATACCCTGCATCTTCCAGCTCCACTCACTTATTATGGCATTCTTGTTAAAAAGACAAAGTTAGATGCCCTCTGCAGGAGGTATATGACTGCAAGCTGATTATCAAAGCAGCAGGGATGAAATAATTGTGGATGATGTATTAGATTTTCTCTTTAAAATGTTCACCGTACACACTTTCTGGCACCCACCATGAGGGACTATAAGAGCTTGAATAAAATCCTTCTACTTGTGTCTTCTAGATATGTATCAAACATTGACAAGATCATTGATGATGCCCCAAGTGACCCTACCCAGGACTTCAAAACCCAAGTGTGAGTGTCTTCTCCTTGTGTCTGGTTATTTTCTGTTTTCCATTTTGTTAATACGGTAGATCATTCTGAATGTGGGGCTGAAATGATGGTTTTTGTTTAGTTGTGCAGAGAATTAAACGTACTCTTTTGCCTACATGTTCTGAAATTATGCTTTAATGAACAAGAAATTTAAATATGTTTTGAACAATGAAGAAAGTGTTCAGATATCTGAGCTTACTGTTTTCAAAAATGCTTTTCTCACTGGAAAATGGAGCCACAGGGAAAACAATGAAAAAAAATATCCCCAATACTTAGCATCCATGTCAGGGCTTGACAACTTTTTTTACGAGGAGCACATGTGCTCCTAAGTTGAAAAAGTAAGGAGCACATAAAGAACTTCAGGAGCACAATAAAAAATTGATCAAATAATGTGCGTCTTATTGGTTGACATAAGTACTCTTATTTGAAATCAATTTTAGGTCTTTTGGTCACATGACATGAAAGCTATTGAAGGAAAACAGCCTTTTCTGAGAACATCAACCGGTAATTTATTGATGGTCCCTTATTCAACACCCGATGTTGACAGCGAGGGTACTGATTAGATTTAACCATGCTGCTGTTGCTATTCCCGGTTATGAAGAGTGAGAAGACACCGGTAGATCCGCAGTGAATGTCCGTCGAATATCCAACCTAAAACTAACTTCACCGCACATGTGCCCCTAAATACACTTTACAATTTGCAGACATCTATTTTTGGTCGCAAATGCAAGTGAAAATGTCGCACTGTCGAGCCCTGCGTGTATTCATCAGCAGTTATCACCTTCAATTTACAAGAAATGTGAGAAACCATTCACTTACGGAAATATTCATGGCAGCTTAAATGTATTAACATGTGGTTTTATACGAATATATTTGATATAAGCTTCTTCCTTGATAGAGAAATGTTTGAGATGTCCCTTGGATTTCACAGTTCTACAGTATACTGTGTACTTGAGAGTGTATTTTGAGTTCCTCTGTGTCTCATCTAAACCATAAAACCACAGTCAAGTAAGGTCCATATTGTTCATGATTAAATCCCTAACAGTGACTCAGCCCGTTTCCAACGCGGTGACGTATTTAACACCATAATCTGCTATTCCAGATTTTGAGTGTATGTGGTCTTATTCTAAACAATCTCTTCAATTGTTGCCGTACAGCTAAATTAATCCCACAAGAGATAGGGAAACATTCTCCACCATGTTTTTTGAAGCCAAAAATATATCCAGGCCTATATCCAAATCCTCCTCTTGCGTGAGACTGGTTTATTGTTGGATGTGCAGGGATGTCAGCTTTGTTTGTTTATTACAGAGCCAAGCTGGGCTACGGTCTGTTGTCAGGAGAGTATTCCAAACCAGCACCAGACCCTGGAGATGAGAATGATGCATCTGAACCCAGGGTAAGAAGAAAAAATATGTGTTGTAGTGGATTTGCAAATATTAGGTTTGCCAGAGATATGTGGCACATTTAGAATTTACACTCAGAGATGATAACGAATGTGGTCTTCTTTAAATCAGGCCTGCTTACAAATGAGACAATCCATGTTTGTTTGCAGGGAGACCAAATTGGCATTGCGCCGAGAATGTTCAAAGCACTTGTTGGGCGGGGCCACCCAGAGTTTTCCACCAATCGGCAACAGGATGCTCAGGAGTTTTTATTGCACTTCATTAACATGGTTGAGGTAAAGTAACACTCTAACTCTTCTTCTTTTTTTTTTGGTCCCTAGCCTATGTCTATATACCGTTGTTTATTTTCCTTCACAGAGGAACTGTCGCTCCGGGTTAAACCCCTCTGAAGCTTTCAGGTTTCTGGTGGAGGAGAGGATTGTGTGTCAGCAATCACAGAAAGCCAAGTACACACAGCGGGTGGATTACATTGTCCAGCTACCTGTGCCCATGGACCAGGCTACAAACACAGGTGAAGGGTTACAGTGATGTATAATGTTACTGTGGTAAAGTACTTTGTGTCCACTGATTCAGGTGAATAAAAGAAGGGATGGGAAATTAGAGAACCCTCGAACTCAGACAACTTTTACAGTAATTTACAGAAGGCGTCATACGCAACATGTTTTAAGGCTTTAAATCTTGATTTTATAGACAGGCTCAAAACTGCTCATTTGATTTCTTTCATAAAGTGGTGAAAAAGTTTTACGGATGTCTAAGATGTGCTTATTTTCCTAACAGAGGAACTCCAAGAGGCAGAACGCAGGCGCGAGGAGGGGGACTCATCAGCCCCTACAGTGCGTGCACAGATCCCTTTCACAGCTTGCATGGCGGCCCTCAGCGAACCAGAGATCCTCACAGACTTCTGGAGCTCAGCCGTGCAGACTAAGACTACTGCTACCAAGTAGGAAGAGAGAAATCACACAAACACACACACCAAGAGCTTTTTTAATTGAAACATGTCTTATCATGAATTTATTCATGTCACCCTTTGTCACATTTGCCAGAACAACCCGTTTTGCATCCTTCCCTGACCACCTGGTCATCCAGATTAAGAAGTTTACTTTTGGTCTCGACTGGGTTCCCAAGAAATTGGGTAAGTACGGACATGATGTTAAAAGTTGAATATATTTTTTGTGTTGTATGAAAGTTTATGTTGTTTGACACACTGTAGGCCACAGTCCTGTTGAAAGGACGCCTGATATTCATACATCAATACACGTCGTAAAGGCTTGCTGTCAATTATACAGTTAATATTACACCTTGGCCTGATGTCTGCAGTTACCATAGCAGTTACATCCCACAATGGCAACTTCTACTTTCATAAATACTAAAAGCCATTCCCACATTTACTGATACAGACTTAAAGTTGAATATTGACATTTAATAATGGATAACCTCTGCTGCAATTTCCTCCTGTTTTTGCTACAAATGGAGCAAGATGTTAACACACACACAGCAGTTCTTCACAGCACTACAACAAAGAAGAACACATAGACTTTGGATTTCATTGACTTTTCCTTTGATTTCTTTAACTCTCTTAATGGAGAAGAGAACATTGTGTCACCAGGGAATCAGACAGAGTGTGATTGTCTCCAGATTGCTGCTTTTGCAGTTGTGAGAAAACAATCTGTCTTGTGTCAATAAGGGTATTGAAATCTTCAGAACCTGACAAATCCAGAGTAGAAATACTTGAATACCTACTCAAAACAAATCAGAATTCTAACAGTAACAGAAAAAAGGCATAAAAATAATGGAACAAAGTCGCAGCTTTTCTCCTGGGTGCTATCTGGCAGTAGGGAAAGTAGAAATGTGACACTTGAAGCTAGACAGTAGGACCACTCACTTTCTTTTACAAAGAAAAGATATCAACTCAATGCTGACAAAATAAAATGCACGTCACACATATTCTCGGTGTGATCAAGATGTGGGAAAAAGCCTAGAGGCCGGGAAGTGAACATGAACATAATCAAGGAGAAATTAAAGCGACAGCAGCTAAAATGAGATGTTTCAGACTGAGGCTGATTTTGTGAGAAATTTGAGGCTTTTTTATAATCTGAAAATCATGGAAAGCTATTAAAGAGGTATCAAAAAGGAAATATAAAGTCTGAAAAAATTCCTAATACACCCTCTCTAAGAGGGTAAATCAAAAAAACGTTCGGATGATAATGACTAACGGAAATTTATGATAAAAGAAGTTTTAAATGCTGATGGATGTCTTTGCAGATGTGAGTATTGACGTTCCTGACACTCTGGATCTGAGTGCACTGCGCGCAACCGGCCAGCAGCCAGGCGAGGAGCTTCTACCAGAGGTGGCCCCGCCCCCACTCATGACACCAGATGTGGAGGTTAAAGGTATCCTGGGTTCCCATGGCAACGAGGAGGACGACTCGCTCTACTCCCCACTGCTGTGTTAGTCTGTCTGTCTTTCCGCTCTTTTCTTTTTTCTCCTGTAAAGCTCTTATTTGTCCTTCCTTATTTCCTCTTCGCTTTTTTTCTTCCTTTCTGTCTTTTCTGTTCCCAGCGTCCTTCCGTTGCCATATTCTTTTTACTTTTACACAATGTGAAATGATTTTACTTGAATTAGTTGATAGTTCTATATATATAATTTATTTTTGTTATTTTGCAGTTTACACTTTTGCACTTTTGTTTAAAGCAAAATTCCAGTTACAAAAGTACCCCAAAGTCATTCAACTTTTTCCTTACTCTATCTCAGCTCCAGTTCTAGATGACTCCACAGTGTCCCAGTTATGTGAAATGGGATTCCCCCTGGAGGCCTGCAGGAAAGCGGTGTACTACACTGGCAACACTGGAATCGATGCTGCCACGAATTGGATAATGAGCCATATGGATGACCCAGGTGTGCAGAGCTTTGGGAATTTTCCTCAAAACTAAATCATCAATCAGTCTGGCTGCTTCAATCACTCTTCCTGTTCTCCCTTCTGTCTGATTGGTTACAGACTTCTCAGCCCCTCTGGTGTTGCCAGGCTGCAGCTCCGGCGCAGGGACCACGCCCACCGAGAGCCTCTCTGAGGAGCACCTGGCAACCATCGTCTCCATGGGCTTCAGCCGAGATCAGGCAACCAAAGCACTTCGAGCCACGGTTAGAATCAATCTCTGTCCAGTAGGAGACGGGGATATGACTAATATCACTTGCCACTTGTCTAAAAGTAGAGCGGTGCCAAAACAGACCCAGCTGCTCCTTTTTTATGCATACACTCATGTTGCCAAGTTTTTGAGGTTCTTGGAGACTCACCAAGGCCTTAATTCTTCCAAAAGAAAAAAAGAAGAAGAAAAATTTAACTGAAAGTTTTATTGAGCCAAGCTGTCTCCAAAGCTCTAGAGAGGGATACATCTTAAATTCTCATTTTTGTATCATCAGAGTTTTTGTGGTGGTCACAGAGTGAATCAATGCTGTAGTTTTCCCAACAATAGCTGATGCAGTTTGCTGAAATGTCAACAACCCTAACTTAGATCAGAGTGACACAGGGCAGTGCTGTCCTGTTATAAGAGAACATCAAAACAAAACTAGTCTTCATCAAAAGAATGTGTTTGACTTTGTTACAGAAGAGCCAATGAAAAATCTTTACATACTGCAAACTATGGGTTTTAGATTATGCTCTTGTTAGATTCTACCTTTAGTTTTTTTTTTTCTGATTTCAAAGTTGATGGGTCACTTTCCACATTAACTAGTTAGAATTGCAGATATCAGTTTGTGATCCCCACCCATTTATCTCAGATGATCAAGGTCAGCAAAGCTTTACTTTCATTGCTTCATTGTTCCATCATTAGCCTCAGTACCAGTCTGATATAAGCCATAGAAAATAGAGTGGCAGCATAACTCTTCTCTTTCTCTTCTTTTACGAGCAAAAAGAGACACTGTTGTCTACTGCAGTTGGCAGTTATACTGCTATGACGTCGTTTGTAATGTAGCTCCTTGAACAAGTTACCTTTAACAGCACTTTAGATGCTTCATTAAGGTTCATAACCCAACATATTAAAAACAAAAACAGGCATAACATAATGCTTTCAAAATAAGTGATTTACATTTTATTCATTGTTTCTTTAGTATTGGTTCCATAATATGTCAGGCAGCCTTTAAAGGAAGGTAGCAGCTGTTTCTGGCTGTAGAACTATTTGGATTCTATCCTTCTAAAGCTTTGTTGATACTCCTGCATTAACACTATACTGTAGTGGCCTAGCTCTCTTGGCTTCACAATACTTCACATATGCACTTGTTATTAAGTCAAACTTTGAGTAATATTCGTTGCTTGTTCATGCACAGAAAACTGTGGCAGCTGAATCTGAGAGTTTGATGTTGGAGTTGGAGAAGTTAAATAGAAAGCAGCAGTTAATCATATTGCAAAGGAGACGTTAGAGTGATGGAATATTTGATGATTGTGTAGGCAGAGGATGTGTGGAACAGTGGTAATACTGCATGTGTAAATGCAGGATGCAAGTTACAACGCTACCAAGTAGACCAATCTCGGGGCTTGTAGTCTGCAATGTTTAAAGGGATATTCTGGCGTATAATTCTTTAGGGTCAAACACATCGTAACACCAAAGCCAACCAAACATCTTTTTAACTTTGCCCAATTTCTTTAGCATAGAGACTAAACACGACTCACCTACTCTCTTCCAGCAGCCGCTTGTTTGTAGCGAGACCTCGGGCCAGTCCATTACGGACTACAGCGGGGTGAAGCAGCTCAAGGAAGAACATTTATGATCATAACTTCGTGGAAATGCAATTAGACCGAGACGCTAAGGCAGAAGAACTACTGCATCTGCAGTGCAAAATGATTAATATGGTGATTATTACTTCAAGGAATGATAAAGTACTGCTGTGTATCGCTATCCTGCGGTGACCCTAACTTAATTTTGCGCTGGAATATTCCTTCAAGAGTGTGCACTTGGGGAATAGTACAATGTCTGCATAGGTACAGGTCTTTGCGAACCTACTGCATACGTCATGGTAGAAATTTATTGCAGAGGTATAAATCAGGAATAAGGCTTTGACCAAAAGCTCAGTTCAACGATACTCTTAAATAATCCCTCTTTAAATAATTCTTGTTTCACAGAGTAATGTCCTAGACCGGGCAGTGGACTGGATCTTCTCCCATCTGGACGATCTGGAGTCCATGGATGTGTCTGAAGGTGGTCGCTCAGCAGCAGAGAGTGAGGGTGGCAGGGATCCTCCGCCTGGGCCCCGTGTCAGAGATGGACCAGGAAGTAAGTTAAGAGGAGGGAGTCGAAATGATAACCACCTTCGAATGTGTCCCTACTGATGTGCTTGAAAAAAAAAAATGTCTACACCTGTAACGTTGTATCTTCTTATCAAATTTATTTGAATAATTAACATTTGGGATAACTTATGGTCTTTCCTTTTGTAGAGTATGAGCTGTTTGCATTCATCAGTCACATGGGGACGAGCACAATGTGCGGCCACTACGTCTGCCACATCAAGAAGGATCAGCAGTGAGTGTTGTTTTTTTTTCTTTGTTTGTTTTTCAGGTGTTTATAAGTATTTAGCCATTTAAATCTTTAATGTGTCACAAAGATATATCTCTGAAAGTCTTATACCCTAAAAAAAAGTCACTTCATTCTGTTCAGAAAGAATTACAGTCTCACAGATGATCAAATTTCTACTTTTTAATTAGTAGTTGCATAAAGCTGGTTGTATTCTGCCTCAGCAGGGGGCACCATACTCCAGGTCTGATCTGATCGATGATGGCTGCGATAGAACTGAAAACAGTGCTAAGTTTTAACCTGTCATAGAAATAAGAGATACTGTAGATTAATTAAACATCTTCAGGTAAATCAATGTCAGATTTCTTCCACATTTTTCCAACCTGCTCAGGTTGATATTTCAGAAAAAAAGGCTTTATTGACTTGAAAATCAATCAGGCTGAATTTGTAAAGTAGTTTTCATACAACACTAATGTAACTCAAAGTTCAAGTTAAAATGACTATTTCTTAACGTTCTTATACTTACAAACAAAGGTGCCACATAATCCAAATAGAGTGCAAATTTGCTATAATGTCCTTAATGAAGGTGCTCTCTGTAATTTGAGGGGTCTCTTTTTCCAAAGGTGGGTAATCTTCAACGATCAGAAGGTTTGTGCTTCTGAGAAACCTCCCAAAGACCTGGGATACCTCTACTTCTACCGGAGAGTGGCTGAATGAGACAAAGGAGCTTTACACTTGGGGTGAAAGAGGAGATTTGTGGACGCTTACACAAACACACACGACAGCATTCATAGTTACACTCCACCAAGCTCTTACAAATGCCCTGGCACGCTTCACAACTGACAAAAGTGTAAATATGTCTCTCAGATTGCATATACCGTATTCACAGTTCAATAAATGGGTGCAGATGTTCAGGTGAGAGGTTAGGGTGGAGGGCAGTTCTTTTGATCAAATGACTACAAAGTGTGGACGTGCTCTGAGGCCGATTCAGTAGCTTATCTGGACTACAAGGCAGAGTAAAACTAAAACCGTCTGAAGTTGGAGAAACCTCCTGCTCTAAGTTTCACTCGCCAAATTTATCCTGAAAGTTCACCTAACCTGCTTCACAGAACAGGCCTCAGATGTCAGAGTGACTCTGGCTGCAGAGTCCACTCACTCTTAATTAAAAAGTTCCTCAATTAGCACCATTAATTCATGTCTTGACTATTGATTTCACTGCCATCAGTAGTCACTGCCTCTCCTCATCAACATGTCGCTTCCTGCCAACTCTTCTTTAATCAGGCGGTTGCACTTTGGCGTCATCTGTTTACCTCGGTACCACCTCTTCCTCTACCTGTGTGTGTGTGAGGAAATAAAACTATAATATCCCTGGTGAGAGGACATGTCAGAAAAATCAAAAACAGCTAAAATGTGTGTTACAAAAAAGGAAATAAAAACATGTCAAAACAACAATTCACCTTGATTTTTCTTAAGTTTGGTGAGGTTGATATCTGGGTAAGATTTTGCTTTATTTTGTTTTTATTTTGCAAACAAATCCTCTGTTATGTCTGCTGAGACAAATAAAGAACTGTCTTTCTGTCATTCTGCTTATTTCCTTTCTGATTCGATTGCGTCCTTTTTTTTAGCTCACTATCTTTTGTTCCTCTTATTATCTCGTGATTTTAACATCCTGAAAAGGGATGGGTCCGTGTCTGCTTAATCCTACAAATTGTCAATGTTGGTAAATGCCTGTGACTTAGGCCACTTTGGAGAACATCCCTCATTTTCAGGTAACAACTGCATCATGTAAAGAATCCCAGTCCTGCTTTGCAAGAGTGCAGGTGTGACGTGCAAACCCACCAAGAGCTTGTGTTTGCATTGGCCTACAATTTTCCAGGGTGCAGGTTTCTTCTCGGTCGTCTTCCGCCTTCTACTGTTTTACGAACCTTGTGCAGATGTTGTCAGTGAGGTGAGACACAGTGAAGACGAAGAAACACTTTGGCCTTAACAGCGAAAAAGATTCTGGATACCTTTAAAATAAAGGTAAGATCTCACAGTATTCTGATAACAAATTTTATTTTTTGATTTGATTTGATATTACTGGATTTAACACCCTGGTACTGTAAAAGGCTCTCTTTGTTTCATAGTGCAGTCCATATCTCTTCCTTTTTTCAGTAAGAACAATTATTAGCAAGTTTTAAATCCATTTCTAAAAAGTCTATTGTTATGTGTTTGAGTTACTTGAATTACTGATTGCTTTGGAGCCTCAATTATTTTTTGAGGCCTACTTGAAATGTTGAAGCCTTAACGGATGAGTGTGTCAATCTCTGTCTTATTGAAAGTTAATGTGATGTGATTTCATTACTTATTGCACAGTGTTGTAAATGAATTGTAAATGTAAGAAATTGATATGTTAAGTCAGAAATGTACTTTGTAAATCTGGTAAAATTTTGAAGCTCTCAAAATCATGAAATGATTGACGTTACGAGAGAAATTAGCTATTTTAAGCCATTGTTATGCAGTAGGAATCCCCTTTTGTAAAAGGTAGAATAAGCTAAATCTTGTGCTATAATCTTACAGTGACATTTGCTTCACTTTTTGAAGCAACTTAAGAATTTTTTAATTTGAGAGCTATAAACAGGAAGGAAGTAGAGATGTAACTTAGTGGTGAGGGATCACATGTTTTTTCTTCAACAGAAGCTGTGTGGTATGTGGTATCTCCAAGAGAGAAGTGTACGCTTTCGCATCTTGAGCTACTGCATTCAATCACTTTCGTGTGTGTGTGTTTGTCTTAAACTTGGACAAAATTAAACTTGTTTTTTATATTTCTTATTTCAGGTTCAAACTTCAAAATGAGGACTGTCCTGTGGTTAAGTTTTGGTGGGTAAATATTCTTCAGTAAATTCCTGGAAAGTATCTGTAAACGTTGTCTCACACTACGATTTACTCATCAAAGTGGCCACTTTTTTTTCGCACAACAAAAATACTAAGAATCAAGTTTGAACTTATGTGTGTCATCGATAGGGACAGTTCATTGAAAGGAATATTTTCCCCATATATGGTCTAAATAATTTACTCGGGGTATTTATCCACCCATTTGATCATCAGTCATGAAGAGAACTAAAGCTAAAGATTTCTGCGGTTTGAAATGAGAACCTACTTTATTGTCATTGGTGATCATGTATTCCTAGACCAGCTTTAATCAATCAATCAAGAACTTTATTTGTACCCAGTAGGGGGCAATTCAGTGTGCAAAATATGGGGAGCATAAGAAACCTAAGAATACATAAAAACATGCAACTGCACAATTTGACACATTAAATCATGAGGTACGGTAAAACAAGAGACAAATACACTGAAATTGATCAACTAATCACACTGATTGTATGCAGACTCCTAAAGACATTTTACTGTAAACAAAGAAGTAACACTAAATGAGCATGTATTAATTTAGGGTTCCTGAGCTGGAGAGAAATTTCTTTTTCCTTCACTGTTACCGTTTGTAATGAAACCACAGTGTTTTAATCCGAGTGATTTAGGTGATACTAGTAAGATCATTTTTTCAGGGGTTGCCAAATCATTCAAGTATGAGATTATACAAATCTATTGAGAATATTTTACATTAATTTACTGTTTTTATGGTTCTTGCAAGTTTTTAAATTGTTTAAGTTACAAATGATGTTGATCTTGTGTCTGGTTTGACTGCTGTGTATACTAAATCCAAGATTCAGATAAAAGTTCAGACATTTATGTTTCTAAACTCTTTAATCCACCAGGGAATTAAACTGTGGCTGTGTTTTCCTCATCCCAAATGCATAACAGAAGATCTCTAAACCCAACCTGATGAATCGCCCCTTTGCTTCATTTACACCTTATGAGTTTCAAATGCAAACTAATGAGAACATATTGTGCATCATCAGTTTGTCCTTATCTCACCTCTTGGAGTTTATGGTGTAAATGCATCTTAATAAATGTGATCCTCTGTCTTTTCAGTGCTGAGTGCCCTCTCTGCTGCAGGGGAAGTGGTCTTGACTAAACCAGGACAGAACGCAAGATTAAACTGTGGAATCAACAAGAACAGTTTCGACAGAGTGACATGGTATTATGGACATACTGCGATTATCAGATTTTTTGGGCGGAGTGGCGCAGTAATCAAAGGTAAAGAGGAGAGTAAGACTGCATTGCCTTAAAAATGTCTCTTTTGTAGAGAACCCTAACCCCAACCCTATGTTGTATTTTCTTCATTAGACAAGGGAAACATTGGGCCACGGACAACTCTGAGAGGAGAAAACCTTGAGATCTCCAGAGTGAAGGAAGGAGATGCTGGGGCGTATGTTTGTGAGGTGGATGGGAAACGGATAACACATACACTTCTTGTTGTCTCAGGTAGGCATAAAAGCCAAAAAAAGAGTATTTTCATGTATTATCAGGACTGTATCGGACACAATCAGATTATGGAGGACTTTGATTAGTAGAAAGGTGAAGTGCATGTAAAATGCTCACCTCTTTTAAAGTTACTCATTGTACTGAGTTGACCTGAAGTGCCCTCAGTTTTAAATGATTAGTGACAAGATTACTGAAAAGGTCTAAAAGGAACGAGGAGCAACAGGAGCAGTTATATACGAACATTTGCAATGGTCAAAAAGTGTTATGTAACAATGATTTTTGATGATTTAAAATTGCTGTTATGGACCTTGTATATTAAAAGAAATTTTTGTTTTTTTTAGCTTGAAACATATTAAAATCTTGAACAAAAACAATCAAAAGACACTTCACCGACCACTCTACCCTCACTCCAAAAACACTTATTCTGTATTTTCCATATTTCTAATTAACATCTAAGAGTGTTGGGCCTTCTTTTTACAATTATTTATCTCATAACAAGTTTGTGCTGATTTATACCTCTCAAGAAAATAACAGCCCATGTTGAAAATAAAGAGCAGCACTTGAATTCCATGAACTGATGTGGTGCCCCCTCTCGTCTCTGTGTCAGTCTCTGCCAACCCCTCTGCTGATCTCAAGCTGGGTGATCAGGCTACACTCCAGTGTAGGGTAGGAGGTCTGAACCCCGGCACTACAGTGCAGTGGCAGCGGCCAGATGGCAGCAAAACAGGGTCGGCTGAAGTTCCACTCAAACCTGTTGCCCTCTCAGATGGAGGGAGATGGGAGTGTGTGTTCACCTATGACTCAGTGACCTACAAAGAGAACTTAAGCATCACGGTTAAAGGTAGGAAACCTCCATTCCAGTTTTTTTTTTTGTGTTTTATTAATAACAAAACTCATATGACCTGTAACATGTACATTTTCTCTTTTTCAGAGCCCGTTCCTGAGACAGCACAAACGACAACAAAAAAAACGTTGGTGCCCGACTGCGTTGAATGTGTGTACAATTTGTTTATTTGTAAAACCTCTTTTAACACAAGCTGAAGAAAAAAACTTAAATACAGGTGCATTCAAATCCTACTGTTTTTCCTTACTGGCATGTTTCCATGACTAAACCAGGTACTAGTGCCCCTCCAACTGAGAATGGCCCACCACAACTGCTGGGGCTCAGCTGGTGGATGTGGGCTGCAATTGGAGTTGGCAGCGTAGTTGTGTTTCTCCTGGTGGTCCTGGTTATTGTTTTGTGCATGAGGATCAGAAGAAAGAAGGTGAGTAGAGATGATTATTCAGGGAATCTCCATGTGCTGATTGAAATTAAAGTGGTCATTACATAATCCCTTCTCTCCTCTGGTGTTGTATCTTCACTGCCAGCCTCAAGACGACTGGAACTGCAGTTTTTTTCACGAGAGCTTTCCACTTGGTGCACACATACAGGGATAAACGGCCTTTATTCCCACTTCTAACCCGGTTAATCATTTAACGGTTACTGCTCACAATATTATATTATACAATTATATATGTTATAATCCTTTGGATGTTCTTACTGTGTTAGCTTTTACTACGCACCCACTATGTTAAGGGTCGGTTTTGACCCGTGTCTTAAATCAGCTGTAAATTACACTAAAAACAATTCTCTATCATCTAATTTGGTTCTCATCTCTAGGTTACCTTGTTAGGCTTCATTATCCATGAAAATATTGCTTATAATAGTTTTTGTAGTGGTCTTCTGGGCCTTTCTTTGTCAGTATACCCCTCACACAGACATCTATACTGAATTGATCTCACATGTCTGGACATGCCTGATGTTGTTTTTTGAGCAGGGAAAAACATGGCAAAATGAGAATTTCCTGAATCTCACATGATTGAAGGAAGATCTGACTGTCAGTGTGGTGTCTGACAGTGCACGTATGATTCTAGTTTTTGCTCTAATTATTAGATATTGATCTAACCGGGTCAACAGCTACCCTAACATGACAAGTGCCAAAATGTTAATAAGAGCATTTTTGAATTTAGTCAATTTATTTTATTTATTTATTTATATTTTTTTTGTTGAAATAATGGTTCCTGACAAAGTCAAAAAAATGTGATGCAAAAAAGCTAATTTAAGTGGTTCTTTAAGCATTTAATGTCAAAAACAGGTCAGTGCAGACCCTAACACAGGAGGAGGGATGAAGAAATGAAGCAGAGGGGCAACACATGAAGAAGCTTAAAGGACTTTAAAGGAATTTAGAATAGTAACATAGAGAATAGATCACATTGAAACATAAAGACAGCTCTTTGCGACGCAGCCCAAATAGTTTATTTGAACATGAATCTCATCTTTTAAAAACATTTGACGATTTTAGCAGCACCCATAAAAGAAGGATGTTGAAAAAACTGTCAGAAACCCGACCCGAGCTCTGAAGACTGAGGGCTTACTTTTACGCTCGTTTGCAGATCTGAAACTTTCCCTATATTTAATATGAATTTCCAACAATGTAAGAATATACAGAATGTTTGTCTGAAAATATGAACTGCTTAATACCCGCTCTATGTGCTGAAGTGAGGAAAAAAACTGTGATTTTCTTTCTGCTCCAGAGAAAATATCAGAGGAGGCAGAACGGCCACCAGCCACTGAGTCCCCGGCAGTACTGCCAGTGTAACCGGTAAATGTTCTTAACTCACTTCTATCTTGTAAAATTTTCTTTATCCGCTCTCCAGTAATCTCTGCTCACTTTACAGATGCTGCCTAATAGCCTGTATTCACTTTATATTAATGACTGTTTGACCTTCATTTTTCACTTTGCCTCATTCATTATTGTGTTGTAATTAGTGTGAAAACTTCCTCTCTTTCCTCTCTTTATCACAGCCCAACAGCTGCAGCAGCAAAACCGCAGCAAGGACGCCGAAGAGAGAAGCCATTGGCCCTCCCTCGGCAACCCCTGCTAATGGAGTCACATGAAAGCCAGATGGAAGAAAGGAGAGGGAGACCAGAAAGAAAGAGAAAAGAGTTAGAGAGGGTGTGAGAAAAGAAGGGAAAGAGGCATAGATGGAGATAAAGTGAGAGAAGTGAGTGAAAGAGAACCCCAGTGTGAATACAGCATGAATATAAATGAGCTTTTGAATGTTCTTGATGAAAATAAAAATCAAATGTAATGATGTGGGCACTTTGAGCTTTTTCACCAAATATAATGGGTGAGTTGAATGCAAATAAGGCCTTCAACTACAAGAGAGAGCAGCAACAGTCAGGCCTTCTTTTTTTTTTCCTTTTTTTCTTTTTTAAACATTTATGCTCTGAATAAAGATGTTGTGCCTTTGCTACAATACAGCATTGTCAGTTTCTATTGAACCCTTTTGTTCTGGTGTTTTGCTTCTGAGTTACATGTAGCTTTTGTTCCTATGTACTTGACAATTTTCTACATTGTGAGGCTATAAATAAAAAGTCAAAATTACTCAAAATGGCTCATGAATCTCAATGAACAACATAAATGTAGTTCCATTTCAGAGATGGCAAAAATAATAAGAATAAGAATAACTTTATTCATCCCCAAAGGGAAATTCAATTGTCTGTCATGTCATTTGTCATGTCTCTAAAAGTCATCTACTACTTACAGAAGAATTAAACAGTCTGTTAACTGTGGGTACAAAAGATCCTCTGAATCTTTCTGTCAACCAAGAGAGGAGCCGTCCACCACCATTGACCCTTTGGTCCATTATAAAGTGGGGGATCCATGGTGGTCGACAAATGAATTATGTTTTCTCAAAACATAGAAATCAAATATGTTTGTAAGGCATACACACAAATGATGTCAATCATAAACGTGTCTTCCTGTTAAGAATTGCAACATTTATCATTTCAACACGTCACATGTCATGTTTCATGTTCTAATGAGGCTCTAAACTGCACTTATCGGTTCACAATCTCTGAAACCCCCACAACTGGTGCAGGACAATGCAGCTGTTAACACCTGTGCAGTATGGCATGTACACAAACACACCGTTAACACCTGTAAGACACCATAACACAGGATCACAAGGTTAACATATATGCATTCATACTATTGTATTCCTATGCATAACTAATTTATAATTACGTATATGTTGGAGTGAAAAAGTGTTGCACTATGGGTTAAGACGTTTGTTGATTTTGTTACAAATCCACTTTCAGGGGCTCTCAAATGTGGGGATGTGTGTGCAGCTATGTTAAACCCATCTATACAATCCATTTAGTACACGACAGAAAGAATGGGATCATAGTGGTGTCTGACTTCCTGTGTGTGTGAGTGTGTCAGAGAGACGGGGTACTAGAGAAACACCTGCTGTGCTTACAGACAACCAAATGTCAGAGGAGTACTCAACACAGCACTGAAACCATCACATGTGAGTACTACTAAACATACTGTTTGTGTTTTAGTTGTTAATAGCTGATTTATGAGTGTTTGTGTAAAAGAAATGTCAGAATAGGGGTATTTCTGCTTCGAGGCTCAAACTGCCTCTGAAATCCTCAAGACGCCGCTCGGGATCCATTCTGAAAGACAGATGCCAAAGGGGCACTTAAGGGCAAGGTTGAAGTATTCACATCTGGTCTTGTTTGAGGCTGTATTTTAAAAGTCTTTAACTCATTCAGCATACTGATTTGCCTCGGCCTTGGTCTGGTTGCATCTCGCTAGAATTCAGATTTTGCCTCAGTAATTGGCACAAGTCATGTCTGTGCTTCAGCTGAATGTTCTCTCAAAGTGAGCTGAAGAACTCAGATGGAATCAATACCTTTGAGTTTGACTTCACATAAGGTTAATTTTCAGTCCTAATCTATAAATTTATCTATATATGAAGGAGATTTTAGTGACAGTGTTTAGACAGTGCTTTTCATCTGACAGCGACACTGAGATGGACTTCAAAATCTCACATCAGAAAATCTTAAAATACGTTTGTCTGTCTCTTGTGCCATAAAGAGGAGGATGAAGTAAGATAAAAAGTTTTAAAATAACCCCATGCGCCTGACATTTTGTTGATTTCACAATAATTGGTGGCGATGGTGTCATTCGCTCCGGAAGAAGCAAATGGTTTTTTTTTTAATGCAAAAACAACTAAACAAAACATAAAAACTCTAAACAGTGAGCAGATGGTGGCTTTAGTGTTTCATTTTTATAGCCTTAATCCTCTTTTTGAAAAATTCATTGTTACCATAAGGATATAATAATAATAACAGTGACTGCCAGTAAATCTCTCTTAACTGGAGGAATTCAACTTTATACACTATCAGTATTCGTTGTGCCCGATCAATAATTCAGAAAGAAAACAGTAATTGTCATTTTAAAAATATTTTCACATTAATTCCATGCAGGTTTTTATTTAAGAATGACAGAAGAGACACGACCCCTTATATTGTTTATGTATGTATCACGTAACATTTACCAGTGTTTGCTGAACAGTACGGCCTTTTGCAGGTTCGGGGTCTTGCTTATAAATGGCATTAATGTGCTCCTGATGTCGCCTACTGATAAGCAGTATTACGGTATATCTTATACCAATACATGCACATCGCAGCTTATCGCTGAAACTCAAAAACTCAAGGCACATTGGCATTGTAAAAAGTGAGTGTTTGGGTGCTTCTAGTGTTCTTAATAATCTCTACACAATGTCTTCATTCGGGGTTTGTCTTACTTAAAAGAAGAAAAGCTTGTGTTTTTCAGTCCGCTTACTGTCATATACTGCGACCAGCTCAATGTAATAACTGATTTATTACAGTGACATTAACTCGATATGACACTGCTACCTGAGACTGTTATTCACGTAAATGTACTGATGTCCCCCGATATAGTTTGTTATCATAATTAGGAATACTGAAAAAAATAAAGATAACTATAAAATATAAAATTGGCTGGACTAACACAGTTGTGGATTCACATTTTGTGCTTCTAGTGTACCGCCTGTGCAGAGTATTTCAACTTGCAAATTTTCCCTACGCTTCTAAAACCCTGGTGCATTAAATCAAATTGTTTATCAGCTTTAGAGACCACAGGAGAGCTCAACTAATCTCCTCCATGTGGATCCAGGTTGTCCATACTTGTTATCCATATTTGTTTTCTAAAAAGCAGTCAGCAGCATATATGAAAAGCCGAAAAGTCTACATGCTGTATTATATGCAATCAAAGTCTGTTTGTGATTGTTTTTGAGTACATTATTTTTGCACCTGTCAGTCTGAAAGTATCTCAAATAAAGCTTTCATTTGCAGTACTCTTCTGGATGTAAAAGCTACATTATTGACCGTATGTAAGCATACATGTATGACCTGGTGATGTTATTCAGATTAGTGTGGGCATTTCTACCTTGTCAGTATTTGCCCCTTTATAGTTTGGTCTTCTGTAAAAAAAGAACAGCTGGAGAGACCTGGTCAAAGACTTAACATGTGGCTAACCACTCCTCTGCTTCTTTCTGCTAAAATTTGGGAGACCACAAATGATAAGGCTGTCGTATTATACAGCTGCCGCAACGATTATAAAGCTTCCACTCAGGACATCTATCTGAGTCCTTCATATCAAATCCAGTCTGCTGAAGAGTAGGATATGATCAAATTATAAACCATGCCGAACTTTTACACATATGGACCATGTTAGTAAAGGCTCAGCGCAGCTTTTTAACACCACAAATCAAATCACACCGAGCTTAAGGAGTAAGTTTGAATTTGTCGGATAAAAAAACGAATCCTCTTCACTGTAAAAATATCTTCTGGCGTACCTCAAGGCTTATTTCTTGGTCCAATTATTTTTTCTGTATTTGTGCCGCCATAAGATCATATGATTTACTGTCATAAAATCTTATTTCACCGTTATGTCAACGATACACAGCTTTGTCTCACCATCGGACTATTTGAACGAACCGGGCACACTCCAGAGCATTATAGCTGATGAAAGATATCTCATATATATCTCATACATATATATCGTGGTATCTCAAAGTTTTCCTCAATGAAACAGAAAATCTCTGCCCGCATCTGATATCATGTCCAGCAGCTCAATGTTGATTTAGACAAGCTGAAACACACATAAGATGTTTTAATCATGGTTTAACCAATATCTCTAAAATTGTCTTTGGCAGTACAGAGAACATTATTCAAAGGGTTCTGCAGGGTCAAGCGTGTTGGCTGCTCTGTCGGTCAGGTTTAAGACAAAGCCTGATTGAGTGTTGGCTGTGCTGGCAGCTCGGCTCTGTAATAGTCTAAAAGTTAGTGTCCAGTCTGTTTTCAGTGGTGCCTTTTTCACCTGTATAATAGTCTCGCTTGTATCCATAAAACAGCTCTAGGGCATGTGGTAATTTCATCAGTTGGGGTCTTTTTTTTGGTTGTTTCCTGACAGGTTTAAAAATGAAGCTTCCATTGTTCAGTTTTATTGCCCACTTGTATTTAATAGCCTGAGAGTCCCTTTAAATGTCTTCACGGCTGTTTCTTTTATGCTGTGTAATGAACACTTTGTGCTTCTCGTTTGAAATGAGCTATTAGACTGGAGCTATTATTAAGACAAAGAATACAGAAGCAGGTCAACAATCATAAAAAAGTTTTTCTGTCCTCAGTGTAAACGATTACTTTGCTGCATTTTCTCGACTGTTATGAAAACATAAAGCCTCCCTTGCACCAGAGGTGTTTTCATACGAGACATTAGGATTCCCTTTTCATGGCTATTACTCAGAGTTCTCATAGTCTATCCTACACAAATCAATGTGCAAACACTCAAACAAATTCATATCAAAGTGAAACTGAAATTTCTGAAACGGTTAGTGTGCCTCCCTCTTGTATTTCCATTTTGCTTTAACTAAATCGATGTATAACTTTAGTGGCCACAAGCAGCTTCCACATTATGATTATCAGCACCTATGTAAACCATGATACACAGTATGGATGGGTTATTTGTTTTTATAGCTCATACTGAACATGAGACGTCCTGTTTGACATGACTTCCTAACAGGTAATTTCCCATCACGTAGATTTCCTTCTTATGAAGCTCCTGCCTCTCGCATATGTCAGTTGTCTGTAATTCAATTCTGCAGTTGAGTTCATGTTTGAAAAGCTGATTCACTGTCAATTCATGTGAGAATAAAAGCTTTAAAATTCAACCTCCGAGGAGGGAAACGGTTCATATAAAGCACATACAGTTAAGGGTACTGAACCAGGAAATGAAACAGGTTGGCACTGCTCTTGAGTTGATGCTGTGAAGTAGCTCACAGAAGATGACAGCAGCTGTGTATGTTGGGGACTAGATGTACTCTGTAAATGGTACTTTCATTTTTTATGAAAGGGTTTAAGTGTGCTGAGCAGGTGGTAATACAAAGTAGAATCTCAACAGGGTTAACGGGACCCTACAGTAAGCAGAGGGGTTTTACTCACTCACCCTGAAGGGATTCCTCTTTTGTAACCACCTCCTAACTATACAGTACTTGGCTACCAGCTAAAAATACAGCCAAGCTGACGCAAAATGTTGATTTAGTTGATTTGATGAAGAGATATTTAAACGGGTAGAAAGTAAATCCTCCATTTCCACGGCTCATTACGCTTCCACGGCAACAGACTCTCATCAGCTTCTTGTGGAACGAATTAACATTAAACTGAACATTTCAATTCACAGTCAGGTTATGATATTAGCTCGCTTATCTGTTATACTTCACGTTCAATTGAACATTTTCATTTCAGAATAGTGTAAGACAAGGTGAACAGGACTTCTGCTGACATCCGTGTCCTCGTTCAGGTCTCCTTCGTAGTAAACCTATACTAATAAAGCCAATTTTTACATAGGTGGTATCGTAAAACGAGTCTTGTACTATACAGGAGCAAAGTTTCAGATTGCAAGGTTTACGTGTGTGTGGAAGTAATCTCCAGATGGGACAACGGGGTGCTCTATATATCTCATTAAAAATTCAGCAGAATCAATATTTGACTTTTGCTCAAATCCTTACATCAGCAGACAGTGAATCTCCGTAAAACAGCAAATTTGTCATTTTATATTAAGAAACACAACTTTCTTGTATGGCAACAGTGAAGGAGGCTGACAGAATGCTGGGTTCTGGAATGCTGGGGGGATCTTTACGGTACACTGGCCTCAATGAAGCGTCTCAGAGCGAGGCTAAAATGAGGGATTATAAGACAGCAGCCTGAAATATGTTCGACTGTAAATGATGTAAAGCTGCTATGATGACAGAGGTGATTGGGTTTGAGTAATTCCTCACTGTTCAGACCAGTCTGAGATGGAAATGGGGTTTTTTTAAGAAGAAAGGGAACTTTATTGATCCTCAAAGGGAAATTAAATTTTTTCGACAATGTTGACAAATTTTGAATGGTTTTATTTTTTGCTGTAGTGTCAACAGACAGAGGTGACGCTTTCGTGATTTAAAATTCATCAGTTCTGTCATGGGGTTTCGACCAATCAGAGTCAACTATTTAATTTAACCTGATCTTAAAGGGATATTGCGGCGTAAAATTAATTTAGGGTCAAACACACTGTAACACTGAGTTAGACACCCCCGAGAGAGATGAATGTTGCCGACCGCTTATCCACAGCCTTAGCCACCAAACATCTTTTTAACTTTACCTAATTTCTTTAGCAAAGAGACAAAACACAACTCACCTACTCTCTTCTAGCAGCCACTTGTCTGTAGCAAGACCTCAGGCCAGTCCATTATGGACTACTGCGGGGTGACGCAGCTCAAGGAAGAACATTTATGATGATTACTTCATGGAAATGCAATCAGACCGAGACGCCAAGGCAGAAGAACTACAGCGTCTGCAGTGAAAATTTATTAATATGGTGATTAATACTTAAAGGAAATGAAGAAATGATCATAAATGTTCTTCCTTGAGCTGCGTCAAGGAAGGCAACATTCATCTCTCGAGGGGGTGTCTAACTCAGTCTTAAGGTGTGTTTGAACCTAAATTAATTTTACACCGGAATATCCCTTTAAAGTTAGTAAAAAGGTTTGGTTGTCCAAACTTACTGTTGTATTGTTGGGAAAAGTACAAAGAAATACAACAAATGTGAGTCCTCAGTGTTAAAAATTCTGATAGAAAAGAGATTGAAGCAACTTTTCCTCAATAATAGTAGAATTTAGCACGTTTGCATACAAGCTATTATCGCCGAAGGATCCTGACAAAAAGCCGACCTTCCTCAAGCGTAGCATAAAAGAAACATTCGTTTCCAACAACGGCTTCACTGTTGAGAGCAATCTCATTGAAATAGGAGTTTAAATACATCATCAGGTCAAAACTTGTGATCGCATTAACTTAACGACTCTGTCTGTGAACATTTCATTAATATGATACGTAACATAAAGCACAATGTGACACTAAATGTAAAGATACTCAAGTTAAATGTGCTGTAATTCATCAACACATGAGGCGTTTATAGATGCTTTGAAATTGAAAATGGATTTTTTCTTGAGGGGGTTGCAGGGAAGCTTTCTGTCAAACACACAGTATTGACAGCAGTACGGTTTGTGTTTCAATCTGTAATTTACAGCTCAGACCATGTTCAACAACTCCCATCCTCTGAGGAAGGCTGGATGAATGAAATGGACAAAAAGATTATTTACAGGAATGAAGTCCCTGTAGTCACAGAAACTATTCTTGCTGTGAGCGTATACGACAGTTTTTTATGGTAACCAACGTCATTAGTTTAAAATAAATCACTTTACAGTAACACATGCTACAACACGCAGTTTTCCTCTAATTAAATAATTCCACTTGGCCAGCGTTTTCAATAAACAACACACAAACATGACATCAACAACCTCTCATTAAAACATGTGTGTTTGTCTTCAACTGACTGGAACAACATCCACGTACAAAAAAATCTATTTTTCCATTCTGATGAAATGATTAGGCAGCAGCTTAAAAACATGACAGACACACACCAAAATAACTTTGGTGTGTTCGAAGGAGGTAAGAGGAGTGGTGAGTAGGAGTCGCTCTGTTTCACAACTCCGAGGTTTCAAAGAAGTTTGAATGAAAGTTCCCCTCATTAAAACAAAGTGCTCGCAGCCACTGAGCAGAATGTCAATAGTTTCTGAATCTCAACCTCTTTTCCACTGACATTTTGTTTATTTCAGAAACACCAACACTTAGGTACAGTACAAACCTTTACCTTTACACCTCTGAATGGCGCTGACTTCCTCTGTCGATTCGGCATCTACCTTACACAACATTCGTCTAAAACAAAATGATTGTTACGCACAAAAAGAAGTCAAAGATGGGAAATAGATGTGATCTGATGAGGGAACCCTCTGTAGGAGAGAAAAGAGGCTAAGGAAACTTGTGAATCACTCCATATTCTTGCTTGTGGCCCACACTTTTTGTCTTTTTCTCTTTCAGGGATGACTCGATGTGGTCGAACACCCTCTTTAGGCGTGTGACTAATGAGGGAGTCCTCACTTTCAGGTGTTTTCCAACCAAATCACTGCTCAGAAACAGACATGAATTCACAGCGAGAGAAAGCAAAGTCAAATTTGGACCTATTTTTGGCAGCAGATTTCTGTCTGTAATTGAAAACATTTGTTTGCGCCAGGCTGCAGCAGTAAATGTTGAGCCATTGCTTGAAGGTTTTCATTCTGAGGAGAAAACAAACGGCATGGTTGTTGTTTCATTTGGAGCTCAGAGGGAACAGCAGCAGGTGTGAGCCCTTCATGAAGGCAGCACAGAAGCAGGCAGACAAACCTCAGAGAGACACATGAGACGTGTGCGAGATGTTTGTTTTGTCCTTGTTGTGGTTCATCTCTCTAAACCACCTCGCCTCTGTGTTTCTGCAGCTCCGCTCTCTCTCACCTGGAGTTGTCATTAGTTAGCTGAGGACTGGATGGCCCTCCAGCAAATCAGCTTAATATTGTATGAAAAAGGATTTTCTATTTTGTTATTATGCCTGGAACTTAATGCTTCAGTGTGTTTCCAAGAAGTCAAATGAACCCATAGTCCTCCCTCCCTCGGGCCATGTTTGGATTTTAACAAGTTTTTTCTCTGTATTTCTGATGCACTGAGGCCTGCACGTAACAGAAGTGCTGTAATTATGAAAACTTTCTTTCATGCTTTGAGATTTAATTAAGTTTATGCTCTTTCAAACGTCGTTGATTACTCTCTAATTTGAATTTCCTTTGTGTTTTATAACCTTTTGAGAAGTGGGCAAACCTTATGATTGCTTTGAAAGTGAAGTAATGAAGTGTTTTTCATTTATTTGAACTCCCATATTAGCATCACATCAGCACAAAAGTGATATTCAAACAGCAACTGCGTCTGTAATTGTGTGTATTACTCCAGTTAGAAGCACAGTGAGCTGTCAGACACAAACTTGGTCAACAGTGTGTAGAGGCAGAGAGCCGCAGCTGTTGTATTACTGTAGTATTGAGTGCAGAGGAGACTCTGCAGCAGCTCAGAAGAGAAGATAAGCACAAACAGATGTTCGACTCTTGCACAGGTGTACATTTACCCAATAGGTTTTACAGTAACTACTTTGTATGCTGCATGTAAATTGATTTTAACACTCATTGAGAGAAGAGTAATTCCCATCATAAAAAGAGATATTACAAGTGACAGTCACATAAAATACTTAGCTTAGAGAGATCAGGTTATCGTGTGACAAACTATTGGATTTCAACACACACGTTTTTAGTGGATTCACAAAGGTAACTGTGATTATAAAGCTCATAAAGGTTAAAACACACATGAAGTGAAGTGTTATAGCTTTCTCTGTACCGGTTAGGGGTCAACATGAAGTTAAACATAGTTCCTTATACGATTTGTGTTCATTTTTCCATCTTCCCTCAGTGAGAGAATAGAGTCAAGGCAAATTTTCTCCGTGAAATTTTATATCAAGTCAGCGCTGCCAAATCGTCTGTTTTGTTGGTTCTTCTCTCACTTATAACGAAGTTCAGTGGGGATGGTTAATTTACTAGATTTAAGCAAAATTTTAATTGATTCAATTTTCTCAGGATGTTTTTATAGTTGCAGTTAAGCCAAAACAAAATACAAATTGATGCCATGGGGTAGTTAATCGTTCTTGGCTTTTGAATTATCATTAAACAAAATATTTACAAGGAGAGGAAAAAACACTAGATTCTAACAAAAGTGAATTAAAAGCTTAGTTTTTTTCGACAAACTCAGGCTGATGAGAATTTAGTTTAAACCCCAATGGTCTTTTTTAGAGTCTTTTTCTTGTTTGTTTTACTAATTCCTCTTTTTTCCACCAAAAAGTTGATTTAACAATTTGAATCTTATGTAAATTTAAACAAACACAAAAATTTGTGCAGCCAAAACAAAAATTGTGTTATGGACTTGATTTATTAATGAAGTGATTTATCCGCAATGGAGCGCTGCAAGGTTAAGATACACGTGTCTAACATTGTAGTACGTTGAATAACGCAAGTCAGTCCTACTTTTGAAGCTCTGATTTATTTTCTCTATTAAATGTTTAAGATACAAAGTGTTCATGTGCATAACTGTTGAAACAGAGGTAGTTTTCCCACTGAGCAATAGACGGCTATCAGATGTCTAGTCTTTTTTTAGACCTAATTTCAACAAACTAGATTCTGTTTATTTTTAGAAGGAATTTAGACGTTAACTCATTATTTGATAACTATTTATTTCAAAAAGCAACTGTGAGTTGCATAACTGATCTCCAAGTACTTAACCAAAAGGATTATGACAGCCGTTGAGCGATATACAGTGTAGTAAAGATATAGCCAAGATTTAGACTTGGTCTAAACTTGGTCTAAATTAAGACGTCTAAAAAACTTTCAATTTTAGAGCTGTGGTAGCCTGATTTTAGACCAGACGTCTATTGGACCTCTGTTAGACCAAAAAATGCTCAGTGGGATAGTTTCTCTGCTCATCTTCTTGTTGGTTAACCTTGTTTGGTTAAGACAGTTTTCATGAGAAAAAGAAGGTCTTCGGTGAAGTTAAGTTAGTGTGTTGGACTGAAAACAGAGTCTGCTCCTCAGGTGATCATAAAGGGAACGATGGTTTCATCTTCAGGTTTTAAGTCCACTGATATGTTTATTTCATCATATTAAGAATACCTTTATCTCTCTGTGCTGATCTCTCAGGAATACAATTCGGTACCTGTTTCTTTTTAGATAACGTTATATTTTTAATTTGCGTTTAACAACTGCTTTTATGAGGATCGGTCCATCAGTTCATGGTTTTTATTCTAAAACACTATCATGAATAAATCAGCGAAATTATAAGCACAGGGTAAAAATCAACCCAGCGATTACACTAAATTAGGCCGGGAGCCGCCTGAGTGCTATTTAGAACGAGCCAAAGATAGATAATGAGTCCAGTGAGACCTCTCTCAATTTTGGATATTTCTTTTATCAGGCAGCAACTCAAATTACAATTTTAGCCAATTAAGATGAGATATTTACTTGTTTCCAGTTGGACGGACTTAATGACAACCATCATATGTGTGTGTAAGAATTAACTATTCAAATATGGCACCATGACATTGGCTTAATGGTTTGTAATTTCTTCCACATAACAACACAGAGTCTACATTTTTCTCTAGTCTTGTGTCTTTTTTGTCTCTTTAAGGAGAGGCTAAGATGTTAAAAAACAAACATATGGATGACCCCCCTGCTTTCCTTCTCTCTGACAACCAATTAGAGGCTATCATTCAGAGTCTGGGTTTGATCGGAGACCGTCTGCTTTGTTTACAGACCAATCATCAGCGAGGGAGGTGCGACCGCACTTTAAAAGGACGCTTTGTTTGATAGATATTCAGCATTTCCCCTGACTCCAGATCCCTAAACACAGAAAGACGCTCAGCACTCAGCACCACTAGTAAGTACACTGAACTTGTTTTTTTAAAGTTACATATACTTCAGTAATGTAAAACATCAACTTCTAAATGAATGTCATGTGAAGAGCACTATTTTTCTATTCAACGGCACATTTTTAGACGATAAGGTCTTTATGACCCTTGCGGATTGAATTGGGCCTAATTTTTCAATGTGAGTTTATTTTACAAATCTGACGGCAACTGAAACACAAATTGTATTCAAGAAAACGCATATTAGTCCTTTAAATTAAACTGAAAACTATACTGGAAAACTTGTCACAGTAATAATCAAGAAATCTTTTTTTAAAAGTTTACCGCTACACCCACATACAAGTTTGAAAAGTTTATTCATATGGCAATATGAGTATATATTTTTATATGTGTAATTATTTATATTTATGGATTTTTTTTCAGATGGAGAACTATTGACGATACTCAGTGAAGAATCGCTCGACATAATTTCTCCATTTCTGAATTTTCATAAAACAAGAGAAAGAGTGTTTCCTCTTTAACTGTGTGTGTAAATTTGTTAAATACTAAATATAAAACACATGAAAACTTTATGAAACTCAGTCAAAATTTGGCCCCGAACAAGATCTGCACTGGTGAAGGAGAAGAACTCTAATCCCTCTTGTCTCACTGTGTTTCCTTCTCTCCTTTACAGCTCGCTCTCCTCCCCTCCTTCGTCTCTTCACTGAGTCTGACCCTCACCCCGTCTCCAACCCTCCCTCTCCATCTTGGCTTGTTTTGAAGCGCCATCCTGACTACTGATACCATCGTCTGGGTTTCTGGGTAGCAGCTCCACAGGTGTGCTTACTTTGAACGAGTGTTTACCATCAATCTCACCTCTCACTCCCCTGACCCTTTTTTCAACTTTATTTTGCTCAGTTTTTTTTAACTCTGATCTCAGAAAAATGTATTTTTCTTAAAGCAACATTAATTAGTTTCATGCAAAGTAAACACACCTCTAACGATTTAAGGTTTGAAATAACAACCTTGGTGACCTTCTAAATCCATTAGAGACATCCACACACTCTTGTATCAGGAAACATTTTGTTGACTTTCATTTTCATGTCAATGACTGGGTCTGTGTTTTGTCAGAACAGAAAAGGAGTATGCAAACCAGAATTCGTACTTATATTTTTAAATGGGCGGCTGGAAACACAAAAGACAATAAGAGGAGATAAGTACAAATTAAACAAATTAAAATGGACTTTGACACAGGAGCGCAAGTTCACGACAAGTGTGGTAACATCCTTCTGTTTTGATCATTCTGTTTTGGTTTTATATCAAAAATGTTTGACAGACAAATAAAAGACTAAAAGCAAATGCTTCGTTAAAAAGTACGGATGCCGCAGATCAGTAGGGAATAAATACACCAACAGTATTGACTTAGCTGAACAGCGTAGCAAAAGTTGTCCATATTACAGCCAAATTTATTTTTCAGTTGTCATTAACTTTTTTTATCTTGTATTTCAGGTAATTTGTTTAAAGTGAGTAAAATATGTTAAAACCCAGGAGTCAATGCTCCTCAGTTATATATGCAGTTGTATAGTTACAGCTGCTCTCAGAGGTAGATCCTTCATTCAAAAACTGATCTTATAACCTACAAGAGGTAAAATCAATAAAAAAGAAACTGATTCAAGGTTTTTCATGCAGTATAATGAGTGACTGTTTACATTATAGAAAAACACTTGAGAGGGGAGAGAAGAGATGAAGATGAAGAAGTGATAAAGGGAGATAGAAAAGAGAAACGTCTACCTTTAACCACAGTCTAGGTGTGCTCCTGGGGCTGTGGTCTCTTTTTTTCACTCCTTTCAAACGGGGAGAGATCCGTCTTTCGTGGAACAGGGGAGGAAGAGAGGGGGTGTGAGAGGCAGGAGGGAGAGGCATGGGATAAGAATCTGCACCTTGACTAAATCAAGGCCCACCACAACGCAGCGTACGCTTTACGTCTTCCCTCCGACATTTGTCTGTTTCTTCTCATTCAAAACCCACCACAGGCCGCCTACTCTCGACTCTTTCAACTTTTTGTCTTGCATCTCCTCAAATCTCTCCAAATCTAGGACCACCTCAAACCCCTCTCTGCTTCCTGCTGAATGATTTCTCTTCTGAGCAAAAATCGGATACTAAGTTACATCTTCATCCCATTTTACAAATGTGTGAGAATTTTTTTTTATACTTGCATATCACTTGTTGTAAAAAGCAGAAAACTCTATGCTGTCATGTAAAATAACCCCACCATCTACGGCAGACCTTTTACAAAAATAACATCTTGGTCTGTTCTGGCTCCATGTTGCGGAGAGGATGAATGCGATAGTTGGATAACTGTAGACTGAGCTCCTCTAATATTCTACGCCTCTATGTGGATAATATTTAAACAACAATACAGTAAAATAAATTTTAGTACATGATCACAGCAGAACAGGATAACAGAAGAGTAAAGAAAGAAGTATTATGTAGAATTAAAAGTTAAATTAATTAGAAAAATTAGCTAATGGCATTTGAAAAAGTCAAATATACTGAATGGATTTGAAAAAGTGTATTACAAGCTATTATAAGCTTTTTTAATCTATTCTTCATCTGTGAATCAGAGGAAAGTATTTTACGACCTCAGAGAAATGCTCACGGTGTTCCACAGGGCTCAATATTAAGCCCATTCATTTTCCCAGTTTCTCAGCTGCTGTTGAGTATTAGCGCTTTGTTATACAAAAAAGAAAGATGTAAATTTTATGAGTAAAAAAATCCTAATTTAGGGTGATTATTACTATGTATGCTATTTGAAAGAGGAAGATCATTGGGGCAGCTATACCTGTACTAAAAATGAGGAAAACAGAGCGTCTTAAAGAATGCTCAATATTTTAGCACATCAGCAACACAATGTCACACGTATTAGGATTCTTAATGCAAGAAACTCATTCTGACTCAAGGTGCTGGCTGCTCTTCTGATATCCCTGTACATGTTATTTTTACGGTTATTTAGCTACAGCCCACGACTTTGACTTCTTTCTCGTGTGTTTCTTGTGTGTTCTAGCAGGGATACATTACGTGTGTGTTGCATGGGTTGCTTCGAGGTCATTTTAAATTAAATTTTTAACCATTTTGTTTATTTTATATTACTCGATAATCCGTTCAGTGTTTTTTTTGTTTTATTACTTTTAAGTAACGTTGAATTTGGATTTTCAAGAACCCTGTCGTACAACTCTTATTGAATTAAACTAAAAAAAAAAAACAGACAGTGAGTGCAAATAAAGAATATTTTCTTTGCACTTTCCAAGAGATTGGTCTGTAAACTACAACCATCAAAACCTTTGACGAGATCACCTCAAACCACCTTTTTCACCGTCACACTGGTCCATTTTTTAAGAGTTACCCTCCCATTTCATCTTTACTTTTATGATATTATACAATTCTCATCATAAGTTAAAGTAAAATGCAGAATATATTTAAATGTTTTTTTAATAAATATTTTTCAGGTGCCTGGTTGAGATGAAGAACATAATCCAGTCCATCCTCCTCCTCACTGCTGTGCTGGAAACAGTAACAGGTAAGCTGCTCTAATAACAGGTTTAATTTTCCTCTGTTTGGGGCAGAACTGTCAGGTTTTGAGCAATGTTTCATAAAATTCTCCTCACACTCTCAGGGAAAGAAGAGTTGGTGTATGCTCAGCTGGGAGACACAGTCACCCTCAAAACTCCAGAAAGAGGGGCTGAAAAAGAATACATGTACTGGTATCTTGACGACATAAACAGCCTTCAAATCGCCTGGCGCAATCCCCTTGGCGGAAGCGGCTTCATTGGCACAACGTCGAACCCAATAGGTCTTAAACTTACTTTAATCCGAACAATAAACTTAAAACTAAGGTCCTTTCATACTAACCACTTTTTACTGTCTTGTAGGTCAACACTGGAGCGCCTTGTCATGGTCCGGCAACTCACTGGTCATCAAAAACCTAAAACCAGAAAACTTTATGACTGTGGTCTTAAGATTTGGAAATGGAGAAATATTCACATACAGACTACTGGAACTCATCAGTAAGAGCAAAAGAAAAACACAAACACATATTTCACTTATGTCCCCTCCGACGTGGTGCTTTATATTCAAATAAGGAAACTAATTTTTGGTCAAAGTCGCATGAATGCTTTTGTTCTGTTCAATGAGGTATGACTGAAATGTTTTCTTAATTCTTAAACCTCTATGAGGAGATTTTAGATAGTAATTATACATGCAAAAATTCACATCATGCCTCTATGCAAGCTAAAAAGCAAAGCACAGCAGGATCATTTCTTTTTTATTTATTTCATGTAAGTTAAACTGTGGTCCTAAGTTTGCTGGAAGACCATAAAATCGACTATCTGCTGCAAATATTCAAATTTTCTACTTCAAAGACTTGTTGTGTGTTGCATGCTAAATTAGGATATAATTTAATGCAAAAAAAAGAAGAATACTTAAACATGCAGCAGGATAAGCAAAGAAAACAGATAAATCGTCCCATTTGGATTCAGCCGAAATTGACTCAGCCTGAAAGTCCTTCACAGGAGTTTAAAGGTTTCAAGCTTGATGAACTTTGGGCTCATCCAAGACTGAGTCAGAAAACTGTTCGAATAAGAAAGGCAAGATCACAAGCAACACTTAACAGCTGACATACAGGGAAGTTTTTCAAAGTCAAACTGCTGAGTTTTTAACAAAATAAAGGAAAAATTGCAAACATTTGATATAACTTATTTAAGTGACTCCTCTTTGTTTCTGTCTTAGTCTCAGGGAACCCAACCTCTCCTCTGCTGCCAGGGGATGATCTGAATATGATTTGCAGCGCAGACACTTTTCAAAATTACAAGAATCCAGAGATCTACTGGAAGAATCCTCAGGGGGAAATAACCAACCAAGGGAGGCTCCAGGTGAAAGTCACAGGCCGACATGATGGACGGTGGACCTGTGTTGCGACCAGGGGTGAAAAGGAAAGCGAAGCCAAAGTCTTTGTCACGGTTGTGGGTGAGTTAAACACGCTACATACAGCTGTTTCACATAAGTCCACACTCACCCTCAGCTAACTTTATGATTTATGTATTTTCCCTCTTCTTTAGACTTCTCCCCAAATCTTCCAATTTACCAGTACACGTCTGAGTCCTCGTCCCTGACCATCCCCTGTTCAATTCCCCAAAGCATCTCCTGGGATAAGATCAAAGCTGGGGGCATCCAGGAAGTTAACTGGCACTTTTATCCTAAACCAGCACCAAACCTCATTTCCAATAACTCACAGAGGCTCTTTCACCTCCCTCTGGATGATAAGCTGACCTGGAAGAAAGAGCAGAACAGAGATCTGACTCCTGTGCCAGACCTTAAGAAAGGATTTCTGTCTTTGACCAGAAGGTTTGGAAGAGACGAGGACAGAGGAGACTATGTTTGCTCCATGAAGGTTCAAAATGGCGTGACTCTGAACAGGACTGTTCAAGTAAAGGTGCTGCAACGTAAGTCAATACAAATCATATAACCATGTATTACACTCTTCTTTGCTTTTCTTCTATTTTCTATGTTGAGGTTTTGTCCTTCCTTCATTGTCATTCACAACAAGCCGGAGACACTTGTGTCTTCACCACCTCTCTGCTTCGTTTTTCATCTCTCTCCTGCAGAGATTATAAGGAAGTGTCCCCGGTGTGACATGAGTCTAATTCAGCAGCTAATACAGTTGTCTGGCTCCACTTGTTTTAATAGAAAATAACAAGCTTTTGCCTCCTGCCAGGAGAGTCTGATAACACGATGAATTTTAATTGGACTCTGTGTGTAGCACTGCAAATTCTCATTTTATTCTGAACCGTTATTTAAGTAGGAACACTGAAAAGAAACTATTATGATGGATTTATTCAAGGCAGAGGCTTGTCTACCAAATCTGGGTCCCTTGACTCATTTTGATCCCCCCCAGTTTGACCAAATCCCCCAGGACTCCTGCTGCAGTTTATGAATTTCTTTTTTTGCTGTTGCCTCGCTGCAAAACTGACTTTGGTTTGTATTCAAAAGGGTTTCTGATCATCATCTTGATCATGACAGAGACGCACCCTGACTTTTTCAGTGAAGTCACCTGACCGGGGCGCTGACTTTTGCAGTCCTATTATGATGCTAATGTAGTATCACAAAAGGGACTTATTTTTGCTTTCTTTATCAAATCAAATAAATAATTTAATTTTTTGATATTCAAATAAGATTACAGTTTCATCATTTCTGAGCAAAATGTTCAAACTTTAGATCTTAATAGCGCAATTATTTGAGCGCAGATTAGTTAAAAGGACATAGGTCAAAAGTAAATGTTTAAAGCGCCAAACAAGCACCATAAATGCAGATACAGAACGCCAGAAAAGCCTGTAAATGTCAACAGAGCTGTCAATCATGATGTCACATTTGCTCCTTTTACAGTCAAATAAGAAATTATGAGTTAATTTGTCAGAAAAATTTACATTTTGACATAAATCAGCATCAAAACAATACCTATAATCTCAGAAACCATGTCTTGAAAAAATATATTTGAAATGTATTTAAAATTTTTAATCATTTCCTCCAAAACTTGCTGCATTAGATCATATTTTTAACAGCAGGAAAACATAAACAAGAAAACGTACCCCCACACACCCTGGGACAAGTGACAGTAGAGCGTCAACTTTTAAAATGAAATGAATAAAATAAATGAATAAATTTAAAAATATTTTAAAAAATATCTTTGCATTAAATGTTTCATACACGTTCAGGCATGAACAGCTTTGCCTATGATGCATTAGAAAATTGCTTCAACAACAGTCCAAAGTGTGTAGTGTATTTACTTTTGGGCTTTTTGCCTTATTGCTCTAACAGGACAGCTGAAGAGAGACATGAGATGTGGGGAGAACAGAGTGGGTTAGACATGCATCAAAGGGCCAAGGCTGGGACTCAAACCAGCAGCGGCTGATTAGAGGACTATAGCTGCTGCCAACTGAGCGATCAGCATCCTTGAGATTTCAAGTTTATTCAAACACAGACATCTGAGGAGACTAGCAAATATTCACGTTTGGGTTGCAGCCAGAGGAGGCTGAGAGTATTAAGAGAGAATGAAAGTCTGTCATTGAAGGCTAATGCACTTTTTGTTTACCTCATTTTGTTTTCATTGCTTTGTGCATTGTGTTTAACTTTTCCCCCTTTTTTATGTTAGAGAAATTTGTTTTTAATTTTTAATTCGGTGAGTTTGGTTGCCACATGGCAGCAGCAGAAGCCAAAGGCTCTGTTGGATTCAGATGGAAAGAAAAGCAATATTTTCCCAGGCTGTCCAAATGGCAGTTCTCCTACTTCATCTCATACTTATTTGATGTTTTACTTCTTCATTTCTGTCTTCTTTGTTCTTGCAACTCTTTCACTCTCTTCAGTAACTTCCGCTCCTGGAACAGAGTTGATTTCTGGCCAGCAGGTCAACCTGACTTGCAGCCTTGGTGAACCGCTGCCCCCGGGCCTCAGTCTGACATGGGTCCCACCTGAAGAATCATCCCTGACATCTGGCGATCACCCGGCCCATCTCATCATCCCGGAAGTGGGGGTAGGAGATGGAGGGGAGTGGAGGTGTGAGCTGCGGCAGAGCGATAAGCGGCTGACTTTTGCTGCGATAACTTTGAACATCGGTGAGTGCAGGAAGTGAGAGCGGAGCAGGAAATATGACACGGGCACGACCTTGTGGCAACTCTGCTTTTTACAACACCGGAGAGTGTTTCTGTCTTCACTGCAGAATGACTGTTTCTCTTTTTGCAGAACCCAAGCTGAGTGTGTGGATGCTGGTGATCATTTGTAGTGTCACAGTCATCGTTGTCCTCCTCCTCATTCTCGTTTTCATCATCTACAGACGCAGACAAGTACAGAAAACCCCTTTTCACCCCTTTTTCTTCAAATACATGAATACAAGATTAGTGTGATACTCAAGCTCTCCCTCTGTCTTTGTCTCTCATGTTGCGTCTCTGTGGCTGACATTAGCGGAAGACGACTCACCTCAGACATCGGCTCTGTAAATGCAAAAAGTGCGTAACAACCATTTCCTGGACTGATATGCACACTCATCAACAACAGTCATGTCATGAAAATCTCAGACTCCTGAGCTATTTGATAAAGACACAAACCTTAAGAATAAAACTGCTTTTTGTGTCTCTGTGTCTCTGTCCAACGCTAAAATCAGAACTTGTGTTTTTTTGTGTTTCAGCCCCAAGCCCAGAGGATTCTACAGGACATAAATCTCCTGCAAAGACATTTTCAACAGGACATCGGAGCCGATTGAATTTCTGTCCAGAGAAGATGGATTTTTCTGTCAGATCCACTAAGCAGTGAACGTCTGTTAGGTGTGCTGGACGAGGGTCTGAAAGTTTAGTTATTGTTGAAATGTCAGGGAGGAAATATGTCTTATAGTTGTAGATATCAAGATTGTTTTATATTTGTAATCTAACGTGGGATTGATGTTGGGAGGCTGTTTCTATTTCACAGAATTATCTTGTGATTCCTGATGGACTATTTTTACATGATTGTTTGTGATATAACTGTTAATCACAATTTCTTTTGTTGTGTGATTTTTTTATGATGCTCGTTGTATAGTGTTGCATTTTTAGGCCTGGTCAAATCCAATTTAAATACCCAGAGACCGATTTTAGAGATATGATGCTGTTTAACTTAATACACCAATAAAGAACTTTATTAGTTAGCTCAAAACAGGATCTGTTTGTCAGATGATTCTTATTCTTTTGAGCAAAACTTCTCAAGTTTTAGATAAAGACTGTCTTTATTTTCAATGTGTGGGACTTTGCTGTGATGTAGATATGCAATATTTGATTTTATTGATGATTCTTGAGAGAGTTAAAGTTGGGATAGGCAGGATTCAGTTAAAGAAACATCTTTTTGTGTGGTGTATGTACAAAAAAAGCTTTTAATATCAGTCAATAGCTATTAGCAATTGATGACGGCCCGCTCTTTCCGACTGTAAACAAAGCCATTCTCCGCCTCCCCAACTTGATTGGTTGTAAGGCGGATGCTGCTCCTTAGTGCTGATTGTGAAGGCAGACGATGCCTTCTCGTGTTATGAGGCACGCTCCATGTCGTCCTATAACTTGCACGAGCCCAAACAAAGTTAACACGCTACAATATCGGACAGTAGAAACCGACCAGAAAGTAGGGGAAACACAAGCAATAAAACAAAGTAAATACCGGAGACTCTTGCGGATTAGCAGGCGCATAAAATGGAGGTAGACTGGACAAAAGCTAAGAAGTCGGGTCAACATCAGCATAAACGATGGGGGAAGCTTCGGGATCTTACAGACCCTGTAACAGACCCTTTACTAAACTAAGCCAAGTGTCTGTAACAGAAGTGTTTCTTGTCAAACGGGACGTGCTCGTGTTGTAGCGCCGCTGAACTGTTTACCTCGGGTCCTGGACCATGTCACTCTATCCTAGTTGTAGAAGTCCTGCAAACATTGTGTTTGCTGGTAGTCTGTTGGCATCTACAGTAGCACCAATGCTTTTTACTTTCACCTCGACTGGGCCCCATTTGTAATCATCTGAAGTATTTACCTGCATTATATCTGAATTTAATTGAAACGAGCGGGAGTGTCTGTTTGTGGGCGGGGCTTGCTGGAGCAGAGATGGAGGGGAGAGGAGGAGCTGAGGGGAAAACTGGTCGGTAGGGGTTGAGTTTACATTCAAGATTTCTCTCAAAAACTGGCACTTCCACAGACAATCTGAAGTTCAACTGGCTAACATCTGTTAGTACAGAAACAAAACCTAAGGTCACAGATCAGCTGATTAATTCTGAACACCTGCAGAAGTTTACTGACTCACTCTGGTTCAATACACACAACCACAATCATGGGGCACACCTGGCACCTGCCCACAGCATCAAAACCACTGAAACTGGTTTTGCTGATCATGGTGTTAGAGTTCTTGATTAGCTAGCCAACTTACCTGAACTAAACCCCACAGAGAATCCCCCTAGCATAACACCCAGCAGAGCACAGACTGGTTGTCTCCATGCCACATAGCATCGATGCGGTTATTCATGCAAAAAGAGCCCCGACCATCAGCCAGCCTCTAGGCCCCAAAAGAAGAGCCACTACCCATGGTATTAGTCTATCTGTGCAGTAGGAAGAGGAGGCTGTGATGTGACAGAGCGAGGATAGCCCTGTGGTGGTGTGTACTTTGGTCTGCTTTTATAATAACGCAGTTTGAACCCAAAAACACCCAGGGGGACGACGCAATAATGTCTCATCTGAACCAAAACAAAGACAAAAAAAAAAAGCTGCAGGTTTGAAAGAACTCTCAGTAAACCTCTTTTTATTGAATTGAGCAAATGTGATACATATGGCCTCATCTTTTTTCCAGGTAAGTCACTTTATATTATCTCTGCAGTATGTGAGACCTAGACAAAAGATATAAGACATATATTTCAACCATAAAATGTGGCTTTAATACGTAGAGGTTTCAGAGCCTCATATCCAGCTGGATGTTTATTAGGATGCTTAAATTTTTAATAGATGAACTCTCATGGAGTTTTGTATCACAAACAAATGGACACAACCATAGGAGAGATTTCAAGTTTTTATTTCATTCAGTCCAGAGTTTTTACAGCTATTTAAAGTCTCATCAGTCTCGATGTCAGCTGGTTGATGTTGTAGTTTTGTGATGCTCTCCTGTCACTCTCCAGTATTTTTTGAAACGTTTTTATGATGAATTGCAAACAAGTTGTCTGGCCTCGTTTGCTAACAAATATTTGCTAGATATACTGTATACAAGACGAACACTATCACTGCAGAAACGTACATGTATTACTTAAACAAAGAGAGTCTGGTTAACTGAGGAAAATGTTGCAGCCTTTCCACAGTAAAACACAGAGCACATGTCGGATTATGATACTCACTGTTTGAACAGATGAAGAATTATCATCCATCTGCTGAAAGAGGAGATTGCCATACCTGGAGTTGAGCTGGCTTATCAAGGTTTGTTTGTGGTTACATAGTTGTCTGTAGCTTCTCATCATAAGATCTTATATAGATTTCACTTCTCCCTGTGGAGCGTCTGCAGCCTGAGATGATGCTTCAGACAGAGGACGGTGCAGCCTCTGATTCCCAGGGTGCCTGAAGGAACAGACAGTGTAAGGAGATGTTGACTCAAATCTGGGATCCATGCAAACACACCAACTTTATAGAGACAGCCCTTGGTTACACAGCATAGAGATGTCTACTGCTAAAATTTATTGGTGTTCATCGGGTTTGTTTAGAAGTGAAACATTGCAAACTTTGGCTTTTTTCTGTGTTTTTGTTTTTTAGAGTTATTTGTGCACTGAGGGAGGAATAATTAAAAGTACAACTTTAACAAACTGACCTGATAAATCAATATGTTTATTGATTAAAACGTGAACTCTGCTGGTCCAAGGGCCTGTGTCCACTGAGCATTTATGCAGCAGTAGAACCTCCAGTGTATGAAAAACCAATGCAGTTCACTGAGCACTCGAGTGTCGAGAGTTTTATCTGTGCTCTTAGCTTCTAGCTTTGGAGGAGTCAGTATATTTTTATGTTTTTCAAAAAAGAATTTATTGGATTCATCCAGTTACACCTAGTCTTGAAAAAAACATGTAAATACATAAGACTGCGTAGGAGCTAATTGTTATGGAAAACAAGCGTAACAGTCTGGCTGAAATCATCAAACTAAGTCAAACTAACAAAACATAAAAACATAATGTGGTTGGAGATCAGTTTTCTTGCCTCAATCCAACTAAAACTGGCCTAAACTGGTGCATGCCCCACTGTTTGGTCAGGGGGCTTTGAACCAGAAGTTGAATAAGTATGAATGTTGCTGGAAAGCTGGGTAGTAAACGAAACCGAGATAGACGAAGAAAGAACTTCAAACAGAACAAAACTTTCTTGCCGTACAAACAGTAGAGAGCTGTAAAAGTGACTGTATTTTCATCGCTTGTTGCACATCCTGTTAACCTCTCGCTAACTTGTTTTATCAGTTGTTTTGGTACATAATATGTCAAACAGGAGACGACCTAACAGTGAGGAGCTGGGGCCTTACAGTTGGTGCCACCACCACTTAATAACAGGACAGAATTTATTTCACTTCTGAGAAGAACTCTGAAACTAAGGTTTGCATTGCTGATTCAAAACACCCTGTCAGTGGACACAGGCCCTTATTTGTCCAAGTCAAACCATTTAGGTTCTGTCACATTGGTGTAGGTGCATGAACATTTGATGATGAAGCTCTAGCATGAAGCATTGGCATCCGTATTTATTTTTCCACGTCTATTTTTTGGCTTTTATGAGAGACAGGATGGTGGAACCCAGACCACCCACTCTGAGGACTGTAGCTTCTGTACCTGGGGGAAGTGATTTAACCGCCTGGCCAAAGAGTGCCTCTTTGGCATGTTTTACTGTGAGATAGCAAAGATCTTTTTTCAACTGGAAAAACAGATAAACACTCCGTGTTAGTGAGTGGGTGTGCTGAGAGTTATCTGTATCCCCTGATTTTGTATTCTCTCTGTTCGAGCCGCTGTAAGAAAATATCACCTCTGCACCTCACACGTAGTTACCTGCTCGGTTGCAACAGCAGACTGTCAACTCTTTTTCTTGGTGAACGTCCCATTAATTATTTTTCCTCTGGCAACATCTTCCCACAGCCACATTACCTCTTCTGCTTCATGTTTTTTTTCTCCTTAAAACTAAACTAATTAAAGTAAAGTGAGGGTCTCTCTGCATCTGTACAGCAACTGAGTAAAGACCTGTAGTTGTGTATTTTGTGTATCACTGCTAACTCTTATCATCTGAATCTGTGCTTTCAAGCTGACTTAGAGTTCCTATCATGCACAACACACACACAAACACACACAGCTCCCAGCTGTTTCTGTCATAACCTTGTTGCAGTTCCAATTTTAGTTTCTTTAATTAATTTCTCAAAGTTGAAGTTAATTTTTTCCTACTTCAATTTTTGAGAAAAAAAATTGGAGCTGGTTTTGACTCACACCCCCAATCGTCTCAGTTCTTACTCGTCTTTTATATGCCAGACAGAAGAATGTCCAGCGCAGTGTACACATGCAGAGAAAGCTCCCTCTTTAGATGAACAGACTTTCCTCTTTTCAGACATAAAGATACGATTTTCTGGTGTTAGTTTCAGGATACATCCACAATGCGGTGCATCTCTGAGCACACTTGTTAGAGAGCGTCAGCAGTGTTGTAGGCAGAGAAACGTGCTTCGATAAATCAACCAGCAGGAACAAATTTAATTTCAAGGAGAAGTATTGCTGCTTTGGAGAAGAGATACTAAAGCCTTTAGGGAGCGGAGGAGGAGGTACAGTGTAGAGAGGGGAAAAAGGCAAGAAAGAGTTTCCTAACAAGGACATCACAGCCGTGGAGGAGGCAAAAACCCTACAGCAGCCGGCAGGAGATCAAAAAAGGGGGACGACACTTGAAGGGAACAGGTTTTTCCCCCTCAAAATCGTCCAGCTGTATTTCTGTGTGCATGTTGCCAAGCCATGAAGAGATTTTGTCCGCCATCGTGCCTCATATATCATTGCACACACCTCCAAACTTTGTTAAATTTGAACTTTGTGTGAAATAAAAGTCCTGTAATCAAGTTTTTACGGTCTATGAATGTTCAGATGCCGTCAGAAAAGTAAACTTAAAAGTGTAAAAGGATTTGCACTTTTTAAACTTTAATACAAATGCATGAAATGCAAACAAGGATCGCCACACAGCTGAGTAAGCGCTTACTGAATGATATATTCAGTTTGATTGAATTTACTGTA